GGGGGGGGGGGGGTTTCCAGCGGACAAAATATGAGACAATCACTAGACATGTTAGACAACCTAGATACCCTAGTCACGAACTTTGAGATTCATCACCAGTACTCTCCTCTAGACCCAATGCGGGATACAAGATGCTAACGGTGGTTTCGCAAGTGCTCCCGAGGGAAGTCGGAAACCACGGTTCGGATTGGAGCTAGACTGTGTCACTCTCAACTAATTTGATTGTTTGCTTAAACCCTAGTGTTGGATTCTATCTCTTGTCCTCTGCCATCTACCTCTTCTTCAGTAGAATATGCGCAGCAATGTAGATCATAACACCAAGACCACACATCCCCGAGACCACACCAAAGCCCTTGAGATACTTAGGCGCGTCGACATGAGGGAACAAATAGGCGCCGTATATGGAGGCAAGGTTGCCGAGCGCGTTGACGAGGGCAAGAGCAACACCCTTGGTCTCCTGCTCCATGTCGCAAAATGTACTACTAGCATAAGACAGACCGAGAGCATTGCTCGCCCACAAGCCACTAGCCAAGAAGATGAGGAGCACGTAGCGTGCTGTGAAGTTGTAAACCACGCACACGACAATGGCGCAGATGGTGGATAACGAGAGCCAACCTGCAATGGCGAAACCACGGTATTGGTGGTATCGGTCCATGATGATGCCAGAACAGACAACAGCGACGAATGAGACGGCGTAGATTGGTACAACCATGTATTGAGCCTTCACGCTCGTGTAGCCGAGTCCTTGCACCAAGGTCGGGTAGAAGTAACTCAGAGTCGACGATCCGACAATAACCATGTAACCAGCAACCATAATCCAGGTACGCCAGTCGGAGACTGCCTTGATCAGAGCCTTGAAGCTGGAAATCTTGGGCCTGTGACCTTCTGCGTTCGAGGGAGAGGTGTTGTCCAAGGCTAGTCGTTGATTTGCTAGTAGCAGTTCGCGCTCGGTGAACCTTTTACTAGTTTGACTCGGGAAGTCGAGCAGTAGGAAATGCGCGCAGATTGCCCAGCCAACAGTGGCGGCACCTTCGACGATGAAGAGCCATCTATCGTATGTCAACAATGATCTCAGAAGTTCCTGAAGCCTGTGTAACTCACCTCCATCCTTCTATTCCATGCGCGCCGTCGAGATTACGGGTGATGCTGCCAGCTAAGATACCACCGAAGGCTCCAGAAAGAACTGCGGCAGATATATATACTGCGAAACGCTTTGATTGTTCCTCTTTCTTGTACCAGGAAGAGATGATGAGAAGGATACCGGGAGCAAAGCCGCTTTCCAACACGCCGACGACGAACCTCAATGCGAGTAGGTGCGAGTAATCGTGGATCACAGCCATGCAGCAGGTCACAATGCCCCAGAGCGCCATAATAGTGGGCAAGAAGATTGAGGGCCTAGTCTTTGCCAGAATCATGTTCGAGGGCACCTCGAAGAAGACATAGCTGATGAAGAAGATCACTAGCGCCATTGAGTATTGGCTGTCGCTGAGGCCGAGATCCTTGTTCATGCCAGCAATCTTTGCATTGCCGATGTTGGTTCGATCCATGTATGACAGAAGGTACATGAGCCATCTGTAATCGTGTTAGTCTCAACTGCATTTTCTTGTCTTTCTCAACTTACATCGTTGGCATGAGGAAGAGATCGATCTTCCGAACGAGTTTCTTCTCCTCGCCGGCTTCGAACTGAATGTCCGAGGTATCTTGGAACTCTTCGATATAGTCGGTCTCGCCGCACTTGACGTCTTTCGTGTCCATTGTGTAGTTGGGATGCTCGAGATGGCTCTTTGTCGATGGCCAGTGGTTGAGCGGGGGCGAATTCGGTGGAGGCGCTGTTTTGGATTCTCTAATAGAAGGCTGTAGGGTGTATAATGATGTGGGCATACGCGAATGGGAGGTTCAAGATATATGTTGGCGTATGTGATCACTCTTGACGTCTTCATAACGATCTATCAACCCCTCATAAGTCCACCATGTCGAGTTTCACCCCATGGGGAGATCGGCTCGAGCATATTGAGTTTGTGTGGAACTTTGGGATGGCAATGCTCGAGACGAGATGAACCCGTCCGAACCCATCCAAGCACGTTGGCTGGTACATCCGAAGGATTTTTGGTGGAGCGCCAATGCCGCATGAGATAGCTTACCTGACACGAGTCGAGGCCCGCCACCTCCACCCCATCCCACTGTGCGGTTGTTATCACTAAAAAAAAAAAAGCTCGAGTGGGATCTCGTGATTATTGAGCGCAGCACTTCAATCGATCTGATCATTCGAGAGCACATGATCGAATTTCCTGGCTCTCGGTGTTATGTCCGAGAGTCATGCCCGGAAGTCGGGGCTCCGCGACAGGACTCGATACTTGTAGGCTCCCGATGTGCCCCGCATCGAGGCGCAGCTGATCCCGGCTCGGGCACCACGAATTTGTGGAGATGTCTCGAGACGAGTATACTCCACATTGGGACCACCATCTGCCGGCAAGCGGCTCTACCGTGGTGACATGCTCCTCCCTGAAGCAGAATTTGTTGTCGTGATGTCTCGTATCGATGTAACTGTGAGTGCTATCGTGCCTCGATACGCGTCTTCTGTCCCAACAGGCGTATTATACAAAAGCAGCCCCCTAGAGACATTATCCGGAGATTTAGACGTACACGGAAAGCACAATGGCTCCAAAGACTTTGCAGGATAACAAAACCATCAAGATCCTCAAAGATGCCGAGCGTGAAGGATATGGAGTTCTGGCAGCAATAGTGTAACAAATTGTCTGTGGGAAAGATTGTGTATAAGAGACTGACATCCCACTACAGGTACAATGTTGAACACATCGTCGCAATGGTACGCGCTGCAGAAAGGAAGCGATCACCTCTAATTCTTCAGGTGTTTCCATGGGCCATTACAGCGAGCGATGGGTTGTTGATCCGAGCAGCTGCCGATGCTGCGAGTCGTGCCAGCGTTCCGGTTTCAGTCCATTTAGACCATGCGCAGGATGAGACGCTCATACGCCAGGCTGCAGACACTTTGCCTTTCGACTCAATCATGGTGGACATGTCTCACTATGAAAAGGCCGAGAATCTGTCCAAGACTGAAGAACTTGTCCAGTACTGCCATGATAGAGGTATCGCGACTGAAGCCGAGTCGGGCCGCATCGAAGGCGGAGAAGATGGCGTCGCAGATACAGCAGATCTGGAAAGCATGTTGACGACACCAGATGAGCTATCTGAGTTCATCGCGACCGGTGTTGACTTTCTTGCTCCCGCGATTGGGAATGTTCATGGCGAATACGGAATCAGAGGTCCCCAGCTGGACTTCAAGCGATTGAAAGATATCCGTGAAGTTGCGAAAGCGAAGGATGTACGCGTCGTACTGCACGGAACAAACGGGTTCACCAAAGATTTGATACATCGGTGTATCGCTGCTGGAGTATCCAAGATCAACGTGAACAAGTTGATACTCGAGGACTATCAGACGCATCTAGAGACCAATGCATCGAAGCTTTCGCTGACAAAATTGCTGGATGAAGGTATGGCGGAGGTTCAGCGTGCCACCGAAGAACAGATGGACATCTGCATGTCATCCGGAAAGGCACCATAGATGCAAGATGTGTCTGGAACGTTCGGGATGTAGAAACTTCGCACCGATTCCGGGCCCTTGAATAACGCTTCAAGATATGAAGACCATGACTTGGTGCTCATGAATGCGTAGGCTTTCTACACTCCTTCTAGACGTGCCAAAGTTGTTGCAGGTAGAGATGTATCGAGGCACAATACTTTTTCAGGACTGAGCGATTTTCCGGAGCCATCCTTCATCGACCCCCGTACATGCTTCTTGGATCAACCTGGCCTCTTTACAGGTGTTTGTTTTTCTGTGTCGTTGCAAAAGAGAGGAAGTGACAAGGCTTGGCACACAGCGAAGGGTCGATGAGAACCCAGATTTTGCGAGAAACTGCCCGGTTGAATATCGGCAAAGCACTGCTCCGACAACGCTTCGGCCCTCGTCGGATGGATGTCGTGCCTCCTCCATCGTCGCCTCCCGCCTCCAGAGTTCTATCAACGTGCGTAAACACAGAAGCGGAGAGTTCTTCTCTGCATCAATGCTCTTCAACAGCCGCGGCCAATTTATCAGGGGATCAGCATGCGGCTGAGTACAGTGACAGTCTTACAAAGTTCAGCATGTCCAACTTCGAGAGGCACAACGGATTGGGGCTAGGAATCACGAGAACATTACTGTTTCTCATGCGTACAGAAGCGCAACTGCGCTAGGATCTCCGTGCCCTTCGCTCCTTCACTCACAACAGCTTCCTATGTGACAGCCACAGACGACGCGCCAAAGAGCAAGAAGCTTAAACTACAGGCACATGCTTTACAGTCTCCACTCTTGCGCTATTGCCGAAAGGCTACTACGATATACTTGAACCTAGTCTGTATATGGGCTGCACAGATATGTGAAGCTCTGACAAGCTCTAGGTCGTTGTCGCATTCAGAGCATCATGCCGAGCGAATCTCCAGTTCTAATGGCCACACAACAGCGTGTCTGGCCCGACAGAGATCAGAGACTTGTGGCTTCAAGCGGCTTCATTATTTCACTAGTAGGTCTAAGCTAATGGACATCACGATTCGCAAAGAACGCTCCACGGAGCGGCCACGTTAGATGCACGAACGGTGCCTGAACCCAACTTGATGTTTATGCTCTGCGGAGACAAGACTTGTGATTATTTGAATAATCGCAAACACTCCGCATGCTCCGCCCCAGGGCAACTGTTAAGATAGCTATATAAACATGGTCGTCTTCTTTGCTCAGCGGACTACAACATCATCTATCACGCATCAGATAAATATGAAGTTCACATTCGCTACCACCGTCACTCTCGCCTCTCTGTCGTCTGTCCTGGCAGTCCCAGCAACAAAGCAAGCCGCTGCTGAGAAGTGCGTTCCCCTGGATTCCACCTTCCAGCTCAACGTCCCCCATGGCTCAACCGAGATTCCTCTTGTAATTTACGGTGGCTTCAAGTGGAAGATTCCCAAGGCTGCAGCTGAGGGATCTCTTGTCTCTTTCTTCGGAAATTTCAGAAACAACCAGACCACTTCCTCTCAAGTCACGACGGTTTCAAACTCGACCTCAGAGGACGGCGGACCTTCGACAAGCAGTGGTTCAGCATTCGCAAATGGAACACAAATCATCACCACCACCTTCTCAAGTGGCAATGCATCTAGGTAAGAAGCATAGCCTCCGAATATATAAGTATACACAACCAACACCCACCACAGCGCAGCAGCAGGAGCCCAAGACACCACAACCAGCAGCTCCACCTCCTCCTCCGGCGACTCAAACTCCACCGCCATAGCAAACGCAGCAGGCGTAGTCTCCATCGTCACAAACGCCACAGTCGCCGAAGCTTCAAACGCCCAATCCCTTCAGAACGAGCGTCAAGCCGCCGCAGCAACATCCTGTGCCGCCGACAACGATGGCGCCTCTGCCTCTGCCGATCAAATCAACACTGTAACTTTCTCCTCTGCTGATGGTGTGCAATATGAGAATACTGCTTATGCGGCTTGCTCGGCTGGTGTGGTGGCACCTAGCAGTGGAAGTACTGGAAGTTCGTCTTCGGGGAGTCAGGCTAGTGTTAGTGGGGTTACTGCGCAGGTCACTTGTGATGGTACGACTACTACTGTTGTGGATGATAACACTTCTTATGCTATTACAGTCAAGGGAAGTTACTGCCAAAAGTCGGGCTTCTCGGGTGCTCTCGTTGGACAGAGGGTCGCTCATGCAGAGGCAGAGTGTTAAGATATATTAAAGGGCTTTGCAATTGTCAGATACTTATCATCATGATTTGGACTTGAATGACTTCAAAGTTGTGTGGCAAGCCGCTTTGTATGATAAAATTCTCTTACGAAGGACGAACCTGTGACGCAATTCATATACAATAACCACATGTGTAGTTGTTGAATATCCAATGACACACATAACACCAGTTGGGAAAGAGTGAACTTGACAATCACGTCTGAGGTGCTGTGTTGGTTTCTCCCACAATCGATAAACACGGAACAAGAGCCAAGCGATGCAAGAATCAACGAAGACGTAAATGCGTTTCTAGAATTTGCACAAGGATATCTCTTTACAACCACAAAACCAAAAACTCCCAGACTTCTCAGGCCCAAGAAGCAAACCACCAATAACTCATAAACAAGAAGAGAAGCCACACAAAAGGCAGATATACGAAAGAGCGACCGCAAACCCCTCACTTGAGGTCTGCCGGCGTAAGGACTTGGACCACAGAAGTGCCATCTGAGAATCTCGTCTTGAAGATCCTGTTGGCATTCTGGAACATGCCATCCTTCAAACTGACGACGATAAATTGACTGCCCTTGAATCTCGTCTTGATCAAGCGACCAATATTCTGTGTATGCGATAGATCCAGTGCAGCGTCAACTTCGTCCAAGATGTACATGGGCGCGGGTGAGTATTGGAGCAGAGCAAGGATGAGCGATAGCGCGATGAGGGAGCGTTGACCACCAGAGAGCTCGGTGAGCGATTGCTTCCACACCTTGCCGAGACAGACCTTGACTTCAAGACCTTTGGAGATATCGCCGCTGTCTTCTGGAGGATCCAGCTTCGCCGTGTTGCCACCTGGTAGTAGTTCGTTGAAAATGTTGCCAAAGTCGACATTGACCTTGCTCCAAGTCTTGTGAAGGGCTTCCTTCTTGTACTCGTCCAGCTGAGCAATGGTTTCCTCAATCTTCTTTTTGTCACGAATGACTGTACGCATCATATTCTTCAGCGAAGCTTCCTTCTTTTCGACGCTGTCAATCATGTTCATGACCTTGGGGTTGATCTTCTTCTTCATGCCTTGGAAACGTTCGCTCAAGCCTGCAAGCGATCGTTTACTCTCAGTCATGTTCATGCCGTTGAAATCGTATGGTGTGTTGGCACGGCCGAAGGACTCGACTTCGTCAGCGATCCATTCGTGTTCCTTCTCCATGGTCTGTAGAGTCTGGCGTGCTGCCTGCTGTTGTTTGGAAAAGTTCTCGATCTGGTGACCGAGCTTCTGCGCTTCCAGAGCTTCCTCGGTTATTTGCGCAGATTTTGATCGCGATGCTGTCTCAAGATCCGCAAGCTCGGTGTCGTAACCTGAAAGCTTCTTCCTCTCATCATCAAGTTGCGCTTGAGCATAGTCGTGCGCGTTTTTCACGGCTTGTCCTTCCCTCATCAATGCGTCCAGCTCCTCCTGTTGCGTCTTGAGGTTGACTTCCGCATCCTGGAATTGCTCTTGGGCGGCGGCAAGATCACTGCCGCATTGTTCAGCCTCTAGCATTGCGTCTCTGACTTCTTGGTGCAAAGGTCTGATTGAGGCGGAGTTTTTACTCAAAGACTTCTTGAGTTTATCAAGTGCCGTTTGTAACTCCACAAGCTTACTGTCCTTGTTATTATTAAAGTCCTTCATGTCTTTTTCGACTCGCTTAACTTCCTTCGCCGCTTCGTCCTGGCGTGCTTTGGCTTCCACAATGCTCTGTTTCAGCTCCACAATGCCAGCTTTTGTGTCGGCGATTGCTTGGATGATCTGTTCACTCAAGTCAGCTTGTTTCTGAAGATAATTGGGATTCGAGTCACTTACCGAAGATGACGAGTTACCGTTAATCTGCTTCTCGGCGAGCGAAATTTCGTGGCTCTTGAGATCCAGGTTGTGCTTGAGACCTCTCGCTGCATCAAGCTTTTCCTTCTCTTGTGCCATTGTTGATTGCAATTGACGTAGAGCTGCCTGCCTTGTGTCGAGTTCTCTCGTGATCTCGTTGAGTTGCTGAAGTGTTACCAGTACGCCACTCGTCTTTGGTGAGCTACCACCAGACAAAGTGCCCGAAGGATCGTAGACATCACCCTCCAACGTGACACTCTTCATGCGGACGGCAGGATCGAAAGTGACCTTCTTGGCCGTTGCGGCATCCTCACACACCAACGTGTTGCCAAATACATACTCCATTGCAGAATTGACATCTTCTTCGTATCCAATAAGGTTCAACGCGAGGTCGCACTTGTTGTTCGACATGTTTCTAGCAGCGCCAATTTTCTGCAGAGTTGTTAGCTTCTTCTGCTTGCAAAGTTTAGTAAAGTCAAACGAACCTCCGAAGCAGCGCGGAAGGCGGAAATCTTGTTCAACGGAATGATAGTCACTCTCTTTTTCAACCTGCCGTTTTGCAGGAGCTGCGTGCCAGTCTGTGCAGTATCGACTACAACGTTATACAGGCGACCTCCAGCACAGATCTCGAGGGCAGTTCCTGCTTGGGTGAAGTTCTTGTCGAGGGTAAACAACTGTGCGACCAGGCCCTTGACCTTGGATCGGTCGAAGTTAGGTGTCGGATCACTGTAGCTGAAATCAATGTTTGCAACCCTTCGCTTAAGGCCGTCTGCCTGTTCCTTCAGTTCGCGAATTCGTTGTTGCAGCTGCGATTGCTCTTTGTGCATAGCTTCTTCGCGACCAGACTCGTAGCCAATCTTGGAAAGCTCAGCCTCGAGCTTCTTTGCTTGAGAACGGAGTCCATCAATTTCTTTCAACAGACCAGCATTCTCCTTTTCTGCTTTCTTAGCTCGAGGCTCGTCTTCTTTCAAGCGCTTCTCAAGATGCGATATCTTGAGCTTTGCTTGTTCTTGTTCAGTCGAAGCGGCACTGAGTCGATTGCGAGCGTCTTGAAGTTGACCTTGGTATCCTCCTTCTTGACCCTCCTTGGATGCGACACCAGTTTGCAATGTCTGGAGAAGCTCCTCTTTTTGTTCGACTTCAGCCATCTGCTTCTGGAGTTCGGCATTGGCAGTGTCATATCGTTCCTGAAGTTGCTTGTGAAGATGAGACTTCTGTTCGAGCTGTTTTCCGAGTTCCTGGACTGTGGCTTCGCTTTTGGCGCGATTCTCACTCTCTTCAGTCATGCTTGACTTTTTGAGATCCAAGACTGTAGTCAGTCTGACCAATTCGTGAGAGTGTTCCTTGACCTTGTCCTCCAAGGCTTGGAACTTGCCGCCCTTTCTCAACTCCTTGTCTCTTGCTGCCTTGACCTTGTCCATATCCTCTTGCAAGAAAGCAATCTCATTCTTTAGCTTTTCGGCGTTGCTCTCAAAGAACATAGCACGTTGTCTCTTATCATTCAGGTCCTTTTCGCTCATGCGAAGCTTCTCCTTGCTCTTCAGGTAGTCGTAGGCGACGACAAGTCGTGTCAAGCGCTCCAGGTCGTTTTGTGTCTGCTGGAAGTCGAGGAAAGCTCTCTTTTCCTGTCGCAACTTGTCAAGCTTCGGCTCGATCTCGTCGCGCAAGAGTTCCATGATCTCCTGAACCTTCATCTCCTTCTTTGCCATTGTACGGAAGGCCTTGTCTCTGCGATCCTCGAACATGCGGGTACCTGCAGCCTCCTCGACCATTCCAAGGATTTCCTCCTTCTTCATGTTCAGAACCTTCGTGATGCGACCTTGCATAATTAAGAAATTGGGGTTGTTGATGTTGAGCTGGACGGATTGGAAGAGGTTTTGCACGGTGGTTTGCTGAGCTCGGTGACCATTGATCAGGTACTTCGACGTACCACCCAGGACAATTTGGCGGGTCACCGAGATTGTGGGATAGTCTTCGAAGCCGATGGGAGACTTGGCCTTGTCCTTGTTGTCGAAGACGATGGTCACCGAGGCCTTTGTGACACCAGCCTGGCCACGCTTGTAGATGAGGTCCTGCAGGTTCTGGGCGCGAACCGTCGTCATATTCGTGATGCCGAGGACGAAACATATCGCATCGAGAATATTGGACTTGCCACTACCGTTTAGACCGGTGATGGAGTTGAAGCTCTCGTCCCTTTGCGCAAGTCAGTCGTCTGTTCTGTACACAAGGATTGGCAGCGAGACATACCAGCCCGAGATGACTGTGCGCACGGCATACGACTTGAAGCCGTCAATGATGACTTCGATGACCCTCATCTTGTCGTTGCTGGCGCTGGGCCGCTTTGTGTGTTTGTTAAGTCAGAGTCGTTGTTTGCAACTTCTCTTGCTTGTTGTTTACTGACAGTTTGTTTATGCCCGACGCCGGGAGGCAACTGCAGCCGAATCACATGTCAAATCCGTCTCCACTTATGTCCTCTCCCACCGAGCACCTTTTACATCGCAGACAATAGCCAAATGCTGCTTTTCAATAGGTAGGCGCCTTCGGTAAGAGCCACTGCGTCTTCGACTCATTTTTCGCGTGAGCTTGGACATGCACTAGATTCTCACTGTCATGATGTTTGTATTGAGATAACAGCGCTCGGGTTACTGCGCGATTCGACATCAACATCATCATCTTTATTGTTCTTCTCGCTCCCAAACACATGCCTCCATTAATGAAGACTTGGCCGGCCTTTCAGTTCAAGAATCAGCTCTCCGACGATATCGTCGAGGACATGAAGACCACGATGGCCACCATGACAACTGTTATCAAGAGTAAACACACGGGCTATGCTCGCGCTGCAGCTTACAGAACGTACATCAACAGTATGCTGTCGTTGTATCGCGACCATCTACAAGACAATGAATGGAACAGGTCATGCTTGAAACTCTTTGCCAGAGCCGTAGTCGAGGTTGGCGAGACATATCGTCCCATTGGCCCATCAGTTCCACATGACCATGGCGCTCAATTCGATCCTCATGGGAACCGTTATTTTCAGCCTGCTCCTCAGTTCCGACAGACTCAAGATCAGCCTCAGTTCCTACCTCAATTACAGTCTCAGTTTGAACCATATCAGCCTCTCAGGGACCCTTTCCAGTACACGTTCCAGAATCAACAACCTCCCTTCCGACCGCCTTACATAATTCCTGGCGTCAACTGCTATTCGAACGCCTACATTGCCGCATAGGACTTCTGCATTCTGAACTACGTCCAAGCCAGTAAAAGGCCGCTTCAAGCCGTGTATGGCTTTGGCAGTGTTGTGGTTCACTGAATACTGAACCTTCATATTCCAAGTTGCTTAGAGGTCCCTCGTCAATACACCGTCATCGCTGAAGAATTTGGAGAACTCAAACTTGCAGGATTGAAATCACTCGTCGAGAAGTCATTCGCTGATCTCAGGATTGCTCGTAACTATCGCATCCTATACCAGGATCCTACTGGGACAGGAATGTTGCCAATCACGAATGACGACAACTACCGATCCGCTGTGGAGACCATGGTTACATCGGAAATGTTCGATCCCAGAGATGGATCCCACTTTCATGTCGTGGTAGACGAGGACGAAGCAAGTAAGAAGATCAAAGTTGGCAAGCGCCCCTTCACTAGAAACTGACCACAGGATCCTCCATCTTCGAGCGGTCCGTCCAAGAAACCTCGAGTTTGAACAAGACTAGGAAGACGAGAACCCGTGCACTCAAAGCCATTGTTCTTTCGAGGTCGGTTTTCCATATGTGTATCGCACCCTCGTCCTTTCCCGAATCTTCGTGATGAAAGTATCCGAGCTGTGACAAATACAACATCTGCCGAACTACCAACGAAATTTCCAGAGAGTAGCTCAAGAACATTCCCTTGCGGCCCGCGACGGTGCATCCATATGAACTAACATATTTCGACACGCAGCAAATCATCAAGTGAAGTGGGGAAAAAGATCAATTATAGCGCTCGTGTTGCGGTGACTGCATGCTCTAATCAACAAGCCCTTACTCTTCAGCCACAAGGTTCTGACCCTCACGCAGACCTTCAACCACCAACTCGTGGCCCTCTGCTCTTCTGTACACATCGCGGATATCGTCTGTTTTTCGAGGTTAGCACTCGCTATACTCACGATTCTCTGGGTGTCGATCTTACCTGTGGTGGTCTCAAAGTGACTGGTGGCATCGTAAGATCTTGAAATGAAGATGTTGTCGTTGTTTCCGCTCTCGAGGGGCTCGTAGATGGGGATAGGGGGGCCCATGAACTTCTCCTCGATCTTGCCGAGGCGGTCAAATCCGGCTTGCAGCTCGAGGTGGTGGTTGCTGTTGCCCTCGGCGATGGTGGAGACGATGGCGATGTAGTAGCCCTTGGGTGCAACATTGTGTGCCCATGAAACCATGGCGACATATACGTCTTTACTTTGTTAGTCACAATGTCTGCCTGCTGCGTCTTCGTGTCTGCCTTACCGTGCTTTCTGCCAATCTGGGACTGAGGAATGATGAGTTGGACAGAGTCTGAGTTGTCCGTCTTCTCAATCGGGTGGTTCAAGATGCAAATGGCCTTCAGAAGGTGGCCGATGGGCTTGACCTTGCTGGGGAAGTATGAGGGGTCTGCCAGAATCTTGCTGCACTTTGTTGTGAAGGTCATGCCCTCGCCCTCTTGATCGCGCTCCTTCATGGTTGCCTTGATACCAACAGCCTTGCCGTTCTCGTAAAGAACCTCGTCAACATCGGTGTTGAGCATGTAGGTACCTCCGTAGATGGCACTGAGACGAGCGAAACCCTGGGGAAGTTCACCCAGACCGTACAGGGGGTAAATGTAAGGCGACTTTCCGTATCTTGCCATCGAGTTTGCGTAAAGTCTGATGCGTTCAATGGCGTCCTTGACAGCGCCCTTCTGGTTGATGTATTCGTCGGTCGTGAACAGAGCCATGCTATGGCCGACCAAATCCCTCGTTGAAGCCTCCAGACCGAACTTGTCGTAGACCTCCTTCATAGTAACTTGGTTCAGGTTCATGCCTGTGCCACATGTCAGTCCAGCTTTCCTGCCAACACACATGTTCTGGCGTACCGTTGTGAGTAGCGGGGTCCTCCTCCTTGTATGCGCTAACAAACTCCAGGAACTTCTTTGCTCTTCTCTTCTCAAACAGACCCATCAGAGGGCTGCGGAGAGCCTCCGAGGCATCCGAGGGGACCTTTGCGACGTTGGCCTTGTTGCCAGAGCCAGTCTGAACGTAACTGCCGGCAATCTGCTTGAACTCGAGGTATCTGGTGACGTCGGTCGAGACGAGGATGTTTGTGAGTTCTCCATTGGACATGAGGAGTTTGGGAACAAGGTCGATGTTCCAGTCGTTGGGGCGGCCGTACTTCTTCCATGGCTCGCTGCCGTTGTCGTTGCCGTACTTCTTGAAGAGCTGTTTCTTGTGAGTTTGACGCGACGAGAAGATGATCGAGAGAGTCATACGGCTTCGATATTGATAGACGCGGCCTCACTGTGCAGAAATTAGCATTACAGTCCAAGCCGTGAGAAGAGGAGGGGTACTCACCCGCCGTAGTGATCGTTACGGTCGATGTGCAGGACCTTCTTGCCCTTGACACTCAGTACACTAGCAGTCCATCAGTATCTAATTCCTTGATCCAGATATCACGAAGTGCTGACCCTGAGAGCACACACTCGGTGAGACCTTAATCGCGCTTGTTAGTTCTCTTGACCGCTATAACATGAATGCGGGGTTGCGATACCTGTGCCAAGCACAACAACATCGTATTCGGGGGCAATGTCCTCCATGGTTGCGTACGGAAGAGAGATATGGGAGGCGGAAAGTGTTCTGGAAGGATGCAAGAAGTTGACCAGGCGGTAGATGGTCATGGAAGTTGAGCGAGAGAGCGAGGCGGGAAGCTCCCTCTGGTGACGTGGGGTCGCTTTCGTGAGATTAACAAGGGGCTTGGCCAAAGCCTCGATAGTAATAAACCATGGACATTTCTTGCAACATTATATTGACTTTGGTTTCATTCGTTTTCCATTTACATTTTGTTGTACAACTCGTCATAATAAACTCGCCCCTGATCTGCTCTACTGCTCTACACCCGCGTCTCCTGCTGTGTCTTGATTTGCTCGGGAATGACTTGTGATTGAGCCTCTGGCGGAGGCAATTGTCCATCTTGCTGTGCTGATACTGTCTCTTGAGGCTCTTCGTACTTCTGTGCCATGGTCAGTTCTCGTTTCGGGACTCGCATGCTGCACGACTTACCTCGAAAGCATCCTGATCAGGAGTATAAGACGGCTCTCCAGGATCGGGGTAGAGGTTGACACTAGGGTCTTGCTCAGCAAGCATGCGGGCATCCTCCCAAGCGTACCAGCGCTCAGTCAGAACGTGCTTGATTGCCCTTTGAGTGAGCTTGACCTATACAGGCATTAGAATTATTTGTCTCCATGTACGGCCTTGTACGTCGCCTACCTGAGTCTCTCTTTCTTCGGCTTCGAAATCACCGTATCCAGCCTTTGCCTTTGCTCTTGCGTATGACTCGGTAGCAAGTCTGTTTCTTTCCCTGACACACACCCACCACAACCTGTGCAAATCCTCAAAGTCCTTTGCTCTCAACTCTTGAGTAGTCCAAGCTCGACCGTGGTTGTTGTCATACTCTGGTGTTGCGAAAGGGAGTCTGTCGCGATTGAAGAAACCCCAGAGCCCATGGTCCGGGTCTACATCGATCTCTGAGCGCTGTGTGATGTCCGTAACGGGCTTGGGCAAGTCCTTGACCTTGACTGAGAGGGTCTGGCGAGGGCGAAGTCCAGTACGACGAAGAGCTGATACACCTCTGTTTCTGTTGCCGTCGCGACGAGCAGCTGCTGGGCTCGAGGTCGAGAACGACGAAGTGAAGAGAGACGGGAGGAGGAAGGCCGGTGGTAGGCTCGACTGGCGGATTTGCAAGCCCTGCGAGAAGAATCTGGACGGGACCGACATGGCGAGTGCTGTGAGAGAGTGGATTGGCAGACCGTAGTCTCTGTATTGCGTGGATGCCCTGTCGCGCGGTGCAGGCGATGGGTGAATTAACATTTCCAGCTGGGCGCCCTGCACGCCAAGCCCGTTCTTTTGCGGCCCTTGCACCCACGCTCCGCAGACTCTCCCATTCAGCTCTATATCCGCTGCGCAAGGTCGAACAGATGCCTTGACTACCTGCAGGCGTCAGTCCATGTCAGTTTGTCTGGCTCATCTGGAATAGATCGTTGGAACTCGATGAATTCCGGTGACCATTGCTTTGCATACCCTATCAGTGTGCTGAATCTAGAATGCTTCTAGCTGCAGAGATGCACAATTGCTTCTAATCTAGGGTCACGGATATCATGCGTGTCAATCCAGAGCGAGACGTTGGTTTGTGTGCGAGCATCGTCTCTTGATGAATTGTTCTCTTGAAGGAACAAAACGACAATCAAGAGATAGCACCTGGGAGAGGCACGAGACATGGAGTAGAGGACGACGGCTGTGCGTGGAACATGGAGCAATTGAGACAGCAGGGCAAACATGCATAGGTAAGGCATGAAGTATAGCGTTACCTGGACCAGACCAGGCAGAAGGCATGACAATCAAATGGTAAATGCGAATAATGTTTGTCCAGAGTCTTGGACGCATGCGGCATGTGGAAGGACGAAAGTCAACCGCAAGCGGCCAATCACATGGGTTCCGCAAGGCGTTGCAAGTCGAAGCGTGAGGGTCGAGCTGGCGGCTCGTGTGAAGAGTAAAAGGCAGAGCAAGCACCTTGACCTTTACATACCCCTCCCCCTCCCGACCCCTTCACCTCCGCCGCCCTCTTCCTCTCCCTCCCTCGTGCTCTCGCTCTCTGCTGCACACGCCTTCTCTCCGTCTGTCCCGTGCGCTGTCTTGTTTACATCTCTTTCTGCCTCGTCGGACTGAGCTCCTTCCCCGTACGTATGCAGAAGCGACGGCTTGCTTGCTGGCTTTGTTCGCGCCTGCTAATCGTGAATAAACAAACAGTCGCACCCACCAAGACTGTCTCGTCTTCACTTCCTCGTCGACCTCTTAGTCCATCTACCACACAACAAACCTCATCCCGCGTCTTGTCCTCGAACCGCCTAGCTCCTCGCGACTCGTCATTCATCGGCCGACCTCTATCTCAACATGTCTTCCGACGAACAGCACATTGATGCCGCCCTCGACGGCCTGAACCTCGAATCAAACAACGAGGACATCCAGCGTACCGAAGAAGAATACGCCCAAGCTCAGCTCACCCTCAGAGCTATCGTCTCCTCTAAGGAAGCAGGCGTCATCATTGGAAAACAAGGCGCCAATGTCGCTGAGCTCAGAGACTCCACTGGAGTCCGTGCCGGTGTCAGCAAGGTCGTCCCCGGTGTCCACGACCGCGTCCTGACCGTCCTCGGTCCTCTTGAGGCCGTCGCTTCCGCCTACGGTCATGTCGCCGACGGCTTGCTCAAGGGTGTCCCTCAGTTGGGCATGGGCGGCGTCGCCTCTAACCCCAACACTCACCGTAAGTTCTTTCGCTGCTGCTCTGCTGCCTCGACTAACTGTCCCTAGCCGTCCGTCTCCTGATCTCCCACAACCAGATGGGCACCATCATTGGTCGCCAGGGCCTCAAGATCAAGCAAATCCAGGACGCTTCCGGTGTTCGCATGGTCGCCCAGAAGGAGATGCTCCCCCAATCCACCGAGCGCATTGTCGAGATCCAGGGTACTCCCGACGGCATCCAGAAGGCTGTCTGGGAGATCGGCAAGTGCCTCGTCGACGACGAACAGCGTGGCTACGGAACCATCCTCTACAACCCTGCCGTCAGAGTCTCCGGCGGCGAGGGCGCCCCCGCTCGCAACGGCTCTTCCTACCCCCAGGGTGGTCGCTCTTACAACCGCACTGGCAACGGTACCGACTTCAGCGACGCCCCTGCCGCCTACACTCGTCGCGACTCTGCTCCTCGTGGTCCCGCCCCCATCGCTGCCGAAGATGACGAAGACATCCAGACCCAGAACATCAGCATTCCCGCTGACATGGTTGGCTGCATCATTGGTCGCGGTGGCAGCAAAATCTCCGAGATCCGCAAGAGCTCCGGTGCTCGCATCTCCATCGCAAAGGCCCCTCACGACGAATCTGGCGAGAGAATGTTCACTATTACTGGATCCTCAAGCGCCAACGAGAAGGCCCTTTATCTGCTTTACGAGAACCTCGAGGCTGAGAAGATGAGAAGAAGCCAGATGCCCTCTCAGGATGCTTAGTTCGCCCGCGTCTCGGCACCCACTCGTGCTTGATCACTTGCACAAGGATCCGTTTCCTCCTGTTTCCCAGAAATTCTCGGTCACCATCATGACGCGCCCTTAATCCTCCATCGCCTATAGTTGCTCGCCACGACAACTAATTTCTCCAACCTCGATACTCTTTTCTTACCTTCTTATCCCCGACATCCCTTGTATGTGGCCGCTTCTTCCTTCTCCCGAGGGTGCACCAGTCACTGCCTCATCCGATGACGATTTGACGAAATTCACTTTTCTTTTTTCGGCTGCAACAAAATCAAGCCATTCCCGTATACCAAACCGGCCTTCTACCCTTTTGACTCACTCGGATGGAAACATTTGCATGAGTTTGGATGAGTTTGGCTGGAGTAGATGGTGATCCAGGGATGGACTTGCATTTTCCCTTTTCGCATGCGGAGGCAATTGCTTCGATTATAGCTCGATACCATTTCTATACTTTCATGTAGAAAAAACAAGTCATTCCCAAAGGGAGAATGCTGCTACACTCATATTAAGATTCCCCTTCAATCGTCTTTGTGATTCATTGTATGACCTGTCGGCACGCTGCATGGCACAGAGCGACTTCGTGTACATGACGGCTTTCGAAACATGAACCGCCCCATGATCTGTCTACCACACCACTTCTCTCTCTATCGGAGAGGTCTTCACCCTCGGTGACTATGTTGACTAACAATCACTAGGATGAACGCTTCTCATCTCCCGCCCAGAGTTCGCAGTATTCCGTCTGGTCACTGAATGTCTTCTTGTGATCCGTCTGTCTTGACACCATTTCCCAAATCTCAGACATTGGAAACACAAAAGCTTGACCATCGCAGCGATTGCATGGCACTTTTTATTTATTTATTTCTTTTTCTTTTTTTTTTTTGAAAAAGAGTATTATTTTCGAGCCCATCTGTCGAGTTTTTTTTGTTGAAAATATCTGGATCCCCATGCTCTTAGTGGTGAGGAAAAGCGGTTTCATTGGTGGGGGAAGTGTGCCTTGTGAAAGGGGGGGATGACCCTGAACTGGGGAGATGCTATATACCGATGACGTCAATAGGGTACGCATATCAAATTCGTCTTTGGGAACAAAGGCCAAACTCTGATATGACGACACAGCGTAAAGAAGTGTACAAGAGACTAAACCATGTGGTTAGATAACTACTCTATTAAAACAAAAAACCGGTCTCTATTACACAATATACACTTCGCGGAAAGATCGAACAGAGAACAAATACAAAGTTTCGAGAAACCCCATTGGATACAAATAACAAACGACACAAGGATAAACACAAAGAGAGAACGACCAAAGACTCTTCCACTTCCTAACCCAAGACACGACCTGCAGTAGACGAAGTACTCCTATCCTTCGTTACCGTCTTCTTGAGCCCCTTGCCTAGTTGAATCTCTCCTAGCAGACCGGAAATGTTAGGCGCGCCACCTTTTCCTGCTGCCGGTGCAGAAGGCATAGGAGGTGGTGGGGGCGCACCGCCTGAAGGCATAGGAGGCGGAGGAGGAGCACCACCAGTAGGCATGGGAGGTGGAGGAGGAGCACCCATAGAAGGCATGGGAGGTGGAGGAGGAGCATCCATAGAAGGCAATGGTGGCGGCGGTGGAGGAGCGGGGGGAGCGACACCGCCATCAGGCGCGGGAGTCGGAGGTCCGGCATCGAGGGTTGGTGGAGGAAGTGGTGGCAATGCGGTAGGGATTGCAGGTGAGCTTGAGGCGGGTGAGTTGTTCTCCATGGATGAGAGAGGGCGTGGGGGTGCCATGGTGCCGAAGAGCATCGAGGCAAGCTGTTTGGCGCTGCCGCCTGTAGGCGCGTCGTCGTCTTCATCGGAGGACTCGGAGTCGACTACGGACCAGTCGTCATCATCGGCGGGCTTGATCGTACGACGAGCCGACGGTGCAGCAGGCTCGGGCAAGGCAGTCTTGCCAGAGTCCTGTGCAGTGAAACGATGGAAGGGATTAGTCGAGGCGGCATCGCTAGCAGCGGGAGATGCAGCGGACGCAGAGGGAGCCGTGGGCTGGTTCATGCTTCTAAAGAACGGATTCTTCGACTCCTCAGGGGGACTGACAACGGTGGTGGGCATTGGTGGAGGGGCAGGAGCGCTCGGTGGTGCGGGTGCGGCCTCTGTTGGAGCTGCAGGAGACACTTCCCTCTGGAGCTCCTGGCTGGCAGCGGGTGTGCTTTCCATCGGAGTGATAGTCTGTGGACCATCATCGTCGTCCGAGCTATCGTCTATGCTTTCAAGCTGCAATTGCAACTGTCTCTCTCTTTCTTTCGCAGCTTCGATTTCTGCACGTTGAGCGGCAAGACGAGATTCCTTCTCTTCGGCCTCCTTGGAAGCTGCTTGTCTCTTCTTCTTTTCTTCTGCCTTCTTGAGCTTGCCCTGACGAACTTGCTCTTCAAGTGCACGGAGACGTTCAGCAGCAGACTCGCGCTCTTTGCGGAGCTCTTCTTCCTGACGACGTTCCTCGTCTTCAAGTCCCCTAGTCTCTGATGCCTGGGCGGATTGCTGTTCCCTGATCGCTTGCTCCTTTTGTTGTTGCTCGAATCGCTGAGCTTCAGTCTGAGCCTGTTGCTCTTCTTGCTTGCCGACAGAGTCGCCGCGGTTCTTGCGAGGTGCAGGGGCAGGTGGGGCCTTCTTCCCAAGAGGCTTTTCAGCACTTGGAGGTGCAATGCTTTCGCCGGCCAGTCTCTGCTGTCTCTCCTCTTCTCTACGCGCATCTTCCTGTTCCGCCTGGCGCAAGCGGTCTTCGCGTTCCTTGCGCTCACGTTCTTGACGCTGCTGTGCAGACTCGCCAGGCTTCGTAGGGGCTCTAAGGCCCAGAGCGGCAAGACGTTCAGCCATGCGTTGCTCAGCTTGTTGTTTAATGAAGGTAGCACGGTCTTCTGCGGTCTTGTAAGCATTGTAAGAACCTCCACGAGGGGTCTCGCTCCTAGCGACGGGGCTCTCAACGCGAGAGCTACTGCTGTTACGGCCGACTTCTTCGGTGCGAGGTGACGCAACGCGATCACGAGGGTTCTTGTTCCTGTTGTGTGTTAGATTGAGGGGTATAGAGCTGGCTAATCAACTTACTCGTCCTTTCTGATGCGAGTGGTTCTGCTGCTGCGCTGCATATCGAAGATGAAGTCCTTAACCTCGTCCTCAACACCGAGTCCATCTTCCCATCGTCTTTTCTCGTGCTCAGTAGCCGCATCTTCAGATCCTTCCTTGAGACTAGACTCGATGGTTCTACTGAATTCGTTGACCGAATCCTCAACCTCACGCACCATTCTCTCGTTCTCTTCTCTTTCGAGACGGACGCGGTTACTTTCATCCTCAAGTCTCTTAGCGGCACCTGCACCATCGTCTCCAGAAGCAGCGGCTGGAGCGGGCTTGCCGGTGAGTGCAGCTGAACGTGCTTGCATCATGGCTCTAGCTCTTGCCTTGAGACGATCCGACTCTGTTACAGCACCACCAGGGCCAGTACCGACGATAGCCGGAGCAGAGCTTGGGTTAGCTTTAGAATCCTTGAGACGGAATAGTTCTAGCTGTGCGTCGGCAATGGCTCTCTCGCAGCGTCTAACATGAGAAGCCAGCTCAGGCAGGCGGTCTGACAGTGTCTGAAGTTGTCTCTTGAGTGTTCTACGTTCAGCATCAGAGTCGGTAGAACGGAAGCCAGAGTTCGGGTGCCCATCGATATCTTCTTGAATGCGACGAATGCGTCTGTAAAGATCATCGGCCTCCTTACGGTCCTTGCGATCGAGAGCATCCTCCTCATCGGCCCTACCCTCGTCTTCAAAGTCCATGGCATCGAGAAGGACCTGTTTCTCACGGATGGCCTTTTTCAGTTGATCGACAGACATTTCGTCAACAGGCTTTTCTTGGGCAGGAGAAGCGGTACGCCCAGTATCGCCTGTACGACGACGCGCAGACGAGCGGTAACCAACATCCTCGTCGTTGTTCTTGTAAACGGTGGCATCCTTGCGAGGTCCGGCAATGCTGGCACCTGCACCAGCGAAAGAGTGATTCTTCAAGTAGCTCACACCAGTCTTCTGAGGTTGCAAGAAAGCGCCTGTGCTTCTTCTCGATTGTGCATCCTGAGAGAGATGCGACTTCATGGTTCCGATGGCATCGTTGAGGTTTCTAGTGGAAGGAGGTACAAGCTCGGCAGGAAGCTTAGCGGGCACAGGGTAGCCGTTCAGTCTGCGGTAAATCAAATGCATGGCCACAGCAAACTCATCGAGATTGAGTTTGCCCCTGTTGTGGGGGTCAGACAAGGTCCAGATGGCCTCGAGATCATTCTTTTCCAGACCACTCTGGCCGAAGATCTCGATAGCTGTTGCACCACTAATAGCACCTCTGCTCAGACCATCCCATGCCTTGAACATGTCATCGTAGATCTTCTTCTCGTCCTTTGTGATAGCCCATGGAACGGTGGCATTACCACGGAGACCAGCAGTGCTAAAGCCAGTCTCACGACCAGGCTGAGGCATCATCTGCTGTTGGAGGGCCTGCAAATTGGGCAGACCAGAAGCTGGAGCATTAACAAGGCCCCATTGACCAGGGCGACCAGTGGGCTGTGCGTTAAGAGGAGCCATGGGGTAACCAGTAGCTTGAGGAGTCAGGCCTTGACCAAAGCCGGTGGGCATTGGGGGCATAGGAGGACGGGGACCATTGTAGCCAGTGGACTGAGACTGAAAGCCCGTCTGTTGAGATTGTAGGCCAGTCGGTTGCGGTTGGAAAGGCTGAGATTGATAACCGGTCTGCTGGGGTTGGAAGCCTGTGGGTTGAGGAGCCAGCTGAGAGAGGAGCTGGCTGCTGGAAGGTTGAGGCTGAGGAGCCTGGATGGTGGGTACATCAGGGAAGCTGGGAGCGTTTGTGGAGGGGAGCGATGCAGGTTGTGCGTCAGCGACACCGAACGAGATGATGTCGACCATGCTAGAGACCTCATTTCTGACTCTTTCGGGCAGCTGAGCAGGCAGATCCTTTCCGGTAAGCTTCAGGTTGCACAGATACATGGACAGGGCGAACTCGGGGAAGAGCAGTTGGCCAGACTTTGTCGTATCGGAAAGCATCCAGATTTGCGACAGGGCATCACCGGGGAGCTTTGAGCGGAGGAGAAGGTCCTTGGCCTTGTCGCCGGAAAGAGCCTGGTCATTGCCGACGGCAGACTTGAAGAGCTGCTCAAACTTGGACTGGTCCTGGGCGGTGATGAAGGACAGACGGATGTTCGGAATCTTGGACGAGGCAGACGAGGACTGCTGAGGCTGAGGCTGGGGCTGCTGCTGAGCAGGCGTGGAGCGGAACGAGTCTGCTATTTGGGACGACGTCATGCCCGTGGGCTGGGGTTGCTGTTGAGGAGCAGCGGTCTGCTGCTGCGGCTGCTGTTGTTGCTGTTGCTGCTGGGGAGGGTAGCCGGTATATTGGGGCATGAGACCTCCTGGGTACTGGGACTGCTGAGGCTGCTGTTGCGGAGGGAGATAACCAGTGGCCTGAGGCTGGAGCGATTGCTGCTGCTGCATGGGCGGCATGCCGGTGTATTGCGGTTGCATGTAGCCCGTGGGCTGAGGGCCGAAGCCGCTGAAGTTCTGCTGTTGTGGTTGCTGGCCATATTGCTGCTGGCCGGGGCGGCCCTGGTTGGCGCCGCCCAAGAATGAATTGGAGCCCGAGAACATGGTCGTTGAGCGTCGCGTGTGTAGGAGAGTCGCGGACGCGGGAGTCGAGATTGGGCCGCTGCTACTATCGCTGCTCCTCGTGGCATCTGCGGAGAGTCGCGGTCCACCTGCGTCCATGCACTGCACTGCCAAGCCAATTCTCCAGCTGCGTCATTGTCGACGCTTTCTAGCATGTGAGAGCGCCTGCCCTGAACTCTCGCCATACAATCCACCACACACCACAGTCATCATGCCGCCGAAACAGAACGGAGAGACCGAGCACGACTTGCAGGATGCAGACTTTGCAAAGGTGCGACATGACTAGGAGTCATGCTCACGTCCACTTCTAACAGAGTCCACAGGCATTCCAGGAGCTCAACCGCGGCGAACAGACTGCCAGTGCTCTCGAGAACCATCTGGCCGCCCTTGAGGCAAAGATAGATGAGCTTCTTGCTGCGACTGGCCAACAAGATCATTCACAGTCTTCATCTTCTGGATCCAGCTCTACATCACAGAACTCATCGGGCCAACAAGCCTCATGATTCGTGCCTCCGTCATAGGCAATCCACAAACAACTCTCCTCTAGCTTGCTTCGAACAAGGGACTCGTACCATCGAGGAGACCTGGCCTGTACGGCGGCTTGTAATCCGATGACCATGATGTCGCTCGTAAATTTCATGTATACATATATAAAGAGCTTGGTCTATGTTGACTCTGCACGCGTATGGGTATCATTTGTCGCCAATCAAAGGCCACCGACAGTTGTGGGCTTCACTTCAGAGCCCGAGGCCGCAAAGATGTCCTCGAAATGGAACACTCCATCTGAGCCCTTCTCCACCACTCCCTTCTCAGTCACCACTCCATCAATCAACTCTGCCGGTGTGACGTCGAATGCTGGGTTCCATACGTCGATACCGTTGGCCGCGATGCTGACCGTCTCGATCTGCTGCAAATCAAGAGAGGCCCCCTTGAAGACAGGTCCCTTGATCATGGTCATTTCCTTGCCTGCTCTCTCCTCGATCACAATATCCGCTCCAGACTTGGTCTCGAGGTCGATGGTTGTTCGTGGTGCTGCCACCAAGAACTTGACTCCATGGTGCTTGGCCAAGATTGCAAGCGAGTAGGTACCAATCTTGTTGGCAGTGTCTCCGTTGGCGGCCACGCGGTCAGCTCCAACCACGATTGCTGCAATGTTCTCGGTAGGTCCCTTCAGGCGGAGTAGTGCAGCAGCCATCGAGTCAGTGACAAGAGTTGCGGGAATCTTATCGTGCACCAACTCGAAAGCAGTCAAACGCGATCCCTGATTGTAAGGTCTGGTCTCGCTGCAGAAGGCTCTCTTCAGCGATCCTCTAGCGTGCACAGAGCGAATGACTCCCAGAGCGGTACCGTAACCAGCAGTCGCCAAAGATCTTGTCAAGAGTTAGCACAAAGGTTAGAGTGCTCTACACAACTCGAGACTCACCCAGTGTTACAGTGAGTCAAGATGCTGACTTGATCCTTGCCTCCAGCAGCATTCTTGAGGATCCAGTCGGCACCGTTCTCACCTATAGCCTTGTTGTCCGAGACATCGTCGACCAGCATTTGCTCAGCAGCCTCAACGTATGCGTTCTTGACAGAAGTGCCTGAAGCATGCTCAGCTTTGGCAGCATTCTGCACAATCTTTTGCAGCTTTCTGGCAGCATCTGCCAAGTTTACGGCGGTTGGTCTGCTAGTGACGAGATACTCAAGCTTTTCCTTGGTAAAAACTTCCACTTCTTCCGCAAAGCTCGACAACTCGTTCTTTCCTGCAATGAGTTCGAGTTCGACGGCCAAACCAAGCGCAGCAACAATAGCGATGGCAGGAGCGCCGCGAGTTCTCATCTCCTTGATGGCGTGCCATGCATCCTGAGCAGACTTGACCTCATTGTAGACTTCGGTGTGAGGCAGCTGGAGCTGGTCCAGAATGTCTAGCTTGCCGCGACTGTATTTGATTGCTTCAAGGACCATGGTTGATGTGATTGATATTCTGTAAACGGATGAATGGCGCAAGTGCTAAATAATTTCTCCCCACCAAAGTGTTGATTTCTGCCCCGCTGAAGAGCTTTGGCCATGATGCCTTCACTGTCACTTTGTGTTGCCATCGTGATAGCATCCAGAAGGATATGGTCCCACTTGCTCAACCTTACTTCTGCGTAGTGTCGTCATGATTCTGTAGCTAGCTCCAGTATTTGTTGACCCCTCATGCATAGCTACGAGCACATGTCGCCTCTCCACCGTCTTTCAGCACTCTCAAACCAACTACTCGGTTCTAAACAGCTTCAGCATCGCGCGTACACCATGTCTTCCCAATTCACCCTCCAGACCACCCTTCCTCTGCCGAATTCGTCGGTCAAGATCCCCGCTCTCGGTTTCGGTGTTTACCAGTCGCACGGCCCTACCTGCAAGACTTCGTGTTTGACCGCCCTTGAGGCTGGTTACCGCCATATTGACAGCGCACAATACTACGCCAACGAGCAGTTGGTTGGTGATGCTGTCAAGGAGTCCAATGTCGACCGCAAGGATGTGTTCATCACCACTAAGATCCTGAGCCCTGGCAAGGATGAGGAGGAGACATACCAGTCACTCGTTGAGAGTGTGAACAAGATTGACAATGGCGGTTACGTCGATTTGTTCTTGATCCACAGCCCTAGCTCTGGTCCTCAGGGTAGAAAGACCATGTGGACTGCTCTTGAGAGACTGCACAAGGAGGGCAAGGCAAAGGCCATTGGTGTCAGCAACTTCGGCAAGGGTCAGATTGAGGAGCTGAAGTCGTTTGCTCAGGTTTGGCCGCCGCATGTCAACCAGATTGAGGTGTGTTAGAATGCAGACGTACGATTGGTCCATGCGTCGCTAACATCTTATACAGCTGCACCCCTGGAACCAGCAGCGCGTGGCTGTAGAATTCTGCCAAGCCAACAACATTGTCGTTGAAGCCTACTGCCCCCTAGTCCGCAACCAGAAGGCCGACGACTCGACACTCAAGTCGCTCGCTGAGAAGTACAAGAAGTCGACTGGTCAGGTCTTGATCCGTTACTGCTTGCAGAAGGGATGGGTGAGCTACTACTGTCCTTCCGTGTCTTGGATTGAATGCTGACATGTTCTTTCAGGTTCCTTTGCCCAAGAGTGACACTCCCAGCAGAATAAAGGAGAACGCAGACATCTACGACTTTGAGATTAGCAAGGAGGACATGACCAAGTTGGACGACCTGGATCAAGGTGCCGATGGTGCCATCGTTCAGGCTGTAGACAATTGAAAAGCGCATCATCTGCCACAAGCAGTAAAAGGAGATTAGACTTTTAAACAACATGCATAGCGACAGCAGCATGGCTGTTTTGTTACAGCTGCAGGAACAAAAAACGCCGTGTTCCGTCCAAGCGTGGAGAACGAGAAAGCCAAACTCCTGTCCCTTTTTGGTGGTTTCAGATGTCGTCCACTGCTCAAACCGTCGCGATGAGACCACGATTATGTACATGTTGCTGTGAGGCATATTCCTCATGTTTACTTTTTGCGACGAGTAGCTCAAATATAGATCAGCATCATCCATCTCGCAAGTTTGATGACATCTCGGGAAAGGTGCGCCATAAACTTTACCTCCACATGTGCGATACGAAATAAGCGGGTATCTCTGAACTGCGCCGCAGCTTGTCAGCTTGGCTTCCAGGTTCCCTTTACCTCGAGCTAAAGCAGCCATGGCTTGCGTCGGACTGCTGCTTGACAATCATGGTGCGTTGATCTGTTCCTTGCAAAGCTGATTGTTCTTCATGTGAAGAGCAGCTCAACGTCTAGATAGGTAGGCCCGCCGGTTCACAGATTGAGCTGCGATCTAGAATCTAAAGCGAACGGTCCCTGTTGTACTAATTTCGGCATCCCGCACGCCCGTAAATTGGCCGACTGCTTGCCTTTTTTGGTGGGGAGGATCCTCACGTTTTTTTCCCAGCTACTTTGTACCCACGGTTTTTGACTTTGCTACCACATTGGTCCGCACCACCCGGTAAGCACGAGGTAAGACGTTTAAGGTCATCAGCCATTTCCCTTCGTATCGCCTAGATAGGAAAACTCTATGCGGGTGAGTGAATAATCCCTCCCACAAGCAAAAAGGTAAGGGAGACCGATCAAAAAGCCACTGTGGTCCACCCCTCCAAAAAGCTTCTCGTATTGCCCTTCCTTTCCCCTTGCTTCCTGATATTGTGCGGCTCTGGTAATGTTATAATTTGGACCTGAACCTTGCTCTTCGAAATCGAGTCCTCTCCACATCTCTCACTCTTTCGCTCTTTCTTCTACAACACATCCAAAAGCAACAACTTTCGTGCGACGCAATATTCTTTGTTTACGCTTCTGGCCAAGAACCAAAAGTGGAAGTGCAACGCAAGGGACATGGGCCAGGATCTGTTGAACGAGAAGACGGAGCAGAACGCGCCACTGCTATTACCAGACGAATATGAACAAGACGTCAGTGACAGTGAAAGTCTACACAACGAGGAAATGGCAGTAGAAGCGTCAAAAGTATCATCACTGCATCCTGCATTCTTCATAGCGTAAGCACATCAGCCCCTATAAGCGACGCCTGCACATCTCAACAGTCAAGCTCACACGTGATGTCTGCAGATTATGGATTGGCATGAGCTCTCTAGTCATTCTCTTCAACAAATGGATCCTCGACAGTGCAAAGTTTAGATATCCCATCTTTCTTACAGCATGGCATATGTTTTCGTCGGCGTTGGTTACACAGATCATGGCTCGCTGGACTGGATATCTCGATTCAAGACATGCGGTCCCTATGACGAAACGAACCTACATTCGCGCTATTCTCCCTATTGGTCTATTATTCTCTCTTTCTCTGGTCTGCGGCAACGTCACCTATCTCTACCTTAACGTCAGCTTTGTCCAGATGCTCAAGGCCGCAGCTCCTATTGCCGTATTACTCGCAACCTGGATGTTCCGCCTCCAAGAACCCTCTTTATCCGCTTTCGGAAACATTTGCATCATTGTGGTTGGTGTAGTCATTGCATCTCTCGGTGAAGTCAAGTTCAACGGCCTGGGAGTCGCGTACCAAATGATGGGCATTGTGTTTGAAGCCACCAGACTGGTCATGATTCAACGACTTTTGTCTGCAGAATTCAAGATGGATCCTCTGGTCTCGCTATACTATTTCGCACCCGTCTGTGCTATCACAAACGGTATTCTTGCACTGGTATTTGAGGCACCGCAGATGACTTGGGGAGACTTTGAGCGTGTGGGCCTATTCACTCTGCTCCTAAACGCAGCAGCGGCCTTCCTCTTGAACTTTGCCTCTTTGCTTTTGGTACGTCTTTCACAATCCTCACAAGCATCATGAAACTCTCGAAAAACTAATGACATCCCCACAGATTGGCAAAACCTCCTCTCTCGTCCTCACCCTCTCTGGCGTATTCAAAAACATCATGATCGTCTTTGCCTCCATGCTCTTCTTCCACGACCCAGTTTCTGGAATCCAATTCTTCGGCTTCTCAGTCGCATTGGGAGGACTCGCATACTATCAACTTGGTGGTGCACCGGCAGTACGCGGCTTTTACGGACAAGCAGTTACCAAATTCTCGGATTATAGGAGACCGAGTGAGGCGGATCCTGTTTCTGCTGTTGAAGCGCAGGAAATGAGTCCCACGAGAAAGAGCAGTGAAGAGGTTCCTCAGGAGTTGGGGGTTAAGAATGCTTGATTGTGGTGGATACACTTGAGAGCAGTTTTTTCTGTATATAATGTTTAGAATTCCTTGAAGAGGTTGTAAGTGTCTGAATGTGTGTGATGGTGTGATATTGCACCTTTGATCCCCTTTTCCTGGTGCCCATATCAAGACATCTCAGCCGAGCAAATCCGTTCCAAAAACAACATATCGTTATCATTAGAGGCTGAGATCCGCCTCCAAAAAAAGGGAGAGTTACGAAAACAGCTTCAACGGTGCTTTTCGGCGGTCGCGATTCCGCCTATCATCTCAACGGTGCGAGACAAGCAAAACGTTTCTAGGAAGAATCATGATCCATCGCGTCTGCGCCGTTTGTTAATCCCGCCAGACCGGGTAATGGCGTCTGTCCTGTGGAAGTATGGTTTCAGTAATAGATTTTGGGTTAGAGGAATGTGTTGATGCTGAGGGGGGGGGGGGGGGGGGGGGGGGTTGATCGGGGATAAACAGAAATGATTGAATGGCGATGATGGGACTCGATGGTCGTCAGGTCTGGTGACTAGGAGTGCTTATGAAGAGGGTGATTGATGTACTAAAATTGCCCGAGTAGTCGTTGCATGCGTGAGCAAAGATGGCAGGTCAGTTGCGTAGCTACAGGGTAGTTAGTGGTGGAAACCAAGGCCTGAACATGCTCATCACAATGCATGCTATTGAACGTGAAGGGTGAACCCCAAGTTTGATCCATGAGCTGGTTGCTGTGCTAGAATGTCTGAGAGTGGTCGGATTCGAGGATAGAAATCAAATGTATGGTCCGTCAATTGTCGTACAGGAAGGGGGTGTGTGGGTGAACACAAGTGTATATTGTTCGTAAAATCGTAGCTATTCCTTAGTCGGCAAGAACTAGACAGCATTTGTTTCCACCGCAGCGTAAGGGCGTTTGCGATAATGATGGTATTTAACACACCAGAGTAGATCAGTGGGATGAGGAACACGAGACTGTATTTCTATCAGCATCGAAGCAAAACTCTCGGAAGCAAGCATGAACTCACAGAAAGATTCCAGAGACGATGGGCGAGACAGCGCCTCTGTGAGCAACCACAAGTTCATGAATCTCAACGAGAAACAAGATCAACCATAGACCGGTCTTGATAGAATAGGGCATCATGGCAAAATAAGGGTTCAATTCCCATCGGACAAACACGATGATCTCTGCGATGACCAAGATGAAGCTGACGACCGCCCATGCAATCGAAAGGCCAGCGCCGACACTGTGAGATTCGTCGGCGATCAATCCTTGCTAAGATATACAGGAATTCGTACCCTAGAGCTACAACTCCACTGTAGGTCAGAAGAGTGTCCATGAAGACTCGTATGGTGTTAATCGCGAAGGCTCCAAAAGCCACGGCAACACCGCACACAATGATTTGGAGAACCCAGAAACTGATAGGAAGCCATTTGTCCCAGGCTACGCTTGTGTTCTTCACGTTTGCTGTGTCTTGTTGCCAAGGGTGAGGTGTTGGAATTGAGATGGAAAATATTGCGCAGAGAGTCAGGAACGCTTGTATAGTGTTTGACGGATTGGGAGAGGAATTCAAATGACAAGTTCGAGAGCAAATAACAGCTATACATCCATATAACTAGACTTGCCTATGCGAGACGAAGCTATCTAGATCTACAGCATGGACGGCGTCACAGCCATGCAAAGTTGGTTTGAAGGATGCATTATAGTGATCGAAGGATCAATTACAGGAGGCTGAGTGGGTTGAAGCTGCAGCTTGGCGAGTCCGTGGGGTACAACTGACTGAATCTTTGGATGGGAAAAGATGTGTACTAGTCAGGCGCCCATGGTGATTGTTAGGCGGCACAGCCGCAAGATAGATTGATCACGACAAGACAAAGTGCACTGTGCAATACTGTGCTGCGGCGTGACAACGATGATAGACTTAGACAAGGGATCGACCCAGGTTCCTCATGATGGATGGATCCTGTTGAGCGGCGCAGATTCGGAGCAGACTCGAGAGATGTCTCGTGCAGACGGAGTGTGCGAGAGAGTGAGAGTGTGAGATGTCACAAGCATGAAGGAGTTATGTCGAGCAGCCAAAGCAGAAAGCACAAAATACAATGTTGCAGCATAAGGGCTTGGCGTTGCACGTGTATTGGGTGACGGCATTGGAAGCTCTCACTCCGAGGGCTCGCAACCAGCCAAACATCATCCATCTACGTCCAGCTTGTCGCCGCCTCCACGTCACACGATCTCATCAAACCAAACACGCCACAACTCAGACACGATGAGCGCCGACCCCGAGAGAGAACACGCGCTAGAAGGATACAAGGGCAAGCTGCTGGAGTCAAGAGAATGGGAGGCAAAGCTCAAGGCGCTGCGATTAGAGATCAAGGGCCTGCAACATGATTTTGACGTTTCCGAAGACAACATCAAGGCTCTGCAGAGTGTCGGTCAGATCATCGGAGAGGTCTTGAAGCAGTTGGATGAGGAGAGATGTATGTTTGAGTCTCAGACCGTCAACATCGACAACAGCTAACGGGCAGCAGTCATCGTCAAGGCGTCATCAGGCCCGCGCTATGTCGTCGGATGCAGGTCAAAGGTCGACAAGCTCAAGCTCAAGCAAGGAACCCGTGTCGCCCTCGACATGACCACCCTCACAATCATGCGCATGCTCCCACGAGAGGTCGACCCGCTCGTCTACAACATGTCCCTCGAGGACCCTGGCCAGATCAACTTTGCTGGTATCGGTGGTCTCAACGAACAGATCAGAGAGTTGCGCGAAGTCATTGAACTGCCGCTCAAGAACCCCGAACTCTTCCTCAGAGTTGGCATCAAGCCGCCAAAGGGTGTCTTGCTGTACGGCCCTCCCGGAACCGGAAAGACTCTTCTTGCGAGAGCTGTAGCTAGCAGCTTGGAAACGAACTTCCTCAAGGGTGACTTGCGACTACTCCCCCCCTTTCGGTTTGTCACTGACACATCCCAGTTGTTTCGTCCGCTATCGTCGACAAGTACATCGGTGAATCCGCCCGTCTGATCCGCGAAATGTTTGGCTACGCAAAGGAACACGAACCCTGTATCATCTTCATGGACGAAATCGATGCCATCGGTGGCCGCAGATTCTCAGAAGGTACCTCTGCCGACAGAGAAATCCAAAGAACCCTGATGGAGCTACTCAACCAACTCGACGGTTTTGACTACCTCGGAAAGACAAAGATTATCATGGCCACAAACAGACCCGACACCCTCGATCCCGCCTTGCTCCGTGCCGGTCGTCTGGACAGAAAGATTGAGATTCCTCTGCCCAACGAGGTCGGACGTATGGAGATTCTGAAGATCCACGCAGAGGGTGTGGTAAAGGAGGGTGAAATCGACTACGAGAGTGTCGTCAAGATGAGTGATCAGCTCAACGGTGCTGATTTGAGAAACGTCGTGACCGAAGCGTGAGTTCTTCTCGACTGCTAAACTCTCCACACACTATGCTGACCTCCAATCTAGTGGTCTCTTCGCCATCAAGGACTACCGTGACGCCGTCAACCAAGATGACTTCAACAAGGCCGTCCGCAAGGTTGCCGAATCCAAGAAGCTTGAAGGCAAGCTCGAATACCAGAAGCTGTAAATCATGGGGGTCATACACACACCTTTCTTGCATGCATCTACAACGCATCATTTGAGCGGGGCGTTTTCAAGTTTTTATTTCATGGGTATATGGGTCCTCTTTCTTTTGATCAACGACAAAGGGGGGACTCATGGGAGGATTGGGTGCGGGCAACTTCAGCTTTTCGCCCACGAGATGGCGATATGAACAATACTGTACCATAGATCCCAAAAACCATCAGTCAAGATTTCAAGTCGAGTTTTCTTGGTTGCTGCGACATACAACCTTCTTCTTTTGCGCTTTCCTTTGCTTGTATCATGTTGCACATTACTGACAAAACACCTGCTGGTAGTGATAATCTATTCCTCTGGCGGCCTTGTCTTGTGGAAGCCACTTGCCTAAGATCTATGCTACTATCCGAGCAAGCTATCAGCCATCGCGTCATGGGCGAGTCGTATACAGACTAGCTAATTTCTTCCATTCCTGATCAATATCTGTCGCTGATGTTGCTGTCATCCTCCACCATCGACTCTGCATAGTGACTGCTCGTCGCCTCATCGCCTCCCTGGTACACCACAGAACCTGTGTCGTTTGTCATGTGCTCAGACACTGTCGTATCGTCATCGTCTAGATCCAGACTTTCGTAGTCTGCTTCCTCTGCCTCTTGATCAATCGCGCGCATCCGGGCACCAAACTCTCGCTGCAGCTCCTGGAGCCAGCTTTGTAGAACGCGTCCTTCCATCGCGCCGCCACAAGCTTGTTCAAGCTCTTCTCTCAATGCCAGGATGAGCTTGCGCTTTCTTGCGAGGATGACCAATTTTGAAGCTTTCTTCTTTCTCTCCACTTGCCTCTGAAGCTTTTCTGCCACTTTTGTCGCAAACTCGATCACGTCGGGAGGAAGTGGCATGACTTTTGCGAGCTTTAGGCCGTAGTGCTGCTCGGACACAACACCGTCGGCGAGTCTGTACAGCATTGCCATTGTGTCCGCCTCGGACATATCCACTGCTAGGTGTCTGTTGACCACCCCGTTGCGCTCAGCCAAGATTTTGGCTAGATCTCGGAAATGCGTCGCGAACCACACTAAGGCTCTGCTGTCCACCAAGGCTTCTGCGATGGCAAGAGCTATAGCAAGTCCATCGCGTGGACTGGTACCTCGACCGAGTTCGTCGATAATCACCATACTGTCCTTGTTGATGTTTTTCAATATGAAGGCTGTCTCCCTCATCTCTGATGCAAATGTCGAAACGTTGGCTTCGATACTGTCGTCGATGGAGATTCTTGCAAACAATTGCTTGATGATCGGAAAGGAAGCGAATTCTGCTGGTACAAAGCAGCCAATCTGAGCCATTACTGTCAATAGAGCGATCGAGCGTATGTATGTGCTCTTTCCACTCATGTTGCAGCCAGTAATGATTTGGAAACGAGATTGCTGAGTGGCATATACATCATTCGGGATATACGGACTGCTTTGCACCTTTTCTCGAATTGGATGACGAGCCGCTTTGATACCAAGCGTTTGTGTGATCCGGGGTCGAATGTATTCATGAAGGGTGACGTTGTGAGCAAAAGATGAGAGTACATCTAACATCGCGATACTCTCCGAGACCTTGAAGAGCACCGACATGTAGACGCGAATCTCAACAATGAGTTCTTGTATGGCTTTGTCACTCATCAACAATACCTCAGTATGCGAGTCAGATATCTTCTGACTACGCTTTCGTAAGTCCAGGGTCGAGCACTCGACCTTGTTGTTCTTGCGAATAGCATTGATAAAGACTGGAGGCAGATTTCGGTCTTCAAGTTCGGAGACATTGAGGCGAAGGTAGTATTGGCGTGCATTGTCGTACTTCAGCTCAAGCGGAATCTTGTGTGCTTCTGTACTCTGATCAGACGATGGCCCATGTATCTGGTGGGAGGAGTGCTTACCTTGAAGTTGTTCAACGAGCTCATACACATCCATGTTGGCCTCCTTGTATGTCTGTCTAGCCACGTCGAGCATACCGTTGACTCCCGACTGAGTGTAAAGTTAGATTGCGATGCTTGTCCTTGCATTTCTGACTTACCTTGACTGCATACGTCCTCTGATTACGCAGTTCGAGCGGCTGTTTTGCATAGTTGATGTCCTCGTTGATGAACTCATCGATAAGATCTTTGATGGGATCAATACTACCAGGCATACAATTCTGGAATCAATTGAATCAGCTACGATTCTCTGAATAGTGGAAGATACTGACACGTTGGATCTCTCTCAGCATAACACTTTTTGCACCTGTCAAAGCTTCGTAGATAGGCTGGATGCCACCTACAAACCGCTTTAGCAAGATGATGTTGTTTATGCTTTGCTCAGTAGAGAGTAAGGATGGCTTTGTGGGTATGATGATGAGCTGAGTTAACATTTTGTCTGCGTCCAAGATTGCTTTGAGTGCTGTTCTTGTAGAAAAGAACATCTCTTCCTTGGTCGAGAGCTCCTCGAGGGAATCATAACGAGTCTCTAGTGTTTGTTGGTCGGTGAGTGGTTGTAGAACATTGCTGCGAAGGAGTCTCCCACCCATTAGAGTGAGCGTTTCATTGAGGATCCCGAAGAGACAGTCGCGTGACTTGTGATTCTGGAGATTCTGGATCAACTCGAGCGAACGAATGGTGGATAAGTCGATCATCATGGACCCTTCGGACGCCTCGTATTTGATACGTAGTGAGTGTGCGGGAAACGTCTTGCTCATGGCAAGTTCGACGTACTTCATAGCCTAAACATCATTAGCCACAGCAAATCAATGACTCCAATAAGAGCAGAGCATACCGCAGCGAAGCAGCATACGGAGAAATAGTTGCCATCGACAGACATCTTGATACTGTCCACATCCTGAACAAAAGCAAATTGTTCGATGAGCTCGATGCCAGTAGTTTCAGCCCAGTAGCGTCGATCGAGAAGGGTCATGTTGCTATTCAAGTCGTCCAGGTTCTCCTCGATCAGGGAGAATAGCTTTGACTTGGGATTCGACGTCGTATTCAGAATCAGGATTTGCGAGGGGCTGAAGACTGCCAACTTGTGTAGGGTGCGAACATATGATTGGGTATCGGGAATCTGACTGAGTACAGCCTCACCAGTATCAAGATTGACAAAGGCAAGACCGACGGTGGGAGCGATACCACGAGACTCGCTTACGGCACAGATGATTTGACGTGACTCTACTCCGAGTGTTGATACGGCGGTGCGTGGGCGAGTTGAATATTCGTAAGAACTGTATTGTGAATAGCTAGTGCTACCCGATCTCGCGATTGCAGGAGATGCGGGAAGAACAAGCTGACTGCGTGACGAAGAGATGCTCATCCTAGACGATTGAAAACTCATCTTCTGGGTAGAGTGTGCGATTGATTGAAAAGACTGAGAGAGGCAGGGCGAAAGATACGCGACGAGAGAAGTGTATCTGGGGCCGAGATTGTGCAAGTCGTAGTTTCCCTATTGTCATTGCCATTCATGGACGTTTCTCTGCAACTCAGAGCGACTAACATTCATGGGGCAGGGACGTGTCGGCACGATTGCCGATCATGTCTCGAATGTGGGGATCTGGTTTGTGCAATAGGCTCTACTTACCTTACTTTGCTAATCACAAACGTGCTCTGCTCTTTCCTTCGAATTGGACCTTGTTAATGCAACTGCCAACACCTTCCAGGTTGACTTCCACAACGTCGCCATCTTTCAGCCATACCTGAGGCTTGCGGCCCATACCAACGCCTTGTGGACTGCTGCCATGTCAGTTTGCGTATGTCATTCTAGTTCTAGGAGTACTTACGTTCCGGTGAATATGAGGTCACCAGGCAGCAAAGTTGTGCCTTGACTCAAGATACTGATAGCCTTTGCAACTCCAAATATCATATCGCCAGTGTTGCTATCCTGCACAGTCTCACCGTTGAGTTTTGTGGTAATCCTCAAATTTTGCGGATCCGAGATCAGGCTGGTACCGACAATGGCAGGACCGATTGGAGCCCATGCATCAAAGCCTTTACCGAGACCCCACTGACCACCGCCGCGCTTCAGCTGCCAATCGCGGTGGGATACATCATTTCCCACAGCATAACCTGCCACATGCGACAACGCCTGGGCTTCGGAAATATTGATACCCTCCTTACCGATCACAGCGACAAGCTCGCACTCGTAATCCAGACCTTCTCCTTCTTGGGCAGCGGCAGAGACTTGGATGTTGTCGAATGGGCCTGCAACGGAAGTGACGGGCTTGTAAAAGAGGACAGGGTATTTCGGGATGGGCATGTTAGACTGCAAGCATAGTCAGCAGCAGACACATACGCAGGCCCGATATTACTGTCGCGCACTTCAATAGCATGCTGCTCGTAGTTGAGTCCGAGACAGCGTACAGTCCTGATGTCTTCCCTTGCTAGTGGTGCTAGGAGTCTTTGCACATCCTGCACAGCTTCAGCTTCTGGTCATATTACTACATCCAGTACCAGCGTACAAGGATACGCTCCGTTACATGGTGCTGTCCCCATGGTGTGCCCTGAATAACCTTGGCCTGAGCCACTCCTGTCAAGTCGGTAGCTCCCGATGGTAAGAGTGCATCGCCGTAGTATGTCTTGCCGTCTTTGGCCAGGAATCTGACAAGTCTCTACTAGTCAATGATATCAGCGGACGCGCTTTCAACTAGCATCATTCACACGTACCGAGAACTGCATCTTGAGTTCCTGTCAAGATATCATTGTCTGATCGTGATGGCCGGCCGACGACGACGCCGCCCATCCCCAGCTTTCCCCAGAGTCTGTGTCCGAGGTCGCGTCATGCGATTTCTCGCGATCACCACGGCCAGTCTATGACAAACTTCGACCATATCAACTTGCATATACAATATTCAATCCGCTTACTTTACTCGCGCAACCACTTCGACCAAGCCTAACTGTCAATCACCCATCAACTACACACCATGGCACGTCTGTCGGGTCTCCAGCGTGAGGTACTGTCTCTATACCGCAAATGTCTTCGTGAAACACGAAAGAAGCCTGCTGTGAGCCCATAGACAAGACATGAGATACGACGTATTCACTGACTCCCTACCAGGATGTGAGGCCGAACTTCCTTCAATTTACTCGGTAATCGTGCACTAAGAGTCAGTGGTCGTGTGATAGAGTCTAACATCTTTGAAGATCGGAATTTCGCGAGCATCTGGACTACGACAAGAAGGACTTTGGTGCCATAGAATACATGCTTCGGAAGGGTCAACGTCAACTGGAAATATACTCTTCGCCAGGTATCCGCAATGTCATGAAGTAATCTCATCTTCCGCTTGCTGCCACTCGGCCACTCATGCCTGTCCGACCTGCCGAAACGCCACCCGCATATCATAGTGCCTACAGGATCTCACGACTCTGATTCACTCATCGCTGCCCTCATGTTTGTATCCAGTGCATTGCGCAATCCTTTGTTTGTCATCCGATTCCGAGAGACCATGTACTCCACGCACGTGACTTCCGAAAGAGGAAGGTTCTGGAAACTTCTTACTTATTCTGTAACCATCTTCCTTATATACTGGTGTGTTTGTCAGAGGACCAGACTGGTATCTTCTAGACATACATTATGCAGCATGAAGTTGATGATGAGATCAGACGAGCACATTCTGGTATGCTCTCGCGCCTTCAAGGCTGCCACTTAGAGGGACGACTCGAAGGTATAAAGACAGCACTCGAGTCCACCATGATCCCTCATCATCAGAAATAAGAACAAGCAGAACAATCAAGCAATCGATTATATGCAAACCTACCGCATCAACAACAAGCTCCCTCAAGCTTACAGAATCATCAAACTCGCTCAGCCTACTCAAGCCAGAACAATGTTTTCGTTCCCACGCTTCCCTTCTGGCGAATTCGCCCCTCTCTTCCGTCTTCTTGACGACTACGCCTCTCACCAAATCTCTCGTCAGGGCGACGACCTCGGCAACTTTAGCGGTGTCTCTCAACTTCGCTCCTTCCAACCTCGTTTCGATGTAAAGGAGGTCAAGGACGGTTACGAGCTCCACGGCGAGCTTCCTGGTGTCGACCAGAAGGACATCCAGATCGAATTCACTGACCCTCAGACGTTGAGCATCAAGGGTCGCACTGAGCGCCACCACGAATCTGGCACTCCTCCCGCCGCTCTTGAAGGCCAGCAGGAGAAGGGCCGCATCACATCCGGCGACGAACCCTCCGATGCTTCCAGCCAACACTACCACAAGCCCACCGTCGAGGATGAGACCGCCATGTCAGGTGCTCAACCTTCCGATCAGCAGGTCACTACTACCAACAACCAAAGCCAGGAAGTCCAACAACAGACCGATCGTCCTCAGTCTCGTTACTGGGTCTCTGAACGCTCTGTTGGCGAGTTCTCTAGATCATTCGCCTTCCCTTCTCGCGTCGACCAGGATAATGTCCGCGCTAGCCTCAAGAACGGTATCCTGAGCATCGTCGTTCCCAAGGCTTCTGCGCCCGCTACTCGCAAGATCAACATCGAGTAGATGACTCATGTCGACATTATCACGCCCAAGAAGCCAACTGGCATCACGAGCCACGAATATCTACTGGACGATATGCATAGGGATGGAGTTCTGTATTGTCTTTTCTTTCATTGCATCACAGTTGTCGAGTCGTGTGATATAAATAGTACAGCATAATTCGATTTACTTCCGCATCACTTCTCGTAGACCTTCAGCATGGTGAGGATTTTGTCTCTGTCGAAGTCGAATTGCAGGTCGCGGTAATCGTCAGATATATGACCAACGATGCTTAGGAGGATCACATCCGGTAGACGGATCATATTGACGTTTGACGAAAATTGTACTTGTTCTCAACACAGGGCAACCAAAATTGATGAAAGCGCGTTATGCTCGAAACGCGACCAAATATGACATCATAGTTGAGCTATACCAGGGTCATCCGGCTAGCACTGACTGTAAGTATCCATTAATCTCTAGTGCACCAAAATCAGGTCAGAGCAGTTTGAAATTTTCTGTTGGCCTTTTGTAGTACTTCAGTGTTGATCTGAAGTTGCGATGAGCTTCATGCGGATGATGTTGATATCGTGACGACCCATGTCGTGTTCTGGAGATGCCCACGATTGGGGACGAGACACATTCCATGTTTTTCCATGTGAAGCTTGTATAGACATTGCACCATGTCACCAGACATTAGATTGCTTCACATGGTATAGCACAGAGTGACGCAAGAAGTTTTCAAGATGATGTAGAGGATTCATGTAATCAGGTCTGGTTCTCGGATGCTATAGTTTGCTTAAGCCAATGACTTGTCATAAACGTAGGCGTTCTTGGAAGACGAACGGCTCTTGAGGAAAATAGCGCAGAGACCGAGGATGACGGCCAGAGCACCAATCTTTGCGATCCAGCTGATGCCAGCATCGTTGACAGCGTCACCATAACCAGCAGCCAACTCCTCCTCCTTGTGGTGCGACAAAGGCTCATCGCCCTTTTCGTTGACAGGAGCATCAGCAGCAGGAACGGGAACGGCAGCCAGTTCTTCATCGTCTTCCTTGAGGTCTGCGACCGGCTCGGCGGAACCGATGAGCTTTTCTAGAGACAGCAAGCATCAGCGGCTCCGAGCGGCGAGTAAGGGATTGAAGCAAGCTGATCCGGACCAGACGTACCGCCCGGGACGAGATCAGAGCTCAGCTCTAATACCTTCTTCGGGAACCTCAAGCTCGCCACTCTTGGCAATCTTGATGGGCTTCTGAGGCTTGTCGCCAGCACCCTTGGGAAGAGTCTGGATCTTGTCGACGATCTCCCAGCCCTCGAGGACCTCGCCGAAGACGACGTGACGGCCGTCGAGCCATGAGGTGATGGCGGTGGTGATGAAGAATTGAGAGCCGTTGGTGTCCTTGCCGGCGTTGGCCATGCCTAGGAGAAGAATGGTCAGAAGGGTATAACAAGCTGGGAGAGAGGAACGAGGGACATACTGAGGAGACCCTTCTTGCTGTGCTTCAGCTTGAAGTTCTCATCGGGGAACTTGTTGCCGTAGATGGACTTGCCGCCGGTGCCGTCGCCCTTGGTGAAGTCACCACCCTGGATCATGAAATCCTTAATGACACGGTGGAAGGTAGAGCCCTCGTAACCAAAGCCCTTCTCGCCAGTGGCAAGAGCTCTGAAGTTCTCAGTGGTCTAATGACACGTCAGCACGAGCTGTTAGATGTTTCTAGGAAGGTTTGTAGCTACCTTGGGGACAGTCTTGCCGTAGAGACCGAGGACGATACGTCCAAGCTCCTCGTCACCGGAGGTCACATCGAAGTAGACCTGGAATTACGTGAGCGACTGACGGTAAGGTGGATGAACTGGATGATGTAGTGTGTACCTTGTGGGTGATCTTGGGGCCCTTGACAGCCTCGGAAGACTGAGCAAAGAAGACAAAGGTGAAGGTGAGAATCACCAAAAGAGAGATGATGAGTCTCTGGAAGCTGGCCATGATGGATGATTTGTCGAATTACAGCAGCAACTGGTTCCGAGAAAGAGAGATCGAGGAGGGAACGGCAACGGCAGCCAGCAGGGAGTCAGGGACCTTGGACGTGGCTGCGGAGAAGACGAGCGCTTGGACCACCTCTCGGCCAAGCCAAGACTCTTGAAAGTTGATCATCGACGACGACGACGACGACGACGTTTGGCGACCAAATTGCGCCATTCAAATACATTTGTTTTTTCAGATACAGTCACCATGGTTGTGAGTAGCCATCTTACACGTAGCAATTTGCTCTACACATCGATACTAACACGTGCGCAGCTCGTCTTTGGAGTCAACTTTGCTGAATCGCGCCTCGTCAAGAGCGCCCTCGAGAGCTTCTACGGTGTCGGCCCTCAGATTTCCCAGCGTCTTATGGCTCGTCTTTCCATTCACAACACCGCCAGACTCCAGGGTCTTGGTCACCGCACAGTCAACGACCTCTCCGCCGAACTACAAAATCTGACCATCGAGAACAACCTGAGGAGGAAGCTGCAAGACAACATCAAGCGCCTAAGAGACATGGGAACATACAGAGGAAGACGTCACGCCATGAGTCTGCCTGTCCGCGGTCAAAAGACTCGCACTCAGGTTTGCCATACCCTTCCCTCGCACCTTGGCCTACTACTTACACCTCCTCTAGACTGCGACTGCCAGAAAGCTGAACAGAGTTCTACGTAGAGGTTGAGCTCCTTATTCCGATTTTCACTGTACAAATACTTTTCTCTCGGCATTGGGTGGCGTAATGGTTTGCGATACCAAAATGATCATTTCCTCATATTCTGAACCCATCTCTTCTAACCCCACCAAACCAGGACCGTATGTCCTTCAAAAACAAAAACCTCATAAAGACATGAACGAGTGGATATAAACCTGCCCAAACCCCGTCCTGGCCACCGGGGCATTCAGGTATGCATGCAATAACGACAACAGCACCAAATCCAATGCTACAAATGAAAGTCGTCCCTCCAAGCCAGCCGAGTCGTCTAGGTCGACCGCGGCATGTATGCAAATGCTGAGTATGAGTGTGCCAGTGATGGCTAATCGGCATCAAGGCCACATCTTGTCTGATCGTTGTTAGTCGCTGGCCATAAACTGAGCCATGGTGTTACTGACTGAGTGCAAGTTGGTTCAAGCCATTACAGATGTGCGATCACCCCCACACGCGAACATGATGGTGTTGATGTCTTCGTTCTCTGGCTCTCTGGCGCCAGGATCTTTGCCAGTATCGCCGTTGTTCAAGACAATGTAGCCGGGGTCTTTGCCAGTATCTCCGTTGGCTAACACGCCAGCAGGATATGTGGTGAATGCTGATTGTGACAGGACAAAGTCCATTGATGAAGAGTATGTTTGGTGAAGCATGGTGTGTTGTTTGGGTTGATGTTCTGAGTATGATATTTCACTCGTTTGTGCCGCATGCCTACCTTCTTATACTATCGACATCTATACAGAGCAATCATGTACATGGCGAAGTAAAGACCGTGCTCTTGTTACAGTCATCAGGCAACAGGCCTTTCAGAACTCGAGAAGGCCGCTAGGTCAGGGCCACCTGGCCGCAACCATACAGATGACGAATGCTATTCGTCGAATCCAACAAGACTTATAGTTAGGACATTGCGGTGTTGGTTTTGAGAATTGCCAATGCCCCGTCGAGAACAGGCCATAGCCCTCCGAACGGCCTCAGGGACGTGATCACGGCCATGTCTGCCTGGTAGTAGACTACGAACCCTGCCTGTTTTGGGAAGGAGGTGGATATTTGATTTCGAAGCGAAACATTGCACGTCTGCAACCAACCTTGCTGTGAGTAAGAACGTTGCAGTTACGGAAGGCAACAATGGCTGTTCTGCTCTTGATTGATCGACTATCGAATAGTTAATCTGAAGTACTCTGAAAATAGAGGCGGAGCGGATGTCTGCCTTACCAAGACTGAGCCATGACGTCGTCACCAACACGCGATGCTCGTAAACACATTGTAAGCAGCTTAGGCTTCCATTTCCTGAGAAGCGCACATGGTCGACGTATGCAGTAGCATCTAAGCACGGCAATACTTTGCCGCGCCCGGTGACTCGAAAGGTCGAGGGTCGACTTTCGTCATGATAACGAGTGTTCCGTAAGTTTCAAAGCACTGCCTAGATGCCTGGATCCAGGCTGCCCACGCTGACTGAGCAAGAGGGTTTCTGCTGCTCATGTAAGCATGGTCGATTTCATGTATCAATCCTCCCGTCCGGGCACCTTCATTGAAAGCTGATGGAGATCCTGACCTCCCGACGCCGATGTTGCCGAGGTGTGGCAGGTGCGGCCGACTTTTGGGCCGCCCCGAGGGCTGACCTTCGATCAATCGTCTCTCATCAGATCTTGTCACTCGCTGTCATCTTTCCAACTCGTCTTATCTACGCATCGCAAAGGTTGCGAAGTTGCAACACACAGAGTGTCGTGACCTTCCCCATTCTAAATCACTGCTTTGTCGGCGTCCGAAAATGCTACCCATTGTCGCATTCGACTCTGGTCTACGGTCAGCCGCCTACCATGCCATGTGATGATCGACGCCTTGATATAGGCCCAGAAATAGGCCAACAACACGGCCTATCATGACAACTGCGCCCTCCACACAGATCCTTCTGTATCTCCTCCCAAAGCACGGACATGCTTTGGCATGCTGACATACAGTACATGCACTTCAGACTGAGCGGCCATTGCTTCATAACCTTCTCACTTCCAATCGCAGAGACATACCCGCCCTTCTGACAGTTTTGGTCGGCAATCGAGAATCTCCAAATCACGACCCTGCAACTTCATGCACATCCGGCATCGAGGTCCGTGCTACACGATCATTGTCTACATAAGGTAGGCATCCACTCGCGTCTTCATGAGATGTCCAAGACCCTGGTAGGAGGAACCATCGCCGCTTTTCAGTCGAAGATTCTGCGAGAGACCAAGCAGACATCGCGGGTTAGGCACCATGTCGCATCTGTCCTTTTCTACTTACTACCATCGATACGTGTCTAACCTTCCCGGAACGGCTGGCCCTGACTTTTGATCTCCAGTTTCGCCAGCATGAGTCAACGCATCGCGACCATTGCCTGTAATTGCCATCTTGGCTCGACGTTTGAGCCACCATACCGAGCAGCCACCATAGTATGTTTGGTGTGGCCCGAAGATCGCATGAGATTCACGTTTGATATCTGTGTCACTCTCATTGTGAAACCTTCTACTGCTTTTCAAGAAATGATCAAGAATCGAGCGTCACTTCTAACACGCTTCGAATCGCAACTCTGAGAGAACATCCCTTGCCTAACCTGCAATGTCTATTGATGGGTGTTCTCACTTGTGACTGGCTCACTACCGAGAATTTTATATTGCATGCATACCGACCGGTTGGTGCGGGGCATTTATCACATGACATCGTGCACCAATCCCTCAAGCTGGACGACATCAGCCTTGTCGATTTGTCTCATTCTCACAGCCACGTTGATAAGGTGAGGGCATGTAGAATCCGCTTAGGCCATGCTGTCGTGCGGTACGGAACGCTCCTTAGTGTCTTTCTACTAAGATCCTGCTCCAACCACCCCAGCTTTACACAGCCCTGTACGCCCGTGTTGCCGTCTCATTTGGAAGAGCTCAGCACAGGTGGACCGTGATCAGGATGGAATCCTTTGCTTACGGAACCAACAAAATGGATGAATTCTATGATTGTGGGCCTGATCTGCTTTCTGATCGAGTGTCATTCCAAGCACTTATTGATGAACTATATCCGACAGACACAAAAATGCAATTAGACGTCGAGTTCAGTAGCCGTGGCACCTCGCCGACCGGTCCTGATACTCCACCGTCATCTTCTGGTGGTCAGGAGGAGATTGCTAGCCCTGAGGAGGAACACGAACATCAAGCCTTCGCTCCGGGAGCACTGATGACAGAAATGCTTGCCGGAGTAGGAGGATCCACCTCTAACGACGCGATGAGGTCAGGAGCGAGCATCTGTTATGGTCTCGACACGATCGATCCATCATCCTTCCACGATCCTTATCTGGAAGTATCATCACCCGCCCAACATCCCGACAGTCAAATGCCAGCTTATACCTGGCAAACTCTCCCAGAGGTCTCACGACGCTTCGAGTCTGCCTATACCGCTAATCTCTCGTGGGCGGATGCTACTCTCACTGCTGCCAGCTTCGATACCTCCCTTTATACCCCTGCCGCCCAGCCGAGATATATTGGGTTGTCACCACCTCAGGTCGGTATAGGTAATATCGGCTACCAGGTTGGGCTTCAGCCAACAAGTTTGACCGACTTCGATATAACACAACAGTCTGTGAGTGGTGTAGACCGTTGTCCTCAGGTTCCGGCGACCAACCACAACCACAACACATTAGCTCGACCACCAACGATGCTCGAAGGGACAGGTAGCTTTGCTAGACAGGAAACACCACATGTCGAGACAGCTCAACTACCGATAAGAAACAACATGTATCGCTCTAGAGAACTGTACACTTCTCGCTCACCCGAAACGACTCGACGTGGTATGATACCCCAGCCATCCTCATCTCGAGGGTCGAGTCCCAGGGCTGCCAACAAAGGAGGTCGCTCAGGTGGTCTTGACGACGGAACAAGAGCACATGCCAATCAGATGCGAAAGTTGGGCGCGTGTTGGATATGTGCCTTCCAAAGAGATCAGTGCGACCCCGGAAGTCCATGTACCCGATGTCAAGATCGAAGCATCAGAGGATCACTACACATGTTGCCCTGCTCGCGCATCCACCTACAAGAACTAGTCCACCAATTTCTTCCAGCCACAATGAACAGGCAGCATCGTCGTGAAGAGATTATATCGTTTGCAAAGAAGAGTTTGGGCTTCTGGAGAGCTAATACAGCTTTTCAGGTGCATCTGACGTCTCTCGGGATGGGTCAATTCGTGTGGGATCTGCATGAGTATGAGCCGTCATCCACGGACTTGTTATTGCAGAAAAGATACAAAGTCGGGCTGTCTGGCACATGGCAGCGTGTCGAGAAGAGATCACCACCGCTGGCGCTCAAACAGGTCAACTTTGGCCAGACTCACAAGCTTGAAGACTACGTGGACCATATCGTTGATCGGTACCTCCAACAGTTTCAAGACCAAGCTTACTATGGGGAAGAGGACTCATGCGCCATGTTTCAAAACGAGCTACTCGGAGCCCTGTGTAGACTTTACACTAGTCTGCCGGATGAAGACGATGTAAGCCACATTATGGAGTGCTCATGCAGTTCAAAACGCTGACTTGACCCAGGACAAAACTCTCAAAGGCGATCTGCGCCATGTCATCAGGATGCTCGTACTAACCTGCATTATGGATCATCCCATCACCATCGTCGACGCCCAAAGAGACACGACCATCAGAATGATGCAAAGCCACAACAACCCCCAAGTCTACGAAGCATGGACCTCACCCATGCTAGCCAACCGACAACTCAAATACTTCTTCTCCGAGATGCAAACACAGCAATACAACAAGAGTCTCAACCGCTTGCATCAGATCCTCCGCAAAGCAGGAGATAAGAACAAGTTATGGATGTCTTCGTTTGTACTCATGCTTGGAATTGCCCTTGTACTCGAGCAATGTCAACACTTGCTATGGATCAAAGCAGATGCAAAAGTTGCAAAAAGAGAAGTCTCACCCATCGATGCGGAATGGGAAGCCCGCACCCATTGCAGAGAGATGGATGATGGCTTTGAGTTCTTGTGTAAACTCTACCACTGCAAATACCGTGGTAAACACAGACAAAAGACCCGATATGAAGAATTGAAAAACAAGGTGTCAAATGCTGCGGAAGCAGAGTTTGCAGAGAAGATTTATGATATTGTGGACAGAAATGGTGAGTTGGTGCTGTATTCCTTTGCTTTGGCTTGCGGAAATAGACAAAACACTCTGCTAACTTTTCGAGTCGTAGGGGGATATCTTTTGTATCGTCAGAGTTTGACGATTTCGGGTATGCAGGAGAATAACCATGTTTCTAGGTTGGTGGCTAGGTTTCTGGTCGAGTTGATGGGATTGACGCAATCTTCGCCTTGATGGCTTGATAACGTGCGAGATGAATGACAGAGAAAACGAGGTTGGCAAGTGGGAAAGCCCATGACATTAATGACGGATCAATGACATGAGCAACGACAAGAACAACGACAGAGAGCGAAAAAGGAGGCACCACATTCGGTATCGAGAACGAAACAGGATCTACACGTAAACCATTCGATATATCAAGAAAAGTGACATGTAAGGAAGCGCAAGTCAGACTCCAACACCATTGATATTAAGGATTCAAAAGTCATGAGAAGAGAACCGCCCTTCTATCATCTCTCTCGTGCGGCAATATGACCCTCGTACCGTGGGAAGGTCGATAACAAAGGTTGATTATCCGCTCATTTGTTATGAAATGTGTTTTGGGAGGCAAAAGAAAATACAAAGTTCAGCCGGATGGGAACATTGGATTTTGAGAAGTGCATGTATGCTGTGCTGCAAGGTCAGAAATCTTGGCAGAGCCTGGCCATATGTTGTAGATTTTGCCGAGAAGGGAAATCTTCGACAGTTTTGTTCGCGCTGAGCTTTGCTTGTTTTCCTTTCTCTATACAACAACTCTTGGGTTTTGCAGTTGCGCTTCTCTCGTGACGACGATGCTGTCTTCTCAGGACGCATGCGCCTCTTCATTCCACTTGCGCTTATGATTGAGCGCGGGTAATCACAAAGAGCACATTGCGCGCCTGCGAAGACGAGCTATCAGAAAGAGCTTGGGAGTACTGAATGCATGGATGGATTGATGGAAGAAACAACAACACAACAACATACACCACGATTTGCCTGTGGGAGGGCTTTTCAATGCCTTGCTCGCTAACTATTTCAATTAGTGGGAGATTGAGTCCTTTAGGTCAGGCGTAAGCAGCGCTTTGTCTTCTCCACCCTCATGCATCAGAATAGTGATGTCCGAGGACTATGATAGACAGACATCCATATGAATATCAATTCACCTTTTTACAATCACTGTTGTTCCACTTGCTCTTCTAGTCTGTACTTCTTGAGTGCCATCGAATCATGCCGTCTTGTTGTGTGTGTTGGACGTTTTCGAGTCGTCATGCTTATTCGCTGTACATGGAAGTCGAGGTCATGTTCAATCTAAGACTGCTTGCTCAGCTTCTCGTCTACGATTCTGGCAACAATCTTCTCCAAAATAGCAGGCTCACCACCAGCCTTGCCCTCAAAGTATCCAATGACACTCTTCTCAACATACTTGCCCACACAGTCCACCTCGATATTGACAGTATCGCCCTTTTCCTTCTTTCCCATGACAACCTTGCTCTGCGTGTAATCAATCATCATAATCTCAAACCAACCAGCCTCGTCATCCACAGCCGTGATTGTCAAACTCGCACCATCCAATGTGACGTATCCCTTCTCGACAATATACCTCAACACACTCTTATCCCTCGGACTCAGACGAAAGACCTTGGCCTCATTATCAGGAGTAACAGCCACAATCTCGGCAATAGTATCCACATGTCCTTGCACAAAATGTCCACCCATTCTCGTGTGTGCGCTGACTGCACGTTCGAGATTGACTTTGCTGCCTTGCTTGAGGTCGCCTAGGTTCGTGCGACGCAGGGTTTCTGGGGCGGCGCCGATTTTGAACGAGGATGATGTGAAGGAGGTTACGGTGAGGCAGGTGCCGTTTACGGAGATGGAGTCGCCGTTGTTGCAGTCGGTGAGGATTTCTGAGCAGTCGGAGATTGTCATTGTGGTGCCGCCGCCGGAGGTGGCATCTTGGGGCAGGAGCTCCGAGACGGCTGTGTAAGAGAGGGTGTTAGTGTGTGCGGTATGCGGTATGCGATGGGGGTGGCGGAGGAGAGGTTTGCGTACTGCCTAGTGTCTCGACGATTCCGGTAAACATGATGTGGTGATTGGGAGGGAGGTGATCAAGACGCGGTGTGTGCAAGAACGGAGTGCAACATGTCGACATTGCTTAACATGGATATGTCATCACCAAAGCAGCGCATCGGAGAAGCTTCCACCTTCGGCCAGCCATCGCCAAAAGCTGCCGCAAGTGAAGAGCGACAGCCAAGGGTCCATCATCCATGCAATCAAAAGCTCCCAGCCATCTTTTGGCAGGCTGCAGCTCACCTCTCGACCCAATCCCAAGGGCGGTCAGCCAACTCGAATGCCGTGATTTTCCTTTTCCCAATTGTGCACTTGTCTACTCTTTAGTCTTGCCAATCACGCATGAACGATACTTGAATCACGCATTGAACACTTGCCGAATCACACACTATTCGCACCCACATCTGCAACTCCAACTCCAAACGCCATGAGCTTCTTCGGCGGCCCCCCATCCCACCGCTCCTCACCACGAACAACCCACCATAAATCCACGCGCCCAGTGTTTCCACGCGCGCCATCCTCCAGTGCATCCTACTTCTCCCGCAACGGCGCTTCATCCTCCTACTACAAACGTCGTCCGCGCGATGGCTATATTCAAAGTCTCATACACAAATTAAAGCGATTGATACGCGATTTGTGGGAGTATGCGCAAAGGCATCCGTTGAAAGCCTTGATGGCTGTGGTCGTGCCGTTGATAAGTGCGGGTGGCATGCTGCATGAGCTTCTTAAACAATTTGGGATTAGGATGCCTGTTGCCTCTGGTGATGTGAGTTCGACGAGGGGAGGAGGGTATTATGGCTCAAGTGGGTATGATGGGTATAGTGAGGGTGGCTTTGGGTCGTTGTTTGGTGGTGGAAATGCTATGGATACTGTGGGCAGTTTGATGAAGGTCGCGAGGGTCTTTATGTGAGCCATTGAGATGCTATGCATTGCGAGCCTCGAAAGACGTGCACGGCTGCTCAACGTCTGTGACACGCATTCGCTCTCGCGCCTGTCGTGCGAGTCTCTATACACGTCGAGGTCCATCGAAAGTAGCATAAAGGGTAGAGATTATAGAATGATTGCTTGAACACAACATACAGCAAAGTTCAGTGTCGGGATCAGAGTACTCGAAGGAAGCAGGCTTCAATTGGATGACGATGTTGTACTTGGTCAGATATTTGTGTCGCAATATGCAATTCTGGAGAGCGGAATTCATTGGTCCGTTTTCTACGACCAACGCCATGCCTCTTGGACCAGGATCCTGATGTTGGTGATGGATGACCATGTCTACACGTGACGGAAATATTGCTGACCATTGTGTGGTCGACGTTGATGGATAGTGAGATCTAGGCAAGCCGATGCGAAGTCGACAACGACATGGCCAAAGGCAATCTCATTTGAACGGCAAGCTTCGCGGAGAGAGTGTAGATCATAGCCGGAAGGTGGGCGAGATTTGTAGGACGAATGCATCTCGTCAGAGATCGGTGGCAACCGGAGCATTTTGGCCTTGATCCTCGGCACAAACGACGGCTTCCCGGGCGTCGCTGGCGTCGAGAATCATCAGACGCACGCTGATTGGCCAGATGCCTGGAACGAGTCTGTGGCAGCCCGTCCTGGGGCAAAGCTGGTGCATCGTCGTCGTCGACTCTTTTGTTTCCCCCTCGCCGTGCCTACTTGGAATACCACTCTTCCGTCCTAATCTCCACTCCATACACTACCGCAATCATGTCGTTCAGAATGGCCACGTCGCGCATTGCGCCCCGCATGATGTTCCGCCGCTCCATGGCCACCACGGTCGAGTCCAGCAAGGGCCCTCTTGCCGGCGGCACTGAGGCCATCAGTGCCTCGAGACCCGTCCTCTCGCCCAACGAGACCACCACCGTCAAGGAGCCCGCCAAGGACGCCGACAGCAAGGTCAAGACCTTCCACATCTACAGATGGAACCCCGACGCTCCCAGCGACAAGCCCCGCATGCAGAGCTACACCCTCGACCTTAACAAGACCGGCCCTATGATGCTCGACGCCCTGATCAGAATCAAGAACGAGCTCGACCCTACTCTTACCTTCCGCCGTAGTTGCAGAGAGGGTATCTGTGGTTCCTGCGCTATGAACATTGACGGTGTCAACACTCTTGCCTGCTTGTGTACGTCTTGACTCACCCCTTCACACGACACATGTCCAAGTACTGACGACATATCCAGGCCGCATCCCTACCGACACCAAGGCTGAGAGCCGCATCTACCCCCTGCCTCACACCTACGTCGTCAAGGATCTCGTTCCCGACCTTACCCAGTTCTACAAGCAGTACAAGTCCATCAAGCCCTTCTTGCAGCGCGAGACCGCTCCTGCCGATGTAAGCTTATACTCCATACACAACTTCCAATCGTACAAGCACTAACAAAATATCCAGGGCCGCGAATACCGCCAATCTCCCGAGGAGCGCCGCAAGCTCGACGGTCTTTACGAGTGCATTCTCTGCGCCTGCTGCAGCACTTCCTGCCCTTCATACTGGTGGAACTCCGAGGAGTACCTCGGTCCTGCCATCCTCCTCCAGTCTTACCGCTGGATCGCCGACTCGCGTGACGAGAGAACCGCCACTCGCCAGGACGCCCTCAACAACTCCATGTCTCTGTACCGCTGCCACACCATCCTGAACTGCTCCAGGACATGTCCCAAGGGCCTCAACCCCGCTCTGGCCATTGCCGAGCTCAAGAAGTCCATGGCTTTCACCTAAGTGCTATGCCTTGGGTCTCCTTTTCAAAAATTGATCAACTTTTCCTTTTTCCCATCTGGTGTACATTTTTGGAGCGAGGGTACCCCCAATTTGTTTTTCTTGTCTTAGTTTGCCGACACACCTTTTCTTCACATCATCATTGATCGTGAAGGACACGATCTTGAATCATTTGCTATTAGGCATCAAACCCCCTGTTCCCCATGGTCTTGCCTTTCGTTTTTACACTGTACGAATTAGTCAGCTGCACGAAGAATGAAAAATCAAACATCACCTTAATCTGCATGAGAGATGACGCTCGTGAGATGTACATCGCCATCACTTCAAGGGTTGCTACCTTGGACACCTCGCACACATTACCTTTTCATCGTCGTCACTTCCTGCACCGATGACACTTTGGACAAGCATGTCTCTTGTGAGGGCCCCAGAATAGCAAGTCCACACCGTTGAACGATCTTTGACAGAGTAGCACCTTACTCTTCGCAAATCAGAGCCTTTGTCCTTTTGAAGCCGAAGAAAAAGCACACACTTTTCTTTCCGGAGGTGTCTTTTCAAGTCCTGACCTTTGAAGTCACGAAAAGCCCGGAGATATTTTTTCCTCATCCCAGAAATGTTCTCATTCTGATCGGTTACAATGTTGATCGAGGTTTGCGAAGCATTCTCCCCAGCAGGGGTCATGCCATAAGACGCCAGATGTCAGAATCCATGATACAATGTCTTTGTTTGTACAAAAGAGATTTTGAAGAATCCAAGAATGGTGATTGGGACAAGTCAGGTTGCACTAGGATCGCTATGGTAGTCAGAGAGTAGATGATCATGGATACATATATATATTAAGCCATTTTGTATGAGCTATCTGATGCTACCTATAAACGCTATATACCTTTGCTACAACCATTCAACCTATACTGCTAATTTCCCTATTTCACAATCGAGAGGGAGATGGTCGTGAATACATATTCATATCATACTGGTATCATAAAAACAATTTAGAGGGGAGATGAGAAGAAAACAAGCCCAAAACAAGCGCCTTCGGGGGGTATCGTAGTTGTTGTCTATCAATCTTGATTTCTTTTCTTTTCTGCAGCCGGGGTTTTGTGTGCGTTTTTGGAGCCAGCGTGGGAAACTATTCATGCCTTTTCGCCATTGTGCTCGACTTGGAAGCCACTGTGCTTTTGACGTAATGCTTTTGCCAACATGAGTTCTCTCATCCAGTCGATGCGTTCGTTGCTGTTGGTCACGGCGAAATGATGGGTCTTGCCATGAGCAAGCTTCACCCTATCACTACCGCTGGGCACAAGCTGGAACGAAAAGGCAGCGGTAGAGTCGCCATCTTTCTTCTTGTCACCGAGCTTGAAATTCTTGAGGGCAGCAGTGATCTTGTTGTTGGATGGCAGAGAGGTGCAAGCAACACTGTACTTGTCAACATCAATGCTGTCGAGCATGAGGGCTGAGAGGCGGTTGTTTTCATGCACGGCCAATTGTGTGCCGTGAAGGCGGAAATGTGCATTCTGCCATTCGTGGCGGAGGAGCTTAGTCTTGCGTTTCTTCATGTACCCAGCATGAGAGACCTCAGCACCATAGGTAGCTTGCATGTGTGCTTTCTTCATCTCTTTCTGCTTGTTCTTATCAACGACGTGAAGGAGTGCGCTGGGAGTTCGCTGGATGGCGGTCACAGGCGAGAAGACTGCGTTTTCGTCAAGAGCAGGTAGTTGATTGGATGCTTGACGGCGGAACTCGGTACGTGTGTGCTCACGGTATTGCATGTTTGGCGGTACTGACTGGCTGGTATCGCGCGAGATGGGACCAATAGGGATAGCAGTGACGGGAACATCCATCTCAGATGCGGGAGTGCCGTAACGGTAGATATGGTTGGCCTCAGGAGAAGCCGTCGCACTGCGGCAAGGAGACATGACAGTATTAGCGGGCGAAAAGACAGTAGACTTTCCCAACCAGGGATTGGCACTTGCAGAGCGAGGGATGTTCAGCTTGGGTAGATGCTTGAGATGCTCATGCGGCTCTTGTGTCAGAGAGGGACGTTGCAAAGAAGGGTAAGCTTGCTCGTGGACGTGAGGGAACATTTCGAACCGATCGCCATCAAGAGGAGGAGTGGGTGGGGCTTCAACTTGCGCCTGTCCCACATGCTGGAAGCTGAGAAAATGCTTAACGTTTTCTTGAGGATCTCTGATTTGCAGTTGCGCAAGCATGTTTTCGTGCAGGGCAAAAGCGGGGAGCTGACCAGGACCAAGTAGATCCGAGGAAGCGACGATCGAAGGGGGCATGTTTTCAGAGACGGGTCGAGTCGCTCCTGCATCCGTGGAGGGTGACACGTCGTGCGGACGATAAACGTTGTCCAAGACCTTGAAAGCAGTGGTAGCGTTGCCAGGATCGCCTGTGATCAGGATTTGACCACCGTGATCTGGACTGACGGGCCAACCTTGTTGGTCTCGCATGCGAGCAAAAAGTCTCTGCTGCTTGCGCCATTTGGGGCAGTTCTCGCCCTTGTTACAAGAGTGCTCTCTGGGCATCAACTGTTCGATGGCAACGATGGAGACCGATTCTGCCGGAGTGATGATGTCGTCGTGATGTCGATTCTTTCGTCCACGTCGCTTCCTGTGACGGACAGGAGTGACTGGTGTCAGATCGTCGTCGAGCGGTGCAGCAGGCAACATTTCTCGAGGAATATCACCGTCAGACTTCGATCTGACGTTAGTCGGAGGACGAGAGATATCCTGAAATGGAGTCGGAACAGGGCTTGGACCTCGTTCACCACCTCTCAGATTCTGTATTGAGTTCCAGAGCTGATGACGCTTGCCGAAAGATTCAATCTCGAGCTCTTTGAGATTTTCAAATTCGAGCTCCATCAGAATGGCTCCATTGATGTCATGCTTCTCAAACTTGTCAACCACCTCATGAGGCAGACCAGTATCGAGCATCCAGTTCAAGACATCTCCTGTAGTCCATCTCTCTACACTGTACGGGGAAGGAGACTGAAGTACAGCGTCAAGGCCTGGCACGTACAAGTCTTGTGGTGAGAAGGCAAACTCTTGAGGAGCGACGACACTGGCTTTTGGTGGAAGCTCCATAGTCTTGGGTTGTAGAGGGGACATCTGCAGAGCATAATCGAAAGCAAATTCAGCAGACGATTGAGAGGCACGAAAAAGATGAGGACCTTTTGGTCCTTCAACGGGCTTGCCATAAATCTGGAAAGGCCCACTTCGTTCAAACTGCACATCTGAGCGAGGTGTCGAGGCTTCTTCAAAAGATGAGATTGTCGTTTGGCTCCTTCGCCTGCTATCGAACTAGCACAACGTCAATGTCAGAGCACAAATTGATATTCTTTGAGTACTGACCGAATCAAAGCTAGGCTTGGGAGAGTTTTCTTCGAAGAGACTCTCATCGTCTTCTTCATCGGTCTCATATATCTCGGTTGCTTCAGAGAGCGGTCGAGTATACGATTTCTTGGAAGGAGTTGAGAAAGGTGTTTTGAGCGTTTGAGATTGTGAATCTCGGACACCCACGTGGGCGGCGTGTGTCATGTCCAGCTTGACTAATCAGCCAATGTCTTGGACCCGGAAGAGTGCATTCTACCTACCATGATGTTCACAGCAACAACGGTAACCAGAAAAGAGCAAAATCCAAATGAAACGACAGTTGACACCGTTGCCGGTGAGATATTCTATAGCGTCGAGTTCGTAACACGAGAGCGGCAACGAGACAGGTTTCGGGTCTTCGCGCGGCAGCAATATCAAAGGCTTTTGTAAAGATAGCCTTTGCGTGAATGGGAGGGTACACAGAGCCCGTATCCTCTTGTGTGCGTACTGAAAGTGTGACCAGCCGTCGCAATGGGATCAACAGGCGTCAATGGAATTGGAGCGGTTGGCCGAGTGGTCTTGCTGTGCCTGCAGACTGATAGACTACACACCTATCATGGGCCGATTTCGGAATTGGCATTGTTCATTGGACGCCATTTAACTTGCAGCAAGCCGTCATGGAGGAGAGCGTGATGAGAACTTACAGCGCATATGCGCCTGCATGTGCTTCTTGATTGGCTCGAAAACCACGGTCAAGATCTGGCTGCGCGGAGAATAGATGAGTCAATTCTGGATTGCATCGGAACTGTTAGCCACGGAATAAGACATATGCGGTGTTACCCAGACAATCCTGGATATTGAGGCCAGTGGGTGGTGCGAAACCCCGGCCACATGTGCAAAGACAATATGCATAAGGTCTTTCTATACTGCAAACACTGCAGCGATCATGCTGTTGAAATAACCTGGTAAGCGTTGCACATGGTCACAATGCAAGGGCGAGGATAGGACGTGATAGCAACAAGGTGGAAGATCGTGATAGACAGCGTGCTTCTTGATTAGCTCACGCAGAGCATGTTGGAGTTTTCGAGCGAGTTCGATCAACGGATCTCGCCACGAGCCATTTATTCGACAAGACATCTGGCCTTGCAAGTTGGAAAGCTCGACGGGCGGCAGTGGTCTGCGGATGAGAGGCCTGCGACAAGAGCGCGCGCGTGACTTCGATAGCAAAAGCCAGTCTTGGGTATTGGAAACCAATGAAGACACGAAGCCGGGTTGTTCGGTGCTGAGTGGTGAGTTGGCCGCCTCGCGAGCCGCTCTGGCAGTCTGCAAGATTTACGGCCGTTCACGGTCGAGAAACGGCCATTTCGCGCTGGGCAGCGCCATGCAAACTACACGCTTGCCGGTACATGCTCCAGGGATGATAGTCAACGCAAACTCGAACAGAACCAGAGCACTGGGAGACCTGTAGCGATGAAGGCAGCCCAGATACGATATGATTGATTCCACGCAGGAAGGCCTGAGGTTCCTGCATGGGTCTTGTAACATAGGCATAGATAATAGGGTGGTGTGCCAGAGGAGTCAGTAACGCATGCCGTGTCGTTCGCCATAAACAGGGTTCGACTTACTCGGGGAGGGCCGATGCCGTGTCCGAGGCAGCTAACCAAGAAGGTGCGTTGCCGAGCCAGTTCCGATTGGTCAGCAACCCTGGCAAATTGGAGCAAGAGCACATCAATCACACCAAGTTGCTGCACATGCTCCAAACCTCGTCACATCCATCGACAGTCCCCAGCCATTCATTACATTTTCGCCATGCAGCCATAATAGCTAAGCGCGTGGGACGCTCGGTACAGCTTGTATCAGGAGTTCACGCGACTCGAGCGATATGAAGCATCCTGGAAAAGATCGCATGCGCTTCTCTCGGCCAGGCAGGTCCCACGACTCACCGCTGTCTGCTTCCACCACCCCTAAGGAATTGGACTGGACAGAACACTGTCCATTTTCAGGTACTACCACTGAAATGCACCGTCCGTCGATTGTGTAGTCGGGCACAGAAGTCTGAGCATTCGTGCGTTCAGGACGCAGTGTTGATCATGCCTCTCGCCGACTCCACTTTCTGACAATGGTGCTCAGACATTGTAATTGCCGACGCTTTGACATTGAGCTCTTGCGGCTCAATGCGAGCGGGGATCTGCTCGGAGGTATGTTCTCGCTTTCCATCTAGCTATCGAGTCGAAGTTAAATCTGCGTATTCATTCAGAGTGTTCAACCTTACTCATTGGCGCAAACTTATCGTTGTTGATGCCACCGTCTCGAATATATTGCTTGTTCCTGCTTGACTTCTCGACGAACAACAAACGAAGAGGGAGCATTGGGCATACCATTGGACCCCCCACATCTGATCCGATATCCCCAAGATTCGTCAATTCTTCCGGCAATAATCTGACTGCATTGCTTTGGTACGACCATGCGGCTCAGCGCACCATGTCACCATCCTGCCCGATACCTACGCTTCTTGTGGCACACAACAATAGCGTGAGATGATCTGCTCCTCTCCACTGACTCGGCCTATGTCGGTCCCGTGCCACTCGAGTGCAGATAGCCAATCGTAATCCATGATGCCCTGCATACCGCATGACTAGCTCAGATTCGGGACATACCCTTAACCCACATTGTTGAGCGGTCTAAGAATAGATGCGGTGATATTTGGTGCCATTCTTCCAGGTTTGGACATATAAGGTACTTGTCTCCTCTTGCCCTTAACCATAGCCAGCAATCGCAGGCCGACTTAATACACTTTTCACTCTTCTTTTCGTCCCTTTTCCTCTTTCCCCGTTAGCCAGGCTGGTCCAGGCATCCTTCTGCGCTATCGTTTAATCAGAACCCGTTTTTACGCCACTTCTTCCTCTACCAGACCCTTGGTTCCTACCTGCCCTCGACCTACGTTTATCCTTGATTGAGTTGCCTCGCCCCAGTTGTACATATAGATCAGACATGTCGTCGTCAATTGCTCCAGCCAACTCCAAAGCCAACACCAAGATGGCTGCTTCTAAAGATGCGAAATCGAATGCTTCAAAGATGCACCGTCGTTCGCGCACAGGTAGGCTTATATTCACTGTACCTGAGATATGCACGCACATCGTTGACTCCAAACTTACAGGCTGCTATACTTGCCGTCTTCGTCGAAAGAAGTGCGATGAAGGCAAGCCAGGCTGCAAAGCATGCACTCACCTGGGTGTTTCATGCGTTTACAAACGTCCAATGTGGTGGAGTAATACCGCTAAGCGAGCAGAACAAAAGGAAATGGTCAAAGAAAGGATCAAGTTGACTCAGACTGCCAAAAAGACGAAAGATGCGAGCACACCACCTCCTAGTCTGTGCAAAACCGATACCTTCTCGGACTCTAAGCCATCTTCGCGGACGCCTTCGGTGTGCACGCCGTATGCTCAAGAGGTCAACTTTACGCAAGTCTCACCAGAAGGTTATTTTGCTCTGCCACAACCAGAGGCACTCATGTCCCACCCGCCGTATCCTGTACTTTCCCCCTACGAGGTCGACATCAAGACCGAACGCCAAATATTCATTAACGATGTTCCGACTCGCCGCGATTCTACCATCTCGACCTTTAGTACATTCCAGCCGCCGCCGATGGGATCAAGCTGCCATGGCTTCGCTCCCGAGAGCTGGGTACAGCAAGACTACTATGAGATGCAACAAGAGTCCTTTACTGAGGAGCCTGTGAACTTTGACTTCTTTGATCTACCACACGGAAAGACCACACCGAATCACGAGACTGTCATCGAGGTAGACGAAGTTGACAAGCCTTTACTCAATCACTTCATCCAAAAGGTCTCAAAACTTATATTCCCAATCCTAGATGCCAATCAGCATAGTTCGACCCGTTCGGACATTATTCTACCTGCATTGGAGACGAATAAGAGCTACTTGCACTGCTGTTTGAGCGTATCCGGACTGCACAAGAAATCGACCGAAGACGCTCCTTCAGAAAAGATTGACGAGCACATCCTGCGACACCGCTACGCAGCGATTTCCGAGCTCTGCGCCGCGCTGAACGAAGACAAGAACCACGCCCAGATTCTTGAAGCTACTCTTGGCATGATCTTCTTCCAATGCTCCGTAGGACGAGCAACAGACTCGATCCCGGACATTCCTTGGCATCAACACTTCCAGGCTGCTGCTGATCTAGTAGATCGCCTTGAGCTTCCTACCACTGTCGTTGGCGCCATGCAATGCGGAGATGTTTCTCGTCCTCCATTCAACATGGCTCTCACAGCTTGGATCGACATTCTCGGATCGACCATGCTTGGTCGCTACCCCAGATTTGCAGATACGTATCGCGACTTGAACATTGGCAAAGGCAGTGCTGGTCTGTCCGAGCTCATGGGCTGTGACGACAAGATTATGTTCTTGATCTCAGAGATTTCCTGCCTTGAGGCCCACAAGCTGGAAGGCATGGATGACCTTGTGCTGTGTGACTACGTCAAGATATTGGGACACAGCATCGGCTACTGCGAGCCAGGGCCCGGTGCTGTGAAGAGCGCTTTCTCCGGCACGGGAGCGATCAAACCCAAGCAGCTCAGCATCAATGTGACGGCAGCCTTCATGTACGCTGCTCGCATCTACCTTTGTTCTCTTGTCCCTGGCTTCCGACTCGACGATCACAACGTGACCAGTCTAGTCAACGCTTTTTGCAGTGTCATGGAGTACATTCCGGCTGGACCGGAAGGCCATGACCGTTCATTGGTCTGGCCATTGCTTGTGGTCGGGTCGGTCTCTCTTTCAACATCACCTTTCCGCAGCATGTTTGAAGAACGATGCACACGACTAGGAGAAGCCGCCAACTTTGGCTCCTTTGGTCGCGTCCGTGAGCTCTTCATGGACGTCTGGCTGCTGGTGGACAGTGAAGCAGCAATGGGAAGCTACCAAAACGTCTCCTGGCGAGACGTGATGAGACAGAAGGAGTGGGACTTTTTGTTGATATGAACAAGGAAGTCCCTTATGTTTGCCTTGATGGTGACATGGGTTTCTTCTGTGCGTCCTGGTTTGGTTGGTTTTCCCCTAATATTTTGTACATAAGAGTTTTACGAACTCACGAGATACCCCAGTCGTTGCTTCGAAGCAACGCTCATATTCGTAATGAAGCGCATTTTTCCCCCTCATGAGCATCGTTGCATCTGTGACCTTATCATCTTGACACAGAGTGAACATGTCGGTCTGGCTGACGTTGAGGCTGAGTCGCGAGCTGTCTCATTTCCTATGGATAAATACTAGTCTAGCTTGGCGGTGGGGTGTACTATACGAGTCTGGGCAGAGCATCGAGTGTAGATGAGACAGCAAAACACAGGTTCCTGTCAAGGCCATCGGTCAAGATGAATAAGACGAGGCTGGTGTGAGTCTCGGTATCGTATTGTAGACCTTGGGCGATTCAGTCAGGTGGGGAGGGTAGGCGTTGTGGAGAGAGGGCTGAAGGCTGAACGGTCGGCGCTATTTTTGGCAGCAACCGGAGGTCGACGATGTGCAGATCGTCGCAATGGCAAGCATGTGGCAGGTGAGATGGAGCTCGGATTGCCCAACGACGGGTAGATGGCTCCTTCTGCAATATCGCATGCAAGATTGACCATCTCCGAAGCCTGCACCAACCATGCCCGCCATGCACAAGACAGCAAGAGCAACAGCGACACGCAACTGACGGTTCCTTGAAGCTCCGCGTCGACTGTGCATCACTAGTAGACCGACGGCTGTCGCAAAGCAGCACTTGACAGGCCACCCTGCTGCACGCCGGACGACGACTAATCTCGACCTGCATAGACTCTTTGTGAGCAGATATCGCTGCAAGATCCACTCGTAGCTTGTGCATCTCTCCTGTCCGAAGCTACCATGTCGGCCCCAAGGCAGCCACCACCTCTAGAAACGTCCTCGCAGCGCACCTTCTTCGCCAACAACAGCAACAGCATGCACACGCCATTGACCCCGGACTTTGATGATGTTGAATCACCCTCGCTGACATCTGGAAACGCCCTCGCCCGCTTCGAGTTCGAAAAGCCTGCGGGCGACAACAGACAAGGCACAAAGATCTTGATGGTCGAGTGGGAGGATGATGACCACACCAAGCACATCCCCGGTCAGTGGATCATCAGTTGGGAAGGCAAGAAGGCTGCTGTGCTCGCTTCCAACGCCGCTGATGGCTCAAGGGAAGGGCTCCGCCGGCTGTACTTCTTGTTGTCCGTGGCTGAACGCGTGCCGGGCACAATCACCCTCACCCTACACCCAGAGGATCAAGAGTCGGAAAAGACCATCTGGCGCACACACCCACTACCAGCCATCTTCCCGCCCGAGCTGGGAGCTTCGGCTCGTCAAGCTGGCAAGAAGGGTGTCTTGCACACTGTCTGGGCCAAGAAGCGTCTCCACGTGCTGAAGCAAGAGATCCAACACGAAGAACAGTACAGCCCGGAGGGTGTCGCTCTGTCCATGGCTATGCAAGAGCGTGACTGGATCGAGTCGAACTTTGGTGTCCGCACAAAGCCCGCTGGCTTGAAGATTGCCACGACGCACTCGTCGGATCCCTTGAATCTCGGTATGCCTAGTCCAGCTAGTCCACGCAGCCCGGGTCGTGGCCCTTTGCTCGAGAAGATCAAGGGCTTGAAGCTTGATACTGACGCTGCGAGACACGATTCGAATCCACTGAGTCCAGAGGGCTCGGATGTCGCTGTAAACTTCAACACCTTTGCTGCTCTTCACGGTCTCCCTGATCCTACTACTCTTGCCGCTAAGCCCGCTCAACGTGTATCCGAGTCAGGTACAGCTACACCACAGCAACAACCACAACGAAGGATAGCTACTCAACTACCGCCCGAATCTATCCTCGCACAGCAAAGACAACAGGGGGGCAATAGTATGGCGTCGCTGGACGCTTTTGCCGCTTCTGAAGCTCCCGTCGACTTCAAAACTACTGCCCAGGCGGCTCCGCCTCCAATCATCAGAAACGAGTCCACAGGTGATGAGGATGATCTGTTTGCTCTACCCTTGAGTCCTCGCAGTCCCTCCGATCAACAGCCTGGCACTTCTGCCTTTTCCTTTGCGATCGATGATGTTGCAAAGTACAAGCAATGACCGGCGTCCGAGGCACCAAAAGCATGCAGTGTGAAGCATACCAGACGATCTATCTCCCTTCTGACGGACGTTTACCTTGCTCGCGTCTATTCCCCTTCTCACCTTTCTTTCCAAAACATGTTGACATGTACCTTCTTTTCTTCTTCTTATGCCCCCTTCACCTTATCAAATTACAAAGATACGCAGCAGTGGTGTTTGTTGGAGTACTATTTCATCCTCTTCTATCTCCTTATTCATTATTGCCATGATTTTGGAAATCACATATAAACATCTACCTGTCCAAGGCTCTCGAATCGAAACGAGAATCAAATCAAGTCAGTTTACCATTTACATTCACTTTGACAATCGGTTCAGTCACGTCGATGTCAAGAAGGAGGGCTCTTGTTTCATCAAGCCATTCTCTGATGTCTCATATGATCTACACGAGCATTGCTGTCTTTAAAGGACTTGTTCTGGAAAGAGGAGTCTTGCCCATATCCGAAATGGTCTAGGAGTATTTTCAACCGAGCACTGAGTTATGGAGGATCATTCGCGAGTATCACTTGGGTTCTTGAGATTGACATGTACACATGTATGAATTTGGTCAGCACAAGATTCAAGTGCGAGGATTGAAATGAAAGAATAAATCTGTAGTTTTTTTTGGGTCAGAAAGAGCTACTGCTGATAATTGTAAAGACTGTGATGGGTCACTCTTTCCTTTTCCAGATACACCTTCTCTGTTTCTGCAAACTCAAAATGTCCGCAGACCAATTTCCTCCATCGCAGCGCTGCCAAAAAGAAAAAACCTGCAACTCATCATCTCTGATTCGCATGTCTGATTCTCATATCTCAGGCTCGAGATATCGACGTCAATCAGAGTCTAGAACCCAACCGTCTAGAAGCCATTGTATCACTGACTTTTCTACCCACTGCTCTAACAGCATTCCTAGCCCTATCATTGAGGGTGAGTGAATCTCTCTCCTGCGAATTGATTAGTCAGATGCTTGCTATCATATTCGAGAAACAAAACACCCACATGTTCTCCTTGGTCCTCTGACACATGTGCGGCTCCGAGTGATGCTTCTTCGTCGTTGAAAGGAGCGATACTGTGGATAGTCTCATTGCTTCCACTGGTATTCCTGCGCATGTCGTCGTTGCTGTTGCTGATGTTTCTGCGCATGGTATCGTTGCTATTGGACAGGTTCCTGCGGATTGTGGCTTCGGAGCGTGAGGTTGCGAGGGTGGGTGGATAGGCAGGGTAGTATGTAGGCCGAGATGTGCTCGGAGAGGATGGGGCGGACGGGGGAATGTCACCCTTGCTATATGCGTTGGTGAAAGGTCTGTGACGACGGCCAAACATGTCGACAGGAGTGATGGTCTGGTCGGATGCAGGGGATCTCAGGTCGAGGGGCAAAGTACTCAGATCAGGGGCTGTGTGGGAACGGCTGCGGTTGCTCTCTGTCTGGAAGCGAAGGGCTTCTTCAAGAGAAGCTAAGGTGTCGGCGACTGATCGCTTTGAATTGTGCTCATCTTCTCTGAAGAAGTCTTGAGCTTCAAGCTCGGCACGAGTTAGAGGATCAAGGTCACGGTTTGGCTTTTCCTTCAAAGCCAGTTGAGCAAGGCTGAGTCTACGTCTAAACTCGGCAGGATCTGTTTGACTGATGTCGTATGTCTCCTTATCGACCATGATCTGAACTGGCAGATTTTCTAGAGGGGGATGGGAACTCAGAGGCTGAGGTAGAGTCTGGATGTGTGTCGATTGATTATTGTTGGACTTTGGGAGAGTTGAACGCCCCTGTGAGATTTGGGTCCATGGAGGTGCATCCTGGTACTTTGAATGGCTTGAAAGTTGATGTTGACTGGTTTGTACACTTTCTCTGTGCTTGCTGGGTATGGCGTGGTTCCTTGAACGAAGTTGCTTCTGCTGGTTGTCTCCGATGGAAGGCATCTTGTGCCCAGAAGCTGCAGTGTTGATGACAGATTTGGTTGTCTGAGACTGATCCTGAGGTTCAATTCTTCTTCCAAGATCACGATCGCGCTGAGAGGCAGTAAGAGGCTGCTTTCGAAGCGATAGCCCATCCATGCCGAAGACATAGTCTGTCACATCGTGTGCAGGTCGAGCAGACTTTCTCTGTTGGGCCTCATGTGTGAAAGACCACGTCTCGGAACCAAGCGCAGGAGATGGCTGAGGAAAGTGAGCCGGACCCAGCTTGCGAGATTTGTCGACCTGCTCATCTTCCTTTCTCTGTTTCTTGATATGCTCGCTACGGGAGGTTGCATGGTTGGTCGAGGGCCAGATCTCTGATCCCAATAGCGGAGAAGGCTGAGGGAAGTGAGCTGGACGTAGTCTCTGAGTCTGATAATATGGAGTCTCCCCGAATCCCTGAAGGAACTGCGAAGTCTCTGGTGACTGGGGGTCTTGGTTAGAGACATCCGCATAGAAGTCTGGACCAGATGCTGGAGTCTCAACCTCCTCATCATATCGCTGGCGAGACAATGTTCGCAGAGGTGGGAAGCAGTCATGGGTCAATCTGTTCGTAACGAAGCCAGCCACTCTGTGATGAATCTGTTTAAGCGCTTCCAAAGGTTGATTGGTCCACTCGGCACGTCCCTCAAAAGGCTCATGGTACTCTTGGATATTGCCATAGTTATCATAAGTCACAAGAACATAGGTCCAATAAGGCTCTCCATCGTCGTAGGTGATACAAGAAAGGACGTGTGCGCCGAACTGTGATCTCATGAACCGTAAATTCTCTTGAAGCTGCAATAGCATGAAGGCCGGATCGTCCATGGCTGGTTAATCACGTATGCTGGAATGGTGGAATTCATGGCAGCACGAGACTGTTGTCTTATACCTGTTATTTTTGCTGTGTGGGCGCGAGATTGTAACGCACCTCCAAAGGAAGGTGTAAACTCCAGTTCGAAGTGGGGAAACAAAAGAACATTCTATGGCGGGAGCTCATCGTGCAGAAAAGAGCTAACAAGTGTTTTCACTCGAAAGCAATCGCCAGAGACGGATGTGGCTTCCATGTTCCAAACCTTCCAAAAACGATCAGCAAGCACAATTTAATCGTCTCGGCACCAAATACACGCTCGAAACTGTCCTTTGAAACAAGCGGTCTTGAGAGCACGAAAGTTCGCCCTGTTCATTATGCGCCCTAAAGTTGTGCACGTGGTCTGTCTGGTATACTCTCCCACGCACTATCGAAGCCAGCCGAACGAACCCATATCGGCTCTGATCCTTCAACAGAGTCAATAGCCATATGACCAAGTTGCAACCACATGTCCCCTTTGATTCTGAACTTTTCGTTCTCCTCATAAGGCTTACAGATTTGTTGTCCATGTGCCAACGCCCTGACCAGTTTCGAACCATGTCCGTCATCCGAGAAGTTCTTGACGCGCTCAATGATGTCGTACCAAGGGTCGATTGCTCCAGACGTCGGTTTGCTAGGTTTGTAATTTGCAATCTCATCCAGGAGGAGATCAGGACACCCGCGTGAGGCATACAAGACAATGTCATGGCGGGCCTTCCACTGCAGAAGGCGGACTTTGTTGACATCGCTCAGCCAGTCTTGTTTGAGAAACGTCGAGAAGAAGATGGAAGCGTTGATGCAGTGCATATAGAAGAAGTCAAACTTGATGGCTTTGTCGCGGCGTTGAGCGGCACCGCTAAAGTACGCGGCTGCATTTGTCATTTCTGCCGTGCGCTCATCAAGTTCTTTGGGGCTGCTAATGCGATATTGAGCAATGATCCCAACCATTCTCTTCATCTCTGTTTTCATTATACCATCACGAATTCGGTTGCCATCGACATCTGCTGCCTTGGCTAGCCGCTTCTCCGCGTGTGTTTGGTCAAGAAGATCGACAATACCCTTTGGAGGTCCACGCAGTGTTTTGGAAAGAGTTTCCGCGCCTTCAAACAGAGGCTTCATCCATGCTCCGTGCACTGCGGCTTGAGCGAGGCCTTCTGCGATAATTGCGGGTTGGTGAAATTCAATTCCGAAGCCCAAGTGGATGATCGGATGGAGAAAGCCGGCATACATGCGAGCCAACATATCGTCCGCTCGTTCGTCACCAGCAAACACGTATTCGTTCAGGACTTGTTGCCATCCTTTCTTACTTATTTCAGCTTGAAAATAGCGAAGGTAGTCGTTGTAGTAGCGTTCTTTCCCTAGATATTTCTTGAAGAGCGAGGGGTCCTCCATGCCCTCGACTAAGGCCGCTTCAACAGGCTGAGGTGGTCGCTGGTAGCTCACATTGTCGTCATAGTGCTTCTGGATCTGTGAAGGGGTCGCGTTTAGAGAGTATATGGTCAGTAGATGATGGGCGATGTGGTTATGGAAACCACCGTTGTTGAAAAAGATATCATGCTTCTCATGGTTCTCCTGTAAAAGATCTGAAGCTCTAGTCGCAGACTCCTGTTGAATATTCTTAATGTAGTAGTCGGGCCATTCGCCAAGCGAAAGGTGTACTCTTGATGCTGTCGCCATTGTTCGCGTCATTCTTGGTACCTGAGGAAATAGGGGCTTGATGTAGGTCAGCTTCTGAAGGTATGATATCTGACGAATCATGAATGCTGCCGAAGTTACGAGTATTCGGTCTGTAGACATCGACGCATTATAAGTACCCACTTACAATATTGCTATGAATCTGATGACCAACAATTCGCGATCTTGTTTGTCCGAGTGACGAGAATGCCAAGCCGGGCGGATTTTGGCATGAACACCGAGAGCTCCGCCCAATCGTGACCTTTATTCTCGTGTACTCGAGCAACGCAGGTAAAGACCATCCTGCCGACACCTTGATAACAAAAGATCTGTTGAATAGCTAGATATCGTTACGGTTCGTGTATTGTTAACGGGAACATAGATACTTTTGTATATACTATGATCAAAGTATAGTAAGAAATAGTTGAGTATTATCTGTGCAATTTGGCAATTATGCTGGATTAATGTCTTTCGTGAAGGCGAAGACTACTGTAGGATATAATCTCCACGCAAATCGGAGTCTTCGACCTTATTTCCTCGAACTTGTTGTTGGAGATCGTTTTGTGCTCGATGTCGGCTGCTTGGAAGTTGTACTTGACGGCTTGACCGTGCTTGAAGATACTGCCTTTTTGGAAGTGGTCGAAGGCTTAACCGTGCTTGTGACAGTGGGTTTCCTTGTGCTAGTCGACGTGACTCTCTTAATACTAGTCGTCACAGGCTTTACTGTTGTTTTAACAGACGTCGCCTTCGTAGATGATGTTGTTTTCTTCGATGTGGTTGTAGCTTTGTTTGATGTTGTTGTAATCTTCTTCGATGTCGTAGTGACCTTCTTCGACGTGGTAGTAGCCTTGTTAGATGCTGTAGTGGTCTTTTTGGACGTCGTAGTGACCTTTTTACTCGTCGTTGAAGCAGGCTTTGTGATTGCGCACTTGCAAAGACTAGTAAGACTCGATGCAGTGTACTTTTTGAACGGCGATGTGGTCCTCGGGCTGAAAGGGCGTTAGATGGAGAAATGATATATGGTAAGGCGAACATACTAAGAGGTGTAGAAAGTGCAGAAGCGCCACGGCTGAGTAAACTGTACGCTGACTTCTGCGCTACACGAGGCTGCAGACCGAGCTACAACAGCAGCCGCTCTCTCTTCAATGTTGGAGCGCCTGCGCTTGCGTTTGCATTTACCACCGGTTGTCACCGGGGAGATACACTTGCAGAGAGTGTCGACCTGGGTCGCGCTGAATTCCATGAATGGTGATCTAGTCCGTACACTGCTCGTTGGATGAGTCGTCTGACATCAGGGCAGAACCACATGCGCACTTACTCTTGTTGCCACCACTGACAGAAGTATACCGGGTCCGAGACTGTACGCTTGACCGTGGCGATGTCTTTGGTAGAACATGTCGAAGCTGCACGTTCGACGACGAGCGGAGAGGATGACACGTACACAAATTGCACAGTTAAGCAAAAGAGAAGAAATATGAACGAACGAGCAAACATCTTGGAGGCCGCAAAAAGAAGGAACGATCTTACAATCCATGTGCTGCACCTACCAGTTATAGCCTCAGGGACGAAGTCCCTGCCAGAGATGCGGCGTTTCACCCGACCCATGCTCAGCTGGCAGAACCTGCAGGCCTGTTGAGATGACAAGACGATCTAGAGTACTGGTTGCTAAACAGGTCTCATGTCCATCAACGGCTTTCAGCAGTCCCTCGACACGCTCTTCGAAGCAAGCACGCGGATTTGACCGTCATGATGCGACTCATGCATAGGAGGTAAATGGTCGACACCGGATCTAGCTATTCATTTGAAGCTCAGCCAGCCACTATGGGCGGGTGCACAACTCCTGTAGGCAGACATAGCATAACGGTGTGAATCTCTTCCAACGGTGGTGGAAATGTGTCTCGGAAACGTCTCAGACGGCAGAAGGAGGTGTGCTGGAATTGCAAGCTAGGTAATTTGCACCATGGTCTTGCTTTACTCGCGTGGACGACAGTCTTACAGGGTTTCTTTGTAGATTTGCGTAAGTATGAAGGACAGGAAGGTGAGAGCAGAGTCCACAGCAGAAAAGATACGAGATCGCCTTGGCAGAATGACGATGTTCAATCATAGAGTGGGCGTCTTTACCGTCTGCAGTAAACAAGCCCTCGCCCAACTCGACAAACGGCTAGATTTCGCCAACATCTTGCTTCGCCACAATCACCATAATGCCATCTGACAAGACGAGATGCCTGTCTTGTCAAGCACGGCATGCCAAATGCACTGTCAGACAAGGTCAAGATGCTTGTGTCCGATGTCAAAAAGCGGGCATAACGCAATGCGCGTTTGAGCCGGCATGGCGGTTCAAGATTTGCCGGACCTCCATCATAGCTACGCAACGCACAGATCTGGTATACGACTCCAAGCAACCATGGGTACCCACCAATCTGGAGCTGACCTTCGTTCCTGAGAATGGAGATGGTTTGGAGAATATCTCACAACCGACGAGCGTCAGACCGAATGACCGAGTACATGAGGTACGCTCCGATCGGGGCCCGTCTACTTCTGAGAATGCGGAAGGGCGAACGAACACGACAACGAATTCTGCCTGGGCCGAGCCTCTTCATAACGCCAAAGGGCTTCTCAATCGGCAGCATGGTCAGTCGTCGTCGTCTGATGTATCCGATCAAAGCAGTATGGCAAGACGAGAATCACCGCCTACCAGTACCAGCCCTGAGCTAGCAGCTGCAGAATATATTGATGCTGGTGCTTCTCATTCCACAACTCCACCAGATTCTCTCAGAAAATCTCTTACTCAACCTCTCACGTATCGCGAACTAGGTCTCGTACAATATTTTATTGTCAAGATATCTCCATGGGTAAGAAGCGCAAAAACAACCATTTAGAGGCAGTGTATGATGCTGACAGCTTGATCAGCTCGATGTATGTGAGGACATACCAACATTTGCTCTGGAAGTACCCTTGAAAGCAACCAAGTCTGCGATGTTGCTTTATTCAATACTGGCGGCGTCATCCCGACATCAAGCTCTGAAAGATGATGCATGGCCAGAAGCCTCGGGATATCACAGCAAGTGTTTGGAGCTGGTCATACAATCACTCTCACGGCCAGAGAGTCATCACGACGATACACTACTGGTGACCATCATCATGCTGCGGTATTATGAGTTGTTCAGCCAAGAAACTTATAGCTCTCTCCACCTGGATGGATTGGCTGGTTTATTGGGTGTCATACCAGACTTCCTCCAAGCTGGAGGCCTAGCAGAGGCAGCCTCCTGGTTGGCGCTTCGACAGGACCTGTTTATTGCGATGACCAGTAAACAAGCACCCAAGTCACGACTAGAGGACTATGATCGGGCCAGTGTGTTCAAACGACGCACCGATCCTGGTGCAGCCACATATGCTATTGTTCTGATATGGGCGAAGCTTTTACGACACATGTACACATCTGATCCGAGTAGTCTTTTCACCACCTGGGACAGTCTCGAAGAAGCCGCCAGGAAGTGGTACGACACTAAAGGATTTGAGCCTGCCTTTCTACAGGATGCAAATTTGGCATCTGACCAACCATTTCCAGTCATTAGCATGATTAGTGCATCATCAGGTACGGCACCCTATTGTCATGCAGTAGATGTGGTATCCTAACTTCCATACAGTTCTTGCGCTCGAATATTACTATACCTTTCGAGTATATTTGAACTTACACAAACCGCTTGATCCCCCACAACCAATAACCAAGGCGGAGAAACGCGCTCGATATCAGACGGTGGTTGGTCCCATATGCTGTATCCTCGGCCTCGCACGATCAAATGCCTGGGTGGAAGACGCAAATTTCCCTGCTTGCCACATCTTAATCACATGTAGGTGAACAGTTCCCTCTTGCAGGCCATCAACAAGTCAATGGCGCATACTAACGTAAGACAGATGGATACTGTATCATGGACCCGCTACAGCGTGACCATGCTCTTCGTTTCTTGGAGTACATCAAACAAAGTTTTGGATACCATACCGAGCGTACAGCAGAGACACTTAATCGCCAATGGGCTGAATTCGACGAGATGGGTGAGTGAACTATATGGCTGGCAGGACCCCATCATTGACATCAGATCCTTTCAAGGTTGATCCCGATTTGCTTACAACCTCGATGGAGGCTGACAGTCACGCGGCTGGGTCAGCAGCTTTCGAATAACTGTAATCACCCCATTTCGAGAACATGGGCACAGGCACTCCTACTGCATCAGATTCGGATTACGCGCAGCAGCACCCAAGTTTCGATTCACTGGATATATAGAGAGATCCGTCGGGAAGCGCAAAAACCTCGTACCTCGCCTTCCCGTAGTGCCGGCTCGCGCGACAACAATCGTAAGGCCGATTTGTTGTCGTTAGAGCCTACGATGTCGAGAAGATTTGCGATCCGCGTCGCCCACAAGGCTGATCGGCACCGGAGCCCTTTTCGACAACGAGCCAAGCTCTTATCGAGTCACGGGGCTCGATGCAAGCGTTCTTACAGTGCTCATAAACCGACCAAGTGTGTGCTCGTCGAAAGTTTGCCCCAATTATACGAGGCGTATGGCAGCGTCGGCGAGTCTGCACTCTGCACTCTGCACTCTGCAACTACCCTTCAGAAGAATGAGGCATGTCTCGGACCGTATAGTGCTTTGCTATTGGTCGACTACATCAGCTCAATGTCCCAAGGACATAAAGCTTGTCTCAACAAAAGAGTCTAGCAATATCGCCTGGAGGTTGTGCAGAAGGCATGACACTTTCTGATGTTGACACAGAGCAACCACGCAGATACTCTCAGTATATGTTTTCGTGATCAGTAAATCTCTTGTGCTTTCTGACAGCTGATGTTACTCTACTGACAACGTATGGATTTCGCGTTGGGCTCCAGTGCCGACAAAATTCATGGCTACACCTTCCCAGAATCAAAGTTTCCATTCTACTCTGGATCCGTACCACACATCAACCGAGTATGCAACAAAACAAACGTCTGCTGCACGCAAAACAATGATTCCGCTGAGGCTCGAACTCAGGACCGCCTGTGTGTTAGACAGAAGTGATAACCAACTACACCACAGAACCAGTTGATATGGGCAAACCCGTTTATCCCGATCACAATCCTTGCTGTGGGGCTTGTGCGAGCATGGAACCTAGGTTGCTGCGCTGCGATCTATCTCAAACAACTACCGTGCCCAAAATTCCCTCGCTTCCCGCATGACCTTCGCAGTCACATCAATTAAGCTCATCTGTTGTGCTCATCATGCAGGAGAGCGTTGCTCATTGAACACATTACGCTCTCGACTCTTTCTCGTGCGTAAGGTCAGTGTCGATCTAACGGACGCGAATGTAACCTGCCCTTCTCGAGACGGAGATCGTCCTCCGTCCACATCAGACAATTAGTGCAGTCGTTTCATCTGCAAGTCAAACCACGCCCGTGCGGATATGGGGAGTAGGGCATCCTCAAGGTAGGCACGACTGACGGACATATAACAAGCTGCCCTTCTTTCCTGCTTCTTTCTTGCCCTGGTTGAGCCCTCTATTAGCAGTTCTCTCCTTGTTCGTTTGCAGAATGCATATCTCTTCTCTTCTTCTCGCCGCAGGCTCGGCGAGTGCTGTTCTTTCTCAGCCTTTGACCCGCCTTGGCCAACGTGCCATCAGCACCTCAGGCAAGCTCCAATTCGTTGGCATCAACGAGTCAGGACCGGAATTTGGTGAAGGCAATATTCCCGGTAAACTTGGAACCGACTACACATGGCCCGATCTCTCCACAATCAGCACGTTCGTCGGCAAGGGCATGAACACCTTCCGCGTGAACTTTTTGATGGAGCGTCTGATACCCAACCAGATGACTGGCTCTCTGGATGCCGCATACCTCAGTAACCTGACTGAGACTGTCAACGGTATTACCAAGCTCGGCGCCTATGCCATCATCGTTCCTCACAATTATGGTCGCTATAACGGCGAGATCATCACTTCTGCTGAAGACTTTGGCACTTTCTGGAAGACGGTTGCGAACGAGTTCAAGACCAACGACAAGGTCATATTTGATACCAACAACGAGTTCCATGACATGTCTACTTCCCTCGTAGCCGATCTTAATCAAGCCGCTATCGATGCCATTCGTTCCACTGGTGCTACCTCGCAATATGTTACCGTAGAGGGCAATGCCTACACCGGTGCTTGGACATGGACGACTAGCCAGGGTACTGATGGAAAGACCAATGGCGAGACAATGGGTGTCCTGACAGATAGTGTCGATGGCAAGCTCATCTACCAGATGCACCAGTATCTTGACTCTGTACGTTGTCCCCACCTCACCATCGTCCCAAAGCTAACATCTTGCATCAGGATGGCTCCGGTACCTCCTCGACCTGCGTCTCCCAAACCATTGGTAGTGAGAGACTCAAGGCTGCAACGACTTGGCTCCGTGACAATAAAAAGATCGGATTGGTCGGCGAGTTCGCTGGCGCTGTCAACTCCGATTGTGAAGCTGCGGTCAAGGATCTGCTCGCATTCGTGGCTGAGAACTCTGATGTTTGGGCAGGTGCCCTCTGGTGGGCTGCTGGTCCATGGTGGGACGACTACATGTTTTCGGTCGAGCCCAAGGATGGTGTGGCGTATAGCACATATGCTGATCTCGTTGCTTCATACGCGTAGGCGTGTGTCTTGGAACCATAGATGGTCGAACATGTTCTGGTCACTATGTGTCAGTCAAAGCCTTTGTACTAAACCATGGAGGAAACGCTTACAAGCTCCAGTCGCCGACGAGTAGTCTGTGTAGTTTGTGTAGGAGCGCTGCATGTGGGCACGTGGCATCTTGTGCATTATAGCAATCTGATTCCTCGCTCTAACTTCTCGCATGTAGCTCGCCTGTGCATCTGATGGTTTGCTATCCACTGTCGTGCTGGTATCTCCGTAATACATCTTCCCTAGTCCTGCTATCGTGACGGCAAACAGTGCACAGCCCAGAAGAACGAGTAGGATGATCAGCCATGGTGCCATTTGTGCCATCGTTGCGGATATTCTTGGTATAGACTGTTGACTTGGGAAGGGGTTAGAGATGATGGAATGCGACTCTCGTCAGTCAAGCGTGCGATGGGTGCTACTTAAGGAGGCATCCTTTCTGATACCAAGCCATCCATCCTTCTCAATCGTACATGTCGGTTATAATTAGTCCAAACATACATGTAATGGCTAAGGGAAAATCCAAGCCCGTTGTCTTATATCTACACTGTTTATCACGCCCCTTGCTGAAGCAGCACATGCGCCCTTCCTTCACTGGCAGATTTAACGAGGTGGCCAATAGGGAGTAATCCCCAGACGAATCCTCCACGGTTTCGACTGCATGACGGTCAGCTTGGCAGGCACGAACGCTTGCTAGGGCTTCTTTTAATCAACTGTCAAACGCGTATACTCCCGCTTGGCGGGCTTGGGCAGTGCTACATTCCTGCTTGTCGGGCACAACGTCTGATTCTGTTTCCTGAGGCTGTGCAGGTCATAGTCGACTGTGAGAGGTCCAGGAACCTCGTAGGATCTGAAATAGCACACCAGGCAGCGGCTTCTTTGACAATGTTGAGCTCATACGTCCGTATAGCATACGATATTGCCAAATTGATCATCGCTATCCTCGTACGAGAGGATCTGTTTCTGATTGCCATGAACAAACAGATAACGTCGCGATGGACTATCGCGAGAGCATCACTTAGACAATCGTATTCGTATACTAACCATTGCTTGGCAAGATTGGGTCTCTAGGCAAGCAAGCCCTGGTCTTTACTGACCTGTATGCCGACAGTATATGGGGTGTCCGGTTATGTGCCTACACAACACAAGCGAAGATAAAAGCGCAACGGCCGGCGAAAAGTGAAGCCACCGCTTGTGCTCCGTGCAAAGTCGCCAAGGCTGCTTGTGCAGCCACATCTCATGCATAACTTCAGGCTTCAAAATTTTCGCCAGAACAAAAATTTTGCTCTCTCGCTCCACCACCGGCTACTGGCAACAGTATGCATACCATCGGCAAAATGATGTTGATGAGAGTGGGATTTGAACCCACGCCCTTTCGGACCAGCGTATTGGAAGAACCTTAAGCTGGCGCCTTAGACCGCTCGGCCATCTCACCATTTATTGGAACCAGGCTCGACCTAGATAATTTATGGTTCCGATCAATGCTGTATCGAGGCTTGGCTGTGGGCACTGACCACTAAGTTATCCATGACATCGACATCGGCCCGAGACATGAGCGAAGCAAAGACAGGGGAGCTGGAGAGGATCGAAAGGAATAGAAGACCATAGCGCGGCCGGGAGCTACAGCAATCACAAGCTGCAAAGGCGTTGATTGTGTGCAAGATGTACAGTGTAGTGTGTATAACTAGTAGATGTATAATCAGGTATGTGTTGGTGTTGTTGTGGTGCAGGATTGCGTTGCCCACCCAGATCAAAGACAAACAAAGTTTTGAGAACAGCGACGACAATACATATTTTGATGAAGCTTCATGTGCTTGCACCTGAAAGAAAAAGAGCGTGAAAATAGCCTGCCAAAAGAAGAAGAAATGCAAGGACGATAATCATTAGTACAGAGTGAAGTTGGCGAAAGTAGGGTCCTGCCAGTGCGGCTCTGCACCCGGATCCGCGGGCTGGGAAGGTCCCCACAATGGAGCATGCTCCGAGGGTCGCAAATTCGCCAGCGTCCACTGCCGGGCAAAAGCCATAGGACCGTACATCAACGAGTCCAGACTCTCCCTCCGTCTTCTGACCAGAGGTTTTTTGGGTACTTCTTCCAACGCTTGTTGCACCAATTTGATAGACTGATCGATTTTCCCAATATACTCAACCCTCTCGGGTGCCACGAGAAAATTACGCGTGGCTGGAAGGATTGGTTCAACTGCCAGAGCGACCATGTGAAAGTGCGCGAGGAACACGAGAAGAAGAGGATTGCGATCAGGTAGGCGCATCACTGCATTCGGCACCCAAGGTACCCAGTGGCGGATTGAATGCACCGTCTGGAACTGCTCGTCGAGTGTCGAACCTGGTAAGATGGAGTCGGCTAGTCGGTACTTTGCGAGCCTTGCGGCGCCGAGTAACGTCCAGAAATTGTGGCCATCTCGTGGTTTTGCTGGCTTGCCTTTTCGACATTGGCAGCAGCGATAGAGACTCAGCACAGTATTTGCTGTCTATGATGCGCAGAAAATCATCACTCGTTACCATCGCACGTTGAAACAAGACCTGGGTAAAGACCTTTCGTCGATAACAAGCTAGGAGCATACAGAACGGCCATGCTGTATCCCAGTGGCAAAATAGAGATACGGAAACCAATGAGCAGGAGGTTACAGCCTGCAACCCTTGACTGCCCTTATTATGCAGCCCACAACTTAAACTTCACGGGATTTGGTCCTGACGGCGACAGCGCCTAAACGGTTATCGTATGGCATGGCACATGCTGAGGGAGCTATGCTGGCTGATCGCAGCGCATACCATGATATCACTTCTTGTCTGCCAAAAGCAGCGACGAAGCGTACATGGGTAACAACCTTGTAGCAATGTAGATGGTGGTGCAGAAGATGTACAAACCAGAAGTGTTGAGGATAGGACGACTTTGTAGAAGGTCCTGGACAAGTTGTGGATGGTTTGAGGCGTGTTCACGTGCTCAACATTTGACACTGGTAGGTGCAGGGTTCTTGAAGGAGAGCAAATACCCGAACAGGCGAAGTATTCGATCAAGACTGCTCGAGTGTCTTGGCTGATTACCTCCAGGAGCGCGCCATACTGGTTCCTTCGATTGCCGCCGGCTGTCTCGTTTGCGACCAAGCGCCGTTTGTCGCAGCTTGGGCGATGAATGTACAGCCCTTTTCACCATACACCTGTGGAGCACATGTATAGGCATCGGGAGCCCCACATCGAACAGTCTCCATCCTTCGATTGTGTAGCAACTGATCAAGTGTCTTGATTTAACAAAACAACTCAATGCTTGTTTTTCTTGTTGCTTTTATCATGGAGATGCTTGCTCAGAATCTCGTAGTCTGACTCGATGGATCTTCCACCTCTCAGCTTCCTTGGTTTCGGGCTGATTTCGTCTACCTCGTATCCGCGTGAAGCATACCAGTTTCGAGCGCGTGTATTACTTTTGAAGACGGTGAGCATGCTTTTGTCCATAGCAGTAGTTCTGCCAACATGCTCAACTACATTGAAGAGGTGACGTCCTAAGCCACAGCCGCGGAAGTGTTCGGACATATGTATCTCGTAGATGTAGACGACATTCTCCTTCTCTTCCTGGGTGATCATGAAGGAGAGAAAGCCAACAACTGAGTGATCCATGCTTGAGTCTTTGCTCCATCGTGTATCAGATTCCGGAACCGCGTCGTGAGCAAGCCTGACGATGAGGTAGCGCATGTCTTCGTCCTTCATCTCTTCGAGTTTGTTTTCAGCGTCCCAGCCCTGATTACTTGCGTCATAGTGTTTGTAGCTTGTATGCTTGATCAGCTCGAACAGCGTATGTAGTACGTTGTTCGAAGGCTCGGTTGATTTTGTTGTCTCTCCGTCCGCCTGGTCAGAAAGATCGGCACTTGTGGTCAACTTAATATCGAAAGCTGACACACCGACTTCGGTAGTCGAAAACAGCCCTTGTTCCGAGCTTCCTCCAGGGTATTCGTACATCAACAAATTTGTGCTCAAATAGTCTTCAGTAAATTGAGAAATCGACAGTTTGTTGATATCTCGAACTCTTCGAAAGCGCAGGTAGGCATGTCTTGCTTCAGCGTACAATCTCATCCCTTGGGCTTCTTTCTTCCCAAATGTGCGATAGACGTTGCGATGTGTGAGAAGTACATTGCCATTTTCTTCGGATGTTCTTAAAGGAAAGATATCGAGAAAATCGCAAGCTCCAAGAATGACATGTTTTAGCTCCATTTCCCTAAGCGAGGAGCGAGCTTCGGTCAGGAGCTCATCTGCTTCGTCTTTGTCTTTGAAGTATCTTGACTGGACAAGGTCAAGGGTTGGTGGGCGGCCATTATCCACTTGCTCCATGCCCAAGGCGGCGTTAGCCTCGAGGAACTTGTTGACTCCCCATAATCTCCACTTCTTGAACTCCCTTTCTGTTGCCGCGCTCGTCATGCCCAGAGGTATGATGTTGCCGAAACTGTCACTCGTAAAAGTGAAAAGTTTTGGTCGAGAGACGCGATGGGTTTCGTTCGTGATTCGGGTAGGCGTCGGCCGAAGATCCGAAGGCAGGACTTTCCGAATTTATGCTCCGCAAACTGTAGACGACATCAACAAATGAACTTGTGAAAACATGATGCGGCAAACAGCAAGCCTTTGGGCAAAAATTGCGACACAGAAGTCGTTACTTCGTGGAAAGAATGTTTTGACCTTGGAACACGTACGCCTGGCCGTGGAGCGTGATGTTGACAATGGCTGACGACGAGAAAAGTTCATGCAAAAGAAGAAGGCGCTGGGGCTCTGGCGAGAGATCATGCGAGCCATCACCAGTATGATTGTCAATTCAAGTCGTTATTGTACGATACTAATGATATTCAGAGATCCCAGGATCACCGACAAAAAGAGAGATGCGAGACTATGCGCGTACAGAGTTCGAGCGACACCGAGATGTCCAGGACATCGGACACATCCGCTATCTCATCTCGACAGGACGCACACAGTTCGACGGCATGAAACGATACATCAATGAGCAGGTGCTATGAGTGGCAGCGGTGCCGGCGCAGAGCTCGAATGGCAAGACTCACATTTCATGTTTTCATTCATTGTCCAATTACCATTACACTCCAAGATACCCCGTCAATACATCAGCGCGTCACTACACACTGAAGGACTGCGAAAACCTGGTCAGCCTGTGGTTAGCCTTGTGTGATGATGGGTCAATTTTAGTGATAATCATGAGTGAAGTTGCGACAAGAGAGTGGTTGGCTCAACAAGTGCAGGGCGGCAAGCTCCGTCGCAATTGCAGCTGCGGGCAGAAAGAAAGTCGCGAGTTGTGGATGGCGCTTTCGCTTTGAACAGAAGATTCAAACTCTAGCCGGCTCCTTCCAAACACCAGCACGAGCACCTGTCGCGTAAACAAGCCACTGCCACTTGCCTTATCAGCGCAGCATCAACCAAAGTCATCCTCCTCACAACAGTCATCATGGCCGACGTCGCGCAATCACCGGTCCCTCTCGACACCATCCCCATCTCCCCCGAAGGTGGTGATGCCGCCTCGGACTCCGCTCCCACCACCAGCTCCGGCGATGTTGTCACCGTCTTCCACGACCCCGAGAACTTCAACGTCAAGCACCCTCTCGCTCACACCTGGACCCTCTGGTTCACAAAGCCCCCAAGCGGAAAGGTACTTGATGAGCGACACAACTCGGCAGCCACATTGTCCTAACACTCCTAGCAGCAAGACTGGAACGAGTTGTTGAAGGAGGTCATTAGCTTCAACAGTGTCGAGGAGTTCTGGGGCATCTACGTGAGTCGCCGCCATCACCGTCGGTCCGACAACAACACCCAGCTAACCACTCTGTAGAACAACATCACCCCCTCATCCGAGCTTGCCCCCAAGTCCGACTACCACCTCTTCAAGCAAGGCGTCCGCCCCGAGTGGGAGGACCCTCAGAACAAGCACGGTGGCCGTTGGTCCTACACCTTCAAGCAGCGTCAGGCCAACGACGACATCTGGCTGCACGTCCTGCTCGCCGCCATTGGTGAGCAGCTCGAGGATGACAATGACAACGAGGTCATGGGTGTCGTCATCAACATCCGCAAGGCCTTCTACCGTGTCGGTCTCTGGACTCGCAGCGCTGGCACGAAGGCAAACCCCGCCAAGCAGGGCCAGCCTCAGCGCACCCCCCAGGAGTCTCAGGCTATCCTCATGAAGATTGGCCAGCGCTTCAAGGCCGTACTCACCGTCCAGGACAAGGAGGTCATCGAGTTCATGGGTCACTCCGACTCTGCCAACGCCGGTTCCACCCGTGCTAAGGCCAAGTACTCGGCTTAAGCAATGCGGCCTTCCAATTTCTCTGTCGAACTTGCATTTCCCAGCGGACTCGGCGTCATCGGAACTCAAAAAGGACGTACACGGCGTTGTTACCTTTCTTCAGAACCACTTTACAAAGCATGACATTTATGGGGGCATGACTCTTTTTTACCTTCTTTTTCAAAATACCATTACGCAAATCAGGGGAAGAAGCAGGGGCGGACCGTCTAGGAGGTTGAGCAAGTGGCCCTCTGTTCTAACGACGTCCGTCTGGTTTTTATGACGCGTAGAACTGGGACGGCATCGGGCTACGTAGAGGTTGATACCACGGATACGAAACATGTGATAATACCCGCATCAGTGTCATGCTCTCTATATGTGTATATGTGTCTGTATCTGTGACGCGGATAATCGTCGTGGCGGTCTCAAGATGAAATTGTCGAAGATCTTTCGGGGACGAATGGTGACCCTGACTATATCCAGGGTGTGGCCCTCAACCATAGTGCTTCACCTCGTCGACGACCCCATGGCCGCGTAGCACAACACTGCCACTCTGCATCTCTCTCATAGACTCTTAGTATTAATCATCAACGCCGCATATTCTTCAGGTTACCATCACATGGCAACTACACCTACAATTAACGAAAAATACTTTTCCATCTTGAAAACTTCGAAAATGCTATCAAACCGAGCGTCCAAGACCTCGGCTTGCTAGCAAAATTATAGCTACGGGGTAAAGAATATGCGAAACTGCTCTTTATATGTTAACCAGCACCTTCTAGTCCTCCTCTTTACGGTAGATAGGTACACAGTTAACGCGCTTAGAGATAAATCCAACTTCTATCACTATGCATGGTCAAATTATATTGTTGACGAGAAATCGACAGAGTAAAACTGTCACCCTGGCTGGATGCTTTTTCCCAACCACCTCCCAGCCACCTCGATGGAAAAGTCTGCAGGACTGGACGGTCGTTACAGTATAACAGATTGTCGTCATCATGCGCGTCACAATTTGAGGTCATATCTGGTACGACTCCAATGACGCAGGTACTCTCAAGTTTCGACATTGATGGAAAGTTCGGTAGCTTTGATGAGGAAGGTCAGGAAGTCGCACCTCTCCAATAGAATAGACACAAGAAACATCACATAACAGCTGGAGTCATGAACTTCCGAATGGAAGAAAAATATATTACATTTGGGGAAAAAGAGCACATGGAAAACCTCTGCTTTACTCGTCATCAGCCATGTCCTCATCCTCGACCTCAAACTCATCGGGGACTTCGGCTTCTTGTCCTCCCTCGACGTCCTCATCGACTGCATTAAGTACGCCAGATGCGGCAGCTGCACCTGCACCCGCTGCGGCACCGAAGCCCAATGCGGCAAGGGCGTCGTCGCCAGTTTGACGGGCAGGAGTGAAAGGTGAGTCTTGCTGTGCTGATTGACCAACGACAGGCGCTGCGGCGGCGCTGTTGGTCTTCTTCTTTGCCTTTAATTCGAGCAGAGACTTCTTGTCTGATGATTGTGTGTCGTGGAGAAGGATTACACCACCAGTGGGCTTCTTCACCGGCTGGTAGCGGCCGTCTTGTGTGAAGGAGATGTACTTGATCTGTGCGGGGAGAACTCGGCTCATGTTCTCAAGCTCGTAGCCGACCTTCTCACGTTCGGCCTTCTTCTTTGCGCTGCCTTCTGAAGGTCCAGCCTCGCCCTTCTCCTCGGCAAGCTTGGCTGTGTCGATAACATTGTCGTCGTCAGTGTCCATCTTGTCGCCCGATTCGACCTTAGGAGTTGTGGGTGTGACGTCAATGTCCATGCTCTCGCGTCTTGCTTGTCTCTTCTTTGCCTGTTCTCTGCGCTTGGCATGGGCTGTGGTCGACAAAATGGCGGTCTTAATCTTCTCAGGGGCCTCCTCAGCCTTGACTTCTGCCTCCGGTGGGTAGTCGAATACGCTAGGACGAGTATTACTGTGGAACTTGAATGATGGGATCTCGAGGTCGGAGTCGACACCGATGATGGCGGTTGGTGTGAAAGAAAGAGTAAGGAAGTGGGTGAGAGGGAACCAGTACCAGTACTGGGTGAAGACAGCCATACCGACAATAGCGGACATGTTGAGGTTACCGGTCGGGGTTTGCAAACCAATGGTGCAGTTGCGACCACCGGCATCAATGATACCGAGTGCGAGAGCACAACCAAACTTGCACATTGCGTCTTCGTGTCTGTCGCTAATGATCTTTTGCAAGGTTTTGCGGATGGTACCAACCTTGGGGTTCATTGCCTCGTTCTGCTGAACCATGATCATCGAGAGGGAGATAAGAGCACCTTGGCGCACAAAGTCAACGGAATCCTTGATCATAGGCTCGAGAAGATCGATGGCTTCGTCAAGACCAGTTCCAGCACATGCGATACCAAGGGCCATGGTAGCACCATATCTAACGTGGGGGTTGTAAGACTCGGAGAGAAGTTCGACCATACGAGGAACGGCGCCAGGCTTGCGGAAGAGGACGAAGCCCAATGACATGACAGCAGCACGACGGACATCATCACTGACGTCACTGACAGCAACGTGAAGCAACTTGCGAACAGCCTTGTTGCTGCTGGTACCGCAGTAAGCGAGAGCGACAGTGAAGATACCACCGTATCTCAGTGCCGGATCGGCATCATCAAGAAGACCGTTGATAAGCTCGTCGGCACCTTCTTGACGGTTGTACATGATCAGAGCCATACCCATGGCGAGACCACGCACAATCTTCTCGTGCTGGGTGTCGTGAGCATAACCGATCATATCCTCGAGGGCTCTAGTGTTGCCAGTGCCGAGCATGACGAGCCCCATAGCAAGACCAACGGCTTCACCATTAATGGCCGAATCGCTGTAGAGGACGCCCTTGAGAGCCTCGTAGATGTCTTCAGAACCGGTAGCCATACCGGCAACGCCTAGGCCGAGAGCACCACCATGTTGGACGACCTCTTCCTGGGTATCCTTGAACTGCTCGAGAAGGTAGTCCAGAACGTTGGTGCCATGGTTGGAGTAGATCAGACCGAGAGCATACAAAGAACCACCCTGGCTGTAGGAAGAACCTGAGCCTGCTACGGCGTTACGCTTAGGGAGGTAGGGCTCCAGAAGCTTGCGGCCGTTGGCCAAGTTACCTCTGTGGATGACACCAAGAGCAGCAGTGGCAGTGAACTTTGACCAGTTGACGGCCTTGCCCAACCACTCAAGGTTGTCACGGAAGAAGGTGTCGACAGTTGTACCGGAGTTCATGAAGGCGTTTGAGAAAGTGACTGCGGTGTGGAAGATGGAGTTGCGAGCCTCGAGGCTGTCACGGACTTTGTTGAGAATGTGCTTGTCGGTGTGACTGTTGCGGAAGAGGAATTCGAGGTTGAGTTCGATGCTGGTTGTGCCACGGAGAATGTCGCGTATCGAGTTGAAAGCCTTCTTCTCCTCTGCAGTAGTCGCCTTCGCACCCGAGGGCCCTGTGCTCCTGCGCAATTCGGACAAGAGTTGAGTTGACTCGTCAGCATCGTCGGCACCCTCGCTTGTCGGCTCGGGTGACTTGTCGTCGCTTGAGGGTAGCTCCTCCATGACTCTGATTAAGAACTCCTGAGTGCCGTTCTCGTACAGGTCGAAAGACAGCTGATATGCGATAGCAAGCGACTTTGCGTCAGCCTTCTGTACAAGCTGGCGTAGCATGTTGCTAGCCATGGAGTATTGACCAAGATGGACAACACAACGAGCAATAGCGAAGTAGTCGGGGTCGGGAATATCGTTGAGCAGCTCGAGGATGAGTTGCAGAATCTCGTCTCTCTGACCGCGCTCTTGTACCACGTTCATGCAGATGTCAAGCACGTACTCCATCAGTTCGTCGGTGCTCTGCTTGTCCTTGCCACAACGCAGGATGGCATCTTTCAAGACTTGGCGATTGCGAGCCTCGATAGCGATGCCTACAACGTGACGATATGCGCCTGTCTGATAGCATGACTCGAAGATGCGTTGGATGACACCATGCAGGCTCTTTTGCGTAGCGGACGAGAGTGAGTTGGGGGCAGGATGTGAGCCAGACACTCCGGCGGCCGCGCCATCGATATGAACTCCATCGGCTTCGCGGGATAGGAGGGACTTCGGCGGGGCGGACGATTGCGAGAAAGGGGTTGTGGTATTGGCACTGCCGTTGGCGGCAGGAAGTGATGAATCGTTGAGGGAGGCTGATGGTACGGACGTTGAGGGAGCGGGAGGGTTCTGGAGGGCCGAGAGAGCGACGTACGTGTCGATGCACTTGGCTATTGAAGTGTTAGTTTGATGGGATGCTTGACTGGCGGCTCTCTCCACATACCAACAATAGTCTCCTCGAATTCGCCCTGGTGATCAAGACGGAAGAGCTTGCCGGCGCCGAGGGCGAAGACCATGCTCTCGTTGTATTCCTGCAGTTGGTAGTAGACCTTGGCCGCCACCAGTGCTGCCAGTTGGCGGTCGGGGAAGGATTCGTCTTCGTACAGAGCCTCACTGTCAAGCACTAGTCAGCGATATCCTACAGAGAGAGCGTCGTCGGATGATTTCTGCCTACATTTGGCCGATGGAAGCAGAGACCTCAGTCCAGATGTTGTCCATGTCCTTGTTCAGCTCTTCGAGGGCAAAGATTTGCAGCGCTGTGTCGGGCTCAGATAGGAAGCCGACCAAACTGGCGGCAGCAGAAGGAGCGCCGACCATGATGATGATTGTGATGCGAGAGACGAGGTGGTCGTCGAGATGATGCGAGAATAAGGAAGGCGTTTGTCGAGGTGGCGCCTCAGCTCTGAAGTCGAAGCACGTGAAACACTCGGGCTACAGCAGACCAAATAAGGAGCGACGATGAGGAGATAGACGTCGTCAAAGCTGTTGCAAATGAGTGCGAAAGGTGGTGATGATAGTGAGGATAGGCGATGGGAGATGGAGCTTCCGCCGCTGGTCGATTGTCCGAAGCTACGAGACAACACGCCCATGACGCTCGTCATCAACCCTTCGGCGTTTGCCGCCTCTGCATTATTGTCTGCATTATCGTTTCATAGAAATTACAATCCACATCACTCTCTGGCGATAGCTAGCTCATCAGGAAAAGAGGAACAAACAAGTGGTGACTTTGATATATATTGCAGCGCATTGAACAGTCTCAATACACGGGGCTAACTGCGACAATCTATTCATTTGCCCTTCTTGATCAAAGTGAGCTTATCACCGACAGATCCATCAGCACCCTTAATGAACTCCCAGGTAGCAGAAGTAGAAGATATCTTCAGCTTACTAAAACCATAGTCTCTCATGTTCAAAACGGCAGTCATGTTGAGGATCGGCTGGTCTGCATCCAGACTGCTGTGCGATTCAATGTTACCTGCCATACCGTTGACGATGTGGGCCATCGACTTGCCCTCGTTGACATAGTACGTGTTGTTGTCCTTGATGGAAGCAGTATCAATGGTGCCGTTGAGACCCATCGGAAGGAGTCGCTCATACCAGTGGATGTGGCCTGCAAAGTATGCGTCTACACCATGCTCGAGCATCAATTCCTCAAACGCATTGCGAATGTTCTTTTGATAGGCCGCCGTCTGACTGCTGTACATGGGACGGTGGCCATTAATGAAGATCCAGGGAGTCTTGGTACGGTCAACACTGGCGAGATCCTTAGCCAACCACTGGTACTGCTCGTAGGCCTTGTTGTCTTTCCAATTATTACCATCAATCCGACCAAAAGGACCGCTGTCAGTGATGAAAGTCTGAGCCTCAGTTGGCAGAGTCTCGTTTCCTTTGAGATCACGGACGAAAGGCCACTCGGGCGAGTACGCAAAATCGGTCTCAGTATCGATACTGATGAAGTGGGCGAGACCGTAGTCAAAAGAGTACCAGAAGTTGCCGACACCACCGCTCTCCTCTCCAGGCATGCGGAAGCGGTGTTGGAATGTTGTAAAGTTTCTTTGAGTCTCAGGGCAACTGTAATAGTTCAAAGCAGATTTTGGTGCGGAAGCATTGGCCTTGTCGTTGTTGAGGTAGGCGGTGAGTGTGTTGTTGCCTCCATCAAATTCCGCGCAGGCAGCTTCGTGGTTTCCTGGGAGCACCATATATGGGACTTTGCTCCAGATAGGGTTCATCCACTGTTGCCAAAGATCCCAATTGGACTCGTACAGGACGGACATGTCGCCACCCTGTGGTCCGCCCTGGTTTGGGATCTCTCCAGCGGGCAACGGCGCGCTGAGATATTCAGCAGGGTAAGGAGGGCCACCGGGAAGCCTGGTCGAGCTGCCATTGTAACAGACGGGCCAAGAATCCTCGCACGGCAAGATACCCGAATACCAATCATCTGCGTAGGAAATGTCACCTCCATGCCAGGCAAAGGCAAGGCCATCTTCAACGGCGTTGTTGAGATACTTGTGTGTGCCATGAGCATTGGTGTAGCCCATGTCGTTCAAGACCGCGATAGTGAACTCGGACCTGTCGCCAGCAGCATGCGCTGTGCGGAAGCTGAGCACCTGAGATTCGGTGGTGCCGTTCGCAGCTGGGATACGGTACCAGTACTTGGTGTTGGGCTTGAGGCCAGTGATCTGAACTTCATGGAAATGTTCACTGCACTGGGTGACAGGAGCCAGGGAACATGGAGGAGTGCGTGCATAGGTGTTCGATTCTCCGACGGCAATATTGCAAAGGTTGTCCTGCTGAGTGCCCCATTGTACCTGAGGCGAAGTTCCCAGGCCAAAAGGTGTCTGATAATGGATGTGAATGCCACCAGGGATGTAAGCCAGCGAGATCACGTTGACATTGTTGGTAGGGTTAGACAGCTTAGGCTTTACAGCCGGAGCCTCGACCAAACGAGGGAAACCCTTGCCATTCCCTTTGACGGTAGGATCAACCCAATCACCCACTGGGATAGCGGGTCCGGTGTAAGGAAAACGAGTGTCGACGTCGCGACGAGAAGCAGGTGGTGCTGCTGAGACTAGGGCAAGGCCCGATAGGACAGCTCCAAGGGTGTTCTTCATGTTGCTGTTGGAAAAGCGAGCGGAAGCATGCCAGCATGAATGCCAATGGCCTGCTTTCTTTTATATTCGCTTGCTTGTCGACCATGCTTTGACCTAGCCCTGCACGCGGATGGCACACAATCTGCCGCCTCAATGTTCGGCCTACAGGGATTTGACCCAACGTACCATCGTGCGGAATAATGACACGGCTTGTACGGTCAGATAGACGCAGGAGGCAACATTGGAGAGCGAGCAAGAGTTGTAGGAAATCCACGTGCTTATCTTTGTTACTCCCTCATTGGTTTATGAGACTTCCACGTGCTCGGTACCGACGGCATCGACCAGCGCGCCTGGCGCCGTCGTCTGCTCAAGCTCTTTATACGACCTGCCGCATCGCGACAAGCTTGAAGCAAGCAATGTAAAAAAAGCTTTGCATTGCTTCGACGGCTTGAAAAGGATAATCTTGGTGCCGTGGCAGAGCAGATGGCAAGAGGTACAACGGACCATGCTGTGAGACTTCAGCCGGATGAAGAATTCCACAATTTACACCGACTGCGCCCGCCAGCCTTCACCGTCTCTACACCCACCGTACTTGGTATGAAAATCTACGCAACATATTGAACTATACGTCAAAACGTCCTCAATGTACTCGAACACGTTTGCTACAAGATTGAAAGTCTTTCACTCTACGCTAGCAACATTGGCCGGTGGTATGAGCCTAAATATTTTCTGACGATGCCTCAGGCTCATGACGAAGCCGAGTGCTGAGCTATGGCTGGCTATACACGCCGACTGCCTAGACCTGCTGAGCATGGAAGCACTCTCCAGCTCGATTGTAATTATAAAAGGAAGTATAGCAATTACTCGGCCATATGGCGCAGCTTCCGTTCCAGCGGTGATATCTGTACACACTCGAACATCCGTCCAATATCGAGCACGAAACTTGCCTAACTACTACGATGTCTGACACATTGTGTACCTGCTTTGAGACCAAAGCCACACATCTTGAAGGTGTCTCTCTGAACTCACAGATACTACAAGGCCGATCACGCCATCTGTCGTGACAGCTTGGCGCCCCGAAACAGTAGGTGCGGAGGCGCTATGAGCATACATGTCAGCACATAGGAGACTTGTTCTAACTTCTACAAATTTGTCTGACTAGAGCTTCGCAGGGTCCTTGTTATAAAATATGTCTTTCACCCATGTCCCAGTCTTGGATCTCGCGTTAGCGAACAGCCTGGAAACTAAACCACAACTGTTGGATGAGTTGCGTCATGCCTTGATGGAAGTTGGCTTCCTCTACATCAAGAACACCGCCATACCAATTGAAGTTTTCGACCAGGTGAAGACTGCCGGGAAGGCGATCTTTGATATTTCTGATGAGGAAAAGTATGTCAATGCCATACATTCTATCTCATCTCTGTCGGCGCTCAGTCAACTCACATGAGGCCAGGTTGAAGATCGAGATGAAGAATGCCCCTTCTTTCCTAGGCTATTCCAAACTCGCGGCAGAGATTACGGCCGGGAAGATAGACCAACGTGAGCAGTTCGACTTTTCAACAGAGCACCCTCTTCCAAAACCAGGAGCACCTCGCTATGAGAATCTACGAGCCCCAAATCAATGGCCATCGGAAGTAGCGTTACCAGGATTTCGCAAGACTTTCACTGACTACATGAATAAGATGGGCGAGATGTCAATCTCATTCACTTCGTTGATTGCTGAAGCAATACATTTGCCACAAGACGCATTTGAGAAATACTTTGACAAAGACCAACAACACAAGCTCAAGATTGTCAAATACCCAGATCTTTTCACGCTTGGTCAGGAAGGAGCGGTGGATGTGCAAGGCGTTGGTCCTCACAAAGATTCGATGCTTACGAGCTATCTATTGCAAGTCACAGATCACCGTGGTCCTCAGGTGCAGAATGTGCAAGGTGCGTGGATTGACTGTCCGCCAATCCCCGGTACACTTGTCGTGGCCATAGGCCAAGGACTTGAGGCGCTCACACAGGGCGTTTGCGTTTCAACCACCCATCGCGTCTTGTCACCGCCCGCCGGCTCTGGTGCTAGACTGTCAATACCGTTCTTCCAAGGAGTGAGATATGATGCCGAATTCGATGAACTGGATGCTATTGGCGTAGGAAATGTTCCAGAAGATATCAGAGAACAACGTCGTCGTGTGGTGGAAAGAAATGGTGGACGGATCGATGATGTCGAGTTCACCTTCAAGAAAGGCAACAAAGCAAAGACCCTAGGCGAAGCTACACTGCGCAATCGAGTCAAGAGCCATCAGGATGTCGGCGAGCGGTGGTATCCGGACATACTTAAAGAGTTCCGTGAGGAGTGGACTGCAGCAAATTAGCATCAGTAAGACGTCAGAAGCGACGACTGGAACAGCAAATTCGGGAGGTGCTTTCCTCCTGCTGATGTGATAGTGTCAAAGAATGAGGCTATGCACAATCTTGCGATAGTGTCAAAGCTCGCCATAACAACCATGAGTGACGATCCCCGATTTTGGACTTCGAGGCTTAGGTGCCTTTGGAGGATATACACACCAAAGTCATGCACAAGCGCATTTCCAGAATGTCGCTGATATTGATCTGGTTTTCCGTCAAAACAACAGGGCAGTTTTGCTTTTTGATTGCGAAATACGATGGAGGGTCGATTATGGTCGCGCAAAACCAAAGGTGTCGATAATGTACTGCCCCGCAACGAGTTGGCCGATCTTCCCTAGCGCCTTCCTATTCGGGGTTGATAGAGCCGCTGTAACCAGCCGCCTTTGATAACGTGATCCTTTGCATATAACAGACGGGACTGGTTCCTCTTTCTCAAACGAACCATCATGGACAAGGAAGGACTGCCCCAATACTCCGAGGTCGTCAAGCCATGGGCTGACCGACGCCGTAGACGCCGCATCTTCAGAGTTGTGGCGGCTACATGTCTTTCCTACTTTGCATACTCGGCATACAGAATATCATCAAACACTGAGAAGTCGGCCAGCTTGCTCTCTAGTACTCGCTTGCAAGATGATTACGCTACGTGTGCCGCTCTTCAGAGTGTGCCCGTCAATCCATCTGGTGTCCGCGAGTACAACAAGCGTTATGTGAACGGCACTAAACCTGTGCTGATCCAGAATGCTACTGTCTGGACTGGCGAACCTCTGCCTGGCACAAGCTTTGAAGACGCTCACCAGGGAAAGGGCTATTCCTGGATCCAGTCAGATGTTTTCATCGAGCACGGCCTAATCAAGAGAGTGGCCTCATCGATATCGCTTGCTGATCTCCCTTCGGAGTACGAGATCTTCAACGCACATGGACGTCAACTCACAGCTGGTATCGTCGACATGCATAGTCATGCGGGCCTTGGCAGTCTCGGAGGTCTACAAGGAGACGAGAATGAGTTGTCGAGCGACATCACCCCATATGTCAAGTCTTTGGATTCTCTAGATCCTCTCCACCCGGAAATTCAATGGATCAAGTCTGGCGGTGTCACCACCTCCCTTCTCCTTCCTGGCTCAGGAAACAATATCGGCGGAGAGGCGTTCCTTGTCAAGTTTGCTGTTGGCAAGGAGGGTGGTCGTGCCGAGCTCAGTCAGCAAGACATGTTCGCTGATCCTGACCATACCTGGAGATACATGAAGAACGCCTGTGGTGAGAACCCCAAACGAATTTATGGCAAGGTTGGCGAGAGAGGTCCATTCAGCCGTATGGGTGAGGGTTGGGAATTCAGACATGCTTATGAGCAGGCGAGAGACTATGTCAGATCCCAAGACGACTGGTGTGCCGCTGCGAAGTCAGTTGGCGCCGAGAACATGAAAAGCTACCTCCCTCAACAGCTCGAATGGGAAAATCTTGGAGCTGTCCTTCGAGGTCAGGTGCGAGTCAACACTCACTGTTACACCATTCCCGACCTTGAGATGTACGTGCGTCTTACCAACGAGTTCAAGTTCAGAGTCTATGCTTTCCACCATGCTCATCAGACCTATCTGGTACCCGACGTCCTGAAGAGAGCTTACGGCGGTACTCCAGCTGCAGCTCTGTTCGGAGACAATATGTACTACAAGGTCGAGAGCTACAGAGCATCTGAGCAGGCTGGCAAAATTCTTTATGAGAACGGAGTCACTCCAGTTTACGTCAGTGACAATCCTGTCATCAACTCTCAACACGTCAAGCAAGAAGCCGCAAAGGCTTACGGCTACGGCCTTCCTTATCACGTCGCGCTTGCTGGTTTGACTTCTGCTCCAGCCGAGCTTCTGGGCATGGGAGAGAGACTCGGAAAAATCAAGGCTGGGTTCGATGCTGATGTTGTCGTCTGGGACTCTGACCCGTTGTCTCTTGGTGCCACACCGCTTCAAGTCTGGATTGATGGTGCACCTCAGTTCAAGGATCCTGTTGAGCTGAAGAAGCCCTTGACCTCTCCTATCAAGCCCGATCTTGCGCTCACCAAGGACCACGATGTTGCTGAAGCAAGTAAGGATGTTGTTTTTACTGGTGTCACTAACATCCGCATTCCTGGATTGGCCTCGACCTCTGAACACAAGGGTCCTGCTACAGTCGTCGTGTCTGAGGGAAAGATCATTTGCGCTGGATCTTGCAATGCAGAAGCGCGCACCGCTACCGAGAACAAAGCTCGTACTGTGGCTCTGGAAGATGGGTATCTCACCCGCCCACTGACAGCGTTCGGGTCAGGCTTGGGCTTGCAGGAAATCATGGGGCAGCCCCAGACTTACGATGGTGCTGTCAAGGACAAGACTTGGGCTCGCGCCGTCGACGGCCTTCTTCTTGATGGCAAGAACCTCTTTGCAGCCTATCACCACGGTGTGACGAAGGCCATTTCTGCACCCATTGCTCAAGCCTTTTCGGGTATCTCTCTTCGTGGTGTCTCTGCCGGATTTCTGACTGGTGCGAAGACACCACTGAGTAAGGGCGCTGTCTTTGTCGAAGAAGCGGCAGTCCACTATGACTTCACCTTGAAAGGGAAGAGTGAAACCAATCCTTCGATCTCAAGCTTAGTGGCCGACTTGCGGCACAAGTTGCTCGAGGCAGTCCGCAGCAATGAGACTATTGTCGATACTTACTCGGAAGCTGCATCTCTCAAGAAGGTTGTTGAAGGCAAGTCTGCTCTAGTGTTGAGCGTCCACAGTGCCGATAGTATTTCTGCTCTTCTGCGCTTGAAGTTTACTGTAGAAGAGGCCAGCAAGACTCCTCTCCGTCTCGTGGTGCTCGGTGCCGCTGAATCGCACTTGGTAGCCGAGGAACTAGCAGCCGCCGACGTCGCCGTTGTATTAGCTCCTTTGCTTCCTTGGGCACAATCCTGGGACCAACGCCGTTCGCTCATGGGTGCTCCTCTTCACAACGGCACCGCCATCGATGTGCTCCTCGATGCTGGAGCTCGCGTTGCTATTGGTGTTGATGAGATTTGGGAGACCAGAGACCTTGGCCTCACTGCTGGTATTGCTTACAAGAACAGCGAGGGTAGACTGACCGAGCAGCAAGCCCTTGACCTTGTCAGCACTAACTTCTACGACTTCTTGGGACTGGAGAAGCCAGATGCTGGAAGCGAGTTTGTCATCTACGAAGGGTCGCCACTTGAGATTGGTGGTAGAGTGGTTGCTGTCGCTGATGGTACTGGCAACACTGAGGTCTGGGCTTGAGTGAAAATGGAGGAGGAGGAAGCCTAACGTCGAACATCCGAGGCGGCTCGTCATGAGAGGGAATCCTAGCTAAATTTGTTATCGTCAATCTCACAGCATTGTGTTTGAGAGCCTATTCGGACTCGTCTCATCCCCATGCTCGTCTTGACACGCAACTCTATAGTCAATGCTGGGCAAACACACTCCATCAATCACATAAATTGATCAGGTCTCGTGGTCTAGCGGTATGATACTCGCTTAGGGAGGATGCCTTACAGCAACCTTGAAAACTCTAAGCCAATTGCGAGTGGTCCCGGGTTCGATTCCCGGCGAGACCCCTTCTTTTGATGGTGAGGGCATCGTTTTGTCCAGTAAAAGAGTGGTGGAGATTCGGGAAAAACGCAGAGGTGCAATTTCGGAGAATTTTCGTCAGTGTGGGCAGAGGCTTCGGGTGTGGGGAAAAGATTTTGTTGGAAGCTTTTTTTTCTGAAGCTCTATGATCATCGATCAGCAGTCGTGCTTGGACTTCGAGGCATAAAGATGTTGTTGTAGTGCTCAAGCTGCTGCCGAGATTCTGCTCTATTTGGACTGTCTTTCGGAGGTCTTCGATTGATTTGTCTGTTCTGAACGCACGATAAAATCACATCGCACTATCTCACATCAAGCATTTAACTTTACCACCTGATAATCTCACTTGAAGTGCATGTCATTGTCACATACTGGTTGGAAGAGAATATTTTCTGAAACATTTCATGTCATTTGATATATACAGACAATAGTGATTAACATTAAATATGAGAGAGAGAGAGGTATACGAAATAGGGAGGTGCGATCAGCAATCCTCAGATAGACCCAAGCACAAGCTTAAGCGGAAGCAGAGGCGGGCACGAAAGGTGCCTTGACCTCAAGAACGGCAGGTCCGGCAACGGTGTTGTCATCGGAGATGGCGGTGGCGCTGGTGGTCAAGATGGCGTAGACCTCACCGTTGGGGCCGGTGTGACCGACGGGAACTCTGGCGTAGACCTTGCAGTCCTTGACAACGGCAGACGAGTACATGGTACCATCGGCGAGAGGGAAGGCAACGTACAGGGGGCCTGCAGGGACGGCCATGTCGGCAGGGATGTCGAACTCAATAGTGTCACCCTGAGCAATGGGGCCGGTGACGCTCTTGCCCACGGTAAGGGAAGGGAAGGCCTTGACGGGCAGGGCAGGGTTTGTTGAAGGGCAGGACTTGATGAAGGGTGCTGCGAGGGAGTAGACCTGGTTGAAGTCGAGGGGAATGTCGAAAGGCTGAGGCGAAGGCACAAGAGCCAATGAGTTGCGAACGAAGGAGCTGTGGCGAGCCTCGACGGTCAAGATGCTACCAGCGGCGGTCAAGTAGGCCTTGTTGGTGATGAGGGCAGCAGCACCAAGGTAAGCACTGACACCAACACCCTCGAGGACTTGCGCAGTGGCAATGAACGATGCGGGAGTAAGGTTGCCAAAGTCGTATGTGCAAGCAGCGACGGGAGTGACACCGGCACCCTTGAGAGCGGTGGTCAGGAAGTCAACGTGGACCTGCTCGTCACGAGCAACCTCCTGGAGGTCTCTGTAGAAGTTCGAGCCATTGAAGCCAGCGTTGGCAAAGTCTTGCTCGCTGAACTTGGCGATACCAGAGGCATAGAAGTTGGCCTCGAGATGCTCAAGAGTCAATGCGTAGTTCAAGATGACACTGTGAATGGTCAGTCGAGTTACAAGTCCAAGGCTTGAGGTAGCTTACCCATCGATGTCTGAGCTCTGACGCTTGACAAGAGCAGGTGCAGCAGAGGCAGTGGTGGCCAAGATGGCAGCGGCGCTGATGATCGAGGACTTCATGTTGATATAGTTGATGTGATAGGGAGTTGTCGAGGAGATGTGATGGTCGAGCTGCTGAAGATGTTGTTGATCTGAGCGGCATTGAGGAGGAGGACCAACTCTGCCCTTATATATCACACCATTGCCATGCGAGACCACCTCATTGCGACGATCGAGCGTACACCGTAAAGCATCAGGCCGTTCTTAAGATCCTTTGTCATTGTTTGGGGAAGATGTTGTGATGGAGAAAAGCCACCCACGCCTGCATGTCTTACAACGGGTTGTGCCAGCACTCTTCATTGGTCAGACCCTGAGCGGACTGTCATGCGGCACAAACTAACTTAGGGTTGTCTTCAAGGTTAAATGTGATCGACCAGCAGTGCATCCGTTCTCGATGTGAATAGGTCTAGTGGCAGTTATCTCGAGCCGTCTCAATAGTTGATTGACTCAGATAAGATCATTCTTTGGATTGATCCCAGGTCTGCGATTGGTAGGAAGGATCACCTGTTCCGCTCCAGCAATTTCATTGCCTCTTAGTGCTGGCCAAGGCAACTAGTGTTGCTGCCCGGACGAACCACCGTCCGCAGGAGCTGGAGAAACTGGAGTCTGGTGAACCATGGCAATCACCTTGACGGAGTAATTACCGCAGCAGCTAAAACGGGCAGGCCGAGACCCTCAAGCAAGACCATTGGGCTTCTCATCTGACGATGCATGAACGGTATAAATCATCTCAGCCATGCACTGCTGAAATTTGAATCCGAATTGTTGTGTTGTGATGGAGCGAGCGGTGAGATTCGATGCTATAGATCTGCGAAGCTCCAGACTTGACGCTACACATGTCCACATACGCTTGTTCGTCGTGGCATGATTTAAACTTCTCAAGCCCCAACGCCAGAACCCTTGAGTCTCAGGGAGCTAAGTCTTTCTGGCGGCGCATGACGATGATCTCGACGGAAGAGGAAGAATATGGCGGCTCCAAAGGGCGCAGCATGTCTTGGGAAGTGTACGAGGAACGGATCCCAAGTTTGGAGAGCTCCATCAATTGCTTCGACGGTCTGTGCCTCGGAGATTTTGGAAGCTTTGCTTGAACCTGATGACGTTCGCCCTCTTTTTGTCAGCTTCCGTCCTTCCTCATTCGTTATTCCCACGACCATGCTTGCGCGGCATGACATCCATCGCTTCGATTGCAAGAGGGCGCCCGACAGTAATACGAGCTCCGCGTTGTTCTTCGCACACCCCTTCCGACACAAGGCGCATGCACAATGTTGTTGTATAGGCGGCTGGATCCTCACGAATCACCAAGCCAATTGCCAAGGGCTTGTCAAAGTCGTCGCTTCCTTTGACGAACAGCACTGGCCACAATTTCTGGCTTCACGATGGTGCGGGGCAGCAAAGGCGCTGGTCCTGGATAAAGAGCTGATGCTGCCAAAAGTCGAAATCCCCTTAGGTCTTCCATCGAGAGAGGTTGAGCCACAGACACACTTGGCCCTGTCGATCTGTCGAGTGCGCTTGGGGTCAACACGGCTACATTGGACGAACACGTCTGAGCCCTACTGTGCCATCCTATGACCCTTCGCGCTTCCCCGGGATGCTGGAGACAAGAGTCGCAGGGTCACATTCGAGGTGCAGTGTCTACAGAGAGCGATGGCCTGCCGCGATCAAGAGCCAACGACTAGCTGTTGCAACTTTCGTACAGCAAACAAATGGCTAGAGACTCCCGCATGCCACGTGGGTCGCGGTCGATATAGAGCTACGGGCCCACGTGCGAAACAGCCGACTGGCCTTTGGACAGAAGACATTCCTTATATCGGAATCCGGTCATTGCAGATGAAAAGTCTGAGAACTACAAGACGTGTACTCCCGTAGGGATGCTTCGAACTGATGACGGCGACATCCAGAACATCGAGATACTAGCACAAGGACCAATCACACTGAGATGGAGGCTAAGATACACAAGGCTGAAGCCTAGTAATTCTGCGGTCACTATCTACGTTCTTCGTGTACATCGTAAGTTTGAGAAGTAGTGCGAGAAGGCTTCTAGGCTTCGCGACAAGCCTCAAGAAGCTTCTGCTGAGTAGCCATCGCCTCATTGGCAAAGTCTTGAAGCTCGTAGTCCTTGCCTTTGCCATCCGGACCGCCATCGAAGACTTCATACGAAAAGTAGCCCTTGAATCCAGTCTTCAAGACAGCCTTCGTGAAGTCGACGACTGGAAGGTATCCTTGGAAGGGGAGCGGTCTAAAGTCGTGGCTCCAACGACCTCTGGGACGGGTACCAGACTCGTCGACGTCCTTGTCGAACGGCTGCTTAGGCCTGTATGCATCGCTGATTTGTAGGAAGAAGATCTTGTCTGCTGGTACGGCGCGAGCGAGCTCTTCGCATGACTGCTTCCACTCCTTTTCCAGCTGGTCTTTGGGCTTGTCTACCAACCCAGACTCAGTGGTGGGATCTGCCCACTCGTATCCAGCGGACTGGAACGTATCAAGGCAGAGGCCGACATTTGGTCGGTCGACTTTTTGTACGATATCCCATACATCTTTCCATGTAGGTGCGTGGGTCGACCAGCACCAATTCTCGTAGGCCATGCGGAAGTTCTTCTTTGCGAGCATGTCGGCGAGTTGTTGCAAGTCACTAACGAAGCGATTGCGATCGGTACCGATCTTCTCGGCGGGTGTGTCTGAGGAGCCAACCTGGAGTCATGTTAGGCGCAAGTCTGGTCGGTTTCGTGGAGCCTTCTTACCTGCAGCATGTCTGTTCCGACAGCTTCCATGATTCTGATCCAACCCTCAGCACGAGTGAATGCATCCTTCCTTTCGTCGCTTCCTTCCTGCCAACCCTCGAAGTTGGCAAAGGGCTGCAGGATGAGGACCTTCAGTTTCTTTGCGTCGCACATGGCCTTGACGACCTTTGCGGAAATGACCAGATCATCATAATCGTAAGCTCCGACCTCTCTCTTCATGTAGGTCGAGGCGAAAGCCAGTAGATCCGGGAATCCGAGTTCGATGGCAGTAAAGCCAGCGCTGGAGATTGCTTCCAGCTTCTTTGGGAGAGTGTGTTCATCTCTGCAGCCAATCGAGACACTGGCATAACACACAGGAATATCACTCGTTTCGGCTGCTGTGAGTGACATGTTGGTTTTTGGTCAAGAGGAGTCTTGTGTATATAAAGTCAAGGCGACTGGTGCTGATATAGCGATCCGGATGATAGACCCGCTGTAACATGCATCATTATGAGCCTCGATCCCCGCATTCGTCACATCTCTGTGATGACGTCGCGCTCAGACAATTTTTCGAAAGTCGGAAGGACAGAAGAAACGGTATCCACGAGCAACGGAGCTCAGCAACTGATGACAACCAGAACACAAAGTAGGTAGACACACCTCGCATATGTTAGACAGATAAATCATGGCATTTGGAAGCACAGTACAAGCAGACATAGCCTCGGCAGCGATACCGGATGGTCAGCAGATCTAGACTTCGGTCCGAGCGTTTTGACTCACGAACATGTTTGCTGTCCATCCAATCCCACAGAATCCATTATTGTTTCTTTTCTTCTATACACTTTGATACCCCAATTTGTTTGCTGTCTACTCGCATATACCTGGATACTCTCATTGGCATACTACCAGACACATCATGTCGACCGAAGTAAGTATTCAGCACCCGTACCAAAAATAGTTGCCCCGCGACTTTTTCCCCAGCGCCGTCGCGAAGCGAGAGTCAGGACTAACGAGACATGCAGTTCTTCATGGAGAATGCGTCCGTTGGCGACCGCAGCAGCAGTGAGAACTGGCGTATTCGTGGCATGACCCCTTTGACTGCTCCCGATCTCCTCCAGCACGAAATCAGACAATCGCAAAAGTCAAAAGACACTGTGCTCAAGGGCCGCGATGAAGCTGCCGCTGTTGTTCAAGGCAAGGACGAGAAGAACAGACTATTGGTCGTCATTGGCCCTTGCTCGCTTCACGACCCCAAGGCTGCTCTCGAGTACTGCGACAGACTCTCGACATTGAAGGAAAAGTACGAGGATGAGTTGGTCATTATCATGCGCGCCTACCTCGAGAAGCCTCGTACTACTGTTGGCTGGAAGGGTCTGATCAACGACCCTGATCTTGACGACAGCTTCAACATCAACAAGGGTCTTCGTGTCTCGAGACAGCTCTACCTGGATCTGACCGAGAAGGGCATGCCCATTGCTAGTGAGATGCTCGATACCATCACCCCTCAGTACACCGCCGATCTTCTTTCTCTGGGTGCCATCGGTGCACGCACAACCGAGTCGCAAATCCACCGTGAATTGGCCTCTGGTCTCTCCTTCCCCATCGGTTTCAAGAACGGCACCGACGGCACTCTGGACGTTGCAATTGACGCCATTGGCGCTGTCAAGAACCCTCACCACTTCTTGTCCGTCACCAAGCCCGGCAACGTCGCCATTGTCGGTACCGCTGGCAACGAAGACTGCTTCGTCATCCTAAGAGGTGGAAAGAAGGGAACAAACTACCACCCCAAGGACATTCAAGAGTCAAAGGAGAAGCTGCAAAAGATTGGCTACACAAAGCCCAGACTCATGGTCGACTGCAGGTACGTCTGACTCCAAAACTCCAATAACATGCAGCAAGAGAACCCAACAACTAATACGCACCTCACAGCCACGGCAACTCGGAAAAGAACCACGCAAACCAACCCAAGGTCGCCCACGAACTAGCCACCCAAATCGCCGCCGGCGAGGACGCCATCATGAGCGTCATGATTGAATCCCACATCAACGAGGGCGCCCAAAAGATGCCCAAGGAAGGAAAGTCGGGTCTCAAATACGCAGTCTCCATCACCGACGCATGTATCGGGTGGGAAGACACCGAGAAGGTACTCGCCGAGCTGGCCGATGCCGTCCAGAAGAGAAGAAAGCATGCCGCTACCAACGGTGCGGCATAAAGATTGCCGTCCCAAAGGGCGGAATGAAATTCTGGGTGTAGTATTTTATAACGATGTGATATGAATAAGAAAAAATGAGGCATGTGGAGATATCAGGCACTACCCGGAGAATGGAAAGAAACAAAACTTGTCAATTTCTCGCACATATTGATCATGAGCCATGTCCACCATTGTGATACAATTACCGAATTCTGGTATGGGAGATGGAGCAGTTTGTGTTAACGAGTCCCTTCGTATAGTCCCTAGCGCCTACCAAGACGATTGATCCATCAACACAAAAACAGAGCATGACAAGGAATGCCGGACGACAAAAAGTCAGGCACCGATATCAAACAGTATATAGGGAGATGGTCATGACTCGGCTCCTTACGCAGACGAGTTGATAACGATGCAAGCAACGTGCGTAAGAAACAACCAGGAAAGGCATTACACGGTCAGCATCGTTGCATCGCAATTGACCAGCAATGACATCCAATGCTGCAGTCTCGCCATCGAAGGAACCAGGCACGATAGAAAGTCGAGAGACATTACAGGCACATGAACCACGAAGACATGACGAAAAAATCTAGACGTTGGCGTCGAGAAGATGCAAAACAAAATGATGACTTGTGGAAAGTGGGAGTTCGATCAGTAGGCTCTGGTCTCACTAACACAAGGTCGGCAGAAGGTTGTAAACTGGTGCAACTATTTTTTCTCTTCTCGAGGGCATCTATAGCTTCTCTCATATTTGTCTGGCTTCTTTGCCTTTCATTTCTGGACGCTCTTTCTCCCATTCATCTCTGATGATAGCATAGAGCATGTCAGCTAGAATGACTGACAAAGCCAAACTCCAGACTAGCGTGATGGCGTAAAAAAAGTTGGCGTTCCCGCTACCGGCGTATACCCATAGGTAGTAGAAGGCAGGTCCGAGTAAGGTGGTGTATATAAGTGCACTGATAGCAGGGAAGGCATATCGTGAAACTGTGTTTGACATGTCAGTTGGTCTTGCATTTCGTGGCTACCGTGGAGGGATCATTGAGCACTTACGTTCATGAACATGTCCATACATGGAAAGCAAAGAAAGCCAGAATCCAGCATCACCAACGTTGGCGTACGGCTGGAAGATGGCAAAGATACCGCACAACAGCACGATAGCTGCCAGTGGTTGCTCGCGAAGACGAATAGTCAGAGCAGGCGAGTAGGAAACCATATGTAGCCAGAATACACCGAGGAAGAAGTTGCGGAATGAGTCGAAAATCTCGATAAAGAAGTACCACCACAGACCAACGTTGGGGGTCAAGTCTGGCAGCAAGAGACGAGAAGCGTAGACGGACGAGACGAAAGACCAGTCGCCAGTCAATGCATACGACAGTGCAAACAAGATGGCGATGGTGGCTGCGAGTACGACGGTATAACGTACGGCAAAAGCTGGCAGCCCAGTGGTGTGTCCAGATTCTGAGGGACTTTTACGACGAAGCATATACGAGTCGTAGCACAGAATTGTAAGGGGTGGGAGCAGCAACAGAGGATGCAGCGACATGTACGAAGCCATGGAAAGAGCGAAAGCGGAGCCAATTGGGGCACCACGGCAAGCCTTGAGAACGGAGAGTAGGATGAAGAGGTTTCCAAAGACATTTGTAGAGCGTGCCAGGCAGGTCAAGATGATGAAGGGGTTGAAGAGGTACGTGGCAGCGACGGCAGAAGACGACCAGCGTTTCGACTCGCGCGATGATGTGAAGAAGCGAGTAGCATACGATTGGCCTGAAGCAAAGATTTGCATCAAAGCATATGCGCTGGCGAGATCGACAAGTGTGTACAGCAGGACGGTGACCAGGGGGTAGCGAGTCGGGTCAGGGAGGAGCGAGAAGAGCGGCAGGAGCAATGGAGCTTGGTGGAAGACACCGCCATCGTAGGGCGATAGACCGTGGTTGTATAGAAAGAGACCTTCTCGTACTACAATGGAATGACAATTTAGCTCCTCGATCCAATTATTGCGTGGAAGGCTGATGGCGCGTACATCTCTTGAAGCCTGTGACCGGTGTTGACAATTCGACACGCCCGCTGAGTAGGTCAGGCAGGCCGGGAAATGCCCAAGCTAGCAACAGCCGGACAGCAGCAGCTGAGGCAAAAAGCACATGGTCGTATGTCGAAGTCGACATGGCTGATTCGCATGCGATCAACAAGCAATGTCCAAATGGTCGAGGCTCGCGGAGCTCTTCAAGCCACTCTCCGCAATCAACCATACAGCCAATCGGAGGGCTTGGCGAAGGCGGTGAGGACGGCTGCTGCGACAAGGGAAAGATTGTTAGGCTGGAGAAAAAGTTGCTGGTTGCGCCTCCGACTGTTTGACCATCTATTTGTGTATATCTCTCACTCGCTTTCATCATGGCCAAAATTCAAAGAAGAGGTGCGGAGCGATGCTGTCGTAAATCTCCCCTTTCAATATGCTGACTGTTTCTAGGCCAGAAGGGTGCGGCCAAAAACTACATCACCCGTACCCAGGCTGTGCGCAAACTGCAGATTTCACTACCCGACTTCCGTCGCCTGTGTATCTTCAAGGGTATGCCATCCGATTACTCTTCCAACGAGTGCCTTGTCTGACACAAGTCCAGGAATCTACCCTCGCGAACCCCGTAACAAGAAGAAGGCAGCAAAGAACTCACAGGGCGCCAACCAAGCCACCACTTTCTACTACACGCGCGACATCCAATACCTCCTCCATGAGCCCCTCCTCAACAAGTTCCGCGACCACAAGGCTCTGGCCAAGAAGATTGGTCGTGCTCTGGGCAGAAATGAGATCTCCGACGCAAACCGCATGGAGAAGAACCTCACCCCCAAGATGACCCTCGACCACATCATCAAGGAGCGCTACCCTACCTTTGTCGACGCCCTCCGCGACCTCGACGACTGTCTCAGTATGCTCTTCCTGTTCGCCAACCTCCCTTCGACCGAGACTGTGCCGCCCAAGACCATCCAGCTTTGCCAGCGCCTCACCCACGAGTTCGAGCACTACCTGATCCGCAGCAACAGCTTGCGCAAGAGTTTCCTGTCCATCAAGGGCATCTACTACCAGGCTACAATCCAGGGTCAGGACATCCTCTGGCTCGTCCCTTACAAGTTCGTCCAGCGCGTTACTGGCGATGTTGATTTCCGTATCATGGGCACCTTTGTCCAGTTCTACACAACCCTCCTCGGCTTCGTAAACTACAGACTTTACACCAGTCTTGGTCTGGTCTACCCTCCCAAGTTCGACGCAAAGGCCGACGAGCACGGCGCTGAGTTGGCCGCTTTCGCCATCGAGGGTCGCAACGTCGCTGCTGCTCTGGACGACAAGGTTGAGCAGCCCGCCGCTGCTCCCAAGCAAGTCTCCGCTACCGCTCAGGCCGAGGCTGACAAGCTCTTGGAACTGCCATCCGGCGAGGAACCCACCAGCTCATACGCCACCGCACAGGAGAACCCCTCATCAAACCCCAAGGACGAAGAAGAGGAGGACAGACAAGATGGAGAACTCGACTCTTTCCCTGCACCCATCGACCCCGAGTCAGACGTTCTGCACCAGCCTACCGTTTCTGCGTCAACAGCAGCCAACCTTTTCGAGCCTTTCACCATTTACCTTTCGCGCGAGACTCCCCGTCACCCTCTCGAGCTCATTCTCCGTGCCTTTGGCTGCAAGCGTGTGGCTTGGGACACTGTTTTGGGCGAGGGCGCATACACTTCCGATGAGGCCGACCGCCGCATCACTCACCAGATTGTCGACAGACCTAACCTGCCTCTTCCTCCTGTACCTGTCGAGGACGAGGAGACCGCTGCAGCCAACGCATCTATGCGTCTGAGACCTGGCGAGCGCGTCCCTGGACGTATTTACATTCAGCCCCAGTGGGTCTGGGACTGCATCAACGCTGGTAAGCTGTTGAGAGCCGACCTTTACGCGCCGGGTGCTACTCTTCCTCCCCATCTTTCGCCCTGGGTCAAGGCCAAGCAGGGCGAGTACGACCCCACCAAGCCTTTGGCCGAGCAGGAGAACGAGGGCGAGGCATTGGCTGCCGAAGCCGATTCAGATGACGAGATGGCTGACGAAAATGCCGGTTCGGATGGTGAGGAGGTTGATGGTGTTCGTGGCGATGGCGAGGCTCGTAACCTGGAGTCAAAACTTTTGCAGCAAGGCGGCAAGGAAGTCGTCACAGGTGAAGGCATGGACGTCGAGCTTGCAGAGTCAGACGATGACGAGGATGAGGAGGCAGATGCCGCAAAGGACGAGGAGTTTGGTGGCTTCACCGAGGACGAAGAGGAATCCGAGTCCGAGGATGAGGCAGCCCGCCATCAGCGCGAGCTTGCCGCCGAGGCTGATGGTCGTTCGCTCACAGCTGATGCCGGTGCCACACCAGCCAAGGCTCTACGCAAGAAGGAGGCCGAGAAGGCACAGAAGGCCATCTCACGTCAACGCAAGGAGGCACAAGAAGAGACCGACCGCCAGAAGATGATGATGAGTCGTCGCAAGCGCAAGATCTTCGAGAAGATGCAATACTCAAACGCACAGAAGGACGCAGAGGCCGAGAAGCTGAGAGGCAAGAGAAGAAAGATCGAAAAGGGACAGGCCAAGAACTAAGTTTTGTGCATGAGCAAGGTGTTTTGGTGTGGCTATATCGGTTGTCTTTTCTTCTTCATGGGACAAAGGTTTTCAATGCTGTGATCAGATATCTGGCGTTTTGTATAGGCAAAAAGTGGAACAAAAATGCTATCTATTGATCGAACCCACTAAACAACTCAACTCTCCTGTGAAGAAAGTGCATCATGTGAAGAGTCGACCACTGCTGCTGCTCGGTGACTTGATCCGCGATTGCTTGTGCTGGCTCGAATTCTGCGGGGCGAGCATTCTTTGCCTGCAAAATCATTTTACGCCTGGACGTCTGATTGTTTTCTGCATAAACAATTTATCCTACGCGGTCCATCGAGTACCTTTTTGGACTTCTTTGCAACAATTGAACAGCAAAACTCCTTGCAAGTTTTACCTCGAATCCAATTAGGCCCATCTATCAAAAGCACGAATCGCATCTTCCGCCTTCAAACACACGAAGCTTTACACACCATGGCCGACTTCCAGGCAAAATCCAATGTCTTCTTGAATTGGTTCAAGTCTCAAACTGGAGCCACATATGATTCGCGACTTCAACTCACCGATCTGCGTGACAGAGGAGCAGGACGAGGAATCATCGCCACCACCGACATCCCCGCCGAAACAGATCTCTTCACCATCCCAAGACAAAGCGTCATCAGTGTGGAGAACTCGGATCTGTCGAAAAAGCTACCTAGAATATTTACTGGACTGAAGAATTTGGATGCTGATGGTGATGATGGTATGGCCGATGGCGACGACGATGAGGAGGACAGTCTGATTATGCCTGACCCTTGGCTGGATTTGATCATGGTTATGGTGTATGAGTTTTTGCAGGGTGAGGATTCTGCGTGGAAGACTTATTTCGAAGTTTTGCCTGATAACTTTGATACTTTGATGTTTTGGAGTCAGGGCGAGCTTAATGAGCTGCAAGCTAGTGCTGTCAAGGACAAGGTGGGCAAGGAGTCTGCTGATGAGATGTTCAAGACAAAGGTGTTGCCTGTTGTCAAGGCTCACGAAGACGTATTTTACGCTGGTGGTGCACAGAAGCTGTCTGATGAGCAAATTGTCGAGCTTGCACACAGAATGGGCAGTATCATCATGGCCTACGCTTTCGATCTCGAGAACAGCGAGGAAGAGGAAGATGATGAGCAAGAAGGCTGGGTACAGGATCTGGAAGGCACTCAAGCCATGGGTATGGTGCCAATGGCTGATATGCTCAACGCCGATGCAGAATTCAACGCACATCTCAACCATGGCGAGGACTCATTGACAATGACTTCATTGAGAGAGATCAAGGCTGGTGAGGAGGTACTCAACTACTACGGTCCTCTTCCAAACTGCGACCTTCTGCGTCGCTACGGCTACACCTCAGCCAAGCACGCCAGATATGATGTGGTCGAAGTACCTTGGGAGATCATCGCCAGCACAATCGACAAGAGATTCACAGGCAAGAAGGGCGTACTGGATGAGGAAGACATGGAAGAAGGATTTGTCCTCGAGCGCGACTCTGGCGAACCCGATGATACCGGCATCAACACCTACCCTGCCAAATTCGTCGCCTTCCCCGAAGAACTAGAAGAACAAGTCTGTCAAGTCACTGCACCAGCCTTGAGCATTGACCTGAACCGTGGACCCAACAAGGCACAGCGAAAACAACTCAAGTCGACATTTTTCGAAATCATGGATGCAGTAATTCCTGCGAGATTGGCTCAATACGGCACTACGATTGAACAAGACGAGCAGTTGTTGAAGAACACCGACCTTGAAGGAAGACACAGAATGGCTGTTGTTGTGCGTCTCGCCGAGAAGAAGTTGTTGAAGGAGGCCAAGGAGTTCATTCCTGCTCAGCTGGAAAAGCACAAGCCTGTGCAAGAGGAAGAGGAAGGACGCAGTGCCAAGAGACAAAAGAGGTAATCGCAACTCCTCGAGATATAGCAGAGAACTTTTTAAAAGGACTTTTTTTTGGTAACTACAATATAGTGCACGACCAAATCGCGGCTGGGTTATATAGCTAAGCATGCATCAACCACTTTTTTCACTCCCTTGCTCTCATGAAACCATCGAAGAACTTTACAAGGCCTTCATGATCGTCAAGAGGCAAAATGTTGGCGACGTACTGATCAGGCCTGACGACAACGACGCATCCTGTCTCACGATCAATCTCCCTAGCAGTAAAGATATCCTCGTGTCCAAGCAAAGTTTCAGCGCAAAAGACCTTTTCGTAGTCTCTTAGCCCGTACTTGCCCATTTGCGGCCAGACGATGGAAGGCATGTCGTTGATGTTCAGAGACGCATGTCCTTGCTGCAAGATAGCGCGGACGTCAATGACAGAATCCACATCAGCACCGGAAGGTGTGAATTTGTCCACCAATTCGGATAGAGACTTGCAAGCTATCTGGAAAGACGAAGAAGCTGATGCAGGGTCTTCAGAGGATGCAAAGACGAATACCCTCCATCTTCCGTCTGCTTTGACCACGTGGGCGAGTTGGATGGGTTTTGCATCTGCGAGACGGATGACGGGAGCTGAGTGCAATCTCATACCTACAGGGAAGCCCTTTGCCAGATCTTGATGCTCGCATACGGCTGTAATGACGGAAGAGCTGTATGCCGTACCCAGTCCAGCCATGAACAAGCCCTGCTTCTCGAAGAATCGCTGAAATTCGGCGGGGTCCACTCCTTCCTCATCATCAACATTGCTCTTGGGACGAGCACTGAACATGCTTGCGATTTCTCTGTCGAAGTTGATAAGATCCTGAGCCACTTTTTGACGCTCTGCAGAGTAGGTATGGAGGATAGAGGCAGAAGCTGTGCCTTGCAGCACAGAAGCCAGTTTCCAAGCGAGGTTGAAGCCATCTTGCATACTGACGTTCATACCCTGACCTGCTTTAGGGCTGTGGGTATGGCACGCGTCGCCTGCGATGAAAATGTTGGGATAATCTGAGGTGTCTTCGGAGCTCAGGTTATCAAATCTGCTGCACAGACGCTGACCGATCTCATAGACAGAGTGCCAAACCACTTCCTTGACCTCAAGATTGTATGGGTGGAAAATGCGTTTTGCAGTTTCGATGAGTCGATCTGCTGAAATCTGCTTGCTCGCAATGCGCTCATTGGCGTTGAGCTTATCGAGCTCAATGTAAAGGCGTACAAGATAGCCTCCTTCTCTAGGGATGATGAGGATACTGCCCTGGGTTGCAGAGTGTATGGCGACTTTTGTTCTCCAGTCTGGGAAATCTGATACGGCGAGGATATCCATGACGCCCCAGGCTTGGTTTGCCGAGTCGCCTTCGAGTTTGAGACCCAAGGCTTGACGGACTGCGCTGCGGGCTCCGTCACAACCTACGACGTATTTGGAACGTACGTTTTCAATCTCTCCTTCATGGCCCGGGTCTGCTCTCTCCAGCTCTATGTCCACGGTAGATGCGTCGGGATTGTCCTTGACTGTCAGCAGAAGGATTTGTTTGAGCTTGCGCGAGTAAGATGGCTGTAGTCTAGTCGGTGACTTAAGCATGACATCAAGGAAGAAGTCATGAACCCTGGCTTGATTGAGAATGACATGTGGGAACTCAGACAGGCCATCACCTGTATCCTTGATCCTGCCACTTCTCACGATATGGTCTGGTTGCTGCTCATCAGGCTTCCAAAAAGTCGTTTCGTTGATGTAGTAAGCTTCCTTGAGGACTCTCTCACTGAACCCGTAGGCTTCGAACATCTCGATGCTTCGGACCTGTAAGCCATCGGCCTGTCCTAGAGTGAGGCGTTCGGCCTTTTGCTCAACCAGTCGTGTAGTGATGTTCGGGAAAAGTGAAAGCTGGGCTGCGATTGCGAGTCCTGCCGGTCCGGAGCCGACAATAAGGACGTCAACCTCTTCCGGGACATCGTTCTTGATGTTGGTATTCTCTTCATTTGCTCGATAGAGGTCGTGAGGGTCGCCAGGCTTGAAGCCATTGAGGTGGAATTGTAAGACCGACATTGCGTGATGGAGATTGATGAAGAAGGTCTGAGTTGTCGTTGTCAGTGGTCGAATGTTGTCTTGGTGACAAGCTATAGCTGAATTGTTGTCGTCTTTTATGTGTGTGAGTGATACATCGGATGACCATTGTCTCCTCAGCGTCCCTCACTACGGCATCGAGGGACGGCCAGTCTTTTGGGCACTCACGGCTTCACTTACGGCACATTTGTATTTGGTCCACTGACTTGTCCGTCTTGCTGGTATGTGCTGATCTTGGAGTGTTTGTACTTGACCTCGGGTCGAGTTAATCTCCTCTTCTACTCCCCGCTTCGGCTTGCACTCGCGGTTACACCGTACTAGTACTTTTCCATCGACAATGAGGATGTTTCATAGTAGAGATTCGAAATCTTGAGCACTGTTCAAATTCATCGGCGGAGAGTAAGATGGTATCGACACGGACGACTGATAGACAAAATAAGTGGGAGGTGGCTGGTGCTACACGTCATCACCCCACCTCCTCAACGCGAACTTCACGCGAATCGCACACCATGTGCAGTCGCAACCCCAAGTCCATTACTTCATTCACTCTCAAAACTTGAGTTGACATAATCATTGACAAGCAATAGGACTTCTGCAAAGCTCAACCATATAGCTCATGTCTTCGGGCGACTGCACCATATTTGGGCTCACCGGCCCTTCCATGAACCCATTCTGAGTTCTGCAGCTCGACACAATCGCTTTAGCCAGACAATCCAGAAAACCCCTGCTGTGATTGAAGCATGATTGGGCTCGCACGCTTTGAGTTGCTTCTGAACGACGGTGCTGTTAGAGTTGTTGGCATTGCGAACTTCTTTCTCTTGGACCGATTTTGTCTTCGCATGATCCACACCAGAGCAACCAGAAGTAGAACACCGCTAGCAGAGGCAATCACAATCCCTGCGATTTCGCCCGTGGTGAGTAATACACCGGTGGATTGCGTGGATGGTGTCGAGGAAGGAGGGTCTGTGAACACACTGTTCGTTGGATCTGCTTTCGGAAGTGTGTTTGGACCGGGCGTCACTGTGCTAGGGGCAGTGTCCGACGACGTCGTTGTTCCACTTGTGGAAACGTCGGTCGAGACGCTCGTCGAACTGTCTGTTGAGGCTATTGAAGACGAACTGGCAGTGCTTACTACCTGAGAAGAGTCTGTTCTAGTCGATGCACCACTCAATGTTGTCGAGGAAGCAGCAATCTCTGCCAGCGACGAGGCTCGGATATTACAACGAACAAAGGTCTCGGTCGCGTTGTAGCCCGGTGCGCATGTGGTATACCTTGGACAGCAAGCCTCGTAGACTCCAGCGCCTAGTTCGGTACAGCTTACTGCTCCAGGTTGCCCACACGAAGAGTTCAGATCGGCATAGCATCCACCTCTGTGGTCGAATTAGCTCCGCTCGAAGGTCACCAACGATACAATCTCACTCTGCTGTACAGCACCAGCCAATTCCTAGATGTTGGGAACATATTGGAAGCGACGCATTGTCTTTGACACCTGCACAACAATCAGGCAATGCACTCGCATCTGAGAAGTCGTTGTGACTGACAGCATAGTGTGTTTCCAGGGGTACATGTGTTGGTCAACCATCCGGCTCCAAAAGCGACGGTATAAACGTCTCTTCGAAAGATGTTAGGCTGGCACAGCATGTTTTGGGATTCTGTTAGATCCACAGCATGTTGCCCATCGTCATATGTTCGGTTGAAGAAGTATCCCAAGAGAGAACCTGCCGACTTGAATATGCTACGAAGCACTTCCATTCTTTGTCGCAATGGGGAATGAAGCCCATAGATCGGACAGAAGGTTGAGAGTATCTCGGTGGTATTCTGCCAGTCGCCTCGGATGTCAACCACCACTGCTTCATGAGTACAAGCAGTCAAGCTTGACAAGGCACTCTGCATGCCGGCATATGCAAGTTACATTGCCATTTCTGAATCAGAAAATCACCACTGCAGTAAGCCGCAGAATAAATCTTCATATGGTGGTATGTGCAATACATATGCTGTTCAGTGGGCGCATGAAGTCGTTAGGGCACCCTGGCCGGAATCTCTACCATGCGGCTGCATGCAGGTCGCCGGGTTCAACCTGGATCAAGTTGTTACGAATGTCGCACGATGGAACGCCCTGATTGCCGGCAGTCATCTAGAGCTGCAAGTTGCATGTCATTCCGGTCTGTCGCGGCTGGTTCTTTCCGAGGTGTTGGGAAGGAACACACAAGGCTACCCGTGTCTCATTATTGTGGCTCCTTTCACATGCAGACGATCTCATCTCGATTTGCTAAGTCGTTCCTGCTGTTCTGAGTCTTTTATGATTTTCTTCCTCGAAACACTGCAATGAGGCCTCTGTATCGTTTACTGGGTGCCAGCGTATTTCTGCTTACCTTGACTTCCTATCTCTATCGTATTCGACTTTCGCCGTCAGTATCAGAGAGACTTTTGCTAGATCTAAGGAAAGTCAAAACAGTGTATTGCCAGAAGTACGGAAGCCGACAGTTGCGACTGTAGTCGCCTCGCAAGTCCGCGATAACACAACTTGGCTACCATCGCTATTTACAGACTGGAAACACAATATGTATGTAGCGGATCAGTCCGATACAATTCTTTCAGTACCTCAAAACAAGGGTAGAGAGGGTATGACCTACCTTACCTGGGTTATCGATGACTACGCTTCTCTGCCCGACATTACCATCTTCTTGCACGCAGAACGGTACCAATGGCACAATGATGATCCGCTATGCGATGGCGCTCGTACGTCTCGGCTACAACTACCTTATGTCCTTGAGCAAGGATATGTCAACCTTCGCTGCGTGTGGACTATTGGATGTCCACATGAGATACAATCGTTGAGCCACCAGGTTGACGAGATCACGAGTGAAACCCATACCGATCAAGTCTATGCAGCTGCCTTTCAAGAGCTCTTTCCCAGCATACCAGTTCCCGAAAGTGTTGGTGTAAGCTGCTGTGCTCAGTTCGCAGCCACTAAAGATGTCATTCTCTGGCGACCTAGAGCAGATTACGAGAGGTACAGACGTTGGCTACTCGAGACCAAACTAGAAGATGGACTGAGTGGGAGGGTTCTAGAATACTCATGGCATAGTATGATCATCATTGCGTTCCATCTTGGTGGGCATGCTAATGTATCCACGCAGTCATCTTCGGGAAAGAAGCCGTCTTTTGCCAGAGGGCAGAAGCCTGTTACTGCAAATTGTATGGTTTATGCGACTTGCATTGCGAAGAAGAAGGCGAATGTCGCGAGCAATACACTTTGCCGCCTTACTCGACGCTCCCAGAAGGCTGGCCCTGGTATGGTTGGGATAGCCAATGGCAGAATGCCACGATAATGTGAACATCATGCCAGACAGTTAAGAAAATTTCAACACACTACTAGATCACGAAACCCTCGAGCTGCTCCTTAGTCCGCTGATCGACATTATGATGTCTATTCTCCTCCCACTTCTGGCCACCTTCGCCAAAGGCATTACCGAGTTGACCCAGGAAGAAATCGAGGTTCTTATCTGCTTTAGGGAAAGCTTCCTTGAACTTTTGATAAAGTTCGTCGACTTTGTATTTTTGGGTAGCATTCTGGATAAGGTCATCGAACAGCTGGAGGTATTTGCGAGTGTGTTCCAGATCAGCCTGGCCATCCATCTCCCAACCTTGTTCCAAGTGTCCAGGGATGATCTTGGTGGCTTTCAAGCCTGCGATGAGATCGAGTGATCTTTGCCAGGCATGCAGAATTTGCGGCGTCTCTATCTCGGCGGCCCTGATCGATCCGTTAGACCTGATGAATACCATCGAGATTAGGCAGAGCAACACTTGGGTACTTACCAAACATGCGTGCTCCTAGCATAAATCACATCGCCACATACAACTGTCTTCTCCGTCGGCAACCAAAACAGCGTTTGGTCAACCGAGTCTCCCTGGACAGGGCCTAGTAGACAAACTGGCGACTGCTCATCTCCATCGAGCACGAAAAAGGTATGCTCGAAAACATCCGGCTTCCTTGGCTTTTCTGGCACCATCTCCTTGCCCATCACAGAGGGCCAATATTTTACCTTCTCCTCATACTCCCGATCAATGCCTGCTCGAACATAAGGAGCGGCCAGAAATCTTGATTCCGGAAAGGCCTCTAGGATGGGATTGGCCGAAAAGAAGTGGTCGGGATGGTGATGAGTAACGAATACTGCTTTTAGTGGGATAGATGTTGTCTCTTTGATCCACTTGACAACTGAATTGGCATCTGGAATGAGAAAAGGAGGATCGATCAAAGCGGCACTCTTGCTGCCTACAATCAGAGTGGTGATACTCGACAAGCCCTGCTCGCTCGAGATGTGGATGTGTGTTTCCAATGGCATTGTTCTTGTTTTCTCTGTGATCGTCTATGACAGAAAATGATGGGAACTTATCTTGTAGGTTAAACTTGGAAGTATCGTGGTATACATACTCATCTGATGGACGTTGTTGACCCCACTATGAGGTTGGTTGTGAGCGGGGTCTCAGCAAGCCGAAAGTCAAACAACGCGGTAGTTGAACGTGGCAGCCATGTTTGTGTGCACGATGCCCTCACGTTTCACGATGTCTTCACGCGTTGACGAGAAGCATGGCTGTGAGTAAGTACTATCTGTCTTCCTTCCAAAGAGTTCGAGTCTTCAATGTCCCCGGGACAAGACAATTAAGCGAGAGCTGGCGATGCTGCTTGTTACAATACCAGCCCATCGACAACACAACTCACACGTTTAAACAAACGACTCGATGTACCCAGACGACAAAGGCCTTAAAGGTGACCAGTCTGAGAAATATACGCTTGAGGCTTTTTAGAGAACAATGCTCTGGTCCGCCAGACTTGAGATGACAAGAAATGCGCTACAAAAATCGGATGGTCAAAAGAGGACAGGGTGCTACTCTATACCATGTTTCGGAGGGATACTCCGCACAGCCAGGGCTGCTCGCCAAAGAGTGGTAGAGTCGTTGTTATCTTTGATATGCTCCCACACACCGTCTCAAACGTCGTTGATCTTAATCTTGTCTGCCAGCGCTACATCATCGTTGGTGATTTGTTTCACAAATTCCCGGTCCGGATCAAACAGCATGACGTGAAAATGTTCAACGGCGTGGATCGACTTCAAACTGGCCCAATTCTTGAACCAGATGCAATTTCCAGAGCCAACATGCGCTCGGAAAGTACGGTCGACGTATGAGTTGAGCTGCTTCCGGGCTGCGTCGGTCAAGTCACCAGTGATAGCGTCTTCTTCGAATTGGAACTTGACCCATACGACAAGATGCACGATTCTTGAATCAATTCCGTAAGGCCAATCATTGAGTAAGATCTTGATATCGTCTAGTCTGAATTATTAGTGAATGGATCTGATGAGATTATCATACACCTACCTGAGTCACTAAAGGGCTCGCCTTTTGAAACCAGATCTTGCCATCTCAGCCTCTCAGTCATGACAAAATTCATTACTGAACCATATTCGTCCTTCAATCTTGCTGTATATGCCTTGTAGCGGCGGAGGTCACTCGGCACTCGCTGGAAGAGATCAATGCGATTCGTGTTTATGAGCCTTTGCACCTCTGACCATGACAGACGACGGTAGTCAGCGTCAGGAGTGGCCAGGATCTTTTGGTCTTTTTCGTTGGCATCTGCTAAAAAGGCTGGGCATTCGAGAGATCTTTGTTCCGGCGAGACGTTGACCTGCCAGTACGGCAGTGCTTCTTGGTCAGACGACATGACGAGATTGCTTATGGAAACTTGCACAGCAGGTTTAGTCGAGTGTAGATGACCCTCCGAAGCCCGCCCCTATAAGATGTCGGCGGGAGCCATAAAGGAGGGACCCTCTCTGGCAGTAGAAGGCCGCCATCCACTTTAGTAAGATGATGGATAACAATTGGACAGCCGAGCCGTCGGCTATGTATGTCGGGGATAGTGGCGTATTCGGAACCACTCCTTTATGAAAACGTGCATCTGAGACGCGTCTTTCTAAAAACGATGAAGTTCACGCGCTGACTCATGAGACCTACGACGCAAGATAGAGGGCAAATGCTGTCAGAAGTACTTCTGGAGGAAGATAGGACGCGGCAAGATAGGCAATGTTAGAAGACGAGCGTATTCGTACGCGCGGCACGGAGCGTTCTCTGTCGTGTTTCTAGAGATGCAGCGGGAGGAAGAAGTCGAAAAGCTTCCAAGAATGCGCCCAGGGTCGCGAGTGGTCGCGCTGGTGCCATGTGGCTCGAGCGCCAACGAATCACGCTTCAGATTCCAACGGGCGTTAATTGAGCAAACTAAGTTGCGGTATCAGGGGGAGGCTCGCTCGAGTCGAGTCGCGCGTGAGCAATTCTACTGTCCACGGGCTCTCCTCTTTACAATCTTGCCCTGGTTATTCCACTGTTACCCTGGTTGTCTTTCTTTCCTTCTTTCCCTTTTGCTTGGTTGGTTTCACGTATCTTCGACAACAGTCCTTACAGGCCGCCGAGCGAGTCAAGCGCATGATTGGAAAATAGAAACAATCAAAAGTTATACGACGTCCATGCCATCCTAGATCCTCGTATCCACTCCACAACATCAGCATTCGACAACAACATGATGCACGCTCCGAATCGCAGTCGCGACGACACTCTGTCTGGTCGCGGCTACCAAGGCCCTCCGCTAGGCAATGATCCATACGCTGCCGCTGCCAGCAGAACTGCCGTCCCTATTCAAAACTCACCACCACTCTCACAAGGCTCGACCGACAACAGCCTCTCCAGTCGCGCTCGCTCTCAGCGCTCGCCGAGCGCAACCAACAGCCACATCTCCTCGTCGAGCTCCGTCAGCGGCGCCGGGTTTTACTCCCCTGCCAATAGCGAGTTCAGACAATCCGTCAAGTCGACCAGCCAGGAAGCAGCATTGACTCACCACTACAATGTTCTGAAAGTCTACCTTGCGCGATACCTCCGAGACGAGCAGGGGAACACGCGCCCTACGCGAGCAAGGGACAAGCTGCTTCGTCTGTCGCCTACACAGTTCAATGAATTGAGTACCGACGTGTTTGACGAGTTGCAAAGGCGTGAGGACGACCGCCGACGACCGGGTGGCATTGTACCCCCATCTCTTCCACCTAGAAATATCTTCCACCCTAAGCGCAACCAGGCACGCCAGAAGCTGTCAACTCTTCCTCCCGAACGATTCAGACAACTTGCGACCGATGTCTTTTTCGAACTTGAGCGCAGAATGCCGGGACTTGTAGGTGCCGACGGGGACAGACCCGGCAGCCCAACAGGTAGTGTAGCGAGCAGAGGCAGTGCCAGAACGTCAAGCCGACAGGGCCCTCCATACGCCATGCGCCGTCCGTCAGGCCAACAGAACGGTATGCGTGGACCTCCCCCACCTGGAACCAGACCTGGCCCGCCCAGCAATGGCCCTTACTCGCCATATTCGCCATCTGATGAGGGCATGCCTCCTCCGCGCACCGATTCTCGTGGCGGGCCCATAAGCCCCAATAGCAGTTTTGGAAGACCGCTTCCACAGACCTTCCAAAGCAACACGATGGTTCCCAACAAAAGCACCATGGTTGAAGACGACGAGACCGACGAAGACGACGATGAGACATATGGCTTGAATGGGCAAGTGTCGGGTACCAGCGAGAAGGATGCCGAAACAATGAGAGCCTTCGAGGTTCAGGTATCGGAACTTGAGGCCAAGATCTTAGACCTGCAAGCGACCTTACACAATAAGGATGCGGAGATCGAATCACACAAACAGGATCACAGCAAGGCCAGAGACGAGTGGCTACAAACAAAAGAAGAGCTCGATACCAAACTTGGCGACTCGCAAAAGACGCTGGATACATTACACGCCGACTTCGAGCACTCCAGAGCAGACAGAGATCAGTCTGAATCTGACTTGCGTGCTCGCACCGAACAAGCCGTTTCCGATCTGCATCTTGAGCTGGACGAGTTCCGGAGAGAAAACGACATGCTTCGCGCCAACGCAGCGTCATCAAGATCGCTCGAGCAGGACGGCAATTGGCAGCATCGCTACGAAGAACTGGAGCAAGAGCTTGTGCAACAACAAAAGATTACAGATGAGGTACGACATAACGCCGAAACCCACCTGCAAGAGATGCGTCTGCTCTTAGAACAGAATGAGACGGCCCTTGGAAAAGAGGAACAACTACAGTCTCGAATCGCATCACTAGAAGCAGAGAACGAGCAATGGAAGATTCGCTATGCCAAGACTAGAACACAGTTGAGGACGTTCAAAGCATCTTCGATTGGCCTTTCGCTGGAGCACATGGCTCCTGGGGCACTGTCATCTAAGCATGAGCACCTCAAGCCGAATGGACTCGTCAAAGACTTGGACGTGACGAACTTCCAGATTTCAATTGACGAGCTGTTACAAGCAGCCCGCGAAGCGTCATCTGCTCCGCACTCGGCGCTCGAAAAGGCCAAGGACGTCGTCCAGAGCGTGCGCAACATGACATCCAACATCGAGGGGTCTTTCTCAAATGTTGGCTCTCCACACTCCTCAACAACTCACCTTTCTCAGACCACGGTGGGCCCGACTCCGACTGCTCTCAAGATTCGTGTTTCTCGCGATGCCAACAACCTTGTCACGGTGACTCGCAACCACGCAGCGGCCAACGGATTGGCTCCGGTATCGCTTGTCGACGCTGCCGCGAGCAACTTGACCACGTCCGTGGTCGAGTTGGTCAAAGTCGTTGGTATCCGCGGCACTCAGGACCAAGATGACGATGATTCATCTCTCGACGGTGACGATATGGAGATTGAGGAGATTGCACCGCTGTCGATGTCAGGCAATAAGCCAGTACTTGTCAAGGCACCAGTCCCGCCTCAGAAGCAACAGGTGGGCACTGGATGGTTTTCGATGCTTAAGGGAGGCAAGAGCGAGCACAGCGATGATGAAGATGAATACGACTACAGCTAGAGAGCAGAAGTGCATACTAGACGCATATTCCGCAGGATACGAGCATAACACAGGCGCTGGGAATACGGATCGACGAACACATGGTATTGAGTAATGTTTTCTTTCTTTCTCTCATTCTGCCAGGTCAGAGGACGACTGGATTGGATTGTTCTTAGTTCAGTTCTTGGTGGGGCGAAATTAGGGCATTGGGCTTTTGGACACGCAAGCCTGTTCTTACAATCCACTTTTTGGAAAGAATCCACATTACTTTTATTCGCATCAAGTTTCAAGTTCGAGAGGTGCAGGTGGTCAAAAACAAGGGAGACTTGGTACGAGATTATCTTCTCCAGACCATCTTATCCATCTTATCTGATGCAGGGCGGGCCGAAGGAGCCACAATGGTACGAGGAGCGTGGACGCGTTTCCGAAGGCTGGCCAAGGTGGTACGATTTGCGCATGGTAGATCCAAACTTGCAAGCGTCATCTCGCAGCTACCTTCAGGGTGCTGCGCGTTCGAGATCGGCAAAAAATGTTCTCGTTTCCAACGTGCTGTTCGAAAGCGAAACATGTGGATTGAGCAACCAAAGATTCTTGGAGAAAGGAGAGACACGGCGAATGGACAAAGCGATTCAAGCAGAACTAACGACGACAGAGGCGTCTGGAATTTTGGTTGAGGGAAATGAGTTATTTGGGAAGGTCGAAAATCAAGCTCCTCGGCGGATTCTCGAATTATGCTTTTTTGTCACTCAGGGGCTTATGAAACGAAAATCTGGGGATGGTTGCAAGACGCGGCAGAAGAAATCGAGCAATGTGCCTGCGGGAGAGAACAGCGGATGGCGCAAGAGGTGAACAACGAGGCGAGACGGGACAACAATGGCTGGTCTCTTTGTCCGTAGCAGGGGCAATCAAAGAGGCAACGACTCGTAACCGTGGCGGTAAGAAGAAGTGTAGAGTTATGGCAATGGCGGCAGCGAAGATGTCGGAATCAAGTAATCTCTCGAGCTTGTCGCGTGTGTTCCAAACGGCAGCAGCGACCCGCCCGTGCGCCTGACCGCCTTTGGATGAAGCAGGTCCTCAACTTTTGGAGCGAGTGGAGCCATTTGACTTGGAGCTGCCTACCCTTCCTCCGTCCCTATTGTTCTCGTCGACTTTCGCAGCGTGTCAATTGCTTTCTAGTCTTTCGAAGGGGATGCGCTTGTGACCGATTGCTCAACCATCGACTCATACTACCCGGACCATGTCATCGTCAACAATGCTGGGTTCCCTGATTCCGGCGCGCTGGAGAGGCTTTTACAGCCCCCAGGACCCGGCCAAACCAGGTCCCTACAGCAAGCACATCACGCCTCTGCTGCAGAGCATCACCCGCCGAACCTGCACTCACCCCATCCACTCGATTGTCTTTTGCGCCCTGATCGCCAGCACCACCTACATCGGTCTGCTGGAGACTGGCTTGTTCGAGCCGTCAACAAACTCCAACAGCAATCAGGTCGACTTCTCTGCCTTGTCCCAGGGCAGCCGTACTCTGAATGTCGGCCCCGAGACTTCCTGGGAGTGGCAGTCAGATGCCGTCTCAAACAGCGCACAAGCAGAGGTTCGTCCAAATTCCTTTTCTTCACTCCTGACAAGTCCTGACCTTGAAGCAGCACCTCTCCCTGATCACCCTTGCCTTCGCCGATTCTTATGCCGACGCACCCTCTGTTGTCATCCCGAAAGATAGCTCAGCCGAGCTGCTCCCTTCCTCAGCTAGCCGTCTGTCTTTGTCCCAGGACGAGACTCTTGCCTTCTCGCTTCCTTCAGACGAGACTCCCGCCTTTTTGGCCTCGATCAAGGAGATTCCCGCTCAAGAAACCGCCCAGGATGACGACGAGCAAAAGAGATGGATCATGAGAGCAGCCAGAGGTTCGGCACGTCGTTTTTCTCTGCGTGAATGGGCTCGCAACTCGTGGATTGCCTTCACAGACTTGATCCGTAACGCCGAGACTCTCGACATCATCATCATGGCTTTGGGTTACCTCTCGATGCACCTGACTTTTGCTTCGCTCTTCGTCTCGATGCGTCGCATGGGCTCCAACGCGTGGTTGGCGACCAGTGTTCTGTTCTCCTCAGCCTTTGCTCTTCTTTTCGGCCTTGTTGTCACCATGAAGTTGGGCGTCCCTGTCAATGTTGTTCTTCTCTCCGAGGGTCTTCCTTTCCTGGTTGTTACTGTCGGCTTTGAGAAGCCCATCATGCTCACACAGGCAGTCCTGTCGGCCGCTCTCAATCCTCCCAGACGCGAGAATGGTGACCAAGCTCCTCTAACCATTCAAAATGCCGTGCAAATCGCTGTTCACGAGCGTGGATGGGGCATCGTTCGCGACTACATGGTCGAGATCACTCTTCTGATTGCCGGCGCCATGTCCGGTATCCAGGGCGGTCTCCGCCAATTCTGTTTCTTGGCTGCATGGGTCTTGTTCTTCGACTGCATTCTTCTCTTCACCTTCTACACTGCTGTTCTCACCATCAAGCTCGAAGTCAACCGTATCAAGCGCCATGTTGCTTTGCGCAAGGCTCTCGAAGAAGACGGTGTTAGCCGCTCCGTCGCCGAAAATGTCGCTGCCAGTAACGATGGTCTGAAGCCTGACGCTGTCAACGGCGAAACTTCAATCTTTGGCCGCAAGGTCCGCGACAGCAGCATTCCCAGATTCAAGGTCTTGATGGTCTCTGGTTTCATCATAATTAATGTTCTCAACTTCTGCACAATCCCCTTCCGCACTGGCGCCGCAAACAACTCGCCCTCGCTCTCTAGCTCTATGGACCCCTTCAAGGTTGCAGGAAACGCGCTCGACCACATTTTGGCCCAGGCCAAGGTTCGCAACCAGTCGACCGCCGTCACTGTTCTGTCTCCTATCAAGTACGAGCTTCAATATCCTTCTGTGCACTACTCTTCCGATAGGCCTGATTGGTCTCTATTTGACGGTCCTTACGCCGACGGCATCTTCTCCAGTATGGGTGGAAGAGTTGTCGAAGGCGTTCTCAAGAGCTTTGAAGACCCTGTCCTGAGCAAGTGGATCATCATCGCTCTTGCAGTGAGTTTGGTTCTGAACGGCTACCTGTTCAACGCTGCACGTTGGAGCATTAAGGAACCTGACCACAGCGAGTCCACTACTGGTGCTATCAAGGCCGCCCCTCTGCCTGCTCTTCCAGAGTATGACCCGAATATGAACATTGATGCCTCGGGTAATGAAAATGGACACGCCGTGAACACTGCAGTCCAGAAGCGCTCTAAGGAAGAGTGTGAACTTTTGCTTGCTGAGAAGAGAACTTCTGAGTTGAACGACGAGGAACTCACCGAATTGGCTTTGCGCAACAAGATCCCTGGATACGCTCTTGAAAAGACCCTCGGCGACAAGACTCGCGCCGTCAAGATCCGTCGCTCCCTTATCTCTCGCACTCCTGCCACCAAACACGTCACTGGCGCTCTTGAACGCTCCAAGCTTCCTTACCTGAGCTACGATTACGATCGTGTCTTTGGAGCTTGCTGTGAAAACGTTGTTGGTTACATGCCCCTTCCTCTTGGCGTTGCTGGTCCCATCGACATTGACGGACGTAGCTACTACCTCCCCATGGCTACAACTGAGGGTGTACTTGTCGCAAGTACCAGCAGAGGTGCCAAGGCTATCAATGCCGGAGGTGGTGCTGTGACTGTTCTCACTGGCGACGGTATGACTCGTGGACCTTGTGTCGGTTTCGAGACTCTTGCTCGTGCTGCCGAAGCCAAGGTTTGGTTAGACTCAGAGGCTGGTGAAAAGACCATGAAGGACGCGTTCAACTCGACTTCCAGATTCGCCAGACTGCAACATCTCAAGGCCGCCCTTGCAGGCACCTACCTCTACATTCGCTTCAAGACAACTACCGGTGACGCCATGGGCATGAACATGATTTCCAAGGGTGTTGAGCAAGCGCTCAGCGTCATGAAGGAGAGCGGTTTCGAAGACATGGCCATCATTTCTGTGTCAGGCAACTACTGCACAGACAAGAAGCCTGCGGCTATCAACTGGATTGATGGACGTGGTAAGAGTGTTGTTGCCGAGGCCATCATCCCTGGTGATGTCGTCCGTTCCGTTCTCAAGAGCGACGTCGACGCTCTCGTCGAGCTCAACATTTCCAAGAACCTGATCGGTAGTGCTATGGCAGGCAGTATTGGTGGCTTCAACGCACACGCTGCCAACATTGTCACCGCCATTTTCCTCGCCACTGGCCAGGATCCTGCTCAGAACGTCGAGAGCAGCAACTGTATCACTGTAATGAAGAAGTGAGTTATCTAACCATGTTTGTTCCCGGATTCCTTTGCTAACTTTATGACAGCCTTCGTGGTAACCTCCAAATCTCAGTTTCTATGCCTTGTATTGAAGTCGGTACAATTGGAGGTGGTACTGTTCTAGAGCCGCAGGCGGCTATGCTCGACCTTCTCGGTGTCCGTGGTGCCCATCCTACAAGCCCTGGCAACAACGCCCGTCAGCTCGCGCGTATCGTGGCCGCTGGTGTCCTTGCTGGCGAGCTATCTCTCTGCGCAGCACTTGCCGCCGGTCACCTTGTCAAGGCCCACATGTCGCACAACCGTTCTGCCGCACCTTCAGCCGCACCCAGCAGAGTCCAGAGCCCCAGCCCTTCACAAGGCAAGCCGTTGCCTCAAGGGTTGACCATGACCGGCATGGCATCCAAGAGATGATGATTTGATCTGACAATCCTTCTTCCAAGCCATTTGGCAACATCTTATGGGGACCTTCATTTTCATCATCCTCTAACCCCCTTTCAGATTTATTGTTTTGAGCCCTTTTTTGTTGAACCAAGATACACCCTTACGCTTCGGTCACGCCCACATGAGAGTTGAGGAGTAGAGAATAAAGAGTCATGTTATTTACCATGACCAGGAATTAGGAAAGAAAGCATGCGCATAGCAAAAGATGGCGTTTATACATGATTGTTTGGGTCCATTCTCGTCCTGTAACCCTAATACAAGCATACATCCGATTATTCATATCTTCCACCGACCATGTGCTGGGTTTTATTGGTAGAGCCATTAGCACACAATCGACCAATCAGAATTGCCAAACGGTAACCACAATCGGAGACCGTTTTGCCTACGAAGGAATGCATGTGCATCCTGGCAAAGGAAGGATCAACCCCACTTATCCTTGACCTAACACAGCAGCTACAGATTGGACAAGCGACACCGCTGGCTTTCTGCAACAATGGCCATACACGCAGGTTCGACAGCCCTATTTTCCCCAAGACCCTGACCTTTGACGGACCGGCAAACATGCCAGGAAGTAAAGCAATATATAAAGAGCCCTGAACTTTTGCAATTACCATCTCACTCCATCACCAAACCACCTGGGATAGTTCTCAGCTGAAACGCCGTCAGCCATGTCTTCATCTATCCCTTTTCGCAAACTCGGTCGTGATGGTCCTGAAGTGCCTGCTTTGGGATATGGTATGATGGGGCTTTCTCAACCTGTGTATGGCAGTTTGACCAGCGAAGAAGAGAAGTTCGCTATTCTGGACAGAGCGTATGAACTTGGAGCCAGACATTGGGATTCGTCCGAGTAAGTTATCCCCCTGCACTTGTCTTGAGATATATTTTGGAAGCTGACATGAGGTGTGTTCCAGTCTTTACAATGACAATGAAGAAACACTCGGCAAATGGTTCAAGAAGACTGGGAAACGTGAGGATATCTTCCTGGCGACTAAATTTGGCTTTGTCAAGGGCAAGTTTCCTGAGCTTGATAGTACGGGGGAGTATGCGAAGAAGGCTTGTGAGGAGAGCTTGAAGATTTTGGGAGTCGAGTACATTGATCTGTGTAAGACTTGTGACTCCTGACCGACTAAGCTGTATGTACTAATGACAATTGTGAACATAGACTACTTGCATCATCCCAACCCAAAGACACCGATTGAGGATACAATGAGAGGACTCAAGGAACTACAAGAACAAGGGAAGATCAAGTACATTGGACTCTCCTCAATCTCGTCGAAAACACTTCTTCGCGCTTCCAAGATTGCGAAGATCTCTGCCGTTCAAGTCGGTTACTCAGATTTTGAACTCGACATTGAAGGCTCTCGTGGCACAGATCTTCTAGCTACATGTCGCTCCCTTGATATTGCTGTCGTGGCCGCAATGCCATTAGGTCGCGGCATCCTGACTTCCACATTCGCAGACAATGAACCCTTGGATACCAAAGACATGCGTCCGTCTTTTATGCCTAGATTCCAAGATGGCAATAAACAGAAGAATGTGCAGATTGCCAAGCATTGGAGGGAATTGGCAGAGAGTAAGAGGTGCACTTCTGCTCAACTTGCCATTAGATGGTTACTTGAGCAGGGTGAGGATATTTTTGTCATTCCCGGGACTAAGAGGATCAAGTATTTGGAGGAAAATTGTGGTGCTGTGGGTGTGGAGTTGAGTAAGGAAGATGTGGCGGAAGTCAGAAGATTTGCAGAGACTGCAGAGGTTGCTGGTGGTTGTTTGCCTCCTAACTTTGAGAGCTTCACTTTCTCTGATACTGTGGAAGAGTAGTTTGTAGCTTTAGTAATGGTCACTAAGAGAATGAAAATGGAAAGGCAAATGTTCTACGGATGGTAAAAGGTTCATAGTTTTGATCCATGGCAAGAAGAGTTGACCTCTGCCAGAATGAATAGTAAAAAAGAAATGAGGAGTTATCAGAAAAACACCAGAAACCCCAAAGATAAGAAGGAAACATCCGCCATCTCAAAAGATCGAGACATCCGAATCGCAAAAAACCATTTTCCAAATATCAGGAAAAAAAAGAGCTCAATCATTCCCATCCCTCCATTCAAACAAAAGAAATAGGGCGAGGAAATAGATCAGAGGCCATCGTGCCTTAGACGCGAGAGAGAGTACAGCTGCTAACATACAACTGTCCCTTTCCCTGCAAATCGCAAGAAGAAACGTAAAGCTGTCCCTTTCCCTGAAGGTCGCAGGAACTAACGTAGAGTTGGTCTTTTCCTTGCAGAGAGCAGGAGGAGACGTAGAGTTGGCCCTTGCCCTGGAGGGTGCAGGAAGAGACGTAGAGTTGACCGTTGCCCATTTTGATAGTTGGTTTCTGGGGGAGTGTGTGTTAGAGGGGGTGTTTGAGGGTGAGAGGGAAAGCTTACTGGTAGCGATTGACTTGGGAGTTATCGATGAGGAAGGAGAAGGGCTTGGTTGGTGAGCGAGGGAGAGCTTATGTAGGAAAAGCTTCGTGTTGGAAATGCAAAGATTTGTGTTTCAGCACCCTTGATCGTGTGTCTTACTAAGACCAGATCGCTCTTCGCCTTTTCTCGTTCGAGCCGTTGATTGGAGGAACCGAGTTCGCACCCGTTGCTGGTTCCTGCCTAGACAAGTCGCTACACGTGGAAGCCTTTGATGTCAAGTCCAGAGTCCGATAGTCACAAGCTGTGCGATAAAGGGAGGAGCAAGTGGCCACGAGTCTGAAATCTAATTACGGTAAGCCTAGTATTGTGTCCATGTCTTGATATTGTTCCTAGACGGACAAAGACTTGCATGCGACGTCTAGAAAGAACGACGCGTGCGAGTCAGACCATTGTGTTTGACTCAAAAACACCAGTAGAGCCCTCGATATCAATGATCTTAAGCAAAGACCGTATTTATAATGCGAAAGATCTAGGTCGATTGAATAAACAATCAGTTGCGAAATTTGGTACGCCGATTTGCAGATGAAGTGTAGCGAAAAGTCACAAAAAGCCCGAGAGATATTTTCGAACGTCCTTTAGAGCTGTACCAGAACAGACTGAGTGATGACAGGAATGTTTTTCTCAAGCTCATCTGTGTGTTTGTGGGTATCAAGAGGAAATAGACAAATACGACTGTCATCATTATGTTGGACAGACTAGCCCAAAGAAATAAACGACGAAGTGGTATTGTTGGTCGCAAAGTAAGAGCAACATACACATTTCGTGGTATAGCGATAGACGACGCAAGTTTCATAGTGACGTGGTAGGTTGAGGTTGTTTAAGGGGTCACATGCGTCTGATGAAGCCGACCCGGCACGAGAAAAGCGGATCCAAGATTCGAAGGGAAGCAATCTCGTGACTGTTTCCTGTTAAGGAAAGAAAAGACAACTGGCAAGCATGAGAGAACAGATACAAACAAAGGAGAGAGCGAAAGACAAGAACGTCAGGTGAAGAAAGGTAGTAAGGGGTAACAAGGATTTAAATTTCAAACAATGTATCAACGGAAACAAAGAAATGAATGACAGCCATCTAGCGCGAGCTCAGATGTCACATACGCCCGGAATTGGGTATACGCAAGCCTTCGTGGTAGTACTTACGGGTGCGGAAAACTTAGTGGGCTCCGAGGAGGAAGCCACGCTTGATGTTATCGTAGGAGCAACGCTTGAGGCACTAGTCGGGGTAGACTGTGGGCTCGCAGTTGATGTGCTAGGCACAACCTCGGAAGTGGGCGTAGGGCAGTAGTAGTCAGTCACAGTAATGAGGACTGGGAAGGGTAGGCTCACTGTCTCAGTCACAGTAATTGTGGGCTGGGACGCGCGAGACGTAGTAGAAGAAGCAGCGTCGCTGAAACTGGAAAGAGTCACAAGAGTGACATTATTAGTTGCGGAGGAGAAGCGAACTGGAGTAGCGGCATTCGAAGGTTTCGATCCGGCAGCCCCAGTTGGTGCTGGTACAGTCGTCGTGAGTGTGATGACACTGTGGAGCGTTACCGTGCTGGAGATGGCTGCTGCGTTGGCAACCTGGCCTGCCAGGAGAATCGCAGGGATGATCGATTTGGTATACATGTTGAGTTTGGAGATTGTGTTGTTTTTAGGTAGAAAACCCATGGGATTCCTCGAGCGGGACATGAGGGATATATAGACAGGCACCGAGTCAGAAGCCTATGTATCATTTCGCATGCTCAAAGACAATGGTTTCTGTCAAGTCGCTCTTTATCCACGCACGAAAATTATTGATCGCTTTGTTCCGCGTTCAGTGGCATACAGATGCTGTAGAAAGGAAGCGGAGTTCCTTTGTAGTCTCCTTTGTGCTGACAAGAATGAGTTGTGGCGATGCTGACTCCGTTCTCATGCGCACGGAAGGGGTCACCTGGTACGCAGACTTCGGTGAGCATTGTTTGAACACTACTGAACAGGCTGATTCGATCGATGACTATACAGGTAGGAAATCCTTCTCCTCATCCGTTATTGTACCACTCTCGAGTCGAGTGTCTTGGCTTAGCATATGGTGGGCAACTCGATCCTCCGCCGGTGTCGTTCGCTCTCCGTCACCAAAGATGGGTTTGAAGAAACCATCATATGTCCTCCAGCAGGATCGAAAGATGGACTCCGAAAGTATGCGAAGCCAGGGTGGAGTTCGACCGCCGGCATCGGCAAACCTGGCGTTCAGAGAGAAGATGAACAAGATGAAAGGCAACCATAGAGTGAGGAAGACAAACTGGCCCATCTGTTGTTTGTTCGAGGTGATTGTGTATGGTCGGATGTCGTTCAAGTAGTTCTGATACTCGTACGGCAATTGACACTCGGCGGCTCCATCGGTAATAAGCTTCAGGTAGCGAGCTGAAGCTTGAGCGTAAGATGTGTCAGGGCGCTGGATCCTTCCACCCTCTTTTGGAGGCTGAACACCTGATGGTATAGCAGGAGCAAACAAGGTGTGTGCCTTGAAAGGTGTGGTAGTAGGATAGACAGGCACAGGCTGAGCGGGATCTGAAGACTCGAAGGGATAACAGTCGACAAGAATGTCTTGGTAGGACGCGCCTCCTCCTTCAGTAGCGATGATGTGGGCGTAGTCGGTAGAAGTGACCTCATACACGACGCCAATCAAGCCTTTATGCCATCTGTTCTTGTGATAATCCTTGGACTGTGGAATTCCTTCTTTCTCTGACAGAGAAGGTAGATCCTTCTCAGGGTCGCGACGACCGGTGTTCGCAAAACATGGCTCCGAGTAAGCTATGCCGGGCAGATCGAAAGTCAAACGTAGTTCTGGTATCTGCACATTGATTTGTGACAGCGGTTTGATTCCACGCTTGCCGCGGAACGTTTCGTTGCACAGATTGGAGCCGTAGGCAAGATAGAGGAACGTCTCGCTCTCTGATTCGGTTGTGGCGGACAGAGAGGCCTCTCTTCGTTCGATGCTGGTTTCTGACAAGGTCGAGTAGGTGGGAAGAGCGACGGCGCGAGTCGGCGCTTTACGCGTCATCTGTTGTGCCACGTCGCGGAGGCTGCTGAAAGCCTTGGCCAATCGGCAAGTGTTCTCTGCTGAGGGTTCCATGCCTGTCATTCGCTTCGACTCGCGATGCTGTATCTAGTGACATGTGCGAGAGGACAACATTATGTACAGTGCTCGATAGCCTCACCACAAGGGTGTTGAACATCGTCGTTCCGAGATTGGTAATATGACGCCGCCAAATGGTCTGTGCTTCAAATATGTCTAGGTCGGCTTCGGAGCAATTCACCTTTCCGTCCTCCATCGTGAGTTTGAAATCCTCTATAGCTGACTGTGTACCAAGTCATGATTGCTGTGCGAAGACTGTCGCAGGCAGACGTCAGCTTGCAATGGATCACTCAGCGGCCGATCAGAGCCACATGAGCCCGACCACAGCAGTTGACGAGGAGAGTCTTGAGGAGTTAGTAAAGCCATGCAGTAATCACAATAGCTTTCCCAGCATGTCTTGTAATGTGGTAGTCCTGGCAAGACAAAATTATGCTGCTGAGTGAGTTACCAGATGAGGTAGGTGCATTGGGTGCAGGCATCACAGGCGTCGGTGAGGTCGCGACTTCCTTCTTTCAAACATCAACAGCTTCTCGACACAGCGAATGCGCAAACATGAACAAGCTCGCTCATTCCTGTTGCTATGGCTTCGGCTACCGCTCCTGAAGTCATCACGGCAATATACCACCATCCTATCAACGGAAGCTCGGAGCCAACTCCTGCGAAGCCGCCTTCTCAGGAAGCTCAGTACATCACACAAGTTCTTAGGTCACCAGCTGTTTCTCAACATTCCGCTTTCATTATCGCTTCGCAAAAGGACGCCGAAAGTCTGATACAAGACTCTCTTGAACGTCAACCTGAAACGCCAGCTCGTCAATCCAGCGCTCCACCCCATCTCTACGGGCAGACTGCGCCTCGCGACAACGACTGCATAGTCCAAGACTCATACGAGGAGAAGCTTGACGCTTCGAGCCCGTCAGTTGAGCATCAATTCGTGACGCACAACACCACTCTTGCATTGCCGCTCGCTGGGCATCCTCCGTCTCAAGATCACGGTCCCGGAGAAGAGTCTGTCGGCCTCGCGCGCCTGGAGCAGCCTTCTGAGCAGACGACTACTGTCTTGCAGCAATCAGCTGGGACACAGCCTCCAATCTCAACTCAGACCGCTGCCAAGACGAGAGAATTGAACAAAGCATCGCCTTCAAAGCATACTGCGCCCGACGACGAGGAAGATATACAAGACTGCATCACCGTCCGCGCTCCTCCCATCACGCCTTCTGCTAGAGTCATAAACGGGACTACAATCGCCACGTCTGCTGTACTCCAATCTGCTGCTCACAGCGCACGGCATATTTCCAGCCCAACACCACTCAATCGAAGCCGATCCTCGCTACCAAACGTATCGGCTATTACCGCCCTCACCACGCCTAGTATGCCTCCCAAGATATCTTCTACCAAGGCTTCGGCGTCGGTAAGCCAGGGACGGACAGGCACCAGTACCACTTCCAAGAAGCCATCCAAAGCCGTCCCACCTTCTGTTGACATTGTGAATCGCGGCGAGACTTCGGCCATCGCGAGTCTTCAGATACTCCGGGCTGGAGGAACCAGTCAAGTCAATATCACAAGACAAACAGCAGAAGCTACGACGAAGACTTTGACCAAGGCTGAGACCTCTGGAAAAGCCCCAGCACGTCCAACTAAAGCTCCCGCTACGAAGCTTATCACCAGGTCTTCGCAACAAGGCCAGAGCCAACCTCGATCTTCTGCGAACAAGCAGATGTCGCGCCGAATCGAAGACTCCGATGGTTTCGACGAGTATGCTGTTCCACAAAGTCCTAAAGCTGCGGCAGAAATCGTGGCCCCCAAGCTTCGTGTACAAGAGAAAGCGAAGTCACAAAGAAAGGCTAAGTCGAATGTACCATCCGCACCTTCAGTCAAAAAGGCCAGTAGAAGCCAGCCGAAAAGACAGGCTGTGAAAAGTGCAGACACCGATGATGAAGATGACGATGAGGTATACAGCGCGCCCAAAGTAAGCAAATTACCCACGGCCCATGCCACTCGTGCAAGTACCCGCGCCCAAACACAGAAAGTCACCAGAGACGACATTTTGGACGTTGCCAATCGAGGTGATGTTGCGAGCGCTACGACGAGGGGTACTGGGTTGAAGAGCGCTGCGACGAAGAGTACTGCGACAAAGAAAGAGAATCCTGCACCACGTCGACCCGCTCCACGAAAGAAAGCAGAAGAGACCGGTGATTCCAACGACAATTTGGATACCGACCCGATCTTTGTGGATAGGACACACCGCTCTGATCGACTCCAGCTAGTGAAGCCGCCTGCAGTAGAGAAAGCGAAGGCTCCCCGTATGACAGACAAGGGTGCACAGCTCATGAGCGCGATTTCTACTCCCCAACAGTATGGACACCATCCATATCTCCAAGCGACCTCGAGCTGACATCTCCAGTACTACCGAGCCAGTCGCCATCAAGGCTAAGAACGAGCAAAAGACACCTCACGAGCGACCTCATTCCAATCCATCATATATCCGTGCTCACGAACCAGGTACCACACCACGGCACCCGATCTCGCTCAATGATGACGACGATGACTCTGATGGCGAAGGTGTCACTGGTGAGCTGCTGGATACTAGCTACAACGATATTGTCAATGAGACGATGAGCCAAGAGGCAAAACAGAAGCAGGACACTTCACTTACCACAGAACCATCTTTTGCCTCTTCGTCCGGAGAGGCTCGAGGTTCCTTGATCCGCCAGCATCCATCTCCCACCAGCACCCAGCATCCAGGTCCCCTGGTAGAAGAACACGCTAACCGCAAGCCAAACATCGTGGGATTTACCCATGCTGGACTCAAAAACCAAGGTACGGCGAACAAACGTGATAGTCGGCCAGACCCAGTCCTATCAGTCGAAGCAGACACTTCCTCCCCGAATCTCGATCAGTTCAGCGTACAAGCGTCGACAGTGCCTGGCTCGCACAAGCGGTTGACAGTAGCGTACGAGGCTCGAGTAACTGAGCTACCTGTGCAAGATCACACTGTCCTTTCCGTGGATGTGTCTGCCGCACCCGAGGAGACCATTGCAATCATCCCGGAGCCCACAGTCGATCGATCTCGAAAAGCAGTGGCGAGTCTCGAGACGTCGCCAGTCGAAAAGAAGGGTCTGACGGCGTTCGAGACGTTAGCAAAACCAGCTATAAGTGGGCATGCGCGACGGAAGCCAACCAGAGATTTGGCCCACTCTCATGAGAGAGAGCATGTCGAAACCACTGTCCGTTCCAGGCTTCCCAAGAGCATGGCTAGGGACAGCTCCCACCGTGCAACTACGGAGCTCGAGGATCGTGTTCAGAAGCCAAAGACTACGCTCGGAGCTTCTATTGCGCTGCTCCAAGAAGAATCATCAAACCAGATTGCTCGAGACGCAAAATCTCCAGTTGCCGACAATCCAGTACAGAGCTTATCTAAGCACAGAGAATTGAACCCAGCTACACAGCTCTACGTAGTGCCAAGCTCAGACGCCCCCAACTTCAACGACTACGATGAGCCCGAACAAGTTCTCAGCGAGCCCGCCAGACCGCTGTCGATTCAAGACCCGCCAAGAAGAGAAAGTAGTAGAGCTTCTGTGCCTCTGGTACAGAAAGAACAAACGAGGACTAAGAACACCCAGTCACAACTCCATCAACCAGCATTGCCAGTACCCAATCCGAAACGACCAGCCCCCGAGATGACTAAAGGTCCTACGAAAATTCTGAGAACACTAAGAACAAGCACACGTGAGTCCGAGCCGCAGTTCGATATCTCAGCAGCAGCAGCAGCAGCAGCAGTAGCAGCACGTCCGGTCATGCGAAGAGTGTCCCAAGTTGCCAACAATGGATCTCCTATAGCTCACGGAGAATATTTACCCCAGTCAACTGAGCGCATCGAGCACAAAAGGAACAAGATGGCACCAACAACTTCGATACCACCCCTGCGACTCACTCAACAAAACGAAGTTGATCCGTTTGATGAAGTCCTGGCTTTGAAGCCAAGACAGAAAGTCAGACATGAGAGTCCTCTGGAAAAAATTCAGGACGTGGACCAGAGTCCCCCTGAGCAGAACTCACAAGCCATCACGCACATCGGATTTGATGGAGAAACCCGAGCAAATGCCAAATGCATTCCGATTCTTGAACCTTTCCAAAGGCCTACAATGGCTGCACGCTCCAAGGGGCAGGTAAACCCGCCTCAAAGAGCTCTCACTTCACACACATCGCTCGGTTTGATGGATGCGTTACGATCAGAAGTGGCTCCCAAATCAGGACAGCGAGGAAGGAACGAAGACGATGATGGGAAGGAACTTCGCCAAGCGGACGAACCTCGTGATGAAGACGACCCAGACAAGACACTGGTCAACCGAGACTCGGATGACGGCGATGATGATGACGATGATTCTCAGTCGCGAGACTCTTCAGACATCAGTGGAGACGAATCGAAGAGCGCTCTGTCCATGTGGAGACGGGAGCTTGAGTCGCATCAAGGAGATGTCTACGAACAGCTGGTACGTATGGCCCATCGTTTGACGAATCATCTAAAGGATCACGAAACGGCCATCAAAGACATCGGTGCAGATTACACTCAAGATGGAAGACGTTTGGTCAAACGCTTCGAAAAGGACAATGAGGAACAACTTGAAGAGTATTGTCAGAAAATGGCAAAAATTGAAGGTGCTTTTGTTCTCGGATGCAAGCAAGTGTACGGTTCGCTGCAAAAAGACGTGAAGGAGGTCATGTCGAGCAGTGAGAGATATGTCAAGGCACTGCACAAACAGGTGGATGCAGGCGGAAGACTGGATCAGATCATGCGGACATATCACCCGTGATGGGCATTAGGTGGAAGAGGTTGCTGTTCTGACAGACAGAGTCAAGGTGAGTATCTTGCTTCCTAACCAACAAACATGTTAGATGATGATTAGGAGGTCTTGGTAGTTTTGCTAGGTGATAATTGCTGCATAAATATACATGAACATCATGAAGCCTGTCAAACCCCGCATAGGCAAGCTCGCGAGTGATGGAGATTAGAGGCGGCTCGCGGATGACGGAGCCGAGGCGCGTGGAACGTCGTCATAGCTTGGAAGATACGCGTGCGCAAGCCTTCTGGAATCTGCATACGGCATCCATTGACTTTGTTTTCCCATCAGAAAGACCCTGTGGTCCCTCCCACTCTTCCTAGACCCTTCGACCCCTGCCTATTGTTGTCGCAACCCCCGAGCGCTCAACCGAACCCAGAATTACGCATCCAAGACGTAGAACTTTCATCGCATCCAGGGAAACACCACTCTACAGCCAAGCATGTCCTCAGGTTTCCACCCGTTCGGAGGGCGAGTGAGTAAAAGATTTGGCGACAAGGTAGGCAGTCTAACCTCGTTTGTTACACGTCATGATGAGGCACGAACATGTTGAACTTGACCAGAATACTGATCCAATACTTTGACAGTCCCTCCAACCTGACGACGCCTATCTCAGCTGTGAGTACTCCCCGCTGCTATGACTGCGGCACCAGCTGACCAGCCATAGATCACGACATTCGATGTACGCCATACCACTCCCCAGACTCCCTGTACCGCTCAGCAAAAGACTGACCAAACAATTCAGTGACGGTGGAAGATGTCGACTGCATTAAGAATGACTGGCTCACCGACAACGTACCCTCCACCCTTTCCTCCGACTGAAGCCTCACCTCATCCACTGACACCACACACCCAGGCAATCGCCTTTTGGGAAGAATACCTCGAACACGAAAAACTCAAAGACTTTCCCAAAGCCAAAATCGTCCTCCTCCGGCCCAGCATGGCCTTTATGCTCCTCCAAACCCGCGAACCTCTGAGCTTGAAATCCGCCCTCCCCAGTTTTGAAAACACAACCCACATCTTCTTGCCTGTAAACGACTGCCGCGACGTCGAACATGCAGAAGGCGGGTCCCACTGGTCCCTGCTTCTCGTCAGTGTAGTGGACGGTGTGGCTTTCCACTACGACAGCATGTGCCCTTCCAACCTCGAAGAAGCGAAAATGCTCAGTCACCACATCTCGCAATTATTGCAAAAGCCGTTGAAGTTTGTGAATCTGGATGATTCGCCACAGCAGGAGAATGGAAGTGATTGTGGTGTCTTTGTGTGTTTGTTGATGCAGCATTTGTTGTTGGGCAGACTTTTGCAGGCACATGCTCAGGATAAGGTCAGTATGAGTATGAAGGGTAAAGCTGTGGATGCTACGGGAGGGAGAAAGGAAATGTTGAGGGTTATTGAGATGTTTAGAAAGGAGGGAGAGAGGAGACGCTCGTGAGTTTTTAAACATTTCCATCTTACTGCTTGGATGGGAATTACCTTTGCTGACTGATTGTTTTCCTTTGAAACAGTGGTTCTCATCATCGCAATAGTGTTGATCATAGCCCGTTCTCGCTACACTCGCCAAGGTCAAAATCACCACCTCGCATCGGAGACGACTAGAGGCCGAGACGACGATGGAGTGTATCTTGCTTTCGACCAACGCAGTAACATCTGAGAGAGAGCAGCATGAAAGATGGTGATGAGACAGACGCAGCATGGAGGACTATTATGATTTGCTACGAAGAGTGGACAACCTAAATTACATGAGTCTCTGAAAAAATACACGAGTTGCTACACGGCTCCTCGCATTCATATCGCATATACCGAGACTTCAGTAGGACACAAGACGAAAAGACAAGAGACACGACAATTGATAATGAGAAGCAGAACAAACATCATGACTTGTCATATCTCACGCTGTCCACCTTCTATGATACTCCTTACATGACCAAACACCCAATCCCATACATTGCCCTCTCCACATCCCTCCTGACAGCATACCAATCCGCCCTCCTCTCCGCAAACTCATAAACCTCTTCCGCCCTGAAGATACCGTGATATCTATCATTATCCGCGATAATCGTAGCAAGCTCTTTACACCTCGCCGATCGTGTGGAAGATGATGTATTATTACTTGCACCGCAATCGATGAGGTAGATTTGAGAAAGCTCGCGCAGAGCAGAGTAATACGGGAGTAGCGATTTTTGACGCAGGGTGGTGATGAAGGAACTGTAGAGGTTGATGTCGCTGGTGTGAAGTTAGTTTGGTGGTGCTAAAGGAAGAGGGAAGGGGAGGAGAAGGGAGGATTAAATAATACCTGATCAGCTTAATAGCTCCATCGGCACTGATCCTTTGTCGTTTTATATGCTTGCACAGCACACCGAATAATCTCAAGCCAACCTCTTGATTAAACACATCCAGCATGTTTTTATCGGTACTACCGACCAACATGCCTGTATGCTGTTGAATAGTATCAACCACCCTCTTGGCAGTCTCCGTGGGTCCGATATCCACAAGTCCCATCATGCTAGCTCTTTTATCTTGCATGGTGAGATTCTTGGCGTCTACGGCGTCCGTGTTGAAGTCGGCGGTTAATTGGAGGGTGGCGCACATGTATTCTACTTCATCGATGAGCACATCAATGCCTTTGCCCATGCCGGCTGCTACACGTTCATCCAGCATTTGCTCAAAGCGCTTCTTTTCCTTGACGGCTGGGTTTAGAAAATCGTCGCGGTCGGTGAGACCAGGTGTTACTAGTTCTTGCATGTAAAAGACATCAACCATTTGTTGGATCAAATCTCCAACATTGACGAGTTCGAGGAAGGTGACGAGGGGTTCGACGCCGCTGGTTGTTCCTTCTGTCTCCGTTTGGCCGGAGCGGAATTCTTTTACTGCGCGGGGGTTGTAGCTGCTTAGGTGGCCTACTGCCTTGTCAAAGCCGTTTTGAATGTGTCGACGACCGAGGATTGCTAAGAGGCTGACGAATATCTTGTCGCATTGTCCTCTTGCTAGGGTGGCGTGTTTGTCGCCCATGCGGATGAAAATGGCTGCACGCTCGATCGAAGCCTTTGCGTGGTGGATCAAACTCAAGGCTACCTCGATGCTGAACAAGGACTTGATGCCCTCTAGTCGTGAGTTCATAATGGCAGTCTTGGCTGCCAACTCTGTTGTCGGTGCCGGTTTCATTGGTGTAGGGGTGTCTGGTGTTCCTGGCCTGGAGCTTTCTTTCGTAGTCGCAGCCTCGATTGCTGGTGTTGCTTTATTGGCAGAGGGAAAAGTGGGTAAAGCATTCACAGGCATCATGACCACCTTCTTGAACGAAGACAGAAAATCACGCTTGGCTGCTTGTCTGCTCACACCTGACATGAAGAACGATTCCGTCTTTGCTTCTTGCTCGGAAAGTTCTTTTTCCCAAGCGTCCACCTCGTCATTGCATTTTGTCGTAAAGTATTCGAGTTCTTCTGTGAGGTAACGATCCACATGTGGTTCGAAGATATGTGAGATAACTCTCTTGATCTGGTCATGAAAGTCTGTTCCAGATGCTTTTGGCGGTTGTATAGAGACTGCAAAGCGCATGGCTTGCTCGAATATGCCCGAGACAGCCTTGAGATATGATTCGACGTTACTCTCATGGGCTTCGATGAAGAGCGTTGTGATGTAATCGGAGATTATGTCTTCGCAGACACGAGTCGCAAAAGGCAAGAGTACGCTGACGGAGCTTGGGAAGACCTGGTCGATCAGGTCGGACTGCATTGATAGCATAGACGCCAATTTCTCAAAGAACCTCTGAGAAGGATTCAGATCCACGTGTCCGGGGGCAACGTCTTGTAGACAGTCCAACGGACTTCCAACTTGATCCTTTCGACGCATGTAAGGGTGGTTGGAGATGAAAATATCAATGCCAGCGGCTCCACCGTTGAGAGAGACCAGAACATGAGCAAAGCGTCTCATACGATCAACATCTTGAGCTTGGTATGCCTGTTCGAAATTACCAATCATGGCATTCTCAAAGACACCGAGCATGGATTCGAGCTTGTCTTGTCGTTGGCGCCACTTTTGCGAACCATCGCTTCGTGCAAAGACTCTGAGATCAGCAAGGATGCGAGCTTGCTGCTCGGGGTCTTGGACAAGACGGAAGATGGCCGGATCGGACGAGTTCTCTGAGCGGACCAAATTGTAATAGAAAGGGCCTAGAGCACCATGGACTTTACCGTACTCTTGTCTCGCCTGGCCCCTGATGGAACGAACTCTACGTAGAGCAGTCGTGGCGGCCTTTGCATCGAAGGTCGGATTGTTGGATATGTTCATGTCGTCAAAGCCATCAGTCACACTGCTATGCCGCGGTCGTCTAGGTGTCGTGGACTGTTCCAGAGATTTCCGGACCTTCTCCTCTTCATCATGTGCATCGAATAGTGTGATGCTTGCAGCATGCGGACGTCCACTCAGTCTCTTCTTCTTTGAATCTTCATAACGTTGTCGTGCTTCGGACTCGTTCCACACGCCCATGTCTCTCAGTCTGGCAACCCATCGTGTGTCATCATAGACCATCTCTTGCAATCGTTTGGACACGCGAGCACATGTTATCAAGTCGGATACAGGGAGGTAGTCGAGGATGGTCGCAATGAGCTCTGCTGATGGTCAGCATTGCTGTGGAGATGGATATGGGATTTGACGAGGAGTGGAGACCTGCAGGTAGTACGGGCTTCAGAGTGAGGATCTGGGTGGCTTTGAGAGAAGCAAAGACATTGCCTGGTGTGTTTGGCCGGCGTGGCGCATCGAAACTTGCTATACCGGCCCTGTGTTTAGGTAGGCCATTTGGACCAGTAGCGGCCTTGGGTAGCGGCTTGCCATTCATGATGCGGCTACTTGATGCGGGAGGAGACAGCTTGTAGCAGCAGACGACATGCTTCTAGCTGCGGGACTCGTATTGGCTATTCCTAAATCTTGACAGTTCGCAGCAACAACAAAGACCCTCAGAAGCATTCAGCAATGCGTCAGTCCGGAGAAGACGTTCCGCACGCTCCACATTGACGAGCCATGCCCTGCTGCACTTCCACCTCTTTGCTTTCTGATCTCATCACTTTCTCTCATGCTTGATCCAAACACCAGTTTAGCTCATCGAGAACCTGCGACTATCTGCGGACCAAGTCTCCCTCGTACGACGGCATGTTGTCCATATCCTGATGGTGATGGTGTCGCAATGGCATTGGCGATTGGGGCTCCGCAAAGACTCATGCAAGCCCAATCGCAATCGCAATCTCGCTGACCAGCCACGCCTCGCTCGTCAAGCAGGTTTGTCGCCTAGACTTCAACACCCCTGCTCTGTCCACATGTAACTTCAGAGGTAGGTTGATCTTCTTCTTTTTTCTGCATCCTCACGTTTCCATTTCCCATCCTCTGTCTCCCACCATGTGTCTCGTCAGCGTAAAGGAAGACCACGACGACTATGCAGTCCCAGCTCGTGTCGTGCGGCGAGATCGACGCAGATCTCCCCCTCGCACCACCAGAGTCTCACGCGCATACTATGAGGAGCCCCCACGACCCCAGGAGCGGACGTATATCATTCAACAGCCTCCTCAACCTCCTCCGCCAGTCATAGCGTATTCCCCGCCATTCGAGCAGCACGACCACCATGATCACCACAGCCACTACGATGCCCCTCCGCCCCCACCACCCGCTCCAGCTTCAGAAAGCCACTCACACATCGGTCCCCAATACGTCGAAGTAACGCCATCCTCTCGCTCCAGCAGTAGCAGCAGCAGCTCAAGCGACGACGGAAGATCAAAAACAACTTCCCGCTCCAGAGCCACTGGTCCTCGCAGTGAATACCATCTTCGCGAAAAGGAACATATCCGTGAGCGTAGAAGTCATGATCGTCCACCCCGCAAGGATGAATACGATACATATCGCTATGTGCAACCTCCACGCGGTAGTGGGAATCTTGGTCCTAGGAGTAGCCAGATCGATGACCCCCGCGCGAGTTACTCGAGCTATAACAGGCGGGATATAGTGGTGGAGGGCGGCAGAGAACGAGAGTACCGTCGTTGATTATTATTTCGTGCATATTCGGAGCAAGCAGGTGTATATCACCTTGAGCATACTTTTCTTGCATGGCTGGCCATGTCGCATTGCATTTCTCTTACTAGCACATTTGTAGCACGTCTTTATTTTCAAAGATCGTCAAAGCGAGTTCAGAACATGTCTCCAATCTTACATATCGGCAAAGTGAGTTCGACATGTCTCTTCGTTACTTCGTATAAACCTGCTCTAGCGAAAAATCTATGCTGTACATCCAAACTCCCCATTTCAATGCCCAATCTCTACGCTAAAATATCATTCTGTCATAATTATACAATCTTGTAGGAGAATAGATGAGCACGTTTCCGGTGGTGCATCTAGACCACAGGCTTTCCATGCTCAATCGTCCACATCTCGGCCTCATGCTTGAGACAGCGTTTGGCATACCAGAATGTGGCCAGAGTCCAGATACCGGCCCAAATGAAAGGAACGGTCCAGCCGACCACATAGGCAGCATCCTTCTGAAGCGTGAAGATAAGAGCGGTAACTACGGCAGCTGCGATCTCGGCGCCAATACCCCAGAAGAGGGTCAAACGGTGAAGCATCTGACGGAAGTAGTGAGAGGCTTCGTAGCGAGTGTTAAGTCTCTCGCGGAACTCGATGTTACCGCCACCATCGACGGCAATGATGTCCTCGATGATCCAGTAGATACCAGGACGAAGTTGAGAGCCGGCAGGCATCGATGAAATACGGAAGGGAGATGGAATGCCGAGAAGACGCATACCATCTTGAATGATCAACTCAGAACCAAACGCGTACATGAGAGAGGCGCAAGGCATTGCGAGCAGACGAATCGGCGGATTTTCCGGAATGGTGCCGCTACAATGTAATCAGTATGATAGCTAGAGGTTACTTCGAACAATCAACTTACACAATCAGCTCAACGATGATGATGACCCAGGCAAAACTGAAGTTCCAGTGGAACCAATCAAGCTATCACAAAAGTCAGTACTACACTCCCAGAATGTGTGGTTGTGATATCTTACGTATGATCTGCGTCCACCAATGACACGGCACTTGCTGCCCTTCTTCCATAGATGCCAGAAGCGTAGCACGTATTCGAAAATACTGATTCCTCCCAGGGCTGCTGTAACGATCGAGAAGACTGTGTTGGGCGAGAGGTCTGTTCCGTACCATAGACCAAAGTAGAGAGCCAGAGGCATGACGATGGAGTCGAAGAGAATGAGGAACCAGAAGATGAAGATACTACGCTTTCTCTGGCGCAAGTCGTACTCTAGCGAAGGTGGTGCGTATGGGTTTACGGCTCCTGGATCTCTGGCGGGTGCGGCAAGACTGGTCCTGGGTAGAGCCAACGATCGTCGGGGTCCGAATGGGTTGGACGCTCTACGTCCTCCTGTGGATGACCGGACACCACCACCAACAGGTGAGTGCACATCTGAAGGTCGACGTACCCCATCACCCACAGGCGACATTGGAGGTGAGCGGGTGGTGTCGACTACTGGTGACATTGGCGGGGGACGCGCGCTATCGACTGCTGGAGATGTCGACATGGCGGATCGGATGCTCGAGGGCAAGTGTCAAGGCGATGGTTTTGTGCTGCTGGAAGTTAGTGGTTAAGCATTTACCACGTTCGAGGCATGAGCGACGCACGTATTCTTGAGGTGAGAAAGTGGGCTGAGTCTTGCAGAGCGTTTTCCCACTGACTTTCTGGTTCCGGACCGCGGCTAGAGATTGGACCGAAACAAAGAGCACGAGGCCTTCGACGATTGAAGTACAAGTAGGACCAAGAAGAAGCTGTGTATTAAGATAGACCAAGTCGATACTCAAGGCTTTGAATAGGCAGAGTAGAGTTAGACTAAAGGGCTTCGTCGACTGCCGATTCTTGTGTGTTATCCACCTGCCTTGCGGCTCCCAACATCGAGACCCTTAAGTGACGTTGGCAATTTACGGAAGCCACGCTACGTCAGCCTAGAGAAAGCCGCTCTATGGCTTGCTTGGCAGCAACTCAGCCTTGTCTTTCGGCGACTTGATATCAAACGTACGGGTAATATTATCCACCGCCCTCTTTACCTACGACATATAGGACCATTGGCTATTCCTCAGAGAGGGTGGAAGCGAGTCGTCGGAGAGTGACGAGAGACACAGTGACGAGTCTGAGTCTATCTCCAGATGAATTGGAAAGCTTCACACCCTTCAATGGCTTGGTCCAGGTACAAGGAGTCCCGGAAGGCGTTGGTTAAGGAAGCTTGTGCGCTTGGTAGCACTCCCAAGTCCTGGCGGTCATCAGTGGTCATCGCAAAAGCATCGTGATTAAATCACCTCTTCCAGCCGCAAATCACTTACGCGCCCTCTCGTGTTTGATCATGACATATTAGACCATCGCAATCAAGTATGCGCTTTCTTCTGTTATCTGCCCTGAGTGCGCTATCGATTGTCACGAGCGCTCTGCCTGCTCAACAGGCCCCTCTACTCCGCCATGCTGCAGACAACCGCACCGTCTCTCCCGAGCTCTTTGCCGATCTCGAAGAATTGGCACGTGTAGTCGACATATCCTATTGCGTAGGTCTTACTGGCATAGGCATCTCAAAGCCATTCAAGTGTCTCAGTCGATGCTCCGAATTCCCGGATTTTGAACTCGTCAAGGTAAGAAGGTGTTTTTGTGTTGACTTTGAGGATCCATGAGCCGACATGTTACTAGACATGGAACACTGGCCAATTGATGTCCGACTCCTGCGGCTACATCGCTTTGTCTCATTCGCAGACCAATCCACGCATCATTGTCGCGTTCCGTGGCACCTACTCGATCGCAAATACAGTTGTGGATCTCTCGACTGTACCACAAGAATATGTTCCTTACCCTGGTGATCCGGAATCGAAGGCTTCAACATCTCGTGGAATCGACTCAGAGACTCCACGATGCAACAACTGTACCGTTCACACAGGTTTCTATAGCTCTTGGAAGGTGGCTGCATCTGCCATACTACCAGACCTGGAGGCCACAATAGCGTCGTATCCCGACTATGCTCTTACCCTTGTTGGTCACTCGCTTGGAGGAGCAGTAGCTGCTCTTGCTGGTCTGGAACTCGACTCACGAGGCTGGAACCCAACCATCACCACCTTCGGCGAGCCCAGGCTGGGCAATTCAGCATTGAATAGATATCTTGACCAGCGGTTCAATCTGCTCGGATCTACTCGGGAAGTCTGGACGAGCACTTTCAACGAGCGTCAATTACGCTATCGCCGTGTCACTCACATAGATGATCCTGTACCGCTTCTACCGTTGACAGAGTGGGGCTACCGGATGCACGCTGGCGAAATCTACATCTCCAAGTCTTCCTTGACTCCAGAAATCCAAGATCTTCAGCACTGTGTCGGCGACGAAGACCATCGATGTATCGCTGGGCAGGATGGCAGTCTATCAACAGATGCCAAACGCGACGATCTCAGAGCTCAGGTGCAGCAGTCCGTCGATGATCTTGCCGAGGAGCACGAGTTGGAGAAGAGAGATGTCGGTTTGTGGGTGGTGCCATCTCGCTACAAGCTCTGGCAGTTATTCTTCTCTCATCGAGACTATTTCTGGCGTCTCGGCTTGTGCGTCCCTGGTGGCGATCCTTGGGATTGGAATCGCAAACCGTATGCCCTGCTTGATGAGGAAAAGCAGGACTCGGTCTGATCGCGTTGTGCGGCTGAATTGTGATGAGTCGGAGCTTCTTCTACTGTATCTATTATCCTGAAACCCCACTATACTTTTAATCATTGATCGATAATGTATGAAACTCGTTTCATGCTATCTCTGACCAGGTCCAGCTCCAAAGCGCTTGGATGGGGTTATCTGTGTGTCTTTGCCAAAACTGAGCAGCTGCCTACTTTGCCTGTTAGCCCACGATGACCTTCTGATCTTCTTCTGCTTCTCAGACACCAAGCGATTGACCCAAGCCATTGGTTTTTGGATTCTCCCCCAACTCGGACTGGCAATGGAAATGCTTTGTCCCATCAAACATTGCCACGGCGATGTGAGCCAGCACGTCTTGTTATTGATGCGGCTCATCTAAAATTGCGCAACAGTATATATACTGACCACATTTTCCAAATTTCACCGAATGGGCGTCTGGCGGCAAGTCATCACCACAATCCCGTAATCTAAAATAATCTTTGTACTAACCCCATAATAGCAGTGGTAGCGCGTCTGCTTTGCATGCTGAAGGTCTAGGGTTCGATCCCCTAGTCGTCCATCTTCTTTTAGCCAGTTCCAGAGGCAACTGGGATGTCTTTTTTGTCTCTGAAGCAGTCTGTTTGGCAAGTACTTTGTAAGAGCGTGGCGTGGAAAAGGTGGCAGGGTTGTTTTGCATGTGGGAAGTGGTTAGGGTATGGAGAGAACAACAAAACACATCGGGACTAGAAAGCTGGGTGGCTATAGGCCTGATATCGTAGGCTTACGTTGATTCTGACAAGACTAACCCAAAAGGTCCTTCTAAACTGAAGTAGCAATCTTGCCAGCTGTGTGGAGCTAATTGTGTCAATGAGAGAGTCCGGACTCGTGCAGCGTGTTTCTCGAAAATCCCCATGACTTGTTTGAAACTCTGATATTGACATATGTCCACCATTTCCAGACGTTATTGCTTAATAATTCTCAGGAACAGATATGCTTATGTGGTATCAGTACTAGGCGGTTGATAGTTGCAAAGTTGTGGAAGACAAGAAAGTTGAGACACATTCTTGATTCAGAATGGTCGTTTGAGGAGACACCCTGGTAATCCACCCGGATGACGGTATCGGACATGGACAATGATGGACGAAGGGAGTCGTTTGTGACTCCAAGTAGTGGGAAGTAGTCATACCAGGATGATGACGGATCGAGAAAGGTGTTCTGGGAGTGGAGGAGAGCGAGCTCGAGTGCTAAGGTATGTATGATGTTGGGCACGAACGTTGGCAACAGGATTTTGCTTCTCGCCAAGACTCCAACCAGAAATCGCCATGCACCTGTAGATGGTGGATTCGAGAGCGACGACTTGACCCGCGTATTGTCCCGGCATAGCCATATCCGAGGCCTGAATTCAGCAGGTTGATCACTGGCCTTCGAATCAATCAGCATCAATACCGCCACAATGTTCGCCTTACTCCGACCCCAATGCCTCTACACTGCGCCCGCCGCTCGCACCTTCACAAGCAGCGCCAGCCTCGCCTGGCAGTCACACAAGAACGCACTCGCCAAAGTGCACGCCGATTTACCACCGTATCCTCACGGACCCGCCCGATGGTTCAAGCAATCCGACAAGGGTCTCTACGGCGGTCAGCGCATCCAGTTCGGCAACAATGTATCACGCAAGACCGAAATCAAGACACGAAGGAGCTGGTACCCCAACATCAAGCGCAAGGCTCTCTTCTCAAAGGCCTTGAACCGTCGCATTCGCGTCCGCGTTAGTACCAGAGTCATGCGCACAATCGACAAGGTCGGAGGACTCGACGAATACTTGCTGGGCGAGAAGTCGGCACGCATCAAGACGCTAGGAATGGAGGGCTGGAGATTGCGTTGTATGATTATGGCTACAAAGACTGTGCAGGAGCGCTTCAATCAGCAGAGACGCGCGCTGGGTCTGCCTGAGGTCGACTACGCCCTTCTGGCCAGTGAGCTCAACCCTCCTACCGAGTTGCTCGATGCTGAGGCATCAGGCGAGCCTCTCGAGTTTGGAGTTGAGGAAGAGCAAGCGGGTGAGGACGCATTTGACTCCACCATCGGTGGTAGCGAGGCGACAGGCGGTAGCAGACAAGAAGCGTTCCAGCAAAGGGTGGACCAAGCCCTCGACAAGAACTGGGAACAGGCTCGATGAAGAAGTTATGGATACTGGCGTTTCTTTTCATGTACATTAGGGTTGGAGCAAAGACTGTACAATTTGAACATCACGATAATCAGTGGTTTAGCAAGATAAGCACGACAAATTCGCATCTTAATCTCTTCATAGTCACGCTCTACTTGGCTCGTAGGTACTAGGCAAGGAAGGAAGGAAGGAAGGAAGGAAGGAAGGAAGGAAGGAAGGAAGCACAATAGGTAATTACTGCATTTCAGTAGTTGGAACACCGATTAGACATGGGGCAGGGTGACTGCGGAGAAGAGATGGCACCCCCGAACGAATAGGCCGGCCCAAGCTTCCCATGACGCGCGGTAGCGAACAAGGAGGCCATCAATTTCTAGACAAGACAAGTTGAAAGACCGGATGGCGTGTCGCGTGAAGGACGGCGCATGAATTGACACGAATTGAACGACCTCTCTCACCCACAATGGCACCACGAACATACAACCCGTGCTCGTACCTGCCACGCCGGCTGCAGATAGTGACCAGCCTGGCACTCTTCATCCTCTTCTGCATCGTCCTCTTTGGCCAGTCCACCGTCGACGTCCCTTATCGCGATGAAGTCAACGAGGGCGCACGAAGGGTTTCTGCATACTTGCCCAAAACACCCGGTCTCCCATCAGGCCTCAACCCATTCAGGACACCAGCACATTCACCACCGCCAGAGCAGGCCAACAGTACCAGTGGAGAGGCACGATGGTTCTCCGACTGGAAGTGGATGAACCCCTTCTCCTCGTCCATAACACTCGACGAGAACAGGGCAGTGCTGCCTCCTCTAACAACAAGACCGCCAGTCTACACGTATTTCGACGCCGACTGGTACAAGGACGAGAGCTCTCTTGAGAGTGTGGATCGTCTGCTTCTGATCTGGAGACGCGCATGGTGGGCGCAAGGCTTCAAGCCTGTCATTCTGGGTAGCGCCGAAGCCATGAACAACCCGCTGTATGCGAAGCTGGCTAGCCTGCAGCTCGAGGACGAACTCAAGACAGACGTGATGCGCTGGCTCGCATGGGGCAATATGGGTACTGGTATCATGGCCAACTACGTCGCATTGCCAATGGCTCCACACAGTGACCCTCTACTCGCCTATCTGCGTCGTGGTGACTATCCACAGCTCACCCGATATGAAGGTCTGGAGAGTGGCTTGTTCAACGGCCCCAAAGATCAAATCAACAAGGTCATTGAACAGGCCTTCAACGCTAAGAAGCCAGTCAAGGCCAAGTCGGTCATCGAGCTGCTACCAAAGGAGACTTTCCACATCGACAGCAACCAGAAAGCCATTGCCTTCTACTCGAGCAAAAACATCAACAAATTCTACAAGGGCATTGCCGAGAAACTGGCATCTGACAACAAGGATGTAAGCCGTGAGGGTCTGCGTCTCCTTCCTCAGCTCATAGTTTCGCATCTGCACACAATCTGGCAGAACTCCTTCTCCAGCGGTATTGCAGTGTTGAAGCCGCTACCAGACCACATGTTTACCCTGGTCAAACCAGCCATTGAGCTTGCTCGCAACCTGTCGCAGTGCACAGAGTCACCACAACCTTCATCTTGCCCACCGAATCGCGAGAAGTGTGTTCCTTGCGTAAGCAGTCATCCACTACGCATCAGCCAACCCATGAACTTCCGCAACACTTCCGACCTCTTCACCATCGGCACTGTCCCTCACCCATACACCATGGCTTCTCTTCAACATCAGACAGACTCCCTGACCATCCGCTTCATCCGCCGCACAACAAAACGTGACGAATGGCTCCTAGCCACAACAAAAGAGTTCAGCACAGGCACAAGCAGTTTCTCCCGTATCCCACTTATCAAAGACGCCGTCGCCTCCGACTACGGAAGCGCCCGTTCTCTTTGGCTAACACCCGAGAATCTCTCGGACGAGAACAATGCCAAGTTACGTCAAGATCTTGCCTGGTCACTGGGCTTCCCTGTCCCTACAATTGAATCTACCCTCGACTCTGGGCATTCGGAAACACCGGTTCCGGGTCCTGAACGTCGTCCCCCTGCTCCCAAACCAGAGGGCAAAGTCCCTGATCCCGTCGAACTCGTGCGCGAAGGCACACTACTAGGAAAAGCACGATTGCTGATCAAAGGCAAAGGACCTCGCAACAGCACACCCATCCGTGATGCTGTAGAAGCTTGGAACCTAGCGGATACAGAAGTATGGAGATTTGTACGTGCGTGGAATGCGAGAAGAAGTGTAGAGAGGAGAAAGTGGGAAGCAGAAGAGAAAGCTTATGCAGGCACTGAAGGCGGTAAAGGAAGCTGGAGTCGCTGGTTCGATAAAGATTCAGATTGAAGAATTGGCACAAGTATCTGATTGTCGTATAGTCGGGTTTGAAGAAAGCGTTTTTCTTGTAATAGCGGAAGTATCTCTTGACTATGTTATTTTGTATAGAAACATGAGGACGTAAGCTCTCTCCCCGTTTTCATCTGTGTCAAAGGAAAGGAAAGATGATGGAGAATTGTCCACACGAAAAGCAGTGAGTACATCATCAATGAACCATAAGACAACGCGACAAGGCAAGACTACAAGGCAAGAGGAACACAAAGTCGAAAGAAGAAGAAAAAAGTAAGCACCGTAGGCAGGAATCGAACCTGCGACCTCCTCGGATCTAGACTGACACGACGTTGAGTAACAACGAATGACCACGTACGTGTTAAGACCACGGGTGTGTTAGACCACTACACTACCACGGCTATTTTTCGCTGATGACGGGGACCTTGAGAAACCTGAATATATAGGTTAGGAAAAGCGAGGGGAATAGCGGGGACTGGTAGGGGTGATTGAGTTAGTTTAGGGATTTGGTCATGCGATGTGGGAGCTTTTGATCGAGCGGATAGTAGAGGCAAGCGCGAGATTGACGAGAAGAAGGATTGTCTTTGCAGATGCTGTGTCTAGATGCTCTTGTTAACATAACCAAACATCATGAAAACGCTTTCTCATGCTTCCCGATATCCAACAACAAAAGGTCTTCCATTCCATCCCTTGACCTTTTCCAACTCATCCAAAACTTCCTTCTCCCTCCCCTGGACCTGCAATATTAACTCCAACTCCCCAAAGTAATTAGCCTCTGCACTTGTCCTCACAAACCCCGCACTCTCAAACAAAGCAATGCTTTTAACATTGCTCGCTGAAATTTTGACCCTTAGATATCGTAAAGCTGCTGGCTGATCTTTGCTGTACTCCTGTAGAATCGGGGCAGTATTGGTGAGGATGTAGTGCATGAACGTAAGTAGAGAAGCACGACCATGTCCTTTGCGATGCTGAGACTTTACTGCTATCATGAGTTCGATTTCACCTAGGACTGATCGTGGAGCGGCAGGGTCTTTGTTGTCCTCTTCCTCAACTTCATCGTCGTCATCAACAAGGAAGAGATTTATATCGCCAATCATACGAGAGGGTGCGTCGTCTTGTTTTGGTGAAATGGTTGTATTTGTGGTTGGTGGCGTGGAGGGAGGTAGACAGGATATGAAGGTTAGTTTGTCGACATCTTGACGCCAGGATCGTTGCATGTCGTATTCCTCTGGTAGACTCAGAGGTTCGGAGGCCGTGAGCTCTTGAAGTTCCTTTTATTTGTTATTTATACAGGCTCATTTTTCGTTTTGGTTTTTTGTTGAAATTGTAGAAAAGTGGAAGTGAAAACATAGAGGCGAAAGCAAAAGACAAGGAGAATTGGAGACTGAAATGAAAGGATCGTAGGAAAAAGATACAAACTTACCTCATCTTTCATCCATTCATGATATGTTGGTACGTGATGCTCGCTGTACGGACACAGCAAGATCTGAGACGTTACCAATGCTGTGAGCCCAAACGTTCAGATGACATGCTGTAAAGAAAAATCGACGACACATATGCTCTTACCTGTATGCTCGTTAAGCAACATGTTTGGAATGATTCTAAGAATGTCAATTGATGAGAGTGCAACAGCTGCCAGATTTCTCTCTCGCTTGCCAAGCCAAATCGTTCATAGTTCATCATCAATAGAGTCTCCAGAACCTGCCTCATCTTGACTTGACCACTTTACACATTTTCTAATACTTTCAGGAGAGATACATCTCAGCGTCTGCACTTTAGGGGAAAATGTAGCTCAATCGCTCCTGCCGGTAGGTCTTGGATCAACGCATCGCATCTTCCTTCCGATTAAGATCTGATCTGGTGGCGTCATTCTGTTCATTCGAAATGCTGCTTTTGAGATCATCTTGACCACCATTCTCCTGTATTCCATCCGTTGTTCAACTATCATTCATAACCATCATACCCTGTTGAAACAATAGGAAGGTCAATCCACAATGCCTCATATACTCGTTACCGGTGCTTCCGGGTTTCTAGGCCAAGCAGTAGTGACAGCGATACAAAATATACATCCTAAATGGACCATAACGAATTTGGATCTACGGGCGCCACCGGTTCCTCAGCCCAATGTCACATACATCCAAGCAGACATCACACAAGCCTCCGAGGTGGACATTGCCATACGCAAAGCCAACCCAGATGCCATCATCAATGTGGCTGGCTGGGTACCGAGTGGCAGCCTACGATACAGCAACTCAAAAGCACTTCGCGACAAGGTCTTTGGCACAAACTATCGCGGGACCCTAAACGTACTATCCGCAGCCCAAAAGACCAATTGCAAAGCCTTCGTCCACACATCCAGCTGCACAGTCATCTCCGACGATCAAGACCACGACTTCCCAGACATGACTGAAGACATACCAATCGGGCACGCCACTTTAGCCTACGGAGCCAGCAAAGCACCAGCTGAACTCGCCGTGCTGGCTGCAAACACCACCGAGTTTAAAACCTGTGCTCTACGCCCTGCAACTATCATCGGGCCCGGAGATACCTACGGTGTAATCGCTACAATCCACGCCTGCATTGCCAAAGGTGAAACGCCATGGATAATAGGCGCAGGCGACAACATGTATGATTTCGTCTACATCACCAACATAGCAGATGCCCATCTCCTCGCTCTCGAAAACCTGCTCTCCACAACACCATTTCCAGAATCTGCAGCTGGTCATGCTATGTTTGTGTCCAACCAACAACCAGTGTATTTTCGAGACTTTATGCTGGCGATATGGAAACATTTCGGTCATGTTCCGCCATTCCAGCTGATGATTCCGACGCCGTTGGCTTGGGTTGCTGGATTGATGGCGGAAATCAAGACGTGTGTTTGTGGGCAAAAGGAAAGTACGTTGAGTAGAGGGAGTGTGAGAGATGCTGTGGGAACGAGGTATGCGAGTAACGAGAAGGTCAAGCGGATACTGGGGTACCATCCGCGGGTTGACTTTGTGGATGCTGTTAGATTGGCTTGTGAGGTTAGTTCTGTTCGCCTTTCTTTTCTCCTCGTGAAAGATCATTGACATGTGTTGCAGGATTACAAACGCTTCTTGGCTGCGAAAGGGGCGAACAAACAGGCTAATGATGTCAAGATCAGTTAGATGGTGTCTGGCATGATCTTGCCTTGTGGTAAAGTCAAGTAGTGGTCTTGGAGTCGACGGGTTGTTTAGTATTTGTATACGTTCCACGTTAGCAAACCTATTCATACGAGGGCTGAGTGTGAGGGTGAAAGTTCTGTTGTTCTTGTAATCGTTTCTTAGTATTTGCATGTGTACAGTGTTGCATCAACCTCTAAGTGGTAGGATGTGCTGGCCCAAGACACCTTGTCTGCACAGAGGACATTCAGGCTTCTCTCTCACCCAGTCCGAGATACATGTCCAGCAAAAGACATGGCCGCATGTGGTAGCGCTTGGATCACGCATGGGCTCCAGACAGAGTGTACATTTCCTCTGCTGACTGCTTTCTATCCATTTCAGCTTATCTTCATCTTCAAGATTGATGATAGCGGCATCCGACTCGGAAGGAGGCAGAGGTGTATGCGTCATTCTCGAGATCTTGCTGTGAAGACCATGGGTATCACGGTGTGCGCCGCCTTCTTCCAACAGCAGAGCATTGTTTGAGCTGTAGGCATTTGGATCCAAGGAGATTTCGACACCGTTGTCCAGGACTGCAGTGCCTCCAGCCAGAGTCGCAGGATTGCTGATAGCAGGAACAGAAGAGTATGTTTCATGGAGGTGCAGATAGGTTTGAACACCGAGCTGTAAGACCAAGAGGAAACCCAGGACTTCGTAGCCAATGCGCTGCTCGCTAGGATCCAGACGTCTAGTGAAGATGTAACGAAGCCCGCTCAAACGCTTTGCAATGTGGTAGTAGGCGCCGGTGAAGTAGAAGGCTGTCAAGCTCAAGGCGTGTATCGGTGAAGGTGTAGTGATGGTGTCCAGATTTCTCAAGACGTAGGATTGCAGATTGGTGACCCATGCGTATGTCTTGTCGGGCTTGTTGTTTCGTCGACGCAGAGAAGCTTCTAGCTTTGCGCGCAGCTTCCTTCGGAAAGCTGGTAGCAAGCGAGTGAGGCCGTATGGCAGCAAGACACTAGCGAATATGTATCCTCCTCTTCTGAAAGCGCTTGGAAGGCGCAGAGTATCGTCTTCCACCTGGACAATGTCGCAGTATTCCTCTCCGAGTGTGCGATTGCCGACCAGTGTAGTCAAGGATAGGTAGAGCAGGTCGGCAAAGGTTCGTGTACCCGTCATGTTTGTTTGTGCAAAGCGCGCGCCATACAAATTCCGTAGTACGGAAGAGAGCCGCTCGAGTAGTACGCCCTGGAAGTAGGCATCTTTCTGGTGTGATCGGATGATGTCTGGCGCAGAGGCGAAGGGATACTGGAAGACGGTGTTGATGCTAGAAGATGGCCGGTTGTGAACAAACTCAGACATGATGTCTATGCAGATGAGCAAGCTGCGCGCGACTGTGACTGTAGCTTACTATCTGAGCATGTGAACATCAGAATGCGGGATACGGCAGACACGCTGGCTGGCCGAGGCTCTCTGTCGGCCTTTTGCATAGCCGACGACTTCGACCACTTTTGCTAAATCTCAAAAAACATCAATCCTACCTTGTCGTCCACAACTTGGCTGAGCTGGTCGCGAGAAGTCCAACTGTCGTACAGTATATCCCGAGACTTCTGTCAGCTGTTCATAAGACTGCTAGCTCGCCAATGTCTTTCATCGATTGGTGGCTTCTTGCATGTCTTGTTGACTGTCGGATCGCCTGCCAACACTCTACGGAGTACGGAATCTCGGGACTCGGCACCGTCGCCAAAAGTGGAAGGAGAATCAGGAACACTTGATTGGTACATCTCGCAGGAGCTGATTCCTCTATCGCTCATTCTCAGACTATTGATCCTTCCAATGCGAGAATGTTTCTCTGCTTTTCGTCGCGCCGCAAAATTCGGGCTTCACTTTCGTGTCGATTTGTAAGTTGAAGAATGCTGCGTCAGTGGCACGGTCAAACAACAGGCCGAATGACTCCTGAGCACAAAGACAAGCACGAACAAGCCTTGCGAGGCTGAACCTTGTTATGGGAAAGTGGGAAAATCTGCAAATCAGATTTGCCGTATTTTCGTTTGTCCACACGGAAATGTGGAGGAGGGCGTTTCGCCGACATGCCGTCCGTTTCGCGGTGTCGGTAGCTTCGTCTCGAGAACGGTTCAATGCTTACCAATACGGTGAGAAGAGACTCACGCAGGCGATGGGACAGATAAGGACTCCTTTTTAGGATGGCAAGCGCTGTGAATTTCAATTTGATCCTTGTATAGCCCTGATGTAAGAGAATGACATGATCATCGTGATACGACGTTCCAAGTGTAATACAGTGCTCCATGTTGTTTCCCATGCACCTAGAGCGGGGGAATGGACTGTTCGCTAGCAAAAAGCTTGTGCTCCATAGCATATTGCCTTCATCGAAGATGCATCAAAGACGGCACAAGCGGAGGCCGACTCGGACATTACACAGATATGGAGGCGTCATGAACGGTGGATTACTGCTGCCTGCCGCTTCGTATGTTATCGCTGTCCTTCGCTCCTAATCCCGGCCTGCTCTTTCCTTGACCCTGAATCTTCGACTCCTTCGACACCCCGGAACATGTCCGCCCCAGTACCAGACACAGTCTGGACATCGGGCGACGCCAACAACCCGCCTCCGGCTGCCGACCTTGCTCAACACAACTCCGTGGCAACTGAGCCATTAGAAAGAGTCGGAACAGAGAGAGAACTGAACGAGGAGAAGGTCCTGGATCGAGAATACGTACAACAAAAGCATGCCGAACAGAACGCAGAAAAACATGGACGATCACCGCTTAATCGCCATCAGAGTGACTGGACATCTTCTTCGAACGAAACACCGGACGACAAGAGCCAGAGGAGCATAGAGGAGGAGAAGCAGACATGGGGTGAAAAGATAAATCCGCTCAAGCGAAAACACAAGCCCCCGATACCAGCCCAGCAAGGAGAATCGCGAGAATACAAGGCCAATTTCTTCAGTCATCTCACCTTTCAATGGATGGCACCGATCATGAGTGTCGGTTACCAACGACCACTTGAGCTCACAGATCTGTGGAAGGTCAATCCTGACCGCAGTGTAGATGTCTTGTCTGCAAGGCTCAAAGCAGCTTTCAAGAAGAGAGTCGACAATGGAACAGAGAACCCTCTCAAGTGGGCGCTATACGACACATTCAAAAGCGAGTTCCTACTAGGAGGTCTTTGTGAACTCATCGCAGCCGTTGTTCAAGTCTTGGCTCCTTTCGTCCTCCGTTATTTGATCAACTTCTCCACCGATGTCTGGATTGCCGAAAAAACTGGAACACCTAGGCCTAGTATTGGTCATGGTGTCGGTCTTGTTATTGGAGTGACCGCTCTGCAAGTCATACAAAGTATTTGCACAAATCATTTCCTATATCGAGGTATGACAGTCGGTGGACAAGCTCGAGCAGTCACGATCGCTGTGATCTTCGAGAAGGCCATGAAGCTCTCTGGAAGAGCGAGAGCTGGAGGCAAGTCGAATACTGAGCCCGTTGGTCTCCCCCCAGGTATAACTCCTGGTAGTAAGGAGGAGAAGAAATGGCTCAAGGCAAAACTCAAGAGAGAAAAGTCAAGCCCAAAAGACAACAAGGGTATATCGGGCAGTGGAGAAGGCTGGTCTAACGGCAGAATCGTCAATTTGATGTCAACTGATACCTATCGTATCGACCAGGCATCGGGCATGTTCCACATGATCTGGGCCTCGCCAATTTCTATCATCTTGACTCTGGTACTGCTTCTCATCAACATCAACTACAGTGCTCTGGCTGGTTTCGCACTTCTCATCGTGGCTATGCCTTTGCTAGGAAGATCAATCAAGAGCTTGTTCGTCCGCAGAAAGGCCATCAACAAAGTTACCGACCAGAGAGTTGGACTGACTCAAGAGATTCTCGCTGGAGTACGATTCGTAAAATACTTTGGCTGGGAAAGCAGTTTCCTCGATCGTCTGAAGGAGATTCGACGAAGAGAGATCGGCAAGATCCAGTTTCTGCTGAACATCCGCAACGGCATCATGGCCGTCTCTATGTCTATGCCTGTGTTCGCCTCTATGCTGGCCTTTATTACATACAGTCTCACGGACCACGGCCTTCAGGCTGGAAAGATCTTCTCATCTCTAGCGTTGTTCAACGGTCTCAGACTGCCACTCAACTTGTTGCCACTCGTAATCGGTCAGACTGTGGATGCTTCCGCTTCTATTCGTAGGATCGAAGACTTCTTGCTGGCTGAAGAGGCACTGGACGAAGCCGCATGGGACTACGAAGGCAAGGATGCCATCGTCATGAAGAACGCAGACTTCACCTGGGAGCGAACCCCAACACAGGAGGCGGAGAAGGCAACAGTCGGAGCCGCTGGCTCTAAAGAAGCCAAGGCTGCCAGAAAGGCCGACAAGAAGGCCGACAAGGCAGCCGACAAGCAGTCAAAGAAGGATGCGAAGAAGGCCGCCAAAGAAGCCTTGAAAAATGCCGAAAAGGGCGATGGTCTCGAAACCTCGGATAGCAGCACGACTCTGGCCGATGAAGGTGAGCGTCCTTTCGAGATCAAGGGCCTCAACATCTCGATAGGACGCGACGAACTTGTTGCTGTCATTGGAAGTGTTGGCTCTGGTAAGACTTCTATCTTGGCTGCACTTGGTGGAGAAATGCGCAGAACTGCAGGTGAAGTTACGTTCGGTGCTTCTCGATCATACTGCCCGCAATATGCCTGGATTCAAAACGCTACAGTCAAGGAAAACATCACCTTCGGAAAGCCATTCGACCAAGACTGGTACGACGCAGTTGTGGACGCATGTGCTCTGCGACCTGATCTTGACATGCTTCCCAACGGCGATCTTACCGAAATCGGAGAGCGCGGTATTACTGTATCTGGTGGTCAAAAGCAGCGTTTGAATATTGCGAGAGCCATCTACTTCAATGCCGACATTGTACTCATGGACGATCCGCTTTCAGCTGTAGATGCTCATGTCGGACGCCATATCATGGACAATGCCATCTGCGGACTCCTCAGGAACAAGGCTCGTGTTCTTGCGACCCATCAACTCCATGTTCTGCATCGCTGCGACCGCATCATTTGGGTACAAAATGGCATGGCCTACAAGATCGACACATTCGACAATCTTATGGCAACCGATGCGGACTTCCAGAAGCTCTTGGCTACTACTGCTTCGGAGGAGAAGAAGGAAGAGGCAGAAGAAGAGGTCGAAGGCGGTGAAGTTGAAGAGGAGAAGAAAGATGTCCAGAAAAAGACTGGTGGTAAGAAGCCAGCTGCAGCGCTCATGCAAGCCGAAGAACGTGCCGTCAAGAGTGTTTCCTTTGGCATCTACAAGGCTTACATCAAGGCATCCGGTTCTCTCGCTGTTGCGCCTCTAATTCTCCTGACCTTGATTCTGTCTCAAGGTGCCAACATCGCAACCAGTTTGTGGCTGTCATGGTGGACTTCGAACAAGTTCGGTTACACCAGAGGAACATACATCGGTGTCTACGCCGGACTTGGTGTATCGCAGGCTGTCCTCATGTTTGTCTTCTCCAGTATCTTGACCATCTGTGGTACTCGAGCCAGTGCAACTCTGCTTCACAACGCAGTTACTCGAGTCTTACGCGCGCCAATGTCTTTCTTCGACACAACTCCGCTTGGTCGTATCACGAACCGCTTCTCCAAGGATGTCGACACCATGGACAACGCCTTGACTGATGCTTTCCGTATGTTCTTCATGACAATGGCACAAATCATCGCCGTCTTCATTCTGATCATCGCCTATTACTACTATTTCGCTGCCGCTCTGGGTCCATTGTTCATCATGTTCCTATTCGCTGCAAGCTACTACCGATCGTCTGCACGTGAGATCAAGCGCCACGAAGCCGTTCTTCGTAGCAGCGTTTTCTCTCGCTTCAGCGAAGCAGTTTCCGGTGTTGCCACCATTCGTGCTTACGGACTTCAGGACCAGTTCTCGAGATCCGTCAGCGATGCAATCGACAACATGAACGCTGCTTACTACCTCACCTTCTCGAACCAACGTTGGTTATCTGTCCGTCTTGATGCTATCGGTACCCTTCTTGTCTTCGTCACTGGTATTCTGGTAGTCACTGCTAGTTTCTCCGTCAACCCTAGTAGTGGTGGTCTGGTCCTGTCCTACATTCTCTCAGTGGTACAGATGATTCAATTCACTGTTCGTCAACTCGCTGAAGTCGAGAACAACATGAACTCTACTGAGCGTATTTACTATTACGGCAATAACCTCGAGGAGGAGGCACCTCTTCACACCATTGATGTGCGGCCCACATGGCCCGAGAAGGGTGAGATTGTGTTCAACAATGTTCAGATGCGCTATCGCGAAGGACTTCCTCTTGTTCTCAAGGGTCTCAATATGCACGTCGATGCAGGCGAGCGTATTGGTGTTGTTGGTCGTACTGGTGCAGGAAAGTCAACCATCATGTCCACCCTGTTCCGTCTCGTGGAGCTGAGTGGTGGAAGCATCACGGTTGATGGTCTCAACATTGCCGAGATCGGTTTGAGAGACTTGAGATCTCGTCTCTCCATCATTCCCCAAGACCCTACCTTGTTCAAGGGTACCATTCGCAGCAATCTCGATCCTTTCAACGAGCACACCGACATGGAGCTATGGGGAGCACTTCGTCAAGCCGATCTTGTTGGCGAGCAGCAAGACATTGCTGACTCGTCTTCACGCATCCACCTCGATGCTCCCGTCGAGGAGGAAGGCCTCAACTTCTCCCTCGGTCAGCGCCAACTTATGGCTCTGGCTCGTGCTCTTGTACGTGGCAGCCGCATCATTGTTTGCGACGAAGCAACGTCGTCAGTCGACTTTGATACCGACCAAAAGATTCAACGTACCATTGTCAAGGGTTTCAAGGGCAAGACTCTGCTCTGTATCGCCCATCGTCTGAAGACCATCATCGGTTACGACCGCATCTGTGTCATGGACAAGGGACAGATTGCCGAGCTAGACCGTCCCATCACTCTCTACGACCAGGGTGGTATTTTCCGCAGTATGTGTGATCGCAGTGGCATTCGTAGGGAGGACTTCTTCATGAGCCCCGAAGCCAATTTTACAGAAGAGTGATTCGTTGAGCGATGATTTCGGTTTTGATTCGGGTTTGGCATGCACTGCATAGATGCACACATGAAGATGGCGTTTTTGGCGAAAAGCATCTTGTTTGGTTAGCTGTCGTTGTATATACGAAGTCCTATGAACATTATATTACCTCAAAGACTGCCTAGGCCACAATTGTGTTTCGACCTTGGTAGAATACTCCGAGCATCACCCTTACTCGACATGCATATTTCAAGTCTTGAAATGAGACGGAGTCAGGATGGTGCACAAAATGTACGACATGCGATATAAAAAGTTGCTAGGGTGATCAATAGTTTATCACCATAGTCTAGCTAAGAGCTCTCGTCCCACTCTCGTCTGTACATCTGTAGAGCTTCAACGCGACTCACGGATAGTCAAAATAGCAGGCAGGTGTCAGTACTACAAGTTGTTTGCTGGTGTACTCTATGCATCAGTAGGACCAACAAAAGCACAAGATACGAAAGGACAAAAGGCTATGCGCTGATGCTTCGCCCCCCCTTGCGTTTCGAAGCAGATAGCAGAAGAAGAAGATGGAAATGATTGGGGCGTGGGGATGACGCTAGACAACTGGGGCCAAAAGGGTCTCATCGCTGGGGCGCCAAGCAATCTCTGACTGGCAGCCGTCGTGGCGGATTCAGAGAATTCGTCTGCGAGTGCTTTCACATCTTCTGCTCGTTCACTACTTCCTTCTACAAGACAAGAAACCTCACTCGTAAAAGTTCTGTTTTCTTATTTGCTTTGTCGTCTGTGCAGTTGTTTTTCTGCGCATCCGATACAAGACCCTCTGGTTCATCCTCCGCCAGATCCCCTTCATACCTAATCGACAGGCTCGTTGGACTTTTTCTAGTCATCACACGCCTTATCCCAACAATCCAGATCCCATCCCTCGACCACTTTCAACTCGTTGAACATACATCGCAATTATGGCCGATCAGCTCAACATGAACAATCTCTCCCTGGGCGAGTCTCAGCACGCTCCCAGACAAAACGGCAACGGTGGTTTCGTCCGCTCCGCATACATCCCTCCCCATGCCAGAGGCAGCACTAGAGGTCCTGCTCCTGGTCCTGGACCCATGGACGGCGCGCCTCCCATGAATGGCCACTTCGACGGTCCTAGGTATGTTTCTCGCGGTGAGATCGTTGGAACATTTTTGACTGACAAATCCTTTTAGACCCGGCGGCTTCGCTTCCGGTCCTGCTCCTGGTGCTGGCCGTGGCGGCGGTGGCTGGGGCGGCGCTCCTACCTTCACCCCCAGAGGCGGCAATGGCTTCGACAGAAACGCCTATGGCAACCCCGGTCAGGGCGGTGGTCAACAAGCCCGTGGCTCCGGTGACGGTCAGTGGAGAGACGGCAAGCACATTCCCGGCCCTCCCAACCCTCGCGTCGAGCGTGAGCTGTTCGGTGTCCCCAACGACCCCAACGTGCAGCACAGCGGTATCAACTTCGAGAAGTACGACGACATCCCGGTCGAGGCTAGCGGTGAAGGTGTCCCCGAGCCCGTCACCACCTTCGCCAACCCTCCTCTTGACGACCACTTGATCAGCAACATCGAGCTCTCTGGCTACAAGGTCCCCACTCCCGTCCAGAAGTACTCCATTCCCATCGTCATGGGCGGTCGCGACTTGATGGCTTGTGCCCAGACCGGTTCCGGAAAGACTGGTGGATTCTTGTTCCCTATCCTCGCTCAGGCCTTCGTCAACGGTCCCTCTGCCGCCCCCGTCCAGACCGGCATGGCTCGCCAGCGCAAGGCTTACCCTACTTCTCTCATTCTTGCCCCTACTCGTGAGCTTGTTTCTCAGATTTACGAAGAATCCCGCAAGTTCTCGTACCGCTCATGGGTCCGCCCTTGTGTTGTCTACGGTGGTGCCGACATCGGTCAGCAGCTCCGCCAGATCGAGCGCGGTTGCGATCTTCTCGTCGCTACTCCTGGTCGTCTCGTCGATCTCATAGAACGTGGTCGCATCTCGCTCCAGAACATCAAGTACCTCGTTCTCGATGAGGCCGATCGCATGTTGGACATGGGTTTCGAGCCCCAGATCCGCCGCATTGTCGAGGGCGAGGACATGCCTTCCACCGCCGGCCGCCAGACTCTCATGTTCTCGGCCACCTTCCCTCGCGACATCCAGTTGCTGGCCCGTGACTTCCTCAAGGAGTATATTTTCCTCTCTGTCGGTCGTGTCGGTTCCACCTCTGAGAACATCACCCAGAAGATCGAGTACGTCGAGGACGTTGACAAGCGCTCTGTCCTGCTCGACATCCTCCACACTCATGGTGCTGGTCTTACCTTGATCTTCGTCGAGACCAAGCGTATGGCCGACTCGCTTTCGGACTTCCTGATCAACCAGGGCTTCCCTGCCACCTCCATTCACGGTGACCGCACTCAGCGTGAGCGTGAACGTGCCCTCGAGATGTTCCGTTCGGCTCGTTGCCCCATTCTCGTTGCCACCGCTGTTGCAGCCCGTGGTCTCGATATCCCCAACGTCAAGCACGTTGTCAACTACGATCTCCCCACCGACATTGATGACTACGTTCACCGTATCGGTCGTACTGGTCGTGCCGGAAACACTGGTGTCGCCACCGCTTTCTTCAACCGTGGCAACAGAGGTGTTGTCCGTGACCTTCTTGAGCTTCTCAAGGAGGCCAACCAGGAGGTTCCTGCTTTCCTCGAGACTGTCGCTCGTGAGGGTGGTGGCTTTGGTGGTGGCCGCGGCGGTGGTCGTGGAGGTGGCCGTGGCCGTGGTGCAACCGCTAGTCGCGATGTCCGCAGCTTTGGTGGCGGCTCCCGTCCTGCCTACGCTGGCTCCCAATGGGGCGGCAGCGGTGGTGGTGGCGGCTTCGGCGGCCAATCCGGTGGCGCTGGCGGCTACAGCGGTGGCTCTGCTGGTGGCTACGGTGGCGGCATGGGTGGTGGTGGCTACGGCAACCCCTCCGGCCCCTCCGGCCCTGGTGCCAACTCTTGGTGGTAGACTCCCAAAGCTTGCCAATGACCGACCTGCACTTTCTGGTCGACTGACCTTCTGGTCACCAATTTCTTTCAGTCTTTGATTTTATAGCTTTCTCGTTCCGCGGTCCCTCTCTGGACGTCGAAACACTCATGGATCGATGGACGTGGTCCTTGCTCATACCCCCAGTCAGCATGATAGACAGCGTTGATTTTTCTTCATTCTCAGCACGGAGACGGCGCTCATCACGGTTTACGACTTTCTTCACGGCCTTGAGCGTTCTTACATGAAACGCTTGATGCACTCGACGAGCGTGGTATCCGGTCTGGGCATATGAGGCTTCCAGAGAATTCGGACATTTCTCGATACCAGTTGTGTTTTTCTGCTTTTCCTTTTCAAATAACGATCCTGGCGTTTCATCGCATCACGAGGCTCCGTGGCATCTGGATGGGCGTTCTCGTGGGACGCTGGGCCAGTCTAGGCCTGCAATGATGTTACGGCTGTCGCATATGGCATGGGCAGCTTTCTTCTTTTAGCTCTCGGATGGATACCCCCAACTTTATAGACTTCTTTCATCTGGAGGCAGGAAGAGATAGGCATGGCAAAATGGCTGCTGCCTGCAAGGGATATGCTGGTCGCTCAGCAGGATCACAATTCTACAAAAAAAATTACTACAATCCCGTTGTTTCGTGGTTTGAGTCTTCAATATAGATGCGCAAATTAGAAGGCATTTTCTGATATTGATCTGACGTGTGCTCGTTGTAACGTGACTTGGATAAAATAAACAGCCACCTTGTGGTCATGTCTAGGTGTAGACAGCAGTGGAGTGTAGGCAATGACATGTACACCAGGCGCAAACTACATGGGCAATCCATATGCTGAATATCCTAACCTTTGTTGCGGTTCATCAAGCTAGTGTATGTAGACGGCCAAGGTGCATAATCATAGATAGTTGGTGAACCTGTTGGTGGAGCGGTATAGGAAGCTTCCCCAGACTGCGTCACAGGGAAAGAGCGAACGGGAGCAGCCGTAGCAGGCGCAATCTGTAGGAGCGACCAAGATCGCGACAAAGGGGAATCCGTTCTTCCATCACTGCATTCTCTCATCACATCCCATACGAGCGCGCCATGGTAGAGCAGGACTCTCGCAGCAGCTTGCGACACATTCTCGCCGACGAGCCTGTTGAACAAAGTCCACGACCAGCACCGCCAGCGACACCAGCTTCCGCGCCCGCCGTACGAGCAGTATCGACTGCTGCGAACGGCGAGCATGAGCAATCACCGGCTCCCAAGGGCGACAAAGACGAGGAACACGAAGCAGAAACACCGCTGTACACATCGACTACGCAGACAACACGGCGCAACGCAAATGGCAGCGTGTCGTCAGTCTACTCTGGAAACAAGATCCGCCATTTGAAAAAGGAGGACGGTGTACCGCTATGGCGCAAGGACATCCAGTACGACTTCCTCGACATCGTCTTCAAGGACGAACAACGTGTCTTTACTCGCTACTCGGACAATGAAAAAGGCCACACGTTTGCCGAGATCTACGTCGATGCCATGGCCAAGAGCAGCAAGTGCAGCAAGATCCTCAAGGAGAAGCTCAAGGAGGACCTTGACTCGGCCATCACCATGGCCATGGTCTGCCTCCTCGTCAATGTTGGGCGTATGAACACCACGCTGAACTTCTTCCCCGAGATGCGTGCCCAGCTGCGTACCTACCACTCCATCCCTGCTCTGCAGGCACATCAAGACCCAAACGCCTACAAGCAGCTACAAGACGCTCCCCGTCTGAAGTCGATCCTCAAAGGCGCCACCGAAGACACTCCCCAGCCAGGCACCATTGAAGACATACGTCAAGCTTCAATACCACGAACCAATCCTGTCAATCTGATCTTCGTCCTGTCACAATATGCTCCCAAAATATCAGAGCTACACTTCAACCATCCTCGCGATTTCTTCGATCTTGTCATGCGATCGAGCTTGAGCAGCAAGAGCAGAGCGACTGCCTTCCTCTGGCTGATGTGGTGGTACCTCGAAAGCGACTTTTCCAATGAATCTGCCCTCAGCAACCCCTTCGGAGCAGGTTGCGAGCCAGAAGGTGGTGGTCCGCCAATCAAAGTCCCTGCACTCGAGAGCTTGACCGAGGAACAAGCTGCTTTGGAGAATGTTGACAGTGTGGAGGAGAAGGAGTACGGAGAACAGAAGCGTAAGGAGAGAATTGCAATCGTGGCGAGTGAACCCAGTCCGGCAATGACAGCTCTCAAGCGCGCCAGAAAAGGTATGTTGACCTCGCCTGATTTGACGGCTAGACACTAACTTGGGAGAACAAAAAGAACGCAGTCTGTTTGCGGCGGGTCTCGGTGATGCAAATTCGGATGCTGGAACCAAGACCCCCAGCCGCGATTTTGACTCTCCAGCTCCTTATGGTATGTTGACGCTCAACTATCGCGCGAAATGGTGGCTGACAAGTATCGTAGACTCTTTGCGTAGGAATTATGCTGGTAGTGACTACACACGTTCGCCTACGCCCCCTACAAGTTCCTTCCAAGCCGTCAACATCATCTCGAAGCCTTTGGCATCAAAGTCTGTCTTGGCCGAAGTCGACGAGAAGGAACCTGAGATGCTTCAATTCGCTTCGCCGTCTGTAGGCACGCCGCAAGCTGCTGCACTGCCCAAGAAAGGCTCTGGACGAGGTAACTGGAACACCAACATACATCACCCTTTCCTGCTGCCCAACCCTGTTCCCATGTCCCCTCCTGCCCTTGATACCTTACCGGATAGCGTCTATCTGCAGTCCCGACGAGATCACCTCCCGACGTCCTCATATCAACTCCAGACACGGAACCGTCCGCTGACATCACACCAAAAAGCAGTCAGCGATTACCGCCGTGTGCGAATCAACCAGATCATCGATACCGGTATTAGAAGGCGCCACATAGCTGCAAAGCGTCAACGTCAAGAAGAGGGTATCTTGCTGCGTGCCTGGAAGCGGATCCGCATGCTACCTGCTGGCTGGGACAGTGAAGACGAAGGCCCCATCGAAAAGGCTAAGGACGACGCAAAGGACAAGGACGACGGTGTGGGTAGAAGATCAAAGGAGGAAGAAAAGGCCGCAGCCGCGCTACGACGTGCCGCGGGTGGCGTCCGTATCCTCGGTGGCTTTGCCCTACCACTCACAGACAAAGAGCTCGAGCAAGAGAAGCAACGACCACTTAACAGTATCGCCAATGTCGCCAGAGACGATGTAGGCGAGGAGGCACTATACTTCTCTCGAGCCTTTTCACTTGGCATGGTTCAACTCGACCGCGAAGAGAATGCAGATCTCGAGGGCAGTCTACTACGTCCGTCACCACAATTGAAGCTCGTTGACGATACAGAAGACGAACGAGAGTTGCAAGCCATGGATGAGGTCGCCGCCACAATCGTCAAACCAAGACAGGGTAGGAAGAGTCGCGGTGGAGGCGGAGGTGCAAGCAGGAAGTCCAAAGGCGGTGCCAGCAAGCTCGCGGGTGAAGCAAAGGATGGAACACCGGCCGACTCTAGACTCTCTACTGCGAGACCAGACAATGATGCAGAAGATGAAGAGATGCATGATGAGGGCAACACTACCATTGGTCCGAGTGCAGAATTGGACGATGATGAAAGGGAGTTGCTGGGAGAAGCGGACACGGAAGATGAAGAGGAAGACGAGGATAACATGGATGAGGATTGATTGGCATTGCACAAAGGTGTGTATCAGACCATCTTGCTCTGAGATTGAGTTACCCGACTGAGGGTGTTGCTGTGTAAAAATACTGCGAATATTACAGAAGCTTGCGCTGTGGATGCTGCACCTAATGGTCACAGCTCTGTCACTCCCTCTTTTGTGATTGTGCCCAGCGCCACTTGCTCATATGTGCTCTCGGCAACTATCACTTGACTTGGAGAGCGAACATGTTCTGGTGGCCGTCTACTTCCTCACACCTCTTGCTCCTCGAGTCCTCCGCATTCTCTGATAGCCGAATCTTTACACGACGCCGTCTCGCGCCTCTCGCACTCACCGTTATGTCCTCCACTCCTTCTTCCGCCTCTACAAACCAGCCGGCGTCGGACATCCATGAAGTCACCGAAGCAGCACCTGGTCCAGTCTTCCAAAAGGCCCCTGAAGCCCCCAAAGCCACATCTAGCTTGTCGAAGAGACCTACCAAGTAAGGATCCCCCACTTGCTGATCTGAAGGTTACTCAACTGTACTGACAAAATTGTTCCTACAGTGAATGCTTCGCCAGTCTAGTCACCGTAGAAGTCGGCGATTCACCATTCACAAGAATCTCCTCTGCTTCTACTCCGACTACTTCCGCGGCGCCTTCAATGGCAATATCTAAGAAGCGAACGAGAAGAAGATTTCTTTGCCTGATGAAGATCTCGGTCTCTTCTGGATTTTCCATGGGTTCATCAACACCAACCGAGTCTGCGACACTAACGACAAGGCTGGCTCTGATATACAGAGTCGCGTTCTTATCAAGCTTTGGTTCTTTGGCGACAAGTACCTTGCTCCTGCTTTTCAGGAAATGGCTATGGATTGTCTGATCAAGAGGATCAACGAGAATGGGTTGAAGACGAAAGTTGTGATTGACAATATCTACAACAACACGATGTCAGGCTCGCCGTTGAGAAAGGTTGTGGTGGATTGGCAGACGTATGTTATCAACACGACTAAAGAGAAACTCGCGGAGTGGCCTATGGAGGCTTTGGTTGATTTGACCGTCGCTCAGTCGAATAAGAGGATGGATCAGAATCACATCAAGAAATTACCTGGAGGCAAGTGCTTTTATCATGTTCATTCAGAGGGGGAGCATTGCCAAATCTGAAGTGGGTTGAAGAGCGTTTAGAGTGTCTTCAATTTTCAGGGGGCAGAGACATGGGTCGTAATATTTTGCCAGACGAAGTCAATAAGCATGAGACAAATCTGTATATCATGATCATCCAAAAATGTACCCATCCCTGAAGTTTTGACCCAAAATCGAGTGATTGATGTGACTGCGCACGACGCTCAGAGTCACCCTGTCACAGGCACCAACGACGCGTTGTGTTGCATCTCGCCATTTCAAACCGCAACACAACACATCAAACCACGCAAACAATGACACGATAGCCCCTGACATACTCTTCGGCAAGTAGCGAAAGTCAGTCACAGTATTATGGCGACCTCCCCATCCATCATCGCAAAGATACAACGAAAAGTGTGGGACGGCAGTCTACCGCTCGAAATCCGACTGGCAAGTGCAGACTGCAGGACCTACGATGAAACAGATCCATATCTGGTATGCTTCTCTTCTTACCCCTCTATTCTCATCACCAAAACTAGGGATAGAATGAATACACAATTCCTTACAATGACAGCTCTAATCAACACAGGTCAACGTTCCACGTCTCTCATACCTTCCCTTCCTCCTCCCTCGTCTCCACGCCTTCTTTGCTCCTAATCTGATAAACCCCTCCATGCCCCCTCACTCCGCCTGGCTATCCTTCCAAAATGTGGCTCTAAAATACCATTATCCCATCGGATTACTCTACGACCTATTTTCTGGATCCCAACCCTCAGATTCTGAAGATGATGGTACAGAGGAAGCAGAGAACTTGCCCTGGAAACTTGAACTTAGGTATTCAGAGTTTCCGAGGGAGCAGTTGATGGAATTGGATGCAGAGGGGAAAGTGGTGAGGGATTGCTATGTTAATGCTGTTAAAGAGGTAAAAAATCTTGCCCCTTTGCCTTTATGGTTGTGAGATGAAGTGATTGCTAACGAAAGACGATCGTTACAGGCAGATGTGATACGCAATGGAAAGGGAAACGTCTATCTGGGATTAAGTCAAGTGGACTGTGATACACAATGGCAAGCCGTCCAGTCACGTAAGTTGACTCCTTTTCCTTCTTTTCCTTCTTTTCCTTCTTTTCCTTCTTTTCCTTCTACAACAAAGATGGAAAAGCCGATTGCTAATGAGACTGGCGAGACAGAAAATCTCCAGAAATTCAACACGATAAACACAAAACTCCTAAACCCACCAGGAACATCCCTCCGCAACGTCCCCATGAAAATCTACCTCCCCACCGCACCAATTTCAAATCCCGGAGATGGAGAAGTACAAGCCAGTATACGCACAGTACAAGATCTTGTACCTCTGTTTTCTGCTTCCCGTAAGTTTTTGTTTTATATAAATCTCTGTACTTTTTCCAGCTATTTTTAGCTAACAGGATCTTTTGGGATAGGTCAAGCGAATACATTGGGTATGGCTTTGAATACGATTCTGAAGACGGTGTTTCCCAGTAGGAGGAATCCGGTGTTGGCGTCGCCTGTGTTGCATGGTGCTGTTGTGCCGATGAGTGCGCCGGTGGAGGAGCTGATGAGGGCTGCTGCTTTTGCGGATGGCTTCTTGCATGTTGTTGTCGTCATGCTGTGAGTGGATAGACGCGGTAAGAGCGATTGGCATGAGATCAAGGGTGTCATTATAGAGGTCCACTAACTGCATGGCTCGATTCCAGACTGAGTGATGTTATCATTGAGGTACTCATATTGCATTGCTCATGTTCTTGACATCAAGTATATGTTACTTGGCGCTTGGTCAGGCCATTAACTATATCGTCTAATTCATCCCTTTTTCGCTTTCTTTCCATTGCATCTTCGCCCACTTCTTCTTCGTCTTCATCTTCGTCTTCCTCGTCCAGTGCGTCTTCCCATGTCCTCGGTTTCCAGCAGCGGATGGTGCCGTCAGAATGAGCAGAGTAAAGCTCGATGTGATGGGCTCGCCAGGCCAGACTCGTTGTTTTGTTGACGACATTTCTTGTGCCCGATCCTGCTGCCACCTGTATACGAGTGGACGTGTATGATGGTGTTCTCAGGCGAGTGATCAGCTTCCCCGTGTGCGTCTCGTAGACAAGCAGTTCTCGAGGGTTAGGATAGATAAGAATCTCTTTTGTCGGACCTGTCAAATGACTGGGACTAAGCAATGGTAGCAGAGTCGATGTGGTAGAGCTTTTGACAGCAGGACCGAAGTTTGTCAGCGTGTTCGCGCCAGTATGTCCATTCCAGACGCGTATTTTGTCATCTTGACCGCATGAAACGAGGAAGTCTCCTGCCTCGTCCCATGTTATACCATTGACAGCGCCTGAGTGGGCTTTGCCACGCTCACGTCGTAGTGTGTTGCCATTATCGCCGACGCCCCGACTGTCTTCCATATCGAGCACCCCCAAGCTGCTGGCGCTGCGGCGAATATCCCAAAGTCTGACTAGACCATCTGAGCCACCACTAGCCAGGAGATGTTCGCGTTTCGGGTGCCAGGCGGTCGAGAGTACGGCACCACTGTGGCCAGAAAGCGAATGTGTACTGGCACCGGAGCGAAGATCGACTAGGCGTACGGCGGGGTTTTGTGTGGCACAAGCAACCAGTAAGTGTGAAGCGACAGGCGAGAGGGCGTGCGAGTAGACGACGGCTTCGAGATCAAAGGCGGCAGATGTTTCGAGGGTCTCTGACGAGTACAGCTTCAGCGAGTGGTCATAACTGCTGGACAGAAATGCTAGAGAGTCGAAAGGATAGAAAGACACATGAGTGATGCCGAAGTTGGCCGTCTTTGACGTCTTGGAGGCATATCCGAGCGGCTGTATGACGCGACTCTCGTCAGGTTGGCTTGTCGGCGTCTCGAGGTCCCAGATACCAATCGAGGAGTCTGCACCGCCGGAGAGAAGCCACCGTCCTTCGAACTTGTCGACAGTGATGCTGTTTACCCCAGACGGGTGCGCAACGCCGTTTTGCAAGGCATCCTCGTCGTTTTGTGTGTCTGGAGGGCTGATGCTCAGTGATACGTGACTTGCAGGCTGAATCGAGTACACGAGGCGCGTGTTTTGAGACCGCGTGAGGGCGGCAGGACTGACGCTACCAAGAGCGCGATTGAGCAGGAACGAGTTCATCCGGCGACTGATTCATCTTTCGTCATCTTCGGTCTGCTTGGTAGAGAAAGAGCCATCAGAGGAGGGAGTGTGACGTAGTGAGAAACCGCGACTCTCCAACCTCTTGCCAAGCCGCTGCTTTCCTCGACCAACCACCAATTTTCATGTGATGCCCCATAAACTCATCAATACTGGAACCTGACAAAACACTCATGGAAGTCCGCACGGAACGTCTAGAACGCTACAAGCACCCCGAAGACGTGGTTGAGCCTGAAATTGTTTCCCGTAAACGCCGTAAGATCTCTGTCTATGAAGCCGTCGCTGGCAAGGCTGGTTATGAAAGTCTTCTTCCGAACGAAAAGCGGACTGCTACAAAGTATCGAGACACTCAGACAAATTCACTGCAATCTGTACCCCCGGACGAGGTTTTATTCCGCCGTCAAGGAGCCCCTGAGCGTTATGAAGAATCAGACATCTACAAAGCGCCCAGCCCGAGCACACCTTTACCAGATTCGGATTTGCTCAAGTTTCTGCATCGTTATGCCTCCGAGTTCTACTCAAAGGCCACGCCGGACAAAGGCCAGATCGACTTCCAGTCATTGGACGAGAGTGCTATGCTTGCTCTAGGTATATTGCTGGAAGAGACAGCTACCCTTCACCTTGGCGAAACTGGTTATTCTGCATTCATCGAAGATGAGAACGAGGATATTATGACCGGAAAGCGGGAATACTGGAACGGCTCAAGATGGGTTCGAAGTGTCATCGAGAAGAAATCTGCTGGCACCTGAAGTGTCCGTCTCAGCTCCGTTGTGCGACAGTCCATGGCCACACAATACATGTGACAAATACATGTTCCCCTCTGGCTATCACAACGACGGTAGCCTGTCACAACACTACTCATACCCGTATCGAGACGATCAGAAGCAAGCTACCTGATCCATCGCTCCTTCAATATACTGTTGACATAAGATGGTCTCGAGATCAATTTCGCGCCGCCACGCCTGAGATCGGCAACACCGGGCCTACAACCCGCATGGCATGCATCCTTCACTTTTGGGTGCGTTCCACGGCCCGTGTCTCCAGACTCGACCCACGTCGGGCCACCCACGAACCACCCAAGAGTCCCAGAATGGGCTTGATCGCGACACTACTGCGACCCGGTAGATCCTGGAGAGATCCAACGTTCCAGCCCTTGCCTGGGCCGCTCAAATGCAGTGGAAACCTCCGGCATGCTATGATTCTCAGTGCTTTAGCCGCGAGAAGCGCCAACAATAGCCTATCCTCGTCAAGTCGCTTCTCGCCGGCCTGGGATTGGTCTCTCCTCCCATGTGGCGACGAAAGGGGGGAATCTGGACTCTCTTTCAATTGGTCGACAAGACGATGGCGACTGCAGCTGCCCGCATATCCTTTGGCTGTTCGGAGATGGGCAAATTCCAAAAACCCTGAGAGCGACTCTGGCTTGCTGTATGTAATCTTCAGCGCGCCATCTCATTATGCAGCCCTGATAGATTTAGACATACACGACTCGAGCGACAGCACTGCATTGTTCGATTGGTCTCGATTGACCATGGTATTGCGAGACTGTGGAAGGTTGTTCTTTTGCACGAAATTGTGAATTGTCATGAACAAGAGCCAATCAGAAGAGATTGCTTGGCTGACAAGACGGTCTAAGAACAACCACACACACAGTAACCAGACAAGACAACTTTCTGGCTAAAGCCCATGCCAACTTAGAACCTTCCTTCTGTGCGGCTCCTTCTCTGTGCAAGAAGTGCTTACCTCCTCCCAAGCAAACATGTCTACAATCTGCCTATACAAGTCTAAAGAAACCACCTACGTCTACGACTATGTGTCGTGGTCACCGTTTTCTTAACGGAACCTAAGTATCGCGCAACAAGGCATGCCACGAAGCTTAATCGAGTCAAGTTTGGGTCGTATGGTTTGAAGACTTCGACTACCAGCTTCGAGTCGTGCAGGCAAAATGTGCCGGCTAAATGTAAATGCTCGTGATCAATGCAGGCTGTATAGCTTACTATACCGCATTCGGGCTACTACCTCCTTCTCCAGACGTTCCAACAGCTCATTGTGGAGCTGCGGGGAACAAGCGACCCTCGCGCGTGCCGGATCACCCATCTCCAGACTCCTCCACAATTCTGAGCGATGATCTATTCCACTCCATGGACTCATCTCCGAATGGTATATCTTGACTTTGAAGATTGGTGAAACGTCGAGAAAACTATCGCATCTGTGCACAAGCTCATGGCGAGGAATATACTCCCGCTTTCCAAGACGCCAATATCCGTTAGCCTGCTGACAACCTAATATCAACGCCGGCGATCCCTGGTGGCTAGTCCCGGTTCTGCAGGCGAGGTCTCATGGCTAGCAGACCACACACCACGCGATCACCCTTTCCCGTTCGTGCGGAGCCCCCACGAGGCTAAACACATTGTCTGTGGGGTAAATGAGAATCGATAGTGGCCAAGACCACTCTGGTCCTCCCATTTGCATGTGCCACTCGGCCGGGTCGACTCAAGCGAGCCTTTGTCGCCTCAGAACGCAGGTCTGCTGGCGCTCGTGCCTGGCGGCTAAATGGAGTGGCATGCTTTGTCCTGCAACAGTCATCTCAAGCCATTCTTGTTATATATGTCCATTGTCCTCACCCCCATGACTTGATCAGCCAGGCACTCGACTCACTGTCTCCTAGACATTTACCTCATTCGCTGATCTCTTCTTTCTTTCTACATCCAACAATCGTTCTTCGTAACAGAAAGTCGACATGGAGGCTGCTACTAAAGGCCACTTCAGGCTCGCTGGCCGCGAGTTCCCCAAGGTCAACTGGCTGACCGACCCTGGTTTGAGGAAAACTTACATTTGTTTGATGTTCGTTGTCATCACCAGTGCCACCAACGGTTACGATGGTTCTATGATGAACGGTCTCCAAGCCCTCGACATCTGGCAGAATGGTATGCTCATACATACAAACAACATCGGCTCTGAACGCATATACTAACTCATTCCAGACTTCAACCACCCATCTGCAGCATCACTGGGCTTGCTGAACGCCATCATGTCTGTCGGTTCTATTGTTGCTCTACCCATCGTACCCTACCTCGTTGATGGCCTCGGTCGCCGCGCTGGTATTCTCACTGGCTGTATCATCATGATCATTGGAGTCGTCCTTCAATCTGCTGCCATGAAGTTCGGCATGTTCGTTGGAGCTCGTTTCCTCATTGGATTTGGTGTTGCTATCGCCCATGGTGCATCGCCTCTGCTTCTTACCGAGCTCACTCACCCTCAACATCGCGCGCTCTTCACCACCATCTACAACACCACCTGGTACTTGGGTTCGATCGTAGCAGCATGGTTGACCTTCGGAACTTTCCACATCCAGAACCACTGGGCATGGAGAATCCCCTCGATCGTCCAAGCTTTCCCTTCCGTGCTCCAGCTCACCTTCATCTGGTTCGTTCCCGAATCCCCCAGATTCTTGATCTCGAAGGGCAAAGTAGAGCAAGCACACAAGGTCCTGGCCGATGTCCACGCCAATGGTAACCTCGATGATGAAGTCGTGATGCTCGAGATGGCCGAAATCAGAGATACTCTCAAGTTGGAACAGGAGTTCGAAGGAAACGGCTGGAGCGAGCTTTGGAGAACTCCTGGCAACCGTCACCGCCTGATTATCCTGTGTTCTGTTGGTTTCTTCTCGCAATGGTCTGGAAAGTACGTTGTCCTGGGTCCTACTTGATGCCTCTGATCAATCTTGCTAACCTTTTGTAGTGGTCTCGTCTCTTACTACCTTACCCTCGTCCTTGACCAGATTGGCATCACCGACACCGATACTCAGCTCGTCATCAACGGTGTTCTGCAGATTTGCAACATGATCGTCGCTGTTGGACAATGTTTCTTCGTTGACAAAATCGGCCGTCGTACTCTCTTCCTCATCTCCACTGCCGGCATGATGTTGGCCTTCTGCGTCCAGACCATCTGCTCAGCACGTTTCAAGGTTGAAGGATCTCAAGCTTCTGCAAACGCCGTCGTTGCTTTCATCTTCATCTACTACGTCTTCTACAACATCGCCTTCTCCGGTCTGTTGGTCGGATACTCGGTCGAGATTCTGCCCTACAACATCCGTGCCAAGGGCATGACCATCATGTTCTTCTGCGTTGATCTCGCCCTCTTCTTCAACCAGTACGTCAACCCTATCGCTCTGAAGTCAATCGAATGGAAGTACTACATCGTCTACTGCGTCTGGCTTGGCTTCGAGCTCTTCGTTGTCTGGAAGTTCTACATCGAAACTCGCAACACCCCTCTCGAGGAGATTGCCAAGTACTTCGATGGCGAAGATGCTGTTGTCGGTGGCGCCGTCGCTACCGAGAAGGGCAGAGCTTTGGCTGCTGAGATCGGCGGTCTGGGTACAGTCAACATGACTGAGAAGGACGGTGCCGCTGTCGAGCACAGAGAAGTTTAGATGATACCAAGGTTGGATTTATGTTAGGCCGGATTTATGTGAATACTGGGTTACTACGATGCGGAACTGTGTAATACACATTCGCTTTCAATTTATGACTTTTACCTCAAACCACCTAATCTTTCCGTTCATTGATGTGACTCTGTTTCTACCTCCATGGACTGCAAGAATGGTGTTATTCCCACCTCCAAAGCAGGGAAGGCAAAGTTGAACACCTTCTCCGGGATAGAGGGAAGCTTTGGACGCCACGTCCCAAACAGGAAGGCGTTCGCCTCTCATGCTCCACATTCACGACGTCTTGACCTCCACCTCCTCTTTTAACCAGACTTCCTCACCAGATCCCAATAAACAGTTTCAAACTACCATTTTCGCACCTATCACCTCTTGAGAAACAACCATAATGCCTGAAACCAAGCATTTCACTCATACCATCAAATTGTCTCCTGGCTCTTCTCACGCCGGGCAGTATTTCGAGGGCAGATTAGCCTACTGGAGTCTCGGCGACGCTTCCAAGCCTACGGTCTTGATGCCGACGTGTTTTGCCGGGAAACTCGAAACCACCACTCCTTTTCTCTACGATTCTGAGACTTCGGCATTGCCGCTTTCAAAGTATCATATTTTGGTAGTGGGACAGCTTGGTGGCGGTGAGAGCTCTTCTCCTTCCAATCAGGCTGCTCCATTCTCTGGTGTCGAATTTCCGAGGGTGACGTATGAGGACAACATTCATTTGCAGCATGCGTTGTGTCAAAGTCTTGGTGTCAAGCATCTAGAGGCTTATATCGGGTTCTCGATGGGTGGGCAGCAAGCTTATTACATGAGCGTTCTCTATCCCGACTTTGTCTCTAATGTCGTAATGCTGGCTACCTCGGCAAGAACATCATGGCATAACTACAACTTCTTGGAGGGACCCAAGGCTGCTCTGGAGTCTGCCGTCGACTTTGAAGATGGACACTACAAGAAAGAGCCAGTCAGAGGTCTCAGGGCTTTCGGCAGAGTCTATTCTACATGGGCGCTCAGTCAGCAATGGTACAGAGAGGAGTGCTGGAAAGTCCTCGGCTACGACACGCTAGAGCAATACCTCCAGAACATCTGGGACAAGAGATCAAATGATGCAAACGATCTACTCTCCATGCTATGGACATGGCAGAATGGAAACATTGCTTCTTGCTTCCCGAAGGACAAGGATGATTTACCCACAGCTTTGGGCAGGATCAAGGCCAAGTGCGCGATCATGCCATCCAGGACTGACATGTACTTCCCACCCGAAGACAGCGAGGAAGAAGTAAAGCATATTAAGAACGGAAAGCTGGCTGTCATTGAGAGTATTTGGGGGCATTTGGCTGGCGGTGGCGCTGGTACAGCAGAGGATAAGCAGCTTATCAACGAGCAAGTCTCGCAGCTGCTCGGCCAGTAGCTCTGCAATCTAGGGTTTGTGTCAGAAGTCTTGCAAATAGAAACATGGATCTGATATCTGAACAAGTCGTTAACGGTGAAGTGTCATCACTTTGCGTTCATGCTACACTCGCTACGAGAAAATACCACGCTCATAGTCAAAGACAGTAGCCTTGTCAACAATCTTTCCCACGTCTTCGACAAACTTCAGATGCGATGGATCTTTGTTCAGATAGTAGTCTCTGTCCGCTTCCGACTCAAACTCGGAGACAAAGCCATATTGGAGGCCACCCTGTCCATCGTGTTAACGGGGAAACCCTGCTTGGGTGGATCAAGTCGACTTACTGCTGCTCCTTCGGGGCTGTTGTTCTTTCCGCCGCCGTAGGACTTCATGTAGGGTTGCTGGGTCTGTGGGTGGATGCAGGTGTCCTTGAGTCCGACCATACGATCGCACATCTGCGCACAATGTTGAGTGCTGGTTTCGTGATTCGATCATGGACGGAGCTGGTCTTACCTCCCTGACAACCTTCGGCTCGGTGTCCTCCTTGAACTTGAATAAGACAATGTGTACGACTGGCATCTTGAAAGGTCGAGAGCTCACAGGTTTGTATGATCAGATGTGAAGAGTAGTTGTCTGGTTGCGAATTGAGGTCCGTCTATCCTGCATGTTGATGACGTTCGTCCCTCGGATTTAAGCATCCGAGATACATCCCCTCGAATGATGCTCGTACGGAAATGCGCCTGCACAACAAACCTCCTCCTACCACCTTCGACATGTTAGGAAGACAGTACAGCGTGCTGAGATGACGCGTGACTTGTGCTGCAGACACGACCGTTTCCGCCCTAGACGTCGCACATAGTACTTTACGCGATGAGCATCCCGGCACGCGATCAGCCAGTTGACCTGGTCATTCGATTCACTGCTGCTATACCAGACGTCGTTATACGAGTGCCCTCAGCGAAACTCACCACAGCTTTAGGCTTGCGACAGCAGATCAGATCAGAGCTACCTGCCACATACGCGTCGAACCGTCTACGACTCATCGCGGCAGGAAAAGTGCTCACTGACACGACCGCGCTCTCCAAGTCGATCAATATCCCTCCACCGCCTCCGCGTTCGAAAGATGATTCAGCTGGTTCAAAAGACACATCTAAGGGCAAGGCGCCTGCTGGGAGCACCGTCTCCCGAGTCTACATTCATTGCTCGATTGGTGACGCCCTTAGCACCGAAGAAGTCGTTGCTGAAGCAGAGGCCGCTGAGAAGGCCGACAAAGCACTGTTGACAGAAGTGCCAGCTGAGGCTGTTTCAGTAGCGACTCAAGATGCTACAACTTCATCCACACCCGCTCCTCGCGGCTTCGACCGCCTCCTCTCCGCTGGATTCTCTCCTGCCGATGTAGCGAATCTGCGTGCACAGTTCATGGCCATCCAAGCACACACCCACACTCCGGATACGATGCCAACAGGAGATGGCCTACGGTCGCTAGAAGAAAGATGGCTTGAGAATGACCCTGCGAATGCTGCAGGTGGTGGAGCAGCAGGAACAGATGAAGAAGGTGGACTTGAAGACATGCTATGGGGAAACCTCATGGGATTCTTCTGGCCGATAGCAGCGGCGTGTTGGTTGATGCGCGAAGAAGGCATCTGGACAAGACGCATGCAGATTTCTGTGCTCAGTGGGTTGCTGGTCAATCTTACTTTCGGCTTCCTTAGGATTACCTCTTGAGCTTGCCAAATGAAGCACTGCCGAACCACGCGTCTTTCGATGATATGTGATGCTTTGGCACATGGAAACGTTCAATGGACTCTGGTTGCACCTTCCACATCCAAGGCGTTATTGGGCCACGATGTTCCATCAGGACGGCAGGCGGGCTTCATCGCTTCATCCTACAGCTATTCCCTCAGATTTCTCTACTCCAGAGTGTCATCATCCCTATCGTACGAAAATAGTCTGAATGCCTCCTAAGCCTCCGCCGCCGGTGCCAAAGACGCCACCCCCTTCGAAAGCATCAACTCCTGCAAAGCCACCACCACCTGCGAAGGCGGCTCCCGCAAAGACACCGCCTCCTGCGAAGGCAACAGCTCCTACAAAGACGCCACCGCCTGTAAAAGCGACACCGCCTGCAAAGTCATCAACTCCAGCGACGGCACCACCACCTGCCAAAGCACCACCTCCCGCAAAGACTCCGCCTCCTGCGAAGGCACCAGTCCCTGCAAACACGTCACCGCCTGCAAAAGTCACACCAGACAAGCCTTTGCCAGACAAGAAGGCAGATCCATCCAAGTCTTCCCCAGACAAGAAGCCATGGAACCCACCTTTCAAGAACCCATTCGCGCCCAAGGATCCAGCGGTGCCCAAAGATCCAAAGCAGAAAGGTCCTCTATCTATGCAGTCTCTGAAAGACCTCAAGAAGCCCTTCCACAAGGGGCAATCTCGCTCGAGAAGCGTATCGTCGTTAAAAGACGAGCCACCAACCAAGAAGAACAACAGACCACCGCCATCGCCTGAGGATTTGCGCCTAGCCAAGGCTCTCTTACCTATCGCGCCTGCTGTGTCGAGTGCGTTGGCTGGAGCTAGCAATCCGGCGATCCTGGCCACCTTGTTGTTAGGTTTTCTCACGCTCAATATTGGTGGAGCCATTCTGGCTGCTGTTGAGATCCACAAGGGAGAAAAAGCATCGAATTCAGCCAGCACGTCTTCCAGCAATACTTCGTCCTCCAACAACGCTTCTTCCTCCAACAATGCTTCGTCCTCACAGAATGATTCATCATCACGGAATGCATCGTCTTCATCGAGCAGCTCGTCATCCTCGTCAAGCAGCTCTTCAAGCAGTTCTTCATCAAGCAGTTCATCGAGCAGTTCTTCAAGCAGTTCTTCCTCGAGCAGCTCAGGCTAACAACACAGTTGAGGAGGATGCGTAAGATTTATCTAGGTAGTCCCAGCTTGGCTAATGAGAACCCAAGCTATTCGTCTTTGTATGCGGAGTTTACACACACAGTCTGCCCACAGTCATGATTTCTTCCACTCATACACATGTGCATATCCTCAGCAAGAAAGAGAGATGTGTGCAGAAATGAAATCGTTTTCAAGGCTGGAGCATTACGAATATGAAGAACAGTGAATAGCCATGCATCATTGTGCTCTCTCGAGCCTTGCACGAACATTCAAAACTCGTCTCATGCCCCCACATTGCTAAATCACTCTCTCGAGATAGACACTGATTGATAGTCAGTAGTGGATTGAGGTCCCTCGGGCCGAGCTGCCGGTAAGGTGAGGCCGTTATCTCAGCCGAAGCATCCGAGCATGTTCAGGGAAAAGCAGCTTCATGGCAGGTCAGGGCAAAGCAAAAACAAGACGTCATGTGAGAGTTTGACAAGAGAACCAGGCAGCTAGCTACATGGCATGATCGAACGGCAATTGATCCTACGCAGTATAAGTAGTCAAGACAAGTCCACAAGACCCGCGAAATCCTCCATCCAAACACACACACACCTTCCACTACTATTCTATACGGATCCAAGTGCAACCATGGCAGACAACAAACCCCTACCAACCTTCCTCACAAACACTGAGCTTCACCCTTCCTTTGAAGACGACATCAAAAACACCCATCTAATCTACGACTACGCCGCCCAATCCCCTGACGGCACACCCGAAACCTGGCGGTACGAAATGTGGTTCTTCTCCTCTTCCCGAATCGTCTACGCCATCCACGGCGGTCCCATGGCCGGCCGCATAAACTATCAAACCTGCACCTATCAATGCATTCGTCCCCACGAACTCTGGCAGTGTAATTGGTTGGAGGAGACTGGAACGATTTGTTCGCTTGTTTATGATATCAAGATGCAGAAGATTACGACGTTGATTGCGTTTAGCAAAGGGCATTGGGAGAATGCGGAGGAGGCTAGGGGGGATAAGAGGGATGGTGAGGTGTTTGAGAGGTGGAGGGGTTTGGCGAGGGTGGGGTCGCAGGTGGAGAGGTTTATGTTGAGTGAGCAGGCGGAGATCAAGGAGAGGTTCAAGGGGAAGGGAGATTTGGTGCCTATTGAGGAGGATGCTGTGACGTTCTAGGCTGGGAAGAATTGTATATAAGAGGGAGAGAGTGTATCCGAGAGGGAGAGAGGCAATAGAAAAGAGGTCACGATGACATGCAAACCTTGGACACTATACATCTAGTCACAGGAACAGCACGAAGAAAGAAGCATCAATGTTGTAGCACAAAAGAAACCCAGTTGGTGGTATCAATAAATCCCGTGGCAAAGAAAACATAAAAGAAGTTTCGAAAAGTGTTTTTGAGAGACCTTTGGAATGTTGTGAAGAGCATTGTCAAAAACGAAACTCCATAACGCTTTTAGATGCCCCCGTGGTTTTGGTTCATTTGGCACATTCCAGTGACGACCATTGTTACCCGACCGACTTGCTCGAAGCCGTGTCTATTCATGGACATGACTCTTGACCTTTTTAGACATTGACTTGCACGTCATATGTCATTGCCTGCCTGCCTTGTAGCTTGATCCATCTTGATTTGCGTCGAGATGGCAAGTTTACTTGCGCATGGAAGAAGCGCGGCGCTTCTTCATCTCCTGCTGCTGGGACTTGGCCTCGGCAACACGCTTGTGGAGGATGTCGGCGTACTCGGCCTAAGAGTGTGTCAGCAATGATCGGAGAAAAGACAGAAGACAGAGGAAACGTACGGCGGCGTCCTTGGAGGCCTCGGCGTTGCGGCGCTTGAGGGCCATGCGGTGACGCTTGTGCTGGAGACGCTGGGGAGTGACCAGACGCTGGATGCGAGGAGCCTTGGTGTAGGGCTTGGCACCCTCCTTCTTGGGCTGGACCTCACGGCGGATGACGAACTTGCGAACCTAGATCACAACACAGTCAGTATACAATTCACAACTCAGACTCGGTCCATGAAGATGAGAATCTTTGGACCGGCGACGATGGAAAGGGGGGTACCCACATCATCATCCTTGCTGAGACCGAAGAAGCGGCGGATCTTGGTGGCACGCTTGGGGCCGAGACGCTTGGGGTGGACGACGTCGGTGAGACCGGGGACGTCGTTCTCACCCTGCTTGACAACAGCGAGGGCGAGGACGGACAGGTCCATGGCAACGATGCAACCGCGGACGGACTTGCGCTTGCGCTCACCGGTACGGCGGGGGCGGTAGCAAGAGTGACCATCGGCGAGGAGCAGACGGACACGGGTGGGGTGCATGACACCCTGCTTCATGGGGAAACCCTGCTTGTCGTTGCCACCGGTGATCTTGAAGACGTAACCCTTCCACTCGTCACCGACGGAGTCACCGGGAACCTCCTGACCCATGCGGCGGTCCATGAAGACGCGGAGACGGCGCTCATCCTCAATCTCGATGAGCTTCTGGGAGCCGTTGGCGGGGTATGAGATGTTAAGCTTCATGGTGGCTCTGAGAATTTGGTCAGTATGATTGTGGTAGAGAGTGAATGCTGAGTGGCAGTCGGTCGGGCTGTGATGTGAACAATATGGCTGCGCAGATCTTCTCGATGGCTGGTGGACTGGCGGACGTGTGCGCAGTGAATCGTGTGCGTGTTCTTGATCGACTGTCGGCGACTTGGGCGTGCCGAGCGTGTCGTGGCTGGCGCAGAGAATTCTTCAATCCGGCAGGATCTCATTCTTCTGGCTCATCATCGTGTTACAAGAGCGATCGTGCTTTGACTTGATGTGTGCGTCGTGCGCTTAGTCGTAGTCGAGATCGAAAGTCGTGTGCAAGACGTGTCTGTTGTAGGCACCACAATTGTCGTCGTAGCCGTCGAGTTCAAGAAGATTGTCGCAAGCCATATGTCCATAGCACAGTTTCCGTCCTTCATACCAACAGCATGAGGGTAGTCCTTACTATTGTCGAGGGTTGTCGTCGTCAGTGGTCGCTTCGCAAATTGGCGAAAAAGAGATTCGAACTTTGCTTGATGGATTTTCGCATCGGCAGTTTCCGTGGGTGTGCGCTTCCCCACACGTGATCAACGCTGAAGCGACTCCCGCTTCCAGCCACACTTTCGGCTTGACACTCACTCACTCGACCCGCGCCTTTATTGATACTCGATTGACATGCGATTTCTTCACACCGTCAAGGTTCTTTGACCATAGCGTGACTTGATTGCTTGATTAATTCCATGTTCAGTTTGCCAACTAGTATTTCCATCTTACTGACTACAAACAACCATCAATCAAGTCCTGGATGGTACTATTTCCGCCATACAAATAATGCTTCTACACGACCGCCCGTTCTACTTCCTGGCTCGATCCCATCGCTTCATCCACGGCCAATTTTCTTGTTCATACTATAAATGTCTTTCTTCCTGCTGCATCTCGTCGTTGTAAGTAGAGGGCGAGACTTAACGTGCAAGCTGCACACACGATCAAGCCGACAGTGACTGAGTTTCCCACCAAGAATCTTGGAGCATATGTGGTGTTGTATGTCATCAATGGGATCCATGCATTAAAAGCATGCGCGATCGACTTCGTTGATCCAAGGATGAGCTTTCGTTCAAGACTTTCGCCGGCACATACCTTATTCACCATTGTCTAGAACGTCTTGTCAGTCCTAAAAACTGGCATCAGTAGGAAAACTTACGGGGAAGACTGGTCCTAATCCCTGGGAAAAACCTGTCAAGTAGAATGACCCCCACTTGAGACCAAACGGTACGCTGTCCCAGACCGCCAAGTTCATCGCCGCGAAGAAGCAGACAGTGAGGGAAAAGTGCACGATCGGAGACCGAAGGCCTAAGCCATCGCTTACCCAGCCATAGCAAAGCGTTGTCAGAATGGTATTCGCGTTAGTCGCCGTTGGTTAGGTGTTGATCTGAGGGACAGAGTAGCTGCGAGATACGTCAGTCACAAGCCGCCATCCGTTTGATGAGGCGAAGTGTCTTACCGGTCGAGACTCTTCAATCAGAGATTCATGTATCCTCCGATATTTTCGCTGCAGATGAAGAAGCTGTGTGCTCCTGTTAGCTTGAACATTGTCAACCCGGCATCCTGACTTACGTGTAGTAGGCCGTGTACACCCAGAAATGCCACTTCTTCAACACTCTCGCAACACCAGCCCACGTGATGGGCTCGTCGAGCTGCTTCCCGGCATTCCTCATTCTCAATAAAGCAAGCTCTTTCTCGGCTGGTGTGAGCCAGTTGACTTTGGTGTTGCTGGGAAGGTCAGGTAAGGCATAGTAACCTGTATCAGCTAATCAGCACCCGTAGCAAAGAGGAAACTGGAGTGTCATACCTCAGAGAGCCATCAGCAAAGTGATAACGCCATCGAAGATGAACAGCCACCTCCACCCCGAGAGGACATGTACTCCATTCATGCCAGAGTAGAGTGCGGCTTGGAGGTATACAGAGAACATAGACCCGACAAATGCTGACGCGAAAAAGAAACATGCTCTCTTAGCGAGTTCTTGCTTGGTGTACCAGCTACCGAGGACTGTATGAACCGCCTAAAGACAGGATAAGCGTCTGGATCGCTGGAAAGGAAGTGGCAACGCAACATGCTGGACAAAAGGTTCCTTCCGCAAAGCCCACAAGGAAACGGCAAGCATAAACATGGTGGGGCGTCTTGACGGCGGCAGTCGCAAAGGTGACAATGACCCAAAACAGTTCCCAAGATAGACACCACCAAGATAGTCTGATGCGTGTACAAATCATTTGACTCGGGATTTGAGAGATGACATATCCACTACCAAAGGTAAGTAACGGTTGGTTTCTGCAAGATCTTGGATGACTTACACGGTCCACATTGTGGTAAATGTCTGATACTGATTTCCGACCACCTTGAGCTCTTCTTTCATTCCAGATACATATGCGTTGGCTGATCATGGGTTGTCAGTCCTCTGTATGGACCAGCGCAAGAAGTTCAGACGTACAAAGATTATTCTGGTTGAGGTTCTTCGAGAAGTAAATGAAACCAGCCCATGTTCTTCGGTGCATCAGCAGACATCCCCCTGGAAGGTAATGAGAAGATCTTACAAGATGAACCAGACGTTCAATGTCGCAATCAACCACAAATATTCCGGGGTATGGAATACCCGCCAGGAACGAAATACGATTGTATGCTTGCTCTTCTGCTCGATTTTGAAGTATACTAAATATATTTCAGTGGAGTACGCAGATCTTGATGCGCTTGATATCTCACGCCTGGACACTCTCGAAGGGAAGCAGGAGCTCGCAGCCAAAGTCTCATCCTTCGTTAGCAAGAATGGTAAGATTTCGAATAGCAACAGAGTCGAGTCACTTGTACTGAGTGTTTCAAGCATTCTTCTACGTGAAAGGACATGGTCTGACTGGAGATCGAATCAAGCGTCAGTACAGCATTGCCAGAGAGCTGTTCAACCTTCCACTCGAAGAAAAGCTTCACTACCTCGCCAACACCAGAGCTGGTGACTTTCGTGGATATAAGCCAAGATCAACAGGTGAACTCGGAGCTAGAGACAACGATGAGAGATACAACATCCCTAAACTCACGCCTGAGCATGGACGACTCCGTCCCCAATTGATCCACGACCATCTGGAAGAGATCAAAGACTTCTCTTTGGTAAGTCGAGCTAACAAATGGCATGGACTGAAAACCCTAACAAGCTCTAGCATATACATGATCAGATACTTGTGCCTCTTCTGCAACTGTTCGCATACATCCCAGAAATCGACGAAGACTACTTCGTCAGCCGTCATCGCTACGAAGCCAAAGGACTAGAGTATCTGTCATACATGCAATACTTGCCACGCACAGAAGCAGAAGATGCAGCCGTCAACAACATCTGCCCCAGAGGTCATGCAGACTATAACGCCTTGACTTTCCTTTTCCATCAACCTGTATCTGATCTTCAAGTACAGACTCCTGATGGCTGGAAATATGTCAAGTCTTTTGAAGACACTATCATTGTCAATGTTGCTGATGCGCTAGAATTCTGGAGTAGAGGCTATCTCAAGTCGACAGTTCATCGAGTGATTCGACCTCCGCCAGATCAAGCTGATAAGCCTCGTTTGAGTCTGATCTACTTTGCCAGACCAGAGGCCGATATTGAACTTGCACCTGTGCAGAGTCCACTCTTGCAGCGACTCGGTCTCCAATCGAGCACCGAAGATGTCCCAAGGGGTGTTACAGCCGAAGGTAAGGGCATCCAGTCTGAGGTACAAGAAACTTTGCCAATATCTATGTGTTCACAGAATGGGCAAGAGCACGAATCGCCAAGGACCACAGATTTAGGACTGGAGTGGTCCAGAAAGGGGAAGGAGAAATCATCGCAGGCGTACAGGAGAAATTCTACGACTGAAGGGATATGAGAAACAGCTCAGTTTTGGAGCTTAGTGACGTATAGTACTTTCTGTATAAAAGGCAATGGACAACAATGTTCCAACAATAATGTAACTCCGAAAACAAGGTATCTCCGACAACGGTGTAACTCCGACGATAATGTAACTCCGACAATAGCACAACTCCAACGTAAGGAGATCGAGATCAGATCCTTTGCAGCCCCATTGTACCCATATATACACTTCTCGAACATAATATAAACAGTTCATGACAGTAGATCTTCCGCCAGGAGACACTCACCCTCAGTGAGGAGTGTCAGAAGGATAGAGATATTGTCGGATGGGTTCACCGCTAATGTCGGTGATATTACCCATGCGGTCCCACCAACCGACAAGTTCACCTCCCACAGTACGAAACGCGCAGTCCGAGCAGGGATATCCGGTTATCTTGCCATGTTCTTCAACTCTCAGAACGACTGCGTAATTGGCAATTACACCGCTTGCAGGATTGGCAACATAAGAAGCAATGTTTCTGTTGTGCATCACCACCTCGGCATCAATCTCCGGATTTTTCGCTTGTGTTGTGCGACCGAAGACATCGTCGGCTGCGGATGTCATCATGCCATCGGTGATGGGACCGCTTCTGAGAGTATTCTCGACATCCCGCATGCTGGTTCTTGTATACCTCGTCCTGTGATTCTCCACAAAGGGACCCGATTGCGGTTGCTCGGGGAAAAGACTTGGTGGTGGTGATCCCGAGGGTGATGTCAATGACTCGAGACGTGGTGTCTGAGGCATCTCCGGCAGTGGGGATGGTTCCCTGGGCGGACTAATGACGCATGATGGTATTGGGCCACGCTTGAACGGCGAATATGGCGACGTCAAATACGAAGGTACTAGCAATGTGTCGAGCGACGGTAACTCCGGTGACTGGTGGAGAACTTGCGAGAATTGAGGAAGTGTAATCCCAGGGGCCTGATCCTTTGATTGTTCGTAAGACTTGAAATCGCTTTCGATCCACTGTCTTTCATACTCCGCATCCAAGTCTGCAGGATCGTGTTTGACATCATTGTCTTCTGTATGATTGCGAAGATGGTGCGATGCGGTGTAGCCATGATCTCCGAAACCAGAAGTCCTGCCCGGATAGATTTTGTCACCCGTTCCATCGAGGGAAATGTTGGGTACATGAGTCCAGCAGTTGTCAAGGCCCTGATTGTTTATCACACGACTGTCAAGTGGCTCCATCTTGACTCTCTTGGATGAAGTCGACGCTGGAATCGATGATCGAGGTCTCATGCGAGCGGAAAGTCGCGTAGACCGAAGTAATTGCGGTCCGCTTGCGCCGTGAACGAGTTCATCGAGCTGTTGTCGTACATCCAGCATCTCGGTTGTAGGCTCCAACGACGACCAGTAGACGTCGTACTCCGACCAGAGTCTCTCAGCTGTTTGTTTGTGATGGGTCTTTTGCCACATGCTAACACTACACCTCGCGAGCATCATGTGACATTCGATGCCGCAGAGGCGCGGAAGGAAGGGCTCTTGTAGGAGATTACGCGCTTCCGCGATACATTGATTATGTGTGCCTGGACGATAGAGCGCTTCGAGAGTGCTTACTCGAGCCTCCCAGTTGATGGAGAGGGACCGCGACATCTCGAGCTCGCGCTGTGCGCCGCCGAACGTGAGTGTCGTTTCTAGCCAAATGGTAGATTGGGCAGCATGCGCGGCGTAAAGGGAACTCGGAGAACAAGGTGATGGAATGCGAGAATATCGTGTGCCGTCGCTTGTAGTTCGCTCAACCACAAGATTTTGCAGCCACGTCGGCAATTTCTTTGACAGCAGTATTTCGTCAAGAGAGCCCAACTGTCTGGAATAGGAGAAAACAAAATTCTGAGCAGCTGACGCTGATTCCCTGTGAGTCAATGAATTTCATGCTCTGCAAATTAGTGGGCAGCACATGACTGATATGCGCATATTTGCTCAGCTGCCTCAGGTTTTTGGGTCGCAGCCTGACGACACACAAGTCTCCTTGACGTGGCAAATCTGGAGCTGGAAAGTGCCTTGTGGTACCCGTATGCGCTGCATGCATACAAGTCAATGGTCGGCCGTTCCATGATTCGTTGCAAAGGTCGACCGAGGCCTCTCGATGCCTTTTGATATCATGCCTTACCTGTCTATTGTGGCTTTCGAGCGGAATTTCTTGCCATCTATGGTAACAGCTTCTAGATGAGCTCGTTAACATGATAACATGTATCAAACACTCTGCAGCCAAACTGGTCCCGAGTTTTGCCTGTGTCGTGTTGTATCGCAGTTGAAGCTTTCAGGTTTTACTCATTACTCACACATGATTGTGGGTTGAGATTAATGCCAGGAAAATTCAAGTTCAGAAAGGCCATATCGTGTTTCAAAGACGTTGTATCACCCTGATATAGTGTCCAGAGCATTTCTAGTCAGCTGCTCATATTCCGGGAGCGAAGTCGAAATTCAATTGAGGATTAAGCGTTCGTGACGCCAAAGTGTCTACATTCGTATTCAGTCAGTGACATACTTGTCCCTCGACGGGCAATGATGACGAAAAATGGTATTATTCGTTTGAAGTAAAATCGAGCAGACAGATGTCTCTGATAGCAATCTTCTGCGGTGGCATCGCCTGATGTTTTCGCTGTTCACGAACGCTTAGGTAATGATAGCCGCGAGAATGCGGAGTAAAGCGCTGTGGTCTGCGATCGCTCGCGTACGGTTGCCATTTTGTCAATGTTTTCTTCCCCAACACTCTCTGTGTGGACGACAACCAGATCTCACAACTGCATCTCTTGGAGAGCTTCGCCTTACTACAGCGCCTTTTCAGGCTGTGCTTCGCCTCTTGTTTGTCCAAGCCCATGGCGAGACTGTTCCCTTTGTGTACGCTATCTTTTCTCTCCAAGAGCATGGCAAACTCTTCTCACTGCTATCTACTAGCCACTCTCGAAGATAAGTGATCTTGGCAGCCAAGAGAAACCAAGCCTGGCGGTGCATGAGACCTCGCGGATCCCCGTTCGAAAGACCAATCGTTACGATAATTTTGTTCGCCTCCGTGCTCGCCCTGATAAGCTGTCAAGGTTTGATGGTTCTCGGCCGCTTTTTCAAGCAAATGGTCACATTCCGGCGTCACATCGTTCGTTCCGCGAGCACTTGTTCGCCGGCAGAGTTCTGTAGGGCGCACGCAAAGCGGTAAGGCGTTTTCCGCGAGGTACATTCTTGGCAATTACAAGAAAGTGTGTATCATGGAGGAGGAGGAACATCTCAATAGTCCACCGGGTGACTTTCACTCTGGCTGATAAGAAGGAATAACTCTGCAGGTATAGCCATGGCGTTCTGGGCAGCGATATCAACGAAGGCACTGTCTTCTAATAAACTTGAATGCATTCCCTCCCATAGCCTCACTTCTCACTCTTCCCCTCCCATCCTTCAGTGCACTAGGGATTTCTCATTAGTGAGAGATTGCTCCTTTTGGCGAGGATTTCAGCTGCCACGTTGAAAGATCACTGGGCAACTTCCTTTACTACACTTTTCCGTACGTAATAATTCCCTTCGTCTTGGGGTAGCTGTTTCCTTCAAAAGGTCCCCAGAGCTGATCGCATCTTTTCTCCAGATTCCCCCACAGTCCCCCACAAGTTGATCTCGTGGTGTAATTGTCTCAATCATGACTTCTTACGAGAAAGGAGGAGCGAATCCTGAAATCGCAAAGGACAACTATGATTATGAGAACCAAGATATCACTGCCATCAAGGAAGGAACCACCAATGAGCTTCCTGGCGAACAGCTGCAGCGTGGTCTGCAGTCACGTCAAGTTTCTATGATTGCTATCGGTAAGTCAAATCCAGCGTAAAACCACAACATATGCTAATCAGTCACAGGTGGTGCACTCGGAACTGGTCTCATTATCGGAACTGGCAAGGCGCTCGCTCAAGCCGGCCCTGGATCTATCTTGATTGCATACAGCTTCGTTGGTCTTCTCGTCTGGATTGTCATGGCCGCCGTCGGCGAGATGGCTGCTTGGATCCCTGTTGCCGGTGGTTTCTCTCCCTTCGCTACTCGTTTCTGCGACCCTGCTCTTGGTTTTGCACTTGGATGGACTTACTGGTTCAAATACATCATCGTCACGCCTAATCAATTGACAGCTGCGGCGTTGGTCATATCATATTGGGTTGATGCTGATAAAGTCAACCCGGGTGTATGGATCACGATATTCCTGATTGCCATCGTCGCTATCAACTACCTTGGTATTCGCTTCTTCGGTGAATTCGAATTCTGGCTCTCTTCCATCAAGGTCGTTGTGGTCTGCGGCATTATCATTCTTTCTCTTGTTCTTGCGCTTGGAGGTGGTCCAGATGGCGACAGAAAGGGTTTCCGTTACTGGAACAACCCCGTATGTCATCAATCACTCTCTTTCTCGAGTGTATCTTACTAACACATACACCAGGGAGCTTTCAAAGAGTACAAGACTACTGGCGCATCTGGTCGTTTCCTCGGATTGTGGAGCTCTATGGTCACAGCTGTTTTCGCCTACCTCGGTACCGAGTTGGTAGGTGTCACAGTTGGTGAAGCTGAGAACCCTCGCAAGACCATCCCTAGAGCCATCAAGTTGACCTTCTTCCGCATTGTCTTCTTCTACATCCTGTCCGTTCTCTTGGTCGGTATGATCGTTCCATACAACAGCGACAAGCTTGCTTTTGCTACCAAGCAGTCCAACTCCGCCGCTGCCTCACCCTTCGTTGTCGCCATTCAGCTTGCTGGAATCAAGGGTCTGCCTGGGTTCCTAAACGCTTGTATCCTGATCTTTGTCTTCAGTGCTTGCAACTCTGATCTGTACATCGCATCGAGAACTCTGCACGGTCTCGCTATCCGCGACCAGGCACCCAAGATCTTCGCAAAGACCGACAAGAGAGGTGTCCCATACATGGCCTTGGGCGCCTCAACTTTGTTCTGTCTCCTGGCATACATGAACGTCTCGTCGAGCAGCAAGGAAGTCTTCGGCTACTTTGTCAACTTGACCACCATCTTCGGTCTCTTGACCTGGATCTCCATCCTCGTCACCCACATCTACTTCCGCCGTGCTTGCAAGGCTCAAGGAGTTACCCCTAAGCAGCTCCCTTATGCTGCACCTCTCGGCATGTGGGGATCTTGCTTCAGTCTCTTCTTCTGCTGCTTGATCGCTCTGACCAAGAACTTTGCTGCCTTCACACACGACAAGTCTTACGGTAACTTTGATTACAAGAACTTCATCACTGGATACTTGGGCATTCCTCTTTACCTGATCCTTCTCTTTGGTTACAAGTTCATCAAGAAGAGCAAGGGTATCAAGCCTCACGAGGCTGATCTCTTCACTGGCAAGGATGTCTTTGACCGTGATGAGGAGTACTGGAAGGCTGTAGAGGAGGAGAAGTATGCTAAGCGCGACGGTGGTTGGTTCTACAGAACCTTCCTGTCTTGGCTCTTCTGAGCGACTCGCCTTAATGATGGAGTCGAGGGAGGCACCATGTTGGTTTGCCATATTACGATATTTCCTGTCTCATAGGTTACGCTAGTCAATCACGATACGAGATCATTATTCAAGATACTTTGATCTTATTCTAAATTCAACGTCAAACGCAAAGTTTCATTTTAAGCTTGTTTAGTCGCTCGAACGTAGTCCGTCATCCTCGTGTGCAAGATATGTCAATCTGGACCTGTCTCAAAGCATAGTACTTTCCAGAGCAGGAGCGATGTCACAGGAGTACATCTTTTCCTTCGACTCCCGGTACTATGTCCGTTGACATGAAGCATTACTGTGCTTTGCTGCAGTGCAGCTTGAGGTTGCGCTGCTTCAATTGTTGGGTTGTGAAACAAAATATCCTATACCAAATTTCACAAGCGAGACACAGTAGTCGTGGATGAATCGAGTGAAATTACATCCCATATTTCATTTCGTGCATTTAGATTATCTAGTATATACTAGTATCAGACTCCATACCATCAAAATCAGACTTAGATTTTCTCAGCAGTCTCCTCGTGATGAATAGCAATCGACCCCTTTCTCTCAACCTCCTCAACACGTCTCTCAAGGTCAACAACAGCAAAGCCCTTACGGCCAGCAGCAGCAGTACCAGGAACAAACAGAGGAGCCTGGGTGAAGAGGTAATTCATCTCCTCAAGAGGGCGTCCGGCAGTCTCGGGCAGAATGGCCCAGAAGAAGAGGGCGTTTGTGAAGTTGCAGACGATGAAGACAATGTACCATCTCCAGCCAATGTTGTCGATGGCGACGGCGGTGGTCTGGCCGATCATGGTGTTGAAGGCAAAGGAGACCATGGTGGCGATGGAGACACCCTTGGAGCGGGTTCTGGTGTCGAAAATTTCGGCGGGGATGATCCATGAGAGAGGTCCACAGGTTGCTGTAGCGTATTAGCAATGTGTTGCAGTTCTCTGACGTATAGAGTGACGCATACCCGAGAAGGAGAAGTTGTACAACCAACATCCAACAACAATAAAACCCCAACCAGCACCCTTGTTAGCTCCCCCCTCTGCACCAGGGGGGAACTTCGCAAGCAGAGCAGTGGCCACGATGAAGCAGAAAGCGTTACCGATGTTACCAAGGATCAAGGGCCAGCGGCGTCCGAACTTGTCGATGAGCATCAAGCAGCAGAATTGTGCCAAAAGAGCAATGAGCGAAGAAATAGCTTGGTACTTCAGGGTGTCGTCACCACTGATCCCGATTTCGGCAAAGATTGAGACTGAGCTAGTAGGAGAGGTATGGTAAGCATGGGTATGATACATGGTAAGAGGTGTGGATATAATTTTAGTGGAAAAAAAGAAAGAAAAAGGGGGGGGAAGAGCTTACTAGTATTGGATGACGGAGACACCAGTCATCTGAACAGAGGCCTGGAGGGCAACAGCGATGAACAAGCGACGGAAGCTTGACTTGTTGGTGAAGAGCTCTGCGTATGACTTTGCCTCATGCTCTTTCTCAAAGGTGACGGCATCCTGGATTGATTCGAACTCGGCGACAACCCAAGCGTCTTGGGTGTTACCGTGGGCGTGCAGCTTAGCAAGAGTCTGAAGACCCTTCTCTGTTTGCCCGTTGCTCATGAGCCACTGCACCGATGTCAGTCATGTCCTACACTCGCGCGAAGGCCAAATACGTACTCTAGGAGATTCAGGGAAGAACAGGATCAAAGCTGCGAGCAGCACGGCGGGAAGGAGCTGTACACCGAGAGGGATTCTCCATTGTCTGCTGTCACGGTCTCCGTAAGAGGTGTAGCAGCCGAATGCAGCCCAAGATGCAATGAAAGCACCGATACCCAACATGAACTGTTGCAGAGAAGTGACACGACCACGAATACTGGGGTGAGCCAATTCGGCTTGGTATAGGGGAATGATCATGACGAGCATACCGACACTGTTCCAAAGTTAGCAACATGACTCTGAACGAGCTGAATAAAGGAGTCGCTTACCCAAGGCCAGCAATAGCACGACCAGCATAAAGATAGTGGAGGTTTTGAGCGGCAGTCTGAAGAGCACCACCGACCACGAAGATGATAGAACCGATCAAAATAGTCATCTTTCTTCCGAGCTTGTCACCAGTTGGACCTGCAAAGAAAGCACCGAAGAAAGCACCGCCAGTGAATACACTAACGACAGCACCAGTCTCGTTGGATGTAGGGTCGAATTGCCATTTGAAAGACTCGGAACCGATGGCTCCAGCGATGACACCGAGATCATAACCGTAGAGGACTGAACCCAAGGAAGCAAAGACTGAGACCAGGAACTGGTACCACTTTGGTGGCAACGCCATTGTGAATAGATGTATAAGTAGTTAGAAAAGGATGATGATCAGAAAATCAAGTCCCCGTGGGGGCTACATGCTCAGATATATATCTGGTAGGACGATCATAACAGTAGGGTATGATTCCGTCCAACCGGACGCATTCCTTGAATACGGCAGATATCGAAGCCTCAATCGTTACCAGACTCACATCGCATCAGCTCAATACAGCGGTAGGTCTCGTGGGTGGCGCTGCAAGCAACTTGGAGACGCCTCCCCGGCGGGACTCCCTATACGCTCCCTTGTTACTTTCGGTCGCCTAATCGAACCTAGACTTTCCACAACGGATGGACCGGGGAGGTGTACTTGGTTTAATGTGGGGTAGTGCGGTGCAGGTCGCGCGGAGAGTGGAGGAGAAAACATGGAGATGGTAAAGGCACCGGAGAAACCCCGCGCCCTAACCATCGACATGGCCTTTCGAAGGCTGAAGTGTTCGGTGACAGACCTGTTTTAGGGCAAGACTGACCACATCAACCACTTCTGCCGAGCAAGGAGCAAATCTTCCGGTCTCTTTCGGCACTGCGTACCTGCCAAGTTGTGCATCTGAGCGAGCGAAAGATCCATGAAGGATTTCACGCCTTGGCGAACGAGTGCGCATCTGATAGTCGCACCGTTTGATGATATGTAGATCACCGGACCATTAACCGCTCGGTGGACGTTCTCACGGATAATTACGAGTAGAGCAGGAACTCTATTGGCGAGATCCTGCACGAGACATGCGTCCCAAGGTTCATACTGCGACTCGGGCCTTTCGCTACACGCCTGAATAGATTGTTGCCGAACCCGGAGTTGAAACTGTGGGCCAGCATCAACTTCATCCTCCTTGTACAGTGATCATGTGGTGAATAGAAAACGACAATTTAGAACTGAAGCTTTCCTGGTATCTTTGTACCTTTTGACCGTGTTTGCCCTTTGTAAAGTCCAGAATCTCGAAAGCGGAAGGAGTATTGCAACCATTTGATCATCACTTCTGAGAGAAAACATGGCTACTTTTACCAAGATTCCGGACTCTGAGACCCCCGTGGTTTCAATCAATCCCCTGAACAAGATCGCAAAGGTCGATGATAATGTTTACGGAGGTTTCACCGAGTATGTCAATGTCTAGAATCTGCTTCTGACCACGCATTGTGGCACATGACTGATACATCGAAGGCACATGGGACGCTGCATCTACGGCGGAATCTACGACCCTGGAAATCCCCTTTCGGATGAGGATGGTTTCCGCAAGGACGTGATTGAAGCCTTCAAGGAGCTCAACTGCCCTGTTGTCAGATACCCTGGCGGCAACTTTGTAGCTACCTACCACTGGCTTGATGGTGTTGGTCCCAAGGATCAAAGACCCGTCAGGTAAGATGTCGCTGATGTTGCCAACGCGTTGAACAATACTGACAAAATACCAGACCAGAACTTGCCTGGCTCGGCGAAGAGAGCAACCAATTTGGTACCGATGAGTTCTTGAAATGGTGTGAGGTTGTTGGCACCGAACCGTACTTTGCTCTCAACTTCGGCACTGGCACACTTGATGAGGCTCTTGCATGGTTGGAGTACTGCAACTCTGATAAGAACACTTACTACGCTAACTTGAGACGCAAGCATGGCCGTGACAAGCCTTATAACGTAAGTCAAGTTGAAAGTTCTCGATTGGAACGTATCAAAAACTGATGTTATCCTAGGTCAAATACTGGGCTCTCGGAAACGAGATGTGGGGACCATGGCAGGTTGGTCAAATGACCAAGGAGGCATACGCAGACAAGGCCTACCAATGGGCCAAGGCCATGAAGCTGCTAGATCCCAGCGTCATCCTGATTCTCTGTGGTGAAACCGGGTACAGCACATGGGACACCTACGTCCTCAAGGAGTGCGTGAAATGGGACACTCACACTCTGGGAGGCAGCACGACTGCCTCACTCATCGACATGCACAGCATCCACATCTACACAGCTTCAAACGACCACCTGAAGAATGCGACAGCACCTCGCAGTGCTGAGCGTGCTATCCAGATCACTGGAGGTCTTATTGACCTTGTTCGCATTGAGAATAAGGTACCTCACACAGTACCCGCACCCACAATCTGTTTCGACGAGTGGAACGTCTGGGACCCCGTTCGTGCTCCTGGTGATATCGGCGCTGAGGAGAAGTACACGCTATCAGACGCACTCGCTGTTGGTGTTTGGTTGAACGTCTTCATTCGTCAGGCCAAGTACATTGGCATGGCGAACATTGCACAAAGCGTCAACGTCATCTCTCCTCTCATGACAACAAAGGACGGTCTCCTCAAGCAGACGACATGGTGGCCTCTGCTATTGTTCTCAAAATACATGCGCGGCTGGACCGTAGCAGTCAATGTACGTTGCGGCGAATACGAGGGCGAGACCGAGCCTAAGTGGATTCGCGGCACCATCGAGACTCCCTGGTTGGATGTTTCGGCTACCATCAATGAAGAGGGCATTGTCAGTATGGCTGTTGTCAATGTTTCTGACAGCAAGGACTTCTCCACCAAGCTCGAGGGTGTCAACAGTGATTCTGTCACAGTCTACACCGTCACTGGTGACAACCCCATGGTTGCCAACACAGATGGTAACGAAGAGGAGGTGATCGTCAAGGAGACCAAGTGGGACAGCAAAGGCGAGTTCACCTTCCCCAAGCACTCAGTCACCATGCTTAGATGGAAGGCCTGAAGAAGCGATACAGCAAAAGCTTTTCGTGTATATAGGTTGATGATGATTGAGGATTGGCATTTAGAGGCATTATAGATTCAATGACTTTCGCAGGTCCAACCATCTACCCTTTCGCAATGGATCAAGTTGATCGAGCTGGTCCAGCCATGCTGTCAACTCGAGCGTGGTGATCTTCTCATTTCCAGCATCAATCTCAAGGTATTCAGGAGTGTATGTCACCAAGGCTAGGTAGATCCACTTGCAGTCTGTTGTATCTTCGAGCATGTCTTTCAGTAAATCAAACTGAGTGTCGAAATACTCGATGCGATCTTGGTTTGTCAGATCGGGCGCTATCCTAAGGTCCAGGGGGGTCTTAGGCGATAGGTTTGTCATGAGGTAATTGTGGTAGAACCACAGACTTTGATCGTAGGGATCAGTGTAAAGGGCGGTGATGATGAGCTCAAACTCGTCATCAAGGAACTTTTTGCGAGCGGCAGCATCTGCGTCTCTCTCTTTGAGGAGACTGGGCATGAGCCGAAGCCTATTGTGCCAGGCGGAGAAGTTTGAGAGGTTCGTCTTGATCATCTTTGTCGTGTAGGCAAACTCGGACTCCGTCATGGACTCTTCTGATTTCTTGTCGGTGGTCTCTTGACTCTCTTCTTCAAGCTCTTGGATAGAGAGTTGCTCGATGGAGGCGACGACTTCTCTCCGGTAGCTCCAGCCGTGAAAGTTGCGCGAGTCGTAGCTGAGCATCTTGCTGACCAAGGCCATCTCTTCTAGCCATAGGCGCTTGGCTGAAGTGACGGGCAGATATTGCGAGGCTTGCTGCAGAAGCCATGCGCGGTGGTTCCAGACCCAATAGCACTTGGGGAACTGCTTGAGCAGCGGCAGAAGGAAGGCCAGGTCTTCGCGTATCAACAGGGTGATTTCGTGTTGAGCTGGAGTCAGACCTGGCGCAGGCTTGGACTCGGCATCTTCAGTCGACGGCGAGCTGATCTCTTTTGCAAAAACATGCTGGAGGACGCGTCGGCGGTGGTTCCAGATGGTGTAGTATTCGGGGTTCTGGCTGAGCAGAGCGGACGTCAGGTTTAGTGTGTCGACACCAAACTCCTCTGCCTTGATCTGGACACAGTATTAGCGAGTGGTCTCTGACTGCTAATTTGGAGAGATGAAGATACCTTTGCTTGCACATTGTCGACCAGGCCTTGGTATGCTTCAATCTGCTTAAGCTCCTTCCTGCGCGCGGCGTCCGTCTTCACGCCGGCAGCAACGCGGGGCACACCGTGCTGCAAAGAGGTCAACTTCCGCCAGCAACCTTCTCCCACGGACAAATACATACACTCATATTCCTGCTGATCTCGTTATGTCTGTTGGTTGCTTGGTCTGGCAATAAAGTCTAGTCTGCTCCATGCCGCAGACCGATGCTTCGAGCTGGAGACAGCGCCTGACACCTTCCAAAAACAAGCATCCTAAAAAGCCTCGCACCCAACACCGTCGCTTCTTCGAGTCGAAACAAGACGTTAGAGTTGGCCCCTTCTCCGTGACTCTGAAAGCTCGATACCCTGTTCGCTCCTTCTTCAAGAACTTTTCATTACGTTTGTCTCTGCACCACAAATCTTCAGACGAGAAGAAGCCAAACTCCTTCCGTATTCCCTCTCACCCCGTCAAACATTCTTCCAAGCGACGTGCAAGCTCAACCTCGCACCGCACTATTCATTCAGCGTCTATCCCGAAGCACCGTTGGTTCAATCTTGCTTGATTGTATGTGCTCTATCATCCTCCTCATCTTCGACTCGAGTCTGTGAACACTCCAACATGTCCAGAACGCACTTGTCTAGTCAGCGGTCCAGCGAGAACATCCATCTCAGCTCTCAGACATCGTCAAAGACTTAGCGTGTCTCAAAGCCCGCTCCAGGATCATGGCTCGACGTACGGGCTTCAAAGAAGCCACTATCACGCTACCAATGGGTTTGCCCAGTGTCTCCCATACCCATCAAGCCAGCTGCAGTACCGAACGTATGCCGCTTGATTGACTCAATCAATCTGGACGGTTGCGATGATGCCATGGACATTGATGAGAACGAATCTCGTGCAGACACCGACGTGGACATGGACATCGACACAGACGACGAGCCAGAACCTATGGAAGGCGTCGAATACTCCGAGCACATCGCTTCGAGAGCATCAATTAACTTTTTGTCTCGCCGTCCATCTGCCCTCAGAAATCAGAACTGTTCCAGGCTCAGGCCGTCGAGAACACCGGACCGCTTCGTACTCGATAGAGGTCCCGATGTGCAACCGCGAGAAAGATTCATGTTATCCAGTCCGCCTCACGAGCTGACTGCCTATGAGAGGTGGGATCGTCGACAATCTCATATTCAAGACTATTTTGGCTGGAGAACCAAGATACGCCGAGGCCCAGAGCTCACAAAGCCTCCGGCCACTTCTCGACCTTTCAGGACTCCGGGCTTGTTCATGAGCAGCCGTGTCAATCCTTTCGGCCCTGTCACTCTTGAAGGCCCTCGAGAGTTTAGTCAAGGTGCCGTATGGAACGTGGGAGGCTCATCTCCAGCCAGTCCTGATGACGGTGTTCGAAGCACAAGCGATGGTCGTGGTGGTCAAATTACCAGTGGGACAAATGCACCCATGTTTCGTTCTGATTTTCTCAAGAGTGTCCATGATGAGTCCGACCATATACAAATACATGGAAAGCGCTTGAGCGCAGCTATGGATCTCGACCAAGCCAGTAGGGTTCTGTACCATGGCCATGGTCTGCCCACTCCTGTGAGCTCACCTGACTCTGATGCTGGTGGCGCTTTCAGCCCTATCCTGTGGCGCGACACCGAGTGGACAAAACCCGGCTCCCCTTCACGTAAGTTCCTTGACGTTTCGGACAAAGATCAGTTGACTGAGGATATTCAGTGCAACGTACACGATCCAGAATCAAGAAGACAGTCCCAACCACTCCGTTCAGATAAGTTCACTCACATATTTGCGTCTCGCCAAAGCTGATTTTCTGCACAGTCCTGGATGCTCCGGCTCTTCGTGATGATTACTACTGTTCCCTATTGGCGTATTCGGACACAGCACAATGTTTAGCAGTGGGCCTTGGAGCACAAATATACACATGGTCCGAAACTCGAGGAGTCGATAGTCCAGAGAGTCTGGGACCACCGGCATCTGGACATGTCACTTCACTCTCTTTTTCTTCAACGGAAGGTGGAAGATCCATCCTTGCCGTTGGAAGATCTAATGGATGCCTCACGCTCTGGTCTTCATCAGAGTTGGTCCCAAGGTTCAACCATACTCATCGATCCTCGATCTCATGTGTCTGTTTCAGCCCTCGAACTTTCCGCAGAGCTTCTATCTACCATGCTGGAGCCAAGGTGCAGGTGGAGTATCTTCTGGTCGGTGACGAAGCTGGACATGTTTTCTTGTACTCGGTGGAGTGGCCAGACAAGATCGATGTGGACATATTTTCTTGGCCTGGCAGAATGATTGTGCTTGCTCGCTTTGATCTTCACACACAGCAGATCTGTGGTTTGGCTTGGAGTCCAGACGGTCAATTCTTTGCTTCAGGCGGCAATAACAATGCGCTGTTCGTCTTTGAGACGCGACGAATCCTGCAACCAGACGATACGGTCGCACAACCCTTGATCATGGTTGCCAACGACTTTGTCTACTACTGGCCTTCGAGTCAAGAGGAAGCGTTTCGGATCTTGCCAGGTCGAGAAACCCATCGTTACATGCTGAACGCAGCAGTCAAAGCATTGGCATTCTGTCCGTGGCAACCATCTCTGTTGGCAGCAGGCGGAGGTAGCAATGATCGCTGCATTCACTTCTACCACACTACGTCTGGAGCGAAGCTTGCAACCATCGATTGTTCGTCCCAGGTGACCAGTTTGGTCTGGAGCAAGACACGTCGTGAGATTGCTGCCACGTTTGGTTTCACACAACCCGATCATCCTATCCGTGTTGCCGTCTTCTCATGGCCAGCATGTGAATGCATCGTCCGCGTTCCTTAGTGCGGCGAGGATCGCGCTCTTTGGGCCATCGGATACCCTGGTGGTCCTGACAGCTCTAGTGCTGGTCGTGAACCTGGCAAATCATCAGCAAGGGAAGGCACGCCATGGTATGCGAGAAGAACACGAGCGGAAGGTTGTCTGGTCGTGGCTTCGAGCGATTCGAGCATCAAGTTCCACGAGGTCTGGAGTGAGGAGCCTACATCGTATCGTAGTGGGCCATTGTCGCCTGTGGGGTCGAGTATAGGATTGATGGGTTCGCTTGGAGGAAGTGATATCCTTGAGTCGTTGCATGGGGTTGAGAAGGAGGGTGCCTCGGTCATTCGGTAGGCTTCTTTCTATTCTTTGTCGTGCGAAGAGAGGTTTGTTTCGGGTTATTGGTTTCTGCTTTTTATCACTTTACTCCTACACAGCTACACATCAATCAATCCTGAGACAACATTGCTTTGTGTCTTTTCTAGCCTGATTGTTTGAAGAAGACGAGGGTGAGACTGAGGTTTTTTTTTGCAAATCATTCTTTTCATACTCAACCCTCTCTATACACAGGGCATTGACGGTGAGAGGGCATATAATCTAGATGCAAGCAAAAGAAAAGAAAAAAGGAGTACAAGCTGGGGGCATGATATAGACTTGAAGGAAAACGCAAGATGACAGAGAAAAACAAAAACTCCCCCTTTGATGTCCCATGACCTTCGTAATAGAAAAAGAACTTTGATGTATGACAGGAATGAAACGTCAAGCAAACGCCTTTTTTCGTCTCCTTTTGCTTCCAGACCATAGAAGTCCAGAGTTGCAAGGGGGTAATCCAAAAAGAGAGAGACAGCGAGTCAGATCAAACGATCAAAAAGACTAGGCAGATGTGGATATGGATGCAAAGAAGAAACATCTTATGCGCCAGCCTCAGTCTTGGTCTTCTTGGCCTGAGGGACCTCGGCCTCTGCATCGACCTGATCCTCAAGCTCGCGCTTCTCAGCCACGCCGTTGAGTTCCCTTTGCTTCTGCTCAAACTTCTTCTTTTCCTCTTCGGTCATGTTGGGCAGGAGGGGCTCTTCGGTCTCCTTGTGCAGGTTGGAGTAGAAGGTACGGATGATGGAGTCGGCGTCGTCGATTGCGATGGGGCGGACGTCGGCGAGGGCCTTGATCTTGGCTGTGCAGAGCTTGACTTGGGCGTCTGTCATTGTAAGGGAGAGTTGCTCGACGCGGGACTTGATGGCGTTCCAGCCGGTCAGGCGGGAGGCGAAGTGGACGTAGCGCTTCATGCCGAACTAGAAAGGATGGTCAGTACAAGAGACAGGGCAGTTTGGGAGTAAACAGAAGCAAACATACGTCGGCGGGGTCAATGATCTCGTATGTAGAAGGGTTGGCAAGGATGGCCTTGGCGTGGATACCAGCCTTGTGGGTGAAGGCGGAGAAACCGGTAATGTAGTTGTTGAAAGGAATGTTGATCTCGACCGAGTCGGCGACCAAATCCTCAATCGACTTGAGCTTGTGAAGATCGTACTTGCCCTTGACGTAGTCGCGGTCGGCGACAATCATGCGGGCCATGAGACCACCGAGAGGGGTGATGCCGTTGCGCTCACCGATACCGATGACTGAGGTGTCGATGTGAGTGGCACCGGCCTCGAGGGCACAGTATGCGTTGGCAATGGCACAGCCAGAGTCGTTGTGGAAATGGCACTCGATATCGCAGCTGACAACACCACGGAGAGTTCTGACAAGGTCGTAGACCTGTCTGGGGGAAGCACAGCCGACGGTGTCAGCGATACCGACTCTGTTGACGCCGACCTTGTCGACGGCGGCGTACAGCGAGAGAAGATCGACCAAGTCGGATCTGAAAGAGTCCTCTGACGAGAATCTAATCTCAAGACCCTTGGACTTGACGAACTGGATAACCTCGATGGCAGCGTTCTGGAAAAGTGGTTAGCGGCGGAACATGCGATTGACACTCGGGAAATAGCTCATACCTTGATGTAGGTCATGTCCTTGCCGTGAGAGTGCTCTCTCAGGAAGGAGGAGGTGCCAATGACGACATCGACACCGTCAACACCAGTCTCAACAGCGACCTTGACGTCGTCCATGTGGCAGCGGACGTGAGTCAAGATCTTGGCCTTGAGACCCAGCTTGCAGATGGCCTCGCAGTCGAGACGCGACTGCTCGGAGGCGCACGGTGAGGTGAGCTCAATGCAGTCAACACCGAACTCATCCAGTGCCTTGGCGATCTTGATCTTGGTCTCGGTGTCAAAGTAGGCATTGGCAAACTGCTCGCCCTCACGCAGCGTCGACTCGATAATCTTGAAGTTTGATACGTTCGACAGGAAGTCGCCTACGGGTTGGTAGGGGTTCTTGTTGACGGTATGCGGCTTGGCCTTCTTCTCAAGGTCCGTCTCGAATTTGGTGAAGCCATTGGGCGCTGCGAAACAAGTCAGTAAACAATTGTGTATACTGAGCCTGTTCAATCACTCACAGTCATCAACCTGAACACCGTTTGCGGGAGGAGCGCTGTCGTCGACTGTGGGACACATTTTGGGTAGAGTATGGAGGGGGATGTAATGATGGTCAGAAAGCAGAAGGTCAAAGCCGACGAATTTATTCAGGACGCACGACCCCAGCGATGATTCACACGTAGCTCTTGTGCTTGGCTCGTCACTGCGTTTTTCTGTGTGGGGTCTGCTCCGAGATCGCTCGCCGATGGTCAGCAGAAACACGGGATGATAATTATGGTATTGAGTGAGAAATTGTTCCTCCCAAGTTTGCAAATGTTGCTACTAGCTGCTAGGCTATTCTCTTCCTCACTCCCAGCTTCATTGATCTTCCCTCTAACTGTATCTCATTGGCCTTGCATTCTTCTCGTTGTCCATTGACAACCACTTTGACAAAATTCTCATCTGTTTGTGACCTACGTCATATGGCCGACGGCTTTTGCCGCTGATAGGCAAACGGCACTTTGACAATCGTTGCCCTGGCAGCTCTCGGCGGGCCCTACCAATAGCTTTTTGTCACTGTCTTGACAGCAATTATATTGAATTGGGCGAGCATTGAGCGCCCTGCTCTGCAACATGTTCAATCAAAATTCTCCTTGTTCACAGTGTGGAGATGGAATTGTTCAAGACACAGTTGCAGTGCAGCATCGGATATCTTCTCCATCTTTGTCCCTTAACTCCGCCTTTCCCCACAAGCTTCTGATGCGTGTTTCGTTGATCTCTCGGTCTTTTGATCGAGACCTTCAGCCTCATGAGTCACTTTCCATATTCGAGTCACAGTTCAAAGTGCTTGGTTTCTTGTGACAAGCGAGAAATGATCCCTGCGTGAGTCAACAAAGAGCAAACATTGATTTCGTCGGAATACATGGCGGCTCGGGCTAGGTATGCAGTCGCTTGTCGGAGTCTTTCGGTCTGGGTCCGAAGTGTGCAGTCGGATTTTGTCCGCCTTTCGGTGTATCTTACCATTGACTTGTGTGCTGGGCTCGAAAGGGTATGGAAGGACTTCGACGGGTGATGTAGTAGAAGACGGAGTGACCGAGAATCGTCTTGACACTCTACAGATATTCATGTATGCCGACAGATGGTAAACTGTAAGGCGGTAAGAGCCATAACAGCAGCCCGCGATTGTTAGTCTTTGCAGAGATCTTCTGTGCTTAGGTATATTGCAAGATTGTGTGATACAGGACTGGCTACATATGGAAATGATTCGCAACTGCTACAGACAAAGATCAAGTTTTGTCAGTCTAGGCCAAACTCTTGGTTTGTGTGAGCACGCGACACTCGCCGTCTCTCCTAGCTAGCGAGCCGGCTTTCCTTCGACTGCTGCAATGCACAGTCCTTTTCAATATGAGATTACCCTGCGTCGGGAGATGCAGACATAGCCCTCTCTCCCCGAACAACCTTGCTAATCTAGAAATCACTGTGCATTGCTGCAGCTTATATCAGAGCGTCTATCAGGGAGGGAGTAACGATTTTGTTAGAGAAAGTGCTACCAAGTGAATGTCATCACAGGTCCGTCACCACCTCACAGCTGATCACGAGCAGCACCATCATCCCCTTCTTCCTTCTTATCGTCGCCAAATGTGCGAGGCAGCAGAGTCTCACCTGCCATGCTCTCGTCAAAAGCGTCACCTTGATCCTGCAAATATGTATGCGCTTGCAAAGTCTGCTGTGCCTGTATAGCTTGCTGTGTGTTCTCCGAGTGCACAGGGTCCCTCTGCAGTTCTAGCATATCTCTGGTCTCCTCGGGTTTCCATAGACCGGGCGACTGGGTGGCGCTTCTCGCATTATTGCTCGGATCTTGTTGTATAGCTGGATGGCCGCTTGGGTATGCAAAGTCATGGATTGCTGAGCCAGGTGGGCGAGGTTTTGATTGTCCATTTACATGAGTTCCATTCTGACCTTGAGGACGAGGGTTCGGCATAGGACCTGGCTCCGAAATTGGGCCGCGTGGTTGTTGCTGCAGCATAGAATTGGGCGTGTTGAAAACGTCGCTCATTTCGAACTGAGCAGATTCCTGAGATTTCGAACGCGTGTGAATTGATACAGGCATCTTTGTTGAATGTACGTATACTTTCTGATGGATTTCGATAAGGTATCAAGCATTCGGACATCTAATGATGATAGTAATCTGGTCAAGGTCAGATGTCAACGCTGAGTATGTTTGATGCAGTTGTTTCCGCCATTTACCAGGAAGGACCTGAGGCGAAGGCGACTGCCTGTTTCTTGCAGCGTCATCATCTTTTATGCCGCCATCACATCGATTGGGAAGGCGCTGATCAGAAGACCGAGTGATCGAGTGTGTTGTGGAAGAAAACATAGTTGCTAACTCTCCTCGAAGCTCATTCCGTCCATAGCAGTTATTGTCCTGAGAAGTCTAGGATAGCCAATCTGGCCACTTCATGTCCCACCATCGCAGCATATCTGCCAACGACGCCTTTAATAGATTTTGAGTCGTTGATGTCGCCATCCTCCCATGCCACGAGATCCTTAGTTGCGTTAGCATACCTGTTGAGATTTTCGGCAATCTTATCTTACCTCGGTGTGCACTGTCATGCCCTGGTTGATGTGGATGCGTATCCTGTCAAGGTCCATCTGCTCTTCGACTTCTTCGGGGCTCATCATACCCGGCATGCCCATACTGAACAGAGCTTCCGAGCTCTCAGATACCTCCAAGGGAGTGTTCAGTCGATACGCGACTACTTCCTCGCCCCTCCTTTGCTTGTGTTCTCGTGACAAAGAGACGTATTTCTTCTGGTCCATCAGCTCGCGTGCCTCTCCGTCAAGAGGATCCCACTTGTTGGTCTCCGGATCCAGGACGTATTGTGGCTTGTAGTCGCCCTTGTATCTCATCTTGATACACTCGTGAATGTAGTAGCCCATGTAGTAGAACTCATAACCACCTTCAAGAGCAAGAGCAGCTTCTCTCATGGCGCTGAGCTTGCCGAAGCTGTACTTTTCAAAGTCTTGATGGTAGATGAAGTATACTCCACTGACTGCATGCGGCAAAAGGTCGAGCACACCAATAGCAATGAGTCGGCCGTCGAGTCGATAGCATTGATGAAATGACCCCAGGCGTTGCTCTTTGCCTTCTTTCTTGACGGTCCGACGCACTATAGGAGACTTGCAAAGAAAGCGTTCGAAGCCTTTCTTGGTAAGCTCTTCGGGCTCATCATGATGAACGTGTATCTGATAGTTCTTGTATAGCTGGAACTTCTCTTCAGTACAGTCATCTGGCTCAAGAGTAACCTCAAAGCGATGAGCAGAGTCGACGGGCTTGAGCTGGTCAGCTTCGGCTTCATGAACTGTATGCAGCAGATCGAAGCCATTTCTTTGACGGGCTTTCTCTCTAGGATCTCAGGTTTAGCGACAAAGACATGCGCGCCCCGAACACATGTCAAACTTACTCTTTGGTCTTGGGAAATCGTTTAGCGGTCTCCTTGATGTATTCTTCTCCAAGCACAAATTTGTTCCAAACGTTTAACGCTCTCCGTTGACTGCTACTTGTGACTAGATCTTTTGCAGGTAGTCTGATGGTTCGTCAACACTCTGTTGCTGAGAATAATAGGTTGTCGCTGACCTGACTGTGTAGTGCGGGCAGCATGATCGATACACATCAGGCTTGTATATGAGATTTCCTGATCTAAACGACCGTCAGTAAAGATACTCCATCTGCAGCTATACCATATTTCTCGGATAGCGATTGTCGAGGTCTATGTCCTCAAACTGTAGCCTGTATCGGGAACACGTGTAGTGACTTGCCTTCTCCATCCTCGGTCAATCAAGCCTTGGTATACTTGGGCGCTTAGAGAATTTGTAATCACGTAGTACGAGCCACCTGAGAGTGTCAGTATGTTTGCATGTGATACTGCAAGAGGCAACGATGAATGATGAAGTGTGGCGTTCATCAAACGACCGGCACGCACGAGATTTGGGGGTTCTTTTACTTGAATCATCGCCTTTGCAGTAGCCACAATCACCTTTTTCGCATACGTCAGTTGGGTGCACACAATTGTATGACTTTTTGAGAGGCATCACCTGGCTGGTATCCTAGATTATTTCTCCATGTCAGCCCAATCAGCCCAATATACAGAAGCGGAGACTACATGATGCAGAGCCGGGTTGTTGGTAGTTGGCAGAGCACATGGTTTCAAGGGCCATTCTCATTGGCCTGTTTCGATGGACCTACCAATTGGTGTGAGAAGAGTTGCGGCGGCGGGCATTGCGGCTGCGTCGGTGGCTATTTGTGTAGTTGAGTATGACAGAGACGCGTGACGATGGCGTGTCGGTGGGCTTGGAACTTGAGCAGTTTTACAGCGTGAAAGATGATGAGGTCAAATATATAGATTGAGACGACAGGTGTAGAGCGATGTAGCATGTAGCTAATATACGGAGGCTCGGAGAGGTAGAAATTCTGGGAAATGATGGAATATGTGGGACACTTCTAGGCAGTGAATTATGCACGTCTCTCCCAGCATCACGGCAGCCTATGAGCAGATACTGGGTACGCGATCGGAATCTTCCAATGTATCAGCTACTTGATACGGGCATTGAGTGAATGTGACAGAGTTATATCGAGGTAGTCGAGGAAGTTGCAGTGCTTGGCGGCGGGCGGGTGGGCGTGTGTGGCCTGGATGATTTCCGCTTTCAACACCCCACAATGGGTAGTAGTGAATGTTCTCCCCCATTTCACTTTGCTCTCAAACTCCATTACAATGTGCCTCTCTGGCCTCTCAAGCCTGAACCGGTCCTGTCGCGAACAGGTCTGACCCTCGAACTCGTTTCAATCCTCGCTCACCTTCGACTCCTTCCCACATTCACTCCTGAGTCTACCAGACTTTGTTTGGCTGGACACGTGAGCCCATCAAGTCGACCGTCGACACTCGACTTTCGCCTATATACTACGTCGACGTCAAGAAAGAAACTTTGGCTGTCAAGATGACTCAAGATCTGAGCGTCGATCGGCCCATGGAGGCTCGTACTGGCAGGGAGAACCAGAGTGAGTTCGACCGCACCACGGACAGCCTGCAACGCTTTGTACTGACTAGGTCTGAAGGATACGGCTCTCAAGGAGAACGTCTTGTCGCCGGCATCGTACCCCTTTCCAAGGATCGCAAGAACGTTCTACTCATCCAATCAATGCGTCGGGGCGGCTGGGTCATACCAAAAGGTGGTTGGGAAGTCGATGAGACTGTCGAACAAGCCGCCTGCCGCGAAGCCTGGGAAGAATCTGGCGCCATCTGCAAAATCCAGGCCGATCTGGGCAAGATCCCTGAGAAGAGGAAACCCGAACAACTCACCACACAAGCTCCAAAGGCTGCCTACCACTTCTTTGAGGCTACAGTCGATGAGGTCAAAGAGGAGTGGCCAGAAAAGCACAAGCGCAAGCGAAGGTGGATGGGTTACAAGGAGGCCATCGTCTTGTTGAAAGACAGGCCCGAATTGGCAGAAGCTCTCAATCGGAGCAGTATCGACAAGGAGCTGTGATCGTTGATCACGGTCATGCAAGAACACGAACCATACGCCGCTTAGGCCTGGACGACTGATCTGATCTGGCCGCGTCGAGGAGAACCAGGGCGCACACCATAACATGCATCCGGCGTTTGTCGGCGAGGAGCAAAAAGTTTTTGACAAGTCGACGAGGAGCAATACCACAGACTGAGGACGATGAAAGAATTTGTCCATGAAGTAACAATTTCGGCTTCACTTCCTGCGAATATTCTCGCTAGTTCAACCAATTGTAATGCGAACATAAAAAGGAATCAAAGATACATCCTCAGTCTCGTCTCAAGAGACGTATCAGGTCCCGGATCTTCTCTTGCACAAGCTCTCCGACAACTCCAATCAAATATGTGATACACTAATTTACAAGACATTTCTGGGTCTGAGACAGGTTTTTGTCCTTGGACAGTCTGCCTCTATCTTAACTCCACACCAAACTTGCTAACCAATTCTTGTCGAATCTTGTCATGCATGTCGTTAGCTTGTTCCTTGGTCAATGTGCTCTCAAGACTGCGGTAGTTGATTCTGTAACACAGACTTCTACGTCCAGTCTTTGGGTGAGTGAACTCATCAACCAAAGTAACGTCCTCGACCGAGTCTCCAGCAGCGCTACGCACAATTTCCATAATGTCATTTTCATGGAACGCAAGGGTCGGTGCAGCTGCTGCTTCAGATGCGAGGCCTCCGGCAGGAGAAGGCGAGGTAGATGTGTTCGAAGCGGTGGCAGTAACAACATCATCCTGAGGAACAACCTTTGGCAACCAGAAGGCGACATCGCGGGGTGCAGCGGGATACTTGGAGAAAGGCACGAAGCGGCAAATCTTCTTCTCATCGAACTGAGACAAAAAGCGAGAGTCTTTGCTCCAGAACAGACGAATGTCGGGAATCTCATAGAGGAGCATGGCAATTCTTTCAAGACCGATGCCGAAAGCCCAGCCGACTCTTGATGGTGCGTCAGCGTTGTCGAGAAGTGGCTGAGAAATGACACCACAGCCGAGAACTTCGAGCCAGTCTCCCTGCCAGAAGATTTCGAGCTCCCATGAGGGTGAGGTGAAGGGGAAGTATGCTTCAATCCAGCGGACCTTGAGCGGTTCTTGTGATTGAGCTTGGTTGCGGACTTCGTCGATGGTGGACGCTGCTGCTGCTTCCTTGGCTTTTGAGAAGATCTCAACAACGACGTTCTCCAGGGAGCGCTTGAGATGAGCAGCAACAGCCTCGGCCTCTTCTTGAGTATGAGGTTTTTGCAAAGGGTTACGTTCAGGGTGAGTGGTAGGGTTGGGATCTTCAACAACGATATCGGGCTTGGGCAGCTTCTCTACGTCCTCCCAGATCAGCTGTGCAAGTGTCTTTCCCTCAGGTACGGCATTGCGATCCCATGTCATGGCGCCCTCCATCTGGTGGAAGACAGGATAGTGTGAGCGGTCAATAGCATCTCTACGGTAGACATCGGCTGAGATAGTGAATCCCGAGCTTGTGTTTGCACGAAACACATCAGCCTGGTGTGCAGATGTATGCGTCCGTAGCACAGTGTGCTTATTGATATAGTAAGTGTCTGTCCGACTGCGTCCAGGGTGATCCAGAGGGAAGCCCAATGAGTCGAAGTTTTGGCCCACGGTTACCACCGGGAAGAAGTCATTGTGATGCTGATAGCCTGGGAAACGAGACTCGATCAACTTCCTTGTGATTGAGATTGGATGATTATCCTGTTGGTGCAGCTTTCGTGACACGGTTTCCAAGATAGTACTCGGGACGTTGGTCCATGAGTCCGTTTGATAACTCTTGCCGTGTATCGTGAGTTCTTTTGGCCTTGAATCTGTTTTCTATCGTCAGTACTGATTTAGATGTATTGCGCTCCACATGGGTGGTATTGCTGTTGGGTTAAGGTCACACCGTCAACGCGAGTTGAGGCTTTCCTATCTCCCTCGACATAACTCTCGCTGCGATTGAATATCTTGCACGCTCGTCCAGTCACCTGAGAATAGTGACCACAGAAAATATGCTATAGACTAACCTGAGCTATTGTAACGCCGCGTAACTGTCCAGGAGAAGAGAAACGCGTTGTTGGCGATCTTCGAACATTTACCACATGCCGAGATAGATGCTCGGTAGGGTAATAGCTTGAGCATCCTCCTTGATATGATGCAGCAAGACTCAATCGCGGCCTGATATGCTATGTCTAGCGACTCTGTGCCACTAAAGCCGGAGGCAGAAGAAAGCTTCATGTGGTCAGTGCGCCTCGGCCAGGGTGCTACCATTCGCACCGCATTTTCTTTGTTTCTCGAGATGTCACGACAACGACGGCAGGTGCGATGTTCATCTGGTACTTTCTGGTGATGGGTTAGTACCTTCGAACCTTTTCGGGTCTTGTTGATCATATTCTCCATCGCGTGCTGCTCTGACATTATCAATTGATATCTTCTAGCTCGACCCAACATCCACTTCATTAATTCACCATGACTATCTTCCCAGCAACCGACAATCAACGCATAACAAAAGCTATCGCAAAAAGCAACGATTATGGCAACGGACCCATCAAGTACCCGCTGTAGTTTGGTGGTACATCTTCGGCCATGGCAGCGCTATTCTCTCACCCGCTAGATCTAGGTTTGTGCTGAGTACATACGACCAGGAGCACCATCGCTGATGTGATCTAGTCAAGGTTCGGCTCCAGGCACAACATCATCACGGAGCTCTTGACATGGCCGACACCTTCAAGCATGTCTACAGACGCGAAGGCTTCTCAGGACTCTACAGGGGCATATCGGCATCACTCTTGCGACAGCTCACGTACTCGACTGCCCGCTTTGCAACCTACGAAAAGCTCAAGTATATGGCCGAGGACGATGGTGTAAAGGCTCCTCACACGCTACTCGTCGGGCTCGCTGCAGTTTCAGGTCTGGTGGGTGGTGTTGTTGGCAATCCAGCCGATATCTTGAACGTCCGTATGCAGAACGATGCCGCTTTGCCGATTGCTGAGCGCCGCAACTACGGCAACGCAGTCAGTGGATTCATCACGATCGTTCGTGAGGAAGGTTGGAAGCAGAGCGTCTTCAGAGGCATGGTACCAAACCTTGGGAGAGGCGTGTTGATGACAGCCGGACAACTGGCTGGATACGACGTGTTCAAGATGGAGCTTCTGGCCCACACTGAGATGCAAGATGGTACCATGACACACATCGCTGCCAGTACTCTTGCTGGACTCGTTGCTACAACACTTTGCAATCCCTTCGACGTGTTGAAGACGCGAATCATGGCCAAGAACGAACGTCTCGGTATGTGGAATACCATCAAGACGGTGCACAGGATGGAAGGACCAGCATGGATGTTCCGTGGATGGCTACCAGCTTTCATTCGATTAGGACCTCACACTGTAGCAACTTTCCTCTTCTTGGAGCAACAAAAGAAGTATTACAGAAAGCACTACGCGGATTGAAGCAGATATGGTGGAGATGGTGAAAGCTGAAAGCTGCCGAGTGCACACCAAAAAGTCAATTGGCCTAGATCCCTAGATACATTATCCAACCTGTGTTGTCTTCATTAACAATGAGCAGATGCATTCGAGGTCCCAGCAGACCCTGACAAAGCTCCAGCATGTGAAACGCGTGCAAGCGAAAGCGTGGGTTAAGGTGGCTCAAGGGGCAATCGTGGGTGGAGAGGAGCGCCAAGATTACGCCGGGTCCAACCGCCATCGGTCGCCAGCTGTTCATTTGTGGGCTCTAGAGCTTTAGGAGGCCAGACAAGTAGTGACTTCCCCTCTCCCCATTGAACCATCAAAACTTGTCGACACTCCCTCCGGTTCGCAAAGAGAGACTGTCAACATGAGTGGTCGTGAGTCTACACCCTGCAAGATGCTCCCGCCACAATGCCCTTTGCAGACTGGCGCAGTGGAGCATCTTCTTTGACACGTCTGTCGCATGTCGACTAACACCTCGCGCTCTCAGTACGATTCCTCGATCTGGTGAAGCCATTCACCCCTCTCATTCCTGAGATTGCTGTCCCCGAGACCAAGACTCCCTTCCAGCAGCGCCTGATATGGACTGGTGTACGTCACTCCAAGAATGAACACCACGACTTGTACTTGCAAGACATCTCGCTCTGTGCTTGTCAGCCAGGGACCTGTGTCCAGCCGAACACTGCCCAGAATGCGACTGCGCAGAGCTGATGTCACTTGCTGTGCAAAGTTGTGGTGCATACCATCCACGTACCGAAAGCTGATCTGGTGTTCTTGTGCAGGTCACTCTCCTCATCTTCCTGGTCATGTCGCAGATGCCTCTTTACGGCATTGTGTCCTCTGGTGAGCATTCGCGGAAGGTTCAATCAGAGAGAGGCTTCAATACTGACCCGTCCCAGACACCTCTGACCCGCTTTACTGGCTCAGAATGATGATGGCCAGTAACAGAGGTACCCTCATGGAATTGGGTATCACCCCTATCATCTCCTCCGGCATGGTCTTCCAGGTGCGCAACAAATACCCCAACATACGAGCCTCGATGATCAGATCTGACACAATTCGCAGCTTCTCGCTGGAACCCACCTCATCGACGTCAACCTTGACCTCAAGGCCGACCGCGAGCTCTACCAGACTGCCCAGAAGGTTAGCAGCTCCAGAAACCAAGCGTCAAGCGAAGCCGATACTGACTTCTCTAGCTCCTTGCCATTATCCTCTCCTTCGGCCAAGCCTGCGTTTACGTCCTGACCGGTCTTTACGGCCAGCCCTCCGACCTCGGTGCTGGTATCTGCGTTCTCCTCGTTGTCCAGCTTCTTACCGCCGCTCTTATCGTCATCCTCCTCGATGAGCTCCTCCAGAAGGGCTACGGTCTCGGCAGTGGTATCTCGCTCTTCATCGCGACCAACATCTGCGAGTCGATCGTCTGGAAGGCTTTCTCTCCTACCACCATCAACACCGGCAGAGGTCCCGAATTCGAGGGTGCCATCATCGCCCTTGTTCACCTCTTGGTCACCTGGCCCAACAAGCAGCTTGCCCTCAAGGAGGCTTTCTACCGTCAGAACCTGCCCAACGTCATGAACTTGATCGCTACCATTGCTGTCTTCTGCGCCGTCATCTACCTCCAGGGTTTCCGTGTCGAGATCCCCGTCAAGTCTTCGCGCCAGCGTGGTATGCGCGGTTCTTACCCCGTCCGTCTCTTCTACACCTCCAACATGCCCATCATGCTCCAGTCGGCTCTTTCCTCCAACGTCTTCCTTGTCAGTCAGATGCTGTACTCTCGCTTCAGCGACAATCTTTTGGTTAAGATGATCGGTGTTTGGGAGGCTCGCGAGGGTTCTTCTCAGATGCTCCCCATCTCTGGTCTTGTCTACTACATGTAAGTGGAGAACTACTTCTCTGGCTACTCTCAGCGCAATTACTGACCGATCTTCACAGGTCCCCTCCTCTCAACTTCAAGGACGCCCTTCTTGACCCCGTTCACACCGCTCTGTTCATCGTCTACATGCTCACCGCCTGTGCCGCCTTCTCCAAGACCTGGATCGAGGTTTCTGGCTCCAGCCCTCGCGATGTTGCCAAGCAGCTCAAGGAGCAGGGTCTTGTTATGGCCGGTCACCGTGATGAGTCCATGTACCGTGAGCTCAAGCGTGTCATTCCCACTGCTGCTGCCTTCGGTGGTGCCTGCATTGGTGCTCTTTCCATTGTCAGTGATCTCGTTGGTGCTCTTGGTAGCGGCACCGGTATTCTCATGGCTGTCACGTAAGTTTGGAATCCTTCTTTATTCTAGTGTACTCGTCAGCTAACAATCATCACAGCATCATCTACTCTTACTTCGAGATTGCCGCCAAGGAGGGCGACATGTCCGGCCTCAGAGGCATGGTTATGGGTTAAGAGACTGATGTTTCAGATTTGAGAATCTTCTACATTGTATATTTTATCACTAGGGAAGAAGAGGTATGCTACAGGCGATCTTGGGGAGGAATCTTGCTTGGAACAAAAGCTGGTCTCTAAAAGAGCTATGTAGATCATAGAGGCCAGGCACTTGCGTCACAAGTGCCTTTCGATATTGGCCAGATCGCCGTTAGTCCTACGCTCTTTTGTAGGATGCAATTTTAAGAAAAGTTATTCACAGTCGCCCTTGCCTTCAACTGTTCAATTTGCTGATGCAACTCTTCAACGGTCTTCAACATGTCACCCATCTTGATCGATCTTATCAACTCCCAGAGCCTATCGAACTTCTGACTATCGGGATACAAAGGAACCTCTTAGACGAGGGATTTTGTTGTGGAAAACAGAGGCATGGCAACTTTTCACTCGACTCTCTGAGTGGCTAGTCAATCAGGAACATATGGGACAAGTCGCTCCTTCCAATTTGCAGACAGAGTCCCGGCAGCTACCTCTGTCTCTTTTCGGGTTCATGAGCTTGCGTCCAATCGCTCCTGTGTCGTCACTTCCTCTGCGAGCACCTCAGACAGAGCTACGGGCCAAGCTCAAGGAGAGATCGATGGATTGAGATTTGCCGTTCGTAAAGTCCCGACGAGTCAGTCATGTTACTTCATATATTGTTTGATCGAGCATGATAATCTCTCGACCCTTGTCGGAAACATCCTAATTTGCCATGATTGCCTTGGAGAATACTACATACCTTCGCTCAGTCCAAACTGTTCCCTGTCGAGATGGAGTATACATAGCAGAAGCAGGTCGAGTGTTATTGACCATGATGATATTCCTGCTGACATGGTATGCTTCTATAGCATTGAGCTGCTGGTGTTCAAAGAATGGTTGGTGCTCTCTCGTTTCAACATTATCCCGTCGCGCTTTTCATTGACTTGTTTTATCCCCGGGTCGACTGAACACACCGGTCCCGGTCTACGACTAGGTCATCATTCACGGACGTGTTCGGTTCTGTCTGAGCAGACATGGCCACCGTTGACGATTTGTGCCAATACAGCAATGCAGGAACAGCTTTTACATCGAACGAGGACAAGGCGGAGTGAAGTGTTGAGGGCTGTACGTAGCTTCCACGCAAGATACGCGTGTCTCAGGAGGAATGATGCACGTCAAAGTGATCCGTCCTGTTGCCTTGGTCTAGTATTGCCACTTGATCAGGCGAAGCAACAAGGCGAAGTAGTATAGAGCTCGAGCACAAGTCCAACACAGACCACGAGTAACAACAAGGCGGATGTTGATAGAAAGAGACAGAGGTCAGGTTGGTATCAGGTCTCACGATCACGCGGAGAGAACAGCGTTCCGGACCGGTTCGGGTAACGATTACAACTTGATAGGGTAGAATTGGTTGGTTGTACGATGTAGACTTCACCTTCCTTCTTTTGACAAGTGACATGTGCTCTTTGTGGAGAAACAGAGCGAGAGATGGGGCTGAGTTACTGCTACGGTACAGTATCTTCGGGGGACGGCGCGGTAAATATCGCGATAGGCAGAGAGAATGCAACAGAAGGGGGCTGTGTAGAAGCTGAAGTAGGTAGGTGGAAGAGCGACATGTCTTCTCGCTCAAGTGCTTCCAAGCAAAAGCCCAGAGGATGGTCTGTGAGAAGGAAAAGCTGTGCAAAGTTGAGTGGTGTCGAAGGGTGGCAGGCCGGGAGAGCGCGGGGCGAGGCTTAGAGACAAGTCAGGGAGTCAGGCCCGCGTAGCAACTCCATTCTGGCAGACATCGTCTAGACTGTCTCGATTCACAGTGCATGGCGCATTTCAAAGCAGTGACACCGGAACGAGATGGCTATGGCTGGCAGGTCTGTGTACCCCTGTAGATAGAGACGATTAGTAAAACAGATGTGGCACAACGGTAACAAAGCATTTGCAAGAGAGCGCCGAGCGCAGGGCTCGAAGGTTCGGCGGCTGAGCGATATAGTGTCCGTGCACGCGAGCATGACGGTGGAAACGGCCATGGTCGGATGAGGCAGTGCAAGCAGCATGAGATATGTAAATGCGAGAGTGAGCGCCTACCAGTAGGGGAACAAGTTCAAAGACCTATCACCATCTTCCTACGCAAAAGCAAACACTCTACAAGAAATACAAGCACAAAGAAAGATAGCAGACTCGTCTCTTCACTGCAACGCATATACCAAGGCCGGCATCTCCATTCCGCTTGTCGACCATCTTTCGACCAAAAGCACACCATGGCATCCCTCCTTCAAACACCACTCTCACCACCGATGTCCAACGCCTCTTCACCCACGGCCTCGCCCTCAAAGCGCAGATCGCCCTCCCTCTCCATCGACCTCAGCAATCTCCCACAATTATCCACGATCCCCGTCCCGTCAAACACCTTGATCATCACCGGCCTGAACGACCCTGCCATCTTCGGCGCCACAAACCTCGCAAGCATAAAGCAAGCCCTCGACAGCCACGCAACAACCTATTCCTTCTCTCCTCTGAAATCCTTCCGTCGCATCATCGCCTCTTTCTACAATGTCGACGCCGCTATCGACATTCGCTCAAAGCTCGACGGTGAGAACGTGCTGGGTCAACGCATCAGAGTCTACTTTGGCACAGAAACAAACATCACTTCGGTTGAGGATCAACACTTGAAGGCGCCGTCGACGGGGAAACTGTTCTTTATCTCTCCTCCTCCTTCGCCACCTCATGGTTGGGAGTCTCGTCATGAAGACCCTCCTAACAAGGAGGTTCACGCCGAGGATCTCGCAGATGCTTTACACAAGTTGTCTTCTGTGCCAGAGGACGAACAAGTGCATGCTCAGCATGTAGAGAAGTTTGAGGAAAAGACTGCTCCCGTTTCTGCTCCGGCTGTGCAGAGAAGCAGAGCTGATTCGAGGACAATTGTTTACTCTCCTGTTGAGCAAGGTCATTCGCCTCTTCTTCCTGCCATTGCTGTCGAGGATACTAGCTGTGAGGCATCGCCTGTAGAGGAGAGCTTTGGCGAGGATGCACAGAAGCCCATGGTTCACACCGCTCGTCCTCCTGTTGAGCTCATGGAGGAGTAAACCTCTTTATTATACACACATTCTGCTTTCACTACGGCGCTACTGGGAGGTCAAGGGTTGACTAGGTTGGAAGGACAGGTTCAGGGAATAAATAAGCATTGGGTCAGGCGCATTCGAAACAGCGACAATTGTCTATTTCCTCATCTTTCAACACCAAACAAGCATTCTCAACAATCGAATGGAATCACCTCAAACATCAAATTTCATCTCCGTCTTTTCCAAAGGCAAGCCATCCTCATCATGCATCATGCTCTTCCACTTTGCTTTGCGTTCTCAAACTTACTCTATATGATGCGAGAGTAGGCTCACGCAGTTGCCATGTTGACATCTTGATCCGAACCGATTCAGACCTTCGAGTCGGGTCCCGCATCTTCCTTGCCCTGAAGTATTCGAATCCTAGTCCATCTCTTTGCCTCGGATCAATCTCCTCACTCTAGCGCCCTCACAAATCACAGAATGCGGCCTCCTTTCACCCTCCTTCCGCTGGAGTTAAAGAAGCTAATCGCCAATGTCAGCACTGCTCCATGTATAATCAATGGCCAAAACTGACACTGACCGCATGATTGAAAGTATTCTTCATGCCTCTGGAGCTGCGCGAGAAGCAGACAATACAGACACTATTCGCAGGACTGAGACACTTTGATATCATCACTCTTTTCAGCAGGCGTTTCAAAGTTGGAAAGGACCGCGAGAGGCCAGGTATTATTAGTCTGGGGCAAATACAGGGATGATACTATTTGCTATAAAAACAACATTTCGTAAAAAAGCGCTTCGGTGTAGAACTTGTCCTGCTGGAGTCGAGTGGTGATCCAAACCGCAACTTGTTACACTTTTCCTCCCCATCTTGTTGAACTCGTGATTTCCCGTTGTTGTTCGCAATCTTTTATATACTGATCATCCCCTTCTGGTTGGAGAGATGCATCGTCGGATCGAGTTTGGCGTTTACTGGGTACGGCCGGCAGGGGCAGCAGGTCTGGGGGCAGCGCCTCCCTGAGGACCCATTCTCTTGCTCCTGTGATATGCGTCAGTAATGTGTCATCTCACGGTATAATCAGCACCACTTACATGAAGGTTCTGGAAAAGAAGGAAATGCCAATCATCAAAGCCCAGCTGGGCATGATGGAGAAACCGTAGACGACCCAACCGAAAGGAACGGCAAGACCAGTCTTAGCAAGCATACCATCAAAGGGGTGGAAGAAGCCCTCGTAGGGAGTCTTTTCCTTGAAAGTCTTGTCGGTAGCGATGGAGACGATGTCCTGAGCGGAGACGGTGGTACGGTTCAGGGGCAAGAAGTAGACGGTAGTAGCGGGAGTGGTTTGATCGGGAAGAGGCTGGGGAAGCTGCATGTAGATGATGCTGGGAGCGCCGGCACCCCAAGCGTTACAGAGTTGAGGTTCCTGCTCACAGTCCAGACGAGCGAGCTGAGGAGCGCTGGGGACAGCGGAGAAGAGTGAAACAGCCTTGGACCATTCCTGATCAGAGCGAACACACATGCCGAAGCAGGTGCGGTTGCCGCCAGTGGTGTAGACCATCCAGTCCTCAATACCAGGGCTGGCAGTAGCGGCGCCAGGCTTCAGGACCTGGGCGTAGTTCTCCTTGGTCAGCTGAGTGACGGCGAGCTGCTCGACCTTGCCAGCGGCGGCGTTGACGGGGTTGGGGACACCAGATGCGGCCGAGGCTGCTGCTGAGCTGGCCGAGTTGACGTTCGAGGTAGCGGCGCCGATGAAGTTGTTGATCCAGCCCTTTGCCTGGTCGAGGAGAGGGAACTGCTGTTGGGCAGCTGCCATGGCGGGCAGTGCCAGAACGATGGGAGCGAAACGCATCTTGTGAGGACTTGTTGGAAGGTGGGCAAGAAGTCAGGAGAAGAGGGAATGGATTATCTCTGCAGCACTTTGTTCGAGTTAGGAACGTCCAAGCTCGACTATCTCGTCTTACCGACTTTCACTTACCTTGCGACTCGGTGTTATGGATTTCCTAAGCTCAAATCAAGTTGGTGATGCCCGTTTCGAGGGAAGGAACCGATGATGACAGAGTGCATGCTTGGCGCTGCTGCCTTCTTTCTGTTATCCACGTCGCCATGATAACAAGACTTGGAGGTACTTCAGTACGAGCACTCATTCTTGAGTTTCTAACGCGACGCGATTATGAACTCTACAAGTAGATTCACAACTTGATCACTCTCGGTGTATCGCAGATTCAGGCGCCCAAGTCGCAAGCCATGGCTCTCGCTGTTTCACAAACTCGACATCCTGAAAGCTAGCTACATCAACGGCTCAAAGTCCGGCATAGATACGTACGGCCAAATGTCTGTTGTGTCCAATGGAAACAGAGCATCCAGATCAGCATTATCATATGACAAGAAGTCTTGGATATTTGGCTGAAATATAGCCATCTCGCTTGTCATCTCTTCCATTCGCAAAGGATCGAAGCTTGACAGCTGTTGCGGTGTGATCCCTAACAATTGATCCGACTTCTCGGCTTCAAACCTTGCAATGCACTCAATGACAGCATCCAGATGTTGACAGAACTCTCTTGCAGCGATGTTACCCAGACGATCTAGTTGCTTCATGAGATGGTGTGCCGATTGGAATGCCTCCTTGTCCGCATGCGCATTGGATCCGAGGCAGAGATTCGATACTGCAAGAATGGTCGCAGCTGCATAGAGATACTGCGCTGATGAGTAGTCCAAAGCTGGGAGCGCTGTCCAAGCTTGGGTTATCAAGCGACAAGTATGTCTTGCCGTGTGTACGCAAGTTTCGGCTAGCATGAATGTAGCCTGGGGGATCTCATCCCTTCTGTTGGTTCGATTGGTGACTTGAAATACCTGCAGCAAGGTTGGTCGAGTCGCAAGAATCACGCACTGGTTGAGTCAGCCAGGTCAACAAACGTCAGCAGTCGATTAACTTACCTGATTGAAAGATAAATGCAAAGCGACAATATGCCAACTCGCCGGTTTGTCTGGCAACATCCTCACACCTTCTGGTAGTGTTGCCGACCAGTCTCGAAGGCTCTTGAAGATCGCTTGCACTTTCTGGACAAATGGACGATCATTCTTCTTCCGACTGTACAGTGTAGAGATCGTCTCTCCAGCAATACTCGCAAGACGCATCGTAGCACAGAGGTAGTCAGCACTGACCACATCGCCCTTTTGCGCATCGCTGAGACCAGCATCTGAAGGTGGGTTGACTTCTATATCGTCGTTTAGAATGAAAGCAGAATGCCCAATCTTGCTGGCGATGAAGCGATCGAGAGCATAGACCGTCCACCATAGACGTGCTCTCATCTGTCTTGCAGCCAAGTCGGGTAATTGAGACTCTGCAATGTTATGATGTAGACCCAAAGTCATGGAGAGGCGCATGGCTGATCCGATATACCAGTAAGCAGAATGGCGTCTGTTCATCGCCAAGGAGTATAACGTCTATTGTGCATTAGCAGTTGCCGTGTTGACTCGTGACTTCCTCAACTCACGATACAGATCAAGACCTCCACGTGGTCTGCTGTAGCACGCTCTGGCAACACAGGCAAGAGCGCCCTGGCTTTTGCAAAGTACGCCAATCCTGGAAACACCGCATCTTGGGATTCAGCCAATCTAGGAGAATAAACCTGAGCAAGTGCGAACAGCGCAAACAGCTTGCACTCCTTCATCTCGCTCAAAGATGATCTATCAGTGTACGCTTTCTCTAGTAAGCTCCGAACACTGGACAACGATGAGAGATGATAGCATTGTCCTACCGTCGCAATCACAGATTCGACAAGTAGGTATGCCTGAGGTCGACTTGGCCACGGTGTATTCTCATCTGCTGCTTGCAAGATCTGACTATCTTGGATGTAATGAGTCCTCGCCATATGGACTTCCGCTTGCGTATGAAGTAGAAGTTGTCGCAAGCGAGATGAGAAACCTGTACATGCTGCTTCGCCGATGAAAATGGGACTTTCATCAAGTGGTAAGAACCAGGCATCATCTCGAACTAGAGGGTTCCCTGAGTCGGTGGTAGCAGTGACTTCAGGTGTATTACTTTGACTCTGTTGGTTGGCCTCGTTCTGTGGTGTGGGAGCCTGGTTCTTAAGACGATCTATCTCCTTCAACAGATCGGTAATATAGCTTGAGAGTGTTAGTCGAAACATCTGTTTTATTGCTGTGAAGATATACCTTTCCCGAACTGTCGTCTTTCTGTCCTTGACAGGATATTCGCATAGCGCGTCATTGGCGATTCTGCAATTCTTACAAGGCTTTTGACCATCACACTTGATCTTATGCGAATGGCATCGTTGACACCTGCAGACGGCAAACTGATCAACTTAACCGAGGCTTGTTGGAAGGTCTTTGATAACTCACGCGACGCTCTTTCTCGGCTTCTTGGATACCCTGTGCTCGGAAGACCTTGCCCCTCTTGTTGATTCCATTCTATCAATGATGGATATATTGGCGAATATGCCAGATCGTTTGTCGGCGATGTGGCAGAGGGATGGCAAGATTGTTTGCCGCGTGTGACTCTGCCTCGGTATAATGCTCCATCTTGCCGAGACCATTTCCAAGATAACCATTCTCATCACGACCACGACAAAAACATTGTCGTTATCAATTTTTCATATCTCAAATATAGCTTATTTCCTACATCACATGTGATACGATGGGCTTCCCACTGATTGCAACCTCTGCCAGCATCTCTCTATTCTTCCCACAAGTTTCCAACAATCCGGCGACGGAGCGCACTCTCGGATTATCAACACGTCCTCGTGGCGACCTCTTCAGCAGCAAAAAATTGGCCCGATGACTGCACCGAAACGAACCGGGCACCATAGCGTAGAGGCGGAGAGGTACGGCTCGCGTTGGTCGAGTCGCCCTGCGGTGTGCTTTTACGGAACTGATGCACGAGAAAGTCCTCTATCTTGCACTACGAGAGTCAAGATACGATATTCGTCCTTGTGCCCGGCCTTGTTTCGTGCAGGTCAATGAACAGTCGAAGCACGATTCCTAGTGTCGATCCCCCAGATTGGAATCAACTGTGATGCGACGCAGGTAGCTAGTGCTCGACCCTGAGATGCTTCCTGCGAAGATTATTGTATATGACCTGATGGTCGCGTCTGAGTGAGCCTGTTCATGATTGGAAAACAATGCGAAGCTCCCGTCAGCAATGGCAGCAAGAATGCAAGCCATCAAAAGGCATGGTTAAATTGTGATTGTAGACCTATACCGTGGGAGATACCACTTTCAACATGGGCGATTTTCAATTTATATCCATCGACAATCAAGTTGTAGTTCTCATGAACGAATTCGCCATCCATGTCGGTCTTCAAATAGTATTCAAGAGGTGCTTCTCCCTGATGAAGCGGATGGACTTCTGATTGATCTGCACCTCATGAAGAGTGGACAGAAAGGATGGATGTCCTGAAAACAGTCATAAACTTACAAGTAACCATACACGTCTATATCAGCTTCGGTGAAAAATAACGTGTTGCCGGCGTCTACGAATCCTCGTTTGTTATGCTGCAGTGTCTGGCTGGCTGAGGACGCTGTCTGTAAGCTCGGCAAGAACACACTTTTCACCGAAGCAGCCAGACCTACGCTCACAACCACATCATGCATACTCCTCCTCATCGATGAACAGTACTCATGAGGTCCTGCGACAGCGTCGTGTCTACCTCGAGACTGTGCTGTCTGCTGATGCAAACGTTCCGATGTCATCGTTGTCGAAAAAGCTAGCACAAACGCGTCGCGACTCCTAGCCTCCCAGCCTTCTCTAAAAGCTCTATTCTCCCGCCCATACCCGGTTCTCTCTTCCTTGATGTCATCGTACAATGGTCAGGCTCTTGCACATTGGGTTGTGTTCCCGGCATCCACAAGCTTGAGCAAGATTGACAGCCCATGGGCGCATCTACCGCCCACTTCCTCTTCACCACCCTTCCCACCAGTCTGGGCTTACACAAAACAAAAGCAATGGTCAGTACGGGGGTCGAACCCGCGACCTTGGCGTGCCTATTTCAATCTCTCATGCTGACCGCAAAGTCACCGTGAGATGGAGATATTAGCACCACGCTCTAACCAACTGAGCTAACCGACCAGGTCCGTGATGATTGCTCGCCACGTGATGTGACTGGCCCCTCTGGGCACGTATACATAGTTCTGCTCGAGCAAATCGGTGCCTTGATTATCAAGTTATCTCGTTCAAAGGGCTCAATAAAGGACTTTTTCACACATGTGAGTTTCTACGACTAGCTCCCAAGCTAACCTAAGTGTGAGAGCTTGTTTGGCTGGAGACACTAGATGTCAGATGATCCAAATTGTTCGGCCACAGATGCACATCTGTTCGCACGCTTCTGTGTGAGAGGTTCTGCAGCAAACAATACCAAACCACCAAAATCGTCGCAACTTGTACCTGTTTGGCCAGACATACAAGATTGAGATGAGAATATATACACAAGCTAATTAGAAGTGCAATAGCATACCACAAGTCATAAGATACTGTATGTCGCCGCTGTGAGATGATTTATATGTCCAAAAAGATGGCTTTGGGGACGACCCTGGCTGATGATGTGACGGGTAGATGCCAAGTCCAATCGTCCAAGGCTCATCGTCTGTCTATCTTCAACATACCGTCTATCGATATGCGAGTGATCACAAGCACGTTAAGGACCACTTATGGCTACAGTATACCAAACACGTCTTAGTTTTACGCAGATTTAGTACAATGTGAATGAATTATCAAAGCAGCTACGATACGGTAGTGTTGTCGAGATTGAAGCCTCGAGTCCGAAGCCTGGAATTTCGGACTTCGCCTAGGAAGCTCACGGTCCCCCACCATTCTCGGACTCGATGAGACTCGGTGGAAAAATCATTCTAAAGCGTGGGCTTCTTTCGTGCTCACGACCGACCTCGTCGTCGGCAAGCTCTGTAACCTTTAGAACAAAAATTTGCCTCGAGTCGTTTTTCGCCTCTGAGCCCCTGGATTCAGGCTTCTCTCTTTTTTTTTTTTTTTTTTTTTTTACTAACGATGTCTTGCTTAATACTATATGTAGCATCGAGATTAGTTAAGCATTAGATCGCGGCTAACCCGAACATCGCCCTAACGGGCAGTGCCACAAGTTGTATGAGGTACAAAATTTTCTGCATAGCGACATCGACGGGGCTGTGGTTTAGGGGTATAACGTCTTTTTCGCATGGTAGCTGGCTACCCATGGTCTAGAGAAGGTCTTGGGTTCGATTCCCAACTGCTCCATACTTTTTGCATCGTCTTGCGCTACTTTTGGTCTAAAGTGGTCGAGGTTTGAGTGTGGTAGGTCAAATTGAAGTTTTGAAGTCTCAACCAACTTTGACTCGGCACTACAGACGACGGGCTTACACCTGCTAACTCAGCTTCACATATGTGAGAGAGGGCTATCTGTTCTGTGTACTGCCCGAGTCTTAGATTTGATAGAGTTATTCCGAGTCCTGATATTAGGTTCCACTTGGGCATCCTCACCGAAAAAAGTGTATATCGATGCTCGATGGACACATCCCATGTCCTAAGCAATAGGGACATTTGGATAGTGGTACTGGACTGTCTATCACGACCTCGTGAAGATGCATGTTGGTGTAATGTCTTAGCGTGAGCACTGGTTTTTTTTTTTTTTTTTTTTGGACTGCCTATATCCTCCGATTGTGAACATTGTTTACGATTGTCAATATAGTAATCCGATCACTTTTGCATACTATTCTGTACATGGTTCATCCCTCATACTGTGTTGCCTGCGACTATCAACAAGGAATGAGCATCTATAATACCCATGTCAAAGCAACAAATTTCTTAGACACCTCTAACAAGAGCGGTAATACTACACTTTAGCATACAACATGAGAGTCACGCACTTTTAGACCGCACATCGGGATGTGAAGCAAGCAAGATAGAATTGAAGTATGTACATTAAAACTTTGTATACGTGTCTAGTATAACATGAAAATCATAAAAAGTGCCATGTACCAAAAACCAACAACTATCTAATCCGTACAAGCAGGTGCATTCTTCGCAGTTTTTGAAACAGTTGTAAAGACTGTAGAAGTGCTCTTTACGATCGTCGTCTTGGTAGCAGGAGCAGGCGTCACCGTAACCTTGATCGTACTTCCCTTGAGCGAGCTAGTCTTGTAAACTGTGGTCGTCGACGCCGGAAGCGTGGTCAAGATGGTCGTTGATGAATCTGCAGCATTCGTGATTGTTACAGTTGACTGCGCGGCAGTAACTACGGTGGTGCTAGACACAAGCTTCAAGCTTGTCACGGTCGCTGCTGCTGCCGAGATCTGTTCAGTTGAGCGAACAGTTGCGACACTGTAGATGGTATTTCCTGGTAGCGACACTGTGCTTAAAGCAGTGCTGTATGCAAGGCTAGTCACGGTCGATCCTGAAGCGCTCTCGGTAGTTACTGATGTCAATAGTACCACCGAGGTAAATGTCGACACGGCAGCACTTTCGGTGATGAGGTCAATCGAAGTTGCGAAAGAAGTGCTAAGAACAGTTGAGGTAACTGCCTTTACCGTGCTGGTTGGTGCGATTGTGCTCGTGCTCGTCAGGCTCGTATAGATAGTTGAACCTGCACTAGTGACCACCGAGGTCTTGATATACGAAATTACTGTGGTGCTGACGAAAATGGTAGTGGTTCCAGCAGCACGAGCCTCAAGACCTCTTTTGAAGAGCTTAGCCGCGCCTGCAGTAGGAACACAAGAAGCTGTGATAGTCGTTCCCTTCGTCGTGGTCTTTACTGAGAAGCTCGAGATGGTCACAGTAGACGGCTTCAGTGTGGTTGATGTCGTAACGTCCGATGCTGTGATCGTGGTCACACTGCTTATTGTTGTGCCTTTCAAAATCGAAGTCTGGTAAACAGTCACCAAGGAGCCCAGATTCTCAGTAACCGTGACGGGCTTCAAAGACGATGTTGAGGTTGCGAGAACCGTGCTAGTTGCTTTGACGGTCGATGTTTTCCCGGCAACAGTTGTCATGAATAAATCGGTTTCAGTACTCTTGATAGTGGTATCCTTGCCCGCAACAGTCGTCACAACCGAGACGACAGAAGTCTGCTTGATCGTGACGTCCTTTGCAGAGGCACTGACGGTAGACAAGACAACTGAGGTGGATTTCACTGTCGCAATTTTGGCGGATATTGTAGTTGTCGAAAACACAATATCTGTTGCCTTGACAACTGAAGTCTTGAGGATGGCTGGAGGGGTGACCGTAGTACCATCGTTCTCCGTCACATATGTTACTTGCGTCGAAGTGACATCCCCTTGCACAAGAGTGGTGTAGGTCGTGGCTTTCTGGACAATAGTGGTTGTGATCTGGGTGGTGATTAAGGGCAGAGTCACCGAGCTGCTTGACGACGATGTCGAAAGCATGGACGAGGACGAAGATGAAGAACTGACGCATGCGGCAGGAGCAGAACCAAATCCAGCAGTGAAAGGCTGAACATCAACAACGGAAAAGTCGATCCACGATGTAGTAGGGAAGAAATTGGCCAGTTGGAACTGAGCTACATCGACGTCGGAAAGCTGCTGCGAGAAGCTGGCGCGATTGCAAGTGCTGCTACCAGGACCGAAATTGTGGTATTCGGCAAAAGTGACACCATCAGTCTGAGGTGAAGATTTGCTCCATTGAGTCCATCCTGCCGAGCCGACAGAGTCATCGAGGTAACAACCAGCATACAAGACACGAGCAAAATTGTTCCATGGTCGTCCTAACGAGACATTCTTAAAACCGGACGAGCCTGCAGCTGGAATGATAGAGCATTGATCAAACACGAAGCCAGCAGCAGTAGTATTTGTTGCGCGCTTGGCAGCGGTAATCGAGTCGCCATCCTCGTTAGGTGAGATGGTCGAGTTGAGGAAGTAACCAGACCCAGCGCCGAAGATGAAATCAACATTGCCCTCGATGTAGGTCTTGAAGGTGAACATATTTCCAGAGATGTACAAAGTGTCTTGGTTGCCATAGATCTGGCAGCCATGCATAAAAGCATACTTGCTGCTCTTGACAGCAAATCCAAGGGAGGCAATGTTTTGCTGAGTTCCGTTGTTGTTTCTGAAATTGACATTGTAGGCATAAAAGTAGTTTCCAGTCGCATAAACAGTAGCAGCATCAACATCACTCCCAGTACCCTGAGTGTCCTCACCATAAGACTGCTGAATGGTGACCTGGTTCTTGTTGTAATCATCAGTCGAGTCAGAGTAACCCATGAAGATGGTAGTACCACTCTTGTTGACAATCAACTGCTCTTGGTATACACCAGGATAGATGAAAATGGTAGCATTGGTCTTACTCGAAGTAGGTGCGGCGTTGAGAGCGGCTTGGATAGTATCATAAGTAGTGAGACCATCGATAGCATTCTTGGAAACGACGAGAGCACCAGTAGGAGGTACAGTACCATTGTAAGAGCTTGAGCCGGACACTGTGACATTGGTGGGAGTAGTAGTGTTGACTACCGCAGGTGCAGGCGCTACAATAGAGTTCGAGTAGGTTTGATCAATCCAGGATGTGCTATCCATGATAGATGCCAAGGAGTAAGTATCAGACGTCAGGAGAGTCGCATTTCCAAATGCTTGTCGTGCAGCGACGTTGTTCTCCCAAGAGCCAGGACCAACGTTGTTATACTCGGCAAAAGTGATGTGATCGGTACGAGGGTCAGTTGCAGACCAGATCTTCCATCCTGATGGATTGATAATACTATCGAGGTATGAGTTCTTGACAACCACAAGTGCATACGCAGAGTATGGACGACCAAGATACACCGTGTTAGTGAGATCAACCGTTGCATCGGTAGCAGCAGTGAAGAGACATCGGTCAAAGATGTAGCCGCCAATGGCCGAGGCAGATGCACGACTCTGAGCAGTCATAGCAGACTTTGCTCGTTTAGCACCGATCGTGCAACCAACAAACACAGACTTGGAGTAGCCCCAGATAAAGTCGATAGCTCCAGAGATGTAACAAGACTCATAATACTGGTAGCCAGCGGTCGCACCGGTGAGAAGGGTATCTTGCCAACCTTGGAATGAGCATCCATAGAAACCGATGTCATTACCATAGATGGAAGCAGCTAAAGTGACGTAGTTTGGCTCCAGACCATCAAGGTTATCTGAGTTGATAAAGTTGACGTTGTAGAACGAAATTCTGTTCGAGGCAGTTGCGACAGTTGCAGTTTCCGCATCGTTATGACCAACTGGCAGAGGAGAAACGGAAAGACCACGTGCGAACGTCACAGTGACTGAGTTGTCCTTGTAGTTTTGTCCTGGGTTGCCAGAAGTATATCCAATGACGCGGACAGCACCTGGGCGATTGATGGAAGGGATCTGTTCGGTGTAGGTACCCGCATAGAGGAAGATCGTCTGATTGGTATTGTCGTTTGGAAGAGAAGCAAGAGCAGCGGTCAGGTTCGTGAATGAAGCATTGTGCTGACCATCAGCCGACACGACGACGGCATATTGAGGAGGCGCAGTGCCGCTATCAGGATGGGCATTGATTGATGAAGTACTAGTGGGACCCGAAACACCCGAAGATGTGCTACTTGCACCGCCGGTGGTTGTTGATGCCGGGAAACTCCACGAAGTCTCATAGTTCCAAGCAGCCTGGTCGATAAAACTGGTGTCGCCTACCCAGCTTGCAAGAGCATAAGCTGCAACCTGATCATCGGTCATGTTGGTCGCGAATGACACGCGAGCTGTACCGGTTACCCATGATCCAGGGCCTGTGTTGTTGTACTCTCCGAGGAATACATTAGATGTCTGAGGGTTGCTAGTCGACCAGACCTGCCAGCCAGCAGCATTGATATGCTTGTCGAGGTAACTGTTCTTGTAGACAACTGTAGAGTAGTTACTGTAAGGACGACCGAGGAAACTGGCTGAAAATGTGCTTCCGTAGGTTGAGGTATATGTGACGTAGCAGCTGTCAAAGATGTATGCCGATGGGGTGCCCAAAACGCGGCCTTGAGCAGATACACATGCGCCTTTGGTGTTGGAAGCAATGACCGACTTGTAGAAGTAGGCTGTTCCAAAACCCCAGATGAAATCAACGCTACCCTCGACGTAACAGTTTGAGAAGACTTGAACACCCTTATTGGCCAAAAGAGTATCTTGGAAGCCAATGAACGAGCAACCGTAGGCAGCCATGTTGTTACCATAGAAATCGGCGGCAAGAGCGGCTGTGTTGGCTGTTTGGGGGTATGAATTGATAAAGTCGATGTTGTATAAAGCCAGACCGGAGTTATCGTTGGTCTTCTTTGAATTGATGACAGGAGTCTGCTCGTTTTGACCTGCGGAGGTGAGTCTTCCACTCGAGAACTGAATCTTGACCTGGTTCTGGCTGTAATCATTCTTGAAACTAGTCTCTCCAAGGAGAGTGACCTTGCCGTTTCTGGTGATGCTGATCTGCTCATTGTATGTGCCAGGCTTGATGTAGATAGTGTATGGCTTGCTATCATTAGGGAGAGCGGCGATAGCGGCAGAGATGTTGTTGTACTGGCAGGCGGTACCATTCTGGGATACAATCAAAGTTGCTGAAGGAGTAGGCGTAGCACAGACGCTCGAACTGGAAGCAATCACAGTGCTACTGCCAGCGATGCTGCCGCTGGAGACACTGCTCGTCAATTCAGATGATGTAGATGATACTGATGACATGGTTGATGACACTGAAGAGCTTACAGCAGAGCTGGAGACAGTGGCGATCTGGACAGAATCAGAAGCTTGGATTGCACTCAGGACATCGGAGTCAATCCATGTAGTGTCAAAAGAGTTATAGCCAGCAAACGCATTTCCAAAGACCTTGTCGATTGTGAAAGCGGAAACCTGATCAACAGAAAGTTGTATATCACAGACACCAGGTCTGGCTTTGAGGTTGGCGGCGTTGGCTGAATACGAACCAGCACCAGAGTTGGCGAATTCTCCGTAGAAGGCGGTATAATTGCAAGAAGTACCATAGAATCCGCTGGGAGCGATCAAACTCCCAAGATTACTATTACGGTAGATCGCTTGAGTGTAGTTGCCGTTGGGTGCCGCGAGGTAAACGTAAGTGTTGGTGAAGCCAGCTTTCTGAACCACAGAACTAGAGTCGACGACAATTGTGGAGTTACCATTATTCGCAATGCCAGGAGCTACACCTTTGGCGTACATAATGGAAGCGCTGCCGACGGTCGGTACAATTATAGATCCATAGACGTATACAGTAGGATAGTTGTAAAAGAGCTTGTCCGATCCCTCGATGTAGGAATTTGCAATCAGAGCCGTTCCGTAAGAAGAGGAATAGACACCCGCCCCGTTAGATATCAGGGCACAGTTGTAGAACCCATGCTTAGAGCCTCTAATCGACACAGCAGGGGCAGTTCCAGTACCGGTGTTGGTCAAGTTAAGATTCTTGAAGGTGACTCCTTTAGTGGCACTCGTGGCAATACTGACCACACCGTTGGCGCCACTTGCAATGATAACGACCTGATTTTGGGCAACAGAACTAGCAGTGGGTCCAATGATGGTCACAGTCTGAGTACCGCTGATAGCGATGCTCTCAGAGTATGTACCTGCCTTGACGACGACTGTAGGGATACCACTGTTCTGAGCAGCATTGATGGCAGCATTGATAGCGGTGAATTGAGCCGAGCCATCTGTAGCCACCGTCAGTGCGGTCAGTCCAGAAGAAATGGATGAAGAGACGGCGGTGGACGAGCTCGATGATACAAGAGAAGAACTGGAGGCAGTCGACGGTAAGAGCGAAGCGGTCGAAGAGGTCAATGTCGATGTACTGATCGTTGAGTTCTGACAAACAGCGACAGCAGCAATTCCAGCAATGCTGATCAAGGTCGAAGCCTTCATGGCGATGGTGACCACCTCTGAGGGAAGGGGATGGACAGATGAATCGTTGTGAGAAGGTGCTCGAGGGTGAAGATCAACGAGTGATGGGCATTGCAGCTAATATATCTCGCTCGAGGACCATATAAAGGACCACATATGGAGCCTCTTTCGGCATGGCCGAACGATACGATACGTAGCTGGTCGGCCTGAAGATCCGGCAGGCTCGGTAGACCGTGAGCCGAGTCTAGTCGATGACCAGGAAGGTGCGGAGGGCTGTCCCTGCTATGGGATGCGGTTCAATGCACGTGTCGTTTGCGAGGTGGAGGCAAACAAGCGTCGGATCACGCATGGCGCTAGCAGGTGTATAGTGATGCTAGCAGGTAAGTACCTAACAGAGCGCAAGATCATGGACACACCCCGAATTTTGCAATCAGGGCGCACACCATCTCTGAGACCCTTCCGCTCCAGTGAGTGTCTTTAAATCACCTTACGAGCATTGTCCAGTGTTAACAAAACATGTCTTGTGTTTTCGAGGCTTTGTTCCCAGATTCGATATGTACAGGGTTTAGGCTGATGGATCATTTCTCGACATTTGCCGGCACTATGGGCAAAGTATAAGCCTCCCCAACTGGTAGAAGGCCGACATTAGAGTTCTGAAGCTTTTGATCGTTTAGCGAGTATGCGAGCTATCTGCAGGATGGATTTCTAGAATGCAGAGGCGCTCTGCCGCAAGAAAGATCAATACATGCATCTCCTAACCACAATTCGGCTCGCGAGGGCGATCTTACCACCCTTTACATGGAGATCTATTCCCGATCGTCTCGACCGCGTACAATGTCTACCACGGAAGGTTTGAATATTCCGCTTCGTTTGACAGTAGGAGGATTGATAGGCTTTCGTGGTTTCGAGGGCTTACAAAAACATCGTTTGGTGCATTCCCGGCGGGATGCTATCCGCAACTATGGACACGCGGGACCCACCCACCACATGCGTGGAAATGAAAGATGTGGAGGCTCAGCGTGCTTGTGTAGAGGAGAGGCTTCAGGTCGCTTGACGCGCCGCCGCAAAGGCACGGAGAAATTTGCGGTGCCGGGGTGCTATTTCGTCCAGATTTCGGAAGGGCCGAGAACAAGGGCAGACCCACAATTTCCCCAAATGGTCGTTGAGATTTGAAGCATTGTCCAATGCGATACAAGGCAGCTGAAGATACGGAAGATGTGGGTGGATGGCGGTAAGAGACGATGGAATCTGGGAGGGAGGTCGGTGAGTAGGAGACCAAAGTTGTCCCTGTCTGTCCGACTCAGGTGGCTCCCGGGTCCTCTGAAGAACTCGTAACCCGAAAAGCTGACACCTGCCAAAATCGAGCTTGTCCAACAGTTTGGGACGCAGATAATCCTCCGCATCCTCGGCGATCATTTTGGGGATCTGTTATTCCAGACATGGACAGATCTGCAGCGACCTGTGAACGACCGCATATCACAGTGGCCACGTCGAATAGCTATGCGAAAGCGGTACGTATCTTCAACATGGGTCAGGGCTGGCTTCAGGCACAGAAGCCACACTGAACGGAAACGCATGCTCGCTTCCAAAGTAAAAGTTGCAGGCCGCCTGACGGAAGATATCTACGAGTCAGACACGCAACCTCGTTGTCCACTTGTCAAGCATGGTGCATGTATGTACCACGGGACAGCCCGGCTTTGTCATTCATCCTGCATGCATGCCCATGTAACAAGCTCTGGATCAAGAACGAGATCAAGCATTTGTTTATCCGCCCTGCTGGATCGGACAGTCACTCTTGGGAACTCAACTGAGTGTACAGACACAGCAAATCCGGTCTTTTGCTCATCGCTCAATTCCAATGATATTCGAGAATTTCAAGACATGTTCGACCTGGTTCCCAGTTTCATCATCGTTGCGCTCCCGAGATCTACAGTAAACGCTTTCCCCGGCCGCCGTTATACAATGGAGTCTGCACTTGCCGACGTTCGAGGTGAGCTGAGAAGCGGCATCAATCGAGTGGGGGCAAACGCACAAAGCTTGACCTGCTCGAAGATCATCTTGGGGCGGCCTATTTCGGTCTGCAGCAGGCGGCACCATGCTTCTGCCACTCGACACAGATGGACACGGCAAGACTGAACGTCGAAGAAATCGATTGAAATCGATAAGGACATAGCATTAAAGTTTGACAGCTAATGTAGGTACTTGTACATATCATGTACTCTTCAAGCGTATGGGTTCTGTGAGCTCTTGTTGGTGGAGAACTATTATTCCGTCGAGCTGAAGGAGGCTGCGTATTATTAAATCCGGAAGGTTCCTGCTAGCACGCAAACAGTAGCAGCTGCTGATATATCGGCCTATGGTTAGAAGCCTCTTCAGTCACCATGTTCTAATAGTGGCAGGTGTTTGTCACGGCGCCACAGGTCATTCTGGCGTAGAAGTACGAAGCACAGCATTTCCCCTTACGGTGAACTGTCAAGCACAAGCGCATGAAATAATGGATAAGGCTGAAGAGATATGATGAATTAGAACAAGTATGTGAAACCTCTCAGACGCCTTCACTACGCAACGTGCAGTCCGATATGTAATTATACGCTGATCAGAAGCGAGCAAAGGCAAGCTCAAAGGCAAGACCCAGGGTCAACTTTGCATGCTGCAGCATGTGATCAAAGTTCAAGTATTCGATCTTGTCCTCGGTCGTGTGGATCTTGTTGTCGCTGTATTTGAAGTCACTCTCAATGACGAATGCACTAGGGTAACCGGCCTTGCTGGCACTGGCATGATCAGAGCATGCATAACCACACTTGGTAAGGACATAAGGAATGTCGCAGTAGGTGGTGACGACCTTCTTAATGAACTCAGTGAGGCCAGGGTCGACAAAATCGGTAATGACGCCAACACTCTCGGGCTCGCCAGCATCAAGAGTCTTTTGAATGTAGCCAGTCATGTCTTGCTGGAGCATGGCCTTGACATCACGGCCAGCCTTCTCGTAGGTCTGGAAAATGGCTTGCGATCCGAGAAGACCGCCCTCTTCTGCGCTGTACCAGTGGAACTCGACGGTGTTCTCTTGCTTGCCCTGAACGATGTCCTGGTTGAGGAGCAAGACACGGAGCGCCTCAAGGATAGTCACGGTACCGCTACCATCGTCATCAGCGCCGGGTGCGGCAAGAAGTGAAGGGAAGAACAGGTTGATGCTGTCCTGGTGGGCACCAATCACGACTGTCTTGTTGGTCTTGCCGGGGAGCGTGGCGATGATAGAGTTCTGTCCCCAGGCATGCTCAAAGTGCTTGACGTTTGCACCATGCTTGAGAGCTCCAGCATGTGCTAGAGTGTCGTTGACCTGACCCAGAAGCCAGAACGATGACTTTGCACCGTATTCACTCTTGTAGTAGCGTGTGTGGAAGGCGGTAAAGATCTCGAGATGGTCGTGCATGTTTGACTTGGTCAGATTGCCGGCGAGAGACTTGACAGTCGAGTTGTACTCGGTATGGGCTGGGAACTTGACGGCGGCGTTGGACTTGGGAATGGAGCCCAGATCGGGTGTGTCGGTGATGTCGAAGAACGAGATGCCTTCCTATCACGTCTTTAGCTAGGGCTCCCGCACGTCGACATGGATACACTCACTCTTCTCAGAGCCCATTTCTCCGCATCCGTCACCCATTTGGTCTCTCCAGGACTCAGCTCGATTAGATACTGCTCAGGCGACATGAAGCCTTGCACTTGCTGGGCAGCATTCTGGGCGATTCTTGGGACACTGAATGCCTGAACGGCGAGGCCAGATGCGCATGCAGCAAGGATAGATGATGTCTTCATGATTTGTTGATTATGATTAGAGGTATGGAGAACAGAGAGGTGTCGCAGTTGGATGTGACTGCCTATCGTGGGGAGTTGACCGAACAACGCTTGTATCGAAAGCGGCAGGTACGCACGTCATTGCCGCAGGTCACGGCATGTGATCGCGATGGCTGTGATGCACATCTGCTCGGTCTTGAATATTAGCCAGGGATTCTTCCATGAAGCGATCAAGATTGTGGCATAAATTGATCCAGTAGCTTGAACGAATGTGATCTGAGTTGGTAACGCCCATCGGCATCACCATGTGCTGAAAAGCGCTCAATGTGAACAATATATGTTGATGCATCCGGAATCCTCTCATAACCCGCCTCGATAGTATAACGGCTAGTACGAAGGTCTCATATCGGTCATCGAAATGACCAAGCATGGCTTGGGTAATCCTTAGATGGGAGTTCGATTCTCCCTCGAGGCAATCCTTTTTGTCCATGCAGGATCTCCAAGCCCACTCGCGCCGCAGCAGCTGCTGCTACCTCGAAAATGCGCATTTCTTTTGTTTGACAATTGCAATCCCTGATGCTTTGCAAATTTCGCAAATTTCATCACTCTCATTCAGATTCGATTTGATGTTCCGTTCAATTTTGTAGCCAGTACACACGTGAACCCGCGCCGCTGAAGTCGCCTCCCAACGCGTCTTCCCGCATCAAGTCGATGGGCGAAATAATACACACTCATGGATAATCTGCTGGGTGGGCTGAATCACGCCCAGAGGCTTGCAGTGACCTCGCCATCACTGGCTCTGCAAGTTCTGGCGCCTCCTGGATCTGGCAAAACCAAAACACTTACCGCTCGAGTCTCACATCTCATTACCGAAAGGGGACTGAAGCCATGGAACATCGTTGTCTGCACTTTTACCGTCAAAGCGGCGCGAGAGATGAAGGAAAGGATCAAGGACCTTGTTGGTGATGGTCTCGAGAAGAAGCTCATTCTGGGCACTTTCCATTCAGTCGCTCGCCGCTTTCTTGTGTCTTATGGCAACTTGATCGGTATTGAGAAAAACTTCGGAATTGCCGACATGTCGGACAGTAAGGCCATCATGAACCGCATCATCAAACGTCAGGGATTCTCCATTGAACCAGGAAGTGCTGGAGCCAGGATTTCAAGTCTCAAAGCCAAAAGCATCAGCGCCGAACAATATGGACTCACTCGCAAAGCTGCTGAGCAAGAGTTCAGTGTTGTGTACGCCGAATATGAGGAAGCATTGCGAACATCCAACCTCTTGGACTACGATGATCTGCTTCTTCGTTGCGCTCTACTGCTCCGTAAACATCCCGAGTGTGTCTCCAACATCGAGGCTGTTCTTATCGACGAGTTTCAAGACACCAACAGCGTACAATTCGAGCTCATGTGCCTGTTCTCTCAGTTCAAGAGAAATGTCACTATCGTTGGCGATCCTGATCAAAGTATCTACGGATGGCGAAACGCCGAAATCAAGAATCTGGAACGAATGGAGAAACGCTTCCCTGGCACAGACGTGATACATCTGGAAGAAAACTACAGATCAGCGGGAGCAATTCTTCAGTCAGCGCAAAAAGTGATCGAGCAAGACGAGAGTAGGCCATCCAAGGCTCTCAAGCCTACCTTTGGTGTAGGAGACCGGCCTGTCCTACGCAAACTTCCTACGGCAGACGCCGAGGCAAAGTGGCTTGTTGCAGAAATCATGAGGACGCAGGCCTTGTGTGCAGATTTGCTCAAGCCAAATGACTTTGCTATATTGCTTCGCTCGGCAGCTGTTTCCAGACACATCGAATCAGCTCTCGGCAACTCAGGCATACCATATCGCATGGTTGGTGGAACCAAGTTTTTTGATCGTATTGAGGTCAAGATGGTGCTGGACTATCTTCGTGTCATCAACCAGCCTGATCATAATGATGCACTCCTGCGCATCATCAATGTGCCCACCCGCGGCGTCGGCGACGTCACCGTCAAAGCTCTTATAGATGAAGCGGAAAGGAAAAGCAGCAGTCTATGGAAAACTGTGCTCAACAGTGTTCAGGGCAAGGCCCGATCAGATACGAAACTCTCCGCTCAGGGATCGAAGGGTCTCACGGATCTGGTCAATCTTGTCCTCACTGGCCAGAAGAAGATCAAGGGCTCAGACGAACAGCAAGCATCTCCGTTCGAACTGGTAGAGTACCTCATCAAAAAGCTTGAGCTGTCCAAGTACTTGCAAAAGAAGTACCCAGACGATTACGAAACTCGATGGGCTAATATCGAGGAACTCAAAGCGCAAACGGCAGACTTGACAGCAGCCATGGCTCACGGTGAAGAGTTTGTCGAAGAGGAAATCTTGCCTGATATTGAGGGGTTGGAACAGCGACTCATGAATACTCACGAGGACGCATTGACACTATTCCTTGCGAACATTGCACTGTCAAGTGAGGTCCAAAGAAAGCAGGATGAGAATCCTGATGAGACACAACAACACGTTACGATATCCACGATACACGCAGCAAAAGGTCTCGAATGGCCTATCGTGTTCATACCTGCCTGCTATGAAGGCTCAATACCACATTCAAGAGCTGACGACATTGATGAAGAACGTCGCTTGTTGTACGTCGGCATGACCAGAGCTCAAGCATTGCTGTACTTGAGCTGTCCAAACAAGAACAGTCAGTCTGGAGAAACAACAATGTCTCACTTCCTTACACAGAGAGGAATAGAGGCATTTTTCGAAACACAAGGACCCAAGCTTTACGATGATGCGGTGGTTGAGTTGGCGAAAATATTGAGAAGAGACAAGCCTGCTCTCGGACAACTCATCGAAGCACGTAGCACATACGAGAAGCCTGAAGATACCCACTGGCCTCTGGATGGTACTTTTCCTAAGAGTGAAAAGTCAAGATGGGACCATGGACGTGAGATTGACTTCAAAGAAGGAGCGTTTGCGAATAAGCGACGCAGGACAGAAAATGAGCAACAAGGTGGACCTACGGTACCAGTTGCCGGATTCATGCCAGCATCGAAAGTTACAATGCAGAATCAAGCTGGCTTCTCTACTGCCTCAATGAGTATACCAGCCAAAGTCACGACAGCTGCGATGCGCATGCAAGAGCTAGAATCTGCTCAAGAAGATGCTAGACTTCGAGATATCGATGGACGAAAAGCACCAATCAAAAAGAACAAAGCTGTCGAGGGATCTGCCAACATTATGTCTTTCTTCGGCAAGCCAAAGACGACCACTGCATTACCACAGACAGCGGGATTGACACGCACATCGAGTGTTCCCGAGGCACATCTACCACCGAGAGCACCAGTGTCTGTGTCTCGTCATGCGTCCAACCCTCTTCACGACATCTCGAATATGTCTTCTACACGACCAGCAGGAAACCTAGAACGTCCTGCCATCCCGCCAGCGAAAGCAGCACAAATCACAAACTTCAAACTCCGGACAACGCCTTTGACGACGAAACCTGTATCAACCAACAAGATGGACAAGGAAGGTAATCAGACAACAACGGCCTCTCGACCATATGCATTCTTCTCAAGCCCACCTCCTCCAGAGCCACCTTCTTCGCCACCCGAAGAGGAGAAGGTAGAAGTGTTCAAACCGGCGACTACTTTCCATTCTACCAGCGTGGCACAGGTGGGCAATAAGGTTGTTCCCGGACGTAGATTGGGCATGGGACGTGTTTTTAAGCCTTGGAGCGCTAGAGGCGGTCGAGGCGGATGATGATCAGCATGATGGATGAGTGGGACTTGGTACGATTGTATTGCATACACGGCATTGCTTGGTTGGAAAGCATTCTAGATTGTATCGTTTCAAGAGTCGGGTTGCATGGTGTTCGTGGGTTATTGTACATGGATTTATCGTTGGAAGTAGCTATTGGTATTGCTTCAAATGCATGATGAGCGGACAATGCAAGACCATGCTACTTTTGAGGTCGCTGCTTCCTGAACTGAGTATTTCGACGTCAATCTGAATCTATCCGGTGTATGAAGAGCTACTTTCAATGCCTCCTCATATTGCTACGCTTAGCCATTCCTTGTGACTGCGCGTAGAGCGATATCTCATGCTCGTCGCTGTCAAGGATGCACCATCTACTGGCGTTCGAACGGTTGTGTCTCTCCTCCCTTTTGTCCTTGTCTTCAAGCCTCTGGCTGCGCAGCATAGATCCTCACAGGATAAAGGTCCTTGGGGAAGCCTCTCTGCAACTCAGTAGCCACAATCTTCAGGCCAGCCTCCTTGAACAAATCCCTAAACTTGTCATCCGTCCGCGTAACACTCGAATCCGTCTCATCATAGACATCCTCGCCAAACTGATGATTTGACAGATTCTCCTTTAGCACAATCCAACCTCCTGGTGAAAGATGTTTCTGCACACGCTTGAACAGCGCATTGACTTGAGCATCCGTACATTGGCCCAAGCACCATTGGATCCAGATGACGTCGTAGGTATGCTCAGGCTCCCAGGCTTCAAGACCAACATTGTAGATCTTTCCAATCTTTCCTGCATCCCGAAGCTCTTTGAAGTCGTCACCCTCGGAGACTTGATTGGTGAATTTCTCGACTGGCTCTACGATATCTGTGACGTCGGATACCTTTGAGAGGAGACCGAGAGTGATACGACCGATTCCAGCGCCGCAGTCGACAATGCGGGAGAGAGGTGCGGTTGCAGGGTGGAGTTTGGAGGCACGGCGGAGTTTTGCGAGGAAGGTGGAAGATTGTTGGAGGTCGATGCGAGAGACTTGGGGGAAGCCGCCGAGCATACCCGTCACGGATGGGTCGCAGGAGTTCCAGTATGTGAGTGCGACGGATGTGTCGATTTGCGAGTCTGGAGCGGGCATGGCGCTGGAGTTGGAGGTCATTGTGTTGAGAGATGTGTGTCGACACTGTCTCGGACAAGTACCGCGCGTTTGGATATCAAGAGCCGGGAATGTCTTGTTGTCGTCGTTGGTCCCGAGTGTGTGAGCGGGCAGCACGCAGAAGTTGCGGGAAGACGCGTCGATCAACACGTCACGTCAGACCTCGAATCTACAAGACAATCCTTCACCAATATCCGACTGGGACGCCAGCTTCGACTTTCCTACGATATTTGTGCGCTTCATGCCGCACCGCAAACCACTTCAAGTGGAAAACACGACGGCAGGCACCTAGATTCAAGCTACCTGTGTATGAATAACACTGTGCGTATATAAACTTGTCTTGGCGGTATCTGCCATACCAAAACGCCGTGAAACCCGCATTAAATATGTTTGAGAAGACATGTTTGGTGCGAAGAAATACAGAGACACCAATCCGTACAGACGATAGAGTTGGCAAGGTGTGAGGGAATGGTACCGAATCTCGAAGAGATTGCACACTTTTGGTCAATATGTTGCCGGAAGGTGCACGTGGAAACGACGGTGGTCTTCTTGTGTATTCCGTGAAAGCGCACATGTCACCCTCTGTCTGGGAATGGAGACTACTTGCTATCATGAGCTAATGCATTCCGTTAGGCCTCGGAGGTAAATAACGAAAGATCTTGTGCCTCCATCATCGGATTAGTCGCTGCTTGTTAACAGTCTTATATTGAGTAGGCACAACTCCGAAAATTGCTTCAAGCGGAAACACGATGGGGAGTAGATTACAGGCCTTTCGTACTTGTAGCCTGTTTCACACAAGTTTCGGAAGATGTGTCCAAGAGTGTTCATTTAGTCTTCTGGGGCCATTGTTCACGGTACACGGATGAGAGACGCGCCGAACGTGTAACGCGTCATGTCCAAATTTGATCAATACGTCACAGCCATGAATCGGGTATGCCTATAAGTCTTGAGCAGCATCACTCGGTGACGGTGATGAAACAGGGAGACACGACTGTCGAAACAAGGCTCGAGCCGCGAATGATATAGAAATGGAACGCGAGAAGTATTGCCATGGTGCAATCGAATGGAATCTTCTTCCTGATGCTGCACACGCGTAGAGACGCGATAGGAGTGCATAGTGCATAGTGCATGTGCCGAATACATGCAGGAGATGCTGCAGGCTTTAAATGTCCGACGCGCTCCTTTCTTTCGAGCGCGGCAACATGTCGAGGCGACTGCAGTTCGAAAGCAGTAGTGGACTTGAGTGGTCTGCGGAAGTGGATGTTGCTACAGATTCAAGCTGAGGAAAGCACGTGCGCATGGATCCGGAGGCCGGTTAAACAAGAGAGCGATCTTTCGATCTGCATCTCGATGAAGAGCGGCTCTGCGACTGCATCGAAGATGGACCAACTCCTAAACGCAACCAAAATGTATTGGATAGAAGAGAAGACTCCGGTTCTCAGAACCTCTGCTTCCTCTTGTCAACCAAGGCAGACAAGCATACCCACCGTGTAGATGTCTCTGACACAGAGTCGAGTGTTTCCCGTCAGTTCTCTCGTCTCTATCGACTGCGTACCCATTATTCTTTCGACCTCGCCGCGCCATTCCACCAAAACAAACAAACGGCCGGCCTTTCCGACCTCTGCCTCTGCCTCTGCTTTAACTAGGTCTGCCCAACGCCACCTCATTCCGTCCGAAGACGAGCATGACAAGCCGAGTCATGTCGCAGACGTAGCCATTCATCAACCCGACTTGAGTGGCCTTGGGATATCGACGTCAACTCAGGATGAGATGGAACAACAACAAGATGCGATGGTCGCTCTTTCAGGCGTAGACAGCATCCAAGCCTTTGGCGCTGCCATCGGCCTCGAACAAGATGCTCTAGGCAATCTGCTGGTCTCGATGGCTAGCGACAACTCAAAGTCCATTCTTGGGTACTCGACAACAGAGCTGTTCGCCCTGGAGAGTTTCCATGATTTGCTCGAGCCTTACGAGTCAAAGGCCTTTATCGACCACATGGCTGCTGCTCATGATCGCGCTAATTATTCAAGTACCCGCAATGTCTTCGAGATGAACATCAAGGCACCGGATGGCTCCGATAACCGCTTCTCTTGCGTCGTGCACGCTGATATCACCAGACCTTCGCTGCTTCTTTGCGAGCTCGTGCCTCAACATGGTGCCCGCTCGCCCTGTGCATTGCCCCGTTACCGTCAACTCTCGCCCGCAAGACAATTGAGACCGAAGTATTACCGACATCTGAGGAGGGATAGTGCTACCAATGCCATGGCCATTATGGACAAAGCGCACTCTACTGTCTCAGTCGCGTCAACCATAGATGGCTTGTTGGAATCCCTCGTCGCGTCCATAAAGAATGCAACAGGCCATCAAGATGTCTTCGTTCATCGCTTTGACGAAGACCGGACCGGCCGACTAATCGCGCAGAGCAAACATGAAGAGAGCTATCAATATTTTGCCAACAGCACCGGTCCAACATCTTGCAGCATGTCACATGATTGTCTGAGAATGTTCCGCACTCTGGAGGTTCAAGTCCATAGAGGTCAAGAGACGTCCTGCCTACTCGATCGACCCGACAGTATGCTCGAGCGTCCCCTGGAGAGCAAATCGCTATATATGAGAACCATGCCTCATTTCCAGGTTGCCGATGCCGATACCAAACTTGCTCGATCTCGTGTGCTTGTACCTCTCATGATCTCAGGGAAAATCTGGGGTGTTGTGACTGGATACTCCTTTCTCGAAAACGAAGCCCCGCTCACTTTCCTCTGTCGCAATGTATGTCGACAAGTCGCGGACTCGGCATCGCGGAAAATGGAAAACATCATGACCTCTCATGTTCTAGAAGCTCGCGGACCACGTTTCGCCCGAGGCACTAGAGAACTCTCTGAAACCACCATCCTAGCTCCGCGAGACACATTGAACTTACTCCAGGCCGACTTTGCTATATCATCTATCAGTGGCACCAGAAAATCATAGGAACGGCGACAGAACCACAAGAAGCCTTCGCTTTAGTGGAGTATCTGCAATTGCGCCGACTCAAAAGGAACCTAATGTCTTCTAATTTCGCAGCCGACTTCCCCAATCTGAGGTACAACCCTGGATTTCGCTCTGTTGAGAAACTGTTACTCGTCCCCATTTCTTCGGACGGTGAAGACTTTGTAGTCTACTTCCGTGAAGCGATCTCAACCTCTTCACACCAGTCGGTCGAGACATGGGATGAGTCAGAGCCTCAGATTGCAGCGATTACCCATACAGTCTATGTTAGATTTAGCGCCTTGTGGAAGGAAAAAGAGGAGGCATTGCAACAAAGCCGCCTATACAAGCTTCTACTTTCGAATTCTAGCCACGAATTTCGGACTCTTTTGAACGCAATTTCGAACTATCTCGAGTTTGCAGGAGAAGGCCAACTCGAAGCCAAGGAAAGCGAGGTTGTAACCTTGGCCAAGGCTACATCACAGTCACTGTTGGGCGCAGTGACGAAGCTGTTGGATTGTGTTGACAGGAACTTGCAGCCTTGATTTGCTCACGGTTGTCATGATCCATCTACAACATACCAAACTACACTTCACAGCGTCAGAATCTCCGCAAGATCCGATGAACGAGCTATGTTCTTTTGATTACCTGCTCATTTGGCTGGGTAGCCTCTGCGCCCGGAACCTTGGAGGACGGAAGTTTGACAGAATGCGCACCTGGAAAATCTTATCCAGTGGTTTTGTCGACCACTCTGACGCTCCTGCCGTCCTACAGTAGAGCTGCACCAGGAGGAAGTGGGCTCTCCTGTGAGCTCTAACTGAATCGACAAGCGAGGAAACTGGTCAAAAGATTGTCCTCAGATACACACGGTTGGCAGGCGCATTTGACTGACATCAGATGATGGCTATGCGGGGTGATTCTCGAGTCAAGGTTCTGATCAAACAAGCGAGTGTTGCCAGTCGATCAAGACTCTCGAACGCTCGCTCGGCAGGTGAACAGAGTCGAGGTGCTTTTCAGGATCCCAGATTTGCCAGACCTCATGATTTGTCCTTGTGCTTTTGGAACAACTTTACTCGTGGCATAATTATTGGACCGCGGCCACTGGGAGGTGGAAGTCGGTTATGCAAAGTCCCATTATGGCTACGTCTGTTTTATTAGGGTTTATTAGCGTAGCGAATATCGGAGTCCGGTCCGAAATCATGTTTGCGGTATAACGTTAGAGAAGACCGGTCTTGAGTGTCTTGATGTGCTGCATGCTGATTTGATTATGTGTATCTCTTTCGTCTCTGTCACGCTCCCACCTTTCTGCATTTGTCTGAAAGCAATCTTATAGATGTATATACAATACTTGATGTACATTCCCGATCGATCCGAAGAACGTTCTTACCCCAGGAAGAAATGTCATCTGAGTGATCTCTATACCAATCGTCGATTGATATAATTCTTGGCAAAAGTTCACATCGATATATCCGACCACATCGGACGAACAGGTGCGCGGACTCGTGTCTGCTAATCAACCTTCCAAAACAGTCTTCCTAACCAACATGGTGGGGCCCTGAAAGGGATCCACGGAGTGCTGTCTCCGTAGGGTTTCCCAGGTCCAAATTTCTGATCAGGAAGCCTTTTGCTTCCTGTCCTTTGGCAGAGAATTGCTGGTGTCAAGATGCAGACGCCAGCATACATTCTGGATGAATTTGCCTACTTTACTGCTTCTGAGCGCGCTGAGCGCATGGCGGGTACGTTGCTGCAGTTCCAGACGCGCATGTCTGAGACTAATGGCCGTGTGCTCGGTCGTGTGCTTGATATGATTGAAGCGAGTGAAGGGGACGAAGCACTACATCTCGACATGCTGGCGACGCATATGAGCAAATACCACTCTACATACCTGCAGTACTCGCCCTGGAAGAACGGATATACCTTGCTGGACGGAACCGAGATCAACTCGATGAGTGCCTATAGAGCATACTACAGCCGCAAGAATGGTCTCCTACCCCATAGCCGCACCAACGACGGCCTCTTGAGCGATGAAGATGCATCGACCCTCTTGCATTGTCTGGCGAACCTACAATGGGCCGTAAGAGAACACGCAGATAAAGGCTGGCTTGGAGAAACGGCACATACTCTGGAGCTACCCGCAGACTACTGCGAACTGCTCAAGCACGTTCGCGGTATCGGGTACGAGAACTGGGACAGGCAAATGTTCATCCCCGACATCGACGCATCCGTCTTGCAAAGGATTGAAGACTTGGCCCTCGAGGCAGATGAACTGTCCGATCTCGACTGCACGGCTGATTTTCGATTGGCTGCCGGATGGATCATGGGAGAAAACGAGCACGGCTCGCAAATCATATATGCCGTCTCGCGGCACACAGGTGTTGTTGAGCCCTGGCGCTGGAGAATCTTCGTCGAAGCGAATTTTCCGCATACCAATGTCTTTGAAAACGTGGAGGAATTCTTGATCTGGTTGTCAAGTGCTGATGACTGGATTGATTGGAGCGGTGTTCGGGAATCTGTCGGCGAGGTCCACAAGATATGCGCGATACGCCGGACAGAGGAGGCCGAACACAAAGAGACGCTGGAGCAATTGGGAAATTACAAGCTTGGATGACCTAGAAGGCGGCGCTTTCGTCCGCAGGGACGATATGCACATTCGTGTTTGACAGCAATCTCTCTTGACCACGGATGAACCTCGCGAAAGCAGCGTCAAATCCCAGAAGATCGCCAGTCGCGCCATAACAAGTCTGCACAGCAGTCCAGGCAGGAAGTGACGTTAGTGAATTCGCGAGACTCTACTTCAGTTGTCAACAAGCATGCGCGTATAATCAAAGCATCCGGAACAATCCCGCGTCAACATATCGCGAGAATCGCAAATTCGTCCTCAAGGATATCGATGTTTTATGCTTGGCATTGACTCTCAGGCTTTGTCTGAACAGTCGACTCGGTGAAAAAGCCGACTGCCGAAGGCTCACGGCGCGGTTCGCCACCTCCGCAGAGTCATGGAGTACCGAAGGATGCTCGGTGACCGGCCGAACTCGTACACAGATGCAGTTCTAGACGTAGATTTGGTAACAGCAGCACCCTGAAAAGGCAGTGAACTAGGACGAGGTGCAAAATGATGGACGACGAAGCCCATGACGAACGACTGCGGATGCGCACCTTGGCCCGGTACATACCTTCTCCATACGCGCCGGTCAGCAAACACGCACTGATCCACTACCCAGTTATTTTCTTCCTGCCCAAATCACTGCCGACACGCTTCGAGCAATCAGCGGTGAGCCTGTGCCACCGACCTTGTCGCAAGACACGCACCTCACTGCCCTCGCCCAGCTCGGTCCCCTCAAGTTGCAGTGTGACCGCGCCTTCATCTCGCTACTTAGCACGTCTACCCAATTCATCATCGCCGAAGCCACAAGATCCATTTCGTTGAAACAATCGTCACGCCATCGAGGCCGACAAGACGCTTTGTTCTTGGGCGTGCAAGCCTTGCACAAGAGCTATGGAGTCTGTCCAAACACCGTAGACATCTTTACAAACCGCTCTGGGACGCTGGCTTCGAACACATCCGACATCGTCGCCAATACCGACCGTTATGTTATACGAGACTTTCGCAACCTAGACTTGTTCAAAGACCGTCCATATGTCGTTGGCTTTCCACACATGCGATCTTATGCGGAAGTGCCGCTGAAGAGCTCCAATGGTCGCGTCATCGGCAGTTACTGTATCGTTGATTCTGAAGTGCGCCACGACTTCTTTGATGATGATCTTATGTCTACCTTGCAAGAGATCGCAGAGGCCATCGTCGGCTATCTTGATTCCGTCGCTATCCAGCATGCTCACGCGCGCGGGGAGCGCCTGATGCAAGGCTTGTCTATGTTCGCTGCGGGGCAGTCCATCATTGCGTTAGAGACGCAGTCATGCAGAGAGCGACGTATCTGGTCACGTTCAAAGTTCAATGTAATTGATGATATTGCGCCAGACCTGTGGCCCTCAGCTTCTACGATCCAGTCCGCGCGTCATACGTCAACCACATCGACAGATGGAACGAGCAATGACGATCCCACGCTTGAAAGCACGCTGTCGCGGGACAGAGTGCCATCGACCTCGCTTGGAGTTCTTGATCGAGACTTTTCATCACTGGATTCTGCTTCCATACCTTCCAAATCACAATCTCAAACGAGCTCGTCCACATCCGTGAAACAGCATGAGAATATATTTTCCCGTGCCGCGGCTGTAATACAAGTCGCCTTGGACATCGATGGCTTGGTTTTCGTGGGTCCTGGCGCCCAGGTGACGAGTAACATGCGGAACTCGAACTTTGAACCCATCTGCCAGGTCCTTGGAAAATCTCTCACACCGGAACAATCGACTGAAAAGTTCGAGACGCTGGGGCTATCATCCCTCATGAGTCTCGCCAGTGCCTTCCCTCATGGACAAATCTTCTCAGTCGATGAGTACGGTGTCTATCCTTCCGATAGCGACGCACATCATGTCGACAGCACGTACGTAGATTCGGCTCGTTCTATGCCATTTTCTTTCCCTTCAGAAGTACTGGAAGCTTTACCTCATGCCAGATACGTTCTTTTCTTGCCTCTTCAAGACATAACCAGCAACAGTCTCTTTGCCGGTCTTATTGGATGGACTGCGGATCCCATACAACACATTGTACACGACGATCTGATCAGCCTGAGGGCTTTTGGAAATGCGGTCATGACCGAAGTAGCCCGGTCGGAAGCCGACTATGTTTCGCACGCAAAGTCGAATTTCATCTCGTCAATCAGTCATGAACTGAGGTCCCCACTTCACGGCGTCCTTGCATCCGTGGAACTTCTCGAAGACAGTTCTATTCAGGAGTCAGCGAAAGACGTCGTCCGCATGATTGAGAAATGTGGGACCACTCTTCTTGACACTCTAAATCACCTGCTTGAATATGCCCAAATCAATCGCTTCAACGGGTCACAAAGCGAGATTCATGAGTCGCCTCTCTCTAACAAGGGCACAGCTATGGCGAGTGCCCATGGTGAGACCTCGGTAGCCGCCCTCGATGAGCTTGTCACCGATGTGACTGAGAGCGTGCATTGGGGTATGCGATCTATGCGGGCCCCCAAGTCGGCGATTGAGACCGGCGAGAAAGCTTTAGGAGTACACATCAACATCCAGCATCATCCTGAATGGCGTATGCCTCTTCGAGTTGGAGCCTGGAAACGCATGGTCCAGAATCTCGTTGCTAATTCCATCAAGTTCACCACAAGTGGATACGTTGAGGTTATGCTCTCAATTGTACGAAGACAAGGCTTGACCGATATTGCACAGGATCACGTATGTCTAGTTGTGAGCGACTCGGGCGTTGGCATGAGCCGCGACTACTTGGACCGAAGACTGTTCACACCTTTTGTCCAAGAAGACTCTACAAAGTCAGGCACAGGTCTAGGTATGAGTCTGGTCAAACAAATCTGTGATGATTTTGAAGGCACCATCAGTGTGGAGAGTATTTTGGGACTTGGTACACGAACGGAGATCTGCATTCCGCTGTTGAAAAACGTTGATGAATTCATGCCTGATCGCATTCTACCACCAAACTTTCTTGACCCTGATGGCTCACTTCAGGGGAGAAGCTTATGCTTTGTAACACCATCACATCCTGACATGACGGACATCAAGTCTGGGATCAGAGGAAATCAACTCGAATCTCTCTCTCACCTGCTATCCGACGGCGCTAAAGACTGGCTGGGCATGAGATTCTTCACATCTTCGACACTGGATCAGACTCATGCTGACTTCTACGTCTTTTGCGACATGTTCCAAGGTCGTCCCTCTGACCAGACGACTACTCATCAACTCGCGGCAAGCAATAAACGTATCATCTGCATTGGACTTGCAGAGATGGATCCTATTGGACTGAGCCAAGTCACGACACTCGCCTATCCGATCAGTCCACGATCTTTGAGTAAGGCATTACTAGCATCCCTGCACACACGAGATGAGCAAGTTCCAGCAGCACTATCTCTCTCGAATCCTTCTAGCCCGCCTCGAACACCAAACTTGTCTCTCACCAGCGATGCCGTTCCATTGAAGCAAAACCACCAGCCAAAGCAAACGACCATGACATCAAGGACCCACGACAAGCAGCCAGATCTAGCTCAGAAGGACCGTCTCAGACACGTCCTCGCAGTCGACGACAATGCAATAAACCTCGCCATCCTCCAGAAATATCTCAGAAAACTAGATTGTATGGTAGTCTCCGCAACAAATGGTCTAGAAGCAGTCGAAGCCTACAAGGCCGCAACACAGGCCTTTGATGTTGTTTACATGGACATCACCATGCCTGTCATGGATGGCTTTGAAGCTTCCCGCAAGATTCGGGAATTCGAACAAGAAACTACGGGACGGCGGGCTGCACATATCATCGCATTGACGGGATTGGGGTCCGAGCAATCGAGGCAAGAGGCTGCGGCTAGTGGGATTAATGAATTTTATACCAAACCAGTGAAACTCGAACGTCTTCGAAGCGTCCTAGATCGGATCACGAGCATGGATCAACAGCGATGATATCGCCAAACATGTATTCTGACGAAATGACCGGAGATGTATATATGATAAATGAGAAACTCTCGTCTAAATTTCAGGTCTTGCCTACTAAAATCTTTCCCATTGAGCCCTACTCACTTTACGCAAGGTGGAACGGACGCACGCATTCGGGTGTCCGATCTGGTCGCGTACAAGCCGAAATCCCAGAAGAAAGACCAATCGTGATCTTCTCGAGAGGGTCCCTTGTGGGGCTTGAAGGAGCAAAGACAAAGGCAGCCGCGCACCATGCTGTGTAAAAGAAATGCAAGGACCAAAACGTACAGCAGCAGGGATTCCCACGTGGTCACCCACCGTAGTACTAATCTGCCGTTCAACTGCTTATGTATGGCAGAGCGGACGGGATGCCCAGTTTTCAGCTGACTGTGGCCGTACGTGCCTAACGGAGCAAATATGAGGTATAAGTAACGAATGTGATTCATGCAACACGTTCTCATGGCAAGATCGGAATATCGGCAGCTTTACTTTTTATTCTTCATGCTACTAATGATTACGACTACCAAATAAGTCGCTTGCAGGGTAAAATGGCAAACGCAGCAAATCAGGACTTGATCATATATCGTCGTGTGTGCTTTATCCTTTTGAGACCCAAAACTCCCGCTAACCTCAAATGCAACCAGCAACACCAAAACCTTGAAGAGCAGAGAAGAGAATTCGTAGGTGGAGATCCATATGCTCTACCTTTTCCTATGGCCATCAAGACCAGGATCCCCAAACATGTGTGCCGGGCTGTGGCTTTTCGTCATGCCGTCAAGTCCGGATCCAGAGTCGCTTCTAAATATCTCGGACTGGGCATAAGGGTCAGACTCCCACACCTCAAGCCCTCCAACTGGTAGTGACTCTCCGTGAGGTTTGTTGACACCGTATTGGTGAAGCGCACCGTTGATTCCAGTAAGCGCCCATGCAAAGACAGCTTGGTCGCGGATTGAGCTCATGAAATCGTCCTGGGCAGGTCCACCCGCCCTGACTTGCTCGGTTTGAGCACTGAACGGACCCAAGGATGGTGCAAAGTTGTTTGCAAATGTTGGTTGCGGGCGAGCGTCCATTGGAGGAAGGATAGGCTCCGATGCCCAAGGGGCAGCGAACAGACCATTTTCGTACCTCGAACGTGACAGCGTGGGAAGCATAGGGCGTGCTCGTCGTAGACATACAACTAGCCCGTCTGATGTGCACGAAATGACGGCTTCTATCTCGATAGGCTCTCGCTGAATAGGGGGTCTGACGCTGCCATCGGGTGATGTCATTGAAGACGCCGATGATTCCTCTGCTCTGGAATCTCCAAAAATTGCCGAGTGAGTGTCCTGGAATTCGGTACTGCTATGTCCCGATGTGGTCCGAGAGTTCGAGGTGTGATTAGGAGCATCCACGTCCATGCTCCCCGATCTTGAGCGCGAGCCGTCGATATGCACGCCTCCGCCAAAGTCCTGGTCAACACTACTCTCTGCTGTCATATCGTCGTCGTCGCTGTCCTCGTCCATGGGTGTTGTTGCGTCGTCATCAATGCGAGGATCCCGGAACCAGAATCGAAGGTAAGCAATGGAGTCGTTAGCTTTTGCGTTCTCAAGACACTTGATAGCGTCCTGGAGACAGTTCTCGGCGATACAGTAGTAAAAACTTCGACCTCGCATGTACTCGGCGGGTATGCCGATAACCTCTTCTAAGCCTGCAGTCGCATACATGATGGTTAATGTACGGGTGAAGCGATTTAAAAACAGGGCGGCTCGAGGTTCGTGCTTCTCCAGCGGTCGTCTGAACTTGCCCGAGATGTGTGATAACATGTGGTAACGCGGATCGCGTGGTGAGGATGAGAACAAACGTCGAATGATAGGTGCTTCTTCTGCTCGCTCTGCCAGGAGGTTTAGCTGAGCGTTGGGTCACGGAAGAGATTGAAGACTTACTCTGACTTGGTAGACCTCGTCGATAGATGGAAGTGCAAACGATCATAACATCATAGACGATGGTGAAACAACATTCACAACCAGTCCATTGTCCTTCCTTGTTCTTGACTCTGCAGTAAGACAAGACAGCAGCCTTGTCCATCTGCACACCCTTTTTGTGAAAAGCTTGGGCGAAAGGCAACTCATCTTCAGAGAAGAATTCCCAGCACGAGCGATTGACGACTTCATCAGGCGTCCAGCCGAGGACGTCTACAATTGAATCGGAGGAGTAAAGAACACGGGCGTCGGGGGTCAGATCTGTCGTGGTGTCAGCGAAAAGTGGTGGGCTACAGGGTTGGTCTAGTGGTACCATGTATAGAGATGAAGGTCAAGTCCATGGTGGCGGATTGTGTGGGGTAAGAAGGCGGCGAAGTTGACGAGGTTTGTAGCAGGCGTGGTTATGTCTTGTGGTCTATCAGGCTGGTGTATGCAGGTTGCCACGATGGCGTTGTTGCTGCACGTCCTAGACGATGGATGCGAGAGGTGAGATGCGGGACCGGGCCACAGGAAATGGCGGCACGCCTTGACTGGCCGAGACTTGGACGAGCGAGGCGGGCGTCGATGTACCCTCTTGGTCAACCCTGAGGCTTCAGGTACGGCTTGACGTGTGGTACTTGTCGAGTTGGCAAAGGCGGTCCAAGTTACGGGAGAGGCATGAGTGTCGGGCTTATATAGCGCTGCTTGGGTTGCGTGCAATGGCGAGGCGAAGTCGGCGCTGGCTTCCGAGCTGACAGGACGTGCTTGTAGTTGCGCGAAAATGTACTGCACTGTCCGTGCTAGCGACAGAGATCGAGTGCTTCACGAAGACGACTTGGGATGCGACAGTACTAGACAAAGTAGTGTAGTGTAAAATTGCGGCCGAGAAGAGCCAAAGGGCACGGCCTGATCACTCGACTCTTTGCCCGACCGGACCCTTTCCACAATCCTATCGTCGACGTCACACAAATGCTGCACCTACTTGGCAGCGACCATCTCTCGACTAACTCTCACAACCCGTTCTTGACTGCCCATGTACCCTCGCCATTGGTTTCCAGACGCTCGGGTTCTTCTTGTATTGAGCGCCTGCTTCTTGGCTTGATGCGTGAACCTAGCATGTGCAGCAAAGCCGACTTCCTGATTGTACTCGCTGTTGCGCAAATCCATTAGCATTCGGCAGTCACCTTTAAGCTGCCCTACTTTCCAACCGGACCCTCAGCTCCGCCGTCCAATAAGACCCAGCATTCAGCCCTTGTACTGGGTAGTTGCGGTCGGCTTCCCTGCCTGCCTGACCTTGGATCGAGTTTCGTGTGCGAATCTGCTTTCTAGCTGGCTTCCATCGCTGATTTCTGCTTTGTCCGAGGACATCCTGCTTTGCTTGCTGGCTTGCTATGATAGCGATAGTCATCAATGCCTACTCGTCCTGCGTTGATTATAGTAATCGTTTGTTGTAAATAGTAAATGCAAGCGAGATGCCGAGCAAACTGGTTTGTCTTCGCAATTGTCGTTGATTGCAATATTGACGATCCCTTTGTGCTTTTCGTCATAACAATTTCTGCGCAGAGTGCTGGCGCCGTTTGTGCCTGCCTCTCCGCGTCTCGTTCACAGCCAGCTCTCACCTGTCAACAATCACTGGCTTGCTGTCAGCCACAACAATTGTGACAGCTGCCGTGGTGCACAAATACCTCTCTGCGTCACAAGTGCATTGCCTCAATCTGGCCGCCATATGACAGGACAACATGCAACTCCCACTTTGATAGCAACCATCCAAGCAAAAGTGCTGTCTGTTTGCCTGCGATTTTCGCTCACTAATCTCCTCCTACCATGGAGTTCCCTCAATTGAGAGCATGGCTGCGTTTAACAGTACGTTTGACATTCCCGTTACTTATGCAACTGTTTGCAGGATCCAAGCCATTCGCTAAACATATTAAAAGGATGAGCAAAGTGAAGGTACGCATACGAGTTGTCGGCGACATACTCCCTCATCTTCGAGCGGCCCTCACCTGACATTGTTCTAGTCTCAATTTACGACATAAAGTTCTACCCATATTCCGAGCCGGATGAAGATCCCGTCTTTGCCGCCGTGGCAGAAAGAGAAGTAAGCCCTACACATACAAGTCCTCAAACTACATTCCGAGTAATCGATTATAGATTTACATATGCAAGCCCGTCTGCAAGTCCAAGACATCAAAGACTAACGGTCTCGAGATTTTGACCGTGCTTGAAGATCCCGACGTACGTCTGCATTGCTCATGCAGTGCCGTCCAAGTTATGCCACATCACCTTAGCTAACCCGCTTTGACGTAGGAGGACATCTCTCTCAACAGTGTTGCGTGGTCGAAGGATAGCAGAACTGGGGAGCCGCTGGTCTGTGTCGCCGGGTCTGGATCGAACAACATCAAAATCTTGAATGTGGTCACAGGAAACTTGGCCCGAGTAAGCTCACCATCATTCCATTCAAAGAAAAGACGTGCTAAATAGTCACGACAGGTTCTCTATGGACACGGCGGTGTAAGTGCGATGTTGTCGAATACAATCAGGACCTAGACTGACATACCAGAGGCTGTCAACGACTTGGTTACATCACCAGTCTCACCAAACATCATAGCATCGTGCTCTAGTGACTACACGATACGAATCTGGAATCTGGATCGCAAATATGACAAACAGCCGTGTGCAGCAATCTTGTCAGGAGAAGGCCATAGGCAGACCATTCTCTCTATAGTGAGTATCTTTGAGGCTGGACTCTGTACAACACTGACGATGACTACAGGATTTCCACGACAATGGTAGGTGGCTGTTGAGCGGCGGACAGGATACCATGGTCTGCCTGGTAAGTACTGTTTCTTGTTGAGAGGCTTACGAAGTCATGGCTTACTCTCATGCAGTGGAGCGTTCCAGAGATCCCCGACGAAAACGCCGGAACAGACAGACCGACGGCAGTGGTTTTCCCGCACTTCGCCAGTATCAACATGCATTCGGACTACGTAGACTGGTAAGGCTCGAAGGCACTGAACTACCATGGTTGCTCGTTACTGACAAACAGACAGTGTCAGATTCTTGGGAGATCTCGTTATATCCAGAGCATCTACGGGAAATAACATCCACGTCAAGCGAGGAGACATAATGCTCTGGAAAATTGAGGGCTTTTCTTCGGCCGACATGAATCCACCAGAAGCCCCGATGCCCGGTTGTGGACGACCGACACGTTCAGCCTTCGGTGGCACTTTCCAACGACTGCTGACCTTCGACATGATGAGCGTAGAGCCATTCTACATGCGCTTCGGTCTATTGAAAAAACATGGTCACCGTCCTATGCTCGTCATGGGTAACATCAAGGCGCGCTTCTCCTTCTGGGACCTCCAGAGATTTGAAGAGCGTCGACCTGCCAAAAAGAAACTAAAAGCTGTTGTTAAGAGCAACAAGCGGGACAAGGATCTTGCTAGACAGGTCCTAATAAACAACGCGATGCGAGCCAGTAGTGACGCAAGCAGCTTGGTGACAATAGCCAGTCGTAAATCAGAGCTCATCAGTCGTCGTATGAGCATTCGCTCCAAGGGTATACTATGCAGCCCCTTCCTCAAGAGTGAAATTACACCCATCTGACAACTGCTGGCACAGTTCGCGCTTCTCGGACTCTTCCCACTCCTGTATCAGCGCTCGGTTCAACACCTGTGTTGACTCCAACCTCAATCACCAAGGCTCCAGTAGCGCCTTCTGAAGCTTCAGGACCGCCTCCCAAGGCTCCTATCCCACCCAATAAAGCCCCGATACCGCCTTCTAAGGATTCAAAGCCGCCCTTTAAATATCCAAAACCGCAGTCTAAAGACCCAAAGCCGCCGTCCAAAGACTCAAAATCGCAGTCTAAAGGCCCAACCCCCGTCTACAAACGCGTACCCCCGAAAGTCAATATAAACACTCGCACCAGCAAGAATTACATCAGGCACGCCGCTCATAAGATGATCGTCGTCAACTGTCCTATCGATTTTGCGTGCAGAGCTATTGATTGGAGTCATGATGGAAAGTGGTGCGTTGGGGTTGGTGATCGTGGTATGATTGCAATATTCGGTCGCGAGAAGACCAAATGAATACGCATCCTTGAGTGATATCTGATGGAGTGGGTAGAGTCTGCACGAACGAGATCAGCAGCGGGGACCATGGCTAGAGGAGGTCAAGCTAACTACAACCTAAGCCTTGCTGCGGACCAGCTTCCATTGAACCCCGGCCAGAGGAATGCGCTGACTTGACTTAAGCGGTCACGTTATCGCATAGCTATAGATGCTCAGACGAGGCGACAAAGCCTTAGGTAGATCAATATCTCTAAGAAGAATTCATAGTATTCAGAGCACTATCTAAACATTCTTGTCGACGAGTAATACAGTCCGTCTACCTAATCTTCATCCCAGTCCTAACATCCACCTTACAATCTTCCACACAACGCTAACAGGCCAGAGCATAATGGCCAATGTCCTTCCTACTGCTGTGCCAACACGAACGACGATAGCTAAACAGCACAATATGACAATCAGTCTCACCGCCATGAACGCCAAAGCCTTCATCGCTTGCCAGCGTTGAACAGGCTTGGTTGCCGAGTCAGATAATATATGTATGGCTTGAAGGAGACCGATGTCGAGGCCTTGTGGAGATTGATCGTGGGTGTTTGGCGATTGCTTGCAGAAGACCTGGTTGATTGCCCAGGCCAAAAAGCCGACGACTTGGGTCTCGAGAGGTGATAGCGACTCGGCCATTGACGCGCCAGACACGGATGATATACTCTGAGCATGTGAGCGACTCAAGTAAGGAGGAGGAGGAGAGGCGGTGCGATCGTTATGCGCAGCTCCACTTTTCTCATGTTGCTTCTTGACGACTGGGCTGTTGGGATGGACGACGCGAACTCTAGGCAACTGTCGTAGATCTTGGAAGCGCGAGGTATTAGAATCAGAGCGTGTACGTTCGGCTCCCCCTGAGGTGGCGCTTTGTGCGGTAGGGACATCCTCTTGGTCAGACGCAGAAGCTGGGATGCTGATGGCCGAGTCCCTACGCTCATAGCCGGGCGCGGTCGAACACACGGGTCTGCGCAAAACACGTGGGGAACTTGGACTGCTTCTACCACTGGGTGCAGCAGAGAACTCTGGGAACGCAGACATTGGCGGTGAAGCCTTTTCATGTCCGGCATTGGCATCTGCCTCAGCAGGTATTGCAGAGCGAGGATTGCTAAAGTCTCGCAGTGCTTTTGTGGCTTGTGCAAACTTGCGAGGTCCGGCGCCAATACTGTGCATCCTGCCGTTCATTCCTTCCTTGTGTGAGAGACGCTGTGCCTTATCTCTGTAGTATTGCACAGCTTTATCCTGATCTGCCTGACGATATGGCTGCGGGTCTTTTGCTGTCGGCATGGGAATCACAAAGCTGTCTTCACTTGCATGAAAGTCTGCCCTCGTAGCTGATGAGTTGGCAGTAGCGTACTTTATAGATCCAGCTTCCGTGTCGGGCTCCATGTTCCATCCAGTCGAATCCTGACGCCATCGACCTCGGGGACCTGCTGGTCTTTGCCTGTTTGCTGCAGATGTTGGTCTTTCTGGAGTTTGGGCCTGAGGAGAGAAGTCTTGTGGCATGGTGTGATCGCTTGCAAATAGTGAAAGTGCTTCGGCTGGTGACATGGGCGTTCGGGGAGTCAAATGTGATACGACGCTGGGGCTGATCAGGCCAGTCCTTGGGTTGGCCGCCCGTGCCGTGAGATAGTCATCGGTGCCTTTGACACCCATATCCAGGTTCGTGATTGGCAATGATGTTGTTCTAGGTGTGGTGCGAAAGGTGTCTCTTAACCATAATCTTCGTTTAGTGTGTCGAGGTGAAGTCGGAAATCTACTAGAGCGTGTCGGCAAAATCTGGTTTGGTGAAGAAGAAATGTTCAAGTCGTCAGTGGAAAGTCGCGCAAGCAAATGATGAAGTTGCTGGGTGACGACGTCCGTATTATTTCTAGCATCCATGGAGGGGCAGAGGAATGTGGTTTGGTTGACATCGCAACCGCCAACGGTCAAGCGGAACATTGGAACAGCCTTTCCGATCGTTGCTATCTTTTATCGCAGCTTCCAAACCCGAACGTCACCATCGTCATGGAGAGTGGTTTGTCAGATATATCCAGTGTGGAAATCGAGACTGCTAGATGCACGAACGCTTGTTTGGTCCGCTGCAAGGCAGTTGGTCGAATTCGTCGACTTGGAAACTCGATTACTGGCGAAACCTGGCTCGAGTGTTCTATTCTGCTCCTGCCATTCGTGAATTACGATGCTCTCTGGTCGCGTCTATTTTCTTGTCTCAGTCCGTGAATGGATGCTGCCTTTTTGGGTCGGATTCGTGTCGGTGGAGCGCACCACAAAAAACCAACCATGAATAGCATAGAACTTCCAGATTGAGTACACACTATCATACAAAGTATGCAGTTGCAGAAAAATGGTAGTAAGATAATCTTCATGGAGTCGCTGCCAGTCCCCGTGAGCGGCTGATATCTGAATCACAACTTTTGTCCAACGACAGCTCAAGATGCAATACCGTTGATCGTGGGACACGATTCTGCGAGTCGCAAGTCCGGGCGCGTCAAATCTCAATTGCTCCCGATTGCATCGACTTCAGCGTACTGCATCCATTTGTCGTTGTTGGCTTTCTTCCAGACTTGAACAAGACCATCATCTCCTGTGGACACTAGTAGATCGCCTGTTGCCATTAGCTTATATCTTTTTGCGCGTCTAATAGCTTGGACTTTATTGTGCTTACCCATCTGCGAGAAGCTGACCCGCCAGGCTGCACCACTGTGCGCAGAGAGCTCAGCCACCAGCTTTGCTTCCTGGTTTACTCTACCTGGGCGATCTTGTTCCTCGTTCCTGCCACTGCGTGGTCCACCAGCAAGTCCAGCGCCAATTCCAGATTGATTTGGTTTGTTGTATGTCGGTGATTTGAGGCCTGGTGGTTGCTCTGCGGAGTTTTTCGATTTCGTTGCTGAGGTTTCGGAAGAACCTGGAGTGTGTAGTTCATATACACGAACATATCCGTCCTTGCTGGCAGTCGCGATCACGTCAAAGCCGCGCATAGAACCATTGGCCCAAGCGATATCTCGTATCAAAGAATCTGAGCCTTTGAGCTCAGCTGCTGTGTAGAACTTGCGATCTTTGTCAGTGCGGTATATCTTGACGGTGTCCATAACCGAAACTGCCAATGACAGACTCTTGCGATCAAGTCCAGCCATTATAGCAGGCCAGGCGGGCAACTTTTCATGATGCCAACTCAATCGAAACCCTGTCTCTTCAGTCCTTTGCGGAGTCTTGCATAGATGGTCTTGCCACAGAATCTGCCATTCAGAGAGGTTGTCATGGTCTACCGGCTCGCATACCGTTAGTTGTCCATCACGAGAAATGACAGCTAGGTATGTTTCGGTGCCGATATTCTTGAAGTCCAGAGACATGTACGGCACTCGTGTCGACGAGGGCTGTTGGTAGATACGTTTGAAGCGGCGGCCAGACATGGGTGCTTCAAGCACATCCTCCTGCCATATTCGTATAAGACCATCTTCTCCGATACTCGCTAAAATCTCGCCCACAAAAGGGCCATTCCACTTGACCTGCTTTGGGTCAGAAACAACCCCATTTCCGGATTTTGTGATGTTGACTCACGTCGGTAACCTCGGCGTCGTGAGCCTTCCAGACATCGGTCACTGTCCACCCCTCGTCTTTCCTGTCCCAGACCTTCAATCGGTGGTCGGATGACGCAGTCACCATACGGGTACCATAGAAATTGTAGTCTACCGCTAGGACGAGGTCGTGATGACCATGACTGAAGTGGTGGAAAGAATTTGTGGCCATGATATGTCCAGCGAATGCGCAAGTGTTGGTTGCGGCAGTTGACACGCGTCGGAACCTGAGAGGGCGTGTACAAGACGTGGCTAAGTGAGGTGGTACCTGTTAGATTCAATTCTAATGCGGGGTGCGTAGAGAGCAGTTCAAGATATGCCGTATGTATATAAATTCGTGATGAAGGCTGTTGAAGATACGCATTTAGTCGTGATGCGACCTCGCGTTTATCTTCGGACATAAGCGGAGCTCAGTTGGTCTTCAACACATCAACATTTCAATTCATAAATTTACAACACAACATTTCAGAGCAGACTTGATGGAAGGGCAGAAAATGTTGTAATACAGTCATGGATTGTCTTGAGAGACATGTTATACATCAATACATAAAGTGGGCGATGTCGCCAGCCACGCGTGATATCGAACTAATAGCAGAATTGAAGAATAATCAAGACCCCCAATCGCTTTTCCCATGAATCGCGTAAACTCCAATAGAAACAGATATTCGTTGTACTGGCGTAAAGTTCTACCACTCAAGAGGCTCGGTCTTCTCCTCACCACGGTTGGTCTTTGGGACCGGTGCGGCTTCGACCTTGACGGGACCCTTGCGATCACGCTTGAGGAAGCCAGAGCCGTCAAGCCAAGGGGTCTCCTCAGTACGTCTACGCTCAAACTTGACGATCTTATCGTCCATTTGCATGGTGAGGCCGATGTCGTCGAGACCGTTGACAAGACAGTGCTTGCGGAACTCTTCGACATCGAACTTTGAGAGGACAGTACCATCGGCCTTCTTGATCTCTTGGTTAACGAGATCAACTTCGATGTCTGAGCCGGTGCTGGCTTCGTCGAAAATCTTCTTGAGGACAGCTTCGTCGCCGATACGGATGGGAAGCATGCCGTTCTTGAAGCAGTTGTTGAAGAAGATGTCACCAAACGAAGGGGCGATAATGCAGAGGATACCGAAGTCGAGAAGTGCCCAAGGAGCGTGTTCTCTGCTGGAACCACAACCAAAGTTGGGGCCCTGGACAACAAGGATCTTTGCGTCACGGAAAGGCTTCTGGTTGAGGACGAAGTCGGGGTTCTCACTCTTGTCTTCGTTGTAGCGCCAGTCGTTGAACAGAGCTGAGCTGAGACCAGAACGCTTGATGGTCTTCAAGAACTGCTTGGGAATGATGGCATCGGTATCAACGTTTGAACGATCGAGAGGAGCGGCAAGACCCTTGAGCTGAGTGAACTTGGGCATACCAGTCGAGGTGGTAGGGGCACCACTTGACACTGTGTTGCCCTGAGAGGTCTCGTCGAGGTCCATAATCTCCTCAAGGTCAGCGTCACTCTCGGGTGCTGCTACCTCAGGCTCAGCGGAAACCTCACGAGGAGCCTTGCCGGTGACCTGCTGGTAACCATCGAGCTTGCGAACGTCGGCAAGCTTGCCAGCAAGAGCACAAGCGGCGGCCATGGCGGGAGACATCAAGTGGGTGCGACCCTGAGCACCTTGCCTGCCCTCGAAGTTACGGTTCGAGGTGGAGGCGCAGCGCTCCTTGGGGGAAAGAATGTCAGGGTTCATACCAAGACACATGGAGCAACCAGCCTCTCTCCACTCGAAGCCAGCATCAATGAAGATTTGATCGAGGCCCTCGGACTCGGCGCGCTGCTTGACTAGACCAGATCCGGGAACAACCATTGCGCGCTTGATGTTGGAAGCGACCTTCTTGCCCTTGACAATACCAGCGGCGGTGCGAAGATCCTCGATACGGGCATTTGTGCAAGATCCGATGAAGACCTTATCCAAAACAACGTCCTCCATGGGTGTACCGGCAGTGAGTCCCATGTACTCAAGAGCTCTGATGCAGGCCTTCTTTCTGTTCTCGTCCTGGAAGTCGTCGGGACCGGGAACAACGCCGTTGATAGGAACGACATCCTGGGGCGAGGTACCCCAAGAGACGGTAGGGGCGATGTCCTTTGCGTCGATGAAGATATCGTGGTCGAACTTGGCACCCTCATCGGTCTTCAACGAAGACCAGTATGCAACGGCCTTCTTCCACTCGGCGCTGTCGACCTTGGGAGCAAGGGGCTTGCCCTTGAGGTAGTCGAAGGTAATTTGGTCAGGGGCGATCATTCCAGCTCTGGCACCTCCCTCAATTGACATGTTGCAGATGGACATTCTGGCCTCCATTGAAAGGCTGCGAATGGCGGAACCGCAGAACTCGATGACAGAGCCGGTACCACCAGCAGTACCAATCTGACCGATAACGTAAAGAACAATGTCCTTACTGCTGACACCGGGAGCAAGCTGGCCATCTACCTGCACACGCATGTTCTTGCTGCGCTGAGTGATGAGGGTCTGGGTGGCAAGCACGTGCTCCACCTCACTGGTGCCGATACCGAAAGCGAGCGAACCGAAAGCACCGTGGGTCGAGGTGTGACTGTCACCACAGACGACTGTTGTGCCGGGGAGAGTGAAGCCCTGCTCAGGGCCAATGATGTGAACAATTCCCTGTCTCTTGTCTCCCATACCGAAGTATGTGAGGTTGAACTCCTTCACATTGTCCTCGAGAGTGGTGCATTGTAATCTCGAATCATCCTCCTCGATAAATGTGGCAGCGCTCTTGAAGTTTTTCCTTGATGACGTAGGCACATTGTGGTCGGTGGTGACAAGGGTGCAGTCAGGTCTTCTGACCTGTCTGTTGGCATTTCTGAGGCCCTCAAAGGCCTGAGGAGATGTGACTTCGTGGACCAAATGTCTATCGATGTAAAGCAAGATTGTGCCGTCATCTCTCTCGTTGACAATGTGGTCCTGGAAGACCTTGTCGTACAAGGTTCTGGGTCCTTTCACAACACCGGGCATTTTGGCGGTGGTGGGTTGTGTGGTGAATTGGAAGAGTAAGGAAACAGCAGGAAGTATCAGTGTTGAACAACTGATGGTATAGGGATCAAGAAGAAAGAAAGTGAGGCAATGAATGAAAATGTTCCTGCTTCCACCACCTACCTATACACACTGTTCTCGATGCTCAGCCTCCGATCTCCGGCCTTCACTTAGAAAAGTGCTTCATCTGATTGGTCCGTCGATCTCTCCACCGCGCGTGCCATGATCCAGCTCGAGGCCGATTGCGGCCTCGCTGGGCAGAAGGTAAGCAAACCAGCCCGGTATCGCACATCTCATGTTCATGTACGCATTAACTAGCATCGCACTGATCAAAACATCAGGAGACCCGAAAGTTCTCACCTGCCGCATTTGATTCCTGAAATCTAGACTGTGGGACACCTGGCATCGGCCACACATCTGATGCCTATCTCGCCCGCTGGTAATACGAGCCACGTACGTGTTCTCAATTTCCCACTGCCGGCTCTGCGATGACGTATCGCGTTTTCGGGTTTACCATTTCGCGATTCCAGAACCCCAGATGTTCACTATCCCCGCCCTAGGGCGTGCTCCAGAGGTGCCGCTTCAGTGCGCGTGTAGCCGTGATCTATCATGAGTGTAGGCTTCTGGAGACGGAGACGGACCGCAACACTTAATACACACCCACATGCATGAGGCAAGTGTGTTGTGATCTGAATATAACTTGAATTATATATACAGCTAGCTGGAGGGGAATAGATCTATAAGTTGTCCTGCGAGAATATGACCAAAGCAAGTCGGTGTCTGATGGCAAGACCGATGAGGCCTACAAAAGTCTGCATAGCCAGGATTTCGACAGCGAGTCTATCCTCCCTTTTGGGGCCTCTCCAAACGAGCCACAAGTTGAGGATGGTGAAATTTGTTGTAGAAACGACCGTACCTTTTCCATCTGTCTCGATTCGCAGTAATCTGAGCGTGTCCAGTACCTTTAGTACTTCTCCTACCCACTTGTTTAACGGCTTGTCGGGTGTGAATGTCGCCTTCGATGGCTCCAGAAGTCCAGTACGGGCATTGAATCGAGGTAGTCTGTGTCGCGGACATGGAACGATATGGAAGAGCTGAGGTGCCGAGTAGATGAAGTTGAAGACCTGAGGGATGAACAGAAGTATGAGAGTTTTGCTGAAGTGGCCCATGATGCCCACTACGGCAAAGACCATACCGGCGAAGTAGCAGTACGTGTCTCCCACAAATACCTTGGCAGGGAACCAATTATGCTTGAGAAGGGCGAAAGATACACCGAGGAACGGTAGCAACAAATAGACTGAGAACAGATGGGAGTCTGTGGCAGGGTGAAGATTGGGAGTCGAAGGAACCAGGTAGAATGCGTCATTCAGAAGAATGAGCATGGCAATAACGATCGATTGAGCGACTTCGATGCCGTTGATGCCAGCTAGAATGTTGATGCTGTTGGGGCAGAAGATGGAAATGGCAGACATGTACAGGTAGTACAACGAGCCCAGATCGACGAGTTCTCCTAGATACGGCCTCAGCGGGATAGGGACCACCACTTGAGTGACACCGAAATCAACAAAATACAGTCCCAGGATGGGAAGCGATGCAAAAGCAGGGATGAAGAATTTGTGTCTCCATCTAATGTCGAAAAAGTCGTCGATGATGCCGAGGATGATGACCGTCGCGAGTGTACCATATGCGAAACCATAAGATGCGAGCTGGATCCGTCAGCGGAGCCTTTAGATATATGTGAGATACTGCACACACCTTCTCAAGAGGGAATCTGTGTAGAAATCTTCCTGTCTCGACGATTTGAGCCTCGACCACGATGTCCTTGTTGCCTCCCCCTGAAGTCGCGGCCACAATGTCATGTTTGAAAGCAAACGGAAGAAAGGCTATAATGCACAACAGATATACCAGCGCGCTGACTAGTCCCATCATCTCAGGGCTGTATAGTAAGCATCAGCACAATCCGTGATCTCAAGACAGAAACTACTGACAGTACAATAGGTTGTTTCTTGGACATGTCCTTTCCTTTTCGCCCAGCTCGGATGAACGCATCTCCGGTCCATCGTATGATGGCATATGAAGAAGAAAATGCCAGACCACTCAAAGCTAGCGATGCAAATACAGGGGCTCCATCACTGCTCCAGGTGTTAGAGAGGACGCCAAGGCTGGCAGCAGAGCAGGCCAGCAGCGACCATGTCTCGGTATTGCTGAGTTGTGCGGTCATATGTGCGATGTCAAGATCTTAGTTGTCCGAGTCCATTGGCCAGAGCAGTCCCCAAATGAACGTTGGGAGATGCTTGTTGTGCAGTGTGCATTTGGAAAAGGTGTCAACTTGCAACCATGCTACTAAGTTTAAGGCCGCTTAGATCCGAGAATAGTCACAGATGAGCCGCGTCATTCTGGCGAACAACAAGATAGTACGAACACAGAACAGCAGTCGTATCCCTGAGTCTCAATCGCCTTGACTGAGTCCTTCCGGATCATGTCCTTCATGCTTCGACAGAAAAAATTGCGGTTGGTACTGGGTCTTTGATTCGAGGACCTTGCGGTGGTCCCGTGGCATGGTGACGCGGTTTCTCTCAACTGTCAAGTTTCTACCCAACTTGGACACGAGAACGCTTATAGTTGTCGCAAAAGATGATGTGATGTATTAGAGGCATACACGGGAGTGGTTTGTGTCTTTCACGAGCGGAAGCCCACTCTAGAGTGATCGCTGATAGTATAATATTGGTAACAGGGTTACCTCCCATACATGGAGGAGATCAAAGCTCAAAATTATACACAACCACATACAACCTCCAGGACTCTTGCAATAGAGGAATACTATAAGTGAGCAAACGAGAGTCCATCTGCCGAGACGATCATGATATCTGAAAGATTTGAAAATATGTTGACAGCGACAAGAAGCAGCCCGTAGTCCTACATGAAAACGATCCGATAAACACCAAAGCCTGAACCCACCGCTGATTCCAATGACGAATTCCACAAGTCTATGTGATTGACCATGATACTTCTTGACAAGTGACGTGCAGTAGACGAGAGGTCGAAAGGTGCGGCTAATTTTGTACAATGCGTGGTTGGGCGAAATAAGACTACCAGCCCTGCTTTCTCATCTTGTTGACCATCTTGACAGTGCCACGGAAAGCCTCCTTGAAACGTCTTCGCCAACGTTCAGAGTGCAGACGCTTTCTCTTGAGACCAGGACGCTCATGGAAGCGCTGCTTGTTGAAGTCTGCGCGGACTCTGTTCCTACTGCAAAGTTGTTCGACCTGACGAAAGGCGCGACCGACGTCGCCGGCAGGGCCTATCCTGACGGTCTTGCCGAGAGTGGGACCGGGTGTAAAGTCGAGAGGTTTGACAGGTGAGATCTCCCTCTTAACGTTGAAGACGTTGGCTACTTGGTTCGAGGTTCTGAAGTTGGCAAACAAATCGGCGGCGCTCGTTCCGTTGGCAGAGGCCGGCTGGACGCGGTGCTTCTGTTGGGCAGACGGAGTCGGGTAGCGAGAGGTGCGTTGTTCTGAGGTGGTGGGAACACCCTTGAAGCCATCGAGGGCTTTGTCCATCAAATCGTTGATGGACTCGGGCAAATCTGATTGTGGTGCGGGTGCTGGGGCAGCATCTTCTTCAGCGGTAGCAGACGTGTCATGCGAGCGCGTCTCTTGTTCCTCCTGCTTGAGCTGGCGAATGAAAGCATCGGGTTGGTCTTGACGCAGCATGCGGGTGGTGGTGAAGGAGCGGATGGCGAACGGAGACAATTGATTGCGGTATAGCGGAGTTGAGTAGAGCGACAAGGGCCGACAGCGCGCCAGGACCCGCGCGGCGGATTGTGATAATTCCATGGCTTGGAGTGTGTATAGACAGAGTCGTGTGTCGCTGATGGTGGTGCTCGTGGCCGGCGACTTTTCCACAAACGCCAAGGCGCCGAAGACAGCAGCAGCGAAGTTGTGCAAGGCTCAAGGCTCGACCATCGCGAATTCCTTCTTGCCCATTCTGTCAAGTCATCGTCCACATAGGTCATGGCTTACAACAACTATGCCCGTACGCGCCTTCCTATCCTATCTTCCACCTTCCTCATATGCTGACACCTCATAGCTCCGGGAGCCTATGGCAGGCCGCCGTATGGTGCTTTCCCTCCCAACATGGGTCCTCCACCAGCCATGGGTACGCGTCTGCCCATCTTCAATTCGACGTGACGTTGCGCTAACGGGTCTCATTCAGGTGCTGCACCTGGCATGTCCCCTCCTCCGGGCATGAGCCCTGCCGCAACTCCTCTTCCCGCTCGTCCTACTTCCGTCGCTGCGCCCTTCGCTCCGCCGCAAAACTTGCCCGACATCAACTTCAACGCTCCTGTTATTCGTCTTGGTGTCAGCCAGCCTAACTCCAAACCTTCTCCCTACGGTTACGATTCACGTCCTTCCGACAATGCCTCCGGAAACCGTGGTCGCGTCGGTCTCGGTTCTGATCAGAGGATGCCGCGTGAAATCGTCCAACTCGTTCCCCCTACTCTGGAGGAAGTTAGCAGGACCATTTTCATCGGAGGTCTGGTGGATGGTGTTCCTGACGACAATCAGCTCGAGGATGTTTTAGGTGCTGGCGGCCAAGGTCCTGTCAAGCTGCGTCGCTGGACCCGTGTTACTGACGCTGATGGAAAGCCCTGTCGCTTTGGTTTCGCCGAATACGAAGACGCTGGTGCTTTGCAGCTCGCCACGGAGATTCTCAAGGACATTGAAGTACCTTTGCGCGAGAAGGGCAAGCTTCTGAGGGACGACGAAGGGAATGTCAAGAAAGCCACACTTATGGTGCTCGTTGACCAGAACTCGCTCGAGTACATCGAGAAATGGTCAAAGCCCTCTGCCGAAGAGCTCCAGTTCCGCTTGGACACCGCAAAGGATGACCTGACCCGCGTACTCGCACATCTGTCTTCTCAGGACTCCTTGACCAACGGCGCAGACAAGAATGGAGACATTGTCATGGAAGACGGTCACAAACCTGACGGCGCGGAGGTCATCACTATTCCCGTAGCCGCCGAAGATGAGCTCTCCGACATTCCCGCCGAAATGCGCGAGACAGTCGCCGCCGAAATTGCCTCTTTCAGAGACCGCAGCATCCAGCGCGACCTTGAGCGCTTGCGTAAGGAGGAAGACCTGGAGGCCGCCGAACGTAATAGATCTGCACCAAGACCGAGCCGTTTGGCATCCCCACCTGCTTCTGCCCCGTCAGGGCCTGGAGGCGTCAATGGTGTACCTGTCGGTCCTCGCGACCGTACTGTCGCCGGTGCCCCATCAGGGCCTAAGGGTTACAGAGGCGCACAATTGCCCAAGGACTACGTCGATGGCGTGAACTTTGTCAATGGTCAGCACGAAGATGAGGATGATCCGGCATCTGACTCGGAACTCGAACGTCGTCGCGAGGAGAAGAAGAACGCAGAGTTGGAGAAGGTTTACCTTGATCAAGAAAGACGTTGGCTCAATGTGGAGAGGAGACATATCCAAGCACTTGCGCGTGCAGATGCAGAAGAGGAAGCCGAACAGAGCGCTCGCCAGCAGCGTCGCGAAACTCTGGCGCAAAAGTATCGTGAATTTGACGATGAGGAAGAGCTGCGCAGACCTAGCGAGCTGTTCTACAGGGACCGCAAGGCATGGATCCGCGCACGCAGAGACTTCAAGCACGCCGAACGTGCCAGAGACGAGAAGGATCGCGACGACGAGAGGAAAGAACGTGCACGCGAGCAACGCAAGATGGAGGGCGCTCGCGGCATGGCCGACGATTTCCTGGCCGAAGCTGGACAAGAACTGTCGACACGCAGTTCCACCACCAAGCCGCAACCCAGAGCATTCACGCTCAACCTGGGAAGCCTCGGTGGCAACGGCGCAGTGCGCGAGGGCTCAGGAGAGCCGGAAGAACAACAGAAGAAGGGCGTGGGCAAGCAACAGACCATGGCCGAAATGGAAGGCCTTCTCGACGACGAAGACGATGCCGCCCCGGACAGTGGAGATCGCAAGAAGGCATTGTTGCGCGCTGTCGACTTCAAGCCTCTTGCTGCTGGCGAGAAGATGAACGACGACGAGCGTCAAGCCGCTACTCGCGCACTCGCCGCATCCATCCCTACCTCCCTCACCGACCTGTTCGACTGGCCCGTCAAATGGGCCCACCTACCCGACTCGGTCATCCGCGAGCAACTGCGTCCGTACGTTCAGAAGAAGATTTTCGAATCTCTCGGTGTACAGGAAGATATGCTTGTCGAGGTCATCGAGGGTGTTGTACGCAGGCACGGTCGTCCCGAGGAGATTGTGGAAGAGTTGAGCGATACGCTCGACGAAGAGGCCGAAGGACTTGCAAGAAAGGTCTGGCGTATGGTCGTCTTTTTCTCAGAGTCCGAGGCCAGAGGCTTGGTTGTTAGGGAGTAGGATGTTTTGCATCAAAAGCTCTGTAATCGTGCAAAGAGTGGTTTCCTGACCTACCATAAGTGTCCGTACAGTACCTCCCAGTGACTGGTCCGAGATAAAGTGACGCATCAATCGCTCTGAGGTCGCAATGTGTCGAGTATGGTCAACGTTGTGAGAAGGAGCCATGATGCGTTTTTCTACATGTCATCTTCGGATAAGCACACAGCACGTCTGACCTGTAGAGAAAAGTTCTCATCTGTCATGCATATTTACATCTCGATCATTACACATCCATGCTATACAATCGACTTGGCCCCCATCTCCACCAGGCCTTCCCTCAACATCATCTATACATCTCTGACTCTTTCTTCCCCTCTCCTTACACCTCCTCCACCCCCCTCGGCAAATCAAACAACTTCCTATAATCCACCTTGACACCCCCCAACAACCCCATGCCCGCCTCTTTACCCCCAAACACGGCCTTGACACCCCCACCATCACCATCGAACCAGAAATCCGCACAGTTCCCCACAATACCTTTTGTAAATGGATTTTCTCTGCGCTGGGCAAGCACTTCTTGAGCGCGGGAGCCATGCAAAGCAGTAGCGACAAAAGTATCAACACCGAGTAAACGCTTCCACTGTGAGAAGCAGGATTCAGGGCCGGGTGTTGTAGTGCGTGTAGATCCTGTTGTGGGGCCACCTCCGGAAGAGCCTATGCTGCCGCCTTCTGCAGATGTTGAGCCTGTGGTGAGGGCTGTGACGAGGGGGCCGGCGTGGTTGTTTCTCATGGCTTCCCATGTCGTCATGGCGCGAGCGATTTGAGTGAGTTGGACGAAGAGGAGCATGATCGTCCAGGTTAATTGTATACTTCCCCATCCATTTACGAGAAGTGTAAAGGGATCCTTGGACCATTGAGCACAGAATTCTGGCTTTAGGACTTCGCAGTGGATAGCTGAGTCTGGTGGTGTGGGTAACAATGCGAGATAGACGAGTGTAAGTCGAACAAGGATCCCAATACCCGTGAGCAGGAAAATAATGTAAAGGACAAAAGCGCGATGGTTGTTGACGCCAACACAATTGTTCAACCAAGGACAATGGTGATCGTGTCGTGCCACGCAGCGATTGCACCGCCTGCAGTGCTTGCTTCTTAGTGGCTTTCTGATCATGCACATTGTGCAGAAATGTTGTTCGTCGAATGCTTTTGCGTCGATGAGCTCTTCAATGGTCGCTTTCTGTTGTCCGCGCGATGCTGAGCGTGGGATGTAGCCAGGGTCCATGAGCATGGCTGTAAAGTAATAGTATGCACAAAGTCCAAATGCAGCGACGAAAAACAGATTGAGGAAGAAATGGCTTGAAAATGTAGCTGTCAAGATTTAGTAAATGCAAAGAGGGAGAAGCGGATCGTGACTTCCTTACTAGGAAGAATGTGGGTTATGTATCTGATACCCACCCATGCAAGAGTCGATGCAAATACTCCGGCTAGAAAAGGCTGTTCGAAACATGTCAGTATCGAGACTGCAGATACAGTCGACATGTACATACTGTTTTATGCATATGCTTCATGTCGCTCGGTGCCCATTTTAGTAACTTTTGTGATGCCAGTTGTAAAAGATACGATGTGATCATGGATATCGGTAGACCGAAATACACAGGCATAGTGGAAAGAATATACAATGTAATCCCAATAACGACAAAGGGCCAGCAAAAGAAGAATCTGTCCAGGAACTTTTTCGAATCCTTGACAAAGGTCAGAGGGAAGTTGCGAGGATTTCCTTCGGGGTCGAAACCAGTGTCTGCGAGAGCGCGATGCCATTGACGTGTCGAGTTCATGTCTTTTGCAGTGACGGCAGGCGTCTTGCCCTCGTTGTTCGCGATGAAGCGATCGGCGCCGTATTCGACGAGCTTCTGTATGCAGTTGTAGCTGCCCTTGACCAGAGCCCAGTGTAGTGCGGTGAAGCCTAACTCATCTCTTGCGTGCACGTCGGCACCCCATTTCAGCAGAACGTCCAGACAGGCCGGGAAACCCTTGTAGGCAGCCCACATGAGACTGGTGTGTCCTTGCGAGTCGGCGATGTCGACGGGTACATCTGCTTGGTGCAGGAGGAGGATGAGCTGGAAGACATTCCCATCTAGAGTCGCCGAGTGCAGTAGGTTGTATCCTTGGTCATCGGTAAGGAGTGGATCGGCGCCTTGTCGGAGCAGAAGGTTTACGACATCAAGGTGGCAGCGCTTAGAAGCCCATAGCACCGGAGTTGCTTCTGCGTCGCCGCCCTTTGCGTTTACATTTGCGCCGGCTTCGATAAGGTAGTGACAGAGAGCATAGTGTCCGTTAATGGCAGCCCACTGTAGTGTCTTGTCAGCGCTCCTCGAGTCTGGCGCATCTAGTCGTCGAGTATTACATGCAAGGCTGTGATGCCCTGAGGATCTGCCGACGTCGCCGATGCCTTCCCCGTGTCAAACAGCTTCTGTATAGATCGTAATTCTCCCAGTCTGGCCAGGGCCATCAAGTCCTCCTGAATTGGGTGGATCGGGGACGAGGGCATATCGTCGAGTTCGAGGTGTCCATTGCCGTTACTCGTAGGGGCGCTTGGTGTCGTGATGGTCGAGGGTCGCTCACGACTCGGCGTCGAGGATCCCTCTTTGCTAGCCATGTCTCGTCTGCGAGGAAATTAAGAGTTATAGTTGCATGTTTGTAGAACAAGGGTCTGAGATGTGCTCGTATTGTAACGCGTGCTTACGCAGCCTTTAATTCTTGTGGCGCAGTTGCTTAATCTAATCTACAGGGCTGTGGCTGTCGTCGGCTCGGGGGTCCTGCTCTGCCCGCATGGCAACATATTCCTTGGCGTCTGACTTGATTGAACGAGCCGCGCCAGACTGGGACCATCTTCGCAACCTTCTTCATGACCCTCCGTCGGCCAATTCCGCTCTCAGGCACGTCTTACAATCTTTGCCAGCGTCAAGTCTCCCCAAAGCTTTTGCTCTGGCAGAACGCCGTCCATGTACTTCTCGGCATAACATTCATCCTCCATGAATCGCTTGAGGGAGACTGAACTCAGACGACCTGTCACGCCGTCTCTCGACCACTCACCGTTGAAGAGTGCAGCCAGTTTGGTCAAGCCATACTTTAGCATCTCGCCTGTGCCAACATTGGGCCCATCGCGCATTGCCTTGTTGCAAATCCGTGCTTCGCTGATGATGACGTCCAGGAGGGCGTCGACCTTCTCTGCTGCATCATTGGTGATCTGTTGAATCTCCGAGAGGATGTCGTTCTGTACGATCTCGAACGCTGGACCAGACAGCTTGAGTATGTCAGAGCCCCGAGGGTATTTGCTTACGATCTTTCCCACGAACGACTTGTTGAACTCCCGCTTGAGACATTCGTTGAACATAGGGATCGCACGCTGCAAGTCGGAACGATTGTCCCAAGGTTGCAAGAATGCCGAGACGAGCAGAGATTGAGCTGTGGAGCCAAGCTGATCCTGGCCCTCAAAGCCAAATGGCGCAACTGGAATGGTTTCTGTGCAGTGTACACCGAACCTCTCCCAGTCGGTGATCGGTTTGAACCAGCCGTATTGCGCCCCGGTCAGATCCACAGCATAAGTCTCTCCAGACTGCAGGCACACGCGAAGAACCTCATGGAGCCAGTCCCTGTTCCATTCGTGGCCCGTGTAACGGGCGTTGCGGGCAGCCCTGACGACTTTGACTTTTATTTCCTTGATGTCTGCGCAGATGCCTATTGTAGATCGAAGTCAGATATCTGGATACTCGTACGATCTTCGCGACCACCTACCTTTGAGTAACCAGGAGCTCACCATGTACATATGACTCAGCGAGTCAGTGCAGTATAGTAGATTGAGGCAAGTATCTGCATCCTGCTTGTCCTTAAAGATGGCGTCTGGAAACTCGCGGTAAAAGCCAAGATCCCTTTTGGTCGGCTCAAGACTGTAGTCACCCTCATGAATTAACAGCTCTCCGTCAACTTCCTCAGCCTTCACCACACAGTTATCAAAAGACTCCCTGCGTACCGCGTACCAAATCTTTTGCAGAAGCCAAGCAGCTCTGAACAACGCCTTCCTCGCCTGCAAGTTTGTGCATTCGATGCGATGCGCAGACCAATGAGTCTTTTGGCACTGTTTGCTGCAATAGCGCACATCGGTTCGGGGAGTGCCATCCATGTTGGGTGCTTGGTGACAGCCGGCACAATGGGCCCTCGCGTTCAACTTGGCACAGTTGGTACATCTCTTGGTTTCGCTGGGAACGATGATTGGTTGCTTGACATTTGATAGCTCATTTGGCTTCCCTGGAGACGTAGGCTCGGAGTGACCACTAGACTTTCTAGTCGAGATTCCGGTGTTGGAGAGATTGTGGGATAGATTGCTGGTCAGATCGTTGGACGCGTTGTCAGAGACACCGTTGGTCATGTTGTTGGAGAGATCGTTGGTGACGTTAGGTGTGGCGGACTGCAGCTCTGCTGCTGGAGCTGGGCTGTAACTTTGATCAACATATATCAAGATCAAGGGGATGGAGGACGACTTACGCATGGTCGGGGTTGACCAAATTGTCCTCTCCAGGAAGAGAGGGTTGCTCGACAATGGCCATTGTATGTGTATGTATATGTATGAAGAAGTACTGTGGGTGTATCGGATGGTTAAGGAAAAGACACAGAGAGTGGTAAGTTGAGACTGCGCTCTATACGATTCGCTCCGCGAAGTCGTGGCGGCGGCGGCGGCGAAGATAAAAAACCAACGAGTGCGAGTGAATCAAGGAAACAAACGCGTCTTGTTAACAAGACCACAACGCAATTCACTTTCGTAGAAGATTCAATCTGTCAGTGCGCTGGTTTACATGTCGATGTTCCTCTTTTGTCTGATCATGGCTTCCATCCTGCAAAGTAGTTCTTGCCCTTTTCATCTCCTCTTCTTATTGGCAGACTTTCGCTTGGCTGCTGGTTCATCCTCAATCACCTCAGCTGTAACGTCATGAACCAATTCTACCTTCTCTCTTCGTAGACTCCAATAGAAAAATGCAACGACAGCGTGACCCAGATCGTAACTTAACGTCTTGACTGCTGGGTGACTGTTCAATGCCTCCAACAGAAGTGAAGACGTATTCTCCCACACATCCAGATCGCCGCTCTTCTGTGCAAAGAATTGGATAGCCATAGTGAAAGTGGCCAAAGGTAGATTCGCCACCTGCTGCAACGTGTTCGATTTCGTGCCTGGAGGCAGACTGCCCAGGCTATTCAATGGAAGCACAAGCGGAAGGATAAGCAATAGACGTGCGGCGAGAATAGTATAGATAAGCCACTCTCCGTCATCAGCATACTCAGACGCCGATCTCAAGCAATAGTTGTACAGCAGTGGGACTGAGTACCAGAAAGGCCAGTATGACAGTAGCTGATCGTTCGAGTTCGCCGAGCGGGGCTTCGTGAATAGCATGATGTAGAAGAGCGATTGGGTGAAAGACGTGGGCAAAATTTCGAGAAGTGCAAAGAAGGCCCAAAGATTGGGTACTTTGCACCTTCGACCTTCGATACCCATGTATATAGCGACCGCGAGAGTAGACCATAAGCCGGATGACGAAAGGAACCACCTAAATTTGTTTGCCACGATAGCTTCACCAAAGCCCTGGAACAGCGAGGATGTGGTGGACCAACGCCACAAGTGCAGAGGTGTCCTGTTGGATCCAATCAAGGCACCTAGAGGTATGGCGTGAAGAGATGTCCATTGTCGGTAAGAAAGGATCAGGACACTGAGCATATGATAGGAAAGCGTAGCAAAGCTGGAGACGGCCAGGATGATGAGGAATTGAGGAATCTTTGGCCGGCCATTTTGTAGGTACGATTGCCTGATGGTTTTCAGCACGACTCCCGTGAAGCCTAAAGCAGCGGCGATATATGCCCAGAAGATCAGAGCTCCTGGATGGTTAGTAGGGACATCCAGATCCATCGCCAAGTATTTCCGATGTCTAGGCCGATGGTTGAATGTTGGAAGCTGGACGCTGAGATTTGCATATTCAGTGATGATGTTAGAATGGACCGTGCCGATCATTTCCCTGCTGGGCATTGCACTCTGCATGTTTCAAGAAGGAAATATATGTTGATTTGATGTAATGGTATACACAAGGAAATCGGACATGATAGAAGGTACAAAAGTATTTTACAGTGAAGGGTCAAGATGAAATCTAACCTCTGGTGGTCTTTCTCTCCTCTACGCGTCTCTTGTACCTGACTTCGGCCTTTCTTCTCTCACCACCATCGATCTTGTGACCACGCTTGATCTCCCAGAGACCCTCCTTTGCGACAATCTTTGCAGCACCAGGCTTCTCCTTGATGGCCTCGACACTGGGACCACCGATGATGTTTGACCTGATAACCTTTGTACCCTGGACGGGCTTGATCTGATCGAGCGATCGTGAAGGCTTGTCCTGACCAGCAGGGACGTTGACAATAATCTTGCGCATACCAGGAGAGCTTGTCAGAGTGGCGGTACCAGAAGCAGCGGGAACCTCGACAATCCTCAGCTCGCCAACGCCATCCTGGACGTCTGTCAGGTCACCACCGATTCCGAACGAGCCTTGGCGGAACTTGTTGCGCCAGTGCAATAAGTAGCGGCGACTACGAGCGGGTTCCACGCCGAGTTCGCGCAACTGTAGTGATGAGAGAGAGAAGAGAGCAGTCCAGTCGGGGATCTTTTGGGCGTGCTGGGACATTTTGCGGCCAATGAGGGTGAGGAAGGTCTGAGCATCTGGGACGAATGGAGTGGGTTTCGGTATGTCCTTTGCGGCGACTTTGGCGTGCAGGCATCGTAGCTGAGTCTGGACGAAGGAGGTTGTGGTAGGCAGAGCCTTGACGGAGATGGACCGCCTGGCGAACATGTTGATTCCGAGTTGGTGATAAGCTCGACTGTGGGAAAGCGCGTTCTCGAGGGCAAAGTCTGACGGTCGGGGAAAGAGCGATGGTCAAGTGGTGGGCGTAGTAGAGCCTCTTTGGCTGATTGAATTGGTCCGAATCGCGCCTGCCAAAAAGTCGGAGTCGCTGTCGCTGCTGCTTGTTGCGAATGGTCCGTGTGCACGGCCCGCAGAGCCGCTCCGCATCATTCAATGTCGCGATGAACCATCATTCACTTTCCACTGTTCCAACTACCCAAGCTCTGCGCATTGGGAGAGGTTGTCAAGATGGGCATGGCACCCGCATCGCCCGCCATGTTCAAGGCTGAGAATGTGGCCACTGTCAAAGCTGCGGAGCAGATGCAGGCGCAAACTCTCCATCCTGCTCAAGCTGCTCCTCCTGCTTCTGCCACAAACATTGCAGAGCAGCTGGACGACCAGGAGCGCCGGAAATATGTCAAGGGTACCCTTCCTCATCTAATCTCTTCTTACCTTCACAACCGCTGACACGTTACAGGCAAGAAACTCGGTTCTGGTCAATACGCCGACGTCTTCTCTGCTCACCTCGTCTCCGATCCTTCCCAACTCGTCGCCATCAAGAAGATCAAGGTCGGCCCCGAAGTCCAGGAATGGGGCATCTCACATGATTCTCTCCGCGAGATTAAGTTCCTCCAGGAGTTGTCACACCCCAACATCATCCGCTTATACTCGGTCTTTTCCACAAAGAACCAGAACCTCAATCTGGTCCTCGAGCAACTACCCCAGGGAGATCTGTTGAAGCTTATTCAGGACGTGGATAATATCAGCTACAGCCCGAGCGACATCAAATCATGGATGGCCATGCTCTGTCGCGCTGTTTGGTTCTGCCACCAGAACTTCGTCCTCCACCGCGATATCAAGCCCAACAACTTGCTGATCGCTGCAAATGGCGAGATCAAACTTGCTGATTTTGGTCTCGCTCGTAGCTTCGCTGATCCTCACACTCCAATGACTTACAACACTATCACCAAGTGGTACCGTCCCCCAGAGCTTTATTACCAGGCAAACTTCTACTCTGGTGCCGTGGACATTTGGTCCGTTGGTTGCGTTTTTGCGGAACTCATCGGTCGTTGGCCATTCTTGTATCAACTACCTGACGGGGATCTGGCCATGATAGGGAAGATCTGTGAGCAAGTCGGTACGCCCACAGAGGACAATTGGCCCGGTGTGAGCAAACTGCGTGGCTACGTACCCGTTGCAAAAGAAGACATCAAACCTGTCAAGAAGCGCGCAGATTGGGAAGCCCAATTTGGTACCGTTGGTCCCGCGGGTGCAGATTTGCTGATGCAAATGCTTGCTCTTGACCCACGCAAACGTCCAACTGGCGCACAGATCCTTGAACATCACTACTGGACCGCTGATCCCCGTCCTACACCACTTCATCAGTTGCCTCGTCAAGGAGGCGGTATGGATGCTATGGGTGAAGATCTCAAGAGACGTGGCGGCGAGCTGCCTAACACTAGGGGTGACAAGGTAGCTCGGAAGATTGACTTTGGCTCTATGAAGGGCTGAGCGATTGTTCTATGTCACATGAACATAACATCCAATCTACAAGAGGGAGAGTCGTCGCACCCAGGATTTCAGTGCGAGAAGCCATCTACCACATTTCATTCCAAGCTACGAGTGGAGCTATGTCAGAGCTTTGGAAGCAATGAAGTCTGCAATCCCAAGGCGACGCTGTCACGCATAACAGCGTCAGCACACAACACCATCAAGAGAGAGGACGACGTCCACCGATCATCCTCGATTGAGCGTCTCGTCGCGAAGGCTGTATCAGCCTGCGGGAAGATCTAAGCCCCTTGCAGCGTGTTTACTGCTTCTTGTCATCAATCCTCCTTGCGTGGCGGCATCAAGTCACAAACTACAATGGTACCTCGGCGATCTCAAGCGGACTCCCCACGGAAGCTCCTGATATCCAGTACAAGTGCGCCTTCTCATCGAATTCTCAACGTGCAGAACAATTGAAGTGACACATTCGTAGCACGATAGACTACACTAAGCTAGGCTAGTCACTTGAAAAAGATAAATTCAACAAAAACTCGGTATTAATTACGTAGGGGCAAAAAACATAGAATATGAAGAAGCATCAGGGTAGTGATATCGAAAACAAAACAATCAAAAGAGAACATTTCCACATCTTGTCCGTCGCCTCAATCTAGTGATGGCCAGAGTCAAACATGACTTTGCCACATCCTTCTGATACCCAAAGACGAGTTCAACGTACGCTGGGTGCGATCGGTACGCTTAGGTGTCTAGCGAACTTGAGCGTAGGGGCTCGATTGCGTTCTTCCAAGACATGCAGACTAGAACTCCTCCTGGAACTTGGTCTCACGAGCAGGGCTCTGAGTCTTTTGCTGTCCAGCGAAAGTTGGAGGAGGAGCAAGAGTCTCGTCAAAGTGGTCGCGTGCCTCTTCAAACTCGTCTTCTTCACCACTGACGGCACTAACGCTACTACGTCCACGACGAGCGGTAGGACGGGTGGTGGGAAGCTGCTCGTCACTGGAGACCGAAGAAATGCTATGGAGATCAGTGTCGTGACGGCGGAAGGACGAGTCGGAAACTGCATCGCTGGTCGCGGGTGCGACTGCGGTGGCGCCGGTGGTTGATGGCTCAGAAGTCGAAAGGGACTTCTTGGCATCAGAGGCAGGGAGGGTGACGGCGGTGGTCTCGGACTGCTGGCTCTTCTCGGCGGGCTTGGACTTGCGGCTGAAGCGGGAGAACAAGCCGCTCATGCCTCTGGACTTACGTCGTTCAAATGGCACAGAGCTTGCGGTCGGATGGGCAGTGGAAGACGTAAGGTCTGCTGACTCGGACTTGGAGGCAGTACCGCCAATCGTCTGGGCGGTGGGAAGGGTGATAGGAATCGGTTCTGCCTCAGGCATGGGCTTGACGCGTACATCATGTGCTTCGGTAACATCATGGGCCTCCGTAATATCATGTGCTTCCGTGACACCGTGTGCTTCCCTGGCCTCATCAATGCTAGAGAGACTGAGGCTGCTACGAGCGCTAGAGGAGCTAGAGCTGACCACGGTGGAGACGTGGCGATCAAGTTCTGGGCGGAGGCCGCTCTGTGTACTGTGGACGGTACCACCAGTAGTTATCTTGTTCATCATGTCTGGAGAGTCGCTCTTCGCGAGGGGCGCGCCATCGATGGTGCTGACAGTCTCTTTGTCAGCAGCAGGAGTGCGGTCAGTGTCAAAGTCCTTGTCCTCGTCATCAACTTTGGTGTGCTCCTCAGTTGTGGCGGCAGTAGTACCACCAGAAGTTGATATTCTCCCGGCAGTGTGAGTAGCGGCAGAGGCCTTTGTAACCTCTTCGGTATCCCTCTTGACTTCCTTGGATCTACGCTTGTCATCTTTGCGAGCTTGCTTCTCTTCGGCCTTGCGGCTCTTCTCGAGCTCTTTCTCGGCCCTTCTAGCAGCCTTGGCTTCAGCCTTCTCTTGATCTACGCGACTGTCAGTATGGTGGTGTTGGGACCAGGCACGATATTACTCACCCTTCAGGCGCTTGCTCTCTGCCTTGACCTCCTTCTCGCGTTCCTTCTCGCTCATCTGAGTGCGTCTTCTTTGTTCTTGGTCAAGACGAAGCTCTTCCTCTCTGGCACGCTTCTTCTCGGCGTCGGCATTGATCTGGTCGAGGGTGGGCTGGAGCCTGCTCTGGGCAATGGCATCGAGCTCCGACTGGTCCATGTATCTTCCACCACCAATGCTGACCTTGCCGAAGTTACGCTGTCTGTTCTCACTATCGGCCGAAGCGCGAGCACGAGCCTTGGCCTCCCACTCCTCCATCTTTGCAGGTGTGACTTGACCTGTCTGTTGGAAGACTTGTTCATCCATGAGGTGCATCTGAGCTTGCACTTTCTTCTCGGCAGCTGCAAGCAGAGCAGCACGGTCTTGGTTTCGCTTCTCGTCTTGCTGAGCGACTGAGTTGTTCAACGAAGACATTTGATGGCGGATTCTGCGGGATCTGAATTCGTCATCAGAAGAATCGTCATCATTCTGGACGGGCTTGGGGTTGCTCTCAGCACGGTTTCTGCCAGGACGACTGCGCAAGGACAAACGCGAACGAGGCGATTGTTGTTCATAGCCGTAGTGAGCGCGGTAACGAGCAGCACCATCAGGGTCCATCTTTGCGAGACGCTCGTTTGCGAGTTTCTGAGCAGCCTCTTGCAAGTGAATGTATTGTACAGCTTGCTGGCGTAGATCAGGCTGAGTCGACGCGGCTGAAGGAACACGGTTGTGTGAGGCGGTAGCAGCGCTGGTACCGAGGCGCGCCTGGACTTCGGCAGCCTCTTCGTCATGTCTCCTCTTCTCGCTCTGGGCGTACATCTGCTTGGCCATTGAAATTGCAGAAGCACGAAGTGCGGCCTGTTTCTTGGCCTCCTCAGTCTCTAGGTCGACTGGAGGTGCGGAACCAAACATCTCGCGAGGCACGTTGCGACCCATGTTCTGAACGCGAGCAGCACGCATGGCGTCAGAATCGATGCGATTGGAATCTTGAGGGCCCTGAGGCTTGGTTAATGGTCTGTGAGCCATAGTAGCAGCGTTGAGAGCATTGTGTGCCGAGTTGGCGGAGTCCGGGTACTTGGGATGCTGAACAGGTGGGTTTCTGACGGATTGAGATTGAGATCTGCCAACAGCACCAGTAGCAGCCATGAGAGCCTTCTTATGACCGTCCTCGGTGTAACCATAGTCGAGCTTGGGACCCAGATTCTTGTTGCGCATAGCAATGTTGGCTGCTGAGTTTCCCTCGGCCGAAGCCTCGGGCTGCCAGAGGTTCAACTTGGGGCCGTCCTTGTGAGCAAGCAAAGCGGCCTTTGAGCCGGCTGCACTCAATTCCGGCTTCCACAAGGGAGCCATCTTGTAATCCTTTGCTGCCATTGCTGCAATGCCAGCGTTCTTTGACGGGTCGGGCTTCCAGTGTTCGAATTGCTTGTGACCAGAGTTTGCCAGGTTTGCGGCCGAGTAGGCAGAATTGGTCGTGTCGATTCCAACAACGGGGTAGCTGGGAAGGTCGCGAGGATTGGCATACTTCAACGAAGTGGCGGCGCCTGAATGTGGTTAGTCTTTTGTTTGAAGCGATAAGGAGCAGAGCGGGACTTACTGCGCGAGGAGAGCTTGTTGTTAGCATCGAGTATGTCGTCCCTCTGCTTTGTGCTCTTGGCAGGCTTAGTGACATAGAGAGCGGCAGTCGAGGCTTGCTCCTGAAGCCTGGTATCGCGATGGGCGGATGGATCCGGGCATGCAATTGCGTGGCTGTCGCTAGTGACAGTGGCAGACTGGGTGGGCTCGGCGTCGGTCAAGGGCAACGGAGCAGGGTCGAAGCTCTTCATGTTGGACTTTGTCTTTGTCTGTGTAGAAGTCGCGGGTGGTGCGAAGTCGTCGTTCTTCGCGTCGGTCTTGTCGCTGCTTCTGGCGTTGGTCTTGTCGCTGAGCTTGGTGTTGGACTCGTCGCTTGTCTTGGTGTCGGACTTGTCGCTGGTCAAGGCAGCCGAGTGATCAGGCTGCTGGACGGTAGTGTCGGTTGGGTAGACGTTTGTCGTCGTCTTGATCGGTGTGGACTCGCTCGTCGTCGCGGAGTCGCTCATGGCGGCGGTCGACTGTTTCGATGTGGGGTCTGATGTGGGAGCAGTGATCTGGGTTTTGGCGGCTTCGATGGGATTGCTCTCGCTCATGGGCGCCTTCTTTTCTTCGATCGGAGTGGCTTCTGGAGTGTGCTGTTCGAGTAGGAATGTCGTGTCACCGGTACTTCGGACTTGCGCAGGTGCCATTGGTGGCTAGGAATGAACGATGTGACGACGGTTAGATGGTAAATGGACAGCCAATATTGCGCCCAAAGAATGCATCCCTCCAAATATCACTACGTCACTTGCGCCGTTGCATCCCGACCTGGGCGCATACGTCAACGAGCATGACCTTGATCCCATTTGTGCCACTCCATTTCCAAGCCTTTGCCTTGCGAGATCTACAGTCTTCTCGTCTTTGGTCAAGCCATACCATCACCATGTGCAGCTTGCCCATGCCATTGCTTGTTGATGACTAGAAATTGTTTGGATCGTGGTCCTTCGCTACCCCAGTGATCGACGTCCAGGGTTTGTAGCCCAAGCTTTGTCCAGAACTTGATTTGGCGGCCCATGCATGTCCTGGCCATCTCATCCCTGCTTGTTAGCACAGTGCCTGTCTCCTTTATAACTTCTCCTAATACTACACAACGTCCGTCTTCTGCTCACAGGTCACGTACATATTCCTGTCAGCACTTCAACTCGAGATCATACAAACCCTTTGCAACGTGCAACCCGACCGTTTCAACATCTTGCGCTGCATCCAATCTGCCCATCGGAGGAGCCAGACAAACCATGGCACACGTCGACAAGTTCGATCATTTGTTGAACTTTCGTGATGTTGGTGCATTCGTCAATGAACTGACAGGCTCAAAGTGAGCTCTTCATACATTTGTCTGTCGTTCATTTTCCATAACAATCTTCTTCAGAAAGCTCAAGCCTGGACTACTATTCCGAAGTGCTAGACCAGACGAGGCTTCAGCTGAAGATCGCAGGCGATTGAAGGACGACTATCAGATCCACACTGTCATTGACCTACGCACAAAGTCTGAGCATATTGTTCAAGCTCACAAGCGCTCCGTGCCTGTGCCCTCTGCTGAACCTGTTGCTCCCTCCAACAATCAAGCCGCTGAACCAGTCAAAATCCCTGGACTGACCTATGCCGAAATCAACTTTAACGGCTCTTCGTACTCGTTCGCGCTTATTCGTCAGTTACGGTACTGGTCCACTACCAAACTCATCGCTCTCATGGCTGCGGGTTACCGAACTCAAGCCATTAGCATCTTGGGCAAAGAGGTCATGTCTGAGCGTGGGCTCGTCGGCCTAGCCTTTGACTCACTGACTCACTGCACTAGCGAAGTTCTCGCAGTTTTTCGTGTTTTGGCAGACCGAAATAACTATCCCGTTGTAGTCCATTGCACACAAGGCAAGGACCGCACTGGCCTGAGCATTTTGCTTGTCCTTCTGTTGCTCCATGTGGATACGGCAGCCATTAACGCCGACTACATGCGAACTCAAAAAGAACTTGTCTCCGAGCGCGAGGCGAGGATTGTGGAGATAAGAAGCATTGGTATGCCTGACTCCTTTGCCGACTGTGATCCCCAATGGGTGGAAAGCGTGGTTGCTCACATCAGCGAAAAATATGGCTCCATCGAGGAGTATTTACTGCATTGTGGCGTCACAAAAGAGATGCAAGACGATGTCAGACGGATCCTATTGGAATAGCGAGACACCCAAGCTATGACTCAGGCTCTCGCCATGTACCCTTGTCCATGGAACGTTATGTACTTCTTATTTATCTACAGGCTGGCCTTGCCGGCCGACACTACCGTTTATTCCAAGTCATGTGTGATGTCCGGGGTACCCTGCCCATCGAGTGTCATACCGATTTACACAGCACACCATGGGATAAAGAGATGTACTACTTTGACCACATTATCGGCCATCTGTTCGTTGAGACAGGCTTGATCTCAGGTATCAATGAGGGGAGAAAGCGAACAAAGGCCTGACTATCTTCTCGACCACGAGGAAGGCTGGCCACGATGAAGACTTGGAAACAGTGCTAATTCCGAGGATCAATGTAAAATGTTTCGAATGTTGTGCAGTGTCCTGAGCAAAACTTCTTTATGATCTATGCCAGAATACTATAAGCCAATCCCTTTGAGCATCTTCAAGCAGGTGGTTGTCGACAAAGACGTGTTCGAAATCATATAGTGCCAAGAAAGCGTAGCGTCGTTTGGCGCTCTTCACCACGCACAAGCAAAATTTGGGAAGGCTTCAAAAGTCGGTCTCTTGCAAGATATCATGATATCATTCCACAAAGTAGCGGCAACCAAGAACGAGGCCAGACAAGACCAAAAAATGAGGTCGTACCCGGGATCGAACTGGGATTACCGGAATCAGAATCCGAGGTGCTAACCATTACACTATACAACCTGTTTGTTGGAAGGGCTTCGGTAGATAAGCATATATAATTTTGAAAACGGGCCGACTACTTGCTCATCTCTGATCTGTCTACCAGCGCGCTTCCGCTCCGGGATCATACCACGAGCTTCAGATGTTCGAAAGGACACCCGGAGAGATCTCTTCCAGCCTGGCACTCAACTCTGCCCAAACCTTTTCCTGTGTCCTCTTGCCTTCCTCACTTCTGACAAACTTCGATGGCTCCTCAACCTTGCAGTCGCTCATGTATTGACCATGAGTATCGTGGGAAGCCAGTGCTGCGGCGACAAGCGTTCTACTACCCACTTCGGTGGTCCTGGCCAGAATCTTGAGCATGATCTGGAAGGCGATACCATCCATCTCGCGAGAAAGTTCGCTATAGCAGAAGCCTGGGTTCATGGTGTTGATGGTGACTGGGTATGATGACGAGGTCTTTTCGACCAGAGCGCGAGTAGCAAGGACATCTAAGAGTTTGCTGACGGGGTATCTGATGCCCATTTGAGAGAGATCGGGCGATGCGAGAGCGTCGAAGATGGAATCACTCTCTGAAATCTTCTTTCTCTCGGGTATGTCTGTCCAGTGATGAACCTCGGACGCGACGATTGTGAGTCGAGGTTGGATGTTGTGTTTCTGCGATGATCGCTTCAATGCTGGCAGGACAAGAAGGGCCAATAGGAAGGTCGAGATCACGTTTACAGTGACTGTGGACTCCATGCCTTCGAACAGCTGAAATTTCTCTGTGCTGATACCTGTGATTTCGTTAGTCTGGTGAACCTCTTATCCGTGAGATACTGTCAACCATACCGGCATTTTCAATGATAGCATCGATGCGAGGCAGAGTATCGACCTTCTTCGCAAACTCCTTGACACTCTCGAACGAAGACAGGTCTAACGACCAAACCTCAGCTACTCCAGTCCTTTTGGTACTCTGTTCGATATCCTTGACTGCAGCTTCACCTTTCTCCGCATTTCTGCATGCAAGAATGACTTTGTCTGCACCAAGGCGGACTAGGTGGCGGGATGCCTCAAGTCCGAGTCCAACATTCGCTCCAGTGACAATGAATACCTGACCCTTGCAGGATTGCTCAGGGTATGTAGGAGTGACGAAGAATTGCGAGTAGAAGAATCTCAGGAACGATGTGTAGTCCATGTTGACGTGGCTGGAGTTATAGCTAGCTCAGAGGGGCTTGATGATGGAGCACAACTGTTTGTGACTTTGTGATGGTGAGAGTTGATGGTTTGACAGGCGAGGGACTTTAGCACTGATATACCTTCTCTCCCCGGAAACACCTCACGGTCGTATGTTCAACCGTTTCTTTGTAGCCTCCTTGCGGGATCCAGTCTCATACCTGCAAGCTCCGAGTCGGCGGACATAAGCTTGGGATTGCTCCGGATCCCGATAAAGTGGCCCCCACTCGCTCGAGTACCCTCATGATGTCTGGAGAACTTGAATCCATGACTTTACATTGTTCCTAGTCCCAGATGGCTCTCGGTAGTCGTGATATTGCAGGTATGCTGTAACCAACGAACCTCATAGGGTTTCGACACGTCGCGTGCTGCTACGAAGACCACGATGGCTAGGGGTCGTCATACCTCGGCTTGAGCTCTGATTCCATTCTTGGCGTGGGTAATGTGCACCTTCGATCGGCCACATGGTTGCTCCGTTCATCACTGCATCGCTTCCTCAAGTCCTGGAAAGATCTGGGCTCAGACATGCAAGAGTCGACCAATCGTCCATACGGTCTGCTGAGCAATCTTGCACACCCCAAGTATCGATCAGAACCAAGTCAGAAAGCCATCGGATCTACAGCGGTCGCAATAGTCCAGTACTGCGACTGGGCCTCGATCCTTGATCATCAAGGGTCTCTCTTTTTGGGCAGGCCAGAGTTCGCATCTTTGTCCTGTCGATTTCGCCGTATGACATTCGAGGTAATAGCGCTTGACCGGATGTCCACACTTTAATGATTTGACTAGTTCGAATGTGCACATCGCTGGCTCATGTTCGTATTCACGGCGCGAGTGATAGGCTCAAGGGAGTTGATAAACAATTCTTGTTCTGTAAAACTGCTGCTTTATGAAGATTGACTGGTGTTGAGAAGATATTTAGTATGTCTACTGTTCTCAGATAACGACAGGGGCCTTATTCTCCTATCTCACCACGCTGGCATGGTGTGATTCGCCCATGCATCTTGGATGAATTCGCCTTGACGCGTAGCCACGAATGGCCAGGACAACGACAAATAATCCTATGAAGGATGTCTCTACGCATCGAACCCTCGGAAAAGCCCTATATCCAAACTCTCGGTATGCTCACCAACGTGCATGAGTGCATGAATGGTGGCCCACGACTCAGTGTGAAATAGAAAGTCATGTATGCGTCCAAGACGTGTTCTTTCCTACAAGGAGACCCTCACACCTGCCAACCTCTCATGCCTGTTCATGAGCCTATTTCGCTACGAGACATGGTCGGAGATGTGGCATAATGTTAGGGCATGCTTTCTCTGTACTGAGGCCCGACTCCAGCTGCTTGATGAATCATAGCACATTAGTCGATACATGCATGCTACCTGATATATATCTCCACTCTTTCGGAAAACGTACATCCAGGCGCAATGGAGTCAGTCATACGTGCTTAGCGTCATGAGCTCGGTGTATCGCACTCCGAGCAGTTCTCTCAGTTGACTAGACGAGCTCGTTGTGTCCTCCCAATCCTCGAGAGAGCGGAGTGCTGCCGTCGCTGAGCGAGCCTTCTTGTTCCACGCTGCAAGCTTCTCCGCAAAGTCCGATCCTTGCTTCGTGACTACCATGATCTCGGCATATCCACGATCGGTGATATGAGTGCAGTCCGTATATGCGTCTAATTGTGAATGTAGATGGTGTCGACGTGCTTTGGAGGCCCTGACACGATACGCATGATCCACAGGACTGCGGAGAAATATGTTCAGATCTCTACAGTGAGCACAGCCACACCTTACCGGATTCCTCGACCAGTTGATTTGTGCAGGTTCTGAACCAACAAATCTATCGACGTAGTTCGAGAGGCGTGTTTGAAATAGCATCTTGTAGTAGAAATCGAGTTCATCTTTCTCTTCATGCAAGCGGATGATTATGCCCTTAAGTGAGGGCAGAATGGTGCTATCGAAGTCTTGCGGATCCATGGAATCTGTTTGTGCTGCAACGTTGGCCACGAGTCTGGAAGCACATTCGGGGAGAACCAGATCTCTGCAATGTGACAGGACCTTCAGTAGCAATTGACCATCAAGCGCAGGCTTGCGAATGATCTGCTGTGTACGGTCCGTGTATCTATTGTAAGTCCAGACTGGTCGCACCTGGGGAGGTTGGGATTTGCGAAGAGCTAGATTGGTAACCACGGTGTAAATCAAAAGCTTGTAGGTCGACAGTAGATCTTCGCTCAGCGGCTCTGGCGTTTCCAGTAGCTCGGACAAGAAGGTCATCATGAAGATCGTTTTCTCTGGATCTACGTTCTGCAATTGGCGTTGGATGTTGGGCATTGTTCTGAAACGACGCATTTAGTCCTGAGGCAAGTTTTTGATATGTGTGCTAGATACCTCATGTATCACGTCCGAAGTGATATTGTCAAGATAAGCGCGAAGATCATCTCTCAAGTCTCCAGAGAACATCTCGATCTCCTCTGCCAAACGATCATCTATGTGAGTGGGCATGACTGCTAACAGGTCGGTCGCATTGTCACAATTGTGTTGGAGGGATATAGAATGTGCGAAGGTTCAGGTTGACGTGTTTTGACGCGTTCGTGGAGAAAGCTACACGCCCAAGTTTCTCATGAAGCATATAGCATGCATGCCTGTCCGATGTGCTTCTCAATAGCCGATGGTAGTCAGACTCTGCATATTCACTGCTCATAAAGACTGATTAGATTCCACCCTACGTAAGATCATATCAGTGGGTGTAGAAGAAATGGTGATACTGTCGGAGATTCAAACGCTCTGAGATCCAGGCCGGTTTTGGTGACGTAGCCACGCGATTTGGCAGTCAAGTCGTCACATCACACTTGTCGAGACTGCCATGTTCCTTCCTGCTTCGAGCAAAGAACCCATCGAGAAGCACCAAATCGCTACTCAATTGATCTCACTATACATTCATAGTCTCGTCCCATCATCTCATTAAGAACTGATCTATCTCGAAGCTTACCGCTGCTGTCGAATCCAAGACGATGTCGATCAAGACCACCAAACCACTCACAACGAACGACGGCAAGAATGAGAGGGTCGCTTACGGACCTGCAGTATGGTACACAGAAGATGACAAGTATCTTTTTACCTACGGTCATGAGTTACAACTGCCAGAAGCTCGACTCCAAAATTGGTATCCAGCGTCGTTCACGGACCCTAAAGACACGAATACACGTTTTCAGACCATGGAGCACTACATCATGTACAGCAAAGCCATGTGCTTCAACGACGAGGAGACGGCCAAGAAGATCCTCGTAGCAGCCACGCCCAAGGAGGCCCAAGCACTTGGCCGACAGGTCAAGAACTTTGATGGCAAGAAGTGGCGTGAGATTGTGCCTGAGGTAGCAGAAACCGGGAACTGGTTGAAGTTCTCCCAAGTCGCCGAGTGCCGAGATGCGTTGTTGGCGACCGGAAACAGAATATTGGCAGAGTCGAACCCTGAGGATCGGAATTGGGGAATCGGATTTCGTGGAGACGAAGCGGCTGGACGGGAGAGTGAATGGGGCACGAACTTGCTCGGTAACGCGCAGATGAAGGTCAGAGATAGACTCACGAAAGGGGAAACGCTGTAGGTAGCCTTTTGCTTCTGCTAGACTCATGAAATGCTGATGTTACGCGAACTCTGCCTTGTCGTATGCATAAGTTCACTGCCTCTATGCCGCACGATAAAGGCAGATCATCAATCGAGCGATTCGAAGGTGTAATCATGTGCCGGCCTGGGATGGTATTCCTTGACAATTGATGAGACGACGAACTTCGGTGGACATTGCTGCGACCCTGAAGAGTATTACACGTGATAGGCTTCAGTACAAGGAAAGGTTCAACATCTCAACAGACCTCACAGCGGGGAAATCCTTCAGCATGCCCGAGTAACACGACCTCGTGCATGGCTTTTGACGCATGTGGTACAAAGTTCAACCAGGACAAAGGCTTTCCGTCGAATTTAACCGCCCGTACACGAGCCATGAACCGCGTAGCGATTCCCAACAGAGAGGGCGGCCTTCAGTTTAGCGATAACTGCCCTAGAGACAGCCGCCTTACCAACACCTTCACTGTTTGTGGAGGATGAAGGAGTTTTAGGGCTCCGTCTCAATTAGCCTATATTTCTCAATGTCGTTCTGATTACCAGTACTGCGCTAGTGACATTGACACACCGTCCGGACGTCCGAGCCGGAATGAGTCAAGTGATTAAAGAGTGCGCTTCGAGGCCCCAGGATAACAGCATTCCACAATTGAATTGTCCAGTCAACAGAAGGGCAATATGGAAGCGCGCGGAGAGAGGCTGACAAGGCTGAGATACAAGACATGGCCAAGGGACTCTGCCTGCGGGGACGCGAATGTGGAGGTTCTGTGGCGTGACTAGGAATGCCAATATAGACATACACATCTTGTGTGCACGCGCATGCATAGCAGTCCCTATCAATAGTTCATTGCAGGATCTAACGGTTCACTCACGAGATCTTCAGCTAAGTAGAGGTGTACATGTTTGGAATGACGATTTGATTGATTCGAGTATTAAACGGTTGAATCGAAATGGTGTGAGAAAATTGTGAAACAGATCGTTCTGTTGAAAGGCTCCCTCAATCCTTCGTGAAGCCTTCGTAAAACCTGGGTATCCTGCAAAAGTAATAACAAAACATACGAAAAGTAGTCATCCTGAATCCAAGACCATGCAACCGTTACTGCGGACAGGATCTCGAACTTGCATAACAATGTTCGTTAGGTTATCGTTTAAACCTCCTGAGCAGCACGTGCATCCGAGTTGTCAACCTTCTCGCGTCTTTCACGGCCCTTGTCGGACCATGGGAAGTGGGCGACGGGAATGATGAAGAAGGAGTTGCTGCTGTCGGCGATACCAGCCAGAGCGTTGTACCAGGCAGCGAATGCGGCAAGCATACCGAAAGCACCACCAGCTCTGAGACAGGCAGTGTTTCCGTGCTGAAGGTATGAGATACCAAGCATGAGGAAGGCAAGATCCAGCGTGAAGAAGAGGAAGAAGAACGCAACAGTGGATCGCAGCGTGCAGATGAGGAGGATAAAGGTGAAGATGAACCAGCCCTAGCGTGAAGTCAGTCACACGTACCGATGATCGCAAGGAGACCATTTGCTTACCATCAGATAGAAGCCAAAGACGTCATCAAACTGAGTGCCCTCGTATGCGCTGACAATCTCGAAGCCTCCAGGGGTCAAAATAATGGCTGTTCCGATCCAGAATCCCTGAAGGGCGTTAGTTCAGGACTCTTGTAGAGGGCAAGGGGTGTACTTACGCCATACGACGAGAGAGCAGTAGCACCGAAGGTGTTACCCACTGCCATCTCCCACATACCGGCGAGAAGCTGGACAAGACCACCGTATGCGAAGGCAGCACCAACAACGATGTTGGGCTCAGCGATACCACGAGTACCAAGGTTGATCAGAGACAGGACGAATGTAGTCAGGGCGAAAGCACTGAGGCCGAGAGGTGCAGGGTTGGCGAACTTGCGGTCGGCGATGGGCTTGTAGAGACCAGGCTGGAATTCACCACCAAAGGCAGGAAGGCGGACCGACTCGCCAGTGTTGATGTGTGCCAGAGGGTTGCCGCCATAGTCGTAGGGCTTGCGCTGCTTGATGGGACCGAGGTTTGGGGTTGCGTGGTCGTAGCCATTGACACCATTGACACCGTTGGTTTCCTTCTCCATGCCGGCGTTGATAGCGTTCTGCTCCTGAGCAGTGGACATTGTGTACTGGTGTTGAGTTGTAGAGATAGATGGGTGGAGGTCTTGAAATGTGGGTAAAAGGATACCAAAGTCGTAGAGATGTAGATCGAGTCCAGACACTTGGATCGAGCTGGAAGAAGAGAGACTGGAAGATGAATGCGGAGAGATAGAAAAAATCGAACGCAAAGGGGGCCGCTACGCTACATAATATATTCGGTACCTGCTAGCTTCATGACGATTGTTTATGGGGATGTGGGGGAAGAGCCGTGCTCCGCGTGGAGTTTATTTAGCTCAAGTGCTAGTGTGGGAGGTGCTTGTGCTGATTTGATAATAGAGCCGTTGTCATGTTTCCCGGCACAATTGCTTTGTCAACCACCCTGAGATCGAATGGTTCGATTCCTGATCTATCTTCGCAAATTGTTCTTGGGCTTCCTTGGTATGACATCGAGTCGACACACTCGAAGACTGCCTTCCTGCTTTCGTCAGTCAGAAGGATTGAATTGTGTGTCCGACAAGCCGCCGTCTCGCTGAGTTTTGCATACCCTGCATGAGCCATGCCCTTGGGTATCGTAAACTCATGGGCATGCGTTCGCTCCACGACGCCGACGTGGAGCGCTCGAAACGGATTGCATATGTCTTGGGAACGTTGCCAACGATGTCAGCCCAGGCGACGATCTGGATACCCGCGGCAACATACCTCCCCGCGTGATGCTTTTTGGTTCCCTTTGCCCTTCGTTTTCAGTTACGATGTGCGGTATCGCCAGAGCTTGTCTCCTTTGCCGCTGACTGTACATATGGATGACAGATGTCTCGAGGCTGGCTTGATGGCGTCGCAAAGCAAATAACGGACGCCACCAAACGTGGACAATTTGGTTGCTACTCACGAGCCAAGCAACGCCATCAGTGCGTGAAAAGGCTTCATCTCAACCAACTGAAGCTTCCTCTACGGAGTCAGGCCGATCAGACAGAAATTGTTCATAACAACTATTTCGCATACTCGTCAAATCCCTGCATAACGAGTCTCCCGTCTGGAGCTGTTCTCGGCTAATCACTTGCTTTTGTCCCAGACCGGTCATCTTCTTCTGCGAACTTGATTATCCGCCAACCAATAGCCGCGAGCCGGCTACAGGAAAGGTAAATGCAGAGCCGCTCGGCCTTTGTGTCCAGATCCTTGCACGCGTCCTCGCGGTTGTTTAGGACACCTTTTACACACGACAACCAGATTACTGCACGGTGTGTTGAGCCCTCGGGTCTCGCTGGTGGTTTCGCTTTAGTAATGTTCGGCGGCATGGATCGACAATGGGCCGGCGGAGCGGAGGGCTGTGGATTGGTGTGCACGGTGATAGATCTACGAGTTCTCGCCCGTCTGCGTTATCCGAGATGCCGTGGACGACAGGCAGTCGCCGTTACCCGTAAAGCACTTTGTGGCGCCAGGACATCAGGCAACGCAAACCCCAGGACATTTCAAGTGCGCTTCTGGAAGCCAGTTCCTTACAGGTAGAGGACAGTGAACAGTAAGCAATCATGTTCTGTTCTTCTTCCCACGCTTACGTGGATCTGAATCCTACGAAATTCATGTCTACATTCTGAAACACCCCATGCATATGTCCTAAGCGAGCATGGATTCTTTCTGCACGACTCACCTCCCCTCGTGATTCACTGTCTACCTAGCGAGCTCGTAAGGTAAATCCTCACTATGAGTATTCGGTAAAGGATCACCAATCAAACCATCGCGTTTACGGACGAAGAGAACAGTTCAACGAGATTAGCATGCCTTTAGCCCGATCCATGGACAGCCTATGCAGCCGTGTATAGTATACCTGAAGCCTCTCGCAAAGGGAAGCATCTCATTCCGGGCTAGGCTTTTCCTTGCTCTTCTGCGCTCATGAGCGCACTCCGTCATGCTCTCGTCGCTCCGTGTGTCGGGCCTCGTGCCATACGCATCCAGTGTATCACCATCATGAATCTTTCCGGTGGCTTACCTTCCTTGGGATCATGTCGAGTTTTGGACTGGCTTTTCTATGCACTCCAATACATCCAATCGCGTTGTCCCGAATCTTGTTACCCTGCTCTTTCAAGTTCTCGCAGGACAATATTGGGCCTTCGAACGAACATGGTTTGGCTTTTGTCTTCCTGCACACCTGTGAGAAACGACTAGTCGGTCAGATTTTGGCGTAAACACGAACTTGGTCGTTGATCATTATTCTTGTCTTGTCTACTTGAACGCGCCATCTAAGAAGCCGAATAGCCAAGATCCGTAGCGATGCAAGAACCGCTCACGGTCTTTGAGGCGTCTGACGCCAGGAACAAAACAGTTTGAGCAACTTCGTGGGGGTTGACCATTGTCACAGGTCCCTTCATCATAGTAGAGTAGCCCTCAGTGTTGATGCTCTTGATCGTACTTGAGATGTTGGTCTCCATGCCCGATGGCAGCACGGCGTTGCATCGGATGCCCTTGTCTGTGTAGAATGCTGCCGTGTTCTTCGTCAGGCCTACAAGACCATGTTTAGATGATGTGTAAGCAGCGCCTGCAGTAAACTCGGTCAGTAACGATCTTTAGCTGGACCTTTCGTAGGAGAAGTACATACCAGCTGCAAAACCGCGAAGAGCTGCCACGGAACCGATGTTAATAATTGAGCCCTTGACCTTCTTCTCCAACATGTGGTTGACACCAAGCTTGGTGACCATCATAGGCGCAGTGAGATTGACTGCGATGATGCGGTCCCAAAGGTCCTTTTCGAGTGAGCCTACAGGATCTGAGCAGGACGAAGAAGTCAGCGAAATACGTTCTAGAATATATGAATCGAACGCAGTCGAAGAGCCTGCAGCTATCTGCAACTCAAAGAACACGGCAACGACCAGAAATGCATGCCATGTCAACTATGCGCGCATACGTACCAAGGCGATCAGTAAGTCCTGCGTTGTTGACAATGATGTCAATTTGTCCGAATCTCTTAATTGTTGTCTTGAATATATCCTCTAGGTCGTCCTCGAGAGTCACGTTCGCTTCGATGGCGATGGCTTTCAACTTGTCGTGAGAGGCTTCGAACTTCTGGACCAGATCCGTATTGATATCGATTGCAACCACATTTGCTCCTGCTTCCAAGAAGAGGTCTGTGATGGCAAGACCTAGACCTCCAGCGCCTCCAGTGACGATGGCGGTCTTTCCTTTGAGCGACAAGACGGTAGACATGATTGGTTCGGCCTTCCCGTGAAGATTCGTAGTTGACAATGTTGTTGTATATGGGTGCTTACACGGGTTTTCTAGTGAGATGAGATATAGATACAATTCTTCAATTGAGGCGTAAAGTCATGTGTAATGGACTTCAATTACGCAGCATCGTAGAAAGGCGTGGAACTGGAACACCCCGCAAATCGGTGTCATTGACATGTTGAAGCCGACGCCATTTTGACTTGGGAGCACGCAATTGGCATCCATTCTTCGAAGCATAGGTACATCACTCACAAAGTGATCTCGCACCTAGCAATCATACGTCTAAGCTTATGGCGCATGGTAGGTATTCTCTTACAGAGAATGCAGCGATACAGCTTGATGGAGAGCTCGATGATGACGTCACTAGATATGTGCTGTACACAGGGCCACCCTGCTTTGAAACGTGCATATCAAAGGCTCGACATCTACTCGAAACCAGACGATTCTCACACAGCCATTGATTGGCTCTCTAACCTCAGTTATTGCTTATCTGTTTAGGGGTCGTTGTTGAGGTGCGTTGCTAGAGGAGAGAGTGCAGACTGTAACACTTGAGGTAGGTGGGCAGTCAATTAAGTTGAGCTTGAGCTTAACAGTGGAATGATGTTGGAGTTGTCCCAAACCACATCACTGCTGTAAGGTAATAGGGGACTGAACGGCGGCCGAGGAAGTATCCAAAAATAGATAAATATGATCCAAGACCTGAAGATCTCCACACAATCGACGCAAGGAGGAAGGTGAGCTGCATCCTTCGATAGCTCCTTCCTCAAGTACCCCGCGTCTGCCTAACCAGGCACCAACCTCTTATCGTCTTTCCTCCCCTGTCAACAATCCGAACGACACCTGCAGGATCAACTTCGTCTTGTCACTCAGTCTCCAATTATTTGGCGTCAGACACTTGTGCCAACATGACTGGCGAGAGCTTCATTTCCAATCCCAATTTCGCGAACGAGACGTCCAATGCGTATTTCGAACACGCGTCTGGCGTCCGGGTGGATACTAATGCTGTTCTGATCGAAGCCATTCGTCGCGAGTACCCTCAGCTGCACTTGACTGTGATACCCGCGTTTGAGGCCAATCTCATTCAGTTCGCTGCTTCTGGAAATGCTGCACTGGCTCCAATCGATAAGGAAAACGATCGACTATACATCAAGAACTTCGCCCCACCAACCAGACGCCTAGATGGCGATAATGGCCGTCTCGTAGACGAGATCAAGTTTGGCAAGTTTATGATAGACTGGGATGGCAAGGAGTACGTCGTCTACATCGCTGATGGCCGCGATGGTCAAGAGGCCTACCCGCAAGTCCGAAATCAATATATCCTGTCGTCCTCGGTACAAGCAACCGAAAAGCTTTTACTAGAAGCAGGCCGATTCACCAATTCAATAGAAGGCACGGTGCTCGTCTTCGACCAAGGATACTGGCAGAAGAGTCGTGAGTTGTGGGAAAGTATCCAGTCGGCAGAGTGGAGCAATGTTATCCTCGACGAAGATATGAAACACGATTTGATCAAAGACGTGGAAAACTTCTTCAACAGCAGGGAGACTTACCAGAAGCTGAAGGTACCTTGGAAGAGAGGCGTCATCTACTATGGTAATACTGCTACGTATACTCATGTTCTGTGAGTATATACTAACCGCACCTTTTGTTCAGGCCCCCCTGGTAATGGCAAGACCATTAGTATCAAAGCTTTGATGCATTCGCTCTACAAGCGCAAGGACCCGGTCCCTACTCTCTACGTCAAAACACTCGCAAGGTATGTTAAATGATCTCAAGTGGTGTACCGGAGCTGACAATTTTGCAGTTATGGTGGACCTGAGGCCTCGCTCGCCAGGATATTCGCTGAAGCCCGCCGTTATGCTCCATGTTATCTCATCTTTGAGGATCTCGACACTATCATTACCGAGCAGACTCGCAGTTACTTTTTGAACGAGGTCGATGGTCTACGGTCGAACGATGGTATCTTCATGGTCGGATCGACGAAGTAAGTTGCAGATGATGACAGCGAGTTGCTGGTAATGAGTGGAGACTAGAGAAAATATCCGCTGAAGAAAGTGACTCGACCTTGAAACTCTGCTGACTGTTTCTTCTTTAGCCACATCGATCGCCTTGACCCTGGTATCTCTAAACGACCCTCTCGCTTCGATCGCAAATACCTCTTCCCCAACCCAAACCACGAGCAGCGTGTCAAGTATGCACACTTCTGGCAAGCCAAATTGAAGGACAACAAGGACATCGATTTTCCGGACAAGCTCTGCGAGGCAGTATCTTCCATCACAGATGGCTTCTCCTTCGCATACATGCAGGAAGCCTTTGTAGCGTCTCTGCTGGCTCTTGCGATCAATGATAAGGAAGAAGTACACCATGGTATTGACCTAGACAAGCTTCCTTTGTGGCAACAGCTCAAGAAGCAGATCAAGATTCTCAGGGACGAGCTCCACCAAGACCCAGGAGAGGTCATGGCAGCACTCAAGATCTAGTCGCGAGACCCTCACTATATATTGCTTGTACAACCATAGCTAGCCGAGCTCAGGGACTCCCCGGCCCCGGTCATTGAGGCATTCTATTTGATATGTCTCGTACACCTTTGCGGTATCATGCGCCAAAGTGACAAGCGAAAAGCGCGAAGTTGCTTGGAGGATGGTGATATTATCAAGGTAAAGCAAATCTGCTGAAGTCTCTAGAAGATCCGGGGCCGGCAGGAGTGCCTCTCTGGAGGTGTGTCACACGCCAATAACATCAGAGACGAATGTTGATTGAAAGAATGCCTAATCTTCTATCTCTGATCGTCTGCGCTTCGCAAATCGGAAGTGTCTTGATTCATTCCTAGAGGACTAGAGCCCATCACCATGTACCACTCCATGAGGCGATATCGGCCTCTGCTCGCACGTGTCGAGTCGGCTCGCGCCCACAGGGCACGACACAAGTGCTGGCGGTGTGTTTGCGACAAAGGGCATGAGGTGCGAGACAGTTCTACACACAGGTACGCATGGCTCTTGGATGTAACGCGTTCCCAGATTCCGAGTGGAGAGGAACCACACCCGTGTCTATTCTGATCAGATCCTCTGTCAGAAAGGTTGCTGAAACAAGGCAGATCGGGTTTCGTGTTGGCCGCGTGCACGCACGGCCCACCAACATCACTTCGAACTCCATCTTGGGCACTTTCAACTCTACTGCGCCGCTTTCAGCTCGTGGCACTGCCTCTATCTGAACTACATCATCATGGCGCTGGCGGTGATGCTGCCATCGCATATGGCCGATGTACCCTGGAAGTCATGTACACTGAAGGAAGTACCCCAGGCAGCCGCTAGCCTGAGGAAAGGTTGGTGGCAGCCTAAACATGGCTCTACATGACCATTTCGTTCCTTGCATCATCACATCTTGACAGCCAATTCGTGCCTGGATACTGCAGGTACCCTCCTGGAGCGTGTAACGCGGTCGAGGACTCGAGGTCTTTCTAATGCTCTAGTCCTCGATTGCTGCCTCCATCACCATGCCATCAGATTCCTAGCCACGCTATCCTTGGTTCGCTGCCTCGAAGGTATGACTCTTCGATCTGTGGGGGCTGTGTTCCGGTAGGTCGGTGGCCGAGCATGGTCACTTGGTCATTCATGCCCCCCCCCCCCCCCCCCCCCCCCCATGCCCAATTCTAGCCAGCGGTGAACCGCGCACCGTCGCCAGTAGGATCGCCCCAGGGTCGTACCCGCCCCCTGCCTCCCCCCCCCCCCCCCCGTCCCTCACCATTGTGCGGACGCATCGGCCGCGGCCGTGGTTTGCTTGCGTCAACTCTTTCCATTTCATCATCGTGGCACACCTCGTCGCAGAGAAGGGCAGATACACCTTGGCGAGATAACCACGGACCCTTCCAGTTGTACCTCTCGTTTCTGCCTCTGATTGAATATAAAAAGGGCCATGTCTTTGCCGTAAGAGATTGAACTTCTCCTTCTCCAATTCATCATCTTTCAGCTGGCTACCAAGTACCAGAACAATACCAGACTCACCTTCATCAACACACTCGATCGAAGCTTCCTCTCAAACATCAATCACTATGCCTTCCAACACATCATCGTCAAAGTCTTCGGGCAGCAAGACGCCCTCTTCAAATGTCTCTGGCGGCAAGCCTCCTGTCTCTAGCTCAAAGCCAGCAATACACAACTACGGTCCTGGCGTCAAGTACGGTCCCCCTGAGCCATCATCTCGCGATGCCCTCAATGCTCGTAAATGGCGATGAGCACAGAAACACTCAACACAGACAATACGCCGAGATTGCACACAAACCACCATCTTAAGCTCTTTCGAGTCTATCTACTGGACATATATCACCAACGACCGACTTCGGGACCCATTGTATCGCCGAAACAACGGATCATCAACAGAGTCACTCAAAGATTCAAAAAGCCCCCAGACCAAATTGGAGAGCTTTCACAAGATCTGCGACCTACAACACAGCATAGGGCGACTTGAAAAGTCACGCTCAGCAACTGTTTAAACACCTTTTGATCACGCGTTTGATTATTCGAGCTTTTACTTTGCCGCTTGCTGCAACTTTTTGATTGGACGGCAGGCTCTTTCACCCCCAGCACAAGCTCATCATCACGAATTTGGGGGGCAGCTCTTTATTTGTCAAATCGAGGAAGGAGGGATGGTTGCACATGAGGTGTGTGAAGACGGGAGGATACGGGCTACACGAAAGGAAGAGATAGGAACAAGGGCAAGTGGGGGGAGGGCGGAAAGGGACATGAAAACCACAAATGTGAGTCAAACTCGTGTGTGTAACGGGTTCTTGGGTGGGATTTGAAATAGAGCTAAGTCGTCTTTTTGGGCGGTGGTAGCTTTTATTCTTGGGTTGCAACACACAAAGGAAGGGTGGTGAGGGGTGTCCCCCTGGCGAGCATGGCGCGGTAACCGGCAGGAAACGAGGCCACTTATTTCAACATCATTCTGCCCATTCTGAAACGAAGCTTGATTTAGTTGCACATCTCAGACTCTTTGTCCACATCTATCAAGGACGTCATGTTCCTTGATTTATTTTCTTTCCATGCCTTCTGACGAGCTGTTGCTTCCAAATAGCGGATGGCTAGTTTGATCTTGGCGGAACAGCGTGTGGTGTGGCAGGGTAGAACGGTCATTGCACGACGTTCGGGGGTTCTCTGGCCGTCAGAGCGAATCTCAGTATGTGTTCGATGGTCATTGGCGGCTTTGACGGGTCGACATTGTGTCGTTGTAGTCTTCTGACATGGTCGGGCACCGTGTCCACCATGTCGATGTCCATGTCGTTCTGTTTGCCGTCTGTGTTTTTGCCTTCACCGTCTCCTTCTTCGTCTTCATCCTCATCATCGCTATCCCACAGCTTGCGACGCAAACCAGTAACAACATTCTCAATGCCGAGTTCGTGTTCTTCTAGGGTAAAGACGTCGTCAAAGGCGTCGGAACCCATGTCGCGAGCGACTCTATTGCCTTCTGGACCGGCCCAATTCCAGAGGTCGGCCAACTGGGCTGTGGTCATGGTCTGTTGCGGCGGTGGACCGGGCTCAAGGCCATTCGATGAAGTGCCGTTGGTCTGAGCTGGGTCTTGATTGGTGTTTGCGGCATGTCGCACTCCATTGGCGATCCAGTCTTCGACCTGGGGCTGTAACTTTTTGCGCAGCAGTTGAGTGAGCAAGTCTTCCTGGGTACGGCCTGGATATGACGGTAGAGGGTAGACGTGAGCGCCGGCGAGGAGTGGCTGAGCATTGACGAGGGTGTGATGCAGTGAGGCAAGGTTGTGGGACAGCAAGGTGGCCGAGTTCTGTAACGAAGGCCTGTTTTCAAGGGCTGGCGCATTAGTGAGCAGTTGGATGGGAGCGAGGTGTGAATTGTCGCATACCACGAGGGGAGAGGGTCGTTTGAGTCTAGGTCATGCAGCAGCTTGCCTATGCTGTTGGCGAGGGTATTGAGGCGCTGGCGCACCTGCTCGAGAGTGCGCAATGTCTCGACCGACATGTTGTTGTTTGTGAGGGATGGCAGAGAGTTGATGGCTGTGCGTTGGTCAAGGGAGGGCAGCTTGCGACATTGGGAGATGCATAAGGTGGGTCAAGGGTTAATGCAAGCTTCGGCATTTGTGCAGCAGCAGAGTGGAGTAGGCACGATGACGGATGACGCTGCTGGCCTGCTGCTTTCGGCTTCGACTCTCCAGACTGCTCGAGCGGAGCGTGTTGGTCGAAAGCAGCAAACACAATTCGGCCGTCCTCCTCGTGCGAAGCCCTCAGCACCCGCTCGCTATGCTGCAGATATAATGTTGATATCGATATACGACACTACGCTCTCTACATAACCCACCTCACCCTGCACAGCGCCCCGTAGGCCCGCAGCGCAATCATGTATGCCAAAGCAACACGCGACTATGGCTGTAGCGATGGCCACTTACACGCTGCAGGTTCGAAAAAGACCTCTACGCCCTCATCCGGGGCATGAGGAACCACAAGGGCAATGAGAAGGAATACATCCAGAACAGCCTGAAAGAATGCCGCCGCGAGGTCCGCAGCCCCGACATGGACAACAAGGCCACCGCCCTGCTCAAGCTCGTCTACCTCGAGATGTTCGGTCACGACATGTCATGGGCCTCGTTCAACGTCCTCGAGGTCATGTCCAGCCAGAAGTACCTGCAGAAGCGTGTCGGCTACCTCGCCGCCGTCCAGACCTTCCGTCCAGACACAGAGGTCCTCATGCTGGCCGAGAACCTGCTTAAGAAAGACTTGAACTCGCCGCAACTTCCGACCATCGGCCTTCCGCTTGTCACAATCCCTCATGTCGTCAATCCGTCCATGGCCAATTCACTCTTGACCGATCTCCTCCCTCGTCTCACCCACTCTTCGCCCGCCATCCGCAAGAAGACCATTGTCACCCTATACCGCTTGGCCTTGGTCTATCCCGAGACTCTACGTCCTGCATGGCCAAAGATCAAGGAACGTCTGCTCGACGAGAACGAGGACTCGAGCGTCACGGCCGCCATCATCAACGTCGTGTGCGAACTTGGCTGGAGGAGACCCCACGACTTCTTGCCCCTTGCCCCTCGATTGTTCGAACTACTGGTCCAAGGCTCAAACAATTGGATGGCTATCAAGATCATCAAGCTCTTTGCCACTCTCGTACCCTTGGAACCTAGACTAATCAAGAAGCTGCTACCCCCATTGACCGCTTTGATCAAGACTACTCCAGCCATGAGTCTGCTGTATGAATGTATCAACGGTATCATCCAAGGTGGCATTCTGGACGGCGCCGAAGGAACAGTCGAAGGTGACGAGATCGCACGCTTGTGTGTCAGCAAACTCCGAGGCATGCTTGTCGTTGAAGGTGACCCCAATCTCAAATATGTCGCTCTCCTCGCCTTCAACAAGATTGTCGTCTCTCATCCTCAACTCGTCGCCTTGCACTCTGATGTCGTCGTCGAATGCATTGACGATCCGGATATCTCAATTCGCACAAGAGCGCTAGATTTGGTCTCCGGAATGGTTGATCCCACTAACCTCATGCCGATTGTTGAGCGTCTCCTGCGACAACTTCGAGAGGCTACTCCGGCCTCGGCTGTGCATGATCCGACCAACGATAGAGGCATGCATGCTGGTGTAGTACCCTCTGGAGACTCGGACGATGAAGAGGCGGCAGAGTCATTACGAAGGCGAGAAGCCCGCTCATCAGAAGCCCCACCGCTACCCGAAGACTATCGCCAGAGTGTCATTGAGAAGATCCTCGAAATGTGCTCGAGAGAAACATACGCCAACATCACTGACTTTGAATGGTACATTGGCGTCCTGGTTGACCTTGTTGGTCACTGCCCGACCGTGGGCACCCAGTCTCTAGACAGCTCCTCAAAACCCGTAAAGGACGTCGCATATCACATCGGTCTTGAACTCCAGAATGTTGCTGTTCGTGTGAAGAGCGTGCGGCCAGAAGTGGTAGCTGCAGCACAGTCGTTGATCATAGTTGAGCGAAGAAAAGACATGTTTCCTGCTTCTGGAAATGGTGCACAGGCTGTTCTCGCATTCGTGGCTTGGTTGGTTGGCGAGTATCCTGATCTACTTCCCGATCCGCAGGCTGTTTTGAGTTCGTTACTGCACTCCACTAGCGCCCAGCTGCCTGCGAACATTCTTGCCATCTACGTACAAGCCATACCTAAAGTCTTCGCCCGTCTAACGTCCAACCAAGAACGATCGTGGACTGCATCCAGAAAGTCACAATCCGATCTATTGATGGCCAGGATCATACACTTCTTAGAACCACTCGTTCAGCATCCTAATCTCGAGGTTCAAGAGAGGGCCGTCGAATATCTCGAATTGATGCGTGTCACCTCCGAAGCAATTCAAGCACATGCCGTTGAAGGCGACGAGGATGGATTCGTAGATGCGCCCTTGTTGCTCACCCAAGCCATACCTTCGTTGTTCATGGGCCAGGAGCTAAATCCTGTTGCGCCTGGTGCTCTGACCAAGGTGCCGCTTACAGAAGGACTGGATCTTGACACGCCCATCAACGATAACTTGCAAATACTCCTCTCGCAAGCAGACTACGATGACATGTCATTCCCGGACGAAGACAATGTTTCCAAGTTCTATTTCGAGAAGCCTTCAGCAGCAGCAGTACAGCCTACTTCAGCGGCTGATTATCTGGAGCCTAAGGAAGATTCGCAGACCGGCTCTTACCAGGCAGAGGACCGCAACATCGATCCCAAGGATATTGCCAAGAAGAAGGCCGAGAGGCGCGAAAGATACAGAGACGATCCATTCTACATCGATCCAGAGCGTGGGTCTGGAACCTCAACACCACTGCATAACATCCTTAAGAGCAGCAATGGCGAAGATCTGGACATTGACTCGATACCTATCATGGATCTGCAACTTGATAGCAATAACACAGCAGCCGAGGCAGATCGTCTGCGCAAATCCAAGGCACCGAAGAAGTCACGCAACAAGCGGGTTGAGATTGCTCAGGACGAGACGATAGGTGACGACACACCTGTGCCTGCAGCGGCACCAGCCAAAGCTTCCCTCCTCAGCAGACCCAAGAAGTCCCTGTTACATGTTGACAGTAGCGGCCTTTCGTCCCTCTCGCTCTCAGAAAACGCGTCTTCTCGTGAGACACAGCTAGACTTTGAACGCCGCCAACAGGAAGAAGAAGAGATGGCAAAGGCAATCAAGGAAGTTGAACGTGCACGTCTTGAAATGCAGCGTGCCCAGGAGCGGGTGGAAGCGAGCCACATACCCGAAGAAGGCACAATAGTCAAGCGTAAAAAGAAAAAGACAAAACCAAGGACGGAAGAGGAGAAGCCTGCAGAGTCAGAAAAGACATTAGCAGATGATGCCGAGGGCACTACAGTGGTGAAAAAGAAGAAAAAGAAGAAGACCAAGGAGGACAGCGTAGAGTCCCCAGAAGGAGATGCCGGTGCTGAAGTCGAGGCAGCTACGGTCAAGACAAAACGAAAGAAGAAGAGGCAGATCAATTTTGACGAGCAGGGAGATGCACCGACTGCTTGAGTTGGTAGCTCTTCCCTTGAATCGGAATATGAATTGTAATATCTTGAAACATTCATCTTGCCTCTAGGTCCGCATTCTGCAGTTTTTTCCTAAGCTGCGTTGTGATCGCTCCTACTTCTTTAACAGGACGAGGCTCTTTGTTTGTTGCTTCTCCCTCTCCCAAGGCTTCAGTTTCTACTAACCGACACTACTTCAAAACTTCATGCACCGAACACATCTCCGCGACCTTGTCATCGTCCTGCGTATCCAAGCCTTCTCCATCCTTGCGGACTCTCAGCTTCACGAGCTTTGTGCTTTACCATCCACTCAAATGCTTGTATACCCACCCAACGGGAGATTTGGCTCCTGTATTAACCTCGACCTCGCGGTTCCATCACACAGTGGCATTCTCTCTTGCTGTTCCATGTCATTGACGTTTTTTTGGTGGGGGATAGAAAGTCAACCCATGAGACTTGTTCCCTCAGGTTCCCCCCCCCCCTGTCGGCAGTTAAATCTACTCATAGATCCTTTATCCATGCCTGTGGTTTAATTTCTTGATCATGACGAAAAGACAAGGGATGTGGAGCGAGGCTGATGAGGTGCGAGGAAACGAATAAGCTCGGTACAAGCAGACCAAGAGTACGAGTCTCCCAGGCCCGAGGATGAGTGGGATAGAGGCAGCTCGATGCACAAGCCTGCTGAATGAGTCCGGTGGCTCGAGGAAATCAGGCCAGATACAAAAAGGTGACTGTAGAAGACCTCAAGAACAGAGAAGTCGACCTAAAATCGAGGCGGCTACGTGTTTGTGACAAAAGCAAATGAACAGTAAAGAAGCAAAGGATTAGAATTATCTCTCATTGGTGGTCAGGGGTATATAATATAACTCGTGTGTATCGTTTGACCCAATGTACTGGCGATCTTTTTGCAAAACCACCCCTATTGCTGTGTAAGAAAAGGAAAAAGGATAGAAAAGGATGGGTGTGGAAGAAAAGGCCACAAGAAGCACAAGAAGATGGGTAGCTTGGTCGGATGTATGACTCTTGAGCCAGCCCTGGGTCTTTCTTCTCTTGTTGACAGAGTCCGGCGCGCCCGAGCCAAGTTTTGCGTCTGTGACTCGAAATCGGAGAGCTTGTTCGACGATGAGGTGATGATAGTATTTGACCAGGCTTCATTCAGCAAAGAACCCATGTTTTTACGAGGTTCAAGATCGTTGCAATGACTCGATGTGTCGGCTGCTGCCTATTAATTCTTGGCAAATCCATTGGTGAATCGGCTCTTAGAACCCTAGAAGCCAGCAGAGTTCTGAGACCATGAATATCATGACATTTAGTGATGCGAGTACCGAATGGAGCTCTTTTTACTGCTCTCCCTCAAGCTGTTCTCGTGCTCTTCTTTGTGCCCAACGGCTCTGCAGGTGGAGTTGTCGAGTCCTACTCCTCTTCATCCTCTTTGCCCTCGTGCTTGCCACCATCTTTTCTGATGGGGATCTTGATGCCCTGTCCTGCAAAGCATTTGCTGAGCTCGGTACTCTCGATGACACCAGGGAATTTCTTGGCGGAGAAGACCTGGAAGGGCTCGGAGAAGACGGTGGCCAGAACAGGACGTTTGCCGGTGGAGAGCTTTGAGCCCCCTTCACCAAGTCCAGCACCAACATCGAAGAAGCTCATTTTGAGACGGAAGGCAGCCTCGGTGCGAACTGAGAGATCCTGCAAGACGAACCAGTGACCTTCTTTCCCCTGCGGATCACGCAGCTGATTCGCGTTTACAGTAAGACTGCCAATGAGATTGCGGGTAAACATGCCACTGCTTTGCGGCTGTTGTGGCATGGCTGGTTGTTGATATTGTGTTTGGGGATACATTTGTGGTTGGGGAGGATATTGTGCATAGCCTGGGCCCATTTGAGGTTGAGCATAGTGGCCAGTGCTGGGGGGATACATGGACGACATGGAAGGGTGAGGAGGGTATCCCCAAGGTTGGGCATAGCCTGGCGGAGGGCCGTAACCGACGATTTGGTTGGTACGAGGGTCTGTGTAGGGGACTTGATGGGGATAGTAAGCCGTGCGCTCTGGTGGTGGAGGATATGAGGTAGTCGTGGCTGTTGAGATGGAAGTGGCGGGAGAATTGGTGGCTGCTTTGACAATGTTCTTCTCGACCACGCCTGACTCGTCCCACAGGTCGACCTGGAGAATGTAAAAGCTGGCGTCGAGTTGGCTGCGAAGAAGGGTGGATTAGAGAGGCATGTTTTACATGGATTTCGACTCTGCTTACTCTGCTGGAACTTCCTGGCCTGTTTGCTCGTTGACAACGACTAGGCGCACACACGGTGGAGGAGTGATGGGTCTGCGGTCCTACAAATGTCTCAGATGGGCCGGACGCTCGTACTACTGGAATTGGTTGCTTACCTTGTCACCAAAGCCACACATGCGAGCTCGGATGGGTTGCTGCACGACAACCAAGGAGAATCTCAAACCATCCCTGACGACTGATATCGTCTTTGCGATTTGAGAGACGGCCGGTGTCTGCATGTTCTGGCCGTTTGGTTGCAGCGGCACTTGTCGGTTGTGTTCATACTGTGGGAGAGAGGGTGCCGGATAGACAGGATGACCGCCGTAGACGGGCGGGAGATTTTGTGTTTGAGCCATGAGGACGGTAGCCAAACGGCGAATTGATGTCCAGACGTGCTGCGGTGCAAGATGGGCTACCAATCGAAAGTCGGCGTGGCGGGCACTGGGACTTGACGGAGGCTAAAGCCACGAGTGAGACCTGGGAGCAGGGTTGGGTGTATCCGAGGCAGCGCACAGAAGAATGGGCGTAGGTGAATCTGGCAGAAGCTGCTGTGTCGAGGACTTTGTCTTGGGTCTGTGTCGAGGCGAGCGCATTCGCGCGCGTTACACCAACCGGAGAAAAAGCGCCCACGTTGCAGCGGCCGTGCGTTTCAGAATGCGTGCCTCAGGGGAGAGCGTACAGCTGCGTGGAGAAGAGCCGTAGAGGAGGGGTGTCGTCGAGTCGATGTATGCGATTGCGATAGATGGATCTAGCCCAGAGTCGGTCGGCAGAGGAATGCGTACAGCGACGAGAGGGCGAGGCAGCGAGTCAGGGCGGCCTTTCTTGATCGCTGAACAAGGGAGAAGGAGCAAATCCGAGTCCGCACAGGCAGGCACAGGGGTCAATGGCGACACTTGTTCGAGCAGCAGAGTGGAGAGAAGACAGGAAGGAGCACTGGAGCAGCGCGTCCAAGCCTTGATCAACTTGGACCTGGATCGCCCGCCATCATCTTTTGGTTCGTCGTCAGAAGATAGAGAACCGCCACTAGGCTGGGTTCGGGCCTCTTAGTCTGTACCGAATGAGCGTACCGAAAACCTTTTTGCCGCCCGGGAACGAATCGGATGCCTCCAGGCCGTTGCGCCATACTCCAATCTCTCGTGCCTTGATCCACAAGGGGTCCCTTACAACTTCGATTCGCGATTATTGCCATCAATCAACTCAAGCGGAACTGCCCACAGTGCCATTCGTCGAATCTCGCATCTCAAATCTCGCAAGCGACTCACTGACCTGATTGCTGCATCCGTACTGAGACCAGCTTGCCTGCAGGCACGCTGCAATCTGAGACAATCTTACTTGATACAACCACGCCCAGCGCAATGGCGCAACTTCTCCCGATGACAGCCACGACGTTTGCTCATTCGCGCTTCTGGGTCGATTTGTGACCTAGGTACCATGACACGCCGCGGTTAAGTACGGCAATGGCTTGCTTGTAGAGGCTTGCCGTTGGGCAAAGACACCCATCCTCGAACTCGAGTTCCCACAGCTACTATACCGGCATTGCAGTAGCGTGTCGGTCCCTATCAATGCGTCAAGACTCGTCCTCGGTACTTGTTTACATGATTCATCTACCACGTATGTAGATAGTGCACTATTGTCTATCCTCATTATTCAATCCTCAATAGATGATACAAGCAATAGTCTGCTGATCTCCCTGGCAAACGGAGAAAGTCTAGACGGTGGCCTAGCAGAAGCTTCAAGCCTCAATAGTAATGGAACCGGCGATTTCAGCCTCGAGACGCCCATCCATTGTTACGTGCGTACAACAGATGGCCTTCTTATACCTGACCATCTCAACAATCGGTTTCTGTCACTCAGACCCCAAGCCAGCAGACAAAAGGCTGAAAATACACGAGGCGCAATCTCCGAGACCGAGGCGACCACTGTGTGAAGATGCTGGTGTATGCAGTCAGACGATAGTTCGAGCAGCGAGGCTTGTAGAAAAGCACCCGCAAAAGTGCATGGGCAAAGTGAATGACACGTCAACACTCGATGGTATATAAAGCCGTGGCGCGCCCTGCAGCAGGCATACATGACCAGAGGAACGACGAGCTCAGGGTGGCAACCAGCCGGATGCCGTTTCAGTGCGCACATCTGTGGCATTGGCAACATGTCTTTTGCTCAAAGGGAAAAGATGATGTCGTCTCGATGCTGCAGCGAGGCTAAAGTATGGAGTCTTGAGAAGGTTTGATGATCCGCTTGTCGCGTGGGCGGGTCGAGCAAGACGATCAAATCCCTGATTCGTGTACGGCGACGCCGACCAACGCCTGGTGACGTAGCGCTACACCCGAACCAAGGGTGAACCTGGAGAAAGCACTCGCGACAGGACACATTTTATCCTAGCAACATACATCAAAACACTCGATAATAGCCATGTCCGGTACGATGGCCAGAAGTCATCGGCAGAAACGCAAGCTGACCTCATATCAGCACCGCCAGTAGATTATTATGCCGCCCTAGAGGTTGACTCAAAGGCAACGCAAGAGCAAATCCGCACTGCTTACAAGAAGTATGTTTCACGACTTGGATCTGTGAGAGCATCTCTGATCATAAGTCTCCAGACAAGCACTCAAGCATCATCCCGACCGTGTGCCTGCAGACTCGCCCGAACGCACAGCCCGTACCAGAAAGTTCCAGCAGATCAACGACGCCTACTACACTCTCTCGGACCCTACAAGAAGAAGAGATTACGATGCCACAAGACGCTACCATGGATTCGGCTCAGACTTCGGCTCCGGTTTCGGTGCCGGTTCCAGCGCACCTCCAGGTGGTTACGGAGACCCAGAAGAGGAGGTTCCGCGACCTGAGGCTGGCAACCAGCAGGGAGCAGGTTTCAGCTTCCCTTGGAGCGCGTTCGGTTTCGGTGGGAAGGCGAAGAACGAGGAAGATGCGAACAAGTTTAGCAGCGAACAGTTCGGCAACGTCTTTGAGGAAATGCTCAGGTGCGTACTCATGTCTTTTCAAGCTTCCACATCGCTCAATGGCTGACCTTCGCATAGGGAGCAAGGAATGGCCGAAGGCGAGAACAACTCTCCCACAGGCAGATTCTGGTCTATGATCGGTGCTGTCAGCGGAGGCGCCATGGGCTTCATCATCGCTAACGTCCCCGGTGCTATCGCTGGTACAGTAGCAGGCAACAGACTCGGTGCTGTGAGAGACAACAGGGGCAAGAGTGTGTACTCTGTCTACCAGGAGCTGGATCAGCCTGCAAAGATGCGCTTGCTTAGCGAGCTGGCGTCCAAAGTGTTTGCTCATGCCATCAGCTGAGCAACGTCATATAATGAACCCTCACGATTGACCACTCGATTTAATTTGTCTTCTGTTATACAAAATGGAGGGGATGATCACGAAGCATGCAATACCCCTATCAATGAATATTCTCATCACATGCGTTTCCTGATTCTAGTACTTTGGGTATGGGTATCTCGCTTGATTATCTTAGATGACTTGTGAGTGGCCAGAAAGTGTTCTCGACTATCGCTGGATAGACTGTGTGTCTCTGTTCAAAAGTTCCCTTGCGGCGATAAGCTCGGCTTGTTCATATCCATCCCAGCCTCGCTCGCCACCCATACTGCGTCTGACGATTTCTGATAGCTTCTTGGTTGAGAGCTCGCGCAACTTTTCGACTGACGCCAGCGATGGAGATGGAAGATCGCCGACTGTTGCGTCTGATGACTGCGCTTTCGGTGGTTTACTGCTTGTCTGTGACAGGACTTCCAGCAGGCGTTGTGATGTCTGGAGAAAGCGGTCAGCATGACGCATGAGAGAGGGAATTGAAGAAGAAACTCACGAGCTTGAGACCGTAGTAACCACGGAGGTAGTCGTCGCACAACTCAACGCTGCGACAGAAGCTACGTTGGGCATCTGCGAGCAACTTGAGCTTACTGCCAGAATCTTCCGCGGCACTGGCCGAGATGAAGAGCATCTCTCCAAGACGGGCGTGAATCTAAGTTGCTGTCAGCATGCCGAACGGCAAGGGGATCATGAAGAGCATATACGCACATTCCAAGCATTCGGGGTGATGAGCAGAACTTCTTCCAAGCAAAAGACAGCCTGTGAGTGCATGCTCTGCAAGAAGTAAAGCTCAGCACACTCAGCCCACGCTTCAGCATCGACAGGCGAGCTGTCCAACAGCTCAGTCAATGTCTTTGTCGCCTCGGCCACCTTGCCCAACCCTCTCAGCAGCGCAACCTTTCTTTTTGTCACCGGTCCATTCGTCGGCTTTTCTGCAAGGATCTCATCGTAGCTCTTCAACACATTCAACAGCGCCTTCTCGTCTGCAGCGGTGGCTTCGTCGTAGAGTCCACGTAACGCTTGAACGCGCTCATTGTCGGGGCCAAAGCGCTGGGACAGCTTATCCAAACAGAGAGAAGCGGTCTGATCATCTCCAGTGCGTAGGCATGCGACCAGCAAGTTCTCGCTGGCTTGCCATTGCTCGGCGGATTCAGATGTCGTGAGGAGGGAGATTGGGTAGGGGAGACTGCTAGGTGCTTGGCTACGAAGCCATTTCGGTGCCAGTTGAGACAGTCGCAGGGACTCGGGATGTGAGAGGTGTGTCGGCGGCGCTAGTAATTGGTCCATTGTGTTGCTATGTGGTCTGAACGGTCATGTACAAGTTGCTTGAGTTGATGGTGGAGCTTCTCCAGCTTGCTGTCTCCATCTCCACGCGACGTCCGCCAAGCATCACCTCCGACGGACGACCCTGTTCCGATCTTTCATCCTCCTTCATCCCAACAATTTCCGTCTCAAATTTATGAAACGCTACCACTCCTGCGAAGCTTACCCAGAAGCCGTATGACACACAAGACTACACGTTTCCCAGCAAGTTCTGTTCTCGGCGCGCCACCCTCAGAAGCACGAAGCAGGGAATTACACGAGTGAAGTCGCTCATAAGCTGGTGTTGTTCCGACAAATAGTATGCTAGGACTTAAGAATCACATCTAAGCTCTTTATACTATACTAAGCCTCTGAAGTCTCGAAAGTAGAAGAATAATCGATTAGACATCCTCCTTGAACTCATCACGGCTACCATCCGTGCTCAAAGTAGCATTTCTGCCATCCTTCTTCTCGTTGAACTCAGTAGCGTTGCTCTTATTGCGGGCTGCATTCATTGCCGTGCCAGCATGGACAGATGAGGTACGTCTTACCGCATCTTGCTCATATTCGATATATGCCAGGGGACGCTTAGTGCTGATGGCCTCCTTGTGGCGGAACACAAGAGGATCGTGGTTCTCGCGGAAGAAACGGTCCATATCCTCAAGCGTTCGATCACTTGTCTCCGGGTAGAGGCAATACACTATAGGGATGAAGCTGAAGTTGAACACGGTCCAGATGATGTAGAACTTCCAGTGGAGGCTGTCAATCCCGATAGGCGTGATTTCGACGACCATCTTCGAACCCGGATTAGTATATCGCAGAACCCTGGGATGACAGAATTTGACTCACAAAGTTGAAGATCCAGTTAGTCGCAGTACCCAGAGCAGCTCCTTTCGTTCGCATCGAAAGAGAGTTGATCTCAGTAGGGTACAACCAAGGAACACCTTGCCATCCAATGCCGAAGAAGACCTTCAGGTACAGTCAGCAGGGCCTCTCTAGAACGCACCTTCAACTTACGTAGTAGAGGAAGAAGAAAGCAATCGACGCAGAGGCGACTTCGTCTTGGTGAGCAAAGCCATCCAGCTCGCTGAAACGTAGCAAGATAGTAATCAGTAGGTAGCAACACCCTTGGCCAATTGAGGCGTAGATCATCATATTTCGGCGCCCCCATCTCTCAATGTTAGGGATGGAGATGAATGAAAAAAGAAGGTATGAGACAGAGTTACAGGCGGCCAGGAGACGGGCTAGCTTCTCGGTAAGACCGACAGATTGAATCAAGACCGTGGGCAGGCTGAGACGAGAAATGGATTAGCAAAAGCCTTTCATCGAAACGTAGGAGACATACTAGTAGGAAGTGACATTGATGCCACCCAATTGCTGCATAGCTTGTGCACCCATCCCTAAGAAGAGACGACGCATCGTACAGGTACCACCTTCTCTTCCTGTCTTGCCTCGAAGTAGCTCGCCCCAGGAAGGAGAGTTCTCACGCTCGTAGTTGACAGCGTACTGAATCTCCTTGCTCGCAGTGATGATCTGTGGATCATCGGCGCTCGTCGACTCAAGTGCCGCAAGGATCTGGTCGGCTTCTTGAATACGGCCCTTGCTAATAAGCCAACGAGGAGACTCTGGTAACCAAGGAACCGTGCCGAATAGAATGAAGATGAAGATAAACTGCAGGGCCAACGGTATCCTCCACGCAGCTCCTCCGTCAATGTAAGAGAAGCCGAATGTCACCCAATTAGAAATTGAGAAGCCTCCGATATTACAAATCATCTCTATGATTACGAGCTTACCCCGCCACGATGCCTTAGAAGTCTCTCCTTGCCAGACGGGTGCGGTAGACGTATTAATGCCGTTACCTACGCCGGCTACGATACGCCCAACGATCATCTGAGGGACTCCGAAGGCTGTGCATTGGAGAAGTGCTCCGATAGACATAATCGTGGTTCCTAGCAGAATCGAGTTCTTACGTCCTAGCGGATCGCCAATCATAACTGCAGCAATGGCTCCGAAGAAACACCCGATGTCGTAGATAGCAGTGATAGTTGATAGTAGACTGGCGTTGTTGGTGAGATTGAGTTGTGTGATGTAGTCCTGTGTGACCACGACTCCACCAAAGACACCCTAGTGACACAGTAGGTTAGTTACATACTACTGACCAGGTTGGCTTTTCTACAAACCTGATCGTAACCGAAAAGGGTCATATCTGTGGCACAGGCTACCGTGACCCAAACGGTCAGCCATGTTCCAGTCATCCTGCCGGGTCATTAGCATAGCTTTTGGATGGACAATTTGTTTTATCCTGCTGAACTGCAAGGGTGTCTTGCGAGACAGAGCAGAGGACATTGGGGGTTCCACTGGCCTCTCAGGGCAGACAGGCTCTCAATGGACGCATCCAAAGTCTTAGGATGGCACTCTGCAATGCAGCAGCTATTCTAATGTTGTGACATACCCAAAGTATTTTGGTTTTGACATTGTCTTTTCAGACATCTTGCAATATGATGGTTTGAATTTGGAGAGACAATGCGGAGAAACTATGATGATGGAGACGCATAACGACGAGAGAGGAAAGCTAGATCCTTATATATGACATGGATAGCGATTTGATCAGTCTACCCCAGGCGAGGGAATGCTCGATCCCTCCATGAGTCGCGTGCTCGTACCCGAAGGAAGAGACGATCGCTCTCTGCATGACGTCGCGGGTGGCTTACTTGGTGCACAACGGACGTAACTACCTAGACATATGGAAGTCATCAGAACGTGCAAGTCCGAGTGTGATGGTGATCATCGAGGCATTGGCATCGACATATACTCACAATTGGGCGACTGGCAGTACAGCTGGACACGGTGACAAAAGGCTCGATCTCTGAGGACGATATGCATCTTCTCTCCATTGTCGGGTGAAACCTCCTGCCCGGACTGCATGGGATTGGAGCTAAGACTGTCGATCTGGAGACGAAGTTGGAGTTGGCGTTCTCCCCGCACTTTTGCACGAGCTCTGTCAATTCGGGCCTTTTGCCGGAGGCTTCGTGGCCGTAGAGGTCTAAGGAGAGCGTTCCGAAGTCCAGAGGACAAACCGATTGAGTGACAAGTGTCAGCCGGATTACTGGGTTCGTGAGGTATGCAGAGTGTCAATAATGGTTCTCCAGCTGATTATTGGTGTTGACCATCCAAGCTTTATCCAAGAGGGAGCAAGCTGAAGGTATGGAAGCTTGTGTGGAGAAAACAAGCTTACCAGCCATGCGCATTGAGACTGGAAATGACGCAGGCGGCACTGGAGCAACGTCCTTCGCGCGTGTCATATGAAGTACAAATGAGCAAGGATCCAAGATTGGTCGTGCTCATCGTATGTTTCATTAGAGACTCGGCGCTGCTAGCAGTGTTCGCACCCTGAGCTGGAGAAAAACCCATGAAACTGGAGTGAGCGGACTCTAAAACGGACCTGGAGAGAACATGATGGTGCAGCACCCTCTGGAAATACGCTAGTGCGTCTGTAGAGTCGTATGTTACTATAGCATCGATTCCAGCAAGATACAGTCATGGACTATCACTTCTGAACGATATTCGAGTGGTCGTTGGATATGTGTAGTGCATTTATCCGAGATTGCTGAGTTCGAGCTGCAACCTCGAAGAACGTTGCTTGGTATCGGTACTGCTTCTTGTACACTCTGCTTCCTCTGTCGAGTTCTGATACAAGCTGATCGTCAGTAAGCATACAATAACAGCCAGGGCTTTTAATGATCCTGTAAGCCTGTTCCTTCGAATGTAGCAAGCGGTCTCTGCCTTCGGAAAGATCGTGCCTATTTGAGCATGATAGCAAACCCCTCGCCAGTATTGGTATCACTCACTCTTGCCGTCATACCGAACTTGGTTTGCTTGCCGCTACAGCAGCAGTGATGAAGTTGCTTCCTTATAGCTGAAGCCTGAGCACTCTGGAGCAGGGCTCAGAGGCGAACGTGCGCTCGCTGGGTAATCAAAATCAATGATCTCAATATCGACATTTGAAGTCGAGTCCGAAGCGAAATAAATACTATATATTGGGCAAAAGTAAGTGCCGCAAACCTGGCGGTCAAGAATTGCTGAAGACTTCTTTGCCGAAACATCGACGGCACCCGCGCTATCTTCAGGCAAGAGCGTCCTTTGTCGACCCGACGGCCGACGCCTCAGAGGAACCTGGATACGCACACCAAGTTTTTTGTCTGAGCAGACATAATTCAAGACAACCCAAGGGGAAAGAGCTTGGCACCTTTCGCCTCGATAACCTCGAAGTGTTGTGTATAGTTCAAAGCTGGAATCTTGAAGGGTCGCTCAGTATGACTTCCACAACTTCGCCCTTCTTACGGAAAAGAAATCACCTTTTGAGCTGTTCGGTCGGTCCAATCTCCGATCATTTCAGCTTGTCGGCTTCCAACGGTAATTGGCAGATTCGAAGAAAATGTGCGAATGAATGCTATGCTGTCCCAAGACAGCATGACCGGGAATCTTGACTGCACCAAAGTGCTCCTAACGGAAGGAAGGCAGTGTCGAATGTTCTCCAGCAAACAAAGGCCGACCTTGATAATCTGGGCCCAAAAATCGAGCCTGGTAGGCTTCGTGAAGGGATTCGCGGAATCGAACGAAATCGTTGCCTTCGGATGCGCATCGGTGTTGCCGACGGAAGGCAATGAGTCATGTGGTTAACGATCGACATTTGTGACAACATCAACCATGAGTCATCATGACAGACTCAAAACAGTCATCCGCACAGATGCTCATTGACTCATAGGCGCGCGGCTAGTTGCACCGCTAACCCATCTGACTTCACCATATACCATAAGTTTGCCAGATTCATATTCAGTCTTTTCAGCTTGGAACATACCAATATCACCACCATGGCTGGAAACATCGAAGAAGTATCGACTATGGAGTGCGGTACCGAACCGCTGAAACGTCAGTTCTTGTTCGATCCTGCTTACAGGAACCTCAACCATGGTCAGTAAGACATGTCTGCCCTCTCTACAAAGTATCAGTGCTTCCGAACATCAAACGCCTCCTTGGCCCGGCATCTTGAATCTCCCACCCACACACAAATGCCGTCGCTGGACCGGCTTGCGAAGAACAATTTCCATTGCACCGAAGTTTGCTGACCCGTGACCTTCTTAGGATCGTTCGGGACTTTCCCTCGTGTCGTCAGGGACGCTTTGCGACACTCCCAAGATGAGTGCGAGGCAAAACCTGATGCCTACATTCGCTACGCCTATCCAAAAGCGTTAGACGTATCGAGAGAGGCCGTCGCAAGATTGATCAACGCCCCCGTGGACACCTGCGTCTTCGTGCCCAACGCGACTACGGGTGTGAACACGGTCCTGCGCAACCTCATGTTTGCGGAAGGAGATGTTATTCTGTACTTTTCCACCATTTATGGTGCATGTGAGAAGACAGTAAGCTACATCGTCGAAACTACCTCTGCCGAGGCAGTAAAGATCGACGATTATACCTATCCAGTTTCAGATGATGATTTGTGTGATGCATTTGAGAAGGCAGTGGCTCGGGTCAAAGCCTCCGGTAGGCGGACCAAGGTAGCCATCTTCGACACGATCGTATCCCTTCCTGGTGTGCGAGTCCCTTTCGAGCGTTTGATCTCTGCATGTCGCTCTCATGACATCCTCTCGCTCGTCGACGGGGCGCACGGGATCGGTCACATCCCCCTTGATCTTACCAAACTTGATCCGGATTTCTTCGTTAGTAACTGCCACAAATGGTTGTATACGCCAAGGGGGTGTGCATTGCTCTACGTTCCCGAGCGAAACCAGGGTCTCATCCGCTCGACCCTGCCAACGAGCCACGGATTCGATCCTTTGCCCACTGTTGGGGCGGCTCCAATCAACAATCCTCTGCCGCCCAGCGCAAAGAGCGCATTTATCGTTAACTTCGAATTTGTCGGTACGATTGATAATTCACCCTATACGTCTCTACCTGCCGCTGTCGAATTTAGGGAAACCATAACCTGGCAAGACAAGAATGGTGAAGATGCAATCATCAGTTTCACGCAGAACCAAGCTCGCAAGGCAGGCAAGCTGGTGGCTGATATCCTGCAGACAGTAGTCATGGAAAATGCGGAAGGTACCCTAGGCAGATGCAACTTCTCGAATGTCAAATTGCCACTTGACCCCACCGCCCTAGCTGGTGGTGAAACCGGCAAGGCAGTGAAAATTGCCCAATGGATCGCCACAACACTGGTCGAACAGTACAACACCTTCATCGCCATCATCTATTACGGGGACGCTTGGTGGGTCAGGCTCAGCGCTCAGGTGTACCTCACGATGGAAGATTGGGAGTGGGCCGGAACCATCCTGAACGAGATCTGCGAGAGAGTTCGCAAGGGAGAGGTCTTTGCCGATGGCATTGTGGAGCAAGGTACATAGGCGAGTCACAAGACGCACCCTTGCAGTGCGTCGGGAAGACTTGCCGCCATGTACTCTGTACCCGAGCAGCCAAGCTGTATGCAGCATTCCATTGTACTCAGAATTCATCACATCAGTCATTCTCTCACAATCGAAACAGGTGATCATGTAGCTGCTCAGGTGAACAGATGTACGCGATACTATTTTCATTCAGGGGCAGGCTCGAAGCAAGCGGTCAGCACTCGAGGGTGACCTTGGACTGCCGTGCTCTCATACAATCGCGGTATGCAACTGGCACGTCAAGAACCTCCAGCAGAGAAGAAGTTTCTCGGAACAAATCTCAGCTCCACAGAATTTGGGCATCAAGCTGGTCTTGCGGCTTCCAAAAAAACAGCGGGCCTCTCCGCAAACACGCAATTGAAGTTTGTCGGTCCTCCTATCTATGTGGAAGAGCAACTTCTTACCTTCTCCCGCACCCGCGTACTCCAGGACCTTTCAAGGTATCACGTCTGTAAACAGGTGGTGGTCATAGAGACAGTTGCTTGCAACCCGATACTGCTTACTAATCAAAAGTCTCATACTGCTCAGGTGCTTTATAGACGAGCGACATCATTCGAGAATCACAGCGGTTCTTACTGTCTGTGAATTGACTCGATCTGTGTGCGCTCTCTATGTTCAGAAGATTCGCGAAACTCATTCAGGGGGTGATCCTGGTGGTATAGTGGTAAGTCACAACTTATGAATATTCATATACCGGATCATAAAATTCGTGCAATTCATGGGGCATGGACCTATTTGGCTTAATTATCGATCAAGAGGCTTCAACCACTCACAGCTAGAGTCCTGCCCAAGCCCTGTTGATGACCCACAGCAGCTTATTTTTAGCGTCCATCAAGGCGGCCGAAGTGAATACGGGAGAACCTCGTCCGCTTCTGCCAATGCATACTGACAAAACACCGATAGCAATAGCGAGGGTGAGGGCTCCGGCGGGCTTGCGATACCTGCGAACTAGCAAGCGCGAGTGAGCGATCATTTTCTGGAGTGTTTCTCGACGCTCGATTTGTGCCGCATGCTTTGCGTAGACTTGTTCGCCCTCCTCTAGTGTCTGGTTTGCGAGCTTGCTCGGATCACGCGTTGTCTTCAACACGCTGTAGCTTGACACTTTGCGCCATGCACTGAAAGGAAGTGTCTCGGGCGGATGTTGCGAATATAGTAATGTCGTCCTTGCGATGAGCGACTCAATGTCCAGTGGCTTGGGGAGTTTTGACAAGATCGCGTACATCATGTCCTCATCGTCCGAGTCATATTCCAAGAGCTCATCTTTCCGAGTCGTGACAATCTAGAACCTAGTTAGCAAGATGATCACCCTCCGGGAGGGCCGTCCCGATTCAGGCCGACAATGCAGACGTCATGACTTACTGTTGCATACATGTACACCGACATCACGGCTTCATGAGCAAGGAGGAAATCGAATAGCCGAGCAATTCCTCCGTACTCCTCGATGTCGTGCGCGTACAACGTCAGAGTCGCTGCAATAGCGAAATATGGCCGTAATCTCGCCAGATGCTGGCATAGTTTGGGATCAGTGGCATACACGATTGCCGGCAACAGCTGCACATGCGATTCGCTGGCTGAAAACGTAGGGAGCATGTAATCCCGTATACGTAGAAGGGATAAGCGAGCCAAGGGAATTGCAGCCTCGTCGGCACCTAGGACAAGCAACAGCACTTGTGCGATGTCGTGGAAACCTTGGAAGTAGTGTAGACGTGGATGCTGGCGCAATAGTCCAATAATGAGGTCCGAGAGCTCATGCTTACGACCTTCGATCTGCTGCTCAGATTCGCCTGTTCATGTCAGCAGAACGCACCCCCAACCGAACCCGTGTACTGAGCTGACCAGTAGGATAGTACACAAAAGCGCGGTGAACGTCGAGTTTGACTTGCTCTTCATCGCGATGAACCGGCAACTCTTTCCAGTCATTTGTCTGATCCGTAGCTGCATTAAAATTACCCAATAGTACGGGCCCTGGAAGTAGTATCAGCAATAGAACTTTGCGTGAAATTAGTTTCGCTACGCACACGCAACACGTCTGACATGGTCTTCGACGAGTCCGCCCGAAGTCGTGGCAAGTGCTGCTAGTTGATCTCGGTCGTTGCTTTTGCACGCTTGGATAATCTGCGCGACCTTGGACGATTCGGCAGGAGTCAGAGGTTCGTTTCGCCATGATTTAGAGAACGGTTGGCCAGAGCTTGCTCTGTCGGAGTCGTCATTGGCCGCTACATCGCTGGGTTTTTCATCATAGTCGTGATATTCATCTTCCAACATCTCAGTGTTGCACTCAGGAGAAGCAGTCGTCAATGCAATGTTTAGAGCCCAGCTTGTCGGGTCGTCACACGTGCCGTGCGTGCAGTAGTAGTGCTGTATTCGTCCGCGGGTAAATTTGTACGTGGCCCTGCAACTAAGAACACCGTTTCTGTTGCAACAAAATTAGGACCGCGGAAAGAATCTGATGATCGGAGATCTACGTCGGTCGAAAGTTGGCCTTGGAAGTTGTACTGTGGCACGGTAAGTAGGAATGTTGGTGGAGGTCAAGCCAATCGTCATTCAGCGCGCGGTTCCGAGCGCAAGGAACACCGCCGAGCCAACCGCATTTTGCCGGTCTCTCGGCGCCATCACCTTGACTCCTTCACATTTGACCTCTATCTCGTCAGTCCTCTTCCCAGTCGTAGAACTAGCCGACTAGTTCGTGACGTATCACAACACTTGCTCACTTAATTCATCATGTAGGCCAACTGCGCAATCCCGTGGCAATTGCATGCAGTAAACACCCGATTCAGGTACTCGTTTGCAACTTTCATCACCCTCCCTCTCCATGTCTGCGGTGACAGGTCGAATTATCGCGTCCTTGCGTTGCAGATAGGGAGTGTGCTTGTTGCACTTTGACAATCTGCCTTCGTTGTAATTCAACATAAAGTAGTTCCTGGCGTCCGTTGATTGAGCAGTCCCAGCGGGTTCCACGTCTGACTCCATCTCTCCTCTCTGCGATTTTTCGCCCTCCATGAGTCCTCAGCAGCCCATATCGGAAAACCGACAACAGGAATCCCATGGTCGTATTGGATTGCTATCGAGGACATTGGTTCCAACCCCCACGATCCGCTGGATTTTGCCAGCACGAATTCGATCGCCGATAAAAGATGATTATCTTTGTATAGGCAGAGACTTCATCCAGCTTTGGGAGATCGAGTCAGAGGTAAACATCAATCTAATCGCGACGAAGCACGACTTTGATGGCGATATCGGTGGCGCCAACATTGTTGGCTATTTCGACTCGTATGAGAGCGAGTTCAGAAAAGATTCAGAGGAAGCGAAAGACTGTAGCGATGACTCTGAGGCGCCCATGGGACCGCAAATGTTGACTTTCACCCTGGTCAACTCTAACCAATTGTACTTCTTGACGGCTTCGGGAAAGAAGAATGGCGAAGTCATCTTCAGGCTGTCGTGCATACCGATACCTAAGTTCACGAGTCCACCGCGGATGATCGGGAATCCTGTGGCCGTGGATCCACGTTCTCGAGCTCTGGCAGTGGCAGCAGGCGAACGCGACGTGTTCATATGTTACACCAATCCCGCATCACTGCTGAGTTTAGGAACACAACGTTGGGATAACGGATTCTTTCCTGTATCGGAAGTTCGTATTGCTCATGTACAGGGTACCATCTTGCTGATGGACTTCCTCTACCCACCAAGTCACGACCAGGACCGTGTGGTACTGCTCATGATCGTCCTTTATAGAGGAATCGTGCGACCGACCTGGGCCGAGTGGTCATATTCTGATGAACACAAAACTTCAGACATGAGGTTGGGTCAACGAATCTACTCAGGTGAGTCTTCGTTGATCGATTTCCAATCATGTTTCTAAGAATATCAGATTCTGAATTACCCCACATGTTGATACCCCTCAAGGGGGATGCAGCGTTCATACTAGCCACTAAGAAAGGGATAACGATATTTGAGCACATCTTGACCACCGCGATCTCGTCAAACCGTCAAGGCATCGACAAGACAAATCCTCCCCGGGACTATCCGCCAAGCACTAACAAGCCGGCTTGGGCTCACTGGGTACGCCCTAGAAGAAATGTTGAGTACGAAGAGGAGGACTATATTTACTTGATATCCGAGGACGGCAACGTCTATTATGTGGTCTTTACACAAGAGTCGCCAGCTGAGGGTGTTGTCATAAACTCTGTCGGCAGCCTAAAATGTCATGTGGACTCGGCATGTGCACCATTTGGAAGGTCTGCTCAAGGCGACATCCTAATAGTCCATGGTGCGTCCAGTGAAGGCTGTGTCTGGATAGTAAGTGCTGCCGTTTGCCATCTGTCATTCAAATGGAGACTAACGATCGTTGTCCAGAGTGACTGTCGACAGGCTCCTACTTCCTATCTCGAGCCGAATGGTGGTATGCACGGTTACATCGTGTCTCAATCACCAAACTGGTCCGGCAACTTTGATCTGATCGCTAAATCCACTTCACGCGGGAAACTGCTACCAAACTCGAGGGACACTCTCTTTGCGCCTAGTGGGCGACAACCATACGGCAAGATCACAGAGCTTCGAATGGGTATTGAGGCACGTATCGATCACGAAGTCAAGAATTTCCAATTCGGCGTCGTATCTCATGCATGGGTGTTGCCAGTGGAGCAAGAAGATGTGTTCCTCGTCATGCTCTCCGGTCCAGGGCAGACACACATTTTGTCGATACCACAGTCTCCTGACGATGATCTTATTCAGGCCGAACAGATAGAACCAACCGGCCTCGACCTGCAACATTCGACTCTTGCTGCAGCTATCGTGTATGGTTGCATCCTCCAGATCACTGAATTTGCCATTTGTTCCTGTCACGATAGTGAAGACAGTTCGCGAATCGAGCAGTGGCCACCAGGATACAAAGCCGTCGCTGCAGCAATCGACGAGAACCTATGTCTTGCAGCCGTAGTATTGCGCAAGGATGCACGTTCAGAGATACGATTCTTCAATGTCGAAGAGGCGGAACATGAAACTGTCTCCACCTCAGAAATCGGTAAGCCGACAGAAATCGAAGACGAGGTGGTATCCGTGGCCATCCATTCTACTACTTTCTTGACGTTTATTGTTGCTGGCACTTCGGGCGGGGCTCTTCATATCTTCAGAGTCTCACCTAGGCATGGGCTTGAACTTTACCTTGAGCATGAGATCTCGCACAATGTCGAAAACCTAGAGGTCTTGAGCGCATGCGAAGACATCTTAATTCTCGGCAAGCAGACGTTGGCCGGGCAGCCTGTTGGTCTTGTGGTTCTTTGTGGCTTACGAGGTGGATCCATCTACGCGCTAGAACTGCAAGCCAACCTGGACGGTATGATCTACATTTCGCTTGCTATAGGTGTCGTCAACTGACCTTGCTACAGCGACAATCCAGATCAAATCACAACAGCATTACAGTCTGGGTTTGACATCAGTCAGGCTTAAACCAGGGAAAACCTATTCGTCTGCATTCGCGACTTGCGGTGACGGGCTCTTTAGCATTAGTCTTAAAAGTACCAGGACAGACTCCCTGAGTATCTCGGACATTTACTTGACAGATAAAGAACGTGGCTTTCAACAAGAGGCTATTGCGGCTCTGTCGTTGGTTCCATATGCTGAGACATCGACCATATCCGAGGCCCTTCTTGTGTTTTCGAACGACACTTGCTACGTTACATCGATATCTCGGAGACGAGGTGTTGTCCCCAGAAATATTAGGGCTCGAGGATCTCCTCATACCTTGATCGAGTGTAAGCAGTCGAACTTCCTCGTCAGCGCAGCTTCATACGGCTGGTTGCGTTCGCCAACGACCAGGGCTGTCAGGGATGTGGTTCAGTTCAGCTCGGGTAATTGGAGCTGCACCTATGAGATGGACATTGGTTTCAAGATCTACGCCATGGCGGAGTGGTCTGTGAAACGCCATGTTGTCATCGTGGTTGCTGCTGGACGACTATCTCGGCCTGAAGATGAAATTGCTTCTAGGTCAGACAACGGAAGGCTCTACCTGCTCCAATGCCCGACTGTGGGTGAGAGCGACAATGTCGCAGTGCTTCTCAAGCCATCGCTTTTTGACTCTCCTGTGACGGCAGTTGCGACTTACGGTGAGACTGGTATCGTGGTATGCTCGGGGACAAAGGTCTACTTCCTCGAATATGACACACAAGCTCCGAAGTAAGTCTCCGGAACAGATCGTTCCTCTCATTTCCACAAACATGAACTAATCGTATTTTCAGATTTAGGCTCAAGGAGATATGCAACTTCGTCATGCACAGCCCTGGCATTCGTGTGACCACGTCACCGCCCCACATTCATGTCACCACGGAGCTAGACTCGACGCTCACACTCCAGCTAGTGGCCAGTCCAACTGATCCATCTTCCAGGAGGCTGCATAACGTCGCTCGGGGTGATGGGGCACGGATGTCGTCTAGTCATACGACCATCAATGTTACGGATGGTGACGATATTGCTTCGAGCTTTAACCTAACCAGCACGATGAACTGCGAGCTGGTGGGTCTGCAGATACCAGATCCGAATCGTCCACCTGCCATCGCGACTCATGATATTCTTTTCACTGCGAAGCTCACCCGATCGGTCATGCGCGTCGTGGAGGCCAACGTGCGACCACCTTGGAAGCCGGCAAAGGCTAAAGGTGTGCTCAAGGACGATCTTGTGGGTATCGCTACAGATGGTACAATCTACGGTTTCGCAATCCTGGACGAACGTACAACCAACAGACTTCGATGGGTTCAAAGGCTCTGCCAACGTAATGCCGAAATCTGCCCATTCACCTTTAGTAAACCGCAGACGTTTACTCAGAATGGGTTTACGAAGCAGATACCAGTAACGCTGCCACCTCCTGGATTTGACACCGCATCCGATATCGACATGTTTGCAAATGAGAACACGGCCAGGAGATCCAGGAGATACAGACCTAGCGACATGCACGTCGATGGTGATTTCTTGGTACGGTTGTTGGCTCAGGATGGAGTTGAATTGCTCACCTTGATACTCGATACCGAGGCGGCAAAAGAAGCCCACGACACCATCTCGACTTGGGTCCGTGACAATCTCGAGTCGCAGAAGAGGGAAGTGGAAGCGCTGATTAGCGAGGCTGCAGCTGTCATCGATCGATGGTGGTGAGAAGTTCACAATAGACAAAGATGATAGCTGTATTTATGTGGGTCTGGCCCTTTGTTTTTCGTTACAGTTCCCATGCTCTTGAGCTCATAGTCGAATGTCGTCGTACAAGTGGTTCATGTGACAGGGTTGCACCCAAAGCAAGAGATCAAATTCAGACAATGGTACCGCGAGGTTAGTTGACTCATGAGTCGCCAATTTTTCATGGATCTGCTCGCTAAATAGTAGTAGTACACTGCATCTGCTTGTGTCCTACCAGAGGGTCGCATTGCTCTATTGGTGATTTTCCTGGTCTGAATCTTGTGACTCTGCTGTTGAATAATGACGATCACGAGACCAGATAATCATGCAATGATGTTGGCGACAAATAGCACACACATGAGATATTACAAGCCAAACGATGTCTTTTACCACTCAGAGATACTGTAACAACGTGATAGAATGACTAGCATGTCCTTCACCCAGTTATCAAGGTCTGGGATATTGAAAAAATATTCAGACAGGGTGATACCGTTGTCAACGTCTGACGGAAACTCATTTTGAGAATAACAAGATACGAGTCGTAGGACAAATGTTGCATAGTTTTAGTGGGTGATGTGTAGTGCCATTCCGGTATTTGTCTAGAAAATCGAGTGTACGCGCCATGCAGAAAAGAAACAAAGATCCAACAGTTTGGAAATAGAAAAAACACTTATTTGAACGCCTCATGCTTCACATTCAAGACCCCCTAAGACTCCATCGCAGCTTGCATGTACACTCGATTCCCTATGGCCATGGCGACCGGCAGTAGTTTGGAGGGACCGGAAGTCGGGCTCAAGGGTCCCTCCAAGATGAAGGGGGCCGCGGTTCTTGTTGTTGACAGTCGTTCGGTCCAACAGGTATATCTACAAGAGAAAGGTGCTTGGATGATGGCTCATCTTCTTCGTCCAGCGGCGCGTTGGGGCGTCCTTGAAGGCTTGATGACAGGTGCCGGGGCTTCATCATCACTTGATGATTCGTCATCTTCCTCCTCTTCTACCTCTTCGCTCTCATCGTCGTCGTCAGATAGCTCTTCGCCCTCGTCGTCCGAGGTCTCTTCAGCTTCATCATCGAACATGCCTTCTCCGGCCTCTTCCTCCTCAATGTCGGATGATGCTTGATCGCCACCATTGACCATAGACAGGTCACCGAGGTCGCTGCCCACGGCATTGCTGATGAGGTCGTTGTCATCCTCGTCCGATGACTGGTCATCTTGACCCTCGACGTAGATGACATCGCGGTCCACGTTGTCAGAATCATCAAATCTTCCATCTCTTGTTTCCTGGATGCTCCTGCGAAGTTCGATCTGAGCGCTGAGCATGTCGAGCTTGCCCTTGAGGGTGACGAGAGATTGGAGGCCGTTGGCACGTTCCTTGATGACACGCGACAGGGTCTTGAGCTTCTTGAGGACGTCAGGCTGGCTGGCGAGATAGCCACCGTGGGAGACGAGAGACCATTGAACCCAGACCATGAGGTTTCCAGCACGGCCCGGACGCTTGTGCAGTCTCTCGGCCAGGCGTTGGAGGAGGGAGGCGACGAGCGGCGATTGAAGTCTTTGGATGGTTGAGCGGATACTGGGGATGTCGGTCATCTGGAAACACGTCTCGAGGAGTCCACGGTCGTTGGTGCGCAGAGCCTGTGTGAGGACGGTACCGAGGGAGGTAGCGGTGGGAGCGGTGAGGGAGCGGTCCTGGTTCATGGGGACGAGGGCTTGAGTGCCCTGCTCGCGGTCTGCGAAGGCCGACTGGACATCGATTGTCTCGGGGTGCGCTGCCTGCAGCATGTCGCCGAACGACTGCCCTTCTGCCCCATCCTCCATGTCCTCGTCGGCGTCAGCCATGACAGCGTCGGCGTCGTGGCTGCCATTCGTCGTGGGCTGTGTCTCTTCGGCCTCGTCGTCGGAGCCGCTGTATGCGCTCGATTCCTCTCCACTCGAGATCTCGACTATTTCCGGTGCATCGGCCTCGTGTTGCTCAACTTGGGCCTTTGACTCATCGACACGGTCTGCTCGTGAATCCTTGACGCCATTGGTGTAGTTTGCGCGCAGCTTTTTCCCAGCTCGCAGATTCTCGTCGGTCAAGAAGCCAAGTCCAGAGCTGGTTTGCTGTGAAGTCTTTGCCTTTTTCGACGGAGGCAGCGAAGGTGCCGCTCCTGCCTCGGCTTGTCTAGCTCGTGTCCGTTTTGCTGTGCTCATATTGAAATGTTGGCTAGACTGATTCGTCGTGTGCTACTTTGTTCCTTCCAAAGCGTCACTTTTCTGAGAAAAAAGTTAGGAACGCCAAGTCCTAGCACTTGCCAAAGTTGCCAGGAGGTCCGTGTCTGCCCCAACTTGCCCGACTATCCGCCGTGCTCGACAAGGACAATTTGGAGCGGCCGGTGCCTGTGCCTGTGCCTCTTTTTCTTCAAAGACTTCTTCACCCGGAACTGTTCGTTGACATCTTGCAGAACTGCGACCACAGCAGATGATACCGCGGTCGCATCCAAGAATAATTCTCTCCCTTCAAGGCTGCTGCCTTACGTTACGTATCCCGTTTGCATCCGTGTGGATTGGAAGGCGACTGCTGTCAACCAAGACTTCTGACAAGTTCCGAGAAATTTGGCAAGTACCATCTTTTGCTTTCATGCTCAGCTTCTACCCTTTCAGCGTGGTAGGTACAGCTCATGAGCGACTTCCCCTGTAAATGCGCCATCTTGTTCTCCTTCTATTCATCTCTATCTGAACAAAACACTGTCGTACCACATGAAATCTTGCTCATCCCAAAACCCCTGCGTTTGCCTTCTGCTCGACTCAGCCGCACGACCCCGGATCACGTGAAGCGGGTAACCGGCGCCACGACGTCGAGATCTAAATTCTTCGTTCGACTTTCAAAACTTGCGTCCTTTGCGAGTCCCAATCGCGTCGAAACACGCTCCACGTCCACGTCCGGCTTTCCGATTCGCGCGACACGTTCCCCAAAAACTTCGCCGACAACTACATCAACCCACACCACACCACATCTCGGCTCCAGGATTTTTATTTGTGCGACGCGCATAATAACTTCTGCTTGTCCACCTATTCAATACAGTAGCTCTGTCCCGCCGTTCCTCTATATTGTCGCTTGATTGTCGTTTTCTGTTCGCTGTTCGGCCGTTCACGTGCCATATTCATCTCTTACAACACTGCACAACACATCTCCAGCTCAGATGTCATCAGAAACAGGACTACAACCGGAGATGGCAAACGTCGACCGGTGAGTCTCTTTCTTTCATTCCTTTCCCATACTCTCATCAATCTTCCTCGTTGTTGTGTCGTCTTGTTACACTCTTCATCATGACATATCATACCTTCCTCCTTGTTCTCTTCCATCAATTATTGAATGTAAATATTGAGAAATTGTTACAGACCCAATGAAGACGTGCCCGTCGCCGCTGAACAAAGTGATGATCTGTTTGGCGAGGAACCTAACGGAGAGTCCGTCGACGATGTCGCCAAGGCACCCGCCATCGACGGCCTCGACGATGTTGCTGCCTCGAAGCCGGCGCCGATCGCCACGGATCTTTCTGAAAACGGCCCCCCGACTCCCGCTGACTCACAAACCGTCGATCCTCAATCCAGCTCAGACGCCGCTCAAGTGACAGAACAATCTTCTGGCATTGAAGGCGTTGCTGAATTCATTCCTGCTGACGCGAACCTCAATCAGCCCCTCGTCTCACCATCAGAACCGCTCGGTGACGGCGAAGCGCACATCACTAAGGATACTGAGATCACTGACGCGCCTTCGCTCGCACCTGCACCCGAGACCGTCACTACCATTGCGCCCGAAACCCAAGGTGACGAAGAGTCAAAGTCTGCTGGTACTGACAGTGTTGTTAACACCGGCCCCAACTCAGATCAACCTGCAGCCTCAGATCTTCTAGACAGTGTTGCTAACCAGTCAAAACAAGACGACACAAGACCTGGAGTAGAGCAAAATTCCACTTCGTCAGATCTTCCCGTTAGTGCTGCTTTAGCATCAAAAGCCCCTGCCATGGATGTATCCGCCGCTCAGGCATCTGCCACACTCCCGGTCGACACATCTATCGACCAGGAGATGTCGGACGCGCCTTCTGCTGGAACTGTCCGCGCACGCGAAGAAGAGGATGATGGAGCTAGCGAACCCTCGGCAAAGCGCGCAAAGACCGGAGACGATGTCAATGGAGAAGCGCAAGCCGAGTTCAAGGATCTAGGAGCTTCGAAAATGGCCCAACCAGCACCTGCCACTTCGAATGGTGGGACTAACGGTATTGCCGTCAGCGTTGTCCGCCCTCAAAACACACCTCGCATCAGTTCTGGCCCTATCACTAAGAATCAAAAGGCCTTCTTGATCGAGAAGATGAAGAATACCAAGAAAGTCAAGTCGGCCTTCTGGTTCACAAAGCCCGTCGACTATGTTAGCATGAACATCCCTCATTACCCTACCATCGTCAAACAGCCCATGGATCTTACCACAATCGAGCACAAACTCAAGACTGATCAGTATGCGTCGGTGGATGATCTTGTGTCCGACTTTGAGCTCATGGTCACCAACTGCTTCACCTTCAACGGCATTAACCATGCCGCTTCGGTCTCAGCGCAGAACCTCAGGGCCTATTTCATGAAGCAAATGCAAATGTGCCCGACTGGTGAAGCTGCACTGGTCAAGCCCAAGCACGTCGCTCAGAAGCCGTTGCCAAAGCCAACTGCAGTACCCCGACCCGAGCCGGTAAAGCCCGCTGCGCCTGTCAAGTCTCCTGCGAACGAAACTTTTGCCTTGTTGCCCGATGGAACACCTATGATTCGCAGAGATTCGACTGCCGGCAGACCCAAGCGTGCAGTCATTCCTCCTGCTCCGCGCGATCTTCCTTACTCTACATCCAAGCCCAAGAGGAAGGAAGCCCAAACCGGTTTGAAGTTTTGCGATCACATCTTGGAGGAATTCCGCAAGTCCAAGTATGATCGCTTCGCTGCTCCTTTCCGTATTCCTGTTGACCCTGTCGCACTCAACATCCCCAACTACTTCAGCGTCATCAAGACCCCTATGGACATCTCCACGATCACACAGAAGCTCAAGGGTGGACAGTATGCATCCGCAGAAGAGTTCAGAAATGACTTTGAGTTGATGTTCACCAACTGCTTCCGCTTCAACCCTCCTGACAACATCGTGCATCAGATGGGCAAGGACTTTCAGGCCGAGTTCCACAAGGAATGGTCCAAGAAGGACAGCTGGATCAAGAGACACACGCCTCAATCTCAACGCGCTAGTCCCGTGTCAGATGCAAGCGATGATGAAGAATCCGACGAGGCACCTGACGGAGACGATGAGCACGACAACAATGAAGCTACCATCACATTGCTCAGAGAACAACTGGCCGCCATGCAAAACATGGTTGCTTCGATCTCTGGTGGCAAACGTGCATCTCCCAAAGCTTCTAGCAGCAAGAAGAAGAGCAAAAGCAGCAGCGGCGCCATCAGCAAGCCCAGCAAGAAATCAGCCGGAAGTTCTATCGTTTCTCGCCCTACCATCAAGACGGGCTCCAAGCCTAAGAAGCAGCGTCTGGTGACCTATGACGAGAAACAGGAGATTAGTAGTGCCACAGAGCACATGAGTGCTGAGCAGGTGGAGAGACTGACCAACATCATCACTGAGAATGTCGCCAAATACAAGGACATGGCTGGTGACGATGTTGAACTTGAAATCGACGATTTGCCTAACGAGGTGCAGCACAAGCTTCTCCGTTACGTGCGTACCATCTTCCCTAAGGCCGAGCCTGTCGAGATGGATGCAAACGCCATCGACGATGATTACGAACCTGAGAAGCCGTCAGCGCGTTCCGGCGGAGCCGCAAAGAAGAAGCACAAGCCCATGAAGAAGCACGAGCAAGAAGATCGCATCAGACAACTCAAGGAGCAGATGGCTTCCATGTCTGGTGATGTCGACTCTGTTAGCAATGGTGCAGCACCTTCAGCTCAGCGTCGCGCCGACAGCAGCGATGATGATGACAGCGAGAGCAGCGAGGAAGAGTGAATCCACCCTTCTGACCATGCTCATCACTCGAGTCGGACTCGATTGCTCAGCTGCAGAGAGTAGTAGCCAACGCTTTACATTATTTGCGTCGGATGATAACGAGACCAAGGCCGAAAAGCATGGAAGCGAGCAAAGCAGCTCGCGAACATGATGATGAATGACAAGAAACACGACGTACCCTGGTAATATCTGTGGCGTGTGCACACATACAAAAACATTCTCGACTCATCCATTCAATGAGAAACAACATGCTTGCTCAAGGAATGCATTCTTTCTTCGCCCCCCAGCAAACCCAAAAGAGATACCCAGAGGGCAGAGTGCAGGAGGCCGGGCGAGTTTGATCGACTTGATGGATGATGAGGAGGCGTGAGAAGATAATTGGCAGACGGAGGCCACACCTTTAAATTCTTTGTACCATAGCCCTTTTTTTCTGTTTCTAGTTTATCAGTAGTCTTCTCAATTGATGACAACACATTTGAGACAGAGCTTTATCGCACTGACCTTCTTTGTAGTAATGTCTTGACTAGCGAACGCCAGTTGAGTGTGAACATGGTTTGACGAGTCTCAATCTGTTGGTGTCAATGCGTCTGAGCATCGAATGTGGTGTCTGTATCTCTTGTGGATCAGCATGACCCTGTCAGCTCGTCCAACCAAAGTCGTTGCCAATAGTGGTGGTCACTGCGGAGCAACTCTCCGACTCCTCCACTCTCCGTGCTCCATCCCCTCCATAAACACAAAAACATACCGACTCTCTCCAGAACCACACATCTTAAACCCCAGCTCACCGAAGTCCTCGACAAAATGCTTCCACAACCAGACGCAAAAGTCTTGCGCACAAACCCTCAATTCGCAGCTCTGTGGAGAGATTTGACGACAAACAAGATACAAAGAAATGGTGTTTCCAGAGATGTTGCATTGAACTCGGAGACAGTAAAGATGAGAGAGGTGTGTTTGCTTGCTACCAAGCTACCAGTGAACGAGCAAGAGGTGCTGATGAAAACGAGTAGGTCTTGCACAGCAAACGGGTTGAAATTGCGGAAAAGGAGGTTCTGAGAAATGCGGTTAGACATGTTGCGTTTGGTGAAGATGGTGGTTTGACTGGCGAGGTGAGTGGTGTGCTTGTGTCTCGGATTACCGGGTGAGAAGCATAGATCACTGATTTGGATGTGTGATAGTTGAGGGAGACGGCTCAGATTGTTTCTGCGCAGTTGGATGGGAAGTTGAGTCCACAAGACAAGGATATCGTCCTAGTCGAAGTCGAGGAATTCATGAACAACATCGACACGATTAGAGCAGCGGTGGGAAGTCACATGGAGCAGAACATGGTGCTGCTGTGTCAAATACTGGGTAGGTTGAAAGAGAGAAAACGAGAGGGTATCATTAAAAGTAGGGGCATGCTAATTTTACATTATGTACAACAGATCCAACACAGCAGCAGCCAGACCCTGCGACGCTTCCAGTACACGCCCAAGCTCTTCAGGCAGATGTCGAGGAAGCGAAATGGCAGCTTGGTGTCAAGCGCATTGAGCTGGCAAGCACTCTGACGCAGCTTCTCAAGACGAACGCGCAGCTTCTACAAACATGCATCCGGATACTGGAGCAAGTGGTGCATGGCAGTGTGGGTCGACACACCCGAGCGCGAGCTGAACATCTTGCAACAGTGGCGCAAGGACTGGAGAAGCGATTGCTGGTAGCAAGAAAGACTATAGCGGGACAAGTCTACGATGGTCGAGCCGAGGAGCAGCTCAGAAGCAAGAAGGACGAGCTTGATTCGCAGGGTGCTGGTTTACGCAGAAGACTGAGAGATCGAGAGCAATGGCTGGAGCGGCTTGAGGGTGTCGCAGGACTCAGGGAGGCGGTCGAGGAGATGGAGAGAATCAAGGGCGAGATATCGAGGGCCAAGGAGGAAGTCGGCCGGTTGGAGAGAGGAGCGTAGGTAAGACTTAGAAGTCGGTGACACGGCCGTTGTAGCTCCAGTCGCTTCCATGGCCCCATCGCAGAGGGTTGTTCTTGGGACCACCAACCTCGCCTGTCTGAGGGTTGACATCGCCTTCGAACTCTGGAGGAGCGCCACGTCGGACGTTTGGGTGCAGTTCCTCGCCCTTGCCATCTGCTTTGAGAGCAGGCGATTGGTTGATCTGGGGCGATTGGTTGACCTGTGGCTTGGAAGGGGAGGCTTCGGCGACCGTCTCTTCAGGAGCTTGCTGAGGAGTACTGAAGGCACCAGTAGATTGCTTCATCAGCTTGTCGAAGACCTCCTGCTCTTCCTTGGGGAGACGCGGCGGCGAGGGCCCTGGAGACCACGATGATCTGAAGGCTGGCGAGGTGCTGATGGCACGGCGAGCAGCGAGGGTGTAGCAAGAGCGGACGGCGAGACGTGCGAGACTGAGTGAGGACATGTTGAAGATTTTGTGGTTTGGAGCTTCCAAAGTTGAATGGGCTGGTACAAAGGAATTGAATGGTTGGAGGCGGAGGTGCTCGGTCAAACTCGAATTTGGCCGCTCGATGATGTCAACACGATAATTTGTCGTCCATACCTTTTCGACTACCTCCCAACCTTGTCTCGAGAATTTTCGATTCGGCAACCTGCTCTATAATATCCCGAATTGCCGACCAAAAGTCAAATAGTCCAAATTATGGATTGTTGTGTACCGTAGAGGGTGGAATAGAATTGACCAAAATGTTTGTCCAAAGCCGCCAAGACAGTGGTATGGTGGATTTGTGAACCCTGATCAAATCACCTTCCCTCTCTTGAAAACTTTCTGGTGCAATGTTTGGTAGAGTATTACGGTCGCGCAGTACCCTACTCGGAAACCCGTTAATTCGGTCTTCATTACGGACGTCTCGTCTTTGTCTGCGCCCTTTGATATTGTCATTGACCGCTGGCACGAAACGTCTTTCTTCAACCGAGGCATTTTCTCTTGCGCAAGACCAACATGACTTGAACGAGCGGAAGCAGCTTGAGATCAAGCAAAAGACACGGAAGCTACCTCTTTCATGCCCTGGCTGCGGTGCTCCAAGTCAGACAGTTGCTCCTGAGGAGGCAGGCTTCTATACTTTGAGTAGGTCTGCTGTCAAGAAATTTGTTCAGGATGATACGAAACAAGAAGACCTCATCTTCCACGCAAGTCTGGACAAGGTTACCAACGAAGTCCTGCAAGAGCTAGGTCTGAACAACAGTCATCTATCTGCTCAAGAAGAGCCCCAAAACCAGACTCCCGTCTGCGATCGATGCCACAACCTCTTACACCACCACACCGGCGTGCCAATTTTCCATCCCTCAATCGACAGCATCCGTAGCATAATCGAGGATTCGCCTCACAAGAACAATCACATCTACCACATTCTCGATGCCGCAGATTTTCCCATGTCGCTTATCCCGAATCTTCTGAACCGCCTCGATCTTCCTGCCCTACGTACACAAAACCGCCGTTCCAAACACCGCAAATATGTCCGCGACCGCATCGCTGATGTTTCGTTCATCATTACTCGCTCCGATCTCCTTGCCCCGAAAAAAGAACAGGTCGATGGTCTGATGCCATACCTTCGCGAGACGCTTCGTGACGCCCTTGGTCGCACCGGAAGAAATGTCAGACTCGGAAACATGCGATGTGTGAGCTCGAAGCGTGGCTGGTGGACAAAAGAAGTAAAAGAAGATATATGGGACAGGGGTGGAGCGGCTTGGATGGTCGGCAAAGTCAATGTGGGCAAAAGTAATCTGTTCGAGGTTGCCTTTCCCAAAGGCAGAGGACAAGAGAAGCTTTCCACACCTCTGCAAGCAGACCTAGAGCCAGATACCTCGTCAGTCCCCGAGGGTCTGAGTGAACCCCTGTCTGATCTCCCTGACATCCAGGAGGCTGGGGCGCACACCGCCAATCTCACTGCCAGTGCATCTGGTGATGCTCCGATCGAAGCCCAGCCAGAAATCAACGATCAGAACGAACCAGACGTCTTTGATGTCGAAGAAGGCTCGCTGCTTCCTCCTGCTCAGCTCGAGGTTCCCTACCCTGTCATGCCCGTCATCTCGTCTTTGCCTGGAACCACAGCTTCACCGATCCGCGTGCCATTTGGTAGCGGAAAGGGCGAGCTTATCGATCTTCCTGGTGTGGCCCGATCTAATCTGGATGAGTTTGTGCTTCGCGAACATCAGCAGGATCTCGTCATGCGTTCACGTGTAGTTCCCGAGCAGTTGTCCATCAAGCCAGGTCAGTCGTTAGTACTAGGGGGTGGTCTAATCCGCATCACTCCCACGACGCCTGATTTGGTGTTCTTGTCATACACTTTCTTGCCTCTCCGTCCTCACATTACATCTACCGAGAAGGCTGTGGCTATCGCTAGTGGCGAGAGAGCGACTGGACTACATACAATCATGACCAAGGGGGCTCGTGAACAGATGGCCTCAGCAGGAACATTCAGACTAGAGTGGGATGTGACCAAGCAGCGTGCTGGCCCACTGACTACCAAGTCGGCTGCTAACATCAAGCCCGAACAGCTGCCTTTCAAGGTACACTCGGCAGATATTCTGATCGAGGGCGTTGGCTGGGTTGAGCTCGTCGCTCAAGTACGAAAGTCAGACAAGCGCAAACCTGCCCCCAGGCCTTTGTTGGAGAAGTTCTCGGATACGGATGCCGCGTCCGACTCAGCAGATTCAGAAACGACTACTTGGAAGCCTATAGGTACACCAGAGGAGGATCTTGTGCAGGATACTGTTCCACAAGTCGAGGTCTTTTCGCCTAAGGGCAAGTTCATTGGAGTTAGAGCCCCTATGAGTGCGTGGCTGCTTGGTGGTAAGAAAGCACCGACTGCCAATACTCGAAAGAGTAGACCTAGACAGAGTATGAAGAGTCTGAAACACAGTCAACGTGGTAGAGAAGCCCAAAGAGAGGGCTGAATACCACCAGACACCTCTTCCCTCTCAATGTTGATTGTTGGTTGGAAAACAAATCTCCCCTTCAAATGACAGATGTCTACGCCAGGATAACGCGTGTAGTCTTCAAGGTGCCCTGGGATCGGCGCCATCACCTCTCTGGATGCTCCCAGCCTCCTGTTCTTCCACCATCCTCAAAGTCTCTTCAATCACAAAGATATCTCGGAACACGACCTCGGCCCAATTCTGAAGGTCGCCCATTTCCTTCAGCTGGTCCACGCTTTGACCGATCGTCTTGTCAAGCTCTTCGGCCTGTCGTGACAGCTTTTGAGTATCTTGGATCAGAGTCCGTTTTTGCGAGGCGATTGATTTGGATGCTGAGGTGATTGCTTCGGTGCGCTCAGTCAGCGGCGCGGTGTGTTCTCGCAAAGTCGCAGAGACCATTTCTGAGGTGGATCTTGTAGTGGATCTGTTGTCAGGCATTTTACGTACTAGCAGATACTCAAGGGCGCTATGCGGGATATGCTGTTTCAACAGTCATGTTGTCTGTATTCCGCGGGATATGAAGGGAATATATACAGTATGATGGCCGGTTGTACGATTATGCATAGCGACGCGTGACGACGGGCTTTCACATGCAAAGTACCAAGCTGTATTGCGCGCTCAATCAATCAACCAACTAACCGAGATAGTGCAAACCCTCCTCATCAAAAAGGCCAATCAACGATCCGAACTCTTGCGTGAATTATTGTGAGTGCGTTAGATGTGACAAGGCAGAAAGTGCCTCTGTGATATAGAGTGATCTCCCTGGCGCGGCCAAACGATCAGCAAATGCGGAGAAGATGACGACTTCATGCATCAACAACAGCTCGTTTGTCTGTTTGGCACTCACACCATGAGGATCTTGAACTAATGGCTGCTTCCTTGTTTCATGCCGATAAGGACAAACGGAGGAGGGTCCTTTTTGAACCCCTCCCAACCTGCGAATACTTGCGTTGCTTGACACCTTTCACATCGTACGGCCACACTGCTAGAAATCACCTTGATAAGCACGCGACAGCAGAGCCGCTCGTCCTTGTCTTCGCCTGGAGAGTATTCACAGACCAACGATACGACACTAGAACTACAGTATGGCGTCACTCACTAGACGTCAGATATCGGTCATCTTGAGTGTCCTTGTAAGTGTTTTGGGAAGCTCGCCTAATTCCTCTACTAATGTCGCATAGTATCTTGGAGCCTTGACTGGCATGGCAGCGTATGTTTACCGTTCTTTTGATCGCCTTTCTGTTCAAAGACTGATCTCTTGACCTACAGATACGCCGTACACCAAGCCTCGACACTCTCACTGCCTATCCCTTCGACGCTCACAACTCTCGCCCTTGCACTCCCACCATTCGCAGGCTTGTGCATGGAAACCAGTACCGCACTCGCATCATCACTGGCCCAGCACCCGAAGCTTCGACACCGCCATGCACGCAACTTCCCGGCTGTTCTCCTACCCTCGACCCTGACCGTCCTTGGCTTGCTGGTCTACATCACTGTTGTCGCTACACTCAGTGGCACCCATATCTCGCCTGTTGGCGGTCTTGGTTGTGCATTAAGAGAAAAATGGCAGACCATGTTCCATGACAAGAACGCTAGCAAGATCAAGAGGATCCAGGAGGCTTTCGACTGCTGTGGTTTTAGGAGTGTACGAGACATGCCCTTCCCATTCCCTGGCCATGGAGTCACTGTCGATACATGCTCGCAGCGTTTTGATCGTCAGACCGGCTGCGAGGGAGCTTGGAGAGACAAGGAGAGAACAGTGGCCGGTCTCATGATCGGCGTAGCACTGGGTGTCTTCGTCTGGGTGGTGCGAACACCTCTATCTAGACCTCGTCTCTGCTTCTCAAGCTGACTTCTCCTGTAGGTTGTCATCATCGTGACTCCGACATTGCACCCGACGTGGGCGCATGAGAGTATGCGTTTGCCTAGTCGAATCATCGAAGAAGAGTCCGATCCAGCAAACAGGGTCATCGAATATCCATCTCAGCGCTACACTGATGATCCTGAAGGAGGCGATGGAGACGCTCGCCGTGAGATTGCCGGTCTGAACAACGACTCTAGGCTTGCCTTGCAGGTAGAGTCATCGAGAGACTCTCCCAGTAAGCTTCTGGCAGACCAAGGGGTGTGGAGAGGAGATGAGGACTGAAGTTGATGATCAAAGTTGGTGGTTGATTTTAGCATAAGGGACTGAAGAGACAATCAAGTAGCTCCAGGTTTTACTTGATAGTCAACATTCCGACAACTGATGGCGAAACGTAGAACAAAGAGACATCAATGGAAGGAGTGTGACTTGGAAGCATGATGTTACTCTCATATTCTTGATCATCTTGAGATACTATCATGGTGATGAACTGGTGTGGTCAAGTATGGTCAATATTCGAGACCAGGGTTGCATCAATCTTGACTTGGAGACTTCGGACCCTCGGACTCCCGAGCCCAGGCCGCCCCCGCGCCACTTCTTTTGAAAGATGACCATCAATGATTTTTTTTTTGGACATTCTGTCGCAAACAACAAATCACTCGCTGCTAGACTTCCTCTCAGATAACGCCTTCATCGCCACTTCAAGTCAACCTTCATATCGCACCGCCACCACAAAACTCCAGCCTTGAACTCCCCCGACCGCAATAACCCACACCTTCTCCAAAAATGGCCGACAACATCTACGACGAGATAGAAATCGAGGTAAGACTCCTGCCCTCCCGCCTCTGCCTGCAACCACCACTGACATGGCGGCTCAAAACAATTAGGACATGACCTACGATCCCATGACACAATTATACACGTACCCCTGTCCATGCGGCGATAAATTCGAAATCAACATTGACGATCTAAGAGACGGCGAGGATATTGCAGTGTGTCCGAGTTGTTCGTTGATGATTCGGGTCATTTTTGATCTTGAGGATTTGGAGAAGACAGGGGAAGGGGTTTGAGGGGTGGATGGAAAGGGTAAAGAGATATGGAAGAAGAAGAAAACGTCAAGGCTATGGACAACGGGCAATGGATAAGAGGGGGAGGAAGAGGACAGGCTTTTTGAAGACATCGCGGAGGTCAGGGTGAACAAGCACACGCACTGTCTGGGATGGATGGACGGCAGGGCCGTAGCGCTGCTCGTTACGTCTCGCGCATAGTCAGGACACAGAGAGACCTGCCTGGTTGTCTCCGTCAGTCAGCATAGCCGCGAAGCATGAGCCATGACCACCCTCATGGTGCGGCTCTGAGAAGGCGTCACGCAGCTAGAAAGCAGTCGCGTGCCTCGGAGCAGTGCATATAGCACAAAGGTCAAGAAAGGAACCAGCGCGTTCAGACGACCATCAAACACTTGTCAAACCCAGACCGAAGGTACAGAGAGCAGACAAAGCATCGTGAGGAGCATGCATGGCTAGATTTTGATGGTCTCTACATGCCATAACCTACCATCTAAATCAAAAGAAATAAAGCTTTTTGTTCATGACCCTTGAAAAACACCCGAAAAACGTCAATGTGGATATCGACAAAAAAAAAAACTCCCATCATGTTTTTATATGCAAAGAACAGCAAGGCATTCAAGCAATCATATCGCCCTTTTCGTTCTCGAGCGTCGCGGTCTCCATACCAGGTCTCCACTCTCTTGCCCATCTCGGCCACATGCGCTTGTACAAGCTCATACCCACAGCATCCATGGGGTTGATCTTGCCGTCAAAGGTGGCCTTGAAGTAACCGTGCGTACCCAGGGATTCCTTGATGTAACCGCTGCGGCCGCGCTTGGTCCAGAGCTGAATGGCCTTGAACCAGGCGACGTCTTCCTCGTTGAAGAACATGTAGCGGATGGTCACCAGCTTCTTGTGGATCTTGTAAGGGTGGCCGGTCACGATGGCACGTTTGGCGATGATGCGGTTGGTGCTGGGTGCGACGGATGTACCGGTGGCAATGAGTGTGTACAGGGGCTTGTTGGCGTCTGAGTCGTCGTCCATCTTGTCATCATCCTCGTCATCTGAGTCGGCTGGTGGCGGAGGAATAGTGGATGTGCGCTTGAGATACAGACAAGGGACGTGACCCCAGGTCAGGGGACCAATGAAGGTGGCCATTCCTGTTTGACCAGGGTGCAGGTAGCGGTCGAACTTGTGCACATTGTTAGGAGTGTTGCCTGCCTGTGAGAACAAGGGGTTGATGATCAAACGGCGAGGGCCGCACTGCATGATCAGTTCGTCCTTGGACTTCAGCGGTGCAGGGTAGTCCCTGCTGAGTGTGATGCTGTGATTGACCGAAGTACGCTTGTGCTCGTGGCGGAGTAAGGAGAATATGCCTGTTGGTGTTGGGAGAGTCTTGAGAGTGTCAGGAGATGACTCGCCCAGACGGACGTAGACGTGGACGCGGGTTCCAGAGGCAACACCTCCTACCAGGGCCTCGCTGACCATGCGATGTTGTGCTGCCTTGTAGTTGGCAATCTCGAGCAGACGCGACCACTCTGTAGGCTCATGCGGCTTGTCCTCATCTTGCTCCCAAGCGCTGGTACGCAAACTCTTGAGACCTCTGTAACGGGCCAATCTCTCGCGGGCAGAAACATTGGGGTGAAGTTCGATTTCGTCAGGGAACTCGAGATCTTCTTCGGCTTCGGCCTTTCGTGATTCGCGATAAGCGGCCAGCTGCTCGGCCTCCTCCTCGGGCGATCGGTCCAGGAACATCTCTGATTGTGGGTATTCTGAAGGAGCGTACTCGGTTGGTTCGCGAGGAGCAAAGCCCTCGGTTCCATCAGCAGGGATGGCATCCTCCATAGCATCGTCCATCTCTTCGTCGCCACTCTCCAAATCAGAGCCAGAGTCCGAGATATCTCCAACGTACCACGCAGACTGGTACTTGGAAGTACCTCTGGGCAGCTTCTTCGGCTTGAAAGCCTCTGGGTCCTCGTCCTCGTCAAAGTAGTGGTGGTCGTCCAGCAAAACACCCTTACGTTCCGTGGCAGCTACAGAAGGCGCGAACTCGGTCATGGCAGTCTCCTCGGGAGCGAGGTCGGCAATGTCATCCTGATCTTCTGAAGGAAGCTCCAGCACGTTGTCTTGTTGAGGCTCGTCATCCATAGCCATATCGTCAGCCGACGTCTTTTTCTTGCTCTCCAGAGGAGTAGCAGCCATGATCTTCTCGATTTGGAAGTCACCCCAGTCTCCAACCTGTAGCAATCTGTCGGCCTTGAGGCCTCTTCCACGTACAGTTCCGGTGAAAACAACTGTGTTCGAGGCATCCTCGGGCCAGGCCATGTCGTCGACCAGCATCCAACTCCTTGCTTCTCTCCAGTGAATGCCCTTGGGTGTGGTGGTGCACAAGGAGCGTACAACATTTGCGCAGTCCTGACGGGCGTCTAGAGAGTGGACGCGCTCTTGGGTAGCGAAGAAATGGGTGATGAAGGACTTGAGCGAGCCCAAGACTCCCGGACGTCTCTTTGCGGGTTCGATTTTGTCGAGGCCTTGGACCAGAGTAATGACATTCGACACGCCCTGACTCTCAATGGTGCGCAGCATCTGCTCGCCCACAGCATCCACCTCTTGATCGGCACTCAGGACGAACAGGACAAAGTCGGCGACTCGGCAGGCATCCAGAGCGTCAAGGACATCGCGACGTCCGAGGGTAACGAACTGAAGCTTCTGCTTGAAGCGGTCAACGTCGACTTTCCAGAGGTTCGAGTTTGGGACTTCCTGTTCAATGTCGACGCTGCGGACGAGGTTTTGGACGGCGGTTGCGCTCGATATGTCTTCGCAAAGGGGAATCACTGCGCAAATGCGAGGAGCAGCATTCTTTCCGTGGAAGACGTTGGTCTGGCGATCGTGTTCGGCGTCCTTGACTAGACGCTTTTGCTTTGCTTGGTTGCGACGGTCCAATTTGGACATCATCTGCTGGTGTGGCGTCTTTCTCGTACCGCGGTCAAAGCCTACTGACTCGACTTTGCCTGTATTGTGTTGGCGACTGGGACTTCGTGATATATCGTTTCTTTACATACCCTTGTTCTTGTCCTTGATCGCACCCTTGCTCTGGTGCTTTGACTTGTACGGCTTGTGACTCTGCTTTGTAGTGCTACGATGATGGTGCTGCTCGTTGGTAACCATGACGGCGACGATGACACTCCGGAGGAATGTAGGACAGCTAATTCGCACTTCTGGTCGGGCTGAACAAAAAACTCGTTAGTAGCGGTATGGATTCTTATCGGCCGCTTATCGCCGGCGCATCTTGGCGGGGCCCTCGGTTGATCTTGCCGGCTTTCGCTCACAGCACTCTGCAATGCCAGGGTCCTTTTCCACCCATGACGTTGACCGAGCATGTGAAAGTCGAGGTCAAGCATTGTCGCGTCCGCCGGCCGACACCATGACCTCCGTTCCAATCACTCCCTCAACAACATGGATGACCCTGTGGCCGAGATCCCCTACGTGATTGCCCTTCTGACCGAGACTCCCCCATCATTACAACTCTCGACGGTCAATCAGTACTTCACTTCCGATGCGAGCTTCACTCACCCCTTCTGCCGGACTGGCTCGTCGGCGCATTCTCGCTACCTGATTGAACGCATCTACCGATGGTACAAGATCATGTCTCCACGCATCACCGCAAACGTCCACAGCGTCTCCTTTGATGAGAAGAATCTTGTCCTGTACGTCGGTCTCACCCAGGTCTTCGCCATCTGGGCTATCCCTACACATCGATCAGAGGTCTCGCTAGTCACCGTCCTCCACTTGTCTCCTCAGAAGGATTCGAGAGACCACGACAAGGTCAAATACTACATCTCCAGCCAGAATGATCTATACCAGACGGATCAGTTCATCAAGTTTATTCTGCCTTGGATCTCCATCCTTGTCCCCATCTGGCAGTTCTTGGCTACCATCTTCTGCGTCATTGGCAGTTACTTATTCGCTCCTGTCACTTGGTGGGAGGAGCACTTTCAAGATCACTTCACAAGGCCCGAAAGACCTCCCAAGTGGAGCGACGCTAGGTGATATATACACACTACTATACAACCTTGATCAATTTACCAAGGGATGGACATACACCCTGTCGGTGTCTTGGAAGCTTCTACGCTGTCCGTCTGTCTTACACATGAACGCCTTCCCGGAACTTCACAGTGTTGCAAGGAGCCATAGAGACCGTGTTGGCGTACATTGTTGACAAGAAAGAGGCCATGCTGCTCTTTGTCCCATACTTTATGCCTTCATTGTCCATGTCTCTCGAGGCTTGTCTATGCATTGTTGATTGTCTTACAGTCACAATAGAGACAAAGAGAAAAATCGCCTTTAGGAAGACAATGGACCTCCAATATGCCTGCCTGTAATATGTTATAAAATGCACTGCTTCTCCCTCTATCTCCGCAATACACCAACACAACAATTCTTCTCTTCTGTTCAGTCTGCCAATCATGCACCCTAACACCCCACACGGTTATCCTCGTCGTTTGAGTGCAGGTATTGGCCGCTGGACGGACCAAAACACCATCCCGGCTGGACCGCAGAACGCCCCTCAACCTCAGACAGCCCGTCCTTCCAAGAAGAGCAAATGGCCTCCCGTTCTTAGTGTCTTCCGCTCGGCTGACAACGATGACACTCACGGCTCATCTTGCAGGTGCGTTAGATGCTTGCATGCCTGTGGTGCACTTAAAGTTCAGGTTGTCGACCAACCTCAGCGTGAGTTCAGCTTCAAGCACCCACGTCCTGCCCCGGCTCCCCCAAGACGCCCTACCCCTCCTCCAAGACGTGCTCCTCCAAGACCTGCTACACCTGGCTCTGCTCCGAGACGTAGAAATTCGAGTCCGACAGCTCCCATGCCAAGACCTACAACCAGACGTCATCAGACTGTCGCTCAACAGCCTCAAATCGTTGCGCCTCGTCCCATCGCTCCCATCTCGATCTCAGCTCTGAACGCTACTTGTGAACCTGCGCCACCTAGCCCAGCCATCTCGGTCACTACTTCGGAGCCAGACTTCGACCAGACTAGATCTAATCGCATGAGCACCTACTCGTACCTCGACGGGCACACTGATCTTTCTGCTTTCGACGATCCACCTTATGCCGATTACTTCGCTCCTAGAATTGCCACGCGTGTCGTTCCGACTAGAGCCAGCTCCACAGCCGTCAACATTCCTGCCATGAGAGGTTTAGTCTTAAACAACGCCACTCCTGTCTTGTCCCAAAAGGCTAAGTTGGTTGAAGTTCTTGGTCCTCGCAAAAGAAAGCCCGTCGCTAACGCTGTCATCCCAGTTCTCTCTGCTGCTCAAATACTAGGTCGCTCGCCAACCAGACCCACTGTACCAGGTCCCGCGCGCCAGCCTCAGATCGTTAGACCCAGCAGAGTTGAGTCGAGTGCAGCTAGCCTATACTTCGACGCCAGCCCTGAAAGTCCCTCTGGAAGTCCCTCGAGCACTCGTGCTGAAAAGGGTTCTGTCAAATACTTCCTCGGTTCTGATAGCTCTTGTAGTTCTGCTTCTCTTACAGCCCCTCTGATAACTCGTCCGAATCTCTCGGATCTCATGCGAGGATCGTCAAAAGAGTTCTGACCGAGGCTCTTGATAGGAACTCCCTTATCAAGAAGCCTTTGGTAGGCCGCAGATAGTTTGTAGCAGGTGAGTCTGTTTTCCTTTCCCCCTTCCCCCAAACAATCGTGTCATTACCCTAACAATCAGCTCCGATCTTGTACTATTATCCAGATTCAGTTTCAGTCATGATAAGGAATTGATCAGTTAAGTACTCAAAAATGAACATGTGTTCAACACTAAATTGAAATGTGCCAGATAAACAGTGTAGATGCAGTCCTGTGACAAGTGAGTGACGTATGGGTAAGACGGACAAGAAGTATGCAACCACGTGCGACACAGATCCATCGAGTGCCATAATGCTGATTTGCACGTCGTCGCGGAAGAAAGAGCGATGAAGGTGGCGTGAAGTAAAGCCGTGCGTGCCTGACAGTGCTGTCACGATGTTCAAGCAGCTTTTCACTCTTCAACAACAACAACAACAACAACAACAACAACAGAATCCTACACGCAGTTTTCCAGACTCCTAAGACGTATCCTATCACCAACATAGCGGCCAAACGACCCTTCGCATTGTACAAATGTCACGCCGAAAGTCTCTTTTGATCGGCATCAACTATACCGGCAGCGACAACGCACTGAACGGCTGCCATGAAGACGTCAACAATGTGGCCGAATTCATCAAGTTTCGAGGCTACCAGGACGTTCCACAAGATCAGATTGTACTCCGCGACGACTTGGGAGAAGAATACTCGCCGACTGGACACAATCTACTAGCCGCAATTGATTGGTTGGTCAGTGAAGAGCATACCACCTGTTTCTTCCACTACTCCGGACATGGCGGTCAGGTCGACGATCCAAACGGCAAGCGTCCCTCAGGTCTACTGGATACCATTGTGCCCGTCGACTTCGAGGACAATGGCCAGATTGACTCCGATACACTCCACAAGCATCTCGTGACCAAGCTCCCACCAAGCAGCACTTTGTTCCTCATTCTCGACTGCTGCCATTCCGGCTCGACCTTGGAGCTACCATTTGTCTATCGCAGCGACGATGACGGCAATGTCCACAAGATCGACGGCTTCGCAGCAGGAGCCGCTCTCCTGAAAGAAGCGAAACATCTGATCTCCGGCGGGTTTGGTGAGGATAATGAAGCTCGGGCACGAGATCTCTACGGCGGAGCCACCGCGTTCCTTCGCAGCATGAGACACCATCGACAGCTATCAAGTCTTGCCACGGACGACTTCACTCAAGATCATCCAAACGACAGGAAGATGATCACGATGTTTTCCGGATGTAGAGATGACCAGACCAGTGCCGATGCGCAGATAAACGGTGTCAGCGAAGGTGAGTAAATCGCACTCGACCAATTATACTCAAGAGGATCCTGTTCAATTCTGATACTCGACTAGGAGCCATGAGCTGGGCATTCCTCGAAGCCACAAAGATCAACGCGGATCCAACTTACAGGGAGGCAAGTCATGGTAGAGATACTTCGTTACTACTTCTAACACTAACTTCTCTAGGCCCTGCACCTAACACGGGCCATGTTGAAAGACTCTCAGTACACTCAGGTAAGAGTTTCTGTAATATTTCTAACACATGCTGACTAATACTATAGGTCCCTCAGCTTTGCGTAGGTATGGAGATGGATCTGGATCAGCACTTCATGATGTGACTTTGACTCAGACTGCCAATAGTGTCATGTCGGAGAGGTCGGCGTTCTGGTTCTCGTGTTTTACTCATTAGAAACATTGTTTGTTCGCTTCAATGCCCCTCGATATTCAATCTTGCGTCATGGTGGCTTGTCGAAGATCTTAGTCCTAGTAATCTCACCTTTGATGTCTTTTTTGTTGGCTAACAAAGAAGGTCTCGTTGGCTATACGTACAATGCTATTCTTCGACCCATCTTCTTTGTCCCCTTTGTCTACGTGCACTCTATGTTCAGATAATAAAACAGCCAGCGTACGTCCTTTACGTCCTTCACTGAGGAGAGTCGAGATCCCAGCACTTGTGAAATATAGATCCAGGAAAGATATCTATCTAGTCACTCGTGTCTGGAAAAGTCGTGCCCTCTCCGCTCAATATCGAACAAATCAGTAAGGAACATCGACGACATGAACGCCGACACTCTCTCCGTCTTCATCGAAGCTAATCGGTTTCCTCCAGCCGTCAACGCGCACCGCTACTCTATCATCAGGGCCGAAGCCGACGCTGTCGCTGAACGTATGTCGACCATCTTCAGAGACAACATTCGTCGGGCATCGCGTTCGTACGCCGCGCCCAAGACGAACACCATCTGTGACGATCGCATCTACGAGCTGGAAGGTAATGAGGACGACGTTTCCAGCAGCTCGTCTTTTGCACCGTCGAGCTCTGCTTCGCTTCCTGCCTTGTCAGAGATGAGTGTCATGTCTCCGTTCAACCCCTTTGATGAGGCCATCCCGTCGCCTCCGAGCCCTCTTCCAGAGCGGCTTAGACCTACCGTTGATGCTGATGCTCTACCTTCTCCTCTGCCGCCGGTCAGCAAGAGTTATCTGCCCTTCATCTCCAAGTCTGCTCCGTTTGATCCCTACAAGGAGAAGTATGTCCCTCACCCTACGGGACCTTATGCTGCCAGAAGATTCCAGGAAAGAAGCAGGATGAGTGTGGCGCCTACTGAAAGACCAGTCACTCCGAATTTCTCCGATGAAAGCTCATCTGATGAGGCTACTGCTGATACTGACACACCTCCTGAATGTCCCATCTCGCACAAGTGTCCAGAGGCTTTTGTGAAGATGTGCAATCCTCGTCGTAAGCCTCTGTCCCTGGGTGTTGAGCCTTTCACACCTAGCAAGTACCCTCCACCTGGTTCATCTAGCTATGACGCACCTCAACACAACCACAGCGCTGGTCCTCTGGTTATCAGCAGTGCGTCTCATTCGACATCTCGCTCAATCATGCACACCACCCCCATCCTCTCACCTGCTCCTAGGACGTCGACGCAGAAATCTAAAGGCAAGTCTGCTCCAAAGCTCAACAAGCCTCTTCCACCTCTTCCATCTCTATCCTCCAAGCCTCGCAGCCAGCACTCTTCTCAGCGTGCAAATGCACCTTTGAATCACCGCGCTGGTTGGGAGCAAGAGGAGCGTAGAGTTACTCCTGTTATTCGTTCAACAAGAACTCTTCATCAACCTCTCATCGCTAAAAAGATCCCTACACCTGTTACTGCTGCTAATATTCTTCGTAGTGATTTGAGAGGGGCCAAGATGAAACTTGGAAAGAAGTGGCTTGCTCTTTCCTGAAGTTTGATATGCTGATTTAAATGTCGCATTTCAGTGTCCAGGACTTGATATCTGGAAACCTCATGGTCTTTGATAGATCATGAGGAAGGTGGTTCGGGAGTCTAGTGTAAGGGAAACATGGGAGTCCAGTATTGTAGAGATATATTGTAAAGATATCTTGTCGAGTTCCCTTGTTTATATCATTGAGTTTGTGGGAAATGAAAACTGATGCCCATTCTCTAGAATCGATGAAGAATGTGCACCGGATGGTCTTGTTACCATAGAGTTACATAGCTGGTAACTTCACATCATTCTTGCCAGGCGGAAATTTCGTTCAGGAAGAATGACGAAATCTGACTGTCAGGATGACCCCAAGACGCTGGATCTGATGTACTAAAACTCGGTGGGGACAAACATGTCTCGAAATGCGGCAAGAACGATCGGTGTGTAGGAAGAGCATTTCTCATGGGTAACCACGACCCGAGTGCAGCTACCATTGATCGGCTCTCCAGATTCACATTAGAATAAAGTGACAGGTAGTCTTGTAAGCAGTTTGCGAAGCTATCTCATCAGCAATGCCATCCTCGGAGACGAGAGAAAAGCTATATTGTGTGTAGATTTTATCAGCTAGGGCCTCAAGAAGCGAACGATCAAAACATTCAAGAATCTAGCCGACGACGTGTCTGATTTGTCAGGTGTGTTGTGCGGAATGGAGCATAACAAGGTGCGGCCTTTGTCGAAGACAACGTCACGTGGTCTGAAGCAGTAGATCAATTTTTGAATGAGAAAGATCTTTTATTTTAAATGGAATCTATCTCTATGCGAGGGATTCACAACGGGGAATAGTTAAAAGAAACGTCATAAACATAGCCCTTTTTAATCCGGGACGCCTGGCCAAATGCCTGAGTGTAACAGCAAAAACACCACCAACCCTCTATATCATTCACGAAGCGTAAACAAGAAGAGCAGGCTAGCGAGTGCTCTAGAAGTCATCCTCGTCAGAGAAGACCTCCTCACCACGCTTGCGGCGGGCCATGCGGTCCTTCTTCTTCTTGCGGAGCTCTGCAGATGTGAGCTTCTTCTTCTTCTCGACAGTCTCGATCTTGTTGCCCATGGCATCGAAACGCTCCTCCTCCTCACCACCCTTGGCCTCAAGTCTGGGACCGGCACCTTGGCCCTGAACCCAGTTGTGACCGGAAGGAGTCATGCGACCGTTCTGGACAGCCCAAACTTCCTCAGTCAAGTCCTTGGTGAACTCGGCGGAGTGAGTGATGATGATAACACCACCCTCGAAGGACTTGATGGCCTTGGAAAGAGCACCAAGGGAGTCACGGTCGAGGTAGTTGGTAGGCTCGTCGAGGACGATCAAGTGAGGACGTTGCCATGAGCAGGCGGCAAGGACGACCTTGACACGCTGACCACCGGAAAGACCACGCATACGAGAGTGAGAAACAAGCTCAGCGTCGAGACCGAAGTTGGCGCAGTGAGCCTCAATCTCCTTACGGACGAGAGGACGGAACTGACCAGAGGCAAGAGCCTCCTTCTGGTCAACCTCGGCAACCATCTTCTGATGGGACTGCATGATCTCGGTACGGGGGATCCAGGCGTTGTCAGCGGTCATCATGGGAGTCCACTTCTCGTTCTTCATGCCGATGTTGTCACCGAGAGCGAACGAACACTCGTACTCGTAGGAGTTCTTGAACTTTCTACGCGAGTGGATACCAATGACGCGACGGTAGGTACCCTCAACCTTGTAGATCTTGTCCATGGCCTTCTCGTCCTCGTCGGTGACGATCTTGTTGGCACGGTCCATGGTCTCACGGTCCTCACCAGTCTGGAAACGCCACTGGATGTACTCGGAGGGAGTAGAGTCGAGGTGGTGATCGATGTGAGCGAAAGCGTGCTGCTTAATGTAGGCGATACGGATGTTCTCGTGGTGGTAGATCTCACCCTTGGTAGGAATAAGCTCACCGGTGAGGACGTTGATGAGGGTAGACTTTCCGGCACCGTTAGGACCAATGACGGCAATACGCGATCCGAGAGAGCACTGGAAGGAACACTCCTCAATCTGGGGCTTGGGGGTACCAGGGTACTGGAAGGAGACGTTGCTAACACGGACGATGGCCTTGGCCTTGGTCTTGACACCCTCGAGGAAACCGGGCTCAGGGAACTTGAACTCCATCTCGGAGGCACCAAGCTCGTAGTAGGACTTGGCGGAAGGGACACGCTTGACGAACTCGGAGAGCTTACCGCGGTATCTCTTCAGCTTGAAGCGCTCGTAGTGGATAACGTGCTGGATGACGTTGTCAAGGAATCTGGAGTCGTGGGAGATGATGATAGATGTGCAAGGGGAGGTGGTGAGGTAGTTCTCGAGCCATGCAACGTTCTTGACGTCCAAGTGGTTGGTGGGCTCGTCAAGAAGAAGAATATCGGGCTTCTCGAAAACGGCACGGGCAAGAGCCAACTTCATCTTCCAACCACCAGAAAGACCACCGATGGGGCCATCGAGCTGCTCCTCGAGGAAACCGAACTCAATGAGGGTAGAGCGGACCTCGGCATCGGGGGTCTCGACACCGACGGAAGCAAGCTTCTTCATGGTCCAGCCAATAACGGTCTGCTCAGTGTCGTCGGAGTCAAGATCGTGCTCGACGTAGACAGTCTTGACCTCACTCTGCTTAGGGAAACCCTCGACCTGCTCGTTGTTGATGGCACGCATGAGGGTGGTCTTTCCGGAACCGTTGGGACCGAGAAGACCGTAACGCTGACCACGCTTCAGGCGGAGATGGGTCTGGTTGAGCAGAATCTTGGCACCGTAGGCCAAGTTGAAGGTGCAGTTACAGAGATCCTCACCCTCCTCCTCATCGGGCTCGACCTCACGGCCAGCGGCAGCGAGAGGAGAGGCGCGCTTGCGGAGTGCCTCAGAGATGTTCTTGGCCTCAGCGTCACCAACCATGACGGTAAGGAAAGGAACAGTGTTCTGAGCCCAGATCATGGACTCGCCGACCTTCTCGTCGACAAGCTGACCACCGATGGCACCAACGTAGTTGACAATGGAGTCGAACTTGTCAGCGACACCAGCCTTCTCAGAGAGGATAGCCTTGAGGTGGGCGGCGACGGTGGACATGTCACCATCCTTGGAAATCTCAGGGGCCTTGCCGTTCTCGACGTGACCAACACGGACGAGAGTGTCAAGGGCCTGCTTGGTCTTCTCACGAGCCTCGGGATCGGCCAGGTTGTCGTGGTTGCGGTGAAGGGCGGGCATCAGCTTAGGCAAGAAAGAGGCGACAACCTGGGGGTCCTCGACAAGCTTGCACATGTTGTCGACAATGACAGCAGCCTTTCTCTTGATAGCGGTCTCACGCTCGTTGAGACCACGCTCGAGAAGGGGAACCATGATGGCGAGGGTAGGCTCGTGGACGTCAGTGACGAAAGTGGTGGCACCGAGCAAGTGAATGGTCTCGGGGACGTTCTCGGGCTTAGCGATACACTTGATGAGCTCGGGAATGAAACGCTCGATATCCTTGTTGACGATGAGAGAGCAGATCTTCTCCATGACGGAGTAAGCAGCCTTCTTGACCTCGTTCTTGGTGTCCCACATGGCCTCGGAGACAATGGGGATCAGCTCAGGGACACGGAGAGCGGTCTGGAGAGGAGAGGACTCGGAGAGTGCGACAATGCAGTCCAGATCGGTCATCTTCTCTTGCCACTTCTGGGCGTTGTGGATGGACTCGATGAAGTGGGGGATAAGAGCCTTGACGGCGTTGGCGTTGGCCATGCGGGTGATGGCAAGGGCGGCGGCCTGAGCGGCGTTCTTGACGGGAACCATCTTGTCACCGGTGGCGGCAAGAACGGCGGGGAGGAGGTCGACGAGGTAAGGCTCAACAGCAGGGTTGACCTCTGAGTGCGAGGCGATGGCCTTGATGGCATCGCAGGCACGCTCACGAGCGACAGCATCCTTCTTGTTGGAAAGAGCCTTCTTCAAGGTAGCGACAGCCCTTGAGTTGCGTGTTAGCAGCTTTCACTCTGGGTTCTCGCAGAACAGGCGACTCACTTGGTAGGGGCATCCTTCTCCTCAATGTCTCCGTTGATGAAGATGGCAATCTCCTGAGAGACACCGTTGATGTCAGCCTGCTCCTTGCTGATGTTCAGCTTGGCCAGCAGGTCATCAAGGACCTTGAGAGAAACTTGGTTCTCTTTGGTAGACATTTTGATGGTATGTGAAGAATAAGGGAGAGGATGCAACGTCGGTCGCTGCACTTTTAAGACTGCGCCGGGATGAAAAACTTTGCGGCTGCCCCAACACGCGGGTGTGAAGTGCCAAGACTATTCGAATTCAGTCGCCGTTGACCTTCAACCAGCATTCTGATTCGATTGGACCTGGCTGCCCGGCAACAGCCTTTGCCTCGCTTTGCCACCTTGCCTCAAGTGCAAAGCACGGTTTCGAGTCGCCATTTCCGCAGGAGCACGAGCAGCTCCTGCCTCTGTACAATAGCGCCGTGCCAATACAGCAACGACCGACGTGCATCCACTCCCTTGTTTTTCACACTCCCTTCTGGCATCAGACATACTACATCATGTCTTCCGCCAAAGAAAATCAAGTATCTCTAAATTCAAGAAATTTCTCGCAGTCAACTTCTACTCCCACTCCCTCAAAGCTGTCCGGTTGCACACAAGACCCATTGGCCGGCCCTGGCCCGCGATCCATCACTTATGCCGGTGAAGGACCCAGACGAGAAAGTGTGTGACTTACATTGGTATAAACATCTTCCGATGTCAATATTTACATGCATCTTTCAGAACGAGATAGCCTATATGGGGGCCCTGGGTCGTGCAAAGCTTATGCGTCAGCCATCTGACAACTCGGGTAAGCACAGTGAATATATAACGCGTACTAGGGACAAGAATCCGGGTTGTGACTCAGTAGCTCTCACCAAAGCAACTAATGCATGCATATGCAACATCGATACTTCGTTTCAACAATCTGGGCAAAGAAGTAGTGGGTTGAGTTTCTAACGTATTGTGATCTATACACTACTGAACGGGAGTCTCGAGTGGTGCATTGGACCCAGACAACCGTACTCAAAGCAGGCAGCTGCCGTGTATCCGTTCTGACACAATGGTCTACATTCAACTGTTCCAGTCCCACTTGTTAAGCTTCATGGTACCGTGATCAACAAGATGTTTGTGCATGTCGAACGAGTTGAAAAGCATGTGAGGCTCGTGGCCCATACCCTTGCGAAGGCATTCAAACTCAGCTTTATTGAAGTAATCCTCAAGGATAGGCACGTAGTCCGGGTGAGCGCACTTTTTGATAATGACACGAGCACGCTCGCGAGGAGACAGACCACGAACATCGGCAAATCCTTGTTCTGTGACGATAACGTCCAAGTCATGCTCAGTCTGATCGACATGAGTACACATAGGGACAATGCAAGAGACACCGGTAGGATCGGTCTTGCTTGGGCGAGTGGAGGGAGTGTGCATGATCGAGTATTTGGCCGATCTCAAGAAGTCCGCACTTCCACCAAGACCGTTCAGCATGCGTGAGCCTAACACACAGGTACTGTTTGCGTGAGCGTAGATGTCGACCTCAACAGGCGTGTTCATGCCGATGACTCCCAGACGGCGAATGATCTCAGGGGAGTTAGACACCGCCTGACTGCGGAGCAGAAGTTTTGAATAGTACTGATCCCAATTATCATAGAATCGCTTGAAGCCGTCTGGAGAGAAGCGGATCGATGTGGCAGTCGCGAAATCCAGGTTCCCTGAATCAAAGAGGTCGAGGAATGAGTCTTGGAGTACCTCGGTCCAGACCTTGAGGTTCTTGAAGTTAGCACCTCCGGAGGCAAGACCGCCAATGACAGCATTGGCGATGTTGCCAATACCCGACTGTAGTGGTAGAAGATTTTCCGGTAGGCGTCCCTTGCTGACTTCGTATTTCAGGAACTCGATTAGATTACTGGCGATAGCTCTACTATTCTCGTCTTCGGGTGCATTAGGCTGAGTTTGATCCGGATAGTCCGACTCGACGATAGCAACGACCCGTTCGGGGTCAATAGGTATATGAGGTGTACCAATACGATCCTCGGGGGCCATGATCAAAAAGGGTTTCCGACGGGGAGGCAGATCAGTCATAGTTATATCGTGCAATCCCTCGAATGAAGGGGCAGCAGTGTTGACTTCGATGATGATCTTGTCTGCCATTTGGATGATCTCGGGAGAGGCACCAACTGAAGCACCGGGAATGACACCACCGTCCTCAGTGATCGCGCTGGCTTCCACAATAGCAACGTCCAGCCGATTGTTGGCCTTCTCGCGTGTATAGAATCCGTACATCAGATCAACAGGGAACATACTCAAGTGTTTGTCGAAGAATTTGATGTTTCCATGGTTGATGCCCTTCGCAATCTCTTTGCCAACTTGATGAGGAGCACGTCTTTCAATCATGTTGAGTTTGGCCCATCGGTTCTCGGTCTCTGCACCAGAGGAAGCACCAACGAACAGATTGTATTTGAGTTGACCCTGGAGATTATTCGCCTCAACATAGTCGGCCATTGCGGTAGGCACTTTCCTAAGCTGAGGTCAGTCATTGGTTCTCCTCTGCATAATGTTCATCCTCTATCATAAGCAGTCAAGCTGTGAAAAGCCACCACAAGTTTCAGTCATTGTCAGGTAAAACAAGGCTTTGCGGAGGTTCAATGATCAACTTCTGGTGTATAGTGGTGCCTCACGGAGACATCGTGCCTTGATGCAGCTACGTGCTTGATACCACATAGCACGCAAGAAAAATGACACGACCTACTTAGGATATCCAACACCAGTGAAACCGGACCAGCCGATGTAACTGCCATTGGGAAAGTGGTGCATCAAGTCCTCGGCTTTGGCAAGCTTATTGAGGTAGCTCGGACGCCTGACACGGCTTCTGAGGAGTGCTGAAGCTGACATGTTTGCTCGAGACAATCAAAGATAGGAAGAGGGAGGGTGGCAGGTAACAGTAGATCTTCGCTTTGTGATTTGGAGGGCTGAGAAAGAGCTCCGGCTATCTGGATGTAGCATGACGTTGCGCCGAGTGCATGTAGGGTCCTCGGCGTACGAGTCACCTGTCTCAAGAGTCAGCTCACCATTCTCGACCCAACGTGATCTGTTGGTGTCCATATCGACATCTGGCGTGATAGTACCAATTTCGAAAACCTGTTATGGCTCGATACAGAGACAAGTGAATATTTTGTACTTCTTTGGCTTGGAAGCACCCGAGTGTTTAGACTTTCTGCGAGAGACTGCCGAACAAACGCCGTCACTTGCTTTCGACTCAGACCGCTGGGCATTTAGACCTCCTGCATGATCTTGATTTGATACACAAGAATTTCCGCGAGCCTGCTTTTCCTGAAAGGACTGCGTTCTGGCCCATCTGATCGTTGTACACTTTGCCTTCTCAAGTGCTTCGCGTCCCCAGTCTGGAGAAGTGGATTTCTCCACCAACTGCAGAAGCCGGGGTCAAACACCAACAACAAAGAGCACCTGCGGTATCGCATTTTAGTGTGCTCGTCTGTACTTCCAGACATATCTCAAATCATGACAAAGTAACGTACTCCTTCAAGGACCATCCAAAGTACACGTGACTGGTTCCAAGGGATACAATTTCAGGAGCATCGCATTCTTGGGTAGAGGCGATATCTTCTCCGACCAAAGTGGATTGCTAAATCACTACTTTGGACTGCTATTGTAGCAAAGCTTTCGGCCGGTATCAACATCTGTCAAAATGCAAGGTTAGCTGGAGGTCGATGACCATGTCTTGTAACACCACATCCATGAAACAGTCACTTCCAAGAGGCCGCTAGAAAAAGCACGAAAGGAAACTGGCATCCCAGACCCGTATCTTGTGACGCTTCCTCCTAGTCCTGGCGAAAATTGGCAAGACTGGAATGTGTCACCATCTATAACGCTTCTACAATGCAAATGACGATGGTCTGGTCCACAAGCTCCAGACTAACCCTGCAAGCAGACACGCTCTACCGGCCCCGCAACACATCTGTCAACCTACCCGACACAGGGGTGACCCACTATTCATGTAGCATCTCGCTAGGGCTCTCGAGTAAGTGATTACGAGAAGTGTGAGTATCCAATCAAGAACAAAAATACGACAAATTCCTGAAGCCGACACCTTCTGTGGAGTCAGAAGTTCGACAAGTAACTTCTAGTCTGGTCATTGCGTCGAGGTATATGCCGGCCGCCACGAAGTCAAGTCGGGGACGAAGTACGAGCGATGCCGATATTGATTGATGAGGTCGAAGAAGTGAGTGGCCTTATAGTTGGACAGGCGATTGTACCAGAATTGGATGCAGAACACTCTTTCCTTCGTCTGGTTCGACTTGTTCGACCTCTCTTTCGGTAATCTGGTCAACTAATTCGATCTTTCATGGTCGGTTGCAGCATGCTCACCATCATGCAGCACGCAGTCCTCGGCTTCGACATTTGCATTGTCTAATTCGACTTTCTCGACGTCTGGTGTCACACTCTCATTATCGAATCCAGCATTCCCCGTGTCGGGTTCAGTGAGCTCGGTGTCGGGTTCGTGTTCTGGTCGTCAGGTCCAACATTCTCGTCGTCGGGTACGGCTTAATCGGCCTCTATATAGCTTATTCCAGCATTCTCGCTGTCGGGTTCGTCTTCCTCCATGTCGGGATGGGCCATGTTGCATCTTTGTAGAGGGGCAAGAGCGGCTTCAGACGTCTCCAAGACCATCTTACAGCAGGTTTTGTTGCTGTCAAGAGGCACGATGATTTCTCGAAAGCAGTGGATGGTCAGCCATTACAGGTGATAACACAGCGTTCTGGTTGATATCGTCTCTCTGTTTGCGCATTGGTCTGTCTATAGCAGGCCATGGGGTATCATAAAAATCATAAATCATGCCTCGAGCGAGTGAATCAAAAAATCCTCTTGCACTCTCCAGCCAAAGCACCCAGTTTATCGAGCATGGCTTCTCTTTCCGCCAGCGCCTGTTTCCTTTCCTCGTCAGCTTCCCTCAGCTCCTTCTCCAAGACCAGTATCCTCTGATTCTGATTCGCTTCACTCTCGCCAATACCAGGCAAGACGGAGATCAAATACTCAATCTGCTGCTCCTTAAGCACCAGATCCCTTGCCAACTCTCTCAATGCAGCTTGAAAGGTCGCAGGATCATCAGGACGAGGTTGGCCATGTTCGTGGGCTTCCAGGGCAGAGTTGGCGTTGGTGTCTTGTTCGACGGCAGTAGCTGTGGGAGCATCTGGGGCGGCATTTGGTTGGAGAGGAGCTGGAGCGTTGGAAATTGGGTCGGACATGTCTGGTTGGTCTGGGATGATGCCGAATTGATGGCGTGTTTGGATGTATCGGATTGATGCGAACATTTGGGTCGCCAGCTGTTGGATAGATTTAGCTGTCGCAGTCTGTTCTTTTCTCGGAGAGGGAGGTCGCTTACGTCGTCTAGGCAGTCCTGCAGCTGTGTTAACCGGTCTGCCATGGTGTGTGGTGTTGTTGTAGATTATTGTGTATAACGTGGAAAGTGGAAGGAGCGATGCGATGCGGTGCGATGCGATGACGAAGTTCGAGATGCGCGCGTCTCGGCAAAGTCCAAGGTAAACACGTTTTTGTGAGTATCGCCGTTCACCACATGCACTCTCGACATGGCCTGATCACTTGCAGTCGCTTGGGCAGATATTCTTTCCATCTCTCAACTAGACGCTACCTGTCACAAAATGTGACCCCTCCACTTGTCGAGACCGCCGACTCTCATCGTGGTACCTTTATACCATCACCCTTGGACGACTCTTCGACATTGAAGAAGAAGAAGCCCTCGAAGAAGTCAAAGGCTGAAGCAGCGCTTGGAGTCGCAGAGCTGTCTTCTGCTGCAGATGCCGACGCGCCATTGGTCAAGAGACGTGGTCGGCCATCAAAGGCTGTCGATATTCCTGAAGCAGACACCACCGAGACCACCGACGCGACTGAAACACCACCAAAGAAGCGCACTCGCAAACCCAAGACGACAAAGGATCAGACAGCCATTGCACACGGCAGTCTACACCACAACACTCTCGTCGAATTCCTCGATTACGCAACAGCTGTGAATCTCTCTCCGACCAGCACAGTCTACCGCGGCACCCACTATGAATACACCGTAGCAAACTCCCTCACACGCCTCGCCTTCACCTTGACTCGCGTGGGCCGGACTAGCGATCTCGGCATCGACCTCCTCGGCAGCTGGGCCATACCCTCTCGCCCTGCACCTCTAAACATCTTGATCCAATGTAAAGCCGAGACACCCAAGCCCAGCATGGTCAGAGAACTCGAGGGCGCCGTCGTAGGTGCACCTATGAGGTATAGAGGAGAAGGTACAATAGCAATCTTGGCTGCTGCCAAAGAGGCGACCAAAGGCGTGAGGGATGCTGTGGGCAGGAGCCGCTTACCCATGGCCTATCTCAACATCACCACAGAGGGTAGCGTGAGGCAGTTTGTTTGGAATCAGGCTGCTGTCGAGTGTGCTCTGGAGAGTGTGGGTGTCACTCTTAGGTATTTGGCCAACGGCGAGTCCGAGGTTGCTCTGACCTGGAAAGGCTTACCTTGGTCTTCGTCAAAATCATCATCTCTGGAATGACACTTGGTCCTATTTCTTTCCCTCAAGAATTACAGAGCTGCCTGATGATTACTCGCATTTTCCCAGTGCCCGTGCAGATGGTTTGTGAGCTGCAGTAATCAACCTTGTTCTTACCCCTGATCACATGCTTAGGGATAACAACCATTCGATGGTGTACCACACCAGCTCCGCCATCACTATGCACTTCCACAGCTTTGCGCTTCGCTCACCAAGCTTCACAAGTGAGCTACTGGTTTGAGAACAGGAGCTAAACATCGTGACACCTCCTCTATGACGGTTGTGCGCACTTGTAGAGCGGTTTTGGTCACGACAGATCAGGAGAGAGAAAAGGCTTGATATTCTACTATTACTCGTCGTTCATTACCCAACCTATTTGAATCATCTACTTTCCACTCCCACTGCTGCCAGCTCGAGACTTACTCAACTTCTTTCGCTCCTTTTTGCTCTTTTCTTCCACGACTTCTTGTTGCGGAGGTTGGCTTCTAGGCGCGGGTGCTGGTGCTGGTGCTGGTGCTGGTGCGGCAGCAGGTGCGGCTGTAGCTTGGGGGCCCAGAGGACTGTTGCTTCTGGCTCGCGGGTCCATGAGGCCGATACTTTGCTCTCTCATCTCCATCGCTTGGCCGCCTTGATCCTCAGTCATGTCTGGCAGCAGGTCTGATGCTGATCTGACGAAGCTTCTTCGCGCCAACGGACTCTTGCCCGTTCGAGTACGATTGCTGCCGTGATCAGTTGCTTGCCTGATTCTTTCAGGGACTGCTAGTGTCTTTTCTATATCCGCTGGAGCCTTTCCTTGTGCTACACTCATATCGCTGTTATCTGAGTTCATTCTTCCATGTCCATAGGTCGATTCATCATCACTTGCCGATCGTACCGAGACCGAATAACCCCCCTTAAGGGTTGTCCCAGTGTCAGGTCGACTCATTTCGTATTCTTCTTGTTCGTAGTGTAACCCACCAGCTGGTCTTTGATGAGCCTGAGCATTGTGGTACAGATTGCGATCTTCGGGTCCCATGATCGATTCAATACGTCGAGGAAGGTAGACTGAATTGTTGCCCGAGGTTGCAGTCACGATGGACTCGAAACTCAGACGACGCATGGCAGGATGGTTGGCAAGATCTGGAAGAGTGTTGGAGGACTCGGCCGCTTGCTTGTACCATCCACCAGGCATGAGCTCGGGTGCTGCAAATCTGCCCTCCAGACCTTGATCCGGTAGCACATTTCTGTTCTTGACAGATTTCTTGCGTGTGATTGCTTCGACTGCTGGTTTGAAAGTTTCTGGCACAATGTTCAGATCGTCACCTGTTGCCTCGGCGTGTTCGATTGCGGCTTGTGGTGTGGTGGTAGAGTTTGCAGCACCAGCATCGGCACGCGGCCCACCCCAGGTTCTTTGTCCTGCAGTAAAAATACCGTATACCATGTATGCCCAATTGAAGAATGGATTGATGACGAACATCAGAGGATACATCATGATCTTGTATCGCCCAAGCTTTGCACCGAAATACAGCATTAGTACCCAGTTTAACCCAAGGGATACAGCAATGAACCCAACAGGTAAATTGTCAATCTTCTGAGAAGTTGTGATGATGGAGATGACCATGATAAAGAAGAGAAGGGCAGTTGTTCGAATTGTGTTTTGTGCAAATCGAACTAGACAGAGGATGGGATAGCGTCTCCAAAGACGGACGTCAGTAAGCATGCAAACCTCATTGGTGATGAATCCGAGGAACCATCGTCTGCGTTGTTTGAGCAAGCTTTGATATGTCTGCACAGCCTCCGTTTTGCAGAATGCTCCTGTGTTCATCTGTATCTGGTACTTCTCCTTGGCACCGATCATGAAGAGATGAGTGAGCCATCTATCTTCTCCCAGATGGCATTTGCCATAGTCAAACAAGTCATCACATTGTTCGGCCTTGTCCGCAAAGTAGTATTTGGCCATCGCTCTGAAGGCAGAGAAACGTAGGACTGTCAAGGCTCCGGGCAAACATGTTACGGCACCACATCCAGACTCGACCGATCGTTCGAACAACTGGCCATGGATATACTCCATGTCTTGCAAGATTGTGATGAGACTGTTCTTTTCCGTTGTCGATGTGATGACTCCGGTCATGGCAAGCATGTTTCTTTTACTTCCAGGCTTCAGTTCCATCTCGTACATGAAGTTCTGGATACACACTTTGTCCAGGATACAATCAGAGTCGATGAAGAGAACAAAGAGATTATCGTTGCGTTTCAGATACTCAGCATACACCTTATCAATCAGCTTGAAAGTCTTCTTCTGACAGTGTCTCTTGCCTCCGTGCGGGAATCGAGAGATAGTGACGCGCGTGCTCCTGTAAGTGACATCGATACTCTTAGGGTATGTGTCCAGCGTCAAAGGGACGCCGAGCTGCTCGATTGTTTTGAGGTAAAGTTCATCTTCTTGGTCTCCGTCAAAAGAGAGGAAGATGTGGAGACACGATGGTGGATATTCGCAGTCAGCCAGAGAGTCAACCGTCCTGAGCAGGATCTCAGGGATCTCCTTGTAGCATGGCATGATAATGACAACTTTCGGTGCAGAATCTTCGTCGAGAACATGCTTGATGCGCTTGGTTCTTCCAACAGAGTGGGTAACCAGTTGATATACGCAGATGAGCCATGGTATGATGAGCAATCCAGAAAAAGACCAGAAGGCAAACCATTGTAAGAAGCTGACCATAGCTTCAGGGAAGTATCGCACGACTTGACTTGGGAGGGGGAGTGTCACAACCATGATGGGCAAGAAAATACACCTGGTAAAGGGTCAGCCACGGCCATAACGGGGTCACCTCACAATAACATACCTCAAAGCGGTGAAAGCAAACATCATTATGATGGCGAGAACCTTAATACTGAGGGTCTCCGCCTTTTGGTAGACCTTGACCAGACAATATAGGAAAGCAGCTACCCAAAGGAACCATTCAAGAAGAGCGGCAAGCATGACTGAGCCAACAATCGCGGTATAGGCAATCTGACATTGTTAGCATGGATATAATAGTCTGCACAAGATACAGCGACTCACGTCCTTTGCTGGCCAGGGATCATGAATCGATGGTACGCCATTCTCGTTGACCGCCCGACTGAACATTTCAGTCCACATGTTGTATAACATCAAGAAGTCGCGAAAGAATGGGCGCGGTAGGATAGAAGGCGAGTGCGCGAATGAAAGAGCGGACCTGATGCTCGAGGTAGGGGAAGGGCGGTCAAGTAGGTGATGACAAAATTGGAAACAGGTGACTTTCCAGAAATCGACCTTCTTTGCTTTTCTGCTCTAGGCGAAGTCGTGATCTCGTATTAGACGAAGTTTTCGTTGGTAGAATGAGAGGGGTAGCGAGTATGTTTTTCGGGATTGGTCAAGGTAGTACTGCAGCTAAGCGGCAGCCAGCATGCAGGTCTCGAGATGAGAGCGGCCGGAGACTTAGTCAACTTTATTGGAAGAAGACAGAAAAGGTTGGTCGTGCAGGTTTGCTTGGCTGAACATGCATACAGAAGGTAATATCTTGCGAAGATCCACTGATCATGTGAGTGTAGAACTGAGGTTGGCCTATCGTTGGCGCTGTGAATGTTTGGAAGACGTAGGTGGGTAGGAATGTTTTGGATGGGACAGAAGACCCAGGAAACACCAGGAAACAAGTCCAGCCAGGGACAACAGAACTGCAAGGAAATCAAGACAGACAGAGATTTCAAGGGAAGATCCATCAATGAGGGAAGGCACCATCAATAACTTATTCCACTCGGGAGCATTTTGGGCGTGGAGAGACCCTGACACGAAGAAAGGGAACGCCAAGGAGTGCCATACCACCTGCAGCGTTTCACCAGCTCTCAGTCGAGACAATGGAGGCGCTTCGCAGTTGGCTCGTCGCTGTGCGTTAAGGTAGACATGGACTCCGCGTCTGAAGATCTGCAACACATGTAGCTGTCGATTGCGTAGTCATTCTCGAGAGATGGAGCGAGATTCGAGAGCCCACAACCTATGAATTCTCTTTGGGTGCATTTCTGACGAAAAAGTCAAGCATCCATACAGCTTACCTATTGCTCTGCGTTGCTACACAGAAAGGCGCAAGTGAAAACATTCATACGCGAGGAGAGCTTTGTTAGGACATCCCACCTCTGTTTGGTCTATTTTTGGATTATTTCGCGAATCCAATCCGGTTCTTGCTGCCGTGGGCGGTTACAGAAGTATCCAAGTGTGGCGATAGCGTGTATTGAAACACCCGACGTGGTTTATGTTGAATAAGTCTTTGTCGGCTTCGGTGATTCGCAAGAAAATATCGTTCCGAAGAACTAGCATGACAAATGTTCATTGACGTGAGAAGCTTGGGTAAAGAATTAATACATGATGTTCCTCAGACTCCCTTTCATGTTCAGCTTCGAGAAAGGATTGGCTCGCTGCACATGGAAAACCACAAGCCAGTTCTTCGCTTTTTGATGCCTGCTTCAAACATGCCCTCGCTATGCCGTCGAGAAGGTGACGAATCATGGACGAGCCCGTCGAACTTTCTGCACAGCGCTACTGGTTAAGCTGATCGCCTGCATACCAGCATCACCACCTAGGAAAACAATAAGACAGAGAGAAGAAAGGAAACAAGATCGATCTTGTGGCCACATATAACCTCCGTCAACCACACGGGAGTCGCTCCCAGCGCTCCCCAAGTAGCCAAAGGTCTTACGCCACAACGCCTATGCTGGAAATCAAATTCATAATACGCGCGACGTTTTGCGCGATTGTATTAGTGACGGCTTATGTGTCAGTGTAAGGAAAAGATTGCGGGCGATGTGTCGATGCGAGAAACGTAGAAGGGTCGTCATAATAGGGGGATTTGTCGGGAGTCCTGGTGACCAGCGAACAGCAAGGTCATGGCTCACAGAATACCCGAATCCTTCAAAGCGTTCTGAAGGATTGTCTCTTTTACGGCTGCGAAGACCAGACGAATGTTTGACGTATCTGTTGCTTGGGTGAGGCTGTGGTTTGGTCAGTACGGCTGAACTTCGAGGGGTAGCATGTTAACTTACTGAGGATACAGGTTGAGATGTGCTCTGTTGACCTGATTGAACCTCCAGAGCAGGTACTTGGCGGCACGATTTACGTCGTTGCCACCCGAGTAGTCCGGAAAGTAATTCGAAAGAGGTGACTTGCCGAGCTTTTGCCTAAACAGATCGACCTTGTTGAGGAACAGGATGATACTTGTTCTCATGAACCATCGTGAGTTGACGACCGAGTCGAAGAGGACTAGACTCTCCATCATACGGTTCTGTTGGTGACGAATAAGCATGGGGAAAGCGACACAACGTGGAAGCACGTACCTGATCGCTTGCCTCTAGAAGCACTTGGTCGTACTCACTGAGAGCAACGCAGAATATGATAGATGTGACGTTCTCAAAACAATGGATCCACTTCTTGCGCTCACTTCGTTGACCTCCAACATCGAACATGCTGTTGATCTGGTCAGAAGTAAACTCACGAGTTTGGTTGTGGCCTTCAAACTTACTGAATACTGAGTTGACCCATCTGGAATCGTGTTTCGTAGATACCTGTGGTCTTTGTTCTTGCTCTTAACACATCTGCCTCGGACGGGCAGTAGTCCTCCTGCGTTATTCGATGGACTTCGTCGAAGAAGCTAATCAAAATTAGCATTGGAGCACGACTGGATGGGTGTGGAAGTGATATGCTCACTATGATGCCGAGTCCATCATGTAGAACTCGCTCGAGTGATCGAGGACTTTCGGTATACAGGGATCTTTCCAGATTGCGGTGATAGCGGTTGCGCATCTCGCATCGAGATGAGCGTTCGGATCGGGGTCGACGGTAAATTGCATGATATATTCGCAGTGTTGTACGTTTTCCGGCACTTCTGGCGATATGTCGAATTGTTGCATGGCGCCGATGAGTGCTTTGGCGCAGTCGATGACGTTCTTGTAGATGGTATGTCGGTACAGGCGCAACTCATCAACGCTGTAACCATTCTGATGGATGATTTTCATCTGCTTGACAATGGTCGACTTGCCGCTCTCGCCAGAACCTTTGCGCGGGAGATGTTAGCAGAGGGTGCAGACAGGCTTCGAGGCCGACGTACCTAGCAGCAAGATCTTGCACTCGCGCCGTAACTTCTTCGAGTCTTCTTCGAGGCCGCGATCAATTGCCTGACTCTTCTTCTTCTGACCTTCGTCATCGCCTCCCCTCGAACTCATGCAGTTACCCATGGTGACAGTTCCGAGTGTTTGGACCGGCCTCAGCCGGATGTCGCAAGCTCGATCAAGCCGTCAGAGGTGGTGGAGCAGATGCTGGTATAGCTCGGCGTCGTGGATGGGCGCGCGTTTGGCTGCAAACAACAAAGTGGGACAATGGCGAGCTGGATAGGCTGGATGGACGAAGGTGGCTGGGCGAGTGGAGAGGGCTTTGTATGCCTCGTTGGCTGCCGGATTCCGAAAGCGACGTAGCGACGCCAAACAAACAAGGGCAGAGAGGCAGCAGCTGCAGACGAGCGAGACTGGGAGCTGCACGGATGGACAAGCTGCGACGGAAATGCGAGATGGCGACGAGACGAGCAGATGGTTAGGACGGTTGGTTGGTTTGGTGGGTGCGTGTCTTGTTGATAGAGTTGACGGCTTCTCTGGCTCTGGTTGCCTGCCGCTGTCGAAAGCGAGTCCGTGCCTTGTCTGTTACAGCAGCGCCCCCGCAATTAGATCAATTCGAGCCTTCCTTTAATTGCTTCAGGCGCTTGCGATGCTGCAATGTGAGATCTACGCTGGAACACTTCTGAGAGACGCTTGCAGAGAAGAGAGTGTGCCAAATCAAAAGAGAATTGCTCCCAAGGTGCCTGCTGGTCATGCCTGCTGTATCCACTCTGTATCACGACCGGCATCGTGCTGTTAGGGACCTGCCGTTTCCTATTGGATTACGCCACACAATGGGCCACCGTTGTGCCTGCCACTCGACAGAGTCGACACACTATCTCGTTTTCAACACCACTTCTCTGCCCACGCCCACGATTTGCATAACTCTCGATTCCTGTGCACGAATATCTCGGCGCGACACGCCATTCTTGCACATCGATCCTCAGACGTGCACAAGCGTTGGAGCTGCTCTGAAGCTATCAAAACGTCCTGTACCTGTTCTTTGCACTCTTCCAAATCCGGCCGATTAACCCTTGTCTCGGCCTTCCTTGTGTCAATTCCCGTTGTCGATTCGTATACTCCCTCGTGGAAGCGTTGCCATCGAGATCTTGCTTGTCGTGCGAATTTTCCATATCTGTCGTCGGATTGTGCTTGACGGCGAGTATGGAATGCTCTGGCCGCCGCAAATAGCCCTGACCTTGGGTCGTAACCAGCTCCGAACATGACTAAAACCTCCCCTGTCGCTGGCGTGATATGCCATCTGCGAGTCTGGGAGCCGCGACCCTCCTGTCCAACTTCGCCAGCTAGTGGAGGTTGGCCCGGTCAATTGCATAGTCCTAGTAGGTAGTGAATCGAGCTATCGTTCTATTGGAAATATCACATAATGACTTCTCGGCCGAGAAGTCAGTTCTGGCACAAGAGCCCGAGGATTCTCCCTTTAGCCAACGACATGTTGGACAATGTTATACTTCACCCATCCGTTCCCAGTCTCCAACCCCATGTCGAGGGGTCTTTTCTGGTCAGACCGTCAGACGTTATCTACTGTCAACACTATCCTCGGGTAGTACGATACACCGCGGCTTTATCGTTCTTTCGGGTGAGTCCACTCGTCGTCAGATATCCCTGGCAATACACACAATCAAGGTTCGTTTCTATTGAGAACGGTGATACTGCATAATGATCTTGCGGCTACGCATTCGTACCTCCGTTCAAAGGTATGGCAGCAACTTGGCCCTGGGCAGTCCCAGGTAGTATGCAGAGTGCCAGGCATGCCCTCCTGAGAACGCGGATCGGAAGACCATCGAACTCTCGCTCAACATCACGCTGCTCTCAAGCGTGTTGTACATATCGTACAGCTGCTGCTCGACAGAGTTTGTCAGACTCTGGGGGCTTCATCGGGCCTGTCCAGCACTTCGAAACACCGGTATGTCTTAACAATCAGGCCTCAGAATGTAGGAGGTAAGAATGCGATTCCGATGCGACTGCCTCACAGTGGAACTCAAGCTAGAGTCAGGGTGATCATGTTTGTGTTTGTTGCTTGCGGGCCACCCCACAAGAGCCGCATCTCGTGTTGTGAGGCTTTGACCAGATCGAGAAGGAGTCCGGACGCTGTTCAGATCTGAGCCTATTGCTTGGCAAGTGGCTCTTTGGTGGATCTTCTTACCACAAGTCTGGGGAGTCAATGGCGGAGAGCAAGATTTAGACAAGGATATGAGAACCTACATATTTGCGTTGTTAGGCATTAATTAGAAGCGCAAACAGAGCGCCTTGATATGGCCGTGGACTTGTCCATGAGAGACCTACATCGACCACGCGGTTGCGACCGGGAAGCACTTGTAAAGGTCGAAGCTTAAGTAAGTTAGACCGCCGCTGACGACTTGCTTGGAGACTTGAACTTGCTGGATCGACGATCTGTGTGCATGTGAACAAATGGAAGTTGAATGTGCTGTTGTGGATTCCCCTGGGCCAGCCTTCTTTTCTTCTCCCCAATCCCACTCTTTGCTTGCTCACTCAGGTACGACTCTCAATCATCTGGCGAACGAGTGACGATCATACCCGTTCCTCGGCAAGCGCTCTACCACTTTCCAATCGCCACTTTACACCGCAACACGTCTCGCCTTTGAGCTTTCAGCTTCGACTGCTGTCTATCTTCTAGTTCACTGGAATAACACGATAGAAATAGTGACGCTGCTATTTGCATTTGAGAAGAAGAGATTCCTTGACCTACCTTGCCAGAAAACGGCGCGTCATTCTCTCGGCTCCCGCTGCCCCACGCTCCACGCTTGACGGCTTTTCTCGACGCCCCGACCGAACAACATACATACCACTCCCCTTCGTCCACCTCAACCACAACACATATCTGTACTCTTGAGCCATCAATACCGTCGCCATGGCAGAATTCGTACGTGCGCAGATCTTCGGAACTACTTTCGAGATCACTAGCCGGTATGTGCCTCTCGACTGACCCCTGGGCCAAATTCGCCCGACTTCCCCCAAGTCCACCAAACATCTTCCAATACCTCTGAACACTTCTGAACACTGCTGACACCCCCTAAAGCTACACCGAACTAGCCCCAGTAGGAATGGTAAGTGAAGACGTTCCCCTAGCTATTCTTGATGCGAATATATGCTAATAACCTCGCAGGGAGCCTTTGGACTCGTCTGGTAAGCAGATACCGTCGTCGCAAGCCATATCGCCCTCTAATGGAGCCCCTAGTTCAGCCAAGGATCAGCTCACAAGCCAGGCTGTTGCTGTCAAGAAGATCATGAAGCCTTTCAGCACACCCGTCCTCTCCAAGCGTACTTACCGCGAGTTGAAGCTTCTGAAGCATCTGAGGCATGAGAATGTGCGTACACTCTTCCAGAGATGGTCCTCTGCTCTCCCGGTGTGTTCTGACAGAAACCTATAGGTCATCAGTCTCAGCGACATCTTCATTTCTCCCCTCGAGGACATGTGCGTAATAATCTCATCGGCGAGCATCGCCCCAACCAACTGACATCGATACCAGCTACTTCGTCACCGAGCTCCTGGGTACTGACCTTCACCGTCTGCTCACCTCAAGACCTCTCGAGAAGCAGTTCATCCAATACTTCCTTTACCAAATTCTGGTAGGTTTCCCTTAGTATCGGACATGCCAACATGCGGCTGACAAGGCATACAGAGAGGTCTGAAATACGTTCACTCCGCCGGCGTCGTCCATCGTGACTTGAAGCCCAGCAACATCCTGGTCAACGAGAACTGCGATTTGAAGATTTGCGACTTCGGTCTTGCGCGTATTCAGGACCCTCAAATGACTGGTTACGTTTCAACGAGATACTACAGAGCCCCCGAGATCATGCTCACCTGGCAAAAGTACGACGTCGAAGTTGATATCTGGAGTGTTGGCTGTATCTTCGCCGAGATGCTCGAGGGCAAGCCCTTATTCCCCGGCAAGGATCACGTCAACCAGTTCTCTATTATCACCGAATTGCTCGGAACTCCTCCAGATGATGTCATTCAGACCATCTGCAGCGAGAATGTAAGTCGCAGACCATTTGATATAACAGCAAGCGGAAGCTAACATGTGCCCGAAGACCCTCAGATTCGTTCAGTCCCTTCCCAAGCGTGAGCGTCAACCCCTGACCAAGAAGTTCAAGAACGCCGACCCTCAAGGTGCGTAAACACAGAATCGCAGGCAACAACACAATCTGACATTGTTTCACAGCAATTGAGCTGCTTGAGCGTATGCTAGTCTTCGATCCTCGCACACGTATCAGAGCCGGCGAGGCTCTGGCTGACCCTTACCTTGCCCCTTACCACGATCCTACCGACGAGCCTGAGGCCGAGGAGAAATTCGACTGGTCTTTCAACGATGCCGACCTCCCCGTTGATACCTGGAAGATCATGATGTACGTGCATATTCGACTATGAGTGCTAGCGTGGTATGTGAAACTAACATGGTTGTTCAGGTACTCCGAAATTCTGGATTACCACAACGTGGATGCTCAACATGGCGAAGAAGCCGGTGTTTCTCAATAGGGCGATGGCAGGCGTGCATGATTTAGCATACCGCGACGATGCAGAAAGAGCAGACGCACACAGCGTAATACCAAGGATATGCAAGCTTGGGTTCGCAACGATGGAACTGGGTTATTGTTTTGATTTAAGAGCGCTGTCGCAACCCTTCAATTCAAGGATACACAAGACGACGGCGCAATGCACCATCCAACCCGGCTCAGAAATCGCTTCGGTCACCGCACATCCACAAGTATGACGATGGAGTGAATGTGGACTTGGCTCGATGCGCATGAAGCACCGCGTTGGTATGAGGAAGACGAAGAAGCATGTCTGAGGAGCTCTGGGAACCATCATAGAAAGAAACAGGCAAACCGACAGAGCGAGGTGTCATAGCGTAATAAGAAACAGATTATCTTGTAAATATGGATCGCTGGTTCAATTAAGCATTATAATGTGCCAAGCTTAATATCTCCGTCGGAACTTGCGAAGATGTCATACAGAATGTACTAGTGATCATCGGCCTAGACCAACACATGACACTGGGCATTGGCAGAGCAGTGTTTTGATTGTGAACCGCAAAATGATAGCTTGGCGATAGCATAGCATCATGGCCGACACATACCGCCCAATAGTAGCAGTGGTAGATTTCCACCACCAGCGGTAGAGCATCCTAGTAGCGCGCAAGTAGACATCAGCTCACAGTCAGTCTAGTGGACCTGAAGTAGAGAGATGGGTTGGAGTAGACCCAGGATACGATCCTGCTGTCGCCAACGACTGGCAACTGCTACCCTTCCTCGCCCTGTCTGACGGAGCACATGCGTAAATCAAGCACCCCCTGAACGCGACCGACTCGACTCAACGTGCTAACAAGCGATACTGCAGTGCCACCGAGGACTTCTCGTATTTCACACTCGTATTGAAAAGCACACCCGAGCGCTCGCTGTTCGGCATAAGTTGCACTCGCCAACTCGACTCGAGGGAGTTAATCAACAGGCCGGCCGATGTCACTCGCAGCACCGTACAAAAGGGGGTCGTCGTCATTACAGAGAACCCACAGACGTTTACTGCTATAAGAGAGAAGCTCAGCGTAGTCACAAAGGCATGGTTCGCACAAAAGTACGCATCCGAGAAAAAGGAGGCAGTGGATTACCGACATACAGGGGCTGATTCTGGTCCAGAGACTTTGCCGATATCGAGATCCTTGAGGTGTGTTAGACTCCTGACCTCGAGAAGAACCAGGATCGCTGACTCCTCCCAGCGTTTCCAGGAGAGTTTGAACAAAGGCTTCGGCAGTCAAGAGGATGACAAGGATCTCTACTTTGGTAAGACTGTCTTAAGATTCGTACCGTCACACCTGCTAACAGATCTCTGCAAGGTTTGTCTATGCGCGAGCTGATTCATCAGTTCAAATGGCAGACCTTGGTGCTATTCAAATGTCTGCTGTTGCAGCCAAAGGTAAGCTCATCACATTGGTCACCGTCTCGAGGCGCATTACGCTTGATACTCGGCTGCATTTGTATTGACTCGGTTCTAGATGCTCTTCTTTGGCTCAAACTGTGAGAAGATGTGCCTTGTTCAGTTCTCCCTCATATCCTTGATCCCAACTCTCATGCGTCACCTTCGCGATTGCGCAGATCCCCGCATGGACTACTATGCTACCCATGTAGAGAAGCCTACCTCGTTGAAGACAAGCGAACGCGCTTCGCTTCTGGCCTATATGGGCGTTCCCTTGCAAGTCTTCGGAAAAGGCAGTCTGTTTGGACCCTACACACCATTGCAACAGCTAGACACCTTGGCGGACCAAGATACGAAATCGTACATGGTTGGCTCTACTAATCAACTACTCCTGCAGCAAAGGGATCGCTACGCAGATATTTTGGTCAACCTCGATGATAATACCATCAACATATACTCTCCTTCTCTGCGAAGCGCTCTGGCTTTGTCAACGGCCGACAGACGATGGATTGATTTTCTCACTCAATCAGTACATGATACTTGGGACGAAAACATCCCAAGTCGGCCCAAAGACATGGGCTATGCAGGTAGCGAAGAGTTTATCCGTCTTCAGTTCGAAGAGTATCTGCTCTCTCTACTCTCAGCCTCGAAGTACAGTCGTTTCGTTTCTAATCATAAAGGTGACCCAAAGGCTTTGCTCTCAGAAGTGGAGGGCGATCCTTCAAACGAGTTTGGGAGCGAGTTCATGAATCAATGGTGCTTGACCGAGAACTACGCTCTTTTCGAGCGCACTACAGACTCGCATCTCTTCGATGTTGTCGAACCACGGCACCCTTGTGCTGGAGGCTTGACTATCGAAGATGTACAACGTAGACTTGCTGCACAAGTCTCTGAACTACACCTGGACGAACGTTGGAGAGGGAGCAAGGAGGCCGTGGGCAAACACTTATCCACCGGTCGTGAGCGAGTCGCAGGAGCGATCAATACTCTATGGGCTGATATCGAAGTCATGCGCGAAGCCCAACGTAAACGAGCCGAGGAGCAAAAGGCTGCAGCCCCCAGCCCTCCGGGTCCGGAGGAGAAAAGTGCGCCGAAAGGTAAGATGTCCTCATACCAAATACAGACGGTAAACTAACCTGATGCCAGTGGCTCAAGCTCAAGCTTCTGTCCAAGCTGCTTCCTCTCGTGCAGGCGCATATATATCATCTTGGGGCGCATGGGCGTCTGAAAAGCGCAAGAACTGGCAAAAGCCTGAGAATAGCACTGCTATGCCAACAATTCCTGCATCGTCATCTTCTCAGATCTGGGAAGCCGAAGATTCTATACCCGCTGTTGCGACTGTGTCGGAGCTAAGCATGCAACACGGCGCTCAATCTACACCAACTTCTGCTGAGACAGAGGAGAGCAACTCTAAAGCAGCCAGAGAGGAGCGGGACGAAGAGGAAGACACACAGAAAACGCAGCAAGAGGACATAGCGACGCAGGTCGCAGCAGAGGACCCGTGGGTACAGGAGAAGATATAAATGTAATTTAATTGTGAGCAAGACCATACATCAATGTCCGGGAGCTTCGGAATTAGCACAAGTAATGAATATACTGAGTCTCATCTCTCGGAGGACATGGATCAATTTCAATCACTTGAGGTCGGAGGCTAGGGGGTTGTTTGAGGTGTCAATTATGACATGATGTGGCTTGGCACGCATGCACAAGAATATACCTTGATCGGTGCAAGGTAACAGAGCTCCAAGATGAAGCTACACATCCTGGGACCGGCTTTTGGACTGCCATCAATAGACGCAGAATGCATTGCAGCGGTCGCATTAGTGGAGCGCTACACGCAGGGCAGTGGACAGGCATGGGCTTTGGTGGCCAGCCATGAAGCGGCGGCAGACACTCGACTCCCCTGTCTTCAAGTTGGCGACAAGACATACTCTGGCTTCGACAGGATAGCACAGCACCTCATTGATGAGGCTGGCGGCGCTGTTCCTGGTCTGGCCACGGATCTAACAGCACAGCAACAAGCAGATGCGACGGCGTAAGATACGACGTAAAAAGCTTGCACCAATCTCACACTAATTCCCATGTAGACTGATGACTTTCATCAAGTCCGAGGGTCAGCTTCTGCTCGACATCTCTCTGTACGTGTCATTCGAGAACTACCGTAATCGCACACGCTCCGCCTTCACAAAGATCCTGCCCTGGTACGCCAATTTCGTCGTTCCTCCCCAGCGTCGCAACCAGGCCAGACAGCGCACTCAGCACCTCGGTGTCTCCAGCCTCGACGTCGACGATTTTCACGAAGATGTCATCGACAAGCCGTCGAGTATGCAGTCAGAACAGCAGAAGAAGCCCTTTGAGCACGAGACGGAGAAACATGCCAGGAGACTGCTGGGTCGTAGAGACACTGTCCGCACTCTACTACAGCAGCCAGAACACGCTGCCGCCTTCAGGTTGAACGCCTTGGCCGACAATCTCTTCGAACCGCTGCAGGACCTGCTGAAGAATCAGTCTAATCTCTTGGGTACCGATCAGCCTGCCATCGTCGATTGCCTGGCCTTTGGTTACCTGAGCTTGATGTTTTACCCTAAGATGCCTCAGAACTGGCTGGCCTCTACTATGCGTCTCAGGTATCAGAAACTGGTCTATTATTTGGGCTCTTTGAGAGACACCCTTCGAGTCGATGCTCACCCTGATGAAGCCTTGAGCGCTGTCTCGCAATCTGAAAAGGGCGCTGCTGACCTCCCCTGGGTATCACCACAATCCTTCAGTCCAATTGCCGTCCTCGGCTACATCGGTCAATGTCTCTTTCATCAGCTCCCTCTACCGAAGAGTGACGCTGGCTTGGTACACTTGCCAATCAGACGTCCACGTTCTCTCGTACAAAGATATTTCCCTGCGCTTCTTGGTCTGACATCAACATCCCTCGCGTTACTGGCGTTCTGGTCTTACAAGAACCTCGCATGGCCGCACGGAGAAGCTGTCCATTTCTTTGGCAGAAGGAGACTTGTTGATTATGGCGATGCTGGAGCAACACTTTCTGCACTGGGTAGTCTAGGTCTACAGATGCAACAACAGCAACAGCAGAGCTAAGCTCGCGTCTAGGTCGATGTCACTGTAGACGAGCAAGTCTGGCCGTAAGATGTTAGTGCGAAATCGTCTTGCGGGCTTCATATACCCAATTACACACCACTTAATGTGAACATTTTCAACTCGGAAATTGCTTCCCGTATACTCGGACATCTGTGCCGCCGGCGACCTCGACACATGTTCTTACAACACTCACCGGTGAGCCGAAAGCAGAGACTCCGCTAGACATGGCATTGTTTGCGGCCATGGTAGCTGCTCACCAGATAAGCCCGAAGGCTCCCTACACCGATATTGGCATGTATTCGGCATCAACAAGGGCTAGAACGACTCGCCATCCACACAGGCTGTAGGTCCATAACTATAAGGAGAGTCGGACTCGAGCGAAAGGCTATCGTTAAGTACCATATATGCAGGTAGCTGTGCAGATTATGTCTAGAGAATCAGACTGCTGTAACCGCCCCGGGATACATCTCTTATAGCGACTCATACACGCGGTGAACAAGCTATGCACAATGCTGCGTCATCAAAAAGAACGATCCAGTGGGAAATGAATTGACGCCGGGAAGCACACGCTAATTTATGGCCCCGAGCTGTCACCAATTTCCAAGGACCCATTGCCAAAGATTACATTTTCCGAATTCGTGTTACAATTCTAAGAGAGTAGTACGGTTCAACTAGTGCTGTCCATTGCAGAGCAAGGTCAAGGTAGTATGTAGTGAGGGTGTTCTGTCTTCGGTTCCCTTTTTTCTCTTCCACACCTTAATGGTAACGAATCAAGACAGAAAAGTCAAGGTCTCACGATAGGTCGATACATGCCTTCTTTCATCGACTGACTCAGACTCACTGATTTGTCCTCTTGGAATTCCGCCTTCTTCCAAAACATCTCGAATCATCGAAAGCATGAGCGGAACACAACCAGCAGAGAGCTTTAACGAAGGGACGCACACCTCAAGGCTTCCACTCGTGATCGGACTCGCCGTTGGTGGAATAGTCGCCATGACTCTTGCATACTATGCCATATCTTGTATCCTCCGATCCAGACGCCATTCGCGACCACAGCTCAAAGACGCCGAACATTGTGTGCCAGATGAGCAGAGATCCGCCAGAGAGCAAAAGATACCACAAATTCAGATATCGGAAGCGCACGTCTGATGAGTATTCTTGAGATCGTTGGAATGAAGTTCGAGACAACCCCGTAAGTCCATCCATTCTATTCTTCAACCTTAGCTCCGAATTAATGCGTTCATATTGATCAGTATCATCGGTGTTACACAACAAGCGCACGCTCTCGGGGTTTCACGAGCGCCGACATATTCGTAAAGTCTGGGAGGGAGGCCTCTTGCAGACGGGTAGGTGCACTCCTGCAGCCTCGAATCCTCCACATGCTTATCGGCTCAACAAAACCGCAGCGTCAGCAGTTCTTTTTGGGTGCACCATAAGCTTCTCTCACAGTTGAACACGGCATGATATAAACACATCACATGCACGCGCCGGTTGAAGATCCGGACTACCGAATGACCTTGACATGATGGCGAGGTTGGACGAGTCCATACTGCTTGAGCTGTGCCTGGTAGTCTGGGCCATGTTGCTGTCCGTGGATTTGGTACGGACTAGATATGTTGCTATCCATGTCTTTTACTGCGAGATTCTCAAGTCGTTCCTTCCAATACATGCTTCTTTCCGTCGCGTTGTGCAACAAACAGGAGGGGTAAGGCGAGTAAATTGCCATGTAAGTTTAAGTGGTAACCCGTGAACCGTCCTATTCTTTCTCCTTCTCATCCTCGATCTCGCGAAAGAGGCAAGAGCAACAACGGATACCCACCAGCTGTCAGTGAGATTCATCACCTTTTACTTCTACGCCATTGCGACTGCGGAGTCATATACTCCAACTCCACCTCCAACGCCAACGAAACTGGAAACAACAGAGCTCTTGGCCATGTCAACTACGCCCTCACCACTGATAACGACCTCTTCACCAACAGTCAACAAACATCCACACTCAACCGTAGCAATCGTCGGCGGTGCAGTTGGAGGTGCAGCAGCCCTCCTTCTCATCCTCGCAGCGATATTCATACCTCTCTTGCGAAAACGGAGATCTTGCCTAGACATTGCTCTGAGACGACAATCTCGGCATTCTTCTCGTACTGATACAACGATATCCCATCAGGATACATCTCTCACCGATGAGAAGCTCGAGACTCAAACTAGGAGAGACGGGGATAATGCAAGTCTTGACGAGTTGAAGCTGGAAGAAATGATTGGCTTGGAGGAGATGTTGAAGATAAGGTTTCCGAGTCCGGCGGCGTATGAACTGGATGCTGGAAGTTTTGTCGAGGGGAGGGCAAACTGGGAAATCAAGTTTTAAAAGGTTGTTGTGAATCCTCTCTTCGTTTCTATCTTGGGAGTTTTGTGGTTGGTCTGAGAGATATGGTCTCGACATATCTTGGTGCACTTCGGAGAGAGGTCGTTGAACGAAACATTCAACACAACAAGCCTGCTCATTACAGTCACAGCCTCAAGTTTTCTTGTCGCATTGGAGATCTGCTGTTAATGCCTTCCTTATGATTCGTGACACTGACATCCTCACACAGCGCGACGCGCTCTCTCGGTACTTCATATGAATGATCTCACTTGAAAATTCCACGATCCATACATTGTATCGGACGACGATATCACGCGTGATATTGCAAACATCAGATAGCCCTTCCACCGGAGGTGGTAGTCTGCTCAGCGTGACAGAGTCGTGATTGATGACGCAAAGAAAACAGGAAGGCTGGTTGACGCGAAGCTGCGTTACTAACATGTGCATAATTGTGGAAATGATCATTGTGCATTCATGATCATCTCCAGATATCTATATGGCAGATAACAATGTCTGTCTACTACGATGACTGTAACACTTTCTTTAATCCAGTCGCACACTGCGTACTATTAACCTCAATCCACCTTTACTGCTAATGTGTCTGAAGTCTTGGACTGGTAGTTACGTGCGGCTTGAACTCATGTCACATCCGGAGAGGTAAAGTCTGTCAACACTGTTTTTTATGTTGCGACATAGCGACGATATGTAGAGACATGAAACGTTTCAAATCAAATTCATACAGCTATCAGATATATTTGTGAGAGACATCGAGTTACTAAATGCTCGACGTCGTCGTCAGACGACATTCGAAGAAGTGGAGTGGTCATTGAGCCCACCACCCTGGACGAAGTTGCCAAGATATGGCTTACATAATCGCGCGTTCCTGAATGCTCATATAGATGTACGCCCTCACCCACCCCCTCTACACCAATCATCCAAGGCACGTACCCCAATTCCTACCCCTACCATCTCATCATACTAACTCTCCTCAGTGCACGGGGTACGTTCATCACTTCCCACCCACATCACCAATCACACCACTAACTGCTTTATAGCTTTACGCGGTAAGAAATACATCCATCTCAATACATACAACGCGCAGCAATACTGACATTGAAACGCAGCAGTATCAGTGAGGATTCGTCCGAGATCGTGTTTTTGCTAGTTGAAAACTATCAACTGACTGCTCTCGACGGTCGAAAGATCTGCCGAGGAATTTTTGGAAAACCACATTACACACACACTTAGTAAACCTTCTCTTTCTTCATCGATCATTTGGCCTCTTTCTGAGGCTGGGGTTCGAAGAAGATGGACCGTTGTTTATGAGGTCCGGGGGAGGTGTGTTGATCATGGAGCTACGAATCATGGATTGTCTTTGTAAACGCGCTGAGGTGCGTACAATGGCTGCCCGTGATATGGCTTGTGGCTATTCGAAAGGTCTGACGTGACTTGTTGCTCGACGCCTCTTGATTTGTTGTGATCACAATATCCTTGCCATCCATCACAGTTTCAAACAGACCATTTACACAAGACTCATATCAGTAACAGAGAAAGAAGTACATCTCCTGGGAAATTCGCCGAATCGCTAGTTCTACACTACAGTTATTTCGCTGGGGGGAGAAAGCAAGTATCGCGGTAAAAAGAAACACAGCACACAAAAACACCTATTTCCCTCCTTCTTTTCAATCGTTAAGAATGGCCATCTTTTCCCTTCTTGGGACCGTCAACAGAAAAAAAAAAGGAAAGAAGACTAGAAGCAAGACAATGCCCGGTGTGATGGGTGAGGTATCGATTGAAAGCAAAGGAAATAACAGAAACCAAGAGAGTGTGGTGTGGGACGACACTCTTTTGGTAGAAGAGACGAATTATCAACACAAGCTCAGACGCGAGGCTTCTTCCAATAGTATTGCTGAAAGCAATGGTTAGCATGTGTAGTTGATAATGTTTGAGGATAGTGCTTACCTTGTGTTGTTTGCGAGTGGATCTAAGAGGGGGTTTGGCGATGCTGACGGCGGCACGGCGATGCTCGTCATTGTCCATTTCAGGAACGTAGTAGAACTCATCTTCCAGAGCCTTGCCGGCGGCATCCTTGCCTGAGCGGGCGATCTCGCCGACACAAGGGATCCTGTCCATGAGGTCCTTCAGTTCTTCGGAGGACAGAGCCTTCTCGCCGAAGCTACGGCCACCCTTCATCTCAGCAGGGAGGTTGTTGTAGATGGCCGAAATAGGCAGAGAGTGGATGCGTGTAAAGGCCAGTTGATTGATGATATGGTTCTTGACTGGCGAGAGGTTGCGAGTGGACTGGGCGGCTTGTGTGTCGACGGGTAGTTGGTTTGCAAGCTTGAGGGTGATCTTGAGGGGGATGCGAGGACGGTCTTCCTCTTTGCAGGTCGACTTGAAAGACTCGAAACGCTCGAGGAGGTTGTCACCATATGGGCCAAAGGAGTGGACAATAGGATCGTTCTCTTCATCATTCTCAAGTGCTTCTTCAGGCGCGTCTGAGGAGTTTGTCGCCATGGACAGTTGCACACTAGCTTTGGTAGGCGTAGGTGTTAGGCGGACAGCAGGGTCCGGAGAAAGTCTGGCTGCTGGGACGGGAGTAGACGAGGCAGGCAAGTCGTCTTCTTCGGCTTGTTCGTCATCCTCGTAGACGTGGACGGGAGCCGGGCTGCTGGGGAGATCGAAGGGGTCGGCGATGAATGTCTCGGAGAAGGTGTCGTTGACGTTGTCGTGTTGGTTGGGCGAAGGAGACTCGGGCGAGCGAAGTCTGGGAAGGACAGGAGGAGGACTCGATGCAATTCTCTCAGGCACAGCACTGGTCTCCCTGCTGACTGACGACTCGAGGTCCCAAGGACACTGCTTTTCCTCCTGCGGCCATGCAAGCAAGACACGGGTTTCCTGGACGTCGACCATGACCTGGGATCCTGGCTTCTGCGAGACAAAGCTCTCTCCCTTTGCTAACTCGACGATGGATCCCTGGTAGTGCACCTTTGCACCATTCCAGCCTAGACACTGGACGACCATCTCGCCAAGAAGACGCGGACCCTCGGGTGCATTGTATGTGGCCTTGACGTGAACGCGTGAGATAAGGCGGTTGGCCGATAGTTGGTAGTCGGACGAGTTACTCGAGCGGCCCATGAGCAGCGGGTCGCCATTGGAGGGAAGCTTGACACTGGGTACTGTGCCTAATGGGGCTCTTTCGGAGAGCGACGAATACGACGCGGTACGCTGCAGTCCTAGGACGCGTCGATTTGGCGATGACGAGAGGATACCCGTGGCAGAAGTTGGCACTGGAGTAGGGTAGAACTTGCGCGTGTCGTCTTCATCTTCCATGAATTTGCGTTTCAAGGCTCTTGGGAGGCCGCCGGGTGACGACGACAAGGGCTCAAAAGCGGGTAAGAGCGAGGGCCTTCTGACGGAATCAGGCTTCTCGGTGGAAGGCAGGACCTTTTTTGAATGAGAGATCGAGTCCATGGTGTCTGGTCTGCTCTCGGGGGCTGTTCTACACACGCGTGAGATGCCCGTTCTCTGCTCACGCGTGTCCAGAACTGGCGTATATCGAGTACAAGCCGGCGGGCTGTTGGGCGAATGCTCAATTTGATGGCAGTCTAATAATACTCGGTATCAAGAGAGGGTGATGGTCAGTTAGTTGAAAAGAGAGTGATCGTGGTCGGAGGTGCTGAGGACGAGAAAGGCCTTGCTGCGAGGGAATGGGAACGCGCTCAGAGTAGCAGGCGCGTTTCGCGATTGCCAAAGCTTTCAGAAACTCCACCAATACTCGCCAACTTCAACTTTATGCCTTTATTTTTCCCGTCCTATCTGCTCACCACTTCTGATCAACATTATGAATCAATCCTCCTTTGCTCGGAGCAAAGTTGCAATCTCCAATTTGCTTGTAGCCATATAGGTTGATGCATGAACAGACCGTAGATGAAGCCTGCACTAGCCGTTGTGCATGGTTAAACATTTAACCACCGCGTACCTATATTCATAAACCTAATTCACCCAGCCACTTTTGCACCGATCCATCGAATAGCTTGCAGGAGAATGACGACAAGAGCACACTCTCGTGCCTTGGTTTTGCTCTTCAGCTCTGACCTGCCCACGACGCGTCTCACTCAGCGAATGGTCATGTATCAATGCCCCTGTCTTTGATTTTCACTATCCGTACATTGTTGTGCAAATCAATCCGCATATCCAGATCGAGCATTTGAATCACCACGACAGCAAGACGTTGATCGATAGTACGTTTCGATCGCTATCACCACACACACCGCCTTGTACAAATGGATCGGGCACGAACAAAACATGTTCAACAATCAATCGATTCTGCTTCATGTTACATAGAAAAATAGCCGACGCTTCTTTGTCCATCTGCTTCAGACCAAGCAGTTGCCATGTCATTGGAAGATGATCTATTGATAAACAACATTTCCAAGGAAACGCAAGACATGTTGCATTTGTCCGCGCTGTGAATTGTGCCTGTAATGGCTGCGCAAGATACGAGAAGACGGAAATGGTAAGATTTTGATTGTTTGCAATCATTGACTGTTGATACCATGGTAAGCTGCAAGGCATATCCAATTGCCGAGTTCACGACAAGGACAAGATCTACTTTCACGTTGATTTCGACGGTACTCTGGAATCGTTTTCTCGAACACTGCATCTTCGTCAATTGCTCATCACGCTCTTCTTTGTTTCAGCTCAGTCGAATAGCGCTCACGAGATATGTTGGTTGCAATGAATATCCAGAATCGAAAAGCTGCTCAGAGATGGTCGACACAACACAGAAACATCACTCGGAAGATGGTCGAAGAGTTGGAATTGGGGGCATGACTTTTTTCTTTCTTGCATTCGGACATCAACGCGGGAGAGTGATGACATTTCTGAGCTACCACTACTCGCGGTTCGGGCATCTGGTTGAGACGCCGTGATAGATCCCTCCTCCCCAAACGCCTAGTCCCTTGAGGTAACGAAGCACAACAGCCAAGACAGCAGTGATGGGGCGAATAGTTTACTTCAGCTTCTTCTTGGGGCGGAGCTGGTTGGTGTGACCGCACTTCTTCTTGCGGCAGTTGGTGGCACGAGGGGGAAGACGAGCCTGTAGAGAGGAACGCCATGTCAGAAATGTTCTTTGTCTTGATCGTGCATCTTCTTTGCGATTTCTTCCGTCTCGATGTCTTCTTCTCTTGCCCAATGTGTCGCGTGTATCCGGAGGCGGGATGGGGAGCGAGGCGACTTACGTAGCACTTGCGGCAGATCATCTTCTCGCAGTTGTACTTGGAGGCAAGAGCCTTGAGCGAGGGCTCGATGATACCACCACGGAGACGGAGGACAAGGTGAAGAGTCGACTCCTTCTGGATGTTGTAGTCGGAAAGGGTACGGCCATCCTCGAGCTGCTTTCCGGCAAAGATCAGGCGCTGTTGGTCTGGGGGAATGCCCTCCTTGTCCTGGATCTTGCTCTTGACGTTGTCGATGGTGTCAGAGGACTCGACCTCAAGGGTGATGGTCTTGCCCGTAAGGGTCTTGACGAAGCTGCATGGCGACTTTTGTCAGTGGGAGTCCAGTTTGCTTTGCGGTGTGCGGGCGCTGTGGGTGCGCTTCGGGAGGCTTACATCTGCACTGTGACACAAATTCATGTTAGCGATACTCGGCATGCGACAGTGACGACGTCTGCGTAGCACTTACTAGTGACGGTCTTCGTTGCTGAATACAATACCTATTTCGCGACGAGAAGCAGACGTGGAATTTGAGAAGCGCAAAAGCGAGCGGTGCGGCGTGCGTCGCGGCATTAACCGAAGATGCTCCGCCGGATGCCGTGCCAAGACTCCATCATCGACGTTCACCAATCCCGACTTGCAACTCTGGAGTCTTGACACTTTGACTTCATAGACAGACTCTGTGGTTCACTCCTGAGTCAGGTATTTTCGACTGACTTGGTATTCAAACATGCTGTGCAAATAACTTAATCGAGGGCCACTTTCGCGAAATTGTTTCATTATTCCCCACGCAGAAGGCACCGCTCGCTGAATTAGGAAGCACTGATGTGTATTTGCATAGCCAAGCTGGATGAGGGACTTTTACAGGCAATTTTGCGGGAAGCATACTCTATAGGATGCTTCTTTATTCTGATTTTCTATTCTATAGCACTCCATGAGCTACCCTGCAGAGACACTCGTTGTATAAGAGGTGTGACAAGGCGAATGAGCATTCGAGCGGATTTATAACATCTTGAACCGAGCACAACGATCTCTCTACCTCTTCCTTTCGCTACTTTCCCATCTCTCCAATCTTTTCTCTAACACAAAGACGCACTTGACAAGTGAGTTCAGTGGTAGTGCAGCCAGACTAGCAGCCTCATCGTAGAACTCCTTAGCATAGCCATCGAGCTCGCTAACGTTTCTGTATCTCTTGTAGCTGTTGCCAGGCCGGGTGACGTTGAGCTCACTCGCTGTCGAACCCGCCCTTACGCGAGCTGGGCGTAAACTGCTTTGCACCTTTCTGAGCCGCTCATCTTCGGCTATGGGTTCGGCATCTGGATCAATATCCATACTTTCAGGCGGCTCTTTGTTCGGGCGTTCAATCGGAAAGAAGCGCAGGAGTGCTCTACGAAATTCGGCTTCTTTGCCAACTCTTCCCTTTTCGCGTACCTTCTCTTCGGCAAATACAGAGCCGTACCAGTCCATATACTCGTCAAGCTTCTCCTCAGACATGTCGAGTACATCCTTTTCCTGAACCTGCATAGCCTCTTGATATCCGAGCGGTGTGCTTGACTTGATGGTGTCGTTGTAATCCACTCGTGCTTTACTCCAGGTTGACCAATCCATGTTCAGAGCAGAGAGCTCGGTAGTATTTTTGGGGTAGCGTTTAACATTGTCCAAAGGAAATAACAATTTGGTCGCAATGACAAGGACAGCCATGAGTCGAGCTTCAGCATATTGTATAACACGATACCTCATGGCGCGTTTGACCTGTACATCATAGACGAACGTGATGTCAAGGAGTTTTGCCAGCCGCAGTGTAGCTGAGTAAGCCTCTAGAGGAAGTGCAAGATTGCGTATCCATCGGTAAAGGACTAGGATGTGGTTGATTGGTGGTATATTCATCCCAAAAGCGCGATCGAAAGCTGTGATATTGTCGAGTACGGCCTGTTGCACTGCCACCGGGCTCAAGACATCTTGAGGATCCATGATCTTGTTGTAATTGAAAGGCAGGCGAGACTTCATCGGCTCGGAAAGAGCCTTGACAGCTCTGTAATATATCAGTTCGCCACTGGCCGCCCACGTGTAAACATCGCTGACGGTCACCGGGAGTCTCAGCAGGAGGCAACCGATGTAGCACATACTCAGAGCATCGACAAGCTTAGGTACGGCGTCATTCTTGCTCTTCCTAGCCTTTCGATTTGATGATGCATCGTCAGTCCTTTCTGCTTCGGATTGAGAACTGTACAGTTGCGAGCTTTGCTCGGCCTCGCTCTCTGACTCGTAGCTGACACGAGATTGGAGGCTTTGTAAACGAAGAGCCCAGATGTCGCGTACCACATTCTAAGCAAGATCAGTGAATGCAGTTCGGAGAAATCTAGGCTACGGCTTACTTCGAGCTCGTCCGGAAGTTGTTTTATGTGAATTAACCAATGCACTTGTTTCCATAGCACCAGCTGGAAGCATAGCAAGTAATGCTCGAATGCTCTTTTACCAGTCAAAGCTGCAAGTTTTAGTAATTTATTGATTACCAACATGGCTTGGAAGCCTTACCAGTCTCGACATTCTCTTCAACATCTCGTTCTCGACGTGCCTTCTTACCGAAAAGTGGCACACCGTCTGTATCCTCGACTACTTGCGTACCTCGCTAGTTGCTTGGTCAGAAATCTTCCGCAGTGCGTAGAACACGTAAGTGATGAACCTACTGCCCATTGACGATGTCCTTCCGAACAGTACGTGTATCCATCGTCTCCGACGCGAAGACTCGTTGAACCACAGCCCGCCTCGCACTCGGATTCCATTTATCAGAATGGATAAAGATTGCACGATTGCCGGCTACTCATGATAGTAGGGTGCTGCACGATTATCACGACGCGCGGTCACTAATAGTGTTGATATTGCAAAATTGTAGAAACAAAGCTTGTTCATTGGACCGACTTTTCTGCGAGACCTGCTACCACAACCATCTGACGTCGCACAACACTACTGATCTACCAAAGTTACAATGGAATGGCTCAACCAGCTTACTTGCACATTCTAATGCTTCTCGTAATCTTCTCAGCGAGATGTCTCTGGGTCGGATGATGCAATAATGTATTGATCTAGTTCAAAGAGTGACCCTGTCATTGTCTCTCTTTTCCACCGTCACGTTATCTAATACCTTTCACGACCAAAGACTCATAGGCAGTATCCACTACCTTGATGAAGTATCTGTCTGGAATGGCCGCAATTTAGACTATGCTCGAGTTCGCATATTTCAAGTACATCAATATTCCATCTCCAGGGCGTCACAATAAGCACATATTTATATTGTTCGGAAATTGATTTGCATTGAGTAGATTTTTGAAAACCATCGCTTCGTGACATTTTATTGTCTAGACGCGCACGTCAACTTGCCCGTGGGAAAGAAGGGGGTCGTAAAGGAAAAAACATGCGGCTAGACGCCGTCGAGATCGAACAAAAGGCTTGCAGCAGTAGCGGAGGGCAAGCACGACAAGGCATCCGCAGTATGCTGGGCGAAACTGTTGCAATGCTCATCTGGCTCCGAAGCAGCGCCTAGGAAGCGCTGTCTCGATGTGTTGGTTGTGCAAATCGTTTAACCGGACTTGGGAGCCTCCTTGGCCTCAATGGCGCACTCCTCACCCATGGCAGTAAGAATGATGACGTCTGATATAGTGGTCAGCTGTTGTGCGTATGGGCTGTTCATGCTGGGTATAACTCACTGGTGTCCTTCTGCTCCTCAATGAACATCTTGTTGATTCTCTCACCAACCTCGTTCTCGGGGACCTTGACGTCATCCTTGGTGGAACCGTCGTCAAGCATGAGGGAGAGGAAACCGTCGTCAGTGACGTCGAGCTAGCGCGAGGGTCAGTAAGGGCTATATGTTTAGGGGCCAATGGAAGCGGAGAAACTTACGAGCTGGTACTCGCGACGGGAGACGTTGGGGACATCCATGTTGTGGGTGGAGGGAGACAGATCCTCGAGCTTCTTGCCGGTGAAGATGTCAATGGCGACCAAGTGGACCTTGGCGTGACCGTGCTTGCCGGTCTTGGAGGTCGACATGTCGACGATCTTGCAGGGACGGCCCTTGATGACAACGTGACCGTTCTTTCTCAGGGCAGAACACTGCATGGGGTAGGTGGTGGAGGCACCGGCATCGGTGGACTCGAAGGTGTGCTGCTCGTGCTGTAGGACGGGGTGGTCAGCAATTGTTGAGCGAGCGGGCAGACGGCTTTGGGCTTTGAGGCTTTGTTGTCGCGGCGCGGGGTCGAAGGAAATCGGTCGCGTTGGACAGCCGGAGCCAGAGCCGAGTATCAACGTACCTGGGCGTCGTTGTCGGCCATTTTGACGGTGTTTGAGTGGTGATGGGAGGTGAGATGGGTGTTGTGATAGAGATGGCAAAAGGATGAAGAAAAGGTGAAATTTGAAAGTCAAGTGGGGAAGGAGCGGTCGTCTGCCTCCGCCAAGGTTTGTGAATTCCCTACCAAATCGGGTTTGTGGGTCGCAAGCAAGCTGGCAGGAGAGCTCTGGCCGGCCTTGCACGGACGTTCTTTCCCTAACTTCCGTCGCCAACATCATTCGTACTTGATTAGGGTGTGCCTATCCCCATGCCTGCCCACCTCAACTCTCCTCCACTCCACAACCACGCGACGCTCAACACATCTGCTCGGCCACCTCTTTTCACTCTTTCGACCGTCAAATCGCAGATGGCATGTGGCTAAATCGCTATTCCCAACACCCTTCGCCGTCATCTTCGCCTGCACCGCAAAGGAGGCCTAGTCATCTCGCTCCGAGCCCCCTTCCCCACAGGCCCGGCATCACAAACCGCTCTTCCTCCTTGTCTCTCCTCACGAATGGATCTACCGATAGTCTTCCTGCTTCCGCAAGATATCCTCCTGCCCATTCCAACTTGAGAAATCAGTTGGATGCTTCTCCTGTCGACAATGTGCCACATCCATTAGACGTGCTGCGCGATATCCTAGGCCCGATTCAATCCGACTCCCTGTCTTCAGATGACCAGCATGATGCGAATGTCGACTTCGGTGAGCTGAGTCTGCAAGAGTTTGTCGACACCCCTCTATCTTCAGACCAACCTTCCGAACAGCCATCCGTCGAAGAATGTATGTTGACATGCCCTTCACTCTGGTCCCCTACTTGAAGCTTAGGTTCGTTTAGTCCAAAAGGAGAAAGGCAAGTTTGAGGATCTACACAAGTCCATTGTCGCCTGTGATGAAGTCCTCAAGTCTGTAGAGAATTATCTCACCAGCTTCCAGGCTGATCTCGCCGCTGTCTCTGCTGAGATTGAAACATTGCAAAATCGTTCATCTGGCCTCAATACCAAACTCGAGACGCGCAAGCAGCTTGAAACAATGCTCGGTCCGGAAGTCGATGCTTTGACCATCTCTCCGGCTATTGTGCGAAAAATCTCAGATGGACCTATAGATGATGCTTGGATAAGAGCTCTGGACGACTTAGAAAAACGCTCCAAGACTGTTGATGCGAAGGCCGCTAGGTCTAAGAGTGCCTCTGATCTTAAACCACTGATAGACAGCCTCAAAAATAAGGCCGTCGAACGAACTCGTGATTATGTTGTATCTCAGATCAAAGCGTTACGTGCGCCTGGTGTCAACGCACAGCTCATACAGCAGAACAACTTCATGAGATACAAGGATGCTTTCCAATTCCTAGATCGGCATCAACCTCAATTGGGTCAAGAGATTGGTCGTGCTTATATCAATACAATACGCTGGTTCTACTTACACAATTTTTCGAGGTATAAAGCATCACTGGAAAAGATGACTATCCATGTTATCGATAAGAACGAGGTCCTGGCACAAGACGATACTACAAAGCGGACAACAGTGGTTTCTGGCTCAAAAACACAGGCTGCACCACATGATGCATTTTCCCTCGGGCGACGCATGGACATGCTCAAGGGCAGCTTCAAATCGGCTCTATCTTCGCATATAGCAGAGGAAGACAAATCTGCGCATTATTTAGAGGCGCCTTTTAGAGCCTTCAATCTCGCGCTGATGGACAATGCTTCTGGCGAATACTCGTTTCTAACCGAGTTCTTTTCGAAGCAATCGTACCACGAAGTAAATCGCAAATTCGGCGAGATTTTCCAGCCAACTTTTGCTCTTGGCCAGGCTCTGACCAAGCAATTAATTGATCCGACTATCGATGCACTGGGTTTATTGATGACAGTTCGGTTGAATCAACGTTTTGCATTCGAGCTTCAGCGAAGGAAAGTACCAGCAATGGAGGGCTATGTCAACGGCACCAATATGCTTCTATGGCCACGTTTCCAGATGGTCATGGATACACATTGCGAGTCTCTTCGCAAGGCTACCTCATCGCTCTCTGGACGACCGGCAGGCTCGGCGCTTAGTCTTACCTCCTCGGCGTCTGCACCACAATCAATCGCACCACATCAAATAACTCAGCGATTTGCGAACTTTGTGCAGGGAATCTTGGCATTGAGCAGCGAAGCTGGGGACGACGAACCGGTTCACAACAGCTTGGGGAGATTGCGTAACGATTTTGAAGCCTTTCTGACCAAGTTAAGTAAAAGCTTTGCAGAGCAGAAGAAGCGGGAACGGTTCCTCGCGAACAATTACTCATTGGTCGGTACCATCATCGCAGAAACGGAAGGCAAGATGGCCAAAGAGCTCAAAGCGCACTTTGCAGAAAAGGTAGAGGAGTTGGGAGGTCGATAGTATTGAAGTGTGTCACGATAGAACATCGAGTGTACAACTAAGCTTCTGGCGTTGGAGGACTGAGGCTGCTAGCAGGCTGCTAGCTTAGGCGAAGGAGACCATGAATGCTAAACTACTTCGACAGAGTCTTGACATGAACATGATGCGTGAATTGTGTTGGCCGACCCAAGGCTGCGGGTACAATTGTGTCAGTCAAACCTCGAACGCCCCCCGAGACAATTTCGCGATCAGTCCCTCTTCGAAGTATGTCACACAGTCGACTAGCTGTCAAGATGCACAGTAATTCTAATGCTGGAGAGATATATATACAAGAAGACTGTCGTTCGGTCGCTCTCCGCAGACGTCTCTGTGAAACCAAAAAGTGTTGTGCATTGCTACAAGATGATAGTTGGTCGTCGCGTGGACAGCAGAAGCGCCAAGCATTGATGCAGCATGCGGTTTTTGACATCTTCATGTCGTTCACACGTAGCCCACCATCACCACCGATCCATAGCAGCGCACCTTCACCGCACGCACTCGTCCGATTTTCCAGCTCTCCGCACCTGAACACTTGCAAACCACAGACGTCAAGTCGCCGCCGTCATCGCTATCATCATTTCACGAGCTTCACCACCGAGCTTGCCCTCTTCAAAAAACATGGCGCCTCCAAGCACATTCGCATCCGCCGCCGCGGGCGGCAATACTCCCACAACTCCGCGCACTGATTCCGCCGGGGAATGGTACGTCAGCATACAGCGAAGCTATAGTTGGGGTCATGTGCAATCGACTGACTCGACACCGTGTATAGGGCACGTCGAACAAACGGCGCAACCCAAACCTTCCGTCGTCCTTCTGTCGCTACCTCGATCATGAGCTCCAATGCCAGGGAAGTGGCTTCTGGTTCACAACCCGCCGTCTATGTGCCTCCGCATCGCAATGGCCCTGCCCACTCGGACACTCGCTACTCCAAGAACCAACTGCTCGACCTGTATCACAAACAGAATGTAGAGGGCTCGCTAGACGATTCGCTGTCGCCCCTGTTTGTCGCCGGCTGGGAGCCAACTCAGTCCAATGGAGTCTCATTGGGCGGCTGGGGCAGGAGGGACGAACAAGCCAAAGACCACGTTCCCGGTCCCGAGGTCTGCTGGGAAAAAGACGGTTCCACGGGTCCTTTGGGTCTGGTCGACATGAACGATGAAGAGAAGGAGGTACGTGACATCCCGCTGATACGACTGGACTTGGTGCTAAATCATCTGAACAGCACTTTTCATCCGTCAATTCGCCCTTGAAACCGCCTACGACCGTGACCAAAGACGCTGTCAATCCTCCCATGCGCAAGATTTCTGTATCGCAGAATGTCAGCAGTCCTGGCGCCTTTGCTGTTGCCTCGCCTGGCGTTGCAAGACCAGGCGCGAGACGTCGCGAAACCCAGGAGTACCCGTTCCCCTCGAGTTCGCAGCTCAACTCGCCCACGGTCGGCAAGGCCACGCGCGACGACTCCCGCACTGCCTCTCCACCTCCTTCACTGACCAGAAGAAGGACTGACTTCAAAGATACGGCTGACTCGGCAGACGAAAAGCCAGCCCCCGATGTACCTGATGCTGCTCGTCCTCCATTCTCCGCCATCAAGCGCACTGCAACCGGTCCTTTGAATACCGCTATTGGCGGTGCATCATCTCCATGGTCTGCAACTCCCCAGAGCGCTGGCTTTTCACCAATGGGTGCTTTTGGCAATTTTGCCATCAATACCAATGCTACTGTCGGCACTCCAACTTCGGACAAACGTCCTGGACTGGCTGGTGGTAGAGCCGAGAGCCGCTTCAAGGGACTCATGGCCAAGGACACCGACGACGCTTCGAGGGATAAGTCTTCTCTGGACTCGATTCCTCATGAAGACCAACACGAACAGCATGCTACTGGTAGCGCTGCTCTCGGCGGTGGCCAGGACATTTCTCCTCCCCGTAGTCGTGGCTTTGGTACCCCTAGTCGTCAGGACTCGCGTGATGAATTCGGTCATGGTGCCTTTGGCATGACTTCGGATCCTTTCCGTACCCTGATGGGTCAGCAACACGACTCATCTCATGGGATCCTTCCAGGCCGCTCTCAACAACTTCCTGCCGCCAGCGATCCGATGAGTCCCTCGGATACCAATCCTTATCAAAGCCCTGAACATTTACCCGCAGACCTCGACGATGCTGATGATGATGCCTCCGATCTGCAAAATGCTCATCTGCCCAATCTAGGCGGACTCATGAACGACTCCATGTCTTCTGGTGCTGGAGCTTTCCACGGTCTTGGAAACCTTGGACGCGTTCCCGCAGCGCCTCCGAGCGATCGCAGTCAGACATCGAGTGTTGGACCTAACAGAGGTTTCGGTGGCTTTTCTGGTCTGAATGCTCTTCCTGGACTCGGAGGCGCCTCTGCCTGGGGTGGGCCTCAGGCGTCTATCGGCACTCCTAACAGGGATAGAGCTGCCTTGGCTGGCAACTTTGGTGAGAACCCCTTCGGCTCTTCTGCAGACCTGGGATCTCCCAGTCTTGCGGCTCTGAGCGGACTGGGCGCGTTCGGCGCCAACCCTAGTCAAAGTCGCGGTACCAGCCGACTAGGATCTCTCTTCCCGACCAGCGTGCAAGAGCAAATGCGACCTGATCACGGCCGTCAGGACGAGGACGACGCCGGATCGGGAGAGTTTGCAAACTTGCCTCGCGACACATCTAGTCCTTTTAGACGTGCTGCCGACGTTTCTAGCGCATTCCCTGATCAAGATCGCAACACTGAGACATCTCAGCAAGAGCCCATTGGCCAACGCCCTGCCCAATCTTCTGCTTCTATGCAAGCTCAGGCGGTCACCAGCTCTGCGTCTAACCAACCACCCCCAGCTCAACAGAAGACTATGGTCATGCCCGATCGTATGAGGTGGATCTACCGTGATCCCCAGGGCGTCACCCAAGGCCCTTGGTCGGGCTTGGAGATGCATGACTGGTACAAGGCCGGTTTCTTCTCCCCCGAGTTGCTTGTCAAGAAGTATGAGGATATCGATTACGAGCCTCTGGCCCAGTTGATCCGTAGAATTGGTAACTCTCGCGAGCCCTTCCTCGTCCCACAAATCGGCATCCCTCATGGCAACCCGACTCTTCCCCAGCCGCCCGCTAACTGGACTAATCCTCTGTCTTCTGGTGGCGCTCAGCCTCCTTTCGCCAACAGTTTTCCTAGCTTCGGAACCACTCTTACTGCCGACCAGCAGAACGCATTGGAACGTCGCAAGCAGGAGGAGCAATACCTGATGGCTCGCCAGAAGGAGCACCTTGCGCAACAACAATTCGCACAGCGCTTCCAGGCTCAGACAGGCCAATTGCTATTCCCTCAACTCCACCACCAATCCAGCGTTCAGAGCTTGCACAGCCAGCCCAGCTTCGGTAGCCTTAGTTCGCCTGCACCAGCATTCCCAGCTGCTCCTCTGCAGAACAACTTTGGCAGTACCGGCGCGAGTGGTAGCACTCATGTACCCGGCTTCTTCGACAACTCTTTCAGGTCTCCTGGAGCCCTGGGTGGTCTCGGAGCCATTGGTGCTGGCGCGGACACGCTTGGTAACATCAGAGAGGAAGACATGTCTGGCATGGTGAACAGACTCAACCTTGGACGTTCGTCACAGGGCAATTTTGGAGGCATCGGTCAGCCGTTCCCTCAAGCTGAAGAGCAACGTCGCATCTCGACAATGCTTGACGACCGCTCTCGTCTCGAGCAGCAACAGGCACAGCACGATGCTACCCAACGCCTCCAACAGGATCAGCCTGCACGAAACGAACAATTCGAGCAGTTCCAGAGCCTGCAGGAGCACGCTAGAGCCGATCCTTTCGGCGTTGGTCCTGAAGGTGTCATTGGAAAGCCTATCGCTCCTCCGTCTGAACAACAGCGCAGCCAACAAGACCAGGGTCAAGCGCAACCTCAAGAGCAGACCGAATCAGAGTATGAAGCCCAGTTTGATGAAGAAGCCGAAGCTCTCACTCAGCAGGAAGAGGCCGCTGCTGCCTCCCAATTCAAGCAAGAACCATCTTTGACCGAGCAAGTACAGAAGGCTGCATCTGTCAAGCAATCGCCCGCACCTGCATCGTCCCCCTGGGCCAAGGTTGACACTTCTTTGCCGCAACCCTTCCCTCCCGCACCATCGCAGTCTCCTCTACCTGCCCCTGCAGCCCAGCGCAACAGATCTCATGTGGCTGATGCACTCCATGCCGAGTCTAGATCCCGCTCGCAAACACCATCTGCCGAGACTCCCAGTGCTTCAGTCGCTCCTTGGGCCAAAGAACCCGCCGAGTCATCCAGAGGACCTTCTCTCAAGGAGATCCAGGAGGCCGAGGCCAAGGTAGCCGCTGAGGCTGAAGCACTTGCTGCCGAGGCTCGTCGTGTCGCTTTCGAGAAGGAGCTCGCACAAGTCCAGCTGACTACCGTACCTGCACCTGGACTTCCTTTGACCTCTAATTGGGCCAGCAGCAACACTGCATCTCCCGCTACTGGTACCGCTCCTTCGCCCTGGGCCAAGGCCGCAAAGGTTGTTGTCGCTCCCGCTACTGCCAAGAGCATGGCCCAGATCCAGAAGGAGGAGGAGGCTCGCAAGAAGCGTCTCGCAGCCGCCGCAGCCACTCAAGCTGCAGCTGCCGTCGGCGTCGCTCCTGTCCAGCAGCCTGCTGGGGGTAAGAGATATGCCGATCTTGCCAGCAAGGTAGCATCTTCACCCGCACCTGGCAGCCCCGTACCTGGTATGACCGGTGCTTGGACCACTGTCGGCGCAAGCGGCAAGGTCAAGACCCCCCTGCCTGCCCCCACTCCCGTCAACACCAGAGTTGCCAGCTCGACTATTCTGCCCACCGTAGCAGCGGTCAAGAAGACCGTTCCTGCCAGAGCTACTGCAGGACCTTCTGCTGTCAATGCCATTGACGAGTTTAAAAAGTGGGCCATCAACGAGCTCAAGCACGATCTTAACAAGAGCGTTACTGCCGATGAGTTTGTTAGCAACTTGCTCTCCTTCCCATCTGAGCTCGAGATTGTTACCGAAGCCGTTCACAGTGTTTCTCACACCATCGATTCTCGCCACTTTGCCGAAGAATTCATTCGTCGTCGCAAGTTGGCTGACAAGGGCCTGGTCGATACCACTAAGCCATCCAGCCCGGCTAGTATGGTTCAATCGGGCGGTTGGTCAGAAGTAGCTAAAAAGAACGCTGCTTCGGCCCCTAAGCCCCAAGAGCCTAAGGATGAGCTCAACAACGGTAGTTTCAAGGTCGTACCGACCAAGAAGAAGGGTGGCAAGAAGTAAGCATAGGCTAGAGACGATGGGAAAGTATGTAAAGCTATAGGCACATGTAAATTGATCAATTTCTTCACACGATTTGAGTAAATTGACGTCTGCGTGATCGAAACATACCGTGACAAGGGGCCTGTAGCAAGGCAGAGTGACTTTCGGAAGTGGGAGTTTGAGCGAGGGAGTGTGTGAAAAGAGCGCTCTCAGCGGAAGATGTGAGGATTTGAAAGTGACTGTGTCTTTCTACAGCTACTTTTGAGGGGTACAATGGTTCAAGGAGTGAGGCGGAGGATCAAATCACCAATTCCGAAGCATGCATGCCCGTTTTTGTAAACAGTATATTTTTGGAGCTCTTCTATCCCTCGACAGTGTAGTGGTTTAGAATAAATCGGACATCAATTCTCCACATTTGATATATGATATGGCCACACGAAGAGGGGGGAAAAATGCTTTCAAAGTATGATGAAACGCCCCAAACTCAAGCCACAAATTCGGCATTTTGTTTGACCAAAACTTTGTTAAACTTTTCTCAAACACAGCCTAATCACTCAGCTCCAAAGCCCATCTCAAACACTTGGGTACCAAAACATCTAGCTATGGAACAACCAATAGGAAGGTTGTCCAGAAATAAGTTTCAACCAGAATGCCCCCCCCCCCCCCCCCCCCCACGGGAAAGCCTGATATTCCTCATCCAAATTAAAAAAAAATGCTTTCGTGAAAGACTGGTTTTGACCAAAGATGACAGCCCAAGAATCCAGCCGAGATGTTTTGACCTTGAGACGAATGGTCTCAGGACTTTGACTGACAAAATCCAGCCAGAATGTTGGAGCTCTGGCCAAAGTATTTGATCGAGATGTTTTAACCAGAGTGTTATTTCTTTCTCATTTCGTCATTGGACATTTACAGCAAAATCTCCACCATCAACGAGCCATGAGGGCACACACATCATACTAAAGCAATTCCCTTCGATTCTGGACGACTTATGATCCTTGAATTTCCTCCAAGAGTGATTCCAGTTTCGTGCAAGCTGCGAGAGGGCTATTCAGACTTCTCGCCTAGAAAGGTAGGAGCGAGCCATTTTCTCACTGGTAATGGTTAGATCAGGCAGGCTCTTGCCTGTTATACCGTTGCAGTCGCCGTCCTTGGTCAGTTCCTGAAGCGATCTGAACAAGGATGCAATAATATTTCACATCGGGATGATTTTGGAGTCGCTTTCCCATATGCTGATGTTTTGGAGAAAGAAAGAATTCGTTCGTAAAGCATGAGAGGTAGAAATATGGGTATATGCAAAACCAGCCGAAACTCCTCTTATTCATCCCGTCCCAGACGTAAAGCGCCGTCGATTCACGACCTGAAATGTAGCCTCTACATGGTGTTCCAGAAGTGGTTTGCGTAAAAGAAGCGGTCAAACTTGGAGTCCAGGTTGACGACATTGACATTGCCCTTTGCGGTATTTCTGATGACGGCACGGGTAAAGTCGCCGGTATTGTGGTCCTGTTCAGCGTCGATGCCCAAGCTGCGGTAAACACCCAGTCTCAAGCTGTGACATGTCAGTTTTCTCCATGTTTTCGAAAGCAGTATAGGCACAAGGCGACTCACACGACATCATCTTCAGCCTTGTTTTCAGCACTCTCAACATCATCACCCTGCTCTTCCAAAATCTGCAATTGCCTTTTCAAGCCATAGACTTCGGAGCCCAGTCTTTCAGCCTCAATCTCCAAGTCATTGGCGGCTTTGGCGACTCTGAACTTTGCATTGTCCAAGGCTAGGATATCAGAGGCATGGGCTGCAGGGTCGTGGCGTGAGATTTCCGAGTCGTGGGTTGCGCGGAGGTGTTGTGCTTTTCGTGAGAGTTGGGCGAGTTGTGTGTGTTGGGCGTTGAGACGCAGAGAGCGGGCGCTGCGGAGAGTGGAGAGGGAGGAGTGGATGCGCGAGATTGACTGCAGGTCGCTGTCTGTGTGGAAGTTGCGGGTTGTTTGGCGGATGAGCTGGAGGGCGGATTAGCTGTCGTCGCATCGTGTGTCGGAGGGTTGAGAAGCGTACAGTGACGGGATCTTCGTCGAAGAGAACCATGCTGGCGTGTGGTGGGAGAGGGTATGAGTTGTTGCAGAGGTCCTGTGGTGTTGGGCGAAGATGATGTTCTCGTGTTGTCTTGTTTACAAAGTGTGGAGTGGCCGAGCAACGCGCTTTTCCCTCTCGGCCCCACGTGCGAGGCAGACGGAGACCCTGGCCGATGATCTCACTCCAAACATCTCACATGCCACAGCGCGCCAGTCAGCCACCACCAAGCCCGTCTTCATAACATCTGACAAGCGATCAAGCCTTTCACAACTCACACAACCATGGGTGACCACCTACCATGCAAGTCATCGCATACCGTATCCTGCAGACCACAACACTGACCCTCCTCTCCCAGATGCCGCAGATGCTGAATCGTACGCCTCCTTCTCTCGCTTATACAATGGCCCCACCAGTAGACTGATGCTCCTCATAGTCCTCTGAAGCCTGCAGAACTGCAGGTCTTGCGCTCACAATACGACAAAGAAGGCGAATACGTCTCTCTGCAGACAAAGTTCAACTTTGCCTGGGTATGCGACAGCCGCCTCTTGCAACTTCTCCTCGACAAGCTCTCTAACACATCCACCCCAGGGCCTCATCAAATCCACCCAACGTCCCGAGCAACAAGAAGGCGTCCGTCTCCTCACCGAAATCTTCCGCTCCTCTCCCGACCGTCGCCGCGAGTGCCTCTACTACCTCGCACTCGGCAACTACAAACTGGGCTCTTATGCCGAAGCCCGTCGTTACAACGAGCTGCTCGTCGACCTGGAGCCTAACAACTTGCAGGCTCAGAGTCTGAGGCAGCTCATCGATGACAAGGTGGCAAAGGAGGGCTTGATGGGCGTTGCTATCGTCGGTGGGTTGGCTGTTGCTGCTGGTGTTGTTGGAGGCTTGATCTTCAAGGGCGCAAGAAGCTCAAGGAGATAGTCGATGTTGAAAGCGCTGGTCGTTTCTGTTCTACAGTCTCTATTCCCTCCACCCTTTCTGGCACCTCTCTGCCTCTCTACCCCTCTCTCACTCACGCTATTCGCGAGCTTTATTCACATGTACATGATTCTCCACCTTCACCCTCTGCTTCGTTCCTGCTCACCATGTCATGTTGTATTATCTTTCACCATGTCTATTTATACAGTGCCTATCCGACGCGGCAGCTTTTGAACACCTCTCTCAGAATATTGGTCATGTGGTCATGCGTAGCCAATCTGCATGCTTCCTCCTTCTTAACATCTCGTGATGCTTAGAACAGACCGGGAAGCATGGCAAATCTCTTCTTCTGGTACTTGTCGCCAAACTCGTTGCGATATCTGCGTTCCTTCTTCTTTGCCCATAGAGCCATCTGGCCGACTGCAACAACAACGAAGAGCCCGGTGCTCAAGCTCCAAGATGCCAGCCAAATACCGATCCATGCAAGTGCCTCGAACATGTAGTTGGGGCATGTCACAAGGTCGAAGCCTAGACCACGGGGGATGCCACGCTCGGTACCACCAGTGCTGCGCAAGTTGCGCAAGACGTAGTGCGTGTTGAGGTTACCAAGCTCGCCGACCACGAACAGAGCAATGGCAAGGTACGTGATCAACGGGTTCGAAGGAGCAGCGGTAGGAGCGGTAGGAGAGTAGATCCAGTAGGCAATGTTGGCACCACCAAGAGCCCAGTAGTGGGCAGAGTTCTTGAAGATGTTGCGGGCAGGCATGGTGGCACTGGAGAAGCGATGCACAAAGACAGTCTCGAACTCGCGCTTTGCAAAGTGCAAGGTCAACATGACGCAGGACAGGAACTGCAGGTATGAGGGCTCGGCGGGAGCATGTTTGTACAAGTATGGGCGGAGGAAGTAGAAGAGAGGGTGGATGAGCAGCGGACCCAGGTATTCGATGATGAAGACGGTGCGCCAGGCGATCTGCGGACCCAGGTCTTTCACGTAGACGACGCTGTCGCTGCGCAGACCGGTGCGCTCGACGGTGAAGTCCTTCGCATTGGGGACGTGGGAGCCGTCGCTGCCCTTTGTCAGGCGGAGACGGTGCACTGAAATGCCAGACTCTGCGGCAATGCGCTGGTACAGGTCTGCCGTGCTGCCCTGCAGGTATGTCGTCGTCTCGTCGGGCAGTTTCTTGATTGTGCGTCCTAGCCCCGTGTCGTCAGCTTCAGCCTTCTTGTCGAGAGCACCAGCATGTCTAGTCACCTCTAGGTTTGATAACCAGCTTCACCGGTTTCGAGGCCATCTTGTCAGTGCTCGGTTTTCGATCCGACTTAATTCGCTTGTCGGTAGAGGACACACACACGAAGGAAACGGATCGCCGGCTGATTGCTCTATCCGCGCTAAGGACATGAAGCTTTGGCAACATTCCTTCCACGTGGAGCCTCGGCTCTTCTGCGTGCCGCCGAACTATCTCAAGGACAGGGATGGCATAGACAATTATCAATGCCCCGTCAACTCTGCACATCTGATTCAGGTCAAAGGTCGACATGTGGAGAGCTTTCATATCACCGATCATGCGTAAACTCGCTGCCTACCCCCGGTCTGCCCGTGGACAAAGGGGGAAACCCTCCCCAAGGCATCCAGGCTGAGCTTGCCATCGTATGCAGCTCGACTCTTACCGTGCATATGTACTTGGCCAATATTGAGGAAGGGTCAATGTACATACACCCTCAGCCTCTCTGCTTCCTCGGCGCATACCATGATTACTCAGATACGAACTCTACCTCTCAGCCCACCATGTCCGTGCTGAGGCATCCAACACCAACAAGTGCCCCCACAAACAGCTCCGTGCCGCAAAATATACTCGCTTGCAACAGTCCCTTCGGCAAGGGAGCCAGCTAAGTATATGATCATGCTATCGAGCAAAGTACAATATTCCTGCGAAGGAGCAACGTGGCCCGGTCCGCGCTTTCCAGCTGCTATCGTCAGCTGTGCTTGCCTCGTTCCTAAAACAGTACACTTCCCAATCTGGTGAAAGATGATTTTTTCCCTACAAGACAGCCCTGACATCTGCCAAATTTCGCTCATCCAATTTTTATCAGTTGTAACGTTTCTCAATAGCTTTGATTTCCCTACAGCCTGCGTTTCTCGATACTAAACCTTCTTGCATTCTAACAGCAGTCCGGACAGCCGTTCAGCTGAAAGCTGAAATATACTTCCAGCCGTCTGGGGTATAGCTTCTAGTCCCTGGTTTTAGCCCCTTCTCCCGTCGTCCTAATCCGTTAGTACGGGATTAATCTAGCTGCCATATATATTCCGAGGTGAGCAGATTTCTTTTCGTCGAGTAGTCTCGTTGTTCTCCTGTTCTCCTTCTAGATTGGACAATATGAAAGGTCTTCGTCGAGTCTTCAGCAGCGCATCATGCTTCCGACCAGATGCCAACGAGGACCATGGCGTTGTCTACATGGAAAGCCAACCAAAGAGCAATTCCACTAACAAGATACAGCCAATGGTGAACCAAGTCGAGATGAATCACTTCGGAGAGACTTCCGTTCCCATGGCTCCCTCGACATTGGACGGCATGGCTGACCAAGTCCGCGAATCTCTTGGGGCAATGGGTCATCTGTTGTCTGCAATGAAGGCTCCTCTTCCGACGGGTACGGGCGATGGCTCAGCCTTGTCTGTCGAAAAAGACGACTCGCTGGTTTCTACCCTCGGCACTATCGTCAAGGATGTTTCTCATCTTGGTTTTGATACAGTCGAGAAGGTGGCCAAGATGACCCTCAAGACCAAGAATGGAGACCTCATTGATGACAAAGAATATCTTATGGAACACTTGATCAACGTATGTGTGCATGAAAGATAACTTGAATGCCATCTGACTCCATTTCCCAGGCCGCTCAGAAATTACCCGACGACGTAGTTGGTCAAAAGCTCACACATGGCTTTGTGACCACTCTTTGGGACGACTTAGAACACCCTCCCAAGGTGTTCATGAGTGATAAATACCAATACCGCAGTGCAGACGGCTCTGACAACAGCTATCTTCATCCTCGTTTGGGCGCGGCTCATGAGTCCTATGCCCGCACTGTGAAGCCTGCAACCATTCAACCTGGCAATCTTCCGGACCCTGCCGTTCTGTTCGATGTTCTCATGGCCAGAGACAAGCCCACCGAACACCCGAACAAGATTTCCAGCACCCTATTCTACTTTGCCTCGATCATCATCCATGATCTGTTCAAGACAAACCACAAAGATTTCAGAATCTCCGACACTTCATCTTACCTGGATTTGAGTCCACTTTACGGTAGCGACCAGGAAGAACAAAACAAAATCAGAACCTTCCATGATGGAAAGATCAAGCCCGATTCGTTCGCGGAGACTCGTCTGCTGTCCTTTCCTCCTGGAGTTGGTGTAGTAATGATCATGTTCAACCGCTTTCACAATTACATTGTTGAACAGCTTGCCCTGATCAACGAGAACAGCAGATTCACTAAACCTGCTCAAGATGCTGGCCAGGACAAACGGGACAAGTACGACAACGACCTCTTCCAAACTGGCAGATTAATCACATGTGGTCTATACATCAACGTCATCCTCGTCGACTATGTGAGGACAATCTTGAACCTCAATCGCACAGACTCTGACTGGTCGCTTAACCCGCGTGCCGAGTTCCCTGGCATGCCCGATTTGGGATGTGGTAATCAAGTCAGTGCTGAGTTCAACCTAGTCTACCGTTGGCACTCAGCAGTGTCGGATAAAGACGACAAGTGGACTCAAGAGCTTTTCGCGAAATTGTTCCCAGGCAGAAAACCGGAAGAAATCCCTCAACTCGAATTCTTGAAGACTCTGGGTCACATGGAAGCTGACCTGAAAGCTCAAGATCCCACGAAGCGTAACTTCCACGACATCAAGAGGAATGCGGATGGCACTTTGCCAGACGACAAACTCGCCCAGATTCTGATTGATGGCATCGAAGATTGTGCAAACGCTTTCGGTCCTCGTCAAGTACCTCTGGTCATGAAACAGATTGAAGTCCTGGGTATTAGACAAGCGAGAGCTTGGAATCTTGCCACCCTCAACGAGTTCAGAAAGCATTTCTCCTTGAAGCCTTACTCAACATTCGAAGAGATCACTGCAGACAAGGAGATTTCTGAATCTCTCAAACACTTGTACGATCATCCTGACAATGTTGAGCTGTATCCCGGTCTGGTTGTTGAAGACGCGAAGTTCGCCATGCGTCCCGGATCAGGACTCTGTCCTTCTTACACAACTTCTCGCGCTATCTTGTCCGATGCTACAGTCTTGGTTCGCGGTGATAGGTTCTACACGACTTCTCACCATCCAGCAGCGCTCACCAATTGGGGCTTTGCAGAGCAAGCATCTGATCTGAAGATCAACCATGGCTGTGTCATGTACAAGCTCTTCATGAAGGCTTTCCCCAACCACTTCCGCCCAGACTCTGTCTACGTCCACTTCCCTTTCACTGTACCTTCTGAGATGAAGAAGGTTTTGACGGGCCTGGGCAAAGCACACAAGTACAATTTCGACAGACCAGCTCCCCTCGCTCCAACCAAGATGTTGTTCTCTTACTCTGCTGCACAGAAGGTTCTCTTCGATCAGGAGGCTTTCAAGGTGTACTGGGGTCCTAAGATCGAGTTCCTCATGGGCTCCTCAGCTAAGAGCTTCATGCTTGCAGGAGACACCAAGGTCAACACAGCTTCCCGCGACATGATGGAGCAAGCCCTGTATCTCGGGAAGTTCTCCCGAAAAGAACCCACGGGCAACGAGAAATGGCTCCTGGAAGTTCGCAAGTTCTACGAAGAGCACACATCGATGCTGCTCCAAAAGCACTCCTACAAGCTTGCTGGCACCAATTACGTGGATCTCGTCCGTGACGTGTCGAACATAGTTCACGTACATTTCTGCTCTGAAGTGTTCAATCTCCCCCTAAAGACGGAAGCAAACCCGGATGGTGCTTTCACCGAGAAGCAAATGTATCTCGTGATGGCAGCTGTGTTCGCCTGCGTCTTCTTCGATGTTGACCCCGAACATTCCTTCGCTCTTCGACAAGGTGCTCACGACGCGATCCAAGCTGTTGGCAAGCTCATGGAGATGCAGGTGCAGGCTTTGGCGAAACTACCTCATCTTTCTGAAGCCGTCGATCGTATCGGCGAGTGGTGGTCAGGCAAAGATCGTTCGATTCTTACGCAATACGGCAAGCATATGGTTGAGCGTCTGCTACAGACTTCCGGCATGGACGTCCAGCAACTTGTTTGGGCACAAATTATCCCCACTGCAGGAAGCATGTGTGCAAATCAAGGCCAATTCTTTGGCCAAGTGATCGACTGGTTGTTCAGCGACGGTCGCGAGTACCTCCCACTACTACATGAACTGGCAATTCAAGACACACCCGAGGCCGAGGAGAAGATCATGCGCTACTTCCTCGAATTCTCGCGTCTTCACTGCGAGACTGGCGTTTACCGCACCGTCGCCAAGGAGATGATAATCGAAGACATGGACCGTAGGGTCAAGCTCAATGTTGGCGACACAGTTGCTCTCAACTTCCGCAGCGCATCTCGTGATCCAGACATCTTCCCTGAGCCGGAGACTATCAAGTTGGACCGTCCCATTGACTCATATATCCACCTCGGCCAAGGCCCCCATCAATGTCTCGGACAACCCATGACGCTGGTCGCCATGGGCGCTATTCTCAAGACCCTCTGTAAACTTCCAAATCTGCGCCCTGCGCCAGTCTGGCCTGGCCCTGTCGACAAGGTCAAGAAAGTTGTCAAGGACTTCTCGGCCTTGGCACCTGATGTCGAGTTTAAGCCCGAATGGGAGTATCATTGTTACCTTCTCGAGGATTGGGATCAGTATTTCCCCTTCCCTGCAAGCTTGAAGATCTGCTATGATGGACAGGCAGCTTAGGTAGCTCAGCGGATGCAAGGAGGCAGAGGTTTGACGAGAAGGCTTGGAGTGTTTGGACTCGCTGGTCGTGCGGCGTGGAGATTATTGAATTGGTCCGGAAAATGGTGATTGAGACTGGATGAGTTTGTGGAAGACGCAATGTGTTGATGATTCCTGTGTTTGGATATGGGTGTTTGGATTCTATTGTTCTTGGTGGTTGTTCCTTCTTCTCAATTATTCCCTTTGTCGTTAGTTGTTAGCCTATCGATCTTTTCCAATTCTACGGTGTCTTTCTGACATCATTCCTTCCATTTTTGAGTGCTAAACTTCACAGTCTTTTTCAAGACCAACAAAGACAAATCAGAGGAACAGAAGAAATATTATTTAACATTATGTAGCCGGTAAAGTGGCTTTAGTCGAATTCATCCAGGAAATCCATAATGGCAGAGTACGTAACAGTACCACGCTGTTGTGTCTTTGAAGTCGGAGGAGGCGATAGCAATCCGTTCACCTGCACAGAAGTCTTCAACGAACTCTCTCTAGGTCCCCACGGCGAAGCAGCTCTAACCGGAGTACCCATACCACCGGCCTCTGCCTCCCTAGCCGCTAACCTTTGCTTCAACTCCTCCGCCTTGTCCATTTCTTGAACTTCCGGAAGTCCATCAACGAGTTTAGTCTTTCTCCTTTGCCTTTCCATGATACTATGCGTGCAAACATCAATCTTCGCATCCAGATCCACCAGATCCTGTTGTTGTTGCCGGATAATCTCCAAATGTGCTGAATTGAAATCTTTTTTGCTTATCACAGACATCATTTCCGTGTGGAGAGTTGAACGTTCTTGTTGCAGGGCTTCACAGTCATCAAAGAGGCGGAGACAGGATTTGTCGATTTTGCGGAGGGCGCGGAGGATGCGGAAGGCGGGATCTGTGCGGAAAGCGATTGGGTCGAGGGAGTCCTTTCGCGGATGCTCTGGGATCCAGAGTGAGGATTGGAGGGATTGGAGGGAAGGGCGGGTCGAGGTGGAGGGTGTTGAGTGGGTTGAGTGGAATGTTGGACGAGCTGTGTTGGGTGCGGAGAGAGATTGTTGTATTGAAGGTAGTCGAGGTACACATGGTGTTGACACTGATGAGTGTAGTAAAGGGCGTTTGGGTCCGGAACTTTTGGAAGGTGATGGTTGAACAGAAGGTTCGCTGGGTGCATAGCAGGTTTGCGGCAAGGTGTAGTTTGGAGCAGCTGAATGCGATCGAGGGCTCAAGTTTCCTGAGAATGGGTCGGTACTGTGTCCTCTTTTACTGTCTCGCCTTGACACAGGTCGTCCTCTCTCCATAATTGATTCATCGCGGACCTCGGGTACTGTAGTGAGTTGAAGGCGTGGTGTATGTCTAAGAGGTTCTGGTGTGTCGTCTGCCACTTGACTTCTTGATGACGCCGCGGCTTCATCTCGAGAACCCTTTCTCATAGATGAAGTATCATCGCGTGATCCTTTTCGTACTGTCGAAAAAGATTCATCTCGTGAGCTTTTTCTCATCATTACTGGCGTTTCGTCTCGTGAGTTCTTCCTTGCCATAATCCTGTCTCCCAATCTCTCAGAAGGGTCTCCAATCGAGGTTTTGCGTGGTGATTCATATGAAATCGCTTGTAGCACAGCAGGCTGTAGTGTTTCCGCTGATCTGGCGTCCCTTGGTCGGCTGTACATCTCCTGAGCAACCATTGATCTTTGTCTGCCAGGATTTGAAGATAATGATCTCTGCTTCTCATGAGAGACCAGAGTTGGTCGGAGGTTCTCGACATCGCGTAATGGCAGAACATCCGATCGTTCCTGACGATGACCCCTCACGACACCACGGCCTCGGGCTACCTCCTTGAACAGAGGTCGTGGTCCAAGACCTGATACCTCGTTCACCAGAATAAGTTTGGCTCTCTCTCCAGGAGACTGTGACAGCTTGTACCTGACCGGCGGGACCTGGCTATCTGATCTGGGGAATAGCGCATACTGACTTTTGCCAGACATGTTGGCGATACGTCAACTGCCCTGTTGTTAGCTGCTCCAGAGTTGTCATACGTTTTTGGAAACATACATGAAGCAATGTGTGGGTGTCTTGAGAAGAAGTTTAGTGCTTTTTTTTGCTTCGTAGCAAAAGACTTGAGGTGTGGTGGGCTGAAAATGTTTCATACACAAAGTTAAACACGTGGTGGAAGCCGTGAGTTCCCAAGAATATCTTTCCAGAAGAGTAGGGCTCGCGGAAGGCCAATATTTGCTGACAGAACACCGACAGACCAGGCCAGTTTGATACAGACAAAAGGAAAGAGACTTCAAAAGAGTGCGACGAACCGAAGAATCGAGACAAAAACTGGTTGAACAACACGAGGTGAACTGTTACTTTGAGCCCTCGCCATAGTATAAGACAGCCGCACCTGAGACTTCTTGAACCAGAAACAATGACGCTAATTTGTTTTAGGGCTCTTTAAGGCCGAAACCTGAGACGTGACAATGGTTGGCCTCGACGTCTGACATCAACACCCGTACTTACATATAGATTCCCGAGTACGACTGTACGATCGGGAGCTTGAGCTCCGCTGGATATGGTATGATGGAATCGATATGTACTGTGATCTTCTTCTGCTCGCACGAACATTGTTTCTGACAATAAGATCCATCATCTAACAAGGTTGACCATAGCTGCGATCATAGCGGATGCGTCTACCACAGCTTTCTCTGGTGTGATGAGAAGATGATCACACATGTCGTCTGGCCATCGGGTAACCATCGATAATCGTAATCGTCGACCTCACAAAGACATAACCTAGAAAACGAGAAGAAGCGACTGGCAGCCGGCAAAATCGATGATCGCCAAAGATCTGCGCCAGAAACGTGAGGTGACGGAGGGGCCAAGATCTGGGGAGTTCGAGCTGGTCAGTTTCAGCTTTCGAATCTGCAACACCCTATTTCGACAAAGCACGGTTTCAGCTGCCGTGTCGGGCGGCCTGTATGCCAGAAACAGCATGAGAGCACGCAACTGAGATGTCATTGTATTTCACAGAGTTCGAGACATCTTGTATCCAATTAATGGATATCGGCGAGCAAGACAGGAACAGACGGGGTGGCTTCTTCAAACACGCTAACCGACGGCCAGTCCACGCGAGTTCCTGAAGATCCCCTTTGACGAGGCTTCTCACAGCTAGTTTTCCAACGGAGGACCCGAAACTTCTTGCCCGTTCACTGCCGTCATTCCCAACCTCCTTCCAAATCAATTGTCCATCTTCGTTCGGCGTCGGCGAAACATGAAACGCGTAGAACATCCGAGGAACCAAGAATGTTCTGGTTGGGCTGATCGTCGCCGAAGCATGTCTTTGTTTGATAACATGGCCATGACACATCGCAATCGCATATAAATGCTCAGGTTCCCTTGCCAATCCCTTCAACTTCCTTTTTTTTCCGGCCGTGTTTCGACGCAAGGCCAGTCTTGCGAGATGTCCAAACAAAACAAGATGGGGCCTCGACTTTGATCTCGCTTGCTGAGAACTCGTCTTGTGGTCAAATTTAGATACTGTAATTTGCACATGATCGTGCCTTCCAGGGTTCTTCGCCTTCAGCCGCTCCTCTTCGGTATCCTCTTCTTGACGTGACGATCTGAGCCTCGAGTTGTTGCTATATACAGAAGATTTTCTCACCCGGTAGATCGCTTGGTGTCTGAGATATACAAGTGATACTCAGGGTAGTCCATTCGGCATATGCATCGTAGGGCTTACCCTCACTGCGTAGCCCCACTACTAGGCATAGCAACAGACACCGCAAGCAGCATATTTATGGCCACGCGACATGCAGTACGACAGCTCGAATGGTGGAGATGATGACAGTAACTCGTCTGTGAGAAATGGAAATAGTTAGGAAATGATATGATGATAATAACCCTGCAGCGTCCGCCGACGGTTCATACAGGTCCGTAGACATGATGGTAGAAAAGACATAAAAGTGGTATCCAAAAGAAAATGGGGTAAAGCTACGCTTCAAATCGTCCAACGCTTTTACTTCTTGCTGGCATGCACAACCTCGATGATCTTGTCGACGACAGAAGGATCCGAGAGCTATCGAAACGGTCAGTGGTTGTTCATGAGTGAATTTTGTGCTTAGGAGACTTACAGTAGTGATATCACCCAGCTGGTCCTCTTCACCCGCCAGAATCTTACGCAAGATACGACGCATGATCTTACCAGAACGAGTCTTGGGAAGATCGGGAACGACGTGAATAGCCTTGGGTGCAGCGAAAGGACCAATGCTCTTCCTTACTTGCATGATCAAGTCCTTGCGAAGAGCGTCGTTGGCGTCATTACCGTTCTTGATGGCAACGAAAGCGGCAACTGCTTGGCCGGTGAGCTCGTCTGCAACACCAACAACGGCAGCTTCTGCGACAGCGTTGTGCTCGATCAAGGCAGCCTCAATCTCAGCAGTGGATAGACGGTGACCAGAAACGTTGACGACGTCGTCGACACGGCCACGGATCCAGTAGTAACCCTCGTGATCGCGAGCGGCACCGTCACCAGTGAAGTAGTATCCCTTGTATACGTTCAAATATGTGTCCATGTATCTCTTGTGCGCACCCCAGACGGTACGGGCCATACTGGGCCATGCCTGCTTGAAGGCCAAAACACCCTCGACGTCGTTGCCGTGAAGCTCCTCGCCGGAGACGGGATCGATGATTGCGGGCTCGATGCCGAAGAAGGGGAGGGAAGCGCTACCGGGCTTGGTAGGAGTGATACCACCTAGAGGTGTGATAACGTGCGATCCGGTTTCCGTTTGCCAGTACGTCTGCGGATTGTTAGTATTCGTTGACAACATAGCCTGTCCGTCTTGACTTACGTCAACAATGTGGGCCTCCTCCTTTCCGACAATCTCGAAGTACCACTTCCACACTTCTGCAGCAATGGGCTCACCAACACTACCCAAAACTCTCAAGTGATCCATCTTCTTGACGAAGTGGTCTCCGGCGCGTTTGAGGAGTCGTAGAGCTGTAGGAGCAACGTAGAACTGTGTGACCTTGTGCTGGGCAACCACGTCCCAGTATCTGCTGAAGTCGGGGTATGCAGGAGTACCCTCGAACACAACTGTTGCAACACCGAGCAACAAGGGCGCGTAAACAACGTAAGTGTGGCCGGTGATCCAACCAACGTCACCACCGCAGAAGAAGGTGTCGTTGTCGTGAATGTCAAAGACGTACTTGCCGGTAGCGGCTGCTCCCAGCAGGTATCCACCAGTGGTGTGCATGACACCCTTGGGCTTACCGGTCGAGCCGGATGTGTAGAGGAGGAAGAGAGGGTCCTCGGAGTTCATGGACTCGGGAGCAATGTAGTTGGGGTACTTCTCGACCTCCTCGTGCCACCACAAATCACGACCCTCGGTCATGGGCACGTCTGCGCCGGTGCGCTTGTATACCAGACAGTGCTTGATGCCAGGGCACTTGCTGAGAGCGTCGTCGACGATCTTCTTGGTGCCGATAAGCTTGCCACCACGTCTGCCTTCATCAGTAGTGATGACGACCTTGGAGTCTGCATCAATGATGCGGTCCTTCAATGAGTCGGACGAGAATCCAGCGAAGACAACCGAGTGAACGGCTCCAATGCGGGAGCAAGCAAGGAAGGCAATGACAGCCTCGGGAATCATAGGCATGTACAGGGCGACAGTGTCGCCCTTCTTGACACCCATCTGCTTGAGGGTATAGGCTAGTCTGCAGACCTCGCGCAAAAGCTCACCATACGAGATCTTGCGACCCTCGCCGACTTCGTCAGCCTCGTAGATGATGGCGGTCTTGTCGGGATTCTTGAAGGCGTGACGATCCACGCAGTTGTAAGATGCGTTCAAGCGACCCTCGACGAACCAAGCATTGTCGCCATTCTCGAGGGAACCACTGTGCACAGTCTGGAAGTCTCGTTCCCAAGTGAGCAGGTCGCGAGCCATGCGGCCCCAGAACTGGTCTGGCTGCTCAATTGACTCCTTCCAGAGCTCTCTGTAGTGGTCCAAGCCATCCAAATGAGGCTTGCTGTCGGGGTGCTTGCTGCAAGAATTTGTTAGAAGCGCGCAACGCCAAGGTCGTTTTGAACTGCAACTTACTCGAAGAAGGCTTTCGGCACGTGGTAAGTGTCTACCTCGTGTGCCTCAGGAACGACAGAAGCCGGAGCCTTTGGCGGTGCGACATTTCCGTCAGACATGGTGTGAGAAGTTGTGTGGTAAGAATATGGAGAAGGAGCTCAAGAAATGCGGTTGCAGACGAGCACAAGAGTCTCTTTATGACACTCTGTGTGAAACGGTTTCCCGAAGCTCGAGCGGGTAATGGGCAGCTCTAGGATTGGTGTCTTCCTTCGAACCGTGGTAAGCAAGTGCTGGCTTTCCGTGTAGCGCGCAAAGATGTCTGAAGCTGCCAGAGATGCACGAGATGCTCAGATTAAAGTGACAAAGTCGTACGAGGCTACGGGAAAGAGAAAATTGAGGTTTTGTACGGGCTAATCTCATCCACTACCCCACCCGGCAGGACTCTCTTAAATATGAGCCAGGATAGAGGGCCTACCGGCCAAGTCGTGCGGGGAGCTGGCTGGCACGGACGAGGGGAGCTTCTTCCCTTCTCTCTCCCTGCATATCTCGGGTATGGTTTTTGGCTGGAACCAAGAGGCTCAAACATTTGGCATACGTCAAGAGGTCACGCTCCAACCCGCAACGGCGTCAATTGGAAATCTTTGAACGCTGTTTGGCTTGTGAGGAATCAGCGGATCGCCCACACGACCGCCATGGGGGTAGAAGTTGTGCGTGTTTTATTCATGATATTATGCACAGAGATGACAGATACCGAAACAAGTCCGTCATCTTTGACCGTGCCGTTGTCCCTGGCGGCTACTATGCTAGGGGCTCGGTCCATCTTCCTTGGGTCCGACCTCGGTCGAGAAGCATCACGAAGCAGCCACGAACACGACGCCGATTGAATTTCGTAATAGGAGTAGTATTGATTGAGTCCGGCTCCCCTCAGACTGTATCATGAGTCTTGGATGAGTTTGATTGTGTTTGTCTAGACGCGAGACTCCGTAGCTGTCCCGGTCTGGTCAACGTACATGAGCAATTATCCATATCTCGGTGGTCATAATAGCGAAGTCAGCGAACTGGCGGCTGAATCAAGGGGGAAGTGCAATAAGCCGTGCGGCGTCAAATTATATATTGGTGGAAATCCTTCTTGACATCAGCACATGTGGGTCTAAGAGAAGACATTCCATTGGTCGTAAACATTTCTGTAACACTCATGGACCTTTGGACAATAGACAGGATCCTGGCCAAAGATAATATGCCACAGGTACTCGAAGATTCGACCTGCGGTGGCATCACTCAGCCGGGTGTCCATCAGCCAGCTGTGGAACCAGGCGTAATGCGCGAGTGGTCTTTTTCGAATCTGGTCTCGAGACACGGCGAACTGAGCACAGCAGGCCACGCCGACCTGTTCCGGAACGGCAGTGGAATTGAACAATTCAGACCAAGCCTTAGCAAAGGCTTTCTCGGTCTCAGCTTTGTGTCTGTCTATGCCGGTCTGCTCTTTCTTGTGACGAAACGGCTGGATCTCCGTGGGGTTGCAACCAGGCGAAGTATGGCACCTGAAGTTTGCATAGCCGTTGCGCTGCACGAAGTCGATGTTGAGCAATTGCAAAGATTTGGCAGCGTTCTGGTCGTTGTGCCAAGAAGTGAGATGGCTGTGTATGAAGGCGACGGTCTCGGGCAGGTCATGATAGTTCTCTATGATGTAGGTGAGGAAGACGTTCGCTTCTCTACCCTTGTTGCGAGTCGTGTGGAGCGGTGCCTTTTGATCATCGGTCACATAGACGGCATGTTCCCAGCTGCAAGACCAGTAAGCTTCGCTCAGGCGTACTCATGGTGCTTTACGTACTTCGGTAGCATGTTCGAGACCCATTGCGTCTTCTCCTTGCCTGTTTTGGCAACAACAACGACCTTGGTTCGACTATCTCGAAGGCCGGATTTGGGTGTCGCTACGGCTTCTATACTTCCGTTGAGAAGGGAGTTCGAAATGGCGTGCATGACGGCTCGCAGAGGATCCGTCTCGCTCGATGAGTTGATTGCGTGAGAGAGACCATGACTGGATAAGAGGCCGCCTTCCTGCGATAGTCGGTCGAGCGCTAGGATGGACTGGTGAAGTTTGGAGAACTGTATCCTTAGCCAGACCAGCGTCGCTACAATCAGTCCGGCCACAAGCATTCGGGACAAGGCCCGCATGGCGAATGTGCGAAGAGACGCATAAAGGAGTCGGGCGAGATACGATGACCAGGATACGACTCTGCACTTTCTCGTGTTTCGAGGCATGTGAAACATCAGGGTCCATCTGCGGAGTCAAATCACGCTAGCCGGAAGAGGTAGCCAGTAGGGGCGCGTCTCTATGCCAAGTCTACCTCGTCGTGTGACTTCCACTACTTCTAGTTTGAACATGTTACAGACGTCGCACGGGTGATCAGAGCTGGCAAAGTGATGCTGATCTCGATACACAATACGTATGGTCACTAGCATGACTCTACATCTCCTAGCCTTCATTGCACCCACGCCGCACCATTCATCCACAACACACAGTGGGTTCCGAGATACCAGCTTCTTCTCCTCGCGAGTCATCAAGAGATTGATCCATGACGAGCGGCAACCTCACAACCATCCAATCGCACAGAACTTTGCCTAGAAAGGCGCCGATAACGATAGAGATGATGATATAGCCATTGAAATACATGGCCAGCAACATGACCATGTACCCAACACCGAACGTCGCCGCGTGGATGATACCCCTGGTGACTTGCTGGACTGGCGTCGCTCGGAATGTGATGTACTTCTGCTCAGGAAGAGGAGGGGCACAAGACGCATCGGGACCACAGCCACTCGGATTGCGCTCATCGTCGAACTTTGGAGCGATATGTGATACTCTGGGAAGATATTGGAGGCTGGCAACTCTTCGTTGGAACTGACGAAGTATGTAGGAATCGTATTCTTTGCCCAATCGCCGTAGAAACTCGAGGCACACCACGAGGAGGGAGACTCCTACACAAGACGCAGCAAACATTCCAGTGGTCCTGATATGCCAGGTCGATGCTAGAAAGCAAGCATCGACCGTATACCAGTTCCAGAGCATCTACTCTTTGTCAGACCCCACAAGGCAAGTTAATCAACGCCTACGGAACCTACGGATATTTTGCACTCTGACGAACTTTCGCCGCCCATTGACATTGAATGTGACATTTTCGACAGCAGTATCGGCTTTCCAGAGGAAAAGGATGAGGAGAAATCAAATGGCTGTTTGACAAATTGAGATGGGACATCCAAAAGCACGCGTCCATACTAGCAGTATATCAACTCGGCAGATGAACCTTGCCCACCGCATATTTGCCATGGCCGCAGGGTATCCGCATGGCCAGACGTATAGCCACCTCAAACTTGCTCAATTCCAGCGCACTACCAAACGAGTAAAGCAGCCTCAGCTTGGCAAGATGCAAAATACACGATCGTTATTGGTCCAAATCAACAGCCCGAGACTGCCAAGGGAAGCCACTCTCCGCTTTTGTAAACATCACCTCGTCCTTGACCTCTACATTTCTCGACTCCGATACTGATCTGGACATTTGTTGAAGGATTGACATGAACTCCGTACTCCGTTTCAGCTCCTTATGCCGCAGAAATTGCCTGCCGAGTCCGAATACTTGCCCAAGCGCATCTCAACAAGTGACTAGATGTTTCTGGGCTCTGCTGATTTAGGCTTTACGACCATGCCGCTGCATGCTACGGCCCCGTAGACGCTCGTGGCATTAAACGTGATCGGGTCGTGAACATGGTCGCTTCAATACTTTATTTGAACTTACAATCCTATACGGATGTGTCGTTCCTTCTCTTGAGCTTCATCTCGAGTTTTCCTCACTCCTTCGCTCTGACCTCACTTAACAGCAATGGTCCATATTCAGAATTTCACAGATGCTAGCTCGCTAGAACCTCATTGGGGCTACGCTGATCGCGTCGTTCCATGCACAAACGATGCTGGATCCTGCAAATATCTCGACGTCGTCTACCACTCTCATGATCTGGGAATGCTCTATTCTGGCATCTTCTGGGCGACTATCGCTGGAATGCTGTTTATCTGGACGTTAGGTCGTCGCTTGCTACCCTCAAGACGTGCAGACGAAGAACTGCTTGTACCAGTGCGACCAGTTCGATCTTCGCCCCGAGGCGGAATCGAGCGACTTCAACACGCTTTGTCAGCGAGTGCCCGGCGCTATCTCCTTCCCGACTTCGCAAGACCTATCTTTGGGCGCACGACGCGGCTACAAGTCTTGTCACTGCTTGTACTGACCGGTTATCTCGCCATCTGGTCGTTCGTCGGGATTGTTTACAACAAATGGGTCACACCTGTGAAGAAGATGCCTGGTGTTTACAATACTCGCACCAGTCTAGGACCTTGGGCGGATCGCGTCGGCACTCTTGCGTACGCGTTGACTCCTCTGTCGATCCTCTTGTCGAGTCGCGAATCGATCCTATCGCTACTGACAGGACTACCATACCAGAGCTTCAACTTCCTCCATCGATGGCTCGGTTACATCATCGTAGTGCAGTCTTCTCTGCACACGATCGGCTGGACAATCATTGAGGTAAAGCTCTATCAGCCCCAACCCACTGTTGGCCGCGACTGGATCCGTCAGCTGTACATGATCTGGGGAGTTGTTGCCATCGTTCTTCTGTTCTTTCTCTTCGCTCTCTCTACACCTTGGGCCATCCGCTTGACTGGGTACGAATTCTTCCGCAAGTCCCACTACATCCTCGCGATGGTCTACATTGGTGCATGTATTGGCCATTGGGACAAGTTATCTTGCTACCTCATTCCTGCCTTGATCGTGTGGTTCATGGACCGCGGCGCACGCCTTGTTCGCACCGCCATTCTGCATTACACTGTTTTACCTGGTGGTGAGGTTGCTTTCGGTCCTGCTAAGGCCACGACCGCGCTCTTCCCCGATCCGAATGGCGATGTTGTTCGTCTAGACTTTGTGCACCCTCACGATGCCTGGTCTGTAGGTCAACACTTCTATCTGTGTTTCCCAGAAAGCAGTATCTGGCAGTCGCATCCCTTCACGCCGCTTAGCTTTCCCATCCATACCGACGGCATATCTTGCGGCGTTCAACACTCTTACATCTTCCGTGCTAAGAGTGGAGAGACCAAGAAGGTTGCGCAACTCGCCAGAACAAAGTTGCAGCAAGCTGGTGCGGACGCTCCTCTGACCGCGGTCATTCTGACTGGTCCCTATGGCGAAACCATAGCTACCCACCTCACGCAAGAAGTCAACATTCTTTGTATCGCTGGTGGCACAGGTATCACATACGTGCTCCCTGTCCTCCTCGGTCTTGCGTACCAACCACGTTCGGTCAAGAGGAAGATTTCTCTCGTCTGGGCTGTACGTCAGATTGCGGATATCGCCTGGGTCCAGCCAGAGCTCGACCGCATCAGACAGCTAGCCAAATCCATTGATTTGACTATTCGTGTTTTCGTCACTCGGGAAACGGAAGCTCAATCCACCATGTGCGAAAAGACACGATACACAGATGAGTCCAAGTCGACCTCAGAGCCTGTGGTCATATCCGAATCTGGTGAAACATCGGACTCATCCTCTGTTGCTTCGACGTCTGCCGCGTACCCCTGCTGCGGCCCGCCGTCCGATTCATTCGCTATCCAGAAAACAGCATTACCAGCATCAGATCCCAGGGAGCAACCTATCCACAGACATCCTGATCTTAATGTGCTAGTAAAGGAATTTGTCAACGATACAATCTGTGGTAGGACGAGCGTGTATGCCAGCGGGCCTGGACGTATGATCTCTGAGTTACGAAGCATTGTGGCTCAATGTAATGATGGATCGAAGGTATGGAAAGCCGAGGAGAGATACGATGTCAGTCTTGTCTGTGATGATAGGTTGGAGTGGTAGATACTCGCAATATAGATGTAAAGTCATATCATTAACAACTCTGGAAACCCGCCGTTAAAGAGCATAGGGTTGTCGGCATCAGTCTGCAGTTAAGCGTGGGCGCTGGAAGTATTCGTTAACCAATTTACAATCCTGGTCGAGTGCCTATCGATCGCATTACAGCTGAGAGCCCATTGTTGGCTGATCTAGCACACCAAGACCTGAACCAACTCTCTACTCGTAAATCATGTGCGTCTCACCGACGAAAGTCCACCAATAGCATTCTATACGTTTGCTCATATATTGTCAATCATGTCATTTCCTCTCAGTCCCTCACAGCAGTCAGCTTCACCCAAAGAGCAGGTCTATAGAACAAAGTATGATGCTGGAGTCTCTTCTCCCAACCAGCACTTCTGGGATCCAACTCAATGTCAAAGTTGAACAACAACTTAGTGAACACCAAGCGTAACTCTGCATACGCCAGATTCTTGCCCAGGCAGTTTCTAGGTCCAAAAGAAAACGGCTGCACAATGGCGAGATTATCGCTGGCATACTTGCGTGGTGGGTTCGGAAGCCATCTCTCGGGTACGAAACGCGTCGGGTCTGCGAAGTTGAGGGAGGAGCGATTGGCAATGTACTGGCTGACTGCGATGGAGGCCTGATACTTTGGTAAGTAGGAATTTACTACTGAGAGATGTGAACAGGGTCTTACATTTCCCTTGCCAGAGAAATGAATGCCGGCCACGTCTGCGCCTGTCGCTGGCACTTTTCTCAAGAAGCCGGTAGGTATAGGGGGATAGCAACGCAAGACTTCATGAATGAAACCATTCAAGTACTCAAAGTTGGTGACATCGTCGACGGTAATCTCGGCGTCATTCTTGTAGCGGCTTCGTATCTCGTACTTGAGCTTGTTCATCACATCTGGGTTGTCGATGAGAAGGTAGGTGCCGATGGACAACGTTGTTGCTGTAGTTTCTGTACCAGCCACGAGGAACAGACCTAAGTTACTCTCAAGCTCACCTTTTCGCAAGCCGTCACCTCTTATGCTTTCTGCTTCTTCGATATCACCCTTCTGGTTCTTCAAGATAGACGTGACGAAATCTGGTCGCTGCGTCTCAGCAGCGATTCTGGCCGCGGCCTTTGCTTCAATCCATTTGAAAAGTTCAATGCGCTTCTGAATCTGCGATCTATTGATGATCAGTGAGCCCAGCTTCCTGACAAATGGAAAGTAGTGTGTAACATAGGCAAACTTGACAGCTTTGAGGCCTTCAAGAATGTTGCCGACCCATAGGTGTTGCTTCATATCGGCAAGCGAACCAAAAGGATGCCCGAAACTCAAATCGGTGATCACATCGAATGTAAAACTGTTGTACCAGCTGCAAAGCTCGATCTTGTAGGTCGAATCCCAGCCATCGCCACCAGAGGCGTATCCAGGCTGGTGCTCTGAGATGTCGCGAAATCTTGAGATGAGTAGATCCACGTACGACTGGAGTAAGCCTTCTTGTTCACGAAGGGCTCTGTCAGAGAATGCATGGCTGATGACTCGTCTCTGACGACCGTGATTCTCTCCAGGAGCAGTCAAGAGGTTAGGAACTCCGTTCATTGGGGTTGGGTACCACGCAGGATCTTTCTCGAAGCTTCCAGTATGCTTCTGTTTGCCGGTGCGGAAACCATAGATATCTTGCCACGGATTGTTTTCGCCCGAAATGACAGATACCTAACAATCATGTCAGTATAGACCACACGTCGGTTCGAACGACCGCACAGAAAGTCTGGATCCGATAGCTTACCTCGTTGGGACTGTATCGAGCGACTTCGCCATACTGCTCATGCAGCTCTTGCATCCAAGACAATAGACTGCCGTTCAAACTGTGAAGTATGTATGGTATACGGGTGGCAGCAAGGTACCAGGGGCCAGGGACATGGCTCAGCGGATGGAAGAATACTGTATAAACAGTGGTGAAGAGCTGGTATGTGATATACTAAGTGCGTTAGTCTTGAGGCTTATTGATGATCGAAGCAATAAGAGATACCAAAGCAGCGAAGCTCATAGCGATGACTAGAGCATGGCTGGGAAATTCGGCTAAATGGTTCATATCGTCTCTCGAATGGTCTGATGAATGCTCTACAGTGTGCGTGGCTTGCGAAGGTTGTTCCAATGATCAGTATACGAATAGACCTCATACTTATGTGGCGATAGTAACCACACACATAGTCGTGCCGAATGCCGGTCACAGGGAAGCTAGTGCTGGTGACCAGCATAGGCGCATCTTACACGCATCAATCTATCGTCAGCTACCGGCCGAGACGGACTGTCCATGGAGTTATGATCCCATCCGCGACTCGAGGAGCGCTTCAGTCTGGCGCGGGCTCGGAGCGATGAAGATGCCGTAGTCACACAAGGTTGCGTAGATTTGTTTTACCACGTCACGTTGACACCCCAGTGAGGAGGGTGGGGTTTTCTGCTCTCCAACAGGGCCATCTCGCAACATCCATGCTTTTTTGCAGGTGGAGTGGTCGTGATCTGCAGACGTGCAGTGCTCGGGCTCGGATATGGCGCGTCCGAGAAAGGGAAAATGGCGCGTAAGCCCTATAAATTCATCAGATGGTATAGACCATACATGTTCTGCTGTGAACGTGAGTTTGCTTGTATTTCATGTTGGATGTGTATAACAATCTGGATATATTCTGCGTATGCGCGCCGAATCAAGCTTACATGGCATTGCTTGACGGCTATTTCTTCGGCTGTTGATCCTGTAGAGGGCGACAATGCACTCATTGGTCATATTGCCGTTTTGCAGATAGATCGTGCAACTGATCTTAAGCTCTCGCTAGGAGTCTACTCCTTGATCATGACCGGCGCTCTTGTCAGCAGCGCTTGAATCAGACAATGATGAACCGATGTGACGGTCAGCCAGAGGATGAGACCGGACAACACGAGGACGGCATGTTTTTGCCGAGCCAGGTATGAGGAAGGTCAGCAACTGACGCCACAAGCGCTTCCATACTCTAGATTGGTGTGAGACGCATCATCTTACACCGCTGTCAGAGCCTTCCGTCACAGAATCCTGCCATTACCACTCTCTGCCTACCAACGCTGACCTGGAAAGCCTAGCGAATTGTTCTGGGTCATGTTTTCAATCCTCACTAACAGGTTCCGGTCGACTCCCAAATAAAATCTTGTACCTGACAATTTCCACAACTTCGACCGCACCATCTTCTCCATTCTGCGCTTTCTTCAACACCGCCAACGGCTTCATCAACTTCTTGATCTCGCCCGTCATGCGTTGATGCTTGCCAATATAGAAGTATACCCGCTTCATCCAAGCCCCGCTTTGCGGGTCAGAGAGGCCCGGTGTGTAGAGAGGAAATACCAAACGACCGACTTCTGTCGATGTAGGCGAAAAAGTCGTGTCTTCCGATGTGGATGTCGGGAAATTGATGGTTCCTTGGAGCTCTATTATTGCGAGACCGGAAGGTGTGTGTAGGGTTTGTGGGAGTGGGTTGTTAGGGTCCGCTGCTGGTTGTGTTGTGGAGATGGTTTTCGGCAGGTGGACTGGTGTCACAGATGGCCATGATTCGGTCGACATTGTGTTTGGCGTCGAATGCGAAGTCGCGGAAGTTATTTCGACCCAAGAAGAAACTATGAGATTGATGATTCCTTCTGTCTAGTCTCGACTTTGATACGGCGTTAGTGGGTCGTGTTGTAAAGTCTTGGAAAGTTTGTCTTTCGAGTAAGACGCGTCGCAAAATGGATTGCCTGTTTGGGACATTAATTGGCTTCCTTCTGTGACAAACACGATATTCGGTCACATTCAAGGCAAACAGTACCTTGCAGCCTTAGTACAACTGTAAAAGAGAATAATACATTTCATTGCAGAGAAGATCGGATTATATATCCTTTTTCCAATCTTCCCAACAGGACCCGCCGAGAACGCCAATGCCATGCGTCGTCGTAATAACAGGAGAATGAAAGAGATAAAGAGGAAACCATAATGCGCAAACACAACACTTCTTCTGAACATGGCGCAGCGGCAGCATGCAATGCTCACATGCCCTCTTCCATGCTCACATGTCTCCACCAGGGCGAGGCGTTGTCCTGTGGACCATTGACCATCTCTTCGGCGTCTCCGACTTGTCTGCGCTCGCTGACTTCTCTTGTCGCGACACGCTTCAACTTCATAGCGCGAGATGCCATGGCCAGACTTATGTTCTGCATAGAGGGCTTCTTGGAAGGGGCTCTCTGTGGCTGGCGCGTCAATCCTTGGGATGGGAACTCTGATGGTGAGCCTTCGTCGACCATCGGTCTATCGATGACCGGCTGGAACCATTCATCCCTCATGACTGGTCGTTGTCACTGGAGCGGCTCCGACGAGGAGGACAGACGATTCAGGTGAAGGTAAACATCGGTGCCGTAGCTGCGGAATGGGGTCAGCGGATTGTCACATGCATGCTAAGAAGCACTTGGCACTTACCCCTCCATGCTGATCAGCTTCAGGTCTCCACCAAAGTATCTGGCGTACAACCTCGAAATGGGCAACCCGTAACCAAACCCTGCCATTGGAGCCTTGAAGTCGCTCTTGTCGAAATCTGGATCCAGTATAGGCGTCTGGTCGACGGTCGTGTACATGTAGGTCCACACAAGCGGGATGGAGCTTCTCGGAATGCCACCTCCCTCGTCGGAAATCTTGATGGTGATATCCTCTTTTCCTTCAGCCACGACTACTTTGGTGACGGGGAATTCTTCCTTGTCTTGGCCATGTGTCTCAACGACAGCGCGAAGAGAGTTCTTGAGCGTCTCGAAGAGCATGTGTGACAGATGGCCAGGGACGTACATGAAGTTGAGGTCGGGGTTGCAGACTAGCTGGATTTTGGGAGCATCAAACAGACCGTAGTGATCTTCGCAGACAAAGCGGGCATTTTCGATGGCCTCTTGAGCTAGATCACGCACATTTGTCTTTGTACAGATGATTCCGACGTAGGTGGGGTCCGAGTGAGCTCGTTGGTCGGTCAAAGCAATGTGTTGGCCGATGAGCATGCGAATCCCGATACGGGACATGTAGAAACGGTCGAGGAAAGCCTGGATGTTGTGGTCTATCTGCATTCGTTGACGCTTGCGCTTGTACTCTAGAATGCCTTGAGCAACGGTGGTCACGACGCTATCGTGACGGCGCTTGATCTTCTCGAGCGTCTTTGAGAAACGGGTATTGTAGTCGTTTAGCTCTGGCGGCCATTCGTTGGTGTCGTCGCCAGCGCTATAGTAGCGCTTGAGAGCATTCTTTCGATCGGCGGTTTCGTGGTTGTTGTGATGGAGTTGGGAGCGATACTGGCCCTGATTGACGCTGGGGTTCTTGGTAGCCTCGCTCAAGATACGTGAGTTCTTTCCGTTCTGCGGTTTCAAGAGGCGGTCGCGGATTTCGGACGAAAGAGACGGCTTCTGTAGAGTGGTGATTTCCTCAAACGACTGAGCGTACCAGTCCCGGACTCTGCCGATAGAGGGCATGTCGCCGAGCCCGTCGGGCAATTCCTGGAGCTCCTGCACACGATGTGCCAATCTTATGGGCAACTCCTCGGAGAGAAACTGAGAGGCTCGAAACAGAGTTCCTGCTCAGGTCGTCAGTCACTGCATGTCTCGAATAAGTCGAGTCGTGTGATGGGCTTCTTACCGACAGACGGTCTCTCGCCGAACTGCACCATCTGGCGTAGACTCACGCCCGTGGCAGGGAAGTTCGCATAATGCCGGATCGTGTCCATGAGCTCGGTCGACTTTTTCCACGACATGACGGAGCGTGTCGAGGCCTTGCGGCCAGATGTGGATGCGGACTTGACAAGCTCGCGAGCTCAGGCTGTGTGCTGGCGAGTGCTCAGCAAAGGTCAATTCTGGCCTTGGATGTCGTGTGTCGTATATCAAGCAGCAAGAGCAAAAGAAAGCGGAGAGCGAATCGATGGCGCTCGGGATGCGTCACAGAGTGCCGAGCGACATCGAATGTGTGGAGTCCCAGCTTCTCCACGAAACACTTCCATAGCACCGTGCCGAGGTCTGCCTCTGTCACGCTGCCGACTTCTTTTCGTTCACCACAGCTCCTCGGTCTACGCTCCATCTTGCTCCGAGAGCTCTACTTGATCATGCTCATTCTTGATGCAGGCTACCTTAGCTTTGCTGTCATGTTTTCCTCGCTCCTACTCCTGTGTGCAATGTGACTGCACCGATCTCGGACTCGCACCTACCCCGAGCGTCTTGCAAAGCCCTAGCTGCCTCTATGCACGAGCACAATGAATCCCTTCAAGAAACACATTGAAACCCGGTGCGAGCCTGCATCACTACCGCCATCAAACGGAACCCTTGACCTCGACAAAGACGTGTGGTGCCATAGTTCTGGGCACTCTTGCTTGTCCAATAAGCGCCTACCATTCTCATTTGCAAAGATGAAACCATCTCACGTGCCTCGACTCATGCTTCTTGTAAATCGTCTGCGTTTTGCTCATGATACAGACTTTCTCTATATATACACTTGTTTTTACACGACAGACCATAACAGTCTGTCAGAGAGAGGGGAATGACATCCATGTCTCCAATTTCCAGTCCAACGCCTCGCATGTATGCCATACATCATTCCGGCCAGCCAAATTTTGCCAAACATGCTTGCTTTTTTGGAAATCCCGAAACTTGGTCTTTAACGTTTTCGCGTTCCCATATGCATTTAATCGACTTTTGAGTGCGTTTCCGTCGCATCAGATCTAGGAGTTTCTGACAACACCAACCTTGGCGGGCTAGAAAGATTGTCAGCAACATGTTTCGATGCATCTTCTCTACATGCAGGTACTTACTCTGATGACTCTGCCGTTGAGGGTGAAGCCCTTGGACTGGCAGAAGAAGACAGTGCCGTCCTGCTTGTCAGGTTGGGGTGTCTGGAAAGTGGCCTCGTGCATGTTTGGATCGAACTTGTCACTCTCGGCGCTAGGATCGAATCTCTCGAGGCCGTGCTTCTTGAGTGTGCTCATGAGGATTGTCTCAGTCATCTTGAGACCAGAGTGGAGGTCGAGAAGATCCTTGTTGCTGCCGTCAAGCTTCTCCTTGGGCACGACCGAGAGAGCGCGGTCGAGGTTGTCAATACTGTCTAGCAGGTCTCTGGAGAAACTCTGGAGGGCAAAGTCCTTGGCTGCGCGTACTTCACGCTTGGTCTGCTCTTGCAGGTTGCGGTATTCGGCAATTTGGCGCTTCCACTTGTCCTGCAATCAATTGTCTCAGTATGGACTCTTCTTCCGCTCTCTCAAGTCTTGTTGCGCTCAACGAACCGTGACGTCGGCGACCTCCTTCTTCTTGGCCTCGAGCTCCTTCAATGTGGGATCATCCTTGGCGCCTTCTGCGGCCTTCTCTGCATTCTCAGCAGCGACATCGTTCTCCTTTGCGCCAGTCTCGGGGGTGGCCGAGTAGTTCCTCACAGCGACGACAGCGCGACCCTGTTGGACAGCTCTGAACGAAAAGGGTACTCTGCTCTCGACCGCTTGCGAGAGAGGTCTGGCGGATCTGGCGAGGAATCTGAAGCTCATATTGTGTTGTGAATTGTCGCGAGTCGACGGTGGGTCGTCAAAAGCTGTGTGGTTTTGCCTGGACAAGGTGTTCCAGTAATTAATTTGGGTGCCAAGGAAAGTCGCCGTCGAGCTGGTGACGCCGACCGATGCTTCGAGAATACGATAATCAGCAGGGTCAGCGTCAGCGTTTGTCCGTTGCTTCCCGCACAGCTGGACATGTCTCTTCAGCTTTTACACATGGTTGAAGGAAATATGAATTTTGTGTTCAATACACTATCGCCGTCTACTACTTAAGATGTTTCGTCAACAGCGCCTTCGCTTCCTCGATATAATCCTTGACCTGACCGTTCCACAGCTTCTCATCTCGCGAGCGACACTCTTCTTCAATTTTCTTAAAATCCTTTCCAACACCTTCGGCCCTCCATTCGTAAAGATCTCCTGAGCGTCGCGAGCTTTGAACAAGCCATTGCGTCCTCTCCAATCGCTGTTCGCTGTAAGCCTGGAAGGCAGCATCGAAGCCTTTGTGACCAGCCTCGGCCACTCTGGGGTCATTAAGCAATTCTGCCATGATTGCTGAGTCTTCAATACACATGCCAGCGCCAGCACCTGGTGGTAAGATATTGTCAGTGGCTTTCTATGCAAAGTACGGCATAACGTCATTCTAGTTGGGGTTTACTCACCGTGGTGCGGAGAAGTGGCATGGCCAGCATCACCAACAACAACTACGCGACCCTTGTTGTAATAAGGCATAGGATGATCACCGGTATCTGTAGACGCATCAGTCTTATTTTTCTTGTCTCCTGGCGTGCCCTCTGGCTCAATCTAACCGTATATGGCCCAGCAGTCAAGATTCGGCTCTAGCATGTCGATGATCTTGTGAACGGTCGCACCAAAGTCTTTGAAGTCCTTGTAGACATGCGACTTCTCCGAAGGCAATGTCAATTTAGTATCAGATGGCCACTGGCCAGGATCGACCTTGAATGCGACCACGTTCATGGTGGCTCCCTTGTTGACTGGGAACGTCAGGACGTGACCATCCTGGCCCATGTGCATCTTAGCATTCTGTGCTAGGTCGTCGCCGAGCTCCTTTCTCGCCTTATCCATTGGTATCAAGCCGCGGTAAGCGTATTTGTGTGTGTATACTGGCGGAGCGCATGGGCTATCAGCACCCATCATCCATGTCCGCACCTTCGATTTGATACCATCACATCCAATGACTACCCGATGTCAGCCTGTCTCTACCTGAGAACATCATACTCAGTGGAACTTACCAGCGTCAGCGGTTGTATCGGTTCCATCATGGAATCGTAGCTTCAGTTTTCCGTCTTCGAGCTCTTCGATAGTGTCCAGATGCTTTCCGAAATGCGTAACACCTTCAGGAACGTGCTTGACCAATTCATCCAGGAAATGTGCTCGGTGTACAGCATTGGCTCCGAATTCGTTGCTGATGCTGAAAGCATATTCTTGCTTTCCTACTTCTGTGTCGTTATGGGCGTCCACCCAGTCAAACCACACGGACTGCTTGTCTTCTCCCTGATTGCGTGTGGCAACCTTTTCGAAGGCGTCGTAGACGTCCGATGAACAAACCTTCATTGCTCTGGCAGCTGCGGGGTTGAAAGCAACACCTGCTCCAATCTCGCCAAAGCGAGCTGCCTGTTCAAATATGTCGACATCGAGCCCTCGGTGAAGTAGAGCGATTGCAAGGGTGACACCACTGATGCCACCACCAACAATGGCGATTTTGCCCAATGGCTTCGAGTCTGGCATTGTAAAATGGATTGGTGTACAAGGACCCGTCGTTCGGAACTGTGCGGTGTTGCGCGTAACACTGATAGTCGACAATTATCCGAGGTCAAGAATGTGGAGTAAGTCGCTATAAGAAGCAATAGGAACGTGGGGAAAGGGCGAGGCTTCCTTGTGAGTCTTTATACCAAGCTCTAGAGCTCGGAAGACGTTCGTCTTATGATCGTATTGCTAGCCGTAAGATCCGTGCTTATGTTCTCGGTGTAGGACAACATTGCCACCACAGTCACTGGGCTTGCCAGAGGGTAACTCCATGACGCATATCTTCAGCTTGGAAGCGTGTTTCGGAAGAGGGCAGGGGAGGAGTTGGAGACGTGCAGGCATAAAGATCAACTACTTCGAGCTCAGGATGATACAGCTGTCCCAACTGAGGAAATATGACCCGCTCTTTTTGACTGTTTCCGAAGCTCTATCGGAAGCCCGTTGATGACACATCCCGATGGTGATGGAGATGATCCGAGATGACGAGTCGACATGATCTCTACGACATGATCTGTTCGACATGATTGTGCATGAGTGTCACAAATTCAATTTGTGCATCTTTCAACCTCTTACTCTGGGGAACGAAGACACGGCACCTCAAACACCGAGTGGTAGGCTAGCCGCGCAGGGAACATTTCGATGTGTGACCATTTGATCGATCGATTGTTGACCGATCGTTTGACAGCCCCTCTCGCACCGAGTCCCATGTGCGCCACACCGAAGATGTCCGTCAGGCCTTGCTCCTGTCTGTCGTACAGAGGCTTCAAGACCAAGTGGACACACCAACATAAAGATGCGAATCATGCTACTGATTCTGCCCTTATTCGATTATCCGTGTCTCTACGGCATCATAAAGAAGCAAAAAGCAGATCTATCATGCAGAGGTCTGGGTTTTGAACTATCCTGAGTCCCATCACGTACCTGCTGATGAAGCTATGCTTGGCACCACTATATCATCGCAAGTGGCTATTCAATATGTCCCGACAAGTCCGACGCAGGCGATGATGCATGCAATTTGCTGACCAGGGCAAGTTTTCAACGGTGCTAGAGATCGCGAGTTCTGCCTGCAGTTGATATATTACCGAGTCATGCAACTCCTCGAGCTTTGATCGTATTCGACGACACGTAAATTCTCCTCACTAGCAAGGGTCGAACGATCCTTATTTGCCGGGAATGTATGCGGACAGTACTCCGTGGATGCAATGACCGAGTTGGTCGACGGTTGGGTAGATCCCTACACCTGACATTTTCTCCCCACTTCTCAATCAACGAGCCTGCCACCAACACCAAATGGTGTAAGAGTCATTGTGATACAATCTGAAGATCATCTGTATGTGGCGGTTTTTTTAGTAGTAATGACTACCTGTCTTCCGACTTGACAGGACTCTCCGAATGCGTGGGCACAGCTAGCAGGTTTTCCGTGTTCGGTGCTGTCGCCGTGTCCCCTTACCACCTTAGTCTTGAGCGGACATGGGATCCGACGGCGATCACTTCCCGGCATCCAGACGCAGCCATCTCTGTGCTACCTCTTTCGGCTAAGCGGTAAAGTAGTAGATGGTGTGCCCGATGTCTGAACTCGTGGCGGAGCATCTGAGGAGACTCACGTTTATGTGCCAAGCCTCCGTGATCACTCAATCCATTGACGGGGAGTCGGACCGGGCTGATAAAACGATCCTGTCAGATCCTAGGTCGTACAAGAGGCTCAAGATCTCATGCAGAGTCTGGCCCACGAACCTGTGAGCGCCTCGGAGTCATCTCCGAGTTTCGCTTTCCCTCTACATTGACCCGCCTCTCTCATATATAGTTAAGCCTCATGTCCAAGCTGGTGCATGCTTCTCAGCTCCCTGCTCACTTTAGTCTTGTTCGCTCCGGACTTCCTCACCATTTGCATTCCTGTTGAATTCAAGGATCACGACCTCAATAGAACACACACAAAGAAGAAGAGAGAGATAAGATGCTACAATACGAACAACAGCGTGCTGTCGGATACCCGACGTTCCCCGGCAATATCGAAGCGCTCTCCATTCTGTCCAGCTCGCCGGAGCGATCGAACGAATCCACGCCTAGAAACACTGCCACTCCAGTTTCACCACCGCCAACGACAACACAAAGTTCAGAAACATCATCACACTCTTCGAGGCAGAAGCGGAGACAAACGCTGGCCGCGTGCCGTCCTTGTAGGAAACGCAAATCAAGGGTAAGCACCCTTTTCGCAAGCTGAACAAACTTCTGCTCCGTAGTCTGATTACGACCTCAGTGTGACGGTGCTCGTCCTAGATGCAACACGTGCTTAGATAAGGCGACGCCTTGCGTATACTCTGTCGAAGAGGGCAAGACACAACAACAAGCTTCGAGAGAGGAACTCAAGGCATATAGAGCGGTTGTGTGCATGCTGCGAAAGGCTTCACCGGCCGATACAGATGTGATACTCAAGCATCTCAAACAGCACGACGACGTCAACGATGCTGTCAAGCACATACAATCAGAAATGATGCTGCGTGGTGGTGTAATTTCTAATCAGGCATGATGTAAGTAACTTCCTGCATGCATGCATGGTTGCACATCATACTAACAGTCATTCCTAACAGCGTTATATCAGGGATTCACTTTAAAGGAACCCGACTAGAGGGATAAACCACGACCTCGCTTTTTCTTTTGCCTTTCATATACCCAGGGCTCGTTATGTTTTCTCTTCTGCGCACACACATGCCCTTGTTCAGCATTTGCCGCAGATCACTTGTAATCTTCCGGCTTCTACAAGCTCTCTTGAGGAAAACCAGATCTGTGAAACGCCTGTCTGGAGATTGTTCTTACGTCTGGACCGGATTGTATCTCGAGAGAATGTAGCTGTCTCAAAACGGTAATCACGGCTCAAGTTCCGGTAGTCCGGTATATACATATCATGTTAAACTAATAGAGATGCCGGCAAGAGAACACGCTGTTTCGAAAGCTGCGAGTCACATTCCTGGTTTGTTGGAAGAGTCGCTACCGAAGGTCACGAGAGGGATGGGCATAGTCCATATTTATCTTGTGCTGACAGGAGACTTCGATCCCGACCCATTCGATCCACAGTTATGGCGCCGCACGATGGTAGAAAATGCGATCGTAGCCCTGTGAAGACAGCTTTGTGTCACCCGATGACGCCTCGGACCTACATCCGTTATGCGATGTACAGGGCTCGGGGTTGACTTAGCTTGACCGAGTTCGAAAGCAGCATTGTTAAGCGGCTGCCAGCCCGTAACGACTGGCAGACGATGATTTATGACTGAACATGGCCAGTCAGGGTGTCGTCAAGTTGGCGATGCCGCAATTGAGAACATCGAGCAGGGTGAATCGCAAAGCTCTTTTCCATTTTCTGTCTGCGGACGTGCTCTGAATTTAGGAATAGAGATGCATGCATCCAACCACGTTGATGGTGGAGGTGACGCCCTTCTGCTTATGAAACGAAGGCGTTGACTTGGAACTCTGAGCGTTTGCTCACTGACCACATCCTCATAATTACGTCAGCACTCCAGGCTGCCACTTTCTGTGAGGACGACCCTGACTTTGTTTATTTCGCAACCATTATCGATGAGTCCAAGAAGTCTACGAAGTGTCCTGACCCAGATGAAGCAGATATCACTCACTCCTCTAGCATCGAGGAATCCTGAACCTCTCAAGGTGCCTGCGCACTGGGTTGGCAGCCCGCCAACCTCTTTTAAAAACCCATGGTCGAGCTTTGCCAAACAACACGGTCTGCTGGACGTGTTCAAAGCGCGCTTCGGTTCCGAGCGGAATTTCATCGCTGTGCCAGAGACACGAGACGAATTGGTCAAAGTCAGGAAACCGGATTTCGGTAGAAGTCTGTCAGGTTGGCAAGAAGGTCTGAAAGCGACGTGGCTGGGTCATGCTGGCTTCCTGGTAGAGACGGCGTGCTCAGCCTCCACGACGCGACACGAATTTTCGGCCGACGAGAAGACGGATGTCAGAGGTGTCCGCATCCTATTCGATGCAGTTTTCAGTGAGAGAACGAGCCCGGTTGACTTCTTTGGACCTAAACGCTACACACCCACGCCTTGTACGTTGGATGAGCTGCCTGACGTCGATCTGGTGGTGCTATCGCACAATCACTATGACCATTTGGACATCGCTACTATCACACATGTATACAAGAAGGCAAAGGCAGCCGGCAAAGACATACACTTCTTTGCGCCCCTCGGAAATAAGCAATGGTTCATAGATACAGGCATGGGGATCACTGCGGACGAGGTCACCGAATGCGACTGGTGGGATAGTCAGAGAATTGAGATCGAGGGAATTGGCAGGGTCGACCTCACATGTACACCCGCTCAGCACACTTCTGGACGCACACCCTTTGATGCAAGTCGGACTTTATGGTGCTCGTGGGCTGTCGAAGATTTGCAGTCTCAAAAGAAGTTGTTTTTCGCTGGCGACACCGCCTACAAAGCCACATCTGCAGACACTGCTTGTCCCGCATTCAAGCAGATAGGCGAAGTGTTCGGAGGTGTAGATTTCGCAATGGTCCCTATAGGGCTGTATTCTCCTGAATGGCTGTTGTCAAACGTCCATTGTTGTCCCGAGGACAGTCTGAACATTCACAAAGACATTCGAAGCAAAAAGACGGTGGGTATGCATTATGGAACCGTACGAGGTGGTATTAGTGGGCAGTACGAGGATGTTCGAGAACCACCAAGACGCTGGCAAGAATGCTGTGCAAAGGAGGGCAGATGGCAGACTGAATGTTATTTGTGTGATGTAGGCGAGACACTTACGGCTGCTTGACGATTGACGGATAATCACATTTCCGTCAGGTCCACTTGATATAGAAGATTGAATGTAAACGTGTTGCACACAACATACCAGGACTTGACGGCCACCTTGACACGGTACAAAAAGGGGAGAAGCGTCCATGTTTGAGAAGCTTCAAAGACACCCTTCGCTTGACAACAGGTTTGAATGTGTTTGTCCGCTCTCGGCTCGGGTTATGCTAGAGTCGACATGGCAAAGGTCGGCAAGACCGATATTGTGCATGGAGCGAGGTAGAGGCAGCCAAGGATTGATTGCGTAGTCTTGTTGGCGGAAAACGAAGTCAGGCAGTGGCGGCAGCAGAAGATGAGCGACGCGTATTCGTCAGTATCGAGGCTTGTATCGCCAAGGTCAGGTAGCCAAGCGCTCGGAAACAGATTTTAGGTGATGGAAGTTGCTCCTCGGGCGCGGCAGTGCAGCGTGGTTTCACGCCTCCTTGTCATGTCCCAAGAGCCTGAACTCTCCGGCTGTTGACGGAAAGCATCACGGCGCGTTGGTTGAGGAAATACAGATGGAAGGATGGAGGACGAGATGCCGGATGAGTTGAGACGAGATGAGATGGGCTATGATGAGGCTCGTAAAAGTGTGTTGGAAGTAGATAAAAATAAATAGGAAGCAATGACGATCACGGACTTAGAACAGGATGCGGCGGAGTTTAACGAAATACGAGCAACGAAGGGTCCATGTAGCGCTGAACGAGATGGTTGCTAGGCCAAGAGAGATGCCATGGCTCCAAGCAGATGACTTAGCGCCGTCGGTCGAAGGAAGTCGACATTCTGCTTCATGTCGCCGCTTACATAGACTAATACCTTCGCTCATTGTTGCATACCATTCATTCACCTCGACTCGAGTCCATCTTCGTCGCGCAATTGCATAGAGAGAAAGAAACTCGGACGCAGGGCAAGAACGCTCCACTGTATAAGACGCCGGAACTAGAACAGGACGCTAGACGTCCCGCCACACGCGTCCATGGCCACGCCTGCTTTCACCTCCTGTCTACTTTGGGCCCTGTTCGCTATATTTGCCGCCGCCAGCTCCACGACACGCAATCCCTTGCGCGCCTTATCCACTGTACAAAATGCTACCATTGACACACATACACATCGGGTGACGGCCCTGCACCATTTCGACTTGACCTTTATACTGCGTCCGGATCTGCATGTCAGACTATCTCTAGAGCCCAATCATGAGCTCCTTCCCAACTCTGGCCTGGTGGTCTCATATCTGAACGCCGACGGGACCGTCTCACGGACCGAGGACGTGGATCGCCTGGCTCACAAGGTCTTTCGAGGAAGCGCTTGGTATCGCCAAGAGAACGTGGACGATGAATGGATAAGAGCAGGATGGGCAAGAATCACTATTGTTAGGGATGGTCTGCAACCTCTGTTCCAAGGCGCCTTTGCCCTGAACCATGACAACCACCACGTCCAACTCGCTCCTCATTTCGCCCACACGCGCCACGACTTTGACCCTCATGTCGACACTGCAGATGAAGATAGCATGGTCGTCTACCGCGACTCGGACATTCTATTGGATCAAGATGTCGACTATCATATGCAAGAGTTGAAGAGAAGCCTGGATTACGAGCATGGCCTCACCTGCCAATCGGACAGTCTGGGTTTCAACAGCCAACCAGACCACCCCGTATATTCCGCTATGCTCCGTCGATCCGACTCGATCTTGGGCAGCGAGACTCTAGGAAATCTCTTTGGCAAGCGCCAGGTTGACAGCAGTACTGCTGGCAACTCAGCAGGTGTAGACCTCAGATCGACCATTGGCCAGACTGCCGGCTGCCCCACTACCAGACAAGTAGCTCTTGTTGGAGTGGCCACTGACTGTACCTACACTGCCCAATTCAACTCGAGCGAGTCTGTTCGCATGAACGTCATCGATCAGATGAACACAGCCTCCAGCATATACGAACAATCCTTCAACATTTCACTCGGTCTGGCGAATCTGACCATCTCGGACTCGAACTGTCCGGGAACTCCTAATCCTGCTAGTGCTTGGAATCAAGCATGCAGCGACAGTGTTGATATTCAAGACCGTCTCAATCTATTCAGTGCTTGGAGAGGCAACCAGCGAGACAGCAACAGCCACTGGACACTGCTGAGCACCTGCAATACTGGAAGCGCAGTAGGTCTTGCATGGCTTGGTCAGGCATGCGTTCAGTCTGCCTACTCGACCAATAGTAGCACTACCGGTAACGGACAATCATCTACCAGCGGCGCAGAGACTGTGACTGGTGCCAATGTCGTCGTTAGAACTAGGGGAGCCTCCGAGTGGCAGATCATTGCGCACGAGACTGGTCACACTTTCGGTGCTGTTCATGACTGCACTTCGGAGACTTGTGCTCAAAGTACAACGGTCGCCAGTCAACAATGTTGTCCTCTTAGTAGCTCTACTTGCAGCGCAGGCGAGGGGTACATTATGAACCCGTCGACAAGTTCTGGCGTGAGAACCTTCAGTCCTTGCAGTGTTGGAAACATCTGTAGTGCGCTTGGACGCAACAGCGTCAAGTCTACCTGCCTTACCGCCAACAGGAACATCAAGACTATCGGGACACAGGAATGTGGCAATGGCATTGTTGAAGAAGGTGAAGATTGTGATTGTGGTGGTGAAGCTGGATGCGGAGGCAACTCGTGCTGCAACCCTACCACATGCAAGTTCATGAACAATGCCGTGTGCGACGACAGTAACGAGGGTTGCTGCAACAATTGCCAATTTGCGTCCAACGGCACTGTCTGTCGCGCCTCGACTGGATCCTGCGACCCGGCCGAAACATGCCCTGGAACGTCGGGCACCTGTCCACAAGATGCGAGTGCGCCGGATGGACAAAGCTGCGGCAACAGTCTTCAATGTGCCAGTGGACAATGTACGAGTCGTGATCAGCAGTGCAGGAGTGTCATGGGTGGCTACCAAGGAGTCGGAAACAACACATCTGCTTGTGATAGCTCGACCTGTCAGATTCGATGCTCAAGTGGCAGGTCTTCAGCTTTCGGAAACAATGTCTGTTTTGAAGTCCAACAAAACTTCCTGGACGGTACTTCTTGCGCCGGCGGTGGCAGATGTGACAATGTGAGTTACAGAGACGAAGCCAAGTATGCAGGAGCAGCAGCTGACAATTTTCAGGGACGTTGTAGAGGCACTAACACTGGTGGAGAGATCAAATCCTGGATCGATGACCACAAGGGGATTGTGATTGGTGTGTGTGTCGGAGTAGGAGGCCTCCTATTGTTTGCCATTCTTGGGTGCTGCGTTCGTGCCTGTCGCAGGCGTAGAGTCCAGCCTGCGAAGGTGCAATCACCGCCACCAGGCTGGGGAACACAAATGCGACCGATGCCGCAAAACCCTTCATACCCACCGCCGCCGCAACAATATGGGCAAGGTGGCTATGGGCAACAATGGGCACCGCCGCAAGGGCTGCCTCCGCCAGCGTACACTCCAGGAGCGAGGTATGCATGAGCTCATGTCGCTGAACCATCAGTCAGCATAGAGCGAGTAACATTTCTGGCGTTGTGAAGTCTTTGATCATTCCATATCATTGAACATTGTACATATTTGAAACGAGAGATGGACGGGGTTTAACCAATTTTCTACTGTCACGTCAATAAAAGAGGCCTCTGTGGTTTACGGAAGAAGAGTGTCGGTCAGGGTGCCTGTGCAGGAGTTGGCAGGTGGAACATGTCATGTCGGTCGCAGCTTCCTGCCGACAGCCCCTCAGCGCGTCACCGTGCATGGCGTTACGATTTATCTAATTCAATCATGATAAGATTCGGTATCCGCTCGAAGGAAATGAGTGTTCAGCGATGAACCGGCTGACGAAGTCGCTTCTTCCAAAGTGAAGGTCGTGCATACATTCCTCTCTGCAGCGGAATTGAGTAATCATCGCGACTAGACTGCAGCTGCACCACACTGAACCCATGATCTTTTGAGACATGCTCTTTCTACTCGGTAGACACTTCCCTCGGTTAGCGTGGCACGTCGTCGTCAGAAGAAGAGGAGGAGAACAAAGGTTCATGTACCAGTCGACAGCATGAACACGACTCCTCGAGGCCAACGCCATATCACGTCCCAAATCACAAGCAGCAACAACAGCCCTTTCGCCCGAAACAATGCTTCGTCCACGCCCAATGCTCCTCGTTCGCCAATAAAGACCATCGGCCGAGAGCGACAAGAGCTGGGTCTCAGTCTCAAACGCGTCATTGGCACCACTTGCCAAACCGTCTTCTGCTTTGACCATCTAGCAGGAACTCGAAGTTTCGCCTATACCGCAGGTGCTGCTGCCGTCGTAGCCACAGTAGACGCCGACGGGACCATCGAACAACGCTTCTTCAGAGCAAATCCTGCACAGCCCTCGCAGAGGTCGAACTTCCTACCAGCCGTCTCGGCTTCGCCCGCCGACCCAAGGCATCGCTCGCCCCTACCGCCACTCGACCGCACCGAGTGGAACGACTCGCCCTCGGGAAACAAGAACGGTGCTGTACGCGAACGTGTCAAGGCTGCCACTGCGGTCAGCTTCAGCCCAAATGGCCGCTTTCTTGCTGTCGGCGAGACGGGCTATAAACCACGCGTCCTGGTCTTCTCGCTGGCTGAGAAGTCGTTCGCCGACTCGCCCGTGGCCTCCATCTGCGAACATACCTTCGGTGTCCAGTCGGTGAGTTTTGGCCCGGACTCGAGATATCTCGCTTCTCTCGGCACTGTCAACGACGGCTTCTTGTACATATGGGCCATTGATGAAAGAGGAGGCGCCCCTACTCTGATTGCCAGCAACAAATGCACTACCAGCGTCAGACAAATGGCCTGGATGGGTTGCAGTCTAGTGACTGTTGGCCTGAGGTTCATCAAGGTCTGGAGACCAAACGACCTTCCAGCTAGTGTCAACGAAAACTCCGAGCGAGGTTATGGGCTGTATAACCGCCAGCACAAGCCATTGGCCGGTCGAAACACCTTGTTAGGTGATCTGCTGGACGCGACTTTCACCTGCGTAGCACCATTCTCCGACACCAAAGCAATCGTATGCACCGACGGTGGAGATGTCTGCATCCTTGATGATGAAGACAAGGGCCAAAGATTGCTTCGAGTCGCCAATCTAAACTTTACTATCACCGCTGTTTGTGTTGGGCCTAACTCAAAGGCAGTCATCACGGGTCTAGACGGCAGCATCGAGATCCTCGACCTCAACGAGCTTAGCAAAACCTCCGTCCTTCTTGATACGCTGCCAGGTTATAGATCTTCACAAAAGCCATCAACCTCTGGTTATGTTGCCGTCGGCTCGATTGGTAATGCCATAGTGACAGTAGACAACAGTCGTGGCATCCAGCTGCGGAATATTTGTCCGAAATCACCCAACGATAAGCCCGGTCATGCGGTTATACAGAAGCTTCCGGCTCACTCAGATGCAGTTCTTGGAGTACGTGCAATTGCTGCGTCCAACGAGCAGGATATTGCCTTTGTAAGCTGGTCTGCGAATGGCACCATTATTTTCTGGTCATCACAGTGCGAAGCAAGAGCGGTGATCTCCGTGTCGATGGACCAGTATGTCGACATGTATAATGTTATGAACGAACTCAAGACAGTTGTCGCATTCTCGAGTGTCTCACACGCCGTCACCGGCGACAAATATGGCGTTCTAAGGTAGGCCAACTGTATGTGCAGAGGTCCACGTGAATGAGTGCTGATTGACGACAGAGTGTCCAACGTCCGAACTGGAGAAGACGTTTCTCGGGTCAGAGCCCATGCAGGAGAGATCACAGACATCGCCATTCACGAGGACTCGGCATATACACTCATAGCATCAAGCAGTCGAGACCGTACTATCCAACTATTGACATGGAGCTCGGGCCAGCTTGACTTGTTGCAAACGTTGGATGAACATGCAGGTTCGGTTACTTGCGTTCTGTTCGCTAAGAATGGCGAGCAGCTGATATCGTGTTCTGCGGACAGAACCGTGGTGGTCCGAGAGGCTGCGAGACAGCCAGGATCTGGTCTTCCACTTTTCATCATCACTAGGACGATTACCCTGAAAAACTCACCAACATGTCTACGAATGTCTTTGTTCGACGACACACTGTTGGTATCCGCTACAGATCGAACCATCCAATTTGTCGGTACACGGACCGGCCGTGTGCTATCCTCATTCAAAGCCAGCGATACCGATGGTGGCGATGCTGTGATCATGTCAAGTCTGGTCCATCTACCCTCGACAGCAGGATCGCCGATAGTCGCAGGCGTAGCTAGCAGTGATAAATCTGTCCGCATGTATTCAGAAGATGGCACACTGCTTGCCCGTGACTGGGGTCATACAGAGGGCGTCACTGATATAGCGCTGCTCAAATCACACACTGCTCCCGACGATCTAGCCGCTATGAAACTCGTCACCGTTGCTGCAGACGGCACGATACTCATCTGGGCAACTGTGCCCGAAAGACCCCGATCAAGGGACTACTCTGATGTAGCACCCTCATTCGCAAACACTGCTCCAGGCATCGTCTCGGCAGAACAGCCATTACGAAAAGTAATCTCTCACAGCGAGATTGCCCGATTTCAAAGATCCAGATCCAATGAGACAGAAAACTCAGAACCGACACCAACAGCTATGGCGGCGACAGCGAGCACGGGGCTGAAAAAGAAACCTAGCAGATTGAGCATCCGCCCACCACCACCAAGGTTAGAGCCCTCACCATTAGGGACTCTACGTAATGGTCTGACTGTCAGAAGTAGACAGAGGAGCCCGAGCCCAACACCACCTAGCCCCAGTCCTAGATTACCACCTAGTCCACGAACGCATCCGCGGAGCGCGCCAGGAAGACACCGATTGTCCGTGAGTGCTGTGCCGCCTTTACTGGCCAGTCCAGCGGCCGAGAAAGCGAGCAAAGACGGCAGAACAGAAGCCGGCATGTCGGGCTTCGGAAGTATTGCAGCGTCCACGGAACAGCTATCTCGGATGCTGCGGGCGTACAGACAAAAACTTGATAGCAACTGCACCGGTCTGACAGGAGAGAAGCTCCGGGAGCTCGAGAAAGAGCTAGATGCCACAGTCCAGATGGTACAGCAGAAAATGGCAGGTCAGAAAGACGAGAAAGAATCTCAGAGCACGAGTGCAGCCGAGGACAGTAGTGCATCAAGGGCAACGTCGTCGTCACAAGATGCTTCATTCATATCGGCACGGGCTCAGTTGGAGGAGGAGACGGTCAGTGGTGCTGAAGCCACTGTCGCGCCTTGAGTGCTAGGATACCAATTATATCATTACCGCAGCATATCAGTTATCATAACAGTACTTCTCTTTTTACTTTCGTCAGCTCCACACATACATGATAGAGAAAAGGGGAATCAGTGGAGTATTCCCTTTGTCGAGACCAGGCTACTCCCTCCACGGCTATATGAACATGCGTTCTTTTCACTCTCATCTGCTAGCATCAGCTATTCTCTGCCATTACATCCGTTTCCTTTTGTGTACAAATCTGCACAAGAGAAAAAGAGATGGCCAAAGATGATTGCGTGCATCGGAATATCTACATCAGCAGACACACATCTAGGGGAAAAAACATGACGAGTAAAAGGTCAACAAGGGAACGAACTCGGAGAAGTCAAATTCTCTTCCCGCCAGATGAGTCGAGACCCTACTTCATGGGTTTGGATATAAAAACAGACACAGAGATGATGTGTATATGAAGAAAGCAGCCTCTAGAACGCCGTTGACTCCACCGCCGTGATTGGAACCTTTTGTAATCAAAAGAGCAAAGAAACGCAGTAAAGAAGGCCGTGTTGCTGTCCCAGTCGTTCTCCTAATCGACAGGAGCATGCTTGAAGAGGAAGGAGACAGACTCGCCGTTGTGGGTACGACGGCAGGCTTCTGCGAGCTGTGATATAATTGTCAGAAAGTCGATCGCTATCCGACCAGCGGTTCCGGTGTAGACTTACAGTGGGTGAGATGTCAATGGTCTCGATACGGTCGCAGAGAGCCTTCTTCTCCTCGTGGGGCACAGTGTTGGTGACGACAAGCTTTGTCAGTTTTGACTTGTTGAGCTGCTCGATGGCATTGCCTGACAGAATGCCGTGAGTGACAATGGCAATGGCACTGCTAGCACCGTGCTCGATGACAACCTCGGCGGCCTTGCAGAGGGTGCCGCAAGTGTCGGCCATGTCGTCTACGATGATGGCGATCTTGCCGCGGACGTCACCGACCAGGACCATGCGGGAAACCTCGTTGGGGCGAGCGCGCTCCTTGTGAATGAGAGCAAAGCCAAGGTCGAGACCATCAGCAATGGAAGTAGCTCTCTTGGCACCTCCGGCATCAGGAGAGACAATGACACAGTCTTGGACCTTCAGGTTGTCGCGGATCCAGCGGAGGGTGCTGGGCTCGGCGTAGAGGTTGTCGACGGGGACGTTGAAGAAGCCCTGGATCTGCGAGGCGTGGAGGTCCATTGTGATGACGTGGTTGCAGCCGGCGGTTTGAAGCATGTTAGCCATCAAACGGGCGGTGATGGGAGCACGGGATTTGTCCTTCTTGTCTTGACGGGCGTAGGGGAAGTTGGGCAGGACGGCGGTGATGCGGCGGGCAGAGGCCGTCTTGCAGGCGTTGATCATGATGAGCAGCTCCATGACGCCGTCGTTGATGTCGCCAGGGGCAGTCGACTGCAGCACGAAGACTTTGCGCACCAGTCAGCCTTGACGGGATCAAAGGTGCAAGGGTCTGGGTTGTGTCATACCATCCTCGTCGCGGACAGACTCGCCGATGCTGATGCTGGATTCGTTGTTGGAGTACTGGAGAACCATGATCTTGGCCAGCTCGATTCCCAGACTGTTTTGCGCATAGTGTCAGCCTCTTGCGCAGCGTGTTGGGCCGATGCGCAGATGGTAATGGCTGGTCGAAACTTTTTATTTGCGTGCGCGCGCGGGGTGGACATGTCTGATGCGGGCAGAGGAAGGAAAGACCTACCGGCTAGCGACCAGCTCAGCCAGCTGAGGGTGGCTGCTGCCAGTCAGGAGCTTGATCGAATTGGTAGCCATGGGGCCGTTGCAGTGTTTGATATTCTTGGGGTGATCGAGAAGCTCGAAAGGGAAGCAACTCTACAAGCACAGCATACCTTAGGACATTGCGGAGTTAGGGCAGGGTTTTCTATGGGAGCCGCTCTTTAGCCGACCTCCGAAGGCGGTGACGTCGTGGCAGAAAGTGGGACTGAGCATCAAGGTGTTTGACTGCTCCTACTATACAGTCAGACGTGCCTTGCACTCACTTTCACGCCATTGTCTGCTTCTGCTAAGTTGATCCGCTTTGGAAACTTGTTGATGACTGTGTACAAAGGTCACCACTGCAAGCACATGTTCACATCTCGACCAAAGAGGCTCTCGATCCGAATGGCAAGAGTGAGTGTCATTATGGATTGGATGCTTTCTGACTGTTTACGTCTGCTTGCTACTTGCCTAAATAGCAGCATGCCAATCGCTTTGATATTGTGCCTTTCATATCCATGGGGAAAGCCTGTTGTTGCATTGCGTGTAATTTGCGTCTCGGCCTTTCTTGAACATGTGTTGCGCCTAAAACGAACTCGTGTAAAACTCTCGAAGAGCTCAGAAACCCTCTCCATGTTGTGCCCAGCCCTAACGCCCGCCAACCGATGCAAAAGATGCCGCTGGACTTTTGGTGTCTGCAAAATATCGAACTTCGAAGAGCCTGTCGTCTACCAGCCATTTTGACCATATGGTGTTGCACCGTAAGGGGTAGTGCCTCCAGGTACAGCGCCGCCAGCATTACCACCCCAAGCGCTCGTGTTGCCGCCACCAAAGCCACCTCCGTATACGGAACCAGCACCGTAAGCAGTTGTGTTGTTGTACGCTGTGGCAGCGCCGGTCATGTCCATCATGTCCGGACTTTGTGGCGGTTGGGCCAAATCCTGTTGGTGTGCTTGTTGGAGATTGGGTGACAGCTCCTGGATGATGGTTGCGAGCTTCTGTTGCAGAACTTTGATAGCGGCGTGGAAGACGGTGTCTGGCGGCATTACACCAGTGCCCTCAATGTTGACATAGAATCGGTCAGGCTCCTTGTCGTAGTCAAAGGCATCACCCTCCTGCGGCGGCTCTTCCCACTCGGCGTTCTTGCTTGCAGGCCACTCCTCCAACTTGTCGCTTTCATACCACAGGTCGGCGTGGCGCAAGGCGTTGTGTGGATCATACTCGAAGGAGATGGCAGCTGTCGGCATCCACTTTGCATGTTCTTTTGCGATTCCCTTCTTTGCGATGCAACGGAGCTTGAGCTCTTGGTTGCGGCGCAACTTGCAGATGAGAGGACCGTTGCCATCGGGATCCATAATGACAGGGGCGCCTCGCTGAGGGCCATCGGTATCGGCGTTGGGGCGGTATTGGCTGAAGGAAGCATCGATGTAGAGATCTTTGGCGAAGACCTTGACCGTCTCGTCGGAATTGCGGTTGACGGCACTGAGACGTAGAACCACGGCGCAGTTTTCGCAATACTGGTCGCAGTCGCAATCGCGTGTGTACAGCAGGTCGTCAATGTTCTTCGCCGACAGCGGGACCAGACCCAGGCGATGGGCCAGAAACTCGTCGGCCAGGACTGAAGTGTTTGATTCCACCTCGACCAGATCGATTGCCAGAGTGGGGACCTCGGCGTGCATGACACGGCGGACGCTGTTGGCCAGAGACAGGGTAGTGTTGCTCAAGACGAACTTGGTCGAGATGGGAGTCGTCTCGCTGATGTTGATGCGCGGGCCCGAGTCATCGGCATCCATTCCCCGGTAGTCGTAGTCCATGTTGGAAGCGCTTGTCGAGTCGACGTCTGCGTGGAGTAGGTACGGCGCGGCGGTTGATAGATGATAGATGATAGACGGCTACTTTGATTGGCGCGCGTGAAGTCGCGAGTTTGGTGAAGCTGCAAACATTCTGGAGCGTCAGCCAAGAAGGCACATGTCAAGCGTTCACTTTCACTGCTGCTCGCCTCCAGTGCCGTTTCTTGCGCCGAACATCTTCTAACTATGCGCACTCACGTATGGCGCAAACAGTTCACTCGCCTCTCACTGCGAGGTCAGCGCCTTCCATTCCAGCGCCATCGCGCCTTTCATTCAGTCGGACGTCAACTTGAAGCCGTTCCAACTCCCAATCAGGGAACCGCCAATCAAGAAAGTCCTATTTCAGAAAACTCAACTAGACCTGCGCCTTCCTTACGACGTGGCCGATTGACCCAACGACGTCCTAAGGAAGTCACGCCCTTCACTGTCCCGGACTGGTTCTTGCGCCACAATGTCAGTCTCCATGTTTCGGCGACAGATGGCCAAACAGGAGCCAATAAGGAATCCCGCTGCTGGACCTTGGTCGATCGAGATTCTGGACACACCGTCCTGACCTTGCCTTTCACCGCGAATCAGTCTGGACAGACAAGTGCTTTCTTCACGTCCTCGGATCGGCCGAAAGAGAAGGAGACCCAGAGCCCTGGCTCTGCAGCAGAGAAGGACACTGTCCACGGTGATGGCGTTGCTGGCGCCCTCAACATGCTTTCTGCCACTTCTGCTCTCGGATCTCCCGACCCGCGCCTCCTACTCTCGCTCCAACTGCAGCTCCTTCTGCACGCCGCTTTCTCTCAGACCGGTCCTTTAGCCGGACGCTACACAAAGGCCAATATCGATCTGAATACACAGGAACTTGCTCACAAGGAGCTCGATCTATATGTGCAGCAAATAGCCAATCTTGTTCAAGCTGACCTGATCCATCTCGATGCCAACGATATCGCAGAGTTGGCTCAGGACTACGTCGATCCCAAAGGGGATCACGCTCCCGGCTCCATCTCTTCTTTGGCCTACGATGCTTTCAACGGCATCACTGCTACCTCAAGGAGTTCCGAAGTTCATGTTCACGTCATTGATGATACTGCAAACGATGAAGCTATGGATGATGGTGATTCTGAACATGCTTCTGACTTGACTGATTTCGATTTGGGTAACTCCAACGAAAGAGTTGGTGGTCGCGGGATTTGGGATATCGTGGAAAAAATGCAGCGTGCTGCTAAAGCTGGCAGCGGTATGGGTGTTATTGTCGGCGAGATGCCAAAAGGTCGTGATCAATCTTCCTCGGAAGAGTCCCACTCTCGCGCTGCTGATCTCAGCCCATGGGCCGAGTTAAAGCTCTCGACGTTATTCGACACTGTCATGGATAGTGTTCACATCAAACAAGGTATATCTACGAGCGAATCGCCCAGCAGTTTTCTACACGAAGCCGACACTACTGGATCCGAATTAGGTGCACCTCTGCCACCTTCGCAAGAAGGTATTGAGCGCTTTTTAGCTGAATTTTTTTCAAAGCGCGTAGATTCAGCCACGCAGTCGCACAAGATGGTCTGGACTCAGGAGAAAGAGCCCATCGCGTCACCAGAGAGTCAGCAGCAGCAACGGACTATCATCCACATCAGAGACATGGATTATATCCGGAAAGCTCCGCAAGGCGAGACAATAATAAATCTCTTAGTCAATGCTGTCCAAAAACGAAGAAAGGATGGTGAGCAGGTTGTCATTTTTGGTACTACGGCCAACTCCGCCCAAGCACCTCCATACCCTGGTCAAGACGACGACGAACTTTTCTTCCGCTATCTCAGATATCCTTCGTCGGTCCCGCGTGGTGTTGCCAGCCAGTTGATGATGATGCCTCGCAACGACCAGAGTCTTGAGCGCAGTGTGGCTGAGCCAGGTCTCCAAAGATTGTTTGAGATCAACATGCGCCACATCCAAACCATGGTTCGTCACCTAAGTCTCCCTGTCTCTGATGACTTTTTCTCAAAACAAACTCGAACACACCTCAACATCCCCGGTACTTCTAAGCTCGGAGACAAGGTCTTGCCTCATGACGAAATTCAAAGGATTGTTCTTTGCGCTGAAAGCTTACGATCTCTCTACACTACCAGTCCTTCTCTTGAGACTGTCCATATCGCGCTTGCTGAAATGTTGGTCAGCAATATTGACGCTAGTCTGAGACCTGTGGCCAGTCGACAATTGTCCCAGATGCCCCAAGCTCGCGAGCGTGGAGAGCCGCAAGACGAATCTGACAAGACCAAGGAAGCTGGCTCGCCCAAGTTGGACATGGAAAAATTGAAGAAGTCGTGCTCCAAACATGAGTTGCGTCTCTTGTCAGGAGTCGTCGACCCTGCAAGTCTGCGGACGACGTTCAATGATGTCCATGCTGATCCTAATACAATCGATTCGCTCAAGACTTTGACATCACTCACACTGCTCCGCCCCGAGGCTTTCAGTTATGGTGTGTTAGCGGCCGACCGTCTTCCGGGTCTTTTGCTGTACGGGCCTCCAGGCACCGGTAAGACTCTGCTCGCTAAAGCTGTGGCCAAAGAGTCGTCAGCGACCGTGCTCGAGGTCAGTGGTGCTCAAGTCTATGAAAAGTATGTCGGTGAGGGCGAGAAAATGGTGAACGCTGTGTTCTCGTTAGCCAAGAAGTTGTCTCCCTGCGTTGTCTTCATCGATGAGGCAGATGCTCTCTTTGGCTCTCGAGGTGGCGCCAATAATCGCACAACACATCGCGAAATTATCAACCAGTTCCTTCGCGGATGGGATGGTATGGATGATCATAGTGTTTTCATGATGGTCGCTACCAACCGCCCCTTCGATTTAGATGATGCTGTATTGCGTCGTCTACCTCGTCGCCTGCTGGTTGACCTTCCTCTGGCTAAGGATCGTGAAGGCATACTCAATATTCATCTGAAGGGCGAGACTCTTGATCCAGCCGTCTCTCTAGCCGATCTGGCCAAGAACACTCCTCTGTACTCTGGTTCCGATCTCAAGAATTTGTCTGTGGCCGCTGCGCTTGCCGCTGTGCGCGAGGAGAACAACGCATTGGAAGCCGCACGCGCCAAGGGCGACACCGAGTTCAAACTGCCTGATCGCCGTACCCTCACGCCTTCACACTTCGAGAAGGCGATGCAAGAGATCTCGGCGTCCGTATCTGAAGACATGGCAACACTGGGCGCGATTCGCAAGTTCGACGAACAATACGGAGAGAAGAGAGCTCGCACGAAGAAGCCTGGTTATGGATTTGGTCTTGGCTCGAGTAATGCCATTGATGAGACTGGCGCTAGAGTTAGACCTAATGAGCCTAGTCGTTAGACCTGCTGTATCCTCCAAATTATGGATCAAAAGTTTATTGATGTAAGATTAGCATGGTGGAGTTTTGGGAAGGGTTGTTGTACGATACAAATATAGCATAGACTAGACACTTTATTTCCGGATTATTCACACTCATTTCTTAACTTACATATATTCCGAGTCCGACTCCTGTCACTTATACTCAAGTTGATCGCAATCGACAACTGTATAATTTCTGAATATTTCCTAAAGCTCCTTCATGCGCTTTACATCGTGGTAACTAGTAGATAGCGACTGGAGTAACAGTATGGTGTCCAAAGTCAGTACTGCACCACTCTGCACCTCACCATTTGCCGTGGTGTAGCTTTGAAAGAGTGAGGATGAGATAGACTACTGGCTCATATGCAACATGCTTTCCACTGAGCAACAAGCACGAGAAAAGACCACGTTCCTCTTGCCAAGAATACAAGTAGCGGTCGTTATTTCGCCAAAAGGGGGGAAGCAGGAGGAATGATCTCGGAAGGAGGAAGAGCTCAATCTGGCACACAAACATTGAAGAAACACTAGAGAAGTCACAGAAGCCAAAGCAAGCACAAGAAGACGAGTTTTGAAATGAAGAAAAAGCAGCATCCATTTATTGTATATGAAAATACCAAGAGTCATTAAATATCCAGTCAGGAAGAAAAGAAACCAACCCCCTTTGAATGAGGTGAAAACATCTGAATGCCAACCAAAAAGGCTAATGATTAAGTTAAAACACCCACCGAGATGTATAGAGAGAAGATACGAAAAAGTTTTTTGTTTGCCTTGTGATCAAAGCGAATCATCCGTCAAGCATAAAAATGCTTAGAGGACGAGAGCGGCACCAGCGACCATGGCGGCGAAGCCCATGCCGGCCTTGACGTTGGAAGCAGCACCAGTGTAGATGGCCATGGTGTTGGTGGCAGTCTTGGAGGCACCGGTGTAGACGGCCATGGTGTTGGAAGCACCAGTGGCAGTGGCAGGGCAGTGCTCGCCGTTGCAGAGAGTGACGGTCTGGGTCTGGACAGCAGGGCCGGTGGTAGCAGGGCCAGCGGGGCCAGCGGGCTTGGCGCAAGCAGTGCAGACCTCAACGACAACAGTGGTACCAGTGGCCTGGGGGCAAGCGTAGACGGTGGTGCTGACGGGAACCATGGAGCCACCGGTGGCAGAGAAGACAGTGGCGGTGGAAGCGGTGTAAGGGCAGCTGTTGCAAGCAATGGGTCCAGCAGGGATGACAGTCTGAGTGGGGCAGACGTAGACGGTGGATGAGACGGGGATGACCTGGGTGACGACGGCGTTCAAGGGGCAGTTGGTAACGGTAGGAGCGCACGAAGCAATGGTGACGACCTGGGTGCTGTAGATGGTCGAGGTAGCAAGACCGCCGGCAGTGATGGTAGTAGCGCCGTTGCCGGATCCGCTGCCGCTGCCGCTACCGCCGTTGGCCACACGCTGGCCGAACTGGATGCCCTGCTGGGCGTAGGCAGCCTGGACATCGCTGAAGAGGGTGCAGGTACGGGCGTTGGTGTCGAATGCGGTTCCGACACATGAGGCAGTAGCATCACAAAGGTTCAAGCAGTCGTCAAGGCTGGCGGGAATGGCACGTCTGGTAAGGTTGACCTGGATGTCGATGATGGTACCGAAGTGGTTGGTGTCGCACCCAATCTGGTAGCTGAAACCGCTGCGGTCGATGTAGATCGAGAGGTCGAGGCCAGGGCAGAACTTGCCGTCAAGAGCAGGAACAGTGCCGTTACCAGCGCCGGAGCCGGAGCCGGGAGTGGTGGAGTTGGAGCCCGAGCCGGATCCAATAGGGGTGGTGGAGTTGGAGCCCGAGCCGGATCCAATAGGGGAGGTGGAGTTGGAGCCAGTAGCAGGAGCAGTGGTGTTGCTGAAGTTGTACTGGGGAATGGCAGAGGCCATGCCAGAGAAGGCCAGGATGGCGGCGGCGGAGATGGCGCTGAAGGAAGGCATCTTGATTGTTGGTTGGTGGGTTGGATTAGTTGGTTGGTGGTCGAGGTGGTATCAGTAAAGAGTGTTGTAAAGAGTGGACGGCTAAGCCAAAGACTGGAAGATGCTGCTGAAGGAAAGTGTTGCTGTTGTTGGATGATGAGACTACTGGCAGGCAATGGACAATGGTATATATAGACCTTCTGTGAGTGAGGGACAGAATATGCCGTTGGCTCGTTGTTTGGTTAATTCGCCTCTCCCAGACGTTACGTCCGTCTTGTGGATCTTAATCTCCATTGCAAGACTCCTAGATGGATTAGCGATATGATTGTGCGTCAGAACTGTTGTCGTTGGGTTGGGGATAAGATTGCTTGTCACTGCAAAACAGCCAAAGCAGGTAGGCAAACAACAAAACCGCTAAGGGGCGCGGCTCGACCAGTGATGCTTGACAGCAGACGTTCGAACGGTCAAATACTATCATGCATGTTCGCTGTATGCATGCACGCACATCGAAGATGGTGGAGATAGCATGCAAGAGAATGATATGGTCCAGCCTTTCACGTGTCGCTAATCAACATCGCCAGGTTCGATATCGCGATATCGAGAGCTCTGACTCTTGACTTTTCTGTTGTAGACAGAGGGTAGGAGCTCGTCGTAAGAGTTTGGGGGAACCGTTGACCATTATGAGGAGAAAATCGCGGGATCTGTGATTAAACCACGCAGCCACCACGATATAGTGTGGTTAGGGTATAGGTTGGATCCGAATTAACAATACTTTGGTAGAGAAACGTCTTGGTCGTCAGATTACTGTGAGCCCAATTGGTATACTTTGTTCAACTGTCAGACTTGTGTTGGAGATTTGGAGCAACTTTGCTCTTGCAGCGGCTCTCTCCTGGGTGCACGGTTGTCGCGAAGGATGCAAGCCTGGCCAAGGGGAAAGGAGACTGGTACAAGGGGTCCATGGCAACATGCCGCTTGGATCGATCGAAAGGACCAGAAAAAAATAGCAAAACAATTGTAGTTCTGCACGGAGAATCTGGGTGCCCCGGCCTTAGGATGGAATTCGATAGAGCAGTCTACTTTTGTTGAAGAGAGGCTGATGAAGTTGGACTCGCATGTGAACGCGCGCGCGTACGACGTGAGTCGCGCACGGTTTCGTGGCAAAACTCTGAAAGTCCGCGCTTGGCTTGCAGCAAGGACAGCCGCACCAATCGGTATCTAGAGTGCTTTCTGCGTACATGCAGTTCTCTCGTCAGTCCATCATTACTATCGCACATACATAGACCGTGTATAACCGACTATGGATTACCTCGACTTTGAGTCAGCTATGCGACGGCATGACCAGCCTCCGGTCAATGTGGCGAATCAGTTGGTCTTTCTCTTCCTGTTACGAGAGAATTTGCACTGATGCGATGAACCAGTCATCCGGGGTTGCCATCAGAAGAGCTTGAGAACCAGTCAAATTCGCAATCCACTCTCCAGTATGGGTCAAATTATCCATGGATTCCTCAAGGCTATAATCCTCTCGATGAGCCCTTGAGCGGCGCACAATCTTGGGACAATTCTGTAGAAGCCACATCGAGCCCTTATTATACCAATGCCATGGACATGTCGGCGTTCAATACGCCAGACATGCAAGACTTCCAACAGTCCTACATGAACTCGCCAGCAGTAACACCTGGTATCACATACGAATCACCTCACTCTGCAGGACCAGGATCTCCTTACCCAGATCAATCTGCAAGTGCTGCTATGACGGCAAACAGCCAAGAGATGCAAAACTGGTTTGCGCATTCTGCTCGACGTGATAGCAGATCTAAGAAGGGGTTTCCCCGACGCAGATCTCTGTACTCGAGGAACTCTGGCGTGCCGGTCGCTATTCCAAAGCATCAGAATGCAGAGTGGTCGGCTTTAGACCCATTACAGCGCTGGCAGAACAGCCCGCCAGAAAATGAACCTGCTTCTATTTCTGCCATCAGCCATGCAGTCGCTTCCACCGATATCGATCGCCATTTGACCGTGGGCTCCGCAAACAGTAGCAGAGTCAGTACACCAGGTATCGAGCCCGCTGGCTTTGGCTATGCAGCTCGACGAACCTCGAGACCTGCCTCAATCAGCAGTCTCGAGAGCGGCACGTCGAACGGCTCAATGGACTCGATTTTATCTTGTCGTTCGGGAAACTCGCGCATTTCTGCAAGTTCCAATCAACGCAAGAACGCTCGGAGTAAAGTCACCAAGTCCCGAGCCCGTTCTGGACCTGGACCTGGCAAAGACGACCGACTCTTCCAATGCACTTTCTGCTGCGACACATTCAAGAACAAATATGACTGGGTGAGACATGAAAAGTCACTGCACTTAAATCCAGAGCAGTGGATATGTACTCCTGATGGCGAGGTCGTACCATGTCCATCCACGAGGGATAGTCTCTGCGCATATTGCTTGGTGCCTCAGCCAAGTAAAGAGCACCTAGAAGGCCACAACTCCACTGCGTGTGCACACAAAAACTTGGAGTCCAGGAGCTTTAAGAGAAAGGACCATCTCATCCAGCATCTCAGGTTAGTTCACAAGATCGACACTATCCCTGCGATCGGTGAATGGAAGCCTCCAGAGCTTTGCATCAAATCACGCTGCGGCTTCTGCGGTGCCGAAATGGAAGATTGGAAAGCTCGTGCCGATCATCTGAGCAAGCATTTCCGAGAAGGAAAAAAGATGCTGGATTGGAGAGGTACTCATGGATTCGAGCCACATGTCGCTCAGCAAGTCACAAACTCGATGCCTCCATTCCTCATTGGGTCCGAATCTAAGACTCCCGTACCTTTCTCAGCAACCAATCCTGGACATTCAGAACTCCTTGCCCAGATCACTTCGAGGGCTGCGTTCAATGACGCCGCAAACCACACTATGGCGGATCCGTCGCCCTCTCCTGATAACGGCCAAGGAGAAGGCAATCAGCCATTCAAAACAGCATGGGAGATCTTGACGTTCCATCTCGGAAGGTTTGCCCAGGAACAGATCAAGGCTGGAGTCGTGCCTACAGATGAAATGTTCCAGCAGGAGTCCCGACGATTGTGGTTTGACAGCGATGACCCGTGGAATCAGACATTCGCCGATGATACACAGTGGATGGAGATCTTTAGACAAGAACATGGTTTGCACGATGGAAATACTCCTGATGCTGCCTAGAATCGGTTATACGTACCGAGCATAACGGGGCCTTCATGGTGAGAGATATGCGCTCGCGCCAGACTTGGTCCGGATCATAAACCTGTAGCTATGATGTATTATATCTTCGTCGAACCATCAACCCCCGCACTGCTAGTTGAAGATTGATAGACGCCGCTATATCCTTCCACCTCTCGCTCCATCTGCTCGAGCACAATTTGCGCCAACTTTGCGTCTTTGTGCAGAAGAATTCCGTGAGGATTCTTTACATCCAGCAAGGCACCAAGAGCGCCTTCATAGCCTGCGTCCACCACGCCAGCCTGCACACTAACACCACTTCTCCAGAGACTTGATCGTGGGAATACACTGCCCATACAATCTTTGGGGATGTTGACAGTCTCGTTGAAGTCAACTAGATAGGCGCCCGGTTGGAGAGTGATGGTATTGGACGTTGAGCAGAATGGCAGGACGGATGTTTTGGCGCCTCGACGGTGTGTGTTGTCGAAGTCAATAGTTGCTGGGGAAGACCATCTAGACACACAGCGGAGGGTCAAGTCGACGCCGCATGGTTGCTGTTGGTGTAGCGCATTGCGAAGGTTGCTCACGATCTGACGACCGACGGCATCGAGTCCACCTAATATCATACTATGCCTTTTGTCCTGGTCGCATGTGAAGTAGAGAGGGACGTGATTATTGGAAGTAGTTGTGATGTCGCGCCAAGGGAAAGCTCACAATGAATGACGCGTGGAGTTCGCGAAAGCACTGTACGCGACTTCCCAAACGCGTCTATTCCATCGCAGGCTGCTTCTGCATCGTCTCAATTGCACACACACAGACTCAAGCACATCATCATGGCTCTTCTTGTCGACAAGCATCGCCCGCGCTCTCTAGAGACTCTGACATATCATCATGATCTGTCTGACCGCCTGCGGTCGTTGGTGAGTGGCTGTTACTAGATCTAGCGAGGCAGGACTGACTCCTTGTAGGCGCAAAGCGGTGACTTCCCACACCTTCTGATCTACGGCCCCTCCGGAGCAGGAAAGAAGACAAGGATCACCGCCACTCTGCGCGCACTCTACGGTCCCGGTGTGGAAAAGATCAAAATCGACAGTCGAGTCTTCCAGACGACGAGCAACCGCAAGCTCGAGTTCAACATCGTGTCATCCAACTACCATCTCGAGATAACACCTAGCGATGTGGGCAACTATGACCGTGTGGTCGTGCAGGACCTCCTCAAAGAAGTCGCCCAGACACAGCAAGTCGACGTGGCAGCCAAGCAACGCTTCAAGGTCGTCGTCATCAATGAGGCCGACCATCTCACAAGAGACGCTCAGGCTGCTCTGAGAAGAACAATGGAAAAATACAGTCCCAACTTGCGCTTGATTCTTCTGGCCAACAGTACAAGCAATATCATTGCGCCTATTCGAAGCCGAACCTTGTTGGTCAGAGTCGCTGCCCCAACGGAAGATGAGATTTGCACAGTCCTGGCTCAGGTCGGCAAGAAGGAAGGTTACACACGTTGTGAAGGCATAGAGAAGAGAATTGCCAGAGACAGCTACCGCAATCTGCGTCGTGCTCTGCTCATGTTCGAGGCTGTCCATGCTCAGAAGTATCGCTTTCCACCGACTTCGCTGCTTCTCAGTACTAACTCGTCACAGCGACCAAGTCACAGAGAAAACACTCATTCCACCTCCGGATTGGGAAGCTCTCATTTCTCAAATTGCAGACGACATCCTTGCCGAACGCAGCCCCGCCCGCATCTTGCAAGTCCGAGCTAAGCTCTACGATCTTCTCACCCATTGCATTCCCGCCAGCACCATCCTGAAGGTAGCGAACCTGTCCTAATGTCTCTGCACGCGCCTTGCTGATCTCCACAGACCCTGACCTTCAAGCTGATACCAAAGATTGACGACGCCCTTAAAACAGACATTGTCAAATGGTCGGCCTTCTACGAGCATCGTATCCAGATGGGCACAGTAAGTAATACTGATCCTGGATTCACTTTTCTGCCCTGACATTTGATAGAAATACATCTTCCACTTGGAAGCCTTTGTGGCCAAGGTCATGAGAATCGTTGAGAGGTTGGTAGTGATCACGACTACTCGCAGTTTGTTACTGACTCAACTCATAGCCATCTCATGGGTATGGATTTCGATGACTGAGGTCATGTGCTTCCGAGCGGAAACACGATCCCTTGTATCCCATTCAAGCATTCAAAGGGCTCTTCGAGCAATGGATCAGCTGCAACAATGCCCGTTTAGCGATGCCCTTATACTTGACTCGATCATTCCAAACAGGGTATCACCCTACACGCGCCAACACGTAGCTCGGCCGGCCTTTCTGTGGAATGCCGCCTATGCTTTCCGATATCGCAACATTATCACGAAACATCTCGTTTTCCACCGGCCGGAGCATGGACGATGGGATACTCTGTTCCACTGACTCGCAAAAGAGACAGAGAACATGGCTTCTAATTAGCTTGACGTACATACTCTTAGTAATGACATAATGACAACGATTGAGATGTGCGCTCGATGTCAATGATTCCCCGGCAAACACCCCAGCCGCACGGATACTTGATCAATTCAATACTCGTAAGGCACCGGACGCCCGGGCTACGAGTGTACGACATAAAGTCGGTCGATCGATCCTGCCTCGCGCAGGAACATAAAGATCGGCCCATGACAGCGGAAGCCCTCGCAAATTTGGATGGAAGTGGGAAGGATTCGCGACCCTGACTTGGTCGATAAGCCCCAAGCAATAGGCAAGCGCCACCGAGCATGGCAGCGCTTGCTTGAGCATGATTTTGGGCACGGTTCGTCCCTGTCGCGTGCTTGTTTGTCGTGGTGATTTCTTCGACTTTGTGAGATCAGGGTCGGGTCGCCGAGGAAGGATCCGGAGCGAGGTCACTTTCATAATCCTTGGGACGATGCCTACTAAATCCTATTAGATACGTACGCACTGCTTCATCGTACGCACCCACGTTGAGTTGGGGTTGCTGCCGGCCGAAGCACATGCAGATCTCCCATGCGTCTCGGCTACCAGCTTCCGAATCATGAAACAGCGGCACCTGGGCGTTGGTAACGATTATAATAGGGCTGCTTGTTCAACAGACTTCTGTCTCAGCTTCGAGCTTTCGCGAGAGCGAAACCTTCCGTCTATATTTCGCTTGATCATGCTTATCTGATGATATCTTGCAACCAATGAACACAGTTTGCAAGGCATCTTCTCACGCCACGTGTCGCATAGCTTGTGTGAAGTCATGATTGGCAGTCATGGAAGCTCGTAATTTCGCCTACAGCATGTGATTGGCGTTCTGGTGAGTCTTCTCGAACCGCTCTAGTAGAAACCTAATTGGCGAACGAGCTGGTCCTTTTCACACCCTCCAGCTCCACTGCTATCTCATACCCACATGGTGGCTTTGGTAAGGGCACGGTGCCGTCTGCCCTTGGTGCTATTCCGCGAGTCCATGGAGGGGTCCGTTCGAGAGGTCTGACTGTACCCCAGCGCGGCTTTGCGCATACATGTACATGCGGATCCCCGGTATGTGCTCTGTACCTGCTTGTCTATACACAATAAAGGCCACACAGAAACATGATATCTCTACTTCTCTGACTTCAATCTTCAAGGGTCCAAATTAGCATGCTCTCTCCGCAAGAACAATCAACCTAACTCCAGGTTTCTTTAAGCATACTTACTCCCGGTGTCATCGTGCGAGCTTGGTCCTGAAGAACGACAAATTGTTACCTAACACTTGGTGCACCAACACCGGAGCCCGCCGATACCCTCCATACATATACCAAAACATGGGGGCTTTCTCACTGGAGTTCCAACATGAGCTGCTAAGGGAGTCATGGGCGTTATACGCACTCGGTATAGTCGTTATTGCTCTCCGCATGTTCGTCCTCACTCCATACATATTCTTCGCTCAGACCAATGCTTATTGTTTCGATCTAGATATGCTAGGGCCAGGAAGCTCGGTCTCCGGCATCTGGAGTTCGACGACTATCTGATCTTAGTGGCTGCTGTTTTCTACACACTGCTCATCATCACATTAAATCTTACGGCGCAAGGCGGTGGTACCGCTCTTGCTATGCCACACGAAGATGTTTCTGCACTTACAGACGACCAAGTCAAAATCCGACAAAGAGGAGCTAAAATTGATCTTGTGGCTGAACAAGCCATGCTAAATGTCGTCTGGATCTTGAAGGTGTGCACATTGAAGCTGTATAGCCGACTCACCATGGGTCTGAGACAGCAGATCGCGGTAAAGGTACTCGCTGTCTACGTTGCGATTGGCTGGGTTGCATGCCAGCTCGCATACTTCTGCGAATGTCGACCTTTCAGCATGTATTGGCAGATCGCTCCTTCTCCGCCATTGAACTGTATGGTCTTTTATGACTACGCCATTGTTCAGGGAACATTCAATATCTCATCCGACGTTTTCATGCTCGTCATACCCTTTCCACTCATCCTACAAGTTTCTATTGGGATGAAGCAGAAGCTTGTTCTCCTGGTCAGTTGTCCCAAGCACAATACATTCAAATCGCGCTAACATCAGCTAGTGCATTTTCTCCATGGGCATCTTTGTCATCATCGCAGCCGCTCTGACCAAGGCCGAATTCTTCCGATCCATCTACGCAGAAAACTACATGTTCTGGTACACAAGAGAAGCATCTGTAGCGGTATATGTTGCAAACCTGCCTTGTATATGGCCATTGCTCCGCGAAGCCTTGCCAGCGCTCAAAAGTTGGACACCGGGCTTCATCAGCAGCTCGGCCTACAAACGCAGAGGCGCCAGTACCACTGGCCTCACAGCCAACAACCGCACACGCAACACACAAAAGAGCAATCTGGGGCTATCACGAAGGTCAATGGACGATTTCCATGCCATCATTGAGCCGACGCGGCCTCAAGAGGCCAAAACGACGACTGACGTTCGTACGAGGGAGATACCACATTATAGCCACCACATCCGCAGCACAAATCGCGGCAGTAGTAGCGACTCGAGCGTTGAGGACCTGCCTATGCATGGTATCATGACCTCGACTACAATTGAGATGTCGGTCATGGCGAGTGACCATAAGGAAGACGACCGCGACGACGCATCACAATCTTCGACTCGTGCATTCGCACACGCGAACGATCTCGAGCGTGGATTACCGCATACACATGTCTGATCCCAACAGACATCCCATTACTTTCACCCATACATAGGATTCGACACCAACGCACTTGCGAAACACGGCAGAGACTGTCGTTGGGCTGGCAAGAAAGCCCGGATCACTTCACTTCAATGTATATAGATACCCCTTCTTCTGACACTTGTTTCCTTTTACTTCAAACTTCTTGTACATAGACAGCTATACCGATCAGAAAGATAGAATGACGGTGATTAGAATTCCCAGAAAGGGTCTCGCATATGCAACAATAGCAAAAACGAGTCGCATTTCCAGTTACTCGCTACTTCCTGCCCACCTCGCTTCCAATCGACCCAGTGACTCGCGTAGCTCTTCCCAATTTTCTCATACAAATCTCAACAAAGCATTGTCGCAGTCCTTCTCGTTTAATCCATGATCCGAGTCTTCCGATCGGAGACATTCGCAACGAAGAACCCACTCCATGATGCTGATTGATTGATTATCCCGCAATGGCCGGCAAGGGTAATCCGGCTCTGTAATTTTACTAAGCCTTATACAACGCCTCTTTTTTTTGTTTTCGCTTGCTCTTGTGGATACGAAGGGTAAGTATCTGCGCTTTGAAGGATTGGAGGGCTGTTGGATGTGGTAGGGTGTGGACTTTATAAAGCTTGAGAGTTTGATGCCGGATGCTGAGTGATGCTTGTGCAGCGGGAGAGAATGGTTTCATATGTGAGGGGGGCTTTCTGGTCTGCATGGGTGAGGCTTGGGGGATGGAATTTGCTTACGCGTTTGGCTACCAGTACAGAAGTCGTGAGATGACTATCCTATCTTCGTATTCGATGTTCGTTATGACAACTTTCTTCGAGCAGACAGGATGTATGTTTATCGAGCGACACTCCAGGGTCCTACTATAACACCAATACCCTTGCGTCTGCACAAGCTGTCCTGGCTATCCTCTTCAACTCTGCTTTATGCTCCGCCTCGCGATACATTTCCCAGTGATCCAACCCTTCCCTGGCCTCGATACTCAACGTCTCATACCCTTCCTTGATAATCCTCGCCACGTCTTTCGGACTCAGATTCTTCACTTTGCCTTTTTCCTCTGCAATTAAATCGCTGTAGTGTTTTGATACGTGTATCAAGATGTTCATGGAAGCTGCGCTTTCTCCCTTTTGTAGTCCATAGGCGTCGCGAAATGAGGTCAGGGATGGGCCGAATTCGACGAGTTTGTAGGAAATGTCGTCATAAGAGGCGGTGTCGGGGAGGAAGGATTCGCCTTGAGTTAAAGAGAGACAGAGGAGGTTTACGAGGGCGTGGATCAAAGAGTCCATATGATAGAGTGACCGTAGGTCATCGGCGTAGACGGTGAGGAAGCGCACAAAAGACAGTAGAGAGCGCCAGAGCTCAGACCAGTGATATGCTGTGTGATCAATCAGTACCTGTTTTACATTACTTTCGGAATCATGTATGACTTACTCAGACGTATTCTTGCTTTACTCAGGAATGTAACAAGTCGTAATATGATTCCGACGTTCAGTCTGTATAACTCGACGTCCAGCTTTTTCCGCAGGTTGTGATTTACACTGTCGATCATGATGTCGATAATGTTCGCAGCAAGAGTACGATCAGAGGTGACCATAGGTAGCTGTGGCGGTCTTTGACGGCTCAGACGAACAGGCACTGTTGTCTCGCATATCTTCTTTGCGATGTCCAGATCCTCGACCAGATTTTGTATGGTGAACAAAGTTAGGTGAGCATATTGCGTCGCCCGTTGTGAACGATAGGCGTGTTGATAGAGGTAGGAGCAAAATGACAGGTAATGCGCCATCGGTGAACTCTCTTTCTTGTTTTCTGAGTACACACGGACAAAGTCTGCGCAGAACAATTTGTTGGCGACAACAAAGTCATACACTGTTAGCAAGATACCGGCATGTGGTTGAGGTCTACTGCTGGTCAGTGACGCCCTTGTATTGACGAGTGAGTGCACTTACTGCTCGGCAAACTTTGCCTTCATCTCGTCTTCCGTGGGTGCAGGTACTGTAGGCTTCGCACCCGCCAGAGCTCCAAGACCAATATAGCTCAATGTACCTCCGATGCTCCAGGCTTCAGGAACGTCGTCTTGAATCGCGACATACTGATCTCTCATGGAAGCACAGGTGCTTTCGATTGACCTGCAGATTTGCACCATTGTCTCGTGATTAACAAAATCGGCGAATTTTACGTGGTAAGGGTTGTACGTCTCGAATTTGTTGTAGTTCGCAAGAAGTCCTGCTAGGAGAAGTGGTTGTGCAGCCTCTAAAGGATCTTCGAGGTCAAGGATGAGCTATAGATGTTAGTGGTAGCTGTTTTTAACCACAAAGATGTACTCACCTGCATCAAAGATGGAAAAAGGTCGCGTTGTGTAAAGTACGTAAGCAAGCCGGTCTGGAAAGCTCCTGAAGCAACACACAAGGCCACCTGAACTGCCTTTTTCTGAATGCGAGCTACGCATGATTAGACGTTATCTACAATTAGTTATCAGATTTCCGCATACCTGTCTTTCCGGACTTGATGGTGGTGTCGAGTGTCGTCACAAGGTCGTTGAAAACAGTATCGACATGATCGAGGCCAGCTAGCACTTCTATGATGTCTGAACTTGGATTCGTGTATCGCTTTGAGAACACTTTGGTGAGGAACACTGTCAGGTTCTAATCTGTAAGTAAGAGTAACAATCAAGTTGGTGGTGAGACATACATCGAGAGCATTCTCATCAGAAGGCGACGATCCAGATCTGGCATAGGCAATCGCATGAGATACGAATTGCTCACAGTGATGCTATTCAAGTCAGATGACGGTTCAAATAGAGTGAACCGTAGAGAAAGTACCGAGACGTGGAGTAGATCTATTGCTTCCAGGTCATCCAATGATTGTCCAAAGCGAGCATTGTCGGGTTTTAAAAGGAAGAATTCACGCCAGAAGCCTTCCGACTTTTCCTCTTCCTCGCGGTCCTATGAATTCTATCAACATCAGACTCTGAACTTTTCAAAGCATTATTAGATACCTTAAACAACTGTCGGTAAAGTTGTGCAACTTTTGGTTCGAATGTATCAGGGCGTGATTGTTGTGTCAATGGTGATATTTCCATAGTGGCTCCCGAATTGATCTCTAGACTCTGTTCTTTGGAGGTTCGGCCAATAAGCCACAGGCACAATTCAATATTCTCGAGATCGGAGCGAGGAAAGAGAGTCAAGACAGCATCTGATGAATGAGCGTGTTGTTTATTACAATCTCAAACCGCCTAGCTTGTGCCAAGGCCACGTCATCCCCAGTTTCAAAGGACGACGACTTGACAATCTCGGCATCAACATTGACAGTCATCAATGAGCACATCACGGAACAAGGCTGTGTTGGTAGGCGTGAGCGGTGTGTCCTCGTCAGGAAAGACGACGCTCGCGCGACTGCTAAGGGACATCATTCCAAACACATTCATTTTGCACGAAGACGACTTCTACAAGACAGATCAGGAGATACCTGTCAACGAGGCCGGTGTGCAAGATTGGGATTGTCTCGGCTCACTCGACCTGGAAGCGCTTGAAAAAGCTCTTGACTTTATCAAAACCCATGGACATTTGCCGTCCAATCTAGAGTCCAAGGAGGACAAGAACGCGGTGGGTGAATCGAAGGTGGATAGGCAGAGGGTGGCAGAACTCAAGGAAGAAGCAAACAAATCACTGGACGCAAAGGCTAGTGTGCCAGTCTTTATCATCGACGGGTTTCTGCTCTTCTCTCAAGAGATGCAACATATCCGGGAATTATTCGACGTCAAACTCTTCCTCCGAGCGAATCACAAGACGGTGAAGCAGAGACGAGAGGCCAGATCAGGCTATGTCACATTGGAAGGGTTCTGGGAGGATCCGCCTGGTTACGTCGACTCTGTGGTTTGGGCAAACTACGTCAAGGACCATGCCTTTTTGTTCGAGGAGGGAGACGTGGAGGGAAAGTTGAAAGATGACGTTTGTCAGGAACTGAACATCGACACGGCACCGCTGGCTGTACAGGGGAACATGACTGCATGTGTGGACTGGGCTTATGGAAAAATAACAGATCATCTATTGAAGAGGACAGCGAAGTGAGTCAAGCAGGAGCATAGCAGGAGCATAGGGCATGAAGCATGAAGGGGCATAGAGCGCGTGAGCCAAGAGTTGGCCAGGCGATGATGATGAGATGACGAGATAATGAGAATCAACTGGACATGGAGCGAAATCGAGTATACAGGTCTCACACATGGTCAAGTGAATGGAGTAGGCAGGGTTGAGTGAAAGCGTGGCTCTTGCCGCATTGGGCCAGATGGCGGGCGGGCGTCGCGTGGTCATGGCGTCTTCTCTTGAGTGACGATTCTTTCTTTCCAATCGCTCGAGCCTTCCGAGTTCCTATCCGCGTCTTTGGCAACTTGTCACCTTTTTCCTTCCATCAGACTCAAGTTCCCTCGCGCGCATCTCCTCGACACTCGATTCCGTCCATACACAACAGCTTCCTCGACGCGATCCAAGGTTGCGACAGCATGGCCGGTCAAGCCGATATCTCTAGCATCCTGGCCGCTCTGGGTACGTCTTCCACCACCCGAGACTCGACCTTGACTCAACTAACGCGTCTCCCAGCTCAGCGCCCTGCCTCCAACCCTGCGCAGCCTCCGCAGCAAGGCCCTCCCCCTGGTGGCATGCCCCAGGGCTATCCTCCTCAGATGCCCAACCCCTCACTTGGCGCCTTCTCTCTTCCGCAGCCGTCAAACTCGGGCAGCGTCGACTTGAGCGCAATCCGTCCCATCAACACCGGCTCTGTCAGCATCGCCGAGGCTATCGCAAAGGCAAAGAGCATTGCTGCCGACCGTGGCATCTCGTACGACAACCGCCCTCAGCAACAGATGCACCAGCAGCAACCACCGCGCGCCGACCCTCGTCTTCAGGGCAGACCGACTTACCAGCAGGAGAGATCCCGCTCGCGCTCGCCTCCCCGTCGCGACAACTTCCGTGGCAACTTCAACCCTTACCGCGACGAGCGACGTGACGCTGACCGTCGAGACCGCGGCTACAACAACCGCGACAGATCCCTATCTCCCGGTCCCCGTGGTGGCAGAGGAAACTTTTCTCCCGGTCCTGGCGCTCGTGGCCCTGGCCCTCGCTCGCCTACAGCACGCGCTCCTCCCGCAGACAGTGATACCATTTCGGTCAAGTCCGCGCTTGTCGGTCTCATCATTGGCCGCAATGGAGAGAACCTGCGACGCGTCGAGTCCGAGAGTGGCGCTCGTGTTCAATTCATCCCCGCCAAGGAGCCCAACGCCGTCAACCGCCAGTGCACCATCTCTGGCCCCCCTCAAGCTCGTGAGATTGCAAAGCAGGAGATCTTCCGTGTCATGGATGAGAATGGCGGCAGCGTGCCACCAGAGCGTGGTCCTCCTATGGGCCGTCAGCAACAACCCGCCATGCAACAGAGAGATCAACAGCCTGCTCTGCGCGAAGGCGAGAACAGCGTTCAGATCATGGTGCCCGACAAGACGGTCGGTCTTATCATTGGCCGTGGCGGCGAGACCATCCGTGACTTGCAGGAGCGCAGCGGTTGCCACGTTAACATTGTCAGCGAGAACAAGAGCATCAACGGCATGCGTCCCGTCAACTTGATTGGCACACCCGACGCTGCTCGCATCGCAAAGGAGATGATTCTCGAGATCGTCGAGAGCGACGTCCGCCCACCTCCCGGTCATCCTGGCCACCAGCCCGCTCAACAGGACACCCGAGCACCTGCACCCTTCGACCCTTACCGTGGAGGCATGAGCAACGATCGCGCTGGAAGCGACAAGATCACCGAGGAGATTTACGTCCCGTCAGAGGCCGTAGGCATGATCATTGGCAAGGGAGGTGAAACCATCAAGGAAATGCAAGCCACCACTGGATGCAAGATCAACGTCGGCCAACCTGAACAGCCCGACGTTCAGCGCCGCATAGGTTTGGTAGGTAGTCGCTCTGCCATCGACGAGGCAAAGGGCGCCATCTGGGAAAAGGTCGACACTGTGGTAAGTCACGAACATCCAATTGCAGCATACAGTCCGCTAACAATCACTCAGCAACAACGTGACCGCAATGGTGGTGCAAGAGAACAACGTGCTCCTCGTAATGACTATGGTGGTAACAACCAATACTCACAGCAGCCTCAGCAGCAGGCTTATGGACAGATGCCAATGGGCGGTGCTGCTCAAGCCATCTCTGCTTTGCAGGGCATGTCTGCCGCACCTCAGCAGGCACCCGCAGCTGACCCCAATGCGGCTGACCCATACGCTCCTTACGGTGGCTACCAGGCATACTGCGCCATGTGGTATGCTGCACTTGCCCAGAATGGACAAGGTGCACAGGGTCAGCCCCAAATGCCGCCTCAATAGGGCGGTTGGCTGCTTTGAACGCCGTGACCGTGTGACGGTTCTGATCACTTTGCCTGGACAATTGACATGACGACGGCAACGACCCACGACTGCATCTATTGCTTATAGATCTGCTTGATGCCGTTCTCGATGTTCTTGCGCTGGTAGACATGCGTGACACGCTGCTCCTCACATGCCTGGTCTTGATGTCGTCTATCTCCGTCGCTGTGTCCTGGATTGACCTGCTCTTATCACCCTCGAGTGCTTGACATAAGCGTGGTTCTGTGACAGACCAAGTGGCAAGTTCGCGTGCTTTGACGACTTCCTGTTGCTCATGCTTCTTCATCCATCGTGGTTGACCTCCACTCTCGCACAATGAACCTGGATCTGGATCATTGGCTTTGACACTCGATACCTGCACTCGTTCTCAAATTCTGCCTGGACATGCATGTTGTTGTTGTGTCACATGGTGCTCTTCATTCTACCATCGAAAAGCTGGACATGACATGCCACCGTCCCTCACCCTAGTTGATCTGCAATCTTCAATTCTGGTGAACATGAAGTTGTCCATTATGCCTGCTCATTGCATGAAACTATACCCCCAAACTCACAGGAGCGCATCTTCCGCTCTAGCATGCACCGGTCGCAATTGATTCTTGATGTTTTCTTGTCTTCTTGTCCTTTTGACATTCCCATTATTCTGTACTTTAGCAAATCCACAACACAACTTTTCAACCTTTTACCTTGTTGAATATTTTTGTGACTCCTCTGTGATTGATCGCGCCATGTGAGTTCCTGATCGAACCATTTGTAATGATTTCCATGACTAAATAGTTAGGGCACTCCATATCCAGCCAACTTGACGTGGCAAAGCACGGGACCAACCAAGAGTCTGGAGTACTTTACACCCTTCTACTTTCTACATACACGAATGAGGTTAAGGACAAAGTATCAAGATATGCGGTAAACGAGGTCAGCGGTCCTCAAGAAGAGTATGCTGTAAGTCGTGTTCGTTTTGTAGACGTGGACTGCTGGTTAATGAATTTAGCGACAGGGTCGTCCCCACTGCATCGCCCTTGAAGAATTTTACATGGACATCTTCATCACCTACTACCACAGCGCTGTACAAGAACGACGGCCGATGGCAAGGAGCTTTCAAGCTCCCAGTTCAGTGATGTAGGCCTGCGAACCACCGTCGATTCTGACCTCTCGACAGATGCCTTCCCAGTATTCGAGGCAACCTACGAGGCGCGGCATTAAGCGAGAGACGTTGCGACCAAGAACCATGCATTCGGGTGCCTACAATCGATTGAGAAAAGAGATTGCTTAGGTTGCCCTACTTAGAGATAGCACAAATGTTGTCAGTTCATCTGCCATGCAACACATGCTATCTATCGAATCCTCCAGAGAGACAGGTTTGAAACGCTTGCCGTTGTGACATTCCGAGGCTTCGAGGAAACATTCGGGAAGGATTTTGGAAACCGGGATTTTAAGCCGTGGTGGCTTAAGCCGCTTGGCGACGATTCGGGAAGGAGGCATTTTTGTGATTTTTTGTTGGGTATCTTCTCTATCTGTAGAACGTCACAGTTCGTCTTGAGTCGTCCGTCCCTGCGAGAACTAACGATCGAGGGTGTGTCTTGATGCAGAGCACTTGTCTGCGGTTGACCTCCAGCCTTGTAGGTACGCCAGAATGACTTTCCAAGCAGAAAGAACCTCCAGAAGCACACATGAATCGAGGCTGCGAATGGCCTCTGCGATCGCCGTTACTGCACGTCGCCAAGAGCTACTTTTGCCGAGGAAACTCTTTGGCGTTTCTTGGGATGCTTGGAGGTGATGCTTGAGTTGCTTGACAGGCGTCGCCTTTGAACGACGAACATTTTTTGGGAGTTACAATTATCGATCAAATTCAAGTGAGACTTGCAAGTTGAAGCTCTCTTGCTTGCAGGCTGTCTTTACCGTGCATCGTCCACTCTAGGCCTTCCGCTCCACGTGAAAAAGTGTTGTTAGGGTTTGGAACCCCAGTACGTAAGGAAAACTGTAGATCCGCTTTGACCTGGTGGGCGGCCGCGCGCGCTCAATATGCTTCAGTGCTCGCGTGGCTCAAGTGGTCGACTCCGACAGCCGTAGGTACAACTGTACAGGAGAACACCACAGTGCTCATCCGTTATTGGAGAACAGCCCTTTGTGATTGGATGCATGTCACCTTATCTGGAGGCAAAAGGTGGGCTGGCTTCTCCAGGATAGACCTCAAGCCAGGAATAAGCACAAAAACCGCCTTCTCGCTTCAGACTGACCCGGACCACGCCGTCTTATCAAAGCTCGTGTCTAGACACGCACGGAAGATCTGGTACCGGAGCGAAACGTGAGCGTTTTTGTCGCGAAAATTGGGGGCGCGCTTCACTTATCTAGCCGGCGCCCTGGCACACAATCATTTTTCGTCGGCGAGCTGCGACACTCCTCATACTTATAACCCGTAGGACCTCTCCGACAGTTTGTCAGAGAAATCCCAGTTTTGCGACTAACCCCCAACTTCTTACCTGACCGTTCGCCCTGTCATCTCGCGACATTGCGGTGAATTGCGCGATTCTACCCCATCTTCTTCGGTAACCGCCTATACACACTGTTTAGGGTCCAAGAAAAGATGTCGCACATTCAAGATCTGGAGAAGAACCCCGTGGAGTCGGGTGTTGGTAGCATCCCTTCATCGGCAGACTACCCTTACGAGGAGGCGGCTGTTCCTGGCGAGAGCTTCGAATATGGCGATGGCTACTACGCCAAGATGCAGCGCCTGGCTGGCAAGTTCAACATCGAGCAGCGCGGTATTGAACGCGTGCCCGAAAATGAGAGAACAGAGACCGGCATCAAGGCCTTGTTGAACGTCATGACAATGGTGAGAACTTGAGGAACGCGCTGCTGAAGCGAGCCTCTTGCTGACCGTACCTTTCAGTGGCTCTCAGCAAACATGGTCGTTTCTTCGTTCGCCATTGGTATTCTCGGACCCGGGCTGTTCTTCACTGGATTCGCCGATGGTATCTTGTGCATTCTATTCTTCAACATCATCGGTATCATTCCCGTGTCGTTCTTCTCGGCTATGGGTCCCAAGTTTGGTCTCCGTCAGGTTTGTATCATGTGAATTGGTTCCGATCATGTTCAACGACTAATTTCATGCAGATGGTTCTGTCCAGATTCTGGTTTGGATGGTATGGCGTGAAGCTCATTGCTATTTTCAACGTTATTGCTTGCATCGGCTGGTCTTCAGTCAACTCGATCGTTGGTGCTCAGCTGCTCAACACCGTCAACGAAGACGTTCCTGGATGGGCCGGTATCTTGATCATTGCCTTCTGCACTTTCGCCATCACCTTGTTCGGATACAAGATTGTTCACGCGTACGAGTTCTGGTCATGGATTCCAACCTTCATCGTTTTCCTGATCACTATCGGCGTCTTCGCCAAGACTGGTGACTTCTACAATATCCCATGGGAGACCGGCAAGACTGAGATGGGCGCTTGTCTCAGCTTTGGAGCTACCATCTACGGTTTCGCTACTGGTTGGACTTCATACGCTGCTGACTACACCGTGTATCAGCCCAGCACGCAGAAGCGCTGGAAGGTCTTCCTGTTCACCTTCGTTGGCCTGCTTTTCCCTCTTCTGTTCACGCAGATGCTTGGTCTGGCCGTCATGACTGCCACCAAGATCAACGATGGTGACAACATTTATGCTGCCGGTTACGCTAAGTCCTCGACTGGTGGTCTCCTCGGAGCTGTCCTGATCCCTCACCTCGGTGGATTCGGAAAATTCTGCCTCGTCATCCTGGCTCTTTCTATCATTGCCAACAACTGCCCCAACATCTACTCGGTCGGTCTTACCGTCCAGGTGTTCGGAAAGTGGATCCAGCGTCTTCCTCGCTTCATCCTCACTCTCGTCGCCACCGGAGTCTATATTGCTATTGCTATTCCTGGCTACAGCCACTTCGAGGCCGTGCTTGAGAACTTCATGAACTTCATCGGATACTGGCTTGCAATCTACACCGGTGTCGCATTTGCAGACCACTTCGTCTTCAAGCGCAGCCTTGACGCTTACGTGATCTCGAATTACGACAAGCCCAAGAACCTCGCCATTGGCATTGCTGCTGTCATCGCCTTCTGCTTCGGTGTCTGCGGCTTCGTCCTCGGTATGTCGCAAACCTGGTTCGTTGGCCCCATTGCCCTTACCGCCGGTGACGCACCTTTCGGTGGTGATGTTGGCAGTGCTCTCGGCTTTGCCTTTGGCTTCACCTCATACCTGATCCTCAGACCTCTTGAGCTCAAGTTCATCGGCAGGTAATGAATTGCCACCTCGTTTTTTGTTGTTTTTATTATATTTCTTCAAAAGAATTTTATGATGGTTTTTGGTTGGATGATATCCGAGTTTGAAAGGAAAAGCTCTCCCCTTGTACATAGACAGATTATGGAAACACTACCTAACGATACCTAGGCTCCTCAGATGTAGGACCTAGGATCATTTCTTCACTACTCTTACCCTCTTGTCTGTCTTACTTCCCCGTGAATCGCCTTGCTTGATGCTTGCTCAATCAATATGAAGACAGTCCAAACACCCACACAATTGAGATTATAGACGAAAATGTGATTCGGGCAAGTTTGACAATAAACCGGGTGCAAAGACCATTCTGTGGTATACAGCGGAAGAAGAAGCGAATGAGGGACAAACTCGTAAATTGCTTCTTCATGCTGTAAGAGTCTGATGCAACCACACATGCTGATGCAATGCCAAGTCTCAGAGCGAAAGGTTCTCAATACAGCTTCAGCAGGTATGCATAGTGCACAAAATCACGGGGTGATACCCAGGCTTGGAAGGGAAGGCGCGTGTTTTTCTCAATCTAACTCCCAAAGTGCCGTAGATGCCATGATAATCTCGCCAAGCCGAAAACGCAGGTCGTGATCTGTTTGGATACACGGACCTTCCTGAATAACAGTCAAGGTAAATCATCCCAATGCAAAATTCTCAAGATCCCCCTAAGCTTCATTCCTTTCTTCGAGCAACTAAGCAGCCTGCCTTCTCAGTGGAGCATAAGCCAGATTCAGAGATTGTAGCTACCAGCGCTTCCAAAACTCTGTCCGAGATTGCTACTGAATTTCCTAGAAATCGTGCGATTCTCCATGCCAATGGGGGCAGACATTTTTCTAGATGGGCGGCGCGAGAGACGATTGCTGCCTGATGCGCGTCTATTCCTGACCTGAGGAGATGTTGCATTGCCTCGAGCGGTGTCATCAGAGTCATACTCGCGCTCATTTTCCGAGATAGCGATGGAAGATATGGTGTCGGTGCGAGTGAGTAGAGGACCAGGGCTGCCATACTCTACTTCCTCTTCGTCATCTTCTTGAGCGATGCTGCTCTCATCATCGTCTTGAACGTTCTCGGTGTCACCACCGAAGCCTTCTCCTTCAACAACCCAGAAGGAAGGTACTGCTGCAAGCGTTGCGATGAAAGATAACACCCACCATGGAAGAATGATGTAGCCAATTTTGACACCATATGTGAAGGTGGAGCCACCGATCGCTGGACCAAGTGCTCGACCGACGGCTCCAACACTTGTTGCAATACCATTGAGAGTACCCAGAATACGAAGACTGCTAGCGGAGTTGGTCAGAAGAATTGTGGAGCATGGGAAAGCAAATGTGGAAACTGCGAACACGTTAGAAACTTCTTGAATGAGGGGCTCGAACAACATACAAAAGCCCTTGACAACCATGACGATAAAGATCGCCACCTCTTGACTGGTTCTGTCGGGTAGAAGAGCTACAAATGGGACGAAGAAGTATATGACAGGCATGCAGATTGCGCAGACGCGTAGACATCTGACCACACCATATTTCCGCGCCACCGGTGGGAAGACGAGGAATTGCACAAACATTCCGGAGATTCCGTAGAGCGTGAATATGAATCCAATCCGACTAGAGTCAAGCCCAAAACCACCTGCAAATTTGAGGGGCGGCTGGAAGTCAGGGTTGCTTGCAGAATGATCTTGGACAGGATGATGCATGAAAATAGGAATGAGCTGGTCAAAGGCAATGTTGTGAAGAGCCAAGAGCGTGTAAACGACCAAATTGATGATGGTCTGGTGATTCAACACCTCTCGGAAGCCGGGTGGAGGAAGTGCAGGCTTAGGCAATGTGTTGGCCTCTTCATCAGATTTTGGAGAAGGTGCGAATTGAGGCTTGAGCAGTGGCTCTCTTTCCAGATTCTCTTGATCGTCCGCGCGTGTGATGATGCGTCTCAAACTTCTTATCGCCTGCTTCGTGTAATATTTGAGTCTCAATCCTAGTTCGAGTCCATAGTCACGGCGATCCTTTTTCGCAGCAAGGGTTTCCTGTTGAAGTGAGCATGTGTGTCAAAAGTGCTGTGTATTGCCTATTACCTCTAAGAACAGTGTTCCGATCGTGATGCCTGTTACGAACAGAATCACAGCAAGCATATTCGGCAGCGCGTACGGAAATCTCTCGAAAAGCCTAGGGTGGTCCGATAACAGCTCGCCAGGTTTGACATGGTATGGATTAGCTAGAGCACCACCTAGCGTGGGTCCAAAGATGCTGCCAATGTTCCAGACGAGTGGCATTACGCTGAAAGCGCGTGGTTGAAGCTCTTTGTATGGCACCATCTCAGCAACGGCTGTTCTGATGATGCCTACGGTGCCGTTGGCGGCTCCAGCAAGTGCTCGAATGGCAATAGCCATACCCAGACTACTAGAGAAGCCCCAGAGAAGAGATGTGATCATGGTGCAGGTCAAGGAGAGTAAGATCACTGGTTTCCTGCCATAGCGATCGCTAGCTCGTCCCCAAGATACAGCGGTCAGGAACTGAGCTAAAGGAAACATGGAGACACAGATTCCTGCCCATCTCGCAACTTCAGCCTCTGGTACACCTAGACTCTCTATCATCTCTGGCACTGGTCCAATGGATAAGCTCGACGTAACCATATTTGACAAATCTAAGGACCATACTCACAGTACGGTAGCACAGACGTGAATGCGATGGGTTCAGCTATTCGCGCCAGAGCCTGTGGAATTACGTTAACGGATCTTTGATATGGAATATGCTGAGGCTACGGCTGTCTGTACGAGGCTTGCTTACCAATACACACATCTGCTGCACAGGCAGACGGCGTTCGGGTTGCTTCTTGTTGGTCGTTGCCATATTTACTGTTGTTCAAGGTTGACACTAGTACAGCCTATAGAGGAAGGAGTGACGAAGAGGCAATAACACATTTACTGTAATGCAGGAAGCGACGGAAAAGTTTCGAGTTGCACGCGGTCATCGAAAATTATGGTGCAAGGGACGTCCTACCTTGTGTTGTCACGAGGCTTCATTGCGGTGAAGAAGGGAGACGATAGGCCAATGCTTGCCCATAAATTAGCCGCCGGATGTCGGCCCGCGTGGGAAGAGGGGCCCAGTACCGTGCTTGGCATACCATCTCAGGAGTTTGCCGGTCTTGGTCTTTCGACTGCAACAAACCGACATCTGCCTGCTTTCCTGGAAGGAGTGCTGTATGGTGATGGCGGCCAAGAACCTACTACGGGGCATCAATCTGAAAGTAAATGCCTTTCCGCGGATATCAAGCCTTGGCGACTGGCCTGAGGCTCCTGTCATTGCTATTTCCGCTCTACAGCCGGAGGGATCCTTGATTGATACTTCCTACTTGACGTAAAGCACGTCTTGGTAGACCTTGATACCCATCATGTGCAGAGTCAATGCCACGAAGGATCAATTGGTTGCATGCATACCACGATAGTATAAAAGGACTTGTTTCGCAGGTCGATGGGTAAAAATCAATTGTTCCTTGATCATTGAAAAGTGACACTATGAAGCCTTTCCACGACTCTAGCCTGGCCGCATGGCTCACCCTCTTGTTGGTGCCGCTCCGGATTAACGCTCAAAGAGGACGGGAGTGGATTTCATCTCTAGCGTTGACTACAAAGTATCATCTCTCTAACACAGTTGTGCATAGACTAGACTTCACCCTACGCTTTTTCGAAACCAGTCAAGACGACACATGCAGTTACGCCAACTCAAGCAACGCTCTCACTTGTACCACAAGAGATGTCCCAAGAGTCAATCACTGTTTCAATCTTGTAGACCTCTTCGACGGCAATGCTACTGAAGGCTTTGTGAACCAGACACGTAATCCCTACGCCCCTGTCGAAGGGGTCCGCTGCAATGTACAGAACTCCGAAATGTTCAATCCTGAAGCCAACTACTCTTCCATTCTCTACTGCCAATACCAGCTACACCAATCGGACAATAAAGACCTTGAGTCGGGTCATACAGCCAGACGAGGGGTAAGTATATATCCAGGTCAGGACTGTCGAGATCTGGCTCCAGATGGCAAGGTCAAGAGGTGGTATGGATTCAGTTGCTAGAGTGAGTCAGAGGGCGGTTGCGGAACCACACCTTATTCTATCGCTAGTTTCCTGCTTTATCCTCCGCCTGACTCTAGTGAGGACGACAAGGAGTGCGTGGAGTTCTCACAGAGTGGTCTACTAAGTGCTGCCACTGGCTTGCGGAGCCCATGGATAGGATATAACGTGTTGGTGACTGTGGTGATGGCTGCCTGGATGGTCATGTAAGGGACTAGCGGCTGCAGAAGTAGAATTGCAATGTGGAGCTTGGAGAGAAGGTGCTGGTCGTTCGTCGTGATAATCTCGCTCTTCGATCTCAACATACATCGCGATAGATAGCATAGACAGTGGAAGGTGAAACAATAACAAAAAGTCTTCCTGGATCTTGCAAGTTGGTGCCTCGGAGCAATTACATCATTCATCCCAATACGTCCGTTAGGATGCCTATCTCGAATCCTTCGCCTCGGCTTACCGGAAGAGACGATCAATCAGAGCCTTGTTCTTATCCTCGCAAGCATGCATGAATATTATCATCCTTCAATTTCGCAGGCAAACTATGAAATTGTCGCAGATGGTCTTCTACACCGGTATTGTGTCTTCCACATGCGCAAACACGATGGCCAAAACCCGACTAGACAACTGGTTCAGAAACCAGATCGAACAGCACAAAGCATCACATATACATTTCAGTGGAAGACACAATGTTGTCGACGCAAATTCGTCTTCCATACGAGAGATGATAGATTTCGATTTCAGTGCCCAAGTCTCTGGTTTTGTGGACTTCAGCATGATCGAAATCACAGCATCCACGAATGCGAACACAGTCGTGATGATGGTCGCTGGAGGGACCGAGGAGGCTAGCGAGGAAGGCCTTCTTCAACAAGCGGTCGAGAAACTAAACAGCATCTCTTTGTCCGAATACGAAGGGTGCGCTCTTCTCCTCCGCCATAGGCGTTTTTGCATCAGACTGACAAAGTCCAGGGTCACAATCATCCATGAAATTGTCAATCGTGAAGTTATGGCTGCGAGACTGCAGACTTGGGCCAATCACGCAAGATACGGTGGCAGAGTACAGTTCGAACATAAATCTGTCTCGGCGACTCTCGTGCCAGAGATGCCGACGTCTAACAAGTCTTGCACCAATATTCGAGTCGTTTGGAAATACAAATGGACCAAGCCCTCGACCACCAAGAGCCCGGCCCAGCGTAGATTGCCATCACGTCCAAACATATGTCCAGGACCTCGACTCAAGACCTGGGAAATGCGGGTGCCGCATGCGATGGTGGACGGCGAAAGAGGGGTAATCGCTTTGGGAGATGACGTCGTGGGAGGTTCACCCATGATCAAGGCGATGGCGAAGCACGCTTTATACGAGCCTCTCGCTGCCCAGGGCCAGTTCCGAACGAGCAAGATCCACAGGTGGGGAATGGACGAGCCGAATGGTGAGCCATCATATCTCGGCTACCGGAGCTTTGGTGCAGGTGCGCGGGCGGACCTTCCACCACCTTACAGTGCGTGAATCGCTGCGCGTCCTTAGGACAGATCCTGCACATTTTTATCCTTGTCTGATGCGCGTCGCATTTGTCGCATGGCCTTTATGTCGCACACATAGATGCGAACATCGTTCCTGTTCCTCATGCAATGCGCACGAGACTTGAATTGCGAGGTATCTCAGAAGTATGACAGTTGTCAGCCGAATACCCGTATTACAATTAAGCTAGTATGGATTTTTCTCCCATGCCGTGAGTGTGTTACATTCCGAGCTTGGAGTATCAGGTGATGCTATGCTCAAAGACCTAGATAGTATCCTGGCCGGAGGTTTAAATGATGTCGAGGTTGGGGCCTCGAGCTCGGCAAGGAGCACGCCAGGAAGAGGTCCTGGTAATTCGGTAATATGATTGGCAGGTAATTCAATGCGGCATCCTTCCGGCAGCTCAAAGATCCTCCCATCTGGCAGTTCAACCCTGTAGGGTCCCGTAGTCCGCGTCGGCTGTCTTTCGAGCTCCAGACGTCTTGGCAATGGGCTGCCCAGCATTGGGGAGGTGTCAGGAAGGTCCTTCAATCCGTTCGGGCCGTGTTCTAGATCCTTCGCCTTGTCCTCATTATTGAATCTCCCTTCTCTGCGCATGCCTCGGTAGACATGGGTTTCCCAAATATCAGAGACGAAAGTGGCCAAGTGTAGGCCTACGAGTGCGAGATTCAAGCCCCAAGTTACGACGAGCTCGTATTGTGGCGTCCATGAACCACTGTTCAAGGAGCCCGGGGGTCCAGCGATGTATCCAGTCATTGCTAGGACAGCGACTACCAAGAGGTCCGCAACGAGCAGAAATGCAGGGTGTAAGGTCTTGTTCTTCCGCACCCTGAATAGTAGGATGACAGCGAAGACATTGACAACAAGGGAAAAGCAAGGCTGTCATACGTGAGCATTCATCTTGGATATGATAAGGGCATTGCCAGCGTACAGCAGCGATAGAGAAGGCATGACCTCCTAGTTGTGCTTCATAAGAGTAGGCGTATTGAGAAAAATCTGGCCATACGGCACCAAAAACAATCAACGAGACGACCGCAGTGGTGATTGCGGCCCAGCGAATGGCGGATCTGTAATACCAGTATTTACCATAGCCATCGCACATGCGTCGCCATCTTACGGTGTGCTTGGTGAGAGACGACATGCCGACCGAATATGTAGTAGTGAGATCTAAAGAGAGAGAAGGATACGAGCAGTAAATAGATTCGGGCATCTGCACTAGCTTACTCCTCAATCCTTCGACGATCACTCATCGCTGTTGTGCTTTTAAGGATCGCTCGGGCCGAAAGTTATTGCAGAAACAGTGACGGGTGGGACGGCTGGACTTTAGACGATCTACCAAGCCGTACAATTCACAGCAACAGCAAAGAGTGTGCTCAAGACCACAGTACAAACAAGACTTGAGCACGAGCATATCTCAGAGCACCGACCCTCAACGCGAGAGCAGAAAGGGCGAAAAGGTGAAAAGGTGAAAAGGTGAAAAGGTCCATCCTGAATTGAGCGATGAGGGAATCATTTGGCGAGAATCACGAGGAGAAAGGGGGGGGCGCGCTCATCAGGAGTGCGGAGACGCGCGTCTGAAGTCTTGACTTTGCTCCTTCCAAACAGCTGAACTTTCACGCTCTTGGCTTTGGTCACCTCTCGTTGGTCCGAGCACAGAATGCGCAGTCACGACACAAACGACTTGAAAGAGATGGGACAGGGCTAGAGATATAGGACAAAGCAAAGGCAGTGTCTTCAACAGACGCTCGTTGTGACATACTTGTTGAAGGATGCCTGAAAGACTTGCGACGCGTGCGCTTCGGCGTCATGGCCCAGGATCCAATCTTCTCGTGGCATCTGCACCGACTTTGGGTCGTCCTTGACGCGATCCCAGTCGGCTTTGTGCCACATGTCCCTGGTCGTCTCGCCCGTCTTCTGGACTGCCTTGACCCGCTCATAGCGAATGTCCTGGAAGGCGCGTAATGCCGCTGGGATCTGTGACTTGCCTGCTACCTTGAGGCAGTAGGCGAGCGTAACTCCATCCTCGAGAGCTTGCGTTGCACCCTGAGCGCTCGTGGGTAGGAAGGGATGAGCCGAATCGCCTAGCAGACACGTCCTGCCGTGGTCCGACACCCATCGAGGCAGCGGATCGCGATACACCAGCTTCCAGTCCACTGATTTTACTCGTCAGCCTTCAGAGCCCGCTCATACCATCAGTCCGCTTACCACAAGAGGGCGTTTTCTCGACAATCGCCTTGCACAGCGGGTCCCACCCATCGATGACCTTGTACACGTCCTCCATCTTTCCCGGCAACGACCAACTCTCCTCGATGTCATTGTCGTCCTTGTGTGTCATGACCCAACAGCAGTCCTTGCCGCCTTTGATGGTTGAAAAGAGAAAGTGTACATCTGGTCCGATCCAGCCTTGGAACGTGTCGCCATTCGCGCAGAACTTGCGTGTGCGTGCATCCGCCATCATATCTGTATTGGGGAACCATGCACGAAAGACGGCATAGCCACTCGGCTTTGGCCGGTCGTCGTAGCCCAGCACCAGCTGTCTGGCTTTCGAACGGACACCGTCCGAGCCGATGACCACATCGGCATACACCTGTAATGCCTTGTCAGCAACGAGACTTCTGCTCAAGTTACAAGAGGCACCACCTTTTCACCGCCTTCTAACACAATACCGGCCTGAGTCTCGTCCTCGAAGTATTCTTGGGCTCTTTTGCCCAGATAAATTGGAATACCCAGTTCGTCTCTCGCATACTCAAAAACTATAGTATGCAGCTCGCCACGGTGACCATTGAAGACCGGCGCTTCGGGATCTGCCTTGGGACTTGGTTGGTTAATCACAAACTCACCCGTCCACTTATAGATATTGAAGCCATGATTGCTAAGGTCAATGGACAGTGGCCGTAGACGATCGGACACACGCTCGCCAGACTTGTAATGCCATCTTCGAAAAATCCGACCTGCGTTGCTGCCGAAAGATATGATGTCGCCGAGTACTTTGAGTTCCTTGAAGGACTCGTAGATACTAACATCGTGACCTTGTCGGTGGCACTCAATAGCCGCAGTCAGCCCGCCGAAGCCTGTGGTATATGGTGAGCTGTCTGTGGTCTCACTCCCTGGATTTGCGTTGCCTCACCAGCGCCTACAACGACCACTTTGATGCCTGTCTTGACAGCTGTATTTTGCTCTTGCGAACCATTGGCCTGTTCTGTGGTTGCCATCTTAGGTGTCAAGTTATAGTTTGGGAGTCTTGTTTTCCTTGCTTAGGTAGTCGTGGGCTTTTATATTTTCATCACACAAGAAGCTCCTCCGGCAAGCTAGATGCCGAACCCTCGGACAATTTCATCTTCGTTGTTACCATTTCATGCACCTACCCCGCTGTTCTCCATGTTTTGTCACATGGGCTGCTGTCTATCTTCAAGAGTAAGCTTGCATGATTGGTAGGCAAGGGAGTCGTGATGGAGGGGTGATGTGGGGCAAGTCTGCTCAAAGTGGGGTCCATGCATCATCAGACTGGACTTGATCCTACATCTTGACTTCACACGGCAACTCTTACAAACAGACTGCCGCTTCTGCAGCAACTGATCCTTTGTACAGTCTCCTATCGTCTCATAATGTCCCCGCAGCAATCTTGTTCCATTTGCGAACAGCTAGCTGACACCTCACAACCATGACGACAAACCCAAGTTATGGCATCGATACACCAGGCAGTCAAGTGTCGAACGACTTCTCGAGTAGTATCAAGAACAAAATTGGTGTGTATCTACCCACTTGCCAGCATTCGCAACCTGACCTCTATACAGTACTCATCACTGGCGTGTCACCAAAGTCCATTGGGCAAAAGCTAGCCATCAATATATCGCAGCACAGACCTGAATGCATCATTCTGGCCTCACGTACCTCTTCTAAGCTTGATACTGTCGCGACCAAGATCAGAGAGCTGTATCCAGATGTAGCAGTAAGCACCGTCATTCTGGATCTCTCATCTCAAGCTTCCGTTAGGAGAGCGGCGGATGAGATCTCTAAACTGGTTGACCGCATCGACATTCTCATCAACAATGCTGCTGTCGTGGATTCTGAGCTGGGCTATACCAAAGAGGGTATTGAGATGCAATTCGGCGTTGGTCATGTTGGACACTTTCTCTTCACCACTCTTTTACTTCCTTTGCTCGAGGCCTCTGCCAAAGACTCACAAGGAGCTACACGAGTCATCAATGTTTCTTCTGAAGGTCATCGGATTGGTCCTGTCCGCCTCCACGACTACAATTTCGAGGGCAAGGAAGTTCCTGAAGAAGAATTATCGCCTAGAAAGGAGGCTCGAATGAAGGATGGCCAGAAATACTCTGTATGGGTGGCTTATGGTCAGACCAAATCAGCAAACATCCTGTTCTCGTTGGCGTTGAACGATAGACTCGGCACGAAAGGTATCCGCAGTTATGCCGTGCATCCCGGAGGTCAGTTGACTGTTTCTGCTGAGCCAGATCTTGTGCTAAGCTCTCACCATAGCCATACAGACTGACCTATCTCGGTCTCTTTCACCTGGAGATGCCAAGTTCCTCGAGAAGATCGTCGACGGAAATTGGATCACCCTTGATCAAGGAACCTCGACTATTCTTGTTGCTGCCCTTGATCCGGCACTCGGCAAATCACAGAGGAGTGTTTACATGAGCAATTGCCAGTTTGCTGAAGCTGCACCTTATACGCACGATCTGGTAATCGCGAACAGATTGTGGGACTTGAGCGAGAAGTTGACTTCGAGAGAGACTGCAAACCTGTAAGCGCACTACCAACTATCGTTAAAAGATGATGATGATTGTCGAAGGCCTCCCAGGAGAACATGGTTTGCTTAAAGTAAGCTTGCCCTTAGCTTAAATATAGAGTTGCCGGCGTCGGTCCCCCGGCACGCTAGCTCTTCGGCTACCGTTGCCGTAAGCTAAGAGGGCTTCTTTAAGCGACCCCGGGTGATCCTCCTGCCAGATAAAGATTAGTACTCTGATACTGATATCCCCTTTTACAATGCGTATGATCAAGTGTTCCAGCTATTCTCCGTAATTCTCTATCTGTCATGAATGTTGCTTGACACACTTTCTACATCACTTCCCAACAGTCATGTCTCAAATCAAAATTCGATCACCTCCTCAGCTACCACCAGTCTTTACTAAAGATGCCAGCACAATAGCCCCGGAGCTTGAAGCATTGGTAGAAGAGTCTCGGAGCATCCAGAAGGCTATTCTAGCAAGCATCACCCCAGAGACTGCAACTTTCGCAAATGTGGTTCTACCTCTAGCTCGATCTCAGAATCTTACATCTCGAATTGTGCCTGTTCTTTGTTTCTACGAAGCAGTGTCGTCAGATAAGAGCCTTCGAGATGTATCCACAACAGCCAGCACAATGTTCGCCGACTTTGAGATCGAGACCAAAGCAGACCAGAGAGTTTTCGACTTGATTGATGCAGTAGTCAAGAAGAATGAGGTTCTGGGAGCAGAAGATCAAAGACTCTTGAACCGATACCATAAAGACTTTGTGAGGAATGGTCTTGGAGTATCTCTTGAGCAACGCGACCGCTTCAAGGATATTCAGAAGGCACTCCATCAATTGACCAGCGAGTTTCAGAAGAATCTGAGGGAAGGGAGCAAGGGTATCTGGTTTGTGCCTGAAGCCTTGGCTGGTGTGCCAGAGGATATGATCTCTACCCTAACAAGAGGCAAAGATGATGAAGAAGGGAAGGTGCTACTCACATTCAGTTCCCCGCATATGTCCACGATCATGAGCTATGCAATGAACAGCGAAACACGAAGAGACTATTTCATCGCAAGCGAGAACAAGTGTCTGCAAAACGTCTCCGTCTTCAAGCAGATCATGATTCTTAGACAGGAAGCTGCTCAGATACTTGAGTATACCAATCATGCAGCATTTCGCATCGAAGACAAGATGGCAAAGACACCGAAAGCTGTGATGAGCTTCCTCGATGACCTACATTCGAGACTGTCCGAAGGAGCTAAGTCAGACGTTGAGGGGCTCAAAGGGCTGAAGAGGAAAGATCAGGAGGCTAGAGCAGATGATCGTAAGATGTATCTCTGGGACTGGGCCTACTATAATCGCCTGATGCTCGAGACACAACACTCGGTCAATCGACAGGAGATTGCGGAGTACTTTCCTCTACAGACGACTGTGGCTGGCGTCATGGACATTTATTCTCGACTCTTTGGACTGGTGTTCGAAGAGGTCTGCGTTGAGGACAGAGACGCTTTTTCCCCCACTGATCAAGGATCAGATCTCGTCTGGCAAGAAGACGTCCGACTCTTTGCAGTCTGGGATGACGAGGAAGAAGGTGGTTCTTTCCTCGGATACCTCTATCTCGATCTTTTCCCTCGCGCAGGCAAGTACGGGGGGATGTGTAATATGAATTTGCAATGCGTAACCATCTTCCTCACCGTGTTCTCCGCTTTCCTTGCTGACGCTCAATTACCAGGGCTTCGAAAAACAAGATGGCTCACGCCATTACCCAGCCACAGCACTGATCTGCAATTTCACAAAGCCCACAGCCACCAAACCGTCTCTTCTGACCCACGATGAGGTTCAACTCTTCTTCCATGAGCTGGGTCATGGCATCCATGATCTGGTCGCCAAAACGAAGTTCTCTGTCTTTCATGGTACAGCGACTGTCGATGATTTCTGCGAAGCTCCATCACAAATGCTAGAGTTCTGGTGTTGGGTGCCCCAACTGCTGCAAGAGCTCAGCTGTCACTACTCATACCTCTCTGCTCAACATCTTTCTACTTGGCAAGAAGAGAATTCAGGCGTTGAACAACCGACAAAACATATCCCTCTCGACACGATTGAAAAGCTTACCAAAAGTAAGATTGTGAATGGTAGTTTGTTCCAGACACGCCTCCTGCATCGTAGTTACTTTGACATGATTGTACATCAACCTTCTTCTCTACAGGCCATTGAAGATATGGATATTGCGGCTGAATGGAACAAACTCAACAAGATTTCCTTCCTTGACACACCAGAGGGAAGTGATTGGGGACACGAATACGCCAACTTCGACGCTTTGGTCAGAGTATACGATGCTGGTTTCTATGGCTACCTATAGTAAGTCTCGGTTTCACTCTTCTCAATCTCTCGCGTAAGCGATATCTGCTGATAAAAAAAACACAGTGCGAGAGCTTATGCAACAGACATGTTTTACTCCGTCTTCAAAGATGATCCCCTGAACAAAGTGCAGGGAAGGAGGTACAGACGCACAATGCTAGAAAAGGGAGGTAGTGTTGATGAGATGGAAACGTTGGTTGAATTCTTGGGAAGAGAGCCAAGCACGGAAGCTTTTTACAAAGAGCTTGAATTGTCGTGAGATCGGATACAATCGGTATCGGGTATGTTTCTGTCGTCAGTGCGTGTAGTCGAGACCATTCGGCGCATCTTCAATGTGTTGAGGCTCTAAACCCACTGTGAGCTGATCGTGTCTAATCTAGTGCAGCGATACAAGTCATGTCCATCATAACACGAGTCATGGAAAATATCGAATGCAACAAATGCGTATAGAATGTACAGAGATATGTCATAGTCTATTTGTTTCGTTTTCAAGTGGCTCTGCAAAGTCTGCCGTCCTCCTGGGGCTCCCAGTACTCAGATCCAACAGCAGTAGTGGCGTAAAAGATATGATGAGGATCATACTTGTCCTTGATCTCACTCAACTTCTGGTAATTTTTGCCATAAAACACTTCCTGGAAGTTGGGCTGTTGGAAGTCACCCTCGTTGAGGTAGCAGGATCCGTTGGGAGTCAGCTCGGCAAGCTTTGGGATGAAGAGATTGGTCATCTTGTCCTTGTTGGCTACCATCTCTTCCCAAGGTGCTGTGAAGTTCCAGGGAGTGGTCAGGGTAGTGTCAATCAAAGCGTCGCGCCAGCCGGGGTTGACAGCGTTTTCAGGGAAGCCAGAGCGGGCGAGCGAGGCGTTGACACCGACACCAATGAATTGACCACCATTCTCGTTGATGAAGCGGAAAGCCTCGGTAAGAGCGGTGTTGTTGTTCTCGACCACGGAGCGAGGAATGAGACGACCGCCATACTGCGCGATACCAACCTGGATGGGTGAGAACATTGTGTCAAAGTGCTCGAGGTAAGTCTCAAATTGGCCAAAGTAGTGGGTGTAGGTGATGTTGAGTTGATCAAGCTTGTCCATGAAAGGAGCCAGCAGATCCATAAGCTCACTGAGACCTACGTCAGGGGCAGTGATGGGCGAGATGGCGAAAGATTCGTTGGTGAAGTACCAAACGCTCATAGCTCCAGCATCAACGATCGCAGGGAGTGCAGCGTGATATGCAGTGATGGCTTCGTAATAAATGTCCATTGGGATGCCAGCGCTGGTAAAGGTCAAGTTGAAGCCGACGGTGGGAGTGTCAGGGTGGAGTTTCGAGGTCATAGAAAGAACAATGCCATAGGTACCGCCACCACCGCCAGATAGGGCCCAGTAAAGATCGGTGTTTTGCTGACGGTTGGCCAAGATGTGGCCTCCGGTGGCGGTAACGACCTCCCATTCAAGGACTTGATCGGCAGCAAGACCGTGCCTGGAAGTCAAAGCGGAGTGACCACCACCTTGAGAATAGCCCCCAGCAATGCCGACCGTAGGACATTCACCACCGACGACCTGATAGCCAGCGGCATCGGCAATCTTGTATGCCTCACCACCACGAATACCAGCACCGACCTTGATGGCTTTACCAGTGTAATGCTTGTCTGACCAATCCTTGATCTCAGTATCCTTGAGGTTTCCCATCCAAAGGCCGAGAGCACCAGCACCGGTGCTCTTACCGTTGTAGTCATGGCCAGTGTTTCGTACAACGAGACGAATGTTGTGGTTGGTAGCAAAGTTAAGACCATTGACAACATCGGTGACGTCCGAGACGTTGATGGCATATTGGACGTATGTGCCAATCACGCACTGTGCGGAGCGAGGTTGAAATGGATCACAACTTTGGTTGGCAAAGAAGGGGGCCATGATCGACGAAGAGCTAGGAAGACTTGATCATATTAGACGGTGTCGGAAGCCCAAATGTCATCTCTACTCACTGTGTCTCAGGATCCAACCAGCTATTCTGGAGCTCAGAGCATCTCTCTTCATCGTAAGCAGCGTACTGGTCGTCGTGACATGCAGCGGCAAGAGGAATCGTAGCGATGAGGCGGCCGTTGACTGTCTGGTTCAAACTGTTCCACTCATTTGCACTCGGCCAGCAAGCGTCTCCGGGGAAGCATCTGCAGTCGGCTCTGTTGACAGAAGCTGCAGCAATATTCGCAGTCACGGCTAAAGCTGCTGCTGATGAGATTGAGGCAAGAGCACCGATCGTGATGCCGGAAGCGAGTGTCGAGCGAAGCATGATGGCGTGGTGTGTTCGAAAGGATTAAAGTTGGGCACAGAGAGATATATAGAGACAGTGAAGGAGCCAAGTCCTTGTGTCTGCACTGTGCCACCCGGAGACTCAAGCCTTTTGCTGCAGGCATAAATTAACTTGCCGACCCTCGTGGTCCCAACGACAATTTCCAGAAGGCCGTGACCCTGTGGAGATGCAGGATAACTCGGCAACAACATGTCGAGAGTTGTGGGCCGTCTGCATCTGTGAGTGAGTAAGTCCGCAGCACTAAGGTACTCGCGGGTAAAGTCGATAGGCGAATTTATACTCAGTAAGGTAATGTCACCGACGGCCGTAGAGCTATAAGCGACGCTTGGACCTAGTTTACCCTGTTTTTTAATGAAGATCATTCGTGTAATACGGGAAGCTGCCGACCGCTCACTCACATGCGGAGAAGCTTTGATCTCACAGTAACTGCTGCATACCTCGGTCTTCCGGAATATAAACCCCTAAAGCAGGGTAGTGATTTGTGAGGGCCACATGCTGGCTGGTCATCCTATCTTGTGAAATACCGAGCAGTCCCAACTGCAAATCAAGTGGAGAAATTTCGCGATATTCTTTCGATCCTACGGGCGTATTGATGCAGCCCTGCGACCAGGGAGAGTCCTTCGTGAGCAGATTTGTTTCATCTGCATAGGTATCTTAGATTGTATCCACGTTACCGTCCCGATAAGTCGGGTCATAGTTTGTAAGGCTGTCGAGCGGAAAGACGTGAATGTAAAAAGTCAACACGAACAACTCACTGAACAGCCACAGCTATGAAGCTATTGGAGAGGTGCTGGCGAGCACAAGCAGCGGGAAGCGAACACTTGTGTGTCTTCGTGCGTCGGCGCGAAGCACTCTACTTGTTGTTTCGCGAACTATAATTGATGGTATCTCGAGTAAGGTTGTGTCGGCTTGTTTTCCCCGAAGAAGACATCACCTGAGTAATCTTGTGGGTCGTATAGGATCGCCTCGGAGATTCCTGCCAGCTCAAGGGCAGTTGCTGGAACGTGCAACGTGATCGCTCGCTACAGATCTTCGACAGATGGATTGGCATAACGTCTGGATCAGGTAGGGTAGCTACCACGCATCACAGATATTATCCTTGTGTCGCATCTTTCGTCTTCGTCGCAGCCTGTGGTGATTTTTCATCAACGTTGTTCATGTCGCCTCCACCATATACTGTGGGTTGGGTATACAACCTCAAGACCATACCTACTTCGAGTGATGCGAGAGGCATCATCGCTCTTGCAGTAGTGTTCCCTCTGCTGGCCATCCTGTTCGTGGGGTTCAAGTTCAAGATTCGGTGGAAGACGATTGGCTCGGTCGGAGGAGATGATATTGCCCTAGCCATCAGTTGTGTGAGTAACATGCGAGCAGTCTTAAGAGGGGCATGCATACTGACTCTGACTTCAGGGCCTGAACATCGGATACAGTGCAGCAGCAATTTACCGTGAGTCGACTCTGTTTGCTTCCATCCTTGAGATGTACTAAAGTTGAGCAGAGACAAAATGGGGACTCGGACTGAATGCAGCAGATTTCCCGCCCGAAAATGCAGTGCCTTTTAGTCGAGTAAGTGTCACGGGCGTTGTTTTGTGCCACACCTACTAACATCCTGCAGACACAATTCGCAGGGGGGCCACTGTACTGTCTCACTGTCCTAGGATTCAAACTATCGCTGCTCATATCCTACCTTCGGGTGGCAGGATTCAACCGCACATATGCCACAATCGTTTGGGTGGTCATGGGTTCGGTCATTGTATGCCAAATACTGTTCACCATCTTGCTATCTGCCGGCTGCCGACCAATCGCGAAGCAATGGGACCCGAGCATACCCGGTACATGTCTCAATGCGCTGCCGATATATTTTGCGCTTGGAGGAACAAGTCTAGGATGGGACTTGATCATCATCATCTTGCCCTTTCCCATCTTGCGCAGACTCCATCTGGATTGGCAGAGAAAGGTCGGTTAAGGCGTTTCTTGAAAGCCGCTCACCACTGACGAGACTCGCAAGCAGGTAGCGCTCCTCGCTGTTTTCAGCTTAGGATTTTTCGTCACTATCGTCCAAGCAATCCGGTTGACAAGCATCGCAAAGCTTGCGACATACACGGACTCGAAAGGGTCTATCCAGTGGTCCGCTGTTGAGATCAACCTTGGAGTTGTCGTAGCATGCGTGCCGACGTTTGGCCCATTGGTGAAACGCTGGGGCCAAAAGGTGTCTCGCGGCTCCCGATCGAAGGTATCGAAGTTGGCAGGATCGTCGCGAAGAAAGACCAACGAGACACGCAGTCGTCTTCCTGCAGACATGAGCCGGAGCTGGAAAGGGCCAACAGTAGCAGAGGACGAGATCGAGCTGTGGACATCGACGAATCGAATCGTAGGAGGGGCTTCAAGGATGCAAAGTTCAGCAGCCGCATCCGAGAATGACGATGACGGCAAGCAGAGTGGCTCACAGTCCTTGCACGAGCAGCAGATTCGAGTGCAGCGCGATGTCACGGTCCGACTCGACGAGATTGGATTGCAGCATATCTGACAGTATGTCGTGAATGCAGGAAAGAGGCAGGAGTCGCTGTCCGCAATGACATGCCGACTGATTTGTGTCGCTCTTTCTTCGAATGCTGAGTGTGTGCGGCCGGGCAGGGCGGCGCGGAGCTCGGGAGGCGGCAGCGCGAGCGGAAGCTCTGAAGCCGGAGTCGAGGAAAGGAAGAGGCAACTGCCGTCGACGCTCGTTGAGGTGCACGAGAGTCGGTTGTCGAGGGCCGGAGACAGACGGTGCAAGGCGCATCACTCAACAGCGACGTGGAGCTCCGGCTGTTGCGACCTGCGACTTGCGGCCATTTCCCCGGACGGCCTGTCCCGTCTTGCCGAGTCGACGTGGTCATTCGTCTTCTGCTTCTACTTCCACCCTCTCCCTGTCTGCGCTCGACATCTCTTTCCGTCATCGCTTGGGTCCTGGCTCAACGTCGTCACCTACCCCGAGGCTTAATGAATTAAGATAGCCCCGCGCTCGGATAGACCATCGTTGCTCAACGTTGCGCTCCCTACGGATGAGTCCGGGGGAGTAAGTCTCGTTGGCACCGACACACGCCAACACCGCTGGTGCCAAACGTTAGCATACCACTTCCTTTTGTTCAATCCGCGGCAGTCGTCTCACTTTGCCACTTGACGATGCTACCCTGCCCATGTCTTGCGATTTGCCTGTCTCGGCAGCCAGGCCGACACCGCGACCGGCGACGCCTCGAGCATGCTCTACTCGTGCTCTAGAACTATCCGACAATTGACCACTCACGTGCGATGGCTTAATACACACCACACTCCGTCACTGGCCAGTCGAGGACGTCAAGTCATTCGAATCACTTTGATCTACCCAAAGAGATTAGGCCTACCACACGGGTCAGGCTGTCCACTTTCCAAGTGCGCTGTTCCGTTGCGGCGATTACAGGCAAGGCTGATCCTAGAACTACGAGGTCATCTTGCTCCTCCTCGTCTAAGACGTCGACGCTTCTTCGCATGTTCGTGGAAGTTGGGCTTGATCTACATTGTAGGCTGTAGCGATGCCACCTCTCACTGATTCAGCAAATGGTATGAGGCGAGTACCCACTTTGTTTTGAAAGCATCGCTTGCAAACCTTGATGATATGATTCTTTTCTGCTCGCCTGCTTGCCCCATGTGAGCTCCATCCGCACAATCGAATTGATCGCCTTCTGCAATCTCAACGCTCAAATCATGCAGATTATCGCAGCAGACCGTGGTCCGTCAATTGCCTATCTTCGAGCCCGGCTGGTAGTCTTGTGATCCACCTTTGCCCTTTCATCCAGCTACTACGTCCTTGCCATCATCAAAAGGCTGATCAATTGACTGACAGGAACATTGTGACATAGAAAAAGCTAAACTTGAAAGCTTCTTTGAGGTGGCTCTAATGCACGCGCGAGTCAAGAATGGAAGGAAAGCACGCTTGGCAGGGACGTCCACCGCAAACCCACTTACCACTACCTCTCTTGCGATGTGCAGGCCTCATCTGTCTCCACCTGTGGGGGCTTAGCAGCCTTCGACATTGTTCGGCAAGTCTGTGATGCGACGCATTCGGGTCTTTCGACTGGAGAATATCGCTTTTGCGAGCGAGTCTGCTATTCGAAGGTTCCATGCAGCTGCCTAGCCTGGGCAAGTGGCCGGTGATTTACGCTTGGTCGCAGCGTTGGCATTGTGGACAAGAGTCATACTCCGCGAAACCTGGCCTCAAATTGAAACAACAGCTCTTACAAGTATCTGCAAGCAAAACGTTCACTTACAGTAGAGTTGTTACTTCGCCATCGACGTTTCGGAGAAGATCTCATGACTCAGGCCACCCATCTCTCGACCAAAATGAATTTCGATCTATCGTGGAGTACCAAATCATCGTCCGCATCTTTAGGATCTTCGCTGTTCTCAATGCAACTCCCCCATGAGGACTAAGATATATTAATCTGGAATCACCAAATTTGATGTGCACCTCGACCATTGCGATGAAAAGCATGTCACCCTATCTCGGGCTGATCCGTGCTCAATCCCGCGCGCCAACTCTATTGTCGGACCCGGCTACCGATGACCCACTGGGATCATGTTCATGAGTCGTTGCAAGATCAAAACATCAGGTTCGACCATTCACATCTCAGGTCTTGCCTTGCACATGTCTTTAACTCCAGCATGTTACAACTACCGATGGTTACCGCACCTGCGGGCCGCGTCAAGTATAGTGTCCATCCAACGGAGATCTTGTTTGTTAAGCCTCTTTTCACCCGGAACTAGATCGTTTTTTGTTCTACTTGATCTTGGTTGACAAATTTGGTACTGTTTAGTGCCACTTTCGACCCGTTTCCCCACTTTGGTGCTTTGCTATAGATACTCATCTATTCCCCCAGTCTAGTTCCGTGGTCGTCATTCAGAACCTGGACGCAGAAACGACAACATGGCGAGCCAAGCACAAATAGATATGATCATGGCCCTGGTCGAGTCGGGTATCCCTCTCTCGGAGATCCCAGCTGGCAGGCCACCGCCTGGAGAGGTGTCTCACATTCACCACGCCGTGGGCCGAACGCACATCATCACAACAGCCGACATTATCTGTATGGTAATTGTGATTGTCGTTGTCGCCATGCGAATGTATACTCGTATCTACCTTGTTAAGAGTCTCTGGTGGGACGATTGTAAGTACCTTGGCCAGTAATGTTGTCTCACCTAGCTGACGTATCTCTCAGGGTGTACTCTGTTCGCGCTGGCACTTTGGATTGGCGAGACAGGATTGTTTCAGATGGCCTGTTCCTGGGGTGCAGGCAAACACATCTATGACCTCGCAGTATCAGATCTCTATCCAAATCTCCTACGTGGATGGGTGGTTTGTGCTGTCATGTACAGCATAACCATGCTCTTCTCCAAGCTCTCCATCTTGTTGCTGTATCGCCGCTTGTTCCCTATAAGCAACTTCGCCAAGCGATGGTGGGCCGTTGTCGCCTTCACAGTCGCCTACTCTCTTGGAGGTGTCTTTGCGTCACTGTTCCAATGCCGGCCCATGGAATCCGCCTGGTCTTTGACCACGTCACCTGATTACTGCATCAGCACTGAAAAGTTCTACACGGCCAATGCGGCATTGAACGTCGTCTCCGATATCATGATTCTTATCTTACCTATTCCCATCGTCTGGGGCCTCAACACAGACGTCCGTAAGAAAGTTATCCTCACTGGTCTCTTCTCAATGGGTAAGCATCAACCGACCACTCGTTGCTTCAAGGCTTCACATGACTGATCTGCCTATGTAGGATCCATCTCATGCCTTGTCAGCATCCTCCGCATGCGCTCCATCATCGTACTCTACAAGGACGGATTCGAAGACTTGACGTGGGGACTCGTCGAAGTCGTAGTGTGGTCACAAGCAGAACTTACAGCAGCAATGATCTGCACCTGCACCCCCTGCCTACGACCGCTGTTTGAGAAGATCACTCCTATACTGTTCTCCTCGGTTGTGGGCTCAAGAAAGGGTAACAGTACCCACGACTACAACGGCAGTAATGGTAAATACCTTCGTACTGGCGACTTTGGTCACAGAAGCACGGCGAGCAAGGCTACATCCCTTGCCGACCTCGAGATGGACTCGGGTATTCACAAGAAGGTCACTGTCGATATTAGTGCTATGGGCGCCGATGACAGCGACAGCCAGAAGAGTATCATCCGTCACTGATGGGTCTGCTGAGCTGGTTGGAAGAACGCACTGTTATATGACATGGGATGATCTTGGAACGATCTGGGGGTAAAGCTTACCATAATACATCTCGCTGGGACACAGCATTTTCTTCTGTCATCTGAACTTGCCATGATCTTTTTCTACCTCTGGAGGGCTGGACTTCGAGTCTCGAGTTCAACTGTCCCTCGCCGACCCTCATCATTATCAGTGGGCCACTCGCCGTCATCACAGAGTCATGCTTGAGCCTCAACCCCACATCCGAACTGCTCGTCCAACTCCTTCCCCACAGCAGCATGATAACGATCAATACCATCAGGACGACAACAAACAGTCAAAAGATCATCAGGCATCCCAACACCCTTTGGCAACTCGATTGTCAAATTTCTCGTAAACAACGTCACACCTTGCCCAGGTGTCTCGAAAGTATACGATATTGTGACCATCCCATCCACACCACCACTGCCATCCTCAAGCATCCCAACCCTGTTGACCTGTTGAAAGACCCATTTTCTAGGTCGTATGGCAGTGATGAGCGTCCATGTCGTCGAATATGTATTAGGGGGTAGATTCACTTTTTCCGTCCAGGCATCACCGACTTTCAAAGGAAGTTCGAGATGTTGGTGCACGCCGCAGCTGCCTTTGTAGGTGCGTCCCCAGTTTGCGGGGTTGCTAACGAAGTCGTAGATTCTGTCTGGCGGATGCGCAAATGCGGTCTCGGATTCTACACTGACTCGTCCCATTGTGGTGAGGCAGATGTGGCTCTGATGAGGTTTATTGGTATCAGTTTGGGGATGAGGATCGGGCTGGCTGATATACGCGGTCCAAAAAGAGTTTCGTCGACGGATTGTATCTGAACTGGCACTGCGTCATTCGAGAGGGGTTGGCTCATCATCACGGATCAGACCGATGAGAGCGAAGTGCCTTGTCCCCGAACATCGACGTCGATGGCTAGTCGAAAACCAAGTACCGCTACGGGAAATCACCTTGAAGAGTATAACAGTATCTTCGTTAAGGCTATGATACAAGCTTGAGAGTGTTTCAAAAACCATGGCAGAATGATGCTGCAATTAAACAGACCGGTCGGTGTGAGGTCGAATGTGCACAATTTTGTGTAATCGTCCATAAATATGCAGCGCGATGCACTGTCATACTGACGCACGCCGCGCTTTGTCATACCATGAGCGGCCTTCTTGCTCCCACTGTTGTTCACTGGTATCATCTTATTCCCGAGACCTCCACTTGCAACACAGCTCCAAGCATGCTGAACTGGAAGTCTCGAGTGTTGCCCGTTCACGGGCGAGAAGTTGCGGCCGCAAACCCCTCGGTCGCGAAGCCGCAGGGGAGGCTTGCGTGGCGTAAAATCGCTCACCCAAACGAGATTATTGAGGCACCCCTGCTATCATGCAGCGACCGTATACCAACACTTGCGCGTCCACTCAGCGGCCTTCCATCTTTCGTCTCAATAGTGAGATCGGGCTTGAATTCCGGGTAATGCGGCAAGAGTGTTCTTATCAGTCACCTGCCGTTGCCGGCTAGAAGCGATCAAGGGGTTGAGTGCCTACTAGAGTACATCAATGCCATAAACACTCAGACAAGTAAGCACATCAGTCACGATTTAGGCAGTTCCAGTGATGTCGAACTCGGCCTGGTTGTCTGATGCTACTGCGAGTTGCAGCTCCCACTCATTTGGTCCTGCTAGCTGCGATGGCAGCTTCGATTTCACCTTACTGTTTGAACAAACAATTTTGTCAATCGCTCCTTCCGTCATATTTTTGTGCTGTTTACCCGTGAGCTTATTCAAATTACATCGAGCGGCGCCGAAGTTTAACGCGTCTTACATCCGAATATTGAAGCTCGTGAGTTGTCGCACCTTCTAAGAAATTTTACGAGAGTCAATTGACCATCATACTAGATCATTGCATCTCTTCTTGTGGCTACGCAGATATGCCTGTTGGTACTCTGGGCGACTCGGGCCGCTTCAAAAACCTCGGCGACACTACCTGCCGTATGTCTTGGACTCGTTGTATCTCTGGCCGTGGCCGACCTCTCATCACGGTCGCATGTGCGATCACTCCGGCCATCTTCACTATTGAGCGTTTACCTACTGTTCTCTTGTTTGTTTGATGCGGCTCAAGTACGCACGCTATTCACGAGTTATGCCGACCGAGTCATCCCAAGCCTGTTGTCCGTGTCAATCGCTCTGAGACTAATGTTGTTGACGATTGAGTGCCGGAACAAGAGACCTTGGCTATATTCTCAATACAGGACTCTACCTCCAGAGGCCACCGCTGGAGTTGTGAGCAGGAGTATATTATGGTGGCTTAATCCACTGTTCCTGAATGGTATGCGAACTCTGTTCAGTCAGAATCAGTTGTATGCTATCGACCCGGATCTAGAGTCTCGGAAAATCGGCCATGAACTGGAGCGCATCTTCGAGAAAGAGTGTCACAGGTCTCAAAAGAACAGCAACTCGTCATCTGCTCCTTCTTCAATCTGGAGCCTGCCCAGAGCTTGTCTACGCTGTTTGTGGACCAGTATCGCGGCCATGATTCCGACTAGACTAGCTTTGGTTGGATTTACGTATGGTCAAACCTTTCTGTTTACTCGCGCGATCGACTATCTCGGTCAGCAAAGGGACGCTAGCGACAGAAATACTGGTTATGGAGTCATCGCTGCGACTTTCATCATTTACGTTGGCATAGCTGTGAGTGAGGTGTACTTATTCCAACTGGGCTTATGTCTAACTTGATTTGTAGGTATCCACTGCACTTTACCAACAGCAGATATCCCGGATCATGACCAAACTGAGAGGTGCTCTGATATCGATGATTTACAGTCGAATTCTCGTTATCTCTGATGGTGCTAGCAGGGATGGTGCTGCACTGACTTTGATATCTAGTGGTCAGTCTCGATACGTGAATTCACTGTGATACTGCTCTAACACATACCTGATAGATGTTGATATCATCATAAGAGTTCTTGGAGAACTCAATGAGTCCTGGGCTAGGTTGATTGAAGTTGCGGTCGGTATCGGGCTTTTGTCCCGACAAGTCGGCGCGGTATGCGTCGTTCCCATAATCCTCACAGTCGCCTCTACTCAGGCACAGGGCTGGGTGTCCAAGCGTATTGGATCAAGACGAAGAGACTGGAATACCGCGACTCAAAAGCGGGTCAACACTACGGCTGCGGTGCTTAGCTCCATTCAGTCGGTCAAAATGTCAGGCCTGATGAATCAAGCTTCGGCATTACTTCATTCGATGAGACTGAGCGAGTTGAAGATGCTCGCTTTGCTATCTCGATTCATCATTGGGCTGAACGCAATTGCCGTGGTACCATCCATATGGTCACCTGTGTTGACATTTGTAGTCTACGCCATCAAAGCACGCATTGACGGCTCAGCTGGGCTGGACATATCGCAAGCCTTTACCTCGATGGCTCTCCTGAACCTGGTCACCACTCCGACTGCAAAACTGCTCACAATTATGCCATTGTGGGCCCAAGCGCTGGGATGCTTCGAACGATTGCAAAAATATTTCGAGCTCCCCATTTACGACCCTCGATCCTTGTCAAGCGCCTCGAACAATGACGTTTGTGACACAGGCATAGAGATGACACCACTTCAGCCGCCAGGTGTACGGGAAAATACTGTTACATGTGCTAATGTGGATGTGGCATTGTCGACTGAAGGGCCAGCAATCCTGAGGGATATTACCTTCGAGGCAAAATCAGGATCTCTGACCGTCATCACAGGTCCAACTGGATCTGGCAAGACAACTCTGTTGAAGACCCTCCTCGGCGAAACCCATCTCCTCAAAGGCCAGATGTCTGTCTCATCAAAAAGTACATCTTACTGCGGTCAGATACCTTGGATGACAAACACGACCATCAAGGAGTTCATTGCTGGCCCAAAATTCCCGAACATCGATTCCTGGTACAATCTGGTGGTCTATGCTTGTGATCTTGCCAAGGATATCGCAGGTATGCCAGACGGAGATGACACCCGACTCGGCAGCAAAGGTTTTTCACTATCTGGAGGGCAAAGGGCCAGACTTGCACTTGCTCGAGCTGTGTACGCACGGAGAGACACCATACTTCTTGACGATGTGTTCAGTGCGCTCGATGCGAATACCGAGGAAGCCATCAACAGCCGTCTACTTGGTCGGCGTGGCTTACTCCGAGAGCTAGGGACCACGGTCATCTTGGTCACTCATTCAAAAAAAGCCACAGCCGCTGCTGACCACGTCTTGACGCTCTCACAAGATGGCCGTGTCGCATATCATGGGAGCCCAAGCCAACTACCTGAGACCGAGTTGTACGGCCTGCCAGAAGAACCTCGTATCGACCACGCGGGCGCAGACCTTGTGTCAAAGCCAAAAACCAAAGCACCCAAAGGCACATCCGCGGAAGACAAAGCAGATCTGGCGAGAAGGACCGGAGACTGGTCGATCTACAAGTTCTACTTCGGCAACTTTCAGAAGAGATATCTGGCCATGTTCGTAGTCTGTTCTGTCGGCGCCGCTTTCAGCTCGAGGTTTTCTCAAATCCTGTTGAAGTGGTGGACAGCGGACGAAGGCTCGAATCCGAGCATGTATCTCTCGATTTATGCTCTGCTCGCTCTGGCTCAAACTTGCTTCAGCAATTCCAACATGTGGGTCGTCTTTTTGAAGATGATACCTGATTCTGCAATCAACATGCACCGCACTCTTTTGGCGACAGTCGCAGGAGCTGCTTCATCGGTATTCTATCAGACCGACGGTGGCGCTATCCTGAACAGATTCGCCCAGGACATGTACTTGGTGGTTGGAGCGTTGCCTACCTCACTCATCGCGACTGGAAATACATTTTGCGAGACAATAGCTTCTTTGGCAATGATCTCGACCGGAGCAAGTTACATGGGTATCACGATACCGTTCGTCATAATTGCGATATTCTTGATACAAAAAGTATATCTCCATACGTCGCGTCAACTGCGGCTGATTGAAATCGAGGCTCGAAGTCCGATTTATTCCCACTTCCTTGAGACACTCGATGGCGTGGTCACGATTCGTGCTTTCGGATGGGAGGAAGATGCTAAAGAGGCACACCTCAAACTGCTTGATGTCGCCCAGTCTCCATACTATTTGCTGTCTTGCATTCAGAGGTGGTTGAAGTTGGTCTTGGATCTCATTGTGGCGGCTCTTGCAGTCATCGTTGTCGCTCTGGCAGCTTCTCAACGAGGCACGACTTCAGCAGGCTTACTTGGTGTGGCTTTGACCAACGTACTTGGATTCAGTCAATCGCTCACTCGTCTCGTCACCGAGTGGACAACTCTTGAGACATCATTGGGCGCTATCTCACGTGTCCGCTCTTTCGCCGCAGACACGGAGCAAGAGAGTTTGCTTGATAACACCATGACTTCTACAGATATCGCGACCCATGGAAAGGTCGTATTCTCAGGAGCCTATGCAAAGTATACGGACGAACATGGTTCTTACGATCTCGACGACATCAACTTTACAATCCCACCCGGTACAAAGGTGGCGATCTGCGGTCGCACAGGCAGTGGAAAGTCAAGTTTAATGCTTGCACTCTTCCGTCTCCTCCCGCTCCGTCACGGTAGCATCAGCGTAGATGGAATCGATCTCAAGACAGTCGATCCAGACCTCGTTCGTCGCAGTATAATCGCCATTCCACAGCAACCTTTCCTCTTACCTGGCACAACAAGACAGAACTTGGATCCCGAAAGCCAGTTCAGCGACACAGATCTAAACTCTGCATTAACCAAAGTTCGTCTTTTAGATCTCGTCAATGAACGTGGTGGATTAGATGCAGAAATTGATCAACAAACACTCAGTCAGGGCCAAGCACAATTACTGTGTTTAGCCAGAGCTCTTTTGCGAAAGAGTAGACTAGTGGTCCTTGACGAAGCTACCAGCAGCCTTGACTCTAATACTGACAGTCTTATCCGTGAGGTTCTGCATACCGAGTTTGCGGATCGCACTGTTATTTCGATTGCACATAGGGTGAGTCTAGATCAAGCACCAAGGCTTGTGATCGAGAACTAATTATTCATTAGGCAGCGACGATTATCGAGTCAGATATGGTCATCATCATGGATGGCGGGCGCGTCTCTGCTATTGGAGCACCGAGCGAACTCAGAACATCAAACGGACACTTCAGGGAGCTCTGTGGAATCTTGCAAATGTGATCAGAAAGCCTTGTATCAGGCTTTACGATGTCCCACGAGAGAGATTGAGCCTATTGGAGATGCAAAATAACTTTCCATTCGTCTTTGCTATGTTCTTTGTCGTGTCATCAAAATCAGCTAGAGCAAAAAGTGTAGATCGCTCAACGTGAAAGTCAGAGAGAGATCATTCGAAAAGCAGAATCAGTCTGTCCGCCCTCTCAGATCGCGCGCCCAAACGGGTTCCCTCCTTGCATATGGTCTATGCTTTCTCATGTCCTGATATTTGTCCTTTGCCTCAATAACCTTCAGTGTTCGAATCCCCATTGCTTGATCTTGTCTCCTGGCATCTTGACGGAGAACCTGCGTCTTGTAACCTCGTGTACTTCCTCCACAAGGACATCGAGCATCTCTGGATCCGTCGAAACTCCAAGACCACTGTCGACGGCCTTTGACTTGCCGCTCGTCTTACTGTGGTGACTAGCCTTAATGTGGTGAGAGATAGGGTATCTTTGAGCCAACTGTCTGGAGGCAACGGAAGCGACAGATCTTGGGGGTGATGGGGGCGGCATGTGGACCAAAGCCAATTCGTTGTTTCCCATGTCCTTTAATTCGGCCATCTCGGACATTGGCTCCATGACGGGCATATCTGGCATCCTTGAGAAACCTGGTGGAGGAGGAATAGCTTCAGGAATATGATAGACGTCATGCATTTGGTGACGGCTGTGATGGGAGTGATGTGAGACGTGAGATGCTGGAGGCTTTACAGACGGCAACTTCTTTGAGCCGTGCCTGCTGGAGACGTGACCGACCGAAGGTGCACAAGGAGGCAAGACATCTTCATCGTCTTCCTCAATGACTGTGACGACCAGGACCTCGTTCTCATGTCTCGATGCGTGGGTGACTTCTTGGTGTCGCGAGGCGGTCTTCGAGGCTGCCTTGGCAGGAGCATGAGACCGAGCCACGGTGTCTGGCTTAGCTGGTGGCCTCGCACCATGACGAGCGGTGGGAACTGTTGTCACTGACTTGAAAATACGCTTGTTGTATTTTTCAGATCCCACAATGTGCTCGTGAATGCGGAGATTCTCTACACTAAGGTCGTGAGAGCCTGGCATCTTGACTTCGTGTTTGGTGAGATGACTGTTCGGATGAGGATAGGATGGCTCGATAAGTTGTCGCTGATCGGTCTTGTAGATGGTATGGCCCAGGTGGTACAACACAATGCGCAGATTGGTGTATCGATGATGTTGGAGATCCGGAAGATCGTCGGTGGTAGATTGGGTAGGAAATCCGATTTGAGGAAGAGAGATGTGGGTGATATAGCCGGATGTTCAAAGCAAAGCATAGTATGGCTTACGCCACCGAGAAGTGAATACTGGTGACTGGTGTTGCCAAGTAAAGAACGCAAAGAGCGAGCGCTGCTGCTTGCCTTGCGCGCAGACAATGGTGAAGGCTTATCGGAATCGGGTTTGACTTGTGACAGATCACATGCATGGAACGCAGTGAACTTGACGCCAGCGTTCGTACAGAAGCCGAGACTTATGAGACCTCTGAGTCTTAGACAATTCGTAGTCACAGAGTGTGCAGTGAGTTATGGTGGAGTGTGAAAGTTGAGGAGTCGAAAGTGAGAAGGAGGGAAGTCTCCGAGTGTTCAATGGCTGGAAGAAACCGACCAGACTGGAGAGGGAAATTCATGTATATTTATTTTGTTTTGGAGAAGGAATGATGATGATGAGTGACCGACGCTTGATGCCCAAGAAGGTCTTATATTGCAAGCTGAATGCATGTGCTGTCAAGCGCTACTGAGTGCAGCACTAACAACCCGAGCCCGCGGTAGTGCACAGCGCAACGTCATGTTGCGTCCTAACTCGTCAACTATCGATAGAAAGAAGGGGCGATGAACACAGAAAGAGGAAAGTGCCAAGGGAACAATCTGGTCTCGGTCATTCGAGTCACATTTGCTGCTGCATCTCCGCCTTGGTGGCAAGCTTTGATCAGCTTTCTTTGACCGTAAAGTCGCACACATCATCCTCCACAGCCCACAAAGTGGAAGCAGGCACGAAGACCTGCCCTGAAAGTCGAAGAGAACACAACATCTAGATAGAGAGATATTTATCAACAATGAATGAGAAACAAAAGAAATAACAGTCAGAAGAAGTCTATTCCACCAGATCAAGTCTATCATAGACGCTTAGACATTACACTATCTTCTCTCGACAAGCAAGAAATGCATAGCCACATATCCTAACACTAAGAATACACCGCAGAACACGGCAAGGCCAACGGCATCATTCCAGAGCGCCAGGACGTCGAAGCCGAAAGAGCTAAGAATGGCCGAGCCAGGGACCTCGATGTCAAGACCGTATTTGTGATCAATAAGAGAGAGGTATCGGACCTCGTTGACAATCAGTCCTTCAAATCCGTAATGGAAGATGGAAATCTGTGAGTTTTGGGTCAGTGGTGCTACGGAGAACATGTCGAAGCCCGAAACTTACAGATTGCAACCAACGAAGACCCTTGGGGATGGTCTCGTGATTGAGTAGGAAGCCGCCAAAGAGCAAGCTGAACAACATGACAAGGACACCAACAAGGTTTGCAACCCCCTGGTTTTTGATAACAATGCCAATGCACAAGCACACTGTGGCGGCAGCGAGGTTGAAGAGGACAACGAACAACATGAACTTCCAGAACTCGGCGGCGGTCGGAAGAAGGCCGGTCATGGGATATACAATGACGGCCATGATGACAGGAGGAATAAGTCTGAGGGGAACAATGTCGAAAACAACCTTGGAAGCGTAATAAGCCAAGGGAGAATAGTATCCCTTGGCACGCTCTCTTACGAACAAAAGACGTTCTGGAGCGAAGACTGTCAGGGAGGTGAGGGTGCTGAAGGCGAACAGGGCAAGCAGGAAGAAGAAGAAACCAAGACGGTTCTGGAAACCCTTGAGATCATCGGTCAAGCCATAGAATAGGAATCCTAGGAAGACAGCGAGCAGGATAGCAATAGCGTAGTGAGTCAACATCAACAGCGGATTTCTGTACAGATTGCGCCAGGTGCGTTTAGACAGGATGGCAAACTGGCCAAGAATGCCAGTCTTGCGATAACCCTTGACAGTGGGCTGAGCAGAGTTGCCATTAGCTGCGCCGTTGGCGTGACCGTTGGAGTGTGCTGCTTCGGAGACAGCGTTGTGAATATCATCTCTGAGGGAAGCAGCGACATCAGAGTCGGCGAACGCTTGTACAAGGTTATCAAGATCTGTGCTTGAGGGACCCTCGGCATTGGGAGGAAGACCATTGGGATCGTCATGTGCTTGCTGTACTCCTCTCATCTTCAACCACTGTTGGGTGTTGTCGAAGCTGTTCTCCAGAGAAGATGCGTCGGAACGAATGGTGCTTGCAGTAGCAGGAGGCTCTCGAGACGACTGCTTTCTCGTAAAGAGTGCTCTGTCTTGCTGCTGCTTGATTGAGGCGGTGCGACTATTCTTGGGCCTGAGTGGAGACTCTGATGTTACAGAACCTCCTTGCTCGATACTGAAGTTTGAAACACTGGGGACAGACTTGACGGCAATCGCACTGCTTGCACGAGTGCTGCGACCAATATCTTGACGGAAAATGGAGCTGTCTTCTGGGATCTGAGGATGAACAGTGCTAGCGTGCATAGTCAGATCAACGAGGTAATCTGCGATGTTGAAACCAGGAGGGCAAGAGTATCCAATGTTGTCGAAGTAGGCCTGGCAATTTCCGAAAGGACCAGAGTAGACGGTCCTGCCTTTAGCGAGCAAGACTAGTTGGTCGAAGAGTGCAACGATGTTGGAGCGAGGTTGGTGGATGGTAAAGACGACGGTTCTGTTGTAAGTCTTGACAAGGTGTACAAGACATTCCACGACGTTGAATGCGTTGAAGGCGTCGAGACCGCTGGTTGGCTCGTCGAGGAAGAGGATGCTGGGACTGGTGACAAGCTCACAGGCAATACCGACTCTTCGCTTCTCACCGCCAGAGATACCACGACCGTTGCCTTCTTCCGAGCCGATGAGTTGGTCGCGAATATGGTAGATGCCGAGTTGTCTTTCGACGTCCTCGGCCTTTTGCAACTTGGAAGCGTAGCTCATCTCCTTAGGGAGACGAAGCATTGCGCTGTCAAGAATAGTCTCGTGGACAGTCAGTGTAGGCAGCATAGTATCGTCTTGATCGACAAAGCCGATGACACTCCTGAAGTCGTTGTCCGAGACCTTTTCACCATTGATTAAAAAGTTGCCGATAACAGTACCACGCTTATTCTTTCTTGCAAGGATATCCAGGAAGGTGGTCTTGCCAGCACCAGAAGCTCCCATGATGGCCATGAGCTGACCAGGATGGACGGCACCCTGGATGTCTGTGAGAATCTGCTTGCCTTTGAGAGCGTACGAGATATTTTCGAAATAAAGGCTAGCGGGCTTGTGGTCGGCCAGGAGGGCGGCGTTCAAGTCCTCCTCGTCGTCAGAAAGATGGATGGGACCATACTTTGCCTTGTTGCGAGACAGGAACCAGACGAGCAAAATGACAGCGACGACGAACAGAGCACAACCGGCGATGACGCCGGCGATGAGCGGTGTATTGATCCTCTTGACGGGTCTTTCATAGCCAGGGACGTCTGTGACGTAGAGACACTCTCCAGAGTGGCACTTGAGGGTGATGCTATCGTCTCCGAAAACGTTCGAAATGAGGTCGTTCATGGCGGGCTCCGAGAACTTGCTGCCGTCTGAAGAACTGCCACCCTCAGTCGAGACGGAGGAGAAACTAGCAGGACCCTTGATATCTTCTTCCAAAAAGTCACCGATATCGATCGAATCTGCCTCGCCACACAGCATGCGGCCGGGAATGCAGCGGCACTTGATGTTCTCGCAGTGGTATGCAGTCGAATTACGGTTGGGGGTGGCTTTGGACGACCAGGTGCACGTGTCGAGGGCGCAGTAGAAGGACTCCTTCTGGTCGACCCAGACTAGTTGTGGTCAGCGAATGGAAGCGTGAAGATGGGACGAGAGCACGTACATTGGAAGTTGCACTCTTTGCGGTCGGCGTTGCAGGAGAAGGTAGCCTGCGGCTTCTTCTCCTTGAGCTGGTCCAGAATCTTGCGGTTGGTGATGTCGCAAATCTGGTAGTTTTCGTTGACCACCAGACCCTCGCGATAGCAAACACCGCCCTCGCCCTCGGGCATCATGGCGTTACAGGCGTCGTTTGTCTTGCACACATTGCAGTTGATGCCCTCCCAGCCTTCTTTACACTCGCAATCGTGGCCCTGGCGTGGCAGTCTGTTGTTTCCGTCGGCAAGAGAGCCGCACAGCGGTTGCGAGCAGTCCTCACCACCGAAGCCTGAGGGACAAGCGCATTTGCCGCTTGACTTTGTGCAGTTGGCATACTGGTGGCACTGGAACTGGTCTAGATTGCAGTTGAAGCACGGCGGGCAATCGTCTGGCCGGTCGCCGTAGATGGAGAAGGGCGCTGATGACGAGAGGGAATCGGGGAACTCAGAGCGGTATTGGTCCGTCTTGTATGCTGTCGCCGAGGACAGCAGGCCGACGGCGGCCAACCATAGCACTCTCATTGTAGGCGCGAGTGGCACGCGAGTCGTAGACGTCGGGAATTCGTGTCGTGACGCGCCGCGTGGATTTGGTGGCGGCTACTTGCAGCTGGAGCAGCTGAAGTTTCTCTTGCACTGCTCGGACTCGATCTTTCTTTAGGAGACTGTATTCAGGAAGGAGCGACTGGACAAGGTCGACCGACTGGCCTGCCTGCCTCTTTAGATCGCACATCGAGGCCCGCCGCTTCTCGTGACGTCCAAGCCGCTTGCTTGGACCACATCCGCCGTTGGCTGAGCTTCCGTCCCCACACATCTTTGCCGAGGCGCGTCAAGACCTTCCTATCCGGTCCACCTTGGCGACTGCGCCTTCCTACCTTGTACCTGCAACAACCTGACCACATCAACACACCTGCCTCGTCACTCTTTATCACAGCTCGCAGAAATTCTTTTGATTACGAGCGCCGTCGGCGCCGGTTCGATGATCAAACATCTATCTACTGCCGTTCCCTAGCCCATCGACTCGCGCGCACACACGGTTTTGACCAAATCTTGCTCCAGCTCAGTGCTTCAGAAGCGCACTCAATACTCGATGCAGTTCTTCGCCGTGTGCTTTGTCTATGCCCGATGTTCACCATGCAACAATACCATCCGGTCGAACAAGCAATACTTCTCCTTCTTGCAGATTCCAGCTGTCTCTCGCCGTTCTTTCGCACTCGCGGTAAGGATGCGACGACGAGTTGATAACATACCCGTCAATCGGTATGTCTTGCTTCTCAGCTGCTTCCAACCACGGCGATGCAGATTCTGTAGTGAGTAACACCAAATTGAATTTCACAAGATCCAAGCTCGACCGTCTCTTGCCGTCTTCGCCAACCAGCCAGATGTGAGGTAGTCGGCCACCTGGGAGCACAAGAGGCTGGTGTGGGTCCTCATACGTCTGGTCCATGCCATCAACTTCGTCAGAATGTATGGCGCCCTTGGTGTAGCGATGTCCGAGCTCGCAAACAAGATCTGGCAATTCCTTCTCGCATTCCAGGCCTGCATCACGAAAGGCCCTATTCACGAGTCGAGAAAAGGCTTGTTGCATTGCAAATCTACCGCCGGGCTGTCGCTCTTGGTTATAAGTATCGAGTAGACTGGTGGACACCTTCCCGTTCAGAACGTAAGCCAGCCTTTAGGCCAAATTGTAGGCATCCTGTAACAGCAGGTCAGTCTAGTACAAGATGGCAAAATCTAGCAATACTAACCGCAACGCCTGTATTACCGCCCATGCCCCCTGCATTCCGCATTAGTGGTCAAGTTCGAGCTTGTGGTCGAGATGCACTTACCACTCGGTGGCATGACGTGTGCAGCATCTCCCATGATGAACACTCTTCCTCCTTTGCTTACATACTCATCCGCATTGTAAGCAGCTACAGTCCAATAGGAAATAAAATCGACTTCAAAGCCGCAGTCATCAGCATCGATCCCAGAACAGACTTCAAAGAAGTCGCGAGCCTCTACAGCAGATACTGAGTCGGCTTTGAAGCCAGTCTCTCTGCCCTTAGCCTTGGAGACAATCAAGAATCCGCCTTTACCCCCGGCATCAAGCCGGAAGCCACCGGTGAATTCCGAGCTCACGACATAAGTGACGCTGTGTACTGCTCTAGTGCCTAGATAGGGCGCCAGGTCCGCTTTGAAGTTGATCGAGATGCTGTTAGCAAGACGACCAGGACCAGACCACTCGATGCCCTCTTTGGTCCTGGCCGCACTTCTGTTTCCGTCCGCAGCGACTAAGTACTTCGTCTTGTATTTCTTGAGCTCGCCATTCTCGACATCTTGTACAAGGACCAAGACACCGTCGCTCAGCTCCTCGTAGTGAACCACCACCCGGCTGAATCTCTGCTCCGCGCCAAATCTAGCAGCATTCTGACGGAGGAGCGTTTCGAACATATCCTGTGTGAGCCAGAGACGCTTACAAGGCGCCAGTCGAGCGACCTCGAGAGGGTCGCTTTCCTGGTGAGCGGCAATAACCTCTCCCTGGTACAATTTCTCCACTACGAGCATTCCAGCGTCAAGGTCGAAGTTCTTCCCGCTTTCTGCAACAAACAATTCATCCAGACCAAGTTGGCGTAGCACCTCGACCGTTCGAAGAAGAAACAGAGCTGCTCGTGGGTGAATAGCTGTAGAAGGATGACGATCAAAGGATATTGAGCGGATGCTGAAATACATGATGAGACAAGCTTGGAAACCCATTTCGAGAAGAGCTTACCCATGATATCCGACCAGTAGACCCATGAACATGCCCACCATACTGCTTCCAATAATGATGACGGGTATCTCTTCATCTTTAAAGGGAATGGTCGCATGGTCAAAGGACTGAAACTCGAACAGCGTCCGTTTGACCCCTGGTAGAGGAATGGTATCATCTATCTGATTTGCTCTAGCCATTGTGATAAGAATTGTCTGTGATGATGGATGTGTCCTACATCATCATGCGGGTCTGGGTGAGTTTATGTACAGGGTCACTTTCTGGAGATGGCGGATTCTCCACGGAAAGTCCGGGGCCGAGAAACGTTTGCTCTTGGAGCAAACAGCTTTATGCGCATGGTTTAGTGACGCGAACTTTCGCGCCAGCTCCCGTGAAGTCGTCTACATTATTACTGGTCTCGCCCTGAACACCTCTTCGTCGAGATCACGGCTCGTGGCAGCTTTGGATTTGAAACGTGGTCGCATGTCTTTTCCGCAACACGCGCTTGCAGTGCAACAGGTCTATCAGCTCGTATCGTTGCCTATGGCTGGCGCATCACTACGCCACACCAGACTCCTGCAGATCAGCTCTGACCTGGCATCACAATGAAGCACGACAGCATCGTGACCAGATTCATAGTAACATCGTGACATGGACTCGACACTGCCGTATGGGTTGAGACTGCTGAGCATATATGCTCAAACACCGAAGAATGACAATGATAAAGAAGACTTTGACGCAACTAAGCATGACTGAGTCAGACGTGTGAGTCTTCGACCGGCCTATGGTACCATAGCAACTACTTTTTGCTTTACACTCTCCGCACGGCACAAGTCTACCATCACAGACGGAAAGACTTGTTCAACATGAAAGTTTCCTCCCTTCTTACACTGGTCGCCTCTGTTGCGGGAGCTCTAGCATATCCAAACCCTGCTTATTCGATATCCTTCCGGGATCTCATACGCCGTGCTGAAGGAGTGCCTTTTCACGAGGATCCCAAGGCTACTACATGGAATCCCCCCCCTAACATGGTGGCTGCACTCGATTGGGTGAGTTTGGCAAACGTGTGCATGTTTTCCAGTGTACTAATACCTCAGTCTAGGTTTGGAAAAGGTCCCTTTTGGAAAGGTCCACTGGTCGCGACTTAACGATGCTCGGTGCGCTAGTAAAGAACAACGGCATCCTCAATTACTGCGTTTCATGGCCCACAGATGAGCCTATCACGTTCGAGCAGCGTTCGGAAATTGTCACCGCCCTCCAGAGCTCATGGCAACAGTGGATTGACGTTCTTGTAGGCTTTGAGGGCTTTCCTCTTACCACAGTCGACGTAAACGTCATGGATTATGCCGTGAAGGACAAAGCTCTGGTGCAAGGAGACACAACTGGTCTGACCATCCACACGATCGTCGACCCTTCAGACGGTCTACTTACTTGTGGTATCGACTGCAATCTATTTGGTTATTCCCCAGAGGATTACGACGTCAGCAGATGTTCCGAAGGCAAGACCGGTGGTTATGACACAAATTTCCGGCTTGAACAAATTCTCGATCAACCAATAAATGGCGCGGTGACCAAGGGACAATCTGCAGGTCCGCTATTCCACAGATTTGATCAGGAACACTTCTTTGACAACTTGCGAAACGAATGGATACTGTTGCACGAATTGGGCCACGCACAAGGTCTAAGGGGTGAGTCACGACACCGCCATCGAATTGCGATAGCTCCAGCTAATTCCTATGTAGATTTCTACGAAGAGCGTCCGGTGGGTCAAATCAACTTCTTGATGTACCCAGATAGTGCGCATCATCTTACCGAGTTTGATGCTTGGATGTTGAGAGACTGGTATATGAAGCTCAAACAACGCGGTGATTTCTAAACTTGTGAGCCTACAAACGGTACACTCCAATCTGCCCCCTGCCTAACAAACATGCAAGAAGTTTACCGAGCTAATACATACACATTCATAGTCTACAATCTCGAGTTTCTGCTTGAGAGTATACTTTGTTCCACCGCTCACAGACGTCTACATGTGTCAGGGCGTCTTGGGACAGTCCAACCATGCGCTGGCTTACGTGAGCTTCGCACCATGTGCTTGCGAGGCCCCACAATCGTCGAATTGGCTTCTGCGTGTGATACTATCGGAAGTCGCGATCGCCATACTTGGCATCCCTGTCGATAAGTCCAGTTGTACACACTCTCGACGTCGCACGTGTAGACAGCCTCTGGAATCAAACAAATAGCGTTTTCTTGATGGTAGCATCGAACACTCGATAGAGGATCTCTCTTTCAAGCCACACACATCGATACATCGAGCTGTCTCACTCTCTCCTTTGAGCAGGAAGCACTCGACCACCGAACGTCAGGACAAAGAGATCCGGAGATCGTCATGGAGAATTGCCGAGACCAGTCCAACAAGAACTCGAGCATCGTGTCAAAAACGGAGAGATCTCACAAGGCACAGGATCAGTCTGGAGATAAATACGAGCGCAGAGTGTCTCATGAGTCAAGACAAGGATGATCTTAGCGACGAAGGGTCCATTCTGCTTCAGCAATTCATGCGCAATTCAAGGTTGGCGGTGGGTCAAATTTTGGCTCCAACGGCTCGGCAAGCGCTGGTTTGTTCGTACCCCAACAGAACCCAACCTTGCACATCTTCGACTCCCTCTGCAGGAAGCTACTAAAACCGAGCTTTGAGTGAAGAGCAGTCGGCAAATCGGGCGAAACATGAGGTCAAACGTGGAATCTGCGTTTGTGTGGGTTGAACTTAGAGTTTTGCAAGACAGGTGTCGCTCAACGGCTCCAGTCTTTTGCGGACCTGTTTCCGTCTAAGCTCGAAGTGGTTCATCATTATCTCTCGCTCTTTCCTGGACCCGAGGATGTCCGGGACGGATTGCTGGTGGCTCTTGGCTTTGGTCGTTGGCCGCTGATCGTCATATGCACCTAGTACAAAGCAACGAGCAACCAGGGATGTCGGTCGATCTTTTGGGACAAGCAGAGCTGGACATGCCTTGCAAAAGTTGCAACGGCCGTGAACACTTTGACCAGGACCCTTCAACCGAATGTCGGACAGTAATTGGGCAGGAGTAGCCTCCGAGGTGGTAGCTTTGACTCAAGCCGGTGCCGATACCAGTTATTGGTATGATCCAATCAGACCTCTCAGACATCAGACCCTTGAGTGAACATGCAGGAGGAGCATGGACTGTGCCAATCGAACAAGTCAATTAAGTCAGTGTGGCCTTTCCCCATTGGATCTTCGACACTTGGACGCCGAATTAGGAGGATTTTCACAGCTCGTACACGACGGAAGGAAGCACAAGACTCTTCCAGCCTCGCCTCCACTTGACGTTTGAGGGATGCAAAGACAATGAGGATCAAGTAAAGTTGTAAGGCGGTAACTTTGCCGTCTCCGCCGTCCGACCGTACGCCCGGGGAACATACTTGATTCTTTCTTCCCAGGATTTTGTCTAGCAAGGTCTCCGGACCCATGTATCAACTCTCTGGCCCAAGAACGATATTGGCGTGGCTTTCGTACTTTTCTGAGCCTCACCATGGAGACGACCGAAAATGATTCCTCAACCATACATGATAACATGTTCTTTTCCACGGCCAGTGTGAGGCCATGCCCATCGTCCCCGGAGAGACCATATCCAACGCACAACTCTCAACCGGAGCTTGCAGCAAGGGGCATGTGGACTGAATCGTCACTCTACTCGCAACCTAGAGCTCCTGCCAGCACCCCTCCAATGGCAACAACATATCAAATGGAGATCTGGAACCTTCCTAATCACGAGCTACGACGAGACAATAACAGCTTCGCTCCTCTCCCGCCAGAAGTTCGATCGGAAGAAACTTTGTACAATCCAGTCAGCTCGAGCCACTACGTCAGTCAGCCATCTGCTAGTCTATGGACTTTTGACGCCAATGTATATACGCAAGCAGGAAACTTCAGTCGTCGACCAAGCCATCATAGCGATCCAGGATTTTCGACATTCCCTCAAGACGTTCCAATTCACTCAACCTTCACCGATGTCTGGTCAGGCACGGGATCAGAGATCGCTCAAACTCCAAGACCAGGGCTACATGACAGAACGCATACAATCTCTTACTCCGCAGAGCCTTCTCCTCCTGCTGGCACAAGTCCAAATGCACAGATTGTAAGACCCGTACTTAGATGCTACGACCACGGATGTGATGGCAGGAGGTTTTCTTCGATCAGCAATCTCAGACGTCACCAACGCGAACGCAGTGGTCGAAGCCCCGTGTGCTTCTGTCCTCGATGCGGTGCCCCTTTCTACCGACGCTGGACTAGAGATCATCATGTCGAACGAGGGAGCTGCTTAAGGATACCTCGTTGGGGTGGTTGGTCTTGGAACTAGAGATGCTCTCACCACCTCGAATTTCGGCAAGCCGCTGCAAATGCCGGGTGCATCGTGCTCTTCGGAAGCAGGACTCGAAACAGGGTTTTTCGTGCGTAAGTGAACGCCGTGGGAACATGCAGGTGGTAGGCGATCGATGCGACGATCATGTCGTAATGTAATTGAAGGGTCGTTTTCGTACGAGTCCAGACGCGATGTACATACGAACAAAAGCCAAGTGGTTTTGTGCATGGCAGTCTGCTGTAGCCGAGCTGTCGATCAGGGTCGGCTTTACGGAGGATCGTCAGGATCAAGCAGCAAACCTGGTCGAACTTTATTGCTCATCAATGCCAAGACCAGGAAATCATCAAATCATTGCGACACTCGTCTGGTGGTTCATTGGTTGAGAAGTTCCAATTCATATATATCTGTAGATCAGGAGGCATGGCTGTATATTAGCTCACGTGCGTCCTGATTAGCAAGCACGCGGTTTACAAGTCCATGATGCCGTAATCCCGTATCATTACCTCGTAGACACTCTTGCTCCTTCTCAACCTTGATACGCCAAGTAACGTATCAAGATTTCGTGTTCACTGTCCGACCATTATTTCCGCCGGCACTTCCTTCCATAACTTCGTTATCGGCCGTTGGCTCCTGCCCGAAGTAAGGAGCTGTCAGCCATTCGTTCGCATTATGTTTGGTCCACGTGGGTCAATGTGGAGAAAAGCCGTAAAGCTTATTATGGTTGTCGAAAGTCGAGACGTGGTTAAAGTTTCAGTCTTCTGACTCGACACGAGTTGACATTCTGCAAGGTAACACTGATTGGGTTGTACTGGTTTGGCGCCAATCGTGTTGTTGATCAGCGTTTCAAGCTCTTAATATATCGTCTTTTGTGGGCATGTCTGAACCTATCCAGGAAGCAACGCTTGAACACGACTTCTTTAAATTGCCAATCACTCATCTGCAGCACAGGATTGAACAGGATCTTTGGACGTTCAGCATCGCCTGTACATTGAAGGTGTATAGATAAACTAAGCCTCCACTTTCTTGTCTTCTTTCTTTTCCGGCCATGTTGTTCGTCTCTTTGCTCTTACAAACAGATTCATCGGTCTGATCAGCTGGAAGCTAGGATCGTACTCGACCTCCTCCTCCGATGCTTTCGAGAACTCATAGCGATAGATGAGCTCACTCAGCACGACTCGGACCTCAGCGAGCGCAAAGTTGAAACCTATACACATTCTTGGGCCCGCGGCGAATGGTACGTATGATCCCTTTGGTCGGTTTTTGGCAGCTTTTGATGACCAACGGTCAGGGTTAAATTTATGCGGATCATCCCACACGGCAGGGTTGTTGTGAATGTGATGAATGGCAACAATCATTACTGAATCCTTTGGGATCTTGTAGCCTCCTGGTAGGATGGTGTCGCTCAGCGCTGTGCGGCCGGGTTGATAACTGGGGTTGTGTAGTCTTTGCGTCTCCTTGATATACATGTCCAAGAACGGCAAGGCATTCGCAAGGTCTGGGGTCCATGTCGTTTTGTCATGAACACCAAAGTCGATCAGCTCCTGCAACAGGCGTTCTTGATTGCCGGGATATTGGACCAGACCAAAGATAAGCCAAGAAAGCAAAGAAGCGGTGGTCACGAAACCAGCACCAACAGCGACTAGAGTGGCTGGCATTGCGTACTTCTCCGGTAATTTGTTACCATCTGGGTCGACCGCACGAGTCAGATAATCTGCGATACAGTCGGCCTTTAGAGCTGCTTCGGCGATAGGGAGGTCTTCTGCGTCTTCCTTCTTCGCGTTCGCCATAGCTTCACCGATGAGCTGTCCAAGTCTGGTTTTGGTGTCCTTGAGCTGCTTTGGCTCACCAAAGGGCAAGTGACTATACCAGTCTCCACGGGTCGAGATCTTCTTGTTTAGCTCCAGGTTGACGCCAACTTTGACGACTAACTCGTGAAGAGGTGCATCTACGCTATCAAAGTGGTGGAGATCGATTCCTAGTGCCAGCTTGCCGATAGCAGTTGACCCCATCTTGAACATGTATTGATACACGTTCCATGCTTCTTCCTTCTCGTCGAGCTCGTCAAACACCTTGAAGGATTTCTCTGCAGTCTCTTGCATCTGAGGAGTGTAGTGTTTTACGGCCTTCGGGCTAAGCGCAGGAGCCAGGAACTTGTGCACCATAGTCCATGCTTCTGTGTTGGAGTCAGAGAGGAAAACACCGGCCATGGGCTCTTTGATCTGGTACAGAGGATGATCCTTGTTAATGATCTTTGCCCAGTAGTCTCCTTCATTGAAGCAGATGGTTGCGATTTCTGGCGAGTTTGTGTAGTACGTCTTGCGGCCCATGTCGGTAGTTTGGAAGACAGGGCCATGCTGTTCGAACAATCTCTGGTGGTTTCCGAGGTGGTCAGGATAGACTTCGAAGTAGGAACCGGCGATGGGCAGGCCCTTGGGTCCAGGTGCCTCTCTCACCGGGTGGCCGTCTATGGAGAGAGCAATAGGCGACTTTGCTTCTTCGACGTCGGCAAGATCTTCTAATTGTGTCTCCCCAGACTGAAACGCAATGCCTAGCGGAGTTAGCTAGCCGCAGGGTGCATGTACAAGAGGGAACCTACCGGCGGGAACCGCAACACCAAAGTACTGTCCGACATCTTCTTTGAGCGTGTCAATATCATGAGTGAAATCCACTTCTATCTCTTGTGCAGTAGATGGGTCCTCTCCAAGTAGGAAGAACGATTTGATGGTCATGACGAATGGCTTTGGTGAGTTGAGACTTGGTGAACACGAACGGCCTACTTGAACCCTTCAACAATGCTGGTGCCAATCAGGATATATGTTGTTCAATAAAGCTAGCCAGACTAATCACATGTAAGTTGCGACAGTTTTGGGCGACGTCATCCTTGACAAATTTGGAACGTGTAGATGCGCAACGATGCTAAGGAGAAGTTGCGTGCTGAGCCTTCCGCGGCACTCGCTTTGGTTGCGAAGGTACGCTGCCTCGGCCGATACAGTCGCATCGTTGATGTATCCACTCTCAGATGCGCTGGGGAACGTCACTTTGCCCCAGTATCCCACACATATCCTGTCATCGTGGACGAAACAACAGGTCGGAGGCTTGAAGGACCGTTGTTGGGAAGCTGCGAAGATTAGACTCGCGAACATGTCAAACGGTGCCGAGGTTCCTGCCGAGGCAACATCTCACAGATTCAGAAATACTGTTCGACAACAAGCAGCAATCAAGGCATTCGCAAAGCATGCCAAAAACGAGCAGATCAAGTGTGATGATCACCACCGGTTATTGCGGGCAGATGAATCGCTGTGTCGTCGCTTGTGGAAAAGTCAGTTAAGCATTTCGTCTTTCACAAATTTTGAGGTTGGAGTCAACTCCGATGAATGATGAGGTCAGTCGGCCGTTTCGGCATCGTACTAAAGATGTGCCTAGAGTCAAAGTTGTAAATGCACTGGAAGGCCCACGCACCTTGTCTGTCTCAAATAGATTTAACCACTCAAATTTCTCGGTCACAACTCATAGCCCAACTGATCATGTCTGAATCAACCAAGGAGATTACTGCGGAGGAGGTCGCGAAGCATGACAAGAAGAACGATGTATGGATCATCATCCATGGAAAAGGTATTTGCGCTCGTCAACGTTACAACCTCTAGGATGTATACTGATTGGCTATGCAGTTTACGATGTGACAAACTATGCCGAAGACCATCCGGGTGGTGCTCAATCCTTGTATGAAGTCGCAGGCCAAGACGCGACGGCTACTTTCGAAGACGTGGGCCACTCGGCCGACGCCCGTGAGACCATGGCACAATATCTCATTGGCAATCTTGAAGGTGCGGAAGAAGAAGATCTCGAAGCTAAGCCTAAGGAGTTGCCTTTGCTGGTTAGAGCTGCACAGAACAACAAGAACTCACGCTCGTCGTCCGAGAGCATTGTCCGTCGTCTTCTGGAAGGAGCTATCGGAGGCGGTGGAGTGTTCCTCGCTTACGAGTTGGTCGCGAGATCGCCCGTAGTCGGCTGGCTGCACCATCAACACGGCGGCTTTTGGAAGGGTATGCTGATTGCCTCGATCGCGAGTCTCTCGGCATCAGCCGCGTTGTTACTCTGGATCAGCCGTCATCTGCAACAACAGCATACCATATCATCCTGGCCAGCTCATTACAAGCCCGAGACTGTTGCAAAGCCCATCACACAAGCTGCTGGGTTCCTCAAGCCTCAAGAATATCAGACATTGCCTTTGGTCAAAAAGGAGAAGTTGTCGTCAAACTCGTATCGCTTCGTGTTCAAGCTTCCCAAGAAGGACAGTATCCTTGGTCTTCCCATTGGACAACACTTGAGCATCCGCGGCAATGTTGATGGCAAGAGTGTTTCACGCTCGTATACGCCAGTCTCAAACAACTCGGACGCTGGTGAGCTCAGGCTAGTCATTAAGGTCTACCCAGATGGTCAACTCACTGGTGGGTACCTCGAAGGTCTAAAAGTCGGAGACGACGTCGAGTTCCGTGGCCCCAAGGGTGCCATGAAGTATGGTCGCGGACTTGCCGACGAGATTGGCATGGTTGCTGGAGGTACTGGGATCACTCCCATGTACCAAATCATCCGCGCGATCTGTGAGAACCCTCGAGACAAGACAAAGGTCACCCTCCTGTATGGAAGCGTATCTGAAGAGGACATTCTTCTACGCAAGGAACTCGACGACTTTGCTTCGAAGTACCCAGACAACTTCAAGGTTATCTATGTACTGAGCAAGCCCGGTGATAGCTGGAAGGGGTCGAAGGGCTATATCGACAAGGCCATGGCCCAAGAGGAATTGCCTGGACCCAAGGGCAAGAGTAAGATTCTGCTTTGTGGGCCGCCTCCGCTCATCAACAGCATGAAAGACGGACTTGCTGACCTTGGATTCGAAAAACCCGGTGCGGTCTCAAGGTTGACCGATCAAGTCTTCTGCTTTTAGTCGGGAGCACAGGCGGTGTCAGAGGACGTATTGTACAGAAGCAGTCGGTGCGATGTAGACACTAGATGACAGATTGCAATCTGATTTTCCTTCACGCGATACAAGCTCCATTCTTCCGTATATGCTGCTCCTAACTTGTGGTATACATCAGTTCCGACATCTCTCAACAAGGGCGCCATCAACTTCGAAGGTCACGATCGAGGAGAGCCTGATGCGGCGTCGGATCGATCTCGAATGTTATGATCTCCAAGGACTGTGGTCGCATTCGGTGCGGTAAAGCTTCCTTGGCTCTTTGTCTGGATGTGCTTGTCCAAAGGAGAGTTTGGCAAAGCAGGTTCGAGTCGGTGAGTCGGCAGATTGGTGACGTTGGTGCCGCGCCATCCGGGGCCCTCCGCACCTTCCGCGAGGGCCGTGCATCTGAACAGCTCCAACGTCCGCTCCTTGCTGCATCGACTTTCACAATCACATGTCTAGAACAACCTCGGCTGAGTAGTTACGATCTGTTGAGGCCAGAATTATCGAATAACACAGCATTTCTTGTTCCCATCTCGGTCTGGACGGTGCTGTATGCTCAAAGATGACACATTCAAGCTTGCACAACACAAATCACTTAGCCTCGGGCTGCTTCGAATGGTCAATCTTCGAGGGCCCTGATGAAACGGTTGTAAGTGCGTCATCGCTTTAGCTATATATACACAGCTTCACCAACATGAGGTAGGTGATCCATCATTGCAATACTCTAACCTACTACGACCTTTCTATTTGCTACCTATTCTTTGCTCGACAACCGTCACAACTTTGATTATGCCTGAGCTCTCAGTTGATGCCATCAAGGGTCGTCCTGTGGCTGTGCTCGGTGGTGGTGTCTTAGGTCGACGCATCGCCTGCACCTGGGCGGCGGCAGGGTGGACTGTCCATGTCCGCGACCCATCACCCGAGCAGCGCAACGCTGCTATACACTACGTAGAACAAAACGTCGCTTCATATGCAAAAACCATCTCATGCTCGAATCCCGGCAAAGCAATTGCTTTCGAAGATCTGGAGCCTGCAGTCAAGGATGCCTGGACTGTCATCGAAGCTGTGCCGGAGAAGCTACAAATCAAAATCGACACCTTTGGAGACCTTGCGAAGATGACAAAGAAGGACTGTCTCTTGGCTAGCAACTCCAGCAGTTACAAGAGTGGAGAGATGTTGGAGAAGGTTGATGACGAGACTAAGAAGAGAGTCCTAAACACCCACTACATGATGCCACCAGACAACAGAATTGTCGAGCTCATGACCGACGGCTTCACCGATGAGAGCGTTTTCCCCTTCTATGTCGAGAGACTCAAGGAGTGCGGCATGAGCCCCATTGTCGCAAAGAAGGAGAGCACCGGCTTTGTGTTCAACCGCATCTGGGCAGCCATCAAGCGCGAATGTCTGACTGTCCTTAGCGAAGGCGTTAGCACTCCCGAGGAGCTCGACCGTGTCTGGGTGGAAATGTTCTCCGGTGGCAAGGCTGGACCTTGCGCCATGATGGATGCCGTTGGTCTCGATACTGTCGTCTTCATCGAGCAACACTACGTCAAGGAACGCGGACTTCCTACCAGGGATACCGTCGACTACTTGGAATCGAACTACATCGGGAAAGGTGCGCTTGGTGGTAAGAGCGGTAAGGGTGGTCTTTACCCAGCCGGCTACACTACCAAGTCCAGCGAGGAGGAGTCCAGCCATCACGACAACTTGCATTCGCCTACATTATACTATCTCGATCTCGGCATGAACGCCGACAAGGACCCTCTACATGCAGGCAAGATCGTTGCACAGTCGGCTTCAAGCACAGAACCCAAGACGCTGATCACTGGCTTGACCTTGCCTGACGGACTCGACATCTCACTCAAGGACAACCGCATCTACTGGACCAACATGGGAATACCGCCTCAGAACGATGGATCCATCCAATCATGCAAACTCGATGGCTCAGACATCAAAGAGATTGTCAAGAAGGGAGATGTACACACACCGAAACAGCTCATCGTGGACCAAGAGAATAATAAGCTATACTTCTGTGATCGTGAAGGCTTGCGAGTCATGAGGTGCAACCTCGACGGGAGCGAGCAAGAAGTTCTAGTACAAAGAGGTGACTGGACAGTCAAGGAAGAGTCTCAAGACAACATGAGATGGTGCGTCGGTATCTCTGTCGATACACAAAGAGGTTACTTTTACTGGACACAAAAGGGAACAAGCAAGGGTGGCAAAGGCAGAATCTTCAGGGCCAAGCTCGAAATGCTCTCTGGCGAGGACGCAACCTCAAGATCTGATATTGAAACTATCCTTACCGGTCTGCCCGAGCCGATCGATCTTGAGATCGACATGGAAGCTGGCATGCTATACTGGACTGATCGTGGCGACCCTCCCATGGGCAACACCATCAACAGCATCGATCTGACCAACCTGACTCATGTGGAAGACGCAAGCGACAACCCCAAGTACAATGTGCTAGCACGCAACATGCATGAAGCCATCGGCCTCAAGCTCGACTCACGCAACCAACACATTTACGCCACAGATATGGGAGGCTTTGTGTACAGGTTCGACCTTGACGGACAAAACAAGAAGAGAATCGTCGACTCAGACCAGAGATCATTCTCCGGTATCACCTTGGCACATGTTTAGAAACAGATAATATAGCAAGCATAGAAGACAATATTAGATAATGATGAACTTCAATAGACATCGGTCTTCAATTCAAACGCACAAATCAAAGTCATGCTCCCATATCTTGATATCTGAATTCAGCCACCTTCACACTTGCACATCACATCCCACCAGTCCAAGGCCCACCAGCAGCATACCCACCCCCAACACCCCTAAACCCAGCCGGCTGCGCCCCACCCTGCCTGATAGCCTCCTCCCTACTCCCCAACCTCTCCCTCATTTTCTCCATAATAGCTCTATCCTCGTCAGTCTGTTCATGAGGTTTGAACGGATTTTCGAATCTCGACTTTTTCTTTTCTTTTTCTTTTTCTTTCCCCTCTTCTGTGCTGGTGACCAGTGACTCTTGCTGAGGGTCATTTTTGGACTTGTTGCGTTTTAGGAAGCCGAAGCGAGAGGATGAGGTCGTGGGGTAGGTGGAGGAAGAGTCGTTTATGGTTGTCTGGGTGAATATGCTGGAGACTTCTGGGTCGTATGGGGTGGTCTTTGTAGTGGAAGAGTATTGGTCTTGTTGTGCCGTTGCTGAAGTTGTGCTGTCTTGTGCATTGGTTTGATAAGACTCGTCAAAGATGGACTTGGGCAGAGATGGCATGGTTGTGGCTTATAATGTGGTTCTTGTGTGTTCTTGTTGTTGTTCAAGGGTTATGTGGTGGTGGTGCGATTCAATAAACTCGAGTGATTGCTGTTGATTTGTGATTTGTGATTCAAGATGCAAGGGCAGGCATTGGGCTATTTATCGTCAGATTCGGAAGGAAGGCAGGGTCAGCTGGCCCTAGCTGCCCTGGCTGCCTGGATCGGAAACGGCGATCACCCCGGGAAGCGACTGCGCCACTGATGTGGGATCCCCACGAACAAAATGCTTAGCACGTAATCAAACCCTCAGAGCAAAATCACAAGACGTCTGGACATTTACGGCCATTGAAGATCAACGAAGAAGGCAGGGAACAAAGGCTGAGCAGTTTAATATCGTCATGTTTCTCATTAGAGTCCACTCCTATCCAGTCGATGGCCCAAAAAGAACTCCCTATTGACACAACACAGCCCACTTGATCCAAACTCCTTGTGCTAAGCCCCTCCCACATCGCTACCAAAAGATACATGAACAATGGATAACACGGCAAGGCATCAACGTGCCTTACGTCCGGTCGCGACGAGTCGCGTTCTCAGCTCTCCGATGGTCTCATCCCAGCCCTCGGAGCCTTGACCTCGGACTCTCTTGCCTACAAACTCAGACATGTTCTTCTCGTTGTAAGGCTCGCCATACACGACTTTGGCATCGACATCAATCTCATTCTTGATGTCCAAATCTTCTGCCTCGGGGTCTGATAGTGTGGCCGTCAATTGTATGCCCAACTTGACCTTTGTCTCAACTTTGGGAAGTAGAATGCAGACATCGATGGAAAGACGCTCGTCGCTGAGAATGCTAACATTAACGATTTGCTCCAGTGTCAAGCGACGCACTTGCTCGGCAACCAATGAAGCTGTATCCCAACCTCTCTGCACGAAGCCGAGAAGCTGTTTTAAGGAGATAGTGTTCTGGTCGAGACATTGCAATTGTGCGCGCATGAGTTGGAGGAAGAAGCGCTTCTCTGTCGTCAACGTCGCAGGAGTGAGGTGTGTGAGTGAGATTGGCGAATTCAGTGGATTTGTGGCCTGGGAGGCAGAGGTGGCTTTGAAAGACGTGGTGTTGAAGAAGAGCTGGAGAGTGTTTGCGTAGGTCATGGTAAGATTGGTGTCTGCCGCAGCGGTAACAGTCCAGCCAGTCTTTTTCTCAAGCTGTGCTACTGACTCTGTAGTGATGTTAGCGAAGTCCTGATGCTGTTTCTGTATCGTCAGAAACTTACCCTTGAGAGATTGCACTTCATCCACCGTGAAACCACGGCAAGACTCCTTGACCCTCTCAGCCTCCTGGATGGCAGCAAGACTTTCAGCCTTGCCTTCTTCGTAAGCCTCGGCGAGGTTGTCTTGTTCGTCAATGTCACGTTGAAGACTGGCCAACATACGCTTGCGTTCTTCGATCTGTTCGTCTACTTCTAGCAAGCGAGCACGAGAAGCACGCAACTCTTCTTTCTCCTCTTCTGAAGTTGCAGCCGCAACTTGCTCGAGTTGCTCTGCTTCTTTGAGCAAGCTTTCATATTGCTGAAGAAGGTCAGGAAGCACCGCGTCAAGGGCTTGTTGCTTCTGGTCCAGAAACCCGGCATCTGCGTCAAGACCATCCTTGATTCTGTTAAGACCCTCTGCAAGACCGTCCAGCAGCTTACTACGCCAATCGTACCAAATCTCTTTACTCCTCATCCTCGCATTCGTCTTGGCGTCCCTGATGTTGACGTCCAGCTGAGCCTTGCGGTCAGGAGTGGCACCCATATAAGCCTGGAAGAACGGTGGCGGGTCGTCGTAAACCTCAGCTTCCAATGTCTTGAGGAAAGACTTGCCCTCGGAGATGTATCGCTTGAGTTCGCGGCAAGCATGCTGAAACAGGTCAAGCATGGGCATTGTGCAGGCGCCTGCAACAACAGCACTTTCAAGGTCGATGGTTTGATCTTCTCCGTCAGTTCCTTGTGGCTCGCTTGGTGTTGGGGCAACTGTATGTCTGCGCTTTGACGCAGTCAAGTCCATGAACTTGATGCCTGCAAGATCGAGGAAAGCATTAAGCTCAACTTTTCTTGCCGGTGGCCCCGTCTTAGGTACAGCAAAGATGTTCTTGGCAGCTTCAAGATCGAGCAAGCCAGGTGCGTTCTGGTTCTGGACAATGAAAGGCGTGGAAAACTTGGGTGTCGCGATCTTTCTTGTGATCATGGCCTTCTTCGCCGGAGACTTCTTGGGAGTCAGAGCGCGCAAGCGTTTCAACGGACTAGTGCCTGTTTCTTTGCTTGGTGTTGAAAGAAACTTGATGGAATCCGCAAAGGTACTTCGAGGCTCCTCGGTGTACTGCCTCTTCTGCTCGGGCGTTGCAGCAAATTTGACAGGCGAGCTACGCAATTGTTTCTCGAGGGAGGGCGAGGTTGGATTGAGCTCCTCGAGGTCAATTTGCTTGGGTGTAGCAACGGCCGGGCTGCGTAATGGGGACCCACCAATTGATACAGCTGTGTGGTGGTGTACTGGGGAAGGCTGAGGTGACACGTTGGTAATTTGTGGTGTAGTAGTTGCCTCTGGCATCTGTGGTGTAGCTGTGGGTGACGATTTGCGCTCTGTCTCAGTGATGGGCAAGGCAGGATAGCTAACTTCACCCATCACTTCGTCTTGAGTCTCCTGGACAGGCTCACTTGAAGCATCGTTCGTCGTAGGCTGCTCAATCTGCATCTCGTCCGCAAGCTGTGCAGTCACTGTTCTAGAAGGGGAAGGCACGTCTTTGATGTGTTCTTCTTGGTGCGGCTGGACCGCAAGACTGATTCTCGCGCTTCTGCGAGTCGAGACAGGACTTTTGCGTGATGAAGCCTTCGATACAGAACCTTTGGTGACAGAGGCAGGGGTATGTGCCACATGTGACGAGCTTCTGACCACCGAAGCTGGCCCCTGCGTTGAGCCGTTTTGCCTGATGGAGATTGGACTTGTTTGTGCCAGTGGTGTGTGTTGAGCAGACTCTGTGGTCTTGTGTGTGAAGTGAGGGCTTCTCGTTGTTGAAGAAGGTGTCTTCCGTATGGATAGTGGAGCTTTGTGAGTGGTAACAGGAGTCTTCTGCGCGGATGAGGCAATCTTCTGAGAAGCAGGACTCTTGCGAGCGGATGCTGGACTTTTATGAGGAGCAGCAGAAACTGCAGGACTAAGGAAGGGCAGAGACTCAGTAAGCTCCTTAGACGCAGACTTGCGGGCTGAGCTTCTCATTGAGCCAGCAGAGTCCTTGACAGCAGAGCCAGGGGCTTCTTTCTCAAACAAAGGTGTCAGAAGCTTCTTGGCGGTCAAGTCGCGCGGTTCCTTGAAGCGGTCCTGGTCCTTGGGAGTTGTTGGTATCTCTGTTCGCACAGGTGTGGGAGACCTTTGGGGAGTGGTTGGACGATCGATTGCAACAGCCGCATGCTGCTTCAAAATGTTTCCTACAACAGCGGTAAATTCCATAGACATGTCCTCATTCACCTCTGCATCGTCTTCCTCTAGGATTGATGGCTCTCTGGGCGATTTTGGTTGCTGCTGTTGCTTGATGCCACCCACTGCCATTGTGAAGTCCATAGTCTGTTCATCCATGATGGATGAGGCGCCAGAGGAGCGGCGGCTGCGCGAGCTTGATCGTCTATCTTTCTTGACAGGAGATTGCTGTCTCTGCTGGATTGTACCAACCGCCACAGTCAAGTCCATTGTAGCATCACCTAGCGACTGGCGAGAAGAGGAAGATCGTCTACGCTTCGCATCGCGTGCCTGAGCCACAGTGCGCCTCGTCGGCTCCTCGAAAGAAGGCTTCGGCTCCTCAAAGGCTGGCTTCTTGATTGACGGAGAAGCAACTTCTTCTGTGGTAAAGCCCTCGAATCGTCTCTTCAGAGCACTGCGAGGAGGCTGGGCTTGAGGGTTCCACTGGTGAATCTTGCCAACGGCTTGAGTCAAGTCCATGGTCTCGTCTCCGAAGGAGACAGTTCTTTCAGGTGACTGCTGATAGAAATTCTGGTGTGTCTGGATGATGCGTCCGACTGGGCGTGTCATGTCCATGGTCATGTCGCGTGTCTCATCCTCGTCCAACTCTTGCGCTTGTACCTGAGGCTGGTTGGCTGTCCAGATGGCGCCCATGGGTTTGGTCATATCCATTGTCATGTCGCCCTCGTCTTCAGTCTCTTCTTGGTCTTCCTGAGGTCGCTGTTGAGGCTGTTGAGGCAAGATACGGCCTATCGCACGTGTCATATCCATGCTCATATCGTCGTCTTGCTCGTCCTCCTCATCTCCAGGCTGCGGTCCAGGGCGGAAAACGGAATCGAAAGGATTGTTGTTCTCTTGATCGTCTGCGGCAAAGTGCTGGCCTTGAGCCCATGGCTTGAAAGCGTTTGTGACTTCGTCGCCAGCCATTTCCATAGTCATGTCGCCGTACTCGTCAAAGTCAATGCCTCGAGTACCGGCTTGGTCCGAGGCTTGTCGCAGGGCAGCGTCCAGTCTCGCGCTTGAGCCGGTGCTGTCTCCAGATTGTTGCGAGAGCAGAGAGTCGTCCCCCTGGTCGAGGCTCATGGCGGTATCTCCATCATCTTCAGAGTCGACATGTTCCTCAACATCGCTACTAGCGTCGACATTGCTACTGCCGCTGACTGGGGAGGAAGAATAGTCGTCCAGATCATTAAAGTTCATGGGAGGGATGGCAGAGCTTCGACGGCGCTTCTGCTTGTGAGCATCGCGTTGGTGTTCGGGCGAGTCTGGGAGTTCTGATTCGTCTTCGTCTGCTTGCTCCGGAGGGGTGGACGGCGGGTCCGAGTCGGGCTGGTGATGTGCTCTTGCGTGGTCGGATGAGTTAGACGAGGCCGTCGCATCGCGCATGTATTCAATGACGTCCCAGGTGTGTAGGGTGGCTTCGGGTGCAAAGGAGACTCTGCGGTTTGCAAGAGACTTGCGACGAGCTTCGCGGCGTTTGGCTTCATCTTCTTTGGAGGGCAGGATGGACTTGACCGCCGACGCAGTGACGGACTGTGGAGAAGCGTGTCAGTGACTGAGTCGAGCAGGGCACGCAATCGGTAGCAGTGAGGTGTGCCTTCTCGGAGTCGCAAGTCGAGAAGAGCATGTTTACTGGGGCGCGTCACTTACGTCGAGACCAGTGGAGCCAATGTTCTTGGTGCGGGACTTGTTTGGCGAGGGAGACTTTCCAAAGGCCAGACGCAGAGGCGACTGGTTCTCTTTGTCGTCCAGCTCAATCATCGTGTTGTGGTCGTCGCATCTGCAGAGAGAAGGAAAGCTGCGAGCAAAGACGCCAGGGTGACGCGACGGCGGAGTTGATGCAGAATCGATAACAACAAACAAGCCCGCTAGTCGGGGAAGCTATGCCGAGTCGCCGTGCACGGGAGACAGTTGCACTTGCAACATCTCGTCAGCCAATGACGGGCGAGATGGGGCTTGGCGGCCAAAGCGAAGCCCACAGAAAGCGCCGAAGATTTGGCGGAGTCCAAATTCGAGGCGTCGGTTTAGCGCACGCTGGCGAGAGACGATTTTGCTCTTGATTTCGCGACGACAAATTGACGACTCCATCCCGGTACTCGACCTCTATACCGACAATCAATCAACATGGCCACCGAACTTGCCGTCCAGAGCGAGCGCGCTTACCAGAAGCAGCCTCACATCTTCCAGAACGCCAAGAAGGTCCGCAAGACTGCTCGCGCTGGCAAGAACGGCCGCAGATGGTTCAAGGACGTCGGTCTGGGTTTCAAGACCCCCAAGACCGCCATTGACGGCAACTACATCGACAAGAAGTGCCCCTTCGTCGGCGAGGTCTCGATCCGCGGCCGTATCCTGACCGGCACCGTCATCTCCACCAAGATGCACCGCACTCTCGTCATCCGCCGCGAGTACCTCCACTTCGTCCCCAAGTACGCCCGTTACGAGCGCCGCCACAAGAACCTCGCCGCACACGTCTCGCCCGCTTTCCGTGTCGAGGAGGGTGACCAGGTCACCGTTGGCCAGTGCAGACCTCTCTCCAAGACCGTGAGACTTCCCGCCCGTAGACTCTCCCGCAAGGAGCCCGCCACTAACACAGCCCGCGCAGGTCCGCTTCAACGTCCTCCGCGTCCTTCCCCGTACCGGCAAGGCCGTCAAGTCGTTCAACAAGTTCTAAGCAGCTCGCGCACTCAACAACCATGGTCATTTACGGGAGTCTTCTCTGGGATGGGGCAGCAACCTGGGCGACAGGAAGAGCAAAATAGTCGTTTTTCTGCAGCCCTAAAAAAGCAACATGCCTTTTTGTCGCATCATCTTCTTTTTCTCCAAAATACCATCACAACCCCCAACGACGCCCGTCCCGACTCTCGAAAAAGGAAAAATATGGCGCTTTACGATACTTGCAGGAAAGGGTTGTTTCATCGTCTTCACCAATACAGGGATGGACATTTGCTGTGTCGTAAAGAGTCAATGCCACACGTTGAAACATGATCTTTTCTATTCTCCTCTTCTCTGCATCTCCCACCGTGTCCACCTCTTGAGAGCATGCACATACTGACAACAGCTCCGATCACTACATCACGCTCAACACTTACCGAACACACCTCAATTCCGTCTTTCGCAATCCGCCTATCCCCCGAGCCCTCACCTCTGAACCTCTCAGCGCAGGACCTCGAAACAGAGTACCGCAAAGCATAAAAAGAGCATTCGGAACAACCTTGAGAGAATAGACTCTGGTCAGTGGAGAGCTCCAGTAACAGCCAAACCGGCCAGCTCTGGTCCCTACGCGACATGCCCAACTACGCCCAATTACACCATTCCTGAGCGACACTGACATGCTCAACCATGCCTCATCCGAGCGACATTGCCCCGCGTGACGTGATCTGGCCATTATACATGCATGCCCGTGACTCAACCTGCCGTCTTCTACCGTCCTCGCTTCTACTACCACATTCTCGATTTTCGTGTCAATAGCTCTCTAGTGGAAAGCTTTGTTAGTAGGCTGACAATACTCCACATCCACGCACTTGCACCTATTCTAGGCATTACACTCGCACTAACATCAGATAGCGCCATGGCTCCTGGTAGGCACCCGGCATGAGATGGTTATAATCTGCAGCTAAGAGACCAGCGAGCAGGAAGTGCCTGTCAGATTGCGTGCTCTATCGTACATGTCTATCTACCAATGTGGTAAATGCAGATCTAGCATCTATAAGCCAGTCACGACCCATACTACTTTGCACCAGTTCACGTCTCCATGACCTTCTACCCTCGAAACACTCGGTTGACTTGGTTGTTCTCATCTCTTTATCCGGCTTTGTCAGGACCTTCGAGCATATGCTTTCCTTCATTCTGTTCCTTCCTTCTCGATCTAGATCAGCTGCCACGTCCAAGATCATGCGCTACATCAAGAAATGGTAGCTTCCCGTTTCCTCCGCTGTCACCTCCATCTTCCCAGAAAGATGCTTCGTCACTACGTATAGTGTACTCGCGTCTGGACCACAGTCACCTACTTCTCGACCATGAGACTGTCATCTAGACATCCTGCTCATGGTCCCGATATTTGCTCGCGCCAGTGTCCTCGTTGTATTGCTTTTGATCTTCCCAATACCTCGTTAATTATCCTGAGGAATTTACAGTGCTCATATGCAACACATGTACAGGAATTGATAGTGATGGTGCACTAGCAGGGGTAAGTGTGTTGTACGTCATCCCAATCAACTTTCGACGACGTCAAGGAGGTGCCGTCAGCCACGACTAAATTTCTGCACATCTCAATATTGAGCGTACCAAATGTCTAGAAACTCTAAGTTTCTACTAAGAGCAGTCTGATGTACACTCTCTCTCTTCTATAAAGTCGATACAGGTTCGTGTCGCGATGATATGGCTTGTTTAGTCTCCGACAACCATTGCCGCTGGTATGACCCTGACACCCATGACCCTGACACATCCATCCATTCATCAGAAGATCAATCTTTTGCACTTGCATTTGAGATGGTAGTAATGACCAGAAGATAAAGAATGAAGACATTTAAAGCTGTATTGGAGCTACCAAAGTTTCTATGATCAATTCGTGAAACTCGTTGTCGTGGTTACTGAATCGAAATCTGGATGCACACCCTGAGACGGATATCGTATCAACACAGTCAGACATGACGATCAGATCCAACAATACGGCAGACCTACTGATACCAGGCCCGCGGTCGTCTTAAGTGTATACCGAAAGATGGTTGACAATCTGATACACCTCGGATTGCTGTGAAGGCTTTTCGTCCGCTGGTCGTGAAGACATCTTGAACAAGTCATGATCCTGAAGCTCCTTCTCCCAGTCAGGATTGGAACCTATGGGAGACCATACAGATTTCCTTGACGATATTGATGCTGATTGGACCGAGCTGCTACCGCTGCAGTGCTTTTGCGGCCAAGATTTTGAGGGTTGCAAGTGCCATCTCGAACGTGGGGTTATGTATGGTCGAAGATATGTGGTAATGAAAGCTGTGCGTTGGTATACTCCTAGCTCAACCTTGGACCACCATCAGTAGAGGATTCTAACATTCACTTCAATAGCTGTTCGTGCTCAACGTGTCTGATGATTGAGCTAGTATGTAGTCAAGTAAGCCACTCGTTGTATGGTGATTGTCTCAACGACGACAGCCCGTCTGTGTTCAGAAATATCTCAACAAAGACAGCCCGACAGCACTCCACTCACATTCATGCCGAACAGAGGCCGTGCGGGATCGAGAAGTCGCGACCTTGATCCTTGAGGATACTCACCAAAAGGTAGTTGCTGCCGTTGTACCACCAGCTAAACAACCGGGATAAACAACAGAGCAATTTGCTGGAGAGGCAGATGCTGCCCGAGCAGCAGATTTTAGGCGGACCAGACTCCGCCAGAGCAGTGGGTCTTTGCAAGACACGATATCCGTCCAAGTCCGAGCGACATAAACAGAGCAAGACCCGTTCTGTAGGCAGCCCCAGAGTCTAGACTGAGCGGAAGAGCCTGGAGATTTGTTGTTGGCTGTCCTTTCATGTTGAGCCCCGATGTCGCATTCTTTGTCAAGATATGGCGCATCACGGTGGTCCAGATCATCTATCGAGGTTGCGCAACAGAGGAGCTCAGGTTCAGTGTCGTCGGGATTGCCTGTTTGGGAAGGAGCCGCGTTCCTGCAGTCGGTCATCCAGCCAACCACTCAGAGGTCAGACTTTGACTGATCCAATCTTCCAGACCCAGGTCCACAGGATGCTGAGCGCCTTAGCCATATGCAAACGGTATAATCGACGTCCTCCGATGGTACGATACTCTGAAAGTGGTACCTGACGCGAATCCTGCCAACCACGAGCGGTGGACTGATTGTGCCATCTACGAAATCTTAACCTACGAGCAAGCCATATCGGCCAGACTGCATTTCGAAGAGTCAGAAAGGTAGAGTCAAAAACCTGCAGGGTCAAGGTCAAATGTAATCACAATTGCTGGTGGTCTCCCCTGAAGAGCACATATCGTGTCGTAGTGGTCCATGCCTGGCCGCCGCATTGGGCTCAGGCGCAGAGTTGGAGTAGCTCGTAGCTCACAAACCTTGAAACGCTGCGCAACAACGGTCGCGGCTTGGTACAGCGTAGTCTCCTCTGTCGTGTAGGTCGTCAGGGAGTTGGAAGTAGACTCGTGGTATACGTACGTGCGCACTCCCACTCGAGTCATCCCAAGGTGACGAAATGGTTCGACAAACACCTTTTTAGGTACTGCTTGGCTGGACTTTTTTCAGCGACGTGCAGGAGATCTATCCGCGGGCTCGTAAGATGGTCGCATCCGTTGGTGGTTGATCATGCTTAAAGGCTATCTTCGCAATGGACGTTAAGGTTTTGCCAGAAGACTTTGCAAGGCGTGCATTGGGCTGATTCTTATGTTTTCGATCTTCGAAGTACACATTTGGCGTACCGCTGTTTGACTCGCAAGTCGAGGTTAATCACCGAGCCTCCCAAGCCAAATTGCGCAGCAACAAAGCGAACTGGATGCTGTGTGGATCTACGGAGACGTAGCCTCGAGTTTGTCTTCGGCAAGAGCGTGCTGCCTACCCAATGCGGTTCAATGTCGCAATCATCTAGAGCTTTTGCCTTTGATGTGAGAAATTAGCGTTCGACACTTTCAAGGTGGCCATGGTGTTTTGTACCAGTAACGGGAGCAGAACCCGTTTTGGAACCTCATTATCAAAGAAGGTGTCGGGGACTGAAGGTCGCAAGAGAGCCTCAGCACCAGACTCGACGTTTCATCTTGTCTGACGCGTGAAAGACGCGATTCTCTGAGCCCCACCGCGATCTGCATCGAACGATTGTCAAGAAACGCAGATCCAGCATTACATCACGTTCTGACGGAGCTTCGAAGCTATTGTTGTTGTTGTGGACACAGAGCACGCGTCGTGGGAAGAATCGGTGCTTTGTGGATTGGACTTGCTTAGGATGATATTTGCGCGAACGGTCGGTCATGACAGGGCTTGAGAGGTGTGATTCTGCATCTTTCGAATTCTTCAGTGTGAGGGATGGCTCAAAAGTCACAGCTACAGTGCATGGCGTGTTCGGAGTAGTCTCGATTATCTACACGACATACGGGGTACAAAGACTATTATTTCAATGGTCGCCCTTCAAGGCAACCGCTGTGAAGCGCAGTGGAAGACACGAGAGTCGTGGATAGGTACTCGAAGTAGCGTCTGGAGCATCGAAAACACCTCAGAAGTCAGAGATTGTTTGACTCGGCTGCTACCGAAAATCCGCAAAACGGTCACAGTGCGGTATTGAAAAGGACACCCAATCCGAATGGCCGTCGTTGACAGAGAACTCACGAGTAGCTGATCCTCTTGGTCACTCGTACGTTAATCTATTTTCGCGGCGAAGCGCCGGCACGTCGCCCGCGCGCCTGCACCTTCCAACGCTCTTGCAGCCCCGTCGGACAGTTGAAGGACACGGAGTAAATTCGACTTTCGAGTCGTGTCCGCTTCTTGAATCGTTAGTATTCGGCTTTAACAGAACGTATCCTTCTCGCTCCGACTTGAACTGTGGACATCATGCTTCCTTCTGTTCAAACGCGCAAGTTTGGTACGCTTCTCACTGTCTGACACCTCGGACTTGAAGCTTGCTGCGTTATCTGCTGATCTACCCCGTCATCTAGCAAAGTGATGACTTCTCGGCCGGCAAATCTAAACTTCCAAATCTCCCTCTCGCGTGGTGTCGGAATGGTCGATTGGATGACGACGTGAGCTAGGTGAGAGCTCCTCACAATGAAGATTGTCCTCGCAAACCTCGATATTTGTAGCAAGACATCGACCGGGACCGAAATCCTGGTTTGTGGGCGTCGTTCCGCATACGTCAGAAATTGCCGTGATGAACCGATTTTCGCCCTACATTGCGTCCCAAAGTGGAAGCATGGATGTCCGCTTCCAATTTCGTCTCTTGTCTGTGCCCCAAAATTCCTGCTTTGTGATAGAGTATGCGCCTCGGGTTCCATGATCGATAGATCATACATACACCAGTCGCATTGCATACCGTGAAAGATGCTATGTAGATACTAGATACATCAAAATGACTCGCGGGCTGACCCGCTACCTGACATAGAAATTCGTGAGAACGTTCAGCTCAACTTCACGGCCTGAAACCTACTTCCACCTTGCTTCTTCATTAAGCCGCGTCAAAACGTCCTCGGTGTGGAGCTGCTGGCCCAGCTGAATTCGAATCTTATGCTTTAAACTTTGGCTCAGAGTGACTGACAGTCGGCCCCTGTGGCCTATATTACTTTGACACACATCCGGCCGTATGCTAACAGTACCACACGTGCTGTCTCCGCCTTGCGCCCTGCATTCGACGTCCAATGAAACGGCTAAGAATTTCACCGCCTCAAGCCGTTGACTACCTTTGTTCTTCGTCTCTCACTTTGCAAGATCGAGGGAGACAAGAACAGCCACGCTAGAGTGTTCCGTGAGGTTGGTCCGGGCTCTCAGAAACGATGGAGTCCAGCAGATCACAGCCGATACCCGTGCTCGGGACAGGCGACCTCAGCGCTAGCGTGATTGAGCTACTCGTTTGGATCGCAAAGCAGGCATCGGCTCAAGATGTGCTGTGGGAATATATTCAAAGTGTTGATACATTAATGCTAAGCGAGTGTAATAGTAGGGGTATCTAGAAGCAGGACGAACGCCGTAAACAGTGATGGAAGTAGACAGCTGGCACGCCCGCCTGGGCGTCGCGAGTCGGTCAGGATCAACTCATGCACGACCGGCGCCAGGGGGTATTCCCAAGTCTACCCAAAGCGCGTAGAACAATCGGAAGGGTATCGTGGAGGACAGAAGAACAAGCGCCGCAAATACGGTTACAAAAGGCGGAAAGGACGTTTTGAACAAGCTCAAGATCATTAACGACTGTGAGGCTGCAATTGGAAGCGGTTGTTGGCCTCATGGCGTGCAAAAGGATTGGTAGGACCAGTCATTGGTGGGGCTTGCATGATTGATGGAGGCGGTGGAGGAGGCGGAAGACCTGACGTAGGCATGGCGGCATGAGCCATGGAAGGTGGCGGCAATGGTGAAGCGTGAACTGAACGACCCGGCATCTGTGTGTGATGAGTCTGCAACTGGTGTTGGGGCATTACCGCATTTGCGTGAGGCGGTGCTACGGCTGCATGACTCTGTATGGGCGCTTGCACGTAGGTTTGTGAGATTGGCGAATCGCCACGCTTGCGAACATTCCTAGTCGGTTCAGGACTACTTCTCTGAGCCTCACGGTAACGTCCGTGGGCTGACTGAGTGGACCCGCTTCCATTCCGTCTGGCCCGAGGTGACTGTGGACGAGGAAGATGGTCGCGGCCGCCTGGGAACTGAGAGACGATTGAAGCGAGAATGTCTCTGTCCTGCCTGTAAAAGTCTGCGTCCTCCGTCATCTCCTTAACCTGCTGCTCAAGTCTAGAGATGGTTTGGGAGGCTTCCATCTCCTTTCTCTTGCGACGCTCACGGAATCTTGCACTCGCGCCAGCGTTCCGGCGTCTTTTCTCGTCAGCAACGCGAGATGCTGCTTGTACATCGACAGGGAAGCGCACGTCTCCCTCCGTAGTCTTGAGAGTCATCATCTGCACAGGGTTTGAATTAGGCCCGGAGCTGAGGGCGACATGGTACGACTCCGATACATGCGATGCTGAGGTTCCAGGAGTCATGCTCAAACATCTACCTCTATGGGCATCAGATACTGACAGATAACCAGACATATGGGCCTCCCCAGGAGGTGATGTCTGGTCATAAGCGGAATAGTCGGGACTGGGACTAGTGCTATAACGTCGGCCTGAACCAGACTCGGGGCTAGCCGTGCGGACAATATGGTTGGTCTGGATCATTCCTGGATGTGCGTAATTAACAGCTGGTGGTGCAGGGAGAGCTGGGGCACCGCTCATTCCAGGCTGCATTGAATATGGCCTGGAGTGGGGAGAGACAGGAAACGGGTTCTGTTGAGCATCCATCATACCGTTGGGTCGATTGAGGTGGGATAGACTGATGGCTCTTCGAAGAGGAGATTTGGGCGTGAGCATTCTCCTAGGTCCGTGGTTCAGTGGCTCTGTCAGAAGAGGTAGTGGAGTGGGGGCCGGCCCATGCGACGTGTGGCCGAGAGGGGGTAAAGTTGGCGCCCCATCACGAGGCGAGTCAATCTCATCAGCTTTTCTTCGTCGTTGACCCGACGTGGCTGCGTCATCAGTAACAGGATTGAGGACCGAAGGTAGAGTAACCGAACGAGGCACGGATGGAGAAACTGGAGTCCTCACAAGAGGCGGCAGCTCAAGCCCTCTGGGAGGCAGAAGCTCGGGTCCATGCCTTTGAGCCGAAGGCGAACTTGTTACCGATGCTGGAAGGCCCGAGGAAGTGTTTGATACATGCCGTGAATGAGAAGTGGGCGCTAAAGAGCGAGCGTGTCCATCGTTTTCATAAGTCGATGGATGGCCTTGAGCGTCCGGCCAATGTGACATGTAATCCTTGCTTTGCGCGTGCTTATCCTCCCACGATCCTGACCACGAGCGTTGCTGGCCGTGGTTGAGGATCCTACGATCGCCGCTCTCGACCGACAAGAATGGCGAGTCGTATCGAAGTGGCTGAGAATCCGGGGTACTTCGGGATATGCCAAAATACTGGCTGTGGAGACCTTGATCGTGAGGTAGGGCGTGCAAAGGACGAAGAGCAAAGTCCGGAGTGGCCAGCTTGACTGATGAGGTGGAACGATCGAAACGTCCCACGGCAGTGTCGATGTGTAAGTTGGTTGAATATGAAAGGTACAACCGGTCGTAACAGGAAGTAGCAACAGGCAAGGTGAAAGATATTGGCCCGGTTTGATCAAGAGATGTACGGAGAAATGTACCTCAAGCTTAAGGAGATCAGATGCTTTAGGAAGGGTAGACGAGCAAAGACTGGTTATGAGGCAGTAAAGGAGTGAGGAAACCAGGTGCGGGAAGGGGTCGAAGGTCTGTGGGAGAGCGGCCGAGTATATGGGCTGGAGGGTACGCGATCACTCAGATACCCAGACCAGTGATATAAGACCGATCGGCAGGTTGCGGTGAGAGTGAAATGACATGACAGCAGCAAAAGCGCGGGCCAGATGGAGCCAGGGCCTGATTGGGAATGGTAGCATCATCTTGCGCAGGTGTGGGCAGCTGGCATGGACGAAGATTGACTGAGTTAGACTTTGGTACTTGCACTGGGGTCGTTGCGGCAAGAACTATGTTCGTGCAAATGCTTCCTGAACGTTGGTGTCACACTAATCGACTAGGCGTCGACCAGCACCGGCAGGCCCTGTCTCGAAGCTTTGACGCCCATGCGGCCGAGGGTCGTTCCTTTCCACCAAAACACGGAGGGTAAGGTACGCAACGTTCTGCCTCTTGCTGCCCACTTCTGCTGCTCCGACAGAGACTCGCTTACAGACTTCTCGGGGTCCAGCATCTGTCGATGTCTTTATCCGTCTCTGCGAGCCATGGCATCGCGAGCACAACAAAAACTAAACTGTGGACTGGCCAGGGCCAAGCCGGCTCCGCGCCAACATCGGTTGCTCAGATCTTAGCCAGAAAGAAAAGCTACCGATGACCCTCTCTCGGTAGTTGTGGAGCGAGTGTCTCCAAACAAGCAAACCGTGTCACTGGTGTTGATGAGGTGGCCCCATTCGCCCATCCATGCGAGTCGACCACCCAACAAGCAGGGCCTCTTTGGTCTATCGAAACGCACAATCCCAGGACGTGTGGCGCTGTGTCATCCGTCTGTGCCCATCGGCCACCTCACGTCCTTGCTCTCATTTGTGCGAGAAAAAGGATCGTGAAGGTTTTCGGTACGCCCAACCTTATTGCCGCTTCGACCCGACGAGTCAAGCCATTCGTATGGATGTTTGCCTTTGATCATGACTTTGTTCAAGGGGCCGAGGGCAACGTATGACGACAGCTCATCCTGCCTTTCGACCATAATATCCAGCCCGTCGTGGACAATTGCCATCACCAATCGGCAACCGGAAATCCTTCCCTTGCCCGTGATTCGTTGCTCCTCTGCTTCGAAGGACATCAACAGATGAAAAGTAGCTTTATCCTGCACATCCTAGCGGCGGATTGTGGAATCGAACAGTTGTTAGTTCACAGCGTGCGTGCATGCATCACAAGTTAATTCCGTACAGCCACCTATCTGGAGCATTTCGTGTCTATAACCGTCGATCCGCGACAATCTCAAAGCATGTCAAAGTTTTGGGCTTGAATCACCTGAAACATATCAGGCTTTGGCCCTTGCATGTCACCATCATCCTGTCTCCAGTAGATGGTGTGCAATATGGCGACATCGCTAAACCCTACTTGCCACGAGGGATTTTATCGTGAAGGTTTTTTTTGCGTTTACAGTACATGCCCCTACTCAATGGTCATGACTGACTCGCTCATATGCTCGGTCGTATTCATCAAGACATCGCCTATCAGCCAGCGGCTTGGTATTCTGCGCGAAATCCTCCATCTAATAAAGTGTGGAGACAACGCACTCGTCCACTGTATCACCAGTATCTACTCCTGTCAGACAACCAGGGATATGAGGTATGTGATGGCATGCATCATCATAACAAACGATTGCTCGCTTCCTGGAGTCAGCCAAGGAAGGAGGAGATAACGACCAATCCGATGTGATATGGCTCAAAGTGGCACGGCACACACATGGAGGCCGCATGCTGGCATGCATCATGTGAGGTGCAGAACCGCCGACAACTTTCTCGAGGCACATGTGGTGCCAACAAAGCAATGCAAGAATTCTGTTGTTAGAATTATGCTATTGGTTGAGCAGTATCTTACTGCTGTCGCTGCCTAGACGACAATTTGCGATGAACAAGTCACGCATGCGCACTCGCTCGAACAGACATGCACACGATGCAGTTTGCGACATGCGCTGGCCACTGCACACCCAAGCAGTACCGGTACTGCATTATGACTTTTGAACGTCACCAGCCCACTCTAGCGTACGCAGGAAATTTATGCGTCGCAAGCCTTACCACCAAGCCAACAGGCTATTTGCTAGGAGATTGCCATTTTCAATACACAAGAAGCCCATCCGTCCGCAGGGCAGCATAGGGAACGGTAGCTCTCTACAGTACCTTCAAGCTGTATGCTGCGATTGCATAACGCACATGGTGACAGACTGACATCAGTTCTCGAATATTGGAAAAGCTCAGGGTGTAAGGTGGAGATGGAGTCCTCGATCTCAGCTTCGTCTCGCCGCTGGTTCTAGCGCCCGTAATCTCGTCAAGGTACCGCGCATCGTGACCGTCCTTGATATAGCCGCTGATAGAAGACTTCTCGAAAGAGAAGGTGGAGCACAGATGGTGGTCCGACTTCGTCATGTATCGTGTTTCTTCTCGCTCTGTCAGCAGGGTGGAGTTTGGTCCTGCCTCCCGCTTTTGCTGAGACTCGGACCTGGCGATCGCGACTCGTCAATTTTCAACGGTCGTGTTTCAGGATGATCTTCCCTAAATTGTTTCTTCTTCTGCCAGATTGGGTCAGTATGGGCGAAGCACGAGCTTACGATATTGGCGAGGACGGCACGTCGAGCATCATGCATTCCATCCTGCGTCTCGAGACATCGGCAGCCGATTGTCGTCATTTCGGTAGATCAAACTGCATCTGTTGCGTGTAGCGAACGATTTACCAAGCAGGCGGGTGTCCGCGGCACGATGCTATTGAGTGAGGAGAAAAAGTAGGGCAGGTTTAGCTAACATCTCACACGTGGCTTTGGTGATCAAGGACCACCACAAGGTGGTACACCAACAGACCGGCTAATGCCCCGCGTACAGACTGCTGCAAATCATCATCTCTTGCGCAGCGTTTTGAGGAAACTTTACGCCCGCGTCTACTGCAGCCAGCCGTTGGCCCAAATCACGGTCGGCAGTGTGGGGCCTGCGCGAGCGAAGCTCGGCCTCAAGCCACGAGGTGCGGTCCATGCACGCGGGCTGCCTCGTGGCATCCCAAGACATGCTTTAGAACGGGATTGGAACAACCATAGAATGGTGTTCGGCAACCCCTGGCTCCTTCAGCCTGGCCCAAGCGCCCCTCGAACAAGCTCTCAAGTTTGTAGATATGGATAAGCGAGCTTTCACCTGGTAAGCTAGTATTCTCGTGCTTCTGTTTTCGGTATGATTGTGAAACTTGCCATGTAGTTCTTAGTGGTAGCTAAGCTGAGACGTGATCGCCAGTTCCACGTACGAGGTGTTGGTGCGGTATAACCGACAGTACATGAACCCCCTGGTTAGAGTTGAAGCCATCCATCTATTTCAGGTCTATCCGGTGCCGCGAATCTGTGTGTTCTCTGATGATCTTCATTGATATCGACGCGTGCTGCTGACCAAGACATTGAAACCAGGTACAATTGAATCGACTTTTCCTGGCCTGTAAATCGGAAATTGCAAAAACAGCCAGTCGAGGTCGTCACCGTTGCATTCAGGTCTAAGCACGCCATGTGCGATCGTGACAAGCTGATGAAGTGTGGGCACTCTTGCGAATCTTGCATCAAACACGGGCGAAATGCTAGTTCCGTCCCGAAGTTTCCGCCCTTCTAGAATTGGCCGAGAAGAGCTACACATCGAGGAGCGCGATTTCTCTGTTCTTTGGTCCTTCTATTTCTAGTAATATTGCAGGTCCCCCACCACGTGTGCAATCTAGAGCCGGCCATGTCCGCCCCGTCCGCGATTCCCTCCACATATCATGCCTTAGCCAGCATTGTGAACTCATTGATGGGAGCAGCTGTAACGCCGATCGGAACCTTGAATGTCGCTCCCTGAAGTTTTGCGCTCTCGGGATACTTGTCTGGGTCCTCTTCTGCTGCACTTGTAATGTAGAGGTCTTCGCCAGCGATGCCAGGGCAGGTCACGCAACGTGTTGGCAATGTGATTTCGGTCACGATCTGACCTGCCGGACTCACCCGCACAACCTTGCTTGTGCCGAACATAGCGACCCAGAAATGGCCCTCTGCATCTTGACAGTGGCCATCTGGAACGCCGCCCTCGATCGGGCACGTAAAGAAAGGACGTCCAGTCGTAAGATCGACCTTGCCAGACTCAACATCGTAGTTGTAAGCCTCTATCTTGCCAGTGGGTGAATCGGTGATGTACATGGTTTTGTTGTCCAGAGTCCACGACATTCCGTTCGGAATAGTAACGGGCTCTTTGATTCTGTGGAGGCTGAGGTCTGGATCGAGTCTGAACAAAACGCCTGTGTGGGGATTCAGCAAAAGAAGTCGGCATGGACCAGGCGGTTGACTCACCCTCCGGGCCAGGCTCGCCTACAATCGTAGGGTCGTTCATGGTTCCAACATAGAATCTGCCATGGCTATCGACTGAGCCGTCGTTGCTTCTCGAGCGATGCGCCTTGCCGCTCTGTACTTCCTCTTCAGACCAGAACTTCTTGATGTATTTGGGCTGCCCGGTTTTCTTGTTCGCGATACCATATCCGTCCTTTCCACCAAAGATGAATTCATCATCGTTACCCTCGATGTTGGCAGTGCAACCGATGGAGAACGGAAGGTCGATTGTCTTGTGCGACGAAGGACCTTCGTCGAGATTCACGACATGAAGCTGCTTCTTGATGATGTCGACAAAACGCAACGTGTTGCTCTTCTTGTCCCAGAACGGAGCCTCACCCAGCTCGCATGAGGTCTTGAGCCAAGGTTCGGCAACCTTGATTAGCTTGATGTTTGACATATTCAGGCTCGTGTAATATGATTGTCGTGAGGGTTAGAAGACTACAAACAGAATAGGTCACCTCTCAGTTGCTATCGTCGAGGGTGAGACACGACCTCATTATGATGGCATTGTTTGCACGTTGTTTGCTTCTGTATTCCCCACATCAGGAGGCCGCGAAGGCGGTGTTGTTCTGCCGCCCATGTGCTCTGCCCTCCAACTTCTGATCCGCACCAGAAACTAATGACCTCTCTCTTGCAGACAATGGTACAGGTGCATCTACGACGTACCTCTAGACCTCACGCTTCTGCAAGGCTTTGCTCGCCTGGATGCGTGTTTTCACACCCTTGGAGACAAGCGCGTTCAGGCCTCACCGATTCGCACGGAGGTGATCGGAGGTGCCAACCCGGCGGGATTCGTCAATTTTGACGAAGTTGCTGTCCGAGCCCGTGGTTCATGTCAACCACTTAGAGTGACGCTATAACCCGACTCCCGAGACACAGCATGCGAGACATCCCATGGCTCTCCCAAAGGGCCCACGTGCGAATTACATGCAGCACGCCAGTAATGCAAGTTTACACCGCCAATGTGACTTGTCAGATCCGGCATCAGGTCATTAAGCGCCGTGTGCCAAATATCCCTATCCCTGGTCCTACGCGAATGGTCGGTGTGACTATGCAGCCTGATCAACCACTGCCTTCCGCACTAGATTCGGAGCTTGCTTCCTATGTCTGGACATGGAACTGATGGGGCAGAAGAAGAATGGTACTGTGGAATCTCAACATTCGCACTACATACGGGGAACACTGCATGGTCGGAGAATCGAGCAAACAATCACATACGCGTCAATTGATATATGGATGCATGCGCAGCAAGAAACATGAGTGTGATGGGTGTATGTTCTAGGTATTTGTGGGTGATTGAGATTTCTTCTGCATTGATATTCCGTCATGCGCGTGACTTGAGCAGACTGACAGACCTTCAATCCGATTCCGAGTATCTACCTGCATCATGCAGCCCTGTTCAACGACCAGCTGTCTTGCAGCACTAGCCTCAGCATGCGTATGGCACCGCTGCAGTGTCATGGACGAATACCTGCTTGCCATCAGAACGTGGGCATCATGCTGTGGCCATGTACCATATGTCTTGCCGACCTCTTACATGTGTAACACACTCTTCGCCGGCGTCAATCAGGATCCTGATCTCCGCCATTGCAACAAATTCCCTGCCACCACTCGTTTGTTCCTGCACGGGGACTGCGCATGTCGGCGCTATGCAAGTGAAGATCCACTATCCTATCAATAGTGTGATCTCACTTGCGTATCACTTGTCATCCCGGGTTGGCAGATGCAGGGACAACGGCCAATGAACTTGATGTTTAAAACGCGTTGGGCAGCGTATCTTGATATATATGCACGTCACTTCCCTCATCGAGTCATTTATGGTTGCAGAGAGGTGTACTTCGTGCATAGTGCGTTGCGACTGTTGGCTTAGAGGCTCGGTAAAGGGACAAGGCTGGCTTCGGGCAGTCGACTTTTGTTTTTATGAACCGAATGGGTCAGAACTGGTTAGAACGGATGATTTCAGCGTATGTTCTTGAAAGTATTGGAGAAGTACCAGAGTCACTCCGTATTACCAGTCTCGTACGTGGTTGCGCATACTCGAGTCCATCCCATACTGGCTAAATCAGAAGCTTGTTCCTGGTGTCGAATGATATATTTCAAAAAAGCACCTGCCCCACCAAATTCGTCGGGCGTATGGCGCAGTGGTAGTAAGTTCATTTCTGGAGCCGCACGAGTGCTCAAACTGACATTGATGACGTAGGCGCGTCCCCTTCGCAGCAACGCTTTGTCTTCTTAGATTTCGTTATATCGTTTATGGGGAAGGTCTTGGATTCGATCTCCAATTCGTCCACACTTTTTGCTCTCCATGAGGTACGTCCCGAGTCGCCAAAAAGTTGGGCCGATTGCTGTTATGTCGGATCTCAATTGTTGATCGGTCATACTGCCCGCCTACTGCTTGAAGACGAATGTGCAACGACGTACGAGCTGAATACTGCAGCCAACGAGCGCACACCTATTCGAGAGCATGTCGAATATTCCACTTGAGCAGCCCTGGGTACTCGTCTGCCCTTGGTGCTCTCCACTCGCTCGAGTCATCAGTAGCTTCTTACATCGATAGCATCGTTTTCGGACTGCTGCGACTCATGGAGCTTTGCCACAAGCTGACGAGATCAGTAGGAGCATCCGCGCTCTTGCCGAAGCAACAAATACTGGTCAGCTCTCCGCGGCACTCCCATGTGAACAGCCATAACAACCATACAGCGAATTTCTGCACTTTTGCTCGAGCCACCAACGTCCAGGCATAATTCGCTAAGCACATCGTTGATGCCGCCATCACTCGTTTGAGAGTCACGCAAGCGTTCCCGTCTCTCGGCTTTGCGCAAGCGAGACATCAGCCTCTTGCGTGAGCTTTGATTTTGCTACTCACGACAGACTCGCCTATAAGCGAACGGTATGTATCCATCCCGCATTCCATCCAACGGCAAAGGGGTCCACCCGCAAGAACACACTGACCGAATTTCAGACAAAGCAATCTACCTGCCACACATTCTTCTTCGGCCGTAAGAATGGATCTCATAGAAGAATGATGACACGGCGTCGACGCATCGTGCTTGCAAAATCGCATCCAATTTCTGATCATCCCATTTCCCGTAGGATCCGATCCTTCGTCGCCCCTACTTTGTCAAACATCAAGAATAGTAGTTCTTCGGTCTCGGAACGAGGCGAGTCAGTCATGTTCCTTGTTCTCTATCCCCAGCTCGAGACTCGATCTCAATCTAGTGAGCATCTCGGCATCGGAATGACTCGCTATATTATCTTGTTAATTATATAGTTCGTTTGCTGAACAAGACAAGCGCAGCAATTTACAACCCGGATAGCCGGCTACTCCAATATAAGCCAGGCGGCTGGTCAAGATTGTGGATTCAGCAATCCGGATTCTGCGCATTGATATGCCATGCCTCTCTAAATCGCTTCTGCCATCATCATGACCGAATTCGATGCTCGATATCAGGGATTTCGGTCGAATGGCACTGAAACATTGAGCGACGACCTAGGCTACCTAGAGCCCACTAGCGAAGGACTCTCATCAAGCGCACAATGTCCTCAACGACACACGCCCTACAGGATCGCGGAATAGACTCCGACACCGATGTTGACTTCCTGCTGGGAATCCGTGGTATCCAACGTCGAACGTGGTCGTGGCGGCTTTAGCATACCCACCCACATGGACTGTTCAAATCTCAGCAAGAAAAGGTTGGCAACAACCCGAACAACACGAATGTTGCTACTATGGTCTCTCGCCACGACTGACAGTACTGGATAGTTCAGTGTTGATGAGCACTACCATCACTTCGGTCCAGATATCCCAATTGAGTGGTAGCAAACAACCAAAAACATCGCGGAAGGTTTCGCACTGACTTTTTTGCGCTTGATAAAGAGGTATGTGCATCTTGAACCAACCACGAACCGTTTACAGCCATGCGTCCGCCATACTTGTGATAGTCTCCCTTACGCCGATAATTCCTCCGGAGGCCTCAAATGCGGACGAACGGACCACGTATATCACATGCGAGCCTGATACTTTGTTCACGACAACCTTAAACCGTGTATATCCCTTCACTACACCTCGCTTAGCAAGTGCTCAGGATCATCATATGTGGCAGAGAAGATGATGAGATGCTTTCTGAACTGTCTTTTGCGAAAGTCGTAGCGAGAAGAGTCGTGGCCTTAGTCCTCAATACGGTAGGACTTGCGATAGCATGGAGCCTGGCCTCAAGGCAGCAAGGTGTACGATCCTCGAGATCTGGCGATCCAGAGAGTTTTGTTGTGACTAGGTACGCAGGACCGAGGCTTATTCAAGTATCTGTAATGGAGGTAACGATGAGGGAATAGCTTTGCTCATTGGTATACCGGGCAATAGCCTCGCGATAGCCTCGTTTTCCTGGATGTGCGGAGCACGATTGTCTGCGATGCTTGCTAGGCTTGATGTTCGAGTCGCCATTGACCTTCAGCGGGAAGCATCGATAGAGGAAGAACGTCCACATCCTGAGAAGGTGCAAACATCTTGAGTTGTCCAGGATGCATCGTTCCTTCCTCTTCATCGTTGCCACACGTGACAGCCGGCGATCAACACAATGCTTCCCACATGACATTCGATGTGAACACACATCCCACTCGACACAAGCAAGCATGGTTTGATGTTCATCATGTCGGTCTCATCCGCAAAAACGTACAATTCATGGCAAACGGCTTTTTTCTCTCCGGGAAATCCATCTCTACCCAAACTCGCTGTACTTAAGTGACCACCAACACTCCCTATCTCCCAAACTCTGTGTATCAGATATTGTCATCTACTCAGTGCCATCACTGTTTTTCCCTTCCACAATAAAGTAGAAAAGAAAAGACATGACCCTGTCACAAATGTCTACAGATTGTTCCATCTTCTTTCTATGTCTCGTGCACATTCTTCGCATATCAACTCTCTAGACCTTGCCGTCGTATATCAATCGTTCTGAGGTTTTACGAATGAGCCACAATTCATTCCGAGTCTTTCCTGACTGTTTTATGCTAGACAAATGTGCCAGGCTGATGCCGTTCGCTCCCCGTGATACCAAAGCCGTGAGATCTGGCAACTCACTTTACTATAAATCTTTTCAGAATGCTACACACGGGTCCTACCTGGCACACAATTGCGATACTACGAGGTCTGCATAACGACAAGTAAGAGGTAAAGAGAGATCATCTGTACCCATGAGTAGAGAGGTGAATAAAGATATCTCTGTACAACCGAATGCCAGAAGAGCCAGAAGAGCCGATATTCCGTGACGCCAAACTATTTCTACAACAAATCTATACTATACACACAGTTGAGTTGACAAGACCTTTAGCGGTAGTTGGCCAACTCATCATACTCTTCTTCAATCATCTGGTCGTCGATACCAGCCTCCTCACCAACAACCTCAGTACATCTTCCACAAAGCGAGTCGGCCTCTGCGGAAGTGAATTGCCAACATCTGATACACTTCTGTCCATGTGGCGGCAACACAACAGCTTTTCCTGTGGCAGGGAACTTCGGGTCTCCACATTCGAACTCGCACTCGAACTTCCATGCTGGCTCGTCGGCTTTGAGAAGGAAGGCTCGCAGTTCTTCATCAGGTTCTTGTTCGGCTAATTGACGGCGGTATTCGGGGTCGCCGGGAACGACGTCAGCATCGGAGACGACGAAGAGCTCGGTCAGCTCATCAGTCTTTCGGAGGTCGAGAAGGAGGGCTAGAGGAATATTGCCCGTCTCGCGGGGCATCTGCAACTCAACACGGCAAGCCAAAGAGCTACCGAGTCTGCCTGCTCGGCGTGCATTCTCCTGAGCCGACTTGACAGCTGTAGAAACATTTGTGAAGACCTTGATGACCTTCTCCATTGCTCCCTCTGCGGCGAAGGCGTCAAACTGGGCCGTGAAGGGGAACTCCCACGGTCTTCGGCTTATAGGAGTGGGATCGTAGTCGTGCCACTGTTCGGGAATATGCTGCCATACCTCTTCAATCAAATGAGGGGTGATGGGACCCAACATGTGGCAAAGCTCTTCCATAATGATGAAGAGCACCGTTTGTGTGTGTCTGCGAACATTTTCGTCATCGGCATACAATCTGTCCTTGATGACTTCGAAGTAGAAGCCCGAGAGATCGGCATTGATAAATTTGTTGATGGCTTGCACACCTTTGTGGAACTCATAGGCACCATAATGTTCCCAGACTTGCGCTGAAGTCTTGGAGAGCTGATGTAAGGCGACTTGATCGGCAAAGTACAGATCCTGCAGTAAATCTTCAACGGGAATGGGAGCAGGATAATCATGCATGATACCGAGAAGCCATTTGAATGTCGTGCGGTACTTGTGAAGCGATGAATGGACAGCTTGTAGGACGGGTTGGCCAATGACAACATCTTTGGTATAGTCACTGCTTGCAACCCACAAGCGCAAGGCGTCAGGACCCATGGCGTCCTTCTTGGCCTGGTTAGGACGAGGGGCAGTCTTAGTTCCCTTCTTCGTCTTCGCTGGTGGTACAATTGTACCACTAATGATTTCTTCGGGTGAGATGACATTGCCCAGGGACTTGCTCATCTTGCGGCCAGTGTGGTCAAGAGTAAAGCCATGAGTGACGATAGCGCCAACAGGAGGATTGGCAGTATCGGTCTGACCAGAAAGGTAAGTCAAGAGAAGAGACTGGAACCAACCACGATGTTGGTCAGAACCTTCGAAGATCATGTCTGCAACAGAGCCATCTTCACGCTTCTCGAGCTGAGCCCATGAGGTGCCACTGTCAAACCAGACATCCATGGTGTCTTTGCCACGAACATATGATTGCCGATCAAGACCAGGCGCGATCCAAGCAGGGTCGTCAGAGGCATCAGCCCACCAAGCGTCGGTACCACGTTTTTGAATGACTCTGATGATGTGCTCGATGCTCTCTACGGTCAAAACGGGCTCGCCGGTTTGTTTGTGGAACAGAGCGGGAATAGGTACACCCCAACTGCGTTGACGAGAGATGCACCATTGGCTGCGACCCTTCAAGAAACTTTGTAGTCGTGGCTTGCCGGTATCAGGAATAAACATGATGTCCTGCACGGCTTTAAGTGCGGATTCCTGAACACTTCCAACGTTGGCAAACCATTGATCAGTAGCTCTGGTGATGACGGGCTGCTTCGTTCTCCAATCGACAGGATTCTTATGCCTAAGGTTGTGAGTCTTGAAGACGAGCGATGAGTCTGATTTTAGCGAAGGGATGGAGAGTTTGGCGTGAGGATCTCTGAGGAGAGCAACAACGGCCTTTGCACCGTCTTTTTCGACGGGAAGACCCTGAAGGTAATCGGGATCCGAAGGGAAAGCCTTGTTTGTGTATTTGCCATGATCGTCGACAGGAGCGAAAGCCGGACCGATGCCTAGCTTCATGCAGACATTATAGTCATCCATGCCATGACCAGGAGCGATATGAACCAGACCAGTACCCGACGTGTCAGTGACGAAGTCTGCATGGATGATCTTGTTGTGTTCGGCCGAGATGACGTTGATGTACTCTGTGTTTTCCAGGTTCGCGCCCGAGATGTTGTCGACGAGGATGCTGATGGTGGCACCCTCTGGCAGGTGGGTCTGCAGCGACTCAACACGCTCTTTGGCAACAACCATCTGGCCTTGCATGTCTTTGGGAACGTTTTCGCCAGCGACTTCGAGCAGTACATAGTACATGTCTGACCGTACAGCGATAGCCTTGTTTGCAGGTAGGGTCCAGGGCGTTGTTGTCCATATCAAGGCGCTGACAAAGTCTGCTTGGACAGCGGCATTGTCGGCGAGAACAGGTGGCAACTTGAGCAGAGGGAACTTGACAAAGGCAGCGACAACGCGGTGGTCTTCGTCGTATTCGAGTTCGGCCTCGGCGAGGGCAGTACCGGAAGATGGCGACCAGTGGACGGGTTTGTTCTGACGGTAGATCAGACCTGAGTGGGAGCATAGTTAGCATGGTATCCTGGAGCTCGACAGACGACAGACGACAGCAGGGACGGACCTTACCTTTTGCGACCATGTCCTTGAAGACTTGCAGCTGCTTGATCTCAAAGTCGGCGTCCATTGTCTTGTACGGCTTTTCCCATTCACCCATGACGCCCCACGAGCGGAAGGCGCTCATCTGTTCAGCTATCGTCTTTGTTGCCAACTTCTTTGCTGCCTCTCGAATGGCCAATGGACTCAGACCGGCACCGTGGGCTACGCTGGCTTCCTGCTTGGCCTCGTCGACCGTGCTCGTGGACTCCTTCGATAGCGTCGACTGTTGATGAGCCTGCAGAGCCTTAAGTTCGATAGGCAAGCCGTGACAGTCCCATCCTGGTCTGTATTGCACCCTGAAGCCTCTCTTTGCGTATGTCCGTAGAATTATGTCCTTGTTGATCTTGTTCAGCGCGTGTCCAACGTGTACAGGGCCATTGGCGTATGGAGGCCCGTCGTGCAGGGTGAAGGTGTTGCGCTCGCCCTCTTCATTTTCCGTCGGAGCATTCTCCTTTTGCCAGGCATAATAGTCGTCGGCGCATTGTTTGCGGTATTTCAGAAGCTCTTCGCTCGATGGTCTGGCGGGGAAGGTCGATTTTGGCAGGTGCAGTGTCTGCGACCATGAGCCCGCCGCCGCTGCCCGTAGTCCGCGTGTTGATCGGAACATGTTTGCGCCTTCCTTCAACCAATCTTCATATCGTTCCTTCTCTTGATACCCTCACAATCCAATCGTGGCTTGCTCTTGCCGTCGGGAAAAAAGTTGCCATAGCTCGCTGGTGACGTTTTGCGGAGAACGGGAGTCTCGCCTTGGCGTCTCTTCCGACGCCTTCACCGCCATCATTTCCTTGCCCTCTCGCTTGCGCTCTTTGCAGGCTGTCCAACAAACATGGGTACGCCTCGCCGTTCAAGGCGGGAACCGAGTGGCAAAGTCTCAGCTGGCTCGATACTGCTTACCACCCATCTTCCTCAAAGCTGCCTGAAACACTTCTCACCGTCAAGGCTTCGTCTCAACAACTGAAGCCTCTCAATTATCCAACCACTCGTGAGTCGAGGACTTGTATTCTCAACAAGACATCCCACTCGACAAACAGGACGGTCGAATTTCCACTGGTCAACTCTCTGAAAGTCTCGATACCTACCGAGCCTTGCCAATGCATGCATGTTTGCCTCGTCCACACTGACAAGCGGCTCTTTCCCACGTGTCCACCACTTCCTCGCCACGTTCACCATGGCTATCAAGTGATGAATGACGAATGATCTTGTTTCATGCTTCCTGATCTGGTCCTGAAGGCTAGTGATGTTGCGTCTATGTTTCTGTATATGACTTTGCGATATTTCCGAGAATATGTAGCAGCATGCATAGCGATCTACTAGCCACGTGCAATATCACATCAAGATGTCTTTCCATACAGCCTTCTTCTGTGTCGGCTTGATGTCTGAAGGAGTAAGTTACGGATCACACCTGATCATTCGGCTGCTGAACTGTTGCTCCTCAGTGTGGTCCCCCTCGAATCGTCGCTGAGCATTTCGTCACCACACTGGAAGTTGAGGCATGGATGAAGGTTGGCCCTCTTATCCCGGTAGAAAGCACTCTCTGACCTCCACAGAATGTTGATAATCTGAAGCGAAGAGACGGTCAAGACAAGCGTAGATGGACTCATCGTATAATGTGCGAGGGTCTCCTTTTCTGCAAGTCCAAGCTAACGTCTTAACAGCATAGCCATCCACTCTACCTCAAGATCTCGAAATGTCCTCGACTTTGCTGGTACTAGGCTAACAAGGTGCTCCGTCCCGTTGGATACCGTAAACCTTCTGTGTGGCCACGTGCCTTATGACCGAGCCAACCATTTACACTCTGCCTTGACGTACGGAAGACATGATTGCGATCTATGTCGAGGTATTGAACTCGATCCTTGCTCGGACATAAGCTGACTGATTTTCACAAGTTGTCGTGCTACGCGCATGTATACAAGAAAACTATGACGAGCCACGCATGCCTCTTCTCTGGCAAACCGCAGTATGGAAGCAACATCGATTAAGCGCTTCAATCATAGACTGCTCTGACTCCCGCTTTGCTGTGTTGATCAGCGGTCTCGAGAACCAGCTACAACACCTGTACGACTACAGAGCCCTCCCCTTTCTCATTTTGGAAACCTTCATCGACGAGCTCTTGACCAGGATTGGAAGAGCAAAGACTGCCGAATGGACCGTAGATCCACCACCGACAGTTGCAGAGAGATTCGACCATCACGTTGATCTAAATCATCTTTGTCTCGCTTACATACCATTTCTGGGCTGGCTCACAGAGTTCGACATCTTGTGTGAGACCGCATTCGCCTGCGATCAATGTCTTCGATCTTGTCTATTGCACAACGCACACATCGTCCAGGCAACTCTGACATATGCAAACGCAGAGCTCAGCCATCTCAACCAACAACTTCTCTTCCACCTCTGCTTTCAAACCAACAATTTGCTATCCTCTCTACAGACAAGCAAGGAATCTTGCTGTGATCATTGCAGTCAAGTCAAGCATCTGGCTTACATAGCCTTTAGTCTTCTTCCTATCGCTGTCATCCTTACTCTTTCCGCCGTCTTTTTACGTCCTAGATGGACTTCAAAGTGGATATTCTGGCTGTCGATTGCGGCGTTTATCTTACATCTTGTTATCCGCCATTACATACGTGTCACGCTGAGGACGTTCAGACATACATTTTTATCCTACTTTACCGATTCCAGACATGCTGCTGGGACTGTCTTGGCCCATTTAGCAAGACTCTTGACCCGTGAGTTGCAGCTTTTCGCTTCTTGTACATACAGACGGACTGACTTCAGGACAGCAACTCCGATATAATGGACAGCAGTAAAATGAGCTGTTTGGTTGACAGGGCACAGATGTGCTATTCAGTTCTAGTGTCATTGTGTTCGCTCAGACGAGATGGCTGTTCTAATTGATCGCCACGTTTATGCTTCTGGTTTCATAACTCATGCGTAGCTGTTTCTTCTTTCCAAGTATACAAACATATACATTCAACCAGAAGGGATGAGCAAATAAAACGTGGAATGCATACAGAGGGCCAATTTGATTCCACACAATTGGCTGGAAGTGGTCAGCGGGCTCGATCTGAGAACAGGGGACGAGACAAGAACACATTGCAAGGAGCTTCCCATATGTCTAGAGCATCGCAACATTAGTCAGACAATCTAGGCAATATTCAATGTGTATTGATAAACTAGTACAGTTATCATTGGGAGAAATCATGGATGGCAATGGAGACTTGATTTGTGTTGAATTTGGACGTTGAACGAATCAATCCTTGTATGATTGACCGATAAAGTTATTACAGAGAGATACTGGGCATAGTGTACAAACGTAGCGATTCATGAAAAAGAAAACCGTATCCTCCTTGTATCAACGCGGTGCTCTTAGGCGACTTTTGGTTGTAGTAGGTGTGAGATGATTTGCTTAGAGGAGAGCAGCGAAGCCGAGAGCGGCACCGAGGACACCACCGACGGCGGGTCCGTTGTAGGCGGCAGCACCAGTGCTGACAGCGCTGGAAGCGGAGGAAGCTGCGGAGGAAGCACGCGAAGATGCAGACGAGGCACCCGAGGACGCACGCGAAGATGCGGAAGAGGCACCAGAAGTGATGGCGGAAGATGCGCTCGAGACGGCGGAAGAGATGCGCGAAGAAGCGGAGCTCAAGGCGCCAGTGCCAGAGCTGAGGGCAGAAGAAGCCGACGACTGGAGGGCAGCAGCCTCAGAGGAGATGGAGCTCTTGGCCGAGCCGGTAGCGGTGGCCTCGGCGGCGGAGAGGGAGGACAAGCGAGCGCTGATGGACGATCTCTCAGAGGCAAGGCCGGAGGAGGCAGATGCAAGGGCAGAAGAGGCGCTTCCAGTGAGGGTGGTAAGAGCACCAGCGGCACCAGAGCTTCCTGCGCTGGCGATTGACGAAGCGCCTGAGACACCGGCGCTGGCAACAGATGAGGCGCCCGAAACGGCGACGGAGGCGACTGATGAGGCGCCAGAGACGCCGGAGCCTACAGCTGAGGTGGCATCCGAGAAGACCGAACCAGCACCGCTAGTACCGGCGGAGATGATGGAACCACCGACAGAGGTGATGTCGGAAAGGATCTGGGCAGAGGCCGAGGCGGCGAGGGCGGCGCAGACGAAAGAGTACTTCATTTTGATGGTTGTGATGTGTGTGGATTGAAACTTGGGGTAGAGTGCAAGGTGTCTGTAGGTGATGACAATTGGTTCGGTGATGAGAGTTGGATGGAGGGTTAATCTGCGAGAAGGTTGTGGTGCTTATATACAAAAAGTGCAGGCGCAACGCTCACGCTCTTGCATCACAACATCCGGGCATCTAATGACGGGGTAAAGTGAAACTCTTTGGGGGGTCCGACGCTCCCGACAGAGTTGGGGGCTCACTGTTCTTCCTAGCTGTGCTTCGGCTCTGCTTCTGATTGGATCGTGTCATGTTGCTCTGCCAATTTACCTTCCTACTTTCCATCTTACGAGCAACAGGAGGTTGATCCCCGTGGATTTGCCCGAAATCTGGCAAGTTCTAGCCTGCGTATGACGCATTTTGCGTACGAAAGTAGTACGAGACAACGTCACAGCCTTGAGAGGCGAATTGGCCAGGCAGGCGTTGCCGTCGTTTGGGCGCTTTGGGGCTGGCTCAGGGGAAACTACGTAACGTGGGGGAGTGGCTGGATTGATCTGTTCTTTTCCGGGCTTCTGCATAAGTACTGCTATTTATGTATCCAGGATGATCATGATCTTCCGTCTCGATAGGTTGCGTGTTCCGAGTATCCAAGTTTTGGACAGACACTGTCAAGATCTCAATGGAAAAATAGGCAGTAGTAGTTGCAGTAGTAGTAGTAGCAGTAGGAGCATTCATAAACACGAATTTTGCCACATTTTGTCAAATGGTTTTTATTTTTGAAGCTTGGAACAAGTTCACTTCTGTTTGTGTACATGCTTCCGGTATCTATAAGCTTGGCAAAACCGTCTGTTTGTTTCTGGAAACCCTTGCGTCTGGATGAACTCGGGACTGAATCGTCCATCTTGTGTTGTGTATGCTACACGATGGTCCTTCAACTAGCTCTCCGGTGCTGATGGCCGTCCGCAGCAGAATTTCCACTTCCACTGTGTTGTCGTAATTTGCACTGCCTTGATTGTTGTAGTTGGTTAGCTGTTGGTACCTAGCTCGAAGCTCACGCTACTGCTTAGCCTTTTTTGCCCGCTTACACATAAGCCTCAGTACATCCGGAGTACGCGCGTCAGCCATGAGTAAAATGCTTGGCCTCTGACGATGTTGTCGAAGGATTTCGTCCACGACTCTAGCCCCGACTCATGGTGTGAGATCCGATGCTTGCTTGGCTTCTATCCGATTTGCGAATAACTTGCTGCTTCCAGCAAATATCAAGTTTTGTCGTACACACATTCTTGTAAGATGTAAGTCGCGAGTCGTGTCAACACTCATGCGGCCACTACCACCCTGGCCCCATGATGATTCACTTCTGTCTCTCTTCTGAAAGTAGTGACACTACAATTCGTCACTCTGAAAGGAACAGCACAAAGACTGCTATTGTTATAATAGTCTGTAAGTCAATTTCGTAATGCTCGCGTGGTATTATGCCGCGCACGATTGTGTATACATAAAACAGCCAATGTTTGTCACAAAGACAGAAAGAACGATGACACTCAATTATCGTCTATGTCCCATCATCAAGCCTTTCCATAGCCCTAGCAGCTTGCGTCGCGAAGTCTTGACACCTCTCGTCTATGGATGTGTCCCTTGCCAATTCGTCAAATCTTTGCTTCCAAAACCTCCATCTAGCTGGACAGTATGTTCTTCCTCCCCAGTGAGATCTCACACTGTGTCGGTTGGCGGCTTCGGGAAGCTCGTCCACAAAACAAAGCTCGCGAATCTTGCTTCCAGCTACCATTATCCAGGTTGCCGCAGGTGGCACGTACATACGCCACTCTTCGTGTAACTCTCGCTTGCTGTCATATGGCAGATCTACGCCTTCATCCATTGCAATACTTGCAAAAAATGACAAATCCGGGCATCCGTCCGATCGTAGCATCAGCGTCGCAGCAAATGTCGTTATGTTGAGTAGCTGCGGAGCCTGAGCATGCCATTCTGCATCATTGCCATCCGGTGGATCAATTTCTGCAATATTGTCAGCCTGTCTGCTATAACGGAGCCTTCACTGCCTGAGCCGTGGATCAACCTACCCCAGCCATACTCCCTGAACATTTGACCCCAGTCTGGCAGATCTCGCCAAAATGTCCCGTTCATACGTCTGACGCCATGTCCAGAATGAGAAAGGACATCTGGTTGACGAGTGATAGAAATGATCAAATTAGCCAGCCGTGCTGGTGACGGGCCACTGATTGACCTGGCTGCTTCATTGATGATTAACCACAGATTGGCAACATCATCTCTTTGCCCACTCTTGAGACGTGGTTCATAGATGGTCGCTATAGTGTGTGCACTTCTGTAGGCCGACCGTCCACCGTCCAAATATGTCTCAATAACATCGATCGTTCGAAGATCTTCATTCTTATTCTCAGAGTTCGATGTATTCTTCCTGGTCTCCTCGCGAGCGGACGCACTCCATTTTGAGACCGATGACATTGGTGCAAAAGATCGATGCTGCTAGAGGAGCGAGTCTGAAGAGGACTTCTCCTGCAATATCTTTGCTGATGTCGCTAGCATGGATATGGGAGGTTGGGCGTTAGGACATTGGTCGTTAGAGCGGTGTCCTAGATGGGTAGTGGTTGACGCCGAGCATGCTCGTCCTCGACAAGTCCAATACTGTAATGGTTAAGCTGTCACTTATCGCTGCAATGGAAAGTAGACACTTGCAGAATGCTCAACTAGGGTATTTTCGGCCGCCCAGGCTCGATAGTACCTTATCCCAGCGTAAGAGTCATTCTCGACGTTGTGCAAAGCAAAATGAAGGATTTCACCGTGAAGCAAAACAATTGATTCCGGAGAGGCTCGAACTCCCGACCCTTGCCGATTACCTCAGTACCTGGCGGTGCTGAGTATCCAAGATCCTCTGGGAGGGTTGAAACTGTAAAGGCAATATCATGACCAACTAGACCACAGAACCGCGATTAGCTTTCGTCTCTGTCTGTGCAAACATACTTCTTCCACCGGACGATTGTGACGCTGCGTGGAAAACGAACCTTCGAGAGATCGGGCTTCCTCTCATACTTGATGACATGAACTTGACGAAGGTGCAGTAGCCTCCAGATCGATTGTGTACAGATGCCGCAATGATTCCTGGATGGGAGTCTCTGATGTGGCGTGAATCTTGTTGTCGATTTTGTTTTTAATTTGCTTTCCCGATGGTGCGCCGAGGCCTATGTCGGGGTAGTGAGCCCCTCTTGTGTCGAAGGGGAAGCCTGCATATTTCTGCTGCAGTCCAAGGCGACTTTTGATGGCTCAAGAGTCGTTCGCGCGAAAAAATTGCAGCAGGATGGTACAGTATTTTGCATGCACGATGCATGAATAAACAAGAAGTTTGAACATAGATAAAGAACGTCCATTTAAGCAAGTTTGATAAGCGGCTGGAGAGCGATACAAGTGTTAATTCAATTCGTTTTCGATTGTTTCTCTTGGGTGTTGCTTGTGACTTTTTCTTTTTGGAGGGAGGAAAGCTGTAACATCTCTATTCAGTATACCTTTACTCGCTGGGTGTGTACGTAATTAGTTCGTGGCTCAACCTTCGAATGCTTGGTGGTAGATTAGAAACAGGACGTCGCAAGCATCGAAACGCCAAAGTCTTCGACGCCACCAGCCACGCGCTTGCCTATTCTTCTGATCCTTCCTCCAAAGCCCACATACTGGCCCACTCATTAATGAAATTCACTCGCCTGGTGCGACGTTCATGACGTGAATTTCGCAGACTGCAACAATAAGGCTTGTCGCTATACAATCTCCATTGCAGCAGATCCGTAATGTCAGGAACCCAGGTCACAAAGAGGAAACGCTCGTATAAGTCTAGAACACGCACCGGCTGCATAACATGCAGGTAAGTACGTGCAATTGAGAACTCAAGGCACTTGACTAACCCAGTACATGGTAAAGAAGTAAGTTATCCTCCCGACGAGTATCCTACATTTCTGATTCGATCTTGGTCAGTTCGACGTGTCAAATGCGATGAAGAACATCCAAGTTGCCGGAAATGTGTGTCGACTGGACGCAAATGTGATGGCTATGTTGTGTCGAGAGCAGCCTCACCAAGTTGCTATCGAGATTTAAGTTTGAATCTCTTCAAGCCTGGAGAGGAAGCTGGCGCAATTGAGTTCTTCCTCAGAGTATCGATTGATCAACTTTCGGGAAATTCTCAGCCCGAATTCTGGCGCCGTCACATCATACAATTGGCTCATCAAGATACTGGAACACGGCATGGCTTGCTAGCTTTGGCCCATCTCCACAGAGACTTTACAAACCACAAGACACAGTCGACTCGAAATCAATCGGCCTTGAGACATTACAATATCGCAATTCAGCACCACGTCACTTCAATGGTTGAGGGGCCACAGGACGCGATGCAGTCGGGGTCTTTTATATCGACTGCAATCATATTCATCTGCGTCGAGCTGATGCAAGGCCATATCGCCTCTGCTGTTTCGCTCTTGCAGCGCGCAGTCACCTTGATCCCTGCCACTGCAACTCGCTTGATCTCGCTACATGAGGACCTGGTTGGTCGACTGCAGATCCAAGCGAAGCGCGTAGGTCGTCTTGTCATCAAGCATTAGATCGACACTAATATGTGTTATAGCTTGTCAGCAAAGACTTGTGGGGCCCACATGATTCGCAACACAAGAAGATTTGTCACAACCCAGGGTCGAAGCGAAAACCTGACTGGAAAAATCCTTATCAAAATCTGTCGAAAGACGGAGCGGCTCTCTGCGAAGAACCGTCACTTTGGGAGAAAATCCAATGGGCATGTTCTATCACGGAGGTAGCGGATGGCATTGAGCATGCTACCCTCAGCGCGCGTGAACGCGCCGCAGCCGATGTAGTACGGATTCGAAAACTGCTCGTGACCACATTCATGCTTGCAGACGAGGTACAGTCTGCGCAAGAAGAAGAGAGAGCAGTGCTGAGCGATTCTCTCCTCCCTATCTATCGTGCTATCATCGCCTTAGCTGAGAGAATCATGGGACTCTCACCTCTGGAGCAGAACAACACGCTGCCCCACACTCCATGTTTCACTCTCGACATGGGAATTATCGGACCATTGTACGAAGTCGCCTGGCGTTGCCGCGATCCCGAGATACGCAGACGGATCATCGACTTGTTGCGAAGAAGCAACCGACAAGAAGGCTTGCTGAGGAGTTCGATCTATGCTCGAATAGTGGAAACAATTGTGGATATCGAAGAGGGTGGTCTCTCCCCAGTCTTGAAGAGTGGCGATATACCTCTCTGCGCACGCATGGCTAAGCCCTCTCTTTCTTTCGATCTCACAACCTCGAAGCTCTTTATCTCATATAGACTATTGCTAGCCAGTGATCTAGACACACTATATTGTCGCGAGATCACGGGAATTGATTGAAAAATCCATGGAGTGGAACCAGCCACGAAAAAGACTTCCTTTGTCCGCAAAAGGGTTGTGGGCCGTGAACTATGATAATCAGGATGATTTGCGCACTATAGTTGACCACCAAACACCGCCGACAAACTTTCGGCATGGTTAGATTGTACCCCTGACAAGTACATCAATAAACCGCATACACACAGCTGGCGGAAAGCATCGTTAGGGAGATATTCTGTCACCCTGATCTCACAAGACAACAACTTGCATCGGGAACACTGGTCTGACGAAGGTTATGTCTAGCGGATGTACCCACGTATCTGCGTATAGTGGATACGGCGCTCTATCACGACCTAGGCTTCCTTGGTCGCGCGAGTTTGACATTTAAGGAAGGTGCAATGATGTCTAGATAGCAGTGTATCATAGTTGCCGCAATGTAGCAGGCAGTTGTCCTTACAGACAGCCATTTCACACTCCAAAGTCCCGCGACATATATTTCTCGGCCCCAAAAATGGCTCAAATGTTCCCGCTTACTGCGGTGTTGTCAAAAGATGTATAAATTCTTCCCGACAGAACTGACTTTCACCCCCTCAGTCCGACTGCTGAAGTGAGAACTGTTCTGGATTTTCTGAAAATGGTTCGTCCTCTCGTACTCGTTCGGTTGATATACTACTACATTAAGAAGGAGGAAAGAAAGTTTGTACGACACCTGGTAGTTGTGCCGCCCGTTGTCGACAATCTCGTCCAAGTCAGTCCGAGCTTGATCTTTATCTCAGTGTATGAGACTTGTTCGCAAGACCATCGACGTTATAGTAGATCTAGTGCTTTTGGGAGAAGGGATAGAAAACATTTATGCTGTCCACGTCCTTTCGAGGTTTGAGATCGCCTCTGGACGGAGGCTGTATCTATTGGTGGAAAGTCAATTTCGTGGGGGCTATGCTCGGGGTAGATCGCACGCCTTATGCCGCCGAAGAGCTGACAAAACACACAGATTGTCAGACCTGCAGTTCGCGACGTTCCCAAAGGAATCCCCGCTGATTCTTTATCCTATGTGCAGGCATTTACTGTACCAAACAAAGTCATGTAAAGGGATCGACTAAGAAGCCTAGAAGGCGTAGAGCTCGAGCAGAGCCTCGGCACAGCGGTGACGCCTGGAATGCAATAGGTATATAAAACTCACCACCGGCGGACCTTGCCCCGCGCATCATCCCATTGAACATACTATGCACATACTGGTAAGACAATTCAGCACGCTTGATCCAACGTGCAGAACCTGATGGCTTGCGGTGATTACAGCTGGTGAATGATGACGGACCCCCTTCGGAACAAGCCCCGTACCTCCTGCCATTCATAAACACTGTCGAATCTGCGGGTCATCTACTCTCGGTCGTTCTTCCCTCATCACAACAATCTGGAGCCGGGAAATCACATTCTATCAGTGAGGAGGTAACTGCAACTCCAGTTTGGCTTAAACGGGAAGACACAATTTACGCGCAACTTCATCCGTGGTTTTTTCTTGATGCAACGCCTGCTTCATGTGTCCAGATTGCGCTTGGTCATCTCCTGAAAGACAGACCAGAAGTCGACTTGGTCCTATGTGGACCTAACCTGGGCTGTAGTGTTAGCGCTTTGTATGCGCTATCTTGTGGAATCCTGGGAGCAGCATCAGAAGCTACGCTTTGCGGATACAGATCAATCGCTCTAGCTCTATCTCTTCCTAGAGATCCCGGCAACTTGGAGGAAACATTGGAAATGTGCAAACATGCCGTTCAGGTCATCGAACGTCTATACGAGGACGCCGATTGGGAAACCAATATCATGTACTCGGTCAACATTCCTAGCTTGGTCGGTCTAGCAAGAGAAATTGCTTGGACGAGCATTTACAACAACTCTTGGCAAAAACCACAAAGCTTCGAAGAGTTGGAACCAGTCGCGAAGAAGGAAAAGTACGAAGATACGACGGATGATCGAGTAGGAGATTCTGTTGATGCAGAAAGAACATTCAAGTGGGTTTCGAGGCTCGACGTCGTTGTTGAGGAAAACAAGGATGCGCCCGAGGGCACTGACGCTTGGGCGATACATCAAGGGAAAACATCAATTACAAAGATCAATGCGAATTATATGTATATGACGGGCATGTGATGACCGATAGGACAGTGCGTATTTAATCAAACACAACCATCATAACCCAAACTACCACGGAGTGCTTCCCCCAGGGTTGCGTGACAGAATGGTTTCATTGGTCTTGAGGAGTCGATCAAGGCCAACATCCAGAACCTGTAGATAGCCTGAGGACTCGAGGATCGATTAGTTTCTGGAAATGTAGCCTACATCAATGGGTGCGTGGCCCAATGGCAAGGCGCTTGACTACGAATCAAGAGATTGCAGGTTCGATCCCTGCCGTGCTCAAATTCTCTTTTGCTTCTGACACCACAAAAATCGACATATCGCTCTAGATAATCGATGTTTTGCAATTGTTTTCCTTCGAATGATGTTGTGTTGAACTCTAAGTCCACCGAGCGCTTTTGCAATCGAGCATCGCATGTTCTGTAACGACAACGACTGATACTTTGCCACATGAGATTGAAACACAGACGTTGTCTGTTATGGCATACATATCATGGAGATTGGTGGGTGGCACATTGCTTTTTGAGGATAACTGCGTAATATGTTCTGTTCTAATGTGGGAACGAAGAGAGAGAAAAAGGAAAAACCGCCGTCAACCAACTTGGGATCAGTCTCTCAGTATAATACCGCAGACCATCATCACATAGCATGCGCATATCCCAGTCCTCGAAGCGCTCGGCTTCCTCGTCATCCTCCCATGCTCCAGGAACCACTCGCTTTGATTCATTGATCATGTCCCAGAAGTCTCCAGCGCATTAATCTGCAAACTCATCTCGCATGTCTGAGAGTAACAACTTCCAGTCGCTGGGCTGCGGGCCACATTGAACGAGTAGTATACGCGAGTATACGCAAGGTCTACGTACTGAAGCTCATTAGCGAGTTTGGTAATTGCGTCTTGTCAGATGCTTTCTGCATCTTCATTGCGTGGGAGGCCGATTACAGGGGCAAGATGTCCATCGAGATATCTCCTGAATGCTGTTTGGATGTCCCACCGGTTAGGGCATCGTGTAGCAGAGAAATTCCTCGTCAAATCTGACGCCGGCAATGACGGCTTGCTGAAGCACAACTCGCCACTGATCAATTTCTGCCGATTTGCCGTACCGAGTCGTGGGTCCAGGTGCATACATGGTGAGTTGAAGTAGCCATGAACGACATGCGACTTCGCTCTCCCAAAGTGCCACTGTAGATTTACAGCCGATGATTGCTTCAATGTCCTGTCGTTTATGCTCATTGAGTTCCACACGACCTGGATCTCGTCACGACTCAAAGCACTGAAAGCAAATTCAGTACCCCCCTAGCTTAGTCGGATAAACGTATAGGTTACTCGCTTGTAGTACACCATGTACGAAAGCTGGGGTGCGTCCTTAAATCTCTCTACGCGCTTCTGAACTTTGGCAAACGTCTCTTTCTTCAGCACCGCCTTGACAGAACCTATTGTCTGTCGTTTTCTGGCTTCAGCTTCCACATCCGAGAGCAAGGTCTGCAAGTCCTTGAGATTGCGTTTCGACCTTTCTATAAGCCGGTCCAGGATTGTTTTGCTCGGCCCTCCGACAGTACTGATCTGTTGTCAGACTTGTAGTTGTTGACCTATTTCTTTGTACAGCTCAGCGAGATCGATCAATTCCGAGATGGGATCTCGTAAGTCGATGGTAGTATCTTTGACGGCTTGACAGAAGTCGCCTAGCTTTCTGATGCCGTCGGCAATCTGAAACGCGAACCTAGCAACGCCGACAGCACCGCTGACGACACCAAAGACTTCGGCCATGGATGAAATTGATGCGGCGAACGTCAGATGAGTGACGAGGAGAAGATTGGGATCCTGTATGAATGGCAAGAAGCTGGTGGGGGGAAGCGCGATGGTGGGCTGTGTGGATGCATACAGGGCTATCCGCTAGCGTGCATAACCTGGACTGCAGGCGCTCGTTTAGATGGTCAAATGATACCTGAAGGATGAAAACTCTTGTTTACGGTTGGCCAATACTACACTATACGGTAGATTAAAGATGATATCTTAATGAGGTGAGTCCTCATCTTGTGCGAAATGTTCTCTGGCCCACGGCGACTTCTTTCGCAATGTTTCGCCATGGTAGAACCAAAGCCAAGGTATGGGTATCATCAGAATACTCAGGAAAGCGAGTAGACTCGATGCCCATTCATAACCTAGACGAGTGTACATCTGATTCGCAAACAATGGGAACCCGGCTCCCACGAGGTTGCGGATGAGTATGACACCAGCAAGTGCAGAGGCGCTGTACGTCTGATAGCTGTCGACCACGTAGTTGAGGATGGAAAGAATGACAATGTAGATGCCGAGGCCGAAAAATCCAGAAGCGATGATGGGGACAATCCAGTGGACACTACTGAAGGAAGTCCATGCGAACCTAGGTAGAATTAGCGACTGACTCAGCAGTGACATCAAAACATTCGTCTTACCAGAAAAGACTGATAGGCAGTAGGAAAGCGCCAAATCTGGCCAGCCAGATGCGCGCTTCAGGAACACCTTTGCCCTCATTTTGTGCGACTTTTCGAAGATAGTATCTCTCTTGGATGGGATAGAGTGCAACTCCAACTACGCTTCCCATGGCCAAGCCCAAGAAGCACAAGCCTTGCTGGCCTACGTTAAAGCCGTGGTTCTTGCCAAACACCAAAGGGAAGGCTTCATTGAAAAGGTAGACCAAACCATAGATGAAGCCATTGTAGGCAGCAGCACCAATAGTGATGGGTTCTGTGAATAAGAAACGAAACGGTCGAGTTAGAGTGATGGCGAACAAGGTGTGTAGACTCTTTGACTCGTCAGCGTGTGCGTCAAACACCCTTTTGGCTGAGTTCTCGAATCCTTCTTTCCTCAGTGCTTTGCGGACACGAGCAGCCTTCTTTTCAAGAATAGTGCTGTGGCGTGTCTCAGGTAGTGTGGCCATCATGATAAGCCATACGCCACCGAAGATGGCCATATACACCCAGAACAACCAGCGCCAGCCTTTTTCAAGCGCGATGTAACCGGAAATGACGAGCGCCATGGGAGGGCCGAATGTCGAGGAAAGACCGTAGATGGACATAGCTGGACCACTGCTGTTTCTCTCCCAGACATCCGACACAGAGCCTCCAGTGTTCGTCAGCGGTGCCGAGCCGCCGAATCCTTGAATCAGACGGCAGACAATGACAGTAGCAATGTTGGGTGCTAGAGCTAGTGGAATCTGGAAGATGAAGAGGATGAACCACGAGCAAAAGTAAACAGGGTTTCTACCAAAGTACTCGGATAGAGGTGCGAGAAGCATAGGACTTAGTTACATGTCAGCATGAACGAGACAAGATGGCATATTGGAATCACATACCCAATGGCAAATCCAAGAATGTACATGGATAGTCCGACAGTGCCAACTTCGTCCGACACTCCAAACTCCTCGACAAGCTGACCAACACCAGATGAGTAGCCACCAGCACAGAGGCAGGTCAGGACATTCAATGAACTGGCGAAGCATGTAATGTACCACTTCATGCCCTTGCTCCAATTACGAGGGTTGTCCTTGTCGTCTGGAGAGAACACGATGAAGATTTCCCGCGTTCCATCTGGATGGCTTTTGGCCTCTTGGTATGCCTCTTCTTCCGAGAGCCAGAGTCTTGATTGGACATCTTCGATTTCAGATGGAGTGCGTCCAGTAACTGACGATCTTTCGGAATCGATCTTCTTCTCAACATCCCCAGGGTCCTCACGCTCAATAGCTTGCTCCATGGTTGTGTTGCCGATGAGTTTACAGAACGAACAGAGCGATGAGAGTACGGCTGGGCAAAGGTGACAAGTAGGGAAGAGATGAATGAGAAAAAGAAAGGCCAGTGATGACCTACGAGGCTCCCTAAGGCTCTTTCTTGGTGGTCGTGCGCCGGTCTCGCAAAGAGATAACGGAGTTAGTGACGATGATGCGGCAGCGTCCCACTCCGCAGAGACCAATCTCCAGAACATCTCCAGCATTCTCCGCAACGCTCGTGTCAATTCTTTGACATGATTGGTAGGGATGTCTATGATTTGCCGTTCTTGGAGACGGTCTATCTAGCGCCGCCGTCGTAACCGTGATGCTTATTCAACCAATTTGTGCGTGTGAGCCCTGACCAAGCCTTTGAGTGGCTTGCTTTTGCTCGAGCTTGGTTTTGAGCCTCTCCAGGCTCTCGGTATGTGGGATGCACGTCATGTCAAAGTACTCCTGGTACTCTGAACCTCTTTAGTCGAATGCTGACAACTTCGAGATGCTGGGAAGGTGCTTTCTACTTCGGCAACTGAGCGCGGTCGGCGGAAAGAGCGAGTGGAGCTCGTCGTTCTTGCCGATTGCGCGGGTCACGGCAAGTATTGGTTTCGAGGTCGGGAAAGAGCAGCGACTGATCGGCATGTCGTCGATAAACTCTTGGCAGACGTCACTAGAGCCCATCTCACATGGAACTTTTGGACTTGATGATGCTCCCTCGGACACGATAGCAAACCAATCATCCGAGCGCAACCCAAATCAGACTACTCTGTCAGAGGTCACTCCATCCAGGGCTACTTTGTCGAGCTTACCAACTTGAAACCATCACTCCGACCACTCATCCTCTGCAATATGTCAACAACAATCGACCACCCAACCACCACCCAAGCCTCCTCCAAAATCACCACCGCAAAACGCTCCCTCGAATTCCTCTACGACCCCTCCTCCGCAAACGCACCCACTCGCCGCCGCACCCGCACTCTCCTCCTCACCCTCCGCTACGTAACAAAGTTCCTCTTCTGGCGCCTCGTAAGATATGCAAAGTACGCCGCCGTAGGAGCAATTACAGCAGCGATTGCAGGAACAGCGATAGGCAGTGTAGCTTCTGGTGCTGCGTTTGTGATTGCGCCGACTGGAGTGCTAGGAGGTGCTGGGGTGGGGTTGCTCTGGGGGTTGGGCAAGTTTGGGTGGAGGAGGATGGCCAGGAGGGTTAGGAGTGGGGAGGTTGGGGAGGGGGATGCGAGGGCTGATGAGAGGGATGGGGAGGAGAGGGCTGAGAGTATCAAGCCGCCGAAGATGGAGGAGCCTTGGTGATCAAGTTGAGGGTCAAAGAGATGAAGAGGTGGAGAGACGGCGTGGCCTGCAGTCACGAAGAACGACTATGGTTCACGAGCACAGAGCTGGCCCACCGATTTTCATACTTTGCCTAGGCCACAGCATGGGCGAGTGCATCTACGATACCGAAGCGCGAATGAAACCAAACACACAATGGAAGAGCATCAACAGTTTCCATGAAGAAGCCAAGAAGAGCATCATATGCGCCAGAGCACAACAGTCTGTCACGACTTCAGACACAGTCACAGGTGTGCGCGCTTGCTTGAGAAGGAGAGTCAAGGTCCCTCCCAGGTGAAAGCCTAATAGCAATGTCGTTATTCAGGTAGAAGCCTAGGGTACCCACTCGACTACTTTAACCCAAGAAAGTGAGCTGGCCGTTCTCGTTGCTAATCTTCTCGTCCAGCTCAATCGAGGCATGCTCGTTCCAGCCACCACGTCCATCACCGAGGACAGCGCACAGAGCTCTGCCTCCCTCGGCCAGCCAGATCTTGCCCTCCTTGACACTGCCAGCGAAGTTTCCACCTCTGCCCCAGACGAATCTACCGTCGTGGTTGCCGAGCACGTCGTTCAAGTGCAGATAGGACTCGTGTTCGGAGCCGTCGGTACGCCTGCAGAGCGCCTTGAGTGCCATTGTGTTGTAGTCGATCGAGATGTCGCGGCAGCTCTCGCTGAAGTTGCCTCGTCTAGAGGTTTGGTAGCCTCCACGGTTGCGCGAGTGGGATCGCGAGCGAGAACGAGAGTGCTGTCAGGAATGTTAGCACTTGTCTTGTTTCCTATGCACATGCACCACTCACTCTCTTATGGTGCTTCTTGCTGTCGTCGCTGCTAGAGCTGGAGCTACTATCTCTCCTGCTAGGTCTACCGTAGTTACCGGAAGCGCCGTAGCCTTGCTGTTGTGCGTATTTCTCCTCGTCCTTCTTCTTCTTGTGATCCTTGCCAAAATCCTCGAGCTTGGAACCTGCAAAGGCACCACCAATGGCACCGATGATGCCGTGGTTCATCTTGTGACCTCCATACGCGCCAGCTGCGCCGCCGGCAAGAGCTCCCATCATACCACGATCACCCTCGACTCCAGCTTGACCACCGTATGAAGGTTGAGCAGGGGCGTAAGGGGCAGATTCGGAGCCTTGGTAGGAAGTGTTACCGCCGTAACCGCCGTGCGTCTGGGAGGGGTATTCGTCGCGGGCGGTCAAGGGCTGCTGAGGTTGACCATAGCTTTGCTGCTGGGGCTGGTAGCCACCGTATCCTTGGTCGTGCTGAGGAGGACTGCCGTAACGTTGCTCGTTGCCGTACTGGCTTTGCTGGGGACCGCCATACTGGCTGTCATGTTGCTGGGAACCGCCATACTGGTTGTTATGCTGCTGAGGACCGCCGTAGCGTGCTTCACTACCGTACTGGTTTGGTGGAGCTTCAGAGCCATAGCCCTGCTGCTGTTGTTGCTGGCCACCACCGTAGTAGCCTTGAGCTTCACCGCTGTGACTGTTGTAGTTATTGTATGACATGATGCAAAGATGAGTGTTGATATTCAGGGGGGAGGAAAAAGTGAGAAGGAAACCTGAGGTTATGTTTTATAGATAAAGTTGGAAGGATGAGGGGCTGCCTTCACTTCCTTTCTTTGGAGGGGTGAATACGTGTTGCCGTATCAAACAGTGAGCTCATAGCGCATTGGGAAGGACCATTTGCTAGTCATGGCGCAGCTTCGCTACTACCTGTCACTTCCAGAGTCCAATGTTTCTGCTTTTGGTCCAAGGGCTGAGCTTTCTGCATCACAGCCGCCTATGATACCATTGGATCGGTGGCTGTGTGTTCGAATGTGAGCATACCTGGTACCCGTTCTAGAGGCTGTGCAGCACCATCGTGGCTGGCTTGTCGAAGGAGCCGCTCGTATTTGTTCGGCTTCTGGAAGTCGCTCGCCAAGGCAGCTATTTCCGGATCTTCCGTCTTGCATCATCAGGCATCCGCAAAAGCATCGCCAGTAAACAATGTGTTTGACATCTGCCAATCTTTAGTTTTCAATAGACTGGACTATACATAAGACAGGTTATACGTATGAGATCTATTCTACGAGCTCTTGGGGACAAGTCATGCGAGCATTGTTTTGGTCAAACAAGTGAGTTACGTGCTCGGCGAACGGCGAAAGCCTGGTCGAAAGTTCTTTGCCAATCACTAAGCACAGTAGAAGCACCTAGAACACGACCTACTACACTTCAACCAAGCAATAATCACAAGTGAAACACTCGTACTATATCCACAATAAACGAGTACCAAAGGTTGTGAGTGACGGCCATATCTACAGAGGTTGCGTTTTGGGATCAGGGTTACCCCGTCGACAGCAGAGGAATTGATGCCAAGATTTATGACGTGAAACAAGCGTTACATCCGAGCGGCTGATTTCAAGCATTGCAAAAAAATTGTTCTTCTCCAAAACTGACCGGTGGTAGTTCAACGTAACGGAGCAAAAGAAGATTGAGCACGGCAGGGATCGAACCTGCAATCTCTTGATTCGTAGTCAAGCGCCTTGCCATTGGGCCACGCACCCATTGATGTAAGCTCCTCTTCCAGAAAGCAATAGATCCTCGAGTCCCCACGCTATCTACAGGTTCTGGATGTTGGCCTTGATCGACTCCTCAAGACCAATGAAACCATTCTGTCCAAAGTGTTTCTTCAAGATCTCTTTAGCACGTGCCTTGGGTAAGACCTTGCTCAAATCCTTGCTGTTGTCTTTGCGATCTTCAGGGACTTTCTTGTCCGGGCGGGCCTTGCGCATGGCGGCGAGGACAGAGTTCCAGTTGTATGGCTCGGCAAAGGCAAAGATACGTTCGCTGTTGATGTCGGAATCGATCAAGGCTGCGACATGCAAGCGAGCAGTGTCTTGGACGTTGACAAACCATTCTGCCAATGTCAGTTGAATGGAAGCTCCGGGCGAGAATGTATGACTTACGAGGGGGAATCTGCTCGAGCTGAGGAGCAAAGCCCTGAGTGAAGACATCTCTGATCCAACCAGCAGTGCTAGCATCCTGGCTCTTGTCGAGGATGGGACCGAAGTTTGCATTGGGCAAGACGGTGTTGCATACAAAGTGAGGCTTGCTCTCCTTGACGTACTTCCAGACCGCTTGCTCGCCCTGGGTCTTGCTCGCACCGTAAACGTTCCAAGCCCTGTCTGCCTCGGTATATGGCGGATCAGCCCAAGCCTTATCGATGGCGACTTGGTTCCAGGATGATTCGTCAATGTTGAACTCCTTGTCCGGTACGGGATTGGTGGCTGCGGTACTAGAGGAAGTGAAGACGAAACGCTTGACCGAGGGCTCCTTGTTGGCAGCTTCGAGAGTGTGAGTCACGCCGGCGATGACACTAGGGATGACTTCGTTGGGGTTTTTTGAGAATGAGATGTTGGTCGCAACGTGAATGACACCAGAGCAGCCTTGAAGTACTCAGTAAGCTGGAAGTCGGGACAGGGGTGGACATGAGGGAAGAATACCCTTGACGGCATGATCAAAAGCACCCTTCTCGGCCATGTCAGGCACGACTTCGAGCTCGAGCTTATCCTTGCCGTGCTTGTTGTCGAAGAAGTCTTGAACCCATTTGCCCTTTGCTTCAGTTCTCACAGTACCACGGACCTTGTAGCCTGATTGGATGAGCTGGTCAACAATGTGGGAAGCGATGAAGCCATTTGCGCCGGTGACTAGGACGGTCGAGCCCTTTTCGATTGCAGACATGGTGCCTTGTGATTGCGCAGGTGAGTGAAGGGAAGTGAAAGTGTTGTGAAGGAAGACAGAAGTGTATAAGACTTAGCCGAGGAGGGGTAATTGTACTATGCATTTCTAATCACTCGTCTCACGCATCGATAAAGATGGAAGGAGCAAGCACGGCACGTGGAAGCAGCCTTGATGTCGTCATACTGCCAAGAGCATCATTGTGTCTCGAGGGGCAGACGGCCTTGTGCGAGGTGGACGGGAGCGACGGGGAGGAAGAGCAGATATGACATGGGTGTCAGACAGTGGACAGACAGTCGAGGCGACCAAGATCGTGTTTGTTGTTGCGGTTGTTGGGTGAGCAGATGGATTTGGCGAGATGAAGGAGTCGCGGGACGATGACGATGGGCGGTCAAATGAGGAGATGGCAGGCTTGGGCCAGGCCGCGGCGCGCCAACCATCAGCGAGCAGGAGCCAGCTGCGGTGAACCTGATCGACAATTGGATAATTTGAGCGCAACCATTTCTCCCTGGGCATGGATAGCGGACCTGCCTGTGTGACAAAGTCGACCGGATCATGTTGTTCTCGACACGCCAACTCTCTGTCGTAGACGTCGCTGCAACCCCCGCAGCACCACCGTAACACGACGACGACGACGACGACCACCACCGTGCGACTCCACGACATGTCTGCAATGGCGCCGACTAGCGACAGAGCTTCTACAGGTAGCTCTGCCTATGCGGACTCTGGCAAATACGCCTCTTGGGGCAGGAGTAGCGATGGTGGCAGCAGGAGAGGCAAAGACAAGGAGGACGCCAACCACCTGACCGTCTTCCGACGACGAGGCCGCAAGTCGGGAGGCTTCTTGATGGGAAACATGTTCCAGGCGAGGGACGGCGAAGACGACAAGACCGAGTCTCCATCCAAGCAGACTCCACGCAAGCCCTCACGTCTCGGTCAGAACGTCGCGACTCCCACCAAGGACACGGACGCCGCTCCGCCAATGCCTCAAGCTTCTCTGGACCCGTCGCAACTGGTCCAGATGGCTCTCAGTCTCAGCGAAGGTCGCCGCCGTCATGTCAGTGCCAACCTACAGGTCCCTGCTCCGTCGGGCGACAAGCGTCGAGTCCGCTCTAGTGGAGCTCCCGTCATCCACGTCTCTCCCGGCTCTCCTATGGGCAACGGCTTCCTACGCCCGACCTCTCTCGATGACTCTGGCTACCGTGCATCTACCGAAGATGAGTCCAGCTTCACGACCGAGGAAAACGTCGACTACGATTTCTCCCACGCTACTCTTCATCGCGCTGAACGAGCTCGCAACTTCTTCGAATTGTCGTCCGAGTACAGGCGTCTTTTGTCCACTCTTCCGCCTCTGAAACCTGTCGCATCCGTCTCCTCACCACACCTGGAGCAGAAGCAGAAAGAGCTGGGAAGGGAATACAATCCTCTACAACTGTTGCGTAACCGCAAGGCTCGTCACCGCGAACAACGTCCTCTCGACCCTCCTGCTGAAGCCTACGACAATCTGCCCAAAGTAAAGTCATACATTGACGACCTCGAGCATGAAGCCGAGGACGCCACTTACCGCACCTCTCTCGACACTTCTCTCCTTCCAACTTTTCGTCGCCCGAGTCGAGGTCAGGACGATGCGCCCAACCAAATCACCCGCAGCCACAAACGTAACGACACCGCTGCCTCCAGGATCACTCGCTCCGAGAACGACTGGTCATTCACTCCCGCCGAACTACTGGCCGACGCTGTTTGGCTGTTGCAGCCGCGAAACAGGGCCTGCATAGAAAACAGGCATGGTCAAAGAGTCTTCCCTAACCAACCTCGTGCAAGCTTCGAAAGTTCTAGAAGTGGCAGAAAGAGTGCCGACAGCAGACCGTCCATCTCGCGTACAAACACCTGGGGCAGTACCATCAAGAGTGACGACGAAACGGACCGGGGTCGCAAGAAGCCAAAATTCCTTTCTCTGCGCCATGTCGATAGTTCTGCTCGCAAACATTTGTTCAGAAACAGATCTCGCTCAAGTAGTCTCTCTAGTGCCGCTTCGGCACGTCCTTCACACCGGAAGAAACAATTTCTTGGCCCTGGCGATGCCCCCGATCTTGACAATACTGGCCCTCTGGAGCGCCAAATGAAGAAACTGATCGAACAAGAATCTTTAGACGTTCAAAAAGAGTCTCCTGAGCTCATTTCGCCAGACAAATGGGACAGGGGCCATGAGCAGCAGAACGGCAAACAGAACACACCACCCACCCAAGTTGAGAATCCTTCAGTCAACAGTCACAAGCGGAACGAATCTTCAAAAACCGATGAGCCTAGTCATTTAGATGATCGTGCTCGCTCTTCATTCGATGACTCTACCGCCCCCAGTTCACCGACAGTGCCCAATCACATCCCTTCTTTTGGCATGAGTCTGTCCCCGCCAACAAGTCGGCAGAGCTCGCCCGAAAGGAAATTCGGCCTTTTCAGATCCAGCAGAAATGCTTCAGACGATAAAGTTCATCGTACCGATTTTGCTACTGGTAGTCAGGCCAGTCTATCCAATTCGCGACATGTCAGCGACAACGTCGACCCACCTCGATCTAGCGTGGATTCCCTACGTCCTCCAGTCCCAGGCATAAAACGGCACAGAACAACAAGCAGTATTACCGATACTTTGTTCAATTCAGGCCGTCGCATGTCAAAGGACGTTGGTGTTGGCCGCTTCTTCAAAGGTGGCCGTATCGGAGATCTGGTTCGCTCGGATAGTTCTCGTCAAAATGAAAAGGCTCGCAGGAAAGACAAGCAGATCACTTCCGACATGTCTGACTCTGATGTAGATCTTGATGAGCACGACGAGAACCAACCGCGCAAAGTGCCTCCAGTCAACAGGTCGAATGCGACCCTCAGTGGCGGTACGGAGAAGGAACGACAGAAATTGCACAATCCAAACCTACCGACATTCAAGCCGAGCCATCCGATTGTGGAAAGTGACGCAGAAGAAGACCACATTTCTCGGCAAAGCAAGCTACACAGAGAAGAAAGCAGATCTTCGCGCTTCGAAAGACTAGCTCCACCTCGAATCAATCTTCCCCGAGAGGACTCTGAATCAGTCTCGCCAACCAGAAAGACACCCATATCCCGCTACTCTAGCGACGGCGGCGATCGTAGCGACCAAGACATGCTGACACCTCTGCGCAAGACTCGCCAACCCGGCGGATTCGAAGCAAATCTTCCAACCATCGAGACCACTTCCCCATCTCCATCAAGACACTCTTCACCGCCAAAGCGCCATTGGAGCATCTCCGACCGCCACGGTGCTGATACCCCCGAAGCAGAAGCCGTAGCAGTGACCTCTCTCGACATAGCTCGTGTCCGCGCGCTCTATCTCAGCAGCGGCATAAAAGCTCATGAGATCATCCTCCGCGCCAACAGCACCGCAGCACCACCATCTCCCTTCTTCATCACAGCAGCAAAGACCGCAAATCAAGGCATTCATCCAGTCTGCGTAAAGGAAGAGTTTACAGTCGCTGCCAGAATGCTTCACAGGACGATTAAGGACCAAACTACTTCTATGTCCAGACAGCTTACGTCTTTCCGCCAAACGCAACTTCCTGGTTTACATGATAGGTTGGCGGATTTGAGGATCAAAGTGGATGAGAAGTTTACTCCGTTGGTTCATTCGACGGCTGATGAAGCCGATGCTTTCACTGTGGCACTTACGACACAACATACCTTGTCTATCAAGCGAGTCAACGACGCCATTGACAATGTCCTACGACGCAGGAGGAGAAAGTTGATCTTCTTGAAAAAGGCAACGTTTACGGTACTGGAGTGGATCGTGTTAGGACTACTATGGGGAGTTTGGTTTGTGGTCGTTATTATCCGCTTCTTCAGAGGAATTGTCTCTGGAGTTGTCAGTGGTGTCAGGTGGTTGGCTTGGCTGTAGGCTGACTGAGCTGCTTCTACAAAGTCTTCTGGAAGACATGATTTTTGCTTCTTCTCTAATCACTTAGTTACCTATTTTATTTCTATGACAGTACTTGTTCTCTTCCAAGGACTCCAGTGCGACTTTCCCAAACCTCTCAAAGACTCCCTTCCGTCTAGTGCTGCTTTCTCCATGGCAAGATACAGTCTGGGCACGTCGCCGTGGATTTTGCTTCTACGAAGTATGATCATCATCATGATTAAACACCATTGTTTCGTCCAGGCGCAGAATGATATGATTAATCCAGACCCCCGGTTCAGATTGTGCAGGGCCCGGTTGAATCCTGAGAGATAGAGAAGGACGTTCTGCGTCTTTTTTGCAGGTGGTCCACGTCGTCGACAAGGCATGTTGAAAGTGTAAGGTAGACTCGAGATCTTGCACCTTGTGCATGGCTCCTTGTCATGTCCAGCGGAGTCTCTTGTGTGAAGCGTCTACACTGCATTTTATGCGTCTTTGTCAGCAGGCATCACAAGCTTGGGTGACGCGTTGACTTTTGGATGTCATAGGTGAGGACGCGTCCCCTCTGGATTTAGTCGTTGTCGCATCGTCTCTCATCCTTTGTTGAACTCATGTATTCCACCGTAAGATCACAACAATGAATTGATTGACATGATGAAGTGTCGCGGCACGAGGAAAACACCAAGTTGTTAGAAGAGGGAAGAATCACAGGCAAACGGTCCGTAGCGCACGGGGTCGTCATCGGTTTGGAGTTTGTTAAACTTAACTTCACCTTGCCAACGGGGTCGGCTACCTGTCGAGATGAGCCACGAACGCTGGAATCAAAAGTCATCAAATGTAAGCACCGAACGGCAGCATCCAGAGATAAGTGTAGGCTCAATGCAATTTCGGCTCTGTGGGAGCAAAGGTTATGTATGTACGCTAGGTTGACGTTGCATCGTTCGTGATGATCATGAAAAGTGCTCGAGCTTCTCACTTCTTCCTACGTCTGAATCTGGTACTGGCTTCCTCATCATCACTCTCGTCATCCGAGACTTCGTCAGGACTAGGTCTCCGCTGCACCCTCTTTCTCGGTTGTAATCTTTCTTCGACAACACCCTTGGCTGTTCTCTTGCCCGGTTGTGTCCGAGAAGAAGCACTAATCTTGGCCTGTCTGGCTGCATCGGCGATGTCTTGATCTCTGGCTGTACCTGCGATCTCTTCCGGCAGTATGGTTTCAGAACGTGAGACTTCGGCATCTTGTTTGCGAGAAGTTGCGATACGGCGGCGGAAGCGTGACGTATTGTTTCCATCTTCTGAAGAGTTGTCTTTCTCGCTGTCTGATATGAGGGAGATGCTATTTGTCGTACCGTTCTTCTGGCGTTGTGATTGTGTGCCACTGCCATTGAGCGATGAAGGTGTTGCGATGACTTCGACATCTGCGCTGTCTTGAGTCTGCTGCGATCTTCCTGCCTTTCTCTGAGACTTTTTCGTACGCGGCTCTAGGAAGTAGTCATCCTGCGTGCCGTAAGACTTTGGCTCCACTGCCTCCAGCGACACAAAGACGCGAGCTCTAGTCTGAGTGTTGGCAGCGTTGCCTTGCCTTCGGAAACGTTTGAAGTTCTTGCGACCATTCCAGCGTTCGTCCCACCGGTCATCGTGACCGGCTTCAACATTGTGCCTTGAGCGTGGTGGAGGCTCACGATGAATTTCCATGACTTCGATCTGGGCCAGGTTCTGCATATCAGTGACGTCCATGCCCTCGAGTTGATTGCGGAGCTTCTCTTCGTCTTCGCGACGCCTATCTTCATCTGCTTGTTGGCGCTCTGCGAGAATGGCTCGCACGTCGACCTCTTTGTCCTTGCGCTTCTTGACCTTCTTTACCACAGGTGCTGGCAGGAGTTCCTCGATCGAGGGTTCCACGGGGGTTGTGGCGGATTCGATTCCTGCCTCAATGCGGCGTTTCTTCATCTTGGCAGCACCCTGCAGCATATCGGCCATCATGTCCTGGTGTGTCTCTCCATCATCTGGCGGCGGTCTCTTCCTCGTTGAACGCTGAGTGTGCTGACTCGGTGCTGGATGAGAGCTCTCTGGACGTTCGTCTTCATGCATTGCGCTTGGCGAATGAGCTTGGCTTGTCTGATAGGAAGGAGGCTGCGAGGGGGAGGGAGAACGGTATTTTGGCAAGTCATTGATATCGATCTCGTCAAAGCCTTTGAACTTTGTCTGAGTCAGAGGTCTGCGTCCACGTCGTTTGCCTGTTGCCACGTCCTGCTGAGATGGACCAGAAGCGGCATCTTCTGGTGTTGCGGATGGAATCTCCGTGGCGTCCCTTGTAGACTGTCGTCGTGCAGCCGGAGAGTTTGAGGGTTGGTGGAGTGATGGCTCGGCTGCGTCATGCATGTTCGTGTCTTCTACTACTTGCACGACTTTGGCAGGTCGTTTCAGCTTGGCAGCATCGGCATCAAGGACGACTTCCAACAGCTCGTTCTGCTCAATACTGCTCTGACCAAGTGCAGCATCAACACGGTCGTAGAAGGTGGGCTGGTAATCTTTGAAACCTCCGATGCGAACCACAACGATGCCACCCTTGGTTGTAGACGGTTGACCAAGGTTGAATGCTCTGTCAGACTTTTTGCCGGCGACTTCACGGACGTAGGTTAGTAGCTTGTGGGTGTCTGAATCGGTATTGTCGACGGGATGACACAAGGCCTTTCCACCACCACCAGTGATGACAGGCATAAGGTTGGCATGCTGTCCAGGGTCACTGAAGATGAAGGTGTATTGCGAAAACATTTCGGAGCGCTTTGGATTGGGCAGAAAATCAGGCGATTTGTCAGGGCGAGGATTGGGTTCGTTGGCGGGTGGGGGCGAGTAGGGCTCTTCGGCGGGCCATATTGCATCAAAGTCTTGTTCGAGCGCGTCAAGAGACATGTTCTGTAACTCTTTCAGGTAGTCGTCGGTGACTATGTAGCGAGCGTTGACGAGAGCTTGCAGCGTGGTTGGCGTGTTGCGCTTCTTTGCGACCAGGTGCGAGGTGTATTGGGCGACATAATCGACGACGCATTTGATGCTCAAAGGCTCGAGGGATATGCGCTGTTCGCTGAGAGGATCTTCGAGCTGGCGGTAGGCGCGAGGAAGGGCAGGGAAGGAGAAGACTTTGGGCTGCCATCTGATGTGAAACAGGTGCTCGTAGTTGCCCAGCTTGATCTTGTTGTCGTTTCTGTCCAACGCTCTGGTTGCGCCCTTTTCCAGGCGTTCGTCGTTGATCCAGGTGCCGACTTTGGAGTTGTCGGTCACGGTGAGCTTCGTTTTTGCATGCAGGAGTTTGCTCTCTCCAGCCTCGGGCTGCGCAATGTCGACAGTCAGATGTTTGCGTGACACGGACGAGTTCTCAATGTATCGGATTCCTTTGTGGCTTCAGTATGCGACTGACGATTGTACGTGTCGGATCATGTACGAACGTTGGCCTGGCTCGGGCTTGGAGGTGCGTCCGACGACATGCTTTGTGCCTGGTCGAAGCCATAGTCGCTTGTCTGCTTGGAATTAGTCCGTTGCTCGTCAGAGCCACGACATAGCGACTTACGCTCGAACAAGTCGCCCTCACACTCGAGAAACCACATCTTGGTTGTCTGCGCCGGAGCTCGAGCGCATCAGAAGGAAGCGAAAGTTTATATTCTACCAGAGAGATAATCGTCGGCGCTTGCTCTTTCCTGGAAGACGCGACTGTTGCCTGCCGAGGCTTCGCGTGCGCGTCATGGCACCTGCCGAATGAGCCTCCTCCCTACGCCTTGACAACGACTATGGTGTTTGGTTGGCGGACCCCAACTTGCGAGGACGATAACATGAAACAACTCTTCGAGGGCTTCTCGGAGTGCAGAGATTAATCAGACAGGAGCGGCAGCACTGCTTGACTCATTTCCCCTTCTGCGGAAGTTGCCTGACTGGTTGCTCCCTACGCAAGCTAAAGCAAAGCGCTTGTTTGAGAGAAAGAGAAAGTTATATATCGGACACTGGCTGGCAGCAAAACAAGCCGTCACCGCCGGCACCATCAGGCCTTGCTTCTGCGTCGGCTTGGCGGAAGCCCAAGAAGAGGAGAGTTTTTCGGACACTCAAGCTGGTTACACGTCGGGAACACTACTCGAGGCCGGCAGCGATACGACCTCTAGCCCACTCTCTTGCTATCCCGCCATGATCCAACTCACAGTTTTACAAAACTGATTTGAGACTGATGCTGCACGATGACAGCATAGCCTTGGCAAGTCATCACACATTGACCGCAAGGCAACAGCCTGCTCTCGACTAAACACAACCAACATCAAAGCAAATATGGCTATCGAATCAAGTTCTGTACCGATTAGTATCCGCGGCCGCTACTTTTACAAAGGCGATGAAAGAGTGAGCTATACTAGCCATGTACCAACGATGACCCTCTAATTTGGGACAAGTTCTTCGTTCGGGGAGTTGTCTATCAACCCTCCAGGCACGATGATTCGCGTGGCACTATCAACGATCCGCTTTCAGACGACCGGATACAAGAGTTGCAACAGAGTATTCCCTTGTTCATAGAGCTTGGAGTGAACACACTCTACATCTGTTCGTCCTGTGTAATTGAGGCTGGTGGTTCTGGCTGACCCATCCAGACTCCATCGACAATAAGAAGCCGCACGCAGAGGCGATGACATTGCTCGATAATGCGGGAATCTATGTCGTCGTGGTCAGAACCTTGCGTTACATTGAGCGAGAGACTTTGCCTAATGCATGAAAACAGACCGTCGCTACCCCGTTCTGCTCCATCAATCGATCGAAGCCCTATGGATCGTACAACATCGCCAATGTTACCTCTTTCCTCAAGACTGCAAGCATAATGGCCGGTTATCCTAACACCTTGGGTATTGTCGCAGGCGACTCAGTGATCAACAGTTACCCGTCCCTACAAGCAGCACCTGTTTTGAAAGCTGTAATCCGAGACATCAAAAGATATCTAGCGTGGAGCAATAAAACCAACGGAACACGACTATTGCCTGTGAGTTATTCAATTGCGAGTGTTCCATCCATCACCCACGCTCCAGGGCTTCTAGAGTACCTGTACCTTGGTGATACAAAAAGCACAATCGACTTCTGTATGGTAAGTTGATTTCAGGAACTCATTACGTGCTCAAGACTCTAAATTCATATAGCCAAAGAGTTACTCATGGGCGGGTGAATCCAGCATGCAATGGTCTGGCTGGGACCGACTTGTAAGTTTACTGCCCTACCGAGCTAGACACAACGTCCACTAAACACGCATGCACTAGGTCAGTCGATTTAAGGAGTTTGCCATACCTACATTCCTCTCTGAGTATGGCACCAATATTTACAAGCCTCGGCAATTTCACGAAACCAAGGCTCTTTACTCAAGCGCGATGACCAAAGTCTTTTCTGGCGGATGTGTCTATCAATTCAACGAAGCTCCTAATCGGTACGGCCTGGTGGTGATGCCTCATACGGCCGAAGAGTTGTTCTTCAAGATGGATGATTCTACGCACAACCAGGTGACTGAAACGCGAGAAACGGATCAGGGCAAGCTCTACATTTATGGCGACTTCGAGAACTACAAGACAGCCCTTGCAGAGCCCATTGACTACGATCACAATTGGGATACCATGGAGCACGAAGCAGCAGAGAGATGTAACGCTGATACTGCGCAAATTACCTGGCCATGGGGACCCGACTTCCAGATGCCTGAGACGTGCATTGATTGGGCAAATATTGCTGAGCTTGTCGAGCGATCACCCCTTGAGACCACAGCGCAAAGGTTCGAAAACACACATATTGCCTGAAGTCGAACCTCGGGACAAGCAGCTAGGTTGGAATTCTGCAGCTCGATGAATTATTCAAAGCATCGCGGAAAAGCATGTCCAAGACAGTCTCTTCCGGACGTAACGGACATGATTGCATCACGAATCATGAGCCCGATATCCCAATTTCATTGCGAGAATCATGGCTGACGGCAAGGGTCACGCTGACAGTTTCTCAACTTTCATGGCTGCATTTACGTACTTACGTGCGAAGCGTAGTGAGCCTCGGTCAGTTTTGCAGGCAGTGTGTTTGTATGGCAAAAGAGGGTTGGGCGCCCTGTACATCATCGTTCATCAATTTCCTTATAGGTCAAGACAGTTGTGAAAGCAGCAAATCAGAGATGACGAATTAGTCCGAGGTAAGTTACAGAAGGTATAAAAGCGCCACAATGCGGAGGGTGGCGGGGGTCTCGCTGGGGAAGCTTAACGGTTAAGCTTCTTGTCTCTCCTTGTTAGTGTAGATCCCCTTGATCCTACCTCCACAAACCGAGGCATGGCAGCGCATGGCCAGCAGACAATTGTAACGGCCATGAAATGATTGGATATCGCAGATGATGTGCATACCGAAAGGCTGTTTGCTCAGGCTGGGGATTGCAGATCAGTAAGGCAAACCTCCTCTTTTGCACATGATCGGCATCAAACCTTCCTGACGATGTCAGTGCAAGCCAGAGATCCATGGTATCTCCGCAATTTAGCAGTGGCAAGCCTAAAAGCTCTTGTACTTGAGCAGAGTACCGAACAGATATATAGGGAGCATCGAAGCCGCGACATAAATCCTTCTTCTCATCAAGTCAATCTTCTATCATCACTATCACAATCATGAAGAACATCGCCATTGCCTCCCTCTTTGTTGCTTCGGCTTCAGCCTTCCCTTGGGTCGTCAACCAGCCTGGTGTTGACAGCTCCGCTCTTGGAGCATCACACAAGGTCAGACGTCAGCAATCTGGCGGCAACCAGAAGGGTGGCCCTGCTACCTGCCCTTTCAATGCCAACCACCAGGGCGCTGCACCATACAACCCGAAGTACCCATACAACGGTGCTAAGAACGGAGCTCCTGGCAAGGGTATCGGTGGTTACCAGGTGCCTGCTGATGGTGACACTGCTCACCAGTATGTTGCCCCCGGACCCAACGATATCCGTGGACCCTGCCCTGGTCTGAACGCTGCTGCCAACCACAACTTCCTCTCTCACGATGGTATTACTACCTTCACCGAGCTTGTCGACGCTCAGCAGAACCTCTACAACGTCGGCTACGACTTGGCTAACCTGCTTGCCGCTCTGGGTCTTACCTTGACTGACGGTGATCTTGTTACCGAGAAGCTGTCCATTGGTTGTGATGCTACCACCCGCACCTCGTTCTCGCCTGTCCTCACAGGATCTGAGCCTGGTCTTGATGGCCACAACAAGTTCGAGGCCGACTCGTCCCTCACCAGAAACGACTACTTCCTTGCCGACGGAGACAACTACTCCTTCAACGGTACTCTCTTCGGCATGATGCAGGACACTTGCCAGGGCAACTTCAACCGCGAGAACCTCTCCAAGTACCGCCTGCAGCGCTACACCCAGTCCCGCGAGGAGAACCCCAACTTCTTCTTCGGTCCTCTGACCCTTCTCCTGTACGGAGCCTCCTCGTTCCTGTACACTCTCATGCCCAACGGTAACCACAACTACGCTCCCGACCTCGAGACCATCTCTTCCTTCTTCGGTGCTCAGCAGAAGTCCGACGGAACCTGGGAGTTCAACGGCGGTGAACGCATTCCCGACAAGTGGACCAACCGTGTCACCCCTTACTCCAACTCCGACGTCACTTCTGAGATTCTCGCTCAGTACCTTGAGAACCCCGTGCTCTTCGGTGGCAACACTGCTGATGGCACTTTCGATGCTATCAACTTTGGCGCCATCAAGGATGGCAAGCTCGAGGTTGGTGTCAGCGGCACCAACACTGCTTGTCTCCTTTACCAGCTTGTTACTGGTCCCGTCCCCTCGTACCTCAACGGCATCGTAACCCCTACTGTTGACGCACTCAACTTCATCTCCAGCAAGGTTGCTCCTCAGTTCAAGAACCTTGGCTGCCCTCTTGCCCTTACCTAAGCGGGTATGATGAGCAATCTGATCAAGACGAATTTGATCACACATTGAAAGAGATATGATGTATGGAAATAGGAAAGAAGGAAAAAGAGACTGGAGCTCTTACTATTTAGTCCTCAGAGTGCACTTAATGCACATGTTTACAACGATAATGAATACCTGAATTTACCCTTTCTATCGATCGCCTCTAGTTCATATCGTGCCTTGTACAATATCATCCTTACTCATACTCTCAACAAACGAAAGTCATCTCAAGCATAACTTTACACATGAGCAAAAAAAGACTTGGTGGAATAGAATATATGTTATTGGGAGTTGTCATACCAATTTCTGCCACGGTCGACAATTCAGTGCTGTGAATGCCCGTCCATACTCACAATCTAGTCACCACTTTCTCTCTATTGCTATCATGAGATACGTTGCAAATCTGTAATGCTTGTAATCCTTGCACCTATTGATAGTCGTCGAACCTTCTTCTCTCCCTGGCCAACTTTCTTGCTGGACAGTATATGTGCGTCTATACAGTCTAGTAGTCGTCTCCTGCCAGCACGAGATGCAGCAAAGGTGTGGTTGCTTTGTATGCTTGAGCCTAAATCACTGTGACTTCGGAAGATTGGAGAAAAAATGTGAACGGAGGCGTGCATTCGTGATCTGATTGACAAAGTAGACATTGCGAGACTCGTGTAACATGAGACTATTTTGGGAGATAGTGAATCTAATATCCTCTCGCCTATCATTGACGAATGCCTTATCATGTGGAGAGCTCAAAAAATTCTGACAGATCATCCAACGACAGCAGCAGACTCCGAAGCAGCCTTGGGGTCACGCCAAACCACCTCTTCAGTAGAAACTTCAATTCCTCCCTTTTCCTTCTTCTCAGCGGCCGCAAGAGCAGCAGCTCCAACACACTTGTATCCTTTGAACTTTCGCGCAGGTAGCCCAGCCTCGAACATCTCGCTGATTTCCTCGAGAGTTCGGTCCTTGATCTCAGGGAGAAAGAAGTAGATGAAAACGGCAGCAACCATGCAAGATGGGAACCAGATGTAGCCGTAGCGAGGACCCCAGTTGAGAGCACTGGGATTGATGAAGTAGGGAGCGGTGAAAGTGGCCAACCAGGCACCGATGAAGCCAACGGATGCTGCGAGGCCGAAGGTGTAGGAGCGTAGTCGCTGTGATGGGATTTCGCCTCCTGACAGCCAAGCATAGGTGGCGATGAGACCCTGTATAGTGTGTCAGTACATCCCGTTCTCCTGGTCGCATCAGACGACTCACGTTGTAACTGAACATGTAAAGTACGCTCAGTGCCACGATCACTTTTGATGCAGCCGGACTACCAGGCTTCGTTGTGTAGACCACAGCAATGATGAGTTGCAAGAAGCCACACAAGAGAAGACCGGTGATCAGGAAGAGGCGACGGCGACCGAAGCGGGTGATGATACATGTGTTGAGGATGATGGCGATGACTCCCACGCTTGTGAGAATGCACGAATTTTCGAATGAGTCGCCGACCCCAGCCATCTCGAAGAAGTAGGTTCCGTATGCTAGGACAAGGTCAGCATGATGCTGTGTATGTGAGCTTTGTCGGACACACCAATGATGAACATGGCGCCAGAAGCAGCTTGCGTGTTGATGGCGGCTACTGAGAGGATTGTTCGCCTGCGATCGATAGGGTCTCTGAACATATCCCAGACGCTGACCTCAGATCTCAAGACTTTCTCTTGGTCGATGCCAGCTTGAATGGCGGATAACTCTTCATCAACACGGTCTGGATGGGGACGAAGCCATGCGAGTGCTTTGCGAGCCTGCTCGGGCTTTTCATGCTCAAGCAGCCAACGAGGTGATTCTCTAGAATGTTGTTAGTGTGCTGGCGTCGTTACAACAGACTGGTCACCTACGGGATGAAGATCAAGCCAATGACAATGACAACGGGGACGACATAGATTAGGCCGAGCGGGATGAGGTAAGCGCTCCTGCCATTTCTTTTGGCAGTGAAATTGTCAACGATCGTACCAATGAGCTACACACATTAGCAAGATCGACAGCATTTTAGGGTCGCAACTTACTGTTCCAATGCTGGTGAAGAACTGGAAGGAGGCAAGAGCCAAGCCTCGGTATCTGGCAGGCGTGACTTCCTGGATGTAAAGTTGGGAGAAAGTCATCAGGAGGCCGTTGCCCAACCCTAAGATGAAACGCCCGGCGTAGAGCGCACCGATGTGCGTAGTGGCCTATGACAATCATCAATTGCTGTTCAAGATGATAAAGTTTTCCTGAACTCACCATCATGATGATATTTCCAACTGACAATAAGGCGCATGCAGCCCAAAGACAACTCTTACGGCCAACTGTCCTCGCGATCAGACCCGCACAACCAGATGCGATCACAGCTCCCAAAACCATAAGCGAAGAGATAAGTTGCTGTCTTGTCGGAGACAGATTCCAACCCAATGGAAGGTTGGGATCTTCATAGCCATATATCTTGAGGAATCCGACCATAGCCTGGATACCACCGATCAAGCCATAGTCAATTCCATACTAGACGCAGAATCATCAATCAGTAGCTCGGCTCGAAGCTGGACTCGGTGACAAGTACCTGGAATGGCGACATGGACACGATGATGACAGCTACCATACATTTCCAATTGGCCAAAAGACTGTCTTCTTTGTGGTCTGTCATAATATGAGATGTATCACACGATCAGGAAGGTGTTTATTGAGGAGAAGCAGAACGGCGCTTGTTTGATGGGCATGAGTCCGGGGTAAAGACGAAGGTGGAATCAGAGCTCTCAAATATGCAAACAAAAGGAGCGTAGTCGTGCCCAAGGCAAGTGATGTCCAATAGATTTGCCGACAGATACCACATGTGGGCTAGAGAATACTGGTCGGACCACAGGAGTGTATGGTCCTGGTACACTAAACAGCTCAATCTAGCCCGCCGAGGCGACAGAGTAGTCTGTTTCTCGCTGCATATCAACGTCTTGCAGGGTGAGAACGCATAGGCTGTATAGCCGACTACGAATGGCGTTGTCGTGTTGACCTGAGGTACAAGGTCACTTTACGGAGTACGGCGTCCAGACGATCGATTCGATGATTGAATGTCCTATCATTGGTCAATAGACATGAAATGATCTGCGTCGTGTCTATGGTCAATAGACATAAACTTGATCATGCTTGTCGTGCCCCACAATTTGGCTCCTTCCACCTCCACATCACCCCGCACTTTCGCTGCATATCAATCCAGGTTTCCACGCACTGCCGAGAGTCATGGTCTTTCTCTGTGCTTGACCCCTATGCATCTTGCGCATTATGAGACTCGAGTGGGGCCTACCGACCACCAGCGCGGCAATTGATGCTCCAGGCAAAGTGCGGAGAGCGTATTGTGCATCCTAGAGATCTCCTCTTTCGGCCAAAAGACTGAGGGGTGCATGAGGAGGATCCAAGGATACCATTGTCCCCAGTGGGGCTTGGAGTCTGTCGTCGTGTTTTTAGTTCCGTACATGCGTCCTGACAAGCACATCTCCAAGGTGTCTGAATTCCTCAGGACAGCAAAATGTCAGCGAATCACTTAGTCGAGAGCCTTGACTCAAAGAGGCTGGAGGGTTCAATCTTGACTCTTGACTTAAGTCTCTTATTCATTGGTCTGTTGTGTCTCGGTCTGGTGACGTTGCTTGCCGATTATGCGTATATGCTGTACATACACAGGAAACTGGTCAGTTTCAATACCTTTGGCAACTGACGAAGCTGACAACTAAGCCACCTGGTCCCATACCACTACCGTTGATCGGCAATACTCATCTTCTTCCGGAGAACAAACCATGGATCTACTTCGAGGCGCTGGCAAAGCAATATGACAGTCCGGTCATTACTTTCTGGATCGGTCGCAATCCAACAATCTGGATCAATGATGCATGGGCAGCCTCAGAGCTTCTTGACAAGAAAGCTGCTCTCTACGCATCAAGACCGCGAATGCTAGTCTTCTCGGAGCTAAGCGGTGTGGGTCAATACAACCTCGTCAACATGTACTACGGCGACCGCTGGCGAGTGCATCGCAAATTGACCCATCAAGGTGTCGGTCTGCAGCAGGTGCGCAAGTATCGTGGCTTCCAGAACAATGAGAGCCAGGTAATGGCGTTTAATATTCTGCATGATCCAGAGCGCTTTGTGACCCACATGGAGCGATACGCCACTTCGGTTGTTTCGATCATCGGTTTTGGGAGACGAGTCGCTAGTATATCAGATCCGCTCATAACGCAGGTGCTTGCGATCATGCAGCGAGCAGCAGAACTCAACGTTCCTGGTAAAAGCTTCCCTATGATCATGGAAACCTTCCCGTGGCTAGCAAAGTTTCCGAAAAGGATCGCCCCTTGGTTGAAGCCATTTGGAAAAGGGGGCCGTGGAAGCGCGTTCTACTACGCCCTTGCCGATGAGGCCAACAAGACTTCACAGCAAGAGCCTTGCTACGTCAAACAGCTGTTCAGAGAGGCTCCCAAGTACAATCTCATCCCAACAGAGATTGCCTCACTCACTGGAAATCTCTTCGGCGCAGGCAGTGACACATCTAGTTCTACCCTTGTAACGTTTGCATTGGCATGCTGCGCCTTTCCCGAAACACTTCCTGCTGCTTGGGAAGAACTTGACCGCGTAGTTGGTTCCCATCGCAGCCCGAGCTGGGAGGATGAGCCACACTTGCCATACGTCAAGGCTTTTGTGAAGGAGGTCTTTCGATGGAGGTCGGTGGCCATCATCGGCGGACAGCCTCATTCCCCAACAAAGGACGACTATTGGAAAGGATATCTGATTCCTAAAAATTCATGGGTTCAGGGCAACACGTAAGTTCTGTTCGCCGCGCGTTGGGTTCAGGACTAATACCTACCTAACAGTTGGGCAATCCATCACAATGAACGAGAGTTCCCAGGTAGGATGATCGATCATGAGGTAAACCTGGCTCATACGACCTGACTGACATCTTGCAGAACCGGATAGATTCAACCCCAATCGCTTTTTGTGCGACAGCTCGGATTCCCGGCCTTTTCCAAACGACAAAGGATACATGACTTTTGGTTGGGGTAGAAGAGTGTGTAGTGGACAAGGCCTCGCCGAACAGGGAACATTCATCAGCATTGCTCGACTCCTCTGGGCGTTCCGCATCGAGAAGGCCAGAAACAAGGATGGGCAAGAGGTCCCTGTCGACATATTTGCATACACGTAAGTAGACTCAATAAGCTACTGTAGCCGAACTGACGTGCGTAGTAATGGGCTGAATATGCGCCCTGAGCCTTTCAGTTGCTCGATCGTACCTCGGTCAGAGCCGATTAGAGATACCATTGTGGCAGAAGGCAAGGAAGCGCTACTCGAGCTGTCAGTCTACGATGGAGAGACGAAGTATACACTGAGCCAGTTCTACGAAAAACCTAACGTGGGGTAGTGGTTTTCGAGGACAAGTTGTTGTTGGCAGGAGAGTAGAGTGGCTGGCATTTTCCAGTATTGAGTCGGTGAATCAACCGTCGAGGATCTTCAGCATCTCCTGTACTGAATGGCATTTTTCTCGTTCCTTGCCCTTGGCTTGCCCTCTTCTCTTCTCTTCCTTGTCGATCTTCATCCAGTCTTCCCAATTGATGCTTCGAATGCCACGTTTCTCAGCTTCTTTCTTGACTTCATTCCAGCCTGCTTTCGGGTCATTGTCGTTGCCGATAAAGGTGACACCATCTGCCCAGTCTTTTGCGACAATGTCAGCGCTGGTGAAAGCGTCTTGCATGGTACTGGCAATAACACCAGTAGGACCGCGCTTCACCCAGCCTGCAGCATACATTCCGGGGACATGTCCCGCGCCGAGTGCGCCAGGTCCACGATCTGGACTCAGTACTCTACCATAGACGTCATTTGGGATGATGCCCATCTTGCGGTCAAATGTGATGCCAAGCTCTTCGAAGCCTTCTATAGGCTCTGACAGATAGCCAACCGAACGGAAGACGAGATTTGTTTTGAGCACTTCGCTTACCCCCGCCTCCTTCTTTTTGACTCGCATGCTCTTCAAAGCGTCTGAATCGCTCAAGGGAACGGAAGACGGATCTTGAATAAACTCCATTTCGTCAACGCGGACGCCACTAAGAGTGCCAGGGCTGTGAGAGCTTTCCTCGAAAGCCACGGGACTGCGCATGTAGTGCAATTCCCAATGCCGTTTTGCTTCTTCCACCGCGGTAGGAGAGCCTTTTTCGATGACCTGAGCGATACGCATGAGGGGACGAGGCAACTTCTTGGGCTCTTGAGGGAGCAGGGAGCGGTCGGGAGTGTGGAAGGCGACACCAGGAAGTTGCATCAACTCGCGGACTTCCTTGATAGTGTAGGGAGCCTGCAGCGGACCTCTTCTTCCGACAACTCTGACTCTGCGTATCTTACTCTTGGAGAGGGTCTCCAACGCAGCTTCGGTCATGTCTGTGTGCCTAAGCCTATCGAGCGGTGAGAGGAGGACTCTCGCGACATCCAGGGCGACATTTCCCTGGCCAATGACTACAGCCTCGTCACTGCTATCGAGGGTAGGAGAGAGATGTGCATATTCCGGCAGACCGTTGTACCAGCCAACAAAGGCACGAGCAGAGAGAACACCAGTCAAGTCCTCACCTGCAATACCTAACTTGCGATCTTGCGAGGCGCCATAAGAGAAGAGGAGGGCGTTGTAATGGGGAGCAATGGCGGACAGAGGTAGAGCGGACGGAGCGGAACCGACGGTCGTGTTGCCAATGAAGGTGAAGGAAGGATGTGATGCCACTTCGACGAACTTGTCTATACAATTCTAGAAAGGCTGGTTAGCAGACTTGGCAGGACACGAGAGAGCACGACGAGATTACCTTTACTTCAGGATGGTCTGGAGCAACACCGAAACGGACCAGACCATAAGGAGACGGCAGGGCCTCGTACATGTCGACGCGAGCATTCGGCATCTTCTGCAGCATACGGTAGGCAGCATAGAAGCCTGCCGGCCCCGATCCGATCACGGCGCATCGAAAGGGCCGCTCACTGTCCGCTGTCGAATAGACGCGTCCAGCATTGCGCCTCCCCTGCGAAATGAGACTTCCTCGAAGCTTCCTGTTGCAAATCTGGCGTAACAGTAAACTTGACATGACTGTGGCAGGAACGACTTTGCCGCGTCTCCCAGCCACTCAAGATTCTGGCAGGCTTTTGGCGGCTCCCCACACGTCATGCTGGCGGCACGACGATCCGGAAGACGACCCGAAGCCCGTATCGCCTTATCTCAGCGTCCCCGCAGCAACCATGTGTTTGGCTGCCAGAGTACACAGACGGATATATGGCCACTATCTGGCCGTTTCATTCCTCGTTCCTCCCCTTGTGAAATCTTGACGTGCTTTTTTCCTTCTCTTCGCAGACGCTTGAGTTTCGAATTGTCAGGCAGCAGGCCTAGCACTCTTTCGACCATGGTTGGCATTACTCCACCATACCTGTTCACGCCTGTCAACCAGCAGGACAGGAATCCGTGCTACAACTTCGACCCAAAGGCCGTTACGCGTGCCAGCTACTACTCCATCGCCTCATCAACGTCCACACCAAAGCCGAAACAGGAGGGCCCACTGATCGACTTCAACAGACATCCTGACAGCTACATGATCGTTCCTTCCGCTCGTCCTCATGTCCCACCCATACACCCAAACACAAAGCGGAGGATCAACACGGCAAGATGGTTACAATTCACCCTCCGCGCTCTCCAGCTCCTAGGAGCCCTAGGAGCTCTTATTTGCGTTATTATCATCAGAGGCGTCAATGATGTTCAAGGCTGGATTCTCAGAATTCCCGTAAGCATACTCCCGGCCCTCTTGGATCATTGTGCATACTGACGCAACGATGCTAGCCCGCTGTAGATGCAGTGGTCTGTGTCTACTCGCTCTACAGTCTCCGTCGTCCGGCAAAGAGGCGTCCTGCAACCTCATCGGCTAGCTATAATGCCTTCTCCTTCTTTGTCGACATTGCTCTCTTGCCTTTCTACGTCTTCATCGCCTTCTTCTCGGCTGCCAATTGGACCATGGCTCCTGGTGAGGAAGGACGCTGGACATCCTTCTTCCACTCGTCTGACCAGGATGGCAAAGTGCTAGAGTCTGCCTTCTTGATCGGCAGTGTGACAGGTGCTTTGCACTTGTTCAGTATTCCCATCGACATGTATCTGTTCTCTAGATTCCGGAAAATTGCCCAGTATCCACCAGACATGAATCCGTTGGAAGACAACCTGACCAGCAGGGTCAACCGTAAGCACATGTACAAGAGCAGCGATGCGTCGGCAGCCATGTCAGAGCAGAGATTGGCCATGCTGAGTGGCAGTTCGATCAGCTTGAGCAGTCCTACCCGTGTCTCGGCCAACAGAGATTCGCTTGTTCCCGAGGCCAACCTCCGACCCATGTCGTTCTATCAGTCGCGCACCAATCTGGATCCTAGCTACTCTGGCCACACCAGAGACTCCGCCCGTCGCTCCAGGTTCGAATATCAACAGCCATCCTCGGCTCATGTCTCACAAACCAGCATGCATCGTACTTCACAATCTCATGATCGTGAACGCTCTCGCTCTCGTTCCTCTCGACCCCAGTCCTTCCAGCGCTACGCGAATCAGAGAGACTCTACTCATGACCCAATGCCAACTCGTCCTCTGTCATTCATCACCGCCTCGGAGGATCTGAGTCGCAACGGCACTCCTCCTTCTGCTCACGCTACTTCCATCGCCGATAAGGCTCAGCCTGCTTTGCTCAACGACAATTGGTTTGTCTTGGCTGACGATGATGCCGACTTATCATCTCCTCGCCGGACTCCTGTACCTGAGCTCATGTCCGACCGTGACTCCAGCCCCGAAGCCCGTGAGCCGAATGTTTCCCAGCTTCGATTCGCCAGTGAAGAGTACAAGGAACTCCTGCCTCAACCCTTGCGCATGCACCCTCCTACCCCTCCCAAGCATTCCTTCGATGGTGCTGATTTCCATTTCGATGAGATGCCGAATGGGACTCTCGAACTTGACGATTACTCTTTACGCCAGACTCCTAGCAACACAAGCATTGGCCGTGCCTTGAGCCCCCCTGCACCCGAGCCTAATGCCATATCTGCCAAGTCGTCATTCTATTCCCAAGGCCCTGACGAGACCAGCCGCTCTAGCACGCCAAAGATCAAGCACTACGGTAACCTGACGCCTACAATCAACAACGTACGCGGTGACATGGTTAAGGAGCAGACTGTACCAAGGGGTCAAGGTCGTGTCGTCAGCAGGTCTGGCGTGGACGTTGCTGATGCGAGCGTCATGTACCTTTCATCGGATGACCCATACGGCACCCGTGCTCGTAACGTATCTGGCAAGATTGCCGAGGAAGGTCTTGGTGGAAATTGGGCTAGAAAGAGACATGTCAGTGGACAGGCATAGTTGCTTGCTCTGGAAGCAAGTCAAGGGTGACATTACTGCCAGAGCAGAATATAGAACAAAGGCAAAAGGGCGTTCTGGAGGCACGATTATGATGGGTCTGCAACACGATTAAACGGTTAGGATGTTCTACGAGACACGATTTCGGTACAAAGGTGTCCATAATACAAAAACGACAGACATCGGGTTATGCAGTCAAACGATTACAGTTCATGATACCTTTAAGGCGACGAGATTTTGACTCAAGCCGTCTCGTATCTACATCATGTCCAGAATTACTTGCGAGACGACAAAAACCGCGCGACATTGACTCACAGATCCATTATCGACACCGCGGACTTCACTCGGAAATGCCAAGACCTAACATCCCGTAAGACCATAATATACACCACTTATCCACCCACAAGCTAGCAGCTTTCTCTTACACTTATAGACATTCTTCTTTTGCCTGCGCATATCCTCCCCTAAACTCCACGCAGTATACGGGTACATTTCTAATTCTCAAATTGTGAATCTAAGGGTGGTTAACGCACCCTTTAACTCCAATTCTACTTTCAACTCCAACGACGATAATTTCCACCCCTTCCCGCGCCTACCCCTTGAACTTCGCGAAGAGACATGGCGCCTCTGCTTGCCACATAGGGTGTACGAAATGGACGAACCTATAGCAAGATTTGTCTAGGAGGTCGAGTACGATGACGATTGTCCCTGTTGGCTCTGGAACACCGGTCGAGGCAATGTTCGCCCGCCGTTAATTACGCAAGTCTGCCATGAGTCACGCAGAGTCGCGTTTGCTAGAGAAACATGGGTCTCAAGGCTCGATTGGCGCCGCGGCGCGCGGACTTTTGGAACTCCGTGTGAAGCTGATTGGGAGACCGGCAAAGTCGAAGACCGCGCTTTCTGGCAGGACACTTCCTGCGACACCGTACATCTGAACTGGACCGCATTCTATGACATAGACTATGGTCCTAGTATGCCTGGTCACCCTTTGACTTCTTTGGCCAAGGAAGCGAAGCGTCTAAATAGATCAGCATCTTTCATGCTGAGCGAAATGACTGTGGATATAGGGGAGTGGGAGCCCTATGACGAACCTATACCTCAGTGGTTTGAAGATGTACCCTTGGATGAAGACAAACCGGAAGACCTAGCGGCGCTGAAGCTACTGCCAGGATGGCTGGTAGTTGTAAGAGTGGTCATTATACACCTCGACCTTAGACGAGCTGCTGGCAGCGGTCTGTTTGGGCTGTTAGGAGATGAACGCTTACAAGTGGTGGACGCCACTCTGCTGTTGGCCGAGCAGTTGTATGCACTGGCCGAGCATTGTGAACATGGAGCTTCTGCCGTCACCTGTGCTCAGGACTTCACTCGAATGTCTGCAGACGACATGGACGCTATGGTAAAGAGTGTAGCGTTCAAAAGTTTCCACGACTCCGAGATAGGCAAGCGTCTGCGGCCAGCAATCATGTTCAGGCTGTGCACACAGATGTGTAATCACGTGAACATGCCGAAACAGGAGGAGCAAAATGTCTAGACTAGACATGATGGGAGAAGATGGAGCCCAGGCTACACAGTGCAAGATACACAAAATGTGCGTGATACCATCATCTATAAATAAGCCGACTGGATGCACAGGCTGGCCACTTCGATGGCGAGACATCTAGGCCCATGATTTCTCCATAAGTACGCAATTGTTGTCCGAGCCGTTCACTCCAATTGGGCTCGATATGTCTTTCTCGTGCGTAAGTATGTCTTGCGGAATCTCACTACATTGAAGTCCAGAACCAATCTCGAGACGACACCTTGAGGTTGTGGTCATGGTCGTGGACGCAAAGTCTATTGTGGCTTCTCTCCCCAACGTGCGCATCACAGCACAAAACAGGGCCAAACACAATTGAGTGGGTAATCAGATACGGTATTGCTGGCCGGACGAACACATACGGCCACAGTCAGCTGAAAACTGGGCATCCCGTCCGCTCTGCCATACATAAGCAGTTGAACGGCAGATTAGTACTACGGTGGGTGACCACGTGGGAATCCCTGCTGCTGTATGTTTTGCATCTGTTTTACTTGTCTCGCTTTCCACACGTCCGTCTTTACGTCAAGAGAAAGTCGTTTGGTCGAATCGGTCACATTGGCCATATTCAGTAGACACGGGGCAATTGAAGGCCCACTGTCTAAATATCGGACACTTGATTTTCTGCCCATACGTTATACTGCGAACATCTTCCGTAATTCGAATACAACCATAAGATAGCTTTTTGTAGCGAGGATATCTCGATTCAGGTAGCTTCGTATCTATGATTTTTTTTATCTTTATCGCCACTGATTGTCTCTTGTCAACAAGACCACCGAGCAATTGCCAACAGTACCTCCAGTAACTACACCCGCCAGCGACGGATCACTCATCAGCTTCTTCGGCCCCAGATCAATGTCCTTGACCGCAAAGACCTTTGTCGTTACTCTTCCCAGAGCGTCCGTGATAGCACAAGCGACGGGGAAACAAACGTAATCCGCCGTCTGGAAGTCAGGAAGTCAGGAAAGTAAAACGTATCTCCTGTTGACGGATTATTGTCGTAATCAAAGGGCGCCAACATTATCTGACAAGCATTACTCGGCACGCCACCGATACCAAACATGCGAATCCTGGATATGCCATATAAATCCATCGAGTCCGGGAAGAAGAAGAATGCACGGTCAGAGTCATGAACGACCGATGGCCATTGTGGCTCATACCTTGTTCCTGCTGAATTGGAAGACGTCCATAACAGCTTCTCTAGAATGCCAATCTTCATCATCATTGTCCAAGTCGCATCACGGTATGATTTTCACTTATTACCGCATTGAGACTGTGCCCTCATGCCGACAAAGCCTATATGCAGAGCCGAAAGATGACTGGAGGCTGGCTATTTGACTTCCAGGCACCAGTCTCTACTGGTACAGTATGCGATAAACCTCTTCAGCGATGGCAAGACTACTAGTCAATCCTGGCGACTCTATGCCTAGAAGGTTGATGAACCCTTCATAGCCCTCTTCCCTCTTGATGTAAAAGTCTTGGAAGCCTTTGCCAGCACCCACAGCGCCCATCTTGCCTAGCTTTGGCCGGATACCTGCATAATCCAGCGCCACGGCCGACTCGTCGATTCCAGGTAGGTATTTCTTGATATCTGCAAGGGCGGCTTGAAAGCGGGACGGGTCGGAGGTAGGAGTGAGGTCGTTGGGACTGTCGACCCATTCTACATCCGGACCAAAGCGGACGCGGCCACCCATGTCAAGGGTTAGATGTGTACCTAGACCACCTTGTCCTGGTACTGGAGCCGGATAGACCAGTACACTAGGCTTGGGACTTGAGGTCGCGTAGCTAAAGTAGTTACCCTTGGCGTAGAAAGGCTTCACATGGCGGTCCTCCGGAAGAATCATGTTATTGATGTCGCAAGCATATAATCCTGCAGAATTGACCAGCACCTCCGCAGTAATAGGTTCTGTCTCTGCATTGGTATCCTGGGGATCTTCGGTGTAGATCTTCCAATCTGGCGATGTAGCGCTAGGAGCCTCTATTCTCGTGACTTTGGCACCCAGAGCTGTGTCACCGCCGGCATCCTCGAACGAGCCATGCAGAAATGTCATGTAAGCATGGCTGTCGAGGATACCAGTGGTGGGTGACTCCAGAACTGCTGTTTCGGCTCGAACGTCAGGCTCCCTCCGTGTTGCTTCTTCTTTGCTCACAAAACGCGTCGGCACGCCAATGCTCTTTGCAAACGCATGAACTTTCTCCACTGCTTCTGCTTGTACGGTATCCTGCGCAACAACCCATTTCCCGCAATTATTGTGCGGAATCTCGTGTTTCTTGCACAACTCATACAGCATGTTCTTGCCTTGAACACATAGCTTTGTCTTTAGCGAATCGTGACCGTAGTATATACCTGCGTGAATAACTTCGCTATTACGACTGCTGGTCTCGGTACCAACAGCGCCATGTTGTTCAATCAGCACGGTGGAAGATGTGGAAGGGCTGTGTTGTTGCAATCGTCTTGCGATGGCTAGGCCCACGGCTCCTCCACCTATCACTGCATGGGTGAAATCTGCATGGACTGGGGTAGTGCTGCTGAAAGTCCGAAGTCGTGAGGGATGTTGAAGAATGATTCGTAGTGCGTTCTGTTGGCGTAGGAAAGAAGCCATGATGATAAGCTTTTTTCTGGGGGGTTTCTGATCGTTCTTGCCTTGGGCTCACGCGGTGACGATGTCCTCAATTCTTTTCGCACTGTTGAGGTTGACTCTAAAAACAAACGTTGGAGATCACTCCTGTATTGTTTGCTGCACGGCTCCCAGGCAAGAATTTGGTATTGCCGTTGTCGGATAATGGCAGAAGTGGTTGGCAGATGAGACGTATTCATCAGCCACACCACGAGCCACAGAGCAGCTTCCGAAGATGATATGATGTCATCATGATCATTCAATTCATGACGTTTATGACGCCTCACATTGAAATCGAGCTCTGGATCTGGTTAAGGTCCAGGACAGAACTGGACTATGTATTGGATAAAGATACCAGGGTGAATATGCCTATTCACTCTATAGACTGACCACGACTATTATATAGTATGCCGTTTGACCCTCAATGCACCCAGATCCATAAGTTGACCACGCCAGAACGCCAGAAAGGTTGTCTCAAAGTTTTCCAGTACCACCGAATCATCCTCAAGAGGGAACCCCTTCGTACTCCCAACCACCTTCGGTGCGCTTGCGGCGTCGTCTGGTGTTTTGTCTGTTCGCAGCACACTTGACAAATAACGTCAGTATAGCTAGAAGAAACACGATAACGCCTGCAACGGTGGGTATCACAATGCTTTTCTGATCACTGTCGAGATCGGATCGGTAGGGACATGTCTGGTCTACACCGCTAACCCAACAATCTCTGGTGTCAATATCGTTGATGTTGAGCCAGAACACAGGCTGATCGTCAAAATCGGATTGACGAGAAATCCAGTCTCGGACAGCGGCAACCATGTAGCGGTTCTCCAGTGCGGTACGAGGAACAGCAAAGCTGATGTCCTCACCACATGCCTGATCTCCCTGGTAATATCTAGCCTTGGAGTCGCTCACACTGAAAGTGTAGGGCGAATCGTTGCGACGGCAGACGAAATGGTTCTCGTCGGTGCAGTCGACCACTTCCCAGAGACCATCGTTGGATGCATTAGTGACTGCACAATGTCTGCTACCTGTCGCTTCCGATGCATCGCTATCACTGGGCTCATCGTCAGCCCAGCCCCAGAGCGAATCACGTATAAACTCCCGATATAGTGTAGCATTGTCTCTTGCCAAGGTGCCTATTAGTGGCTTGTTCAATACAGGTGAGATGCCACACGATGATAGATTGGCTGCTGCGTAGCTCGTGGTGTTGAGAGATGTGGTGTTGGGTAAACTGCTGGACACTGCCCATGAAGAATTCGCATTCGACAACGTGTAGTTTCTGGATTGATACAAGCAGCCCTCTGTGACTCCACCGTCAGCAGATAAGGTTGTGTCAATCGTGTTGGAAACATAGCCAGTGGGAAATATCGTATCGGCATCTACGCCAAAGTCGTACTGCTGCATTTGGGAATCGACGCTCCCGATATTGGCAACAAGTCGGAGAGCACGTTGCAACATAATGACGCTCTCACTCGGCCAACCGTCTAATGTGTATAGTCCCGAGCCGTCGCTTAGAGGCATCGTGTTGATATACTCCGATGCCGGTGGATTATTGATGGCGCCTGAGAACCACGAGTCGTTAAGGTTAGCTCTCTCGGTCCGAAGAGCAAATGGTGTATATAGATATGGAGAGAGGGTCGAATTAATAAGATCGCTAAGGTAGTTTCCGAGAGTGGGCAATCTTTCAGGATCAGGCGAACTCGAGATATTCGTCGGATCATCGAAAGGTGCTGCCAATCGCACGTTGAGCTCAAGATATTTGAAAGTTGCGTTGAGATCGTTCTCAGTGAAGCTGAAGTAGTCTGCCAGCACTTCAGTCAGAGTGGTGAGCCCTATGCTTTCAGTACACGAATAGCCTCCAATTTGATGTCGTCCTGTCTCTGACGGCCGTGCGGCTGCGGTAGACTGAGATGTTACTGTCATGCTCACTTCGCTAACTCGGGCAGGTGACCCATCTGCAACTACAGTGGCTAACGATGCTGAGTCGGTACTGAGTGCAGTCATTAGCTCGGAAGAATCCTCGGGAGTTTGTCGGGCGAGGATTCCTGTTCTTCGATGCACATCTTCTTCCGCATTGATCAGGGAACTGTGGAGAGGCTCCCGTACCAGACGCTCGGCCGTAGCTCCAGAAAATCTAGCCACTGTCAAGGTTGCCGATGGGCTCGTGGACGAGGAAGACGTAGAAAGACTGCTGGGAAAGGCTCCAGTTCGGATTGGCGAGGTGGAGTTGCCTTCATTGCTAAGTTCAACAGGACACAAACTCCATGTCTGACGGCTCTGATCCCAATACAAGTCGACGATTAACCGGTGAAACCCAATTGAAAGGAGGTTCGACAAACATTGCTGCGCAGCAGCATCTTCGTATACGCGGTCCGAGAAACACACCGGGGTCAGGGCGACTCCTGGTGCTGTGACATAGTTGATAGGGATTCTGCTGGACAAGTCCCTTTGCGACTACAAAATATGCGAAGTAAGCCACATGTGCACTATGGTGATCCGGTCGAACTTGTTCTTACTAGTAGCGCGGTATAGAGGGTGTCGGAAGCCTCGGTCGAGGGATCCGGATTGTAGCTCGAAGCCATGGCGCGCAGCGCTTAGACTGGCAAGTGGAGTGTCACGATATTCATGCGATAGGCACAGGTTCTTCCAGGAATTTCTCCCACTCCGACGCAGTGCACTGATTGCCAGCTGCGATCGTCGTTGATGACAGGACTCATGGCACGTGGTGGCTGGTCGGTGGAGCGTCGAGTGCCGGGAAAAGCCGCCAATCAGAAGCGTCATGCGCTACGCCTCGTTCCCGTAAAAGGGAGGAGCGACTCGTGATGCTTGGCTGGAATTGGAAAAGTGCAAGCACCAGCAGATCACTGTTCCTCTTCTGTATGGCAGACGCATATTGGTCCGTGGACAGACACCCTTTAGGAATCCCAGTCTACAAAGTGTCATATAGTGCATGGGAACTGCGTATCACGCGTTCACGTCGCTTCATGTTCCCTTGCTAAGGGCAACTTACCCTGCCGGCAGCACACTATCGGGGCTTCCTTCCCTGGCCCCCTTTGGAGCAATGGCTACCAATCCAGCCCTGGAATCAGGAGATACTTGCACTGGCGCGTGAACTTGGAGGTACGGTAGTCCAAAAAGGATCTGCAGGTCTTTTGGCGCGGGAATCGCATAGGGTGAATTGCCCAAACTGGGAACAAAGCGTGGAGTAGAAGCCACGCTTGTCAAAACGCGAGAACAGACCTTCGCACGGCTACAGACGAAATCTTGTCTCCTATTCCCACGCAATCAGATCAGCGCCTGCCGTACCTTTCGTGTTAGATGCTGCCGAAGCGCATTGATCGTGGAGTCTGATGTTGCCGGCGCTGGAGAACCGTTGAGGTCGGGAGTAGTCCGTGGCATGGCATGAACAGACCGACATCCGAAGCGAAACTGATAGAATGTAGGCAGGTCCCGCAGGACTCCTGCCCCTGTCGACTTGTCGGGTACCTATGCGAGTTTCTTCGCTTACCACTTGGGTCCGAAGACAAGTCTATTTGGCGCTGGTCGCGACTATGGCACTATGCGAGCGACCATATTTGTCAATCGATAAGCCAGGTGCGTCTGCTACCAGAAATTGGAGAAGTTGGGTTACCCCAATGTCTCTCATCTGAACCTCGTGCAAGCCACGTGGAAAATCTCTGTAAATGCTACCATGCAGCATGAGTCGAATGGCTATAAGCGCTCGCTATTTGATGCAAAGTTCGATGCCGACGATAGATATCTCAGCCTCTGTGGCATTTTTCATCGCTTCCAACGGTTTGTATCAAAAGCATATCGCAGGCTTTGTGGCTATACCATGCCACCAGAGAGATCGCGGTGTTTCAAAGTCTTGATTTTGGACAAACACTCTTTTCCACTTGGCGCCCCTCCGGAATATCCTCTGACGCTGTCCAACTCTGACCCAGTGCGAGGAGAGTAACTTTAGCCTGCGAATCTTGATAGAAAGTAAACGGTCGGTCCGCGGCACGAATATGAAGGGTGTAGAAAGAGTTACGAAAGATGAAATCACATGTACATGTGGGTACGCTGAGTTTTGCTGATGTGGGTTTTGGAGAGTACACACCTTGTCCGAGAACACTTACGAGACAGGATGAGATGCGATCAGAATGAGTTTGATCATCTGACGTAACTAGTCAGACGCTCTGTCGCGACTGTTGAGATGTGAATGAGCACCGCTTACGCGCACAAGACGGGGATGCATATCGCGAAGATAGCGTTCCAGACCAATGTAAGGCGCGTGAGAGACCTGGGAAGGGCCGGCTAGGGTTTTTAGGATTCTGGGCAAGCATAGCGCATAGGGTGGATATTGCCCGTACTTTGTTCTTTCGCATGGAGACATAACCCCCTGGAGGATGCGGCGGCGGGAAGCACGGCTGGCGATCGACTCTTGTACACGTACAGCGGAGATATTCTCTGCATCATCGTTACGTGCTGGAGCGTTGAATTCACGGTGGTCAATCTTGCAAGGTGGAACCGTCAGGTGAGCTGGATCTCTCCTGTTGCCAAAGTCGTTGAACTGTTTCCGCTCCCGACGTGGATTGCGTGCGTTGCTGTTATGGTCGTTTCTGCTGTTATTTCGTTTCTGATGAGGATGGTAAACGTCTTTGGCAGTTGTGCTGTGCCTGTAACGACCAAACGTGTCCGTACATAACGGTGCAACGAAAGTGAGTAAGATTAATGTAATTAGAGCACGAACGGTCTGGTCAAACAAACAAAGGAACTGCACATCGAGGTGAACACAAACACGAAGAGAGAAGGAGTCGAGAGAGAAGACCATCTTTGCACACAGTATAAGAAACAAGCAAGACTATGAGACAAGAAGGCTCTGGGAACTCGTGTCAGAGTAGGTAGCAGGCATATCTGTGTTGAAGAGCTATAGTCAAGCGGTTTCATGTCTTGGAACAAAGTGCATCGTGTGCGTTTCCATCTTCTGCGGAGGTAGTTTGCCAGTGGACGGCAACGATGAAGAGGATATACCGCTCGCAGAACGGTGATTAGCAGTGATGGTGGGGTTGAGGCTCTTTATTGGAGCGAGTCGAAGACGAGGGAAAGTTGTAAAGGTTCAAATAAATGTTTGATGATAAGGAATGATCATTAACCTTGACAGTGGTTCTTAAACAAAAACTAATTGGGTATACACAAATCTCCATCCACCGATGCCAGCACCATGCATGACCGCAAACGCCATAAAATGTAACAGACAGCAAGCCCAAGACGCCTCATTCCTCATTATGTACATGTAGTGCAGATTCTGTCGTCGGTAAGGGGTTCTAGTTGGCAACAATAGCGGACAATCTCATCTTCTCCTTGGGGCTCTCCTTGCCTTCACCGCCATCTTGGGCAAGTTCGGGGTCGATAGAGTGGTGTTGGGGAGCAACGCCAGCCATGTGAGGCATGTGAGAGAAGTGGTGCTGAGGAGCCATCTGCTGGTAGACATGGGGAAGAGGTGCTTGGTGGGGGTATTGCATCTGAGGGTACTCCTGAGTCTGGCGGTACATCATGGCAGCTTGAGGGTTGAAGGACTCCTGGAGCATCTGAGGACGCTTGGTGCCGTCTTCGGAGCGAGACATCTGCATAGGAATCTGGTAGCCTTCTTGGCCGGGGACGACAAGGCGCTGCTGCATGTATGCGCTTGAAGGGCGACGGTCGACATAGCGGGGGTCTTGTTGGCTGAGAGGAGGGAGCTCGACAGGTGATGTGCCGTGGGGAGAGCGTTGCGAGTATGAAGAAGCGTCTGAAACTAGGGAAGGTGCGCCGTCTGCCGAAACATGAGAGTAAGCACCAGGTGAAGGCAAAGGACTCTCGAAAGGAGACGCACGAAGAGTGCGACCGAACTGAGGAACACCCAGGGTCTGAGGATAGTGGCCATGCTGCTGCTGCGAGGCCATGTGTGCCTGCTGCTGGTAGATGGCAGGCAGCTGGTTCTGGTCGAAGTATTGAGGTCTTTGCATGGCAGAGTTGAAGTACATGGCCTGCTCGGGCAGGTGCTGCTGGGCCATTTGGCCGGGCTGGCCTACCATCTGCTGCTGAGTGTGCTGTTGCTGCTGGCGGGCTTCCATCTCGGCGCGGCGTTGCGCGTTGCGTCTGCGGCGGTTCATGCCACCATTCCACCAGTTCTTGACAGCGTTGTCGCTGCGACCGCGAAGGCGGCGAGCGATCTCGGCCCAGCGCTTGCCCATCTCGGCAACCATCTGCTCAATCAACTCACCCTCCTCGGGAGTGATGGGGTCATGGTTGAGATTGGGCTTCAGGTTCTGGTGGTATCTCTCGCGGCACTGCTTGGGAGAGCGAGTGCCCATCATGCTTGAGATGCGGACCCAGTTGTGGGCGCCCTGAGAATGGACAAGGCTCATGAGGATGTGATCCTCCTGCTGGGACCAAGGACCTCTCTTGTGTGCAGGCATTCTGAAAGATGCAAGAGACTGAAAAGAATGTAGAAGTGGGGACTGCAAAGTCTGTTAGATATGCTTCGCGTTCAAGAGGTGGTATGAGGTAGTATGCGACCACGTCTTTGCAACGTGGAAACAGGGCTGCTATGATGCTTACCTAGAGTCAAGCTTGAGGCTTTGGAAGGAATGTGATGATGGAGTTGTGTCTGAGAATGGGGGAGTAAGACAACGGGGAGGGACAACGAGGTCGTTATAAAGTCGATGCAAGACCAGTTGGGATGTTGGATGGCTGTTGATGTTGCGACGAGGTCGTTGTATTTGTATCAAGCACAATGTTTAACGGTTCAGGAGCACTTCCGAATCGGTCAAAACGATGGGCCTAAAGGGACAGCGGGGCAGGTGCGTCAACTCCTGGTGATAGTGGAAGAGGGGCAAGATTCGGGTCTGGCTGATGTCGATAGTTCTCACAAAGACGAGTTGGCGGCCGTTGCAGAAAAGCAGGAGACGGGCGGTTATAACGGTTGCAAGCCAGGTCCTGAAGAGGGAGAGAGATGTCAAAAGAAGGGGATCTAGGGCTCAATTGTACTTGGCTTCTTCCCGCTAACGTCAGAGTCGAACTTTATCCAGATCGCTGGGTGATGCGCGATGTGCAGCAGGGATGGTGAGCGTGGTACGGGCAGAGGCTTGCACCAAGCACGACGGCGCCGGCGCAGGCCCCTTGCTTTCGAGCTCGCTCGTTCCCTCGACCAAGAAAATTCACCTCAGGCCCTTGGCTCTTTTGCTGCGCGGGCTACTGCAGGTCATCGGACACCGTTGAAAGGATCTTCACGCTTTTGACTCTCTGCTCGCCCCTTGTGCGCGTGTATTAGCTCGGGCCCGTTTGCAACTCAACCTGGCCCGTACCGAGCTTGGGAAGGCGTCATCCTCGACGGTTGTTCGAGGCAGAAAGCCGTTTGAAATGATTCGAAACAGCTCAACAGCCAGTAGTGGAAGAGGATCAATAACAATAAAATCTGTGTTCACTATCATTATTCTGATGGTCGAACGATCGTCCTCTGCGACATGATGCCACTGTGCAAAATTTGTGCGCCGTACTCGCGTCTTTGCCTTTGGCCATATGCGCGCAACCACGGCATCGCCGAGCAAAGCCCTCGAGCCTTTTGGCTGCACTTACAGTCATAGACTACGCCGCGAACCCGTGCTTGCGCATCCGGGACCTCCCTCGACCACACCATGCCGTGTTTGGACTGCTGCTCTTCGCCAAAGTTAACCCTTCGCGCGGCCCGTTACCAGTGACTGGTTTCCCCCTTCCACCTCCTCCCCTTGCGCAAGCGCGCTGCTTTTGCATGGTTCTGTTGTGACCGTTGCGGCTGTCTACCAACTGTCACAACTTCTCCTGGCAATCTTACTGTCCCCGTTCGCAGATGCTTGTCACGACGATTGTTGACATGTTTTGTTTAATTTTATATAGAAAAACTGACCCCCTGCACCCTTATGCATCTCCCACTCGCGCCGGTGGAGATCGCGCAGATCCTCACGCGTTAGCATTTCGTCAGTGCCTCCCAGCTGGAGCAAGCGGCTCCCTGCATGCATGCCTTCCAAAGGTGCCAAAACTTCACTGCTTCTGTGAGAATCTTCGGCAAATTCTACAATGCTGCCGCCGCCAGCCGCCGTCATCCACCACGTCGCCCGCATCAGCCCACGATGTTGACCAGAGAATGCGATCTAGGAATTCTTCGATCTCGTCGTTCTAGGCGACACATTCCAAGACGTCTCGTCCATGTAGATTCCTTCTATGAAAGACATGTTTCATGAGAAAAAGCCCGACCTAATGGATTATCTCGGACGTAGTCCACATCGCTACGTGCTTGATCGGAACGACAAGGTTTATATTTGAAATAGTTTCTTGGCTAGCGTGCCTCCTTGTACATACGTAGCCCCTGGTCTGCCAGTCCGCATTCGCCGACTTCTCCACACTATCTCGACGGCCTAACCCTGAGTGTACTCTTGCTAAGCCTGTTTTATCAATCATCTTTCGCGACATGGAGCCTAAAGTGGGAAAGCTTGATCCCTACAGATCCCACTCTCAGTTTCCCAGCCGTACTGATTCACGATGCTCACTTTCTACGGGCCTGGAAATTGCTACATTCCCTTCCTCTCCAGACCTCGCTCGGCTTTCGCCTGGACACTGCTTGCGTACAGTGCATGTCTTGCGCCGAGATAGCAGGAGCCCCAAGGTGTAAGACAGTCTGGTCGAGTGATCCGGACATACCTGCAGACAGAAACTCGACTGCAGAATCATACCCACGCAGGACTTGATTATGAGAATTCACGACCCTTGGCCACGATCGATCTATTGAGACTGTTGTGATGTACGCATCTAATGCGGACAAGAATAGCTACACTACGTCGGTCGCAAGCTGCACAGCGCTGCACAGTTGTTAGAGTGTTCATGGCAATGTCGTCCGTCAAGTTTATCCGGAGCATGAGTACGTGCTGTTGACCAAGGCGCTCTCAGAGGCTGCCGGAGGTCTTGGACAGAGTGCTGTGATCTAACCAGTATGACCAGACCGGCGCCAAGTATGCAGGATGCTGCATATCTGGGACACGCGAGCTATCCCTCATTCGATCCAATTCCTCAGCAGCCTTATGCATGAATTCTCAAACTGTCTTGCAGCAGACGAAACATAGGCCGCCCGAGCTCACGATTGCTCGAGTCGGAAATAGCAAAGATATTGCGACAGTTGCTCGCAACCATTGACAGACATCACTGTTCGAGAGGTTGCGCAATATTGCTGGCGTTGAGGAAGGCCTGGTTCAGACGTTGCCGGCCCGCTTCCAAGCCTCGATTCCCTGCAATCGTGGAGTCAGCTTGCTCCCACATGACATCGTGTTCGAAGCGTTGCTTTTGGGGATGATCATCCGTTTTCAAGCATCTGTCTGACAGGTGGCGGATTTGAAGATCCATCAATAATCAGACAGAACATTACGTCCGTAAGTGTTGCGCCATCGCTGTGTCTGCACTCGAGCCAGGATCGTAGGCTGAGAAGTCATGCATTTGCGCAGCCTTCCGACTTGGACATATGCTGTATGCAATTAGGAGCACATGGCATTGAGCAACGGGTTACCATTGTCTTGGAGCAAGACGCACATCGCCTTTGGTCATGCACTCTCGCAAATTCGGTACATATACTGCTTTGGGATGCAGAACTTGGCCTGCTGCTCTTTATCCACAGTCGTAGACCAAATAGGCCGCGGGATGTGGTGGGTCGCAGACACCCTCACGCCGTCTCCCACCATTTTCGTTTTTAATATAACATGCCGACCCACGATCTTGGATGTGGATATGCAATATGCATACGTGCGTAGTGCTAGGATGGGTGGAACGTTCTATCATCTCGCGCGAGCATAGGTCGGGCAGATGTGCGAGACCTGCAAATCGCGACAAGTACAGCCACAAGTGGAAGGATTTTGGAGATCGATATCATTCACAAATCACATCCTCGTGCTGACGGTGGCGAGCGCTGCCCGGACCAGTAGCGCTATAGTCGCGACGAATGAAGTGTTTTAATTCATTGCTCGGACAATCCTCTTACATCAATCGGTGTGTGGCTTGTGGATTACTGCTCTGAGACGGCGGCGTCTTACCCCATGCAACCTACGGGCTGCGAACTGGCTGCACTCAATCTATGTGCAATGCGAAGCCAGATCGTGAGGTGCCTTGCGTCTCTTGTCAGCCTCAACTCATGTCCGCTTCTCCCACAGAGAGGTCGTGGGTATGCCCGTTGAAGGGTGCCATATGTCGTAACCAAAGATAAGGTAACCGTTTCTCCCGCTGGTCGGCATCAACGGCACGGAGATATTTTGACAGCCTCAGGGATCTCTGCAGCATCCATTCAATAATTGATAATCAGTGTATCGCACAATACTTGCACCATGATACGATGGCATTACCAGGATGAGTCTCGCAGAACTCGCTGCACCCGTGTCCTCTCGATGATTTAGTCGCATGCGAGAAACACAAATTCTTTTGGGGACCGTGCGCGCACTTTGCAAATGCAGCTGATCCTTGTCGTGCCTGTCTTCCTTCTGTCTCTCCGCAGCAGAAAGAGCAATCGTGCTGCTCTTGCATTGACGCAGCCCTAAATTCCACACAATCGGTACGGCTCACGCATCCATCTACATTTTGCTTCTATCATGCATTGATGACGACCGACCTTCACAACATCGCATTGTCGGCCGTGTCGAATCTGGATCGCTAGGTTGTGATGAGCTCGACCATTGATGCGCCCAACGCGCAACGCAAGAACAAGCATCACAACGTCGTGAATACATTACTGGAGCGCCACCAACTCTTCTGAGTAAGCAAATTCACGCAGCCACTTATATGCGCGCGGGTCGGGTAGTCTGACCTGGTATAGTTGAGTCATTGAGACTGTCACACTATCACACAGTCAAGGTTAACTGCCAGCTAGATGTGTTGTGCTTACAATGGTCATGGAGTTGTCCTCGGGCTAGTGTTCCAGCTTGACGCCACGGAAACCTGTTAGTCGCTGTGATGACCCTGCCCGTCAGTCAATCAACGTCGATTTCCCACGACTACATTCTCAATTCCCATCAGATGCAAAGTATGAACACTTTACGTAGCCGAAACTTCTTCTCTTCCAGCATTGGAGTTCGATTGGTTGCACTTCCCAGTCGGTCCCATGCACGCATGAACATCCCGAAACACACTACTGCACAACATAGTGTTCAGCTGGGAAGTGGACACTGGTAACCAACTCTCGATTTAGTATCCTGGATTGTGCTTCACAAAGCTGATGCCAGATAGTAAATATAGCTCACTATGGCCGAAGCTCTGTTTGACCAATGTCTATAGGGTGTTGACCAGCGTAGAATACCCGGTCAGAGGCTCAATGCAACGGCAGCCTAGGGTATGCCGACTCGATTCTGCAGGCCGATATTATTGTCCTTATCCTGCCAAGTACCCAGTCCTATGTCACTCCCAATGTCACCTGCCTATTCAGCTCGGGCATCTTTCGACCATATTTGTACACATTCATGGAGAACCTCCCTTGTGTGACTGATCGGTACAGCAGACGAGAGCTGTAGGCAGGTGTTAGCTCCAACTTGACGCGCCCGAGAAGTATCAAAGCCTCTGAGTACGTACACTCATGTCACTCGAGGTTGCACCAAAGCACATGTTTTGAGAATGGCATTTGGACGTCATCGCACGAAGCTTCATGTGAGCCCCTGGAAACTCTATAATCATATCGCGACTTGGCTTCACCAAACCCTTCCAGCATAGTTCCTCTACCTCAATGCTCAGAAAACCCACTTGTGCCGTTGTAGTTCATTACGGCCATGAATAGTTGATGGAAGCTAAGATCTAGGAAAGTCGCCGAAACTATGTCCATACCTCAGGTCTACAGTGTCAAGAGCGGATGACTGCGGAAGGCATCCGAAAGTCTTCGCCTTGTTCAACATACAACTGTCAACTACCTAACACACAAAAGATCTTCCAAAGCATGCGACAATGCAAGACATACCAATGGCGCAGCAACCGCGATGCTACCTAACAATACTCACCTCACCCTGATGTCGTTCGTCATGTCTGATCATCGCCCAGCGACGCGCAACACAAAGATCCACCTTCAACTTTGCCCACGTCAAAAGGACCTCCCTTTGCGAAAGGTGTACGAAAGACATGAACTAATGAAGACAATCATGCTGGCCAGACAACATGAAAGAGATCTGCACACCAGCAAATCTTCCTCCCGACCTATCGAACCATGTCCTCTTGTTCACCATCATGCTCTTGGCGATATGAGCTACGCGAGAAGATGGGCCAATGAAGATGATAATGCTAGCACAGCGACAATAGAGAGATCTGCACGACGTCCCGACCTATCGAACTATCCTCCCACCACTAATATCGCACAGTAGCATCATTGATGAATGCAACAATACTAGGGCCGATAACTGATGGATGGACTGCTTGTCGGTCTCGACCATTTCTCGTTCATGGGGCTTACTGCCTTGGACTCGTTGTCGATTGCGCCCCTACGTCCGTATGTATAGGAACATAGTATGACCGAATGCTTTTTGACTTTCGATACATCGAGGAAAAAACGTGTCTGCCCGGCCTGGCCCGCCGTCTTTATTGAAGCTCGCACCTTGAGGCATATGCAGGTTCTCCGGGGGAGACAGAAGTCTAAGCCTCTTTGCATCAGAGCCCTGATTTCGCCACTCCACACATACTATCCTGCCCATGACTTGGACAAGTCGCATGATTCATGGACCAGTGTAGCAATACCGCGGAAAGCAATCCGGTAGAGACTCGAGGAGCAGGTTGTTGATTATCCAACGGGTAGACTACCACGGAACAATGACCTGCACAAGATACACACTCGGTTGGAGATAATTCACATGGCTGGAGACCAAGACTTCTCTTGTCGTTTTGCCAAGCGAGTATGGTGATATTCATTATATCATGTAGATCTTTAAGGAAGTTGCACTTCGCAACACGAGATGTCTATTCTCAGGTGACCCAAGAAAGCCGTTTGTTCGCAGATAACGGTCGGATTAGGACAAAGATCTACAGTGTTTCTCGTTGTCGCAGAGAGAAACGGAGGGCAGGGGCAAGTACAAAAATTCGATAATCGTCGTTGAGAGTCGTTGCAAGTCGAAGGAAAGTCGTTGGAGTAGTCGTTGCCACTAAGATCCCTAATCAAGGTCAGGCAGATCAGGGCAGATGACCAAAATAGTCCTTTGATTCAAAGACATATGACTTTTGCGCAAAGTGGGTGTCAGGAAATACAGAGTCAGAGGACAAAACAAGCGAGGAGAATCTATAGAGTTAAGGCCAATCCCTTCGGCGAGTCCTGACCAAGATTTGGGTAGGAATGGCGTTGGTGAGACAGATGAGATGTATTGCGGAATGAGGCTCCTTAGCGTATAGGCGATGACCCGTTGTGTCTGAGACGTTTGCCTTCCGCGTGCGTATATGCGAGACATTCAAGCGGTCGATCGCGGTTGAGATAGGGCTCACGGCAAATGCCCATGGGATCGGGGAAGTTGGAACAGAAACCGCCAGCCTCAAGCATAAAATAAAATCAGAGACACAGAACTTTCTTGCACTGCGAGTATAGACGGTAGATCCCAGCGGCGATACAAATGCATTAAAACATTAAGAGTAAAAGGTTGAAGTACATTTTCAAGGCGAATCCAAGAAGCTTGTGCTAAAAGTCAGAAGCCTAAAGGCCAAACTAAACCACAATGATTATTTGTAAAGACTTGGGAAAATAGACAACCACGAACTCTCATGATTGCTGGTATGACTGACAAATTTGGTACGGTCAAATGGACAACATATTGATTTGTCTTGTTCGCGCGGAGTTCGAGTCCACCATGTTTCTTTACAGTTCTGCAGCGAGCAAACATTCTTGATGCGAGATATGCGGCCGCGAACGTTGTTGCGTCAAACAATCTAAACACTGTGAGAAGACAGACTTCCAAGATGTCTTGCGACAACTGCCGGGTCGATGGACTTGGTACGGTCGGATGGATGTCGTGATTATTCATCTTGTCACCGTTGGTCGCCCGCAGTCGAGCTCCATTATGTGGTTTGACGGAGAGAGAATATCATTTATGCGAGAGATGCGACAGCGACTTACACGGATCTAGATACGTTACGCGCTTGAATTCTGAGCATAACAAATTATTTTTGGACAGCGAGCGGACTAGAGAGTTCCGAGATGGGCGAGTGCTGGAAAGATGAGTCAGAGAGATGGCAGACAGGCGGAGTTGATGCTCAGAGGCACAGTTACGCAGCACGTCAGAAGGCTATCCAAAACAGCAAGAGCGACACATGACACGATAAGCACATCTCCCATGTGCGCATCTGCCCAGCCCAGGTCTGGGGGAAAGAGCGATGACGAGTCCTGGAAAACGAATAAACGCATGATCGAAGTACAAGATCAAAGAGAGATGGAGGAGAATCCTCTCGGAGGATCAGAATAGAGTGCTTAAGTAAAGAGCGATGAGAAATGCAATCTAAAAAATGCTTCACTAAATCTGGAGAAGGAGAAAGAGGTTGAGAAAATCTTCTCGATGGAGTAAGAGTAAGAATGCTCAAAGAGATACACACTGTGCCACCAAGCAAAGACCATATGCAACGCCAGCGCTTCAGAGCGAGCAGAAAAACAAACGACGAGAAAGATGAGCATGAATAAGAAAGCAGCATCCTCCACTGACAGGATCAAACTTCCTGCACTCGCCGACCTCCACGAGGAACATCTTCGAGCCAGACATCACCTCCTTCACCATTGACCCAGCGTCTCCACACTTCTTCGTACGCGTCTTCAAGATCACGAGTCCATCGCGCAGTGTCAAACAGCGCGGATGTCCATCGCGACTCGGTCAGAATTTTGCGAAGCTCAACCAGTCTGCCTTGACCCTTGCCGAAATCAGGGCCCGATAGTGGATAAACGAGTCCTTTGCCCAGTCTTATGGCCATCTCTTCGTACTCGGTATCCGAAGATGCGATTAGATCTCTTTCAGCAGCCTCTCGAACATCAACGGGCGTCTTGGGCAAGGCACCCTTGAGAATCGAGGCTGCCATGCGGCTACACATCTTGTATTCGTAGCGCGGTAGTGTGAGCAGAGGCGTGCCGCTCCAGAGACAGTCGGCTGCTGTGGTATGCGCGTTGCACTCGGGCGTATCCAGGAAGAGATCGCACACCCGAGCACGACTGATGTGCAGATGTTTTGGTGCAACGTCGGTAAAAACGATTCGAGCGGCCACACCAGCGCCTGCCCATGCCTCAGCAGTGCGCTTAAGGTGCACCTCGCCTACGCTTGGAAATCGTAGCAACCACAGAATACTGTTGGGAACTTGAGCGAGTATGCGAAGCCAGGTGCGGAATGTGGTAGGCTCAATCTTGTATAGCTGATTGAAGTTACCAAAGATCACCACATCGTCGGCAAGCGATGGGAAAATCTCCTTCCTCATCTCCCAACGTCGAGTTTGCTCCTCCTCCCAGGTCACACTGCGTTCCTCAGAGTCAGGTGCACTTTGGCGGTGGTCGCAGCAGAAGAAGGTGTCCCGACAGAATACAAGATTCTCAGCATACACCCAATTACCTTCTTCACTCTTCGCTTCATGTATTAGCCGGTCCTCAACATCAAGATTTCGTCGCCATGGTCTGAGTGTGGATGGTGGCACGGCAGTATCGTCAGCCAGAAGATAGTCGCACCATTCGGCTCCAAGTGTACCTGCGAAACCCATGAACGACATCTGTATAGGAGCCGGACGTGCTGCAAACACTTCGTTCCGAGCACCTCTGGTATAGCCGTTCAGATTCACGAGTATGTGTATACCGTCTGATATGATCTGGTCAATAAGACGTTCGTTGGTCCAGTTACTGGCATCATGGAAGTGGGGAGACTCTTCTTCGATCTTTCGGCGATAGGGCGAATTGTCCGAGACAGTGGTGGCATAACAGAAAGCCTCGACCCGTCGCCGATCGTGCAAGCCAAAGACAGATTGCATGAGATGGGCCAAAGGATGATTGTTGAAATCCGATGATACATAGCCAAGCCTTAGTTCCGGCGATGGAGGTGCTGGGGGAGGGTAAACATCAGCAGGCAGCCAGGGCATGCGTAGCGTCAAAGTTGAGATGCGGTATGCATTACGTTCCGAGATGAGGCGGACTTGCTTGGCAGAAACAGGACAGGTGAAAGTGTGGAAAGGCAACACTGTAGGCGCGTTAGGGACGTTAAGGTTGGCTGGAAGCTGAGGCCTAAGATATCGAGATTTTGTCCTCTTCCGCACGTGCTTGTCTTGATACCAGTGCCAACTGATACGTCTGGTCAGGCGCTCGACAAGCTTGATGAGACGTGCGCCTTCCCACTTCTGTCCGGACCATCCCGAGATGACCTGTCGAATTTGTTGCTTATCGGTCGCAAGCCCTTGCAAGCCGCCATCGAAATTCGTAATCAGTTGGACTAGCGAGTCGATGATGACAGGAGTTAGCACTCCGTGCCCCCAGCCTTCACCTTCTTTCAACTGCTTTTCGACGATGTCCACGACGCGATTGAGCCAACCTGGCGGTGTTGATGACTTTGACAAACCAGCACCCAGCAACATGCCGTTTTGGTCAACGTGCCAGCGGTCTCGTGAGCCATCATCAGCAGTGATGCCTCCTCTTGCCTGCCATAAGCAGACAGAGTTGAGTGCATTGGCAAGGCCACAAACAGCTTCAGCGAAATCGGGGTTGACGTCGACGGCTCGCTTGTAATACTCTATAGCCTCTGCAATCTTGCCCTTATCCTTGACAGCATTCGCCAGATTAGCTAGAGCTATGTCGAACTTGCCGTCGCATTGAATTGCTCGCCTGTACATCTCAACCGCGGCGTCGAGCTGTCCGATATCTTTGAGAAGACTTCCTAGGTTGGTGTATAGATGGGCGTGCCTCGAGTCAAGCATCAGACCGTAGTTGTAGTATGCCAAGGCGAGCGAGACACCGCTACCAGGATGCACACCAGGGATGTCCTGCCTGAAAGCAGGAGAACATGCGGTTGTCATTATTGGACTGACAGACTGCTGAACGCTGGCCAGGAGAATCCCAACGTTGTTAGCAGTGGACGGACTAGGCTGCAATGAGAGCGAAAGGTAATATAGCGCGAGAATCTCCCGCACACCTGATACCATGGGTACACCGCTAGCGCCTTGCACATTTCTACCCATCCCATCCTGGAAGATCTTGGCCAAGGATAGAAGGGAGTTGCTTGCTATTGCAACTGCAGCGTTCTTAGCAGGGCTAGCAGGCGAAGAGGGTACGTCACGTAATCCTGCTAATTCTCCGTGAGGATAGAAGCATAGGCGAGCTGTATTCGCAGCCTGCTCGGGGTAGAGAAGCACGGGGTCGGATGAATCATCGCTTGGACCACCGTCCGTTGAGATGACAGATAGAATGTGCTTCACAAGTTGAGAAACACCCGAGAACACACGGCCGGTGGCGACGAGTACAGCATCTTCGAAAGCTTTTGCTGCACCGTTGTTGTCACCCAGCGAATAAAGCATGTTACCTTTCGCATGAACCAGCGCAAGCATGCGACCATTGTCAGCGCCTGAAATCGAATAGCCACTGGAGCCAAAGCCAGGCTCCTTGGGACTTGCAGTCTCATGCGAAAGGTCGCTGTCCACTTCGAAGTCGTACACCGCTAGATCGGATTTTTCAGAAGGACACGGTGAACGACTCCCGTTCGACGACATCTCGCTGTGATGATCAGAGGTCCTGCGCGGCTGATGGGTTGCGTACGTCCGTAGGGATCGTTCAATGAATTCGATGACTTTGATGGCTTCTTTTCCACGCGAAGTGCTGCAAAGCAGGCCTACCAAATGCTCAACTGCCTCAAAATAATTGGGCGCGAGCTTGACGACTTTCATCCAGTACTCCTCCGCCTCCTTTTTGCGTTCGAGAGCAACCAAGGTGGCCGCCAGATTTGACATGGCTTCAATGTGCCGCGATTCAAGACCCAGGACTTTCAGGTAGAACTCCTCGGCCCTCTGATAAAATCCGAGTCCATATGCGATACAACCAGCAAGATGGATACCATCAATCCATTGCCACGTCGTTTCCGAGCAGAAGGTCGTTATAAGAGTCAATGCACTCGCTGCGCGGGACGGTGGCAAGGTGTCGTGCATGTGAGAGCCAGTAGCATCAGGAGAAGACATGGGAGTTGGAGAGGACAAGACATGTGAAGTCGGGAGGTACGTGTGACCATTGGCATACAATGTTGGAGCCACATTGCTTGGAGTAGAATGTGAACTTCTCGAACCTGCAGCCGGCGCAACGCCATAGAATTTGGGGGGTTTTGGATAGAACTTTGGGCCAGCAGATAAGCCCTGGTATGGCGGCTGGGATTGCTGGGTTGTCTTTCGCGCTTGTTGAATGTATACTAGAAGCTCGCGATATGTCTGAAGAGCCCAGTTGAAAGCTTGCTCGCGTTGTTGCGCAGTCGCTGGAGATGGACTAAAGTTAGGAACGAAGTCTGGCGTGACATTATGAACGCCTGCGAATGAGGGGTATACAATTGGCAATTTAGCATCATATGTCGACCATGCATGGGCAGGGGCTGGATATGAAAGACCAGGACCAGGAGCATTCCAGGAATCCACGAAACCATGCATTGGATAGCGGCCGTCATGATGTGTATAGAATCGAGGGTCTCTGAGTGCAGCAGGACGATATGGGACATAAGTGCCGTCGTTCCAATACGGGCCATAGAGACCGTGGCCGTCTATGCCGGATGCAGTGGGGCCCAGATGCTGAAAAGATGGCTGCATAACGCTCGGGACGGATTGACCATAGAAAGGATGAGGGAGCGGATTCAAGTATCGAGGTAGTGGCACGGCTTGTTGATTGATAACGGAGTCCATGTGAGCCATCTGCGGCAGTTGGCTGTAGGGGTGCATGCTGTCGTGACGGTGGAGTAGCTTGTGTCTGGTGGGTTGGGCTCCATTGCTGTTACTTTCATATGCTCCGTTGAGAGTTCCATTCGGTGTTTTCCGCCGCAACATGTTTTCAGACGACATTGGGCGTGGCGTCGAGCCGTCACGAGTATTTCTGAGAGGCTGTGTGGCTTGAGCTGTGCGATCTCGCGAAGAGAAGTGGTCATCGCGATGCTGCTGGTGCTGGTAGTTCAAGGACGGATTGCTTGAAAGCCGGGGTCGCGTCGACATGGCGATGTCCATGGAATTGTTGTTATGTCTGATAGCACAGCGTGCCTCGGAGGCTATCGCCGAAGTGCACCTGTGCCTATGCCTTTGCGAAATGTGTTCAAGTTAAGGCACGACATTGCCATTCATGTACACGAATACAGAGAGGCTTCTGACCAACGTCCCAACAATAACTCTTGTAACAGCGCGAGAATTACTTAAGCCAAGACACGGCATGCAGACGTGAAAGAAAGACGATCCGAGAGAGTGGAGGGCGGCAGAAAGCGTGAATTATACTGTGGATGCAAGGGCTGAAAGACGACTCGGAGCCTGCAGACCGGATTCAAAAGGACCCAGGAGAGAGGAAAGGGCAACGATCCCCATATGAGGACAACTGCAGATTATGTATGCGGGCAAGCGACGGGGACCATGTAACAGAGACGCGGGAAGGAGTGCAGATATGTCACGCAAGACAGAGGTGGATGGGAGTGGTTCGGAACCAAAGGTCGAGGGATGACTGCTGCTCGCCGCCTGTCGATGCAGCCAGATAACCTGCAGCGCTTGTTTCCTGCTGGTCGGACTTTCAACGAAAAAGGAGAGGAGCAAGAATGGGACGGCGCCTCGCAACGGGCTGGCAATCTTTCTTTAAAAACAAACGAATGAAGGAAGGAAGCAACGCGGCGGCCGCATGCTCGGCAGGGAGCGGGCATGTGCAATTCTTAGATACGACTGCAAGTGGAGTCTTTGTATGGAGAGAGGCACGAATCAGAGCCTCCAGGGCTTGCGATCGGCGTGGGATGCGCCAAACCAACAAAAACGGCCCGTGTGTGGCACTTGCATTGATTCAAGGCTCCGTGGACCATCGCGAATCTCTTTGCTGCTGGACGAATCGACCACTCCGTTGACCAAGTCATGTTTCGAATCGCTTCATTGCGTTAAGCTGGCATGTTTCAAACTAGACGTCCTCATCCTGTCAGCGTCAGAGATCATATGGTTGGGCCATGTAACTTGATCTGCTTGGTTGAAGTGAGGTTGATAGACGAGACTAGAGCCTGTGTGGCTTGCATGATCACGCATGATCCCTGACGCCGGTGCTTTGTGAACTTTACGTCGTGCAGACGGGTCATACCAACAGAAGTAGCCACGCTCTCCTTGGGCCGCATATTAATACTTCGTCCAAGTCCGAGCGACTGGTGATCCGACAACTTTTCCTTGAGCAACGATGCCGTGACTCGGAAATACAGACGGATGTCTGAGACACAAAGAGGAGCTCTCGCACGTAGCCGCGGAGGGACGTATACATGAGGCGCAGGGCGCAGCCCACAGTGTTATTACGCACCGGAGATCGCTGCAAGGTGATTGAAGGTAGCATGACTGCATGAAACTTGATTGTGCTATGCTAGGACATGTACAAGCGAAGAGATATTGACCTTAAACATGGACCAGCATGCCCACGCTCCGAAGAGGAGGCATCCCGGTGAGTAGTAGGACAAGATACATCTTGTTTGCACCAAAATAGGGCTAAACCACGGCAAATATGGGTAGAGTCCAGAGTGTTGGCAAACTGAGAGGATGGGATCGAGAGACAGAAGGCACAGGCACCATGGGGAGAAGAAGAGAAAAATCGTTGGGTATCATCACTGAAGAAAAAGCTCAGAACTTTTGAGCGTGAAAGGGGTATCCGTTAGAGTGCTACATAGTAGACAGTTTACTCCTCAGGAACTGCGGATTTTGTTAGTATGGGAACCAAGTGTTTGTTGGATAGTTAGGGCAACTCACTCTCGATCTCGCCGGACTCGATGTCGTCGGAGACGTCCTTGGGGCTGCGGCCATCGACCTGGCAGCCGGTGGAGAAGGCAGTACCGAGGATCTCCTTGACGGTACCCTTGAGGTCCTTGGCCATGGACTTGAAGCGCATGGTGCGGGCAATGCTGATGATCTCATCAAGAGGGACCGACTTGGTGTGCTTGATGTTCTTCTCCTTCTTGCGGTCACGAGGAGGCTCCTTGAGGGCCTTGATGACGAGCGAAGAGGCGGAGGGGACGACCGAGACAGCGGCTTGACGGTTTTGGATGGTGAGCTTCACGGTGACGCGAAGACCCTTCCAGTCGCCGGTGGCCTTGGCGATATCTTCACCGACCTTCTTGGGCGAGAGACCGAGAGGACCGATCTTGGGAGCGAGAGCAGATGAGGCACCAACTTCACCACCAGTGGCGCGAAGGTGGATCACCTTGATCTCGTTGGGGTCCATCTTGGGAGCTGCATTTTTACATCAGCCAGGCGCTCTTGCAGCTGCCAGTTCAAAAGGACGATACTTACGCATGGCTAGTACGTAAGGTAGTCGGTCTCTTTTGAAAAAATTGAAGGGGGCCCTGAGGGTATATTGTCGTCGTTGTTGATCGTCGCAAAGAGGAAAAGGGAAGAAGTTCGTGTGCGCAGCTATCGAAGAAAATGCAAAGGTGCGCCAAGCAACGAAAGTGCGGCTGTAACCGAACGAGGAAGAGTGGTGCACGGACTGCGGGAGTGAGCTGGCTGGCGGGTGAAGCGTCTCAGATGTCGCTGATGACACGGAGCCAGAGGAAGTCGAAGGAGTCAGAAGCCGGACTTTCTATGAATCTTGTAAATCCACTTTCTGTCAACTCTTTGCACAGACACGCGTGAAGCGAGACTAGACAAACATCAGCTGGCCTCTCAACTACTCTTCCAACATGTCGGCGCCACTTCAGTCACCACCGCAGCAGCAGCAGCAGCAGCAGCAGGAACAGCAGGAAGGTCAGATGCAGCCTGGCCAACCTGGTCAGCAACAGATGAACATCAACCTGATGCCCGCCGGAGTCAAGCCTGGCGAGCAGCCCACTCCTGAGCAAATCCAAAACATGCAGCGCCAACTGGTCATCGAGGCGCAAAAGGCAGGCATGCCAGTGCCGCAATACATCGAACAACTGAAGGCCCAGGCCATGCGCCAGCACATGCAGCAACAGCAAATGCGTCAACAACAGATGCAACAACAACAGCAAATGCAGCAGCAACAGCAACAGCAGCAGCAACAGCCCATTACACCTGGCCCTCCCAAGCCCGAGGCCATCGCCGTCGCCAACTTCCTCCAGAGTCAGGACCTCAAGGTTCGCACTTGCGTCTTCCAGGAGAAGCGCAAGGAGATGTTCAAGGTCAAGCGTGCGATTCGCGCTCTCGAGTCTCCCGCCTACGAAAAGGCTCGCTCAAAGAACCCTCTCCTTCCTCCCGTCACCGATCGTGCCAGTGCCGAGAACACATTCAAGCTGCTCCCGCTTTCTCTCCTCGCCCTCCGCGTGTCCAAGATCGAACAGCCAGCAGAGCAGCAAAAGAAGAAGCGCGTCAAGGGTCTATGGAACGTCAAGGTTGAACAGCAGCAAGAGGCGCGGGACGAGTTCCACTACGTCTGGCTGTACGAGGGTTCTCAGTGGAAGACCAAGCTGTACGCTGTCGGCGCACTCGCCTTGATCCTGGCCGTCGTCTTCTTTCCCATCTGGCCCTACAAGTTGCGCATCGGAGTGTGGTATCTATCTATGGCCTGTCTGGGTCTGTTGGGTCTTTTCTTCGCCATGGCCATCTTCCGACTGATTCTCTTCCTCGTCACCATGTTCACCGTACCTCCTGGTCTTTGGCTTTACCCCAACCTCTTCGAAGACGTCGGGTTCTTTGATTCGTTCCGCCCACTGTGGGGCTGGCAAGAGACTGCAGACGACAAGAAGATGAAGAAGGATCTAAAGAAGGCAAAGAGAGAGGCTAAGCGCCTCGCGAAAGCCGGAGGTGAGAAGCTCGCTGACATTGGTGAGAGAGTGCAGGAAATCATGGATGATGGACACGGACACGGACACGGACACGAGGGACATGTGCACAAGGAAGACATCTCTGCTCCCATCATGCAGTCTGCTGAGGGCACGAGTGCTTCGGGAGCGCAAGCCACAGAGGGTCAAGCCAAGCAGCGCATCATGCCTGCTAGTGTCGAGGAGGTCGACAACGAGTAGTGATTTGCAACGCGCAATTGCTCGAAGCGAAAAGCATATTTTACTATTGTATTATATATACCAATGAGCTTGAGATTGAGCAAACTGGATGTTTGTCTGCAACTCGTTTTTGCACTATTTTCTTATGTGTCTTTGTTTGAACGGGCGGTGTGAAAAATAAGGTCCAGTCAAAGACCTTGGTGGTTTGAGAATCGAGCGTTTGTCTTGGTATAGAAATCGTCATTCTGCTTTCTTCCACGTGCATCGACACCATCTCACTCCACCAGGCAGCCACTCTCACTCGGCCCCATCAACACTCGGAACCGACTCCTCCTCGTTTTCCACTTACGATCATCCAACACCATCCTCCCCACCGACTGCGCACTCCGACCTGCACGAGCGCATCAAACCGTCGCAAGTCCGCCGCTTACACCAACTCTTCTTCTTCTACCACCAACGACCGCACCACAACCACACCACCAACCACAACCCTCTCACCCATTTTATCCCATCCCATCCCATCGCCACCATGGGATCCGTCGTCCTCCCCCATCTCTCCAGCGGCTGGCACGTCGACCAAGCCATCATGTCGGAAGAAGACCGCCTCGTCGTAATCCGCTTCGGCCGCGACTGGGACAAAGACTGCATGCGCCAAGACGAAGTCCTCTACCGCATCGCCGACCGCGTCAAAAACTTTGCCGTCGTCTACGTCTGCGACCTCGACCAAGTCCCCGATTTCAACCAAATGTACGAACTCTACGATCCAATGACCATCATGTTCTTCTTTCGCAACAAGCACATGATGTGTGATTTTGGAACGGGTAATAATAACAAGTTGAATTGGGTCTTGGAAGATAAGCAGGAGTTGATTGACATTATCGAGACTATTTACAGGGGTGCTAAGAAGGGCAGGGGTTTGGTGGTTAGTCCCAAGGATTACTCGACTAGGTACAGATACTAGAGGGAGAAAGACAAGGTGGGACTGGCAAGGCTGGAAGTGCTGCTACGACATGTGCAGGCACTGGCTCTTCGGCTATCTCGCAGCTCTCTCTCTCTCTCCCTCTCTTTTGTCCTGCTTCTCCAAGCACCTCCTGGTCCTCGAACACTCCTTACCGCAACTCGACACCCACATCTCGAGACTGCACCCCTCCAAGAAGTTCTTCTCATCACACTTTTGGACAGTCTCTTCTTTTTGGGAACCACTGAGGTGAGTTGTCATGCACGGAACAAGCACAAGAAGAAGAGGGACAAAACGACATCTTTTGCAGAAAGATTCCCACATCCTCGAAGATGGCCAAGGAAGTCGCAAGCAGACTCTTCGCTCTCGGCCCATGCAAACGACTTGGGAGGATGCGACAAGAGTGCAGGAGACACAACAAACAACTCATGATCACGAATCGAAAATCAAAACTGGCAAACAAATCAGAATGAAACATCTTAATCAAAACGACAAGTCAAAAAACATAGTAAAAACTTTGATGGCAATAAAACTCATTTGTGTTAAAAATAGTAGAGGGGGTATCTTCTTCAATCTCACTGCACCACCTAGTAATCGAAGCGTTCGGGGAGCACGACAGGCGCCACCAGTGTCCAACCAAACATGCCGTAGCACACCCATGAGCTGACAATCTTGACCCACGACGCCCAGTATGTACGTCCCACGGGAACAAAGTCTCCCTTTTCGATCAGTGAATCGCCTCCGACATTCTGGGTCAGCAGTGTTGCAACCCATGCTGTGGAAAGCAGGAAGATGACGTGGAACAATGAGTAGTTGTACTGGGTGGCGTTCTTTTCGTCATCACGAGGGTGGGCGCCTGGGTACTCGTCGTCGTCATCGCTGTCGTCGTCAGAGTCGTCCAGAGCCGATGCAGGGAGAGAGCCGGATGCAACAGCTGCGCGGAGAGCTTCGGCGCGCATCTCACGACGAGACGACGGCTGTGTGGCGACCAGACCGTGTTCGTGGTCGCCCTCACCAACTTGATGGTAGCCACCGGGCTTTCCGGTGCCCATAGCCAGGCCATAGGTAGCGGCACGTGTAGTGGTGTAAGCAACAGTCAGGAAGGTGAGAACAGCACCCATGATGACAGTAGTTCTACGAGCACCACGAGCGCGGATCAAGGGGTTGCATTGGTGATCATCGGGTTCCATGGCGACAGCAGACAAGGTGAGGTAGGTGCAGTAAACACAAACCAAGGCAGCTTGAGCCAGACCAGCGCGAGGGTTCGAGTCCTGAATCATGGGATGAACACTGATGACCGAGATGATCAACAAGCAGATCAAGTTGACGGTGATGGCAGCCTGGTTCATGGAGCACCCAGAGCCAGCGAAGAAGATGTACATGATGATTGTCATGACGATGGATCCAAGGTACATTGTCAGAGTCGAGCCGATCAGAAGCGACTTCCAGAATTGAGAGTCTGTGTTCTCGACCTTCTCCAGGCAGTACTCGGCCCAACTATGCGCCAGATCGACCAGGAGAATTAGGCCTAGCAGAAGGAATAGAACGGCGCCGACGAGAGCGACATAGTTGCCCCAAACAATGAAGAAGCCATCAGGGATCAAGAATGAGATGACAATAAGAGCAAGCCAAGCGATCAGCTTAGGCCCCCAGAAACCGTTCTGGACGGCGGATCTCTTGTCGCGTGTGTTCTTGACGCCGATGAGTAGCAGAGCCATGACGAAGTGGAAGAAGCCGAGAGCGAAATTGATACGATGAACAGCAGTGAAGCCATAGCAGGCCTTGCCGTTGCAGGAGATGGTGGCGAAGTCGAGCAAGACCTTTTGGAGTTTCTTGACGGCCCAGTCGGTGAGCATGATCCAGGACAGGAGCGAGTTGAGCAGCAGAATGACGGCGTAGGCGATGCGAGTGGCCATGCTGTTGTTGCACTTGCCAGCAGCACTGCAGACGGCCGAGCATGTGGCCGCTCCACAGCAACTGGCGGCGAAGGTCATGAGCTGTATGCCATGTTAGCCTGAGCGGTGGCGCAAAGCTGAGGGGTGGTCGAGGGAAGGCTCACAGATCCCACCGAGGGGATGGCCAACAGTGGCAGCGACAATAGAGCTCCCATGGCGAGCGATTATCCGATGTTGAAATGTCTGTACGTAGACCAGTCGTGCCGTCGTGGGTGTCGATTCGCAGGTGGACGAAGTGGGTCGCGACTGCCTGCACGTCGTCGCGGTCTGGGGTTCTCAAACGGCTTGGCTACGGGGAAGAATGCCGAGTGGCCGGCCGCAATGACGAGGCCGATCGTAGATTGGCGATTGCCCTTTGGGGAGGCCGCGATAGGCCTGCGTCCCTCCTTCCATCCCTGGAGTGTGTGCTGGTCGAGTGCACGCTATCGCTGTTCTGCCTTTCCTTCTCTCACTCCATTTCCTCCGCCATTGATTGACCACATCCCCGCGAACATACTCGACCCCGTACTCGCACCAAACCATCCTCGTTATCTATACCGCGAACCTCGGTACATGGTTCAATTGCAATACTTTGTTCCTCGACTACTCTCCTTATTCTCTTCTCATTACTAGGCGCCATGCAGGATCGCGACGAGAACGCGCACTACAAGTCGCGAATCATCTCCGTCGTCGCTGCCACTGGTATAGCTCTTGCCTGGTATGTTTGTTACCGCATCTCTCCTTGAACAATCGTTCCTCGAAGGCCCCCTATCTGACTCTCTACAGTGGAACGAATGTTAGTACGCGACCTCGGTTTCTCTTCTCTTTCTGATCTGTCAACCAGTACGCATATTCAGCATGGGCTCCTCAATACGCTGAGCGCATGAAACTATCCGCTACGCAAAGCAACCTTATCGTGAGCAACCGTTCCGCTCATGAAGCAAGAGCTGCGACTGAGTAATACTAGGGCAGCGCTGGCAACATTGGCATGTACGCCTCGGGAATCCCCTTTGGCATCTTGATCGACACAAAGGGCCCTAGATGGGCTGTTCTAATCGGCGCCTTTTCACTGGCTTGCGGCTACTTTCCCCTATACTCTGCCTACCAAAAGGGTCCGGGGTCCATGAGCTTCCCTGCTCTTTGTTTCTTCGGCTTCTTAACAGGTATGGGAAGTTGCTGTGCTTTTGCAGGCTCCATTAAGGTCTCAGCGACAAACTGGCCGCATCACAGAGGCACGGCTACTGCATTCCCCTTGAGCGGCTTTGGCCTGAGTGCCTTTGTTTTTACGCTCATTGGCAGCTTCGCTTTTCCTAATGATACTGGAGACTACCTACTGATGCTGGCCATCGGCACCTTTATCATGGTTTTTGTTGGAAGCTTCTTCATGAAACTCATGCCCCCGGCTTCGCCCTATCAAGCTGTGCCAACCGAGGATGAAGGTCGTCCTGCTCGCATCCGGAAGAACTCGCACGACTTGCAATCTGCCCATCATAGCAGAGATGGAAGCAGATCAAGCCTCCCTGGTGAACCCAGTAAGTTTCCATCTTCTCACTCCCAATGTCCGTTCTTCCCATGCTTTACTCTTGCGCTACAACCGTAAGAAAGCACCCAGCTCATGTCTCCAGGCACTCAAAATGCCCAATCAGATGAGACTTCACCACTTCTCTCCCGTGCTGGAGAAGTCCCTGCGGACGAGTCACAGACATCTCAAACGCTAGGCTCACACAAGAAAGATATCACAGGGTGGGCACTCGCAAAGAGTCCGTCATTTTGGAACTTGTTCATTCTTCTTGGCTTGTTATGTGGAGTTGGTTTGATGACCATCAAGTATGTTGCCTTCTACCTCGACTTTGTGTGCTATCGCTGACATGTTATCAGCAATATCGGAAATAACGTGAGAACATTAATGGTTAGAACGCGACGGCCAGATGCTAACAGAGTATATAGGCAAAAACGCTATGGCACCATTATGACGAGAATGCAAGTCACGACTTCATTCAGTCACGTCAACTAATGCATGTTGGCATTCTCTCGATCGGATCATTCATCGGCAGACTTTCATCTGGAATCGGATCTGACTTTGTGGTCAAACGTCTGCACTCGTCTCGTTACTGGTCATTGGTCGCCTCATCTCTGATTTTCACTGTCGCACAAGTCTTTGGTCTTACGATTGAGAACCCAACCCACCTATATCTACTCTCCAGCGTCACCGGGCTTGGATACGGTGCCCTGTTTGGAGTGTTCCCTGCTCTGGTCGCCGACGCTTTTGGCGCAACAGGACTCGGCATCAATTGGGGTGCGATGACGATGTCGCCAGTGATTTCTGGCAATATTTTCAACATTGCATATGGCGCGATTTTGGATAGTCACTCAGGGTCGGCAGACTCTCATCACAACATTTGCAATGACGGCAAGTCCTGCTACTCGCAGGCATACGTGATCACGCTTGTCGCCAGTATGATGGGCATTGCTTGGAGTCTGTGGTGTGTACGCCATGATACTCAGGAGAAGAAGGCACAAAGGAAGATGTACGCAGACCACCAACCTTGATGGTATTGCTCTTAGCGTCTTCAAATCTCGGCGTCACTTTTGCATGATGGACTGCGATTTCCTATAGATTTTCTTGACTCTCAAAGAGCTGTCCCAGCTATTGAATATACTGGTTGGCTATACTTCATATATCAGGGACAAGGCATGTCTCAGACACGTACTCGAAGAGTAGTAGCAATACAAAGAAGACTCAGCCACATGCACAGCCACAGGGCATTCACATGTAACATGGCCTTGTCGAGTAAGTTTGCCTCCCCGCATCCGAGCAAAGGGCAGGCGGAGCTTCGTGTGGCGTAGGCGTGGGCGGCTCAAGTCTCAAGTAGCTGCCTACGAACATCATGACCTTCACTTTGTCTCGTTCCTTTCAATTTTCAAAGATCAAACCTGTGATTTCGTGTCGTCTTTCAGTCCTGGAGGCTCACTTTGGTGAATTTTGCGAATAAGCTAGAAAGGAGTCAAATCGGTCGCTCCTTGCCACTCCGACACACATCGGTCGTCATGCCCGCGCCATTAGCAAAAGGTATGTGATTTTCGTTTATTACCTTCTTTCCACTCTTTTTTTTTCCTGCTACCACTCGTCGCGAAACTGTGCTTCGCCTTCTAATATTGCTTGACCACGAGTGACTATTCGGCGAAGTAGCATTGAGAGGACCTCATGGCCCCTATTACTTATGCCCTAGTCATGCAACATGTCTGACACGACTTCTAGGCATCTTGATATCCCTCTCCATTCTTGCTGCCGTCGGAATAGCCGTCTATGAGAACCCGCAAGTCAAAGAATGGGTGGAAGAGCAACGACGCAAGATAACGGAATTTCTCCGCACCTTTGGAGACGAACTCGACCCACAATCACGACGCGAGGCAGAGGCATTCGCGTACGAGGGTCGTCTACCTAGACAAAGTCGTGAAGAAGCTGCAGCAACAGCGCGTGCTGTTGCTAGAGCTACTGGGGCAGAGACGACAGATGATTCCGTCACCAGACGTAACAGAACGAGCCATACCCCACAGAGTCCTGATGAAGCCGACCAGAGGAAGCGGCTGGGTAGGGAGTACCTGGCTAAGAGGAATCAAGAGATGCTCGATTTGAAGGAGAAGCAGAAGATAAGGAGGAGCACATCGGAGTTGTCGGAAAAGACACCGTCTTCACCGACGTTTGATCAACTCGTGGATGTCGACGGCTCCTTGAAGACGGACGAGAAAGACACACAAGTGGAAAGCGGATACTTCAACGAAAAGACGCTCGAGCTTCCATCTGTACCGACTGATGAGCCAAAGTCTCTTCAGGGTATCCCTGTTCAAGTGGCCATGCTGGAGACTGCCTTCAATACCGGATCTCGCTATGCAAACCCCTTTGGCGATGAGTTCGAGCTGTCAGGCACGTTAGACTCAAGATCGCCAACACCGAAGCCTCCGGTGCCTCCCAAGATTGCCATCGAAGACGTCAACAAGGTCCGCAGACTGTCCGTTACACAAAAAGAGCCCTCGATCATACAAATCCCCGTCATCGACCAAGAGGAGGAGGAAGAGGACGATCCAGAGCTCGCGACCGCCAACCTCAGCTACGAAGAACAACTGGTCCGCGCCATGTCAATCAGCCTGGCTGAGAGCGAGGAAGCCGCTCGTCAAGCTCGTGCTCTCGAGCAAGAACAACGCGACATGGACTTTGCCGCCGCAGTCGCCGCCAGTCTGGCAGATGTGGAAAAGACGAGACAAAAGGAAGAGCTGATCGATCTAACACCAGACCCACCGATCTCGGTACCTGCGTCTGACTTTGATGCTGATGAGCTATACACTCTATCGCCAGCTATGGCTATTCGTCATCCAGCAGCCATCCCCAACCCCATGGTCGTTTCTCCTTACGATCCTGTACATGAGGCCGCCGCCTCTGCCACTTCTCCCCAAACACCACTCCCTCAACAGCACACTCCCACGACCGCCACTTTCTCCTCGCCTGAACTCGAACGCGATGCCATTTCCTTCTCCTCTGCTTCCTCCACAGCTTCAACAGACGACTTTGCATCTGCGCCCGCTAGTGTGGCAGCTAGCGAAATGAGTCTCATCGACTTTGGAGAGGTTGAGAGCGTGGATAGTGGTGATGAGAGTGAACCTGATGGTGTTTTGACCCCAGGCAGTTGGACTGATGTGGGTAGTGATGTTGGCAGTGAGGACAACGAGGGGCATAGACTTGCTTGATCGAGCTGGACGTATTTCTTCCTGCTCTATGGCTTCTCTTTCTCTTTCTATCTCTGGGTTTGGATTCGGTCGGTTTGGCGTTCTGGTTATATCAAATGGAGTGTTGGGTGGCAAAGGGTGGACCACTTCTCTGGGTCCTTTTTTTCCCCTTATACTACTACCTTTTGAATGTTCTTTATGACTGCTGCTTTGAGTGTACAGAAGCTATGTACGTTGTCCTCTTCCATTATGCTTATCCGTCTTTTTTCTTCAATTCGATGTCATGGTACGTTTCGAGAGACAGGGTGATGCCATTTACAACTCGTAAAAACAGTATTGTGTATATAATGGGTCCACGACAACGTCTCCGGTCTTTCTTACACTTCCTAAACGTTGATCCGTATCTCTTAGACCTTTTGTATCATTGATTTACTGTCAAATAGTGTCGTCAGCCTAGTGTGATCATATTCTTGTTCTTATAACGACATTTTCAGTAGATCAAGACAAGACATGAGGTCTGCTTCGTGTGTTTCCACGCTAGATGGTGTTTAACTGAGTAAACCTCATGGATAGTTTTGGCACGTCAGAGTAACAGATCTCATGGGCGTTGTCGGCTAATCTCGTCGAGTGCATTTCGTCTCTAGATCAAGACAGGGTCACATTGCTCACAATTGATCAGTGAACAGGGTTGTACCTATAGCGTGAAGACTTGGTCATGTGTAAAATTCAAACGCTTGCAAGGGAAGCATGAAAAGTATCTAGAGCAGAGAGTTTCATTACCATCTTAGTGTCAAGCACAGCAGCGACCCTGGAGTTAAGCTAGTATTACAATCCATCATCCATTCTCCTCCTTAGCATCTCTTCTCCTTCTCGGTGCCCCACTCCACAAGTCTCTTCACATCGACTCATCTCCACGGCGAACATCCGTCCATAAGCCTCCCTTACGTCTCTTTCCAGCAGCGGGTCCTCTGTACATCAGCAACTCGTCCGGAACTTCGTTGGCAGGCGTAGGAACCAACGCTGGCATGGCCAATATAAGAGGCACAGGGACAACTGCATCTTCCTCTTTCTGCTCCCTCACAGCTTCGGCAGCCTTGGCAATGGCTTCTTCCTTGGCCTGTTTGATAGCAGCTCTGCGAGCAGTTTCCTCGTCAAAAACTTCCTGCTTGGCCTTTGCCCATTTGGAGAGTGCTTCGGGATGTGAGACCATGTAGATGACAGTCTCTCGAGCAGCGAATGAGTCTTCGAGGCATGAGTGAGTAGCTAGTCTCTGTACACCAAGACCCAGGAGGCTCTCGCACACCTTCTTCAAGGCAGTTCCGCCCTGACCAGGTCTGTCGATAGCAGCCTTGGCCAGCAGCTCTGAATCCACACAGCGACTGTGAACGATCTTGAGGACGGTGAGATCGTGCTTCAATGCATGACCGACAAGAATAGTGTCCTGGTCCATGAGGGAGAACAAGACCTCACGGGCATGAACCATGTCTTGAAGAGCAGTACCATCACGAGTAGCCTTTGCCATCACACCGCGGCTCACACCATGGATGTTGGTGCGCCACTGTGTGATATCCAAGACAGGTCTGACCAGAGCTGAGATCAAAACTTCGCCGCTGAGATAATCGATAGCAGTCAGCTGGATCAATTGATCCACAAATCCGTCACCGTTCCTGCCGCCAGCCATCTCACAATCGAGAGCAATAGCTCGACGCTTGGTAGCAGAGTTGGTCGAAGAGAAGCGAGGGGCATTGTCAAAGCCCTGATAGCGCGAAGTCAGGTGGGTGATGCCAGGAAATCTATGCTTATCATTTCTCGCGGCAGGACAATTTCTCACACCTGTTGTTGCGATCAAGCGATCAAGTCTGTGACGAGAATTATGACAGTAGATGCACTTGACCTTTGCTTTGATCTCAGCAATAGGAGGCATGACAGGTGTGTTGATGTGAAAGCCAGCCGAGATCAAACAGTCAGCATTGTGACAATGCTTCTTAAGAGACTGGTAAGCATCCTCGACCTCATCTTCCCGGAAGGACGTCCAGGCTCGAGCTTCTGGGACAAGATCAGATGAGACAAGTGTAGGCCATGTTTTATCGACGCAGAATTGTGGATCAACGCTCGAATGGACTGAAAGACCAGGAGGTACTAACCCGCGGGAATCAGCTTCTACGGCATAGGAAGGGCCCAAGATTTGCGAACCGATGCTAGTAGATGGCAGTGAAGCATGAGGTGAATCTGGAGCTCCGTCGTACGAGGGTGGAAACTGCTTACGTCGGCCACGATGACGGCGTAGGTGCTGCTGCGGAACGCTCGACGACGGATACTGCATAGTTGGACTGAGACCGCCTGGCAAGAAGCTAGTTGGGAGGTGATGAGCAAGATAAGGATTGATAGGTCGAAATTCAGATGGAGGCATTGGGTGAAAGCTTGCATAGGCTCCAGGGGCAGAAGAAGGAGGCGATGATGAGACGAACGGAGCGGCGCGATGACGTTGATTGATAGCGACAGGAGGAGCAGAGTCGGACGTGGAAGTGTGTTCTCGAGAATGAGTCGATCGAGGTGGAGGCGGAGCTGGAGTGTAGTAAGGTCGGCCATGTGCAGCGTGACCGATGGGAGGCGATTCAACGATGTTCTCTTTACCAAGGTCCATTCTGGTAGGCTTGAGAGGGGCCATAGTATTGGTAGGAGCCATACTTGTGATGCAGGAGCGTGCCTTGTGACCTGTTGGTCGAGGTTCGGAAGCTTCCTTGGAGCGCTGCAGGGAGACAATCACTCTCTGACCAAGAAACTTCTTGTTGTGAAGTTCCTTGACAGCACGTTTGGATTCGGCGACAGTCGTCAAACTGATGAAGGTGAATATGTCTGTGTGAGGACAATGAGTGCGCATCGACGTTGTCTCACTATAACGTTTGTGTCAGTAAAAACAAGAGCGAGAGGGAATATGTGCAGTGTGCAGTGTGCAGTCTACTTACACTACGAAACCCTTGAAAAGAGTCTTGACAACGTCTTGCTCTGAGACGTTGTCGGGTAGTCGTCCAACAAAGACACACCTACCAGTGGGCTTGGAGAGCTCTGGATTGTGGGAGAAAGAGTCTTGGATGTGCTTTTCAAGTTCTTGGGTGCTGCTGAAGTTGCGTTCGCAATCAACGCAAACAATCAATGTAGGAGTTCTGGTCTTGGGACATATGCGGCGAGCCGTCGATGATGTTTCAAGGTGCTGGTCCAACGAATCGATCGAATCATAACGTTGTCTACAGCTGGAACACTGGACTGCGCTATGAGGTCTCTTCAATATCTTGACAGGCGCCATGTCGAGTTCATCAGATCGGATTGGCAAAAAGGTAGTCGTATCTGATCTGAACACTCTTGTTGATTCGAACAGATCTGGAAGACGGAAGCGCGCAATTTCAAGAAATAAGGATAGCAAGTTCTGAATTGTTTGGAGGTTCAAGGACGGAACAGAGCTGTGGAAAGAGTCCGAGGTGGCGCTTTCTTCGACCGTGGTCTCTAGAACCAGAAAGTCGTTGTTGCCATTATTGCGAGTCAATCGACTAGCACCTTCCAGATCCACCAGCGAGAAAAATGCCGAGCAATATTATTGTTTGGTGCTTCAGAGTGGACAGACCCAGTTTACCGCTGGTTCTGCCACTTTCATCAGCAGAAGATGACCCATGGCCTATCCTGTGTCAGCCATTAGGCTATAACGCAGAAGCGTACAAAAGGAGCAAAAGCTCATCACCAGAGTCGAACACAGGATCTCGATCCTAGCAGTCATATACCTGGCCAATTCTCTTTCTTACAGCAATCCGCCGTGTGGTGTAACGGCTTACTCACATGATTCGTAATAAAACCACTCCAGTTTCCGTTATGTATGTCTTAAATAGCTCAGGCAGCCAGGTGTCCGACACTAGGTGATCCAGATCAAGGAAAGTGAGAGGAGTTTTCCCAATCGAGCCCAGCTCTTGGTTTTTGCTGTTTTGATAGCCATGAAACGCACTTTAGTTCTAATCGGGTGGATGGGTTACACATAGGTATATTTCGACCACGACCACCATAAGCGAAAAGGAACGAGGAATGATACCGACTCGAGCAGGACCATTGACTGCTATAATCTTACATAATTTACAACTGTGAGAGGGTGATAGACTTGATCAGGATGATGGTGCGTCTCTCCCCTCCTTGAATTCTTCCCAGCCAGGCGCGCTAAGACCCTTCTGCTCATATTCGTCGTCCCTGATGACTTCGATCAGCTTCACATTCCATTTGCCTGTTCGAAGGACAAGTATGTTGCTCTTCGCGATCATCTCTGAGACCATGGAAGTGGTCACACCCCTCAAGGGGCGGAACTTGAGCTCGCCATCAGATGTTGGCTCTTTTTCTTCAGACTGAATGCCAATGTAAGCACCTCCGGAGTTGACCATGCGGAGACCATGGCTGTTGCTCTTGGCCAGGCCGGCGTGGTATAAGATGCGCGCTGGTGCCTTTGAATGTACGAGACTGTGCGGTAGGTAAAGACGGTTCAGACCTTCCTTGCTGTTCTCTGCTTCGGCCTGGAGAGTTTGCAAATTTGGTCGGCGTGAGAATCCGTGTCGCTTTTGCGTGTTTTCGGCTTCCTCAGGACCGTGAACCAGATCGACAACTTCGCGTGCTAGAAGATGTTGAGCTTTGCGTTGGCTGGGATCGGCCTGATGTTCTGCCATGACGCTCGAGATTTGGTCCAGAGGGAGGAAGGTGAAGAGCTTTAGATAACGCTCCACGTCGGCATCAGCAGAGCCGACAAGGAAACCGTAGAGCTCAAAAGGAGTGGTCATAGTCTTATCGAGCCAGATGGCGTTTCCAGCACTCTTGCCAAACTTGGCACCGGCAGCAGTAGTCAAAAGAGGCACTGTCAAGCCGAAAGGACCGGACAACTGCTTGGTCTCCGGCGAGGTTGATGGTCTAGGTGTCAAGTGTTTGATCAGGTCCATACCTGCGACAATGTTGCCATACTGATCGGAGCCACCAATCTGAACCTGAACACCTGATTGATACAGATGCCACCAATCGTAGGCTTGTAGCAGAGGGTAGGTGAATTCGGCATAGGACATGCCATCACCTTGGGCCATCTTATTTTTGACACTGCCGCAGTCAGCATGCTGTCAGAAGATTGAATAAAGGACAACTAGCACTCACGTGTCTCTACCTAGCATAGCACCCATTCGAGCGACGGTACCAGCATCAGTTAAGAAGTCGATGATCTTGAGCTTTCTCAGCCAGACTGTATTGTTCTTTACACTCCTACTCCAAGTCTTCTCTTTGGGGTAGCCATGTCTCTCAGCATATCGCTCTGCATTCTGCCACATGGCTCGCACACAGCTCTGCAGCGAGATAAAATTGGAAGCAATTGTGTCTCTGTCCATCTCTTGTCGGCTGATCAGACGTCCTGTGGGATCGCCAATTCTTGCAGTTGCACCTCCAATGACGGAGACAGCCTTGTGACCATGTATGTACATCCAGAACAGAACCATCATCGGCAGAAGGTGACCCAGATGAAGCGAAGGAGCAGTCGGGTCGATGCCGGAATACGCACCAATGCACTTATCGGTGAGCAACTTGTCAAGAGCATTGCGATCACCTGCCAGGTCTTTGACGTAGCCACGCTCTTCCAGTATTGTCAATAAACTCTTCCTATGACCAGCGCGTATCCTTTCAGCCTGTTGGTCCCATAATGTCTCGGAATTGCTCTTTCTAGCCACTGCACTCCGTGAGAGATAGCGCAATGCTGATATCGAGGCGCGATTCGTGCAGACGTATGGGCTCAGCGGGTGCAGTGATGTGCTACGCCAGAGTGTCGGTGATGGCATTTTGAGACGACCTGGATAGCGGAAGTCCAAGGTACGCGACAGAAATTAGATCAAGCTGTTGCGCCAAAAGCCCGAGCTTAACTCCGTCACCTGTAAACAACCGACATTTCTCAGTTGCGACATTAATGTATCATCTTACGATAACAAACGACATTTGTGCATCATGACTACGACCGGTAAGTCTGACTGCTCTAGATTGCTATCTCGGATGCTGATTGTACGCAAGTCGGCCGCCATGAGCGCCACATCATGCGCCAGAGAGGAGCTGGGTATAAACAATCCCACGACAAGACAGATATCACTCGCTCATACGCCTGAAAAGTGCCCGATCTATTCCTACAAACTTTGGTTTCATCTTCCAAGCCGGTTCAATCCAGCTCTCCGAATCGTCATCAACCTCAAACAACCTCTCGTTTACTGCTACCCTTATAGAAGCCGACTCTCACCCCGAACATCAGCCATCTTTGGCAAATGTGGCAGCCAAGAGAAAGAGAGTGGTCAAGGAAGACGAGGAGGATGGTGAGATTTGGTTCAAGAAGCGCTCCAAGAAGACATCCACCAAGCAAGAACACAACGAGGAGACCGTGGATACCGCGACTTCGAACGTAGCGCCAGACGAGCCACGGCCCGAGGCCCAAACGAAGCCGACCAAACGAAAAGTCGTACGGAAGCGCATCTTGGTCCCAAAGCCACGTCAGAAACCATCTACCAAGCCGCAACTCGACGCACAACACGACCAACCAATGTCCACATCAGAGGCGATGCAAGAAGCCCCCACAGAAGTCGAGAAGAAGATAAGGAAGCCTGCTACGGTCAAAGTCGCGAAGCGCCAGACGAAAGAGGCAGAAACTCCTGTTGTGACTATACCAGAGAAGGGTCAAGAAGACGAGCTGAGCAATCACTCTCTCCATGCCATCTCGGCATCGCGGCCTGCTGCTTCCAAAGCCACTAAATCTAGTCAGGACGTCCAACACACAGTCGTAGAGCCGAGAAGTCGAAAGAAGGCAGCTCCAGTCAGGAGAGTTGTGCGAAAACAGAAACCGGACATCACTATGACCACGCGACAAGTCGTGTCAGAGGACAGTCAAACGACTGCATCCATAGCACCGATGGAGGAAAAGGGACCAAGCAAGACGCCAAAGGCCACAGACACCAAAAAGCTGAAAGAAGTCAACAGCCGAGCCGAGAATCAGCTTGAGCGAGTGCAAGAGACTGAACATATCGATGCTGTAACGCCTACAGAAGGACAGTCGAGTCCTACCCCGGCGACGCGGGAAGTTACAACAGAAACAGCGCAATCACCGAAAAAGCGAAAACTAGTCAGAAGAGTGCGCGTCCCTAAGGTTCTTGCAGCGTCAGCGACACTGAAGACAACTCCTCCAGCAGACCTCACACCCCGCAAAGATGGCACCAAGCCCCTACGATCAAAAGGAAGATCACCTCTGAAAGAACGAGATATGAACTCAACTCCTGAGGATGGCGAGCCAAAGGATGATTCGAGAAGCTCTGAAAATCGCAGCAAGAACAGTCAGAAAATTGGAGGTGCTCTGCCTGGAGACACATCCTTGCGAAAAACATCAGCAGTAGCTGAAGATGTAGACTTGAGTCTATTCGAAGCAGCACCTTCGGCACAAATCATCAAGAAAAAGACCAAGACCACTAAGGCTCCTAAGAGGGTCTTCAACGATGATTCTGACATTGATCTTGACCAGATGTTGAGTGGCATTGCAGCTATGGCTGATCCCAAGGGAGTCACCAAAGTTACTGCCTCGAATCCTAGTCGCGTCGTGAAGAGGAAAGCTGCAGCATAACCATGTCGATATGGCCCACCATCCCATCGTTCGGCGACGTGCTTTTAAGAGTGCTTGTCAGCCAATTAGATTCGGGAACGAGCACTTTTCGAAGCACGTCGCCGAGCGAAGGGATATTGCAAGTTTCAGAAGTTCACTCTCGTATTGCACCGGTGCTCGTGTTCCATCCTGGCATTGCGAGTCAGCCGGTTGAGAATAACACCATGAGTGTATCACACCAGCACAACGTCAGATCTCATAAAGGTTCATCGATAAATACTACTTTTGGCGAATATTCACTATCACAGTATATGGTCAAACGTATCAACCCAAAGCCGGAGCAATGCGGTGTGAGAGTCATGTGGCGAGTATTGACTAACAAGAACGTGAGTCATGATCGGTCAGAGTGTACTCCAGTAAGCGAGCTGAAGCTATGTAAAAGTTCAGGTATATTGCAGGGTCGACTTCAATCGACAGAAGAGGCTGGGAAAAAGAGGTGAAGGAGGGCTCACACCGCATTTGACATTGACATCCGAGCTGCCGAAGATGGTCAAAGCTTTTGTCAATCTACCAAGATCGTCTGTGTTGATGCTTGTCATCTTCTTCCACACCTTCTCGCATGACCTTATCGAGAGGCATAACCATGCGTGCGGGATGCTGAAGGGGACGATGGTGAAATCCAAGTCAAATTGATGCAGAGAAGAGGTTTGACAAGGTTGGTCTACAACATTGCTCCCAAGGCAGGAGCGTTCTGAACACCGCGAGGGCATGGAAATGTCCGTGTCCAGCATTGACTCCTGCCTCCCGCCGCCAAGTTTGTGGTTGCTATAGCCATTGCGAGTAAGTGTGTTTCTCAGTTTAAAGCGTCCCAAAGAAATGAGAGGCCTTATCTTTCAGCTCGTCACCTTTGTCGATGTCTTCCTCCATCATTCATCGCTCTACAACAATCATGTCTACAACGTATAATTCACCAAAGCATGTACGGACAAACAGCTTGATTGACAGTTTTGAGATATCTGACCTTTCCTTTGCGCCCACACCGCCACCGCATAACCATACTCGGCAACAATCATCAATCGGATCCGCTCGTCTGGAGTCGCCATTCTCTCCAACAAGTAACTTTGGTGGAAGCGTGATCTGGAACAAATCGAGTTCTCTACCACAGTTGTATGACCCTGACCAAACCTCAAGGACCTTTACGCCTTCAGGATTCAGTAGCAGCCATGTATCAAGTACTTCACCGGGCTTGACATCCTTTCAGACTTCCAGTCACTCGTGGTCGACAGCAAGTTCGAGTTTTCAGACAAGCTCTAGCAACACTTTGGATGATAGTGCCGTGTCACAACTTCCGGTTTATCTTGATCCATTGAGCTCCAGTAGATCGAGCTTCTATAGGCCACTTCCAGATATGACCGAGGCTCCGGTCTGTCCGATGAACACAGCAATGCAAACGAATACGACGCTTCCGCACATCTCTGGTTATGGATCTATACGTCTCACAGTCACAATGGATTTGCCTCCTCCGTCCAAGCACCACCAGCACACCCCTCACGTATCTTTGAGGGTAGACACACCAATGAATGACACTTTATCGGTAGTCCACTCTGAGCTTTCCTTAGATGCCGCTCTAGATTCTTTATCAGCACCCGAACTACGTCAACTCTTACGTCTTGCTGTACAGAAGCATCCTTCCTTTGCTTCCGAGATCGCTTTGGGACATGCACAAAAAGCCTCGCATGAAACAAGGAAAACAGTCAACTTCGTACATTACAGCAATAGCGTCTGGCATACCCTGAACGCCAAACATCACCTCAACCCGGAAAAACGACGACAACATGCCGACAGGGCGGTGCAGAGTGTCGCAAATGACATAGTGACTGTTGCCACTCAGGTAGGAAGGGAAAGCTCACTCGTCTCAAAGAAGAGTGCTCTGGAGGCCTTACGGAAGATAGGCAGGAGCATCTGTCTTGCCACAGGTGCTGTAGGCGACAGAGTGAAAGAAGCGGTGGGATCTGACAAGATGTTTGTGGACGCCATTGTAAAAGTGGCATCGAGCTTTACAGAGGATGATCGACGAACGCTATGGGCTGGTGGAAGTGCGACTGAGATTCTGAAACGTCTTGATCAGTTGGACGAGTTGAGAGCATGTTATCATGTCTTTGATGGATTCGATGTTGTGCTAAAGCAGTTGAAGAGGGAAGACAGTCTGGACGGAAGTGTGTATTGCTAAAACCTGAAACAATCACAACGAATTACATGTCTATTGCATAATGATATCAGATGTGCCTATTTCAATCTGTCTTGATCCTCAATGCAGAGCAATGTTGGAATGTGCGGAAACCGGTGCGACCCCAGTGCTTCGCGACTTCCTTCTTTGAAGATCTCACAACGTGCTTGTCTCGTCACCACCCCTTACAAGTTTCTACACTCAACATTGTTGCAGAAATTGAGGCGAACTTGATCGGTGGCCTGAACCGGTACCATAATGCGCAAGGATAGTTGACACGTGTCACAGTCTTCCGTCAACCTGTCCATATCCTCGAACCTAAGCTGTCGTTTCAGACCTTCTCAGGCCCTGGCTCTGGGAGAGCTCGACTTCGCTATTCTTCCATCTCTTCGACTTCTCCCAGACCAATCGCATGGAAAGGTAGCTAGCACCGCGATGACCTTTGTCTGGACATTGCAGATTCTCATAAGCAATCTTCTGGTTCTCAGGCTCTCAAATCGCCTTTCTTATTCTAGAATCTCGTCGCAAATTTGCTGGACTCAACGCATAAATTGTCCAATCATTGCTGGAATGTCTGCACACGCTCCGGAGACCTCATACGTACGGTCGTTGTCCACCATCATACCTCGTCGCTGTTTTGTCGATATATTCTCTCAATATCGATTTCAACTACATCTGCCGGTACCAGACCACTTCTAAGATGCCAATACGGCAGTCAGATACGTAATACTGCCCTTTGCTGTGGGCCCTGGTGTCTGCCCCAGGTCGGACTTCGTCGTCGCCAACCTCAGCGCAAAAAGTCACCAAAACATCCCCATGTCGGTCCCTAGCCCCCCCAATGGTTTTAAGAATATAATCACCAATAGCCTCTTTATCTCTCCATGAAGGAGATATGGCCGAGTGGTTATGGCGCTAGTTTCAGGTACTAGTGGGCAACTGCGTGGGTTCGAATCCCACTATCTTCAATATCCTTTTGCCCTCTATCATGGCAAGCTACATCTCTTGCGGGTTGGGGAATCTCTTTTTGACATTCGCAGTGGAAACTGGTTGAAAAAAAGTCGAGTGAAGCCTGAGACTTTTGCAGGGTCCAAACGCCTTCCAGGGGTAACTTTACCGAGCCGCTCTGTCTTTGGTTCACCACTGAATGGAACGTATCATGACAATATGTCTTCGCTTGCAGTATACTATGGTCAGGGAAGAGTTGTGTATGGCTGTTCGAACGATGATGGGGTTGTGTGTGAATAGGTGCAGGCTGACACATGAACGCAGTCAGCACATGTGGCTCTTCGGTCGCACTCTTCAGCACAAGGGATCCAACCAAACAACAAGAAAAAAAGAATGCCAACTGTGCGACTCCGCCATCAAGTTTGAATGGCCAAATGCAAATTTCGAAACATGCAGTCTAATAAAAGCCTTGTCCAGCTAAATGTCGCCTCTTTACCCGGGACCCGACTATCATCTAATCCTGTCGTTGATAGGAGCCGTACGAATAAGTCTCGCATTCGAACCCGATGGTACAGCACTTGTGCAATCGATGAAGCTCTGTTGGTCAGACCACGGGATACCGAGGACGCTGAGATGAGCCATTGCAGGTGCAAAAGCTGCATTCCATTTGCCTGTGCAGATCGTCAGTCGTGAACAATCAAGCTTATGGAGAGAATATGCAACAACTTACTCTGACTATTTACGAAACTCTGGAATGTTTGACCCACAGTGGAGTTTGGGTTGGAGAGATTGATGTCTGATTCAAAACTGTATACGCCTTTTGGGTGGCTGTCGGTTTGGGAGTAGTATGTTACGTCCCATTGACCTGGAGTAGAGTCTTGAGGTCCTGTTGCAATGTTTCTGTCAGCAGCTGTTGGTCACTCGTAAGGAGGACACTCACCATCATAGGGGATACCATTGTCTTCCTCTGCTACTGCTTTGGATGCCGTATGTGCGCCAATCAAAGCAGCAAGTTCTGGCTGACTGATGCCTTTGTCTGCGAACAGCTGGATCAACACTTGTTGAGCCGAACCAGGGCCAAAAGCTTGCGGTAAGAGGTTGTCTGGTGCTGGAGTGCTGGTGTCTTTGCGACCGATGACCTGCGTATACGTTAGTCGTCGCGTTCACTCTTTGGAAGTTGCTCAACAAACAGTCGGGATTCTGGGACCTCCAGGACAACTAACAATCGCCACACTGGCAGCGAATTGTATCAAGTCTGCAGCACCGACTTGAGACTTGTACACGTCGTACTTTCCACGCAAAAAGCTGTAGTATTGTTGCAAACCATTATTCTCATCTCGAGTAATCTCCACAGAACTCAGAAGAAGAGATCCATCTGCACCCCCTGTAGCAGGTGCATAAGCTGGTGTCCTGGAGGAATATGACCCTGCAATTCTGATCAGCAAAAGTCACACAGTTCGTCAGTGTCGCTCATACCAGAATCATGGAAAGCGAAACGAATGGCACCTCGAGCGAGATCGGTACATCCAGAAGCTCCGATGAAAGATTGAGATAGGTCAGATGCGATTGTTGACCAAATGGCAGGGCAGCCACCGGATGTCTCTGCGATGGCCGATAGAGCCAGGAGTGAGAGAGTCTTTCCAATCATGTTGGTCTTGTCTGCTGATTTTGGAGTTGGCCAGAATCGTGTTTCGTGAAGCGAGATTGGAACGTAGATAAGTGCAAGGCTTGCTAAGGATGAAGAGAAGGTGATAGAGTCTGGGTTATCTTTCTACTGTTCGTTTGAAGTGAGGGGCAACTTTGAATCTTATACAGTGCAGTTACCATACAGTACGAACTGCTCGCCCTGAAAAACCTGTCATCCCATATGCATCTACCACGTGTGATGCCGATATAGACCAGTAGGCATACGTATGACTAGACTACTCACGACTATCCATAGACCGCGGGAACGCTACCGAGACTGCAATATACAAGTCAATCAACACAAGCATGGAATTAGAGTCACGATACTGGAGGTGGGTGAGACAGCGCTTCAAGGTCTAAATGGGTGGTCGGGATGAGCCTGGGATGGTCAGGAACAATCCGACCAGAAATGACCGACAGCAGCCAATAACTGGAGGACGGCACACGATATCTGGTATTCGTGTCTCGTGGACTTCTTCACATCCACCACCCGGGTGATTGGAATAGCCGTGAGGTAGTAGTAGTGCTGACATTGTGTGTAGCCCCACGTAGAAGCGGATGAGTGGTATCTTCTTACTCCTGAACATCGATCTTGAACCTGAGCGATACAGCAGAATCAAGTTTTGAGGCTCTAACAGCAGTTCATGTACACTCAATAGTGCTGTGACATGCATTCGCCGCAGCTATCCATAAGCCTTATATCAGCCATCGGAGCATTCTGCTGCACACACCCGCTCGAACCAGTCCGAAATCCAGTAACGAAGGGCGCACAAGCTGCAATGGGTACAATTCCACCTTGAAAGTTGTCCGAGCATGTCGGAGTAGTGAAGAAGAGGCACTCAGCTATCGCCTTACTTGTTGCCGACACTGCGAGACAACGAATGATTTCGAGTCACGAAACGAAAGGAAGCCGCAGTGATTGTGCTTACTGTAGCAGGTGCCGATTAGTCAGAGTTGCAGGTTCGGCCTGCGAAGATATTCACATGGCACATGAATTTAGATCCACCGATTGAGAGAGGTACCCGAGCCACGGAAAACCAAAATCTCTCATGCCAGAGCACTAATCATTTCACTCATTTTTGGCCCAATGAATTAATTTCATGAACATGACTATTCCTGCTGACGATGACGCATAGCCTCATCATATCCTAGCTCTGTACGACCAACAAAAGGAATCTTGCAAACTATAGCTTGATTCATCTCGGCAGAAGCTTAGCAAGCTTATTGTGTTTCTTTGTACTACCAGAGCATTTTTGAGCCGAGACTAGGCTTGAGTGTCGGCAGAAGGACGAGAGTACTCTTGTAACAGTTGGCAGGTTACTGTTGGGTCTGTGTATCCGCGTATGGAGGTGAGAGATTACTTGTAGACAAAGGTTACTGTCACGAGGGGCGGTGAGAGGAAAGGAGAGTATCGTCTGAGCAATAGACTGACTACACATGGACAAGAACGATCGGTATGTTTTTGATAGCCTTCAAAAGCTGATTTCGATTCGCGGAAAGCGATCTTCTTAGGTAAAGACAGAGTGATGTTAGTACACACGATATTCTGGGCGCAGGACGTTATTCTGAGCAAAAAGCTTTGACGCCTAAGGCCTCAACGACTGGTGGTTCCTTCCTCCGCTCGCTCGCTCAGCTGTCTCGATTTCTGGTCCTCGGGGTCCTTTTTCACTAATCCATGTTGATATAGTTCTACCCTATCGACTTTGGTGGGAAAAGGTGGAAGTAAAACCCGGCTTAGGAGTATTGTCCTGGTCTCCGGGGTCAGGGCTGAGGATGGATTGATTGTTCAAGGCGGAGAGCTTGGGCAGGTTGAAGGTTCTCGAGGAGGTAACTTGTGCCTCAGGAAGGACGACATTGTCATCTGCATTGCTGTTAGATTACAGAACCGGGTCAAACAGAGCTCAGAGACGGGACGAATTACCTCTCAACTTGACGACGTACAGATGCATAGTGTACTTGCCGTGGTTCTGGTGATCCACGACGGCAGCCTTCAGCGAACTATCGTTACGAATGACACCCAGCTGGTCAGTGCCTGACAAGATCCAGACGAGAGTGATTCCCGCAGTCTCTATGTTGCAGCGCAACTTGTCATCAACCTCACCACAAAGGCAAGCGTACAAGAGCTGATCGATAGACAGCGAGCCGGAAGGCGTGCGTCCAAGCTCCTTCAGGAGAAATTGGGCTGTCCACTCAGAGTCATCGCTGAACATCTTTTGACGGTTGATCGATACAACCATGTCCCCAAGCAATGGACGTGTAGAAATCATGGCGGGAGTAGGTTTATCAGAAGCCGAGGCCGGAGATGCTGTTGAACCAGAATTGGATTTAGTTGCGTGGGCAGAGTGCATGAGCGAGCTTGTCGAAGATGACGTCTCGGCTCTTGTGCTGTGAGATGGAGCAGAGGAGGTTTGGTATCTATTACTGCCAGAGCCGAAGGGATGATTTACGGGGTTCATTTTGGATGATCTGGTCGAAGAGAAGGATGACAGATTGGCGGCATAGGTGTAGCTTTTGTATCTCGTCTCCAGTGTTTGACTGTAAGTTGACTTCGTCGCTTCAACACTCTGGCACCTTCCTTAAAGATCTTGTGCGCGACGAGCTAGCATGACAATCTGGAAACATCAAAGCTGTTCATGCGTGTACAAACCGACATGCCAACACTCGACAAGTTTTCCCATCGTCCAAGAGTTTGGCGAGTATCTGAACAAACACGCAAAACAGTGAGTAATGATTCAGTGGAGACGGCAAAAAGGGTTCGTCTTTAGTATCATGTTTCTAGCAGCCCAAAGTATGCACAGGGCAATCAATTACGCCATCAGAACCACCCGCCAGTGCTGACATTGCCGTTAGCCCAATTACCGGCCCAGCTCACAGACTGGCCATTAGCAGGATTCACTACTGCTGCATTGTCCTCAAGGCCAAATTGCCTCACAAGTTGGTCCCAGTTCTGCCAGTCAATATCGGCCGCCGGATCGAATGGCGAGAAGCCAGGAGGCGTTGTATTGTTGTTGAAACCAGGAGGCGTCGTATTATTCCCAATCATGTTTAAATCTCCATTGATCATTGGTTGGTTTGTCGCTTGGTAGTTGTTGATTGCTGTCATTTGTGGAGACGGACCTTGGTAGGGTGCACTACTGAACGATCCATATGCTGATTGCGGAGTATTGCCTGTGTTTGTGTCCATAGGCAAGGCAACTTGCTCCATACTACTTCCGATCTCTGGCGCCAAGAGTGAAATGTCCATCGAGTCTTCACTGAGGACTACTGCTTCGAGACTTTTTGGCGAATTCATCAACTCAGTTGAGTCCAAAGGTTGCGTGCCATAAACGGGAGGGCGCATGAAACGGGAAAGTTGCGCTACGCTCAGCGGTGCTCTGACCATGTGAGGCTGTGGAATTGCCGGAGACATGCCTGGAGGTGTTGCTTGCCTGATCGCCTCGTTCTTTCGTATGGCCTGAGATCTTGCCATGCGTGCCTTCGCGAGGAGCTTCATCAGTGGTTTCCATAGACGGCCGCTGCGCGACTCTTCCTTGGTGACTGCCTCTTTCCAACTAGTCTGGACACACTTTTCGATCGAATTCCATGCTCGATCAACTAGAGCACCGCTTGTGCGATGGCAGAGTTCGCCGAGCAGGAACGCCAGCGCGTGCCACTGCATGTATGTTTTGAACAGCCAACTCCACTTTTCTGTACGTGATTCTGTCTCCATGAGAGAAGCATACTCAATATTTTCCAAACTTGTGATGAAAAGCTTGTCTCGGACTTCTTCAGAAAGGCTCTTGCCGCCATCCTTTCTTTGGTAGGGATGATAGCTATGAGTTTATTAGTCCTCGTCAACGGCCAACCTTCCTGAAAAACTCACATCATCAACCACATCTTACTCATCATCAACCGTGCGACTGTGGCAGTGACCCAATACAATGGGACCGATGTATCTACATGCCGAAGGTATCGTTCTTCGAGCCGCTTGTGGCATTCGTTGATCCAACGTTCCTTATCCTCAAGTGTGACTGAAGCGAAAAAATCACCGCATTGTCTAGGCTCACCAGGTGGGATGTAATTGAGACGACGGAAAGTGTTCGCGACCTCAAATCGAATCAGACAAAAGGACATGTCTGTGCATCCTTGTCGCTCTTCCGGTAGCTTCTTCATGGCAGGAAACAGATCTTCGTCATTGACATTGAGTGGCATCTTGGTGTCAAAAACTTGTTCGGCTGGACACTTCAATCAGCTCGGATTGACAGGGAGACATGCAGAGGGAACTACTCACTGATGGTTGGATCGCTACCATGATCCTCAGAAGCGCGCACATCCAGTATACATATCTGCCACCACAGCCGTCTCCGCATCTCGATCTCAAAGGGTGGTAGATTGAAATGCAGGCCGTCGCGATGAGCACCGAGTGTCTGAGCGATGCGGACAACGAGTCCAGTCAGAGTCCAGATGACACGGGCATCATTGTTTCGGCGCAGACATATAAGAAATATCACGATCGCTTGCACCACCATCATCTCTTCTGTCGTGAGAAAACTTGCCCTCGCAAGAGCTTGCTCGACACCAAATCTATAACGCGAAAGAAGCAGACCTTTCTCTTCTCCGAGTTTATTCAGACAGTCGACTTCTGACAGACTGGTAGTGGCACCGTAGTATATGGCAAACAACAAAGCCTCGAAGCTCTTGGAGAGATTGGCGAGGTGTGAAGCGGATGCCAAGACGGTAGGTTCAATGGTGGGTATATGAAGTACTTTGACGAGGGGGTCCACGCGTTCTTTGAAGACGTTCCAATAAGCCTCGATTTGACCAGCAATAGGGTGAAGGGATAAGAGGTCAACATTTTGTGAACTGAAACTGAAGATCCAGCCGTGATGCTGATCAGGCAGGGAGTGAGTGGGCGAGGGGTCGTCGGCCTCATCGTCGGTATCCTGGTTCAGTATACCCTTGAGATCCTCAACTTCATTGCTAAGATTGGCCCAGAAGGAGTTGTTCACATATCGCGAGCGGCCCTCATTAATGACTAGACGTCCAAATCTGGTCTCGAAGTTTGCGCTACGAGATTCGTCTACAAGTCGATTCTTTGCTGCCCATTGTGTATCATCATCATCATCTCCACGCTTGTTGTGTTGCGTTTGGTCGGGTGGATTCGGACATGTGCGAACGGTGGGATGTGATGTGGTAGGCTCGAGGAAGTCGGCTTCTTCGACGTGCGAATCGGGCGCCGCATCAGGGAGTGATTCGGGATTCGAGATGTCTACACCGAGGCCTTTGACAAGGCCCTCGAGACGGCGCAGTCTGTCCAGCAGCTCGGCATCGCGCGGGTCGCTGACCTTGCGAGATTTGCGAGGGGCCCTGCCAGGAGTCGGAAAGATACACTCGATGTGGGCGCGAGAGCAGTTTGAGCACGGGTGTAGTTTGTCGCATTTGACCTTACGCTTACGACATGTTACGCACGATCGAGGATTCAGCAGGCGGCCATGGGCATCCCGTAGCGTTGCGGGTGCCGAAGCCGAAGACGTGGATGACGACAGATGAACCGGAGGCCGCGCAGGTGGTAGCGGCGATGGCTGAGCCAGAGCAGAGGGCAGACGTGATTGTCCTGGCAGCGAGACTTCAGACGACTGCGTTGGAGAGAGGTTCGAGTTTGCAGACATGCTGCACCTGGTGATGGTTAGGATGTCCAGATCAAGCGCCCAAGATCCACCACCAAAGACCGAAGACCGAAGCCCGACGACCCCGACGCCCCGATTGCACCAAGATGCACAACGTCGAGCTTCGACCAGTGCGGGGTGAGGGTAGGATCCGAGCGCCTTCCCTTTTGGTGAGGCTCAGAAAAAGGACTTGAGCTCCGCTCTCCATAGAGATCGATGCACCATCCAAAGGATTAGAGAGTGATGCACCCTTGACCGAAGCATACCGGTAGCTTAGCTGCCAGTCAATTTCCTTGTTTGCTCAGGCATGATAGCAAGGTGAGTAGAAGGTCGTGAATGTTACGCGTGCAGGCTGAAACTGCGCGTGGGTCCCTGTAGATCTAGGCGATGACTCGCGAGGGTTGGGTTTTATGTCATCAGCACTTGAAACTGCCATCCGAAAGTCACTCGTACCGTTCCGCACCTGCCGCCCATTCTTTTTTCCATGACGCTTATGGACAAGTCATGAACTCGTGTCTTTCAGAGCAGCAGCGTGTCCTCGAGCTACCTACCCAAGTATGTAGGAGACATAATCTGGGGATGTTCCAGAGAGATGGAATAAGGTGCATTGCGCTAGATGCCAAAGGCGGTGAGGATTGGCTTCTAGAGCTTCTGATTAGAAAGACGGTGACGAGCTGGCGTTTCGGATGCAGCAAAGCTATCCACGACCGCAGGCCATCTAGTAATAGAAAGGCATCTAAGTCCACAGCGAGACCCCTTTGCGCGTCATAGTGCACAGCTGCCCCCTCGTGCAAGAGTCGCGAAGACGAGACTGTTGGGTGACGGACCAAGTGGCATGCTGAGCAGGTGGTGAGATTCGTTGCAGCCTTCTTGTTTCAACTCTCCAGCCTCAGGTACGGCCGCTGCTTCTCGGACGCGCATTCGCAACAGCAACGGCAATCGCTGCTGTCATCGCCCACACCGCCATCCCCGCCAGTGCCCCGTGCACAGTCGAGCTCTCACTTTCTTCAGCGTGTCATCGTGTACTACCTTGGGCACGCGTGCTCGTCTCCTACTTCCCTTTCCCCTCCCGCCGCGTGTGTGAGTGCCTGACCTGAACAATGCGTCGGCACCAACCTCCGTCCGCTCTGTCCTCCAACGATCCCCTGTCTCTCCTCCGCGCATACGACCACGAATCCAATCCCAGCCGCCCGATACGCTCGTCGCCGCTGACGGCCTCGACCATCCATGGCCTGCCTCTCGAGCTGACAGACCGTCTGCGCTCCTTTCCGCTCTTCGCCTCGGCCCCAGACTCCTTCCTCGCTGCCATCGGAAAGTTCCTACGCCCACAGCTCTTCCAACCGCACGAGTACATCCTCACCGAAGGCGATGACGCCAAAGCCATGTACTGGCTGGTCCGGGGGTCGCTGAGAGTCACGTCAAGAGATGGAGAAAGTACCTATGCCGAGCTCAAACCCGGCGCCTTCTTTGGCGAGATCGGCATCTTGATGGACATTCCGCGCACCGCTACCGTCATTGCTCAGCTACGATCTTTGGTCTTGAAGCTCAACAAGGAGGACCTACAAAAGGTCCTCCCAGCCTTTCCCGCCGTCGAGCGTGCCATACGTGACGAGGCTGCGGAACGATTGGCCATCCTTGAACGCCTGAAAAAGGAACGCGTCGCTCCTGTTGCTTCTTCTGGCTTGCGCAAACGATCGCGTGACTTTGTCGAGCGCGATGTCGATATGCAAGACGTAGGAATCCAGGACGACAGCAACAAGCGTCGCAAATCTCCCAGCCCCAGTCTTGCCGAAGCTGCAGCCAACAGTGTCCTGGGAAACGCAAATTTGACTGTACGCCAGATTCTGCAGGAGTTGCCCTTATTTGCAGGACTCTCCGCCGAGATTCTGCATTTCCTGGGCGTCAACGCTCAACCATGCTCATTTGGCCCATTTACAGATGTGATAACCCAAGGCTCGCAAGGTCGAGATGTCTACTTCCTCGTGCGCGGCGAAGTCGAAGTTGTGACTGAGGCGCCTGGTAACAAAATCAATGGCATGACAGGTATGCTGTCGCCTGTGCAGCGAGTGCGGGCTCGTCTCAAGCCTGGACAGTACTTTGGTGAAGTCACCAGTCTCTCACTTGCCCCCAAGCGGACTGCCACAGTACGATCTATCAACAGTGTTGAATGCCTTCGTATCACAGGGCAGGTGCTTGATGAACTCTGGAGAAACTGGTCCTCGAGTTTGCGCAAGCAGGTTGAGCAGGAAGCTAAGCGGAGACTGAAAGAAGTCGAAGATACAGACATTATTCTGCCAGACGCCCCTTCTGCCGTTGAAGCCCTGTCAGCTCTACCACAGGAGGATCAGTGGAAGAAGAGCGTACCTACCGTCACTTTCAGCAATACAGAGGCGGAAAGTGCAATCATAAGAGACATGTCTCCTGTCATGACTGAGCCAATGGATCCCGATCCGTTTTTCAGCATTGAAATCGATAATGTGCGCGGAAAGTCAAGGAGAAGCTCACTTGCCCCTCCGTCCCCCGAGCCTGTCATGCACGATCCCACACACAGACAACCATCACCGCCGTCTGCAGGCCGCGCGCTGCCTTCATCACCATTGAAACCAAGATCGTCTCTCTCATCTCTCTCTCCTGCATCTGAGACCCGTCGACCTATTAGTAGGCGACCCAGCGTGTTTGGCAGACCATCGAGCCGTTCAGGACGTGGCCCGCTGCCGGATACAGTGCTTAGCAAAGTTTTCCAGTTTCTGGACCTGCCAGATTTGATGCGCCTTAGACTGGTCTCCCCTCACTGGACTCGACTGTTGACCACTAGTCCGGACATTCTACACGATCTTGATCTGTCACGATACAATCGACGCGTCACAGATCATGCCCTAAAGGAAGCAATCTGTCCATTTGTTGGAACCCGCGCATGGCATGTCAACATAAATAACTGCTTTCACGTAACAGATGATGGCTTCGCTGCACTAGTCGAATGCTGTGGTGAAAGTGTACGTAGCTGGAAGATGCGCAGCGTTTGGGATGTGACAGGACAAAGCATACTAGACCTTGTAGGACGCGCCAAACGCCTAGAAGACATTGACTTGAGCAATTGCCGCAAGGTCGGCGACAACCTTTTAGCGCGTATCATAGGCTGGATAGTACCACAACCACCACCTGGACACGCAGCTCCTCTGCCCCAACCCGTAGCAACATCATCTCGTCGTCCGGCACTGAAGCGAGGCACGAGTAGTGCAGTAGTGCCACAAGCAGATCAACCTGCGCCAGGCACTGTGATAGGAGCTGCTGGACTCAAGCGCTTGACACTCAGCTATTGCAAACATGTACAGGATAGAAGTATGGCGCATATAGCTGCACACGCGGCTAATCGGCTCGAAAGCATTGATCTCACACGCTGCACATCAGTCACTGATCAAGGCTTCCAACACTGGGGATTATATAACTTTCCACGATTACGTAAGCTCGTTCTAGCCGACTGCACTTACCTCACCGATCAAGCCATCGTGGGCATCGCGAATGCGGCAAGGGGGCTCAAAGAGCTGGATTTGGTACGTTTGATACTCTCCAATGCTGCTTCACTTTGCTGACCGGCTTCACAGTCTTTTTGTTGCGCGCTCTCGGATACGGCGACTGAGGTCCTGTCATTGGGCCTTACGCACCTGACACACCTCGACCTCGCATTCTGCGGTTCTGCAGTCTCAGACTCTAGTCTCCGCTGCATCGGCCTTCACCTACTAGAGCTTGAATATCTGTCCGTACGCGGCTGTGTACGAGTTACAGGCCAAGGCGTCGAGAGCGTGGTAGACGGATGTCCCCATCTCTCCCTCTTCGACGTCAGTCAATGCAAAAATCTCTTGCCATGGCTACAAAATGGCGGCGTGCAAGCCACCAGAAACAAAGGATGTAAAGCTAGATTTGAAGTCGTGGCTGATGGGTCATGGCGTGGTAGTGGGGAAGCATATAAGGGATTGCATTGCTCGACTTGAGGGAGCATATAGGGCGTCACTCCCATCATAGCATTTGCAAGGTGTTTTATCTATGTGGGGAATTTTTGTGTATGCGATTTAGCGGTCCCCTCGAGGAAACTCACACTCGTTTTCAAAGGTTTACATGTTTGCTGTCTGGTTCATCGACTTGGTACTGAGTGCGGTTCGTGTGCTGGTTGATGTTCAATGCTCTCAGCGTTTCCAGCTAATTGTCAACATAAAGTACATATTGATCCTAAGAAGATGATCCTCCACGTACGGCCATAGTCAGCTGAAAACTGGGCATCCCGTCCGCTCTGCCATATATAAGCAGTTGAACGGCAGATTAGTACTACGGTGGGTGACCACGTGGGAATCCCTGCTGCTGTACGTTTTGCTTCCCTTCTTTTTGCTTCTCACAGACTCCTCACATCTTCCGCTTTCGTGACCAAGCTGCGGTGACAGCTGATCCATACGTTAGTGAAGGCCGGCATACCGAATGAAGGAGGCAGAAGACGTGAGAGCCATGCAGCTCCATCTCTTCTGTTCTTCTCTCATGGTGACTTCCTCACTCCGATAGCAAGAGCGATCGTCTGCGCGAACGAGGTCTTTCTTGTTTCAAATTTGCAATATTGAGTCTGCGCACAATCTCAATCGCTTCATTTTACCCGTCTATTGCCATACCGAAGGAAGTTGACAGGAATCTGGTCACCATGTTGTCTCGTTACTTTCGTCCAAGTCATTCGACCTTGACCAGCGGCATCAGATCTTTCTCCCAGACGATCAAGCTTTCTCGACAATCATATCGCCATCTTCGAGGAGTGCCAGGGTTCTCTGACTTCGTGGAACGTAATCACTTACATGACTGGAGATTTGTCGTCTACCGCTGCACCTATGGCAATGACGCCGCCTGGAGACACTGTACCGACATGCTAGAGCAAGAATTTCGACAAAGTCTGATGCGGGAAAAGCAACTCGAGGAGCAGTACCATATTCCGCACATGATAGTCCACGAAGGAGTCGAGTTGAACGATCCAAGCAAAATCCAGATCTGAAAGAAACTTCGAGAGTGGACTCCTGCGGATGTCAAGTCCAGGGCTCCTCCTAATGTGACTGAGCACGGTATCGAGAGCATACTTGACAGCGTTCCTTCATACAATTACTGTTTTCACATTGACGACGATGCTCTCGAGTCCATCTTGCAGCCAAAGCTGATGAGGACTGGGAGGGGTTGTAAAGATGCGCTCAGCTACGTCAACTTGGTCAGGACAGACGCCCAATGGCTTTGGGATGAATAGGATCCTGCAACTTTCGATCGTGAAGCTCATGGTTGTGAAGTCGACGATGATCCTTTGGATGAGAATGAGGTCGTGTTTGAAGGCAGTAGACTGCATGATATTGGTTGGATGAGGGTGTCTACACCTTCGCTGATGGTGTTGTACCGACAATTTGAAGATGCCAATTGCATGTGGGACAAAAGTTATGTACGTCCTTCAGATGGGGTCTGCGCAGACTGAAAAGCAAGGTAGAGAGGATCAGGGTATGTTGTTGTGTGTGAGAGCACTACGGACCTGACAGGCTTGCTAACATCAGTCTTGAGGCGGCTGGAAGAGTCTATGTCCAGCATGACGAGGTCTGTCGCCTCCATCGACAAGCCATGATTCATTCCATCGAGGGCAGTCACAAGTCCTCCAACGAGCACCGCAGACATAGCAGAATTGAGCTCCACAAACGCACCTACCGAACAGTTAGCTACATCAACGATCCACCAGCATCAACGTTCACTTACGTTATGTGATTGCATCCAGTCGTGAGCGCAACCACACGGTGACACTTTGTGTTGTAGCAGCGCTGCCAACCCTCCGTCTTAGCTAGCGAGAGTAAGCTCTGTGTGTCCTCATCTCTGGGACAGTCGCCTCGATGCGCAGCTGCTTTACAAATCGTGCATGTGCGTTTGCCGCAAGTGGGGCAGGTCGCTACTTCGTTGATGGTATTGGAGGCAGGTACGAATCCTTTACAGGTAGATACACTGCAATAAGTCCTCTTTGTGGCCTCGGTATCGTACTCGACCTGCTTCTTTGCATATCTCGTGATAAGCTTATTGTCGAGTAAAGTCTTCATGCCTTCGAACGGAATCTCCTGACCACAGCATTTGGGTGGGTACAGTGACTCGTCATTGATCGTGTACTCGAAGAAGTTTGCGAGACACTCCATACAGTAGAAGTGGTTGCAAGGAGCTTTGTAGCTTTGATGCCTTGTAAATCTTGACTCACAGCCCGTGCAAGTCAAGAGTGCGGCCTCTGCTTCAAGATGATTTTGAGCTATGCTCACGGCGAGCCTGTACTCTTCCTCATATTGTATCACGGCTCTGATGGCGAAGCTCTCGTCGGCGATTAGAGTCTCGGCGATACTCAATTCTTGGAGTTGCAGGTTGAGAGCATATTCGAGTTCGGGGTTGTCGGCGGCAAGTGCATCTATATCATCCCGCTGTAGACGGAAGACCAGTCTGGCCAGCTCCCAGTTTCTGATCTCAAATAGGAAGGCCATACTGGGGGGATCGCTGAGAAACGATTGTGTGATTGACTCGATGACTTCTTCAGCCAGAGCCGGATTGGCAGCTCTATTAGAGTTGTTGCTGGCCATCGAAAAACTCATATCAAATGATTAGGGTGAATTTCTCTGCATTGTCAGTTGAGACGTTGCTTGACTTAAGTCTCTGCGACGAAGACCACGTCTAGGACAATATCTGGAAACAAGTTCACTTATGATCAGATAATTTCCAAAGACACGGCTTGCCATGACAAGGGGGTATGTTGTGTTCATGTCGAAGCACCAAGGATATCTCAACGAGACTGGTCTGTGGTTCGAGTGAAAATGTCTGACGGCAACCACTAGAACCACTAGAACCACAGCATATCTCGATATCTCCTGCTCCAGAGTGAAACACAGAATGACATTTGTCTTACGTGGGATGGTCTAATCAGCTTCTGATGATTATTCTCAGCATTGCTCAAATCAGATGTTTGAGCCGCAGAAATCGCTATTCCAGTTACCAGTGAGAGGGCACCAGTCAGAAGCCAAAGCTGTACGAGGCAATCGTCAATCAAATTCGTCTGCGATACATACCGTGTCAGAATGGTGTATCGCGAGACCATGGTGGAAAAGTTGAGAGTTCTGTGAACCAAGCGTGTTGAACTGCTAGCTTTCGGGCAAGAGGAACCACCGCTTCTTCTGTTCCAAAGGGCGGGAACCCCCAGCGAGTTTCTATCTAGAACAATGACGAGATTCAACCACCGGTGTGCCACCGCTGGAGTTACTCGCTTCTTGCGCCCTGCGCGCCTTCCAAACTCCAACAGGCCCGATCACGGTATGGGTCGAGGTTTAGCAAAAAGTCGAGTGTTGATCGCAAGACGGTCAAAACTCGAGCTTCTGGGGTGAGAGGGTTCCTTAGCAGAGCTGATGACGCTCCGACCCCGCTGCTTGCTTACTGCTGCCCCGCCAAAAGACCGAGCCTCGGGAGTACGACTATAAAGTGAGAGAGCCTGACCCAAGTTGAGAAAGTTCAAGGATCAAACCGATCAAGGAATTGGTAAAGATGTCGCAAACTATGAAAGCAGTCGTGTTCAAGGGACCTCACAAGGTTGTGATTGAGGATCGTATGTATTGATCGATCAACAAATGTGGTAGATCCAAAAGGCTCACTGCAGGATGTTAGGTCCAATCCCCAAGATCCAGGATGATGGAGATGTCATCGTCAAGGTCGAATACACAGCTCTCTGCGGAAGGTAAGGTACAATTGCAAATGGATCATCTCACATCCATCTGACCAGGTTTCAGTGAATTGCACGTCTTCCGTGGCCACCAGGCTTCAGACACAGACTTCATCATGGGCCACGAATTCACAGGCAAAATCACAGAAGTCGGCAAGAGCGTAAAGACCCTCAAAGTAGGCGATCTCGTCGTCTCTCCCTTCACCACTTCCTGTGGTGAATGTTTTTACTGTAAGCATGGATTCTCATCTCGTTGCGAAAAGTCTCTCCTCTTTGGCTGCCCGAAGCTTGATGGTGGTCAGGCCGAGTACGTCCGTATTCCTACTGCAGAGGGTACTGTCATGAAGGCCCCTGAAGGTCTTGAGAAGGAGGCTTTGGTTCTGATGGCAGACATCTTCCCCACCGGCATGTTCGCGGCAAAGAATGCATTCAAGGAGTTGAGCAAGGAGGAAGCACAGGAAAGCACAGTTGTATTGCTCGGTCTGGGACCCGTCGGTCTGTGTGCACTGGTCAATGCCTTGGACTACAAGCCCAAGAACCTTCTTGCCGTCGACAGTGTGAATAGCAGACTACAGCAAGCCAAGGACCTCGGAGCCGAACCCTGGAACTTCATGACTGACAGGGATGGCTTGGATAAGAGAGTCAAGGAGCTCACCAACGGCAGAGGTGCAGATGTTGTGATCGAGGTCGTAGGTCTGTCGCCTGCCCTCAAGCTCGGCTACGATCTTCTCAGACCTTGGGGTATCATCTCAAGTGTTGGTGTACACAACGCAGAGGTAAGCACTTTCCAGACTCAACAAGTGTGGTGTGTACTAGTGACTAACGAGCATATAGATTCCTTGGACAGGTAACCAGGCTTACAACAAGAACTTGCGCGTTCAGATGGGTCGTTGCCCTGTCCGCTCAATCTTCGCAGAGGCGCTAGAGAAGCTCAAGAATAAGCAACATCTGCTTGGCTTCATGTTCGAGAAGGTCATGCCGCTCTCGGAAGCCCTCGAAGGTTATGACCTTTTTGACAAGATGAAGGTGCAGAAGGTCGTCTTTGAACTTGAACACTGAGCAGTGTGTGTGAATCGCGAGATCCGAGAGAGTCGTTTCATAATTTTGGATCATTGGCAATTGGTAGCCCGTATGTGTACAACAGCTTTTGGTTTATTGGTCGCAGTGAAGATTAAATTGATTGATCACATGTTTCATGCAGCATAGGTTCGAGCCGATAAATAGCAAACACTGACATCACCACTCGCCAGTCGTGTTTCGAGGAGCAAGTGACCCTCTTCGCCCATAACTCCAGACAATAAAATAAACAGGACTTCCGTACCAGCTCCATGCTTTGGTGCCATAACTCCTTGCGTTGTTCTCATAACCATCATCCCAGCAAAACGCCTTGCCGACCATTGTAAAGCAACGAGGTGGCATACTCAGTTGACGTTGCAGAGCAATTCGGCTTCGAGAATGTATTTGCCCTCCTTGTACTTTTCGGCGGGTTCGTAAGCCTTGTCGTACTTCCATCCAACCGTTTCTTTGCACTGCCGGCAGGTAATGTCTCGCACGACATGTCTCCCAGTGGTCATGTTACGCTCGCCAGCCTCGCCAGAAATGACGTTGACGACATTGTTGAAGAGGAAAGCCTTGCCGTGCTGGCCTCTGAAGTTCTGCAAACGTAAGCTTGGAGGAACCCAAAACGTATTGCATTCATGAGGACGTACTCTGCTCACGATGTCATCGTGGTCGGCAAGATGGGTCTTGCAGGTCTTGCAGCCGTAGATACGCTTGCAGTTGAGGTAAACGTTGTATGCCAAGCCCATGTTGCTGTCAGCTGGGCGGCTGCGTGATTTGAACCGTATGTTGGGCGAAGGTCGAGAGGTTCGTTGGGGTGTGTCGTAGTCCTGAGCAGATGGTCTGGGTGGTGACGGGCAAGATGGATGTGGGCAGTGCGAAGACGGCTTCAGAGGCAGGAAAAGCACATGTGCATACGGAGCGAGAGTCTCAGGGCACGCAGACTGTGGCTACTCTGATGTGCTGCAGAGCAAACGGAAGGCTACGATGGGGGCCTGGGCGTTGGATGGGTAGGTCGTGGCCAGACCCTCGGAGGCGGCAGTCGGCAGTAAGCGGTCTTTGCGGGACTTTGAGCAGATGACGAGACAGGCAGGGCTGAGTGGAGTTGCGACGAGGTCGCTGGTGGAGGCCGAAGATTCCCAAGGAGATGCGGTGAAGGAGCGATACGAGATGCAGCTGAGAGGGCTATCGAGACAAGTCGTCGTTGCAAACGCGGGGCAGCAAAGACGAGGCAGGAACGATCAGTCGTGGCTCCACTGCACGTTGCCCAATTTCCCCGTGACCTCGTGACTGGAGTGCTCAAGAAGATGGTACTTGCGCAAATGGACAGTACACTGAAGGTCAAGAGTCAAGACTTGCACGCACTCTGTAAGGACGGCGACAGGAGATCGGTCTGGTTCGGAAGGCCATGTGCCCGGCATGCTTTTACACAGCAAGGTGTGCCCAGAGGCTTATCGATTGCGACGGAGATAGCGGCAGCGCCGGCGGCTTGAGCGGCCCAGCCCTGCGCTGCCGAGAGCACGTCTCCCATCCGACGCTGGTGAGTCGTGACGCTGACGCTTTGCTGCACGTTCAAGACTGCCCCTGCTGTCGCAATACTTGTCTTCAGACATCACAGCAACTTCTCTTGAGACCTGGGGATTATCTGGAATTCTCGTGTCAGGCCACCTTAGCGAGCCGCTCTTGATATCCGTCATCGCCAGCGCGACCAACAAGATATCTTTGCAACATGGCCTCGGAAACCATCAACTTTGGGCAGATATTTGCGGTCGCTGTCGTCGGCTTTCTCTTATATCGCTGGTTCTCTGGGCCCACTCTCCCATCGTCACAATCTTCTGGCCGTAACGGAGGGCGTCAAGTCAACCCTGAGCATGTCGAAGCAGTAGCCCAGATGTATCCTCAACTGGACAGACGAGCAATCATATGGGACTTGCATCGCAACGGAGGCAGCGTTCAAGCGACTGTAGAGAGGTTGCTTGGTGGAAGGACTTTGGAGACGGTACGTGGACGTGGTCTTAAAGGAGGGTAGAGAGTGTAGTGACTGACACCGAACATAGCCCCCACCATCATTCCAACCTCCGATCCCTCGTGCCGCAGCCCCACCTGCTGCCAGCAGACCTGTCGCAGAAGCAAAAGTCAACCCCGATCTGATTACTCGATACAACCTCTCGTCGCGTCTCAGTACCCAAGAAGGCAGTCAAGAGTCTGAAGCAACAGGCACAAAGGGTTGGTCTCAGAACAAGACAGAAAGATCTGAAATTCTGAAGCGAAGAAGAGAGGAGATGGTGCTTGCTGCGAGACGGAAGATGCAGGCAAAGGACCAGACCAAGACTGTCTAATGTGTATGAGCATGCACATTCTGTACATATACCCAATCTTTTCCGATAATCGATTACCATCAAGCAGGACAACACACCAGGTTCGGCCGTCAAGTTCAACGCCTCTTAGTAAGCGACAACCCACGTAGTAGCCTGGCATCTAGTAGGGTTTGGGTAGGGTCGGAAGGCGAGGACCAACACCGTGCCCGACGTCTCGAATATTCATGCTGGTCGCGTGAGAAAGACGACAAGTACTTTAGTATTGAGCACGAGATGATCGACATAGAGAGGGCTCAAAGAAGCTAGCGGCGGGTAGACCCGTAATGCAGCCGAGGCCAGCCTCTGGAGACGAGAGCAAGGCCAACATCATTAGTGATTCCCAGTGAGCTGTCGCAACGTTAGCACGCCAATCATTTGACATCCAGTCGACCCTTGCCTTTACACACTCTCGTGATGAACCGTACAGGTACGTTGAGATGTCTCACACGGTCTGCGCAATTTCGTCACAGTCTTTGAGTCGAGGGCGCATGTCATAAGGCGCACGCAATGTTGTCCGAGTAACACGCGTCTCAAGACATGTATCGCGAGACGATCTCAGCAGCCGAGTAACGATGGAGAGAGAAGCCGGGACTGACATTAGTTTGCAGGAAGCGGACAGCAAACACTTCGCCCAATGGCAGGCAACGCATTCCAGACACAACCAAGCGCAAGTCGCAACACGCCGCTCGCATCTCAAAGAGCAGGACAGAGCAGCAAGCTGAGTGGAGGATCGAGTTGGGCTTTCGGTATGCCCATCGGAGCAGGAGCAGGAGCAGCATCAGGGACAGCGGTGGGAGCAGGAGCGCCTGGGCTCAGCGCGCCGTCACGCACACCACTTGCCGGTTTTGCGCAAGCAATTGGAGGGTCGGCTTCACAAGCTCCTCTAGATCTCTCGTACGTCCAAGACCCTTTCATCCCATTGCAGCACTCTTCATCGCATATTGCACGAACCCATTGTTATTCTGCATCCTTTGATGGCGTCGGGAACTGGCTCTAGCCGAGGAGGCAGTGGAAGAGCAAGACGACGATACCACGCCCTCTTCCACAACGACGCCTCGTTTGCCTCGGCTGTGCTGGGCATCCCGAACGGTCGACGCACTACTTCCGGCCATTGTATCGTTGTTGGGCAGAGCAACTCGGCTGACCAGCAAAGCAGCGATTTCCCCTCGCTCGGTCCGCAACCGCAGCAGGCAAATGTCTCACAGGCCTGGAATGCCACTGCCATGCGTACACCCCAGCAAGCACCCGCACAACGTGCCATCCCTCAGCAGCAGCAGCAGCAGCAGCAGCAGCAGCAGCCGCCCGCTCAGCAACCTCTCTCTCAGCAGCAACAACAGCCCCAGCGTTCCGTGTCTGCCACAACGCACGAGTCACCACAAGCCGACCAGTCCAACCTCGACACTCAATACGACGGACAATCCCCAACCTCTGATCACGCTGACAGTGAGCATGCTCCCGACGACTTCCCGCCCCTGAGCAATGGCCGCGCCAACGGTTACCCTCATGAAGACGCCGCCTTTGGCTCCGAGTCGGCACGTCCCAGACCTGCCAACCCACCCGGCATCGACCACCAGCTCGGTCTGATGCAGCAACAGCTACCCATCGGTCAATCTAGTGCCCAACAACAACCTTCGCAACACTCGTCCAACTTCGCCCCTCAAATGGTCGACGCTCCCATCACCAGCCAAGTCGCGCCACAGCAGTTGAAGCCATACGAAGACATGTCCGAGGCCGAACAATGGGGCCTACCTGGTCTGCTGGCGAAGATCCGCAGTAACGACGCCGCTTCTGCCTTCACCATGGGTGTCGACATCAACTCGCTAGGTCTCGATCTCGACAGCCCGGAACCGCTGTTCACCACCTTCTCCACTCCATTCGCAGACAACCGTTCGCGCCCCGTCATTCCAGAGTTTACGCTGCCGGGTGGCTACACGGTCACCAACGTTCCAGCGCTAGCTTCGCGCATGAGTGCCTTCTCTGACGAGACGCTGTTCTTCATATTCTACCAGAACCCGCGAGATGTCGTGCAAGAAATGTCCGCTGGCGAGCTATACAGCCGCGACTGGCGCTGGCACAAGGAGCTGCAGCAGTGGATGATGAAGGACAGCCAGATGGCTGCTCCTATCCGTGTAAGCGAGCGTAGCGAACGCGGCATGTACATCTTCTTTGATGCCAACAACTGGCGACGCGAGCGCAGAGACTTTGTTCTCAATTATGACCACTTGGATCAGAGACACGGCGCCACCCAGCCTCAGGCTGCACTTTAGGAAAGTGTCCTGGTCGCCGCCTCTACCTCCGGTGCTCGCTCATCTGATCAGACTGCACGCTCCACTCTCACCTCTAGTGCCCTTACGGCGGCACGACTCTCTGCATCAACTCAACCTCGTTCCGCCATGTACCCCATGTCGAGACCCCCTGGTCTGTCGTCACCTCACTCCACCAACTATTACAACCAGTCTACTACTGCCTACAGCCAGTCGAGTCCCTCATCTTTTGGACCGGACCCATATGCTTCTACTTGGTCTACTCCTGCCCGTGCTGCGGCCTCTAATTTGCGCCCCAACTCAAACATGCCTGTGCGCCCACCTGCTTTCAGGCTTCCAGATGCTCCACAGACAGCCCATGTATCTCGTCGCGGCTACCAGCCCTACGTCTTCGGCCACCTCGCTATTCCCTACATGAGAGATGAGATAAGGAGAAAGGATGCGGCCGCTAGAAGCAACACTGACTTCAGTGGGTCCAACTGGTGATGGTGTCAATCCGCCACATCGCATGCCAGCTCGAAAAGTTTCTTTGCTCGATTATTTGGATCAACGTCCTCCATATGCGGTAGCTGATCGTTATAGGAACACCTCGGTATTAAGCTAGAGTATGACACACGTCACACGACGAACGGAACAGAGAGTTGCTCTCAAATAAAATAGGCGAGGAAAGGGAGTCGGACGAGTCAGCAGTTCTAATAGTATGCATTGACCCTACCATCTACCTATCCCACGTAAAGTTCTTCGTCCTTGGTGCTAGTTGTGATATACGGTATCTTACTGGAAGTATACCTTGACCGCCGATAGCGTCGGGGCCCGTGTGACTTGGGCCCAACGATGCGAGAACCTGCCTCCTCAACTCCAGAAGCTGACGACTACTTTTGTCCGTCATCGAAACGTCCAGTCTCAATTTGATGCTTCTACAAAGTGAAAGTACAGTATTTCCTTCCAGGCTTCTCACCATTGGATCATGCTCTGATCCGACACCTCAAGCCTCCCTATCATGATACTCATACTCCTCCTCATGCCTAAAATCCTGACTAACAACAATCCCACACTCTCTAACCAATTCATTGACACTATCACTTGTCTCTGAGCTACTATCATCTGAATCCAAGCCACCATCTACATGCATGATTCAATGCATCGAGGTATACTCGGCTGCAAGAAGAAAAGGATTAGCGGAACAGAAGCAAGTGCTCGTGTCGACCGCTGAGTGTGGATTGGTTTCTTGCTTGTCGAACTTCCACGCGGGCTCTTTACTGATGATAAGTAGTGGCGGTGGGGAAGCATTGCCTGCCAACATGTGGAAAAGATTGAGAATATCCGTCTGATCTCGGTAGTTCGATGGCAAGCATCACATGTATCCTCGGAAGGAGAGATTCAACGACTACCAAGGACTTCCGAATACAGTATCAGACTATTTCCTCTGATCTGTTATTCTGCTCCCCAGAAGTGAAGCAAAGTGTCACGACTCATGAAAGTCCTTGCTGAATCTGGGACGGGATTCAAGTCCGTGTCTTGCGGGTATGTCGAGCCAGAGCCCTAGATACACCTGTACTACTGTGCGGAAAGAAGGACGGGAAGCCCCAGCTTAAAGTGTGCACGCAGAAGATCTGGTAGGGCGTCCGACATTGTCGATCCTGCAGAGTATGCATGCGGGTAGTTCTTGGAGCGGAAGCATGCTATGCGTCGGTGCCCGGAGTGCTAGCGAAATTCATACCGAGAGCGAGATTGAGAGACCACAAGTCTTTTCCCTGAGGTCGCATAAATAAAGTTCATGGTCGAAGCAAATGTCTACGACGACAACTTTGAAGTTGATCCGCCGGAATTGCGGGTCTGCCTTGGGTATAGGTCCCGCATTGATACTGGGTTCGTCTTTCTCGAACCAGTCTCCCGCCACAAAGATACACGATTCATGACTTGAGCGCCATTGACCGCGGTTTGATGTCCACCAACATCCTTGAGCCAGTCCTCGGCGCCGCTCAACATCCAGCTGCCATGCTGCTCAGTATTTCGAGATCTGTGAGATCTGTGAGCGGGATCCATCAACGCGGCTCACTGAACGGTCATCAAACAGATACATCTATGGTCTCGTTGACGGACCGTGAAGTTATTTCGAGAGGTGGCGCAGGGTCATGCTGCCTAATGATGAGGCATAATCTTCCAGGGCTAGATCTTGGATGAGCTCTGACTCTTCAGGAGCCCGCTTTGGTCCAACTACCGTGTGGAGACAAATTAGTCAAGATACACGAAAACATTGTACCTCAGACGGTCTTTGCTTGAGGGTAGTAGCTAGCGAGACCGCAAAGATAAAGGCAGTCGCAGCGATGTAAGCAAAGCCAGGGGTGTCAAGAGTGATGGTAGGAGGACTGTTACCATGTCAAGTATGACACCAACGGATGATGATCTATGATAGTCTGAATTTTGGAGATGTCGATCTAAGTTGTGGTTATCCAGATACCCACCTACCTGCATAGGTGGTAGTGAAGTGCGGCAGTAAATTTACCGCCTTCTCCATCGGGATGGCTATACATGGGGTCACCTCGATTGGAAAACCACGTCTTCAGGACAACTGATGCTTCGTAGGTATGATTATCTCCTTCACATCCTATACTACTCCGACGTAGCCGTTCTTGTTATCAGAAACTAGAACTCCACGTGCCGACCCTGGTTCCGTGTCAATCCACTATTTCTTATAAGCACTCTCCTTCACAAATTTAGTCGCCCAAAGTCTGCAAGCCAGGGTGTTCCTTCTTGAGAGCAGGAATGTCTACACCGTAGCCATCCGTCTCAAACCACCTAAACATGGTGCCCAGCTCCTTGCTCGCCCACAACAATCCAGCGCCCATGAACGAGTATGTGACCGGAGCTCCGTAGCCCATGGTCTCCTGCCATACCTTGCTTGCTTGCGAGAAAGTAAGCTCATCGCCAGCCAGGCTCAGAGCACGATTGTTGAATCGCGCAGGATTACGGAAGGCGTCAGCGGCGAAATGACCAATGTCTCTCACACTGATCAACTGAAGCTTGTGATTTGGCGCAATGGCTGACGTCCACATTGCACCGAACATCTTTCCCATGAAGCCTGGGACCCAATTGTCCATGAACGCAACGGGCCGTAAAATCGTGTATGACATGTTTGATCCTTTGGTACTGTCGACCAGATGGCGCTCGATATTGTGTTTGCTTCGGAAATGTGGAATCTCGGTCGGATTGTCAAGAGATTTGTCGCCGCCACGATCGACAGAGGTGTAGACGAAGTGATTGACGCCGCGTTTCAATGCTTCGTCTATCAAGGCTTTGCCTTGTTTCTCTTCGCTTTCGACGTTTTGGCCTTGTCCGGCAAATGTCTGCACACTGAAGACACTATGGATAGGTTTGTGAATTGCTTCGGCGGCGTTAAAGATTCCTGGGATGTCGTTGAGATCGCCTGTCACTATCTTGATTGCTGAGGACTTCTTCTGCAAAGCAGATGCCGAGGCCGATGTGGGGTTGCGGGTTACTGCTAGAATGGTGAATTCGGAGCTGTGCGATGGAGACTCGATCAGAGCGTCAATGACCGCACCACCCTGCTTGCCGGTGGCACCGGTAATAAGAAGACCTTTAGACATGTTTGATCGATGTGGACTTGGTTGTATTTGATGTATATCAGATATTTTTGAGGTCTCTTATAGAGGCTCACATAGCTGATCAGGATCAACTTCGAAGCTACGCAAGGAGGGTTTGTTCGAGCGACAGGCGTCATGATGCACGATGCTCTTTGCTGGGTGGAATCGGCATGTGAAAGGCACCGACTCGCCCTTGACCGATCCAACGAAGTCCTCCCGGAGTTCAACCGGCCACTTTCAGCCGCCTCTGAAACATTGATGGTTTTATAAGCAATCCGGGTGCACAGGGAACGGGACGTCCTCTAGCCCGAGCTGCGGATGTTTCTGCTCGCTATGTACTGCTGCTAGGAGTATCGTCAAAGGAAAACCGAACCTGGGCTTGCGCAACAAGATTGTGTCCTCTAGGGTTAGAATACTTCTCCGACCCGCTGTCACGATGCACCTAGTACGCTGGAAGGACAGCATTGCTCGCCAAGGACAATGGTTGACGCGATTTCAGTAGATCTGCCTCTCGAAGCAATACGCATCGAGATGCTGTAGTGATGCGTATTGCTTTCTAATTCTCTCTCGGACGTAGGTACAGGCCAACGCTTCCAAGGGGAAGGCGTCTCACATGTTCTCCGCAGACAGCGGACGTGGTGCCTGAGTAGAAAACCACATTCGATTGCATAGCATATGCCGTCTCGTGTCATAGCCGAGAAATGATGGTCATGATGGAGAGCTTTGTAGAGAATAGAGCACATCTCATGGAAAACGACGTGATTAGCTAGGTAGACTGCCGGATCGGCGCTTGCCTCATCGGGGCTCGGTTCGGGTATCTAGACATCGCAACGGTCGCTCTTTCAAGAGGAACCACTAGCTGGGCAACGTCATTTTCTCGTCGCTACACTCCATGACCTAATCTCAATGCTATACGATGGAGATCACGGCACGTCCAAGGACTAAGAAATCTCACTTGAAGAGAAGGACAGGATGCAACGTCTGCAGGGAACGAAGAGTGCGCTGTGATGAGACCCGACCGACATGGTAATTCGTCTTCCACCCTGCTTTGCTGATTTTCCAAATCAATTAACCCCAAACATAGTCAGAACTGTGTTAGACATAGTCGCAAAAAGCACGTGTCTTGCACCTACCATGTCTCCGGAGATCAAGAAGGACTTGCAACCCAAGACCAGCAGATCGCGTTGCTACGCGGTCATTCGCACGCTACGACTATGACACGATCACCGAATACCACACCGCTATTCGATCTTAACCCAAAACAACATTTTCTCATTCACCATACGAATACCATTGCCCTCGAAGCACAAGCTTGCCATTTTGATGACACCAACATAGGATCTAACATATTCATAAAGTAAGTCGAGCTGTTATGGCGCACATAAGTTTCTGACGTGGGAGGACAGGGCAATAGAACGTGCTAATGCGGTCCCATTTCTTCGTCATTGTGTCTGTAACCTTGCAGCCCAACACCTGTACGGACTCACAAGAACGTCCGATCTTCTCTGCGAGCAGTTGTACCATCGCGGCATGGCACTGAGTGGGTTACGAGAACACTTTGATCGTCTCGATGTACTGGACTACGAGAGTATCATAATCGCTTGCCACATGTTGTCGTTAAATGCTGCCAATTCGTGAGTACCACGAATGTGGGCTGATGTCCAGAGCTGACGTCAAAGAAGGGAAGAGTTTTTATGGAACATGCGAGGCATCTCTATGGTAGTACCCAAGTGGATATCTTCTGTCTGGATGAATACTGATATGGCGATAAGATACTAGATCGTACGGACGTACATGCTAGTCGGTCAAGCGTTGTTGAGCTATTTCTACCGATCCCTGGAAAGGACGAGATCGCAAAATGGCGCGCAGATGGATCGGATCTGCTCGAAAGTGCTTTGCGAAGCCTCAATAACCTGGTAAAGCTCGCCAAAGGCAAGCCTGCTTTGTTGGCCGCAGCGAAAGAGCTCAAAAATCATCTCATAAACACGGTTGAAAAGCCAGAGAATGGATTGACGGAGCCTGGACAAGTGAAGGCAGTCTTTCCTGTTCGCTCATGGCTACCGTGGTTTCCTACCATCCGGGACTACATGAGCGATGGGGACCCGCATATCATGTCGTTTCTTGCCAACTTTGAAATGGTCAAAATGGTTCAAGCCCTCGTCATGCCTGAAACGAGATACTACATGGCGCTACGTCGGAGGGCTCAATCGATTAAATGGACATGCACTCAGCTGCAGACTCTGTCACAGACAGTCGATTTGGATCTGTCCGGGGTCATGGAAGGTCCGCTGCGGATCGCGAATTCCTATCTGAATTCGCTTAGTGCATATCGCTCTAATGTCCAAGAGCTTTGATTCACTTGCTTGACACCGACGCTTCGTACTTTGAGTCGTTGTGCTAAAGAGATTGATAGCTTACAACTATCTTGGTTCGCTATTTGCCAGCCTTGAGCTTCAGGATCTCAACAAGGAGTCTATCACGTTCAGCCTCAAGCTTCTGAACGTCCTTGCCCTCGAGCTCTTCGCCAACACTAGCGCTGAGTCCGTCCAGACTCTTCTTGTTAAAGATGAAAGCATGCTCTCGCATATCCGCGAGCCAAGCCTCACTAGCTGGGCCCAAGTGTTCAAGCAAATGTCTGAAGCCATCAGTGCCTCCGCCTCCTCCCATAGCATTTGACATCAGTGGGCCCGTCAACGCCCATCTGGGGCCCAAACTATTGGTCACGCAAAGATCTGTACACTCGTTAGGGAAAAAAAAACAAATCGCGTCGAATGATTCGGCATGACTCACCAAGGTCTTCTGCCGAAATTACACCTCGGCTGACTAGGGAGTATGCTTCACTACACAGCGCTGCTTGGAGGCGATTGGCAGCGAATCCAGGCACCTCTTTGTGAAGAACGACAGGGCTCTTGTTTAACGACTTGTAGAAGGCAATAGCGGTATTGACACTATCCTGGCTGGTTTCAGGGTGTGGAACTACCTCGACGAGGGGCATCAAATGCGGTGGGTTGAATGGATGGCCGATAAGGATTCGTCCGGGATTGGTCGTACACTTCCCGATGAACTTTGAGCTTGGGAGTCCAGAGGATGAAGACGCGATCACCACATCGGGGCGCGTAGCTGCATCGATCTCGGCCAGCAGACTTGTTTTGAGCTCTAGCTTCTCTGGTGCATTCTGTTGTCGTATCAATAGGCTGCTGATACCAAGCTTCTAGACTGTTTACACTCACCTCTTGGATAAAGTCGATCTTCGAGTAATGGTCCTTCAGACTGGTTCCAACGAACTGGTAGTTGTCAAGTGAAGCACCAGGTGCGAGACCGATCTTCTTCAGGTCGGGCCAAATGCTTTGGAGATACTTGTCGAGCTTCTGCTTAGAGCCTGGAGCCGGATCGGAGACAAGAACACGCAGACCATTTGCGAGAAAGAGGCCGGTCCATGATGCTCCAATGACTCCAGTTCCAACAATGCCCACAGTCTTGATTGCAGCCATGACTGGTACCTGTGGTTTGTTGAGATCGATGGCACAGATACCCGGTCAGGCGTCCAATGCTTTATATCTTCCTGTATTCATATGTTCATAAAACATGGCGCGAGTATGCTAGATGCCATGACGCAGGCACGATCATCCGAGGCCCGTTGCGTATTGGGGAAAACTCGGCAGCCGGCGCCGTTGTGTCAAATAGATTTAAGGTTTCTCGCTCTTGCTGTCGGCGACTCGGTGTCACTCTTCCTGCTTGACCTTGGTATCTCATCTCTGCTGGTGACTTTCGCGAAATTTCGGGTCGCAGACCGATCTCAAGCTTGCATGGATGCGCTTTCGGAGTGAGATGCAATCAGCATGGCTTACCGCTTACTACGGCATCCCCATAGTCACCCCACCTTTGGAAGTTAGACTGCTATGCATAACCTTTCTCGTTCTTCTCTCTGTCTCGGTGGTGTCTTCGGACCCATGTTGAATACCGTCAGAGGGTACGCATCGCCATGCCGCGAGCTCAGGAGTCGCCTATATAGAGGGCCTCTGCCATAGCTTCTGGGCACGGATAACCAAGGTTACACTGGATTCCATCGACATAATGGCAGCACACGAAATCAGACCCGATGTCTATGGTCCAGGTACTTTCGCAGACGTCGACTTCACGCCTCTGCCAACCGAAGCTGCTCGTCTGTTACGCCATTTAGCGCAGATTACGCCTGGCTTCACGGCCAGTGCAGCTGCTCTTGAGAACGTTGAATTCAGCGGTAGGGACCTGCCTATCATTCCTGGCCCCCTAAAGTCTCAAGCTTTCGTGAGTAGCTCAGTCGTGATAGTTGTCAGGTGTGGCTAATCGAATGAAAGACTGCCGCCTTGCAGGCTATGATAGGCATCGTTGGCAAAGAGCTCAATGAGCTTAGAGGCATTGCTGTCGGCAAGATCTATATTGACGTAGACAAGTGTGGCTTGTATCCTGCCACGCCGGCACTTGTCAGTATTGGCAAAATGGATATTGCAGAAATACAAAAGACGGGTACCTTGGCCAAGGTCGGAACTGATGTCGACCACGGTGTAGTCAACAAGACACCTTTATACGTCCGCTCGTGGGCGATATACCCGACCAAAGATCCTGTCGTCTGGTATCAGATCATGAGCAGCTTGGACACCCCTGGCTTCCTCGAATCTTACGGTATCGATGCTAGCATGGATGTATCATCCAAGGACGAAGCATACGAGGTTCTCAAAAAGACATTCTCCAAATACTCCGCCGCCGAGCTTGACCTCAAGAACATGGAGGATGGCTTCTGTGGACAGACTTGCTATACTCCTGAGCAATGGAGAAAGACCCTCATGGGTAAGACACTGGCAAGACAGCCCCTCGTGAACATACGTAGAATCAACGACGGCCATGGTCCAGTACCACTCAAAGGCTCCGAGGACAAGAGACCTCTCGCCGGGGTCAAAATTATCGAGCTAGCAAGAGTTATCGCTGCTCCGGCGACATGCGCTGCACTTGCATCTCTGGGTGCGGAAATCATCAAGGTGCAGAGTCCGAACATTCCGGATCTTCAGGTAAGTCCTCGCCGGTCATTCTGCAATGCATGCACTTAGACGCTAACTTGCGACGTCTTAGCCTTTGAGCTTGACACTCACAGCCGGCAAGAAGATCTATGCACTGGACCTCACAAAGCAAGCCGACAAGGATAAGCTGCACAATTTAATTGACGGCGCAGATGTCGTTGTTCAAGCATTCCGTCTTGGCTCCATGAAGCGCAAGGGCTTCGGCCTCGAAGGCATTCTCGACATCATCAAGCAGCGCAACAAGGGAATAGTATATCTCGATCTCAACTGCTACGGTCCAGATGGCTACTACGCCGAAAGACCCGGTTTCCAGCAGATTGCCGATGCAGCCTCTGGATGTTCTTACGTCATGGGAAAAGCATATGGATTCGACGAGGGCGTTGGTGTCTTGCCTCCTCTCCCAATCGCAGACATGCTCTCCGGCGCCCTCGCAGTCATCGATGTGATGCTGGCGCTCCGAGACCGCGCAAAACATGGTGGCTCCTACCACGCCAACGTAGCACTCACAGCCGTCGATGCCATTCAGCTCAGCAAAGTCTTTGGCCTGTACTCTCCCGAGATCGTCCGAAAGATCCAAGACACATACAACTTCGCACCCATGACGCCAGATCTCCATGTTGAAGAGCTTCTGTACGTCTTGGGCGACGCTTGGAGTAAACACGGTATCCTGAAGCCCGAATACATGGCCAGTTTCACCACTCAGTGGGGTGAGAATCATGCGATTCTCTCGCCAATCGTCAAGTATGACGACAGTGCCGCTGAGCCAAAATGGAGTCACGGTCCTGTACCTTACTGCAGTAGTGGCACCGAGCCAGCTTGGTCATCTTGAAAAAGTCATCGTTGACAATGGGGTCGGTATCCTGTCTGCTACTACTCGATCATCAAGCTGGTACGCATTCAATTGAGAGCCTGCGCGATTGTTGTAGAGAAAACTTGTGGCTTGCAAGATGGTTGCCGAAAAAGACGGAACTTTAGTAAAGCTGGCGCCTAGAGCCAGTCGGGATGCCCTGTTAAACATCATCGTCACAGTAATGTGAATCTTGGTTCTAAACACCTTGAGCGGTCTTGTCTTTCCCGGCGTGATTTGTCTCGAAGCAAAGTCCAGGAGTCAGGCCCTCTAATGGAGTTGAAAGCGGAGTAACGGCAAGCAGGACGAACCCTAATGAGAAGTTCTTAAGAAGGTTAAGATCAACACAGTTTAGATAAGAAAAAGATTGATTGAAATTGATGGTTGCAACAGCTGCAATCTCTACGAGGGTTGTTCCAAAACAAAATGAGAAGAACAGCAGTCCAACCGATGCAAGTCTGACGAGAAGAGACAATTGGGTAATACGCTTCGAGAAGAACCAAAAGGGGTATTTATACATTAACTGGAGAAGAAAAAGGCCAGTTTGTCGTGACTTTTGAGGTGGAGAGAAAGCTTGGGGTAGGGCATTGCTCGAAGGAAGCCTATCTCCTGAGCTGCTCGCCAAGGTACTCGAGGACCTTTGAGTTGATGACACCTTGGTTGACAAGATGCTTGCTCAATCCCTTGACAACTTCCATCTGTTGTTCAGGAGTGAGTCCAGTGATAGCAGTCTCAATTACACTACCGACAGAGGCCTTGTAGACGGCGATGAAACTAGAAAACAGTCAGCTTTGAGCACAGGCTATTGACAAGATGGAGCGGTAAACATACCTTTGGTAGTACATGTAAGCAAAGAAGCCCATGATGAACTGACAATCCATGCGATCAGTCATGCCACCGTGGCCAGGGATGGAATCGCCAAAGTCCTTGATGTTGAAGGTACGCTTGAGACCGGACGCGAAGAAGCCACCAAAGGGAGCAATCAGAGAAGCGAAGGTAGCGAAGATCATGATGTGGAATTGAACAGGAGCCACAGTGATGGTGGTAGGCAAATGGGACCAGTTGGGAGGAATGAAGGGGAGCTGGTAAGTGTGGGACAAGAAGACGGGATTGACGTCGCATTTGAGACCGGTCCAGACGTTTGCGCCGAGGTCGTTGACGGGGCAGATGAAGTAATCATAACGCATCAGGATGTTGGACAGACCAAAGGCGAAGATGATGGTGAAGATCCAAGCACCAAGGAAGCCCTCGACGGTCTTTTTGGGGCTAATCTTGATGAGCTGAGTGCGACCAAAGGTAATGCCGCAGATGTAGGCAAAGATGTCGTTGGTGATGACCAGAGCGGCGGGGAGGAAGAACCAGATCATGCCCTCGAAGATGTTGTTCATGATGAAGTGAGCCTGGACGACAATCAAGTAGAGGGCCATGTGGGTCCAAGCGAATTGCTGGAACTGGAACTTGTAGTGGCCCTTCTCCAGAGAGACGACGAAAAAGACAAAGCCCATGACATAGAGCATGAAGCTGATGAAACGGTGGTGGGTAGCAAAGGGCAGCAGGACCTTGTCGACCAGGATGATGTGCTTGAAGTAGTAGATGACACTCTCCCCGTAGAGGAAGTACATGGTTGTTCCAAGGAAGTACCAGTTGAGCGTCTTTGTGAAGCGTAGCTGGCGCGCTCTGCTGGGCACGTTTGAGATGGCGATGACCTCCTTGAAGGAGATGATCTGGATAGCGGTGACGATGATGATGATGTAGATGTGGCCAGAGAACATTGCGACGAAGAAGAAGATGATCATGACGAGGGTCCAGATGGTCCTGGTGATAAATGTCTGCTTCTTCTTCTCATATTCGCTTTGGGGGACGGGCGCTTGGGGCTGTGAGCACGTTAGCATGGGAAGAGTGGTGCGTTTGGACGGCGGTCGCTCGCCTTGTCGTCGTCGGTCCAGGCACCGTCGTATGACATGTTACGGCTTACTTCAGGCTTGGTGAGGTGGGTGCTCCTTGTGGGGCTCGCCTTGTCGAGAGCATCTTGGCTGTCGTTGGAGGATCTGCTAGGTCTTCTTCCCTCCTTGTGTTGGAACTTTACATCCTTCTTCGGCTTCGTCATGGTGAAGGAGCGGTCGCGGTAGAGATTGTGACGGAAGTTGAACGGAAGCTTGCGGCAGTGATAACGAGACTTTTAGGGAGGCTGTCGAAGGTGTGATGTCGTGATGGACGAGAGATTGAGTCGCGTCACTACGAGTCTGCGACGACGGGGATAAGAGTGAAAGAGAAAGCTAAACAAGCACAAATGGCTGTGAAATGTCGACGGCTCTTGGGTTGGCAGGGCCGGGCAGGGAAGCGGCAGGCACGAGGCACGAAGATCAAGATGTCGCGAAGCAAATGCGTCAGCATGCAGCCACGTCTTGGCGGCATGTGAAGAGCCCAAACTGCCCTGCCAAAGCTTCTACAGCCTCGCGCCCATGCCTCAAACACATTGACCGCAACACAATGGCCATCTCCCACAATCGCGCTCATGGCTGCTTCGGACGACGACCGTGACTTTGACGAGAGCGCTCTTGATCAATTGCCGCAATCCACCCTGCAGGATCTGGAGTTCGGTGCCCTCTCGTCCACCCAGCGTGATGTCGCCGCTCGCAGGCAAAGGCAATACCAACAGGCCACTAGGCCTCTCAAGTTGACTCGTCCAAGTCTCCCGCCTGCCACTGACCCGCCGCCTATCAATGCTCCAGCCTCTCCAGAGTCCGACTATGGCTTGGACGACGACGAAGAGGTTCTTGACCTGAACGATGACTCCATCCACTTTCAACCTCAATTACAACAGTCCTATGTGCAATCTGCAAACTTGAACCTCTCCTATCATGACTCAGAGCCTATAGTAATCGATGATGCTCCTCCAAACTACGAACAACTCAACTACCATAATCCGCAACTCCCGCACAACGACTCCACAGCCATCGACTCGCACATTCAAAAGGTATGCAGTCAAACCGTCCAGCTATCCACTCTTGCTGACTCTTCTCGCGCAGCTCGAAGCTGAACTGAATGCCGTCAGATTGTCCTTACAATCAGCCAAAGCGGAGAATCAAAAGCAGGCTGGAGAACTGTCTATCATTCGCGCAAGGCGTGAGAAAGACGCCAAAGAGCACGAACAACAGCTACAAGCCTTGAACAAGTCTCGCGCAGATGAGGCTGCAAAACAAAAGGCTGATTTGGATGCAAAGAGGAAGGAGATTGAAGCCTTTGAAACGAGCAATCGTTTCCTGGAGCATGATCTCGCTCAAGCACGAGACGAGAGGTCGAAGAGGCTCAAGGCTACCAGATCAAACACTGGTAGGCTCACTCGACAACCCTCTCAATCTCTGCCTTATCGTGATGGCTTTGATGACAACGAGATTGTAATGCTGTCACCGTCCAAGCCAAAGGATACGTCTAAATCTTCTACCCCAAAGGTAGGTGAAAAGCGTAAGAGGAATGCTGCCGTCAGTCCTGCTCCTCAGCTACAGCTTAATCCGCACACCTCCGTGTCCTCTTCACCTGCTCCAGTCGCTGCTGAATCCACGCCTGTAATTGAAGACTTGATTCGACCTCAAGACGACTCGCAATTCCAGGTAGGTCTTGTCCTAAATAGCAGCTTCAGCTCCCGAAGCTGACTGTGCTTAGTTGATTCGACATCTCATGAACCACCGGCTCTCCAACTCTCAGGAAAGAGTGTTGGAGACGTTAAGCCGACTCGCTTTTCCATCATTACCTGGGCAATCCATATCTGGCCTTATAACCCAGGGCTTGTCCCAATACATTGGAGTAGACGAAAATGATGACTTCTCTTCGTTTGCGTGCAACCTTTTCTCAGATCTGTGGGAAAGATGTTTGCATGACAAGATGCACTTGCCGATATATTTAATCCTGGACTTGTACGAATTCGTATTGGCCATGTCTCCCGACGCTCCCAAACTATCGCTCATTGAGCGCTTCCTTCCACTTGCCACAAAGACTATCGATTTGGTTGCGCTACCACGTGTGCGCCAACCTTTGGGCTCACAGGTGGACTCGCAGCTCCTCAAATCTATCAATGTCGACCAAATCTTGACTCTGATGCACGGCATGGCGTTTGATGCCAGTCTCAATTCCGACTCCTGCCAAGTGTTCTGGAGAAGAATGGAGTTTGACTTTACTTTGATGATGCTAAACAAAGGTCAACCGCTTCCACAGATCATGCTCGTCCTTCAAATGCTTGGCAGCTCTGCCATGCCAGAGTCATTCAGTATTATAGTGGACGATCCAGAGAAGCAATCTGCTCTGGAAGGTCACACAATCGATCGTCTGACCACTCTTCTTTTCGAGAGGCCAGAGGCGCCAGCTGGGGAGTCACCTTACGAAGACAGCGAGGTCACTGTTTTGCAAATCGAGACGATTCGAGTCTTGAATTCGCTAGCAGTCACTAAGCACGGAAGTGAAGTCCTCGCTCAACATCGAACAGCTATCGGTCGCCTTGTTCGGTTGTTGCACGTGTCGGTTACCAAGCTGTACGATCTTCCTCCGACAAATCACGACATTATGAGTGTGGCAAGCGACTCGCCCGACTTCAGTACGGTTCATGAACTCACCACGAGTCTGATCAATTTAACGGTTCGTCTGCTATACCACTTGCTTATGAATTACGGCGATGTGATCAATCTGCGCGAGAAGCTCATGGTGATCCCCGGCGGACATCATAAGTTTTTGGTCTCTTTGACTAGACTTGCGTTTTCAGAGCAGCTGGTATACGAGGCCGGGTTGGACAATGAAGCTCTCGATGCCGCGCATGAGATACTGGATGGTATATTGAGCCCGGAGGAAGGCGAAGCAGTCGTACAAGCCATCGAGACGCCTAGGGGGCCGAGCGGTACAAGGACGTCGACTCATGGTTGAACGATTGTGAACGAACTCGTTCAGGAAACATGGTGGGATATGCAGATGCACAGATTTGCAGTTGGACAAAAAATAGAGATGGGTATGACAGGTGCCTTGGACATAAAGAGGGCACGTTGGGAAGCAAACGGTGCCGAGTTGCGATGTATCTAGGTCACAGCAGTATGAATTAGCATAGACGACAAGCAGCAATGTTTTTATGTTGTTCTGCGTTTATTGTTGGCGGGGATGGGACGAAAAAGAGCGCCAAGGCCCATGGCGGCGGACTGGTGATTGCGGGAGTCTAGAAATTCGCGGGTCTGACGACGTGTGAATCATTTGTCGCCGCAGCCAGTCTCTACTCACAGCAAACACCAGCGCATATTTACCCCATACAACAGCAGACTGGAAACACAATCATCATGTCGCTCACAAATTGCCGCTTCTACGAGGAGAAATACCCCGATGTCGACTCCCTCGTCATGGTCAACGTCAGACAGGTCGCCGAGATGGGCGCATAGTGAGTTGGACCTGCTAGCTAGTCTATGCCGAAGCAAACGACTGACGCGGAGATTCTCAGTGTCAAGCTGCTCGAATACGACAACATTGACGGCATGATCTTGCTCAGCGAGTTGTCCAGAAGACGTATCCGATCCATCCAAAAACTCATCCGCGTTGGTAGAAACGAGGTCGTCGTTGTGCTCAGAGTCGACAAGGAGAAGGGTTACATTGATTTGTCCAAGCGCAGAGTGTCGCCCGAGGATGTGCTCAAGTGCGAGGACCGCTACAACAAGGCCAAGATGGTCCACTCCATCATGCGTCACGTCGCCGAGAAGACTTCAACCCCCATGGAGGACCTGTACAAGAACATTGGCTGGCCGTTGGACAAGAAGTACGGCTCGAGTCTCGACGCCTTCAGAATCTCCATTTCAAAGTACGCAACCCCCACCACATTTCTTCGCGCGTGAACACACCACTCACACAGCACAGCAAGCAAGTTTGGGACGAGGTCGAGTTCGCCAACAACGTCATCAAGGAGGAGCTCATTTCATACATTGGCAAGCGCTTGACACCTCAGCCCACAAAGGTCCGCGCCGATATCGAGGTCACTTGCTTCGGCTACGAAGGAATCGATGCCGTCAAGAACGCCCTGCGCCAGGCTGAGGCCCGCAACACCGAGGACACCCAAGTCAAGGTCAAGCTCGTTTCCCCTCCTCTCTACGTCCTTACTTCGCAGACCCTCGACAAGACCATCGGTATCACCGTTCTCGAGGAAGCCATCCAGGAGGTCGCCAAGGCCATCACCGCAGCCGGCGGCACCTGCTCCATCAAGATGGCGCCCAAGGCCGTCACCGAGAACGATGAAGCCGAACTCCAGGCCCTCATGGACAAGCGCGAGCGCGAGAACCAGGAAGTCAGCGGCGACGAGGACGAGAGCGAGGAGGATGGCATCGTTGCTGTCGATGAGTAAGCACTTCGACCGACCACGTTTTGATTCCTTTTTCGGCACGGGACGCAGCCATCATCCCTTTGCTTCCGGCGTCTGGTGTTTCGATCGTCACGCGAAAAAGAAGGAGCACAGCGCTGCATGCATATCGAGGCTATGGGTTTGGGTTAGACATGGCGCTAGAGATTGGACGCGTCGCGGTGGAACGAGAAGAGAGAGAGAAAGACACAGAGGCGGAAGGAGGCATCTTTGCTGAACGCCCAGATCTACACAATGATGAAGGGACTGTCCATGAAGACTCGTTGCAATATTAGCGTACGACCCCCAAAAGAATGAAATTTTTCTTGCAACTTGTGTCCAAGCGGCGGAAGGAGTTAGCACGAGTTCACCGCGCCTGCCTCGGTCAAACAAATCTGCTGCTAACAAAATCACCTAAGCCACCTATATCGACAACCGAAACCTGACTCCAATCGTGGAGGAAACAGCCATACCCCTGCAGCTCAAGACCTGTCTCGAAAAGTCTGTCAATCATTTCCGAGCTATCAGCCACGAAACACGCCCACGCATCATCTAAAACCTCAGCTCTAAGCACGGCAGAATCCGACCGTGCTTCCAGGCTCACAGGCGTACCTTCCTTCCGGTAGGTCTTGCTCTTACCTGATTTTTCCAAAGTAAGTTAGGACTTTCTCGATCTTTTGGTCCATGTCTCTTCGTGACTGATGTTGCAGTCCTTCAGGTCTTTCGTTAGAGATAAATCGTCTTTGATGTTGAGAATGTCTTCAGGTCCTCAAATCGTTCTTCCTTACTCTAGAGCGTGATACTTAAGTACGATGCTTCCTAATCGATTCAGTATCCTCCTGCACCAGCAAGAACTCCATTCACTTGACAAATTCTCTCCCCTCTACTTACGATCGATTTTCATATATATATCCTTCTCACCTCGCGCCTCGAGACTTGAACATGCCCAAAGTTCATCACTGTCCTCGGAGACATTCGAGAGGTCCTTTGTGCAGATGGATCACACAAGATGGTAGACATTTCTATGGAACTCATCAGTCTGTCTGACCAAGCATCCTGGAGCCACGATTTTCATGAAGAGCACTCAAGGATGTTTTGTCTGTCGTGGTAAGTACCCGTCTGCGGAAAACGCGGTACCAATCATGAGTCGCTGAGTCCAGTCTAGTGACGGAGAGAGCCCAAAGCCAGCCAACTTCGAAACAGCGCGACCAAAGGATAGGCAGCAAAGGCAAGGCTAAGGCTCAGAACAATTCGAACCAGAACGAGCCAGCTTCACAGGGTGCTTCTCGGTCACAGTCTTGAACACATCTTACTCGAACCCGCGACCTTCGCATAGAGACGCCATTTCCATTCCCACACATCAGACTCGTTGCTTCTGTTGACCAGATCAATACACTCAGACGTCTAGACTTCTTCTGAGGCTCGCCTATTGCTTGGAAGATTAGTTGTTTGAGCTCCCCGGTTCGTATCTGCGTATTACTCTTTTCGCATCTCATTTGTCATCCACTCTGCTCCTGCAATTCCTTGACTCGTCGTTGTTACATCTATTCATACATGAACCACTAACTTACGTTTCCGAGCGCATCCTCCATTGCCGTCGTCGAAGTTCATGTATGTTGTTTCTGCTTCCTCTTGAAAGCTTCGTGCGAGTTCTGCCGTTTGATTTGCCTCATATACAACTCCCACCTCTACCAGCTGACGGGCTCTGACTGCTTAGAATTCTCAACCGGATCGGTCTTCCTCGCCACGTAGCCGTCGATGTCTTAATTTTACGACCTCGAGTATCTGCTGACATACAAAATGAGACAAATCTAACTTCTGCGCTCCACTGCATCTATCTTCAAGTATAGATCTTCAACACGAGCCTCCCCCCATTTCCGGTTGCCCCCGTGAGACTATCCTCGGGGGTGGGTCACCGGGAGTCCGATGCTTATACTCACGTCTATGGCTGCCCAACACCTTGTCAAGAACACCCTCTTTCATCCAAGTTCCTGTTACATTGGGTACAACCCCAATTCTTTCTTCTGCTCAGAGGGAGTTGGTTAGCTGCTCCCTTGCCTTTGACATCTGCCTGGTTTTCTTTGTGATATTGTCCATCTTTTCAGAAAGCTATGGCGATTCTGCCGTCGGAGCTTTTGGTACTTAGAACAAGTACAATCCATCTCAAACAAACCGCTAGATCACTCCCTCCTTGAGTTCTACACTCTCTCTCTCTCTCTCTCTCTCTCTCTCTCTCTCTCTCTCTCTCTCTCTCTCTCTCTCTCTCTCCCTCTTTTTTGCACATAGACCTCGACGACCCCATCCACATCAACACGCCGAAGCTTCACCATTGTCCTGAGCGTTATCGTGGAAACTGCAGACTGGTCCACGATGGCGATAGGCATTATTGTGGGGCTCATCAGGCTGTATGCTTCTAGCACCTCACGGCCAATTCATACTGGAAGAAGAAGCAGAGTTGTCTCTCTTGCAATCCCAAAATGCCTACGAAGGCTACTCAGACTTCTGGGCCCAGTAAGGCCCAAAAAGGTCAAGGTCAAAATGATAAGACTGAGACGCCGAACCAGAAGAAGGACAGGAAGAACAAGAAGGGTAGAGGCGATTAGGATGGATCTCCTTGGTCTTGTTCAAGCTTCTTGCCTTCCTGTTCTGCCTGCCTCTGAATTCCGTTCCGCTCGACAATACTCAGGCTAGGTCGCCTATACACAAAGGACTTTCCGAATACCCTCTACAGTGCCCTCGACAACTCAATCATCGCAGGCGATGATTAGGCGACTCTCTCCCTCATCATACTCCTCATCTACCTCTTCTCGGTCTGACCGACAAAATTTCCAGGTAGAATGCTCTCGGACTGGGTGACCTCGATATCGAAGTCTGGATGCTTGGAGTCTCTCATGACTCGTTGAGCTCCTGGTGAGTCGATCTTGTAGGTTATCTCGTTGTGATTTTATGCAATCTCCTTGATTCCATGTTTTCCTTGGTTCTATCCTTTGCTTGATTCCAGTTCTGTTGAGTCCGTCTGTCTCGAGTCTGTTTTCATCTTCTCTTTCTTTTGTCATTTAGCACTTCTTCAAGGAAGCATTGGGATTGCCATGTTCTAGAATTTCATGGGTATGTGTCAGGATTCCTATCTACGTATCGATTTATGAGACTTAGCAATGCATCTTTTTGAGAGCTACACACGTCGCGAGACGATATGACTAGTGCTGATTGTCATCTTCTACGGCATCAAGCATGTGAGTACGAGAGCATGGATTCGAGATGTGATTATCTTCGTCTAATGTCATCTCATCAAGTACAATTTGCTCTTTCCCAATTTGAGCTTCTTTCTTTTGGAGTCACTTTTGCATTGCTGTTTTCATAAAGTCTTGTAATTGCGATTGTGGTTGTGACTTTTAGGAGACGATGATTCACTTGTGCTCTTTCTTCGTATGGCTGGTCATCTACTAACAATTACCTCGTTGCTCTTTCTGCGAGTTGTGTGCCAATCCTGCTTGTTCTGTGAGACGGGAGGCTCGCTACTTTCGTCCGATCCTGCCATCTCGTTGCTGCTTCCTTCGTCCCTGCTGCTTCCTTCGTAGCTCTTGATTCGTAGCTCTTACTGCGTTTACCCCTGCTATTCCCACCAATACGTTTGGCCCTCCAAAATCTAGAGTCCACTTGTGAGATGACTTCCCATTCACATACTCCATCTCTCAACCAGCTTGTCAATGATTCAACGTCGACTCGAGACACATCTCACCAAATGTCTTGAAGCTTGAGAAAATGTCTCATCTCCTTCCCCCTCGGTTCGGTATTCGCAACATCGGGATCTCGAATAAGCTATACATAGTACGACCAAGTCTAGATGGACTCGAACCTCCAGCAGACGCTTCCTTCTGGTTCCGACAGCCTCGATGAGACTTTTTCTTTCCGACCATCCGTTCCAACACATCTCTCTCCTTGGCTCTCACAAATTCCATGGTCAAGTTCAATGGATGCTTCACTCTGAAATCGTGCTCTTTGACAGTTAGGAGCGCAAGCATCGAGTACGGACCCCGAGTCTTTCAGTTGACAATTGGTTTCTTGTTTCTTCGCTCCCAAATCCTTGTCGGGGAGCGTTCTCTAGAAGAACGTGCTTACAATGCCATTGTTTTATCGTGTTGGTGATCATGTTGGCTTTCATGATTTACTTTCTCTACAAAAGCCTCTCGAAGTCCACCCTCTAGACGATCCAGCAAACAGGCAACTCAATCACTCTATCCCAACGACTGCGCGTCCCATACCTTCACGTACTACCCCCAACATCCATTCTCTTTGACTACAACAGCAACATGTCCAAGTTCCATCACTGCCCAGGTGTATGGGGTGGTAAGCCTGGCAACTGTCGTAGACTCATCAAGAAGTTTGGTGTCTCACACTGTCCTGTTCACCAGACTGTCTGCTCTACGCACAAGCGCAAGCATCTAACTGATGAGACGTGCCGCAAGTGTTATCGTACCGCTACTCAAACTTCTGGCCCCGGTAAAAAGTCCAATCGATAGAGCTGGCCTTCACCAAAACTCGTCTGCTGAGCTGGACCACGACGGCTCCACTGAGCCTCAACTTTCTGGCACTGTCAGGGAGCCTCAATCCGTGGAGTTGGCGGCAAGCGTTCCCAAGCTTTACTCCCTGAAATGCGATCCCTCGGTAAAGTTCTCGACAGGCAGGTCCTTCGCTAACGGAAACACGAAAGCCTCGGGCAACGGCAGTCCTTATTCCATGGTCTCTGATATCGCTCTCCTAACGTTTCCGGTCTTCCTCGTATCGCGGGTGTATGTTCCGTTTTACCCTTGCGCTACCTCATTTCGACATTCTGATATCGAAGTTGCTGTTTTCTTTCGGGCATCTCAGCCTTCAATTCGGCGTTAGGAGTTATGGTTGTAATCATCTGGCTCTTCCATGTAAAGGGCCGTTTTCATAGGTGGACTGTTGGTTGTCATGTCGTGTGTTCAAAATCGGGTTCTAGAGCAGGAGCAATGTTGAAGTTGACGAATTAAAACTCTTTCCAAAAATCGCTCGTGTGTGGTTCGTTCTTTCTTTGAGGTGCAGTTGCTCGTCATCTTCTCGAGCTTTTTGTCGTAGTTCGTTCCTCCTGTTTTAGGATCTCGTCTGAGCAGATTCGTTACAACCAGATGTTACGAGTGAAGTCTCCACTCCCAAACTACCAGGCTCATCTCGGCTGTTCAAAAAGAAAAAGAAAAAGAAAAACAAAGTCCAGATACATTTGTATCCTGAACTCGGTGTTTCCCTTTGGCGGCATCAAGCTTCTGCAATCTCCTCATCCAACTCTGCAATTTCAAGTGATTGTCTCCTTGCTACATCGTCAATGTCTTTCCTTTCTTCATCACGATTGCCATAGATCGCTGTCATCTTCCTCACATATCTCGTCATACTCTCGCATAATCTATCCAGCACGAAAGCTGCTTCGCTCTGTTGAGCCATAAGTGGACTGTGCTCGCCAATCCAGTCCCACTCTATAAGACCATCCTGATCAGCTTCATATCTATTGCCACCTTCTTCTCTCTCGTCTGTAGCTGTGAAGCGAATCAATTGTGTAAATTGCACCCATTCTTCATAGGTATAAGACCGAGCTGGAGATTCCTTGAGGTCCTTGGCTGTTCTCTGAATAGCGTGGGCAAGTCTTCTGGCTAGTTCGCCGTTACTAGGTGCCTTTTTGCCGTCTTCTTTGGCTAGTTTATCGATGGTGGGTTCTTCTTCTGTGACGCCAGTTTCGAAGCCTCGTTGCAGACGACGTTGAGCGGCTTTGCGTTCTCTTTGATCTTGGAGCCATGGCGCTAGCTGCGGGATGAGTGTGCGCCATATGCCAGCCTTGGGCAGGATGGTGAAGTCAGCCAAGCGAAATGTGCCCTGGTTGAAACTATTGACGATAGTGGTCGACATGTCGGACACAAGCAGCGTCATTGTGGGCACGGCGATCAGAGACCAAACCACGAAGAATGGACGCCCGGCATTGGACTTTGGAGCAAGATCACCATAACCGACTGTGAGAAGTGACACCCAACAAAGATATAATGACTGAAAGTAAGTGATACCCTGAACACGACGCTCGGCGATCCAGAAGATGAGAGCTCCGATGCACCAGAGTATTGCGAACGCCGCGACTGAGACACCCAGTCCAGACCATTTCTTCCATTTCTGAGTCTTTTGTTGGATGCGCCGCATCGCCGCAAAGCGATCTTTTTCTTCGCGCAAGAGTAACAGGCGAGGCTTACGATTTGGTCGGAATGCGGTCAGTGGTATAGACGCTGTACGTCTCAGGGTACTGAAGGGTCCTTGGCTCGGATCGTCGTCTTTTGATCGAGTAGCATTGTCGGCAAATGCAATGCTGCGATTGACCGGGTCGAAGGGTCTCGAGATCGTAGGCCTAAGACCCAACGCTAGCTCTTCACGGTCTCTGAGCTCGATCGAGCTCGTGAATGATCGCCCTATCGTTCGTGTACGACTCCTCTCAATATGCTTCTGTACGATGTTATCTTCTCCAAGCTCAGCGGCGAAGCTGGTCAGACTAGTGACAATCAGACCGAGCATGATAATACCGCCCACTGCATAAGGCATCACTAGACCACGGCCGATATTGCTAGACGCATACAAGTCGCCAAATCCAATGGTCAGTACCGTCACTTGGCAGAAATACAGTGCGTTGACATAGGACCAGTTGAATAGGTCCTGTCCGTATTTCGTCTCGACCAGCGAGAAAACACCAGCACCTCCGGCAAGCCACACGAAAAATAGCATGGTCTGCAAGATGAGCGTCCGCTGGGAATCGGTGAGATTAAATCGTTCCGGATAGTGTCCAAGAAAGTATCCGAGCATGTTGACCATAAGCAGCATTGAGCATATCAAGTAGAAGACCGCGGCAATCACGGCATACCAGAATCCTTGCGTATAGCTCTGCTGTGGGTGGTGAGGCGGTACGTACTGATTCATTGAAACCTCGATGCCGATCAACTACAAATGTCAGAGCGAACTTCAGGTTGTAGGGTACCTGTCAGGCAAGACTTACAATTCCAGTAGCTGCGTACCACAAAACGATAGTAAGTGGAAGTGCAACAATGTAACGAATACGATTCGTGAAGTTGAACAGTAAAAAGACGTTGCCGGTGAATCCCAGCGCGAGCGAGAAGATGTTGAGGGCGTAGCACCAGTGGGGATCTGCAAAGGTGTGCCCATCAAGGTCTAGGAGCAACTCGGTAACTCCATCCCATGGGCAGCTTGCTTCGTCAACCCCGTCAAGCAAACACATACGCCAGGGTGTGACCAAGGCAGCAATGGACAGGACATTTGCGAGGGGACCTTCAAGAACAGGTGACGTTAGCCAGTGTGAAGACAGGTGCTCCGTAACTCAAAGAGTAATCTGGGACCACAAGTGTTGCCCTTAAGACTCTGCCTTGCGAGGAAGGCCGAACAAGACGCGCTCCGATACATGTTGGGGGTTCGACGGCAGAGACTTGGCCTGTTCAAAACTTACCCATGGTCGCAGCGAGAAGCGGAATTGCAGTTCCTGCGAACCACCAATCCTGTTCTTGCTCATCGTCCCAAGACCTCAAGGTGAACTTCCACCACTTTTTTTCCTTTGGCGCTCTGACGAGAGATCTTGTTCTTTCTGCGGATCTCCTTGGTAGGGTGGGACTCTCTGAGCCTCTTCCGCGCCATGATGGTCTTCTCTCGGAGTCATCACGTTGATTCTTGGAGTTGCCGGTACAGTCCGAGGATCTCTCGAAAGCACTCGAGCCGCGCTGTTCACTCATCATGAATGGTGAGTATATCGATCTCCTACGACTGTCTAGCTATCGGCATCTTGAAATAAATGATAGGTATGATAAGGGAAATGGTCGGTGTCTGGTAATTTCGTACTGTGAATCGAGGTTGTTATGATTGTTGTTCCGCAATCACCAAATCTCAGAGAAGCCTGACTATCGCTGGAGGACTGCTCCCTCCACTTAAGAGATATACCGAGGGCACTCGAAAATGTATAGAATCAAAGATGGGCATTCTCATGGTAAGACGAGAGCAAAAGAAGGAAATATTGGGCGCGAACGGCTGGAGTACCGTACCCTGATCGTTTGGTGTTCGTGGCTGGAATTCATGGAAAGTTTAATGGCAAGCGTCATGGACGAGCCGCGGCCTCCTTTATCCTGACCATCTCAAAACTTCATCGCGCAACAAGAGGGAGTATAAGAGAAGGTTAGAGAAAACTAATAGGCAAGATCTTATGTGGGTAAGCATCCTTGGTGCGTTGTTGGCGACACTGATATTTGTTGTGGCTTGATCTTGAGGGAAGGATCATCCGACCTCGGCCTCCAATGAGCGACGGGCCGATGAAAGTGAGATCACAAGGGTCCAATCAATCGTAAAGGGAAAAAATATATGATGCGACTCCGTTCCCACCACTCGCTGTCTTCTCCCAACACCCTTCCTCCCTTCCTCCATCTCGTTAACCTAGCAAATTCGTTGTTTCATTTCCAGCATGTCGGGCCAACTTAAGCAACGCGGCAGCGCTGCAGAGCCTAAGAATCCTCTGGAGTCCGATTTTGCCGAAACCTCAAGCATGGATTCTGATGAACGCTACCTGGTATGAGATTACCGGAATCTCGAATGGACGAAACAGATGAGTCAAACAAAAGCATCCTCCAAGCGCGCATGATGGCCACAGGTAAGTTCAAGGCCAAGAAACAACTCGGTTCGACGACGACAATTCAGCAATGAGTCACTGCACGCGGGCATCTGGTTCTCCCTCTGCTTCTTGCAAGCTTTGGGATGGTACCAGGTTGAGAAGAACCGCACGAACTTGATCGTCTTCACAGACGCGTAAGGAGATGCAGCGACTATCGAATCGGCCTTTCTTGATTTCCCTTTCCACATGTCGGAGAACATTTGACCTAATACAGGGCAGAATGCGCTCGGCTACAAGCAAGTGAGTGCATCTGCCAGAACCTGATTATACGAAGGATTTCTCTAACAGCCTACCAGTCTTTGCACCGTCAATGGAAGTTCGCAGAGAGCTTTTCCGCCAGTTTTGGTAATTCGGTCCTACCGTTAAACATACACAAATCTGACACGCTACAGCCGCGATGTATGTGATTGGGGGCATCCGCGCAACATTCTACATTGGCGTTGAAGCTGGAGGTCCTGCAGCCTATTGGTAAGTTCGGTCTTTTGTTACAGCATACATTATGTATGCACATACTGACTTATACAGGTCTTCGTATCTGGTCACCATGGTGTTCACCATGATTACCGCCGCCGTCCTGGCAGAGATCTGCTCGGCCCTTCCTGCTGCTGGTTCAATTTACTTCTGGGCTGCTGAAGCTGGCGGTCCCAGATATGCTCGTCTCTTTGGGTTCATCGTGGCCTGGTGGTCGTGTACAGCATGGACGACTTTCGTCGCTTCGCTTTGTCAGAGCACTGCCAACTTCATCCTGTCGGAGCTTCCTGTCTTTGGCGTCACTTCCCTCATTACAGACGTCAGCGACATCAAGTTCCGCGCTGTACAATGGATCGTTTCCGAGGGCATCCTCTTCCTCGCCATCGGCATGAACTACCTCAACCCAAAGACCTACAAATGGATCTTCAGAATCGCCTCCGCGCTGATTGTTCTCGATTTCGTTCTAAATATCATCTGGTTCCCCATCGCAGTGTCTCAAACATATGGGTTCCAGACCGCCAAGTTCGCATTTACGCAAACTGAAAACCTGACTGGCGCTCCACCAGTCTGGAACTGGATGCTGTCTTACTATGTGACCGCGGGAATTCTGGTTGGATTTGAAGCCTCTGGACACATCTCCGAGGAGACTCAGAACGCCAATGTCGTCGCCGCCAAAGGTATCTTCACATCTGCTCTGGTCTCTGCATTGATGGGCTTTCCAATGGTCATTCTGTTCTTGTTCTGCTGCCCAGATCTCAGCGAGTTCAACTTCAACTACCCCCAGCCCTTCGTCGGCATCTACGCACAGGCCATGGGCAAAGGAGGTCACCTTGTCATGAACATTGTATGTATCCTTGGTCTGTTCTTCAACACCACTGTCAGTGGTGTCGCATCGTCCCGTCTGATCTGGGCTGTCGCACGTGATGGCGTGTTGCCCTTCTCAGGCTGGATTTCTGCTGTTTCTGCAAACAAAGAGCCTAGAAACGCAGTCACTGTCATGTTGGTCGTCGCGGCACTGCTGCTTTGTACCATCCTTCCCTCGGCTACTGCCTTCGCATCTCTGGTCTCTGCTGCAGGTGTGCCCACTATCACAGGCTATGCCTTGATCTGCTTCGGCCGTACTTTCTTGACACCTGGAGAATTCAAAAACGCCCCTTGGTCCCTGGGTCGTTGGTCGCGTCCCTTGAACTTTATCGCTCTCATCTGGAACCTCTACCTGGCTGCAGTCTTGTTCTCGCCCCTTCAGTTCCCTGTTGTTGGCGAAAACTTCAACTATTCGCCTGTGATCTTCGGTGCCATTACCATCTTCGCTCTCCTCTCCTGGTGGCTCATGCCTGAAGACAAATGGCTGCCCTCGGCTCGTCTTGGTAAAGTTCGCATGCTTGAGGAAGAGTTGAACGCAAACAGGACTGCGCGCAGTTCTAGCATCTCAGGTCCTTCTTCTTGAAGTTTCTCGATGGAGCGATTCAACTTGTGTGAATATGGTGATACAATCACAGAAGATGTCTCGTTCGAATGAAGGAGAGTTTTGCTGAATGGATGATCAGCTGGTTAAGTCTGGCTGGTGAGCGAGAACAAAGTGTAGAGGCAGAGTTCGAGTTTTTGTATTCGAGAGCGGCGGTTGTTGACAAAATGGAGAGATGGCTGTAGTATAGATGCGAAATAAATCAATCGTTTGCCAGATTGCTCGTGGTCGTTCCTGCCTCAGGCTGCTTCAGAGCTCCGTGATCGATTTGGAAAGTGGGGTCCGAAGTTCGCCGCATTGATTTGCCGAGCGGGGTCGATGTTGTACACCAGACGGGCATCTACGTGGTTGCTTCCCTTCAACTTTTCAAAGGTCTGAAATTGTTTGGTATCGAGTTCTGTTTGGCTACCAAGTCGCGTGATTGAGATCGTTTGTGTCACTATTTGCTCGAATACGACACCATGTATGTAGCCAAGCGTCCCATTCATGCATCTCGGTTCCATCTGCTGACAGTAATAGGGTATATACAGCCTCCTTCGCCTTCTTCGAGGCTATATACGAGGTAGGGTTTGCTGCACATACCAGTTGTGCTTTCCACTAACTACGAACCAGGCGGGCATCACGCATTGCTTCGTCAATCTTGGCTCTGACCATCCGAGTATCATTGAAGCAATTGTCAAAGGCCAGAATGAGAAGAAGGGAAAGTTCCCACGTATCATCACATGTCCCAATGAAGTATGAGTACAGATGGTACTCCTGACAGGTCTCGCGCTGACGACTTCTAGATGGTCGCTCTCAGTTTGGCGGACGGCTACGCAAGACTTACCAACAAACCTCAATGTGTCATTGTCCACGTTGATGTAGGAACCCAAGGTCTTGGTGCAGCAGTCCACAATGCATCTTGCGGAAGAGCACCCGTTCTCATCTTTGCTGGACTTTCGCCATACACAATTGAAGGCGAGTACCGCGGCTCACGAACCGAGTACATCCACTGGATTCAGGATGTTCCAGATCAAAAGCAGATTGTTGCACAGTACTGCCGCTACACCGGAGAGATCAAGCGTGGAGCCAATGTCAAGCAATTGGTCAACAGAGCTCTGGCTTTTGCCACGAGTGAGCCGAGAGGTCCTGTGTATCTGGCTGGTGCACGCGAGGCCATGGAGGAGGACATTGAACCCTACAAGCTTGACCAACGCTATTGGACAGCGGTTGAGCCCAACGCTCTGACCTCTAAGCAGATTGAGAAGGTAGCTCAACTTTTGCTCGAAGCCGAGTCGCCACTCCTCATCACTGGATACAGTGGACGAAACCACAATGCTGTAGGGGCGCTTGTTGAGCTGGCCAACACCGTCAAAGGACTCAGAGTCTTGGACACTGGTGGTAGTGACATGTGCTTCCCAGCCGATCATCCAGCGTGGCTGGGCCTCAGATACGGTGTGGAGGACAACATCAAGACTGCGGATGTGATTCTAGTGTTGGACTGCGATGTTCCCTGGATACCAACCCAGTGCAAGCCCCGAGACGACGCCAAGATCGTCCACATCGATGTCGATCCACTCAAGCAACAGATGCCTGTGTTCTACATCAACGCTCTAGCCAGATACCGTGCTGACTCCGAGACTGCTATTACGCAAATCACCGAACACTTGAAGACAAAGTACGAGTGTGAGATCAAGAGCAGCAAGTTCGAGGAGAAGTGGACTAAGCTGCAGGACTCGCACAAGCAAAAGCTGCAGACAATCTCGGAACAAGCAAAGCCTGGTGAGGATGGTACATATGGCTGCTCATACTTGATCCATCAGCTGCGCAAGTCATGTCCACAAGACACTATCTGGGCCATCGAGGCGGTGACGAACACGGCCTTTGTCGCAGATCAGATTCAGGCTACTTTCCCCGGCTCGTGGATCAACTGCGGTGGAGGTGGACTCGGATGGTCCGGTGGCGGTGCTCTGGGAATCAAGCTCGCTACTGACTTTGAGAACGGCGGTAAGGGCAAGTTTGTCGTTCAGATTGTTGGCGACGGCACATATCTCTTCAGTGTACCAGGATCGGTGTATTGGATTGCGCAGCGCTACAACATCCCAATCCTGACTATCGTTTTGAACAACAAAGGTAAGCATACACAATATCATAGTTCTTGAAGATATATTGCTGACATCGGATAGGTTGGAACGCACCACGCAAGTCGCTCCTTCTAGTCCATCCAGACGGCGAGGGCAGTAAAGTTTCGAACGAGGAGCTAAACATCTCGTTTGCACCTACGCCTGATTACTCTGGTATCGCGAAGGCATCATCTGGCGGAAAGTGCTGGGCTGGTCACGCCGGCACTGTGGAAGAGCTGGCTAAAATGCTTCCCGAAGCGATTGAGGCCGTGAAGGGTGGTGTATGTGCCGTCCTAGACGCCCATCTCGATGGACCGCAAGGCAAGTACGGCGGTGGAAAGGCCGCCTTGATAGGTTGAGAGCGCACCACAGTCATGACTGGGAACATGTATATCTAGAACGTCTTCGATGACCACGACAAGGGACGGCAGAATGTTTTGTTTTTGAGAAAACAGATATTATCTAAAGCAAGAAAGGGGGGGTATCATGAAAACCAAACCCAACGTACATACATCCTCTTCATCCATCATCTAGAAGATCCGAGACTCCTTCTTCCTCCTTCGCGACCTCGATCATTATCTCTCTTGCTATTTGACGGCGAAGCAGGATTCTTGCTCGAAGCAGAAACGACGCGTGCAGTGCCTCTAGCAGCCGGACTTTTCGTACTCTTATCCTTTTCCTCACTCAAATCCATCGTATAGTCGAATTTCAAGGCTTCGTCATTCAAGCCAGCAGCTCTGGCTTCACAATAAATGCGTGTTTGGAGTACAGACTAGATTGGGGGACCATCTCATGTCAACATTTCGTGTTTGCTTTTTTGAGAACAAAAGCGCAAAAAGCGCAAAAAGAAATGGATACCTCGTGTCGTTGTCTGCTCAGCCAGAATAACATTTCTTCATTTGCCAACATGCGCGCTGCACGAGTGCGTATCTCTCGCTCTTGGTAGGTCAAGTTTTCGTCGTCTTTTTGCTCGGAGGCGCCGGCCGCTTTGTTGTCTGATTTGGATGGGAGTCTTGTTGGTTTCGCCATGGCGAGGGGACGAGTAGTGTGTGCGGTTGACATTGTGGAAAGTGGAATGTCCCCTCTTGGTGGGGAGACGGTGTGTAGGAGAAGTGTGCCGGGAGGGGGGTTCGCGGTTTGGAGGAAGGGCGTCAAAGAAGAGCTTCAGCGGTACATGATGGTGACTTGGCTGGGGCTGCTGGTGAAGCACGCCTGATCAGTACAGTTGCGTTTTGTCTGCAGTGGCCACAGCCGCTAGTGTCTTGGGTACCGTGGTTTGAGGTTGGTTGCTGCTGTTACTGTTGTTTTCTGGTCTTGTTACACGTCGGTTTTGTGCAAGGGTGATGTCATCATTGCTGAGGGGGTGACCATGTCTGCAATGCATCATTCTCTTAGCAATATCATCGGCCATTGTCTCGGTGCTGGTCGATGATAGGCATTGTCGATGACAAACAACACATTTAATCTGCCTCGTCCGCTTTGAAGAGGCCTTATGAGTGGTTGGTCGACCAAGGTCGAATTAAGAACGAATGCTGACATGAACGAACGAGTTGCGCGCTTCACAATCGAGGCTTCAGGACGATTACAAACATAAAGTCCTACATGATATTATAAAACCAAGGTAGTCATTTCCATATCCACTGGTAGATGAACCGAGGTCTCTCTACTTCTGCGTACCAGTCTTGGACGAAGAAACAGCAACCTGAACACCCTTCTTCGAAACAGCACCACACGCCCCCGAAGCACCACAATAAGTCTGGAACCCAGCACTACTCTTCGACACAGTCGTAGAAGCCAGAGTAGTAGTACACCCAGTCCCATTAGCATTAACACACTTCTTTCCAGTCTTTGTATTGTACTGATGTTGCAAGTCCAACTTGAAGTCTGTAATCGAGTTGTAGTTGGACACCTTGACGCTGAATGAGTTGTCTGTGCAAGCGGTGTATGAAGAAGAGGGTTTCTTTGTCCAATCCCATTTTACGGTGCAGGTGGTGCTGGCTTTGGTCTTGGAGTCGGTGATGGGGAAGCTGATGATGGAGTAGGCGGGTGTTGTTATGCCGCTGGGCGTGTTGGAGTTGAGACTGCCGAGAGTGAGGTATTGGGGTGTGGTGGCTGCGGCGGCCATGGAAGCGGCACTGGCACTGAGAAGGAGCGTATTGATGAAATGCATGTTGAGCGAGGAGGTTTGTGGTATTACGATGAAGATTGGTGTTGGTTATAAATGATTGGCCTTGATCAAAGGGATGGTGCTGCAAGTGGTATGACAGAAGGAGCGTGAGCGGTAAAGGAGATCGCAAACCTAGAGACTGGGACCCGGAATGCTATATAGATTGCTTCACTGCGATTACCCATAAGGCGGATCATGACGGGCTCTAGAATGCTGCCAAAGAAGAATACCGTTGGTGAGGAAAGTTGGAGCACGTTTAATGTATCGATGTCTTACAGCCACATCACCAGCTGCTCTCTCCAGAAAATGCGAACCTGGCAATACGCCTCATCGATAGCGCTGATTCAAGAGAGCCCTCGTCTGGAGAAAATAGATATAGACGTTGCTGGCTCCAGATGCGGCCATTCCGGACCGTTGGCAACCGTTCAAGTCAATGCCGGCAATGCACCAACACTCAAGAGCATCTCTGATCAGCTACATTACGAATCTACGACTTGACAAGTTGCAAGGTCAATTGTGGTTTGAAGTATGTTGGAAGGAGAACTGTCTTTCATTGATTGATATAAGCTATATTCTAACGATGAGTGTTTTCTTGTGGCCGAGGTCTGTTGCCGCCTTCTATGCTTTTTGATCGTATGCTCATAACAGTTCATCTGGGACTCGATTTCTTGATGTTTGCCTTTCTTGACCTCCTCCTCTTCTTGGAGTTCATGATCCTTGATTTCATGGATTTTATTGTTCTCAAGAATTTCACAAGCTTCAAGAATTTCGCGGTCCTTTTGGACTTTTTGGACTTTTTCTGTTTTGGATTACTAGTAGTCTCGCGCTTGAATTCTGGATTATCAGGGGGTTTGGGCTTTGGTTCGGGTTCGAGATCAGGCTTGGACTCGGACGCAAGCTCAACATGACTGGCGGACACTGGGGTGTTGCAATTGTCAGACTCATCGGTGTCCGGTTCGTCCTCGGATTGTTGGCCCACGCCCTGACCCAGATCTATAAGGCAGGTGACCGAGGCAGTCTATGCAGACTCGGCCTTCCAAGTAGGCCATATCGGCGCGGTAGGGGCAATCTATGCCAACTTTGTTCTGGAAGCAGAATCGCTGCCCAGACCTCCGACGACAATAGCACCAACTACCGTCAGGAAAAGGTTGACCCAAACACCAATCCACATTGCGGTTGTGTAGTGACTGTCGAGCTTGTAATGCTGGTACGCGCCCATCATGGTGGTGACGTGATGGAAGATGGAAACGAGGACGACGGCTTTCGAGTAGCTTCTGTTGACATGGCCGAGAGAATAGGCGCGGGAAAGGACTAAGAGAGCGGCTGCGAGGGAGATGAGGCCCCAGCCATCGGTGCGTACGTTGTATAGCTCAAGGTCTGTCGGGCTGAGGTGTTGCTCTACCGGAGGACGGAACCCTGGACACGCGTCAGATGATGGATTGGAGTGGACGAGCTAGACATACAGCCAATGACCATCAGAGGATCCACGACACGGCATAGGCCTCTCGAGCCGTACCAGAAGGCATTGCCCCAGCAGTATCCATGAAGGAGCTGTAGGAAGCTCTGGTCAGCATGACTCTCCGCTTTCTCTCTCTCTGTCGAGAAGGGTTGAGTATTGCGTACCACTTTGTCCAGAGTAGGTGCCATATTAATAGTTTGCTAGTCCAAGACAGCGATCGAGTGCAATGCTTTGGAGAAGGATTGAAAGATGATGGGAAGCTTCGGCTGACCTCTGCAATGCGCGACTGCCTGCTTATCAGTCTTCTGCCTCAGTTATGACGTGGATTTTTGCTGCATGAGCCCTCATCCTGTTCAGAGGGAAGGCGGGGTTGCATCTGTGGAGGTGATGATCACTATTTTCGTCATACCTTTCCTCGGACCTCCACCCGCATCCTTATCTCGGCTCATTCTGTACCGTGAGCGAACCTCTGATATTCAGGAACCACAAAGTCTGTTTAGGAGCCTCTCCAAAAAGGTGAATATGTGCATTTTGTATCTACGTGTCGGAAAATAATGACGACCGTGGAGGCTTTACACGTCTCCACGTCTTCATGCCTGTCTCCACTGTGAAAGTCGACGGCAGCGGAGGCGGGAAGCACACAAGGACCATCGCGTGGACAAAGCATGATCAATTCAATCTGTTACGATGCCTAGATTTTCATGAGAGATTGCGGCACAGGATAATATCTAAGTCGAATTTGGTCGCATGGTAACGAATGTATCATAAGACAACAGGTAGACGGCAAAGTGTCATGCATTTTGTGTATGAACTGCTATTAGGAGACTGGCCAGTAGAACAGAGTCATCATGCTATTCATGCCCATCGTGAGCTGGTCTTCTTGCGTAGACAAGAGGAGACTGTGCGCTGCTGCCTGCATAGAGATAACGACTAAAAGGAAAAGATTAAGAAACATTACCGCCGCATTCTTAAGAAAACATAGGGCTCAAGGGTATAGTATAATGCCCACAGACGCAATCAGAGAAACCAAAACAGAGCGGACGCTACATTTAAGCAGCGACTCTCTCCTCCTCACGACCACGGACAGAGCCGTTGGCGACGCTAGCATCCTCCTCCTCATCGTCGTCCTCGTAGTGCTCGGCGTTGTGGTGCTGGCTGGCAGGGATCCAGAGGTTGCTGTCGCGGTTGCCCTCCATGGGGGCGTCCTGGTCAGCAAGGTCGACGGCCTCGCCCTGGTGACGGTTGCGGCGGCGTTGAGAGAGGGTACGGGTGCGGGTGGAGAGCGAAGAGGTGACCTTGGCGTTCTGCTCGACCCAGTTGGTAAGAGAGTCCTCGCAGTCCTGGATGATGCTGTGACGATGGTCAGTATCAGGAGATGGGTGCGTTACGTCATGACAGAAACTTACGCCTTGCTAGCCTCGTAGCCGTCGTATGCGTTGCGGGTCTCTCCGGGGGTGACGGGGGTGTCGTCAATGAGCTCCAGGAGGTGCTTGCCGTAGCCGGCAATGATGGCCATCTTCTCCGAGTGCTCACGGAGAGCATCGAACTGGTAGGTGAAGGCGGCCTTCAGCTTCTCGCGGGTGATGTTGGAGAGCTGAGCCTCGGCGACCAATGACTCGGCCTCGGCTCTAACGAGCTCCTGCTCAAGAACGACAATCTTGGGGCTGTTGGGCTCCTTGTACTTGAGCTGGGCAATCTGGTCAGTGATCTTCTGCTTGCCTGTAGGAAAAGTTAGTTGCATGACATGGAACACTCTGATCGGATCAGCTCACGATCTCTGCTAGGCTGGACGGAAGCTTCGATGTTGCGGATGCTCTTGATGGTGACGCGGTACTGGTCGTACTTGTCGACGAATTGGTCCTCGAGCTCACCAATCTCGTAGATCAAGACACCAAGCTTGTCGGTGACATCCGAGACGTCGTCGTCACAAGCCTCACCCCAGATGCTGAGTTGTTGCTAAGCACGTGTTAGTTTATGAAGTCGTGATCAATTCAGTTCGAAAAAAAGGCATCAACTTACAGCGACCTCCATTCTCTCTCTGCCAACGAGCTCCATGGAGCGCATGACGTTCTTCTCCATCTTCACCAGCTGCGACAGCTTCTTGGCGAGATCGGGTCCGAAGGCACCAGCGGCATTTCTGCGGAAAGAGTGTCCTAGTCGAGGTTAGCGGTAGCCAATGCGACAAAGACATTCATTGCTTACCGATGTTGCTCTTGCCGAAGAATCTACCAGCCTTGGTGGTGGATGATGGGGGAGGGGGGTTCTGAATCTGCGAAGCAGTAGGTGCGCGCGACTGGCGCATGGAGTATGTGCGGTGCATTTTGGCGGTGGTTAATCTTAGTCGTGAGGATGAATAGATTCAAGCAGCAGCGACAGAGGTGCGTAGATATTTGTTGTGAAGAGGTGGGTGAGAAGGGAGAAAGATGAGATGGATGATGCGGAGCGCCTCTTGAAGAATGGAAATCAATGGCGCATTATTGTATCGGAAGCTGCTGATGTCATGGTTGGCATGGTTGCCCCGTGCATCCGGGTGATCTGGATCGTCCCTCGTCCCTTTGTCTCGACTCCACGCAAATCATTTTTTATTAATCCCCATGATCCGCCTCTCGATTGACTCGGCGCGAAGAGAGTCAGATTGCGTACCTATGTCTCTTGGTATCCAGCTCAACTCCTGCTCTCTGACTGCCTCTCTGTGTCCTTGTTGAGTCAAGTCAAATCGCTGTGCGACATGAAAGGAGATTGAAGCGTTGTCGATGACGTACCACCTGACCATCTAATAGCGCCAAACCTTGTCATTGAGCATGAACAGAACTGCCTGGCCTCCCATGCAAGCCACAGAACTCCGCCAACCCAACCTAAGCCTTGATTATTATCTCTCCCGACATCCGCGTGAGGATCTTCGACCTTATATTCTGATCTACACACGGCTGTGGCTTGAGCACCATGGTGGACAATCTCCCTAACAATATCGCATGCCTCCAACCAAGCGATTCATTGTTGACTGACGCTTTGGGAATCCTCCCATTCCCCGTTTGACTTTGGCAGGTTCTCACCACATGACAACTCAACTGCCAACCTTCCAAATAGCGCAACAGCCACATAAAGCACTTCCAACTCACTATGCTCCTATACGGCAGTACGCACTTGGCATGTCCCAATTTGCTTTCCGAGGCCGCGACAGCTTAAAGCAACTTCCGTCTCTGCCAACAGCTCAAATACTATGAGATTCCTCGGCCGAGTCTTCTGTACAGCCCCCAGGCACGAATTCAAACAGTTCACCCAACTTCGTTTACTGGCCCAGGTTGTCTTGCAGCTCTCTGACCCAGCTCAATCTTCCCTCGCCGAAGATCTCTCCAGTAGCTGGCATCTGAGGTCCGCCATCGAGCAGGAGTGTACGCACAATGATCTTGTCTGGCATAACGTCCTGATGGTGGTAGATGTGTGAAGTGCAGGTTCCGCAAAAGTAGCATCGTACTGACTTGCCTGTCAAATGTCAGTAGATGTTTCTGCCCAAAGTAACCAGAGATACGCACCTGATGCGCCGATGTATGTGTATACGTTCGGTGTCCCGCTCACAATCTTGAGGTCGTCTTTCGGAATGATCTGATTGCAGCTATACGGGCCACCTCCCAACTTCTGACAGGTAGAACAATGACACAGAACATGTTCTGCAGTACTCAACTTGGCCGTCCAACTGATTCCTCCACAATGACAAGATCCTTGATACTCGCCCTGGCTGAGTGGACGCTTTGCCGGAGAACCGAAAAGAACGCCATCCTTGATATCAATAACACAAGAGTCCTCGCTATTGTCGGGTCAGAAGAGCGCTCATGAGGACATAGTCATGGCATCTTACATCAAGGGTCCAGCGTCTTTCGAGAACTGAATATGTACAGGCTCTTTGGTAAGATAAAAGTCCAGATCATCTTGGTTCTCAAATTCCAGGACGAACCCGTGGGTGAAGCCTTCACTGTATGACTCCCAAGAACGATTCTTTCCTGCATTGTCATTCTGTCAGCAGCTACGCCATGGATGCGACTACAATGATATGTAGTCTGATCTTCTCAAGAGTACGGACCGGCCTTTAAGCTCTTTATCAAGGGTTTGCCAGTCGCTGGGTTCAATGATCTGGTCTTCAAAGCCATAAAAGACTCGAAATGCTTCTCAAAATCCGACCATGATATGTCCGATCGATACTTGAACAAGACAATATGGATAATCGTTTCACTCATTGCAATGAGTTGTTTGTAATCAAATCCTTATAACGGCTTGTCCAATGATTAATACAATTGCTCGACTGTAAAACAGAAGCAGAGCAAGGCGCAAGAAGAGATCAAAAACCCAAAAGTCAAGAACCAAGAACCATGAACCTCAAGAACGAGATAGAACTCTATATATACCGAATCCCCATCTCTGGCATTGCTCAGCTGTCCGAGTATCGATTATAATTCGTCCAAGTTCCACGGTAAGATTTTCCTCTGCTTCTGCAAAGGGTAATAATTCCCGGTCAATCACTCTCGGCTCGTGAATATACCATCGCAACAACTTCCGATATTCGTTCCTGATATTCTGCAACGCGTGATCGAGTCATGTCATCCTCTGATGTCTTTTTGAAGACATGATTTTGGTTTGAAAATGTCTGGTAATAGACAATTGGGGGATTGATGCAGTGTGACTGTACATCCAACCGGAGCTCTGGATTTTGACCCCCCGAGTTGCAAGTTTTCAGTATGACCCTGACTCTAGTTTTCGTGATCACGACAACACATCTGCAACACGTCCATATACTGTCAATAATACCAATCAGACTATTCCTATTATTGGTGAGATGAGCCAGAATGTACTTCAACATCTCGTTCTTTGTCTATCAGGGGCCCTAGGGCAATACATTCATGGACATTGAAAATCATCATTTCGTGCCAATGCTTTTTGTGTCAACCACCAAGACGAAGCACCAGACCAGACGCCAACCAGAGCACGCGCAGCAAGTTTTTTCTCAAACGAAAGTTGCCTGCGGACTATTCGCTTGCCTGATGAGGACCAAGAGGAGTCGACCATGCCTGTGAAATGAAGAGCGTAAAAGAGATGGGTACCCAAGCTATTAACTAAGGTATTCACGCCCCAATGCCCGCGTCCCGTATACGCTCGGTATCACCCAACAATCTCCACCCATATGGCTCGCAACCTTCTCCAATTCACGAGGCGGTATATCAGAACACAAGACACGAAAAGGGGAGCAATCGATATGGGATATAAAATACATGCGTTTTGGTTCATAGAGCTAGAGAGAGGAAGCCGAAAGACCGTGGGTATCAAAACTAAGGAAAAAGGAAAGCCATGGGGCACAAGGAGTAGTATCTCTCACTCAAACAAGATCAACGTCCGTGATAAGCTCACGAACAGCAAGCTCACCACCTGCCGCCATTTGCAGCGGCATCGGGTGGGATCTGGAAAGCATCGGCACCATCGCCAAAGAAACTCGTGTACAAGTCGCCAGAAAAGTCCAAGCCCGAAAGTGCCACATCAATGGCTTGTTCAAAATCTAATCCCTGAGTCCACTCGGTACCAGCAATCTGCTTGGCAAAGCTGGGGTCAAGCATGTTGGCATAGGCAGAAGCGTCGTTTGCGGACATGACTTGCTGGTTGACAGAGTTTGGAGTAGACATGACTGTAGGAGCATAGGTTGCTGGGTTGCTGTAAGCGTCGCTTTGAGAGCGAGAGGTCTGGTTGGGTGCTTCATGGGACGGGTATTGTGACGCTGGTGCGTAGGGAGAGTCGAAGCCCCAGTTGGCGCGCTGGTTTGACTGATCTGCACCTGCAGTAGCAGCCTCGCTCAACACACGCAGACTGTCGTTGTCGCGCGAAGAGACGCGTTGAGGTTGAGCACCACGAGCATTGGCTTCCTTCTCGATACCGTTGGGGTGAGATGAAATCCACTCACGGAGAAGACTGAGGATCTGGTGTGCCTTCTGGAAGGCTTTCTGAGAGCTGCCTTGAGACAGCGCAACGAAGCAGTGATACACACGTTCCAGGAACTCAGGAGCTCTGATGTCTTCTGGCTTGATGACCTTGCCGAGCTCCGAACCTGGGTATGTTGCGGCGACATGCATCTTGATCAAGACAACGAGAGCGTAAACAATGCGTACAAAGTACAGAAGCGCGGGAAGGGTAGACACGACCTCAGGACCAAAGTCACAGAAAGTTCCGATGACACTGTGACACGCGGTGAGACAGGCTTCGATTGAGGTCATCTGCTTTTGGCTCAGTGTCTCGGAGAAGTGACTGCCAGATTTGAGACTTCCTTCTGTAGATGATTGTCAGCACGTAGAAATTGCACATAAGAAGAGCGGGCACATACCACTGAAGGGAACCTTGAAGTCGTCGGTGTTGTGATTGACGTGCAGACCAATCTCGTGAAGGTACAGAGATGTGACGTGTCTGTAGAACATGAGGTTGGGAAGCTTCAGATGAGGTGGGAGGTCCTGCTCCCACTGGTCGAGCTTCTTCTGGAGCACTTCCAGGGTGTACGCAATCTTTGGATCCAGGATGGAGATCGAGGCAGTCGAGTCCTCCATGGCGAACGACACGGAAATTTCATCGCAGATGCGCTGAATCTTGATGTGCTGTGTAAACAAGGCATCGGTGGGAGCAGCATCGGCCGAGGTTTCTAGGATGTCGACGCATTCCTGCATGTAGTTGGACCATCGCAAGAGATTAGGACGACGCAAGACCTGTGAGACACTGGCCGAAGTATAGTAGCAAGTCAACCATGCTCTTCGCGACTCAATGGTGTCTGAGTCGACCAGTTGACTGCCGGGACCAGGAGGCAGGTCTGCACCGGCACCACCAAAGCCACGCTTGACCTTGTTCGGGTTGAAGCGCTTTCCTAGACCAACGTCGAGAGACATGACGACAGCCATGTGGATGAGCATGTAGAAGTTTGCCTGGGCAGGACGGTCTGGAGGCTTGTGCCAGAGGAAGGCAACCTGAAGACCCTGGATGATTTCAAGACTCTTCAGACCCTTGCGAATGACGGCAGTAGCTAGCACGTCGAAGACTTCGTCGGTAAGAGCATCCTGAACCTCGATGTCCACAAATCTGAAGCACGCAGCAGCCGTGATGCACAGGAACAGGATGGGCTTGTTCTCGAGCATCCACTCGGGAGTGGCATCTGAGGGGAGCACGATGGCTGGGAACTCTGGGACCAGACGGTCTCTGAAGTGGACGAAGATTGTGCAGGCCGAGTTCCAGTCGATGATCTGGCGAACGCGTTGCTTTACGTATTCTCCAAAGTCGACGTAGACGGTGTGGTACGCGGGTCGGTAGGGGTCATCAACTCGTCTGCGCTTGCGACGGTCGTCGGTGTCGTAGTCGGCGTCCTGGAGAGGCGGCTCGTGTTTGTTGACGGGGTCGTAGGTGGGCTGAGGATACGGGTCTGGCTGGAGGGGTGGCTGAAGCGGGAGGTGTGGGTGCTGCTGCTGTTGGTGGAGGACCTGGGTGAGGGCGTCAATCTTCTTCTCGAGCTCGGCAACGCGCGTGTCGGCCTTCTTCTGGCGGCGCCTGCTAGGCTGCGTGACGATACACTGGCGACCGGCTTTGGCACAGCGCTTGCATGGCTGTCCGCTGTTGTCCATGTCGCAGCGCACTTTCAGACCGCGACAGGCCTCGCAGGCTCTCGAGCGTTTGGCATCGGCGGCGAGCATGGCAGCGCCTCCAGGGCTCATGTCAACCATGTCGGCGCCGACAGCGCTGCCGCGTCGGTCGCCATCGTCGTCGCTGGGCGAGTGGCCGGGCGGGAGAGCTGCGGCGTATCCATAGTAGGGCTGCGAGACATCCTGGGCCTGTTGAGCAGTCTGCGCGGCCGCGGCCTCTCTGTACAGCTTGATCTGAGAGTCGGAACGCGCGAGCGCCGGCGCGGGATACGGAGCAGGTTGATGCCGCGATGGTGCTTGAGCCACTTGTGCTTGAGCTGCTTGCGCTTGCGCCTGTGCCTGGGCCTGGTACGCTGCCTGAACGGCGTCACTGGCTTCTAGCCGCGGATCGATGGGTTGCGCGCTCATGGTGCTGGATTCGCTATGGCTATTCTTTTACGAGAACGAGACGCGTCTTGGGCCAAAACCTGCTGACTGGAAGGAACAGTGCACGGTCCACATGCTCCTAGCTCTTTTGCGCCTGCCCAATTCGCCATCACCACATCTTCCATCTCAACTCTGCACCCATGTAGTGAATTCTTTGAATTCGATAGACTAGGTAGGTAGCTCGAAATGAAAGGGTACAGTACATCGATCCAATCTCATCGTGTCCCTCAATCATGCAATTGGTGTGTTGGACACGTGCCTCGGCCTCGGGTTTCCATCCATCCTTTGATGCATGCTCGATGGAACTTGCACAGGCACTCCAACCTGCCCATCTCGACACCCTCCTCGAACTCTTCGAAGCAGATCACACACTCTTGTGCCTGTCCTTCTTCGTCAAAGCAGTCCTTTTCAGTCGCATGATATATTAGCATGCGATGTCTCGCCGTGTTCGCCCCCAGCATAGACGCTGCTCGTTGAGGTATACTGCCAACGGGCACAGTCTCTGTCTCTCCGGTCCCCGCTTCTGCTGGCGTCTCTACATGACTGGGTCCTGCTAGATGACTTGAAATGCAAAACTCGACGTGTCGTTCACGCTCCTCGCTCGTGCCACTGCTGTCACTCGTGCCGAAGGGATGCGCTCTGGTACCACAAACAGGGCACTCATCTTCTTCACTCAGCGCCTCCTGGGTTCGCGGCTGCTGCGCTCGAGTTTGTGCCTCCTGGGCGGCTGCAATGTTCGTCGTCGTGTAGGAAGTCGAGCGGTATCGTGACCTTGATGAATGTGCCGTATCATTGTCTGAACGAGTGCGGAGCCCTTGAGTCGATGACCTTGGTCTCTGCGGCACACTGTTCAGAGCTTGATATCTCGCTGTATGTAAATGCGGTCGATAAGAGGCCCGTCTTTCTGCTGGCTGAGGGGCCGTAGCCGTGAACTCGCTCAAACTTCGAGCATTGTGAGGCGCAGATTGACACGTAGTCTGACCAGATTCTGATGTATTCAATGATCCAAACATCCTAGCAAAACTTATTCCTTGCGTGGTCCCTTCATTGGCAGCAAAAGTCTGTGCACGTGACCGAGTTGTCGGTGGCGGTGATATCTGTTCTTCCTGCTGCTGAGGTGGTGGTCCATAATTGGGATCGGGCACACATGGGTTACAGACCCGGACAGTCTCGCCGCCGCCCAGGGCCGGATTTTCGGAGTAGTCGGAAGATCCTGTATTGCTCCGGCTCCTAGTATTATCATCGAGGTTCAGTGCTTCTTCCGGAGGGTGTACAATATATTGGCGAGGTATCGTGATGCGGTGGGGCGAACAAGGCCCGCATACAAGTCTCCCGCATCTTCTACAGTGATGTCTTCGGTTGAGAAAGGTAAAGGCATTCCCGCATATCGAGCATGCTGAGAGCTCATCGTCCGGCTGCCATCGCGGAACCACAACCTCATCAGTCATGTTTGCGTTGGAACTTAGAAGTCTAAGCACAAGGGACGCAGATATTTACAACCAGCGAAACATCAAGAAAGTTGGATGATGGAGATAGAGGCAAGCGTAGGTAGTGGTCGAGGGCTGGCCTAAGATGCCAAGTCGGGCTTATCTCATGAATCCCGAGGCTTGACCGCTCGTCACAAGCGCATGCACAGTGTGTGTGTGTGTGATTGTAAAAAGATATGGTCCCGACCATTGAATAAACAATATACCGAGTGAGCGCCGCGCTAGCTAGACTATGTACATGCGACCGTCTGTTTGTCGCCCTTGATTTTTTGCCTCCACTAACTCCATCAATACCACATCTTTCCTGAAGGAAATGAGGAAGCAGAAACCCACACTGTCAATCAAACGACGACAAGAAATACAGGAATCAGCGAGGTGCGTACCGTGATTCCATGCTCATAGTGCGATCACTGGTCACTATTTCCGCCGTACTTCCTTCACCAACACCCGCGCTTTGAAACACACTGTCGCCTGTCATACGCTGTTGTACCGTGCCCATACTCGTGGGTCTTCCACTGTTACCGACGTGGAAAAGGTGACGAGGCGGTGGTGATGTCGGAAAATAATCCTTAGCAGCCGCGCTCGAGGGCGCCCTGACTGGGTGGTCGACTTGATCGAAATTGATGCTACCAGCTCGAGAGATCGGTCGAAGATAGGGCGGTGATGAGGGTCGTATGTCTGAAATTTCGCTCTCTGTGTCCGACTCTTCAACTTCCATGTTATTCCAAGTTCCACCTAGACGGCTGCCCATGTCACCATATCCCTCGGGACTGTAAGATCTGCGGGCGCCTGCTGCTGATTGTGGATCGGGCGAGTCCTTGTATGGCAAGTAGTTCATAGGTGGTGAAGTCTGCAACTCTTGTCCTTCCTCATCCTCGATGGGCTCTCGAGTCATGTTGCCGGGCACACGAGAGCTGCGGACCACCTCAAACCCTTTGCCTTGATCTTTTCGCTTTCCACCAACAAGACGCTGAAACCATGTGGTTGCGGATGAGACAGGGCCTACAGGATCCGCAGGCCCAGTTTTGAGCTTTCTGGCGGGTGCATTCGAGAGAGCTGGGCCCCTAACACCATAGTAGTAGTCAACTTCTCTCACAGCATAGTCAGTCCTCTCACGAGGAGTCAGATCCGCCAAGTCCGGATCTGAAGCGCCTCGGTGTTGAGTACGCAGATAAGGAGGCGCGACTGAGCTACCTTCACCTAAATCGTCAACAGCTAGTGTATGATCTGGAGAATCCAGGTATGGCAGCCTATTCCAGTCGCCACTCGTCGAGTGTCGACTTCTAGCGCCGGGTGTGTATGGATCATTGGTGTTCCGACGCGGACGAGGCGCTCGGTAGTAGGGGTCGGAGAGAGGTTGTTCTGTCTTGATACCCAACACTGGACGCTTGCCAGGATTGGCAAGCACGGCGGCAGTGCCGCTAGATTGAGGGACTGCGCTGTAAGGCGTCGTTGGCGTTTCCACGGTGGGAGTGTAGCCATACTCGGATTGAGCGAACTGATCAAAACCGCCACTAGCACGATTATCAGGTAAATGCTGACTAAGCATCATCTGGGAGCTGGCAGACATGCTTCTCGATCGTCCTCCCATAAGGTTGAGCGATTTGGCGTCCGAGTCGTTGGCTAAGATAGCGGCATCAGACATCATGCTACCAGGTCTGTTTGCTTGCCTACCTGGTTGTCGCTTGCGAAGCTGACGCCAACCGAACGATATCAGGCCTCCTCGTTGTGCGCCGTGTTGAGGATCACCTCCAGCACCTGCCATGCGAGCAAAGACTTCAAGAAGAGTCTGTAAGGCGTTCATGAAGAAACCAAAGATGAGGACTATGCCATGGATGAGAAGGATGGCATAGCCGATCCAGCCCTTCGGCGCCTCGGTGACGCCGAGGGATGGCACAAAGGCGACCATGAGGAGAACGGTAGCGAGTCTTGCTGAAGCGAAAAAGGTGTGGTAGGCGTTCATATGGGTCGGAGAATGGAAGGGGCGGAATGCATGAAGTGTTAGTATAAGGATGACTTCGCAAATGGCCATGATGACTAATTGTGCAATTCCAGAAGGCTGCACTGCGCCGATGGCGATACCCCGAATGAAGGTAAGGATGGCGGGAACGAGGGCGAAGGGAGCCGCCTCATCAGAATAAGTGTTATAAAGTGGACCGTAGAGCAAGACGGTTGGGAGGTCGTCGAAGAGGTAAGCACGTGGCTTTGTGCGAAAGATCAGGTTGAGGATCCACAGTGCGAGGGCTATGATGGAGAGGAGAAGAATGACAGCCATGGCGACGACAGAAGGAGGTGAGCGGCGAGCGACTATCAGCTGAAACATGGAGATAGCAACGACGGGCAGCAGGAAGTAATTGAACAAGATGCGCACCACCATACCTCCGCTCAAGGGCGTATTTTTCTGTCGAAGATCCTCTTCCTGTGTGTTCGAGAGCAGGCGAAGTACCCAGCGCACAAGAAATGCTAGTTGGCAAAGGAGGACAGCAGCGACGGAAACGACCAGTAGCCAGACGGCCATACACGCCCAGATGTCGCGGACGGCCGTCATGCCTACCAGCTGGCTCATACGAGTCATGCCGTAGGTTCCATTAGTGATGTAGATGCCATCCTGAAGAGACATGGTTCCCTGTCCGTGAGAGACGTAGCTCGTGTTGAAAAGCAGAGCAGACCAGCTTGCCTGCTTTGTGACGGGGGCATAGTAGCCAGGGTAATTGAGACTAAGGGCACCCGTCAAGAAGATGAATTGTATGTACTGCAAACAGTCACCGAAGCCAGGAGTCACCAGGCGCAGCAGATCCTGATCACGGCCGTAGTTTGTGGTCCATTTGAAGGGATCGGTGGAGCCCCATGGCGAGTATATGGCAGCCGCAGCGGTCGCAATGGCGACGAGTATGAGGATGGCGACGGGCAAGTAGGTCAAGAGACCGGACAGGGTGTGGCCGAGCGCTGGAGTGATGTTTGCCGAGATGCAAGCAATGTCTGGAGCGCCGGCGTCGCCAGACTTTGCGCTGATGGTGGTGGCGATGGTAGCGAAGGCGTACGGGCTGTAGAAGTCGTGGCTGACGGTGAAGGCCGAGAGCTCGTAGGGGTTGGAGGCGTTGGCGAAGAAGGACGGGGTCAAGGGACATTCGGAGTTGAGAGTCGAGTTGCAGAAGCGGCTGGGCTCGGCCTCGTAAGCATCGAAGGTGAGGACTTGGTAGCGCTGGAAGAGCGTCGAGTACCTGTTGTTGGAGGGAGAAATATCAACAATCTTGCCAAAGCTGTCGTCTGCATTCTGCCACAATGGATCGTCGGGCGGCGGGTAGCTGCCTTGGGTTGCCTGGCCGCTGACATTGCCGTAGATGGTCAAGTTGAGATTGTGACTCGAGGCCGAAGTGTTGAAGCGGACGTCGACAAACAGCGGCACGAACTGCAGGTGCAGCGGGTTCGAGTTGCGGATGTTCTGGTCCAGGCAATTGTCGAAGTTGATAAAGGCGGCCGACACGTGCGAGGGCAGGGCCGACAGAGCAGCGACGCCGACGGCCAGGGCAGACTGGAGAGGCGGAAGTCGCATCGCGGAGGCTCAGGCTCAGGCTCAGGCTCAGGCTCAGGCTCAGGCTCAGGTCTGGTCCACGAGCATGCGTGAGCAAAGGGCGCCCGTCTCACGGCGGCATAGATCTATGTTTGTAGTCGCGACAGGGAAGGATGAGGATCTTTCCAACGTCTGACAATCCCGAGGTTGGGAAGAGCGTTTTCCTGCTCGACCGAAGGCTGGTGTAGCAGCTGTGGCCGTGTCTGACCAAGTCGATGTGTCTTGGTCTTTTGCTTCTAAGATCTCTTGTTTGGATGCGAAACGACACAGCCCCTGTGCTTTTCGACAACCGTCGACTTCTTACCTGGAATTGCTCAAGTCCTCGAACATGATCGACCCGGCCAAGTCGTCCCGAAATAGTACAGGATGCCAGCCCCACGGACCACTCCTTCTCTATGACGATTTCGTGCCGCTTCTCGCCCGTTTCTCGAAGCTCAGTCCGAGGAGGAGAAAGTGTGTGCTCCATCACTTGTTTTCGATACGACGTGCACGATAAGATGCCCATGGCACGATTGTTTCTTATTGGGACCCCTTGTCCTCGGTGCTGCAGCACAGCTTAGATAACGTCCTCTTGGCCAGTCATTCTCTGTGCTTCACGAGCACAATCTCACACACAAACATCTGTGATGCAGATCGGCTCGGGCTTGATCTCAAATGCCAGAAAGTAGTCACACGGCCGAGCGATCAATCCGAGCGCAAGGTGTGACCAGGGGATGCACCCTCCCAACGTTGCAACAAGCTTGCACGCAGTTTATATAAACTTCATATTCAGTCGCGGAAGCATCTTCATCCAGAGCTTACAGGTGGTATGACGGCCACCTCGTCCCCATGATTGATGAGCATATCAGCGTCAGCCTCGACGTCTACGTACTCGAGATTCACAGTAAGAGCACAGCTGTGCAGAATGTTCTGTTTGATTTTAGGGTGCATGGTCTCGAGGTGGTCAAACAAGTCCGAGAGCTTCATGGGTGCTGGAAGAAGATCGGATGATTTGTTGGTAAAGGATGCAGCAGAGGCAAAGTACAGGATACTGAAGTTGGCGGCTGAAAGAGTGAAGGTGGACATAGTTCTAGCTTTTGCAAAGTCAGTATTGGATCGTACTTGAGATTGCGCATGGGATAGACAGAAGTGGTGCGAGGGGAGGAGGTAATCAGACACAAGAGTTTCTCATCGTATAGGCCCCGGAGGACGCTAAGATAATACATGCTATTTTTTCTTGACTCATCATATGGAATGGGACATTGTGCAGCAAACAGAAAAAGATGGACTAACCTTGGTGGAATTGTTTGGTGAAGGAAGAAAGAAAAGAAACAGAATTCAGGCTTCGTCGGTGGAAGAGGTGCAATTGGCTTTGACCAGGTCGGCCAGCAAAAGACCGACATTCAAGTCCGTGCTCCATATTTTTGGTCGGCATTGGATCATCGAGCATGTGAAGATTCAAGAAACAACTTTCAACATTGCCACTGCTCTGCTTCGCTGCTGCCTGTCTTCACGAGAACAATCCAGATACAAATTTGACAAAAGAGAAAGCTCACTCGTATTTGGTAGAAGCATCAAAATGCTCAGTCTTCGCAGCGATGCGGCAAGACGGCGTCCGGAGCTGGCCAGAATGTGCTGGAGTTGCGCCTTGAAACAAACCACACGGCGCCCTGCCTCGACTCGACCTTCTTCTGCCTCCTCAGCTTCCTCTTCTTTCTCCTTATCCCCACGTAGCCGGCTGTCAGCAAGAGCGAACAGCCCTTCGATCCAGAGAAATACCAGAGCTCTCTTCTCCTCACACTCAAGGGTATCACCTTCCTTGCTCCTCTCGCCAATACCCTTTACTAACACCCTCACAGCCCCAAGACCGCTTAAATCTCGATCACGTAGACTCAGATCCGCCCGTATACAACCCGACCATAGAAGCTCTCGACCAACTAGATCCCCCCAACAAGCCTCGAAGTGGCGGCATACGAGATCAACTGCGAAAATGGCACGACGAGCATGGCCACCAGAAGTCCGCTATCAACAACGACAGCGAATACGACGTCAATGAGCGAGGCGAGACGTCGAACAACTTTACTCGCTTGGGCGATGTCGACAACTTCCGTCGTCCTGAGGAAAGCCTCGAGGACCAACGCGACGACAATTCTCAATTGCTACACGCTCGAACGAGCGACCTGGAAGATTGGGATCCGCAACACCGTTTCTTACGCACAGGTGACTTGGTCCTCCTCGACTTCCCTCGCAGTGAAAGAGAACCCATTCTAGCCATCTTCGTACGAAGAGTCGGCCAACCTCTGCAGTCTCAATTCTACACTGTTCATGGCAAGTGGATTCATGCTACCGAGAGACACATCCAGCACACTGTCTTGTCCTTCGTATCTCCGGAACTTGTACAGCCAATTGTTTCCTATCTTCCTGACCACGGCCTCACCGAGGAACTCCTGGACAGGGCCCAGATGTTCGATCTTAGCGTACCCAGAGAGATTTCTGCTCCTTTGGTGACCAAAATGCTCGAGTTTCAGCGGAAAAGCGAACAGATCTACCGTGACAATGCAACGACTCTCGACAGTGCTCACCATTCACTAGCTCATCCTACCGATCTCAAATTTGGTACGCTTGAGCTCATCGCTTCCAGGCTTCTGGGAACAGAAAAGGATAAACCCATTTCACAGGAGGCCATCTACGCCGTTCGCAGAGCTCTGACGCGAGCAGGCTTTGCCTTTGGCCATGACCGTAGAAGTCATCGTCTCACAGGCTTCATTCAGATCCGCTCGAAAGAACAGGTCGCAAATGTCGAGAGGATTCGCAACTGGGTTAGATCATGGCAAGATGATCTGGCTATCTTTGCAGCCGGAAAGTCCTCAGGTCACCAGTTCTCCCCTGCTGCACAACACGTCGTCAACTTCATCCACAAGTCACAGTCGCTCATCCAAGAAAGCCGGCAGCGCCGTGACTTCACATCGAACGGCCGTCTAGGAAATAGCAAGAAGCGATTCTCCATCTCCGATCAGGACGTCGTACAATACGAATACAGCATCGAGTTTGATGAGCAAGACCGCGAGTTGATCAAGTTCATGGAAGCTTGGGCATGCTCTGGCATGTTGCTGGGTCTTCCTCGTGTAGAGGCTCTACCTCCTCTGATCCTCCAAGCAACTGGCATGTACGAGGAGCTCGCGTTGAACCCCAAAGCCGGCTTTACGTTCTTGCAAGAGATCGGTGTCTTGACGCCTCACGAGAATCGAGTCCGCTTCGACAACCACCTGCTCTTGCCTTCTTCGCAACACTCTAAGCCTCTCGAGAAACTGATGACCAAAGTAAATAATATGGTCGCGGAGCCCAACTTTGTGGACTCGATGGCACATCTGCGTAAGGACTGGGGCAATCTGCCCGTCTTCTGTATCGACGGTGAGGGTGCTCATGAGATTGATGACGGTGTTTCATATGAAGACGCCGGTGAAGGCGAACACTGGATTCATATACACATTGCCAATCCGACCGCGTTCTTCGACCAGGACAATGCTCTTGCAAAAATGGCACGCCACATGACCGAGACCATCTATATGCCGGAACGTGCTTTCGTCATGTTGCCAAGATGGTCGACCCGCAAGCATTTCAGCTTGAAGGCCGAACGTCCTTGTCTGACGTTCAGCGCAAAGCTGAATTCTCAAGGTCACATTATCGAGCAGAAGATTCAGCCTGGCTTCATTCGGAATGTAAAGTTCATCACTCCGACTGAAGCCGCGCGGGTCGTCGGCGTTGGAAGTGGTGCAAAGCCGGATGTCGTCCTGACAGTTGGCGGTGAGCCCCCCCGCCGTAAACCAAGGAAGACTGCCGACCATTTGCTCGAACATGAGATCGAAGTATTGAAGAAATTGCAGATGCTCGCCGAAAAGCGTCAAGCAATGCGTCGTGGGGCCGGAGGTCTGTTCCTCGACACCGCCCAGCCCGACTTCAGCATCTGGCAACAGAACAGCTACGCTGGACTGGGTTGGGAACATCCCTCCAGGAACAGAGCACGTTTCGTGGAAGGCGATCCGATTATTGAGTATCGCACGAAAGAATTAGTGTCTTGGTTCTCCTCGGGCACGGGAGTCTCTGATATTCTTGTCCGTGAATGCATGCTTCTAGCATGCGAGATTGGAGCATCATGGTGTGCGGAACGTAACATACCGGTCATCTACCGAGGCACAGTGGAAAGTCCGGATGGCAAGAACCCTAAGGAATTTCATGACCGCGTTCTGGTACCTGCCACAGAAAAGAACGGTGGCGAAACACCTATGCATCTCGCTATCGAATATCTTCGAAACTCTGGTTCCACCATCCTTGCGACCAAACCCTTGCACCACCGCGTTCTTGGTATACCGACTTACAGCAAGGCTACATCGCCGCTTCGTAGATACGGTGATATGATTCTACACTGGCAGGTTGAAGCGGCGTTGCGTGAGGAGGCGAAAGCAGGAGGTCAACTTGACTTTAGTGGCGGCAACCACAAACTGCTACCTTTTTCGGAAACTGCTCTGAAGTCGATCTCGAGTGGCCTACAACCTCGTGAGGCCATGATTCGCCGTACTACTGATTATGCCGAAAATCACTGGCTGGCTACACTTTTCTTCCGCGCCCATTACTACAAGGAATGCGAGCTGCCAGCTACATTCCAAGCTTACTTTCATATGACGCCCAGTGCCAAAAACTCAGAATTCCCAGTTGTCATCAAGGAATACAGCTGTCCGGCCACTGCGGCCAAGCCGGATGCCTATGGTCTTGGACACGCTCAAGCTGGTGACACTTGGGAATGTGCCATTGAAGAAATCGACGTCTTCTCGCGAAAGATTTTGCTCAGACCTGTACGTTTGGTTGACCGCTGGGAGGGATAGACTTGTCGGGACAAGGTCATGTGCAGATATGAATGTTGAAACAATGCTAAGTGGAGCCGCTTACGCGAATAATTACTTGGCCGTTCCCAAAGTCACCTGATAGAACTCCTTTTCTCACTGCTATCTCGCTGTGCCTATACTGCAGTTGAAACAACGACGTTGCGCCTCTTTTGTTCATTCGATGACAGGGCTAGATTCCAAGTAGATCATTGGCTTAAGACAGCGCGCAGCACGTCCCCACCTAAATCCTTCGCGCTTCACGATACTCCTCAGGTACGGCGCTGGTTCCGCATATAACGGCATGGCAATTTGAATCTGTGCTGTGCGAAAAGATCACGTGTATTCGACTGCATTGGCGTCTGGCAGCCAGGAGCGCAGCGGGAGTACGCCGTCATCCGATTCAAGCCACCAGCTTGATTGAGTCTCCTCTGGTAGAAGCCACGAATTATGCTCGTCCCACAAAGTATTTCTTTGCTGCTCAATGGCACTGGAATCAACCAATTCGCTGACATGTATTGAACCGATCTGAGATGACTGCACCTTGATCTCATGGCAGACCGATCAACCCGAGCATATCCATGGCAAACGGACGTGCGAACGATGCCCGTTGATGTAGCCAACCCAAACGGGACTGGGTCCCTAAGCCAACCTGCTTGCGCCGGAAAAGGAGCCGACTATTGGATACTTGAGTGGTTCACGCATCAATTAGTCACGACCTTGACCTATCAGAGGAGACCAAGATCTCTCCCTTTCCATGTCGCTGCTGCATACGCAAGCCAGACATCTCGCGATACTCCATGACATAAAGGTGAGCCAAGACGCAAAGCTTCTGTCACCAATCAGCACATGTTATTGCCTGCGCTTAGTTCAGATGTACAACCAGACACTCTCTTGACTAATGCACCTTTGCATCTCCTTGACTAGGGGCTGTCAATATCTCGCAACCACGCCGGTCGTAACCAAATCTCAACCACTCGAAGGAGCCGAATCTCTGTGGCCTTCTGAGCCCGTAGAAAGAAGCAATTGCCGCTTAAGCAACACGGGCTGGCCACATGGTGTTTTCTACCTACGGTGTAAACCCCGTCCCAGGTCTCGAAATCCACTAGGACACGCCGAAAGGCTATTTAGACTGGCCAACCGGTCGAGCCGGCTTGGTCGCTGGGCTCTAACCTTCGGTCAGGGCCGAAAGTGTATCGCAGATTAACTCTCTCGAGCAACACTCACACTGTACATCCAGGTCTGTCAACTCTGAGGTCGTGAAAACTGATTATTGCCTGTCAAGTGGCGTTGTCAAGCGAAGAGTGGTGACGTCTCAGGGCCGTTCGCTTACCGTGGACTTGGATGTGACCCTTACTACTCCTCATCGAGTCCCGATCTGTAGGAACACGGCGCTATTGTGCATGACTGTAACGGGTCTAGGCTTCACGATCATAATGTACCCTAATCACAATCATCACAAGCTCATGATTTGTCCGCCTGCCTGCCGGTATCTTCAATGGTCTCTGAGCACCCATACAACATACAAGACCACATTGCTTCGAGGCGGAATCCAGGTGGGAAAGTCGAAAAACTTCCTCTACTTCTGTTGTATCAGTTCCAGAATACTTCCCCAGATTTCCTACTTCCTGAACGACTGACAGGTGTGGCTTGGAGTTTTAAGCTTAGGATACCCGGCATCAGGTTCAAATCACTGCGTTGCCCAAAATTGGGGATGTGTGGGCCTCACCACGGGGACCAATGGCGCATTCTCCTTAAGCAGCCTTAGCTCCGTCGTTCAAAAGCATAGATCAAACTTTCCGTTGCGTCGTTTCAAGCTGACTTCCCGCTACAGCGTCTGTGTCCACGTAGAAGGTGCTTTGACACGCATGGCCTCTTGGCCATGTTAAGAATCGAAGGCCCTCAGCTCAAGTTATGATCCACTCATGATGGAGAACGCAAGTCCCTGGGACATACAGGGAATATCAGCCAACACTCAAGCCCAACAGATCTTTTCGTCGTCGTCGCGACCGGATCTTGCCTCTGAGAATAAGCTCAAGAAGCAAACACAACCCCGCCAACTCCTGAGTTGCACCAAATGTCGGGAACGCAAAGTAAAAGTATGTTTTGCCCATCTCACATTAAACACATGTCAAAACTAAGCTCAATGTAATAGTGCGACCGCACAAAGCCATGCTCTGCTTGTTGTGCCAGAGGCCTGCCGAAAGATTGCCACTTTGTTCTTGGAGAGGGCGCTGAATTTGGGCCAATACAGCAATCAATCGAACTCCGAAGATTGAGAGCTGAGAATCAGAGGCTTAAGGAGCGTCTTTTGGCAGGCAGAACTTCGCTCTCCGAGGAGAGTGAAACGGAGGAAGGCTCGTCGTACGAGAAGACAATCACTGGGCGACGGTCGAGTCGTCAGCGGCGATTTCGTGCCGACGACCAAACTGACAGCATCTACTTTGGATCCCCAGCACTGGCAAGTGTAATGACTGACGTGAGTAACAAGCACATCACGAACTGTCACGCCCTTGATTGATCTATGCCCTAGTTTGCCAATTTGCAGATGGATCCAAAATCGCTATCGCATGCCATGCCTCGAGCATCAGACATGTATGCAACCCAAGACGCCATGTATCCGTTTCCAACGCTATGGCCTGCCATGTCTCGTACTCAAGGCTTGTTACAATGCCTGCCCTCACACGACAAACTCTTCCTCTACCTAGAGTCTTTTAGCAAAAAAGCCCAAGGGTTCGCCTTTCCTTACGTACCTGAAGAACTAACACAACGAGAAGTCGAAAAATTTCTCGAAAACATTGAAGAGAATGCAGAAAGGGTCCCGGATCTACTCGCCCTCATGTTCGCCGCTCTAGCTCTTGGAGTGCAACTCGAAACGTTCGACGGTCAACAAGTGGTGCAGACAAGTGACTCTCAGAACAACGGTCGTAAGGGCGAGATATTCTGTAAGCTTGTATCGGTCTTTTAACTTCTCTTCAAACACTGACTTTGATCTCATCAGCTGTGGCTGCAATGCAGGCTCTCCGCTTAGCGTCCTTTACTAGTCGTCCTACCCTGAGAGGCATCCAAGCAATGACCATGCTCGCTCCTTACCTCACGAATACTGGACGATTCCTCGATGCCTGGTCTATGTCAGGTCTGACGATTCGTCTAGCTCATTCCATTGGCTTGCATCGTAACCCTCGCTTTCTCGATCCAACGCCTTCGCTTCGAGAGTCCACAGTACGCAAGGAACTCTGGTGGTGGTTATTACATATGGACCAGGAGTACTCCATGATTCTGGGTCGACCTCTGGGCATCTCTGGTATTGGAGATTGTCCTCCTCCTGAGCCCCTGACAACGGATCCAGTAGCGTTACGTTTGAGTGAGTTTTTTGACCAGCTCACGATACACGGTCGACAAATACTGAGCAGCAACCAACTCTCTGACTCGAAGATTGACATGTACACGGATCGTCTAATTTCACTGTGGGACACAATGCCAGATTCTCTCCAATTCAACAAATCATGGATAAAAGAAGAAACAGAATTGCCAGACTGGCCAATGGAGACGAGGGCAGCAAGTAAGAGAGTCGTGACCCGATCGAAAGCCTCAGACTGCTGACATATATTCAAGTATCTTACTGTAGTATACACAACTACATCATCCTCCTGAACCGACAACGCATCGAGAACAATCGGAGTGTTCCTGAGTATCGTCCACGATCACCGAGATCGCGTCAATTCAGCGCTGTTCCCGAATTCTTTCTCCAAACCACATCGCACACTTCTTCACCATCTCCTACGATACCAAGAGGTAGACCGCTGGTTATAGACTCTTGTCTAGCGTTATTGGACGCCTTTCTGTTTTTCTACAAGCGCGTCCCGTCGGCACTCGTTGACTGGACCATTGGCCAACAAGCTTTCAATGCCTGCATGATACTATTGCTTGATGGTATCGACAGCGATAGCATTGCAAATATCGGAAGAGTGGAAACAGCATACAGCATATTCGTCGAAATGGACAAGGCCGGGATGCACCAACTTACTGGACTAGCCACATCCCGCATAGCTCAAGGTCTCGACCAGCTGAAACAGGCATTCGAGGCACATAAGATGTCGATCAATACGGAGGCCATCTCCCCTATGAATTTGCAGCACAGTCACAACGGAACTCCCGAGAATCCTTTTGACAGGAGCATGGATCAAAGGCTCCGTTCCCACGGCTTCTCGCAGGATTCCGTGATGGGAGCAACAGGAATGTTCCTGCTTGAGGATCATGGTCTTCAGACCAATTTGGTTCGAACAGAAGCGTCTGGGTCGCTGAACGGCGCATCTGCTCCAAAAGTCACAGTTGCGCCTGCTCCGGATCAACAAAGCTTCGGTGGAAACTTGATGCAACGCACGACCTTACTGGAGCCGCGACGAGACTCGGCACATCCATTGGGATCTGTACCTGCTCACCTCCATCCTTCAATACCAGTGATACTTCTACACCATCATCCCATGCACGTCCAGTACTTATCTGGCCTGCAGCCCATGCCGACTTGGAACCATGCCGGGAGCTGGCAACAACACAATACCCAACAACAGCAACAAAGGACATTCGCGCAGCCATCGGCACAAGGAGGACACCACGGACAAATAAACCAGCAGGAACAACATCGTCATCAATAGCACCAATCAGAGACGACTTTGACATACAGAATAGTCACAGTGTCTCACACAGCCACCAATTAATCATAAAAGTAAATCTCCAAAAGAATCAATGCTCAATCAGAAAACTCTTGCCACAACTCATAGCAATCGAAGATCGAGCGTCTTCTTCCAACATCAAAACCTGCAGACACACACAACGTGAAGTCCACATAAACCCTCAAATCTAGCTTCTGTCACTTTTGCAAATCCCGAACTCTAATAGTGAACCCTGCCATTTGCTCTCGCAAATCCCGAAAAACCATTCACTCCAGTGCTTGGAGCAACGTCAGATCTCCATGGTGTCTCCGAGTCATCTTGGGTCGTGACTCGTTGGAGAGGCAAGGTAAAGCGACCACAAAGACCAGAGCAGACGCTGAATGTCATCTCTTTCCCCTCGCCTTCGCACCGAACATATTTTTGTTCTTTCCTCCAAGCTATGTCCAACGGTTCAACAACGATGATCTAGTCAAAACAAGAACAGAGCAGGCTAAAATGAGCGAGGAACATGTCACTATCCTCCTTCTAGAAAGTCCGTAAAACGTGGCACGAGCCTCCAAACGCTAGACCTTGCATCGGCGCGTTTGTCCGCCTCCGATGGATTGTCAGCCTTATGGCTCGTTCCTTTTTTCGAGTTGTATAAGCTTTTTTTTTTGGTTCTAGTTTGAGCCTCATTTTGGTATAGTGGGATTTTTGTCTCCAACGTTCTCACTTCCGGGAGACTTGGTGGGTCGGGATATCGAATGCGGGTTTGCAATAGTCAGCAGTGAGAGTTGACATCGCATCCCAGATCTTCATTTTTTGTGTCTCGAACAAGAAGTTGCAATGTGGCAGTGGACTCCCGGTTGTCGCAAGCCTCGATCGATGAAAGCGCCGTGGTGACGGATGAGTAGATATACTTGGCTGAAAGGCCTTCTGTAAACGCCGCAAGGACAACATTTCCAGAGCTACGGAGAATGATCAAGAGTGTCGAGAGAAACGATGCAAGAGCTCAAAGCACGAACGCCTGACACATAGGGGAGAAGCTACGTACGATTGAAACTTGACAAGCCAGATTGAAAGGGCAATCACGGCCCAATTGATCGAAGCACGAATAAACAAGGAAAGATGCACCAGAAGATATGAGGATGTAAGGAAAGAACGTGAGGGCAACACGAGAAACCTCAACCATGCACCGGACTCAGATACACGGAACCAAGAAGGAACGATGAAGCTAAGTCGAGGGTTTAGCCAGATACAGTACACACAAAGATTCATTCATCCGCACCTCACCACAAGACTTCAGACAACTCAACATCACCATATCAAGGAGTATGAAAATTTTTGATAAACGACGAAATCATGCACTGTGAACTATCGAAAGATTCGCATGTACTGTCATGCTGCTAACGCTTCGCTACTTCCTCTCAGGCCGAGGTGCCTGACCCAAAAGAACAAAAACAAACCAAGTGGAAAACTCATCATGAAGGACAAGGCTATAAACTAATCGTGGTTAACATACAAGCGTGTAAAAGTTTGGGTCTGTCTCGCCTAAACAACAAAAATAATTTATTGCGACGGGATTCATATTGATCAATCAATTTGATCCTATCCACTTCCATTTTCTCCACCAGTCTTGTGGCGGAATATCATGCGTCTCGTGCCGCCGACCTTGCCCATGTCTGACCAAGCGACGCGGTCGGTCTCGCTCTTCTTTCTCTCTACACTGCTAGCCTGTTTGGCTCGGCTCATCATCTCTTCTACCCAGCGAGCCTTCTGCTCGTCGAGTTCGCGGTTGCCACGTGAATGCTTGACCGAGGGACCTGCGAGACCGATGTCTTGCCCAGACCATGAGGACGGAGAAGCATTCAAAAAGGTGTCTGCAGTTGAGGGACGGGAGGAACTCTTCACAGAGCCAGTAGGAGTATGGTAAGCACTGTTGCGAGTAGTGGTAGGTGTGAGGTCAATCGGTTGGGTGGTTGCAGAAGGACTGCTGTATAGCATGTCCACTGGCATCGGGGCCCCTGCAGCACCGAAGGATGAACGGCTGCGGAAACTCATACTGCTGTCCGGACGGTCGAGAACGCTTCCAGGCCTGCTGAGAGGTGTTCGAGTCTTTGCACCGCCACCAACACGTGTGCCACCCACTTCCAACTTACCGTCACTAAAGGTACGATGGCCGTGGTGCTCCGCATACTGGCGCAAGTATTCGCCCAGGTCGGCCCAGCCGCCGCCCACGCGTACCATACAGCGTTCACCCTCGCCCACCAGGCGAACGTACAACTTGATTGGCTGCTCTTTGCCTTCTTGTGTGAGGTAATACATCTTGCCGTCTGCGTCGGTCGTGGTTGATCTTCGGGAGGTCATTTCAGATTGAACGGCCGATAAAGTGAGACCGGTGCGAGAAGGTTTGCCCGACACCGCAGGACGCGGTCTAGGTGGCCCAGTGGCAGTGCTCGGCGCAGGAGACAAATCACGAGAAGGTAACGAGAGCGAAGGCTTGAAAGCAATTCTAGAAGGCAGAGTATTGAGGACACGACTGACGTGACGATCCAACTGTTCAGCGTTGGACGTGTTGCGCGTATGTCCCTTCCTGGCCGTTTCTGGCTGGGAAATGCTGCGATTGGTCTCCGAAGCCTTAGGTGTAGCCTCTGGTTCTACGACATAGCGGCGTTTATGGACCTCTAGATCCAGAGGCGGAGGTTTGACTGCCCCTATCGGTTTACCAGCGGCGCTCCTCTCTGTATCTGAACGCATCATAGGCGGTGGTAGACCAAAAGCAGGGGGCTCGCCACCAAGATCGTCTTGAGATGACATATCATCGTGCATAATCTCGAATGATGCCTCTTTGGTTACCTTAGGTGAGGAGATACTAGATCGTCTCGGCATATCGGGGATCTCGATGGTGTTCAACTCTGAGCGAGGATGATTCTCAATAGAGGTGACGGATGCCCGTTTGATCATTGAACGCCTCTTCTCGTAGGTGGGTTCATCGTCCCGTTCGTCAGAAACTTCATTGCCCTCCTCATGTCCCGCGCCCATGGAGCTAAAATTGGTCCAAGAGGTACTGCTCCCAGCGGATGGCGATATCCTGCTCCCAGGCGAAGTCTGCACCTGCTTAGCTCTGAAATAGCCTGCAGCTGAGGCATCTTGTACTTCGGGGGTCGCATCGAACGATCCTGGTGTTGGAAGCTCAGTAATCGGCTCAAACGACAGGCTCGTTGTGCTAGGTCTGGACATGTGCCGTGGTCTCTGACTACCAGGAGATGATGAACCGCTACGAGGTCTGTGATGACCGATGCTACTGAGCATGGTGTCATCAATAAGGGGTTCCTTTGACTTGGACCGTTTGTGTCTGAACATCTTCTCGAAAGGATTGCTTTCTTGCGATGGTGGTCGAGATTTGGTCTGCGGCGTTCCAGGTAGAGAGTCGACGAACATCTTTTCGAACACATCAGAATCCATTGGGTCTTTTGGTGTGGATGTCTCATCATCGTGTATCATAACGGGCAAGGGCCAGTTCTCTGGGAACTCTACCCTCGCAGGCGAGTTCCAGTTCGAATCAAGTGTCGACTTGCTGTTCTCGGACGAGAGGAAGTAATCTTGATCTATCTCTGGAGTGACATAAGCGTCCATTGGCCGTTGATGATCTTGAGGAACATTCATCTGTGCGGGTTGAGAGACAGCGCTCGTGACTGCAGCCTGCTCTGAGCCAAAGCTATGCCTTGTCATTGATGACGATGAGGAGTGAGCGAGATGTGACGATTGCGTGACACTGCTCAGATCAGGTTGAGCAGGTGTCGTCAGAGATGCCGAGCGATGAAAATGGCGGAAGCCCTCATGACTCTTGATTCCCAACCCGAGACCTTTACGATTACTTGCTCGACTCGAGGTGGAGCTAGTCCTCGAATGGTTGGATGTAGTATTTGCAGCATTATTGGTCTTATTGAAGAGCTTTGTGAATGCCATGGAAGCATGCTCAAAGGGACGGACAGGACTATTGACAGATTTTTGCAGCGATTGAGTACGCTCAATACCTCCATTGAGGAAGGCAGCGCGAGCACGAACACCACTCATGGCGGGAGAAGTCTGCTCTACGGTGGGCGGGGAAGAGGCAGCAATAGAGGTGGATGGAGAACCAAGCTCGGGCGTTGGTGCGATCGAGAGTGAAGGACTGGAAGCGGCCTCACTGTGTTGCACAACGATGGGTACATGGCGGGAGCGCGAAGTGCTCGGCGGCAATGACTTCAAGCTGCCGGCTCGATGAAGAGAATCGGTAGTTGACACAGCTGGCTGAGCATTGTCAGATGTGGAGGCGGGTGCCTTCAGTACATCTTTGGGTACACTATCGCTCTCCATGTCTGAAGTCTCATCCACATCGTGTAAGAAGGCAGAGCCCGTCCCTAAGATGGGGCTCTCAACCGGCTGGAAAACAACATGCTCGTCGTTTCGCTTCGCGGACTCTGATATTCCATTCGCTGTCTCCAGGCTGGTGCTAGGACCAATGACCGGAGACGAGATCAGTTCTGGAGCGGCATGAACAACGGTAGAGTCTTCGTGATCTGAAGAGTCAACGGACGAAGAGACAACCTCGCGAGTGATGACAGCGGCAGGAGCTTGTTTCTTGACGGCAGGCACATGTAGAGGCATGTTCTGAGCAATAATGTGACGGTCGGTCTGGGTAAGCCATTCGCTGTAGCTCAGCTCGAGAGATTCAAAAGTATCGATCCAGGAATCTGGGAGAGTCTCTTCTCTTCCTTCGAGATCATCCAACATGGAGTCGAGTCGGCCGCCGACTTTGCCCATGCGAGACTCCAACTGTTCTTGAAGAGCTTGGAAGGCGTCACGCGTAGTGGATGGGTCGTGTGTCTCGCGCAGACAGCGAGTCATGTCAAGCCATGCATTGTCGAGATCAGATCTGAATTGATCTAGGCCCTTGAGATAACCAGGCACCTTGCGCAACAAAGACACACGCATGGACCAGGTGTTGAGCAGACGATCGAGACGTGAGAGATAGGGTAGGGCACGCAGAATGGTTGCAGTGATGAGAGCGGTGAAGTCGTCGAGGTGTTCGTAGTGGTCGTAATTGGACGTCTTTGGCTGGACATGTTGGGAGAGGACATAGTGCTTCAGCTCGTCAACGTCCTGGTCGAACAGGCTTTCGCGGATCTCTTGGATGCGCTGTTCGAATGCAAGCACCTGGCTTTCGCGCAGACTGCCCCAGTATGGACCCTCGACGGCGGCGGCGGCGTGTGCTGGGGGCTCAAAGGAATCGGACCATGGCCAATGTTGCAACTCATTATGCCAGAGTTTGATGTCCTTGCACGTCTGTGCTATTCTGATTCCAAATGCTCTTTCTGAAGTCGATGCTTTCTCGATCAAGCCTACCAAGGCTGCCTGGCTCTTGCTCTCTTCGCTCCCGGGTTCCGAGGTGAAAGCTTTCAGTGTACGCGTCGGTGACAGATCGCGGCCTAGGGGATCGTATGACTGTGAGTGGTTGCGTCTGTGTCGCGAGGGCGAAGGAGATCGTGATTGCGAGGGTGAAGCAGAAGCGCTCGAGTAGACCCTCGCCGGCGCTGCGAATCGCGGGGGATCGATGGCCGGGTTTCGCGCCATTTTGCTTTCTCGCTCTTGTTTGTATTGAATGGAGTTTGGAGACGTTCAATCGATCATATCGACTGGGTCTTCATGACTGTCGGACTCTTGTAGCAGTGGCCGCACTCCAGACAGACGATGTGTTGGATCACTATGAAACAGAGACAAACCAATTGTGAGACATGGACCAATGTCTCTTCTCAATTACACCGCCGGCGCATCAATGAGCAGGTGAGCGAGAACAGCAGATGATGTACGAGTACGACCAGATGCAAAACGTCGTATATGGACTAGGTACCGACATGTACTTTCGGCATCTACTGATCGTCCTCAGAGAGTGCACTTTTGAGATCATGGCTTGGCTTGGCGCCTCTTCTCAATCTATCATCATCCCTCTATCTCTACAGTCCAACGCTAACGTGTCGCCGTTTTGCTGCACGCTGATATCCAACCTCTTACCAAACGGCGCCCACAAGAACACGCGTTTGCCGCGTTCGATATCTGGTGCGACCAAAGAGTCTTGCCTCCCTGCCTGCCACCTCGGCTTGAGATCAGCACGCCGTCGACTCCGCATTTGGGCGCTCGCATCCTTCCAACTTCCCGCGATCCCAATCCTACCACCTAGCGACTTGCGAGCTGTGAAAAGGGGTGCGTGTGGTTGGCTCAACAGATTGTTAAACCAGCCAATAGAATAAAATATACCGACGGACATCGCAGACATTCTCGAGTGCATTGAGTCCTGGAAAAGCTCTGCGTGACAGAAGCACAAAAGAATGCGATGACCCCACAATCTTATCGACCATTACCTACCTATCAATGCTTTTGCTTGTCCTTCTCTGCTCTCTTCTTCCGGATCATGTTGTCAAACCTGCCGTAGTTTTAGCCAAATCTCGAACCAGATGTCCAAGGCCTATTTGCACTCACCTGTTGTACGAGCCTACGCCTTCGATAAAGGTGGTGGCCAACCACAGCCACCAGGTCCGACTTCGAATGTAGACATTGTGCTTTCTCAGCCGTCCGCGTGCCATGGCTACCGTCTCTGCTGTGTGTACGACAAGCATGAAGTACCAGATGTATGGCTGTATCCTCCAACAAAATTTGGCGAAATGTTCGGGAGCCAGGCCTGAGATGATGCTGCCCTGTTCGAAATTACTCCTCGAGCTGAAGACCACAAAGGTGGTCAACACTATGATGAAGCCCGCGAGATAAGGTCCTTTTGGCGGCAGAAACTCCTTGACAGTGATGTCGCTCCGGCCAAGCGCCTCGACGCAATCTTTGTCCATCTGTACCAGTCGTTCTCGAGCCTCTCGGAAGGAGGTCATCGGAGGCTCTAAAGGAGTCCTGTATCTCAGACCAGCACACTCGAAAGCAATGTGCTCAAGCGATGCATCGGTAATTTTGCCAGTCCATGCCTGGTAGCCTGGAAGGTGGTGATAGTGTTCAAGATATCGAACGACCTGTGGTAACACTCCATGAGTTTGCGTATATAGCGCAGCGCTCGAGTGGACTTACCGAGTCATGGTGGTCTGCATTCATATGAGATATGATACGGGTCTTTGCCGCCTCATCTTTGGACTGGTCACTCATGTTGTCTCTGTGGCTAGATGTCGTCCCTAGGTCAAGAACGATGTTGTCTTCAACGTATGTTGCCTGCCTCGTAGGATCCCGATGACCAGATGATCAAGCCTAGCCGCGCCTGACTTTGTATGTCTCCCGATGGCCAAAAGTCGTGACGCTTTGGGAAGTTGCCCTGCAAGAAACACCCACGCATATTACAAATGCTCACAGATGTTTTTCTGGAATCACGACATCATGTTGCTAGATGTCTCTTTGAGGCAGCCCAGTTACAGACGTGAGCTGTAGACACAGTTCACTCCCCTGTGCTTCATGGAGGCCTCACATATCACCGAGAAGTCGTTTCCGATCGATGTATACCTAGACGGCATTCAGAGAAAGCGGTCGCGCAACAAGCCGAAGACCACAATAATACGTAGCCCGCCCGGTGTCGAGGACGAACTATGTGTTGCCGTCACGCCGTGTCAAGACTACGACGACGCGAATTTGAGACATCCTTCTCAACTTGTCCGCTCGATCTCGATGACCTTGATCACGAAAAACACTGTCGATCTGCGCTCTAGTCCACCGTAAACTTGACACCTGAGGCGCTTCACGGCCTGTCACCGCTCCCAAGATTCCTTCCACAAACATCATATCATCATCGTCGCTCTCCGCGCTCACAGCAAGCGAGCTCGCCGGAACGTTGAGTGCCGGTTGCCAATGCACAGACGGAGTTCGATCGCGACGCCTCAACATGTGTGGCTGGCCCTGACACTTCCCGTGAGTTGCAACTCTAAGCGAACATTATGCATTGGCTCACGCGCGATCAGCACGCCTGCATGCTGAGGTGCCCACTTCAGTCCTCGAGAAATGTGGCTGGTGAGCCAATGTTACGTCAAAGGACCGCCCTTGGACATTCATGCGGGTTTGAAACCTGCTCGGATGTCAAGGGTGCTGCCAGTTTTCTAAGTATCAGCCGGCCTTTTCCATTCTCTTCATCTCTTCCTCCTTACAAGCACTACATACACCCAGACCACACATCTCACACCAAATCTATCTTCGCAAACCCCTATCATGTCGGACAAGCAAGCCTCTGCCGGAGCCGAAGGTGGTGCCAGTGCTCCCGAAAGAAAGAAGCCACAGAAGCTGGGCCAGAAGAAACCTCAGCAGCAACAGCCCACCCCCGACCAATCGGAAGGAGATGGTGGTGCTGAGGCCGAAGCAAGCGCCGACGTTGAAGCAGATGCCAGTGCCAACGCCGATGGAGAAGAAGAAGCCGAGCCGGAACCTCAGCAACAAAAGTCACGTCAAGCATCTCAATCTCGCAGACGCCAGAGCCGTGGTCGTGGCCGTCGCGGACAAGACAGCGACACAGAATCTGTTGCTAGAAGCGATGCATCTGCGAACGGTGGACGTCGCCAACGTCAACGTCAGAAGAAGCAAGGCGGCGGCGGCGGTGGTGGTCCTCTGGACGACATCACCGAAAATGTTCCTGGAGGTGACGCAATTGGTGGAGCTGGCGAGATGGTTCAAAATACCGCTGGTCAGGCCGTCAACCAAGTTGGAAACACCGCGGGTAAGGCTCTCGGCGGTTTGACAGGAGGTCAGAAGCAAGGCGGTGGTGAGGAAGAGGACGACGGTGGTAAGGGTGAACAATTGCGTCTGAGACTCGAGCTTAACCTGGACATTGAGATTCAGCTTAAGGCTAAGATTCACGGTGACCTGACTCTCGGATTGCTGTACGTATATCGCCGCACTTCCCTTCTCAATGGAGCTGACAATCCACCAGTAACTAAAACCATTGCTGCCACGCATACGCCGAAAGTGCGGACGACCAATGCTGAAACGACATTTATAATGGGATACCATGGAGTTCTGGTCTTTGTTGGATTACCATCTGTTCATCTTGTTTCATTCCCTGTATTCTGTAAAGTTAGATCAAAAACGACGAGAGGACCTTTGAGCCACACAAGACTGTTCTGTCGACGGAGATGTGATTATGCTTCTAGAGCACAAGTGATACAAGGCAAGCGTCTTCTCGCTTTGCATATCCTCTCTGCTCACCTATCGTGGATGCCCGATCCCGAGGTATCAGTCTACTTGAAGACCTGCACATGCTGCCTGAGGTATCTTCGTATTCGTGTCATGTTCGTTCAGTCGGATCACCATAGAGCTCGCTTCACCGTCAGTACCCTGACGTCGACGTGTCAGCTAGTGAGGCGCAGTGCCTTGATCATGAATAGTGTTTGAGCGGTCTCGCGAAATTTCCTTCTGCAAATTGCCCTAGACGTGGTCGCCTTGATTTCTCCACATGGGAGCCACTTTTACGTTGACCTAGCCGTTTTGTCGAGCCACACTTCGGCACGGGCTGCAGTTTCAGCTCGCTTCCCGCTGTCAACCCCTGCTCGCAAATCCGAATCGAGTCGCTTTGCAGATACGCGTCGTCTTCAACAAGGCAAGGAATTGCGTGCAGAATGCTGCTATGACGTGTGGCTAGTGGGCGGATCCCTCAAGAATCAGGTTTGTGTGGCACATGGATTTGATCATGGCGCAGGCGTCGCTCGGTATGCTGCCCGCACACGCTGGTCTCGAGATCGTGAGACTGGGCCAGCCGCGACATGTTCCCTGCCCGCATGCCCGCGGACGTCACTGCTTTCCTCTTGCACTGTCTCGCTGCCCTGACCACTGGCATCGTGATTTCCTGCCCTCTGTAGCTCTCCAAGAAATTCACAACCTATCCTCCCATCACCAACCAAACCCCCACTATAGACAATCATGCCGACTGATGAGGAGATTGTTGCTGCGCGCCAGAATTGGGAACCGGAGTACCCCTCGGGAGACGAAAAGAGATTCGCCGGTAGCCAGGCAGAGCAGGCACAAAACCAGAGGACTGTCACGCAACAAAAGAAGCACAACGAATACTACAACCAGGAGAAGCGTCAGACCGGTACGGCAATCTAGTGATCTGCTATCTCACGCTCGAGACTGATCTTTACCAGGTCTCCAAACCGAGCGTTCCCGATCCTCATCGCGCCGAGCAAGAAGAAAGCGAGTCAAGAACGACCAGAGAGATGGCAAATACATGCACACCAATTCCCTAGAAGCTCTGGAAGAAGCCGACGCCAACGGCGAGCTACACGAGATGCAACCTTTCGAACGTATCGGACCCGATTCAACATCCATGGACGGCCCTGTCACCAAGGCTCGCGCAGACAGAGGAGAGATTCCTATGCGAGGCAGCAACCCCAACCAGCCCTATTATAAGAAACCACCAAAGAAGGAGTCGTCTCTCCTTGATGAAACCGATGGCTTGAAGCTGAAGCTGGATGCCAACCTCGACGTCGAAATTGAGCTCAAGGCCAGTATTCGTGGTGACCTGACACTATCACTCTTGTAAGTTCCGACCACATGTCGTCTCGACTGACTTCTACCTTTGCTGTCCCCGCATCGGATCATGTCTAAGTATCGTACGCAGAGAATAACTGTGTACAGTGCATGATCGAATTGGCTTGCCAGAGCCAGACCCCTTGTCTGCTCCCAGCCAAATCGCCCAAACGCACTCCTTGGCATGATCATGTATTATTTTTATCACCTGTACGAAACCGAACCGTCATGATGGGAACGGCGTTTGTTTTAATCGGAAGCGTTTCATTCATACCTCTATGCTTATAACTTAAAATCGTTGGCTAGATACATGCTAGCAATTTACTGCTTGACAGAACCAATCTTCTCATTCATATAGACATCGCCTATCGTAGGTTTCGGCAATCTTGAATCCTGCGAGCCTTCTCCACTTACTCGACAGCCGAACGGGAGATCGATCGCGATGCGAGTTCAAGGATTCGGGAACGAGAGCTCTGTTGAGCCTTGGAGACATAATGTGCTGACTTTAAAGCCCTGATGCTATCCTAGACAGATTCTCCTCCTGATTCCACAACATACACATTCTATAACACACACAACAGTGATGCAGGCTTATCGCTACGAAAATCCCGACGGGCAGCTCAAGCTGAATTCAAAATCAATCCCACAGCCATGGGCTGGAGAAGTGCTCATCGCCGTGGGAAGCTGCTGGACTCTGCCGTTTAAAACTACACATCTCAAAAGGACACATGGAACATCTAGATCCGTATTCGGTCAAGGCGCCTCTCACTCTCGGTCACGATGTCGCAGGAACCGTCCCCAAGTTGGGCCCAGGAGTCTCGGCCTTCGAGAAAGGCGACGGCGTCGCCGTAGCACAAGTCGGCTACCCAATTGCCGAAGCCAGCTGGGATACCGGTGTCGGTCTGGGGACGATGGTGGACTTGCCAAGCATGTTATCACCAACACCCGTTGTGTGGTCAAGGTGCCCGAGAACATACCTTTGCATATGGCAGCTAGAGAAAAGGAATGTGTCTTAGATCGCCTAGAGAAAAGCAACGTGTCTGGTCGGCTACAGACAAATCTCTCTGCTGGAACAGGCGCTTAAGCATTACATTGCAACAAAGCTGATCAAGCCACTAGCAGGAGATGTATTAAAATGAACTTCAGTCAGGTAGCGCGAGGGTTTCAAGGAAGAGCAATAAATGAATGTCTGGCGATACTCGCACTTATCTGAATGAACCGCGGTGGTTCGATCCACTCAGAATAGAGAGAGAAAGCAACATGCCGCACGCTTTGACAATGATTCTACAAAGCTGTGGTATTGTTAGGGAAGGAACGAGAGAGGTCGGAAGTCTTGGCTGCCGAGGTCCGACGGCGTGCAATTGTGAAATGTGAGCTTTAATTCTACTCTGACTGCTCGGGAAGAACACGACCTGTAATGAAGACAGGGTTAGGCATAATCGTTAGGCGCACTCACGACTGCATTGTGAAGTCCAATCACCAAGTGTCTACGGGAGTCGTTCGATGGTATCCGCAATTAACACCACGTAGACCCTCACGCCTACCCCAACGAGCAGGAACGAAAAGTATGATCACTTCAGCGCCGTTGTCAAACATGTGAGACCGAGGAAGCAAGCATGACACCGATTCGATTACCTATTGAGGTAATTCGTCCGAATTTCCGATGCGGCAGCGTTGACAGTAGCTTGAGTTCGTCCGACCGTGACACAGTGTACACTCGGCTGGTCAAGTAGTAGCTAGTCCAGCTGCGAAGCGGACGCTGATGCCTCCTTGTCACTGTTGTTCTCTCCAACCGCGCAGAATCTCTGTTGAATCTCGACTATGACAGAAACTATTCCTCAGCCAGCAGGCTTGCCATTCCTTGGGAATGTACTGAATGTGGATGCAGAACATCCTCAGGAAAGCTTCGCCAACATCGCACAGATATATGGTACATCGACTGTTCTTCAACCTTCGAAGCGTGTGACTGATCGGTGTAGGACCTATCTTCAAGCTGAAGCTCGGTGTAGAGCGTGTCTTCGTTGCATCCCACGACCTTGCGATAGACCTTTTTGACGAGAACAAATTCGAGAAGGCGGTGGCAGGTCCCCTCAAAGAGATCCGTAACGGCGTGAAGGATGGACTGTTTACCGCCAACCCAGGTGAACACAATTGGGAGATCGCCCACCGTATCTTGATGCCAGCTTTTGGGCCATTGTCGATTGGCTCAATGTTCGGCGAGATGGCCGATGTTGCTTCTCAGCTTGTGCTCAAGTGGGCTCGATTTGGTCCCCAGAGTACTATTGATGTTACCGATGACTTTACCAGACTGACTCTTGATTCTATTGCATTGTGAGTATTCAGAGCGGCCCCGCGACGTCCTTCGCATCTAATATCTCCAAGGTGCGCCATGGGCGACCGATTCAACTCTTTCTACCATGACGATATGCATCCATTCGTCAAGGCCATGGTGGGCTTCCTCTCCGGCTCCGGTGCTCGGGCTCGTCGACCAGCCTTCGCACCCGACATGCTTTACAGCAAGGCCAATCAACAGTATCAGGATGATATCGCCGAGCTTCAGACAGTCGCGAAGGAGCTCCTCAATGAACGTCGCCGGCACCCTACAGATAAGAAGGATCTCTTGAATGCCATGATTAATGGTAAAGATCCCAAGACTGGAGAAGGGCTCACAGAAGATGTCATCATACGCAACATGATTACCTTTCTCATTGCTGGTAGGGCTTGGTGATTACCTGCTGAATGCTATCGCTGAACAAAGACACAGGTCACGAAACCACGTCTGGATTGCTATCCTTCCTCTTCTACGAGCTACTTTCGAACCCCGAGGCCTACAGTGCCGCACAGAAAGAGGTGGACGATGTAATCGGCAAGCAAAAGATCACTTTGGAGCTTTTATCAAAGCTGCCATATCTCAACGCTTGCCTTCGTGAAACCCTGCGCCTCCATCCGACCGCTCCTGGCTTTGCACTTACTGCTAAGGGAGACCAATTACTCGGGGGCAAGTATAGAATCAAGAGCGGAGAGGTGTGCGTTGCTGTTCTTCCTCTCATTCACCGCGATACTGCAGTGTACGGCGAGGATGCAGAGGCGTTCAAACCTGAGAGGATGCTCGATGAGCCCTTTGGCAGACTGCCACCTCACGCCTGGAAGCCATTTGGTAACGGTATGAGGGCCTGCATCGGGAGACCCTTCGCCTGGCAAGAGGCTCTCCTCTGCGTGAGTACCTTGCTTCAAGCCTTCCGGTTCAGTTTCGCCGATCCTTCCTACAGCCTGCAGATCAAGACCACCTTGACTATCAAGCCTGACAAGTTCTTCATGAAAGCTGAATTGAGAGACCCAGATATGACTGAGGAGCTGATTGGCAGCATAGGTGGCTCCTCCTCGCAAGGTCGCAAAGCAAAGAAAGATCAGCATCAGGATAATGTCGGAGCCGACCCAAATGCTGACCCCCTTCACATCTTGTATGGTTCTAATACCGGCACTTGTGAGGCTCTCGCACAGTCTCTCAGTTCGACTGCTACCAGACACGGATACAATCCCAAGGTTGCGACACTAGACTCAATGGCGACTGGCCTGCCGAAGAACGATCCGATTGTTGTCATCACTGCAAGCTACGAGGGTCAGCCCCCTGATAACGCGGCTCATTTCTGCAACTGGCTGGAGAAAGCCGATGAGTCGGATCTTGATGGCGTCAAATTCTCTGTGTTTGGAGTCGGAAATAGTAAGTTGCTTGCTCATATCGGCTTCTGTTTGATGATGCTAACAACCCTCCAGAGGAGTGGGCATCCACTTATCAGCGCATCCCCAAGGTCGTCGACTCAACTTTGGCCGAGAAGGGTGCAGACCGCCTCATCGATCGATTTGAAGCCGATGTAACTGATGGTAGTGTTTTCGACAAGTTCGACAAATGGCAGGACGAGCAACTCTGGCCCGCATTCGAAAAGTCGTTCGGCAAGAAGTCTAGTTCGCAAGAATCTTCAGAAAGCGACGCAAGCGAACTCAAGGTCGCAATCGATTACCAAACTCGATCAAGCCTGTTGAGACAGAATATGCAGGTCGCTGAGGTTTGCGATACACGTCTCCTCACAAGACCCGGTGCTCCTCGCAAACGTCATATCGCACTGAAGCTTCCGACTGGACTTACCTACAAAACTGGAGACTATCTCGCTGTCTTGCCTCACAATCCTATTGAAAACGTTCGCCGAGTCTTGAAGAGGTTCGGTCTCCCCTGGGATGCTACACTGAAGATCGAAGAAGGCTCGGCAACATCCCTTCCCACTGGTATTGCAATCCCTGTTTACGACATTCTGTCTGGCATGGTTGAGCTTGCGCAACCAGCTACATCTCGTGCAGTCCAGATCATCGCAAAGACAATTCCGGACAAGGAGAAGTCCGAGGAGCTTGCGAGTCGCGCTGGCGACGAGAGCTTCCAGAAGAATAACATCAGCGTTTTGGATGTCCTCGAACAGTACCCGATGGCTGAGTTCAGTATTGGACAGTTTCTCGGAGCTGTCCCTCCGATGCGAGTGCGTCAATACAGCATCTCGTCTTCACCCTTAGAAAAGGAGAACGTCGCTACCTTGACATGGTCAGTGATAGATGCTCCTGCCAAGGGTGGAGTGAAAGGCCATCGCTTCGAGGGTGTGTCTAGTAACTTCCTCGAGCGACTGTCTGTCGGAGACCACGTTCAGATCAGTCACCGAGCAAGTCGTACAGGCTTTGGTCTACCCAAGGATGATGAGTCCCATCTACTCATGGCATGTGCTGGCACCGGTCTCGCCCCATTCCGCGCTTTCGTTGCCGAACGCGCGTTGAAGAAAACGGCAGGTAAGAAGGTCGGTAAAGCTATGCTTTTCTATGGTCTGAATGCTCCGGACGAAGACGACATGTACCGCGAGGAATTTGATGCATGGGAGAAGGAAGGCGTAGTCGATGTACGCCGAGCCTTCACTCATGCATCTGACCAGTCTCACGGGTGCAAGTTTGTACAAGAGAGACTCTGGCACGATCGTGAAGACGCTGTCGAGATGTTCAGACAAGATGCTAAGCTGTATCTTTGCGGCGCTGGTGTCGTAGGAAATGGCATTGCCGAAACGATGAAGATGATCAGGATGGACTTGAAGGGAGACGGCGAGGAAGAAGCTACTGAATTCGTGGCAAATCTGAAGGGCGAGCGTTATTGGGCAGATGTGTTTTCTTAGTTGCAGTTCTTCAACTTCTATGTTGAACAAGTAGTCGCTTGACAATTCGATTCGTCCCTCACATACTCGCTTGCAATGCTTGCTGACTATACACCTTGATAGTACATTCTAACCTTGGCTAGGTTGAGGCGTTCAACGGACATGCTCGCGAGCATCTCTCCTCTCAAACAGACCATCCGGTGTCAGATAATCACCGACTACCCGCGCATAGCATCATCAACGGCCGACCCCAAATCTTGATACTCTTGGTGAAAGTCTCGGAATCAAAATGCATCGTGTGAAGTAAAATTTACAATAGCTTTACAACTTCTTGCTCCAAAGTGTTATTCTATCGTTCTTTGTCTACCTTACACAGACATGGAGCTTGATCCGAGGAGATACATGACGGGGGAAAGCGCGATCCCATCGCTAGGCTTTTCATTATATACCAAATCTTGGAAGGTAGGTTCGAGAATCAATCAGTGGTATCAAATTGGGTTTGCTGATGACCATACTTCAGCCCACAGGAACTGTCAAAGCTAGACTTGTGTTCATTCATGGATTTAGCGATCATTGTGAGTTGAGAACAACGACTACAGCCTTGAACTTCCACTCACCTATCTCAGGCAACGGCCCGGATTTCTTCTTTTCCTACCTCGCGAGCCATGGCATTGAAGTACACTCTTTTGATCAAAGGTAGGTAGTACCTTCTCCAGGAAAAGCCGCAACGACTTCTAACAACACTCAGAGGTTTTGGTCGCAGTGTCCAAACACCAAAGCAACGTGGAAAATCCGGACCCACCAAAACAGTCCTTCTTGACATGACAGAAATGATCATGACCGTCCTCCCGTCTCCGTATCCAGTCTTTCTCATGGGTCACTCGATGGGAGGTCAACAAGTACTTTACTATAGCACTCAAGGACCTGCATCTATCTTGCAGCAGATCAGTGGATTTATTACCGAAGCCCCTGCTATCATCTCCCCGATGCTCCTCGCGGTATCTTGCGCTCACTCTTGTCGCTCGGTGCAAAATGGCTGCCGAATGTTCAAGTCAAAGCTGCACCTGCCACGACGCGGCTGACGAGGGATCAGAGACATAATGCTGAAGTCGAAGCTGACGAAATGTTCCATGGCTACTGTACTTTGGAAGGCATGAATAAAGCTTTGGATCGTGCTGAGTACAACACCAGCGCTGGACGCAAGCAATTGGGTGACGCCACACCACGACACGAGCCTAGTCTGCTAATGCTGCACGGTACAAGTGATGACGTCTGTTTGCCTTCAAGCAGCGAGGTGTATTTCGGAAAGTGTCCTCTGACAGACAAGGAGTTGAAGCTATACAATGGTTGGTTACACGAGAGTAAGTCGAACAAGTAACCTGCTGTTGGGTTCTCAAAGCTAACTCGGTGTTCTTTAATGCAGTGCATACAGAAATTGGTGAGGATAAACTCACCTTCGCGCAAGATGTCACTCAGTGGATCCTGTCTCGCTCAAAGTAGATCAGAATTGCAGTCTATCAGTAAGAGAGCATGGGTCCATTGTCTTTTACGCTGGAGTGTGATCTTCTGCTAGATTGACTTGTGACATATCTTGTGATGGACTCTCTGTTACTGCTGTGAATTTCTGCATGGAGAGATACAGGAATTCGTGCCTGCCCTTTCCTTGGGTGCGGACAAGACTTATTTGCCAATTGGAGTTCTGACTGATATTCTTGCGACTCCGTAGCAATATACTAGCTACCATTTACAGGAACTTCCATCAACTTTCTACTTGGTGCCTTTGCTCTTGGACCTCTTTTTGCGGGATCCTCTATCATCAACATCGTCCGCTCGCCTCTTACCGCTGCTCTTGTGCGTCTTGGTTTTGCCATTCGACTTTGAATTTTCTAAAGCGGCCATCTTCCATTTCACCCACCCCGCCCTTGCGAACAGCGGCTGCGCCTTCTGTATAAACGCAACTCGAGCAACTCCATTCGGTTCACCGACACGCAATGGTTGCGCTGTCTGTATGATATCACGTACTCCACCATCGTCCTCAAGTTCTTTTGCATTTTTGTGCTCCATGCGACTCATGGTCCTTGCTCTTTCGAAGATCCTTTCCTCGATGGTGCCTTTTAGGATCAGAGTCTCGGCGTGGACTTTGCGAGTTTGACCGATGCGGTGAGCACGTTTTAGTGCTTGAGCTTCTATATGAGGTCTGTTGACCGGATTGATGAAGAAAACTCTTGATGCCGACGGGAAGTTCAAGCCGTATGCGGCTTGATTGATATCCATGAGTAGCACGCGATGCTCGGGGTTTTGGTTGAACCGCACGACGTACTCTGACTTTAGTGCTGGGGTAAGAGATTTAGCATAAATCAAATAGTCGATGTGCAGTACCTCCAGGGCCTGCGCGATGTAGTAGGCCGTATTATCACTATCGTAGAACACCAATACTTTCTCGTCCTGGTAGAATTCTTCAATTCTTGAAAGGAGATAGCTTAGTTTTGCTGATGTGGTACCAACGATATTGGTTTTACGAAGTGCAGAATCAGGAGGCAGTTCGACCTCTTCCACACCCTCGGACGTTACATCGACAGTCGACGACTCTCTTTGTTGAGGCGGTCCGGGGTGTTTAACGGCCGACGTCTTCGCTCGGATCTCGCGCCTATTCCCTACTTGGTTGATAGCGATGGAAGATGACGGGATACCTGCCTTAACTAGCACAGGTAGTTTTCCATCTACGGACTGCGGGTGCAGGATAGACAGAGCACGTATGCCGGCTCCAGCGAGGCCTTCTGTTGGATCGGGGGCATGCGCTTGACCATTGACATGATTTTGGGCCTGTATAAGCTGTGTTGCGCCGCAGAGCATGGGCGAAATCTTGGGTTTGTCAAACGACCAGAATCTTTTAGTTTCACCCGGCCAGTTTTCCACAAATAGTCCGACTTCATGACTTTGAGTGAGCGCTCTCCAGCCTCGTGAATCCACCATGACTTTTGCTTGATTCATACAATGTTTGAGTAGCTCCTCGTCCTCTTTGGAGCATAGCTTGTCTTGCTTTTCGATATAGTGTTGACTTTGCTTAATAGCAGCTTCCATGTCGGAGGCACTGAAACCGGTCCAATAGAAGGCGCTTGCGCGGAGATTGTTCAACAGCTGAGTGCGAGCTTTGCCGCTGCTCTTGTGGAAGATATAATCGATATCTGTCCTCTCGCTAGTGATAGCATTGGCGGTCAACACAAATATGAAAGCATTCACTGTCAGCTTGTCATAGAACGATGGTTCCAGTCGGATAATTTCGTGCGATAGGGGAGGAAGCTCAATGTCGCGCTCGACATCTGAAGGCTGTGTCCTGATGACGATTGATTCCAGAGTTCGACGCAGACATTTTGCGAAACCAGAGAACGTGCGTGTTCGAGGCCGTAGCATCTCATGTCGGAAGAAGTGATCTGTCCAGTCGGCTGCGCGTTCGTCATCACCAGAGCACCATGGTCTGATATTCAAAAAGTTGCTCGCCAGTAAACCTATACTGCGAACAGCTCCATGTCTCTCATCTTTCGCATTGAATGTCTTTCGTTGATTGAGTAGAGTATGGCGGCGAAGTGATTCTGCGTCGTTATTGCCAGAACCGGAGCCGGAGCCAGAACCATACTCAGAATTGGTGTCATCGACAGGAATTGGCGTGCCTGAATGAGAGGTAGGTCCAATCAGGTCCATCTCCACGCCAACGAGGTCTTTCGCCGGAGTGCCGCTTACTACCCACCGGTGAGAGGCCTCGACCAGTTTGCTCGCGACGCTCGCGATTCGGGTGTTCTCCGCGGCCATCCCATGCCCTTCGTCGATGATGATCCGGAGGAAGTGCAAGGCTTTGAGTGGTGAGACATATAAGTCCTTGTGAATTCGGGTCAGCAAAGCCTTCTGGATGTAGTGGAGCTCATGGACCTACATCGGAAGTTATACAGACGCAATCTCGCGTTCTCGTAGCTCCAATATACGGACAGTTGCATTTTACAGGGTACCTTGACATGCGGCGGCCTATCCTATCTGCGCCGTCTCTGTCCTCGTACTCGAATCGAGGCCTGCTGAAGATGACGAGATCGAATGTCGCCAACGTCTCGGCCGGAGGCAAAACGACTCGGTTATCATCCATGATCAAGATGTTCAAGATTCCTGTCGTGTGCTTCTCAAGCTCCAGTTTCCATTGAGACAGCAAGTTTCTCGGTACAACAACAAGAGTCGTGGCGGTGAGTGTAAGTCTCTTTGGTGATGGTGTGCTGGTATTTCGATTCCAACGAATCGGTTCGACAGGCACTTCGTAGGACGGTAGGTTCTTTTGCATAAGGTTGATGCAATTCCCCCTAACCGTGGTGTTAGTAAGTGTTGAGACGTCAATTCATACTGTCTCCCTATCTCATTGTCATTGAGAGGAACTCCTGTCCCGTCAACCTGGCGTATCTCAACTCATCCTCAGCTGTACTTACATGTGTTCTCCAGTGATTTCTTCGTGCTTTTCAAAGAAAGATCGCCAAGGGGCCGAATGTCGGTTGATGGCCGATATAGCTGTTTCCACCAGGGTAGCAACTTTTGGTCGGACGGTCACTCGATCATATTGGGCAGGCGTGCAAGGAAGATAGCCACGAGTCGTCAAGATCAGAGTTATGCAGATCACAGTCTTGCCCAACCCCATGGTCTCGGCTAAGATCCCCCCTTTACAAGACTCATAGTACCGCGGGCCTCGAAGGAAGGAGACCTCCCAGGGTGCATAGTAATAAGTCGTGCCATCAAGCGCCGTTCGTTCTTCGAGTCGAGGATCGAGTTCGAGTCGTTCTTCACACTCCCTCTGAAACATTTGACCAGCAGATCGGCGCTGATATGGATAGAGGACTGTCTTGAGACCAGGTAGTTGATACTGATCATCAAGGAGATCTGACAGAGCTTCCCTATGGAAGTGGCTCTTCACTCTGTCCGGCGAAGGATCTGGCGACGGAATGCTGTTGAAGAAGTAGTACAGAGAGCCTTCTTCTCCAGCAGCGTACAGATCGAACGGCTGTTCGTACACTGGTTCTCCATTCCATGCTTCGAGTGAAGTGTTCAGGCCTTGGAGCAGTGAGAAGAGGTGGGTGTCTGACCCTCGGTCATGCTGCAGATACCGGTGCCCCACATCACTGGGCAACACGTAGATCCTGAGCACAGCTTTTGAAGGACTACTGATGAAGACGCGAAGCCTTCTGCGGGCCAAGAGCTTTTCGATATCAAGTGCGCTTTGTGCGGGAAGTCCTAATTGTGATAAGGTGTCGGCATCGAATACTTCGTCCCAGGTGGTCGCGGCATCACTCGCTTCATTCAAGACAAGTGATCCGACGGGTATGTAGTTATTCAAATCGTTCAAGAAGCGGACGCCGTCTGGCGAGACAAACACGGGCAGTTTAGGGAGCGGCTTCGGGGCGGTATGAAGTGTTTGAATGACAGGGTGGTCATCATCGGCGCTATCGTCACTCATCAGGTCAACAACGACCGATCTTCGATGAGCCGCCATCATGTGATCGCCGAGCGGTAACGCTGATGTGAGTTGCGCATCAAGAGTACCTGACATCGATAATAGTAAAGACTTGTGACGTTCGAACTTGGGTGAATAATGGGAAAGAGGGAGCGCGGCTCAGCTTGTCTTGGCGCTCACTTCCTGACTATATCTGGCGGGAGAACTGTACTGTATGGCTGGTAAGATGTCGCTGAAGAAGATCTTGTGTTGTGGTGAAGACTAAGGATGTCGATGTCATGAGAGGTAAAGTCATCGCGGCGACCGCTTGCGTACCTGCCTCAAGGAGTCACGACTCGCAAGTTATCACGGAAGCAGGGAAGCTGCACCGAGTGAGCCGAACTCGTGCTCACGCTCGCAGCCTGCCTACATAGATAAGGTAACACAAATCACCGGTATAGATATTTTCCAAGCACTGAGCAGTAGAAGTCGTCTCTGGGAGTGAGGTGAGCATACAGCATGATTGTTGTTTTACTGTGAGGACGACCCTGTCATTCTGGAGCGTTTCGAGGTCGCTCACGCTGAGCGCCCTCGAGACACACTCCAGGTAGTCGCTCCAACAGATTTTGTCCTCTTCTGCGAAGCCGGATAAATCTTCGAGCCTCCTCCGTGACAAGTCGCACGACATCGAATCTAATCATAGAGGTCACGATCAAAACCAAGCAATCAGGCTAGCTGCCAAGTCCGAGTGTGGAGCGTTTGCGTCCACTCGCCCAGATGAACTTGACAACTTCACGGCCACTACGATTTGAATGGACGGCGCCTCGAAAGCTTTCCCGAAGTTCTTTAGATATTCAGGCTTCTAAAAGAGACCATACAGCACAATAAAGACGCTCACAATGCGCGAGGTTGCTGGTGGCCAGGGCTACTTACCGTGCCGTCGACCGCCGGTTGTCGCGGAGGACGCGTCACTGCGTCAGTACGCTCGTTAGGGTAGGATAATATTGCTGGGCTCTGGGCAGCCTGGCAGGTAAGCAGCTAATCCGGCACCCGTAGTTGACTCGTAACAGACTGTTGTCTTGTTTTCACCTATCCAGTCACTTTCTCGCGATTCCCTGCCCTAGTGCTGCACATGTTTGCGATGGTATTGCGCCGCTACTAGAACCAAAATCGATTTGATTGCTTTCGAAGCAAGACACAGATTACGACCAACAGATTTCTGGTATAAACAGAGTCCACCCAGGCAACCATCTTAGAGAGAAACCCAGACGCAGACGACAAGATGAAGCTATTCGCCCGTCTCAATATGGTTGTGCTACTCGCAATTTCGGCGTTGGTATACATGGTATGGAATTTGCGCTCATACCATCCCATCACGCGAGCAAAGAAGGTCTGGAGCCGGAAGACGACCGAAGTCATAGTCTTCGGAGACTCGTGGAGCACCAATCGCCTCGAATTGTCGGCGCATCGAGCAGCAGCACCAGCCAACAACAAGCTGTGGGTGGACACGCTATGCTCAGAGGTGTGTTGCGTTTGGCGTGCTTCACCTTGACTCATCCTGACCCAGACAGATTGTTTGCGACCGCATCTACGACTTAGCCCAATCGTTACCCTCCCATCCATCCCACCGACGGGGTCCTGTGATCGACAACGACGTCTACGCCAATCGAACAAGATCGCTCAATCTTACATCGGGGCTTGAAAACATCGGAGACTTTGGGCATCAAGTCGACGACTATCTCGCGCAAATTGACCTTCGATGGCAAGACGGTATAGAAGGAGGGAAAGAAAGAACCACACACATCTTTACCTTGTTCTTTGGACTGTGGGAGCTGTGGGACTTTGTCGGTCTGGAGGAAGAGGCTGTCTTGCCCACTGTGGTAGACTGCATTGCCTCCATGTTTGCCCAACTAGACCGCCTCGTCCAAGCAAAGACCGTGTCCCCTCTCCGGACAACTGTGGTCATACCCAAGGTCCCGGACCCGACCTTCTTTCCTCGTTGGATCGCTGAGCGGACATCTGCAGCTGGGATCGACAAGTATGGCCAGCTCCAACGGCAAGCCGTTGTACTGACTGATCTCTGGAACAACGTCCTCCAAAAGCAAGCCGAGACGTGGAACAAGGCCCGCGTCGTCATGCCCGACTTCCACGCGTGGATGCTCGAGCAACTGCGTGAGCCCGAGATTGACGAGACAGGCCCCGCAGTAGTCTCGAAAGCCGGGCCTGGTGCCAAGTTTACAGAACTGACCCGGTCCTGTGTCAATTACACCGCTCCTCTCAGCGGAGATATGAACGAGACCCAGTCATTTACCATGTGTGATGACCCGTCGCACTTCTTGTTCTGGTATGTCAAAGCTCGCGCTGATTTCTTTGTCTGGATTCACAAGTTGATGCGCTTTCCAGGGATGATACGCGTTTGAGCGGCACCGCACATGAGCTACTCGGCAAACACGTCGCTGAGATGCTCCAAAATAGCACTGTCGCTAATCAGACGTTGTACGTCGAGAATCGGAAGACCAAGACAGATCATCCGTCTTTCTAGGACACACAGGTAGGCTCGAAAGAGAAGATTGGAGCGCGAGCAGCCTTTTGTAAAGGTCTGGGTTGACCGAATGGGTGGACGATTGCTTTTCAATAATCGGTTTGTTCGCATTGTGCATGGGGTGCGTTCTTAGGCCGATCTCCTTGCGTTTCGTCGGAATGTCTCACCTTGGCCCGGCTTTCCCGCATGCGGAAATCTACTCACCACCAGAACAAAGAAGTGCTAGCTCGGGTTGTCTGTCACAGCCCATCCCGTCAGACCGGATCGGCCCAGGACAATCGGACATAAAGGGCGACCGTTCGTCATGATACAAAGAAACAGCAGGACCAATCGCCGGCTCTGGCGAGAAGAAAGACGAGGCGGTGGATGTTGTTGAATAATAGCCGCGGACCTCGTCTTTCATCTTTGTCCGCGTATTGACATGAGAGCGTCAAAGACGACATTCTGACAACAAAAGAGTGCATTCCTGGACATCCCCTTTCCAATGTCTGTCATACGAGTACCCCTATCGGAGCTCAGATTTTCGACATTGTCGCCGGCTACACCATCGACTGCTGAACCTTCTCATGCCCAACCCCAGATCGTCTTCACCAGGCAGTTGTGGGAGAGAACGATGCCATCTGCAGAACACGAAGACTTGAGTACAAGCTCCCAAGGTATTGCAAGTGACGGAAGTGTCAATTCGCGCAGAGTATCGACGAACATATCGATTGCACCGCAGCTGCAATCCTCACCAAAGGCCCGGCTTTCGGATACGCCGCTGACGCCTGAAGAGTCACCGCCTTTTCGCGACCAACGGAAGAGGAGCGCAGAAGCCCTTGATCCAGACGAGGTCCAAGACGTCAGTCCTTCGCATACCAGAGACGGTAGTACCGAGTCACTGGTCAACTTCTGTCTGTGCCAGCCTGAGCCGAAAGTCCCTAGACCTAGGAACGGTCAGTCTACGACATGCAATTTATGCTGTGAGATCTCGAGTGCTGATTCATGACAGCGTTCATCCTTTATCGTCAAAACCGTCAAGCCGCTGTAGTTGCTCAAAATCCTGGCCTTGCCAATCCTGACATATCAAAGATCATTGGCGAGCAGTGGAGAAACGAGCCTGAAGGAGAAAAGAATCGGTGGAAGGCATACGCAGAGGTTAGTGAAATTTGACATGCGCTTGGAGATCGAAGTTGACAGGATGATAGGAAGAGAAGCTGCAGCATCAACAAAAATACCCATCTTACCGGTACCAGCCCAAACGATCAGGACGCCGAGGCAGTGTCTCGTCCGAATCAGGCTTCTCAGGACCAGACCACCGCAAGTGTCAGAAGTGCGGTGGCAGAACCATTATCCACCCTACACCAAGCAAGCCCTCTTCAGCACGCGAGCGACTTGACAAGTCTGGAAGTCTAGAAACGAGTCCTTCATCGGCATATCCTCAATATCCTCCACGCTTGAACGCATTCCGACTCCCACCTCCGACACCCTCGTCCACCACAACGCCTTCAACTCGCTACCTGCCTATGCTCAACAACCTCTCTCTATCATCGCCCCACCCTCTTAACATGGCCAACGGACGTTCTTCTCAGCCATACATGATCCAGCGTGGCGAAGGCGAAGACGAGCACTCGTCCATCCTGTCCCCTGACTCGAAGCGACGCAGATTTGAATCTCCCCAAGGGACATACGTCATGTCAACGCGAACTATGCCACCAAGACAGAATGCTGGCCCTGGCACACCATTTCCCTTCGGTCCACAAGGGCAATCTTCACTACAGCAAGGTCGGCAGATGGGGCCGCCTCATCAATTCCCGCCCCCGCCTGGTACGCAGCATCTTCGCAGGGAGAGCTTACCGCGACCAACCGATCTTCTGCGAGGTCCAGTGCCGCCCAACATGATGGGACCTCCACCTCGTCCCGGACCTGGTTACTCACAACACCGAGCTAGTCAACGTCCGGGTGGACCGGAGCTCAGCTTGACACTACCTCCTCTACAAGCTGGCACCATGTCTGGCCCTCCGACATCCACCAGGTCGGGTCCTGGACAACTACCAAGCGGCAACAGAGGAAGCGACTCGAAAGAGCCCGACAGACGCAGCGTGGGTGAGATCATTATGTCGATGTCATTCATGGCCAAAGTTCAGATCCTTGGTCGAGTTGCACCACCCTCTGCTACTAGTGAAAACAAGCCTCGAGGAACTATCATCGCCATCGAGGGCGATGACCCGGAAGCAGCTCGCAACGTGACCGACTGGCTCGAGGAGTTTTTAGGTCGTGAAGGCGACATGGTGGTCAAAGTAGTTGATGGCCCAAAGCTCCCGGAAGGCAGTGACGAGCAAGATGTGCAGATTCCAGAGCTACTACGAACAGTTGGTGAGTGGCACGAGAAGAGCAAGAGTATTGAGCAACTTGTCCGTGGCGACAAGGACAGAAAGAACAGCAACATGAGTTTACAGTCCGAAGTCGGACTTGACAGCGAGGCTATGGAAGTTGACACTTGTCATGGCAGCGGTAGCAAGTTGGTGATATTACTGCGTACGTATACCGTGACAGCATCCAACGTGTTTGCATCGCGAGTGGCCATCAAGGACGCGTACAAGGCAGCCGACCACTGGCAGTGGACAGCGACGTTGTGGCGCGGCATTGTCGGGCCGGACATGACAGTCTATGTCAAGGAAGCCGACAAGACGGAGGATGGAGGGAAAGGTGGAGTTGAGATCAAGGAAGAAAACCGGATCATGGCGGTCCGACGTTTCAAGGGCACCGAAGAGAACGGCGGCGTGGAGGGCATTGAAGCAGGCACGTTGCGACGTCTCGGGTTTGAGGTGGGCGAATGGGTCAGGAGTGGAGGGGGAGCAGGAAAGGAGTAGAGTCGACGGCTTGGGTCGCCATAAATTAGCTACGTTCTACCACTTGAAATGGTATGTCATTCTGGAAATGCATTTCCTTGGGAACATGGTGTTCTGGGAAGATGGTCAATTTCGTGAGTGATGATGCAAGAGCAAACAAGGTTGCGAAGATTGATTGAAGCTTGGCGAGGGTCCGCTCCCACGAGTTGTGGGGGAGCGGCTCCTAGGGCCGTCCCATGTCAACAAAGGAACAATCAACACAGCCCTCTCAAATCCCATCAACAACGTACAGCAATCAGGTGCAAGGCAGCGGACATATACGAGCCAAACGCAATCGCAGGCGTGACGCAGCATCCGTGTGACTGATAAGATCGGGTGAGCATGTGTGGCCAACGTCTTCATTCCTCGTTAGCGGCTGACGGAATGAGGTTGAAGTCGCAGCTGAACAAGGGATAAGACATCAGTACATACCGCCGTCGCGAGCAGCATGGCGACCTTCATGCAGACAATGTTGGTGCAATCCTCCCCTCCCCGTCCACACTTCCCCAGCCAGGCGCGACCGCTGCCTGCCTTGCACTCCAATGTGTTGGCAGCCAGCGAGTCGTGGTCGCAGTTGTCCTTGTGCTTCCCAGACAGTCCACGCAGCACCCACACTGCTACATCGACGTCTTCGCCCCTCCAGAACCGCTTCCGCAATGCGCTGGGCAAAGGAATCCACACAGATGCTGACATGTTCTCGACTTGCAGCAACGCCGGACGTGGCACGCGCTCCTCCTTCAGGCCTGCGCGCACTGCTAAGGGCACAAACAGTTGGCAGCTTAAGCAGTTCGCCGAGGCGACACTGGGAAGCGGCAGCTTGAGAAAAGTCGTGCGCTTGCCCGAGGGCGAGGACAAGGACGAATGGCTGGCTGTCAACGTCGTCGACTTTTACAACCAGATCAATCTGCTGTATGGCGCAATCACAGAGTTCTGCAGCCCTCACTCGTGTCCCGAGATGAAGGCGACCGATGAGTATGACCCATCTTGTCATTCTTTCCCGCTCTCGAAACCTGCTAATCCACATCTCTACCAGATTCGAGTACCTCTGGCACAACCCCCCAGACTTCCCTCGCCCCGTCCGTCTTCCTGCTCCCAGCTACATCTCGAACCTCCTCTCGTGGACCTCGAACATCCTCTCAGACGTCAACGTCTTTCCCACACATCCAGGAGTACCCTTCCCTCCGACCTTCCAATCCACCATCAAGCAAATCTTCAAGCGCCTCTACCGCATCTACGCCCACATCTACTGTCACCACTACGGCGTCATCAGAGGGCTTGGCCTCGAAGCACATCTCAATACTGGCTTCAAGCACTATGTCCTGTTTGTCGAGGAATTCGCTCTTGCTGACGAGGGCGGCAGAAGAGACGCCAAGGCCGAGTGGTACGGTCCATTGGGCGAACTGGTCGAGAGCATGTTGCGCAGCGACTAGTCTGGCTTGCCAAGTCTCTCTCCTACAATTGCTGCTTTTCTGCCCAGGTTAGTCGGGCACGCCGGCGTTGGTTTCTCGGAATTGGGTCATGGACACGGGACTATATGGTACGCGCTTTTTCTGTTATCTTCACTGTTTTCACACGGCCTTCGTAACACAAGATGGACGAGCTTCAACGGGCGACCTAAATTGCCGAAGCCCTATCTTAATTTTGCATTATTCGTTCTTGCCCATTTCACCTCTCACCCATCAGATTCATCGTGATCATCAATTTCCTAGCACCGACAGTCTCATCAACCTCGGCCGTCCAAAGCCATGTTCAGTTACTTGAATCTCCAAATGGAGTCTCGTAAGGAGGCTCAGCCTGGGGTGTCAAGCGAGCGAGGTGGCGACGTTGACCATCTTGCCAGTCAAGAATGGCAGCTGTGAGGTATCAAGTCAGCAAACATCCAATACGATGGCATCCGTTCGAACTCACTATGAGCAGTCACGCGGTTGTCCCAAACGATTACAGTTCCAGGTGCCCACTTGACTCTGGCCTGAATGTCCTGCGAGTATGCAATATGGTCATACAGGAACTTGAGCAAGTAATCCGACTCTTCCTTCTTGAAGCCAGCGATACGTCTGACGAATTGCTGGTTGACGAACAGAGCTTTTTCACCTGTCGCAGGGTGTGTTCTGACCACGGGATGGGTATTGGCGACCGGATCACGTCTCACAATGCTGCCTCGAGCGAGAGCATTTTGTGCTTGTTCATGAGCAGAGTGGACTGCTTTCAACCCGTGCAGACGCTTCTGGAACTCGGGAGACAATCTTCGGTATGCTTCTGCTTGGTTGACGAAACAAGTGTCGCCTCCTGCAGAGGGACCGTCCAGGATGTACAGGAATGTGGTGCCTGGAGGTTGCTGCTCGTAAGTCACGTCGCTGTGCCAGGTGATGCTGTTGGTACGCTCCTCAAAGTAGTCTTTGGCGGTTGTGTCGGCTGCAGATCTGTGGACCAAGTGGACCTTGGGATAGCCCTTTGGTGCGCCAGAGGCTGGATGAATGTGTGATGGTCCAAAGTATTCAGCAAAGTCTATGGCATCCTGGATTGGCAGGTCTGCAAAGTCCTGGTCGCGGAAAGCTGATACTGCGTTAGTGTCTCAGTGCAAGCATGATGATTATGGCAATGCTTACCAACAACCTTCTTCTGTGCGACGTAGAGGGCAAGTTCGTCTTTGCCAGCTTTGTCAAGCTTGCTAAGCTGTACACCCTTGACTTCTGCACCGATGTTGGCAGTAATGTCTTCAACGGAGGAAGCTCCCTTGAACAGATTCTTGAACGATGGGTCGGCATCCTTTCCGTGCTCATACGCCTCAAAAGGTTGATTGGGTGGATATTTGCCTCCAATGTCCTTTTCATTATCCCAGACGGGAAGGTACAATGGATACTTGGCCGGTGGGTGCTTTCCAACACCTTTCAATTCGCTTTCATAATTTGTCGTCTTGGGGCCTTGAGCAAAAGCTTCCTTGTATCCTTCTTGACTCTGGTTTTTGGCGTATACTTGTTCTGCGTCCGCGTTATGGACAACATCAATTAGTGCGGGAGCCATAGTTTAGTGAATGTGGATCTATGATAAGTACGAGGTAAAAGAAAAAGAGTTGGTTTGGAGACCAAGCAGAAGGAGCGACCATGCTACTTTTGAACTCAGCCCCGGCTGCCGGCAATCATTAGAAAGATCGACCATGATACAACGGAATGATACATCGTGGACCTTCCCAATACAACTCGACGAACAAATCGCAGATCGCAGAACATATATTCACGATAACTTCACAGCATTGCGTGCGATGGTCAAACGTTGTCGACTCGTCGCGCAACCTACCAAGCTCACCAATGTCTCCACGGCAGTTTGAACTGCCACTTAAGAAACAAACTCACGAGCAGTACATGACTCTGTACTTTCAATCACCACATCATTGACCTATAGTAGATCAGTATGTAATCAGATGAATATCAGGCTAATGCGTGGTCAAGATGTCGCCATGCTTGCTCATGAACTCCGCAAAGCACGCCATACCACAATCACTTCCCGATTAGGCAATTCTGGACCTCTTAGCCCTGTTTGCATCAGCAACGTGCCACATCACACAATAAGGAGTGTCAGGTAAACTACTGATGAAGAGCATGCTTTGCTCTCTAATCCTATTTAGCCATCGGTGAGAAAGGCGATATTGCGGATGCTACCATGCAACATCAACGTGGGAGGACGAGTCGTATCCACTCAAGTCCAAGTCATGGTACTGAGTACGCGGTCCACTATCAGGTCTCAACAGCCCTGGTCAATCCGCCTGCGTAATCACGTTTGCCACGCGAGGAAAATGTTCGTCGCGTACGACGTTGGAGGATCGAAACTTTTATACTTGACGACTGAGTTGCCAGCACCTGCCAAAACTCTTATCTATCTTCCTCCTTCCGTCGTCAATTGATTCCGTCGTGCGACTATGGGCCAGATGGACAAGGTTGAGAGCGACACGAGCTCCACTGACTCGAATAATGCTTCGGGTACCAAGGCCTTCCCGTTGGCCACAGTAGAAGAGCCAGTGATCTTCGACACAACAGGCAAGACTCGAGAGACTGCATTCGATACACAGTCATTCGAAAGCTACTATAAGCCTATTGAGAGCTATGAAGGATATCACAGATGGGATCCAAAGTTCCAATGGGAGGCCAAGGAAGAGAAGAAGCTTGTCAGAAAGGTCAGCGACTCTTGCACATAGTCGACTTGACTTTCACTGACGCTCATCCTAAACTAGATCGACTTGCGTATCTGTTCCTGGGTCTGCTTCATGTTCTTTGCGCTTCAACTCGATCGAGGCAACATCTCACAAGCACTTTCTGACAACATGCTCACGGACATTGGAATAAACACAAACGACTATAACACTGGTCAGACCATCTTCTATCTCTGCTTCTTGTTTGCAGAGCTCCCAAGTCAAATGCTGGGAAAGAAGATTGGCCCTGACCGATGGGTGCCCATTCAGATGGTGAGAACGAAAGCAGTCATGCTGTTCTAGTACACACTCATATATGTACAGGTCCTATGGTCTCTGGTCGCTGCTTGCCAGGCTTTTATCAACGGCCGTTCGTCCTTCTGGGCTTGCAGAGCACTGCTTGGTCTGCTCGAAGGAGGTTTCATCCCCGACAACATCTTGTATCTGTCCTACTGGTACAAGACGCGCGAGCTTCCCATCAGACTGTGCTACTTCTGGTTCTCATATCAGTTCACTAGCATTGTATCCGCCTTCCTTGCCTTTGGTTTCCTCCACATGCGTGGCCTCAACGGTATCGCCGGATGGCGATGGCTGTTCGCTCTGGAAGGCTGTCTTACTGGTATAATCGGTGTTATCTCCTGGTTCTACATTCCGCCTTCGCCCACACAAACTGCCTCCAAGTTCCGTGGTAAAGACGGCTGGTTTAACGAAAGAGAAGAGAAGATTATGGTCAACAGAGTGTTGAGAGATGACCCAAGCAAGGGTGATATGCACAACAGACAAGCTCTTTCTCTAGGCATGTTCTGGAAGTGTCTCAAGGACTATCACATGTGGCCCATCTATCTCCTCGGATTGACTTGGATGATGCCTGCCAACCCCATGACTTCATACCTCACGCTCAATCTTAAGAGCGCTGGCTTCTCGACTTTCCAGGTCAACCTTCTCTGCATTCCGGCTTATTGCTTCTTCATCATCAATTTACTCTGGTTGTCATATCTGTCGGAGAAGATCAATGATCGATTCCTCATCGGCACCGTTTCTCAGATCTTCGTCTTGCCTTGCTTAATTGCGTTAGAGGTATTACCGACTGGAAGAAGTCATTGGGCTACTTGGATCCTGAGTTGCTTGGTATATGCACAACCGTACATTCATCCGGTCATTGTGGCCGTGACGAGCAGAAATGGTGGTAGTGTTCGTACGCGAGCAGTGGCGACAGCGTTGTACAACATGTTTGTGCAGGCTTCTTCCATCATCTCATCCAACATTTACCGTGAGCAAGACAAGTAAGCAACAACTTCTTCGCCATCTCTATAGGAGCATCCTACTGACATTCATCATAGGCCATACTACTTCTTTGGCAACAAAGTTCTTATCGGAATTGTCTGCTGGAATATCTGCGCCTTTGTTGGATGCAAAGTCTTTTATGTGACGGTCAACAAGTAAGTTCACGGAATCCGCCGAGGCTCTCGTAGATCGAGACAAGTTTGCTAATCTCCGCCGACAGACGTCGTGATGAGAAATGGAATGCTATGAACAAGGAGCAAAAGGAACATTACCTTGCGACTACGACTGATGAGGGCAACAAGCGTTTGGATTTTAGATTCACCCATTAGATGAAAGATGAGAAGACACAGAGTGACCAAACTTACTGTCAAAGAATGATAGAGACAAATGTAAATTAGACTAGGAAAGGAAGAGTTCGTGGATCATGAAGCGAAACCCGTCTAAGACTTCTTGTACCCATCAACATCAGTGCTGGTACTCAACTTCTCAAACTTCTTGACGTTCTCCCGGTACTGATCCAGCTTCTCGTTGATGCCAGCATAAGCATCAGTACCAATTACACATCTAAGCGGTGGATCATCCATAACAGCCAACTCATACATACACCTAGCACCCTTTGGCGGATCACCAGCCTGCGTACCATTTCTCTCCCCCATACTCTTCTTCGCATCCAAATGATCATAATCCTCATTCTTATTCGCACCGAAATCCATACTTCTGCCAGCCCAATCGGTTCGGAAACCGCCGGGTTCAATGCAAGTAAGCTTGATGTTCCACTCTGGCTTTAGCTCCTTGGAAAGGGCTTCGGTGTAGCCTTCTACTGCCCATTTGGAAGCACAGTAGATGGAGAAGAGGGGGACACCGCGTTGGCCGCCGATGGAGGTTACTTGTTGGATCACACCGCCTTGGGGCTTTTGTGCGCGCATGGATTCGAGGGCTTTGCGGGTTACGTCGAGGAGGCCGAAGAAGTTGACTTCCATCTAAAGGAGGGGTGTGGGTTAGTGGTGATGGTTTTGGGGAAGAGGGTGGTGGGGAAGATTGGAAGTCTTTACCTGTTTACGAATCTGCTCTTCGCTTAGACTCTCAAATTCGCCGGCAAGACCATAGCCAGCACTGGGATATGTCAGTTACTGAGGCTCAATCATGGAATGTCTAGGCTCTTGAAGGGACTTACTTGTTGACGACGACATCAAGACGTCCAAACTTGTCAATGGCCTTTTGGAAGGCAGCATCGATGGACTCTTTCTTGGTAACATCAAGGTCTACAGCAAGATAGTTTTCATCGGTTGCTCCCTCGGGCTTCTCAAGCTTTGACGAGTTGCGAGCAGTAGCAACGGCATGATCGCCCTCTGCAATGATTTTCTTGACGTACTCGGCGCCGAAGCCGGTGGAAGTTCCTGTGACGAAAAAGACCTTTGGTGACATGTTTGATAGAGTGCTGATTTCCGAGATCAATTGAACTTGGCTATGGTGGTCGTGTTTATATGGGTTTATGTTTGGGTTCATGAAAGACGTCACCGACTCGTCATATGTCTAAACTCCGCTCAACTCCGGCACCTTGGTGGCCACTTCCTCGGAGCTTTTAGATCGCGTTCACTTCTTCGATGCACAGAAATTACAAATTGCAAGAAATTCAATGGCACAGTTGCTGAGGATGACGACCCCGAAGCATGATATTGGTATTTTGCTCAGTCTAGCCTAGTGAATTTAAGCCTGGCCCATCCACTTGAGCACCTCTTTACCTAGGGACTCTTCCCGCTCGATTCCGGTGCTTAATCCAAGGACGGTGCTGAAATGGTTGTGCCCTTCGAGTAAAACCTCACTCAGCTTCTCTTGGCCGAATTTCTCTTTGTACTTGTTGACAAAGTCTTGACTGCAGTCAAGAATCTCATCTTGGGGATCCAGAGTGGCAGTAACAACCAACAATCTTGTGATTGGAGACTCAGCTCTCGATACAAGTCCAAGGGCACAGTCCTGCTCTACCCTGTCTTTGTAATATGTTGTGAGGACTTCTGTGCGGTCGTCACCAGCTTGTTGGAAGTGTGCAGGTATAGAGACCAGTACGACACCCTGGATGACTACTGGACCTGATTGAACTGTCTTCCTTGACTCGGCGAGCGATTTTTCGAGTAGCCAGGTTGCAGAGTGTACTGCACCAGCAGAATTGCCCATAATATAGAGCTTGTGGTTGCCGCCAGTAAAGCGGTTCTTGATCCATCCGATGGCACCTGCTATATCCTGACCTCCAGAAGGGAATGCGCCACCGTCGCCAGTACGTCTGTAGTCGGGGATCACTGTGACGAAACCTCTGGACTGTGACTAGTCAGCTTCTCAAGCATACGACCGATCTCATAGCTTCAGGCTTACCGAGAAGTAGTGGCCTATGTTTGCGTACACCAGACCTTCCGCTGTTGGCGGGCTAGGCATGCGCTTGTCACCTCTGGAGAGACCGCCTCCATAGACAAAGACGAGTATTGGTGTGTCATCTGTAACTTGATCTGGACTGTAGAAATCAAGCTTTTGACGCGGGTCGGAGCCATACTTGAACTCTTCACGCGGAGTTGATTCGATGCTCCTCCTGTTCTTCTCGTGCAGAGTAGCGTATGTCTTCATCGTCGGCATCAAGGCCGGGAAGATGGAGCGACCGAATTCTGGTAATTGATCCATGGCTTTCGATGATTTACAGAAGGTCTCAAGTGGATGTAGAGCTATGTTGCAAGTTTGCAGATGCAGATGGAGAAGATGCAAGGCTTCGTTTGTCAATGTCCCGCATCGAAATGCCGCTGCTCCTGCATGCGACCGGAGCTCTACTTATCCACCTTCCGTTGGCAGTGACGACTGATAGTATGCCCTAAGCGGGCTTCGGCACATGGACACAAACATCGAGCAAATTAAAACTTTGGCTTTCTGACCGGTATGCGAGAGGGGAAGGAGGGAGGGGTCGTGGATCAGGGCTTAGTTAGGGCATTGCCCCACGATCCGGCCGAGCATGGCCGAGCCTGGTATGATCGGCGTGCTCAATCACGTCCTTCGATTGTGGGGAGGTCAAATCAATCACTCTTTTTTCCCAGGCGAGTCGCCAACCATGAGTGCCAGCTTCCGCAATGTACGAACCCCAGCATCCAAACATGAAGCGATCACATTGGATCCTGGATTGACCACAACAGACGTGAAAGCGTCTCGATCCCCACAATCCCCACACCATGGACGGTTCACGTCTCGAGCACTGTCGCTCCAAAGTCAAAACACCTTGCCCTCGGCTGGGGCCCCACAAGCGAAAGGTTCGAGAAGGGAGGTAGGTAATCATGTGGCTTGTCGTGAACGTCCTCTCGGAAAGATAGCCAACCCGAACGGTGAGCAGAGGTAGGGCAAGGTATCATATCCACGTTTGATGTGAGTAAGGCAGCCACCATCACATAAAGTCTGTAGCATGCCCTGAGTGTCTCGTCCTTCTCATCTTCCAATCCCCACTCTGTCTTGACCTCCCTTCCTCCTTCACCAGAATCGAATTTCAGCAACCTTACCCTTCGTACTTCTCCAAAACGCAGTCAGCAACACACAATCGCCATCATGCCTGTCCCTGTCCTCAGCCAGCCACCCGGTAAACCCGACTCCAGCTATGTAATCCCCGTCTTCGGCGGCGAGCTCTGGACAATCCCAACCTCAAACTCCGTCATGCGCATGCTCGTCACAGAAAAAGAATCAAAAGGCGACTTTGCCGTAGTCTCCACAGGCGGCCAACAAGACAATCCCATCGGCTTCCACTACCACCGCGAAGCCCACGATGTCTTTCTCTGCTTAAAGGGCAGCATGAATGTTTGGGCCAACGACTCTGCACGCACACTGCTTCCGGGTGACTTTGCTTCTGTGCCGCCTAATGTGGTGCATCAATACCAAATCCTGGGCTCGCACACCGAGTTTGCTGGATTAATTGTTCCTGGAGGTTGGGAAGAATTCTTCAGATTCATCGGAGAGCCTTTTGCTTCTTCGCCAATGGGTCCTTTGTTCCCTACCCGCGATCGCAGAAATCCCATGGAGGTCTTGGTGCCCAAGCTTATCGCCGCGACTGAAAAGTTCGACATGATCCCAAAGCGCGATCATAAAGGTGCTGAACCTACCCTTTGCACAAAAGACGATGACAAACTCTCAAATTCGGCAACAACACCGTACTTCCTCAAGGCAGATGCTGGACCTAGATATGCTTCTGCTGGCTTACTGGTGAAGCCACTGTGTCAGAAGGCTGATTCGAACGACAAGTTCAGTATTGCAAGGATTGAAGGATCAGAGACGATCAAATCCCAGTACCTGGCTTACAAAACCTTGACGTTCGCAACTTCGCATCATTGCTTCTTGGTCGACATGGGTTCTTTCCGTTTGACTGTTAATGGTCAAGGCTCCACCATCAGTGCCGGCGAGACCATCTTTGTTCCTGCTGGGCAAGAGTTCACTCTTGAGGTTGCAAGTAGATACTCTGCTCTCTACGTCTTTACCAACGGAGGTGGTTTAGTAGAACTGTTGGTCGGTATGGGCAAGGAATACCAAAGCCAGATCATTGCCGAAGAGTTCCCCACTGAGAATGATGAAGTCGATGGATTGGCCGACAAGGTCGGTGTCAAAATTGGAGAACCTTTGTAGAGATGTGATTAAATTGAACCAATGAAGTCATAACAACAAAAAAAATTCGAGTACCATGGCCACCCCCCTTTCCTCATAAGAATGATAAAGAAGAATGCTGTTGAAGAAACAAGTCGTGGACAAGGAAACATGCAGCAAAAAGAGATACAAGAACAAAACATACAGCAGCAGGGATTCCCACGTGGTCACCCACCGTAGTACTAATCTGCCGTTCAACTGCTTATGTATGGCAGAGCGGACGGGATGCCCAGTTTTCAGCTGACTGTGGCCGTATGTGCTCGAGCCGTTGTCTTATTCATACATGTACCTTGTGAGAAGGAAGGCACTTGAAGCACGAAATGTAATCAAGTCAGACCTGCCCAAATTTGACTTTACTGAAGAACGCATGCTACTACTACTTCATGACCCTCAACATAGCCATCGAGGTAACTGCCCAGGTAGTCGGTGGCAATGTCTTGGGCAGCCCTCTCCCTGCCGGACGTCGATCAAGTATACCAAGGCCTTCGAACAAGCTGACCCTTTCTGGCCACAATAACGTTCGCAACTGTGACGCATTCCCAAAGAGTGCTTACTGATCTGAAGAGAAATCGCTCATCATGGGATCATGCCAAACGGCAAGCACTACGCAGACACAACAACCAGGCTCCCGACAGTATTCACCTCGAGCAGTGCTCCGACATGCGTATGATTGTTCCTGAAACGCAGCAGGATCTCCGGTCGTTTGTCGGCTCCGCTCAGGAGACACAAGATATCGCACAGTGTCACTGATCCTGTGTACAATTATTCGTATCAACCGCTCGAGAAGACGATATATGAATTGTCCTGCCTTGTCAACCTCGTCGTCTGTTGTGAAGGGCTATGTCATTTAGCAGTTGGCCTCTACGGACATGTTAATTAAGCCATCTTTGTGTATTATGGAATTCACTTTCTCGTCTCTCTCCCCATATCCGAAATGTAAGTTGGCCGTTCTGGAAAACCTGGAGAGTGAGTAGTGTATGTTGTGCATGCTGGAAAGAAGGACGGCGGTCACTTGAGCAGATTGGGGGTATCATAACTTTCATCTAAACTTTTGGGTTCTCACTTCTACGGCAAACAATCTAACCAGCAGCCAGGTCGATGTGAGGCTTCTCCTCTGACTTTGAGGTCTCGAGGTCTTCTTGTTGCTCGTCGTAGTGCTTCTTTTCGGCTTGCTCAATACATGTTGTGTTTGCCTTGAGCTTGTTGATGGTCTCAATGTACTCGTCGTATGGGTCAGAGTCGAAAACGATACCACCACCAGCTTGCAGGTATGCCACACCGTCCTTGATGAGCATTGTTCGCAGAGCAATGCAAGTATCCATAGCGCCTTCGGTCTCTTGGCCAGTCTTGAGGTCGACACTGCTGTAGCCAAAATACCCAACAGCACCAGCATAGACACCACGCTTCTCGCCCTCGCATTCTGCGATAAGCTCCATGGCCTTGACCTTGGGAGCACCAGAGACGGTACCAGCAGGGAAGATACTACGGAAAGCATCGAATCTAGTCTTGTCTGGACGCAACACACCACTGACCTCTGAGACGAGATGCTGCACGTGGGAGAACTTCTGAACGACCATGAGCTTATCGACACGGGTACTCAGGGGGTCGCAAACACGGTTCACGTCGTTACGAGCCAGATCAACCAGCATGACGTGCTCGGCACGATCCTTGAGCGAGTCACGCAATGTTTGGGCAAGTTGCTCGTCTTGTTCGGCCGTGGGACCGCGCTTAACGGTACCAGCGATAGGGTGAGTGTAAATACGGCCATTCTCGGCCTTGACGAGCAGCTCGGGCGAGGCGCCTACGATGTGGAAATCTTCGCAGTCGAGGAAGAAGAGGTATGGCGAGGGGTTGACGGTGCGGAGATGGCGATAGATGTTGAAGGGATGTAGGGAGGTGGGGCGAGCCATGCGCTGCGAAGGAACGGCTTGAATGATGTCTCCGGAGCTGATGTGCTCCTTCAGTGTGTGGACGTGCTTTTCATAACCCTCCTGGCCGATGTTCGAGGTGTACTCATTGCCCAGCTTGACGGGATCTTGTGTGGGCAAAACGGCGTCAGTCTTCTTCAAGACTTGTAGCATGCGGTGAACGATTTGCTTTGCTTCGTCGTAGGCGGCATCCAGATTCTCGAGGCTCTCGGGGACCTTGACATATGTAACGACCATGACTTTCTGGAAGAAATGATCCAGAACAACGATGGTGTCGTAGAGCATGAACAACGATTCGGGGACCTTGAGGATGTCCTTCATGGGGCGACGGGTCTTGGGCTCGAAGTACTTGACACAATCATAGCCAACATAGCCAACAGCACCACCGGTCATTGGAGGAAGCTTGAGTGTTGGGATGTCTGCGACGCGACATTTCGAGAGTTCGTGATCGAGAATGGGCAAAGGGTCTGTTTCGGGGCCGTGACCTTCTCCGGTCTTGAGCATGTGTCGCGGATCGGCACCGACAAAACTATAGCGGCCGATGGTCTCGGTTGTGGCAGCGCTCTCGAAGAGGAAGGAGTGCTTCGATGTGGCACTGTAGGGTGACTCAGTGAGCTACTGTCATTCATGGATGCGCCGGGAGAGATGGAACCGACTTTGCTGACACCTTGAGGTATATGGAGGAAGGAGTCAAGAACTCGGAAGAAATGGAAGCGCATAGCGGCACCAGGTTCGGAGGGTTAGGCAGCTTGATTGCTTCTTGCAGCAACTGGCGCACTTCGGGGAGGGTTGGCTGTACACCTGCCTGTGTCGATACGAATCAGCTGCCGTGCACTTTTCACAAGAGCAGAGCTACCCGTGGTGCCTACCATGTTGTGTGCGATACTCGATTAGGGGGTGATGAATAGGAAAGAGCACTCGCGAAACAGTCACAGCGGAGGAAGGAAGGCGGCAAGTGGAAGCGTCGACCATAAAGTTGAGTCAATCGTCAATAATTATTCAGATATGCAAGGCGCATCCGGCAGGAGCGAACCATGACCCGAGCCAAGCTTTGCTCCCGCATCATCTGGCCAGTGGGTCGGCCCTCGTGGATGCGAGTAACCAGACCCCTCTGTTTATGCTTTGGAGCCGTTTACCTCATGGCAGCTGTTTGTTGCGCTTTGGATCATATCAACTTCACTGTATATGATAGACATGTTCTGAGCTGATCATCTTCGACACTTGTTTCTCAATCACACATCTGCCACGATCATCATTTTCAAACGAAGATCAAACGGCCGAGGAGGCAGGAGTGTGCTTACCAAGGCGCTCCCAGCCACCCGCATTTCGCTCATTTCAAAAGATGGAGTATCGCAAAGCTTCCAAACGTTCTCTTGATAACGCGACAACCTTGATAAATCCACGACATTTCTCCCTCATGGCCATGTCGACGAGCTTCTCGTCGTCGGTCTCGAGCCAGACATCACAAGGCTCTCAATCCGCCGCGACTCCTCTGGGCACGCCTTCAGGCCCGGCGCGCAACAAATCATGGCATGTCCCTGGCCCCTCGACGCGTTACCACAAGAGCGAGCACGCCAGACCGAAGCCCGTTCCCAGATCCAGTACCAACACGCAGCAACACGTGCGTAACCAGTCTTCACTGTCCACGCGCTCGTCACATACCGAAGCTTCTGCAACCGCCTCTCCCCTGGCGCGTCTCAATTTCGCTCGCGACCCGCACAAGGACTATGCCTACAATCCAAATGACACCATCAAGCCGCGCAACAACCCCGCCACCCCGATGCGCTCTCCTCATATGGCCAGCAATAACTTCAACAACCTCCGCTTCCAGGGCTCGCCGTTCTCCGACTACTTCACCGACGACGCGAGATCCGTGGATCACGATGCCCCTTATCACCCTTCGGACCCGGCTCAAAAGCTCTTGCTGCGTCTGAACAACCTTGGTGGCGACATTCTGCGTCTCGGCCTTCAGGATGATTCACTCTCCGACTTCAACGAGAAGTTGTGTACCCTTGAAGCAATGGTTCACGACGGCGTCTTCAGCGACGCTGGCTCTTTGACTGAAGAAAGAGATCGCCGCAACTCCTTCCCTGGACGTCTTTACACCGATGATCACTCTCAGGGACATGAAGCTCGTGAGCGTATCTTGTCGCCCGAGCATTCAAACAAGTCTCGTCTGTCCGATGTTTGGATGGCCGACGCTTGCGAATATACCGATGCCTTCACCCAGACCGTCGATGAGCTCCAGTGTGGTCTCGCGATTTCGTATGCCACATCGGTCACCCAAACTGACGAGCAACCTCCGAAAGAATTGGCCGAATCTGCTGTCTGGGTCAACGATTATACCGATGTCTCGACACAAACCACAAACGACCGCCTGGTCGCTGATCTGCAAGAGGTCGTCGAGCGCCTAGCCAAGGCAAACGACTCTCTGCGCCAGCGTTACGACCAGAGCAAAGATGTTTGCGACACTCAATCTGTGCAAATCGAAGAGCTGACTACCCAATTGATGATGATCAAATCTGAGAACGATAGCCTCAAGCAGGACTTGGGCTTCGACCACTCTGAACTCCTTTTCTTGAAGCTCCAGTTGCAGGCTCTCGAAGTCCAGAAGGAGAACTACGATCACAACAACCATGTCTTGCTTGCAGAAGATTTTGTCCAGTGGAAGGCTGATTGGGACAGTGTCGACGCGCGTCTTCGCTCCAGAAGACAGAAAAACCGTGTCACGTCTGCTGACATCAAGGACTTGCCCAGTTTGGATGATGACAAGAATATCAAGCCTGAAGACCAAGGCAACTGGCAGCTGGAAACCAGCAAGCATCGCCAAGGCAGAGTTCACTCCATCACTCTTAAGCGTGTTGATGAGTCTGAACCTCAGGCAGAAGATGGTGCTCTGGTCGACTCACACTTTGACATCCCTGCCTCGCCTGTTGTCAAGACTGTTTACTCAGAGCAGGCTACTCAGACCGAAGAAGCGCCTTCCGAGGCCGAGAGCACCTTGACTGAAGATACCACCGCTACACAAGGAACTCAGACTGATGTCGAACCTTCTTTCTGTCAGACGGAGATCAAGTCTCAACAGACAGAGCCTATCGAGGCACTTGAACTCGATGACGAGACCCAAGAACAAGAATCCAGCCTGGAACAGCCTTCAGTCTCTCAGTCCCCTTGTTGCGAGAAGGAGCATTTGTGCACAGCATGCGGCGAGAAGCTCGACTATTCTTCCGAAGAAGACGGACCGAACTCAAAGACACCCTGGCGAGAGCTTTGTGATGGCCTTGTCGCATTCGCCGGCATGCAACGTGATTGAGCCACCAACTGCACATTTCCGCTTTTCTCCATACATTTTCATCTGTTTTTTCCTTCTTTTCTGTTTTCCTTTGCACCATTGCGATCACAAGATCTAAAAATCTTTGCACACACCCTCTTGCCTTGGACATACCAAGCCTGATTTCTGCATTCTGCATCTGCGCGCTTGAACATTCAACACTTCTGGTTGAACTTCCTTCTCATCACTCCGTTTGTTAATCATGATACCCACACACATGCCGAACGCCTCCTCAGAAGACGGCACAGAATGTATATAGCCTTAGCATCCGTACAAATTAATCAATCCATAGCCGTATCCTCACTACTTCACCCTCCCTTGCTTGAGACTTGCAATTTTGGCCACTGTCCCGATTTGAAGATCTGCATCGTTCTTGCTTTGTCTGAGACGAGTCTGCCAGCTCCTTCCATCTTGATGTCTACCATCGTTCCTTCCTCTTACGTTCGCCGGTTGTGCCTCCCTTGTTATCTGCCAGATCGTACTTTTCTATTCTGTTCGTCAAATCGCTCTTTCCCCTTTTCGCTTGCCATGTCGCACCTTCTGCTTTTGATTGCAGGCCGTATCTTCTTTTTGAGCATTCATCATTGCTCCTTCCTTTTCAATCTTCCAGGTCGCTCCATTCCTCTTTTTTCGTGTGTCAGAGATCGCTCCTTTCTACTTTGCCTACACGTTGCGCCTTCCTCTTTTGTTTGGCTGGACCGACACACTCTTCTTGACCAATTACTTCCCGTCTTAAAGACACCTAGTACATGGCAAGATTACTCGACATGACAAGTGCTCTATGTTTCGGTATGCAAAGCCTCGATTCAATCTCGATGAAAGGTCATTAGGTTTACTACAAAAACCGTGTCATTCACTCCAAACGCCCATACAGACGTCCCAGTCCAGGGGAAGTTTGGACGGGAAAAAAATCCTACTTAAAAGTCCATTATACAATATCCAACAGCCCATTGAAGGGGTAGTCGCGATCCACAATGTTGACGTCGACGCTCCTTCTAAATATTGCTTCCGTATCGCAAACCTAACGCCGAACCGGCAAGAGCGAACGACCATATCTTGCAAAGCAGGGCTCTGTTATCTGGGTCGCACCTTCCCAAAGACTGCATCTTGATCGTCTATCCTTACTGTATCCCAATCTTGTTCTGTGTCTTTCTTCGACAAAAGGCGATGGGCGCAGCTCAAAGGCTGTTGAGTGTCTAAAAGCTTCACCTCGCTCGATACTCCGCCAACAAGGACTGCATCCGAGGCACCAGATCCGGAATGCGGAAAGGCTTGGTCACCACAGTATCCATACCAGCCTCCATTGCAATGTTGATTTGCTCACTGCGAGCATTGGCAGTGATGGCGATAACTGGGACATGGCTGCTGACTTGTCCCGTAGCCTCGTACTCCCTGATCCATCGCACGCAAGTCAATCCGTCCATCACGGGCATCTGTTGATAGTCAGCACTACTGAAGATTTTAGAGTAACTAAGATGGTTTGCTCACCTCCAGGTCCATGAGGATTATGGAGAGGGGAACGTTGTCTGAATTTGGCGTGAAAACTGTTGTATTTAAGAAGTCGAGGCAATCTTGACCATGATCGGCCGTATGTACGATGCATCCTAGCTTGCGAAGTTGTTGTGACATGACCTATTGGAAAGCTGTTAGCCATATTGAAAGTGACGGGGGCGTGGGTGAAGAGCCTACCCGTTGATTAATTGCGTTATCTTCGACGATCAGTATATGGATATCCTTGGGGGGAATGACCGATGTTGATGACGATAGAGTGTGTACAGACCCTTCGCTGACATTTGCTCTCCTCGCCGCCGAGGCTGTGTGTGGAAGGATAACCGGGCTAGTGACGGTAGGAGCGGAGAAGCTTGTTTGGCGACTCTTTGGCTCGTCAACGCAGCGCCTGGCTTTGATGTAGAACATGAAGATACTTCCGACACCTGCTTCGCTGTGGACACCAATCTGGCCTCCTTGTAATTCTGTCAGCTCGCGGGAGATGAACAGGCCGAGACCGCTTCCTCCGTATTGCTTGTAGGTCTTTGGGTTGGCTTGACTGAAGCGTTGCCAAAGGAGTTTCATCTCATCCTCGGTCAAGCCTTTACCAGTGTCCTGCACTGCGAATTGAATGTAGACTTCTCCTCCGGGACCCCACTCTGGTGAGGTAGAAAGACTTGACTGTCGCGGGCGAGGTTCGATGAATGTCACACGGCGCTGACCGCCTATAGGCGGCTTCTCGAAGGCTGACAAGTATACTGTAAGCTTGCGTATCGGACAATCTCGAGTAAACTTGATTCCGTTCGTCAACAGATTGATGATGACTTGTAGCACTCTGCTCGGATCAAGCATGCAATAGTTGAGTTTAGCATCGAGGTAGCTCTGCTCAACTACCAACTTGGCTTGGATGTCCGCCCTCGCGAGCTCGGCATCGTACATCTTAAGAGACTTTTCTATGAGTGTTGGGGGATGGACACGATCAGGAGTTATGACCAGGAGCGAAGAGTCCAGTTTAGATAGGGTTAAGATGTCGTCAACCTAAATTGGAGGCATGGTCAGCACATTCACAACATGAGGTGGGTACATCGTGTCAACTCTCTGCGTCGTGCTACGAGCGAAGCTTCAGCTGCAGCCACGCGCCGAGCTGGCACAACTAGCAAGAACAATTCGATGACGACTCGTGATGTTGGAATGGAGGTGCAACTCACAATGCATTTTTGGTGTTGAGCACAAAGTGTCTGCAAACTCGGTTTAGCTCGGAAACTTCCATGGGTTCTGTGTTGTCGATCCAACTTACGATAGTTTGAGCTGCATCTACCATCATGTTGATCGTATCAGCTGGCAAAGTTACGGGATTTTGCGACGGAGCAGTATCCAGCGACCCAAGAATACCATCCGCAAGCTGGAGAATAGCTGACAGCGGATTTCGCATTTCATGTGAAACTGGTCTTGATCAGTACAAGCAAAACAGGCAAATCTGATCAGCTTACCCATATCGATAAAATTCTCTGACGCTCGCCTGGTCTCCAGCGCATCTTCCAAACGTTGTGCCATGAGGGCTTCAAGACGTTTGCGAGGAGATACGTCCATGAGCCAACCTTGTATCGTAATGATGCGACCACTCTCATCGACTTCGGGGAATGAGATAGTTTCAAGAGCCCGGATACCAGGCTGCTCGCCAGCTTTGGTAGGTGGTATTTTGACTCTGTATTCAAAGGTCTGGGGCGTCTTTGAATCTTTGAGTCGAGCCCAGATCTGTGTTGCAAGTTCGATATCCTCTTCATAGATAGTGTCGCTCCATGCAAGTCCACGAGACGCTGCCTGCTCGAACACATCCCGTTCCAGTCCGATCAGACTAAGATATGCGTCGTTGACATACTTCGGATTGCCGTCACAGTCAAACATGTACCTATGGGTTCGAGTCAGTCATCAGACATGGAAAGGATGCTTGCTGGCAGGGCAGACGCACATTCCGAAAGGTGCATCTTGAGCCATGCGGGTAAACGTTTCCTCGTTCTTCTCGGCTTTCAGAGCAATAATTTGCAATTTTTGTGAAAGTGCGAAGTTGATCTGTTCATATTTCTCTTGATCCCGTCTCTGTTCTTCCGGAAGAGAGATCAGAGCAGCAGCTTTGGATATCAAATCACCCATATGGCTGATGAAGACACGTGACTCGTCGTTGAATATCCTTCGCGGGTTCATGCCGAGAACGATGAAGGCAATTTGCTGGCCAGACACACTTGTTATGGGTAGGACACAAGCTGTTGTCACAAATCCTCGATCCGGTATGAGAAGTGCCAGCTCTGGTGGAAGACTATCATACCTATCCTGTAGCACAACCACTTGCTGAGTTCTGCGAGCTTCTGCAAATACGGGCCCTAGAGAAGGTCTGTGGAACCGCTCACCGGCGTGAACAATAGTCTCGAAGGTCTGCGACGCGACTCCCGATGTAATCTGAAGCTCCAGTTGGAAAGTATCCACTCTTTCAATGGCATGTGCATGACCCGACTCAACAGGTTGGTTGACTGCTGTGTAAATGAGCGAGTATGCTGCATCGTGGTTGCTCCGCATCTCTGTGGCTAGAGATGTCCAGAGATCAGGGAAGTTGTCAACTGCAGGTATGATAGCTTGGACCTTGTCGATAAGTTTCCGCCGCTGGTTCTGGAACACGTGAGATGTGGACTCTTGGTATGTGTTCAACACAGCCACCATGTGGCCCTCTGGGCCGGTGCAAGGCTGCAGAACAACATCCCAGTACGTTTCCTCGATGAAACCGTTACGCTCCAGGACAGCTTCCATCTCTTTGGCTTCGGCCACTTGGCCTCGATTTATAGCAGCTCTTATCATCTTCATGTGTTTGTCGTGTATTTCGGGGCCCCAGACATCGATGAAACGGTTGCCCAAGGCAAAAGTCGGATGTTTCGAACCAAGCAGTGCGGATGCTGCTTCGTTATATAGGATAGCCTGATCGCTGCCCCAATACACCATTCGCGGCGCAGGAGACGACATGATCTGCACCGCCAGCCGTCTCAGCTCGTCTGGCCATCGCGACATGGGCCCGAGGTAAGTCTTCTCGAATGGGTACGTCTTGATGAAGTCGATCCAAGCAGATTGTCGGACTTTATGAGGATATCGTGTCCAATCGATGGTTTTCTCTTGCGCATCTGCCCATGGAGAATGGTCATGCTCATTCTCTGAACCTTCCATTTCCGTATCTCCTTGACTGGGACGAAGAGATTCGGTGTGTGCTTCGGCGACGCTGTCAAGTCTCCTGTCGTCGTCCCATTGACTGCAGTAGATGACTCTCCATGCATTGCGGAACCGTTTACTCGACCAAGCTCTTCCTCCAAAAGGCTTCACGGGACGATTGCTAGGGATGGCGACGCTTGTAGACAGCGATCGGAGCCAATCATCATACGAGTCGCTGGTGACGGTCCGCTCGAGGAACGAGGTGAAGGCGGCATTCTGAAATACGACACGAGGGATGTGGGGAACGGCGACGTTTGAGGAGAGGACCTCGATGAGAAATGTAGGCCGGTCGTCGTCGCTGAGGAACTCGAGCAGAGAGTTGATGTCGGTCAAACTGGAGAAGAGCGAACCGGAACAGGACTGCGAGGATGTTGAATTTGGCGACATAAGACCACGATGAGGGCTTTGCGACCGGAAGGACGACGCCTGTGATCGTGTCGGGTCGACCATACTGATGGCACAGCGACTCACTCTCCCATGCCAATGTTACGAGTGATTCTGACTCCGCTTCAGAGGGCGGTAATTCATCTCACGACCGCGGACTAGCTATTTGTCAATGACGTAGAATCTACCTGTGCAACCGTTTGGCCAGGCCTTTTCGAGTCAAGAAGTGGATGATCGCTTGAGACATGCTGACTTACGCTTCTACTTACGATGCAGGCACGACCTGGTACTCACAGTGTACGCAGCTTCCAACATAAGTGCAAACTACGTCAATATACAATCGAGCTTGCGAAGATCGATCTCGCTGAAGATGGAATGCCCGGTCTTCGTAAGATTGGCCAGATGCTTGGCATGTGCTGAATTAGGAAACTCTCCCGTTTGGTATCGACTCCTGAGAATGGCCGAAGCTCGACCACGATGATTGAGGCTCAAAGTACAAGCCTTCTTGTTCTTCACAAGTTCACAACACATACTATACATCACCCCGCTAAGACATGTCTGTCCTGCAACTCCGTGAGTCAGTCTTGCTGCTATTATACATGGATGCGCCTTACTAGAGCTCGCCGGTACACTACTTCGATCTTTGGAAGGAAGCGAGAGGGTCAAAGTTCAACATACGAGGAGAAAGCCACGGAAGCACAATAGATGAACGATGAAAGATGGAGTTGGAAGAACGTAGTCTGAAGACCGAGACTGAAAGGTCTCATAAAATATCCAAGGTATCATTAAACTGTAACCAATGCCAAACTCCATATTTGTATCCCTACGCCACCCTTTTAACCTTTCCCATGCTACAACCCCATCCATATGATTACCCAATTCTCCATAGAGATATTGCACTGTAGGTCTCTATGCTACCGAGACAGCCACCAGGACGTTTCGGGTGCACTTCGAGCCGTTAGGCACGTAGTTGGCGAAGTGCACGTCGTTGTCGTTGGGGCAGGCAGAGAAGTAGTTGTCACCATCGCAAACTAAGCCCTGTGAGTCACTGAAGAGACAGTTGGCCTTCTTGCCTGAGCCAGTTGAGAATTTGGCCAGGGGGAAGACATTGTCCTGCCAGACGGCGGACAGAAGAGTCCATTGCGAGCCTCCGTATGCAACACTGAGCTCACCAGTCTGATAGTTCAGCGTGAAGACTGATCCTTTGGTTGCGCCCGAGTAAGCAAAGATTCTATCACTTGCACTTGTCTCGGTGCCGTCGCTAGCGGTAGTCTCGGTCCCTATGTACGATCCGCTCGAGTTGACGAGATTGAAGCTTGTGCTGGTGGGATCGACCGCAGCAGTCGTAGTGGATACAACAGAAATGACGGTCGTCGAGGCGGCAGCAGTGACGGTCGAAAAGGCAGTAGTGACGGAAGTCGATGAAGGCTTGGAAGCTTGCATAGAACAGGCCGAGGAGATGACAGTAGCAGGGTATTTGCTGAGGTCGGCCGGGATAGACAAAGCACGCCTGACCTTGTTGGGAGAGACGGTCGTGGTCGAATAAGAGGTGGATGTCACCACAGGGACAGTGGTAGCAACAGATGTTACTGTGGACACAGGGATGCTGTAACCGAGATAGGCCGAGCAGAAAGGCTGAAGCTTTGACCACTTGATATCGGCAACAGCTTGGTAGGTGGCTCCATTGGCATCGCCGACGAGGGGATCGAGGCCAGCGTTGGGCTTGCTGAACCCGAAGCTATAGCTCACGACATACTGGTCGGTGCCTCTCATCTGTCCGCCGTTTGTAGCGTACTTGTTTGTCCAGGGTTCGGTATATAGCGAGCAGTATTGACCTTGAGCCACTTGCTTGGCTGAGCTGCCTCCGGGGTTGAGGAACAGCATGTAGGTGTTGAAATAATTGCAGACCTTGTAAGGGGTACCATCCTTAGGTGCTGTCGCCTTGTTGTATGCGGTCTGGGCATTACAGTACTCAGAGCAAAGAGTGGTGTTGAAGGAACTTTGGGTGAAGATCTTGGATCCCATGAAAGTGTTGTAACCTTGAGCATCATAAGGTGCGTTCATGGCCTTGTCGCCGTAGGAAACGGCATCGTTGAAACCTGCGGGAGTAGAGACTGAAGTGCTGACATAACCGTTTGAGCCAGCAATGAGAACCGAGAAGCTACCACGAGTCTGACCAAAGTTGTTGGCGTTGGCAGCAGAGATCGGACCGCCCCAGTACGCGCACTTGATCATGACCTGCGAGGAGGGATCCGAGCACGATGCATCGTTGGGATTCACTTTGGATACATGTCAGTCGGAGCTCTCGAAGACGGCGACGACGAGCTTACCTGAAGGATCACGTTCGAAGTACATGTTGAAAGACACGCAGCCAAGCTTAGAGGTGCATCGAGACGCGCAGCTAGCGACATCATATGTCTGGAAAGTGTCAAACCCCATGTAAATGAAACTGAGTTCCAGTCAGCAAAGACGAACCACACTCTGCATCGGGCTAGCTTACGCGTTGTTCGAAGCCTGCTTGTTGGAAAACGTCTGGACGTAGCCGCCAGGTGCTGCTGCGGCTGGGTCCAGTGCTGCGGCAGACCATCTGGAGTCTGCTTTGAACCCATCGGGGGTGTCTGGAGAAGAGGCAGAAACTGCTCCTGTGGGCTGGGGCACACATGTTGCGGCTGCTCTCTTGGCCTGAACGATAGCAGTAGACGACAGAACATCTCCTGCATCAACAGACACTGAAGATAAAGCTGCGGTAGCTTGAGCAGCAGCGGCAGCAATGTCCACGGTGATTGTCTGGGCAGTAACACCCACAGCCTCGGAGTATGATGTCGGGTCAGGGGCGGCAATGACCATGTCAAGGTCGATGTCTTGGGGAGCAGGAAGGGCGGCTACCAAGTTGGCCGCCAATACGGGAAGAGCATAAGATGAGAAGCGCATCTTGATGGTAGGATGAGAATGAGACTGGTGGGAGCTGTTGTTCTAATATTCTGTGGCTGCTGCTCACCTACCTTATATAGAGACTACATTCTTACTGCGGCTCTGGTATGGCCTCTGTGAGGAGCGGTCTCGGTTTGGCCGAATACTGACAGACTCTCTTGTGAACGCCATGGCGCGGCATGTGCGAAGGTAAAGTTCACCATTTGCTATCTTGGCGCAGTCGACACCAGCTGAAGATCTAAAGGGGCTTGACGGGCACGGGATGGTGAACATACCTAGACACATAGTAGTTGGCACTTGGCAGGGAGCAAGTCAGAAGACAGCTCGTGTCGACACGCGCGCTTAAGGCACGGTCGTTCCACGGTCGGAACCAGTGAGATTGCATACGAAAGAAGCTAGCGGGAAAACTTTAAACACTGGAAAACTCTCCGGTTGGGTCTGGTGCCGCTGCTTGTTTTCTGTTCCTGCAGATACCTGCCTGATGTATGCCGATGATCAAGGGGTACGTATCTACTTCGAGAATGCTAGACGTTCATCAAAGGACGTAAGCTCCTCACACTCAACGACAGCGTTGAGATGGGCTCAGTCCGCAACACCAACGTCTCTCGCGGCTAATAGCATTTCGCAAGGACTTCGCAAAATCTATCTCTGCCGTTGTGTTCAAGGGTGAGACATATTACAATGGCTGAGGCTAGGCTTCAGCCTCCCTCATGAGATCGGTCTTGAACGATGAGCATCCCCGGTCTTGACCGCGCAGGGTCGGTGAGAAGGTTCGGCATTTCCGGTGGTGTTACTGGTGCCTCTCGTGCTGGGATTACCCTAAACAAGCGACAGTTGACTGCACCGGCCTCCAATGGTTGACTCCAACGTGGACAGCCACCTGTTCAGATGCGGTAAAAGGGCTCGGTTTATCTTCCTTCCGCAGTTCTTCAGCCCTACGTGATCAATTCGAGAAGCCTCGCACGAAACACGAGCTTTACAGATTGGCGCCAATGCCATGTGCTGGCGCATCGGTTTTAGATAACTACCATTCCTTGAAAATACTCTGACTTTTTGCCGGGTAGCTTGAGTTACGCGGTATTCTGGATGCGTGAAGCTTGCAACAAGGTTTATCCAGCACGGCAGACATCCTACAGACTACCAAGCATCACCTTCGACAACGACTTCCGAGCACGTGAAATCTCGCTGAGGGTGCGACGAACTATGTTTCTCGATCCCGGCTTCCTTTAGTCAAAAGGGGCAAGTGTGCTCGATATGTCTTATATCAGGACACCACATCGTATGAGACGAAGCCGAAGCCCAGCTTATATTGAATCCCGATGCGTCTCTCGAAACAACAAGATGAAAATCGCTGACTCGGCGAAACATCTCAGCTGAGAATGATATCGTTGACCCACATGAAATTATCGACAGACCGTAATTGCGCAAGCAGACAGCGACCCATCCAATCTGTAAACTGTTAGAATCACTGCTATGCTCATCAATCCGCGACCCTACGCGCTCCGACAGCATTATCGTAGTCACAAACTCGTTAGATTTTAAGCTATCCCTGGACCTCATTTTGGACGGGAAAATGAGATCTGGTTCAAGACAGTCGACACCTGTCTTACCGTATGCTGAATCCTGTCACACACGCTCTCCTTCGTAAATAGACCAGAGAAAGGGCGGGCTCTAGAGAAGCGCAATAAAGTCTTACATCAATTACCCTGGCATGAATCGAATTGGATGCATCGTCGGCATCGCTCTAGGTCTCCAGATACCATGCCTTGGGACGGCTACAAGTGTGGCAGATCTCAGCATACCGGGGGGATATTACTGATCTACTGGTCTTCCAAGCCTCACAAAGACGAGCCCAGGTTAGCATCCTTGGAAATGTATGACAGCACCTCTCCCACCAGGCGGACGAATTTGTTAAGGACACTTGTGTGCTTGTAAGAACATATAACCATATAAGAGTGGTCGTTGTTGACATGGTCGTATGACTTGTAGCGGAGCAAGCAAAAGAAAACTGGTGACGTCGGTAAATATTTCCTCGCACTCCAGAATCAGTCGAAGTATCCCCATCACGAACAACAGACAACGATCAGCTCGGGAGAACGACATCTCACGCAAGAGATCGATCAGAGAGGCTCAACAATCGCAGATCTGCAAATCATCACGATCAGAAAGGTGGAGTTCGCTCTACAAAAATATACACCACTATTTTCTCAGATCGCTTTGCGTCATAACAACGTGATGACATCAGTCTACTGCTGTCTCGAAACTCACATATATGTACCTTTACTCTAAGCACATTTCCCTTCGCATCTAATCCCATTCCACTTTCTACATCTCAAAAACCCCAACTCACCTCCTTAAATCAACCACACATCACAATGCCTCACTCCAAGACTCCCGGCGGTTCTGGCATGTCCGAGAAGGAGGCCAAGAAGCAGGCTCAGAGTAAGACTAATCACCTTTGTGCCTTTGCTCCATGCAACACAGACTAATAATCAATTCAACAGCCCACGGTTCCGGTGCCCCCAACGCCCCCGGCCACACCGAGCTGAAGGCTCCCGGTGAGGCCCCCGTTGCCTCGGACTCTGGTGTCACCAACGTCGGTATCGACAACGGCTCCAACCAGCCCGGAGAGAAGGGCATCAAGGGTGTCCCCGTCTCCACCGAGACCACCACCAACGCCAACATGAAGTAAACTGCTTCTTCGCATATTCAGTCTGCATTGAGAGAAGGAACAAGCACTACAAGGAATCCTGGAAATGGATGACTTGGTGAAGTCAAGGGCTGGACCCTTTCTGTACAAGATATGTTTACGAGGCCACGACCTTTCTACTGTATTATAGTCATGCTATGAAAACAAAAAGCACTGAGAAAAACAATATACCACTTGGTTGTTCCGGACTACCTTATGCTTGTCGTTGAATTGAAACTGCGATACCGAGTACAAACTGAGGGACATCGTGCCATGTAGATACTGTTGGTGTGTATTTCTGGTATCAATAGACCCACCGTCCACTACCACGTCTCTGTCATAGTTGTTCTGATGTTAGTCAAGTTTGGTGGACAAAATTGTGCTTTAAGGCTTTTGGACAGGGTCATACCAATAGCAAGTATCTGTCGATGTAATGTTCTGCTGTACGACGACTTGTTTAGTGTGTGGCTTCAGTACAGCTGGGAATAGCCTTTGGATGTATTCTGAGATTATCCGCAGTCACTAAGCTACTTTTGCTGTGGTCGTTGTCGAGATATACAGCATCACACATTTTGGAGCTTCAAAATGCCAGAGGTCAGCGCGGAAAGTAGCAACTCTAGGGGACACGGCTAAAATGAATCGATGCATTGGTACCAAAGTACATGAGGTAATTACACAATGTCAAATTAAGCATAGAAAGCAGCCCCGAAGGATGACCGAAGACATTATTGATTGGCGAGTGTTGAGGACGAAAAGTGATTTGAGCTTGGCGAGGTCGGTCTTGAGCTGTGAGGTATGAGCGAGGTCGGACTTCTGGGTGGATTCAATCTGAGCAACTCTCAACATTGTCATGCGCCAATGAATTTCTGGTCGCGTGCTTTGAAGCCATCACTTTCTCACACCCATTCAAGTCGCAGCTTTCATAACACCGTCAGGATGCAGGGCGACTACAATGTGAGTCCGTTCGAACTAGACCTAGCATGCGACAAGACTGACAGATGACGACAGGCAGCCGTAGCGGCACTGAACACGCTGCAGAGCAACTTCTCAATCGTAGACGCGATTCGCAAGTCTGGAAGAGGAATGAACAAGAATGCCATTCCGGAGATGATTGAGTGGGTCAAGAAGCTGGGCTACGAGGTGTGCGTTCTGCCGCCGCAAGCATAACCCGTACACGCGACTGACGCCAACAACTGCAGCCCGCCGACTTCGATAGACTGAAGGCCGTGCACGTCGCTGGAACAAAGGGCAAAGGCTCGACCAGCTCCTTCATCGCATCCATCCTCGGCCAATATGTCGCCGAAGCCAAGGTCAACAAGACGGGCCTGTACACATCACCCCACCTGCGCTTCGTGCGCGAGCGCATCCAGATCGACAACAAGCCATTGACTGAAGAGCAATTTGCCAAATACTTCTTCGAGACCTGGAACAGACTCGAAGCTGCCGCCAAAGCTGCCGGTCATGCCGACCCTTCCAGCAAGGAGACCAAGCCCGTTTACTTCCGCTTCTTGACCTTGATGGCCCTCCACACCTACATCAGCGAAGGCGTAGATGCCGCCGTCATCGAATGCGGCATTGGGGGCGAGTTCGACAGCACAAACATCCTTGTGAAGCCCAGCGTCACGGCCGTCACGAGCCTGGGCATCGACCACGTCGCCATGTTGGGTGACACAATCGACTCGATTGCATGGCACAAGGCTGGTGTCTTCAAACCCGGTGTCCCTGCCTTCTCAGCTCCTCAACCCGAAGAAGCCGTTCGTGTCCTGCACGAGCGCGCCGCCGAACGAAACACAAAGCTTGACCTTGTCGACATTCACCCCGAACTTGAGAACATCAAGCTCGGTCTTGCCGCAGACTTTCAAAAGACAAATGCATCTGTCGCCATCGCCGCTGCTGGAGCATACCTACGCCAGGTAGGCGTCGAAGATCTTCCCACCTCCACATATCTGCCTCAGGCTTTCCGCAAAGGTCTCGAGGACGTCCACTTGGGTGGACGCTGCGAAACGCGCACAGACGCCACCACATCGAACCTGAAATGGCACATCGATGGTGGTCATACCCTTGAGAGTATTGAACTTGCCGCCCGCTGGTTCGGCAGCTTGATCTCCTCGTCCACAAACTCCTCCACTCGCATTCTGATCTTCAACCAACAGACCCGCGATGCTTCGTCGTTGGCTCTGAAACTACACGAGACACTGGTTTCTGCGCTGGCTGACCAGAAGCCCTTCTCACATGCCTTTTTCTGCACCAACACCACCTATGCAGAGTCAGGCTTCCGTCCCGATCTCACTAGTATAAACACCAATGCTAGCGACATCGAAACGCTGAGCGTACAAAATGCTCTTGCCGAGACCTGGAAGGGCGTGGACAACAGCTGTGATGTCCGGGTGCTCAGGACTGTCGAAGAAGCCGTAAAGGCTGCTAGAGATGTCGCCGGACAGTCAAAGGAAGAAGTCATGGTACTTGCAACTGGTAGTTTGCATTTGGTTGGTGGTGTCGTCGAAGTGCTCGAGGGCGACAAACCCTAGATCACTGACAACAGCGAAAGCGATAGACAGCATGGTATATCTCCTCGGCTTTATGCATTGGTGGACAACTCCAACCCAGTTACTTTCCTCGTCTGATGCGCAAAGTGATGATTCGTCACACATGATAGTGTCGAGATCCGAAGCTTGACCTGTTCCGAAACTTTCTGTAGCTGCTCTGAGCCGTCACCATTCAAGGCGAAGTCACACTTCGACCAAGTACAGTCCTGAGCCACTTGAAATCATGCCAAGTCATGTTATTCTACCCATTCCAGCCCTTTTGTGCCCGTTAATAAGCTGTTCACCAAACACGGAGTCCACCTCACCTGCCCCGAGCTTTTTTGTATCTGCTCCGAACTTAAATTCGAGCCTACGCGTCTGTGCACCAACTCGGAACCATTCCGAAGACAATCTCGGGATGCGACATCACAATTCACGTCTTTTCGGATCAAAATACGTGTCTCCGATATTGCGAGATTGCTGTCCGGAACCGATGAACCGATGAAGCAATGTGATAACCTCGGGTTGTGAGCTCTGTATAGCTATATAACCTACCAGAAGATGACAGGTCATCCGTCACTTCCAAATTTCATCCATCTGAGGATATTTCGAGCCTCCCATACCCGAACAACCCATCATGCCATCGCTTCAAGTTCCGGGTGCAGATTTGCACTACGAGTCCTTCGGCAGTGGACCCCTTCTCCTCCTCATCACTGGTGCCGATGGTCGTGGCTCCGTTTGGCATCCTACAGCCGAATATCTCTCAGCCCACTACACGACTATCTGCTACGACCGCCGCGGTTACTCCTCCAGCATAATAACCGGCACCCAAGACTACAGCACGCGCCTCGAAACTGATGCTGATGACGCAGCCCTTCTCATCCAACACCTCAGTTCTTCTGGCCATGCCATCGTCGTCGGCAATTCGTCCGGCGCCATTGTAGCCCAGCAACTACTCCTCAGACATCCTGAGTGTGTGCAGAAGCTGGTGTCTCATGAACCTCCTGCTTTCGGAGTACTACCTGCAGAATTTCGTCAAAAGGGCGAGGCGGTGGTAAATCACATCTACAACCGTTACAGAAGCAGTGGTCCTATCGCCGCAATGGAAGAGTTCACTGCCGGTCTCGATACCGGCTCAGAAGCCGAGTTGATGCGTTCATTGATGCATCCTGGTCATTCGAACGAGATCAGAGCAAACTCACTCTTCTGGTTTGAGTTTGAGCTGAGACAATATCCTTGTTCTGATGTCGATGTGGAGGGATTGATCAGGCTCAAGGAAAAGGTCATTCCTGCTGCGGGTGGCGAGTCTGGGAACGGTGTCGGTGTCGGTCCTATTGCTGTTATTGCTGGAGCTACTGACAAAGAAATCCTGAGGCTTCCTGGTGGACATATTGGGTTCATGACACAGCCAGAGGCATGGGCTGCTGCGCTAGTTGAGGGCCTCAAGAAGTACTGAGAGGCCTTATGCGTGCAAGATAGCAGTCCCAGAGGTTAATGTAACGTTTAGCATACGTTATATTACGGATGAAGACAAAAACAAGATGTCTCCATCGATACTCCATTATCAGCAATAAGTGTCAAAAATGTCTGTGTAACATGGAACTAAAACGCCGCCTTTTCTCAGTCATGTGTAGATTTTGGACTGGGATCAGATTACGCCTTCGAACACCCATCGCTAGACTCTACCATGTACCATTATAACCTGCTGCGGCAAGGCGTCTTTGGACTGATAGAACGGCAGTGCCCAGCTTTATTGCGTTGGGAGTAGCCGGTTTACTGCCAGCAACATGAGAAGTACATGGCATCTCTTTGATCTCATACAACATCCAAGTATTATTTCCTCAAACTTTCCTCCGACAAGGATCGTGCCACATTCCCGTGTCCGATCACGAACTCATTGATTGAACCACGCGCCAGAATCTCCGAGCCACTCCGAACCTAGCATCTGTTGACTCAACATCGCACTCGGGTTCGCAAGCCAATCGAAGTCATCAAAGTCTTCAATACTCGTCATGTCGTTCAACTGCTCCATCGCTGGCGTGAAGTTCTGCTCAGCGACACTTCGTCGTCCACCAAAGCTCTCATTAATGTGACGGTCTAGGAGTTGTAGAGAGTGGAGGCTTTGTGTCGAAACGGGTACACTAGATTCCATGCACCGAAGGATGTGGTATGATCTCTGGATGCAGACGTCGATGCTGGAAACCAGAACAGGTAGGCGAGTAGAAGCGTATCTCTTCATGGCTAGCATGGAAGTTGCAGCTGTGAATGTCACTACCAAGTGGGTTTGTTAGTATGAGTACTCTGATTTTGACAGGTCCGGCTTACTGTAAACGACATGCCAGTCGGCTACGCGGAAGGAAGAGTCAAGACTATTGTAGAGTATATTCAATAGGCGTTCACTTGTCGTCGTACAAAGCTCGACATTATGTATAACTTGTCGATCCTCATGAGGCATGTACTCCTCATCGGTACTGTCCGAACCCGACGGAAGCAGCAACAGGGCAGGGCGCAGAAGAAGTATGCGAGTATAGAGGAACCTGAACATTCATTAGTAAAGACGAACACGAAACAGGTATGCATCATCACAAACCTGCACGAAACAGCGTGCTCGTTAAGGACCGAGATGTCATCGGAAGCGATGCGCCCTCGCCCTTCGATGAAGTCGCGAATATGATCAGGAATCGAAATGAGAAACGCTTCTAATCGGCCGTTCAAGCTTGCAATTTGTGACAGGCTTTGAGATCGCTGATCTCGGCTACTTCCCACAGAGTTCAAAGCTCCGTTGTCACAATAGAGCGCCGACAGTATTTCACCAACAACGTCGAACAGATCACAGGTGCATCTGAAGATGGGGAGCTCACATGTCATTCTCACTGAAGATGGAGCCTCTTTGTCCTGAACACTCAGAGTGTCGTCGCTCAACATGGGTAGGAGTGTAGAGTGCCCGCCCCGAATCATCATCGGCCACCCGAATGTCGCAGCGACCAATCTATATGCTGTCATTCACTTGCTGCTCACGACTGTGCATGACGAGACTTACCTGTCTAGAACAAGGCATGAGTGCCAAAGTCTCTTGCCCATCTCCCGGCTGTATACTGTCTTCTGACTTTGATATGTTTGTTCTGAATGTAACCCGAGACTCTGCGCCATTCGAATTGCGACACCTAAGAGATTCCAACATCTTGTTACTTCGGTTGTAGACTGCAGATGGACAGCCTGAAGAAGCAGCATCTGAAGTACTGGGAAAGAGGTGCAATCAAGGGCGTCGTACTGAAACGTCTGCTTCGACATGTTATAGAAGTCTGAGACCATGGTTCCTTTCTCCAACTTTGGTATAGAGTTGCAGAAGCGCGTGCTCACCGCGAAGACGATATTGAGGGTGGAGAGAAACAGAGCTTCTTCAAAGTCTCGACGGCTGTCATTTGTTTCAGGATCCTCATCTGGCTGTGAAGTCCACAACTTTTCGTAGCTTCTCACAAAGGTAGGCCTGTGTAGTATCGGAAACAGAGGATGTACGAATGTCCAATAAGTCTTGATAAGATCGTCTGCAACACGCCGACGGGGCATGACTGCCGCCTTCACCACTGAAGTTTTGAGTTTGGCTGGGACGTGACGCGTCTCTTTAGGCACAAAGTCGTGAGTATGTCGGTGCTGGTTGCTGGATAGCTGATGCATAAACGTCGTCGATGAAGATGCGCCAAAGATCACATCCTGCACCTCTGACCGAGCCAAGTTTGCATCAGAATATTCGGAAGCAGCTACAAGTGTGTCTGCCGGTGTTTCCAGCGTGTTCGTGAATGCTAGATCATGTTCGACGTGGCGTGAGTCCTCAGCGCGCCCAGTTCGCGCAAGAATAGATCCTATGCCCTCGAAATTTGTTCTCTGCGGCTCTAGAATTCTGTCTTCGTAAGTGCAGGTGTATCTCTTTCTGCCGGTCACGCATTGCGTGCATGTCGGCTGGATGCCATCGCAGCGAACTTTGCGTCTTCTGCAAGGATCGCAAGCGACTGCTATCTTGCGGCGCTTCGCAGATCGTGGCGTGCTATCTAAACGTTCCGTGCTATTCTCTAACATTGACATGTATGTCGTTGTGTGCACAATTGGTCTTTGAAGAGTGCAGAAAGAAGAAAGACAGTGAGCTCCGAGGGACAGGGCTTTCCGAAGTCCGGAACGTCGAGGCGCGCTCAAGCTCAGCGCAGGTACAGAAATTATCGGGACAGGCGCGGAAAAGCTCGGAACAGGTAGAGAACCAGCACTCGGCAAACTCTCACAGCGAGCTTCATAATTTGGTGTTCCTGCTCCGAACATATTTGTATCTACTGCGATATTCCACGCCTTCCGTGTGCGGAATACTTTAATACTTATCTACATGGGTCTGAAGCATTATAGATCCAGAGCGACGTCACTGACATATATATACTGTCCACACAGTTTAGCAAATAGGGAGGGTACCTGCGCTGAGCTTTCTGTGCCTGCTCCGAGCTTTCTCTACCTGCGCTGAACTTTTTTGTACCTGCGTTGAGCTTTTTTGTACCTGCACTGGGCTTTCTGCACCTGCGCTGAGCTTTCTGTGCCTGTGCTGAACTTATTGTACCTATACTGAGCTTTCGTTTTCTGTTTTCAGCCCATATCGAGCTTCTAAGGTATTGGTCTAAGCATGTCAATCACAAGGCTCTGGAAAAGAACATTTGGAGAGATAGTGCATGAGTTTGCACTCAATTAGATGTACATACCCAACAGTAAGCTCTGGGATACCAGAGGAGAAGGATAAAGGGGACAATGCTACTCCGAGCAGGCTTCGCTCAAGATGGACCAAGAGGTATTCTGTACACATCTCTCATCCATCCCGTCTATACAACAATAATAATGTGTCCGATTCTATCGTTTCATGCTTTCGTTCGTCGTCATAACGGCGTTCTTAGGTAGTCGCAGCCCGACCATCTTCGACGCTTCCACTATCCTCCCTCAAGCTCTCTGCTCTTTCTTGCTGTTCAGACAGCTCAAGCGCCTGCTCAACACCTCTTGTAAAATGTCCTTCACCGCCACAGACCTCAACGATCCCGCTCACGACCATAAGTTTCCAGACTTGTGATCGTCGACTGGGGACTCTGCAGAAGAAGACTTTGGTACCGCGTTCACGGTAACCAGTTACGATCTCCAAAAGCACTTGTGCAGCAGCTGGATCAAGAGATGTTACACCATGAATATCGAAGACCACGTTGCGGTTATGCTGGCGGTCACGAACTTGGGGCAGGGCCGGATGAGCAGCACTAGTGCCATGAGCTTCCAATCTCCGCAGCCTATCCTTTAAGCTGCCAGTATTTGCAAAAGTCAATGGTTCCGGAATCCTGACAATGAGGACGTAAGGGATGAACTCAAGGCCGCCGTGTTCGGCACTGTCGAATTGGTTGCGAGTGCCAGGTACGCGGCCAAGAATTTGGATACGCGGACGAGTGGCGTGTTTGAGCAGACGGAGGAGGGAGAGACCGATACCGACAGCAATGCCGATACGGAGATTCCAGAAAAAGGTTGTTAGGAAAATCAGAAGCATGAGGCCTACTTCGTTCCAGCCCTTGATGGACCAGAAGAAATGTATGTCGTGAGGTGCTTCTTCGATTAGTGAATAGGCTACGACCGAAATCATAGCGGCGAGCACTCCTTTCTGTACAGTTGTCAGCACAATTTAGCACCTGCTTCTCACACCTCAGCTTACCGGTATGTAGTAAAAGTAGGGCAACAAGAACAGGATACAGAAGACTGTAATCAGAGACAAGAAGACACTGCTCATTGGGGTCTTGCCTCCAGTACTTTTGTTCACCAAACTTCTTCCGTAACCGCCAAAGGCAGGAATGCCCATGAACAGGCCTCCAAAAATATTCGCGACACCCAGAGCGACCAACTCGCGGTTAGCAGAGACGTTCATGTTGACAATGCCGTCGGCCTCTTCATACTCGTTTCCGTCGTCGTCGATCTTCGTCTCAATCTTCGCTGTGCTGTTTGCGAGACTTTTGGCTGCGACACTGCTCTCAAAGAAACCAAGCAGGGCAATGAGGAAAGATGTGGAGAAAGCGTCGGTAACGTGCTCCATCATCGACGGTTGGAACGGGAAATGCACCTGGAAAGGCTTGCCGGTTGTCTTAAGATCACCCAAGATATCAAGGCCCTGCTTGTCCCAGGAGAAGCCCCAGGTGAAGAGAGCCGAGAAAACAACAACCAGGAAACGGTCTGGAAAGTAAGCCACAGAAGGATAGCGAGGTTGTAGACTTCTCTTCAACTGTCTGAACACCATGACGATTGTGAAAGCACCGAACGAGACAGCGCAAGTCAGCTTGTGTGCCTTGTCCGCGTTGTTGAACAGATAGATGAGCTTTGTAAGAGAACTGCCATGTGCAGCACCACTAGGGTCATGTTCGATTAGGGTACTCATTCCAGTTTCAGGCACGAGTTGATCGACGAAAATGACGACACCGATAGCACTGATGAAGCCTCGAAGGAATGGTCGGCTCAGAACACTGTCAAGGAAACCAAGTCTAAAGAGACCTGCAAGCAGGATGATTGCGCCAGCAATTCCTGTCACCATGCCGGCGATCTGAGTGTTACTCGCAATGTCGTTGTCTCGATGTTTTCCCGAACTAATGTTCTCGCGGACCACTTGACCAGTAAGAAGGGAGCCAGCAGCTTCAGGACCAACAACTAGCTGTGGTACTGTACCAAAGATGGCGTATATGAAGGGATTGAAGACGAAGGCGTATAGGCCGTTGATGGGTGGTAGGTGAGCCAGGTTTGAAGCGTATGATAAAGACATGGGAATGTAGAAGGATGCCATAGTCAGGGCAGCAATCAAGTCACCGCGCAAGAACTTCCATTGATACTGGCGGATCCAGTTGGTCACAGGGAGGTAGTAATGGAGATACCTGGAAAGCAGGTTTAGAAAGCAGAAGACTTGTATTGGGAGGGGACTCTGCTACATACATGGTCCGCTCACTCTTGACACCATGTTGTTTGGCCAGCCATCGAGTTGTGCTCATGGTGCGCTCTGGGGCCGCACGAAGAAGTGGATCGGAAACATTGTCGTCCAGCAAACTGTGAGGAGTAACAGTACCACTCTCAAAGCCATCTCTTGGATCCATTGACTCGGTACTGAAAGTACTGCCGTAGTGCTGCAGGAATTTTGGTCTTTGGTCCCAACTCTGCTGTTCTATGAGCCGTGTACGGACAGAGGGCTCGGCTTGTTCGCCATTGGATGTCGAAGGTGGATCCGGCATGGCCTCTGGAGAGCGACTTCTATCGGCAGCGTCGAGGATCATGGATGGATTCTCGGGCGACGACACGGTATGCGACTGTCGCAAGCCGCTCGGATTCGCAGGGACGTGTGCGTGCACCGGGCGCGATTGCGCCGGCGTCGACGAGGCGCGCGACGGTGACGGCGACGGTGACGGCGACGGCGATGGCGATTGCGCCGACGACGGCATGTTTTTAGGCGTGTGTAACGAAGAGTCGGAAGTGTGCAGATGCCCGAGACAGGGACCAAGCACGGAAAATATACTCGTACAGAAAGCTGAAGAAGACGAATAGCCCGAGCTCTTCAGGCACTGGCACACTCCTTCTCAACTCAGTTAGTTCGTCACTGACCGCAAGATTGCCGTCTTCTGGAAACTGCGATGCTCAACTCCCAATGCAAAAAGGTATTGGCAGCCCGAGTCAATGCTCGTTCGAGCTTTCCTTGAGGAGCTGATTGTCTTTCCTCGACAAGAGTCCCCGCATGACCGTGTTTGCTGCTGTTCCGACCTAGAGGTCAGCGGCACAAAACATGCCACGCTATTGGTCAGAGACCCTGGAAAGACATGCATCATGATCTTCAGTTCGTCATGTACCCCACGCTATGTCACTCGGCGAGCTTATGTGCTTCGCCGACGGCGACATCATCACTTTTGTCTATATCACTGCATAAGTCTTGCTCTGGCTTTAGTACATACTTGCTGGATCTTTTTCGGGACTATTTACTCTCCTGTAAATCGCTTTCACGATGCTGGATCCTCGAACCTTCCCTCGCCCACCTGCCTTGCAGCAAATCAAGAAGACTATCTTGATCAAGTTTCCTGGCCCTAATGGTCAGACCATTGCTTCCACCGATCGTGCCTACTGGGTTCTTGAGACATACCACCCGCCAACCTACTATCTACCTCCAGCCTCGATTAAATTGAACCTGACATCTACCCCCCGACGCACCTTCTGCGAGTGGAAGGGTGTTGCCAACTACTTCACCTTCAACACACCATCAGGCGAGGCGGTAGACAGCAGAGCTTGGACATACAACGAGCCCACTCCAGCGTTCGCCGATATCAAGGGCTATGTCTCATTCTATGCCGACCCCCGATGGGAATGCTACGTGGATGGAGAGTTGGTAGAGCCACAACCAGGTGACTTCTATGGTGGCTGGATGACTAGCGATATTGTTCGCAAGTCTGTTAAAGGCGCACCCGGTACTAGAGGCTGGTAGGATCCTAACGATGCCCCTATGCACATCTGCAAGCCGAAAGTAATGAGCCGTATTCCATAACCATTCCAGAACCTCGTTCAACCAAGGCTATTCGTGTATCCGGAAGATTAATCAACGCGTTCTCTACCGAGCCTCCGGAGTATTATCGTACACTGTTCGGCTTCGAGAACATAGACTTTCTGGGGCAACTGGGGGGGGGATGTCACTCGCATACCAGACTACGAATTTGTCAACGGGGATTTCTCGTAAGTTGCATAAATTTGAGCAACGCTCCGAGTGGCTTGCCTGCTCCTCCAAGCCGACCTATACCAGACTGCTGAATTGGCGAATGTCTTCGCTACGAATCTCTCGAAAGTGTTTTCTCCCCAGGAGCAGACAACTCGCGATATCGTCGATTGGCCTCTCCAAGACTTTTAGTTGTTGCTTTTCTCCGCCAAGGGTACGAAGCTCATCTTGGAATGCTTGTCGTGGCCAAGAAACGCCTCATAGCAGCCCATACCGTTGATGGCGCCTCGACCAACAACTCGTACAATCCAGATGCAAGCCCAAGGGTAACAAACGCAGCCATCAAATATCGATTCGAGAGCACTTCGTCCGAGAAGTTCCTGCCGTAGATGCCGAAATTCGGGGGAAATTTGCGGAGTCTCCTCAAAACATCAGCCGCCTCCGCACTCTCCAGAGTGAGCTATGCCCAAGAAAGGCAAGGTACAATCACTAGCGCGGCGGCGATGTCGATTACTGGGGGGCATAGCCAATCTTTGCACTTAATCCCGGGGAGTCGTGGAGAGGACGTACAAGGTATTTAAGAAGTGTGGGTTGCCCCGTCTTTGGTTTATCCATCGAAACTGGTACGTCTAAGCCAGTCCACAGGGCAGATTGCGCAACACTCTTCTTTACCATTTTTCATCAGTCAAGGTACGTGCCTCTACCTTCTGGCGTTTTGTCTGGGCGTGGAGCTTGTGTGCGCCGCCAAGTACACACAAGCTCCGCATACCAAGCTCTTCCAAGCTCTCAGCATCGCCTTGTCGCGCATAGTCGAAGCTAACGGTCAACAAACAGATACCCGTGTACTCTAGCTTGTCACAATGGAGAAACAATACCCCCATGCCGACCAGCAGGAAGGTCTGCCAGCCACTGGCGAGACGAATGAAGAGATGACCGCGGGAAGATACATCGCGACCCGCATCTCCACACTGAAGCCTCCAATGACCAAGGTCAAGAATCCAATTGGCCTTCTGAGACTACTCAACACACAGCAGTGGCTCTTCTTTTTTGTTGCATTCATCGCTTGGACATGGGATGCATTCGACTTCTTCACCGTATCGCTCACGGTCTCCGACCTCGCCAAAGACTTCGGAAAGACCACAAAGGATATCACTTGGGGTATCACCTTGGTCCTCATGTTCCGTTCAATCGGTTCCATCATCTTTGGTATTGCTGCAGACCGCTATGGTCGCAAATGGTGAGGCCTATTGCACGCTCAAGGATGACAAAGTTGCTAATATGATCAGGCCTTTCGTCATCAACAACATCCTCTTCATTGTTCTTGAACTCGGCACCGGCTTCTGTCAAACGTACAAGCAGTTCCTTGCCGTTCGTGCACTCTTTGGTATTGCCATGGGCGGACTTTACGGAAATGCTGCCGCCACCGCACTCGAGGACTGTCCAGAAGAAGCTCGTGGTATCATCAGTGGAATGTTGCAACAGGGATACGCCTTTGGTTACCTGCTCGCTGTCGTCTTCGCTCGTGGACTCGTTGGTACCACTTCCCATGGCTGGAGACCACTCTTCTGGTTTGGAGCATGTCCTCCTGTCTTGATCATCATCTTCAGACTGTGTCTTCCTGAGACTCAGGCATACCGCGAGCGCCAGGCCGTTCGTGAATCTGGCAGCCCATCCATCGGAGGCACTTTCATCGCTGAAGGCAAGGTCGCACTCAAGCGTCATTGGTTACTTTTGACCTACATGGTTCTCCTCATGGCAGGCTTCAATTTCATGTCTCACGGTTCCCAAGATTTGTACCCTACAATGTTGAAGGTGAGCAAAATCCCAAGAACGCACAACAGAATCATGAGTGCTGACTTCTCTTCCAGAATCAATACAAATTTGACGCGAACTCCGTCACAATCACCCAAGTCGTCGCTAACCTTGGTGCCATCACTGGTGGTACAATCATGGGATACTGCTCTACGATCTTTGGCCGTCGTTTCACCATCATCGTTGCTTGCGTAGTCGGCGGTGCTCTGTTGTACCCATACACGTTTACTTCGTCCAAGGCTGTCATGGCAGCTGCATTCTTCGAGCAATTCTGCGTTCAGGGAGCATGGGGTGTAATACCCATTCATCTGATGGAACTGAGCCCTGGTGCTTTCAGAACCTTCGTCGTCGGAACTGCTTACCAGCTTGGTAACCTTGCTTCCAGCGCCAGTTCGACCATTGAGGCTCAGATTGGTGAGCAATTCCCCTTGCCTCCTGCAGGCAAGGTTAAGAGATATGACTATGGCAAAGTCATCTGCATCTTCCTCGGATGTGTGTACGTCTATGTCATCATTCTTACTCTGGTCGGTCCCGAGTTCAAGGGTCGTGATATGAGAGTCATTCACGACGAAGACATGGCTGAGGCTATGGGAACAACCCTCAAGGAGAAGCGCCAAGACTCGGAGTATGCTGATCGCATCGAGCATGTGTCTTGAGATAGCAAGATGAGGCGGCGCAGGCAGAAACTCGTTGGGACGGAGATGCGACGTGTTTCGATGTTGATATCGCTCTGTTTTTAAAGATACCACGATAAGAATGAAATCTGCTCACAATATGATACACAATCTTTCTCTCGTCGCATGGCGTGCTTGCGTGCGTTCGTGTTTTGATTTGTAGCTGAGAGACATGGGCGTGATAAGCAAACCGGACAAGCTCTCGGTCAAATTCTTGTACGTTTCTTCTCATCTCCTCTTTTTACCTTGGCGATTTGGACATGTGTGTCGGAGGAGTTGATACACAACACTTCGCGCCCGCTATCCAGCACCTTTGCGCACGTGCTTCTCGACAACCACCGCACACAAATATCGCCATCGAAGTTTTTCGACGAAGCATATAACAACTAGCCGCGATTAAGCCGCAGCAGATCGCGTGTCTTGGGTCGTCTAGTAGACGAGGAAAATTCCGACAATGCTTCTCTCGTTTCTGGCCATAAGGTGTACCATATAAGTGCTGCGGGGTGAGAACAAAATACCTTCTCAACCTAGCTGTGAATTGCATCAAGGCATTGGTGTTCTGTATTGACTTCCACGGAGCATGGTCTCTTCGGAGAGTTACTCGGTGCTTCTCTGTTCCCTTCTCCCTTCTCAGCTGCTATCTCTCCACACGACCAAGACACCAGACTACGAGACTCAATCGCGTACCCCATGGGAAAGGCTATCTCTGACAGGATGTCTTTACTTCTAGATAACACTGTGCCGACGCTACGCAGAGAGCATCGCTGTTCCATGCTAGCATGTAGTCTCTCGCCACGGCTAGAGACGGGCCTGGGACCGCCGGAACGCCATCTGGACTCCGAGGCTCAAATGGTATACACGCACTGACCCGACAACCCCATGGAGAAGAAGGTCACCGTTGCGCTAACGTCCTTTGACGTGCTCACAATTCAATTTCCATATGGTCATCGCGTGGACCTTACATAGGTCTCGGCCCCATGATTGGCTCCTATCTTTCATCTCTATCTTGTTCCTCGCGTGGACCAACAACACCGTACCAAATTCAATATCCATCGTTGTGCGAGATCGGGTCTTCCTTTTGAAAGTATGTGGCTGGTCTGACACACTCATGAGTATAGAAGTTCCGTGTTCGCAAGCTGGGCACACGCCGAAGTCGAAAAGTGCTCCCTTCGATTTCACTCTGAACTGGATCAAATCATCAAGCATTTACCAAGTAAATGGAAAAGCATGCCGCTTCTTGCTCGTTTGCGGATTTGCATACTTGGTTGCTTAAGCCGAGATGCCAAATGCGAAACTGGTCTCGTTTTGTAGAAGCCGTTGGTGCTTCGCTTAGCGTGATCTTTCCCAAACCTTCAATGCTTCCAGGTGCGCCACTCGGTTCTAGAAGTCCACGCGACCAGCGGTCTCTCAACACATATAATACCCATACCATGGCCCTCCTCCCCAGCAGTTCATCAGCAGACAACAGCATTCAAACAGTCACTCGTTCGACACCTTCGTTCCCCTCTCCCTTCTACACTCTTTCCAGTCCTCAATATGGACGCAAGCAAGGCTTTCGATGCCGAAAAGGGTCTCGCTCAGGTCACTACCGAGTCTCCTGAATACGAGATTCAGGCTGGTCAGCAGAATGAGCTTAAGCGTTCGCTCAAGAACAGACACATGCAGATGATTGCCATCGGTGGTGCAATCGGCGCTGGTTTCTTCGTCGGTGCTGGTGGTGCTCTCTCAACTGGTGGTCCAGCGAGCTTGATCATAGTATGTGTTACACTTCCCTCGTTACAAGGAGACGTCGGCTAACGAAACCAGGGATTCAGCATCATCGGAGTCATGTTGATGGCTACTATGCAAGCCTTGGGAGAGTTGACCGTCTTGTACCCCGTTAACGGTGCTTTCTTCACATACGCCTGCCGTTTCATCTCCGAGTCCTGGGGTTTCGCCATTGGATGGCAATACGCCATCCAATGGTTGACCATCCTTCCTTTCGAACTTACTGCCGCTTCTATCACGATCGACTTCTGGAAGGGAGCAGCCAACATCAACGTTGGTGTGTGGATTGCTGTCTTCCTTGTTGCTCTGTGTGCCATTCAGTTCTTCGGTGTCCGCGCTTATGGTGAGGTTGAGTTCGTGCTCTCAATCATCAAGATCGTCGCATGTATTGGCTTCATCATCCTCGGTATTGTCATCGATGTCGGCGGTGTCCCTACTGATACTCGTGGCTACATTGGTGCTACCTACTGGGGCAGTAAGTGCAACCACTTCCTTTTCTTCGAACGTAGCTAACGATATTTCAGACCCAGGTGCTTTCCGCAACGGCTTCAAGGGCTTCTGCAGTGTCTTCGTTACCGCATCTTTCGCCTTCGGTGGCACTGAGTTGGTCGGTCTCGCAGCTGCTGAGTCTGCCAACCCCAGAAAGGCTCTTCCCCAGGCTGTCAAGCAGGTCTTCTGGCGTATTGCCTTCTTCTACATCGTTGGCCTCTTCATCCTCGGTCTCGTCGTTCCTTCTGACAACCCCAACCTCCTCCACGCCCACGGCGCCAACAGCCAGTACTCTCCCTTCGTCATTGCCATCCGTCTTGCTGGTATCAAAACCTTGCCAAGCATCTTCAACGCTGTTATCACAGTCTCTGTTATCAGTGTCGCCAACAGCTCTGCATTCGCCTCTACCCGCACCATCCAGGCTCTCGCCGCTCGCGGCATGGCTCCCAAGTTCCTTGCCTACGTTGACAAGAAGGGTCGTCCCATTCCTACCATCATCCTCCAGATGTCCATGGGTCTTCTCGCTTTCGTCAACTTGGCCGCTGCTGGTAGCGTTCTTTTCACTTGGCTCTTGTCCCTTACCGGTCTTGCCAACTTCTTCGTTTGGGGCAGCATCAACCTTTCCCACATCCGTTTCCGCAAGGGTTGGGCACACTCTGGTCGCACCCTCGAGCAGCTCCCTTACAAGGCCAAGTTCGGCGTCATCGGCAGTTACGTCGGTCTCTTCCTCAACGTCATCTGTCTCGTTGCTCAGTTCTACGTTGCCCTCTTCCCCATTGGCGGCAAGCCTGACGCTGCCAACTTCTTCGAGTCTTACCTCGCCGGTCCCGTCATCTTCACCCTCTTCATTGGCTGGAAGTGCTGGACTCGCGACTGGAAGATGTGGATCAGCGCCTCTGACATGGATGTCACCACCGACATGCGCGAATTCGAGGATGATGAGGAGGAGACTGTCAAGGCCACTGGCTTCATGGGCAAGGTCAAGTCTGTCACCTCTGCTTTCTTCTAAGCGATTTGTCTACGTCTCAAAATTTATGATATAGCACGGAGTTTCGGGTCGACGATTGGGTCTTTGGGAAAAAAGCCTTTTCATGATTAAGCATTATACCTCTATGGATGACAGACATAGCTACGACCAGAAATTATGATCTCTCTTTACCTTTCAAATCATTTCCCATCTTGATCTGTTTTTGCTTTACTCTATGATAGCATGCATTAATTCTGATTCTGGAAAGGTACAACGCTCTGATTCTCGATGTACAAGGGTTTGGGCGATGGTCACCGGTAGAGGAAGGTACAGCTGCGTTGCGGGCGCTTCCCATTGACCTCTTTTGCTGATCAATCTCCCGAGCCCCTGCTCTAATCATCAAATACGACCTTGCATAATTACGAGACTGAGCTAAGAAGCAACTAATGTTCGTTATCAGAAACCTTAGGTGTGTGGATCGACTGCTGAAAGAACAACAGCTCTTTATTGCGTCTAGTCGTGTTATGACTAAAGGCAATAAAGCAACCACCCGAGGAAGCCTCTCTCTACAAGGGCCTAGCAGTTCCGTACACCATCACAAGACCGTTTTGTAAATGTTGCCCACGGTCACCCATCAACCGTAGCTCTTGTCACCATCGACAGCGAATATCTATCGCCTAGAAAGATGCTCCCTGCGAACCCGCTGCCTTTCTCAACTGACTGCTGCACATACACTCGCCCTCGCCATCAACAATACTTCAGAATGAGGCCACACAGAAGAAGGAGTTTCAAACATGTCAAGCATCAGGGTGACACTGACTCGCTCCTACGAACCTGGTCGATATCCACACTGCTATGAGAGTCAAAGGAGAAACAGCTGCTCACTAGCCTAATGTAAACAGCTCCTCAATTGAAACGTGGCCGATGATTGAAGCCAGGCCCGAGTCTTGCATTGGATTTCACTTTAAACCGGCATCGCGACTCCCTATGCATCTACTTTGGTCCCAGAAGCAACAACACACAGAGTCCGAACGGAATGCGTGCAAGACACGAGGGGTTATATACTTCTACAAAAACGATCAGCGCGGTACAGCTGTTCACCAAGTCAAGAAATGATGTCTACCCTTGGAAAGAACACACGCAACATCAATACTTTGAATGGACCGCCATCCGAGAAGACTTTCGACAGCTTCTCGAAAGAGGCCGTCTTTTCGTACCAGATATCTGGTCCGGAAGGAGCAATGCTTATACTCAAACTAGAGCCGGAGGGAGGACGGTCCGAGGGAAGGTGGACCCAAGTGTACAAACGACCAGAGGGGAAGGAGCCATTGCGAGATTTAAGGCTCTCTATGCCTTCCTTGATCGATAAGTCCGGCTTTCTCCCAATGTCAACACAGAATGGCACTTGAACGACAGAACTTCAAAGTGAGACCTGTTGATTCGATATTTTGTGTAGTGGTGGTAGTGGTAGTAGTAGTAGCAATTGTAGAAACTTCAATCTTGAAGAGTAAAAAAAGAAAAGGTCGATCTTACACCCTATCCCAAGCCAGACCCTTCTGTGCTTTGCTTGCTCGCTTGAACGCCGCCGCCAATTTCGCCGCCTCCAGCTTAGTAAAATGCACTCTGTGAACATGGTTCTACATCTCAACAGTCTTGTATCCAGTTTCTTCTGAGTTGGAGGGCTCCAAAGTGTCGCTTTGCTGAGCAATAGCTGCTCCTTCTTGGGTACCCACAACACCGAGCTTGTCGCCCTTGTCCTCGCTTTCGCCTTGGGCGGCTGCTCTGACATCGCTGTCGACAGAGACGCCCATGCTTGCGAACTTGGCTTCGACATCTCCAACTCTTCGCTTGAATTGCAGGCGGTCGAAGAAGAGGCGCTGACGTTGGCGCTCCAGATCTCTGCGCTCGGTCTGAAGAAGAGTCTCCATCTCATCAAACTGTTGCAGCTTGAGCTCGAGCTTTTGCATGTGTAGGTTGACGGCCGAGGAGACCAGTGAGCTGACATGGCGTTCAGTGTGCGAGGCCAGAGCGGATGAACGAGCGGCAGTCAGGCTGAGAGCCAATGTGGCGGGCGAAGAAGCTTTGTCTTGAGGCTCCTCCTTGAGTGCTTTGGGACTTGTGGACTGCTTCTCGGCTGTGATCGTGTCATCAACCTCCATAGAGTTGTCGTCTTTTGAGGGCTCTGCTTCGGTCGAGGTCTCGTTCTCCTTTTCCGGCTCGGCCACTGCTGAGTCCTTCTCGATGTTGCTGCGAAGCTGCTTTCTCATCTGGTCCACCGTCTTGCCTGCAGCAACAGCGGCCACAGCGGGATCAGCCAGATTTGCGAGGAAACTCAAAACAGACATGACGGGGTTATCAGCTTGTGAGAAGGGAACACGACCATTGCTCAGGAAAGCCAGGTTGTTCGGTGCACCATCGACTGTGTCCTCGCCTTCCATGTACTTGTCCTCAATCTCGAGCTGCAAGAACTTGAGAACACACTCTTCCCTCGTGCGGCTTCCGACGTGTGTAGCGATCTGCTCCCAGTTTTCATCAAACAGCTCCAAACCTTCAAGCAACAGCAACAATTCCGAGTCGGCCCAGGGAGCTTCGCGATCGGCGATAGTGGTGTACTTTTCATTCTCCAGCTTTGTGTAGTCGGCGGGACCGGTTGAGTTAGGATATCTTCCCTCCATGAAACACGACGGACACAGATCGAATTTGAGCACGGCGCCATTCTTACCAGCGACAGAGGCCGGAGGAGCCTTAGCGTTGTGATAACGGACACGAGTGCAGTCTTTTCCGCATGAGTAGCAGAAGTATTGCTTTCCAGGTTGTTTGAGCGAGTCCTCGAGATCGGTACCGTTCTCCTGTTTGGCGGTGAGATCCTTTCCGGTGGATTCGTAAATGTTGCGTCTAACTTCCAGATTCAAGTCGGACTTGATGGCAGGAGTGGCGCTTGCCAGACGGTCTGTGCCGGGGTTGGAGCGTCCAGCAGTGAGTGTCGAGTTGGGAGCGGGTTGGTGAGGCTGCAGACCACGGGGCGTGTCTGCCGTAATACGGAAGTGGCCGGTGAAAGGCGGCGCGATGTTAGAGGGCCGAGTGTCAGGGTCAATCTGGAGAGTGTTAGTTTGTTGTTGGTCAGATCAAAGGAGAGGTCAAGCGTGCCTGGTAGTTGATCAAGCCCCACTGCTCGAGGAAAGCGTGAACGCGCATGATTGCACAAACGTCACCAGCCAAGTTGCGACGGCAGGCGGTAACAGTGAGGTATTCTTGGGGGTTGAGGCGGTATGTGTTGATCATAAAATCGCGGTAGTCCTTGTAGACGGCGGGAGTCTTTGAGCGGTTGCGCGAGTTGAAAAACTCGGGCAGGGCCTTGCGTTCGAGGTTGTGTACTTGGTGCATGTCAAACCAAGCGCTGTACGAAGGCAGAATGATGGCGTGTGTTTGTTCGATCAGATGCGAGCGCGCCGAGGCCTCGACTCGCGACTTTGTCTGTTGTTCGGTTTCCTGTGGTGGTGCGGCATCGATCGTGTCCTCGGCGGCTTCTGGGGCATCCTTAGCATCCTCGTTGGCATCGGCCATGTCCTCGTCGTCGCCCTGTTGTAGCTCGTTCTCGGCAGGAGGGCCGTCAGGCGCATCCAGCGGGTTGTCTGACGGCGATTTCGCATTTGTGTCGTCCATCATAGAAGTGTCTTCTGCATCTGCGCGACTGGATTAGAGGTGGGCGCAAAGGTAGCGATTAGTGAGGTGATGTACCTTGAGCATCCTCTCGTTGCTGTTCCTCGATCTGCTCGTTTTCGGCATGGATCAATTCGTCAGATACGGCACCGGGCGCATTGACAGTATCTTCGCTTGCGAGTGAATCCATAATGCGACAAGTGTGAGCGATAATAACGCGTACGTGGATGGATTGACACAGGAAGCTATAAGTTGCTAGGGAAAGGTCCCGACGCGTCTGATCCTCCGCGCTTGGAGCGACCGAGCCCTCCGCAAATCGTGTCAGCCGGAGTTTAGCCGGCCGGTCGAGGCTCTGACAGGTTGAAGTGAAAGCATCGAGACAGCCTGAGAGATGAGCATTGTTTTGCAAAGTCAGTGTTCGTTGCACATTGTTGAGTCTGGGTACGGCATGACCGAGTTAGATTGCTGGTGCGATCAAACTCGTAAGAGACAATTCCGGTACATCACGCTACCATTCTTTGACCATTACTCCAACACAACGTTGCCTGCAGTATCGGTCCTGGCCATCTGAACATACCATCTTAATCACAAGTGCTCTCTATCTGAACTGTAGTAGCGAGATTGTCCCATGATGTGACACAAACTATTATGGTCGGTGGTGACTTCCCTTTCATGTGCTAGAGAGGCATCTCTCGGCCGGCGTCGGTCCCTCGGCTTGAAACGCGAAAGCATCCATCTTCGTATTGGAAAGAGCGGGGCGTTCGCGATGAAGCATTCTACATACCACAACCATGTTTTCAGCGGCACGACAGACTGCCCTGCGGCAAGCTCGCTCATCATGCATGCGCCCTAGAGTTACTGCCCCATTGTCTCGCGATGTCGCCATCGCCCGCCTGCTCTCGACTCTGGCCGTCCTGGAACAAAATGATGGAAAGCTGAACATGTCATCGCTCGCCGCCGTCTCGGCTGCCATGAAGCTCGGTGGCTCCGTGACTGGTTTCGTCGCCGGGTCAAACATCAAGGCTGTCGCCGACGAGGCCGCAAAGGTCGAAGGTCTCGAGAAGATCATCTACGTCGACAACGCCGCCTACGACAGAGTACGTGACGCTGTCTGCCAACAAAGCCCATCTTGTATTGACATAGCCTAGGGTCTTCCCGAGAACTTTGCTCCCCTCCTTGTCGAGAACATCAAGAAGGGAGACTTCACCCATGTCTTCGCCGGCCACTCTGCCTTTGGCAAGAACCTGATGCCCCGTGTCGCCGCCATGCTTGACGTCCAGCAAATCTCGGACATTACAGACATCGAGTCCGAAGACACCTTCGTCCGCCCCATCTATGCCGGTAACGCCATTCTCACCGTTCAGACCTCCGATAGCCCCAAGATTGTCACCATCCGTGGTACCGCTTTTCCTTCAGGCGCCGCACAGGGTGGTAGCGCTTCCGTCGAGGAAGGTGTCGACCCCAAGGTCGAATCACTCACTGAGTGGATCAGCGAGGACCTCGCTACCTCGGATCGTCCCGATCTCGCCACTGCCGAGAAGGTCGTCTCTGGTGGTCGTGGTCTCAAGTCAAAGGAAGAGTTTGATCGCATCATGCCTCCGCTTGCCGATGCCCTCGGTGCCGCCATTGGTGCTTCGCGTGCTGCCGTCGACAGTGGTTTCGCAGACAACAGCTTGCAAGTCGGTCAGACTGGCAAGAACGTCGCTCCTCAACTCTACCTTTGCGCCGGTATTAGTGGTGCCATCCAGCATCTCGCTGGTATGAAGGACAGCAAGGTCATCGCTGCCATCAACAAGGACGCCGATGCCCCCATCTTCCAGATCGCTGACGTCGGTCTCGTCGGTGACCTCTTCGACAAGGTCCCCGAGCTGACTGAGAAGCTCAAGGCATAATAAACTAGCAGAGCCATCACACAAAATGAAACACGACTCAAAAATTCTGGTCATACCTAGGGCCCTGTAAGCTGTACGTTGTATATACCATAGGTGGGCGCATTGCAGGTCTTTCTCTTTTCTTCATCTGGAAATCATGCATAGTGAATTTAAAGCAAACTTGATATTCCTTCTGCCTCTACCTCCAACCCTTGATGCTCAGAATGATGAGGCGGCGTACTAGTCTGCTCTCGGACGTCGTGATATGCCTTCACCGTCGCCTTGTTCCAACGCGAAAGCACTGCCACTTTCACGACGTCTTTTGTTCACACTCTTGTAAGGCACAAGCATCGCCAATTCTGAAGAGGGTTCGACAGAGGAAGGCGTAGTCTGCATGCTACACTAGAAAGGCCTTTGAAGTCTCTTCTGCTCCCCATAGCATTGCACAGACGACTCTCGGTCGACTACTTCCACCTGGCTAGACACCTGTGCCTTTCTTCGGTCGCATTGATGAACAGTGCCTCTTCCCCGGTCCAGCTCGTAAGTATCACAGTTTCTCTCATGCCCTTTCTCTACCAAGCTACCACAGTCATAAGTGTTACCAAAATGATAACACTCTCTTCTCACGCCCTCTCAACGGTGGTGCTCAAGGAAGGCAAATCATGGTTTGATCAACATCATCTGATTGCTATGATACCAATGCGAGCTCTATCAAAGCTCTTTGTGGAGTTCCATCCCCTTCTCGCAATCGGCTACTGGTACATGGATCACGGTTTACGCTGCATCTTCCTGCATCTTTCGCATCGCTTTCCCGCAGCGTTTCCTCATGTCTCTCTCTGCACATTCTGCATCTTCTCTCCCAACCATCTAGAACAGACTCATCAAGCTCTGGAAAATTTCCTTTTGTGCATCCTGACGAATGACCTTTCCTCCAGTAGCCAAGTTGGCCAACTCAATCTTTTTCTTCTGCAACTCTACAATCTTCTCTTCGAAACTGTTGGCCATGATGAAGCGACGGATATGCACGTCTCTCTTCTGGCCAAGACGGTGGACACGATCGATGGCTTGCATTTCGACACCCGGGTTGAACTGTGGCTCCATCATGAAGACATTGTTGGCAGCTGTGAAGTTCAGACCTTGGCCGCCTGCTTTGATGGAGACGAGGCACACGTAGATGTTGGGATCGGTCTTGAAGCGATCGAGAACCTGGGTGCGTGCGCTGACGGACAGCTGGCCGTCGAGACGTAAGAAGCCGATCTTTGCGTCCTTGAGCGCGATTTCGATGAGATCGAGGTAAGAGGTCCAGCTGGAGAAGACGACACTGCGGATTGGAGGCTCGCCCAACTCGAGCTTGTCGCGCGAGTCCTCGACGTGGCGCAACAGATCAGCGATCAACGCCTTGACCTTGGTGTGAGGTCCACCGTATTCAGTACCCTTCTTGCTCTTGACCTGACCCCTCTTCTTCTGGCGAGCCTCCACGTCGTCGTCGACGTCCTTCTGGCTGATGGGGTGCATGACGGCCTTGATGTACTGCTCGCATTGAGGGCAGTGGGCGTAGTTGTCGCGAGTTTGGGTGGTTCTGAGTTCGTTCCAGTACTTGTCAGCGCAGGCTGGGCACACAAGGTGGAGACAAGGGGTAAGGTATCCGATGATGTCCTCATCTTCGTCTTCGCTGTCAGAAGAGTCACTGTCGTTGTCCGCAACTTGTTGTTCGAGGCGTCCAATGCCTTCCATGCAACACGAGCACACGTCCATGGTACTTTCACGCAAGAGATAGAATGTGTCGTAGATCTGTTCCTTGGTCATTGTAGGCTTTTCGGCGTCGCTTTCTTCGCCGAGATCGATGGCTGTCTCGTAGGATGTGCCTTGCAGGACCTTCATATCGTCCTCGCTAAGAAGTTCGCGACCGTGGGCACAGAGCAGTCTCAATCTGGTGATGTTGACCAAAACGTGAGCGTAACTTCTGCCTCTCAGGCGATCGCTGCCGCGTGTCATAGCGCGAACCTTCTTGTTGGCGTCCTTTGCGAAAGCGTCGTATAGAGCCTGTTCCTCGGATGAGAATTCGAGACGGACAATCTCCTCGACACGGTCAGGCAGTTCGATTCTGTCCTTTGAACGTCTAAGGGTAATACTGGAAACGAGAAGACGGAGGTTGTCAAGAACCTGTGGGTCACCGGACTTGAACGGGGCCATGAAGTGCTTTTCAAACACACCCTTGTCGGAGAAGGGATAGATCTTAAGAAACTTGACAAGAGCGCCGAAGTCGTCGAGTCTGTTCTGTACGGGGGTACCGGTGACGGCCCATCTACGCTTGCTAACAAGAGCGCAGGCGGCCTTGAATGTGGTGGTCTCTTGGTTGCGGATCTGATGGGCCTCATCCAGGACGATGCGAAACCAGGCAATCTGGGCAAGCGCGCTATAGTTCTTGGAGGAGGAGGCGAACTCGCTTGCTGCAATGCTGTAGGAGGTAACAACGATGTCGTACTGCGACAGAACATCTAGATCTTGCTCTCTCTTGTTGCCATGGTACATGTAGTAGCTGACCTTGGCGTTGTCGAGATGTTGACCAATCTGCTCCTGCCAGTTGGATATGACTGACTTGGGACAAAGAAGCAAGGTACCACCGGAGCGACGCTCAACATCTCCGGTGACTTTGTCGCTATCATCCATCTGGCCCTCGCCAAACTCTCTGGCCTCTTTGAGGGTGGCGCAGATCAACGAGAGAATACAGAGTGTCTTTCCCAGGCCCATCTGATCAGCAAGAAGGCCGCCGAGAATGGGACTAACCTTCTTCATCTCGTCACCGGTGATTACGTTGTACCAAGCTCTATTTCCATTCTTGCGAATTGCAAACTTCCAAAGGGGATCTTCTTCAGGAGGAGTTTGGGCTTCATGCTTGGTAAGAAACCAGAGACCCTGCTTCTGATGCTGCATCAATTGGGTCTTGACAAGAGTCGCATCCGCCTCAGCTTCGGGGAGCTCCTCTGGTTTGCCGAGTCTGTCAAACATAGAGAGAACATCACTCTTGATCTCTTCAGTTGTACGAACTCTAAAGCCTGTGGACTGAGCTGCGACTGTGGAGGAAGAGACCTTTGTTGGAACGAAGCTGTAACTAGGTACATGAGGGTTGATGACTTCGGTGCCGTGTGCAACAACGAGAGGCTTTGTAAGCCAGATCGAGCGTTGGCTCAGGTGGCGGCCAATACCTTTCTGTGCTTCAGCAGCGCAGTACATTGTGATAGAAACGTCCAGAGATTTGGAGATCGCTTGGCCAGGTTGTTCATCGGCTTCCTTAGGACGCTCCTTCAAGAGACATGCGAGACGGAGCTTCAAGTTCGGATTCTTCATCAATGGAGCCAGAGCGTTGACGGTGATGATGTCGAGCTTGCCAAATTCGATGCCCTTGCCATCGACGGCAAGATACACCTTTTCCTGTCCGACCCTGGGCTGGAGCTGCATTCTCGCGGGAGGCCAGTTCTCAGAGTACTTGCCTAGAGTTCTGTTTGCGGCGGGAACCTTGTGTGCCATTACCTTTGCTGTGATGGAGCCAATGCAGATCTCACGCCTTGGGTCCAGAGCAATTGACTTTGATGAGATCACTTCAATCTCTTCGTCGTCCTCTCCAGTCAGATCAACAGCAGCAGCAGCAGCAGCAGGGCCCGCCTCACGAGCACCCTGATCGCGTTGTTCCTTGAGGTATTCACCAATCACACCGCCCTTGCCGCCCTTGAACATGGCCTTGCGCTTCGAGTCGTTGATATCGTCGTCCATCTTCTGCTTCTTGGCGACGGGTGCAGCTTCGCGATCAGTGAGATTGAACTGACGCTCCATGAAAGAGCCGACGCCAGATGCGTTGTCATCTTGCTGGACGGGATCATCGTCGAGATCTCTCTTCTTGGTTTCTGAAGCGGTCAGATCTTGGTCCGTGATGAGTGGAGAGGTGATGGGATCCATGTTGTCAAGACAGAAGCAAAACTTGGGGCGTGCAAGATGGAGAGCGAGAAGTGGTGGATATGTGAAGCAGTTGTAGTGGGTGTTGGGATCGAGAAACAAGTGGGGGAGAGTAGTAGGTTGATGTGGTGGTGATGATGGCCGTTGTGACCAAGGAAGAAGTGGTGGAGAGATATTGTAGATGGTGTGGATTTGTAGTGGTGGATGGTTGGTCGGAGGAAGGTTGGAAAAAGTGGTAGAGGGTCGGAGGGTGGGAGTAATGATGGGAGGAGTTGACGAAATCCAAGTGAAATCGCAGATGAGGAGTAAGGGAACGAAGAAGACAATGTGAAGGGAAATGTCTAAACCATGGTTGTTGCTTTACTTACTAGCTGCTGCCGCTGCTTTGCGGGCGGCTTTCGGATTGAGCAAGGCTGCCCTACGCGCCGCAGCGTCCATCGAGTTGAGTCAAGTGTTCAACAGCACTCTAGGGCATACATGTGTCTCATTCAGTGGTTCAAACGTACAAACGTATCAGAACGACACGGCTTCGACGTGAGTGAACAGATCGTGAACAGGCTGCGAAGGGGCGGGTGAGCGTTGGTTCGTTCGGCAGATTGTCTGGGGCACCGTCATCGTCTCTTTTTCTCGAGCAGCCTTGCTCTTAGGCCGCGAAGGCCTTTGGACAACAATGACATGTGGTCTTCGAACGGTGATGTAATCGAGTCGACCTCCATCTAATCGAGTCACTATCATAGACGAGTGTGCATGTCATGCGGAAGCTCGAGTGTCTTGTGGAAGCCGCTTCGAGCCTTCCTCGAGTCCACGCCAAGCAAAACAAAAAGTGCATGTATCTCGACACTCGAGGTAACTCTTTCGATCGCCGTGCTCCTACAAAGATCGATATGAGCTCTTTCAAAGCCGTTCCTGGATCGGACGGGTACATTGTTGCGAATCGAAACACCTTACGAAAGAGCCAAAGGCGCAACAAGCCAGGGTATGAGCCTCAGCGAAGCAGACTTGGAAAAACAAGGCTCGGCTTCTGAGACGTGGAAGGCAGATCAATATCAACGTCTTAGGAGACCAGGTAACTTTCCGTATCGATATACTGTCATCAATCGTTCAATTCAGGTTTCCTAAGTATACACGTGGTATCTGTACAGCCAGCGCCCTGCAATGCATCCAGTCCCCACCTCCATGCAAGAGCCCAATTCCGGAACACCGTTGTCATGTTACACTAGCACCAGGTAAAGACAGGAGCTCTACCCTTGATCATTTCAATCCTCTCGACGATGACCTTTCTTCTGTAGCCTTCTTGGTCTTCTGCTGCAGCAAAACCTAGGTCACCATCTAGCTCCGCATCATCCACATCCACCTCGTCATTTCTCTTGTTGATTGCGAAGGAGAACCTCCTGCGCTCGCCAAGATTGTCGAACAATCGTCTCGTCTCATCAAGACTCAGCCTTGACTTTGTGCGGATCGCGACAGGACGTGCGGACCTTGACTCTTTCGCAGTATCGAAGGTAAAGCCCTGCACACTTGAAGGCGAAAGAGGAGCGATGCTATCATCGCTACGTCTAACATCTCCACTACTGTTCTGTCGCGAGATGTTGAAGCGGTTATTTTGAGGGTGATCGGGACCAAGGAGACTTGTCTTCAACGGAGGTGCGGAAGCATAGGCAGCACTGATGTCCATCTCTTCCTCCTCTCTGATTCCTGGCCCTTTAATAATATCAGCGTGCTTGTGACGGAGGTCGTTGGATGGGCGCAGAGGAACGGCCACAGGAATCTCCACCAGATCATCCCATACGCAAACGCGAGCACGTCTAGTCAGTTCCAGAGGACCGTGATCCGGCGTCTTGAGAGTTTCGACAACGTTCCAAGCCTGACCTTTCATGACGGCGATTTGTCGTGCAAACATCTTCTCCTGGAAATCGGCATCTTGCTCGAAACACTTGCGCAAAGCAATCTGAGTTTCGCTCCACCATTGTTTCGAAGTCAACAAAGGGAGGAAATGTTGCTTGGTCTTTTCTGAGAAGGGACGGCCGATCAGAGATACTGGCAGGAAGAGCCAGCCGAATGGGAAGCTTCTCCAAGCATCAGGATGCTTCCAAGGCCAAGACAGACTGTTGTCGATAGCTCCCAGAGTCACAGTAGCAGAAGGTCTTGGACTGGTCTGGCCGCCTGCGGTCATGCTTTCCTGCCTTCTGTACGGGTCTATTTGCCCATCTGTCTGCTTATTTGGAGGTTCAATGACTATTTCTGCTTCCTGGGTTTGTTGATCAATCCTAATCATCCAGTTGTCGAGCCCGCGGTCCGTATTGCGCATGATGTAATCGAGGATCACGAGCTTCTCGAGCTGTTCACGAAAGGATTGCTGAAGAGCGGGCGTCCAGAAGACTTTAGTGCGAGATCGTCGTCGATCACTGTATGGGGCTTGAGGTCCATCCACATCTTCGTCCTCGTCATCGGAAGGGGCACCCCTGGGCCGGCAATCCTCTCCCCATCTCCTCTTTCGCTTTGGTGCAGCGTCTGTCCTGAATCCGGAATTGTGTTGATCGGGCCACGGGTGTTCTTTCAAAAAGATGTTTGCGTCCTTGAAGCCTTTGAGGAAGACCTGGAAACTGCCCTGCTTCTCAGGAAATGGCTTGCCTTTGCGATAATGTGCCCGCCTGTCCCAGAAATCATAGAAGAAGGCTTTGGAGGAAAGTGTGACCACGTCTGTGTATGGTACTAGGTGCGTCCTTAGCCGGCTGTCCAGAACATAGGCTGCTGCTTCGGAGATATAACTGAGATTGGGAATGAGACATGCTCGTCCAAAGAAGAAGGGAAACAGGTTCCGATGAATCCATTTTGTCCACTTTGGGTTCTTTGATGCGTACGGCTCTTCGTCCTTTGGCTTGAATACCCCGACAACCTTACCGGACGTGTTTCGTGCAAAGTAACTACCGGAGCTTCCTTGAGCGATGAGTTTCGGCTGCATGCCCATTTCAATAGCAACTCTGACGCTTTCCACAATGTCGTCGAATTCGATTTTGGATATCCTGTCACCACTGGGCTCGTCGTCTTCTGAGGCCAATGTCTCTGCTGTAGCTGGTCTGATCCAATCGGGAGCCTGGAAGACCGAGTGGTGTATCTCCAAGTGTTCCTCCTCTTGCGATTTGCCCTTGATCTTGCGGATCTTGAATTTCTGAGCGATGTCATCGGCCCATTTCTCCAATCTGGCATTGATGGCCTTGATGTCGACCCCGGAGTTGGTGCGTCGTCGTCGATTGGGAGGTCGGCCATCAGGCAGATCCATACGCTCTCGGCGTTTTGGTTGTATAGGTGCATAGCTCGTGCCATCCGCTTCAACCGAGATGCGGGACTGGCCTTGGTGAATGTCCTCGTCGGAGAGGTTTAGATCGTCATCCTCCTCTTCTGCCTGCGCAATTCTGGCATAACCAGACGTGGCTGGCCTGGACTTGCCCATGATGTGCTGTGTTGAGCTGTTTTCAAGATAGACAGGTGGCCGGTCAAGAAAGTCACCTCATGCTGGAACACGAATGGCGATGGAATGACGACTGGGGGGCGCCAAGCTTCCCCGCGTACCACCATTTATAGGAGACAATCGGTTTCATCAACCAAACTTTGGTTTCAACAACTGTTGGGCAAACTTTTATGCTCCGCTTTACAAGCATGATGTTTGCGGTAGATCAATTCTGGCCAGCATACAACCAAAAGCACAGAATGGTGAACGCACGACACGATGATGATGTAGATTGTGAGGTATCAGCTGCTTATCGTGGCTTGACTTGTTAACGATGGGTGCGATACGGTAGACCTGGTCGTTTTCTCGATAGCAGATTCCAACTTTCGAGTACGATTGCACCGCCTTCAGTCGTCGAACCATGCTCGCTTGTGCGCCAGGATCATTGTAGTGTCTTTGGTAAATGAAAGAGCCCCTCAAGGGCCCCTGATAAACTCGTACCCCGGATCAGCACAACTTGCTTGCGAGGGGTCAAAGCTCGTTGACACCTCCAGGCAAGCGCCTTCCGTCGTTCGACTCGAGCATACACATGTCAATCGCAATCAAGTATCAACAGCCAGTATCATCATGTTGATCTGTACCTGCAAACGATCGTCGATCGTTTCCGAGTAGGACGGACCTCATCTCTGTCTCTGCGTGACGGTTAAGGGATAAACTTCTTGTACTGTGCTTCCGCCAATCTCTCCTGCCTCCACCGTTGCGTAGCCGTCGAAGGCGAGCTGTACTTTGATTACAGCTGCGGCTCTCGAAAGGAGCTCTGTTGCTGTTGACCCTGCTCGCAACTTTACAGATGACGTTTCTTGGAGTCTTTCGCCTCTGCTTCAAGCCCTGGAATGAGTTGACAAAACTACAATCAGATTGAACTCGAAGTCCATGGAATGTCGCTATATATTCTTACGTTTGCTCAATCTGAAGAGAGATCTGGGCAAAGTGTAATATCATTGTGTCTGGTGCATTGCAAAGCAATGTTTACCATAAACCAGAATGCTGTCACGGGTATCTGGACAAGATAAAAACGCAAGACGGTAGATAAAACGCCCACTAGAACCGCTTTGCGTTTCTGCTGTTGTTTTGGCAATTTACTTCGACGCCGAACATCAAGCCTCTACCGTTGTCATTACATAGTTGCCACCCCTGGGCATGTCTCCAGGACGTATGTATACTTAGGCATACGCTTCATGAGCAACGAATTGATCTACGACCTCTACCCCGACACTCTTTTGTTCGCCGCTATACTAATCACTTCTTAATTCAGTCATTCATTCTTTTAATATTTTCTGATCCACACTCCTTTGCTCTGATAAAGACTCTGTCGACCACCAACAACATCACCATACCGATTGACGATATTCTCAAGACCTTGACGACCTAATAAACGCTACAATGTTTCACCGATCTTCCATGGACGCATACAGACCTACTTCGATCGACACTTCGTACCGCCCTTCTGTGATGGATGCTTACAGACCCAAGTCATCTATGGGACTTCACTATCCTGTCACCCTCACACCGCCAATCTACGCTGAAGACAGGCCCTTCTTTGCACACATGGGACACGAGATTCCTCGACCATCTTCAGCTGCACCCATGTACTCCGGGCCTCATTACTCTGTTCCCCAAAGATCATTCAGTGGACCTATGCAGCTTCCGGGAGTGTCGAGTCTGGGACCATTTGGGGCAAACCCAATGATGATACCAAGGTAAGCAAAGCATTCGTTCCAGAATTTGTTGTTGTTTGGTCGGAAGTGGGGTACAAAGGGAGGAGTTCGGTCGGCGTCGGCGATAATCTTATCAAGGGCCAGGATTCGGCAGGCGCAGCCGAGATAAGGCCCAAGCGTGTGGGAATCTCTGCCCTACCCTATCAGCGCATCGGCATTGGCAACGCATCTCGCAATTGATACAGGACTGATTCCTTTCTTTCGCAGGACTTCTAATGTCATGCACACGATGAATTACGCAACTTCAGCACCTGCTGCCACTGCTGGTGGCCAGCAAAACGGACCTGTAAGTGAAAAGACTCGAGGGTTGGTCGCGAGTTGCGTTGCGCGTCGCGCGATCCCTTATCCCTTATCTTTCAAATCGATAACGAGCGTGAGACTGACTTGAGCTCGTCACACAGCCTGTATGCCAGAACTGCGGTACAAGCACCACTCCGCTATGGCGTCGCGACGAGATGGGCTCGGTGCTCTGCAATGCTTGTGGTCTTTTCCTCAAGTTGCACGGCCGTCCTCGTCCTATCAGCCTAAAGACCGACGTTATCAAGAGTCGCAACCGCGTCAAGACAGCCACCGGCCCCAAGAAGAAGGTCAGCGAACACAACCATGATGCCCACTACCATCGCATGTACTGACGGCTCCTCAGCCTTCGCTTGAATCACCTGGCTTCCACCATGATCCCAACATGTCAATGGGTGCCTATCCTCCTCAGCGCCGCGAATCCGACCGCATGTCTTCGGGAGAACACCATCGCTCTCCTTCGCCAACCTCTCGCACAAACGCTCCCGCTCATGTCGTCCATCACAATCCCAATATCGCTCCCCAGCACGTCTTCGATAACGTCTCTCTTGCCGAGTCTTCCTTCCAACCCACCGGCCTGCCTACATTTGCTCTTCGCCAACCCTCTCCTGCACCTTCCGCCAACGGAATGCACCCCGAGCACGCCCACCCATACTCAGAGAACAACAGTTCGCTGAAGACACGCGTGAGCGAGTTGGAGGTCATCAACGACCTCTTCCGTGGTAGAGTTGCCGAACTCGAACAGAGCGAGCAAGACGCCCGTGCAAAGGCATCTGCGGCCCGTGATGCTGCAGACCAATACAAAGCCGACCTCAACGCTGCTTTGACCCGCGAGTCTTCTCTCAAGAAACAGTTTGAAGCCCTCGAAGCCGAGTTTGAGCAGTACAAGGCTCACAATGCCCCTCCATCGAAACGTTTACGCCTTAGCGACGTTGTTCGTGACGATAGTCCCTCGGCTGACTCGAAACCCGTCGAGTCTACGACTACTACTGTGGCTGCTTGAACGACCTTTCCCACAAAAGACTTGTGATTTAATGCTTACGGCGGCGTTGGTGTTGCTTTTGTTAATGATGTCAGGAATTAGACCATACCCCGTTGTCACATCCTGTTGCTTTATGCTTGTTTTCTTGCAGCTCCTCACACTTCACTCCTCTATCAGCATAGAGAAAGAGAGAGCACGAACCCCTTCTACGGAAAGAATCCTACCCAAAAGACAAATACGAACCCTTTTTACCACCTACTACCAAAAGACCCTCTTCCCTCCTCTCTTCAAGCTTCCTTTCGTGACATCTACATCTCGCGAGAGCTCTACGCATCAGCTGCGTCGCCACTCGCCACTCGCAGCTCCCTCGTATGTGGCCGTTGTGCTCGTCATCTTACTCGCCGTTGTTATAGCAATCTAACTCTGCCCGTCTTTCGAGATTGCCAACTGTGCCGTAGGCTGGCTAATCTCGTAACGGCACCCTGCTCGAAATAGGGTTACATGTCATACCTGGTGATTGCTGCAACGGCGGCGATTGCACAAGGCAGGCAGCAAGATTTTGGGATAATCGAAGGTAGGTTTCGTCAAGATATTTGGCCGATCTGACTGCTGCAGTTGAGCTCATGGGTCTACCATCCAATCAGGACTCTTCTAACTTTTCGACATGGTTGTTGGAACCTCGTCAATTGGAACTTGGCCCTTCCTTTTCAGCAGGGAGGGTCTGCAGGTAGGCGAGCTTTTCCATCGGGTTGTTCTTTCCTGCCCACGTTGAGAAAAGTCGTCTTGATATCTCTGAGTCTGAAGGAGCTCCGCCTACCCATCTAACCCAAGTTGCGTCATGCTTAATTCATTCGGTACCGCTCTCTTGTAACGACCGAAGCAGAGCAATACCGAGCTGTAGCAAGGCACATTTACGCCTTGAGATATCTACAAGCGTGGCATACATCCCGCACACGAAGAGGAGAAGAGGCAAGTTGATGGGAGCTGACTGGATGTGAGGTCGACTTGACAGTCAGGTTATGAGCGCAGATCACGATACCGCAGAACGGAAACACATGTAGCTGTCTGAAGATCTAGGCCAAAGGGCTCGACTCGTCAAGGGGTTCGACAGCTATTGACAAGATCGAGGTGCACTACACCTTCCAACCGATGCCTTCTATCCATATGACACTTTCTGCTCGCTACCAACACATCTGCCCCTCTTGTCCACCACGATGTAGCCACTGCAGAAAATCTTTAAAAATCCTTCATCGTGACTCAACACGTAAACCCCCGGAAGCCCAATCTGATCACGAGGCAGAATGGCAGACGAAGTTTCATCAAGGCCTTCAGCGCACCAGACGTCATGATGCCACTGAAAGCCTTGTTCCAAACTGGCATCTTCAACGTGAGCTTCAAGAAGCGCATTGGATGTGCTAGCCATTGCAATGGGACCTTCAGCCAACGCCACCACATCTTGGGACTTGCTAATTTTTTCCAGAAACTCTTCAATGCCGGGGCCCCCTTTTTCAAGGACAAGTTCTTGGGGTTCAAGTTGTTCTGTGCAAACTTCACCCATCCGTCTTTCGTAAAGATCTTGGACTTCATGAGTTTGTTGGGCTTGTACCATCCTTTCTTAAACGTTCCGGTCTTCCTGAGGCTTTTTGCCATGTTCTTTGATATTTCTGACATCCTCTGAGGCACCTGCACTACCGCGTTTTGCACGTCCTTGACAGACTTGAATCTCAAGTTCTTGAGATTAGACTTTGGTATGTGCTTTGGGATCTTTATTTTTTTGCCGATGGGGTTGTGCTCCAAAGCGTCTTCGAAGCCTTCCTCGACGAGCTTGAAACCGGGGTTCTTGTTCACTTGTTTGATCATCTCGGAGAAACAAGCACCGGCTTCAGCACCCTTGGCCATGGTCAGAGTACCTTGTATAACAAAGTTTGCGCCTGAGCTGGTCGACTCTCCGGAGGGGGCGCGGATGAGTGTGTGCCCGCCTACAGGACTGCAGGTGTTCAACCTTGTGAGTAGAGCGTCAGCGGCTGCTGAGGCAATCGTCCAGCCAGCATAGCCTATGATTTGGAAACTGCCGTCCGCTAAGAAAACAAGATTACCAAGTTGGTCTCCCATGTTCTGGATTGGAACGGTATCTGGACCAGTGATAGGATCGCTATTCGGTTCTGCAGTAGGAAGGACAGTCGGTTGGGCAGTCGGATCTGCAGATGGTTCGGCAGTTGGGCCTGGTGTAGGGTCGGCAACCGGTTCCTCGGTAGGATACAAAGATGGACTGACTCTGACTGACTGATAGCTGGAGATCATCTGAGTTGGAGTTGGTACTCTGGTAGGATAGCCAGTGATCACATTCCAGCTGCTTACGTATGGCTCAGGCACTTGCCACTGCGCTCCGTCCGCAGCGGTTTCGACTGTATCCATTATTTCGTTGTAGAGTATTTGTTCCATCGACAGTACTTGTCCTTCCGGTATAGTAGGCATGAGCTGAAATTCTTCAGTCTGTTGGCCAAATCTCCTTGCTCTTCTAAGGGCTTGTCCGACTTGCAGCTCTTGATCAAAGAGCCACTCGAGTTCTGCTGCAGGCTGCGTCGGGTCACCTAGACCAGGGCGATATGGCCAGAACTGCTGTAGTCCCTCGATATCCAATGTCCCTTCGTTAACAGGAAGCAGATTTTCCGGCAAAGAATCCAGCCACCGGGTCATGGGTCTCGCCTGTCTTTCAGTCAAGGGGAGAATAGTTTCGCTGGTTGAGAATTCCTCTCGCATGTTGTACAGGTAGTCCATGAAGAACCTTTCCAAGCCTAATGTTCGTATGGCCACCTGGTTTACCGCCGCCGTGTAGAGTCCGACATAGTTTCTTAACAGTTCAATAAAGCTTATTTCATTCGCGCCATTGCCCTCGAAAAGGTTGTGGAAGTGGTCGCGAATGTCTCTTATGAGAGCAGATCTGTAGGCTCTTTCGCCAACTGCAGACAGGAGTGCTGCTGGGAGGGTGACAGCAAGTCTGCGCCTGCAGGCATCGCCACACTGCAACATATGCCATCTTTCGCCATTCCTCAGGGCGGTGCAATCGATGGTGTTCTGGTCGTATGTGATGCCTTGTGTACCGTCATCTACAGTGGTTTCGTTCATACAAGCCTAACGAAAAGAAGGCTTTAGCGTGAATATTCATGTGCTACTTCGTGACGGCGCAGAGCGATAACGAGTTGCAACAAGGGCACAATCGTGTTTAATGGTCTTCGCACAGGGCCGATCGAACGACACATCTCGGCGATGGTGAGTTTTTACTCACATCCGTCTCATCATCTCGCTTCGTGGGAAATTTCCCCCATCTTGCCGTGCCGGCGATGGCCAACCTGTGAGCCACAGTGCGGTTACTTGGAGGGGCGACGGCAGTAGCCTGTAGATCCGTGCCATTCGATGTAGTGGTCTGCGTTGCAACGACTTCGTGCCACTCTAGTCCATCGTTCGAGATCGTCGTCGTGGTATCCAACACAGTACTCCCATGCTCCTCTTCCTCTTGATTCAATATTGTCGTCGTGGTGTCCAGCACAGTAAATCCATGCTGACTCCCTCATTCACAATTGTCGTCTCAGAATCCTGGACTTCAGACCATACCTCCGTCACAGCCTCCGGCTTCGCTTGCTGGGTCACCCAACGTGTCGAAAAAGTCGTCTGCTCGTTGGGAGACTTGTCTATAAATCTGGTAGACACTTCGATGATTTGGAATCTGGTTTCAATCGCGTTGGTGTACTGAACAGCAAGGCTCATGAGAGCCATTGCCTTTGTAAGCAACATTGGGACGGGACGGGTGCGCGAATTCGAGGGATCGTGTGAGGGAGCGAATGTCTGGGGTGGTTCCTACTTGCCTTATAAAGCAGAATTGCCCTCTTTTGTGAACCTTGTCATGTTTTCCCCCTCTTTCCACCTGGTGGATTTGATCAGCGTATAAACTGGGGAACTGTTTAGTCTATTGTTGTGGGGAACAGGGAATCTTCACAGGACTGGACCTTGCAAGAGCGCTGCCAGAGTTGAGTGGAAACGGGGCCTTTCAGGTCTGGTCATATCACGCAAAGTCAATGGATACGACTACGACCAGAGCGTTGCTATACTTCTCTGCAAATCAATAGTCTCAACAAGTTGGGGCGTTCGTGTCGAAAGAGCGATTAGGCTAAGAGCAGTGGTTGACGTACCAGATCGGACGACCCCAGTCTCCATTCCTTTGAGAAGACCAATCCTGTGATACTTTTTACCTCTATGGGCGAGAGTCGGTGGGGAGCCAGGACTACTGTTGACGTGAGCAGAATTGAGCAATATTTGGTGGACCTCGGGAGCTGGTCTGTGTTAAAATTTGAGTATGCGCATTTCGTCAAAGTATATGCCTCCACCCACACACCCATTAAACTACGCCAGGATAAAGAGGCGCTCACGCCGGATCTGCCAAGAGGAAAGGTGGAGGTAACAAACAAAGGGGGGTGAGAGAAGAGAAGTTTGGTACAAACAACAAGGCAAGAAAGCTAAGAACCGGGGGACGTTCTTCTGGGACTTGGTGCAGAGAGGTATGCGCTCAAAAGTGACCAGTGGATCATTCATTAATTCTCGAAAATGGCATCAGCGTGTTCGAGCAGCGCCTGCACTGCCATACGCTGAGCTTGCATGTCCGACATTTCGCGTTCAATGCTCAGGGGTCGCAAAATCGTAGGTGCGAAAACGACTGAGAGGTTGAGCGGTGTCATCTGGAAATGGGTTAGCATGTTTTAGAAACACATCAAAAGATGACTTACCAAGTTCTCTGACTCCTGCTTGACCACACGGCATAGATGCTGTACCAGGTACTCCAACACATCATGGTGGGCTTGCGGCATGGCCTCCAGCGCTGCTTTGATGCCAGCAATCTGCTTCTCCTTTTCTGTGATTTGGGCAGCCTCGAGCAACGGATCGTAAGTCTCGTAGGTGATTAGTGGGTTGGGTAGCTTGCGGAAGTATTGCTTCAGCGCGCTCGTAACAGCGTGGATATCGAGGTCTGGATCCGCGATGTCGTAGATACCATCCTTTTCGAAACCTTGCTGAATGAGCTTAACCTGGCCACTTCCGCCAGATTTTCTGTAGATTCCTTCCATGTCCATACCACGTCTCTCGACCTCTTCGATGCAGTGAGTGACGATTGAGGGCAAGATTCGCTTCTCATAGTCGCAGCGTTCGCGAAGGTCAGAACCGAACAATACTGAAGACGAATTAGCACGCTGAGGAGACAGTACGATAATTGCCGAAGGCTTACCGGATGGGGGTTCGGCAAGCAGGTTTGAACTGCTGCCATTCTTTCCAAGGGTTCCTGGAGGCTTCATACCATTCTTCTGCCCAGACGAGAAGAAACCGAAGCCCTTGGCGTCACCAGTCCTTAGGGGTTGATCGCCCATAATCGCGCCAGGGCCTGCCTGCATCTGAGAGTAGGGCATACCAGTGATGTCATAAGTGCCATCAGCTTTGATAGGCACACCACGATCGTTGCTTCCGGCAAATGCACCCTTGATGCCTTTGGTGACATTCTTAGCCAGACCAGACGATCCTTTCTTCCAATTAAACTTTTTGGGCTGTCCTTTGCGGATGTTGACCACTTGTGGTGCTGTGAGAACAGTGGCTGGCTCTGCGTCCGCTGCGTGTGGCATTAAATCATGAAGACTAGATGACTCTTGCAAAGAAGATGAATGCAACGAGGTCATGTCGCCCCTACTCGAGCCGTTGTAAATGCCCAGGCCATTAGTAAGGGGCGATCGATCCATACTGCCGTTCTTGACATTGTGAGATTTGTACATATCTTGAATGCCGCTGACCAGCTGGTTGTTCAGCTCGGCCAACTGAAGGTTCTTCGAAGACAAGGATTCAAACTCTTGCAGACCCTTGTCCTTGACTTGAATTAGGTTGGTAATGTCATCGGTAAGTTCGTTTCTCTTGTGTACGAGATCCTCAATCTGAGAACCGAGATTGTCCTTCAACTTCTGTAAGGAATGTGCAAAGTCTTGCAAGATCTCAGACTTCAGCTGACTGATGTCCAGCGGCTTGTTGTCCTCCTTGGCTCTGGTCAAATGCTCGGTCATGATTTCGAGCTCACGAACAACCATCTCACGCTGAGTGTCAAGGAATGCCATGGTCGAGCGTTTCTCACGCAGTTCGGTGTTAACCTGCTTGATGTCTGCGGATGTGTCCATCTTCTCCTCGAGACCGAGCTTATCGGCCTCGAGCTCGGCGATCTTCTGCTGAGCGCGGCGTAGTTGGGATTTCAGAGAAGCCACATCCATCTGACCAGGCGAGGATATCGGGCTGGTGATGAGGATGGGACTACTGATGTCAGCCGAGCTGATTGTGGGCGTCTTCTGGAGCGGTATCGATTTATCGCTGAAGCTTCTGCCATGTTTCACGGCATTGGAAACACGGCGAAGTACACCGGCATGCTCGTTTTCTTTCCTTTTCTGCTCATCACCCCTCAAGATGCGGGACATTTCTTCTTCCATAGAGAAGGCTTCCCCAGCGCTATGCTTTGGTAGATGTGTACGCCAGACTCTTGGCGAAGCTGCAGGATTATGATCAAGCTGAGGGTTGCCAACAGATTCAGCGCGAGGTCGCTCAGTAGCAGGTGGTGCAGGCGGCAACCTAGGAGCAATGAAATCATCATTGGCGACAGACTTGCTCGGAGCAGAAGGGCGATTGGCAGCTCTGGGTGGTGCCATTGGTACCTCAATGCCACTTGCAGTGGTAGATTCGGCCTCAGTGCGTGGATGGGACGGAGCATCGACAAACTGAGCGGAGGTTGCTGATTGTTTTCGTTCGTGAGCAGCATCGGCTTGCTTGAGGGCGGGTGTCGTTTCGGGGGAAGCGACGCGCGAGGTGTGTGTTTTATCTGTGGCAGGTGGCAGGGAATCACCCCTGGCAGGATGCTTTGCAGCTGGTGGGCCAGCAGTCGACGAAGCTTCGCGGAGCTTGGGGTCATCGAAGGGATTGATACTCGAACTAGGCGTATCCACAGAGGCGGGTGAAAGAGACAGATTCGAGTCTGTAGGGGTGTGTCTAGATTGCGTTTGGGTGTCTAGAGAGGTGGGCGAATTCTTGCCAACACGAGGACTGTTGCGCGACACTCTACGATCGCGAGGCACATCCTGCAGCTTGAATGGTTCCGGCGGGGCCAAGCCGAAGTTCGCACTATTTGTAGTCGGTAGACGAGGACGCTGCTGGCTGGTGACGGAGGATGGCGAAGCAACGGCTGGTGTAGTAACGGGGGTGCTGTTGCCCGACACGTTGCGGAGGCCCTGCTGACGAGTCCTATCGGCATGGGTAACGCCAGGACTGCGGATGCTGTCGCGCTCAGTAGAGACGGATCGGGAGGACGAGGGTCGGTTTCTCTCGGATCTCGAGAGAGCACCCTGAGGAGAAAGGTTATCCGACATCCTCGGCGTAGATTCTGGGTGCGAGCGGCGTGGCAGAGGGGGAGGAGCAGGGTTGGGATCGTAGGCCATAGGCAAGAAGCCGTCGTCAACATCGGACATGGTGGTCATGGTGTTAGATGACATGGTCGAGGCGCGCTCCTGCTTGTATGTGCTAGCTGGTAGAGTGAGGGTGTCTGGCGTCTGATCAGAGAGGACACTTGTGTGAGACAAGTGACGATTGCTACCTTTCTTGCTGTCGTCAGACATGGACATGGGCGACGTATCCCGCTTCCTATCATGGCTGGCCTTGAGGTGGTCACTTGAGTAAGAGCCCGAGGGTGAAGCCTCGCGCAGAGCACTCTGTGGGACGGCGCTGGGAGGGAGGGCAGGAAGACTCTTGTCCAGCACCAATGGGTTGCTGGCCCCAGCCGCTATTTGTTTTGAAGCTTTTGCCCTTTTCCGCCGCCTTGCCATCAGGCTCTCGTGACAATTCATGCAGAAGATGCCCTGGCTGGTACGCGCATAACGCAGATTCTCGATCTTCCTCTTGCAGTTGCGGCACTTGAAGCAAGTGGCACAGAAGGCTTGTTCGCCCGTCAGGATCGCAAGATCTTCGATCTTGTTGCCGCAAGAGTCGCAGCTGTATGTGCAGTTGTTGCAAATGAGGGAGCCATCACCCAGTAGTAGTAGGTTGGCGTCGGAATCGAGGAGTGTGGCACAAGAGTGGCAGCGGAAACAGCCCAGATGCCATCGGTGGCCAGCTATACAAGTGCTTGTCAGCAAGTGGGCTACCCCTCGACGCTGTGTGTGACTTACCAAGCTCAAAGGCTCGCCCCTGTTCTAGAATCTGCGTAGCGTGAGAGTCAGTCAAGCTGTAGACAGAGATCAACTCTTGCAATCAGGTACCTCGCCGCAGCCTTTGCACAAGAAGACCTCATCCTCCTCCATGGGAGATTCGGGGTAGTTTGAGTTGTTGTCGGCGTCCATGATGGCGGAGTCCGGGAGCGACGATGACGCGGGAGAGGCCAAGGTGAGGGCGAGAGTGGACAGGTGTGGTCGCCAATCGCCAGCTTGGAGGTGATGCGACGGGCCCACAGGCCTAGCAGGTTGTAGGAGTCGATGCAGACGGGCAAGCGAACGGGTGCAGCGAACGGGCAGTGGTGTTGTTTCGCAGCAGCAGGGCAGATGGCAGATGTTTCAGCGAGTGGAATCGCTACGTCGATACAGCGCAACGGCGGGGCCTGGTGGGAGACCACGTCCGATGTGGATTGCTGCTAGTTGGATGCGCACGCATGCGATGGTCGCGGTTGGGACCTGTCGAAAATGCACACTACAGTCAAGGGTGTTTGGACTTTGCAGGTGCACGACGAGCCTCAAGCCAAGCGGCCGCTCCTGTTACGACGGCGATACAACTTTATTTCCCTCTCGTTTCCTGAACATGGTCAGATCTCCACCAATCCATCGCATTAATCCTCTGTAAATTACACATATTTCTCCATCCTACTTCCCAGACCTGCGTTTGAGCTTGCTTGCCGTGCAATTGCTTTCCTTGCAGACGATCTTATCAACTTCATCAACCTTTACCATGCACGCCTTGCTCAAGCCATGTTACTGCTTTGAAACTGCGTAACGGCCCACTGCTGACGACTCTCTCCGTTACTTATTTACAGACAATACTCCTGGCTATTCGTCTGCCTAAAACCCATCTATCACGCCTTCAAGCATGGCACTCATCTACAGTATGGCATTTCCGTACAAAGTCGTGCCTTCCTCAGGTTCGGCTTCATCGACCACTCCGGCCTTGAGATAGGTAGGTAGCACGGGCCACGAGCATGTCCCACACGCGTTTCGCCGTTCCGATCAACCCTCGAGCGCTCGAGCAGCGTTACCGTTCACCGCTTTGCACGCTGCAGCCTCCCGCCGGCCTTCTGCTCGTAGCCCGGAACATCTACAAAAGCTATCACTTGTCTCTTATAGGCTTATACTATCCCTCAACGTCTTTCGATGTCGTAGCATTCTCCGCTACAAACTTGTGGCTTCAAGACATCTCCAATGCTCCGTCCGGTGGCGCAATGTCATGCGACACCGGTCCTGCATTCTGAACCTCGGTCACGCCAAGTCAATTCTTCTCAGGGGCTGAGAGCGCGCCCTTTCGTATCATTGGCTTTCGTCTTTATTACCGAACAACTCAACTGGGACCTCACCTCAGCTCCTGCGCCAAGCCAATCAGAACAAGGGCACAACTTCTTCAGAGTCTGCTCACCGTCTTTATCGTCGTCGCTATCTCGCCTCCAGGGCCGTGTCAACTGTCAATCTTGATGGACCCTCGTGTGGTGGGGTTCTAATATTGCGCTGTGAGGGTATAGTATCGACGGAGATGTTGCAAATCACTCCAACATTTCTCCATGATTCGAGTTAATATGATGAGATATGATGTTTTCTGATGACACTATGAAGATAGGTACACTTTGCATATTCGCTAGATGTTTTCGATTCACGCTGTCCAGCTTGACAATAAGCCAGCGCGAGAGAATGCTATAACAAGGCCATCCGATGTTCCTATCAAAGGAGTGTCCACGGGAGGTCGTTTCTATTCTTGGATACTATCACGATTTTGAGCAGCTACAAGCAGCAACCTTACGACGACAACTTTCTCTCTTTCCCTCTCACCAAGACGGAATGGTCTCGCCAAAGCCGAAGAGGCATGGGAACATCGGGTGCCGTGCTCTATAGGCAAGTCCTCTGTTTTCCGCCTCTTGCAACTCAACAAAGTCGTCAGAGAGGAGAGCGAGACCAACTGTGTCTTGTCAAAACATGTCAAGGCACGGATGAATCTGCGTCAAGTCGGCCATCGCTCTCTAATACCCACAAGACTTGAGCGACAAAGGCATAGTCCTTAGGAAAGTTAGTACTCCATGTATGTAGGTAATCTTACTCGTAGTATCTATCAAAGATTGCAAGTCCGGTGTCAATTGGCATGCTTCCATTATCACATCTCTTCTTTTGATCTGCATGTTATTGCGCTAACTGCACCAAGCCGCAAAAGTAGACCAAAAGTCTGGTAACGAATTGTCGCGCAATCCGTCTACTGTGCAGTTGATATACCTTAGAAAACGACACGCCAAGTCGAGACTGGTGAGATGGTAACCCTGTCTGGAATATTCATCATCGTTGTCAACGACAACAAGTGGTTCGAATTGCTACAATTGCTGTTCTTGGAGAGTGTCCTGGGATGTCTCATTCTAGTGGATCCATGTGGAAGTGGTGGTTGATCATATCTCCATCTTTTGTGGTTATCCAACGCTTGGTGGTTGATCTCACTTGGTCACCCAAAATTTGATGGACGCAACCATATCGATCGTTCTTGTCAGAACCCAGGGTTTCTGAACTACACCAGAGGCATACTTGAAAGATTATTCTCGGACATGAAAGAAAAAGAAAAAGTTTGTTTTGGGATATCAATTCATTCGTACAAATACTGCCTCTTTTTGATAGAGAGATTATTTTCCTCCATGCATCACACCCTTTCATTCGTAAACGCCGTAAACACCCCTGCTTCTCCGTAGCTCCATAAGTCCACAAATCCAAGAATGTCCTTCTATGAGATGAATCCAGTACTGCTGCCTTGCTCCCTCAACACATTGGCACTGCGTCCAGCATCCCAGAACAAATCCACTGCCTCATTAACGTCTTGCGGCATGACGATGTTGTTATCTGCGCCTCTGCAGCGAGATAGAATGGCAGAGGGAGCGAGGAGTTGGATGGCGTAGCGGAGAGACACACGTTCGCCGTGCTTTGTGAGGAGATCAAGAGATTCGTCTGCGAGTTGGGTGGTTTGGACGAGTCCTTGAGCGGCATTTGGTTTATCGGCTTGGAGGGAAGGAGGTGCGGCGCTGGAGTACTCGAGACGGGCGCGTGTTGCGACGATGCTGCGGATTTCGTTTGCAGAGTAAGGGTGGGTGGGGACGATGAGGAGGCGGTTGAGGAGATCTGGGGGGATACCGTGGGCGGAGACGAGGTTGTCCGTTCCGCGGATGGTGGTGGAGCCGCGGTTGGAGGCTAGGATGACGATGGGCGAGATTGAGGATTCGAGGGCGCGGTTGAGGTAGGTGAAGCATTCCAGATCGAGCATGTGCACTTCGTCGATGAAGAGGACACCGGGGACGAGTTCTGCGACGCCTTGGTCGATGTATTTGTTGACGACCTTGTTGATCTCTGCGCGTAGCTTGTCGGTGATTTCGGTCTTGCGAGGCTTCATCAATTGACCCATCATGCTCATGACGTCTTGACCACCCTGAGGACGGGCGTTTGCGACATCCAGATCGTGGAGAGTGACATCCTGGACGACTTGCTTCTTCTTGTGGACTTCACCCTTTGGTACGGGGACGTATTCCTCGGCTTCCAGATCGAATTCGGTAGCAAAGGCGTCACTGCGACCGACACGCTTGACGGCACCGGTGTTGGCTTCAATGTAGATGACATCTCCGACGCGGACGCGCTCCTTCTGAATGGCCTCGTAGATGCTGGGATCCAGACGTAGCTTCTTTGTACCACGGGCAGAGCGCATGGTGATGAGAAGATGTGAGATGGTGCGACCGTAGCCACCTAGCGGGTTCTCGGCCTCCTCGGGAGTCAACTCTGTGACCTCGCCCTCGTAGACCTCCTTTGTCTCGTGTACCCGCAGACCGATGGCGCGGCGGAAGTTCTCCATCAAGGCTTCCGTCTTCTTGACCTCTGTGCTGTAGACCTCGCTGGCGACAATGGGGCAGAACGGCACCTTTGTTCCCAACTCTTGTGACACGGCCAATGCGAGGGCAGTCTTTCCAGTTCCAGGACCTCCGGCGAGAAGGACAGCACGACCGGCCATCTTCTTTGCTCTGATCAAATCAACGACGACGCCTGCAGCCTGTCGAGATGGGTCAGTATTGTGATCGCATGACTATCCGAGTAGACCAACCTCTCTGGCAGCGACCTGGCCGATGAAGCCTTGAGCATTCGTGTCTGCGCGGCCATCTGAGCGCAGACCCAGGCCTTTGATGTGCGAGTGTGCGGCGGTACGGTTCTCGCGCGAGTTTCCCTTGACCTGGGCAATTTGGACGGGCTTCATGCCGCCCGATGTGGTCGCGAGAGGACCTCCGTTGGCGACAGACATGATGTGAGATGTGTAGATGCAAGGTGGTTGGATGGGATAGCTGTTTCAATGGCCTTGATGCGAGCGCGAAGATGGCTTTCGCGGAGCAGCAGCTGCACGCTTGCCCCGGCTTTTTTTCGGTCGACAAGTCTGTAGAGACTGGATCACGAAGGTGATGCATACAAGACCCTAGACAAGCTACACACAACTCTCGCCCATCATGGTCTCATTACTTCAGCGCATGCGTAAGCTACAAACCGTATGTCTCGCTCTCCATCATTTGCGTCAACCCAACTAACAACCACCACAGAAGGTACATCATCCTCAACACCACCCGCCGCCAACATGTAATTGACCAAACTCTACACAGCTCCTCGCCATCCGTCTCGGTCCCGGCGCAGCAGTTCTCCCAAAAGAAATCTCCCGCATCCACATGCGCTTCGCCCCCAAAATCGACGGCGGCCACATGGGCTCCAAAAAGTTCTGGCGCCACGAACTCGTCCGTCTGAAATATCACAACCCTGCCATCCCAATGACCATCGACCGCACCGCTCTTCAAACCGATCCCGCTCTCATGACCATCTTCTTCGCCGATCCAGAAGCCTCGCCGACCAGTGGTGCTGCACCCACGACTAGCACGAGCGGAGATAAAGAGCCTAGCAATTATTCGCCTAGTACGAAGACAGAGACGATTGATATGACGGGTCGTACGCCGGAACACATCTTGACTGATTTTATGAAGATTACGAGTGCGAGACAGGTCGAGGCTACACAGGAGGAGTTGGAATCATTGCGTTCGCTCGAGGAGCAACGGGTCCGCAGTGAGAGAGACAGCAAGCTCAGTTTGGAGGTCAGAGAAAAGAAGAAGAGAGAAGAGTCCCTGCTGGCTCAGGCAAGAGGTGACCTTGCCTCTGCTGTCTAAGTCGGTCATTGAGCATACGCTGGACATGCTATATTCGTGTAAATTATACTGGGAAGGAGATGGCATTTTCGCATGGCGTTTGTTGGATGCTGGGATTACCAAAGCTACTAGTCGTGTACAAAAAGGCGCTTGCCATCTTTTCACTTTATCCGTTTGATCATTGAGACATTTGTGGAGTTCTCTGATTGCGTCTGGGAAGCTGTCGATTTCTGTCACGATGCTAAAGAAGTGCACTAAACAACTATGCAGCAGCCGTACCATTCCACCAGGCAAGACAACCCAGCACAAAGACCACGACCATGGCATCGGCAACGACAGTCTGCCAAATCACAGCATATCTACCAGCCATACTGATGTAGTGTGAGTAAGGCTGCGGTACCAACCCCGAGTTTGCAATAGTAGCCAACCATCCACTTCCCTGCAGTCTTCCCTTTTCCATGTAGTATCTGCTCGACTGCAGCACAACTTCTGCGGTCGCGAACATGTAGAAAAGTCTAGGGCCAAAGTCTGACCCTTCAAGCACCGTGTTGCGAGACATTTTGCTGCCGTGGAAGGTGCCGCTTGCTGCAATGTAGATGCCGAGGGCCAGAGCAAAGACGGCGTGGACGACGCGCCAGAGGTAGGTTGTGCCCGTGGGCGAGGAGGCTTGCTGCTGAGTTGTGCGTTGTCCTTGCATCATGGCTTTGAGCATGGGAGGAAGGTCGTCCATTGCTGAGTCTGGGATGCCTCCAGCTGCTGATGGGTCTCCACTGAGCAGTGACTGCATCATCTTGAGCATTGGGTCTTCATCTTGCTGGCCGCCTGGTCGCGGAAAGGGCGATTGCTGCTGTTGATGCTGTAGACGAGCGAGCTGGCTCTGCTCGGAGGGTGTGGGAGTCCAGTAGTGCTCTGAGATGTCGACTTCGTCCGGGTCTTCAATAGATGCGTGTTGCGGTGTCATGGTAGACGTAGCTTGTGCTGGTTTGGTAGGTGTCTGTGTCATGGATGCTGTGACAATGTCAGTCGTATGCTCTCCAAGCAGTGTTATGCAAAGCGACATACGCTCTTCAGGTGCAGGAGCAGGTCTTCCACTCAGTTGCGTGATTCGCGCCAGTCTGTCCGAGCCCTCAGTCTGGATCTTTGCATTACGCTTCTCGCGACGCAGACGAGCTGCTCGCTGTGCTGGTGATTCTGTGTCGACGTCTGCCATGATGCTTGGCTTTGCGGGCTGTCGTTGTGCTTAGTAGAAAGCTGGTCGCATGGGTTGGAAATCTAGCTCCACGTCGTCATGGCGGCACCTTCCGTCTATACCATCAACCTCGACCCCAACATCTCTAACCCGCCGAGTCACATTGTCCAGCACACACACATGAGACAACATTTGTCGCAGAAGACTCACACTACACTCCATAAACTGGAATGGTTGGTTAATCGAGTTCGTCGAGTCCGAAGACGTAACCATGACTTTCAGCTGACCCTGCCGTATGTACCGTTGATGTCACCAATTGAATGCTTCTTCTTCTATTTCGTAGTGCCCGCGTCCATCTAGCAAGGCGTATCAGCCATCGTGATATCTAAATCATGGCAAGACACAACGACTCTCAGGGCAAGAAAGCGAGCAACCCTTCTAAAAAGCCTCTTCTTACCCATTTCCTCTGCATCCCTCTTGTGAATTCAACCTCGCAACCTCAACTTGAAGCCAGTATCAGCAAGTTCAAGGAGGATGTCTGTACTGCGAGGTCAGTCGACACTAGCCCAGACACAGTTTCGATAGCCGAGAGCACTGTCAAAGATGGGATTGCCCAGGAAGACAGGTCTCCTAAGAATATCGGAGAGACGACAACACCAAAAGTACAAGCACCAATGATACCCGAGCAAGCAATCAGACCACCTGGATCATTACATCTTACCCTTGGAGTAATGAGTCTAGACGAAGGAAAGCTGTCTCAAGCAACCACATTGCTCCAGTCCCTCGACGTGGAAAAACTGCTTCGAGAAGCAACACCAGATCGAGCCACCGAACCTAGATCAGGGTCAGAATCATTAGATGGCGCAGAGATGTATCTCTCAACTCATCCTTTGTCTGTCTCCCTCTCATCCCTCGAACCAGTGCAATCACCCACAAAAACAAGTATCCTCTACATCCGCCCAGAAGACCCAACAAATCGCCTCTTTCCCCTTTGTTCAGCCCTCCGAAACACATTCATCCAAGCTGGCCTCTTAGTCCCGGATACAAGACCACTAAACCTACACGCCACAATCGTAAACACAATCTACATCAAAGGACGAAAGAAGAAAAAGGCAACGTCAAAACCAGCTTCCGACACGGAAAAAACAAGGACGACGGAAATGACCAAATCGACAAAGGATGAAGAAGGCAAGGAAGGCGAAATCAAAGCAAACACCCCATCTTCAGGCCACGGACCATCAGCAAAATCGAGTTTATACATCGACGCCTCCACCCTTCTCCCTCGCTACAAAACCTACATCTGGGCCTCCGATATCCTAATCTCTAAACTCGCAATCTGTGAAATGGGAACCAAGAAACAATTCGACTCTACTGGAAAATGCATTGGAGAAGCTTATGCAGAAATCGCCATTCTTGAATTTTGATATGTGGGTACAAGTGTAGCATCTCCGTAAGAGGTGTGCATGGAAATCTCGGGGCTGTAGAAAGGCACAGTGTTTTTCGAATCTAGAGCTATTCCTGATGGAGTGTCTCTGAAGAGGACTGTCATTCTGGGACCATGTCCGCTAATCTGAAAAAAAAAAAACCATGTCTTTGGACAGAGCGTTTTATAGGGAGATCAGCTGGCGTGGGAGCGTCTACAAGGGCACAATGGAGTGATTGGTTCAGGTCTCACACATCTCCGTCCGTCTCCTGCTACAGCAGTTAGTGAGTACACAAGCTGCAGTAATGCACAATCATATTCGGGAATGAGACATTTGAATCGAGAGAACAGAGCAATTGTGATCCAGGGGTATAATGCAGAGGAAAACAGAAAAAAGCAAACTCCAAACTCCATCCCAGTATGAACAAAAGAGAAAAAAGAACACCAAAACCATGCCGTCATTCAATTTAATCATCCCCTTTACTCCTCCTGAGCTGCAGCACCCCGCTTGTGAGGAGGCAGGGCCTTCTTCTTGTGCTCCAAGCTTTGAGCTGTCTCCTGAGCAGTTGGCTTGGGCTTGCTCTCGCCGATGAGCTTGAAACTGACCTCGATGCCAGAATAATCGGCCGACTTGAACTCGAAAGCAGGGGCGTTGCGAGCATCAGCGGCGACCTTGGCCCAAGCTGCCTTGTTGTCGGCCTCAAGCTGGTCAGCCTCCTTGAGCCAAACAGCTGTTCTTGCCTTCTGTTCAGGGGTGAGGGTGACTGAAGGAGCTGTGCGAGGGGCGACACCTCTAGTGGCGAGGGCTGCGCGATTCGTGGCAGGTTGAGTCTTGTTGTTTTTGAGGTAGGGAGATGGTCTGGCTGGACCACGCTGCTGCTTAGGGCCCTGCTGACGAGGGTGGCTGGTGTCTCGGCTCTCTTGCTTGTGGTACTCAGATGCTGAGCCTCTCAAGAAGACTTCAATGCGAGAGGTCTTGTTGTCGAGACCAGAATCAAGCTTGCCCTTGGAGAATTGACGGACGAGTTGGTGGATCTCTCTGCGTTGGTCACGTTCCAAGGCCACGGACTTGATGGGGGTGAACTTGGACACTTGATCAGGGTTCTTGATGTAGCGAGAGAGCATATCCTTGGCATCACCCTCGAAGACGGCAAGGAGACGGTCGGCAGCCTTGGGATCGGCGGTAATGAGAGCTGCTCCACTGGGGTTGTTGATGGCGGAGAGCTTCTTAGACAGAGCGGGTGACTTGATACAGACAAGCATCTGTTCAAGGTCTTCAGCAGACAAGAAGACGATGGTGGGTGTGATAGAAGACATGTTGTTGATAGTGATTTGGAATTGCTGGATGAGTCGGAGTATGATCTTTGCAAGGATTTCCCGAAAAATGGGATTGCTGTAAGGAAGAGTGGTGCAGGGTAACTTATATGACATCAGTTGATGGTCGTGGTATGGATATGTTGTTGGAGCGTGATATCAGAAGTGGTGAGATGAGAGGGTGGACGAATCGAATGTGTAAGACTGTATGAGGTACAAGAGAGAGCGGGCTAAGGTTGAAGATGAATCGAGGAAGATGAGACTTTGTGAAGTTGGGAAGAAAAGAAGAAAGGAGAAAGGAGCATGGACACGAGCAGGTGAGTGTAGCGACAAGACTAGTGGCCTGCTATTGTCGCATATCATTGTCGCCAGTATTCAGTAGCTAGTGAATAACTCGTGTAGAGGACAATAGCCGACCATAGCAGCGAATGCCGTGTGGCCATTTGTGAATAGGAATTTAGAGTGAAACGTGAAGAGTGAAAAGTGAATTTTGGAAAGTGACATGATTAGAGTAGACTAACATAGCTTTTGCAGGGCATGTCAGTTCCATTGAGCCATTTGTCGGGATTCCAGCCATCGCAGTTGTCGCCGACCGCAGGGTTCAGACGACTAGCAGCAAGCCTTGCGAGATAGATAGAAGACTGCATCGAATCAGAATTGGTCCAAGCAATGTTTTCGCCGTGGTACTTATCCCTGCTGGGATGCGACACCCGTCTACCACAACTGACTCATCAGCATAGTAGCCTAGGACAAGCTTCTCTGAAGCGGCCAATCTGTCTGCTTCGCGTAGTATTGCATCAAGATAAGGGAGTGTTGATTTCGTGTTCAACAAGTCCTCGAAGGTGAAGGGGTGACCACTGAAGCATGATCGCATCTCGTCCTTGATGCGGGCTTGTGAATTCGAATCGTATGCGAGATATGCGACAACAGTCTGAAGGTGTGTAGCAATTGGGTCGGCTGCACCGACGAAGAATGATAGAATACTATGGTGATAGTATTCAGAGCTGCTCCTGACTCCGTAATGGGTCTGCAAAAAGTGTGATTTCTCGTTGAAAAACTTGCATAGCCTTTGTAGTAGCGTCGTCCTGTTTCTCGCTGCCCGAGTGGCCTTGAAGCATTGTTGTCTTGAACAACGAGACCCAGCTGGTGTCATCCTGAGACACGCACGACAGAATCTTAGTAATCCATGGATGAAAGCGAAGAAACGAACCATCACAAGAAGACTCAGTTCCTAAGTCTGCAAGCTTGTCCGCCAAATTGCCAGCTGCGGTACTGTCTACGAAGCTGAAACGTTGCCCCATAGTGGCAGTGCCCATGATCTCCTAGGAGAAACATGTTAGAAGCCTAGAGACCGGGACGTCTTGTTTGGTGGACTTGGCAAGTGAATCGAGGAGGCCATCTACACTGGCATCGATGACAAGCTCATTGTTTGCGGCTTGACTCATCAACTGCTCCGACATCCCGTAACGCATGTAGGCGTCTTTGAAGACGTGAGGTAAAGCAAGATGTGGTTTGGAAGGGTAGATAAGATGTAGCTTGTGTTGAAGCTCGAGCGTCAGACTCGGTCTGGCAACCGAGTATGCGTAGGGGGCCACACGTACGACGATTCCTAGGACCAAATCAGCACGACTAATGAGACAATTCCGACAGCCCAGGATATACCATGAGCTTGATGAGCTCTAAGCAGAGCTCGCTCGTAGCTGCCTCTAGCAAGATGCCGTCCTTTCCAAAAGAAAGTGAACTTTGCCAGACACGGGCCCGGAACGAGGTGGAAGATCTTGAACAATTCGCGGACCGAGAGTAGAAAGAAGAAGTCTGACACAAAATACTCAAGCAAGAGGTCGTGATATGTGCCCGGATCCGATAGTTCTGGAAGCCGACAAGCCTCTGTGATCATTGCCACGTGAAGGATGGTATGGATACCGGCGCCAATCAAAAGCCATGATAGACCGGTTTGTGGCGAGGCGCGGAAACGGTAGCTGGAGGGTAGAACCGAAAGACTGAGGTAAGCTAGCAAGCAGACACGAAGACCACTGCGGAGCCCCATCACATGGTAGCAGATCTTTGAGCAATGAGGCCAGCAAGGTTCCTTGAGCGGTACGATAAGCAGTAGCCACATCAAGAGACCTGGGTTGTGGCTGTTGACCATTTTGGTGATATAGTGTGAGTGTGCTAAAGGTCCGAGGTGTTGAGTGGTAGAGGTCTGAGGTGTTGAGTGGTAGAGCTGAAGAAGGAGAGTGTAGATACAGGCGTTTGCTTATCGAAGACAAACAGACGGCGAAGGCACCTTCCTCCACCGAAGCTAGGTAGACAGACTGCCCTCAACTCCTGTTCATACTCAGATCGGCAATGGCGCCTGTAGTCTAGATGATCGTGCCGTCTCGAAGGCCGCATGGGAACTATTGTCACGTACATACGCAGAGTAAGGCAGCTCGACGCAGACCTTTATGATACTTACATTCACTCCATATCCATCTCTGATGCCGTGTCCAACTCACCGCGATGCAGTACTATCAAATCCTGACGAATTTTTGTCGCGAGAGCCTTCCACGTCCATATAACTCTTTGGAACGAGGTTTGCCAAGTCGATATACAATCCAATCATTTGAGATCTGATGGAGCAGAATTAGCAGTCTCCATTGCTTGGTTCAGCCGATGGATTTTTCTGACTGACACGACAAGCTGTATACAAAGACCACGGTTGAGATGAGGAGGTAACAGTCGGTTAAAGTCGGTTCTCACGCCTTTTAACCACGCTACAGAGCGATAGGGCCGATACCGCGGCCAAGACCGGAAGCCGTCATTGCCCCAGCTCTGTCTCCAGGATTGAGAACGACCATTGCTGTCGTGTTTAAGTTTTGGAGTCACGCCTTCTTCTTTTTCTCGTCAATTGTCATATCATTCCCCCCTTCACAGACAAGATGCTTTCAGGATCTAGAACTGCTTTGAGAGCTTCTGCTCAAGCCTCCAAGCTTCGTCTGCAGCTGCAGTCCAGCATCAGAGCCGCATCGGCCTGGTCGCAAGTGCCCCAAGGTCCTCCCGTTAGTATCACAACAGCCTGGGTCGACGAAGATGACACTTACTAATGTATCCATAGGATGTAAGAACGCCGTAAACACTACACAACCAGCACAATCTGACATTTCAGGCCATTCTTGGTATCACCGAGGCCTTCAAGGCTGACAGCCACCCCGAGAAGATCAACCTCGGTATGATTCCTCGGCCCAGTAAAGAGAAGACAATATCTGACAATAGAAAGGTGTCGGCGCATACCGTGATGACAAGGGCAAGCCCTACGTCCTTCCCTCAGTAAAGGAGGCCGAGCAAAGAGTCGTCAAGAAGAACCTCGACAAGGAATACGCTGGCATTACCGGTGTGCCCGACTTCACCAAGGCCGCCGCTATCCTCGCATACGGTGCCGACTCCGCACCTCTCAGCGAGGGCAGAGTCGTCATCACCCAGTCCATCTCCGGTACTGGTGCCCTTAGAATCGGTGGTGCATTCCTCGAGCGCTTCTACCCCGGCGACAAGACCATCTACATCCCCAACCCCAGTTGGGCGAACCACAATGCCGTCTTCAAGGACTCAGGTCTCAAGGTCGAGAAGTACCGCTACTACAACAAGGACACCATCGGCCTCGACTTCGATGGTATGGTTGAGGACATCAAGAACATGCCCAAGGGCAGCATTGTCCTCCTCCACGCTTGCGCACACAACCCCACTGGTGTCGATCCTACCGAGGACCAATGGCGCGCACTGAGCGATGTCGTCAAGGAGAACGGCCACTACCCCTTCTTCGACATGGCCTACCAAGGTTTCGCCAGTGGTGACACTGACAAGGATGCCTTCCCCATCCGCCACTTCATCAAGGAGGGTCACAACATCTCTCTCTGCCAGAGTTTCGCCAAGAACATGGTAAGAATCATACGTCTTCGTGAACATTGACACATCCTAACATCAATCAGGGTCTCTACGGTGAGCGTGTTGGTGCCTTCTCCATCGTTTGCGCCGATGCCGACGAGAAGAAGCGTGTCGACTCTCAGATCAAGATCTTGGTCCGCCCTCTCTACTCCAACCCCCCCGTTCACGGTGCCCGTGTCGCTTCCACCATCCTCAACGACCCCGAACTCAACAAGCAATGGTTGGGCGAAGTTAAGGGTATGGCTGACCGTATCATCACCATGCGTGCTCTTCTCAAGGAGAACCTCGAGAAGCTCGGCAGCAAGCACGACTGGAGCCACATCACTAGCCAAATCGGCATGTTCGCCTACACTGGTCTCAAGCCTGAGCAGATGGACACCTTGGCCAAGGAGCACAGTGTTTACGCCACAAAGGACGGCAGAATCTCCGTCGCCGGCATCACTTCCGCCAACGTCAAGCGTCTTGCCGAGTCCATCTACAAGGTTACCGGTTAGATTAGAATATAATGATATTCTGTAATTTGATGAGGCATGTAATGTAGGATATGGAACACGAATAGTTGTAGAACAAGATTCGCAATCATAAAAGCAACAATCACAATCTACAAAAATAGACTGCCAAAGCACGTCCATGCTGTACCTCAAGTGTCAAATCCGTCTCATGACAGCATCCAGTGAACTCATGTGCACATACACATAGTCACAAGTCGTGAGGCTCTTTCCCCTGAATGCAATCTTGGGAAGTCGAGATTGTCAAGTGTCAAAGTATGGACAGAGCATGATCGCGTGGCATTTGTGGCGCTCAAATAGTTTCCGGATTCAGCACGCTAAGGTGGAGGTGTTTTCGGGTTTCGTTGCACACACCGCGACTTTGCTCAACGGTCGGAGAAGAGAACAATCTCTGTCTCGAACAGAAAACAAGAAATGCCGTTTCGATCTAAACGGAGAATAAAACAGCACCATAGATCTTGAATGTCTCAAACGACGAACGACGCCATATCCACGCCATGGAAGACTGCTGTCGAGATTCTAGAAATGTTGATGGTTGAAGAGGCTCTGGGCCAAATCCAGGGTCACGGTCGACAATAATGATTACATCATGGCCGCTAAGAATGGTGGCAGCATGTGGCTTGAAATTTCGCGTCTCTACCTTCCTCCTTTCTGGGCTGAGATGCCGAAGCGGACACAGGTGTTCTCTGCGCACGATACAAAAGGAGGATGATTACTCGTTGTCACTTTTAGTAAGGAGACATACCCAAGTAGAAGGCATCTCGAAAGCACAGCTGGAGTACAAAGGACGAGAAGAGACGGGGTCCACTGTAGACATGATCACGTCATAATGCTCCGAGTTGGAGCTGGAGAAGTCGCGGAAAGGAGAGCCGTCTTGCGTGTCTGCATCAAAGAGAAATGAGCATCTCCAGGGTATTCGTAAGTCGATTGAAGTGTGAGAATGCCAAAGAAGTAGGCAGAGCAGCGGTATTGGACAATCAAAGATGTGGACGCCTCGAGAGGGCATTGTTTGTATTGTTCGGCAAGGCGGCCAACTTCGCGTGAGACGATGGATCAAGAATAGAGCCATCACTAGCATGAACGGTAGTTCCGGATGATGGATGGGAAAGCGTGGTGCAGGGCTCGTCAATTCTGACAAGTTGGCCGAGGGAAACCCCACTACTGGCTTTGTTGCGTTGACCTGGGCGTGGGCACGGTTTCGATGTCTACCTCTTCCCGAAGAAGCTCATACACGTCCCTTCTCCTCCTCATTCCTTTTCCCATCCTAGCAGCCATCCTCTTCAACCCTCAAGCTCTTTTGTGTGTGTCTTGTTTTCTTGACGATTCACGAACACTCTGCCAACTCTACGCCCATCTTCTTTCAACTAACAGCTCGCCGACTGTGTTCCCCCCTCCTTCACGTCATTCGTCCGTGCAGAATTTGAAGAGGAAACGCCTCGATCACCCTTCGAACAACATCGCCTGCTCAGCTTCCTCGTGACCGTATCATTTCAAAGACCGGCCGAATTATCTTGTTTTTGGATTCTATAACTCCATCAGCCGATCGACAAAGTGAACAGGCCGTTTTCCTCGCCACGCGACTCACTTCCAGGCCGTAGATACCGACCTCCGCGAAAGCAACAACTTCACTCTTCAGATTCAAACCGCTTCCGAAACACGTCAAAATGCCTGCAGCTGATGTAAAGGTGCGTCATGACAAACACTCGAACTGCGCACGAACAGGGGCTAATGCATAGATTGACAGAACGATGAGGGTCCCATCGGACTCTCCGACTTTGGAGACAACATGGACATCGCAACCTTTGAGCAGATTCTCGAGATGGACGATGATGAGGATGAGAGAGAATTCAGCAGAAGCATCGTCTTTGATTTCTTCCAACAGGCCGACAACACATTCGACAAGATGGACGAGAACATGTACGCGCCATCGCATCTAGCTGCTTGAAGAGCAACCAATACTGACTGCAATACAGTGAATCAAAGGACCTCGCCCAACTCAGCGCCCTCGGTCACTTCCTCAAGGGTAGTAGCGCAACACTTGGCCTGACGAAGGTCAAGGACAGCTGCGAAAAGATTCAACACTACGGCGCACAAAAGGACGAGACGGGCACACACGACGAGCCCGACGTCGAGAAGTGCCTCGACAACCTCAAGGTCGTCATCGCACAAGCAAAGAAAGACTTCCAGACCGTCGAGCGTCTGTTGAGGAGGTTCTACCACGACGACGAGTAGATTTGATAAAGGCAAGGAGACTTGAGAGAGTCCGAGAGAAGAGACAACTACACACATCAATGAGACAAAAAGTCATGAATTTATCAACACCACACCTATCGATCAGAGAAGAGAGAGGCATGGCCTGCTTGGAACAACGCACCATTTCCTTCATCTCTAGCATCTTTCCACCGTCACATCCTAGTACTTTGGTGTTTCCTTGTCGCATCGCTACAGGTCTTTGTTGGTCATGGCGCAGCGCCATCTCGTCGGCCCTATCATCTGCTATTGCTCGAGAGCGGTCCTTTTTAAACATTCGTCAATCAACGGGCATGGTAGACAAAGGATGGATAGACCAAATACAGTCGAGGCATCAGTACTCACTGTAGTGTATTCCCCCAAAGCATTCTTTCCTGATACCACGTCTTCTTCCCTTTCCACAATCTCGGATAGGCATACCTCGAGTCTTACGATTCCCACCTCGTCCTCTTCTTCCTTTTGTATCTCTCATAATTTTCATAACCCAGATCCCCTTCAGACTCTCACCTTTGCCCGTCACTCTTGTATCCCCCTTCTATATACATGAAATCTCAAACACGTTCCTAATATAATCTACACGATCATGTTTCATCCTTCAGTTTGCCGTAAGATGGACACAATCGTTCACATTGTCATGCTATGGGGGTGCAAATGATAGTTGCCTCGAAGACTTTGTGACATTGGATGAGAGGACATCCCACTCATGCCAAAGCAAGCTCCTGCCGCCAATCTACGAAAGCGGCTGCCGAGTTGTTGATTACTGTATATACGAAAAAGGAAGCTCTCTCGGGGCAGGGTCTACCCGGAAGCATATATGTGATGCCAAAAGGTATACATGGCGAGAGATGAACAGCCACTAAGCACTCATCTCATTCATTGGAAAATCTGTCTCTAGCCGTTCCGCTATAATATGCTTGTCAAAGTTTGTGTACCACTGCTACTGTTACTCGATCTTGATTAGTCAAGAGTAAGAATAATAAAAAGGTGTTATGCATTCTTTATTTCTGTTTTTCGTCTCAAAAAATACACCTGATTCCCTATCGACTAAAATCGCCCTTGTTGGTTTAGATCTCTTATTCTCTTCCAGCACATTTGCAGCTTGCTCCGTCAAGCCCCCTGTAAAAAAAAAATTCTATGTTTCTCCTTCAAATCGAATTCCCGTGGCTCATGCCGTGAAACAAAACTCCTACAACGTCAAAAGAATCGCATTTGTGTGTGTGTCCCTTTGACGCTATCGCTCGCGGTCGGTGATTTCTCTCCATCTCGTCAGGAGTGGTTGCATTTCTGCTTCGCAGCTGCGTTTGGAGTCGCGGATACATCCGTGGAAGTTTGCGACGAAATCGCCTTCGTTGTAGATGCCCTCGGCGGGTCCTTGAGTGTATGAGTTCAGGATACGTTGGGGTACGAGTGCTAGCTTGGCTAGAATGGTGCCGTGCCATCTGTGAGAGAGCCTTTGTTAGCCTTTCGCTTTCTTCATGCGTGGGGGGGGGGGGGGGGGGATGTGAAATCACATACTGAACAATGTGTTCAAGAGCGTGGGCTTCAGCTTTTTGGAAGTTGTAGCTGCGGTATAGAGGGTCGAACCAGGAGTCAAGGAAGAACTTGGCCCACTCTCCTGCTCTTATGACCATGCTGCCTCCAGCCAGGCCTTCGTTGTCTTGTGACAGAACAAAATCGATGCGATCGCCTTTGAGATGCGAGAAGGTCTTGATGACCGAGTCTGGGGGAACGACTGGCTTGTCTACCAGCATGAGGGACTCGAGACGACGAGGGTCCATGATGTGCTCTTCGATCGACAATGAAGGGTTCATAATCAGAGCTGTGCTGGTGAGGTAGAAAAGGTAGGGCGTGTGCGGGTAGAGAGCCATGGCATGGCGCATGGCGGGTACCAGAGACCATGAGCTTGGATTGTCGCCGAGAGGATAGTCGGTCGTGTTGGGGAAGAAAGCTGCATAACCTGCAATTGAATCGTGTCAGCATCATCACAGTCGAGTTGAGACAGTTGCATGGAGACGTACCGTGCTTAGCGGCATAGTGTTTCCGGTTAGCCTTGATGGCTGTTTTGTAAGCTTCACTCAATTCAGGGTCGATTGTGGTGACCACAACAGCTTTCGGTGTTCCTGCTGGTATTGACACGCTGGTCGAAGTTGAGAACAGGCCCGAGAGAAAGTATAATGTGATCAGAGCACCGACAGCTAGGATGAGGATATTCCGAAGCTGGCTATAGCGCAAGAAGGCGGAACGGGAAGAGCGCGCCGCATATGGCGGAGGGTTTGAAGTTTTGCGAGGTGGGAATGCGAAATGCATCTTGGATATGCTGAAATGTGTCGTTGTTCGTCAAAGTCGTCCGAGGTCGTGTGCTTTGTTATGTCTTCTTTGGGCTTGATCGAGATTGGGATGGTCGAAAAGGAGTGGCAGCCGGATTCAAGAAACGAATGGTAGCAGTGTCTCTGCGCTTATGGCTGCATAGTGTGGTCGCTCAAGTATTCAAGTCGTTTCGTCGCAAGACTCCAGAATGGCGACAAGCTATCGGTATGTAAGATGCTGTGTCAGACGGGCGATGGTTGGTGAGATGGCTGCTTTCACGAAAAAGGGCTGGAACATTAAAGTGTCCAGTTGCGCATCTGTTGCTGTTACTCTCCTTGGCGTCGACGGTTGCTCGCCTACCCTCAACAAGAAGACCCCTGGCTTTCTTGCAAATAAACTTTGTTGCAAGTAATTGCTTGCAGCCTGCATACACACAGACAACAGCACAGCACAAGCAGCTCGATGCGAGACGGCTCATTGCCGACATGTATCCTGTCTGTTCAACGGCCTCTCGACCCTCCACGGTCCACCTCCCTACAGGGTTTCAGAGCACTCACTCGCTTGAGCCGTTCTGCTTGAGTGAACACCACGCTCGACTCATGACCCACTCGAATCCTATCAACGTCTCATCCTTTGATGTTTGACGCGAATGAGTAGGATCAGACTGCTCATCTATTCTCGTGATCCTAATTCATATCTTGGAGATAGGCATAAACCTAATTGAGGCTCTGTGAAGCTTCGGAGAAGACTCCCGACGAATCCCACGAGGTGTGTATAGCACCTTCTCGCGTGAGCCTCCTGTGCTCTCAAAACAAAGACATCGGCATCCATCACGATCCGGTTGCGCTTCTACTTGCCTTGTCATTGTGATGCGAGCTCCAAGTCTTGGAGTCCCACTCAATGACAGCAGAAGGTAGGTTCGCCGAGACGGCGAGTATGCGTGACGTAGTAGTGACCCGTCATGTCTCCGCGCGATTCCACAGAAAACATCCAGCCCACTCATTTGACACCTTCATAAGCTCTGTTTGAGCCTCTTCTCTCTGTTCTCTACTGACATCCATCATCCATTACACCGTCGACAAAACACAAAATGCCAGTCGATTCAGTACTCCAGCTCAGTTGCAGCTGCAACCAATACCCTTGGGGCAAGCAGGGTCGCGATTCTATTTCAGCACGTCTTTGCGAGAAGACTCCCGGTTGGGATGGCGAGAAGGCCGACAAGGAGTTCAAGATCGATGACAGCAAGGCCTACGCCGAGATGTATGTCTATGCTATGCTTCACCCAAGGCTTCATACTGACAAGAGAAATCAGGTGGATGGGCACATACCCCGTTCTTCCCTCATACGTAAAGTCGACTATGGAGGATCTGCAAGACGTTATCGACAAGAACGCTGAGCAGCTCATTGGCAAGAATGTCATTGACAAGTTCGGCCACACCAACCTCCCTTTCCTGCCCAAGGTCCTGTCCATCGCAAAGGCTCTTCCTCTCCAGCTCCACCCCAACAAGGAACTCGCCGCCAAGTTGCACAAGGAGGACCCTCAGAACTTCACCGACCCCAACCACAAGCCCGAGATTGCTCTTGCTCTGTCCAAGTTCGAGGCCTTCTGCGGATTCAAGCCCCTCGATCGCATCGAGCCTCTCTTCAAGATCGACCCTCTCAAACAATTTGTACCGGAGCACACCAAGTTCGACGATGAGGTCCTTAAAAAGACTGTCAACTCTCTGCTCAAGGCCGATGAGAAGACTGTTGGATCCGTCGTTGATGCTCTCACAAAGCTCGACAAGTCCAAATTCGGCCAGGACACATACATCCCTGAACTTATCCCCCGTCTGGCTGAGCAGTACGACAAAACTGACAACGGTATCCTTGTTGCCCTCGTTACCATGAACTACCTCGTCCTGCAAGCTGGTGAAGGTATCTACATCCCCGCTGATGGTATTCACGCCTACCTGGCCGGTGATATCATTGAGTGCATGGCACGCAGTGACAATGTCCTCAATACCGGCTTCTGTCCTCAGGCTGAGCGCAACTCTGCCGATCTATTCACATCTACCCTCACATTCAAGCCTCACGATCCCGAGGCCTGCATGCTTCGCGGCGAGTCCTATGACCGCAGCAAGAGTGGCAAGACTCAAGTTTACAGACCTCCTATGAGCGAGTTCAACATGCTCGTGTCAACACTCGGCAAGGGCGAGAAGGAGACTCTTGGTGCTGTCAACGGTCCTAGCATCCTCCTTGTGACTGAAGGTAAGGGCAAGTTCACGGCGAAGGGCACGTCCTATGATGTTTCAGAGGGTAATGTTTTCTTCATTGCTCAAGGTACTGAGCTTGAGATTGATGCCGAGAGTGGCCTTTTCTTGCACACCGCGTACTGCGAGTAAAAAGCCAACCTCTATGCCCTTTGATGATTGATGCCTAAACATGTCTTTTGTATTGGTACCCAGCCCTACTGGATCTTAGCTTAGAGTAATGACACTGATTGTATACTGTATACAAAGTTGCTGTCCTTCTTCACTAGCATTATTTACCTCATCTGTTGAAGTCCGTGAAGTGCTCGTCTCTCGGTATAACCTGCACCGAGATACCCCGCCAACAAGCAATCTTAGGCTAAACACTCACTCTCCATGTGCCAGGAAACGACAAATGCATCTCCTGCATCGTGCTTTCCCCTTCCCTCTGACCTTACACAAGATGGCCGACTCGGTGACTACCAAATTTCATGCCTTTGACCGTCAAGACACGACATATGGTTCCGATGGCCTCTCCATTGGCACCAGCGTATTCGTGCCAAAAAGTATTGGAAAGGGACAGAATCTGCCTGTACACGTGAGATGGCATGGCGGTGCTCTGATTAACGGTGGCAGGGTATATGAGCCTTGGTTCCCTAAATGGTGAGTGTTTCTCTGCTTCCACAACCAACAATTGATCAACTGCATCGATGACCTCCTAAATCCTACTGTCTTCTCTAGACGACCGCTTATCCACGTTGACCTTTGTTACCATTATAGGACCATCGACTTGGCAGCTCTCCACAACGCTATAATCGTATGTCCTGATTATCGCTTGCTACCAGAGTCATCAGGCCTCGACATCCTCTCCGACCTTCATAACTTCTACATCTGGCTCCATACCCATCTACCCTCTTTCTTATCAACCGCATTCTCCGGTCAAGCTCCGAAACCTGATCTCTCTAGCATTCTGGTCACGGGTGAATCAGCAGGAGGTTATATGGCTGTTCAATCTGCACTACTTGGAGAAACCAAGGGTGTCAAAGCTGTCATTGCACATTACCCGATGATTGATCTCAAAGATGCTTGGTACAGTGAGCCTGGACGCAAGGTCGTCTGGGGTCAATCACCGCCCGAGTATCCAGAGGGCTGGCTAGACGAGCAACTGGAAGCTGCAAAGTCTGCGGGAGCAGTAACTCATCGTATACCCAAGGAGTCAGAGTTGGATCTGTTTGTCGCTCTATTGTTGGAAGGAAGATATACAGAATTACTTGGTACTGACTCTCGTCTTTATCCGTTGGAGAATCTGGAGAATAAAAGAGGGCAGGGAGGCAAACTACCACCAATGTGGGTTTTCCATGGCGACAAGGATTCAATCATACCTATCGATGGAACGTTGAGGTTCTTGGAAGTGACAAGGGGTGAGGTAGAAGGAAGAATTGTAACGGGGCAGGAGCATGGATTTGACAATGACGAAGTCAGACTCGACGAAGATTGGGTCGTGGAAGGCAGAGAGTGGTTGAAGCAATATTGGCCCTGATATTCATCCAACATTTACACCCATTTACACCTCACATACATTCACTAGACCGTCCTCACATGCACAAGAACATTCAGCGACAAAATCTGTGTCAAATGTGGCATTAGTTATCTACATAAGGGAGGCACAAAAGAAAGGGAGAAGAGGTGATTATTTTTGTCCAGCTTTCGTTACAGCATTCTGCTCTCCTCCCCAAACAACTGAACCCAGAGCTTTGGTTTGCCAAACACCGACCTCTGAATCCATTGCAACTTCCTTTTGAAAACAAAATAGCAAAACTAAAAAAACGCCAAAGAATAGCCACAGAGGCGGTTGCGAATGTGAGACGAATCTCATAAACACAAGCGACTTATCAAAACCAACCCAAAATCCAGAGGACAAGGATATTGCGTTTTCTAGTATAAGGGGAACAGCCGCACTCAAGCCGTAATATATCAATGAAAAATCAAAAAAGATCGAGGACGAAACAGCCCTCGGTCCATGATGGTTCAAACGCTCGTTATCAGTCAGCAAACTGCTCGCAGTCCTCCTCGTTTTTCCCACAGAGTAATTCGGTCTAAGGGGTAATCGCGGGAGTGTCTGGAGCAGGCGAAAGAGCGCCATACCCCATATGTCCGGTCCGATATCCGGTTTCCAATAGATTGCTGCAAAATAAAATAAAACACAACACAGTGCTTCGGTGGGTGGGGTGATGATCTGGGTTCTTTCGTTTTCTGAGAGATGTCCTCTTGGTGTATGCGTGTGTGGAGGTGTCTTCTAGGCATCTGGTGTTGACGTCGTTGAAGTGTTGCTTCATCTCGTTTGGCGGTCCAGGCTGAGCCACATAACGGGCAAACGAGCACCGAAGTGTAAATCAAGGAACGGCAGGACGAGGACAAGAAGGCAAGTCCAGACGTTTCATGACAGCAAGAAGCGATGTCGCAGAAGAAGGAAGGAAGCGAGAAAGTATCCCGAGCCAGCGGTATCTGAGAGGGCAGCGGGTAATTGGAATCGTCGGTAGAGGGTCAGGATGGATGGGGCAACGAGTACCAGAACATTACCAATGTCGAAACTACGACTCTCATCCTTGTAAATGTCTCTCCTTCTCTACCAGCCTACAGCTCAACTACCAAGTGGATGGGCGGGCGAAGCACCAATGACCAAAAGGGAGGGCGAGGCATGGGAGGAGTGCAAAAAAGCACTACCGGAAAAAGACGGATGTGAGGAATTTCGACAACGCAAAAGTCGAGCGCGCCAAAGCTGCAGCTCGAGACATACGTCAAGAGAGAGCACGACACAGTGGCGACTCCGATCAATAAAAACAGTTTTTTTTGTTAACATCAGTTTATAACGTGCACCGATCGGTCCGAAGACCGACCATCACGCTTCTCTTCTTGCTGCGGAGGAGCGGCTTCAACATCGGAAAGAGAGGTAGAGCAGCATCAACTCGGGAGGAAAAGGAGAATAAGACTCTGGAACACCATACCAGGTCTGAGCATATTTAAAGTCTCCCTATATGCAAGTGTCGATCATGTTCGTAGTCCACGGGTGACTCAGAAGAATTCACGCGGCCAACGGATTTCAAAAGGTCATGTGTGGACCGATAGCAAGCTATCACCGAGCATGATCGGCGAATGGATCTTGTGGTTGCAAGTGAGTGTTACTCCTTTGCGGACTGGTAGGAGACTTGTCGACGGGTGATGTGTCTTCGGCGAAATTGCCATGGCTACTGGCACGAATGTGTGTAGGTCGACGTGTAGCAGCTTCAACATTTTGAGCGCCAACAAAACCAACCTTTTCGCTTGGACTGAACCCAGAGCTCAAGATTGGTGATGTGACGCCTGGATAGTCTGAGAGTTGGAATTTGCGGGGTGAAAGGGTGTAGGATTGGCCATTGAGGCGATTTGCCGAGTTGTCATCTGTGCTGACAGTTGTAGTACTGGTTGCTTGCTCGTATGTAGGAACTCGTGACGAAATGGAAGAGTTCCTCCTAGAGAAGCTGGTACGCGAAGCATGTGTTGCAGAAAAGCTCTGTGGTGGCATTGTCTTGAGTTCACCGGGGTACTGATCAGGTGGTGCTGTTTCCTTGCCAGCATGAGCCAACATGTAACCAGCTCTGATGAGTCCAATGAACACAATCAACACCCAGATGAGTAATACGCAAGTAGATATGATGGCTTCCTGCCTCACAGCTTTTTCCAGTACACGCACGACAAACAGAATGGCTCGAGAGATCTGATCACCAGCATCAATGCTATCTGGTTCAGTAAGAATTGAGCTGTTGCCAGATGCAGTGTCGTTATCCATAGTTCCGAGGGAGAATGTGTCGTTCTTTACCATTGGGAAGTCAACATGAGCATGATCACTAACCCAAGTGAGGCCTTTTTGAATACCTTCAATCTTGAGGGTGATCAGACAGTTCACAACTTCTTTGACAGGATGCTCGAGGATAGTGCCACCGAAAGTGTCATTAATCGCATCGTTCATTCCATCGACAAAGATGTTGAGTGTGTTGTTGACCGCTCCAGTTGTGATATTGACCCAGCCGAAGATATCTTCGTTAATTTTGGTGTTGGTCGTGTTGATGACACGATTTGTATCAACAGCCCATGCGAGGGAAGCATTGTTGAGTGACCATTGTACCTTGTCAGCGAAGGCATCCACTTTCTGAGTAAGCTCGGGGACTTCTTTTCTAATTGCCTGCAGTAAGATGTGTTGGCAGAAGCAACCAAGAAGTCCAGCAATTGCAAGGCAAAGAACGAACAAGGCCGGTGTAGTTGTAGCATAAGCAATTGTCCATCTCACAAGTGTCCTCGCATGGGTTGATGAAAAATGGTTTGAGACCTTGACACCAAAATCGGCCGTGTAAGGACGTGAGACAATGTAGACAGCGTCCATGGGGTCGTTTATATGCTTGATAGCACTTGCTCTTTCTTCTTGCAAACGCCAGCGACGAATCTCTCGATAAGCCATGGGGACACATGCGAGTATTGCTGCAACGATGAGGACGGAGAGGAAAACTTTCTTGGCAAGTGTAATGACATCCGCGAGGCCATCAAAGAAATCATTGATGCCATCGTCATCGGAGCAGAATGTAAGTTTTTCCTTTGGTGGAACGTTGAACATTGATCGATTCATGGTGTATTTTTCCATCGACTCATTGAGCAACTTTTTGACCTTTTCGAAAGGGAAGCGTAGAGCAGTGTTTGTCGCATTGTGGACTTCGGCAAATGTCGGAATGGAATCGTTCAGTTTATCCAGCCCCTTGTCGTATCCAGAAGGTAGTTGGAGTGTGTCGAGTTTTGCGATTGATGAGTTCAGGTTCAGGTCAGGGACGTCGACATTTTTTCCTGTGAAAAAGCTGCCGACATCTTCAATCGCGCCAGTGAATTTTTTCATGGCTTTTTGAAAATCTTCAACAGCATCACCAAGCTCCGTACCTACACCTTTAGCGGTAGAGTTCAAGAAGTCTCCTACGTCTTCGGCAACATCGATGGCAACATGCAAGCTACCACCGACTGCGAAGGTAAAAAGACAGATGTAGGTTGAGGTGAGAAGATTGATATAGAACACAAAAATCTCCTCTAGCACAGTGATGCTGAGAAGAAGCATGGACATCAGTCCGTTAATGGCCTTCTCGATCCCTGATGCGGTGAGTTCGTTAACGCCCGACGACATGTAATGAGGCATGCTCGCCAGTGCGCTTCCAACATTTTCAACACCAGTGCAAGCAGAGAGTGCTTCTCGTTTTGCGGAAGTCAAATGTGTGTTCACACTTCCAATGGCGAGTAATGCACGTATCAGGACGAGGAGGATTAGAACTGTCCAGCGGTTGATCCAAACTTGCGAGAGTCTAGCTCGAAGGCCAAGGTATGGTGTTAGGTATGATGTTTGATCGGAGGACGGTCGTGGTACATCTTGTGTAGCGTAGTAGTTCCGCATCTCATGGTCGCCAGCGGATAGAGAAGGAGGCGCAGCCGGAAAAGCATGCTGTTGGTTCTCTGTGGAGGACATGGTTGAGGAGATGAAGTGTGAGTATCTGACCAGCAGTACGGGGCGTTAGTAGTTGTTTGAGAGCAAGTAGAGCGCGGCGCGAATGTCCGAGTCTGGTCAATAAGTGTGTATGCACAATACAATCAAAAGTGATTGTAGGAAGAAGTAGACTTTGGAGGTTGAATGAAGGACAATAGCGAGAATGATTGCGGAACGTGCAGGAAGAAGGACAATGGCTGTTTTTGAATGACAACAAAGAAATTCATGCACTGGCTTACCTGGTTGTCGGTCCTGGCCCAATCGTGCGGCTAGTGACCTCGCTGTCTGAGACTTAGAGCAAGGCTCAGAGCCAGCAGTTTTACGCAACATCCACTCAATCCAGTCTCTATTCCGGGATTAGAGAGTTGCATCTTGCCAGAGCGCTGTTTCTGTTAGCGCCCTGTAAGAATAAGTTGACGGATTCGTATAGCTGCAAGTCGGGTCTTTGATTGGGCGGTTAGAGTAACGCGCATGCGCGAACAAAGAACCCCTCAACCCAAAGCCCTCATATTCTGTCTATTATCATACACCGTAGGATACGTGATAGATAGAACATGTTGACCCAGTTGTCGTTAGCAGGGCGATTCCGTATCTCGCCCTGGGAGACTTCTCGTCAACGCACGATGGCGAGTTTCGAGACGAGAAGCCCGAGAGAAAAACATCAGCGCCTCGCTGCCGCTTTATCGAAATACACGCTGACGTAGCAGCCACATGCCACATGCTAAAATGTGGCTGGGCAACGCCACAAACGTAAGCACGAACCATTAGCTTGACTTCAACCAATCTCTACAGAAACCTGCTTCCTTCCAAACACTGCGTGTAGAAAATGCGAGAACTTTTCTGGAATCGAAGAGGTGACCGGTGAGGGGCCGGGAATAATGGACATCCTCATTATATCTCGAATATCGAAACACGTTGTGCCACTGCACAACAGCCTTACCGTGGACGCCCTTGCACCTGTAGTAGACAGGCTCTCAAAACCGCTTACCACGCACTCTTCAGCCTAACGAAAAGAGGTCTTGGGCTTTTATTCCTCGTGACCGCTCAGCTTGTGAATCACATTTCGAGCTTCGATGCGCAGAGCTCAACAATTCCCTAGTAGGAACGGGCCCGTGGTCGTCTCGCGTAAGGTCACCAAAACTAGCTAGAAATCATTGAGAAAAGGTGTGGAGTATTTCTTGCTATGATTTAGACAACCGTGAGAGCAGCCGTCAGCATGCACCTCGCAGTCCGAGCCGCGATAGTTGCCTTGATGGTGAGCGCCGTGTATTTCTTCGGTATACCCGCACAGTAGAAGCGCGTTATAGACAAGAAGGCTCTTGATACCATAGGGGCGAACAAGGCATCCTGCCTGGCCACGGATAAATTCGCCTCTTCCTTATGCTTGAACTCTTATGCTAATGCCTTGTTATCCAGGCTCGATCACCAACATCCTTGCATCCGATCAGAAGGACGCCAGCAACATTAAGGACGAACTCAGCAGCTTCGCCAAATGAGCACTCCAGAATTCGCTGGGTGGATACTGGAAACACGCTAACCAGTCTTTTAACAGGTCAATATGGGAAACAGATGTCGCCACTATCTGTGCGGGAGTGACTGAACTTATCTGGAACGAGTGCCTCTTATGTCTGCAAAGACCGCTTTCCAGGTAGGCTGCGAAAACACACAACTGTTTTCAGGTATCGGTGCCATCCGCTGGGAGCGTTGCAATTTGTTCTTCTCCCCCCAGAACTCATCAATATGAATGGCTGCTGTCAAAATGCAGTGATATCTGATATGCGGGTGTGGGACTCTGGAGCTTGTATGTTGTGACAATTCTGTCTTTAGCTGCCCAGGTTCCTCATTTGTTTTCCAGACTCCCGACTCGGCATCGACATCGTTAGGTACCAGTCAGAATGCGCAATAACGTCCAGATAGTTACAACTATATCTAGAAGTCAGGCGCTGGCCCATTCACGCCCCAATTCTCCGTTCTCCTAGGACAACTTTAACCCTTTCGATGTACCATAGAGATATACGAAACCTTTCTTATTGATCGAATCATCAATAGGAGGAGTAAACATCCGAACCAAAACACCTTCACTTCGACACCTTCACATGCAAATCGAATCGCTGCCTAATCCTCACCACTCGACTGGCGTCAACAAAACTGACGTTAGAACCTCACTCGAACCATTCTTTTTACATCGACGCTCATCATGCATACATCTACCAAGAAGTGGAAGGCGCCTCGTATCCAGGCCCGCGAAGAGGGTCTGCGAAAGTTGAGGGGAAGAAAGTATCTCTGCCCAGAGTCGACATTCTACACAGAGCACTTTAATTTCCAGCAGCATGAAACAATCATGCTTAAGGAGAAGGAGTTGCGACTTGAGAAATCTGCACCAGTTTACATACCCGTTGAGCCTTTTGGTGGAAAGATCTTTGCTCCTTCCCTGCACGAGATCTATGATGAGGCTTACCCATACAGCATACACAACACTTTGGAAGGCAAGTTTTTGCAAACTACCCTCAGTCCTGTCCTTTGCATGCCCACGATCTGGCAGGGCGATTTGAGAAAGAACAAGCAATACATCTATCCTTACGACGGTTACGTCGACACGGCGGTCGCGCTCTATCCTGGTATCCAAGAACTCAAGTTTGAGGGTCCTGACAGAACTGCCTCGTTGCAGAGCCACCGTCGTTTCTTCCCTGCCCCACGCCATCCCTGCAATCAAACTGTCAATTGGAGTGTCAGACCTTATCTCAGGCCTCACAACTTCGACGCAATTGTGGAGAACGACATGCCTAGCGAGGAGCAAATCTTCACCCACGATTGGGAGATTGGCCTACCTGACGATGAAGATCTCCAGATCGGTCTTCCATTCCCGGTCAACGAGGTCAACAAGAGCAACGACAATTTCTCGGGCAAGAAGACTGCCGGCGAAGAGCCTGTTGGCGCTGAGCCTGCTGTCCAAGAGCCCGCTATCCAAGAGCCCGCTATCCAAGCAAATGAGGATCCTTACGGCGGTAACAAGGCTGCTCGCCTTCTTGGCAATGATCTGTTCTCGGCTCTCGATCCTCAAAATGTTTACGCTTGATGAACTTACGAAGCAACCCCCGTCACGCGCGACAACCTGACCATGACCACTACAGCAAGTTACAAGCTCGTTCCACGCTGAATTCACCATCTCGAGCCTAGATTGCTATCTCGAGATTTCGTTGAAGATACAAGATCTCGTCGATCTTGCAATCTCTTTCTTGTCTACTTTTGCGCTTCACCTTGTCAATTCATCCATGCCCTGGTGTTCATATCAACTCAGCTCGTGCTCTGAGCTTGTGACTGCTACGCCTGCTATGACCGCTACGACTACTACGTTTCAAATTCCTGCGAACAATATACATTCTCGACAACAATTTTCGTCCGGCGACCGACATCAACGCTCACAACTTTCACGAACAACAACTTACGACTTACGACTTGCATTTCACGATTTCATGCCGCTGCATTCTTTCAATTTCCTACTGCGCATTGCGTTGTCTTTTTCTGCCTTTTATCTCGGATGAACCCTCACATGAGAGGCGCATCAACATTCCAAGCTCAAACGTGAGCAACTTTTCTATTTCGATCTTACTTCCTCCGTATCAATCAAAACTTATCAGTCACTATGCACAATGACGCTTGATTTCAGAATGACCATGCCCTCCGAGAATCAATGTAATGGGCGCTGCCTCAATCAGGAGATATAGTGCCGATGTGACTGCTCCATATACTGTGTTCCACGTCTTGGTGATACTCTCTCGGTGTTATGTATCATACATGTGAAGATGCGTTTCCAAATTCTGCTTCCACCAATGCTTGACCAACAAGACGAGGCGGTTGATCTGATGAACTCAAGCTAACGAGTCGCGCGCATGTGAAACATACGTCATAGTTTCCCAGAAAAGCAACAACTCCACCTCGCTCCCACTCCTGACGTTCGCGCTTCAATTAAACTTGCCTACCTTGATAAATGGTCTAGATCGACTACATACCGAACATGAGTATGTTTTCGAAACTTCCCTGGAGCTCAGGCGGTGAGCAGCAACAACAGCATGAAGAAGAGCAATCTCTCACATCGGTACTGCCAACACCACAGGCGCGTGCCGATCTCACCTTGCTGGTCGCCAATTGTACCGAGACGATGAGAAAGGGTATCACCGACACATTCGATCCGAACCAGACAGGAAATATTGAGGACATGCTGTCAGAGCTCAAAGTGGACGACGAGACAAAACAACCCGACGACGCTACGCGCGTTGAAGAGTCCCCTGAGAAGACCGACGAAGAGAGGAAACAAGCAGAAGAGAAAATAAAAAAGGAGCATGCAGCAAGAGAAAAGGAACTCAGCGGTCCGAAGATGCAAGAGCTACAGAAGGCTGCATTACAACACTTTGATGACTGGAGAGATTCTGTGCTACTACGCATTGGTGAAGTCGTCAATCAACGCGAGGAGGCCGTGTCTCAAAAGAAGGAGGCTCATGCTCAAACTTCTCGTGTACCAGCGAAGAAATCGCCCGAACCATCGAAGTACGACGAAGGGGTCAGTGAAGCATTGAGAGAATTATGCCCACCTACTGAGACACCGCTTGCGAAGCTGGGGGAGCAACAGAGAGCTCTGATTTTACACTCGGTTTTGCTACTTCTGCTGAGTCTTGAGCATTATTCTGCTCACTCGCGTGTGCTACTTCTACATCTCACCAGTAGTTTGAATTTGTCTATTGGCTTCCTTGCTGATGATGAGAGTAAAATTGCTCGTGGTTTGTTGTCTGTTGCCGAGATGAAGGCAGATGACGAAACCAAGAAGAAGCAGGACGACAACCAGAACTCGAGAAAGTGGAAAGTCGGATTGGCCTCTGTGGCAGGTGCGGCCCTTATTGGAGTTACGGGCGGTCTTGCAGCACCTCTTGTCGCCGCAGGTATCGGTTCAGTCATGGGCGGTCTCGGTGAGTACAATGTAGTTTGCCCATAATCCACCTGCTAAACATTCTACAGGACTTGGAGCTACAGCAGCAGCAGGCTATCTCGGCACCCTTGCTAGCAGTTCAGTAATCGTCGGAGGTCTTTTCGGTGCTTACGGTGGTCGTATGACTGGCCAGATGATGGATCAATACGCGAAAGAGGTCGAAGATTTCTCCTTCGTCCCTGTTCGTACTTATCACAAACCTCGCAAAATTGACAAGGAGTTTCGCCGTCTTCGAGTCGCCATCGGTATCTCCGGATGGCTGACTGAAAAAGACGAAGTCGTCGAACCTTGGAAAGTCATTGGACCAGAGATGGAAGCATTTGCCCTCCGCTTCGAACTTCAAGCTCTACTCAATCTTGGCAACTCTCTTACCACAATGATTCGCTCGGCTGCATGGGGATATGCAAAGAGTGAGATCATCAAACGTACTGTCTTTGCTTCCCTCACTGCAGCACTCTGGCCATTGGGTCTTCTCAAAGTCAGCAGAATCATTGATAACCCGTTCAGCGTAGCCAAGTCTCGTGCAGACAAGGCGGGAGAAGTACTTGCCGATGCTTTGATCAATCGCGCTCAGGGCGAACGACCAGTAACACTCATCGGCTACTCTCTCGGCGCTCGTGTAATTTTCACCTGCCTCAAGTCCCTCGCTAACAGAAAAGCATTCGGGCTTGTCGAGAATGTTGTCCTACTTGGTGCACCCACACCTTCCACAGCAGCAGACTGGCGTTTGATCCGTGCGGTGGTTACTGGAAGAGTCGTAAACGTCTACAGCACTTCTGACTACATTCTTGGCTTCCTATACCGCTCTTCAAGCATTCAATACGGTGTCGCAGGTCTTGAGCCAGTCACCCATGTCTCCGGCGTTCAAAATGTCGACGTCACCGATCTCATCTCCGGAAGCCACACTGCCTACCGCTACCTCTGCGGTCGCATTCTCCGCAAAATCGGCTTCGAGGACGTCGATCTCGCCGCGGTCGAAGCTGAAGAAGCAGCACTCGAGCAAGCCACCAAAGCTGAAGAACAAGAACGCCAGCAGAACGAGGCAAACACCAGGGAAGGCGCAAGCCCAGAGGCAGAAGTCAAAGAGATGGAGGGTAAAGTGCAGCAGAAAAACGAAGCATCCATGATGGACTGGGCGACAGAGAAGTTCAAGGCTGGAGGTGCTAGTGCAAGCAGTGCAGCTGTTCAAGCCAAGAACTGGGTCCAGAATACTGCTAACCCGAAGACTGGAGATAAAGGATCGAGTGGTGATATGGGAGGAGCTGCGGGAGCTGTTGGAAGTAGTTTAATTTGAGTGATGTCTTTGTCCAGCAGCCTTGTATCCGCAATGCAGAATGACTTCGAGACAATCAACACGTCAGAGAGACCGGGGCGTTTGAACACGTGCTTCGCTATGACCAGTTCAACCACGATAGATGCAGACTAGCCAATCCAACAAGTCTACCGTACGATGACCGCCAAGACTGCTCAGGATTTGACTGAAGGGTTATATACCACTTCAATCAACAGCCTATCATAAGGAAAAAATGGTTGTTTAGCGCAAGCGGCAAGCCACCTTTATATTACACGCTCCAGAGCTGCCAAGGACCCGATTAGGACGACTGGCGCTGGCGGCGTTAATAGGAAGACTGTTAGAAGCCCCTTGGAATGCCGGGGACCCGATCAGGACGACCGGCGCCAATGAGCCTTTGACCTTTCTTTTTGGTGCTTTGCAGAGGGGATAGGTAGTAAATTGTGGTGTGTCATTTTGCTATATGAGGTGAAGAGAGGGGAGATTGATGCTGTAGTTGTTGTGCGCAGGGTATTCAGAGTTCAGTCCACGGCTTGGTGCTGCTCTTTCTGCACTGTAAAACATCAACAATCTCTGGGACATATTCGGGAGGTCACAGTGATCACCGGTACATCTTGTCCAGAGCATGGGTAAAGGATGACAATAAAGACAGGGTAATCGTCTGGTCACAGCGCGTGCGTTGAGCAATGCTTCCAAACGAGCAAAGAAAAAGAACATAAAGAAGGAAAGGGAAGAATACAGTGTATTGGAAACAATCATTCGGTGCCCGTAACGTGGTATCGATCTGGATGCTAAAGTCTAGCTACGGTCGCCAATGCCTCGTTACTAGATTATCTCACGTATATGTTACAGTGTTCGAAGGCCCGTAAGACTTACGGGCGGTGATCATCGACGGAAGACTGACCTCTATATATGGCCGCAACTCAGCGAAAAGCCTCCCATATGAACAACAGCCTCTGACGCCCGCAGTGCTTACGGGCGTCTTCCGACCGCTCACAGAGCTTGAGAGAGACCTTATGGGTTACTTGACGACCAAGCAACAGTCGCAGTCTGATCCAAGCTCTATCCAACCCATAATCGTCTCCTACTTTCTCAGCCGCTGTCATCTCTTCAATGAATCCATCGGCTCCCGCCTCCATGAGGGCTTTTGGGTACTTCTCGGACAGTTCAACGAGTATCTGTTCGACTCTCGTAAGGGATGTGGGAGCGTGAGAAACAGGAGCTGAGAATTGTTGTGGGGAGGAGTGAGCTGCGGGCGTGTTGAGTGGAATGTTCTCCGCGGGATCTTCGGACTTGATGACTCTCGCTGTATCGCCTGTAATTTCAATGATCGTGCGGTACACTCCAGGATTCAGGGTCGGTTTTGCAGGAGTTACCTGTTGTCACGGGATCTGCGATGGCTGCTCCTGTACACTGATGCGGGAGGATGTCGGTTTATTTTGCTCTTCTCCGTTGTCAGAAGATTGTGGAGTGACAAGAAGTCGAGGGTCCGGGCTGTGAGCAGCAGGAGTCGTCATCGGACCTCCGATCGCGGTGGGATACCCTTGGGCGACAAGACGAGAGACTGATGGTGAGGTTTGGTCACTGCTGCGTTCCGAATGCTGCGGAGTAACAACGGATCCAGTGTCCGAGTTCTCAGGTGCGGGAATCGACTGTGGTTGCACGATCTCAACCAGTCGCTTTTGGGCAGCGACGCAGGATGTCGCTAGCGGGGTCTGTTCCTTCCTGTTCTCCAAAGGTTGTGGAGCAATAGGGAGAAACTCGTCTTCTTCGAGAGTTGTGAGTGTACTTGCGGGACTCATTGACGGGTTGGAAAGTTCTCCCTCGTCTTCTTCGTCCTTGTCCGCAACATCATCCTCATCATCGCTTCCGCGATCATCTTCGTAGCCTTGTTCTTCTTGATCGGCCTACGGATTCGGAGTGATCTCCAGGGCCGTGATCCCCATCATCATAATCAGGCTCCTCGTCTTTCTCCTTTTCCGAGCCTTGGAAGTATTTGGTGGGTTCTCCCATCAATCTCACGCTACGCCTGGGTTGGTCTGTAGGATGGGCTCGAGATGATGAAGGTACATACTCTGAGCCTGTAGATGACTCGGAATCTGAATCCGTAGATGACTCTGACAGTAAGAATGAATAAGGCCGCCTAGGCGACATTGGTGCCGCAGGCGACTGATCCTTCAATTATATCAGTAGGATGCTCGTCCAACTCAAGTGTGGGAGTCTTACCGTGAACTCAATTGCGGGACCTTTTTGCTGTTCTGATGTTGCGGGTGCAGGTAAAGCTGCGTCATGTTTGCTCGCATTACCCTCCATGGTAGTTGCGGGATCAGAAGTAGCATGTTTGCTCGCATCACCCGTAGTGCATGTCGTGGGAGCAGATACCGCAAGCTCCCTCATGCTGCCCGTAACGGATGTTGCAGATACGGAAGGAGATGCCGCATGTTGACTCACATGATCCGTAGTAGATGTTGCGGGAGCAGATGCCCCATGTTGACTCTCGTTGCCCGCAACGATTGCTGCGGGAGAAGAAGCCGCAGCTTCGTTCTCCTTACCCGCGAATAATCGCTGCTGGAGTAGTCTATTTCTCGCCTGCAGTGCTCGTGATACTTGCTGCGGGTACAATTTGGTCAGGTCCTTTGCCAAAGCGGAGACGCAGCTTGACAGGAGGTCTTTCATCTTCGCGCTTGCGCTTCTGGCCAGTCTGTGGTGTGTCGATGGTGTTCTTCGTGGCGTCCATGTTGTAGATCAGTGTGTTAATGTATGATGATGTTAGATGGAAAGATTAAATGGAAAGGGAAAAGGAGAGGTACAAGAAGAACAAGGGTGTAGATGATAGCACCAAGGAGCCGGGAATGTTGGAGTGTAAAAGATGGTGCTAGCCACGAATGCAGCTGAGGTGTTATGTGGTGGATGTGGACAAGCTGTCAAGAAGCGTTCACTTTACTTGTTGCGACAACATGGTATACCCCTGTCTTCAGTCGCTGAATCCGGCTCTGGAGTTGTAGACTTTCGAGAAAGGGTTCGGACATCTAGATAGGATTCGGACATCTGGAATGATTCGGATATCTAAAAGGGGCTTGAACAGGTAGAAAGAACTTGGGCGGCTAGAAAGAATTCGAACATCGAGAGCTGGTTGGACGCGGTCACGACAGCTGCCGAGCGTCTTGTCGATCCTTTCGGACTGGATTCAGCTCGATCTAGGACTTACTGCTCAGGTAGCTGCTTCCTTATTGAGTCATTTTGTGAATTGGCAAGAGAAGGAAAGGGCGACACATAGTTGGAAGAGGAGACGAGAAATGGTCATTATTCTTTATCGTATACAAATACCATTGCTCTTCAGACTGGCCTTTGGACATCCGTTGTGCATGGTTATCATGTGATCCTGATGTTTGCCCGGGTTGTCCCAGTCGTTGTATTGAATCGAAGTGTCGTCATAAGATTCCAGAAGGAAGGTGACGTGCTTAGATGGCAGTGCCTCTCTCGAAACTGTCCCTGATCTCTGAAGTGTACTTGTTGTAGAACCTCGCCAGTTTTTGGTTGAACTGTGCAATGTGTCAGCAATCTTCTTCATCACACCCTCCTTTGCGGTTAGACGTACCTGCTTGTTCTTGTCGTTGATGTACGTGACATCACCATCTTCCTCCTTCCCACTTCTCTCTTTCCTCTTCTTGAGTCGCACCTCCTCTGCCTTTTGTATCTCACCAACCAACTTGTCAATTTTCTCTTTACTCGGCTTGTTCCCCACAAAATCTGTGCTGTCTTTTGTGCTGTAGAAACTGCCATCCTTGTCCACAGCAATCAACTCTCCATCTTCCGTCTCCACAATCTCCAAACCTCCTGATCGTGCAGCCCTCTCCACCGCAGCCATCTTCTCTGCCTCATAATTCGCAGTATCAGGCGCCATATCCCTCACCTGGCGTTTGTAGATCTTATTCGCATCTTGACTGAAATCTTGAAATGCGACATTGTCACGATGAGCCTTTTTCTTCGCTTGCTTTTTATCCCAGGCAGCAGATTCCTCGGCGGTCCAGTCCCAGGCGCGTTTACGATCCCAATCTTCACCGTCTTCTAGAGTTTGTGCATGTAGCAGTTTTTCGGAAGCGCGTTCTTTTCTGCGAGATAGAGAGGCAAGTTCGTTGGGATCGGCCGAGGCGCGAGAGACTTCTAGGGTAGTGGCTTTGCGGTTGTCGTCGCGGGATGATTTGTTTCTGTTGCGCAGGGCGGCAAAGCGGGCGAGACGATCGGCTTGCGATGTTGATTCTGAGCCTGATGTGGGTGTAGGTGCTGCTGAGCTTGGTGTGGGCGCCTCGCTCATGTCGTTGTCTAGACTTGTCGCATCGCTGGTGGTGGCTTCTGTGAAGCGCCGTTTTGATGACTCGATGGTGACGTCGTCTTGTGAAGGTGAGGGCTTGCGTTTAAGTGTTGATGACATGATTGCTGAGATTGGATATGACGTTGTGTGGTGGGAAGGACGGAAGGTTGAAGGTCTGTAGTCGCGCCCTTCAAGATGGAAGTTGTGGAGTTGGCGAACCTCGTCATCGAGGCGGCTGTGATGACCCTGTCATGATATTCATCCTCGCCCCGAAGAACGACAAAACATCAGAGTAGCGTGGGAGTATATCATGCGAGGCATTCTCTAAGCAAAACTTCATGCGATCAACTAACAATGTTCTCATGAACCTGGTGACATCCGTAAGTCGATCAGTATCTAATTGAGCATTTTCGCAGGTTTTGTTCACCAAGTCGGTATCAACACGTCAAGATCTTCGATATCTGACATACTACACTCCAACTCATAACGTGTAGGTACAGTTGAACTAATCTCAGGTGGGCAAAGATGATACAAAGTTCTTAGAGAAATTTCTCAAATATACCATCTTGACCCAAACTTATTTTTCGCATTTCTTTTTTCTTACCTTTCTTACCTTTTTCTCCTCTCTCAAGACTGACCTCACTTTATCTTTCCCTCGCATCGTTATAAAAACCATTACTCAGACCTCAAACTTTACCCACTTCATCATAACAGCAACAACTACAACAGGCACAACACTGACCACCTCCCCCAAGCCAGCGAATTGTGGTGGAATCCTCACGTTGACAAATGCACCCCCAGCCAACAGTATAGCGAACAGGTTGTACACAAAGCTCCACACGAAGTTGAACACAATCCTCTTGACCGCAGCTTTTGATACAGCCGTGAGGACGAGCAAACCTTCAAGAGAAGGACGAAGGAGTACTGCATCTGCGGCAGCGCGAGCAGCGTCAGATGCAATGTCCGAAGTAGAAGAGGAAGGAGAAATGTAGACACCGATTGTTGCTTGTGCTAATGCCGGTCCATCGTTTGCACCGTCGCCGATGAAGAGGGTGATGGGCTTTCTCTTGCTGCCCTCGGGAATATCGGTGATGGACTGCATGAAGTCGCGTTTACTGGCTGGACTGCACTGGGCATGGAATGTGCTGACACCAAGGAGAAATGCCGTGGTCGCAACTGCGTTTTTGTCGTCTCCACTGACGATCGACACAGAGATACCTCGCTCTTGCAGTTTCTTGACGACTGAAGCGGCTTCGGGACGGGGTTGGTCACGAAGTCCGAATACAGCGGACAGACTGTGTCCAATCTCGACACAGAAGACAGTGTACCCTTGGCTAAGCAGGTTCTGAACTTGTGGGTGGGTCTCGACACCAAGCCATCGAGAATTGCCTACCCGGATAGTAATGTCGCCGTCCAAGATAGCTTCGATACCTTTACCAGCAATCGATTTCACATCCGTGACTTCAGCTGCCACAACATCCTGTGTGGCGAGGTATGAAGTCACGGCAACAGCCACTGGATGTTTGATGCCTGTGGTCACACCTAGCAGCTGCGATTGTACAGTCGCCGAATCACCGAGAATGATTTCTTGAACCACAACAGCCGGTTCGCCTGTTGTCAGAGTGCCGGTCTTGTCAAAGACGACATGCGTCACCCTGGAGCCAAACTCGACAACGTGGGCAGATTTGAAGACGACACCACGTTCTGCAGCAATTCCATTCGCAATGACGACGACCATGGGTACTGCGAGACCAATAGCACACGGGCAGGAGACAATCAAGACGGTAATGGCGTAGGTGATGGCCTGTACAGTGGCCTCGGTCGCCGATTGTCCGCGGATTGTGATGCCAACAGCGACCCAGATCGAGAACGTCACGATGCTTAGGCCAATGATCACGGGGACAAAATAGGAAGCGATTTTGTCGGCGATGTCCTGCAGCTTTGGCTTTGACAGCTTTGCCTCGTCGACCATATCAGCAATGGCGCTGATCGTGTTTTTTCCAGGCAGACGTATAGCCCGGACGAGCATTGTCCCGAAGCTGTTGACAGAGCCAGCAATGACAGTAGAATCTGTAGGGAGGAATACGGTCAGCGTAATTCGTTGAACAAAAGTGGCACGATGCTACAATCAAATAACAGCTAACAAATGTCGGCTCATGTAATCAGCATATCGAAAAACGTACCGGCAGATTTTTTAACGGGCTTTGATTCGCCAGTTATCATAGATTCATCCATTTCCGATACGCCTGAGACCACGACACCATCTGTCACAATCCTGCTGTCTGGCATGACTTTGAAGACATCGTCGTAATGCAGCAGCCTTGCATCAATCTCACTCTCTGCAACGGGGTTCTCTGTAACCAGGACAGCCTTGGTGGTCTGGAGTGACCTCATGGCGACTGACTCGATGGCTTTTTGTCGAGCAAGAGCACTGACATAGTGGCCGACCATGATCAGTGTTACTAGCAGCGTGCTAGTTTCGAAGAACTCTCCGGTGGAGAGAGGCCTATTGAGTACGATGTAAACGAAGGAGACGACAGAAAAGATGTAGGCTGCACTCGTGCTCAAGACGATGAGGAGGTCCATCTCAACTATACGTGAGAAGACAAGAGCCTTGATCGCGTTCGGGTAAAAAGGTCCTGCAACAACAATTTGTACCACCGAGGCCAGAGCCAGAGATACAGAGCCGCAGACGATGGGCTTGTGAGGGGGTGGGGCCCATGCCAGGACGAGAACAGGAATGGTTAAAGCAGCGGACAACAAAGTCATGAGCCCAACGTTGCGGACGTGCTTGTTTCCCGCCGACAAGCTGTCGTCTCCATTGTATGGTGCGAGTTGAGCAGATGGTTGAAGTGCCTGTAGCAGATGACGTGCACCGATGACTCTCGCATCAAAGCATATACGAACTGATCTCTTGTCGGCTTTCTCCATGCTTGTGACCCCCGCTGGCCAAGTCTGTTGGAGAAAAGTCTTTAGCTCGCCGTCAGGAAGGACATATATCTCTGATCCTTGAGTTGTCAGCCCCGTACATTTAAACTCGGTAGTCCTTTCGAGGTGGTGTATGACGTCCGCGGTCGACATGACAGCAGAGTCGAGATCGAAGTCAGCACGGCCAAGTACTAAGCTCGTCTTGAGTTTCGAGATCGAGCTCAAAGTATCCAGCGTTCTCTTTAGCTTCCTCTCACATCCGGTACAGGTCATGCCTGAGATGCCGATGGCAACGTGCTCGATGCCAGTATTGCCTTTCTCGACGTCAACATCTGCGGTAACCACAGGTAGCGTGATTTTGTCTGCACAGCAACCAGTGTTCCGAGTCTTCTTACAATCCGGAGACACGACCAAAGCCTCGTCGTATCCGGCCTTCTCGACGAGACCGAAGAATTTAGCCGTGTCGGAGCAACAAGATTCCTGAGAAGTCACGACAGATGTATTGGTGGTCATGAATTTTGGGCCTTTGTTCGTGCCTGTTATCTTCAGGGAACTAGCAGAGCTCTTCCTTGAGACGTTGACACTCCCGGTCGGGCGCTGCTTGCGAGACGTGCAGCAAGACTTCTGGTTCATAGCAAGCAACGAACGACAGAGACAGCCCAGAATTTCCAGCTTGTTTGCCCAACGCTGACGAGTAGATTTGACATGCTGATCGCAGGCCGTACCCTTACGCCTGGTAAATCCTGTAGCAGAGCTGGTCTCTGTCGGGGTTCCAATGCAGCCATGCTTGTCGCATTCACGGACGGCCAGTTCTTCCAAACAGGTATCTGTGCGGTATTAGCCATACTCAGCCTCCGGCGCTCGGTCTTCTGAAGATACGCACCATTGCAGCAATTGCTCTCAATACCCTCGCAACAAGGAGGGACTACGTCCGTGACGCGGACAGCATGATCGACCTTCTCAGCAGAGCCCTTGAGAGACTCCTCCTGAACCGCATCTTGAGCCGCCTTGTCGCTGCGTGTATGAGCCTTGACACTGTCCGAGTTGGCTTTGGGAGAGCAGCAATCGTCAAGTTTGGTCTCCATTGGGGTGAGGTCGTGGATCGGGTTCGCAGCTTTCTTCGAGCAGCATCCGTCTTGCTTGTCTTGGCCGCCGTCGTTGGCAGTAGTCTTGGTGGCGAGAGAACGACATCCGCCAGTCTTGACATTCATCTCGGCGCCGTTCGGGTTGACTTTGGGAGAGCAGCAACCGTCAAGCTCATTCTCCATTAAAGCACGATCGTTAGTAGAGTCCATAACTCCCTTCGAGCAACATCCACCTTTCTCGCCTTGACCGCCATTGTCGATCACAGCCTTAGTGATGGAAGAGCAACACCCGCTACCCTTAACATCAGCAGCGGCAACAGCTACATCGTCAGGACCATTGTTGTCGTTCGCAGAATCGCAGCAACCAGCCTTCTCAATCTCAATCTGATCAATGTCAGGTCCATTAATAACAGCTACTTTAGCCGCGGAAGAACAACATCCAGCTCGGCTATTATCAGCCTGAGCGTCGGGCTGCGCTTTCTGCTTAGAGCACATGGCAAATTCGAGATTTGTTTCGTTTGGTGGTAACGTGATGGTGAGTTCTTGCTATCGGGTTGTGTCTGGAAAGGAAAGAGAAGGGTTTGGTGTTTTAGCATGTCGTGATTCTGTAGTACGGCAGCTGCGCCCACTTGGCAACTTCTCGGTTCTCGGTTACCTCTAGACCACTCATACCACATGCAGTCTCTAGATCAGCTCTGATAAGAATAATATTTTGGTTCTCATTGCGTTTCGTTATCTTGGGTAATTACAAAAGTCCGACGAAAAATCAACATGTCGGCCGTTATTCGATTATTCGAATGTCTCAAAGCCTGCTCTTCTCTTTATCCTCTGAATTACTACCATGCATTCAGTTGATACCAGCCTTCTTCTTGAAGGCGTTGATGAGACCAGATGTGCTAGCATCGTGACCGGATACCTCGCCTGAGGTCTCGAGCTCGGCCTGAATCTTCTTGGCCAGAGACTTACCGAGCTCGACACCCCACTGATCAAAGGAGTTGATGTTCCAGATGGCACCCTCGGTGAAGGTCATGTGCTCGTAGTAGGCGATCAGGGCACCCAAAGTAGCAGGGGTGATCTTCTGGGCCAGGATGGAGGTAGTAGGGCGGTTACCCAGGAAGGTCTTGTGGGGGACAAGCTCATCGGCGGCACCCTCTGCACGAACATCCTCAGGGGTCTTGCCAATCATGAGGGCCTCGGCCTGAGCGAAGTAGTTGGAGGCAAGCATCTTTTGGTGCTTGTTGTCCTCGATTGGGTTGTGCGACTCAGCGGCAAGGATGAAGTCGGTGGGGATGAGCTTGGTGCCCTGGTGGAGAAGCTGGTAGAAGGAGTGCTGGGCGTTGGTGGCGGGCTCTCCGAAGAGGATAGCACCAGTGGTGTACTTGACGTAGTCGCCGCTGCGGGTAATAGCCTTACCGTTGGACTCCATGGAGAGCTGCTGAAGGTATGCAGGGAAGCGGTGCAAGTACTGGTCGAAGGGAGAGACGAGGTGAGTCTGGGCGCCGAAGAAGTCGGAGTACCAGACACTCAAAAGACCACCAAGGACGGGGATGTTCTGCTCGAGGGGAGTCTCCTTGAAGTGCTTGTCCATGGCGTGGCCACCAGCAAGGAAGTCGTGGAAGTTGTCGTAGCCAATGTACAGGCAGACGGAGAGACCAATGGCACTCCAGACGGAGTAGCGACCACCAACCCAGTCAGCAAAGCCGAACATGTTCTTGCTGTCAATACCGAACTTGGTGACCTCCTCCTCGTTGGTCGAGAGGGCAACGAAGTGCTTTGCGATGGCGGAGTCGTCCTTTGCGTGTCCGAGGAACCACTTCTTGGCGGTGTTTGCGTTGGTGGTGGTCTCAGCTGTGGTGAAAGTCTTGGAGGCGACAAGGAACAGAGTAGTCTCTGGGTCAGAATCGCGGAGAGCCTCGGCCATGTGGGTGCCGTCAATGTTTGAGACAAAGTGGAGCTTCATGTCACGCTTGCCGTAAGGCTTGAGAGCCTCGGAGACCATGACGGGGCCGCTGTATTGATGTTAGGACAGTTCAGGCGGGTCCAGAGAAAGGATCAGTACTCACAGGTCAGAACCACCGATACCGATGTTGACAATGGTGTTGATGGCCTTGCCAGTGTAACCGACCCACTTGCCGCTGCGAACCTCCTCGGAGAATTCCTTCATGTGCTCGAGGACGGAGTTGACCTCCTCAACGACGCTCTTGCCGTCGACTTGCATGGGCCAGTTCTCGGTGTTGCGGAGAGCGACGTGGTAGACGGCGCGCTTCTCGGTGAAGTTGATCTTCTCACCCTTGAACATGTCATCACGGAGTTCCTCAACCTTGGCCTCGCGGGCGAGCTGGCACAGGAGCTTCAGAGTCTCATCGGTGATGAAGTTCTTTGAGAAATCGAAGATGGTCTCGGACTTGTCAACGTCGTTGGTGAAGGTGCGCGAGAACTTCTCGTAACGCTGAGGATCCTCGGCAAAGGCATCCTTAAGGACAATGGAGCGACCAAGCTCCTGGTGGTGCTTCATAAGCGACTTCCATGCCGACAGATCGCTTGCTTGGGCGAAACCAGGCATCTTGATGTTTGTTGGGAAAGGTGGGGTGGGGTGATGCGTGAACTACACGTGGGAGCAACGAGATCAGCTTGAATGTGAGGGAACAGACAGATGGCGGGCGGCTCAAGAGCACATACAAGGAAGGAGAGGTGGATTGATGGAAAGTGTGTATGGGAGCGAAAAAGAAGCAGCAATGGTCAAGTCACAATTTGAATTGACGTGATGGGGATCAGAGGCCGATGAGGCCGACGAGCTCCGGATAAACACAGTTGATTATGACGATGCGTTTGCGCGGGCGGGGCGCGCACAAGCCACCCCTCGAGCTTCTCAGCTGCCGTTCTTCGGCCCAAGCAAATGTGGCATGCCGCTTGATCACGGAATCGGCTTCTGGCATTTGTCTCTGCGCTGCTGTGAGATATCTACGCGTGAATCGTTCGTGTGTGACTGCTGTTTCAGATACTGTTGTTACGCGAAGGGACCCATATCGTCCAGTCCAAAATCTACCTAGCCAGGTTGCCGTCATCTTTGTTGCTGCTTTTCTGCTGCTCTCTCAAGCAGTCCCGCTGCTCGATCAGCAAATGTACACGACCAGCACACTCCTCTAATGTAAATGCCATCAATGAGTCATGAAGGATGGATCCTTGATGCTACCGCCTGCATCACCCAAGCCTTCGACCGGGCGGTTGTATGACCATCCTGCGAATTGTTGTTGCATCGTTGATGAAAGTACCGGTCCCTCGACGTAAGAATCTGTAGGTGCTTCTGATGTGAATTCGCGATCGAAGTTGGCAGTGTCTCTATCGTCAAGCTATGATGATGTTAGCATGTCTCGTCGATATTCGCACAGCAGGCATAGACACTTACCACATTAGGCTTGAAGCTGGGCTCGTACTTGCGGTCCAGAAGCTTTCTCCAGTCAATGCTGTGGAAGAAGGGGTGTGCCTTGATCTCTGCCGCGCCGTTGACACCCAGTCTCTTGGTCGGGTCTCTGTCGAGCAGCTTTTGCAAGAGATCGCGTGCAGCAGGGGGTACAATCTCCGGTCCGGGGAAGTGTAGAGGCTCTGCCAGAATCTTACGGTACATGTCGTTCGTGTTCTCATCGTAGAATGGTGGCAGACCTGTAAGCATCTCGTAGAGAAGTACGCCAAGTGTCCACCAGTCGACGGTCTTGGTGTAACCAGTGCCGTGAAGCAGTTCGGGTGCGAGATACTCTGGTGTTCCACAGAACGCTACACTTTCTGTTAGTGTGAAATAAAAAAAGCGGCCAGAATCGAAACGTACTGTTTGTCTTGTCTTCGTCCTTCATGTCGAGTTTGCATAGACCAAAATCGCACAGAGCAATATGGCCAGTGTAATCGAGCAAGATGTTCTCGGGCTTCAAGTCTCTGTAGATGACGTTGAAGCCGTGTAGGCACTCAAGAGCACACAAGAGTTCGGCTGCGTAGAAGCGGGATCGGTTGATGTCGAAGCGTTGCTCTTTTTGTAGGTGATGGAATAGCTCGCCTCCATTGACAAAGGCCAATACGATATAGAGCTTCTCTGGAGACTGGAAGGAGAACTTCATGGGAACAATGAAAGGGTTGTTGATCTGGGCCAACACCGAGCGTTCTGCAAGCGTGTGGGCGACCTCTGAACGTGAGATGATGTGTGCTTTTCGGATCGTCTTGAGGGCGTAGATACGGCGAGTGTCGCGCTTCCTGTAATTGGACGATTGATTAGCTTAGACCCACGACGAGATCACGACGGGTGGCTACTCACTGCACCTGCATGACTTTTCCAAAACTGCCCTTTCCAACCACCTTGAGCAGTTCGAAGTCTTCAATCTTGAGCGACCTTTGTCGGTTCTCGACAAACTTGACGCCGCATTTGATTGAACCAGTTCCGTATTGGAGGTCGACCCACTCAGTACCAGATTGACCTTGAGTCTTTGCCTTTTCAGCATGAGCGAAAGCGGCCTTTTCTCTATCCTTTCTGCCCAACTTGGGGTCTTCGGCGTAGGGGTGTACTTCTTCGAAGCGAGGGTTAATTCTGCAAGTTCCCAAGAAGATGTCGTCGTTTCTACCGGCGTTAGGAGGAGCGTTGGGATTCCTGATGTAAATGGAGAGGTTGAGTTCACAAACGCGAGACACATCGAACTTGTACTGAGTGTTTTCGCCAGCCCAGACGGGCTTCTCTGGTGTGCCCGAAACCGAGTTGACAAAGACTTGTTGCTTGTCGAAATCGACGAGGGCGTAGGGTAGGTACTTGGACGAGTAGCGACCGTGGACCGAGGGGGCGGCGTTGATACCTCCTTGAGAGGATTGAGGGCGGCCACCAGCATACGAGCCGTAGCCTGAGCCACCTACGGAGCCAGGACGTGCACCGGCAACGGAGAAGCCACTGCCGCTGGACAGAGAGGCGCCGTGGCGAGGCTGGAAGATCTGTTCGGCACCGGCAGGCAGAGAAAAGCCACGGCCTTCGTGGAAGGTGAGGATCAAGATACCAGGCTTGAGAGGTGGGGCAGGAGGCGAGGAATTGGCTTCGGAAGCGGCTGTACAGAGTCAGCGGCAGTTTGGGAAGGACAGCAGGAGCACAGTACCGATGCCATTGGGGTCGTTGACGTTTGTGGACGAGTGCAGAGGGCTGTTTGGCGGCTTGGGTGCAGGTTCGGGCGTGATGGTCGAGGTGGAAGACGAACGGCTAAAGGTGTTGGCCAAGGGCGCCAGATGCGTCTCCTTGAGTTCTGAGGCGGTCAGCGAGGGGCGTCGACAGGGGGAGGAGGGTGAGCGAAGTAAACGCACTCTTTGTGAGCTTCCACGACATGTTGCGAGGATGTGCGGGCGTGGTGGGATGTCGAAGGCACGGTCGAGTCTTGACAGTAATGGAATAGAGTTGGCTGCTGCCAGTCGATAAGGCTGAAGGCACTGGGGATAACGGCGTTGTGAACAAGGGGTTGTGCGCTAGTCAAATTCGACGGCCAAAAGCTCCTACCAACGACGTGTAACAAGAGGAACAGATCGGGTGTAGCGAGTGACTTGTCCTTTGAATCTCCACAAAGTCAGCTTTCTAATCAGCCAAACAAGTCACTAATTAAGATGGCATTGTTTTGATGAGAGGGCGTAAGTTTAGAACATACGCCAAGGCCGGAGCGCGGGGTGTCGTACTCGTATACGCTGTCGACAACCGACCATCGCGGCCTACGCTCGCGACCGAGTCATCCATCAACCAACAATACTTGCGCCATCTCATCCGCACACCTTGAGTCTGTTACGACTTTTCACTCGCACGCGTTACGCGACCCCATCGCATCCACCATTATCCCACTGCGATCACTACCGACGCGCGCAAGTCCGCACGACAGCTTGGGCCCCTGCCCACCCATGACCCACCATGGGCCTCATCAAGAAGAAGACTGCCGTCAGAACTACAGAGGGCGGCATCAAATACATTTGCGACATTTGTTCTGCCGACATCACCGCGACCGTACGTTGTCTTGCGCTTTCTTCGAATGCTACTCGTGGTCTGTGCGCTGTATATTGACATGGCTGTCGTAGGTTCGCATCAGATGCGCCGACGATGACTGCTCAAACTACGACTTGTGCGTACCCTGCTTCTCCGAAGGCAAATCTTCCGGCAAACACGACCCGGCCACACATGCCTTCCAGGTCATAGAACAACATTCAATTCCCATCTACGTCGAAGACTGGGGCGCCGACGAGGAGCTGCTCCTGCTCGAGGGCGCTGAAACCTACGGCTTGGGATCATGGGCCGACATTGCGGATCATATTGGAGGCTACCGAACAAAGGACGAAGTACGCGAGCACTATATCGAAACATACATAAACAGCTCGAAGTTCCCGCTACCGGAACGCGCCAGCCCCAAGGACACCACCCTGTCAGAATCAATTCCTAGAGACGAATTTCAGGCTCGCAAGAAACGCAGGATTGAAGAGCGAAAGGAGGCAGCCAAGAACCAGGCCATCATAGACTCGAAGCAGAAGCCGACTAGCAGTGTGCCTTCATGCCATGAAGTCCAAGGATTTATGCCCGGCCGTCTGGAATTCGAGACAGAATACTTCAACGAAGCCGAGGAAGCAGTTCAACATATGCAATTCGAGCCCGGAGATGGCATCAATCCTACCACTGGTGAACTTGAGCCCGAAATGGATCTCAAGATTACTGTTATGGATATCTACAACCACCGTCTTACCGCGCGTGTTGAGAGGAAAAAGGTTCTGTTCGAGCACAACTTACTCGAGTATCGTAAAAATACTGCAGTCGACAAGAAGAGGACTAAAGACGAGCGCGATCTGAGCAACAAGATGAAGCCTTTTGCACGCATGATGAATCACTCCGACTTTGAAGCATTCACGACGGGGATAGAATACGAACACAGCATACGTCAAGCCATTAAACAGCTACAGGACTGGCGCCGTATGCAAATCAGCGACCTGAAGACTGGCGAGAAGTACGAAGTCGAGAAGGCCGCACGACAGGCTCGAGCTGCAGCTACTGCGGACCGCTTCTCCTTACCCGGCAGAGTTCACAAACCAAGTGCCCAAGAGCCGCCGTCAGCGGCGTCGGCTTTGATCGGACCGGAGTTACCACCAAAACCAAACACTACTACTGGCCTACAAACACCACCAGAGGCAACATCACCGAACGCTACCAATACCAACCCTCCACCAAGATTCCCGTTACAAGCAATCACGGGTGTGTCAAAGATGGACCTACATGGTAACAGCAGCCAGGATGCACATCTCTTGACCGAGAACGAGCAAGAAATGTGCAGAGTCGTGCGCGTTCAACCAAAGGCATACTTGGTCATGAAAGATGCGGTGCTGAAGGAAGCCCTTCGATCGAATGGTTGCCTGAAACGTAAGAACGTCAAGGAAATCTGTAGGATTGATACAACCAAGGCTGGAAAATTGTTCGACTTCTTCGTTTGGTCGGGGTGGATTGCAAAAGGATGAAGGAGGGGGGTTCGGGGCGAGGCTTGCTATTTTTTGATAATACCCAACAACCAGAATGAATTACGATATTGCTGTAGAATACCTAAGAACACACAGACTGGGCCTGCCATCTAAGTTACCAGGCATTCTTTATGCTGACCTTGTGCTTGGGCCACGATAAACTTGTGCCACATACCGGCCGAATGAAAGCCGAGGTGCCCGGATCTCGGAGATGCGGCAACCAAGAGCGGCGTCACAGGCCGGCGATTGCGAAAGGGCTACCTGGTACCTTCGAGTCTCAGCTCTCCTACTCGACTTGACCTTGATCCTCGAGAAAGCCCTCCGACTGAGTTCACTGCGTGCGAACCAACAACCTCACTCGGCAAGAAAAAGAGCCTTTACACCAAGCTTGGAAACAACTATCCCGAGTCCTGCTACTGGTAAACCACCATGAGCGGGCAAGTTTGCACCAGTGGTCTGAGAGGGCTGGCTAGAGTTACTCGTAGCGCTGGAAAGCCTTCGTATCTCTCATGGGCCTCAGGACCACAGAGGGTTGGCGCGATCAGCCTACAGACACAGTCACAAAGATGTATGGGCTCCTGGAGCGATCGCCGGCTCAGAGGACAATGGGGTGCACATCAGATGAAGAAGCGAAACTATGCGACTTCAAACTCGACCATCTCCATGGCCGATTACAGAAAGAGTAGGTGAATCGGGAGAACCCTGGATACACCCGACTTCAGTCAGTAACAGCCCTCGTTTTCAAGGTGAATATGGCCCCGTGGCCGAGTACGATCGCCGTGTGCAATCTGGCGTCCTCAGAGACGACCAGCATCAGCGCAGTAAGTCACGCTTCACAGCGATGTTGTCATATGGCAGGGCTGGACTGACATGTTCTAGCCATTATCGAATCACTACAAGATCTGCACGACATGTTGGCCAACTACAACCCACCAGACGTACAAGAACCGACGATAGAATCGCTGCAGCCCAAACGAAAAGGCTTCCTCTCTTCAATCTTTGGTGGAGGTCAAAAGATGCAATCCAGCTTACAAATGCCCGACGACCTACCAAAGGGCTTGTACATGTATGGCGATGTTGGTAGCGGCAAGACCATGATGATGGACCTTTTCTACGACACGTTGCCCGGAAACATCAAGAGAGCCACTCGCATTCATTTCCACAACTTCATGCAGGAAGTCCACCGAGACTTGCACAAAGTCAAGATGCAGCACGGTCAGGACATTGATGCTATTCCTTTCGTGGCCGCTCATATCGCCAAACGCAGCAGTGTGCTCTGCTTTGACGAGTTCCAGTGTACAGATGTGGCAGATGCCATGATCCTGCGAAGACTGGTTGAGTCTTTGATGAACCATGGCACAGTCATTGTCACCACCAGCAACCGTCATCCCACAGAGCTTTACAAGAATGGTGTACAGCGCGAATCCTTCGTTCCTTGCATTAATCTTCTCCAACGACAATTGCGTGTTCTCAACCTCGATTCTCCTACCGACTACCGCAAGATCCCTCGCCCTCCGTCAGGTGTTTACCATTTCCCACTCAATATGGCTGCGAGTACTCATATCACACATTGGTTCAAGTACCTCGGTGACTTCGAGAACGACCCTCCTCACCCAGCCGAACACTACGTCTGGGGGCGACCTATTCAGGTTCCTGAAGCAAGTGGAAAGGCTGCACACTTTGATTTCAACGAACTCATCGGCCGTGCGACTGGTGCTGCCGACTACATTGAGCTTGTTCGCAACTACGACGCTTTCATCGTTAGCAATGTGCCGCAGATGGACCATCGCAGCCGTGACAGAGCTCGCCGCTTCATCACATTCATCGATGCCGTCTACGAATCACAGGCCAAACTTGTTCTCACATCCGCTGTGCCACTGACAGAGCTCTTCCTCTCGCGCGAGGAAGTCGACGCAGCGATCAAGCAAGCGGCAGACAAGGGCGACAGCAATGCGAAGGCTGCTTTACACGATGGCTCAGATGTCGATGATGTGATGCGTCAGATGATGGACGATCTAGGCATGAACATGAATATGCTGAAGAAGAGTAATTTCTTCTCCGGCGATGAAGAGGCATTTGCATTCGCTCGTGCATTGTCTCGTCTTTCTGAGATGGGCTCGCAGATGTATGTCGAGCGTGGCATGGGACTCGAGCACAAAGGCGGCAAGAAGGAGAAGGAACACTTCTCAAAAGTCAGGAGTAAGTGGAAGGAGGATAGCATGTAGAGCCTGCTATCGATCAAGTCCTGTGACGACTCGGATATAGCATGGCACTCTCGAGCAGGATAGGATTTTGGTTTCTCAAGCGTATACGCCTCAACAAACTTCATATATACATTGTGAATTAGACATGCTTCACAAGCAAGTAGACGAGTCTATGGACTTTCCGTAAAGCGAGGCTCCATCAGACACACGATCGAAATATAGATCATGTCTTCTGAAATCTGCGCTCCCCTCTTCGAGCGAATATAGCAAATATGCTTTTGGTGACAGGCCTCAGATATGTGTCATGTTGAGATCAAGTCCACAGCGCGGATCATTCTCTTCCTATTATAATAATGATGCCTGAGCATCGTTCATCAACGGCCATAGGAAGAGAAGGAAAAGAGAGAAGTTCGGAAATTTTCCCTCCAAGAAAAAAGGACAGGCGTCGCACAATCCAATCCGCGTCCAAGCTCGCCCCTCGTCGGCCAAATTCCCTGACCACACAGCCAAGACAAATGGCCCATGCGCCGTGCGTTCGGGAAATCTTCCCTATAAAGTCGCAGCATTCCCTTACACCCTCTTTTCTTTTATTCGTGCGGCGTCCGGGTATCTATACAGTTTCCCCTGTTGCTGGTCTTTCAACTTCGTTGTATCTTATATGAGAGGCTGGCGTCAACCCGTGGACACAGAATAAAAATATTGCAAAACTAGTCTTATCAGTACACTTCCGACGGATTTGCCTAAAATACTTATTTGGCTCTGTTGGTGTGCTGGTGGCTGGACATATCTTCTGCGTGAAAATTCGTTGCTTTCTCGTGATGGCAGAGGGGTGCTTCTCGCATATCTGCCATGGTACTCGTGAGGATTCTGTGTGATCCAGTATGCGCGATGGAAAGTCCTGATATTGAGGACTGCTCGCGCGAGGATCGACTGGTAACTCATGCACTGAGGCATGGTATTCTGCACATGGAAAGCATTTGAGTCGTAAACAAGCTTGCTATGTCGAGACACTTCATGTCAAGGAGATACCTCGCTGGCTACCTTTGTACATAGTGGACATGCCTTGCACTTCTTGTCGCAGACCAAATGTAAAACTTCTTTCCAAAATTTTGACTGCCCAATAATTTCCAACACACAACATGCCTGGACTAAAAGTCGTCGCCCTGATCTCGGGAGGAAAGGACTCCTTCTTCTCAATCCTACACTGCAATGCAAATGGCCATGAAGTCGTCGCGCTCGCAAACCTGCACCCGCCGACTCAAGATGGCGAGCGCTCCGAAGATATCGACAGCTACATGTATCAAACCATAGGCCACACCGTCATCCCACTCTATGAACAAGCACTAGGCCTTCCACTCTACAGGCAAGAGATTCTTGGAGGAGCCGTTGATCAAAATAAGAGTTATGCTTCTCCTGCTGCTGTGCAAGGTGAGCAGGATGAAACGGAGAGTCTAGTGCCGCTGTTGCGTAAAGTCATGGCTGCGCACCCAGAGGTCAATGCCGTTTGTACTGGAGCTATTCTATCGGATTACCAACGTACGAGAGTGGAGTCTGTGGCTATTAGACTGGGTCTGGTGCCTCTGTCTTATCTTTGGCAGTATCCTTTCCTGCCACCGTATGCCGAGACCTCCTTACTGGACGATATGGCTGCTGCCGGACAGGATGCTCGTATCATCAAGGTCGCCTCTGGAGGACTTGATGATGGCTTCCTTTGGGAGAATGTAGCCAGTTATCGCACAAAGACTAGACTTGTGAGAGCTATGGAGCGCTTTGGTATCATCGGTGATGGTGCTGCGCTTGGCGAGGGAGGAGAATTTGAGACACTGGCTATAGAAGGACCATGGCCTTTGTGGAAGAACTCTATTCAGATTGAAGATGGTGACAGAGTGATTGTCGCTGGAGAGGCTGGTGCTGCATCCCTGAAGATCAAAGGCGCTCGTCTGGTGCCAAAGGAACCATCTTCGGACTTCTCATACGAGCAATTACGGAAACCGACAACCTTGGATGACAAGTTTGCAGCTCTTGCGTTAAAGTTGAAATTCAGCGTCGATGACACTTCTGGATCTTCGGATGAGTTATCAGAGAAGAAAGAAGCCTTGAGCTCGGCCTCTGGATGGACGAAGCAGACCACAGACACCTGCACTATCATATCGAATGCCATGGCAGAAGGTGCTTCAGCAGGAGAGCAGATGACCATCATCATGACCCAACTCACCAAAGACCACAACATCAAGCCTTCGTCAATCGCCTTTACAACAATCCTCCTACGAAGCATGTCCGAGTTTGGCGCAGTAAATCTTGCGTACGGGTCCCACTTTACAACGCCAAACCCACCCGCCAGAGTCACAATCGCGTGCGGCAGCTCACTACCAGCTGATGTCCACGTTTCGTTATCTGTCATAGTCCTTCACGATGAGGTGGCAGCATTGAAGCAAGGTCTTCACGTTCAGTCTCGCTCCTATTGGGCACCAGCAAATATCGGTCCTTACTCCCAAGCCATCACCATGCCTCCATCCCCTGAAACTCAAATCCCACAACTCGTCCACATCGCCGGGCAAATACCTCTCCATGCACCAACCATGGAGTTTCCCGAACAAGGGTACATGAGTCCAACACAACACTTCGCAGCCCAAGCAACCCTATCCCTTCAACATCTCTGGCGCATAGCTCAAATCACCCACGTCACAAACTTCCTCGGCGCCGTCGCTTTCATCTCCTCCACATCCTTTGTACCAGCATCTTCACGCGTAGCCACAGCGCTTCGCACTTGGAAGCTCGCTCACGAAGTCCCGGTGACTGATGCAGAAGATGAGGAATCTGAAGATGTGGATGTTTGGGATAGACAGCAGTTTGGCAGTACTGGGACGGTAAAAACGAGTACACAGAGGAGGGACATTGTTAACGCGTCAGTTCCGCCGTGTTTTGTGGCTGAGGTGGAGGGGTTGCCTAGGGATGCGGTGGTGGAGTGGGCGAGTACGGGGGTCAAGGGGTGTGAAGGTGCAGTGCAGACTAAAGGTATGTCTTCCCATTCGCATTGGAGAGGGAGAGTGATTATTAACAAGAACATAGAAACGAAGGAGGGTGTCTGCACGAGACAGACTTTGGATATCAAGGTCGGGCTAGAGGAAGTCACTATGGCTGGTTGGGTCGCTGTTGACAGTGTCGATGAGTTGAGCAAGGTGGAGATCCCATCTTCATACGTCTGCACTGTTTACACGACCCAGATTCTACCTGAAGCGTGGGTCAAGCAGAGACAGCCAACAATTGTTCCCTGCTACAGACTCTGGGATGGCCAGGGAGTGAAGGTGGCAGTTGTTGTGACATACAGACAACAGTAACGCCAGGCGCGGTTGTCAGACGTCAATGAGTTAAGGGGGTATATAACAAGGATTGTGTATTTCTCGTCAGATCTCCCAACTCTCTAATCTCTCACTCATCTGTCCATCTCTTCTTCCAGTATGCATTGCATGCGAGAAACAGAAAATCGACACCAAAGCGTAACGTAAAATAAGAAACCATCATGTCCCATAAAGCGCCAAAAAGAAGTTGTGTGTGTGTCTCGGGAAAAGGGTGAAAAAGAGGTCGTGCAATTGTGCAAATCAAATTGTGACTTTTTGTTTCTTTGGCTCAGCTCTCTCGACGTTGCCCGTGGGTTCATCATTCCAACCATCATGATCAAATCGTTTAGGTGGCCTTCTTGGCGAACTCGACACGCAAAATGAGATGGCCGTAACCGTAGCCTTCCATCTTCTCGCACGCAACGGCGGCGTCTGAGCGGTCGACGAAACTGACGAAGGCGAAGCCCTTGGCCTTGCCGGTTTCTCTGTCCTTTGCGAGGAAGACACGGGTGACACGACCGAAACGCTCGAACAGGGCGCGGAGCTCGTCTTCTTCGGCGAATTCGGAAACCTAGATGAGAACATGTCAGAAAGGGTCTGTGTGTGTGGAAGGAGGAGTTGAAGAGCAAGGTACGTACGTTGGTGACACGCAGGGTGGCCAGGTCGTCTCTCTCGAACTTGCCGCCCATTCTCTCGCCAGTAGCAGCACCGCCCTTGCGGAGATGCGGGGGCACGTAGGACGAGCCACCGGGACCGGAAGCGCCTCCTGCTGGGGGACCGCCTGCAGCCAGGTTCTGAAGAGTAGCAGCGCCGACATCACCGTCGAGGTCGGCAAGACCGGCACCGGCCTCGCCCTCGGGGGCCATGGTGTCCTTGAAGGGACACTTTGTGGTGAAATGCTCGCCGGAACAGATACGACACTTGATCTTCATCTGCTTGAGTTGCTGCTGCTTCTGGTCCTCCTCGGCGGTAGGTTGCTCTGCGGCGCCCGACTTGAAGCCGGCTTGGGGGCGGAAGATGATGTTCTCTCCAAGGGTGGTGGTGTCGGGTTGGGGACCAGCGGGGCGGCCGGCCTCGAGACCCATCTTTGGCCAGGCGCGGCGCTCAGCGACACCGGGCTTCTCGTATTTTCGCTTTACGACGGTGCGGATGCGTTGTGTGCGCTTGACCTTCTTGCCGTCGTCGTTCAGGAAGATGGTGACAATCGTCTCGGTGCCGTCCTTGTTCTTTGTGTGCTGGGGTGCTGGGAGGGCGGTGGCGAGATCTGGCTCGTCATCTTCGGCCCAGTCGGTACGTCCTGGTTGGTTTGACATGTTGGCGGGAATGTGTTGTGTGTATGAGCAGGTTGTGGCCTTGTCGTCGTCTCTGCCTCGCTGCTGCGTCGCTGTCGCGAAAAGTTTAGCGAGTGAGACTGGCTTGGCCCGTGCTCAAAGCTCCCCAGCAATCTTTCCTCCTTGGTCCATCTATCGACTTTCATTTTCACGTGCTATTCTTCCACGCATTGATCCCGCCATGTACCCTCCTTGGGACACTGTCTATCTCAAGGCACAAACTCTCTTGGGATCCAGACTGATGCGTCGAGACACGTCTCTTCAATGACTCTCTGCATCAGATCTGTCGATACGAGTTATGACTATGACTTGCTACAACTCGTCATTGCTCCAAGTGTAATCATTAGAAGCCATCTACACGCCTTCAACGACTTTTCTTGACATGCTTCTTTCCGAGCTCTGCCTTGTGTTCGCAAACTTCCTTCCAACTTGAGACACCTTCGTAGCCAATGGGCATGACATCGGGCCAGTCTTCTTGCACAAAACACCTGTGACACCTCCACTGCTTCAATTGAGCCTCCAACCCATCAATGTTTCGATTCCCTATTCTCCTCCACGAGAGCTTCAGCCCGTTGCGATCGAGTCCGCAAGCATTACACTCATACTTGACCTTTGGGGGATAGCACTGGTTCGTAGTCCCTCCACGAGAGTTCCCTAAACCAGGAATGTCTGTTGAGTCAAGTTCGTAAGTGTCTGTTGAGTCAAGTTCGTAAGATACTGTAGTCACGATACCATGGCAAGCGCTTTCTTGCGTCATGGTACTTTCGGACGTATTCGTCGCGTACTGCTATCCATCCGGGATCTCTCGCAGTCCTGGTCTGTATGACGAGTGCACTCCTTTCTTTCTCTCGCGTCTGCGAAGCTCAGGATCTTTACGATACCGATTTTTTTGCCTGGCAGAGTTCCTGGCGAGTGTTCTTTCTCGCGCCGCTGTTTTCTTGTCGTGTGCGTCCCGATCGGCATGATCGAGAGCGGATAGGCGTGTAATCTATTGAGAATAACACCTCACTCTCAATGGGAGCACCGTCCTCGCTTTACTGACTAAGAAAGACATGGCCAGACTCTGGTTGCTAGGTCTGATATGGTCCAGGGATATTGATCGGAGGGTCTGTCGGTAGAAGTCCTTCACACCTACGCTTAATCCTCTGTAGAACAATATCACGTCCAGGTCACTTACCAGTATGTTGTAGGAATTTCTAGATCACCATGTGGTACACAATAACTACAGCTTGTGTCGTGCAATCACACCGTGTATACGCGCAGAAGCGAAGGTGGTCCTGGTGTAAAAAGGAGAGACTGACAAGCTCACCGGCCAAGCAACTTCCGCGTGCCGAAGGAACCCTGCATGCGCAAGACGTCACGAATTCTCACCCACTTTCGTCTCCGTACCTCGTCAGGGTTGAGCACTTCTGGCAGCCTGCCTCGAAGCGCTGGCATTTTCGAACCGACCTCCACCAGACTGCGTCATGCGTGGAGAGGTGGTGAGATTTGCTTCCAAACACTATAGATATGCCGTGTCTGTGCCTGACCTTGGAGTGTTCTTTCTCTGCGTCTCTTACACTTCCTTACTCTTCGATCGGCGTTTTTCGCAACCAGTCGAACATCCCTGTCACTCACACAAGAGCTTAAAAATATCCCGGTATCTGGGCAAGGCATCCATTACGTAGAGGCGCATTTGCTCAAGGCTTGGTGGTATTACGATTGCCTGATTGGCATCCATCCATCATGGCCGACTTCGTGGTAGGTTTTCTAGAGCATCTCCCTGCCTTCGTTCCTCTTCCACATCTATACGTCCGGCGTACCTGTCGGGAATCTGAACCAAAGACTGCGGATTAATCACTCTAACACCCGGACCAAAAGGAACTTGGACTTGAAGGCTTCGACAAAACTGCCGATAAGTACTTTGACAAAGGATACGACAAGCTGCACAATCATCGGCATAGAAACGATCGTTATCAAGACGACAAACAAGACAACATGAGTGAAGCGCGAGGACGTGATCGCGGCTACGATAGTGGCTCAGACGACAGTTACAACGAACGACCACGACGAAGAGGAAATCCACGCGACAATCGCAACGACATAAGACCACGACAATCAGATGATCGCGAAAGTGACCGACCACGTCGAGTGTCCCCTCCCGGACCACCTCCAGGGCCTCCCCCAGTACAGAGCTACCAGCCTAGCGCAGGCGATGTACCTCCCTACATCCCCTATCAAAATATACGCTCAACCAACAACATCCCACCAACTCCCCAATACTACCCCGAACCATCACGTCCCACATCCCGCGACTACACACCCACCTCCTCAGCACGCAGTCGACCCCGAAACGAAATGACAAAATACTCACGCGCCCAAACCCGCTCGCCCTCCCGCAGCCGCTCCTACCGCCAACGCCGCCGCTCATTCTCCTCCTCGCGCTCCCCTTCTCGCTCTTCAAACCGCGACTACAAAGACAATCCCCTCATGGCTTTGGATAAAAGCACACTTGGCCTCGGAGCTGGCATAGCAGGCGCCCTAATCGGCGGCTATATCGGACGTGAAACCAGTGATCGGCATCAAAAGCGTGGGACTGCGTTGGGTGCCATTATCGGCGGTATAGGGGCCAATATCTTGGAGAAAAGGGTTAGAATCTATAGGGATGAGATGAAGGAGGAGCAAAGAGAGGCAAGGGAGAAGTGGGATGCGAGGCATAGCAAGGATAGGAAGGGGAGGAGGGTCGAGTCCCCGCAGAGATGGTAAATGCGTTATGATAATACGAAGTAACGAAATTGGAATTTAGTGAATGATCGACTCGAGGACTCATATGTATATGACCCATCGGTACAGTTCGCATCACGTTTCGATGCTCGACGTAGTTCAAATCAAACTTTCCAATCAATACATGTGTCACGCTGACTGGACCGATCCAACGAGAAAGCTGTCCATTGAGCTTTCAAACAATGGCCTGGTCCAATGAATGTCCATCAGTCATGTCTTCTCTCTCTTCAAGCAGAAACTGGACCACACAGTCATCGAGTAGTACGTTAGAAGTAGTAATTTACAAGCAGACAAACTGAAGCATAGTGGCATATAACAGAGCGGCTCGAAGCAGAGATAGTCAAAACCGAAGACCACAAAGAAACAGGAACCGAGAGTGATGGCGTGAAGGAGGAAGGCTTGGAGCATAGGCACTGCTCGTGCGAAAGTTAGTCATTCTTTGGATGTCTTGTCAATAGAAGGGCAAGCGAAGTTCGCTACTCGGAGGAGTCGTCAAGTCCATAGATTTTATCGCTCCTCCTCGTGTGCTACGCTACGCTCTGCCACCGGATAGCAATGTCGAAGTACGATGATCTGTAGTATCATAGCAACACCTAGAGAAATGGATCATACCGTCGGCCTTGTACGAAGACTGATCAAAGCTAGAAGATAGCAGTGCCTCCTCACAGCTCGTTGTTGCTCTGGATGCAGCAAGAAGAGTGATGAGCGACATCCAAACAGAATTACGAGAGGCTTGGAGAAAAGACAACTGGGTAGCCAAATAATGTACATTCACACCCACTAGGATAGCAAAAGAGAAAAGAGGCAAATATAAACGTTTCCCCATGGCGACCATATAAAAAAAGGCGTCTTCTTTTCTTTCGTTGATATGTCCCCAGATAGCCCTCCGCCAGCGATCAGGGAAACAAAAAGGAGGCATCGAGACACGCCTTGCTGCGCCTTGGCTTCTTGTCTCGCTGTGTAACAGGAACCTGACGAGACGAGAGAAAAACAGAAAAGCAAGATAAGATCGGGGAAGAAAATGCACAGATAGATGATATGAGAGAGAAGCATGTGAACGCCCCCCTCTCTCGTTTGAGTCTCGCGAGCCCCGCCCCCCCTTCACTCCTCCAGATTTTGTTGCAGATAAAGTAAGATGTCGAAAAAATTCAAGGGAAGAAAAGGCTTTGTTCAGACGCCGTACCCCGAGTCTCCAGTTCCTCTGGTCAAATGAATTGTCGGAAAGAGCAGCAAGATAAAAACAAGATTAGCAAGAATGGGAATGCACATGTTTACCGAAGCTGTGAAACGAGCATGCTTGGCCACGCTTACTTCTTCTTGAGGTTTAGGTTCATGGTTGCGCTGGGCTTCATGCGTTGTGAAGGTGGTCCTTCGTACCCTTCGTCGCCTTCGAGCTTGACTTGAGACCGCCGGCGCTTGCTGTTTATGTTCGGACTCGTCGATGCGGACTGATGAGCACTGTTGAGATTGTTGCCTTGCTGCGAGTGCTGAGGCACCATCATCGGTGGGCCCATGTGCGGACTCGGAGAGTGGTGCATCTGTCCCATCATGTGGTTCGGGGCCATCAAAGAGGCGCCCGGCAAGCCGGGGTGGGCGATGTGAGGTGAGCCATTCATAGCCATCATCTGTTGCCCGTTCAGGTGCTGCATCGGCAAGTTCATGTGGGGGACTGACGGCGAGGAGAAGTTGGGCGTCTGGCCAGGCAACTGCATGTGGGCCTGAGTGGGCGTGCCAGCACCTTGTGGCAAGGGTTGGACGTTTCCATTTCTTTGCAAAGCCATCTGAGCATGATTTGGCGGCATGGGATTTGGCACCATGTTTTGGGGATGGGCGAATTGCATTTGTTGTTGTTGCTGCTGTTGCTGCTCCTCGATTTGAGCAACCATCTGGTTCATGGCGTCTTGGGGACGAAGGTCGTTCTTCTGAGAATGCTCTATCAGATCCTTCATGAAGAAGATGGTTTCCGCTACCTGGCCCTGGTCAGTTCAGGTGGTCGTATAGCTGGAACTGTGGGGCAAGCACATCTACCTCAAGATATTGCATAACGGCGGGAGTGACGGCATATTCATTGACAGGGGCTGAAGGGAAATCTTCGAGTTGAAGAGCGCCTTGTGCCTTTTGCATGGCCTTCTTAGCCGGTGTTCTGCTCATCTTGGGACTTTTGTTCATAAGGGGCGAGTTCTGTTGCACGACACGAGCGAGCTCAGAGCGTGAGATGAACTCTTCGGTCTTGGACACTTCGAAGTCGAGCGATTCGAACTTGTCAGAGCCAGAGGGGAAGGTGGCTGTCAGCCTTCCTTGCCAAATCAACTGCATGATGAGTCAGCCAAAGCGTGTGCATATGCATGTTTCGAAGGGAAACGTACTTGAGTGTTGTTCGCGAACCAGAAGATGTAGCGAGCACGACTGCACTGTACCCACGTCACGTTGCCCTGTGTGGGAACTTCTCTCACACCCTCGAGCTGGAGTTGTATGTTTTGCACACCACTGTCAAAGTAAGTCCAGTAGTACCGTGGCAGCGAAGAAGCAGTGATGGTAAACTGTTTGGTCGACGATGTTGTGTTGTCGAGGACATGTTGGACCAGTTTGCCGTTGGGCATCCAGAAGGAATCGACAAATTGGCTCCAATGCTCTGGTGTGTTGGCATCACGCGACTGCATCATAGTTAGTCGTCTTGTCCAGGTTGCTATCGTGCACACTTACACTTGCATTGAATGTGCTCAGATGGTCTGAGAATTGGATCAGCTTGAGAATGTATTGGCCATTGCTTGGACGGCCCTGTTGCTGTTGCTGAGCTTGCTGCTGCTGAGCCATGGCCTGTTGCTGACGCATCATGTTCATGTTGGTCATGTTCATCATCTGCTGACGCTGTTGTTGCTGCTGTTGAGCAGTTTGCTGTGCTTGCTGCTGCTGGGCCTGCTGTGCCTGTTGCTGTTGGGCACTCTGCGGCTGGTTTTGCGATTGAGCAGAGCCCGGCTGCTGGGGAGTTTGCTGGTTCGGCTGCTGAGGCTGCGAGGAGGAAGCTTGTTGGGGCAGCGGCTGTGCCTGCATCTGCGGCGTAGGGTGAGCACTTGGAGGTTGTGGAGGCTGCTGTTGCTGCTGCTGAGCCTGCTGCTGCTGCTGTTGCTGTTGCTGGGCTTGTCCTTGAGACATCTGAGGTTGCTGAGGCTGTGGAGGCTGAGGGTGTTGTTGACCTTGACCCTGACCGTCAGGCCCAGTTGGCATTTGCGACTGGCTCCTCATCTGGGCAGGAGGCGGCTGCTGCTGTGGAGGCTGACTATTGGGGGGAGCGCTTTGATGAGAATTCTGGGACGACACGTGCGCCATGGCCATGTGCTGGGCCATTGCCTGTTGTCCCATCTGGGGTGTTGCCGGAGCTTGGGGGTTTTGGGCATGTGGCGTCTGCTGCTGTTGCTGTTGTTGTTGCTGCTGCTGTTGCGCGTGTGCCTGTTGCTGGGCAGCTTGCTGGGCGGCCATCTGCTGCATTCGCTGGATCTGCATGATGTGCTGAGGCGGAAGATTCGCCATCTGTGCATTCTGGAACTGGGGATTGGCCTGCATCTGGGCAAATTGCTGAGGACTCATGCCTGGGTGGCCACCCATGCCCATGTTCATGCCCATGCCGTTCATTTGCTGCTGCGCCTGCTGCTGTTGGGCTTGCTGTTGTTGTTGCTGTTGCGCCTGGGCTTGCTGCATCATCTGTCGCTGACGAGCCATGTGTTGCTGCTGCTGCTGCTGCTGCATCATCAATTGAGGATTATTGGCCACTGTGGTGATGTCGGTCAGAATCAAAGACATTGCGATGGGCATTTCGAGGTAAAACTTACTAGCTTGCTGCATCTGATGGTGTTGCTGCTGCTGCTGCTGCATCATGTGGGTTTGAGGGTTGAGATGGCTCATGGCCATGGCGTTTGCACCGGGACCGCCCATGGACTGCTGGGCCATCATGCCACCACCCGGTCCAGGACCCATGCCTGGCGGCATATTCTGCTGGCCGGGCTGCATACCCATCATTGTTGGTTGGCCCATGTGAGGAGCACCGGGGCCCGAGACACCAGGCATCTGCATGGGCTGGCCCATATGCTGAGCATTCGGAGGCATTCCTGGATGACCATGGGGCACGCCGGGTTGCATGCCCGTTGGGTGCGGAGGAAAGGACATGCCTTGCATCATAGTGGTTGGAGCTGATCAAGCGAGACGCGTAGTTTGGACGACGACTAGACAACAGCTGGTCAAGCAAGCGACGCGCGACGGTCGACAAGAATTGAATGGAGCGCGACAAGAGGTGCACTCGAATGCATGTATGAACACGCCGTGATACCGAAGCGTTGTTGCTCTGGATGCGCAGAGGGTGATGATCGACGCGCCTTCGGGCCTTCGCAAACGACGGCGGGCTGGACAAGACAGCGCCGTGAGCGTGGGCGTCAAGGATAGTCGAGGGCCGGGGAGGTTATTCAGGACTTCGCAAGTCGCGAAAAGAAAGGACAAGTACCAGGTAGAGGGTGTGGGCAATGGGCACTGGGCACTGGCAGCAGTCTGATGGTTGAAGGGAACCGGGGTCTGCTTAGGGCCACCAGGGCGAGCGACACGGCGCGTTCCTCTCCGTCCGCCTCTGCGACAAAGCAGCGGCCGAGAGTTTCGAGTCAAGGCTGGGATTCGGCCGTTGCGACTTGCACTCACCAAATCTGTCAACTGATGCCTCCACGAGTCTGGCCAACGTCTTGGTGATTTTCTTGCGCTCGCCGAGATTCAGAGTTGCACGATGCTATGCGAAAGCAGAGTTGCCCTGTCGCAAGATGCCTGGAGACGATGCTTGCTCACCTCACTTCTATCCACCCTCCAACCTGTCCTATCCCAGCGGGCCTTGTGATTTGTCCGCTGACAGGGCTCGTGCACCCGGAGTCCGCTAAAGACCAAATATTGCTCGTTATCCAACACCGCCAAGTTTACGCGCACCTATCACATGCATCCAGACTCGGATTGACACCTTGGACACTTGCTCATACACACTCTGCTGGCAACAGTTCTATTGCTGAGCTCCCATGGCCATGGACTCTGATGTGCTGGTTGAAATAGCATCGAAAATCCTGCTTACATTCTGATCGCGTTGCAATATGTCGCACGCTCGAAGTCGACTTTCCGGACTGTGCTTTCGCTTGGCAGACGCCAAGTTCCGTGCCCGTCGTCTGGCCAGTATTTATTCGGAAGCGCGAATGTTTTTTTCTCTCAAGCATCCTCCAACACCAAACACCGCCGTCGACTGTCGCTGCCAGACTCTCTACGCATCTGTTATGCTCATCTGCGCGACACTCGACGGCTGTTGTAATTCCCGTGAGTATCTTCCCCTTCTTTGCGCGCACACATTCTCCAAACCATCATCCGAATGATGACAACTATTACAATTATGTCTTCTTTTCCCAACAGACTCGACCTTGACGAAGACCATCTGTTCGGGCAGCCGTCGCTGGCAGCCTGTATACTTGCCAGTATATTTTTGTCTGACACTACACACAACAACACCTCATTTCACATTTGCCCTCGTGGAACACTGTGCTAACATGCGCTGAAGTATAGGACTGCTGTGAAGTGAACCACCTATAAGAGATGGAATATTGGATACAATCAGGGTGTTGAGTGACTGCTGGACAACACCAACATCCAACAGCACAAATGGTCAGTCGCTTTCGCTCTTCTGCTGCTTCGCATAACATCGCCCACCTCTTTTATGATGAAACCCATACCACATTCGCAGTTTTCACGCTAGCCGTCACCTAGAACCTATTTCGACGGTCGTTGAGCGTCTTATCTTCCTTGGATGTCTGATTCCTTTTTTCACAATTCACAATTTTGATCGTCACTGCTTTGTGTGAACCCATTGCTGACAATCTCAAAGACACAGGTCAATTTCCAATACTTCTTCTCTACATAGTTTAATCATAATACTGCTTTCTCATACCTCACTTGATGACACTCATGCGAAACAAAACCTGTGAACGATGCCGACGGTTGTCTTACTCCCAAGGTCAAGTACCCTGAGATCACATGTCTAAGATGAAGATCCGGTTGTTGTCCAGTGACCTGGTTGTGCTAACTGCAAGGCAGATCTGAAGATGCGCACCTGCAGCTGATCTATATTATTATCTGCCTTGCAGCAAGCTCATTTCCTGGTTGTCTGCTCGGCGAGCCTGTCTTGATACAAACAAAGCACGACCTGCATACTCTCATTTCCTCTACCCTTCCACTACAAACGCGCAAGATGCAGCTAAGTAATACTAGCATTGTTCAATCATCAACCCTCCTCTATTCTCGCCGACCTTCGTATCTCAAAGCTTGTATTACCAACAGACGAATGTTGCTTGTACACTTCGCATGTCGCCATCTCGCAAACCATCGTATCTTCAAACACTAGTTCCGCAGAAGGGAAAAACTCTCTGCAAGGGAAAAAGAGTGAGATTAGCTTGCATGAGGGCTAGAAGTTTGCCCTGCAAGTCCCTTTGTCTCTTCGCATCATCAACTTCTGTTTTTTGCTTTCGGGAGAAATGCTTGTCTCTCCATGCACCCTGACCATGATTTACAACGAACTTTGACAACCTTCAACGGCAAGACATGTTCCAGTTACCTGCTATACTATCATGACCTGTACGTTCTAGCTATGTATCTGCCTACCAAACAGAGGATTTCTCTACTATATCCTGGGCCCGCTCTGTCTACCCAAAGTGTCATAAGTGCATGATATGCTCAACCTCACACAACATGAACCCAGCACAACTCACACGACAAGCAATACATAACACCCACCCACTAACCACACCCGCGGACCCGATTTGACACCTCCGTCACACAATTCTCACTCTTTTCCATGCCCGAACAAAAATTGCGCAATCTTTCCTTGACAAGCTCATCAGTCACACCATCTTTCTCAATACGAAACGACGGGAATACCGCACCCACAACGCCATCGCTCCCCACAAGTTCTCGGAACTATCGAATTTTTTTGCTTAATGTGGGGGAAAGAAAACCAAGAAGCGATCGCGAATACGAGATGCTCGAACCCATCCAACGACAATCGCGCTTTCTTCGAAAGCTGCATGATGAGGGATAACGTCAGATTGAGTTTTACGTGCTCGCTTTTGTCTTTGCTTAAACTGCTTGCAATTCCCGATTTCCTTTTGGGGAATGTGTTTCTTGCATACGTGGTCGTCGATTGTCGCAGATGGGGGGATTTTGATAATCGGGAAAAAGAGGGTCTCTTCAGGTGAGTGCATGGTGTCCGAGTACGCTTACAATACCGTTGAGAGGGATGGTGTCCTGGTTTGAGATCCAAGATATTTCCAAGAGAAAAGCGGAGCTCGTGCGAGCAGCGTGTTCATTGAATGAGGATCAACGGCGCGCCGGGTGGGATTTGTGGGCTTGTGGGCTTGTGGGCTTCCATGCCATCAAAGATCCAAGACTCGGGGAAACTCGCACTACTTACTCCACTGAGCTATGACTGCGTATACCTAAAACAGTCAGTCACTGTGGGTGCCCTTCGATGCCGAGTCCAAGGTCGTTCGATGGGTCGCTTGAACAGGTGATAGAGCAAGGGTGAAAGATCATAGATGCAAGTCACGAGAGAAGGGTAAGGAGAGAAGTGTGTGTAATAGAACAATTGATTTGATAGACAAAGCGTCTGTCCCAAGGAGAAAAAAGAGTAATGGCTATATGCACAAGGAACGACATTGAAAGCAGGCTCCGGGATGCAAGAAGGTATCATGCCAACCAGAAAATGCAAAATAAGAAAAAGCGGAAACCAAGTTCCCGAAGACGATGTACGTCTTTATTACCTCCCTTTCGGGAGCATCTCGCTCCTCTCCGATCAAACATTAACAGGCGTAGTAGTGTTGCCCAAACCTCAGCCTTGTATTGACCTTGCCTCACCGACGAGGGATGTCAAGAATAGACAGACCCCCTCTCGACGAGCCCAATATGCCCATTATCAACATGAATCTCATGGCGGAGGCGGATAGGTCGTGAGAGTGGTTGTAAAAAAAGAGAATGTTGCGTGCAAGCAAGAGGCGCTTACAGGAAGGCGACGGCCAAGGCACCAGCGGCGAGGAGCATCTCACCAGCGAAAGTGGGGATGGCAGCAGCACCGGTGTAGGCAACAGGTCTGGAAGCAGTAGGCGAAGCGACAGTGCCGTTAGCAGGGCGCGTAGGGGCCTGGATCTGACCATCACCAATCTGGGTGACAACGGCACCAGTGGCACGAGTGGTAGGGGCCTGGATCTGACCGTCGGAGATCTGAGTGACCTTGGCACCAGAGGTGGGAGCCTGGATCTGACCATCGGTGATCTGAGTGACGACGGCAGCAGTCGAGGTAGGGGCCTGGATCTGGCCGTCGGAGATCTGGGTAACAGGGACGGCTCCAGTAGAGGCCTGAATCTGACCGTCGGAGATCTGGGTGACGGGAGCAGCGGTGGATGCTTGGATCTGACCATCGGAGATCTGAGTGACAGGACGGGTGGAGGTAGGGGCCTGGAGCTGACCATCACCGATCTGAGTGGCGGCACCGGCAGTACCGGAGGCCTGAGAACCACCAGCAGCGAGGACGTTGATGTAGATGGGGGAGCACTGGGCACCGGTGGACTCGTCGTAGAGGTTGTAGAAGTCGCCGCTCAAGCATTGGTAGAAGATGGCAGAGTTACCAATAGCAAGGGTACCGTTGCTGCAGACGGAGAAGCCAGCGGTGTAGATGGCACCAGTCTGGGCAGGCTTGTCGAACTGGAACTGGTTGTTGGCAGCAATGTAACCAGTGCGGCCCTGGTCATCAGTCAAGACACCGTTGGCGAGGGTGATGGTGAGGACCTTCTCCTGACGGGTGTCGAGAGAACGCTTGGCAGGAGTGGTGACGTTAGCAATGGAGATGCTGAAGGGGCCGTTGAAGTTGGTAGAGCATCCTTGGGGAGTGGCCTCCTGGGGAGCAATGGGCTTGGTGACACCCTGGGGAAGGGCGACAGCGGCACCGGCAAAGGCAGCAGCAATGGCGAAGGACTTCATGTTGATGGTGATGGGGTGGTGTTGATGATGATAATAAAAGTAGTTGTTTGATGAGAAGATGCGGTGATGATTATGTGCAGAGAAGAATGTTGTTTGTTAACGACAGGTGAGGGTGACAGATGTGAAGATGTTTTAAGAACGAAAGTGAGTTCTGTGACCGGAGGAAGGTGCTACTGTCGGACTTGAGGGCGGCTTCTTAAGGTTGACGAGGCGGATTGATGTGTAAACAGAAGGCAACAATGGGAGGAATGTGCCTTCCTTCTTATATCCCATGCTCATCAAGCTGTGGAATGCCAGGGAGGGGGAGGTTGGGCCAGCCGGCGTTAGCCTCGTCCACCGGATTTGGGTCCATCGCTTGGCTTGAGTGAACACGGCCTGTAGCGCTGCACTTACGTACCTACCGTTGGCCGCTTGCGATCAACGGGCAGAGGTTGGAAACGGACGTGCCTGTGGAGGTTAGCGGCTGACAACGAGCAGGCTTTGGTAGACAAACCGGCTCGGCGGCTCAATGTCGTACTAGTGATCTGGAGATGAACTACGAAACCGGCCAATTGCTGAAAACCTACGCCCCCCAAACAGTGACCAAGCATTGCGGCTCTCGCTGGTTGTACTGCGTGACAAGCCCAGGATCTACTCAGCTGTGGCGGGTAGAGACAGGCGGGAAGCATGCAAGCGCAGCCAATCACTCGCAGACGGCCGACAGCAACCATGCATGTCTTTGTTTCCAGTGGTCTCATCAGCAACCCTTCATGCACATGCTGAACCCTCACCTTGCGACAGAAGCACCGAAGAACCATCAATGATTCAAACACTGCTCTCTGACGTCGTCGAGGTCCGGACCGCCATTTCATCACATCGACTCTGAACTCTCTTCGAATGAGATGGTGACGATCTTTAAGCTCCGGACGTAAATCCTTTCTTGGAAAGTCAAGTCAAAGACAAGAATAGAAGTAGCAGCAACCTCTTTGGCAGCTTTCAAACCATCTTGCCTACGCTTGACAACCTTCAATGACCACTGCATTCGTATACTCGCATAGCGTGTGCCGTGCCCAGCCATCCTACATACTCGCTTTCTGATCACCTCTTTCGCAGTGCATCGAAAGCAGTCATGCACAGAGCGGGGTCCGACTCGAAAAGTGTTCTCTCCACAAAGTGCCCAGTGGCACGCACGCACCCATGGTGCCTACCCCACGCGCGTGTGAAAGCCAGTCAGCCCTGTTAAATTGTGTTAATATTAGCAGGACGTTGATGAGAAAGGTTCACCTGCTGCCAGCTGGTCCAGGCATTGTTTGGACAATTTGACCTGCAAGACGGATTAATTGTTTTTATAAGCTGGTGGGACATATCTCCCTTACTTGTTGAGAAAGACAGTCGCCGAGCAACGATGCGCTCGATGAAGTCGATTGAATCGATGGAACCATGTACGGAAGAGGATTTACAGCCAAGCACGGCAAGGGAACGCACGCCATGCCCCACTCGACGACACGACGACTCCCCAGCTCCCAAGGTGCATACCATGGATGCATTGCCACTTTTTGCTTCCGTTTCATGATTCCGCCAGGAGCTAGCGATGACCACCATCTCACGTGCAGCATGCAATCCAAATCCCTCCTCGTTTTCCGCCAGGCGGTGCTGGAGGTAAAGTGCAGTAGAGTTTGCTATATCACTCGGCTTGGCCGCATTGGAACAAAGTTGGATAAGTAGCCGTGCCATCGGCAATGATCGACGCATCATGACTAAAGCCTAAATCATCCATACCAGACCCTCCGCGGTTGAATCGTGCCACGGCCGCGCAGAGCATCGATTCGTTCGGTCCATACCGATTGTTCTTCTGTATCAATTTCTCTTGGTGTTTCTGTTCCTGAGCAGTTGAGAGAGAGCGTTTCGGCTAGCCGGCAACCAAGCGAAATGTTACTTTTGTTGTTCGACCTCCCACTGGCCAACGTCAACGGCGGGGTGATATGAACGGTTATCGTCCTATGTGATGCCATGGGCGAGCCTTTGCTGCTTACATCCGCCACCGGCTCGTGAGATGAGGTACATGTACTTGTTAAATGACATGCATGAGTAGATCTGTGGCGAGGACAACAAATTGAGTGGTGGGGTGGGAAGAGAGATCCCCATCGTGGTGGCTGGGTGAGCATCCCATACCGATATGGTTGAGCCAATACAAACGAGTCACATGCCTAATGTCGGCATATGTATGACTGGCCAGCACCTCGTAACGCCGTTCTGAGGATGAGATATGTCTCAGTTGACGAGTGGATGTTTACAGTATGAGGCAATGGGATGTGAGACCGTTGGCAAAGTCATTGCAGTGAGGGGACTAGGAATCCCCGCAACGCCTTCTAAGCCTCATCCTACCATGAACTTCCGCAAGTACTTTGACCTGCATGCACGCAACATAAGCCTTGAGGCCAGCTTATCCTGACTTTGAAAAGATACGTTGCAAATTTGCCGGTGACAACGGTGATTGTAAAGGGAGTAACCTAATAGGTACAGGTATCGTGTGTTGTTGCTCCTGCAGTCTAGCAAGCGGGGAGACCAAAAGTTGGATACAAGGGCAAAGTGTGGAGTGCAGGAGTGACACAACGCTATTACCACTCATCGACTCGGCGGGTTACCTGTCAATGGAGCAATTTTGATAGTGTAAAATGTGGATGTACAGGAAGGTATCTCCGGCAAGGGATGCTCAGCTGGTAGAATCTGTAACCGCACCGAACCGGTTTCATTACTGTTTATGGGGCAAACAAACATGAGCTTCTAGCAACGAGATAGTGATTGGAGGTGGAGGAGTGGTCAAAACAGTTGCGACGTGGCAACGGTGAACAGGGTAGAGGCCAAGGTGATTTCCCCACTGTAGGTACGTTGGAAGCAGAAATGAGTCCTTACATGACATCGCACTTGGCCGGACATTGTCCTTGCTTTAGGGTTATTAGGATCGAATGGTATGCCAGCCTTTAGTGCGACGCTATGGAAGACATCCGCGACTGTTTGAACACGCCTGCCGTGATCTCCGTCTCTCACATGCACGACGGCTGAAATCTAGATGTGAAGATGCACAGTGTTGTCGAGACATTTGTGAGCCGTGAGAGTTTACCCTTTCTCAGTAGACATTGTTTGTTCTCGGGGTAAAGTTTGTGCAATTCGATTGTTGTGCTCTCAGACTGTCCATGGTCTCAAGTACGAGATGACGATCAAGGACGGTTGGACTCTTCACCGACAGTAATGCCCAGCTCCTTTCTCAACAGCGTGGTCAGGCTGGTCTTGTCTCTCAGGTAGATCCAGTCGCCTGACGCGGCGCCCTCCTTCTGTTGCTGCGACTCGCCCAGCATGACCCAGTCGAATCTCTTGGGGCCGCTGACGGGGGAGCTCAGCCAGATCTGCTTGGTAGGGGGCTGCTTGTTAACAACGTAGGTACCGTTGGGAGGATAGGCGATGGTAAGGACACCAGCCTTGTTCAGGAATCAGCATATTGCAGAGTGCATTATTGAGCGACGGGCAGACTTACAGAGTACTCGACATCGATACCCTCCTTCTCTTCTGCCAGCTCCTCGGCTCTGGTGACGAGCTCCTCGAGGTACTGATCTGCTCTCTCGTGGTATTCATCGATTTCGATTGGTGTGGGCTCGTTGACCTCGTGCAGAGGTTCCCTCTCCTTCAGGGTGGGCTCGTCGGTATCAGGGAGAATGCCTTTGAAGCTGCGCGATGTGTTTGAGAATTGACAGATGGCAGGAATCGATGCGCAAAGAGCTTGTCTGGGCAGGTATCTGGGAGCTGCAGGACGGATCGAGAGGCTGCGGACAGCCTGGCGCAAGCAACGAGCTGATCTGGAGGCCGACATGATGGGTCGTGCGATTCTAACGTAGACCGAGGTAGTGAATGTTGATGCTGATGTCGCGAAGAAGGAGGCAGTAGTCGATGGATATAGTCAATGGGCAAATATAGTGGAGGTGATGAAGCTGATTGCTCGAAAGCGATTCGTGAAGCTCTAGACAATGACGAAGAGGCGCGCCCCGCACAAACACGAAGCTCTCCAGTCTGGGCCCAGGGTCGGCATCTCATTCAACAACCCATCAATCATCTACAATATATTGAGAGGCAATTGTAAACTCCCGTAACACAGTATAACCTATACTCCTATTCATGAACATCCAAATGGGCTGAAGAGCAGTACACACTCACAGCTCGAACGATCTTTATGAATGTCGTGAAGAGCTGACAAAAGTTTCCCACATGTGGAGGTGGGCCGCGAAGCCTGAAGACCGTCTCATCTTGATGGCTGCTTGTTCCTGAACCATCTGCCATACAACCACGTGCCACTCATTCAAGTACAAAGCTCAAATACTGGACTTCAACTCCGGTCAATCAACTGGAGCGATTCCAATCTACCGCAAACCCAAAACATAGTCGAGTAGCAGTCATGATTAATGCCGTCTTGGTTTTCAATAACAATGGCCAACCGCGCTTGACCAAATTCTACACACAGCTGGTAAGAGATATGAAGACGCGTCGAGGTAATCCTTTTAATTCCTGTCATAGGATACAGCTGTTCAACAACGTCTGATCTCTGAGATCTTCACCTTGGTCTCTGCTCGACCGTCATCATCATGCAACTTCTTACCACTGCCGCCTCTTCTTGCGCCTGCTCAGTCCTCGGCTATATCGGACTCCCACAACGACGTTCCTTCGCTGGTCACATACCGGCACTATGCAACTCTTTATTTCATTGTAATCAGCACGAGTACCGAGTCCCCTCTGGCCCTGCTTGATCTTATCCAAGTCTTTGTTGAGGCACTGGATAGACTCTTCGAGAATGTTTGTGAGCTCGACCTCATCTTCAACTTCGAAACGTTACATGCCGTCTTGGGCGAAATGATTGTCGGTGGGGTGGTGATAGAAACCGGCTTAGACAAGTATGTATTGCAGTATGTCTTTTTCGTGCTTCACACTAATGTTTTACAGAGTGGTACAAGGCGTAAAAGCCCAAGGAAAGGTGACTAAGCGGCCAGTAAACGAGGGCAGCCGCACTGGTGGTCTCGGTCCTGGCATATGGGCTGGTAGATGATGCGGTGGCATGCGCCTCCGTGGGTCTTTTCAATCCTGCAACGTGCCAAGCATCAGGAACCAGGCTGCTTTCGTTCTCCAGCCATGTGGTTACAGCATATCTCGAAGACCAGGCACCAGACACATTCCAGAGGTCGCCCGAAACAGTCACATCTCACCGAGAATGTTTCAAGTTCTTCTCTGCAGCAACGCTCAGTAAGAAGAATGGGCCTCGACTTCTGTAAATTGCTATATGCTCATAATCACAGTATGCAAACTTGGCGGCATGTAAATACTACCTAGCTAGCTACGATCTGTTAGTTCAGTGCAAGAACTTTTCCGTAATCCTAGTATCAGATCCGAGAGCAAATCCTCAAGTGCTCTGAGCCTGTGCTGGTCCTCCAGCTTTCCCCTTCTGGAGTCTTGCTAACGTAGAGTTTGTTCTCATAGACTTTCGGCTTCCTTGAGCTTTTAGGCATGTCTTGTGCCTGTTCTGCTTATTCCTCAATCTTCCTCATGTAGCATGCTCGGACGCAAGCTGGATGATCGCCTTCCCTCGTAGGCCGTTCCGGTAGAAGCATCATAGCGGATTCTGTCTGCTCCAGGTGGTCTCATCATACGGACTGATCATCATCGGACGCAGCAGATGCCTTGATGGCAGAACGTCTTACTGGGGTGCCAAACATATCTTTGGTCGCTCTCGCATAGTACTCTCGGATCTAATGAGCGAAGTCAGCCAGGCTCGCTTCTTTCTAGGTAGTGATTGACATACGGTGTCAAAGACAGTGCCACTCTCATTTGTGTCCATGAACAGTACGCCGTAGACAACGACGACTAGGCTAGGAGTCAGCATATGATCATGCCATGACTTCGAGTGTCCATACATGAGATGGTGGCCCAGGTCGAAAGCTTGACGAACTTCGTCCATGCTGGTCTTGCCCACTTCAGCTTTGCTCTTCTACGGTATCGGCGTTCGAGGCGGAATTGATGCTTCTGCGAGAGTTTGGTAAAGTCCGGCGGCCATGTTCGTTTGGATTTGTATGGATTTCTAGCAAAGTCGAACTTTGGGAGGGCAGCAGCCCGCCGTAATAAGGTCGGAAACATGGTGATCTATTATGACTTGTGACAGCAAAAGTTGCGGCACCCTCGTGGGCGGTTCGGCACGTTGAAGGGACAAACAAGGCAAACAGGCGGCGTTGGGCGAGCTCGCAAGCCGAAAAGTCGTCTGGGGAAACTTTTGGAGCGCCATCGCAACTGAGACGAGCAAAGCACTCGCCCACCACGTCGTTGCTCACGTTTTCTCTGCGTCATCTACGGGTATTGCGTGTGAGGCCACTACAATACCGCTCCGTGACCATGGCCGCTCCTCAGGATACACAGGGTACTCTCAAGATTGAGAATGTGAGTCACTCGTCACTCGGCCATAGTCCTGCGCGTTACTGATGCATCGCTGCGCAGACCGACAAGCGTGACACCCTGATTGCTACCGAGAAGAAGTACCAGCAAAAGTGGAAGCAAGATGGCATCTTCGAACAGAATGCCCCCTCGCTCGAAGAGGTTCCTTTCCACTCAATCACCCCCGCCGAGCTCCGCGAACAACAGCCCAAGTTCTTCGGTACCATGGCATACCCTTACATGAACGGAATCTTGCATGCCGGCCATGCTTTCACCGCCTCAAAGGTCGAATTCGCTACTGGTTTCGCCCGCATGGAGGGCAAGAGAGCCCTCTTTCCCCAAGGTTACCACTGCACTGGTATGCCCATCAAGTCTTGCGCCGACAAGCTGGCCCGTGAGATGGAAATGTTTGGCAAGAACTTCGAGAATTACAACGAGGAGGAAGACGAAGAAGAATCCGTGCCCGCACCCACACAGGAGACCACCAAGGCCGACATCACAAAGTTCGGCGCAAAGAAGAGCAAGGCCGCTGCCAAGGCTGTGTCCATGAAATACCAATTCCAGATTATGGGTGCCCTCGGCCTCGAAAAGGAGGAGATTCACAAGTTCGCCGACCCCAACCACTGGCTCGAGCACTTCCCTCCTCTCTGCGAGCGCGACCTCACAAACATCGGAGCCAGAGTGGACTGGAGAAGATCAATGGTCACCACTGATGCCAACCCCTACTACGATGCCTTTGTCCGCTGGCAAATGAATCGTCTCAAGGACCTGGGCAAGATCAAGTTCGGCAAGAGGTTCACAGTGTACAGTCCCAAGGATAAAGGGGCCTGTATGGACCACGATAGAAGCGCCGGTGAGGGCGTCGGTGTGCAAGAATACACTGCCCTGAAGATGAAGGTACAAGAGTGGGCTGAGCCGGCACAAAAGATCCTCGCAGGCAAGCTTCCCGAAAACGCCAACGTCTACTTTGTCCCGGCCACTCTTCGTCCTGAGACTATGTACGGTCAAACCTCCTGCTTCGTCGGTCCCAAGATCACGTATGGCGTCTATAAGATTTCAGAGAACGAATACTACTTCGTCTCCGATAGAGCTGCTCGCAACATGGCTTTCCAGGGTATCTTCTCAGAGTGGGGCGCCTTCCCAAAGGTCGCCGACCTCCAGGGCGCTGAGGTTATAGGCACTATCGTCAACGCTCCTCTTTCCGTTCACGAGAACGTTCGAATTCTGCCCATGGAGACTGTCAAGGCCACAAAGGGTACTGGCGTTGTCACCTGTGTGCCTTCGGACTCTCCTGACGATTGGATCACAACTCAGGACTTGATCAAGAAGGCAGAATACTACGGCATCAAGAAGGAGTGGGCTGAGTTTGAGCCTGTTCCCATTATCGACACACCTACGTACGGAAATCTTACTGCCAAGAAGTTGGTCGAGGACATGAAGATTGCCTCACCCAAAGACACTAAGCAGCTTGCCGAAGCCAAGGATCTTGCTTACAAGGAGGGCTTCTACAAGGGTACCATGTGCTATGGTGAGCATAAGGGCAAGTCGGTTGAGGAGGCCAAGCCCCTTGTCAGACAGACTCTCATCGATGCTGGCCACGCGTTCAACTACGCTGAGCCCGACGGCGAAGTCATTTCCCGCTCCGGAGATGCATGTGTTGCTGCGCATCTTGACCAGTGGTACCTCAACTACGGAAAGAGCGGTGATGAAGCCTGGCAACAGGAAGTTCTTGGTCACCTCAATGGCGAGCTCAACACATTCTCTACTGAGGCCAAGAACGCCTTTGAGCAGACTCTCGACTGGCTCGGTCAATGGGCTTGCGCTCGTTCTTTCGGTCTCGGCTCCAGGCTTCCATGGGACAAACAATTCTTGGTCGAGTCTCTCAGCGACTCGACGGTATACATGTCGTACTACACTGTAGCCAGTCATCTACATTCGGACATTTTCGGCAAGACCCCGGGTATCGCCAAGGTTACACCTGAGCAGATGACCGACGAAGTCTGGGACTACATCTTCACTCGCAGCGACGATGTAGAGAGTGACATTCCCAAGGAGAAGCTTCAAGCCATGCGCAGAGAGTTCGAGTACTGGTACCCCCTCGACATCCGTGTCTCCGGAAAGGATCTCATCCAGAACCACTTGACCTTCTTCCTGTACTGCCATGTCGCCCTCTTCCCTCGCGAATACTGGCCCCGTGGCATTAGGGCCAACGGTCACCTGCTTCTCAATGGCAGTAAAATGTTAGTCAAAATTCCATTCTCTGATAAATCTTTGCTAACTCTTTAACTTCAGGTCGAAATCCACCGGTAACTTCTTAACCCTCTACGATGCCACCAAGAAGTTTGGTGCAGACGCTACCCGTGTCTCTCTTGCCGATGCTGGCGATTCGATCGAAGACGCCAACTTCGAAGAGAGTGTGGCCAACGCTATCATTCTCAAGCTCTTCGAGTTGAGAAAGTGGTGCGAAGAGACCATCAGAGACGCTCGCGTGCTCAAGGATGGCGAGAGTTACGTCGAGGTCAACAAGAACGAGCGCCTGAAGAACAACGACTCTGTACAGCGTACTGGCGAGAGAAACTTCTGGGACAATGTCTTCGAGAACGAGTTGAATGGCTTGGTAACTGAGACAAGAGAACATTACGCTGCCACCAACTACAAGTCCGCTCTGAAGTCTGGCTTCTACGACTTCACCAGCGCTCGTGACTTCTACCGTGAGATCACCAAATCTTCCGGTATCGGCATGCACCAGGACCTTGTCCGCAAGTACGTCGAGCTCCAGGCCTTGATGATCACTGTCACCGCTCCTCATTGGGCCGAGTACGTTTGGCTCGAGGTTCTCGGCAAGCCTACCACTGTCCAGAACGAGCTCTTCCCTCAAGTTCCTGCCGTCAAGCCCGAGCTGACCGCCGCTCGCGAGTACGTCCGCCAGACCAGTGGTAACATCACCTCTGCCGAGGGTGCCCAGTTGAAGCGTATGGCCAAGGGCAAGGCCACCAACTACGACCCCAAGCAACCCAAGAAGCTCACCATCTTTGTGGCTTCCGAGTATCCTGCTTGGCAATCCAAGGTCATCGACTTGGTCCGTGAGGCTTTCGATGGCTTGACCATTGATATGAAGGCCGTCAGCAAAAAGGTCGACAAGGCCGACAGCAAGAAGGCCATGCCCTTCATCCAAGTCCTTAAGAAGAGTCTCGAGAGTGGCATTGACGCCAACACCGTCTTTGAGCGCAAGCTCGCTTACAACGAGGTCGACGTTCTCACTCAAATGGTTCCCGGTTTGATGAGCACAGTGCAAAGATGCGCCTCTGTTGAAGTCATCTCTGTCGAGCAAGGTGGCAAGACTGGCAAGGTTGTGTGCAGCATTGGCGAGGCCGGTGCTGCCAAGGGTGAGGAGAAGTCTGACTTGCCTCCTCAGGCTGAGAATGCCGTTCCTGCGTAAGTTTTGCCGTTTCTAATGACTAAATGCGAAATGATGCTAACGAGATTTATAGTAACCCTACTTTCTTCTTCTCGAACATCTAGAGCATGTGTGTGCGATTGGCCAAGTGTATGGAGTTTTTCCAAAAAAGCGAAAAAAGTTGTTCAATGTTCCTTCTCGATATCGTCGCTTTCCTTGTGCTTCTTTCTGTGATTGCGGGCTTCTTCGTTACTTCCTCCTCTTGCGTGCCTTGCTAGATCCATCGTGCCTTCCCGCTTGATCATGGCCGTTCTTATACTTTCCCGTGCGAGCAGCTGCATATCTTAGTGCTGCTTCCCCGGTCTTGAGATCGCCACTTTCATCTTTTTCCATGGTTGTACCTGCCGTGTCCACTCAGACATACCCGGTTATGGCTCTCCAGCTCAGGGCTCTCCACGTCGAATTTTTTCCTGTCAAAAAATGCATGATGGAATCAACCACCTGGAGCTAGCTCCTCTCTGTCGAGACATGAATGATCAACATCCTTTCTATATCGCTGGCGAACTACATACTGTAGATCGCGGAACTTTGTTAGTTTCGGGTTTCGATATAATTTCGACCCCACATGTCCAGCATGCTCCTCGTATGACCCTGACACTTTGCGATTTCATGTCGAATTATATCCGCGTTTTACGTATCTATGGATATATGTTGCTATGCATATCTTTCTCTCGTCCCTGCTGAGGGATATCGAGGTTTATGGGTGTGTGTGTAGGGTTGTTTAGTGATCTAGTTAATGTAATCACTTGCGATTTGATATGCTCGTATAAGCTACACCATTTTGTCATCTGGAAATGCCTGCAGGTTGATGTCACTAAGAGTAGATGCATATAAAGCGATCGAGAAAGTATACAGCGCAAGAGTGACAGTATGTTACCACGTACAAAGACTCTACTTAAGCACATCTGACGGGGTATCGCCTCGCAAAGTCCTCCTTATGCAAGGTCAGGGTGCCACACCTCAGCAAGAGCAACATGGCACAGAATCACGATCTTGCACAAAGCCCTACTCCTATGGATATCCTGATCGTTCTTTCCATCCCCTATCACTGCTGGCGAGATAAGATACACATGGCAAGCAAGCTCTGTTTTGCATCTCCAGGACAGTATGTCGGCTCAGAAATCTGCTGTCAAAACACACAGTCGTCTTTTGCATAAGTGACACTGTCGAGGAACGAAGGGGTGATGTGAGATCTTGATGGGCAGGTGTGATGAAGCGCAAAGTATTGTGCATTGACACATGCTGCAGACAGTCTGCGTGTGTTGCGTGCTGAGAGACGGAAATAGTGATACGGTGTTAACGAGCCTAGGATCTGTCTTTATCGTTGCCCTGCTTTCTTTCTTTGCCTCGACCTATAGGTGTACGCTATGCTTGGAGGGAGTCACCTCTTCTCTCCGTGGTCCTGTGCCTTCACTCATCTATGCAGTTAGTACCATTGTCATGGTGGGAGTAAACAGATGGGTGTAAAAGGAAGATTGCCGGGTGATCGTTGGCGAGACTATTAGTTTCTGCCATGCCACTATACAGAGTCAAATGCACCAAACATAAAGAAGACACTGGAAAGAGGGGGAAAATGAATGCTGCAAAGATGTCTAGAAACAATGACATCAAAAAAGACCGTCGAAAAACGAGCTTGCTGTGATTTCTTTCTTACTGTACAGAAGATTGTGAAATGTGAGAGGAAGGTTTCCCCATCCTCCTCACCAGGGATATATAAAGGAGTAGCCTGATTGTGTATGAACCCGGAGCCTTAGGCGTAGGAAATCGCGTCCTCATTATTCAACCAACCAGTTGTCGTCATCATCGGCTACATCGTAATCCATCTCGGCTGCAGGTCTAGGAGGGCCAAGATCTTGAGGTTCGTCCATGTTGACGTCTTTGGATGCTTCGGCGCCTGCCTGTGTAGAGGCAATGGGAGTGCTGGGCGCAGGGTTTGCCATCCAGGATAACTCGACTTTACCGAGATGCGGGATGTCAGACCCACGATTGAGGAACTTTTCGGCTTGATAGCGTTCGGAGAATGCGAGCATAGCTGCGTCTGGCCGTGAAGGATGAGCGCTGATCTGTGTGGATTCCATGAGGTCGCTCTGTTGTGAAATGTCAGTATGATGCTTCAAACCAGATATTGGACTGCCGTCCAAACTCACGAAAAGCAGATATTGCCTCAAAGCCTCGTCTTTTTGCGAATCCAGTGCCTCGTTGTTGGAGAAGATGACTGCAACAGTTCTGGGTCTGTTGTCTAGCCTTCTCACTGCACCTCCACGGGGAGCAAAAGCACCTCTTCCTCCTCGCCATGCGCCTCGCGGTTGGAAAGCTCCACGTCCTCTGTATCCACCACGACCGCGGGGCGCGAAGCCTTGCCATGACTGATCCTCGTTCGGGTTGATACCCATGCTCTCAGCCTCCTTCTCCAGCTCGGCAAGCTTGGCCTTCAAAGCATCGGTTTGCGAGAGTGTGCCATTGCCATCAGTGCCGTTAGCAGTACCGTTCTGGCCAGCAGCAGCTTGATCCGGCGTTCCAGACTTTCCTCTCTCCTTGGCAGCGAGTTTTGCAAGCAGCTTGTTGCGCTCTTCAGCCTGGGCTTTCATCTTCTGTTCCAATTCTTGACGTTGTGCCTCTGCCTCCTTAATTTTCCTCGTCTTTTCCTCATGCGCGCGTTGTGCCTCTTCTTGTCTTTTCGCGAACTCGACAGGATCAATCTTTTCCTCTTCTTGCATGTCAACATCGCCGTCGCTCTTGCCAAAGCCGTTCTGGTGGCGTTCGCGTTGCATCCTCTCAGGCTTATACCAGTAGACCTTAACAAAACGGTTGTCGAAGATGACCTTGGGGCTGTCGTATGCTTTCTTTGCGCTGTCGTAGTCGTCGAACTTTATGATGGCTAGACGCTTGTAGTCCTGCAACTCGACCGACTCGATGGTTCCAAACTCGGAGAAAAAGTCGCGGACGGATTGCTCGTTGAAGTTCTCCTCTGGGATCTGCTCAATGACAACCTGGGTAATGGAGCGGTCGTGGTTGGGACCAGCAGACGAGAAATCGGCGCGTCCTCCGCGACCACCACGGAAGGCGCCTCTATCGCCTCTACCGCGGCCTCGTCCACGTCCTCTGTCGCTGAACGGACGTCCCTGCGATATGGATGCGTTCGCGGGATCGTATTCGTCGGCTTGCTGGGGCACGACTACGGGATCGTTGCCGTGCTCGTGAGGACACGAAGCACCGAGTGCGCAGAAGCCCTTGGTGTCGTAATCGTGGCATCTCTGACCCGAGCGCGGTGTTTGCGAAGGGTTGCCAAAACCACCAGGAGATTGGGCGAAAGGCATCTGCGGCATCTGAGGCATACCGGGCATGTTGGAGAGACCGCCCATAGCCTGCTGCATTGCCATGAGAGCGGCCATGGGGTTGTTCGGGTCGAATTGGGGCATGCCTTGTGGTGCGCCGGGCATGTTGCCCATGAAGCCTCCTCTTTGACCCCCGCGTCCACCTCGTCGCATCTGCTTCATTGGACGGTCTTGCTGGGGACCTTGGTTTTGGCTGTTAAAGGCATTGCTCTCGTTGTACTCGCGCTTCCTTGAGGCAGGACCCGAGGGAGGGTTGAAAGCTGGTTCGCTCGGTTGGAAAGGCTGTGCGGTAGGTTGGAAAGCCGAGGCGGTAGGCTGTAACGGCTTGGACGAGGACGAGTTGTCGAGGTGGGCGAAGACGTCGTTGACAAAGTTTGGAGTGCTGTCGTGCAAAAAGTCCTGCAGGTTGTCCAGACAGTTCTGCTTGACGGCGTCGTCAGATTCCTCGGATCGGATCAGGGCGATGACATAGTCGGCGAGAACGTCCGAGTCCGCGTCCGAGATGTCCTCCAGACGTTTGACAACCCAGCCTTTCAGCTCTTCCGAAGCACTGTCGTCGAGAAGCATGGTCGCGTAATTGATAGTTGGACTCTGGTCAAGCTCCGAGAACTTCGCTCTGGACCTGAGGGACAGCTTGAAATCCACCCTCGCTACCCCGGTCTTGGCTGAAGTCATTTTCACTCGTTATGTTAGCTTACACTTACTTGCACAAGACTTGTGCACGCTTGAACACCTGCCGATGTCGAGAACAGCTACAATCTTTGTTGATGGTAGTGTAGTATCCTCTGGCAATCAGCTTAGGGCTTGTGGGCCGCTTGGAAGTCGAGTCGCATCTTTCGCAGGCCAGCTTCAGAATAATACACAATCGAAGTGAGCCAGGACTGTTGGCAAGCTGAATCCTTCACGAGCAATCGTCGTTTATATTCCTCGACACCTTCTATCTTTACTCTCTCTTCTACCATCATCATCAGAGGTTGCTTCGACTGCCTAGATATTCAGGTAACATCATGTCGTCCTCACAGCCTCAGGACGTCTCAACAATGGAACAACTCTACCCGAGCATCCCCGTCCAGACGCTTAGCCATATCGAAACACTCCAAGACTGGGAGACGATCAAGACATGGGGCAAGCAAAACGGAGAATCATACATGGCTCCGTTGGACAAGGGCTTTGTCATGTATACTTCTATCAACCACACACTGATCGCTGTGCTTGGACCTACTGCAATTGACGAGGTGAGGCCGTTGGTAGAGGAAGGAGAAAAGGCCACTGCTGGGAAAGAATGGAATGAGGAAAAGAAGTGTTGGGAGTGATCAAGGTATGCTATACCAGAGTCGACAAGAAGTAATTCGGTACTAACACTTCTGGAGCTTAGATCCCAGCCGGTTTCACAATCATGGCAGAGTGCAGCAAATAGCCAACCAAATTCTCGAGCATAGCAGTATGTCGTTCATGGACAAAAGCATACGCAAGAAGATAAATCGGCTTCGAGTTCAGGGAGAGTAGAGGGGTAGAAGAGAGATCAACCAAAAAGTCCTTGGTCAGCACGAAATGTTTTACGCGATAGTTGTCACAACATGAGCAGCTGCAATGGAAGATATGCTCATAATTTTGGATGAAGATGTTTAGTGTGTTTGCGCGAGTGCTGAGTGAAGATAGTCTGTAGAGGTGTGGATAGATGGTCGACGCACAGACCACATTTGGCGGACGGGCCTGACGTACCTTTCGGGGGAGACCAACGTCTCTTGCCAGTGCACGACGCGGTCGGAGAGTTCAACCACCAGCTATACCACCCTGCTGTACAGCAGTCAATACCGCCCCTTCTCGACACCTCTCTCCTCTCAACTCGCCCCACAGCCACCGCAAAGATGGCCGGAGAGGATTTCGCCGCCGACCCCAGGATGATGTCCATCCAGCCTCGCATCCGCTACAACACCATTGGCGGCATCAACGGTCCTCTGGTCATTCTGGACAATGTCAAGTTTCCTAGATTCAACGAGATTGTCTCCTTGACCCTGCCCGACGGTACCGAGAGATCTGGTCAGGTCCTTGAAGCTCGCGGTATGTACAGACCAGCTCAACACAACTTGATAGCTGCATACTGATCCTCTCACACAGGCAACCGCGCCGTCGTCCAGGTACGCTCCGACCCGATCGCCACATGATCGCGACAATCAAACTGGAACACAAAGAGCACGGAGCTTACGCATGATAACAGGTCTTCGAGGGAACTTCTGGTATCGATGTCAAGAAGGTGCGCCGAACCCAGCTCGAAATAAGAATGCGAGTAGTAGTGCTGATACCCAGTAGACCAAGGTCGAGTTCAGCGGCCACTCGCTCAAGCTCGGTGTGTCCGAGGACATGCTTGGTCGTGTCTTTGACGGTTCGGGTCGTGCTATCGACAAGGGCCCAAAGGTCTTGGCCGAGGACTACCTGGACATCAACGGTCAACCCATCAACCCCTACGCAAGAGTCAGTCGAAATGATATCATACCACACGAATGCAGTATATTGACGTCTGCAGGAATACCCCGAGGAGATGATCTCGACCGGTATCTCGACCATTGACACCATGAACTCAATCGCCCGTGGTCAGAAGATTCCCATCTTCTCCGCCGCTGGTCTGCCTCACAACGAGATTGCTGCCCAGATTTGTAGACAGGCCAGTTTGGTCAAGCCCACCAAGGGTATCCACGACGACCACGAGGACAACTTCTCCATCGTCTTCGGTGCTATGGGTGTCAACTTGGAAACCGCCAGATTCTTCACTCGCGACTTCGAGGAGAACGGCAGTATGGAGAGAGTTACTCTATTCTTGAACTTGGCCAACGACCCTACGTGAGTCTACTCCATCTCCATGACCTGCTCAGCTACTGACGTTGTAACAGCATCGAGCGTATCATCACTCCCCGTCTTGCTCTGACAACTGCCGAATACTACGCCTACCAGCTCGAGAAGCACGTCTTGGTCATTCTTACTGACCTTTCGTCTTACTGTGATGCTCTGCGTGAGGTTTCGGCTGCCAGAGAAGAAGTTCCCGGTCGTCGTGGTTACCCCGGTTACATGTACACTGATTTGTCCACCATTTACGAGCGCGCTGGTCGTGTTGCTGGCAGAAACGGATCCATCACCCAGATTCCCATCTTGACCATGCCTAACGATGGTACGTTGAAGCCTCATCACTAGGACTGAAAAAACAAAAACACTAACATGCATTTCTAGATATCACCCACCCTATCCCCGATTTGACTGGTTACATCACCGAGGGTCAGATTTTCATTGACCGTCAACTCTACAACAAGGGTATCTACCCACCAATCAACGTGCTTCCGTCGCTCTCGCGTCTCATGAAGTCCGCCATTGGTGAGGGCATGACACGTAAGGATCACTCCGATGTCTCCAATCAGCTTTACGCCAAGTACGCCATTGGTCGTGATGCCGCTGCCATGAAGGCAGTTGTTGGTGAGGAGGCTTTGTCAAGCGAGGACAAGCTTTCGCTCGAGTTCTTGGACAAGTTCGAAAAGACCTTCATCAACCAGGGTGCATACGAGAAGCGCAGCATTTTCGAGTCGCTCGACACTGCATGGGAGTTGCTCCGCATCTACCCCAAAGAGCTTCTCAACCGTATCCCCAAGAAGACTCTGGACGAGTGGTACACACGCCGCTCTTCAGACAAGCAGGCCGACAAGGACACTCGCGACAACCAGGACAGACAGCAGGAGAGCGAGAACCTGATCGACGCATAATCAAAGCCGAAGAGAGCATGTTTTTGACTAAATTTTCCGTTTCTTTCCTTGTTGTAGATAGCGCTTGTGCTTATACCATACCGCAGTATATCAGATATTCGTTTGTCACTGACTGAAGCGTTGACGTGTGTCTTAATGGACGAAAGTATATTATAGTTATAGATGGAAGTGAAATAGGAGAGAACAATGATGGAGATAAAAAAAGTCAAATCACGTGAGTATTTGGTTGGGGCGTGCTTTGCGCAGTCGGAACGTCTGTCTGTGGCCCGGCGTTGGATGCAAGAGCTGCGCTGTGCCAATAAACTCCCATCTCCGCTCATTGCATCTCGCCATAACCTGCAAAATGATGTCCGGTCGTATCGCTGCTCGCGCCGCCCGCGTGGCCGCCCCTCGCGCTCCCATTGCCGTCAGATCCTACGCCGCCGCTGCCTCGCCCGCTGCTTCCAAGCCCCCGGTCGCTCTCTTCGGTCTCGACGGTACCTACGCCAGCGCCCTCTACACTGCCGCTGTCAAGACCGAGTCTCTGGATTCCACCGCCAAGGGTCTCGAGAACCTTGCCGCTACCTTCAAGAGAGATGTTTCATTGAAGACCATCCTTGAGGCCCCCACCCTCAACACCAGCGACAAGCAGCAAATCATTGCCGAGATTCAGAAGTCCATGGGTGTCCAGGACAAGAACAACACCATCAAGAACTTCCTCGAGGCTCTTGCCGAGAACAACAGACTCAACCAGCTCGAGGGTGTTGCCGAGAAGTTCGGTACCCTCATGAGCGCCGCTCGCGGTGAGGTTGAGTTGACCGTCATCAGCGCTGCTGTACGTTGAAACAAGCAAGAGATTATACACGCAACAGCAATGGATTGCTGACATGTCGCAAAACAGCCCCTTGACGCCAAGGTCCTCAAGCAGCTCGAGAGCTCCGTCTCCAAGTCGTCATACGTCGGCCAGGGCAAGAAGCTCAAGGTTGTCTCCAAGGTATGTTATGCTGCAGGTGCACGCACTTACGGCCCCTCTGACAACCCGCACAGGTCAACCCCGAGATCCGTGGTGGACTCGTTGTCGAGATCGGTGACCGCACCATCGACCTCTCTGTTTCATCCAAGATCGCCAAGATGAACAAGCTCCTCAGAGACACTCTGTAAATATTTGACTACGATTTCCCCCCCCCTTTCCTCGCCTTGTAGCAACAGAAAAGAAGAATTTATGGCGGTGTTGACTTGATACGTCGTCCTTCTCGAAAAAGTTACCAAATATAGACAGTGATTGTCGTAATCAATACACAGGCTGGATTCTGTTCCCATTTTATGCTAGGTCGCACTTTTTTCCCATGGTCTCAAACACATGAGGCTTTTCTTTGTACTAGCATCAGCAATGAGTCTCTGAATACTTGGGTCTCTGTCAGACGGGAGCTATCGACACATGCAGCGACTCAGTGAAGAAAGGACTGCCCACGAACGGTGATGAAGGTATGTGTTTCCAAAAGATCGAAATCACCAGTAAACAACGGAAAATGAGATAAGAATGTCATGAATCCATCAACTATAATCTCCTACTGCGAAAATGCCCGTATCTTAAAGTCGGCATTCTCCTCCGGCAGCGGCGCCGTCGGAATCTGCTGGAAGCGTGGCAGCAAATAAAACGCCAGATCCCTGCCTTCGAGCTGATTCGTACTCCACCCATTACCCAGCCACGCCATCTGATTCTCCTCTTCTCCATACCCATAATCATAATCCTCCCATCTAGGGCTCCTCAACGCTTCTATACAATGCAATGTCGACCCAGGCCATAACCCTGTCACTGTGTTTCCCTTTCTATACCAACTCTTGCACTCGTCCATAAAGACTGTGTTTTTGAAGTACTCGTCCGAGTAAGCGAGGAAATCTCGCACTCGGGCAGACTTTACAGTCATTGCTGCAATATTCTCCTTTTGAATTTTGCGAACGCATTTTACAATGTAGTCGCCTACACTTTCTATCATCATTGTCAAGGAGCCAGTGCCGATTGCAGAATTAGGTCCTAGCATCATGAATAGATTTGGGAACTTGTCTGTTGCGAGGGAGAGGTAGGAAGTTGCTCTTTGCTCCCAATGATCAGGCAATGCAATGCCATCGATACCAGTAACTGGGAAGGGAGGTGGTGCTCCAGTGTGGAAACCTGTTGCGCAGACCAAGACGTCGATTTCGTGGTGTTTGCCATCTTCGGTTACTACACCGGTGGGTTGGATGTGGGTTATACGATCGCGCACGAATTCGACGTTTTCTTCCACCAGAGCTTCTAGGAAGCCAGGACCGGGGGTCAGACGTCTACAGCCAGGAGCGAAATCTGGCTTTAACCAGTCAAAGAGTTCTGGCTTTTTGGCCAATCTCTTCTTCATATTCTCCTCAAAGTGTGCTTGGGCTCCTTTTTGCATTTCCGTGCCCATCATTGTTAAATCGTGGATTTCGTTTCCGCCTTCTTCGATCTTCATGCGGAACTTGAAAAAGGCTTCTGGGTCGTTGGCAAAGATTTCTTTTTGGGCATCGCTGAAGATGAAACCATCCATTTTTAATTCGTCTTGGATTGCTTGGCCGAAGGGTGGGGAGATCCAGGTGCGGCTGCGGATGAAGCAGGAGAGTTTTGTTCCAGAGAGGCGTTGGAGGGAAGGTATGATTTGGATTGCTGAGCTTCCACTGCCGATTACACCGATGCGTTTGTTTGTAAAGTCGTAGCTGTGACCATAAAATTAGCAAGGGCACTTTTGCAAAGTTCCAAGGGACAATCGCTTACTCCTGATTCCAAGCTGCCGAATGCATGATTTCTCCTTTGAAACTCCCGAGTCCGTCGATTTGTGGCCATGCAATGTGGTTTAATCCTCCTCTTGCCATGATCAATACATCACTGCTGTCCTCGAACTCCGTCTCTGTTTCTAGGTCTTCGACCATGACGAACCATCTTGAGGCTTGTGCATCCCAACGACAACTCTTGATCTCATGGCGTAGTTTAATGAAGCGATCAACGCTGTATTTCTTCACCGTGCTTTCGAGGTAGGCTTGTATTTCGCTGGCGGGAGAGTACATAGATGACCAGTTTGGGTTGGGGTTAAAGGAGTACTGGTACGAGTGTGCTTTATTGCTTGTTAGTCGTCTATCTTGACTAGCAGTACCTCTGAAGAGAGAAGAGAAAGTGTGAACTTACATGGGATATCGCAAGCACATCCAGGATATCTGTTCTCATACCATGTTCCTCCCACCCCTGCATTCTTGTCGTAGATGACCAGTTCGGCATTTCGCAGACGCTCAGGAATACGGATACCGTGGTAGATGCCCGAGTATCCTGCTCCGACTACAATGACCTTGATGGGTCGTTGGTTCTCGACCACTGTGTTGTGAAGTACGAATCCAGATGCTGTCGTGTCGTTCGCAGATGTCGCTGTGAAGCCTGCTTGGGTAGGCGAGTCTATACGTTTGGCTTTGGGAAGTGCATCGTCGAGGAGTTGGTCAAGATCCTGTTCGCGAGTACCGTTCTGAGTAGTCTTGTGGTTTATGCCGTTCTCGTGGACTGGCTCCGGGATATTGGGAATAGCAGACATGATGTTGTAGTCGTCGCCAGACAGCGCTATGATTCACACGAGCAGATGAGTAGACAGAAAGAAGGGTCAGGAAAGACAATGATGCAAGAGAAAGCTTCCCTGTAGATTCAAACAAGACTCTCGACCCGCGGAAAACAGGCGATGATCCCTCTTTATATACGTACGAGAGTCAACGTGCACAGCGGGATAGGAAAAGCTGTACCTTTACCTTCTTCCTCGTATCCGAACTTACCCTTTGATTCCGCCCTCTCCATCACAAAGTGGAGCCCTACTGGAACAAGGCGCTCATGACCAGAGACAAGTCCAAAGGGCAACCCAACTGCCGTGTGGCGCTCCATGTTTGTGCCCAAAAAGAGACCGCAGCCCAGGACGGGCGGTCGTCCTTACCCAGACAAGGTTGCGGCAAGAGTGGATCCTCTAGAACGTGCGGGGTGCGAGATGTGGGGTCATCTCATCCGGATCCACTTCTTGTGGAGTCCTGAGGGCGGAAGAATTGACTTTTGGCTTGCGGAAATTCGGAAGTTGGTCACGGGCATGCTCAAGAGGAGGGCGGTCAATGGTGTTCACGGCATGGGGGATGTGGAGTCGGCTAAATCGTGATTGTGGTACAAAGGAACGTGACATGAATTGAAACTAGCGAGAGTGATTCTCGAGGGGCTACGACAAAGCAAATGTTTTAGATGATGGTCTTTTGGACGACGAATCGACGCGGTATTCACGCTGGTGTCTTGGAAGTGAGTAGGCAATATGAAGATTCCACCCTAGGTAGTCTTGTCCTTGCTCTTTGCAAACTCCTCTGCTGCGGCAGCCACTCGTTCTGCAGCCTCTCTGGCTTTCACTGGGTCAGGATGAACCCAGTTCTCAGGCTTCTTTCCGTACATCATCAACATGGGCGTGAATATTCCTGGAGCGAGGTCAGCATACTGCACAGCAAAGTCGTGATGGTCACGCATACCTTGTTTGCCACCATCTCTCAATCCCCAAACAGCTTGACCTTGCGTGTTCATCGCTTCCAAGACCGTATCGCAGTCGGTCTTGTTGTATAGACCAACCAAGCCCTGGAACTTGACCCAAGCTTTGCAGATATGCCACACCGTAGGCTTGAGGAAGAACACTGTCCACCAGTCACTCCTGTCTTGGAATTGAGTAGTGTTACCGTCAAGAGGGAGCCACCAGGGTCGAGATTGAAGACCCTTGAGTGCATGGTCTTCAATGTGGTAAACATCGAGACCGGTGTACTTGAACTCGGAGATTGCTTCTTTGGCAGTTTTCATATTGGCAATACCGTTACCACGTTCAATTCTGCGGCGTATGTCGACATGTTGTGGATTCTTGGGATTGAACTTGTCAGTCATGACCCACTCGCCTACGCTCATGAAACCGCCAGGCTTGAGCACACGACACATCTCGGTGTAGACGTCACGTAGTTCGGGGGCGTGAACGGTGGCTTCCTGAGCAAAGACAAAATCGAAGTGGTTGTCCGGGAATGGCATTTTCTGAGCACTGGGTCAGCGTGATATGAGTCGGTGTCATGGGATAGCTGCCTTACACAATAGTCTGCTCGAACAAAGTCGACCTTGTCAGCCATACCTTCTTCTTCGGCGAACATTTGTGCACGGTAGACCTGATATTCAGTGATGGTAACGCCGGTGACATGTACGTCGGCCCATCTTGCATACTGACGAGCAGGCTCGCCAACACCACAACCAGCATCTAAACCTCGCATACCAGGTCTGACACCCATGGTCATGAATTGATAGTGATCATGAGCAGCCAACGCCTCGCGCAGCGACTGCTTGTCGTCCAAGAATGGTGCAAAGTGAAATTTCTTGTTCCATCCGAACTCAAGACTCAGAGTTGCTAATTCATAGTAGCTGTGTGGAAATTAGTTTTCGGATCAGCACGCTCAGTGTTGGGGAAGGCTCACTCATGTGCGATGTTGGCGTAATGCTTCTTCCTTGCCTCGCGCTCAGCTTCGAGCTTCTGAATGTCGGAAGGCTTGTCGAGGTTTTCCTCGGTGTTGAAGTGAGTGCGAAATTGTGCACCCCAAGCGTCATCCTCGCGGGTTTTCGGGAGGTGACCTGATGCGGAATCAGGAAGATAGGTCTTGACAACCGTTGGTTTATTTTGGGCAGCCATATTTGCGATAAATCAGAAATGAAGACCTGAGCTAAATTGAGCGGTGCAGAAGTTTAAGTAAGGTATAGCAATGCAGACGATCTATGGACCATCGCTGAGAGGTGAAAGGAATGCAAAGGCTTGGCTGTTTTGAGCCCTTCGTATTGTCAGTAGGGTGACTGGGTGATGAAGACAATGGATTGCGGCCGACACTCGGGTACGTAGTCAATGGAATATGAGATTGCAAAGCACCTACGTTATATGCGCTTATATCGCTATCATTGTTAGCATCTGAGGAGGCAGCCTCCGGCACAATGCTCCTTGATCATGCTTTCGTCGAAGTCATTGTCTGCAAGGTGAAGATTCTGAGTCATAGACCTGATGGCTACAAACATCAGTGATCTGTAGTCTGCTAACACTGAGGGTACCGTGATTTGAGTAGTGACTGTTGCGATGACTTTCCAATCTTTGGTGGCTGCAAGAGAATAGTCCTGAATTGAGTGTATCGTCCTCGGCACGCGAGGTGTACTTTCGTGGCACAGTGATCCTCCGACGGATCCGACCAGCGAAGTCGCCGACTTACCATGTTTGATGCATCCACTAAAATCAGTGTCCATCAAGTCTGCGTCCAAAAATTGCATGGACGGGTGGATTGCTGGTATGGGAAGGCAGGAGGAGTAACGGACGATTAAGTGCTTATCTGCGGAGATAAGGAATCGTTCACATGCAGAAAGCCAAGAACAGGCGTCATAGCTTTGGGTCATGAGGCCCTTAGCAACGAACGATTTAACGATTGACTCGTCCTCGAGCCCCCTACTCTTCCGAACAACATAATGGCTCGAGGAGAAGAACCGATGCTTACGCGTCGTCCGTCGTCGCATAATGATGAGCGAGCGACCGAAGAGGACGCTCTTCTGACTGGACAAAGACCCCACCGCCAACCCTCTGCCTCACGATGGGCAAGATATCGAGAGATTGCCCTCTTCACCTGGGGTCTTGTAGCAACTGCCGCCATCATCGTTCTAGCCGTCGTGTATCAACACCAGACGTCGGAGGCCAATCCAGAGACACATCGCGAACGACCCAATGGAAAGAGGAACCTTGTTAGTCCGTCCTTCGAGGAACTTCAAGCCCAGTACTGACTAGGAGCAACAGGTGTTCATGGTATCTGACGGTATGGGTCCTGCCTCGCTGGCCTTGACTCGCGGCTTCCGACAGCATGTCAACGAGCTGTCCTGGGACGACACTCTGACCTTGGACAAGCACTTTATCGGAAACAGTCGTACTCGAAGCAGTAACAGTCTCGTCACGGACAGTGCTGCCGGAGCCACTGCCTTCAGCTGCGGACACAAGTCTTACAACGGCGCCATCAGCGTTATGCCCGATCACACACCTTGCGGGAGTGTCATGGAAGCCGCGAAGAGGGCTGGCTACACCACTGGCCTTGTCGTCACTACTCGCATCACCGACGCTACCCCTGCATGCTTCGCCGCCCACGTCAGAACTCGTGCTATGGAAGATCAGATTGCCGACCAACTCATCGGCAACGGCCCTCTGGGCAGAAACGTCGACTTGATTCTTGGTGGAGGAAGATGTCATTTCCTGCCCAACACCACCGTCGGAGGCTGCCGAGCTGACGGCAAGGACCTCATTGAGAAGGCAGACGAGCACGGCTGGAACTATATTGCCTCTCGCGAAGACTTTGATGGTCTCGACCTTGGCTCCTCGGTCAAGCTCCCTCTGCTTGGCCTGTTCGCGCCCACCGACATCCCCTTCGAGATCGATCGCAGACATGTCAACGACCAGTATCCGTCGCTTGAGGAAATGGCCAAGACCGCCCTCCGTGCCCTCAGCGACGCCACGAAAGACAGTGACCAGGGCTTCTTCCTCATGATTGAAGGAAGTAGGATCGATCACGCTGGTCACAATAACGACCCTGCCGCTCAGGTCCACGAGGTGCTTGCCTACGATAGAGCAATGCAGGCCGTCATCGACTTCCTCGAGGACGATGACACTGAAGGTCTCATGGTCGCCACCAGTGACCATGAGACCGGCGGCCTTGCTACTGCCAGACGTAAGTTTTTTCCGCATTCCGTCTGTATTGACTTTGCTGACCGCGCCCTAGAACTCAATGTCAACTACCCTGAATACCTTTGGTACCCTGGCGTTCTCGCCAACGCAACTCACAGCACCGAGCACACTGCCCGTCTGTACTTCTCGCACCTTTCGTCCCCCAAACACTCGGGTGTCGATCTCCGTAAGTATCTTACCACTTTAATTGACGATAATCTGGGTATCAAAGACGTCACTCGCGAAGAAATCGACCATCTCATCGAACACCCTGTCCTGAGCCCTTGGACAATTGCCGACATCATCAGCAAACGTAGTCAGACTGGATGGAGCACTCACGGTCATACTGCTGTTGATGTGAACATATACTCTTCTGATCGCCATGCCTCGAAGAAGCTCCATGGCAACCATGAAAATACAGAAGTCGGTGAATTCTTGCGATGGTATCTCGATGTTGAGGGCGAGGTTGAAGAAGTTACCAAGGAGCTGAAAGATAAGTTGGAAATCTCTAGTGGCGAGAGCTGGTTGGGGTCCATTCCTTCCCAAGAGGAACTAGCTAAGGTCTCAAGCCATCTGATGAGTCCTCAAAGAGGCTTTGATTGAACACACAGACCTGGCTAGAAAGTTCAAAGCATTAGCATAGAAAGGACTGGAGGAGCATTGCATTGATAGAACATATACTCGCATACGCTGGAGGCAAGCATTTCATGTCGTTTGATAGAGCCAATCATCTGATTACTTACCTTTGTCCATCTCTGCTTGATGATGTCTATGCAGAGGAAAGTCCTTCCATCATGTATACTTGGATGAGAGGTAGCATGTATGTAAAGTAGCATATGGTCTCAGATCTACCCCCTAACAAGCAGCCCAATCATTACAAGTAGATGTCGCTGGGTGTGCAGTCTCTGGGTGTAAAGGATGAGAGTGACTTCGCTAGCAAGACTGTAGTCCTCTTGGCTGCTCAGAGGACTCAAAGTCCGACCTTGGCTGTCGAGATAGACCCAGCGGAACACTATTCGCGAGTCATGGAGCTCTGCTGATGTCGAATCAGTCCATATCCAGCACCACGCATTACTCGCAATCTTCTTCCCGAGTGACACGCTGAAGCAGCACCACAATACTGTGACAAAAGCTTCTCCAAATCTCAAAGCACTTGGAGTATTCGCCGGCAGAATCTCTCCATACGACAATCCAGCAGTTCTCTCAACGATCTTGCGCAAGAGGTAAGGAAACCTTCCATTGGCTGATCCAATGATGCTGGTGGGCGCATTCATACCCATCTTGCACTCCAGTCCTTACATACGATCTTACTGATGAAGATCGATAGAGAGTGGAACCCTCACACGCCATGATGCAGAGAAGTCAGAGACCCATATGCCGCATGTGGCAGATGGGACGCTGCACCTTTAGCAGCATCCAGTGCGAGTTCCGTCATGCTGATCTCGATTTCCGCGCGCAGCCAACACTTGACGAAGGCTTTGTCCCCCAGCCGCGCTTGGCTGAGTCTCGCTGGGACTTTGGCGCCCACCAAGTACACAGAGACCGCCAGCCTCTGCAGGAACTTGTTCTTCCTGTGTCCTCGACCTCATACCTTGACATCGACCACGACCAGCAGAACGATTCTGGAGAGCGTTCTGAGTGGGACGACGAAGATTACCAGAGTCGAGGTCGCCCCAGAAGACGTGCACACCATTGGGACAGCCGCGACGCCTCCGAGGATGTGGCACCCAGTGCTGTTGGTAAGCAACTGAAGATCCAGGACCAGTTTCGTTTGTATATGCTGATGCTCAACAGATGGTCGCCAGCCCGTGAGCTTCGTCTCGCAGAATGACGCGTTCAACACTTGGAGAGAGGCCCAGGATGGTGTGTACAAACGTAACACCTACCTGCAAGATTGAAGCGTCTGACATACCTGTAGCCTTCATCCCGGACCAGGAAATCACCGTCTGGGAAGACCAGGAACACGACGTCAGCGACGAAGCGCCCATGAGCGAAGACGACAGCGAGGATGGTATGCTTCACCAACAGCCATTGCTCTGGTCGCCCTGCTAATGAGTCATCTTGCAGAAATCTCCAGACTGGCAGAGCTGGAAGGTGCAAGTGGCGACAAGGAGAACAACCTTCCATACATCGCCTCAATGGGCATGAGTGAAGGTCGCTGGCGTCGCGCTGAACTTAACTCCACAGAACGCACGGACGCAAGAGGACGCGAATCTCCAGCACCATCATCGCCATCACCACCTGGGCGTCTGGTCAACTCTACATCAGAAAATTCGCCTTTGATGATGAGCCAATCAAGAGACATCTCGCAGAATGGCGGTGCGCCTGACGGCGACGGTGTCGGACCCCATCCCTCCTTCATCAAAGTTGCCAATCCCTACATCTTTGAACAGCAGATCAGAAGCGCCCTGGCTGCTATCGGTGTAACTGAACAGAAGGAGGACAGTATTCGTCTCCAGGGTGTACACTACATCGACAACACCAGAAAGGCTTTGCAGTTGTTAGTCTTTCCGCCAAAGATCGTTGACGATCAATTCTAATTATCGCTTCTTTTAGGCCTGTCCGAACCTTTAACACCGCAGTTGTCTATTATCATAAATTCCGCCTGGTCCATGCCGACACCGAGTACATGTGGGCCGTAATTATTTTCCCTGCCGTGAAAACTTGCCAATCAATTCTGATGATCTCTGCTAGGATGCTGCTGCCGCCGCGCTGTTCCTTGCTTGCAAGGTCGAAGACACCTTGAAGAAGTCTCGCGAAGTTCTTTGCGCCGCCTGGAACCTCAAACTTCCCTCGTCTGAACATCTGAGCCCCGATGACCCCGTGAGTTTATCATAGTCAAGGTCTCAGGTCTTCCGCTGATTTTATAAGGTCTTCGAACAGCCTTCTAAGACTGTTGTAGGCCTCGAGCGCCTTATGCTGGAATCGGCTAGCTTTGATTTCAGAACAAGACATCCTCAGGAACTTGTGATCAAGCTTGTCAAACAGTTGGAAGGTCCCATGGAAACCCTTGGCAGAATGTCGTTCAACATGTCTATTGATTTGTACCGCACATTCGCGCCCTTGAAGCAGACCTCCGCGACCATGGCCATTGCTTGCATTGAGCTGACCGCACGTCTTCTCAACCTTACTACCGATTCCGACATGGACAGAGTCGTGGGACCTAATGGTATCAACCTTGAAGCGTGGTTCACCACCCGTGGCGCAATCATGGGTACGTCTCCAGAATCTTGTAAGCTCAAAGCAAGACTGACCAAATCGTAGAGACTCTCTTGGATCTCCTTGATCTCTACACTCATCACCGTCACGCCACCATCGTCGGCCCAAATTTTACTATTGACAATTACGTTGCTATTCGAATCGTGCTAAACAAGGAGGCCACCGCTTCCAAACTCGCTCGTTACACTCACTGGTACGAACGTCCTGATGGCGCATCCAATGGCGCCACCAACAACGGCTCAAAGCACCAAGCAGTCTCTTCAGTCGTGCTCGGCGCCGAACAAAACTCCAACTCCCCTGCAATCAGCACTACTCCCATGGCTGGTGCTCAGAGCAGAGTTGGCGAGCGCGGCAAGGAGGGTACTGTTCGCTTCATGCTCTCAGCCGAACGTGCTCGCGGCGAGAAGGAAGTCGTCGCCAAGTACTTTGCTCCCGACGAGTACGAGGAGTACGAGGAGGAGGTTGACGTTCCTATTGACGAGTGATAGTCACTTGCTTGTCGCTTCAGGTGTTCTCTTTATCACATAGCGAGGGAAGTTCGCATAGCAAAGGCGTTTCAAAAAGGAGTCAGTGGTTTCGGGGCGGTCTCGGGTTCGGTTTCTCGTGCATTTCGACAGGAGCTAATAATTGCGGATAAGAAGAAGATACCCCCTCGGAGCGTTACATGTTGTTAGAATACTACAATTCAGAAAAATGATTCACATTCAAATATTGAAGCGTTGAAATTTCTCCCTTGTCAACGCAGCGTCGTCTCCGTTGTCGCTACGTAAAATAACATTGATCATCGACGAATTCTTCTAGGCCCGTCAATAAGCAAAAGACATAGAGGTAACACCAGTGACCAAAGATAGAGCTCTCCATCAGGGAATCGAACCCTGGTCTCCCGCGCTTGACGAGATTTCTCTTGACAAGCGGAAATCATGACCACTAGACCAATGAAGATGAGCCAGCTGAGCTGGTATTGGTATCATCACGTGATGGAAGTGCATACGATATTATGATTATGTTCCCCTTGTGACTTTTGGCTTTTACGCCGACGCCGATGTCACTGCAAGTTTGCCAGCCTGCAAGCGGCAGAGATTCTGGCCCGGCGGACACCGCCGACACTCCACAGAAATCATTACAGGCCGATACTCGAGTGCTTACTTGAGAGGTCATGTTGAAGCATTGACAAGCGTGCAAGAAAGGGTTTATTCTGGTGACAAATTGCTGCATCTGTTGCGGCGCGCACCAGGACTGGGGCAGAGCCGCGATGCGTGGTGTTGTTAGTGAGAGGCACGTAAGTCAAGGACCCTTGGGCGCTGTGCCCCGCATTGTTTGCGATACGCAGAACAGTGGAGAGGCAAGAAACGGCGGCGGCCACTGATAAGGCACAGAAGGGTAATCCCATATACCTTCCCCTTCCGTCTGGTCATTCGACTCTTCCTCTTGAATACATGTACTCAGCTTAGGATATACCCAGAGACGTCTCCGTCGTTCGCCACACTATCATCGTACCTCCCCGGCTGCTATACATGAATTGAAACCAAGACCGAACAACTATAGTCGAACATGGCACCTGGATTGATCGACCCTCAACCAGCTGTATCCCAGGCAGCCACACACACCCTCTCGTCTGTTACCGAGGAGTATGATGACACGTTGAGATTCTACCTGAACGGCACAAAGGTCGTGCTCGACACAGCAGACCCCGAGGTCACACTGCTTGAATACCTTCGTGGCATTGGCTTGACAGGAACAAAGCTCGGTTGTGCCGAGGGTGGTTGCGGTGCATGCACAGTAGTCGTGTCACAATTCAATCCAACGACCAAGAAGATATACCACGCCTCTGTCAACGCATGTCTGGCTCCTCTAGTCAGCGTGGACGGAAAGCATGTCATCACTGTTGAAGGTATCGGCAGTGTCAAGAACCCACATCCGGTGCAAGAAAGGATAGCAAAGGGGAATGGAAGTCAGTGCGGTTTCTGTACGCCTGGCATAGTCATGGTATGATTGGCTAGCTCCGCTCGTTCCGCCGATACTGACACACTCTTGCAGAGTCTTTATGCCCTATTACGCAACACCCCCGAACCGACCGAACACGAGATAGAAGAAGGATGCGACGGCAACCTCTGTAGATGTACGGGATACAGACCCATCCTCGACGCCGCCCAGACTTTCAAAAAGTCATCCTCGAGTGGTAGTGGTTGCTGTAAAGACGATAAAGCTGTCTCGACCGAGGGCGGATGCTGCAAAACAAATGGCAACGCCACTAAGATAACACCACCTTCGAACGGTTGTGGAAGAGCTGGAGGCTGCTGCATGGACGGCAAAGGCTTTGTTGATGATCAGCCAATCAAGCGCTTTACGCCCCCTGGCTTTATCGAGTACAACCCTGATACACAACTCATCTTCCCTCCGGCACTGAAGAAACATGAGCTCAAGCCGCTAGCTTTCGGCAACAAGAAAAAGAAGTGGTTCAGACCAGTCACTCTACAGCAACTACTAGAGATCAAGAGCGTATATCCTTCAGCCAAGATCATCGGTGGTTCATCAGAAACTCAGATCGAAGTCAAGTTCAAGGGCATGCAATATACCGCCTCCGTCTTTGTTGGTGATATTGCCGAGTTGCGCCAATTCGAGTTCCACGATGACTACCTGGAGATCGGAGGCAACGTTGTTCTGACGGATCTTGAACAAATTGCTCGTGATGCAATCGAGCGCTACGGGCCTACCAAGGGACAGCCTTTCAATGCCATTCTCAAGCAACTGAAGTACTTTGCCGGACGTCAAATCAGAAACGTCGGTACACCAGCTGGTAACCTGGCCACGGCTTCGCCCATCTCCGATTTGAACCCTGTGTTCATGGCCACTAATGCCACCATTGTTGCCAAGTCGCTCGACGAGACCACTGAGATCCCCATGTCCGACTTTTTCAAGGCATACAGATTGACCGCCTTACCCCCTGATGCCATCATCGCAAGCATCAGGATCCCAGTTTTCAAAGAGAAGAATGAATACATGAGAGCATACAAAGTGTCCAAGAGAAAGGACGACGACATTGCCATTGTCAATGCTGCCCTTCGTGTTGTACTAAGTGATTCCAACGATGTCGAAGATTGCAGTCTGGTATATGGTGGTATGGCACCCGTCACAATCTCTGCCAAGGAGGCAGTTAAAGCCCTTACTGGCAAGAAGTTCTCTGATCCGAAGACTCTGGAGGCTGTTATGAACGCCCTCGAGAAAGACTTCGATCTGAGATTCGGCGTACCCGGTGGTATGGCAACATACCGCAAGTCCTTGGCCCTTGGCTTCTTCTATCGCTTCTACCACGAGATCTTGACCGAGCTTCCTGTTACTGATGCGAACATTGACCACGACGCTCTTGGTGAGATCGAGCGCATCATCTCCTTCGGTAAGAAGGATCATAAGGCTGGAGAAGCCTATGAACAAAAGATTCTCGGCAAGGAGCAACCACATGTGGCAGCTATGAAGCAAAGCACCGGAGAAGCACAGTACACAGACGATATTCCTGTACAGAAGAACGAACTATATGGTTACATGGTCTTGTCAACCAAAGCACATGCCAAGATCACAGGCGTCAACTACGAGGCTGCACTGGAAATTCCTGGCGTTATCGAGTGGGTTGACCACCGAGATCTGCCCAATCCAGAGGCTAATTGGTGGGGTGCCCCAATCTGCGATGAAACATTCTTCGCCATCGACGAGGTATTCTGCGCTGGTCAGCCAATCGGTATGATTTTGGCCAACTCAGCCAAGCTGGCCGAGGCTGGTGCTCGTGCCGTCAAGATCGATTATGAAGAGCTCCCTGCCATCTTCACCATTGAGGAGGCCATTTTGAAGGAGAGTTATTTCGACCACTACCGATACATCCAGAACGGTGATGTTGATAAGGCTTTCGCCGAGGCTGATCACGTATTCACCGGTGTGGCTCGCATGGGTGGTCAAGAGCACTTCTATTTGGAAACAAATGCTTGCGTTGCCGTTCCTAAGCCCGAAGACGGCGAAATGGAAATTTTCAGCAGCACACAAAATCCTGCCGAGACACAGACATATGTTGCTCAAGTGACTGGAGTCGCAGCCAACAAGGTTGTTTGTCGTGTCAAGCGTCTAGGTGGTGGTTTCGGTGGTAAGGAGACTCGCTCTATTCAGCTTGCAGGTATCTGTGCTACAGCTGCGAAGAAGGTCGGTCGACCAGTCCGCTGTATGCTCAACCGCGACGAGGACATATTGACTTCCGGTCAAAGACATCCGTTCCTTACTCGATGGAAGGTCGCTGTCAACAAAGATGGCAAGCTCCAAGCTCTTGATGCTGATGTGTTCAACAACGGGGGTTGGAGTCAGGATCTCAGTGGTGCTGTCGTGGATCGTGCGCTTGCTCACGTCGACAACGCTTACAAGATCCCGAACGTGTACGTCCGCGGTCGTATTGCGAAGACTAACACGGTATCGAACACTGCTTTCCGTGGCTTTGGTGGACCTCAAGGCATGTTCATTACCGAGACTTTCATGTCAGAAGTCGCAGACAAGCTTGGCATGGACGTTGATCACCTTCGCGAAATCAACTTATACCAGCCAGGTGATCAAACTCATTTCAACCAGGAGCTCAAGGATTACTACGTTCCTTTGATGTACAAGCAAGTCAAGGAAGAGTGTAACTACGAAGAAAGGAAGAAGGAAGTCGCTGCTTACAACGAAAAGAGCAAGTACTTTAAGCGGGGTATCTCGTTGATTCCTACCAAATTTGGTATTTCGTTCACCGCAATTTTCCTGAACCAAGCAGGAGCATTAGTACATATTTACCATGATGGCTCTATTCTTGTTGCCCATGGTGGTACTGAGATGGGTCAAGGTCTGAACACAAAGATGATCTCCATCGCTGCCGAAGACCTCGGTGTTGCCATGGAGGATGTTTTCATCTCGGAAACTGCAACCAATACCGTTCCTAACACATCATCAACTGCCGCTTCAGCGTCGTCTGATCTCAACGGCTATGCTATTCACAACGCTTGCGCCCAGTTGAATGAGCGTCTGGCACCTTACCGAGAGAAGCTTGGTCCCAAGGCTACCATGAAGGAGCTCGCTCACGCCGCCTACTTCGACCGCGTCAACCTTTCGGCTCAAGGACATTACAAGACTCCCGATATTGGTTACGTCTGGGGCCCCAACACTGGTCAGATGTACTTCTACTTCACCCAAGGTGTCGCCGCCGCCGAAGTCGAAGTTGACACACTCACCGGTGAGTGGACTTGCCGCCGTGCTGACATCAAGATGGACGTCGGTCGCAGTATCAATCCTGCCATCGATTACGGTCAAATTGAAGGTGCTTTCGTCCAAGGCATGGGCCTCTTCACCATGGAGGAATCACTCTGGCATCGTGCCTCTGGTCAGATCTTCACTCGCGGGCCCGGTGCCTACAAGATCCCTGGCTTCCGCGACATTCCACAGGAGTTCAATGTCTCGCTTCTCAAGGATGTCAACTGGGAGAATCTGCGTACAATTCAACGATCACGTGGTGTTGGTGAGCCACCGTTGTTCATGGGCTCGGCAGTCTTCTTCGCCATCAGAGATGCATTGAAGGCTGCTAGAAAACAATGGGGAGAGGATGAGGTGCTTGAATTACACTCGCCCGCTACGGTTGAGAGAATCAGACTTTCGTGTGCGGATCCCATTATCAAGAGATCTATGGTGGTGCCTCAAGAGGGCGAGAAGAGTTTCTTCTTGAGCATTTAGGATGGCTTAATTTTGTCCTCTCTTCTCTAAATAGATATGTGCTTGGACAGGGGCTTATATGGCGTTCTTATTGAATTGGCAGTTGTATATCATAAATTTCCTCTCATTACCTCACAAATATCTCATCACACTCTCGATCCTTTCGTTCTGTGTTTACATTTGTACTGGAGACGTCATTATGTGATCTGGGGGAATTGCTTCTGTACAACTGAACGTAGCAGTCGCCAAATTTCGTGAAGAATGTGCAATGTTAGAGTGATGATCTTTTGCCCCATTGGACTTCCAAGACTCCAGATATTCGGCATTCTGGACGTTGTTATCGCCTTTCACGCCCCACAAACATTGGTACTCATACACCGCTTTGGGCAAGAAGTCATTGTCACGGATGGTGATGTCCTTGAGCTCGGCCAATTTGGCAGCAAGCTCTTGTTCCGGGATCTATGGTAGCCATGTCAGTTTAGATGTGCGAAACCAACTCCGGCTGGAAGGATGGAATCACGTAGTTGCGAGGCACAGTCTCGCCGCTGACCTTCTCAAGCTTGTCGTATACTTGATTCATGGTGAGTTGCTCCGAGTAGATGAAGACAAATTTGTTGAGGGTTCGAGGGTCAAGAACGGCGCGAGTAACATATTGACCGACATCGCGGTCATGTGTAAAGGCCGAAAGGACGTTGCCATCTCCAGGATTGCGTTCACCAAGTCCGCTGACGAGTTTGTCGATGCGACCAGAGGGTAATCGGGGTAAAGTCAATTGGTTCCACCAGCCGACGTCGATGATAGTGTAAGGAAGGTGAAGTCTTCTGATGTGGTTAAGTACATCTTCTTTCTATGGCATTGTCAGAAGATTGTATCTACGATTGTCTGTTGACGCCATGACCTACGGTGTCTCTGAGGGTGAATACCCCTTTAGGTGGTGCAACGGGAGCAAACACAGTGGGAACAAAGCGCTTGACTCCAGCGGCCTTTGTAGCTGGCGCAAGTAGTATCTGATCGATGGTGGCGGCGATGGGAAGGATGGCGATGACCACCTCTTGATCTCCGAGGGCCTTCGTCATGTCGTCGATTGGTCCTTGCAGATCTATTAGCTGTACAGCAATTCCTTTTGTCTTGAGCTGTTGAACCTCAGGCTTCTCATCTGCCACTGCCTCGACTGCCAGAAGGTATGCTCCTGCCTTTGTGTTTTTTTCGACTAGCCACTGGCACCCAATCAGCGTACCGCCAGCGCTTTCTCCGTCAACATCATCGCTCCCAGGCAACACTTGGTTATTGAGGGTACGATTGGGACGTTAAGGCCACTTGGATTCTTGCGCTAATCTCTTGGTGGCCAAGCAAGACAAAGACCTGGTCCTACATGTCAGATTCTGGCTTTCCCTACATTGTCAACTTCTGCAGCGACTGCGGCAGTACCCTCTTCGGAGAATCCGCCAGACTTCCCGATGTCGTGTCTATCAAGACTGGCTGTTTGGACAACAATGGTACCAACCTTGGCTCCATGGATGCAGAAGTCTTTGTTGAACGTCGTGTTGACTATCTTCAACCCTTCGATGGAATGAACCAGGTTGTCGGTACGATATAGATGGTCGACATGCCATTGCACAAGAGGTGGTTCCAGCACAAGGGGGATCGTACCGTTACGTCATGAATATAGAGTTTCAATTGAGGTCAGCAATGTTCCACCTACTCATGTAGTCGCGAGCGGTCTGACCTGACCCAACTTCTAAGAACCCAATGTAACCGTCTGGTCTTACGAGATACACAGCATCACGAATGAGCCCAGCTTTCGACATTGAGTCAGACCATTTGAACCTGTACAATTGTACGCCAGACTCAGACGACAACGCCGCGGTCTCCTCGCTCGCACTCCCATACACGTGCATAATCCAGCATAAACTCCTCAACGATTCATAGTTGTCGCTATCCCCGACCTCTACCCATGGCAATCTGGATCCAGCACCTTTTCCAGTTGACAGATCACTCTGAGGATGGCTGATTTGAATCTGAGAATTCTTCTTGAAAGCAAATGTTGGAATCCATGGCAATTCGAAAGCGAAAGGCAGGACATAGGGAAGCATGAAGGATCTTACGATGGTGCCCATGATTGTCCTTGACTGTACTAAAGTGAAAATGCGATCTGTCGAGTTGACCAGCTCAGTTGCGAACGCAGCGCGCTCTTGATGGTAGGTGTCCAGAATAGCGCGATCAGTCTTGCTTTTCAGACATGTTGCCAATTTCCATGCAAGATTACCTGCATCTCCGAGTCCTGTGTTCATGCCCTGGCCTCCAACGGGGCTATGAACATGCGCAGCATCACCCAGAAGAAAAACATTAAGATCTCGAAATTGAGACGCTACTCGATGATGGACTGAGTATGTCGAGAACCAGTTGACCTTCGTGATCCCAAGCTTGGTGTTGTTTTCCACTGCAGGCTGGATATCAGAGAAATCCAGATCATCTTCCTTCACATCTTCCGGAACCAAACCGAGAACACGATATCGTTGTTCGCCAGGCAGAGGGATCGCGATACAGAAGTCGCGTCCTGAGGCGAAAATATTGACATCTCCAGTGGGGATATGACCCTCGACGTTGACGTCAGATACGAAGAAACGTTGCTCGTATGTGCCCCCTTCGAATTTGATGCCAGAACTTTTACGTACAGTGCTTCTGGCACCATCGCAGCCAGCGACATAACTTGCGACTATACCCTCGTGCTCTCCGTCTTTACCGCGGACTCGCGCCACTGCGCCATGTTCGGTTTGGCGTAAGGACTCCAGTGATGTGCTTCGCTCGATGGTGATGCCAGCCGAGCTGAGATGGTCTATCAGGACTCGTTCCTGAATGTCTTGAGGAAGGAACAATATAAAGGGGAAAGGGCTGAGTCCAGTTCCCACATTGCCGAATTTCAATGAGCCTTTAATTTGACCCTGCTGGGCGATGGTGACATTTTCGAGTTTCGATCCGTGTGAGATGATATCTTCCGCGATACCAAGAGACTGATACATCTCGAGCGTTCTTGCATGGACAATGATGGCTCGTGAAGTTGTGCCAGGACCAGAAGCTTGGTCGATGATCCTGAAGGAGACTCCCAGTCGGCTGAGCCAGAGTGCAAGACATAGCCCAGTTGGGCCAGCACCAACGATGAGAACTGGGTTGGAAGTCATTTCGTCCAGTAATTCGGGGCAATGGCGATGCAGCGCACGAAGCATCTGACGACTGCCGGAAGAGGAGAACAGCTGCTCACAAGAAGAAGCAGCAGTTGCTTATCTACCATCAGTCATCCAGCCCAGCATTGAGACCGTTCACGGGCCGAGTAAGCGGTGATGTGGCATTAGTAAAAACCATGGTCGTGGCGAAACTTCTCAAGACATATTGACGACAACATGGATATCTTAATTGGTATAGGCAACGAGGACAAATCCTGCATCCGAGACGTTCCGACAGCCACTTGACCGCTTTGGGGTGCGTATACAGCGAGCGTTAGACTGCCTTCTTTCTGGTGACGCGGAGGAGAGAGTTTCAGAGGCATAAGGGCTTTCAAGCACGACTCGGCTTTTGATACCGCGACGATTCCGAAGCTCCGAAGCTCCGCTGTGAGGTATTCGACCACGACTTTTGGACAAGCGAGAAGGGGGTCTCGCGTCTACCATACGCGCTTGCTCCGATCTTCTGACCATATCTAGGCTAAGGTATGCAGATGTTGCATACAACATCAACGCGATGTATGGCTCTTCAGTTACCGGCACTACGCAATCCTGAATGGTTGAAAATAAGAGCATCTCTCTGATACATAATAGTACATGCGTTACTACATTACGAAAACATTGACATACAGCCCGATATCGAGGACGTTGGCTACTTAGGCGGCGCCGCATGCGACACCGAGACTGCCGAGCTATACAGATGATCAGCACACGTCTCTGAACTGCATATAAAGAGCAACTTACCAGCGAAGTGACACAGCACTCAGCAGTCTTGCCACCACTGGAGCAGTATGCGGTGAAGTCATCAGTGGTTGTGACAGTGTTTGGGACTGCCAATAGTCACATCAGTATGCTGAGATACACAAAGAGGAGGTCCGAGAAGGGTAAGACACACCAGAGGAACAGGTGAGGTCGGCAAGACCAAGAACATCAGTGCCACAGCACATGGGTGTGTCGAGAGGGCCGCAAAGAGCCGATGCTCGCTTCTCGACAACTGCTGTGCGACGTTCCATCTTGGGGGTTGATGCTGCAGAAGCGATGGTGGCAAGGGCGAGGATGCTGGTGAAGAACTTCATTGTGTTGGATGTATGTTGGTCAGGTTGATGCGAGGAGTGTTGTCTTGTGAGTATGGGTAAGGAGAAAGAGATTGTTGGTGTTCTGCTGAGTCCTTGCGACCAGACGACCATACTTATACCCATCTCTCATCTTCCTGTCGCTAACAAGCACCCCGGACGAAAGGCCATGACATTGGCAAATTGTTAACACTCTTCATTCTATCAGGACGATCGTACCTGAGAGCCTTCGATGGTCTTCTCTCCCAGTATACCTTGCGAAGATAGTCCCCACCATACGTAACAGCGCTCTTACGACCGAAAGAGACGGGCTAAAGTTGAATTACTATCTGTTGATAGACGATCATGACAACGATCTTCGCAGCGAAAACCATCTATGGTGGCCGAGATACGCGGAGATACTGGAGCTCGAACATCTGGCCAGAGGATTGTCAGACAGATTGCCCATATTCTCCTCTTCTAACGACGATCGTAAGGGGACTTCTGGCACTGCTATCATCTCGCGTATCTTGCGAGGGGTTTAGCGGATGCCTCTCGAACCGGGGTTATGGGGACGAAGCTCACGCGATCTTCTGGTTCCGTGGTGCCGACAAGTAGATCTCTACATTTATCTCCACCATCAATAGAGCTTATACAGTCCCATCGGTCTTATCTACACGGACGTGCCTAACGTACCGGCAGATCATTGAACATTACGCACGAGAGATAGACGAGAATGTGGAGAAGCTTCGACAGAGCCGTTGAGGCTCGCTTACTTGCTCTGCCCTCGTGCACAAAATCACTTTTTCCAATGCGATTGATTCATCATAGATGCTTGCCTCAACTATGGAAACTCTGATAGAGGTCAACATGTTTGTTTTCGTAATGGCAGCGGTTCTGGCCTAGCCATCAAAGTGTGATGATTTTCGAAAAGCAGTGCGTAGGAGGAAGTGCTATTTCCGAGATCGTATCCGAAACAGCCAGATAGGATGTTCTCAACAGACACCCCGGACGTTATGATAGAGGATGCATACGGATGTCATCGAAAGCTGATCTTCAATGTGACGCCGTTGTTCCTGCCCGCGAAACCTACAGTTGCTGCCTAGTGCTATAACCATCCCTTGAATCTCTCTTCTAGAACGATCACATAATTGAACATCATTACATAAACACCAGTATGCCCGGCATGAACAGAGCACAGTTCCTGGAGAAGTTTGTATATGCAGTTGAGAAAGACCTTGACGTCAATGGCAGTACTGCATCATGGGCGGCCTCTGACCAGAAGCCAGCTCATCGGTTTTGGGGTGAAGAAGACTACAAGATCGAGGTTCCACATGGCGATAACACTCAATATGGTACAACGTTATCTGCACTTAGCCCTGATAAGAAGTTCATTGCGACCTCGAGTGGAGCAATGGTTAGCATATTCAACATCGAAACAAAAGAATGTTGCTTGACGTTCAAGGGACTTGTAAAGTCCGCGATTGGGATCGATTTCATTCCAGTACTGACCAATGCTGGAGGATATTCTCTTATGATAGCGACCGCCAATCAGCCAGAAGATGATTCGGATCTTCTTTTCCTGGAGCTGGATCGAGATGGCCGGAAGGTCCAGCAGCCACAGCTTCTAGATGTTGATGAATTACTAGAAAAGTCCTTGGAGCCAATCATAACATCAACACACGATTTGCTTGGTCCTTCCGCGATACCACAGCTCTTGAAAACCATTCGTGCGGACTACAGAAATGCACTCAACAAGCTACAGTCTACACTAGAGTCCAAGTGCCTACCTCGAATAACAGACGACCTCGGCTTTTATTGTGCAACCCCTTTCAGCTCGGATGGAAAGCTCTTATTGTTTCGCATCGACAACAGAAAGTCCCATGAGGAAAGCTCGAACCACGTGCCAATAAAGTCCACTAAAGGATTGGTGGTTTATGACCTTGTCAACGACGTGCGGAAACATATTCTGCGCCATCATACAGATACAATTTCGTGGGCAGGCTTTAGTCCAGATGATCAGAATATCGCCACCGCATCATTTGATGGCACCTTTCGCATCTATGATACTACTACCGGGAAATGCAAGCATGTCATTGGACCTATGGGAGGACAAGGTTCGAGAGGTCAATGGTCTCCGAATTCGAAGCATGTCCTGTTCACCGGTTGCAAGAAGAAAACTCTTGAGGACCAAACCGTCAAACAGACCATGTTTGTCACCGTTTACTCTGCCGAGACTGGACAAGAGGTTGCAGACCTCACACACGACGACACCTATAAGAGGGTGCTTAGCGTAGCCTGGTCTTTGAGAGATGAGATTGCGATAAACTCTGAAGCGAAGCTCTTGATTTGGAATCCGTTCAACGATACGATCAAAACTTCGTTCGTCCTCGAGATCGAAGATCGTATGATGAGAGCCTTTGCACGTAGCATTAGAGTCAAATGGTTAGAAGAAGGAAGGGTCTTACTCCTCAAGAGTAGTGACGGCACAATCGAAATGTGGGACCAAGACAAGAATGTCAAATGGAGGTTGGAGAAACCTGCGGGAATTGGTATGATCAGATCTGCTTATGGAGAACACTGGCTTGAGCAGTCTAGGACTTTGATCAGTCTGGATATGGATGGGTATTTGAGATTCTACAACTTGTAAAGACGTTACAAGGTCATTGTATCGTACGGCGGTATATTGCATACTTTGCGAATTTTTGCGCAGCGATAATACGAGCCTCTAACCAGCTGTAGTTCAAGCCTGAGGCAGATCTCTCGAGAAACGAAGTCTTCCCAACAAGGAAGGCATAAACGCTGGGAAGCCAGATTTGGAAGATCCGAAAAGCGGGGTGGATCATCTTGACCCCACCTGGGCTCTTCTGGCAGCTGACAAACGCTATCGTGACGTTTGGTACATCTCTGCCGCCAGTTCCTTCACCACGCTCATCTGCAGCATCATCTAGCAATTTGAATCAATTACATCATGACCAACAGCACGGCATACGTACAACGCGAACGCGATGGCAAGCAAACCTTGGTCAAGGATGATGTCCAACTGCCTGAGCGTGCAGCACATCAAAGTCTTGTGAAAGTTCAGTACGTTGCTCAGAACCCCACTGACAGTATGTGGTACCTCGGACCGACGATGAAAGCCTTCGCTAAGATTGTTCAGTCCAGACACTCGACTCCAATGCATTCGGCGACGGAACAGTCCTCGGCTGTGATTTTGTCGGTACCGTAGAAGAGACCGGTAAAGATACCAAAAACCTCGAGAAAGGAGATGTGGTCGCTGGTCTCATCTGGGGTGGTGAGATCAAAGGTCTCGGAGCCTACGGAAGCCACACATTCGTGGATGATCGCATCAGTTTCAAAGTCCCTGATGGTGTGAAGATGGAAGACGCTGCAACTCTTCCGCTTGCTTCGTGTACTGCCTGGCTGGCCATGTTTTCCAAGGATTGTTTGGCAATCCCTAAGAAGAATGCAAAGACAAGCATCTTGATCTGGGGTGGAAGCTGTGAGTGTGGAAGATAGCACCTCGCTTGAGCAGAACTGACAAGTACCACAGCGAGTGTCGGATCTTATGCCATTCAAGAGGCTGCCATGTATGGCTTTAACATTATCACAACCTGCAGTCCACAAAACTTTGATCTGGTCAAGAAGCTGGGAGCCGCCCACGCCTTTGACTACAATGATTCTGCTGTTGTTGAGGATATCAAAAAGGCGGCGCCCGATCTTGAGTACACGTTCGACACCATCGGTTCAAGGGACTCTTCTGCACAAGCCTCGAAGGCGATCAGGTCTGGGGGTGGTACCCTTTGCACTGTTCGCCCTGGCAAGGCAAACACCGAGGACGTCGCCAAACACGTCAAAATCACCGACGTCCTGGTCTGGACTGCTTTCCTCAAGGATCACCAATACAAGGAGTTCAAGTGGCCCGTGAGTCTCAATAAATTCACAACACATTCAGATGATACTGACAACATACTCGCAGGCTTCCATTGATGACCACGAGCTATCAGCCGAACTATTCGAGAAACTCCCAGCTTATTTAGAGCAAGGAAAGATCAAGCCAAACAATGTCAAGCTGTTTGATAGTCTGGATTCCATTCACGACGGCTTTGCCATGCACCGAGAAGGCAAGATTTCTTCTTTCAAGATTGTATACAAGGTATAGGCGAACATCGGTGCTGTCTCGCGACTCCAGATATAGTCACTGCATCAAAATAGAGCTGTCAAAATGCAAAATCCTTTCCGATGTGGGAGAGCACGCAAGTGGAAAGACAGAGCTTAGTTGCTCCCAGTACATGAGCTTGTCAAGCAGAAAACATTAAGCCCTTCAACAGCGTGATCTTAATACTTGATATGCTGGAGGAAGTTTTGTATGCATCGATACTCGCCCAGGATTTACTCCGATACATACTACCGGGCTCCTGAACATGCCCGTCCCGCCTAGTCCCACGTGTCTGTACAACGAACGAGGCAAGCAGAGTGAGTGGCCGCACCAAGTATCGGTACGATGTACCCACCATAGCGAAGCAGTACATGAGGTCCTCCTGGCCCCGACCCTGAAGGACCCCCATCGATCGAACCATTGCGCACTATATATGGCACATCGCGGACGTGAAGCACGAAGAACTCATACCTCGTAGCAGTCAGTCATCGAAAGACATGCACGGGCAGCACCGACGTCAGATGCCGGGCTGTGAATCAATTGAACAGCGTCTCCCGCCAGCAGTCGAAAGGGGTTGAATTAGTACGGATGTGTTGCACGATGAATCACCACAGCACGTCAATCACAAAGCATAGGCACGTAGAAAGAGAAACACCAGTGAACCCGTCTCGTTATTATTGCTGTGCCCGTCTATTCTAACAAATCATTCTCTCTCGGTCTCATCGTGCTCAAACCGTGCCCCTGTGTCTTGCAACATCAGGGGTGGCGGGAGAGGAGGGGGGCAGCAGAGAATGGGGAGGGGCGAAAGAGGATGGTGAGGAGGCGGCGGAGCTATAGACGATGGTTAGAGACCCGGTATATGTTGGTCGAGTTGCTCGTTATACGTACAGGGGCGATCACTGACGGCCGCCGGGTATGACAGGCCCAGCGCCGTAGACGATGCCAAACTAGGCATCGACGAAGTAGCCCGGAATCTCTTCTCTCTCCCCATCGAGACCCCACGTCCACATTGGCACACGCACGACAGGGCCGGGAGCAGTAACAGGTGGTGGTGGTGGTGGTGGTGGTGGTGGTGGTGGAGGAGGAGGAGGGACCACGGCCACTGGACCCGCGAGGGGAGCCACTGTGCCAGGAAGGAGAAGAGGCCCGGGTGCGGCGGCGGCAGGAGGCGGGGCAGCACCAGCACCAGCAGCGAAGTGGGAGAATGTGCCGGGAGGGGCGACATAACCTCCGCCTCTACGCTCGACTGCCAAAGCCGCATTGATGGCCCTGGCGGTGCGTTCCTCGGCCAGAGAAATTGTACGTCCTTGGTGCAGGGAGGCGTGGTGGCCGCGGAGTCTAGCCCTGCTTTCTATCAGTATACGTGACTGGTCCTCTCAGCAGTCATGACCTACGGGGTATAGAAGTGCGCTTGTGCACACGTACTACATCTATAGGGGAGGTCGTGCACCTTGAGGTGCTCCGACAGGTAGTCGACAGCGAGGGGGCAACGAGTGCAGGGGAAGGCCATTTTGATGTCTTGGTGACCTGCGTGCGCCGAGAATTGGAGAGGTGAGCGACATGAGTGTGCGCAGCTATCGATACGCAGACGCTAGTGGTATGCTTGGCTATACCAGTGACTGGCGTCGGCGATTGGCGTTGACCGACACCGGAGTGAAGAAGCACTACTCCCTGCTAGCCTACAGCAGCCTCTGGTTCTTCTCAACATTAACCCCAAGAGGATACTCCAGCAGCGTAGTCAAAGGTATGTCGAATCTGTGCATTGCTCCATGATAGCCAGGCCACTGACAGAGAGCAGACACGACTCTCTCTCCACCGTCAAGTACGTGATCGACCGCACGCGTAGCAATGCAGAGAGTATTGGTGTACAGCAGCCTCATCGGGTAGAGTATTAAGTTCCCCATCTCTCGACGACAGCGTCAAGAAGATCGAATTGGTCTTTGCATCTCCACAGCTCCCTGATTAGCTGGGACATCATCTATGAGACGAGGAACTGATTCGACAATGGCCCCAGGCATCTTGTCTCTCGACGACAGCATCCAGGATCTCAAATTGGTTCTTGCATTTTGACACCTGGTCACACTGGGCTGCTGCACCACACGAGATGAGCAATGAGTCTGCAAAGGCCCCCGGCATGTTGCTTCTCCAAGAAAGAGTCCAGGAAGTCGAATTGGTTTTTGCATTTTCACAACCCGTTGGATCGAGACAGCACGCCATCCGAGATGAGAGACCGAGTCAAAAAGAGCCCCAAGCGTCATGTAGCTCACCAGCAACATGCAGAAAGTCGAATTGGTTCCTGCATTTTGATGGCCTTTAGGCCAGGCTACTATGGCATCCGAGATGAGGTTCCAGGATCCAGTTTCAAGGCTGACATCGATCCAGATCGACAATCTTTGAAAGAATTACATTCAGGGTTTCATGGCGAGCTTGAGGGGCGTGACACCCAGACTGTTGCAATGATGACAATGTTGATGATGGAGGAAAGAGCAAGAGGATGTTTGTTGGTCGAATAAGCGCAGGTCTATCGTGCACGGTCCACTCGCACGCAGTTCGGCTAATCGCAGTGTATCCGTCTCTTGAACGGCAGGTATAGCCGACTATCACAAGGCTGGAACATTCAATCAGCACGGAAGTCATTGTATGGCCAGCATACAGGTCAGAGACTGATGGGATAATGATACAGATGTGTATTCAAGAGGCTCTGATATGGTTTACTATGTAGGTACAGGAGCGAGAGTGTATGTTTCTCGAAACTAGATTCTATACAGCAGCCTTATCACATGCCTGTGCTGGTGCCGAGCTTGTATCCACCAGTGTTCATGATGTCGATGGCAGCAACCTTTTCGTGCTTTTCGCTGTTCATGGCATGGTCACCTCCTTCCATCAAGCCCAACTCAGTGTAAATTCTGTCCAGTCTTGCGCGATCGTCGGCAGCGTTACCAGCTTCGTCACCAAAGACCTCGTCCATCTCTTCAAGAGTCAGACCCTTGGTCTCAGGGACCATGAAGAAGATGAATGCGGCGGCCAAGAAACAGATGAGGCCGAAGAAGATGAATGTGCCGTAGTTCATGGAGGCAACCATGTCAGGTGTGGCTTGACCGATAGCAAAGTTGTTGAGCCAATTGGAAGAAGCACCGATAGAGATACCCTTTGCACGAACACCGAGAGGGAAGACTTCGGCGACAAGAACCCATGCGCCAGGCTAGGAATAGTCAGTATACCGAAAGCAGTGGCGGAATCGGAATTGCAAACTTACTCCCCAAGAATATCCGAAGTTGATCTGGTAGATCCAAACGAAAACAACAGCAACCCATCCAGCGGCAGCCCTTCCTTCCCAATTGGTGGGACCAAAGGCACCATAAAGGGAAGCAACGATAATGTGCGAGACTCCCATTCCGATGGCACCGGCGATGAGAACAGGCTTGCGGCCCAATTGATCGATGTATAGGACAGCAGGGATAGTAGCGAGCATGAGCAGGATACCACCTACTCCACTGGCAAGAAGGGAAGTAGTGTTGCCAGTAAGGCCCAAATCTTGGAAGATGAAAGCAGCGTAGTACAAGATAGCGTTAATGCCAGACCCTGTACATCGGTCAGTAAGAAAGTCTTGTGCAATCGGGTATCTCAAAAGATTATACTAACACTGCTGGAAAACCATTGTGAAGACAGCGACGAAGACTCTCTTACGAAGCGATTTGTTGGTGAAGAGACTGGCGTAGTCGTAGAAACCAAGCTTAAAGTTGTCCATGAAACTGCCCGACTGGAATTGGGGGAACTTTGCTCTTGATCTGTCGACTTCGAACATGTGCTGGGCCTTGATTTCGAGAAATTCAAGTTGTACGATCTCGCTCTCTTTGGGGGCCCTCCTGAGGTTGGCAAGAATATTCAAAGCTTCATCATCACGATCGTTCGATACGAGCCAGCGAGGACTGTGGTCATGTCAGCGGTTGACTCGTCATAGGATATGTTCTAACCATTACCTCTGGGGCAGCCACATGATACCGACGCCAAGGATGATGGCGGGCAAAAGTTGAATACAGATAGGGACCAGCCATGCAGCGTTCGACTGGCCAGCACCTGTGCCGCCGATGTAGTTGGTACCGTAGCCTAGTCACACAAATCAGTCGATTTAGACGATGGGCCGAACAAGTGGACAAACCAATCCAGTAACTGATCATGATACCAGTGCAGATGGCGAGTTGTTGAAGCGAGACGAGCGAACCTCTGATCTCGGCGGGCGCAAGCTCAGCGTTGTAGCTGCAGTGATGATTAGCCGCATTACCAGTCGAGAGAAATTTCTCAACTTACAGAGGAACGATCATGGAGAGGATACCAACTCCAAGACCAGTAACAAATCGACCACCATAGATGTAGTCGACATTCGTGGCACAAGCCTGAACAATGACGCCGATGACGAAGACACCAACACCAATCTGAGTTGCGATCTTACGACCAAACTTGTCGGCGTTGTATCCGTTGATCAGTACACCTACCCAGGCCCCGAGTTCGAGAATACTGTTCACATCAGCCAAAGGACAGACCTCAGATGTAGCGAGAGGCTTACGCAGTCAGGAGACCTCTAGTAGTGGTGTTTTTGATAGATTCTGGGTTGACAGTTGTCTTGAAAGATGACATGTTCAGGACTTGCCCGAACATTCCTTGGTTGTCTTTGATAATAACGTCAGCAAGTGCAGGACCAACACTTGAAAGGCTTCAAACTCACATCCATATACAAATCCACCGAGCGAAGCAAAGACCGCAAGAAGGAAGATACGTGAGTTTTGCATGAGACCCTTGATACCTGACGGACCAGCGAACTGAGCTCGTCGCTTGGACAAAGCGTCATGGCCTCCACCTGTTGAAGTATGCATATTTGACAGGTATTGATGATATTACCAGAGAGGTTGATGATAGTCGTACGAAAATCGATCTGTCTGGGGAGAAGTGGAGAAGCTCCAAAGGTCTTATACTCGAGTCGTACCAAAAGCAGAGCCAGGTACCTGGATCTACGGCACTTACAACATGGTCAGAGGGTGGTGTATGCACAGGTCAGGCTGATTAGCCGCCAGTGTCCTACCACGCGTGTGACTAGCATACATTTGTATTTAGCCGCCGGTTGTTGGCTTGATCTTGCAGCTCCTGCTGGTTCAAGGAGATGGACATTTTGAGACTATGCGGGGATTGCTGCGGAGGAGCGCGGAGGTGGTGTAGGAGGCGGTTACCCGTACCTATCAGGTGCATTCGGGTCAGACGTCCAGGGTGCAGATTACAGGCTCAGTCGATTTTAGCCTGAGAGCAAATGAAGGATTACTGTGGAGTGCGATCGGGACATGGAAAGTGCATCTTGAACTGGACTGTGATTTGTAAACACTTGACCGGCAAACTCTCCGTACTAAATGACGGTCAAAGATAATTTCAAGAAGTCTGCATTGCGGTCTAGATGTGGGGAGTGAGATATTGCACCAGATGCGTAGAAGGAAAACATGCATCTACGACATATTTTGGGCCAAGCTTTGTGGCGTCCAACTTCTCGAAGCAAGCCTTGCAAGCATTTCCACAACACAATCCCGAGCGTTGATGATGGCGTGAAGTTTGCAGATGCATCACACTCAAGTCAACATGGGCGTTCAGCCTCAAATGCTGAGACACATGATGAGATGTTGATGTTGTGAAGTGATCCGAGCTATCCACACGACAGATGTATCAAGTACCTCGACCCGCGCGGCTTGGGTGATGTGATACGACAGCAGAGACGTTCCGAGCGATGAACTGCGTGCCGCATCATGTCATTTGAGCCTGTTTTGAGATGCCACGGCGATGGGGCTTGCTAGCAATTGTCGACAGTTGTAGACCAGGCAGCGAAGATTGGAAGTCTCGCTGTTTGGCTCTCCTGAAAGCGTGCAAGCTGTGGCTCTGTTCGCGTCTCGACCTTCATCTCTGGACGGTTAATACGTGACCCGACTACAGTGCTCTTTCTTGTCCGCTCTCGCCCGGAGGACTGGATGTCGATGATAGAACACAACATGACTGGCAGAATGAATGCTCGACGCAACGACTATTATAATGCATGAAATTCACCCGTGTCAGATCTCGAGGGGACCACCCTGGCTCAAAACAGCAGTTCTGGATGTCGCTCAACTTTCTCCTGTCTGAACGTCGGCACAATGGACAGCGAGTCCTTGGGAGCTTTGATCGTATCAAGTGCTCGATTGGCAGATAACACTGGGCTACCAGGGGCAAGTGTGGTTGAGACCAGCATCGTTACAGGTCTGAAATAACCTTGACTACGTCGCCATAATCCTGGGTCCAATAAACGACACGTTCTCCTCTCGTGCGTTTGTGTACGCCCCCGCCGATATGGTTTATCTCAACTCCAATTCTAGTCAGTGTATCAGCTAGATCTCGTTGACTACTGCCCATGGGATCATCCCTGATGCAAATGCCCACATCTGCAGCAAGCAGAGCCTCAAGATCAGTAGCGGAATCTCCAATGTAGACCACCACTTCTCCATCCACGTCCTCTGGTTTCCTCTCTGGAGAAGAAGTGTCAAGAAATCGACCGCATGGAGTTGGCATATTGGCCAACTTGTCTGCTGAGGTGCGAATACCGGTGCTAGAGTCTTTAGATAGCTTGCCGTCGCTGCCCCCCGGAAGATCAAGGTTGGAGATCTCGTTCGCGTTGATTTGCATGTTCTCGACATACGCACTTAGCGTATCCCTGTGCTCCAGTGTAACCTGCGAGGATGCGGAAAGCAGAGATTGGCGGATGAAGCGAGCGCTCCAGTTGACGCTCAAGATACTGATCTTGTTGATAGGATCGGTCAGGACAATTTGAAAGAGGCTGTCCCAATGACTGCGAAGCCGCAAGTCATCGTGTTGAATGGCGCTTGCAGCAATATGATCGACGTGACTGGCCTTGACACCTTTGAAGACGCCGCTTGACTCAACGCGACGGACGCTCTTGTCCTCGATGGGTGCCAGACTAGCCAACCATTGTCGCTCCTGGTCTATTGTTGTTCTGGCCGCTGAATGGGGATAGTATTGGGTAGCATGCTCGGTGTAGTCATCCATGTAGCCTGTCACAAAGTCCGACCAGGGTGGCAGAGATTTGGAAGAGTTGGCATAATATGCTATGCTACCAACAAGAGACAGCGAATCTTTACATGTCAATGTGCCATCCCAATCGAAAATAAGGTGAATCGGGCGTCGCATCTTTGTGATGGTGTTGCCGGACATTCGGAACAGAAAGAAACAAGCGATTGTTATTCTATCCTAGGCTTCAGCATATGGTCGCGTACCTGGTCTGGAGCCATCACAATGTGAGGAGTGATATGCACATGAGATGTGGCTCACTATCATACGACTTACACCAAACTTGACAGGACCAGTCTCCGACAAGCAAACATTCGGTTGGCTGATGGAAGCAACGGAGATGAATCATGGATGGAAGAACAACGCACAGACGTTTTAGATGACGCTTTCACTTTGGCGGCGTTCGGGAGCGGCGCATTGAGCCTCATCCCATTTGACTTGACAAAGGAGGGCAAGAAAGATGTTGACGGTAGCGATAATCCAGGGTCTTGGGGAAGTGGGTTGTGTCCTTTGACGTAACATAGACATAGCATATACATCATCGACGACGAACGCAAATGCCCGCCGCCGTGCTTAAACCACGCATGCCAAAAGTGCAAGACATTATGGCGACCCACCCCACTCTCGACATGCCCAAGCACACCAAATATTTCCTGCGCACGCTCAAGACCTTCTTGCCGACTGCATATCAGAGCAATGACAGTAATCGCATGTCTCTCGCCTTCTTCACCCTGTCCGGACTCGATCTACTCGGGACCCTAGAACAAAACACGACAGAGGAGCAGCGGACAGACTACATCGACTGGATCTACTCCAACCAACACCCCAACGGTGGCTTCCGCGCTTTCCCTGGTGCCCATTTTGGAGATGCGAGGACAGAAGAGAACGAACACTGGGATCCTGCAAACCTGCCAGCCACCTTCTTTGCCTTGTGTTCGCTGCTTATCCTGAACGATGATCTGAGTAGAGTCAAGAGGAAGGAATCACTACAATGGCTCACAAGTCTACAACGACCTGATGGCAGTTTTGGAGAGACACTCGTCAAGGGCAAAATCAACGGTGGAACAGATTCAAGATTTGGATACTGTGCGACCGGTGTACGCTACATCCTACGAGGAACATTCGAGGGAGAAGTAGAGGGCTGTCCAGACATCGAGCTTGACAACTTTGTCACCTGTATCCGAAGCGCAGAGGTGAGTGACACCAGGAGAACCGGGGAAACCATACAGACGACATGACTAACACTCTCTTCGAATCAGACATATGACGGCGGCATTTCAGACGCCCCATACCACGAAGCCCACGCAGGCTTCACCTACTGCGCAATTGGGGCCCTCAGCAACATCGACCGCCTCCCTCCCAAAATCTCCGCCGTTCCCTCCGCTCCATCACCAAAAGCCTCCCTCACAAATCCTCCCCTGCTCATAAAATGGCTCGTCTCTCGTCAAACAGCCACAATATGCGAAGAAGACGACCTAGATACCTACGGCGACGAGACAGATACGGCAGAAACCTGCCACGATGCTCACAGTTTTGTCTTCCAAGATGAGTTTGTGAGTGAGCAGGGAAAGATGAACTATGAGGGCAGACCGAGTGTAAACTTCAGTCTTGATTGGACGGGTTTCAATGGGAGGTGTAACAAAATTGCCGATACTTGTTATGCTTTCTGGGTACATGGCTCTTTATCCGTAAGCCACTCCACCACTACCTCAATACCTCACTCCTACTGTATTGAACGACGTAAACTAACATCTCACAGATACTCGGACAATCACAATTACCTCGGACGCAATCTTTGAAACGATGGCTTCTTGAACGAACAGTACATCCACAACTCGGTGGCTTTGGCAAGATAGCTGGAGATCTTCCCGATCTCTATCATTCATATCTCGGTCTTGCTGCTTTGAGTCTTCTCGGCGAGGAAAAGTTGAAACCATTAGATGCGAGTTTGTGTCTGAGTGTAGAGGCAAAAGATAGACTAAAGAGCATTTGGAAGAGATGGGGGATTGAACAAAGAGCCGAGTGATATTGCATAGCGACAGCATCTTCTTGGTACGGGAATGTTGTCTTGTTAGCGCTGTCTAGAACGTCATCTACCATATCAACACCCACTCAAGTGCGTCCCCAGTGATATCTCGTGGTACCAATGTACTTTGCCCAAAGATATGCACCACCCCAGACAGCCGTGTCCAGTGTAAACTCCAACGCCAAACATAAGCCTATCTTGTTCGCTCTACTCATTCTTGTGATTGGCGATGGCGGCAACATTCCCACAGACATGCCGTCTGTAATACCCGACCTTGCCGCAGAAGACGAGGAAAACGCAGTCGCCAACCCACGTAGATGTAATGTCTCGAGCGGAAGCAGGAGAATGGCCCAAAAGAGGTAATCAAGATTCAAGGCCAGGAGATTCGATGGTAGCGTTGACAACTCTGTGACTCTATAGCGTGTCGCTGTGTGATGCTGTGGTCTTTCTGTTCTTCTTGTATGGTTGCGTACGCTCAACTCTGACGTCAGGTCTTGTATCGCTAACTCTTGGACGGTAGGTGCAGGTGCCCAGCCTAGAAGTTGCAACGTCTTGTCCCTGAGTCGCGAGAAGGGTGTCAAAAGATCGGTCTCCGAGGTTTCAGGCTGTGGTGGCAGAGTTGGCTTATGAGGTCCGAGAATACAGTTGTATTCGAATAGAGGGACATGGCCATATGCTGATGAGGCCGAATGTTGAGACAAGGACATTGTTAACCACATGACCGCTGGTGAACGTAAGAGTCCTCGCAACTCTAAGCCTCCATTGGTTTCCTCATTCAAGAAAGCCCATCGAAGAGGTGAAGAAGGCCTCCATGGTAACAGCCAGGATGCTGGTGGTAGAAGAGATGCTGAGGAGATGAGACCAAGCTGTTGTAAGCATGAAAAGGAGCTCAGAGAGTACACCGAAAGATGCAATAGGGCGTTCATGGCCTTGTAGCCATAGTTGACACATCTCAAAAGTAGGAAGCGTTTTTCGGTGCTGGCTTTGAGACGAATGACCTTCTTGCTGACCTTCAAAACTTGCTCACCCAGGTACCAGTCGGCAAAGGTGAGGAATAATTGTGAGATGACTTCTGGCAGTCCGCCGACCGTGAGAAACCGAATAGCGCCGAGCACTCCATTACCAGTCAAAGATTTCCACTCGCCCGATAGAACGTCTGTGAAGCTGAGATTTGACGAGACGAAGCCTACTTGTAGACGTCTTCGTAGACTCATCACCCACCAGGTCAAGATGTTTCGTAGAGTCTCTGCGGTCATCCTAATGAGCTCACCATAGTCGTCTTCTCCTTCTTTGATGATTCTCCATTCTTCATCCGTGAATTTGACCCGCTGAGTGTCATCAACGAGCTCCTCATCCAGCTGATCAATGATTTCATCCCTCTTTTCGCAGACGCCTACTGCTGCTAGAACTTGATTCTTGGCGGCTATCATAGCTTCGTTGTGGCGTATAGTGGCAGGACACATGGGCTCTCCTCGAGCATTATACTGTTGGCCAGTTGATCCTATGAATGGCGAAGGCCGTGCAGCATCCTCAAGAACTGGTTCGTACAGTGAGCGGCCCTTCAGTGAATGCTGTCAGCTTGGGGTCCAGACAACTCGTACAAGACATCCCTTAGAAACGACATTGACAAGTAGACTTGTTCCAGTACATTATTTCCAGGATGCACTTACCAAGGCCATGCGAGCGAGAAAAGCATCTCCACTCATCTTGCTGACTTATTATGACATTGGAGGATCTCTAATAAAGCGTCTGGTTCGAGGAGATACAAAATGCCACCTTCCTGCTTATAAAATGCTTCAACTTTCCACGTCAAATCAGGACAATCTGACTATCGTGTTGACTGAAGGTGGATGGAGGTGACTGCCAAAGTGGGAAGGCGGTGAAGCGTCGAGGCCCAAGCTTTGCTTCCGGCTTCGAGTCGCAGCGGGCAAAAAAGTTTAGGAAGAATTCTGGATTTTGCAAACGAAGGCCCATCATCCACGGCCAACACAGGAATGTCGAGCTTCTTCACCAAGCCCGCTTCTCTGAAGAGAAAGAGACCCGAAAGCGGCGCACCACGACCTCAACGTACCAACGATCGCTCAAATGCTCGTCCGACAAAGCGAAGAGAAACGCGCGACGACTCGGTCTCCGGCAGCGACTTTGAGGATGATGAGGATGTAGGCCCTCGCCCACCTGCTGATTCTGATGATGAATCGGACGAGTCTGAGTTTGAAGGCGAGGATGCGGCAGGAAGAAGGACACGGCTGGCAGAAAGATATCTCGAAAACACGCGACAACAGATCATCTCCGAAGGTTTCGACGCAAAGGACATCGATGCAGAGCTGCTAGCTGAGCGCATGGGCGAGCGTCTGAAAGAGGATTCCGCAGAGAGCAAAGGCAAAATCTACCGCTGGATCGCAGACGAATACGACTATCAAAACGCCCTCCACTCGCAGTTCCGTGCAGACTCGCAGTCTTTGACTGGTGTGGCCACATGCGCTCCCTACATTTACACCGTCTCCAAGGACATGACTCTAATCAAGTGGGAGATGCCCCAGCAAATCGACGCATCCTCAAAACACACACAAGCCACAAAGCCCAAGAAGCTCATCTACACCCGCGGTAACGGAAAGAGAGAGGACGATTTCGACTTCAAGCACCACACCGATGTCATTCTTTGCGTTGCTGCCTCTACAGACGGCAAGTTTGTCGCAACCGGTGGCAGAGACAGGAAGCTCATTGTCTGGGATGCTGCAACACTGAAACCGCTGAAGTTCTTCCACCACCACAGAGACGCCGTCACCTCGCTATGTTTCCGTCGCACTTCAAATCAACTCTACTCGGCCAGTAAGGACAGAACGATCAAGCTCTGGAGTCTGGACGAGCTGGCCTACGTCGAAACACTCTTCGGTCACCAAGACGAGGTCACTGATGTCGGTGCCTTGAACCAGGAGCTGTGTGTCACAGTAGGCGCCAGAGACAGAACGGCGAGATTCTGGAGAGTTGTGGAAGAGAGTCAGCTCGTCTTCCGTGGTGGCGGTAGCGGTGCCTCATCCAAGCAGAAGAGGGAGAATGCAGCAGCTGGTATTCCTCAGCCGCGTGAGTACCACGAAGGCTCGATCGATAGAGTCACTATGGTCGACGACGAGACGTTCGTCACTGGCTCAGACAACGGCACACTCTCATTATGGAACATTCAGAAGAAGAAGGCCATGTTCACTCTACCCCTCGCACACGGTCTGGACCCACCGCCGAACCCTGAAGATGTCAGCGCAGAAGCCGATCCTTCGGCAGATGCAAGCGTCTACACCGAACCACAGCCTCGATGGATCACCGCTCTTGCATGTGTACCGTTCAGCAACATTGTCATTAGCGGCAGTTGGGATGGTCAATTAAGAGCTTGGAAGATTACAGAGGACAGGAGGAGGTTGGAAGCATTGGGCCCTATCGGCTGTGTCGAGGACAACCAGCTGATCGACGCAGAAGCAATGTACATGGACAACTCAATACACGCTGTGCCAGAATCGAACAAGACGGTCAAGGGTGTCATCAACGACCTAGCCGTGTTCGAGCGTGGTGATAGAGGTAAAGATGGTTTGGCTATTGTTGCAGCAATCGGCAAGGAGCACAAGCTTGGCCGATGGATGCATGATGCTGGAAAGAACCACGCCATGCTTTTCCGTGTGTCAAAGAAGGTTGCTGACAACGACACAATAGAGGACGCTGAGGTAGCAGAGGATGAGTGATGTGTTGCATAAAAAGCGTTTCTGTACGATCTCTCATATACCCTTCTTGATCTGTACAAGAGAAGGAGCATTTTCCATTCATCAGATTATGACTGCAAAGTATCGTGACTCTTTCTTTTTGATATACAAGACGACCTGAACATCACAGTAACAGCTTAGTACCGAGCTTCTCCAGGCAGTTTTGATATTTCCACGAAAGGTGCTATAGCAAAGATCCAGCGCCGATCCAGTAATCTCCGATGTTGACCATACGAAAGCCATGTCTCTCTTTACGTACAGTGGACGGATTGATCGCTTTGTAAACTCCTCACTCGTATTTCTAGCAACCAAACATGTCAAAGCACTGCTTTGTGAGAAATGATCAGACTCTAGAGGAGACCACCACAATACCATGACATCACGGCAACCAGATTAAAGATACCACGAGCTTGCGCATACCGACGCTCACACAGGCGATGCTGTGAGTGATAGCATGACGGGAAATTCTCAAGTACAGCATAGCACACGAGAGGTAGAGCAAAATCGGGGCAGATATTTTTTTCTTCATTGATGTGATTGTACGAGACAAACCAGACTTGGCAACACAAAAAATCGGTTACTTAGAAAATCGAAATGTACTCCTTCTTGGACACCGAGACTCACAGCCCTAAATTAATAAGACCATTACGAGAATCAGCTTCCTAAATCCAGAGAGTTATTCTCCAGAGCCACGCCCCTCTACCCGAAAGCAGAAGGACTGGCAACGCAACGCCGTGGAGGAAATGTTTGTGAGATGGTATTGCCTTGCAAGCAAGGGTTCCAGAGCTCGACATAGGCGCCGGTCGTGGCAGGCTCTGTTGTTTTGATCGATTTGTTGAAGAGGGTGCTGGGTGGAGGGGCTTTTTGTAGGTGAGCAGAAGCTGCGCAAGCTTGGACGTTGATTATGTCAGCAGGGAGAGCAGGTAGCCAAGGCGGCGATAACGAGCGATAAGGAGATGGGAATGGTCAGGGTCTAGTTTATCGGAGTCGACCGATGGACCATCGTCGCTCGCCGCATTGGAGACTCGGAGGTGGATTGCCATTCTACACATCTTGTGCTGTCCCTCATGGCAGCTTGCCTTGACTTGTTCATTCGACAGAAGACTGTCGTGGCGATTGACGATTTTGGGTGAAGATGGATGAGATGACCAACATGGACGCTGCACAATACAATGCCTACATTGAGCAGATGAGGCAGACTGAATATCCCATGCTCAAAGGTTGTCTTGCCTGTGTTTTCCTGGTAACTCCTGAACTGACCGTGCTCAAGATGCCACATACCTCGACCATGCAGGAACAACACTTTACAGTAAATCGCTGCTCGAAGCCTTCTCGGCCGACATGATGAGCAACCTCTATGGCAATCCACACTCAGCCTCACAAGCCTCGCAACGATCCACCCATCAAGTCCAAGACGTCAGACTACAACTCCTCCGGTACTTCGATGCGAATCCGGATGATTTTGATCTCATCTTTGTCGCCAACGCCACTGCAGGAATCAAGCTGGTTGCTGATGCCCTTCGCGAGCACGAGTCTGGCTTTTGGTACGGATATCATAGGGATGCACACACTAGTCTTGTCGGTGTACGAGAGCTAGCAAAAGAACATCGGTGTTTTGCCGAGGACAAAGATGTGGAAGAGTGGATTCGCCAGAATGGACAGACCATGCACAACCGCCTCGGGCTCCTCGCCTACCCTGCACAGTCAAACATGAACGGACGTCGTCTGCCTCTCGGCTGGTGTGAGAAGATGCGGAGCCAAGGTGTCCTGACTTTACTGGACGCTGCTGCTCTCCTCTCGACCTCCCCATTATCCCTTGCCAACCTCGATACCGCTCCTGACTTTACCGTCCTCAGTCTGTACAAGATCTTTGGCTTCCCTGATTTGGGAGCACTCATCGTTCGCAAAGATGCCGCATGGGCTCTACAAAAGAGAAGATACTTTGGTGGTGGCACTGTCGACATGGTTGTTTCGTTGAAGGAACAATGGCATGCTGTCAAGTCTGCTCATCTCCACGAGCAATTCGAGGACGGAACCTTGCCCATACACAGCATCATTGCACTGAAGTCTGCTTTGTCGACACACACAGACTTGTTCGGCACATTAAACCGTATCTCTGAGCATACGTCTCACCTCGCTGAACGTCTGTACACCTCCTTGTTGTCGTTACGCCATGGAAACGACGAGCCTGTCTGCCAGATTTACAAGGATCCGCTTTCGACGTACGGCGACGGATCTACACAAGGTCCCGTTATTGCTTTCAATCTCCGTGATGCTAGAGGACAATGGATAAGTAATCTGGAAGTAGAGAAGCTCGCCCACGTCCGTAACATCAACATCCGCACTGGTGGCCTGTGTAATCCCGGTGGCATTCAATCTGCGCTGCATCTCTCACCATGGCAGATGAAGCAAAACTTCTCTTCTGGACAGCGTTGTGGCTCCGAGAATGACGATGTTATCAACGGCCAGCCCACAGGCATGATACGAGCAAGTCTAGGAGCGATGTCGACGTTGAAAGATGTCGAGACCTTCATTTCATTCATCACAGAGTTCTTCCTCGATTCCAAAAGTTCGCCGAACAATCGAACAGACTCTCCTGTTTTGATGGCAGAAGTTCCCATTGTTGAACAACTGCACATTGAAAGCTTGACGGTATATCCGGTGAAAAGCTGTGCAGGCTGGCAAATACCTCCAGATACATCATGGGAAGTGCGACCACAAGGTCTGATCTGGGACCGTGAATGGTGCATCATCCACAGTGGTACTTCGGCCGCATTGTCACAAAAGAAGTACCCACGCATGGCTTTACTTCGACCATCTCTCGACTTTGCAGCTGGACTCTTACACATCACATGCGCCGTACCCATCAAAGGTGCCACTTGCACAGAGATCACCGTCCCACTATCAGCCGACCCTCGCTGCTTCCTCCCCTCCAGCAAAACCTCCACACCAACAAACGTATGCGGTGACAATGTATCCGCAAAAATCTACTCCGACCCCTCCATCTCCTCCTTTTTATCTTCCATCCTAGACGTCCCCTGCCAACTCGCCCGTCTTCCCGCAAACTCGACATCTCGACACATGAAACCGCATCTCCGCACCGCTGGCTCTGAAAAAATGCCCCTCTCATTCTCCAACGAAAGCCCTGTCCTCTGCATCACCAGAATGTCCGTAAACGCTTTGAACAAAGAAATAAAAGCAAAAGGGGGTATAGCAACACCGGCATCGACTTTCCGCGCTAATATCGTTATATCGCAACCTTTACATCTACCTCCAGGTACGGAATTGCCACATGCAGAAGATTCTTGGTCTTCTGTATCCATCGCAAAAAGGGATACAGAGGCTGAAGCAGCGGAAGCGACATTTGACGTCTTGGGGAAGTGTAGGAGATGTCATATGTTGTGTATAGATCAGAGGACTGCGGAAAAGAGACAGGAGCCTTTTGTTACGTTGGCAAAGACTAGGAGGAGTGAGGGGAAAGTGTGGTTTGGTGTTCATCTGGCGTTGGGTAAGGGACAGACTAGGGGATGGCTGAGGGTTGGTGATGCTGTCGTTACTTCTTAGTCTTGTATAATGCTTCTGTCTCTCTCTCTCTCCTCTTGCCTGTATTTACAACGAGATAGGGCTGTGAAAGGGCACAATCACTTCCAGATCGGTACTCAGAGCCATGGAGAGGGCTAGCAATTAGGGTTTCGTGGGTATCATACTGAATTAGGAATAGTAGAAGATCATCTCTTCTTACGAGAAGTAATCGAGCGCGCACTGCGTACCCTGCGCACCCTGCCTATCCTCTGTACGTCGCATACAATGCGTACACTACGTAACAATCGCCGGTGAACATCTGTATTACGAAGCCGTCTCCTCAAGGAGCGTCCCCGCTAGGTACCGCCACCAAAAGCATCTCTCATCCGAGCCCACGCGGTGGTGGTGTTGGCCGGCCGATCTGGACTCTCGGGAACATCGATAGGGTCATCTCTGGTACCACGCGCTCCTGGCGTAATGCCTTGTCTGCAGTGCGGACATGTATCATGCTCAGCCAACCATGCTTTGACGCAGTCACCATGGAACCAATGGCTGCATGGCAGATATGTGACTTGAGACCCAATAAGAGCTTCGTCCATGCAGATTGAGCACGCAGCCTTGCCAGTGTCATCCATGTCTTCCTTTGAGATTTCCCTTGTTGGTAGTGCGGCGATGGCTTCGGTTGATGCTGGCCCAGGCGCGTTGGACTGTTGCTGCTCCATGAGCTGGGAAACTATCCGATCTAGGGCCTCTTGACTGTAGACAGCATCTCCGTGTTGCATGTTGGCGGGATTGAAGAGGTTATTCAAAATGTTGCCGATACCGAAACCGATGGGAGGGAAGGCAGGGTCTGGGCCGGCACCTCGCGGAGGAGCTTGAAACAGATCGAGTAGGTTCGGCAGGTTGTCGATGTTTGGCAGATTGGCTTGTGGAGCATTGGCGTTGCGAGGAGAGAGGCGGGCAGTAGCCGTGTATTGAAAGTTGGGACCGCCACCAGTGAAGACGCGTACATTCGGTTCACCGTCGGGCGATTGTGGTGCAGCATCGCGAGTCGTCTGGTGCGGTTGGCGTGCACCTCCGCCGATGATTTGACTCAACATTTGGAGGAGCGCATCTGGGCCTTGAGCGTGGTTGTGAGTGTGCGGTGGAGGAGAGGCAGGGCCACGAGAATTAGTGCTTGACGTAAAGGTACGGCTGAAGCTCATGGAAATGCCGCCGTTGGGGTTTGTATTTGAACGCATTTGGTAGCCGGGAATGTCTCTAGGGAGATCGCTCTCATCAGGGTCGGGGGCGTCTAAGGGAGTGTGGGCCCATGGGTTGTGGTTGTTGAACGGATGCGCTTCTGGCTCCTCGGGCTCGACGTGTCTCGGGTCATGCTGTGGCTCGATCTGACGGTCGCTGTCAGCAAGAGGCGTCTGTCGGATGGACAGCTGGGAAGTGCTGATGGCTGATGCTTGTGCTTGTGCTTACGATTTCTGTAAAGTCCGAATGACAGTCCGGACATGTCAAACCACCTTGATGTCGGAACCATTCATTCTCGCATTCGTGGCAGAAGACCAGGTCCCGTTGGCCCTCCATGCTCGCCGCAGCTTGGTGTGATGAGGCGGGTTGAGAGAAGAGGGACAAAAGGTGTGCGCTGCTGTACAAGTTCTGTCGACAGGGAAAATAGCGATGGTCTCGGAACTATGCGTTAATCTGCATATGCGGTGCAATGTTTGTTGATGCGTCGCTTTTTCCGGAAATAGATTGGTCGGCCTTCGTAGGGGATTTGGATGTCGAGTGTTGGATCAAAAGGGCGACTGTGACCACGTAGCAGCGCGATTGTGCATGTGTCAGGTTCAAGGTAGATTGTTGCAAGAGGCAAGTCCGAATGTCGCTTTGTGCCTTCCCCATGACGCATTGTTTCCTTGGGAGACGCCACACTCTCACGTGGCGTTGGAGCCTGTGGCTTGACTTTCCCCTGCGACTTTCTTCCACCAAGCAGACATTACATGGCTTACTTCTGTCTATGTTCTATGTTATCCTCGGCGTATCACTCGCTATCTGCTGCAGAGTCGTGCCAATTCCCTGTGAACTCACCGCGTCCCGCGATTGTGACCGAAGCAGCGAAGCGCTAATTGAATAGCTAGCAGTGTTTGTCACAGCCTGGATGCACTGCGGCAATCATGTGTCCAGTGTGATCAGCGATGCTTCATTGATCAGAAAAACGCCTCCAGATCTTCGTTATACAGAGATCGAACATGTAGCTGTCCATGCCGTCCATTGTGGAACCCAAGCGTTGCTGCTATCAGCCACCCGCAGGAAGGAGGGAGGCTGAGCCAACTTCCAACTTTTCATACAAAGCGAAAATACCGTGAATCGAGTATTTTTTTTTCTCCTTGCTCCTTCCTAAATTCCTAAACTTCCTCTGTGAAACCGCTCCAACTTCACAGCATCATGAAGTGGAGGTCAATGTTCAATCGCGACAATGATGGTGCGACGCGCATGATTGACGAAGCCAGCGCTCTGCTCCCCACCCATACCGATCGAATCCCCAGTGCTATTCCCGCCAAAGAGGTCACAAAGGTTGCATTACGCCTCAAACATCAAATCGAGCAAGTCGTCCCTTGCGAGCTTGAGGAGGATAGAATAACCGCCGCTCACTCAAACATCATCACTCCAAAGGTTGTCGAAACAGCCCGATCTGCTGGAAAGCATGGTCGCTCCAATTCTTCTGACGATGACTACTCTGCCTGTGTGGTTTTCTGCTTGTTGATTTGCAAGAAATGGTTCAAGCGACAAGCTTTGTTGGAGCTATGGGATGCTGATATGCATGAAGTTCGTGCTGTCGCTTGTGAGGTCATTGCTAAGGCTATCATTGAATCCGAGGAAGATTCTGGTTTCTTGCTGCAAAGCATCCTTCTAAAGAGATACAGCATCATCCTAAATGGAGAGGAGACCGTCCCCAACAACGTCATCGAAAAGGCTGTTGACTTGCATGCGCTCAGAGTCATTGGAAGCTCTGGCTATCAGAAGTGCATCTCCTATCTTTGGCGTGGCTGGCTGGTTCAAGACGAGGACGACCCGACTCGCTTTGTTGACTACAAGTTGAAGACTTCGACAAGCTATTGGGATCATCTCGACCCCGACCGCATGCGTGCTCCTCTCTACCAGAACGCCCTCCAGGTCTTCATCAGTCTGCTCTACCTCGGTTTCTACACTGGCGCCATCAACACCATCAACCCTACTGGTGATCTCGATGTTATCGAGGGCCTGCTCTACCTTTTCACTCTTGGATTCCTCTGCGATGAGATTGCCAAATTCTGGAAGGTTGGAAAATACTACTTTGGATTCTGGAACTCCTTCAACAACACTCTGTATGCTTTGTTGACTGTCTCGTTCGTCACAAGAATGATTGCTCTTGGTCATCACGTTGGCGATGAAAACAGACACAAGTTCAACGAACTCAGCTACAACTTCCTTGCCTTCTCCGCCCCGATGTTCTGGTGTCGTCTGCTGCTCTACTTTGACACTTTCCGCTTCTTCGGTACCATGCTCGTTGTGCTTAAGGTCATGATGAAAGAATCACTCATATTTTTCGCCCTCCTGTTCTTCGTTAGTATCGGCTTCCTGCAAGCTTTCGTCGGCCTGGACCAAGAAGATCAAAAGCTTGATGCCACAAACTTCATCATTCAGGCCATGATCAACGCTGTCATGGGCAGTCCGGAATTCGATGGATTCGACAACTTTGCTGCTCCGTTCGGCTTGATCCTCTACTACATCTTCACTTTCATCGTCATCGTCTTGTTGTTGAACATTCTCGTCGCTCTCTACAACAGTGCTTACGAGGACATCACCGAACACTCTATCGATGAGTACATGGCTCTCTTCGCACAGAAGACTTGCCAATTCGTCCGTGCTCCTGACGAGAATGTCTTTATTGCTCCTTTCAATCTCATCGAATTGGTTTTCCTTGTCCTGCCTTTCGAATGGTGGATGGATAAGAAGAACTATGAACGTCTCAACGACTACGTCATGGCAACCATCTACAGTCCTCTGTTGCTTGTAACCGCAGCTCTTGAAACAAGGGTAGCCCACAAAGTCCGCTTTAACCGTAAGAGAGGAGAAGAAGATGAAGATACTATTGAGGAATGGGAGCAGATGGATGGCGAATTCGACTTTGAGGGTGATGGTTGGACGAAGGTATGCGAAGAAACGAAGCCCAATGTGGAGGTTGATGGAACTTTGGTCGAGGTCAAGGAGTTGAGAAAAGAGATTGAAGAGTTGAAGAAGATGTTGAGAAGTCTCAAGGATTAAGGATGGGCTCAATAATCTCTATGCTCGTAGGAACATGGGGCAACGCTGCTCACGGCAGTTGTCGTGCAAACAGACGGCAGTCAAATAGAGAGGAGATGGTCGTTCTGAATCATGCCGTTGTCCAATGATCGTCAGGTCATGCAACATTATTTTTCGTTATCCCCCCGTGGCAGGAAGGGCCCGAATCCTGCTCCTGTCAAGACCGGAGCTCCGGCTTCGTACTCAAGCAAGTTACGGTATTTCCGACTCTGGGGTACCTGAATTACTTTACAGCTCTCGAACTATGGATGAACACTGTGATCGTGTACCCGAGCGAGGTTCCCTTGTTCGGTCCTTCGGCCCTTAGAATGTTCTTGCCTCATCTCAGTGATAAGGGATGTAGATTATCTCATCAGGACGGAGACCTGCAGCTACCTTACAGTCAGCGACCTGTGGGTCCGACAGTGCGTAGCTTGGAGACATACCTTGCTGAGCGTCCAAAAGGGCAAGTCTGGGGTCCAGGGGGAAGGCGTATCTGGCAGGATTGACGATTGCGCGAACTCCAGTGGTGGTCACGAACGTGTGTAAGTGGCCCTCGTGATGGTGAACTTACCGTCTGGTACAAAAGAAGCTATTGCGGGTAGTGCATCTCCAAGGCTGCTCATTAATCTTCATGTGCTCAACGAGCAGGTCGAAGGTGGTAGCGGCGTAGATGCAATCTGCCTGTGAGCAGCGGAGAGCCATCGTGGTGATCAGTCTTGATCGATTGAAGTGCGGTTTGCCTGGTTGCGTGGATCGAGAAGTGGATGGACGAGGTCGATGCGCGAATTTCTGTTGTGTTGTCCCTAAATCTTACCTTGGCCATGACTACTAGCGGCGTTACATTTGCACTTTACTGAGCGCCGGCATATTCGACCACGTGTCTGGCTTTCACTATCGTCCCCGCGATACAGCCAAGGTGCGATAAGAGATTCCAGTAGATTGCCTGTTCAGGTACACAGATCTCAAGACGTCCGTCTGACCTTACAGTGTACTCTCAGCACACCAAGTACACACAGTGTGACTCGATGGTGTAAAGAGCCAGCGGAGAGATACCCAGGGGTCTGCTGACCATTCGAGGGGTACTCCGAGGCACCATCCAAGGATTCCGTATCATCGAGAGTGAAACATGTCTTTTCGGCCGATGCATCTAGCACGGCTGTCAACCGTACAAATACAAGGCCTTTTGCTACGCGGCCAAGTTGAGCTTGAATCTGGTATCAAGAGGCAGTGCGATCGTGGACATGGTGTCGCTCCCTACTGTCTGATGGTCTTCCAATGTAGTTGTCAGCACACTACATCAGATCTGACGAGGTTGGCCAATGATCGCAATCTGAACCCTCTGTTGACTGCGTGGTATTTGTCCTAATGGAACAACTTGATGGGGGAGACCGAGTCTCGCTTCGTCCACCAGATTCGAGACACCGTAATACAATTTCACTTCCATCATATCTCGGAGATCATGTTGTATGAAGTGGTTTCGTCCTTGAATTTGAGGGGACGCATCGTTGTGGCAGTCTTGACAACCTGGAAATTGATATCGAGCGGTCGCGTCATTGTAGCCATGATGATAGCAAAGATAGGTAACATTTGAGTTTTGTAAAGGGAAGCGCAAAGAATACTGGTCTGGGGAGTTGAGAGTAAGCTCGCACGGTAACACGCTAGCGATTCATCCTCGGGTATCTGATCGGATGCTTGCCCTACTGATAATCATTTGACGGAGACTGTTAGATACCAGGTAGTCTTCGGAGTCCAGTTGCTTGTGGTAAGTAGTGGGTTTGTTTCTGGAGTGACATGCTTGTCGAGATCAATTGTTTTGTCGCTCAGCTTATAGATGCAGGCGATCTTAGCTGACCATCGTCCTTGGCATCATGTCAATTGTCCGGAATCATGATTGTGGGCTGTGATGACGCTGCGAATTATGATTCATGCACCTCTCATTGACGTCATGCAGATGTCAAGAAGAAGATAAGACAGTGGTATAGACCACACTAGGTGTGAGCTGGGTCTCTGAAATAAGGAGCGTCAAAACACTAGATTTGGTATATCTTCTCCCGAATTCATCTGAATCTGACTTGAAGTGTACAAGATATACAGAGTAGTATATAGAAGCAAATGAGAGCATATTAAGAGAATAATGACCAGAGTTGACGGCGTGATGTCGTCGATTGTGTTTTGATAGCTTGTCAAGAGCATCACCCTGTGCTATTAAAATCAAATCGGTACGTCATACTCTGAGTTATCGTCTTTTTGCTTTAGAAGTGATCATTGTATGAAAGCAACATGACAAAGTGTACAAAAAGCAGCTCAAGAAGACGCGCTCGGGTTAGCCGACAAAAAGCCTGTAGCAAGGATGGTGAAAATTCTATCTCGAACTCTGAGACCGCGTTCCGTATGCCGTATCCAGCGTATCGCGTTTCAGGAGGCGCATGCAATTAAGCTTATTTTTCCCCTCAACTTGATCTAGACTTCCACCATTTTCCTTGATGATTGGTCTTTCCTTACGCGCGCCCTGTCTTGGCTATTCAGCAGCTCAACGTCAGGTGTCAGGCGTGACTGCGGTTTCCAAGATGTACATATGTACGTGCCTCCCTCTTCCAGCCAGTGGTGCCTCTTTGACTGTAAACACAACAAGAACATCGCTACAATGGCCCAATCATCACCACAACCGGACGCCTTGCCTCGAAGGACATCTCTGCCGTTACAGATTAATCGGCTACGCGCAGCATCGGTCAGCACGACGAATAAAATCCTGAACTATGATCCACAGCCAGGCATGTGGGCGGCGACTGGAACAGCCATTGCACATGCGCCCAACCTTCGCGATCTGCGAGAGAACAATATCGACTTTGATGTGGATGGACATCTCGCAAAGAGGCTTGCATTGCCAAAATCTGGTGACAACAAGCGAGCATCGACCGTACCAAACATATCACCTACGCAGTCTCAAACCACTGAGAGCAATGTCGACAAGAACTCGCTGGAGCCAATGATCAAAAGCACATCCTCTTCCGATCAGACGGACCCAGAGACGCCCAAGACGTGGAAACAAACCATAGTTACCGGCCTCGCCGCGTTCTGGCGCTTCTTCAAAACACCCACTGGTTTCCTCATTACCCTGTATGGCCTGAATGTCGTTGCATGGGGTGCCATGCTATTCTTCCTCATTCTCAAGGCCGCACCTGCCATGAACCATCCCGATGGCGGCGACGCCAACTCATCCCCTCGGAAGATCTGGATTGAAATTGATTCGCAAATCCTCAACGCACTGTTTTGTCTGACAGCATGGGGACTTGCACCGTGGAGATTCAGGGATCTCTGGTGGCTGTGCGTGTGGCGTTTCGGACGCAATACCGAGAGAAGCTCAAGAGCGATCAGAAGACTGGCAGCCAGGAACGTGAGCTGGTTCCGATTGCAAGAGGGTGATTTATTGGAGCAAGGCGAAGAAGGAGTCAATCCTGTGTTGATACGTCGGAAGACTTTCTCAGGAGAAAGCGCACCACCCACAGCAGCTTGGAAGATGGACTTTGTCGTTTGGATGATGGTATTGAACACACTCTTCCAGGTCGGAATGGCGTACATGATGTGGAGGTACAACCGAATTGACCGTCCAACCTGGGGAGCAGGTTTGTTCATCGGCCTTGGCTGCGGAGTTGGTATGTTCAGCGGCCTGATGTGCTGGTGGGAGGGAAGGAAGATCAAGGAGATTGAAGGACCAAAACTTGTCAAGGAGAAGGATGCAGAAGTTGTTTGAAACAGGCAAAGAGCATACATACCTGATTGTTAGATGAGCATAATGACAATGTATTTTTGCCTCAAGAGGCGGATATATGATTGCATCAGATTCCAGCGACCTAGAGGACGAGATGGGCTACTGAGAGCTCAAGTTGACAGTGCCAACAACTCAGCTCGTCTCTGATCAAAAGACGACTACGTGCGGAACGAGGCAGATGTTAGCTACCGAACTTACCACGTCCAATTCCCCTCTTCATGGTCTTCACTCAATGACTTCGCTTACTCATGCAGGCGCGAGAAATATCGTCACAATAGTTGACCGACACGGGAAGATCGATGGTTCTCTACGATGTCCCGCAGATCATCTCTCACCGCGGTATATGGTAAGAAAGCACCGTACAAGCTTCAGAAGTCACGGCTCATCTCACACCTATTCCTCTCTGTACAGAGGACATAGTGCAGACCGTGTGAGGGCAATATGTGCTTGATTTTCCGGCACGACGGCCCGTCATGGCATCAACCCCTCCTGAGAGATGTGCAGATCCTACTCTTATATCGCTTGCACAGAGGTGCAGTATATCGAATTCGAGAGTGACGTGTGGAGATCTTGTGGTTGCGAGCAGGAGGCTGGTCTCCTTGTGGCCGAATGAATCGATGGCGTGGGACCATGTCAGCTGGTGATGTGGAAGCTTGGACCAAGGTGTTTGCGCTCTTCAGTCATGACAAGGTCAGCTGTCGCGTTACAGAACATGCTGTCGCTTCTGCAATTCGTGGATAATCATGAACCATGGACTGGTATAATCAATCTGGTCCGAACTCACCCACTTCCGAAGTGCTCCCGTCAATGCCTCTTCACCTTCTCCACAATCTCGACCTTGTCTCTATCAAACACCCCCGCAACCCCATAATTTCCTGCTGACGGCCATGCTGCATGTCGACATCTCAAAACCTCCTGAGTCTCTTTCAAGCATAGCCTAAGTTCAGGAGAGGTGTGCTAATGATTAACCGAGCATGTTGAACCAATGCACCGTTCCTGCTTTGCTGGGACACGCCCTGTAGATCACGCTTGAATTTCTCCTAGCGTTATGCCTCATTCCCACCTAGTTACACCACCAAGCTTCATTGATTGTTACCAGCTGTGACGACCATCAAAGCATGTGTCGACGCTGCTGCACATGCCGACCTGCGGCTAAACACCACCAGCTCTAGAACAAGTCACCGCCTTGTGAAGCAAGGTAGGTATCCGTTCGTTCTCTTTCTGCAGGAACATGCTTCGCAAGTATGCACATACAGCCAAATATGCAGAGACTCTCTCGGCATACTTAAAAAGTCAGACAGCCTCGCTTGGATGTACACAGGGGGGTCCTGGGATGACAGCTTCCAATTTAGCCATCGATGCCGAACGAGGTTATAAAGAGTCATAAGCTCAGCTGAACTTCAACTCAAGCAACATCTCAGCCTTGAACTTGCACAGATGATTCCCGCTCTCCTACTTGCATTCGTTCCCTCAGCACTGGGCATCTCCGTATGGGGACAGTGTGGTGGCACTAATTGGTCAGGTAGCGGTAGTTGTGACTCTGGTCTATCTTGCTCCAGCGTCAATCCTTGTCAGTATCAATAGATGATAGTGTCTGGAACTGTTATACTGATACCATTCAGACTACTCCCAATGCGTTTCTGGCGCAGCTGGTCCTACTGCAACCTCGACTAAGCCAGTGTCGACCTCAGTCTCGACCTCGGCCAGACCTACAACTACGACTTCTGGTGCTGGTACTACTCTTACCACTTCCCGTACCGCAACTGCTACTTCGCCCACCACCTCAGCAGCTGGAGCTTCCGGTGCTGCCGGCAACTTCTTTGCCGGTAGACAGCTCTATGCAAACCCATATTATGCATCTGAGATTGCTGCTGCCATCCCTTCCCTACCATCAAGCCTCAAGGCAAAGGCAAGCGCAGTCGCGAAGATCGGAACCTTCGTATGGCTGTAAGTTTCGGTTTCTAAGCTCAGATATAGGCATTGCTGACGATTTACTTCAGTGACACTGCCGCCAAAGTACCTACCATGGACACTTACCTCGCTGACATCGAAAAGCAGAACGCTGCTGGAGCTAGCCCTGAGATCATCGGCGGCTTCGTCGTGTATGATCTGCCCAACCGCGACTGCGCTGCTCTTGCTTCCAACGGAGAGTTGACCGTTGCCAATGATGGTCTTACCAAGTACAAGGCATACGTAGACTCAATCGCAGCTATCGTCAAGAAGCACTCCAAGACCAAGATTGTCCTTCTTGTTGAGCCCGACAGTCTTGGAAACCTCGTCACCAACCTTGGAGTTGCCAAATGTCAAGAAGCGCATGACGCATACATCAGTGGAGTCGAATATGCGCTCAAGACCTTGAACTTCGACAACGTCGCCATGTACATCGATGGCGCACACAGTGGATGGCTTGGATGGCCTGCCAACATTGGCCCGGCTGCCGACCTTTTCGCAAGTGTCTATGCAGGCGCAGGCAAGCCCAAGGCTCTCCGTGGCCTGGTCACTGATGTCTCCAACTACAATGGCTTTGACCTTGCCAGCAAGCCTGTCTACACAGAGAGCAACCCTAACTACGACGAGAAGCACTACATCAACGCCCTCGCTCCCCTTCTCGAAGCACAAGGCTTCCCGGCTCACTTCATCGTTGACCAAGGTCGTTCGGGTGTTCAGCCTACAGCGCAATTGCAACAAGGAGATTGGTGCAATGTCATTGGCACTGGCTTCGGCATCCGTCCTACTACCAACACCGGAGACCCGCTTGTTGACGCATTCGTCTGGGTCAAGCCCGGTGGTGAATCAGATGGAACTTCGGACACCTCTGCCGCCAGATACGATGCTCACTGTGGATACGCTGATGCCCTGAAACCTGCCCCTGAGGCTGGCAAATGGTTCCAAGCATACTTTGAGCAATTGCTTCAGAATGCAAACCCCGCACTTTGATCTCAGTTCTCTGGATCTCGCAATCTATCTGGAAACGAGTGGAGTGTGGCTATTTTGTTGATTCTGGTAGATGATAGGGGACCTCTCACCTGAACACGCTCGCTTGCCATCTGGCCCAGTCTGACTGTCGTTTTCCGTCGGCTTCTTCCTTCTCCATTCCACACTCCTTTGATAGCTCAATAGCCAATCGTATCCCACACTCCTTTTAGCCGAGTATATGTTTCCCTGAATCGTGACAATAAGTATCACGGTTCCCAAAGAGTGACAAAACTTCACTTGTGACTTTCAAATGGGTCTTCTGCGTTGTCATGGCCGATGACATCGACATTTAGGTATTGAGCAGCTAAATCACATATTGCCTTTTGAAAAGAGAATCTGCAAGCGAGGCTGGACTTGCAAAAGTCTGGATGATCGACAGCCTGCCAGGTACCCTTTCCATACCCCGCCTAATGATTTAAGCATGGTTCTTGGTATTCATGCAGGGCTTCGCATGACTTGTCATGGGTACGGCCGCATGGGCAGACGCAGCCACGTTTCAGTCATGGTCAGCCATTTTATTTCGCGAGGTCCGCTTTTACTTTGACGGTTCCTGACTGGTGCGATGAAGATCTGTGTGGTCTTTGCTGACCATTGGCGGAGAATAAGGGCTTGCTTGAAGCAGAGAAGAGAGAGCTAGGGGTTAAGATAGCCTGTTCTTTAGCCCAGCCGGAAGAATTCTGGTCTATACTACTGAAGCTCACTGACGATCTTCTAGACCAATCTTGTAGCTGGCGGAGCGGAGGGGAAGTAGCCTCTACGGCCAGTGCTAATGGCGAGCCGGCCCGCCCACCCACTCGAGGTCTATAGACTACAGGAGATCCTGTATCTCAGTTATGTAAGGAGCCTTGAGCCAACCGAGGTTTCCCTCAGATCTTAAGTACGTAACTATGACTTTTCTCCGTGCTGAGATATTGATCGTTCATGGCACCTGCCTTCCTGCATGGCCACTAGACGGCGTGTCGGCCCGTCATCACGCTCGACTCTGGTCATGGATCTGGATCGTTAAAGGATTTCAGAGAATCAGGTTCCGACCAGAGGTGTTCTCTTTCCCCGGAGATTATTTCTCTCCATACCAACATGATTGGTGCCTAAGGATGTCTGGGGTGCATGGTTGCGGGGCGTGCCGCCGAACGAGGGGAAGCTTATGCAAGGCCTTAATCTTACTACCTTTTCTCTTCCACAAACCTCGTCGCAGCCGAAACGGATAAATTCTCGAATAGATTAGATATGCTGATACATCTTTGAGGTCATAGTCACCTGGTCTCACCTTACCATCTCTCTGCCCTCAAACGTTGCAAGCGAGCATACATGCGGATATGCACCTGCGCGGATGGGGAACCTTGGGTGACATGTCCGTCTCTGCTTTGGATGGACCAGAGCTAGTACCAATGCAAAACTTGTACAGAAGCCATGTTGTAATGGGTTCTCCGGGAGAACATCCGGCGACTTGAGACCTGTCCAGTCTCCGACTGGGAGCAGCTTCGAATATAAATACGACGAACCCATCGCCATGAAGCAATCCAGATCAGACATCTCCTCCCTTCTCTTCTTCAATCATCAGGCCTTCTCCTTCCGATCACAATGATCTCTGCCTCTACCTTGGCAGCCCTTTTGGCCTTGGGCCATGGCGTCCTCGGACAGCAGGCTGGCACCTCGACTGCTGAGACTCATCCTCCCATGAGCTACCAGAAGTGCACCACCGGAGGTCAATGCACCACAGTCAACACCAACATTGTGCTTGATGCCAACTGGCGTTGGTTGCACTCGACCAGTGGATACACCAACTGCTACACTGGAAACACCTTCGACCAGACACTCTGCCCCAACAACCAGGCATGTGCTGCCAACTGCGCTCTTGATGGAGCAGGTAAGACATTATGTATCTCCAATCAGAAACCCGTGAGCTGATCGTGCGCTTCCTCCAGACTACACTGGTACCTATGGTATCCAGGCCAGCGGTAATTCAGTCAGCTTGAAGCTCAAGCAGGGCAACAACATCGGATCTCGTGTCTACCTGATCAACGGTGACAAATACGAGTTGTTCAAGCTGAAGAACCAAGAATTCACTTTCGATGTCGATGTATCAGGTCTTGGTGAGTTGCTGTGGTCCAGGATATCCCTGCTCATCAAGCTGACCCGTTCTCAGGATGTGGTATCAACGGTGCCTTGTACTTTGTCAAGATGGACGCCGATGGTGGACTCGCCAAATATCCCACCAACAAGGCTGGTGCAAAGCTCGGTACAGGTTACTGTGATGCTCAGTGCCCTAGAGATCTCAAATTCATTGCCGGAAAGGTATGTCGAAGAATCTGCACCACCTCAAGCCAATATGCTGATTCTCGTACAGGCAAACGTTGAGGGATGGAAACCGTCCAATGGAGACGCCAACTCTGGAGAAGGAAACACTGGCTCCTGCTGTGCCGAGATGGATATCTGGGAGGCCGTAAGCATGATCAAGATATTCCTAACTTGGCACCTTACTGACCACTTCACTTCAGAACTCCATCTCCACTGCTCTGACCCCTCATGCTTGCTCTACCAACGGCCCTTGCACTGGAAACACCACTTGCGGCTCCGGAGACTCTCGCTACGACGGCTACTGCGACAAGGACGGTTGTGATCTGAACCCCTACAGATTCGGAGTACAGAACTTCTTCGGGCCTGGCAAGACTGTGAACTCCAACCAGAAGATGACCGTTGTTACCCAGTTCATCACAAGCGACAACACTGCCACTGGTACCCTCTCCGCTATCCGCCGCATCTACGTCCAGAATGGTAAGGTCATCCAACAAGCCGACACCAACATTCCTGGAATCACAAAGACCAATCAGATCACCGACAAGTTCTGCAAGGAGCAGAAAGCTGTCACTGGCGACCCCGACGAGTTCTCGGAGAAGGGCGGTCTTGCTGGCTTCGGCAAGGATCTTGATGCCGGCATGGCTCTTGTCTTCAGTGTCTGGGATGACCACACTGCCAACATGCTCTGGCTCGACTCCACCTACCCCGTTGGCTCCAACAAGGTCGGCGCTGCCCGCGGTACTTGCGCCACCACTTCTGGAAAGCCCAGCGACGTCGAGTCTCAGCAAGCCAACGCCGCTGTCACCTTTAGCAACGTTAAGTTCGGTGCTATTGGCTCCACCTACAAGTCCACTTGAAGAGGCTGGACCTTTTCGCTGGAACCACCGAGTAAGCTGGGCTCTCAACTCCCTGGCTACGAAGGAACGACAGCATGATCGCATCTCCCCAAACCACATTCGCTTCAAAATTGTGTTTTTGCATTGATTACATACCTTTTCTTGTCACTCGTTTAGAACAACTTTGTGATTATGCAGCAATTTGAATGTTACCAGTGTTTTCCAGGCGATTATTCCAGTATTGGTCTCCATGTTTTGCGACCGACGTATCCCTGAACACCTTCGTCCTGCGTGACTTGTGCTGCACTGCGTCCAGTGATGACACTCCGTTCTACGTCTGTGCCCTGAACGAAGAAAGGTTTCCATCCTGATTCTTCGTCTTGTGATACCCAACGGCCTTTCTCAGACCCAGAGGAAGCTTTGATGAAGCCAGAGTTGAGCTTGTCCAACGTGAGGAACCATAGCCGTTGATGTATTGACCCGATGGTGTTCTCCGAGCCATTGTAAGCATTGTTAATCCTTATTGTGTCATCTTCGCTGTCATCCGAATCGACAGCTACTTGTTCGGTAGATTCATTTATGAGATCCTGGACATTGACTTGATCATTGTCAGAGTCGGCGACTTCCTCGACTGCTTGAGGCAAAGGGTCCTTCCTTCGACGTTTCCGCTTCGGCTTCTTGCTCTGGACATTGTTGGCTGATGGTAAACGCATCGATATTGTGTAGCCTTGCGGAAGTTTCGCACCATGCAGTCTGAGTTTGATGTGCCGCTGTACCGTGGTCAGTTAAGCTGAAGGGTAAGATGTTGCGAAACTGACATTTTGAAAGGCTTCGAACAGTCTCTCGCTGTCTGTTTTCTGAGCATCTTGCTCGACCTCAGCTTCCACGTCCGAGGCATCATCATCCGTCTCTGGCTCCTTCTCAGTAACCTTACATGGCACAAGCTCATACTCGCCAGTGTCCCAGATCAAGAGAGATCCAGTAGCATGAGAAGCAGATTCAACAAGGTGATTCCAAAGGCAATGCACTCGTGTTTCGATGGCCATTCGCATAGGTCTGACAGAATTTGGATTACCTGGCAGACCGTAGGGAATCGAGAAGCTGATGGCGCTAGTGGCGGAGAACTGGAGACGGAGATCATAGTGTACACCCGCAATGGGATGGTCATGTTGGTGTACAACAAACATGCGGCCGTGTTGACCTTGGTCATTGCGCCAAAGTTGAGTCCATGCTGCAAGATCTAGCCTCGGATAATCTGGTTTTAGTGATCGTGCCACTTTGCTGAAATGGTCAAGAAAGTACGAGATCGGATCTAGTAGTCGAGCTTGACCTGCTTCGATGGCAGCCGGGGTGGCAGAGGCTCCTATCTTGTGCTTACGAGAGCGGCGAGTAGGTGGAGGTGATATGTCTCGATTCAATGAGGCAGGAGCGGTCATGCTGGGTAGAGATCGACAGGAAGGCGCGATGCACGACAAGCTGTTACTTGGGGGGTTGCATGATACTCGGTCGATGTATTGATGATACACGTTACGCTTTGACATCAGACGCGCAAATACAGTCAAGTCATCTCACGCAGTCCAAATGATCCAGATCGTATCAGACATATTTGCAAGCGAAGTTTACCTTGGGATGTATGTTGGTCATGTTCGAATCACGAAACAGACGCGGAAGTCGCAATTGATGACGAAACGGGAAAGAGTCGATCGGTTAAAGCACGGTTCATTCTCAATGGTCAATGGCCAATCAGGTCTGCAAGAGGCCGCAGCAAACCGCCGTCACATCTTCCATCATCACATATATCAAACAAAATGGGCTGGTTCTGGGGCAACAACAACGGCAACAGCGAGAGTAAAGATGCGCTGAATAGTCTCGATCCGTCACTCCGAGAATTTCTGGACAAGGAATCAAAGACACGCCAACAGCAACAGCAGCAACAACCCACACAACTACCACAAGACACATCCTCATATCGCTCGCAAATAGGCATCGCCGAAGACGACCCATCACAATCAACACAACCACCAAAAGACGAGAACGGTGTCCCGACGCAATCGCTGTACCAGGATGGCAGATATGCCCATCTCTGGAAAAATTACCGCCCGCAAGAACAAATCGAACAAGCCGGACGCAGCGAGAGCGAACGACTAGCCGATGTGATCGACACATACAATGACCGTAAAGCACGAATCGGAAGAGCTGCACTTGAGAATTGCGCATTGGAACAATGGGCCGAGCATGAATGTTTCGAGAGCGGTGGTATGAAAGCGAAACTCATGCTCTGCAAAACAGAGACACGCGCTTTCAACAGATGCTACACCATGCAAAGCCGATTCTTGAAGGCTTTGGGTTACTTGAGCATGCAACGTACAGCCGATGAGGAAGAGCGCATTCAAATGCATGCAGACAAGCTCTATCACGAGATGCTGGACCGGGAGGAGGCTACGAAGGCGGCAGAAGCACAGAAACTACCTACACCAGAGTTCAAGCCTCTCATCACGAGCAAATCGACCACAGAAGCTCTGGGCGAGCGACCGGCCCCTGAAACACAACCCGCAAGAGAAGGATTAGACATGTACACAGGAGAGAAGCGCAAAGCTCTGGAGCAGTCATTGGAGAACAAAACTCCCGCTGAGCGTGAGATCGAGATTCAACTCATAGCGGCCGAGGCAAGAGCCAATGCAGAGTATGCAGCCGTCGTCCACGAACACTTTGAGGCAGAGAAGCACATAAGAGAAGGCAGGAGAGAACGAGGTAGAGAGACGGTCGGAGATACCATTAAAAGAGCCTGGGGCTGGGACAAGAAATAGATGTATCATTGTCCGACAATCAACGCTCTTACTACCGAACCTTGTCAACGGACTGAGCTCATATTGATCTACTAGTGCTATCTACAACGACATTGCCACAATCCTGTCCATGGCTCATCTAAATCCGTCGGACGCTACCAGTATGGTTGAGTCGTTACTCGAGCATCCCAATACCCGGGATGAGAACTTGATCCCGAGTTATTACAGGAGAGAATTGCGGTCTTGTGTTGATGACTTCTTTCAACGTCTGCAAAGTATTCGGTGGAGTGTCTGCCATTTACCAGAGGATGCTCAGACATTGTCGTCGGATGATATGTGACCGTTGGGCCCTGCCACGATGCATGTGTGCTTGATGAAGACAGACTGTATCGCAAAGGTATTGCCTGCGACCAATGCCTGCCGATTCTGGCAACCATGACGACAATCACTTCTGCCTCTTCCATCGTGATTGGGCTCAGATCGAGGCCCGGCTTGAGAAAATTGTGGTAACTCTCTCGACATTGGGGTGAAAGAAAGACAGCAGTGCTTAAAGCCGGAAAAGCCGGAGGGACGTGCGGGAGTACGTCCAAGCTTTCTCCATCCAGAAAGAAAGTTGGGCAGTGAACTCACTGGTGTCATCATTATCGTCTGGTCGTGAATGGATCCAATCCAACATGTCCCTCTTCAAGCTCCCCGTCGAGCTATTCTGCCGTCGGTCTGTACTGCTGACGGCTTCACGCTGTCTAACAGGAGGTAGCAGAAACATCACAACAAGCAGATCAGCACCTCTGCCACGCACACCCTTGTTTGAAGCCATCAAGTCGCATGACCCGCAGAGTCCGGCTATCATACACTCCAACTCGGGTCGCAACTTCAGCTACGGATCGTTGCTGAAAGACATTGCTGCTGCGAAACAACGACTTGCAAACGACGCCAATAGAGATGCTGGTTCGTTACGAGGGGAACGTGTCGCTTTCCTCGTCGAGAACAGCTATGACTATGTAGGTGCGCTTCGCTCTTGTCTCCTTGGTTCTTTGTGTTCTTGTTCCATGCTATAAGCACTTTTGCTTCCACAAGATCAAGTCGCTGAGGTATGTAATGAATAGTGACGCTACTCGCAATCCTTGGTTCCAATGCCATTGCCGTTCCACTTTCGCCCGCCTTTCCATCCGGAGAGCTGAGATATATTCTTGATCAAAGTGGCGCACTCATGCTGGCTGCCTCGGATAAGTTTGCGACCAAGGCCGAAGATGTTTTATCCGGCCCATTAGCAAAGAAGCCTATTCTGTCGCGATGCGAGAAGATCGTTGAAGGAAGCAAGAGTACAGAGGAAGTAGTGCTGGAGGATCTGAAAGATGACAGGAGTGGTATGATGCTCTATACAAGTGGCACTACCAACCGCCCTGTAAGTGTTCTGCCCACTGCAACAACGGGAGGTATTGACAAGCCGTCAGAAAGGAGTCCTCCTCCCGCAGTCTACCCTCATGGCTCAGGCACAATCCTTATCGCAAGCATGGCACTATTCACCCAACGACCACTTCCTTCACGTCCTACCTCTCCACCACATCCACGGTACCGTCAACGCCCTCTTGACTCCGCTTCTCGCAGGCAGCACCATCGAGTTTCTCTTTCCGTTCTCCGTCGATTCCGTTTGGTCACGTCTCGCCGCTCCTTTCCTACAATCGACAAAACAATCGAGGAAGCCCATAACCTTTTTCACCGTTGTCCCCACAATCTACAACAGACTGCTACAGTCACACAATTCCCTCAGTCTGGAAATGCAGACCGCGACAAATGAGGCATTGCATCCTAAGAATATGCGGCTAAACATCAGTGGCTCAGCTGCCTTGCCCACACCCACAAAAGAAGCTTGGACAGAGTTGAGTAACGGCAATGTACTGCTGGAGCGCTACGGCATGACAGAAGTCGGTATGGCTCTTTCCTGCGGTCTGGCGAATGAGGACCGAGTAGATGGGAGCGTGGGATGGCCTCTGCCTTCGGTTGAAGCTCGTCTCGTCGACCTGGACACCAAGACAATCATCAAGCACGGGGAAGAGCTTGATGTAAATGGCAAAGAACGTAGTGGCGAGATCCAATTGCGCGGTCCTACAATCTTCAAGGAGTACTGGAACAACCCGACAGCTACGGCAAAAGAGTTTACCGACGATGGGTTCTTCAAAACGGGAGATGTAGCCGTTCGAAGGCCGGTACCTTCTGCCGGTAAAGGGGCCTCAGGAGACTGGGCAAAGGGTCCCATGTACTTCATCCTCGGCCGCCTCTCTGCCGACATAATCAAGGTCGGTGGTGAGAAAGTGTCAGCACTGGAGGTAGAAAGGGAAATGCTGTCCATTCCCGCCATCTCCGAATGCGCAGTCGTCGGTCTGCCGTCGGAAACATGGGGTCAAAAGGTAGCAGCGGTAGTCGTGTTGAGCGAAGAAGGCAAGACTGCTGGAAAAGATGGGAAGCCATTCGGACCCATGGATCTGCGAAGAGGCTTGAAGGATAAGATGGCGAATTTCAAGATCCCGCAAGAGTTGAAATTGGTTGAGAGCATTCCAAGAAACGCTATGGGCAAGAGTGAGTCTTGAATATGAAGAGGATTGGAATGGAAATATTTTGCTAACGGGCTGTGCAGTTAACAAGAAGCAATTGGTTCTTCAGGTGTTTGGAGATAACACAAAGGAGGCAATCGGTACTCGGATGCGTAGCTGCTAGGTCTGCTGAGCTTCCTTCCTCTTGACGGCGCTCGACACTAAATCGCAAAGCGTGCGAGAACTTGGGAAGTTTTCACTGAGCAGTCTACAAAAGTCTACAGGGCCCCCCAAAATTCGTCACTATGTCCGAAAACATACCTCTGTTAGGTCACGGGTAGGATCTGGGATGGGTCGATAAGTGTATTTTCGATCGAGTCTTCGCTCCTTCACTTCCTACTTGTCACATTTCGTCTTGTTTGTCACTTCCCCGTTGTACGTGCTGTCGTCTTCGTCGTTTCGTCGTCAGCTTTCTTTCCCTTCGCCTCTAGATCCCGATGCCATCGCCTTCGATCTCGTTGTTGATCAAGTCATAAGCAGTCATCCCCTCATCCTCTCCAGAGTCAATGTTCATACCCATAGGCTCCTCTTCACCATCAACAGCGTCTTCCTCGTCATCAGAAACGACCTCCTTCTTGATCTCAGCGACGAGCTTGTCGGCAGCATATCTGGCTCTTCCAGCAGCAATGGCATTGGCGTTGTGCTTGTCCTCTTCGGTCTCTGGGCTGGAGATGCGAGGCTTCTTGCCCTTGGGCTTGGGCTTGTACTTGTTCTTGAGAGGAGCTGCTTCGTCTTCCTCGTCTTCGTCGGACTTGGCCTTTGTGATGCGACGTTTCTTGGCTGGAGCCTCGTCGTTGGAGTCAGGTGGAGACGAGTCTTCGGGGGAGGACTGCTTGCGCTTCTTGGCTGAGGCGCGCTTCTTGGTGGCGGTGGGTGCTGTGGTGGAAGAGGGTGTGTTGGATCCCTGGGCCAATAGTTTCTTCTTGACCTCTCGGAAGCAGGCGCGGGCTGAAGGACCGTTCTTGTAGCCGGCCATGGTTGCCAGCTTGTCGTAGTCGATCTATAAGTGCAAGGGTTAGTCTCGATCAAGAATGGTCTCGATATATCGACTCCAAGTAAAGGTGCAGATCAGGGACAAGTGGGAAGAGTCAGAAGACGGAGAGAATATTGAGATTAGAATTGACGAGGAGACGGCGCTTACTTCTGAAGCAGTCTTCAGGCACTGGAACGCAGCGGCGACGACCTCAGTGTCGCGCTGGGAAAGACCGACCATCTTGGGAGGCGTCTTGTTGTTTGGTATAGTAGTGGCTGTGTTGTGTTGAAGACAGAAGAGAGATATGTTGACGAAGGTGGGAAGAGACGAAGAGTTGGAAGAGAGAAAGAGTATGTGCTCAGGAGTAGAGAGGCAAGGCGGAGAGGGATGGTCAAGATGAGAGAAGAAATGGAAGTGAGAAGAACCAGAAACAACACGCACGAGACGTGGTGAAGTGAAGATACGGGAATTTGAACAACACCATCAGATCTCAAAATTACTTCGAGACCGCACATTGATAGTCACGAGTTGCACGTTTCTGACTCTTGAAGCACCGAAAAGAAGTTTGATCATTTTTCTCGACGTGAAACCGCAATTATTGAAGAAAACGCATCCTGCTTGGTGTGCAGCGATATCCTTCCCACAGTGTACAGCATTGATGACCGTCCCGTATCATGTGGAGATGTGGTAGACAAGTTCAGCCAGAGACTTAGAGCTCCTCGAAGTCGTCGTTAGCGGCCTCGTCCTTGACTTTTACAAAGCCATCCTCCTCATCCTCATTGTCAGCGTCCTTGAAGGCCTTGAGAGCGGCCTTGGCCTTGGCCTTAGACTTGATGCCGGCAGGGCCCTTGGGCTTCTTAGAAGGAGTGAAGGGTTGGTCCTCGTCAGAATCACCACCCATGGAGCGGAGGGCAGCACCACGCTTCTTGCCAGACGACTTGGTGATGGTATTAGGGGTCTGGCCGGGGGTACCGTCGACAGGAGCATAGATCTTCTTCTTGAGGGCATTCCAGGCGTTACGGGCAGAACCGACGGTAAGGCCGGAGGTCTCGGCAAACTATATAGCATGTGTCAGTGTTGAAAAATGAATGACGTGCAGTGAGATTCTTTACCTTGGCCATGTCGACCTATGATAAATACGTCAGCAATAATCAAGAACAGATGTAGAGAGAGCAACATACCTTGGGCTCGCTTTCGAAAGACTGACAGGCGGCAGCAAGCAACTTCTGCTCACGCTCAGTGAAGGATGCCATCTGGTTGTCGAGGCGTCAGTCTGGAAATATATGTTGAGAGCGCGTCTTTTGTATTACCTTGAATGATGATGATGATGGTGATGATGTTTTGTTGAAGGGTGGGTGTGAGATACACTTGACTTTGAAGAAAGGTGTAGACGCGGATGTAGATTCACGGTTGTGGTGTTGGAAGAGAAAACAAAATGCACGAGATATGTAAAGGTAGAGGTGAGAAGCGAGCAGATTGTGATCAGAGTGAGAACGGTGTTGTTTTGATCACGTCTTAGAGTGAAGATGACTGAACTTTCTACATCGGCTAAGCGTAAGGCTCGACGATGATGTCTCGGGACGAACGACTCAGAGTGACTGCAGCCATCGTCCTGGAGATATGTTAAGGTCATCAACAACAATCCTCTTTCCCTCGACTAACCCTCTGGAGATGTCGTGGTGATGTCCTTCGGAATGCAAAGCTGGTAGCTCTGTCTGCCTTTGTGCCTGTAGCGTCTATGTAACAATGCCCGTCTCTTGCTCTCCATTGCAGGGTGTTCTCATCTTTTGCACAACACGGAACGACGACACGATAATATCGAGGATGCAAGCTCGAAGAGATTAGATCGACGAGGCAACAACAGCATGCATTGACCTGATACGTATCGCTCATGGCCGTCTGCCACTTCCACCTCTTCGGCGTAGCCGTTCTTGTCTTCTGCACGACACTGAACAACAGCACGATGATTTTGAGGATGCACATCCCAAGGAAGAAGATCGATGAGGTGATCACAGTGTGTATAGACCCGATACGCTTTGTCCATAGCCATTCCGTGATTGGAGAGGCTTCAGGTCCAGCAGACAATGTCTAGCCGGTGGTCATCTCGTCACGACAGCCATGCTTGGTGTTGGGACGCAAGGGTTGAAGATGGAAATTAAGAGCAGGCCGAGTCCAGCGTGTCATCAGAGAGGGTAGTACCTGCCTCAGGGTGTACGTGAGGAAGATCGTGACTTCTCCACATCGATTACCGACTTGAAGCTTGACATTGGGACTCGCCGGGCTCTCACATGACTGAAAACTCACGATGAGACGTCTAAAGCGTTGGATTCATGTCTCTTTCTATATTCACCTTCTAGCTTTCCGACTTTACATATCAGCACTGCCGAAATACTGTCGCTTTTTCGCATTTTTCAACTCGACCTTTGAGCGACGAGCGTTTGCTCTCTTTGCTCTTTGTTCAAGATCCTTTCCTCTCGAGCCAGCATGTCTGAGTACTGGTTGTAGGAATCCATCATTGTGTACACCGCCCACCATATAGCCATCACTATCATCATCAGAGCTACTCGATTTCTGGGAGTCTATACCTTCATCCTGATCAACCATCTCTCTCGACAGCTTCTCTGGCGGGTCTTGAATGCGTGGATCATATTTGTGCCCGCGCCTGATGTGATCCAACAGACGACTGACTTTTGCAAAGACATGTTGAGAAGAGGAGCAGTGCGGACATTTGAGCGGATCTGGAGGCTGCCAACCTCGAGGATTGTGGGCCAACACATGATGACGCTTTGCACCAGGAGCAATATCGCCAGATTTGATCAATTGCTGTTCGAGCTTTGCAATCTGATCATTGTCGTACCGATGCGTCTTGCGCATGTGCTCACGCCAGCGGAAGCCTTGGTCAAGGGGCTGCATGTTGCGGAAGCAATTAGTCAAAGGACATCGCCAACTCGCTGATTGAGTTGACCGAGTGTATGATTGTTGATGCATGACTTCAGCTTCATCGGCAGAAGAGTCGTCATGTTCAGGCATGGTGAAGAGGTCCATGTCTTCTTTGAACAGATCGCTGCATCGCTGACGAGTCCGTTCGAGCACTAGAGGGTCCCATCCGGTCAGACTGGCTAAACCCAGCACTTCACTCCAATCTCTCAAGCCCGGTCTCGGAGGATTGCGTCGTTTTCTGCCACTTGGCGAGGTAGTCTGTACGTCGGGCTCCGGCGACGATGCTCTATTACTCGGCGAGCGAGATTGTCGTCTGGGCTTCTCCGGCTCCCAGGTCTCATCTTCTCCAGAATCGTCATACATGACAAGGTCTTGCGGACTTGTCGCCCGAGAGGCAGAGGCAGATTCTGTACGACGGCTTTGTCTAAGCGGAGCAATGCCAGTCTGGTTCTGAGATGCTTTGTCTGACTTCTTGACGGACTTTTTGTTCGAAGACTTGTTAGGTGACGAGCGAGATCGGGAATTCGAACGTGCAGAAGAGTCTGACGTATCTCCATCTCTCGGTCGGTGTACATGGGCTTGTCTGCTTTGATGCAAGGCGAGAAGCAGTTTGTCCAGCTTTGATATGATGTGGTTGACAGTCGGATCAAGAATACGACGAGAGCGGTCGTCGTCGGCAGAGAAGACTGGACGTGCGGGATTCTTGTCTTGTACCTTTTCGCCTTCATCTTTGACGGAGCTCTCTCGAGGTGTGTCGGCAGGATTCTGAACGGGTTGTTCAATGACAGATTGATCAAGCGACGACAGCGGAGGCAGATGATCTGCGAGCGATGGCGAAGAAGGAGCCAAAGTTGGACCAGCAGAGACCGAACGAGTTCGTGCTCGTCTTGCTGGAGAGCGACGATCAGGAGTAGCAACAGAGACGGCCATGAGATCAGTCGCTTCAGGACGGCGATCATTGCTAGTTTTCCAAGACTGGTGTGCTCGTGCTAGAATGACCACGTGCAGTTGGTCTCGCAGGTTGTCAGTCGGAGTGGCTTGTCGAGGATTGCGAAGAGTGAAGGTCTCGAGGCCGTCGTTGGGCCGGCCGAAGACTTCAGCACCAGCTGGGACGACATCCGGAGGCAGTGGCCAGGCGGTCCAGTCGGACTCAGGATACCATGGCTTCTGAAGGGCTTGATTGGTCGAAAGCCAACGACTCTTTCTGCTCCAAGCTTTACACGAAGATGGTGATGTTTGTTGGCGCAAGCGAGCCTTCAGGTGGTGAGCGCTGTAGAGGTGCGAGGACAGGTCGTCTGCCTTGAGTTGATCAAGCGAGCCAGCAAGAGTCCGATCGGCATTCGTAAGGTGAAGCCATGCGCGGTCTGAGCCTCGGAAGCGATTGGGCCGAACGTCGAACTCGCTGGTGTCTGACATTGCGGAAGGACTCCTGTTGTTCCTGCGATCGTCCAACTCTTCTACACCCCCGCCAGTACCCCCGTCGGTCTCCTCTTCAAGATCGGCATGGTCGTTGTGATCCTCTTGACCGGCTTGAGTGTCGGGTGAGCCTTCTGAACGCGCCGTGTGCGCTTGTTCGTCGTCGATGGTGCTGATGGAAAAGTCGCTTGCTTGACTAGGCGACGCTGCTCCACTGTCATCTCCTCCTCCTCCAAAGAGCGACATATTTCTTTCCTCGTCCTCGCATTTTGTTGTTGATGTAGAAATTTATCTCTCGTTGCAATTGCGACCCTTGTACGTGAACTGCGGGGTAGACACAACTGTGCAACAGAATTGTGCATCCTCCCTCGCTACCGCCTCGCCAAGCCAAACTCATAATCAACTCCAGACAGCTCGACATGCATCACCCACTCTATACTCGTACCACTGTTACTATTCTCCCACCATCTAAACGCCAGTTCTGTCCCCGTCATCCACTACTGCATCTGTCCACTCAAACTGGTAGTCTACTCTACTGGATCCGCCGATCTTTCACAACTACCTACGCGTGAGCCTCCTGCATGTTCCCTCACGTTGCAACGACAAAGTATATTCTTTCCTTCGGGCTAATCATGACCGATTTTAACCTCTCAAAACAAGACTCGCCAGTCTGAACTTCCACCTATAGGCATCATCTTTGCATTGCTCCTGCCTGACCAAGATCATTGCCACCATGGTCGGCCAAAGCTTACTTCTTGTGGAAGCCAGTTCCGGGCGTGTCTCATCTACATCTACAGCCCATGGCTAAACTTCTTCTATTGATCAGCCATGCAGGTAAGCGAGTTTTGTCTATCACCTCGCGATATGCGGTGAAACGCTCTATTCGTACGTAGTTGTGGGTGGGGTTCTGCCTTGTCCTCGGCGTTGTATTCTAACGACTCAAGACTCTTTTCCACACATAAGTGCTCGTCCAAGGCCTCCAGAAAATCTCCAATTCCGGTTTTCTACCGTCATACAACCATGCTCGTGTCTAGTCTCCTTCTTTCTGCTGTTACGCTCTTCTCTCCCCTAGCTTCGGCAGCCTTTGGTCTCACTAGCAACAGCAACAGTTTCATCATTGATGCTGGTTCCTCCAATACACTTGTTGTGACTGTTGACAGGAAAAGCTGCGACATAACTTCTATTCTGTATCGTGGTGAAGAGCTACAGTACAAAAGCACAGGATCCCACATCAGCTCTGGTCTTGGAACGGCCACTGTGTCTGGAGATGTCGTCGCCAGTCAATATGCAAAAATTACTTGCAAGACTTCCACTCTGACTCATTACATCATCGTCAGAAGTGGTGATAGTTCGATTCACATGGCCACCTACACGACTGCAGAACCTACCATCGGCGAACTTCGATTTATTGCTCGTCTCAACTCGAAAGCCCTACCTCTAGAGTATCCTTTTGGAGCTGCTTCTACAATTGCCGGTAGTACCTCCACCGTGGAAGGCTCTGATGTTTTCGTTGTCAATGGCGAAACACGAAGCAAATTCTACTCCAGTCAGCGATTTATCGATGACAAGGTCCACTGCGTCTATCGCGATGGGTCTGATCCAATTCATGCTTGTATGGTTCTGCCTGACCCTGCATATGAAGCTTCCAGTGGTGGGCCTTTCTTCAGAGATATCGACTCCAACAATGTTGGTGATTATACAGGCCTTTACTTTTACATGAACTCTGGCCATGTACAAACAGAGCCCTTCCGTCAAGGTCTCCACGGGCCCTACACTATCGCATTTAGTCGTTCGGGTATTCCTTCCGCCAGTGGAGCTGATACTTCGTTCTTCTCAAGCTTGGGCGTTACTGGTTATGTAGCTGACTCCGGTCGCGGTCGTGTTTCTGGCACGGCTTCTGGTATCAGTGGTTCTCTTCAGAGGATCGTCCACTGGCACAACACCAACAACCAATACTGGACATATGCCGACTCGTCCGGTAAATTCACTTCACCCGCCATGCAACCCGGCACATACACAATGGTATTGTATCAGACTGAGTTCAAAGTGGCTGAGACTAGCGTAACAGTTACTGCTGGTTCAACAGCTAGTAAGAATATTGCTTCCGGAGTCATAGCAAGAAACACCATCTGGACGATTGGTACTTGGGATGGTCAACCCACTGGATTCCGTAATGCCGATAAGCAGCTTCGTATGCATCCTTCTGACAAGAGAATGTCGTCTTGGGGTCCCCTCACCTACACTGTTGGGTCAAGCTCATTGACAGACGTACCTATGGCATTATGGAAAGGTGTCAATGATCCTCTGACAATCAAATTCACCCTATCAGCAGCTCAGGCTGGAGCCGCTACTTTAAGAATTGGAACCACGCTGTCTTTTGCTGGCGCAAGACCTCAAGCCAAGATCAATAGCTACAGCGCTACTGCCCCTGCTGCTCCAGCAAAGATTGATTCTCGCGGTGTGACTCGAGGAGCATATCGTGGTAACGGTGAAGTGTACGATGTCAAGATCCCTGCTGGTACTTTGATCGCCGGTGCGAATACCATCACAATCACTGTTGCATCAGGGTCAAGTGGCGACTCGTACTTGGCCCCGAACATCGTAAGTCAACCACCCTCAGCTAGCTTCCAAACCGATACTGACAGGACCAGATTCTGGATGCCATAGAACTGTTCCAGTAGAGCACATCACCCAGTCTCCGGTATCCGGAGAGCCACAGTATGAGCCGTGTTGTGGAAAGCTATCCAGATGTCTTCATCAGGTAGGAGATGGGTATTTCGGAGATGCTCTTGCCTCTTTCCGGCATGTACGAAGGGACGAAGATAGTCGTTTGGCCGTATCGTATCATCGTAATATACAATCCCGCCGTGTAGGCGTATCGTATAACCGTATCCAATCCCGTATGGTACCGTATGGACGAAGCAGGAAGACAGCAACAGCCTATCAGCATCTCTGTACGTACAATCGGCCGGAAGAGCAATGATAGTCCGAGGAAAGATGCATGTCGTGATTGATCCTGCGATGTGGATGAGAGTGTTCTTCGTACCTACAAGAAGGGCACATTTTCGCTCTTGGAGCCTCAGGACAACACAGTAACTCTCAAGTGTATGGCAATCTTTGTTCAACCTACCCATCGTCCTGCACTACATCCTTCCACAAGGTCTCGTTCGTTTACATATCAGCAATGGCGGCTCTAAGTCCATCAGCGACCATCATCATCGTCTTGATCTGTTGCGCATGCTTAGTCGTCATCATAGCAGCAGTGGGCCGTCACTACTACGCTGAGACCATCGACGAAGAAGCAAACTACAAGATCTCGCCTGAACAGGCGACATATATGCGCTCTGTCAAGCAGAGAAACGTAGAAAGCATTGTACCAAGATTCTACAACCGCCGCGGAGACATCGAGAAACCAAGGTTACAGTCTTCTTTGACTGATCGTTCGGATCATTGAACGGAGATCCAAGCCGGCCGTCAAAATGGTGAGCGCTCTACTGTCGGAGCTTTGAGTTGATCTGGAAGATTAAAGGCTGATTATTGGGCATTGTAGAACACAACAAAAGACGCAACACAGTCCCAAGCACGCGTCAGCTCGCGCACACATCCAATGATCATCTAATTTTGTTGCGCTGGGCGTAGCACGGACGTGAAGAGTGGTGTTCATCTGCAATCACCTGAACCTTGCGAGAACGGTCAACCTATGTCGTCGCTTAGACCAAGAGTTAATTGAGAGAAGGATCGAGTGTGGGTTGATCGGGTATCTGTCGCTTAATAAGATACTCTTATCCGAGGCCTGACCTGTTGATAGCCGAAGGTTCAGACCCTGGGAATAAGAAAAAGTGAAGGGCGCCATAGCTGAGCATATCGTGCTTTCAGGATCAACAACAGTCTGTTCGGCTCCCTGCATGTGCTTAGTAACACTGCTTTGGGCCTGCAAGCGAAAGACTGGGGTCAGGGCAGCACGGACTATCTACCTATACCGGTGTGCTACACTCGAAACGGTTGATGGATGGCATCTCGCAGGCCAGAACCGGTTGGTAAAACTAACGGCGGCATGTCCCCGGTGGCCTCTGTGAGTTCAGCAAGGCGTTGGAAGGGCGGCATGCCAATTGTGTTTGTTCGATGACGAGGTGCAGGCATCAAAGCTTAACCTCCTTTAGCGAGGCAAAACACATGGCATTGAGTTGAGATGCTTTTATTGGAAGCTTTTCTGCGTACCACCGTGCTACCATGTATCTGCGTTTCACATTTGACTTTTTCGTGGATGTCGTTCTTCTGCCGGGCTTGCCCACATAGCAACCTCTATATTGTCGCGGAGAGGAAGCTTCCTCCCAGGATCTTCGTTTTGCGGCTCTTGTGCTTGGGACAAGTCGTGTTGAGTCAACACGGCATGAAGTGTCACATCCCCGACATCCCTCTCTCCTTAAATTGTCGGTCCGGGGAGGAGCGAGAGCACAAGATACCACAATATCGAACCGGCATGCAGTGTCTATCCATTCCAATCTCTTGCATACAGCGTTGAAGACTGCATCATCAATAAGTTCAAGTCCGGCGGGATTCGAAGGGATTGGGGTGAAGTGCATGTAGCAAAACGTTGGCCGTAAGATCCCTTCATGTCTTTAGGGTTCAGATTCGGTACTTTCTCTAAAGTATCCCGGGCCGATACGGTGATGGTGCTACGCGACTTCCGCTTGACACCGAAATTTCTGACTCGCATGAAGTTCTCCAAACAACCGCTGGACGTCTGCCAACCTTCATCTAGAGTCAAACCCCAAGCCCCTTGTCTCGGTCGCTCTCCACGGAGTTGTTTGAACTGTAAATCGACATATCTCAGATTCGTACCGATTCCAGCACACAGTCATGCAATCTTCGAGGCACGCACGTTGTTAACGAACCGTTGAGATCAGGATTTAGGCTCATGGGAAGCGAACCGATCAGACCAGACACCTTCAGTTGCCGACGCCAAACTACGTAGCCTTCACGTGGCTGTCAGGAAAAGGAAGGCGGCGGGCAGCGGATGTGTAAATGGCAATCGGACGGGGAATGATCCGAGAGTGTCGTGACCAGGTGCGGCCGTGTAACAAGTTGCGGAACAACGTCCTCTTTGCAAGTCTGGAACTATTCTATTTCTGCAGCCATCCACACCACCATTTGCCAAATCGCATTGTTTATGCTCCTGTCGCTGTTGAGCAAGCTCATCGCTGACGCGTCTCAGCTGTCCGACAGGTACAATAGAGTCTGTTCGAGCTGAAGGGTCTTTGGTGTAGATCATATGCACTGTAGCCCTAACGATCCATCTCAGACGGATCTAGTGTTCGTGAACTTCACTCGTTGCGCACTTCGTAAGAAACTGAGATGATGGTTGTGAGGGTCATATATTGGCGCTCTGACCTGTCTAGAGTCGGCTTGTCCATTCATGGGTGGTCCGACTTGGACAAGAGAATTCAACGGTGGCTGTGTTTTCCAACTGGGGAGAGCTCGAGACAAAACGTTCGAATTTTAGTTTACTGACCTGCGCCCATCTCCCAGAGATGTCACACCAAATCTCAGAGGTACCGAGCGGGATCACTTCTCGAATCACCCCTAGGTAGGTCATGGGCATCCACTCTCCGCCGATTGACGTCAAAACGCAAGGTCCTGAAAGTCGTTCGAAGCTAAGTTTGAAGGAATCAGGTTAACGGTGTGTACAAAGGCATGGTCAGATGCGTTAGCGCAATGCTGCTTAAGCTTTTGTACTTTCCCGAAAGCTACGCTTTTCTTGACCGGGCAGAGGAAACATCAGGGTAAGGGAGTTAAACAGTTGATTTCCCACATGGTTCCTCATCATCCCGTATATACCCTGTTTCAAGGAGCAGATTGAGAAATCCTTCCGACCTTGACACCTTTACTCATAAGGCTATACCTATAACTTCGAATTCGTGAATCAATCTCGCCGAACTACACCAGTTTCACCAGCAATACTGCCCCGCGTCGAGGCTCTGTCACCACCGCTGTCAAAGAGTCGCATGAATCTTCTCCCCCACGCCAAACAAGATCTCTCCACGTCATGAGTCGTCAATCGACATCTACAAGTCCACATCTGTCGGCAGCATACCCAATACAAACTCTTGGATCAAGCCCTTCCAAATCGCATACATCGGGATCGAATTCAGACGTTGATTCTGCCATTGGAGAACGCCGACCCAACACGCGACAATCGAAACCAAGATCAAGGAATGGATGCTGGACATGTCGACAAAGAAAAGTCAAGTGTGATGAAGTCCGACCGAAGTGTGCTTCATGCAATAGGCTAGGAAAAGATTGTGAATGGGGTCAAAGATGGAAGTTCGACGATTTGAGCATACGCACACGGCGGAGGCACAAGCATGTCTCTGTGACAGGGAGTCCATCTTGGGATGAACATAACCAACAACGCTTGATGGCTCGACAGCTCTATACCAGACATCAACCAACATTGCCGCCGTTTACTGAGCTCAGTAACGAAGACGAAAGAGAAAGAAAGGCACTTACACAACCACCCGGTACTTTCAATGTCGTTTTGACACCGGACAGCTTTTGTCAGCTGCCAGAATATGGTGGCTTGATCAGACGATATAGAAGTGGGAGTGGATCTTCAAGATATGGCTTCTCGGAAGATCCTAATCTGATAGTCCTCTCCGAGTTCGAGGATACACCCTACTTCATGGCACTTCCGGAACGCAAACCTTCCATCATCAGTATGAACGACCAGGGATTCGATACACCTTCCATGACCCGAGATTTTACAAACTATGGCTCTACAGATGTTGATGAGGTCATGATGCATTACAAGAATTTCATTTCGAAAAGAATGATGCCTCTTGGGTCAAGGTTCAAGTTGAGTGATTGTGGGCATGAGGATGTCATTGTTCAAGAGTCACGATCATTTCCACCTGTAAGATTCGTCAGCCATAAACCAGGGACAGGATGAATGCTAATATTCGACCAGTTGTATCATGCAATATGTGCCATTACATTGCTGAGTCTGGCGCTCAAAGGTCAACGGCATCTCTTAGCTGGAGCTTTTCAGCATTATCATCAAGCCATCTCTGCATGCATGTCAAGCACCTACATGTCACCGGGGTCTCTGATCTATCTTCACTTCATCCTTCTATTATATGACATCTGTTGCGCAACCCAAAACTGTTCACCAGATGGTGTCATGTGGTCCCAACATTTTCAACAACTCGCTCGTCTGGCATACTCTCGAGACAATACAGAAGTCACAGAATTACAAGCGTACATTCTGTGGTATACCCTCTTCTTAGATGCACAATCATGTCTCGCTGGAAACCCAGAATCTGGGTCTTTCGTCAGAGCTTATTTGATGCACGGTTCAGACCTACCAACTTGGAGGAAGCCGGAAGAATTAACACTGCAACCAAATCTGGAGATTTCCGGTTTAGCAGCTGTCTCTGATCTTGGCAAATACATGTGTACGAGATTTGCCGAGATCAGTCAATTGGCATTGGAGATACGAGAAGACGTTAGTTCTGGCCGTGGTAGCATTGCAGAACATCAAGAACGTGTAATGAGATTCAGAAATGAACTTCACTCATCTTGGAATGCGAGATATCCTGCTTTCCTACCTCGCGACTCACCAGAAGCTGGAACAAGACTGCCTGCTCTTGCTAGGACAGTTTTTGACTTTGTAAGTCCTGCTAACCTCATCAAATATTGTTTCTGTCTAACAATCGCAATAGGCATCTCTCCAATACTCTACCGCAATGGTATACTTACATACGAGCATGTATCGTGGTCAACGCGTTTACAACTCACCTGCTCAACGCAAAGAAGTCGCAACTCACTGTCGCCATATCCTTGCAATGGCATCTCTGGTCATTGCCGAGAAGAGTACCGAACAACATCATATCATCTTCTCCGTCTTCTTGGCAGGTGTGAACACATGCAACGATCATGACAAGAATCGTGCTATCGGTATCATCCGAGCCATGGAAGGTACCGGCATCAGCTGCAATGTTACCAAATCTCGCGAGCTGCTCGAGACATTATGTGCTGAGCAGCGTGAGAGGGTCCGATTCGGTGGCAATGCTACTGAGATTGACTGGGTCTCTTATGCTAGAGAACATGGCATCAGACTTGTCAATCTCGGTCTCTGAGTGTTCTCATACCTTCTATTCCAATTCTTGTAAAAATTCAGATATACGATACCCAAAACCAGGACTCCATTTTACTCTTTCCACATCTGTGAGAATGCACAGTGATTTTTTATTGTCAATACTACATTGATGGAGAGGCTCGAAGACAGACTCTCTCAATGGGTCTTCTATAGTCCTCAAATTTGTTGGTGCATTCCCACGGGTCTTGTGATTTGGGCGGCACGCATAGTCAGATGGATACGGGTAGAGCGTAGGGAAGACAGTGTCGTACGTACCTCGGTATGAACTCGACATGCACCCCTACGATGGCAATCAAAGTTGAGCGGCTCAAACCGCTGTCGCGAAGCTCAGGCATCTGTCTACCCATGCAGGTAATCGCACCTAGCGACACCTTGTATGAGGCTGGGACAAAGAAGCTGTGGTTCTTGTCACGACGTGATGGAAGATCGATCAGACAAGTCGTCGAGCTATAGTCAACCCCCTCATCCGTAGTTGCGAAAACAGCAATTTGCTACTTTTGTGGCTCGTCGATAATGCACTGAAGCTTTCCGAATGAGCGGATGTTACCCAACATTGCTCTTTCGGTGTTTCTCTCCACGATGATGTCGCCAAGGCGGATTTCTCTATGATTGATTCTCTCGATCATGCAGTCCCTCTGTGAGGTGACCACTCCTTTGGTCAGAGCTACGAACCATAGAGCTTACGAAGCAACAAGAGTGCCCATGTTTCCACCGTACCCCTTGAGCCACCTGTCGTAGAAGGATCTGAAGTTCTTCCAGGTAGTCATTGCAAGGGTTGAAGCGAACATGATAATCTCCATGATCCTTGCTTGAACGATGATCTCGCGCTCAGTCACAGACTGTCGAGCAAGCAATCTGTCAAAAGTTCTGTAGATCGTACCGCTTGTGGGCATCGAGCTCTTCGACTCTGGCAGAGAGCGCCTCGAGCATGGCGAACAACTGTTGGCTCTGTGGTTTCAGGCTTGCGACTGAGAACATGCAAGTCCAGACTCTGGTGCAAATATGGAGTAGTCTGCTCCAAGGAGCAAAAGGATATCGCCCACTGGACCGACTCCTGCAGTGGGCTCAATCCCTCGAACGCTTCTTCACCCATAGGGAACTCGATGGAAGCCAATGCAGTGTTACTTGACATCTCAACGAGCAAGTCCAAAAACTGTTCAAATTCCGCTTCGTTGACGTCTTCGTCAATGAGGATTAGCCTCAGGCGTGCAGCGGCCATCTTGCCTGTGCTATCAGCTCGATCGCGCGCCTCCTCTACGGCTTTCTTCGCTTTCTGGACAGTCTCAAGCTTTTCCTTAACCTTTGTCCTTTCAAGAGCCAGCTCATTGGCTTTCAGAGAAGCCTTTTCCAACTCGGCTTTCGAGGACTTCATAGTAGCGCTCGAGGCTTTTGTCTGGTTTTCATGGACATCAATCCGGGCTTGAAGAGGTTCTGTGTTGCGCTCATGTTACTCGCGAGTGTCGCACTCGGTCTCTCTGGTTTGCTCGATTTGTTCACTCAACTCCGTCTCAGCTATGTTGGCGGATACAAGCTCTCCCTCCAACTCCGCGATGCGATCCCTACGTTCCTCAAGAGTCTGGGCCCATTCTTTGCGAGTCGTAACGATACTTTGCAAGACTCAGCCGCCGAGATCAAGACTACTAGGGACGGAGTTTTTCTCGTCAGTCGCTGTATCGGGCGAGCATGGATAGAGCGAACGTATATGGGGGAGGGCTGAGGAGGAGGAGGAGGAGGAGGAGGAGGAGGAGGAGTAGGACCAAAGAGAAAGAAAAATAGAACAGATGGTGTAGGGGAGATGTTGGGCTTGCGTAAGACTTACTTTTGTTGACAAAGCCTTGGAGGAACAGGCAGCACTCAACGAGCTGTTCTTGATATCTCGTAAATTCTCCTTGTGATCCACATTGACGACTATGAGCCTCTTCCAGGCTGCGATGCATGAGCTGGTTCGACTGTCTCGAGAAATCTGAAACGAGCGCGACGACATTTTCGAAGAGGTTTTCCATTTGCTCAGCGATGATTGCTGGATCATTGACATCGACCTTAGTGATCTCCGTTGCGAGAGCTTTGGCGTTTTGATGTAAATTGCTATGCCCTCCTGAGGCAGACAGATGATGGGGCTGAGATGAGAAAGGTGCAGCTTGTGTGAAAGAATATTGGTTTACCGCGAGATGGTTGGCACATCGACAAATACCGGAAGATCGACAGAGTCCCACGACTCAACTATCGACCATACTTTCGATCCATGAGTCTCACCTTTGGCAGATGAGAAAGTACAAACGAAGGTCGTTCGAAACGTTCAGAACGAACGGCATACATGAGATACTGTAGTTTATTGTCGTATACAAGTCTGTCGTTCGAACGTAGAAAGAGATACAACATCACATCATCTAATTCTTGTTTGGACTCACGATACCCAGATAAAAAAGTAATCTTGCATGATAGACGCCAATTTTCATACGTCCAGTCGGTTCGGTCACAGACAATCTGTGTTAGAGCAATTCGAGATTATAATGTTCTGGCGGATATGCCACTCTGCCAGCCCTTTAATCTCTCCGGTTACGCCGCGCTTAGCTAATTGTCGGTCAAAGCATGTTCCCTCTCTCTCTCTCTCCCTCTGTCCCTCTCTCTCCTTCTTGCTCTCGTGGTCAGAAGGCAACGATCCTCACATCTTCACGCGCAACAGGTAGCGAAGGCGGACCTGAGCGATGTCGTAGCAGATGTATTCATTGTAGAGGAGGTAGGCGCCGGGAACATTGGTATCACCAGGGTCTTGGGTAGTGTCGGGCTGTGCAATAGTCAGTGAAATGCCTGCACGGGCCGGAACAGATGAACTGACCATGGTCGCACCAGCGAGGGAGGGATGAATGCATCCGGCGTCTTTCCAAGCCTTGGGTGAGGTCTTACCTTGTCCCCAGGTGGAGAAGGCACCCAGCTCTTTTGCGGTCTCAGCTGCGTTATAGCTGGCGTCGGTGAGAGTTTGCATGGGCTTGCCAAGTTCGGCCTCACAGAGAAGGAGTAGTGCGTGGCCATCCGAGTCGTAGGGTGAGCAGTAGTTTGCTGATTTGCTGCTCATGTCGGCGAGATAGATTCCCTTGCCGAACATGTAACCGTTCACTGGGGCTTCTGGTGGAGCAATACGGAGACCTTGACTGAGGATACCTCCATAGTTTGTAGTGCGAGATCCGTGCCACAATAGACGACGGTCGCTAGCAACACTAGCGTACTTGCTCCTACCGAATCTCTCAAACTCTCCTTGACGTTGAATGCGGAAGATGTCCTGCACTTCGTACTTAACGGAGTGGGTGGAGCCGCAGGTCTTGTGCAGGTACTGGTTGATCTCCGTGAATTCCGTGCTGTCGGTGGGAAGGGCAGACATCTCTTGCATGTTGAGGCCTTGGAAGCGTGAATCAAGTGCGTGTATCTGTGCAGCACTGTCCTTTGCCTTTCTCAGGATCTCGTCAGCGTTTTTGAGGTCGCTCAAGCTGTCCAGCAATTCTATCTCTGGCTTCAGCATGTCGAGCGTTCGGATGATTGGTGGACGGTTGCGACCAAAGGCGTGAGGGATGTAGCTGTAGTACTGGTTGCTCAGGTCCTCGTAAGCGTCCAGATCAGTGCCAAGTGAAGGGTCGCTCATCAATGCAGACAGCTCCTTCAAAAACTCGAAGCCTTTGGTAATGGTGGCTTTGCTGAGCTTGCCCAAGGGAAGCTTTTTGACGTCGTAATTGAGGCTTTGCATGGTGTTTGCGAAATGCTCTTGGTTGAAGATGAGCTCCATCAAAGATTGGACTGGTGGTTCGAGGGTACATTTAGGCTGCGTGTGCGGAGTCTCAGTATCGCCATGGGGAGAAGCGCCAGCCTGAGCAGCAGCTTCATCGTCGTCATCGTCGTCGGCAAGGTAGCTGCGTTCGACAAAGACATACTTCTTGGGCTTTGATTTCTCGCCTCTGTCTTCCCACTTGAGGCCGGATTTGTCCTTGAATTTCTTTTGGAAGTTGTTGAAAGCATCCTCCAGAGAACCGTCACCCAGCATGGCTGTTTGACCGTGCTCACCAACACGACCCCACCGAGTCCATGTTCGGTAGTTCTTGTAACTGCCCGAGCTTTCTAGAAGCTGATTCATGCATTAGCGCTGAAACGTGGTAGGAAAGAAGATTGTGCAGTGCGGAAGACGACTTTCGCTGTGGAAAGGGCGAGGAGACAGAAACATACCTGAACGCGATAGAACTTGTTATTGTTGTTGGAGGCATTGGTCTGGTTGAGCGAGGCATCGTAGATTATACCGCTGTCTGGACAAACGTAGACGTGATAGGAAGAGGAGACGCCTTCATCGATGGGTATGTCGAGGTTCACACCTGGCGGAGCGAATTGAGCGTCGGTGGGGGGAGTGTGGTCGGGGGCGTCCACAGGAGTCGCGGCTGCTGGCGGCTCTGCCTTTGGCTTTGCCTTTTTCGGCTGTTTGGCCGGCGTGGGGGCAGCGGGCACGGGCGAGGAGGCCTTGCGCTTTGTGGACGTCGTCTTCGTCTTCATTGTGGTCGTGCTTGTTGTGCTTGCTGCTTGATCATCTTCTTCGAGAACATCAATGAGCTCTTGTTTCTGAAGGCCGCTGTACGAGATGTCGCGATCCTTGAGCAGGTCCCTCAAGTCGGCGACCTTGAGCTTGCTGTAGTCTGCCATGCCAAGATTCAAGCCGCAATGCTGACTGGTCGTGGTTTGTTGTCGTGATGAGTTGCTGAAGAAAAGAAACTGTCGCAGAAGGAGCGGACAGGAACAAGCAGTCACAGGTCACCCTTGATTTATTCAAACCGAGCGAGTTGGGCGCGCCGTAGAAACCGCAGGCAGAAGCTGTCTTGGCGACGAAGGTGCGACGCTGCTGCCCGCGCTGTTGCCTCAGGATCGCGTCTTCCACGCCATTTCAGCCTACTTTCACTACGCCTTCACAATGATTGAAGCCCGCCGTCTGCTTTCTTCCGCGCGCAGAATCTCGTTCGTGACTTTCACTAAGCTTCCTGACACAGTCACGGTCAGAGAGGGATAAACATATCCAGATCTCGTGTCTTTGCCTTGACAAGTGCTGTCATTGTCGACCTCGATACGCGCGCTTCCGGCAGCGATCGTACCTTCCAATCAACAACCTGCCTTTCTTCTACAACCACCAGATCAATCAAACATCACTCAATTCGCTTCTTCTCGGCTTTCTCAATCTACCACCAACTCTCCACAATGCCTCTCGTCGACTTGCCACCCGAGCTACTCCTGCGCATATCAGCCTACCTCACTACTATCGAGCTTGGCAACTTCAGACTCATTTCCAAGCATGTTGAAAACACCATTTTCGACAGTTTCGCTCGCGAATTCTTCACAAAGAAGCAGTTCATGCTGGAACAAGTCAGCCTCCAAGCTCTGGTCGATATCTCAAATCACCCTACTCTTGCTCCTCGTCTGGCCGAAGTTGTCATTAGCACTCATGTCTTCCCGTCAGATCACGAGCTGGCCACTCCATGTGGAAAGGCCATGTACGAGGCCGGCTATGCCAGTCACGACGTTCTTCTCGCAACTGGCCAAGCTCTGAACATGCTCTCCGACGCCTTCTCCAAGTTGCCCAACCTGCGAACAATAGGTCTGCGGGATTACAACGGTAGAGGCCGCTTCCGCGATGGAGATCTTGCCACTTGGAAGAGTTGGGCATGGTCTTTCGGATGGGAAGACATGTCTGCCTATTCGCCAGCAGGCCAGTTCTTGCGACCACTCGTTTTGATCTCGCCAGAGGCCATCTTGCCCCTGGTCTTCTACGCCCTCGGTCAAGCCAAAGTCTCACCAGAGAGTGTCCATATCTTCCTACGCAAGCACGCCAGACTTACACCACGCTCTTTCGACATCCTCAATGGCTATTTGGGCGAGAAAGTTCGACCTGTGCTTGGTGAAATCAAGGAGCTAATGCTGGCCATCGGTCCTGACACGCCACAATCCTACTTCAGGTCAGATCCGTCAAATGGTCACGGCCCCGCTACCGACGCACCATTGACACGCCTCTTGGAACGCACGCCCAAGCTCGAGACGCTCCGTCTGAACTTCGACCCGCGCCAGTCGTTCGCTGCACGCTTTCTTGATTGGCTCGGAGACCCTGTGTCTGGTCAAGCGCATCCCTCAACAAGCCTCGTAACCCAACCCGTTCTACTACCACGCCTGTCCGCTCTAGAACTAGGTATGCTCAGCATATCGGCTGACGTCCTCTTGAAAGTCCTCACAAAGTTCGATTTGCAGTCGTTCAGTTTGTGGAAAGTCACTCTGGACGATGTGTCAGAAAGTGGCGAAGAGGATCACTGGCAGCCACTACTGTACGATCTTGCAGCTGCTTTACCGCAGTCAACCCGGCTCAAGTCTGTGCTGATCGGCTTCCCATCGCATACATGTCGTGGCGTCGTGCCTTTTCGGTCGGGTCCTAGATTGGAGGATCCTGTGTTCTTCAAGCCAATCGGTGCGGGTGCCGAGGGTACTTACAACACATCTGACCTGGCACAAGAGGTCAAGCATCATGCTGGTCCAGGTACAAGCATGAAGGTCTGGCTCGAAGAGCTGTCGACGCGCACGATTGTCAAACGTCAAGAGGACATCTCAGATGTCTCCGACAGTGACGAAGAAGCCATTCATGACGACATTGAAGATGACGAGGATGACGAGGATGACGAGAACGACGAGGATGATGATGAGGATGAATGATCAAAAGACGCAGGCTGGCTCGAGATGACTGGCTGCTGTTATGCAGACGGCGTTGCAAGCGATTGCAAATATACACCAAATTTCGAAAGCTTGCTTTGAACAATTACAGCCATCTTATTCATGGCGAAACATAGAAACACAAATGCGTAAATGGTGCTGCTGAATCATACGTCAGATGGAGAACACTCGTGCACATGGCTCTCCTCATAGAAAACGATGAACCACCTCCTTCCTGCCTTTGTGTCATGACATCCTATGCAAATGTGTCTTCCAGAGGATCCAAGATACAAACATCCTGCTTTCTATGCCCTTCTCAACACTCCGTCAATAACCGCCTTCAGATCGTTAACTCTAAACGGCTTGGAGATCGCATCATCCATTCCAGCTTCAATCACCGAATGCAGCTGCTCTAGCCTCGCGTTCGCCGTCACGGCTATGATTGGGATGTGATTGGTGATATCTCCATCCTGCTGTGCTTGTCGAATCATCCTCGTACATGCAATACCATCAACAATCGGCATCTCTATATCCATACAACTAAGACAACCAGTCAGCAGTGGTAAGAAACATGACCTGACATGAAACTTACATGACATCGGCGTGGGGTAACTTCGAGTCCTGCCCAGACGTGATCCAATGACGACTTGATTGTAGGAAATCAAAGGCCTCTTGCCCATTATCCGCAGTGTATACAGTGTATCCGTGGCGTCTGAGTTGAGCGCTGAGAACAGCCTGATTGGTCCTATTATCCTCGACAAGAAGGACGCTCAACGTGTTGGCCTCTACAGCCCCTCGATCGGGTAGAATAGACATCGCCTGCTTCGAAGCAAGGTCTGGTGATTTTTCGCGCAGAGCGCGTACTGAAAAGGCAAAGTTCGTTCCTCTGCCCGTCTGTGAGGTGAAGCCGATGACTCCACCTTGCAGACTGACCAGTTTTAGACTGATGAACAGACCTAGACCAGAGCCACCGTATTCATTGTATGTTTTTGGTGATGCTTGCGAAAAGCGTTGGAACATTTTGCTTCTTTCTTTGCCGTCCATACCACATCCTGTATCAGCGACTTCAAACCATAAATATATATCTTCATTGCTTGCTTTCGTTTTGTCATCAATGACTTGGAAGGGTTTGGTCATGATCAAATCTTGAAAGATTGCAATATCTTTTGTTTGGGAAGCTCCTACACGGATGGTGATGGATTTTTCTCCTTTGACGCCGGCAGTAAACTTGATGGCATTGGAGATGAGGTTGGTCATTCTGGTTCAGATTATCGTCAGCGTCGGGTCGTTCGTCTCATTAAGCATTACTCATATTCGACTTACATCTGCATTATTCTGCCAGAGTCGGCTTGGATCCAGTCAACATTATATAACCTGACAGACGAATCTTGCATGGCTGTGAAGTTGATATCCGCCCTAGAAGTCTCATTGTTGAAAGTTTCGCAAACTCTGTTCATAAAGCTGCTCAAACTGAACGCCGACGGAGAGATTTCAACCAGGCCTGAGTTGAGCTTGGACAGACTCAGAATGTCGTCCGATATGCGCTTCTGATGCATTGAACAGGATGATATGGTGTCAACTGATTCGGCAATGTCATCTAGAAGTTCCGTCAAGCTATGTGGATCAATAGATGCATTTTTTGTAACGGATGCTTTGATGAGATCCTGTATTTGGCTCAATGTTTGTGTTACTGAATCAGCGCTGAGTATGACTGCACTGAGTGGATTGCGAATCTAGCCAAATTAGCGATCATCCTTGGCAACAAGATGGTTTCAGTGCGCAGCTGCAGAAATGCACAGCTCTCTTCGGAGAGTAGTCACACGTGTCAGGAGTCTCACCTCATGGCTGGTCATGTCGATGAAGCTGGTGAATGTCAGCATGATAAAGCATCTCTTGTTAATTCAGACTCACTTTTCTTGTTGTCTCTTGGCCTCAATTGCTTCGTTCAACTTTTCAGCCTGTAACTCGGCCTCTCGTTGTTTCATGAGAAGCTGCGCTTGAAGAAGCTGTCTCGTTCTCAATGCCTCGGCCCGCCTTACTACCAGTTGGGTATCAAAACTCCTCGCCTCTGCCAGTCTGAAAGTTGTGACTGCGTTTGCAAATAATTGATGTATAGAATAGATCCAGGATGCGTAGTCTTCGTCATACGGCCTTCTCGGGGGTATTCCTAGTACCAAAACTGCATACACCTCTGATTCAGGAGAATCAGAACTAGGTATGATGACTGCTTCCAGTGAATCATCGCCATAACATCGTTGTCGAGATTGTCTGCCCCAAGATTCCGGCATTGTGCCATCTTTGACGCTGACAAGGAGTGGTTGGCCTGTGCGAACAGCTTCTCTCATGCATCCAACATAAGGCTCGGGCGAAGACATGTTCAGATGCTGTGAATGGCCAGAGTCCTCGGATCCGACTACACCATGAAGTGTGAAGCCTTGATGATCAACAACGTTTCGTGAACAGTCAGCTTCTGGATCGAACTTTTCCAAGAGGTCTGCACGATATAGCATGGCAAAAGATATGTCACCATCTTCAATCCGTATTCCTTGGAGGATCGAGTCCCAAAATCCCGGCATGTCTTTTGCCAGAGCGCAAGAATCTAATATGGCTTTGAGCGATTCTCGTCTCCTCAGCTGCAGAGCTGCAGCTGTTGTGTCATATGTCGTCGCATGGAATCCCTGCAATGGTTCTGGGAGTTTCACCATTGTGGCCGAAAGAAACGTCTCTCTTAGTCGGCCTGAGTCCGAAAAGAAGAACGTGACGTGGTTCTCGTTTGCAGGCCTCACCCTGGTAGTCGCTCTGTCCACGATTCTGTCGATGGCAGGAGCATTCGAAATCAGGGCTTCGTTCAACGCAATTGGCCTCCCTTGATAGAGAGGATGGTGGTCATAAAGTAACCGGCCATATGCAGTATTGTATATGATAATCGAGTCCGGTCCGAGCAGGAAAAGCTGTGGTTGTGGTGATAGCATTGCGAGGTTGATCAGAACCAGCAGCTCGCGAGACCATGTTGATATTGGTCCAATCGAAGTGTCTGCCCATGGTAATTCACGCAGATATTGTAAATCTGCATCAATAGTTTGGTCTCCAGATGATCTAGTGAGGAAGGCATGTTCAGGTCTATCGAGGGTGTCCGCAATCTGCCCCGCGATCGGCATAGTGGTTAGGCACGTTCGGTGCGCCGCCTATCGTCCTGCCAATCAATGATGCTCGTATGTTTCTGTTCAAGATGATGCTACGGTGTTGACTATAGGTGGGTACATGGCCGCTAGCGTCGCGATTTGTTGAAGAATTTCAAGCACTGGTATGACGTCGCAGGATACTTTGGGTAGAAGACAACGGCGACGCCACCCCCCTTACGATCATTTCCTTATTTGGAATTCTGTCTTCTACAGTATCTATCAACTTGCTGTCTTCTACAGTATCTGTCAACTTGCTGTACTGAACTTGAGTCCTTCGGTGGTTTTGTAATTGGAGGATGAAATGCTACTGTTAAGTACGGTCGTGGTTTGTACAAGTCACAAATACCCTTGACTGATCGCGACAGCGTCATGCAGCAAGCCCAGCCATACTTGTCGCCACAGCACACCTCAAATATGACGGATTGTATCAAGAATACTGCCTCGAGCTCTTCTCGGTACAAATCTATGAGCATGATGGTCGATTTATATCTCAGAATCATCACAATCACCCTCCGTAATAATCTGATTTCGTTGACATTCAGTTATCCTACCCTGTCTTGGCAGTGACATACCGCGATTTGACGGGCCGCTTTCTCGCGGCTATATTGATCCGCCGATGCCACAATCTCAATCTTGAATGAACTTTGATAACATGTCGCCTCGCAGACTAGTTTTTGGAAGAATTGCTCCTGGACAACTCACACTCAAGACATCATATTGGACTCTTCAGGCATCACGGCTATTTGTGTCACCTCCAAGCCGGCATCTCTCCATCATGTCGAATGCCCGCGTTCATGGCGATTTGAACAATACAGAGGTCATGCGAGACACCAACTTTTTGGTGCCGGACCCTGCATATGACGGGAAAACGTTGGCTATACCTGAACAAGACGACGATGCCGATATCAGATCAAAGTACAGACCATTCATCTCGAGCCCGGAAGTGGCGAGCCGTGACTGGATCTCGAAATCAGAACTTAGCACTGCATTGAAAATGTCCGAATCGGATATGGAAAAGACTGGAGGTGATAGATTGAAGATTCTTGTGTTGTATGGTAGTCTTCGTGAAAGGTGATTTATCCAAGATCTGAACTAGGATCTAAATGCTAATGACTACAGATCTTATTCACGATTACTGGCTTTCGAATGCTCTCGTATACTCTGGCGTCTAGGTGCTGATGTTCGCGTGTACGATCCTTCTGGTCTTCCTGTCAAGGACGATGTTCAGCACCAACATCCAAAAGTACAAGAACTTCGCGAATTGAGTAAATGGAGTGATGGTCATGTCTGGATATCTCCCGAACAACATGGTAACCTTGTGAGTATTATACAACCGTCACGATATTGACACCCTACTAACTCTTTCACAGACTGCAGTCTTCAAGAACCAAATAGATTGGGTTCCGCTAAGTACTGGATCTGTACGACCTACTCAAGGCCGCACATTGGCTATCGCACAAGTCTCGGGAGGCTCACAATCATTCAATACTGTCAACTCTCTTCGAATTCTCGGCCGCTGGATGCGCATGTTCGCCATTCCCAATCAATCTTCGGTCCCAATGGCCTACACCCAATTCACCGATGCACAAGATCCGGAAGATCACAACGCCTTCATCTCAGCAGAAGGAGGAAGCAGACTCAAGCCTTCAGGAAACCGAGACAGAGTTGTGGATGTCATGGAAGAGCTATTCAAATACACCCTTGTCATGAGACAACACTTTGATCTCTTCGGCGACAGACACAGTGAGCGCAAGGAAAGAGAAGCAAAACGATTGAGAGAGATCGAAGTGACGAAGAAGGAAGAAAAGGCAGGAGTTGAAGGAAATGCGACAAGTATGATCACGGCTGGAGTTGTGAACGGGATCGATGTAAATGGACCAAAATGACGTACGACATTGTGAGAGGAAAAGACCACAAAATCCACAGGAGACATCGCAGCCACACCTATTGTATATTTGTAGATCCATATATGATGCACGCAACCTCAAAGCAATAATCGTAACAACAACTGCTGCTTGATCGGTTAATTGCTTGATCATTTTTGAGTTGTCGCCTTTTGCCCGGATCGGTCTAGACAAGCCTTCCCGAGGAGTCCTCTGGTCAGCAAGAGCGGGGGTGGGGACAGCTACGTCGCCATGGTGTAGCAACGGTTAAACATAAATACCATTCGCTGACACTCAATTTCTGTCTTGAACACTTCCATTGACATCAAGACTGCCATATCACACAGCGTATCAATCGAAACAATCTCTCAACATCATGGCCCAAAGAGCAACTGCCACATGTTTCTGCGGTACTGTGCAACTTGAATTGGTAAGACATGAATCTCAGAAATCATCAGCATCAACTGATCGACTACAAAAAACAGCCAGTAGAAGGACCAGACATGCCTCTAACCTTCGTATGCCACTGTGCCGACTGCAGAAAAATCACAGCCTCAATGTTCGCATCCAACTTCCTGGTCAAAAACAGCGCTCTCAAACACATCCGCGGCGAAGATAAATTGACCAAATACTCGACTTCGGAAACCATTGATACTGGAAATACAATGACAAACTACTTTTGCTCGGTGTGTGGAACACTGATGTATAGAAGAAGTTCTGGATTCCCGGATGTTGCTATTCCTCGTATTGGAACGGTTGATGATCATTCTTTGCATGAAACAAAGTTGAAGCCTCAGGTTGAGGTCTTCTGTAAGAGTAGGGTTGCTTGGATTGATGGTATTGGTGGGGTGGAGAAGTCGACACAGGGACAGGAGGCTTTGGGCTGAGAGAGCGACCATCACAGTCGACAAAGTGCATATTATTGGAAGAATGTGCTTGTCAGTAAGTACGCAGCTTTGGAAAGCCGGATAGGCATCAGATTGGAACATATTGTAATGTGAACAGCGACACAGATCTCAAGACATTATCACCGTGACTGACACACATCGAAACTGATTCAAGCGTGTTGTTGTATTCATGATGATCAACTACGGATCCATGCCACTGGGCAATGCTTCATGCTTATGTATAGTACAAGGCTCTTCGTATCTCTGTTGATTCGTGTCGTAAAAATAAGGCATCCATCGTCGTGAAAGGTGTTGAAGCGCGTTTACTTCTTCTCGGTGGCGGGTCTGCTGGGACCGTCCACGGCCTTCTCGACCTGGCCAGCGAGACCGTCCTTGGATGCGTCGAACTGAGAACCGATGGCGCCATCCTTGGAGAAAGCTCCGCCGATCTATTTGAAGCTCGTCAGTGATCAGGTCCTTTGCTTGCATGTGTGACGGAGATTGGTCTTGCCTTCTCGCCAATCTGGCCAACGTTGCCATCAGGGTTGAACTGCTTGCCAATGGCACCAGCAGATGAGATGACCGAAGGATCCTTGGGGCTGGTATCCTTGGCCTCGCCAGCAGCCTGAGCGAGGTCCTCGATCTTCTTGTCGGCCATACCGCGAGTGCGGAGGGCGGCAGCCGATGAAGGCTTGAAGGTCTTGGTGAAGGTGTTGCGGGTGATTGTGCGAAGCATGTTGATTGATTTTTGGAAAGTTTGATTGATTGGGAAAATAGGAGATGACTTGTGTTCCTGCAGGAGAGGTTATATAGGTGGCTGGGAGTGAGGAGCTCCCTTAGCTCTAGCTGTGGTGGTGGAAACCGTTCGAGTGACACCCGGTGACGACATTCCAAAGTCTTGACGACATCGTCCAATCATAAGTTTACATTTCAGTTTGTTGGAAAGCTGAACAAAGCGGTTGGCTAGTCCGACGGCATCTTTGTTGACCCGGTATCACCAAAGGGTATGCCTTTTGTGTTGATGATTGTCATAATTGTTTTGTAGATCCGAAGACCCTACTGTCGCCCATCAAGGTTGAAGCCGAGACTGGATATGCTGCAGATCCTGTTGCCAACGTGGGGCTTCGTTCCTTCTCCACCACCGACGGCAACAACACACCTCAGACGTCTTGACTTATATGCATCAACGACATCCTCCTCGGTCTATGAAAATATCGAGACATCACTCTATCCTCCGTTGGCATCACCGAAAGCTCCTGTATCGGCATGTGAGGTTTGGAACGCCAAGAGTCCACTCTCGCGTCAGGGTCATGCTCTCGACCAGTATGATCCGGCATGTTTCCATGATTTCCTAGCGACCAGCAGTTACACTATACCAAAGGTTTGCTTGAGAGACTCGGCTATATCAACTAAACATGCTCTATGAGTATCAGCTCAACAGGTGAGTTAACGGTGAAGTTAAACACCTTTTCTCTTTGCCAAATCTCGAATTCTAAAAAGCGTCCGCAATCTCAGTTCGAAGACCCCAAACGTCCAAATTGAAAGAGCACAAGGAGGAGAAACTGATGCGATGTCCAACACAAATTACTCAGAGAACACTGCATCAACCTAGCAACCACACAGAGATCGCTCACTCCCTGCCCCTCAAGGCCGTCTTTCGATATATTGCCTTGATCGAGGGAATGCAGAGTTGTGCACCATGTCGACACATAAGGGAATAGCCGAGACCACAACGCACAACTGCACAAAACCGCCAAAAGCACTGCAGGTGCCCTCAAAATCAGCCCAGCAAGACCCAACTCTCTGTGGTTCAATACCACAACACCACGCAGGACATCACAACAACTTGGGATGCAATGTGCGAGACTTTATTTTCTGTGCTAGTCACAGGTCCGACAACCAACAGCCACAGAGAGCTTCAGCTCTTACTTCTTCCGTGGCGCAATTGGCTAGCGCGTTCGACTGTTAGATTTCTGTGCTCTGCAATGGAAACCGGCTATCGAGAGGTTGACAGTTCAAGCCTGTCCGGGAGAGCTACTCTTTTGCTCTTTGCATCGATGCAGGTGCCCGGTCTGTGTGGTTGTGGAAAGGGGTGGAAATTTCGATGCTTTTTTTGGGTGTGGGGCTGCAGCTTTTGCATATAAGCTAGCCACCCCATAAGCTGCGCACCCCTATTAGCTGCGCAGCTGCGCAGCTGCGAGGCCTCTTCAAATTTGACTGTATATACATCAAAAGTTATCTATCTGCCACTCAAATTGGAGCGATTCGAAGCTCTGCTGCTCGAGCTCACGCGCAGCTGCTGTCGCATCGTATCTGACTTGTTTCTCTGCCTCTTGAGCCTCTAATACAGCCTGTGCTTGTTTGGCCATAATAATATTGTTTATGTTCGCGAATTGAGTGTTTGGATTGATAGGCACCTTCCTACGCCTCTTGCTAGTTAATTGATCAAGTTGAGACTGAAGTTGAGTGTTGCGATGCTCAAGGGCGACGTGGCTCGCGTTAAGTGAATCTATCGCATAGCCGGCCTTGTGTAGAGCTTGATATAGTGCTTGTTTCTCGCCACTCTTTTTGCGAATTGATTTGGTAGTTTGATCTATGAACCGAGAGCTCTTAGGGGTAATGAAAATTAGGTTAGTTTCTTGTTGTGGTGATGGTGTAGATAGACGTGGTTTCGAAGCCTGAACCTGTGAGGAATTGAGACCTTTTGACGGCTCAAATGGATAGAGTCCTGCTGCCTTCCAGCCAACACGTAGAAGGCGAGGTGTAAAGGTCTCTTTACGAGCTAAGTTATAGCAGGTAATAAAGCGTTGCTTCTTAACAGGTGAGGCATCATCTAGAGAGCTCAGCTTTGAGATTTCTGAGCGATAACGCGACTTTAAGGGCGCAAAAACACCTAGATCCAGAGGTTGTAATACATGAGATGTATGAGCAGGTAGAAACAAGAGGTGTATCTTGTTTTGCTTGCAAATCCAGAGGAAATCAATGGCTGTATGGCTGCCATGGCTATCCATAATAAGGAGACGCCACTGGCCATTTTGAGGCTTCGTTTCAGGTATAAAGATGTTTTCAAGCCATGAAATACCTTTGGAATTAGTAGTCCAGCCATTTTCAGAGCTTGTATATAGCCAGTCAGGTGTATCATGTAGAAAATGACTTGTTTGTGGTGCTACACCCTTGAAAATTATAAGGGGACGCGTAAATTGACTAAGGGGGGAGACCACCTCGATAATTGAGACCCATTCGCGAGATTCTGGCGATTTAACGTATGAGCGGCTCTTCTTAGATGATGTAAGGACCCTTGTGTTTGTACATACGCCAACTGCAATGCCGTGTTCATCCATATTCCATGTATTACAAGGCTGGATGCGATACCGGCGTGTAATGTCTTCGTAGAGCGTATAGAACTCTTTTATTGCCTCGGGGTTGGTTCCATTAATCCTAGCAGCTTCGATAGGCCTTCCAACAACTGATCTGATGCGTAGATTGTCTCGAATGAATTTGGTAACGAATTTATTCCTAAGCTCTTGATTATCGCCATTCATACGAAGAATTCGAGTCGCCATTTCGCGAGTTCGAGCGTGCGTAGGGGGGAAGCCCTGAGCGTCTTGTTCGAGGATCCACTCAACTAGGAACTCCTCTTGTCGAACAGAGAGCCTCTTGCGGTATTGGTGAGTTGTACGTCGATTCGTTGTGCCATTAAAACGCGCGCGGAGCGTAGATTCGGGGATGTTGTACGCGCGTTGCGCGGCTCGTATCGAACTGACCTCTCCTGTTCGAATAGCCGTGAGAGCGAGCTCGATCTGAGCCTCGCGTTGAGCCATGGAGACGTTGTGGTTGTTGAATAAGTTGAATTAGAAGTGGTTGTGTTGACGAAGCGCGCGAGACGCGAGATGCGCAGCTAATGGGGGTGCGCAGCTAATGGGGTGGCTAGCTTATGCTGGGACGCGGCCTTATTTAACCGGCTGTCCTGGGTGTGTATGTGCTTTGTGTTTCTTGCATCAATTGTAAGGAGATGTCTTGCTTGGGGGTTATATGAAGATTTCGAGTGGACATGAGGTGAGTCAGGTGTAAGTTCATGATTTTGGAGCGAGACAAAAGGTACAGTGGGGAGACATGTTAGTTTGTCACTTCACTTCAATCTCGCTCCTACAACAAAACAAGAGGGCACTCTGACTTGACGTTTCGGTCTTTGCGTACTCATGGAGCGTTTTGATTGTCATCGCCCACTACATGCATTAAGAAGGAAAAAAGACGTGTTTCATTATCATCAACTATCAACTCCTCGCTCAGATGACAGCAAAGGCACTGGCATAGCTGACGCTGCTATCCTCGACCGTGGTACACTCACTACTGCGTTCATAGCGTACGAATTTGAATCTGGCTGGATTCTTGACTGCTTCCATGGCAGCCATGATGATGCCGATTGGATGTCTACCACAGACGGTGTTGCCAGTATCGGCAAGTGTATCCAGCCAAGCCTTGTGATTGCCAGTCTCACATGCATCGATACATTGGAAGTCGACCTTCTTGATACTCTCATGGATTGGTGGGTCTCTGGGAGCTTTTGATCTTCCCGACAGATCAACTGGATCTCCGGATGAGGGTTGGTAGTATGTGTAGCGGAAACGCAAACCCCAATGGGCAAAGTCTGAGCTGATGACAAAGGCGTTGGAAGGATCTTGAAGATAAGGTGCGAGGAGTTCGCCAAACTGTTTCTCGGTTGATGCGGATGTGTTACCGACCATGATGGGGACAAGCTTTGGGAAGGCGGATTCTGATGAGAATGATCTAGGAGATGTCAATTGCTGAGACTCTACGCATCGTCTCTGGCAGACCTACTTGGAAAGCATCTTGTAGATGTACGGAAGATGCATCTCAAGGCTGTGCTCATCTTCATCGACGCTCTTGCTCATCCACTGAAACTTTCCACTCTCGTACAACTCCTTTGTGGTTTCCGTGTCGACAGTCAAGTTACCGAGAGGAGTTGCGTACTTGTCGCATTGACTCAAAGCACATTTAGTCAAGTAGAAGTGATGAGATGGACCGAGTAGAAAGACACGCTTTGCCTTGGAAACATCCCAAGAACGATAAGCCCATGCAGCAGCAGATCCCGAGTAAGAGTATCCGGCGTGACTGGGATGGCAATCAGTACACAGCATACATGAGGCTGAAGATGTGCCTACGGAGCAATGATGACTCTAGCACCCGGTACAGGCAAGCTACTCCAGGATTCTTGAGACGAGACCCGACCAATAGGCTTGACTGGAGTATCCACTTTTGACAACCAGCCATCCAACTGACTAGAGAGCTGTGATTTCGAAGAGCTATACCAGCTACCGGCATGACTTGGCTCACGGGTCGACATTGTTCCTGTTCACAAGTCAGTCAGTGAGTGACTTCAACATGGTGTAGATGTGACAGGAAGGCTTGGAGCTAGTGTATCTGTCGCAACATAGATTCGAGGATAAGAGAAACCATACCCAGCTTTTGACTTTGTAGAACGGATTTGAAAGAGCTCAGACGTGTATCAAGGTGGAGAAGGTGGAAGCTCAGATTAACATGTGATAGTGACGCAAGCATCCGGGGAGTGGAGAAGACGCGCCGACGCGTATCCACTTTCTCTGACGCGACGATACTCGAGGAAGTGGCTGACCATCGAGGTGTTTGCCAGTTGATGCAGAGCATATCAACCATGTCTATCAAACGCAAACGCTCAACAGGATCTCTCTTCACAGCCTCGACATTTGAGGCCTCTCCGACACCATTTTCAAGCTCCCCATACCGCCTACCGGAAATCTTTGTCCAAAGCAAGACCCATGAACAATCATCACCACTCAACTGGAAGCCGTTCTCTTCGACAGTGGGCTCGGAAGACACGCAAAGGACACCAGAGTTGAACAGTCGGACACGGAAACGCTATCGGGATGGTCGACCAGAAGAAGCAGAGATACACGGTACGGCTTTACGTCGACTTGTCGCATACCCTATACTGACATTTTCATAGCATCAACTGTAGAGAAACTCTTCTCAGCGCAAAAAGAACATCCACACGCATCGCCGCTACCATCGCAACAATCACAACTCCAACCAGATTCACAAATTGCAAACACAGACGCACCGCAACGATCGACGTTGCACTCCTTCTGGCACTTGCCACAGAATATACAGCTACCACACGCCGGCCAGCCTACACCACAACAAGAAGTCTTGACATGCGATGGTTGTGACGGTGTGTTAGTGCCGGAATACAGCATGGACACATTGGATATAGATACAGCCTGTGGAGCATGTGGAAAACACGTTTGCAACACCTGCGCTGTTGCAGCAGACATGAGGCTATGTCTAGACTGCGCCATGCAGAGCTGATACTTGGAAGAATATTCTCCGTCCTTTAGCGCGGCTTTTTGGATACACGCTTCACACGAACTCTACATCAGACATGTTATACGAAGCACAAAAGATCATTCAATTACCATCGACATCCCCATTCTATAATTACCATACCCAGCCAGCCTTTTTGAGAGCAAGCGCGACTTCCAACAGCCTTCTTGTCTACTCTCTACGCTTCTTGCCTTCCTCCATGTAGCCGAGTCTTGCATCACTCTTGCCACGACCGTGCTTGGCCACCATGCTTCCAAGAAGGGGATCTCTACTCACACGATCCAGTGATTCTTGATAACTCTCAAGAGCGTGTGCAGGCGTGTTAAGTTTGGGCCAATTGACCTGGTATTTGTTAGCCTTGCATTCCAAATACAGTTGGGACCACAACTTACGTAAAGACCTCCATGCGAGGTGATGAATCTTGCAGACCAAGCAGCACCAACAAGACAAAGGAAAACAAATATCCTCAGTGGCCAGACAGTAGCATCCGGCAAGCGGCGAGTAAAGAGTGAGATGAAGATGAAGAACACACAGCCGGCCAAGATATACGGCAGGGACTGAATCAGCACCGGTCTTGTGTCTGCAAACTGATGTGCCGAACCCAAGCCGGAAGGATCTGGTGCATACGTGCCGAGGAATAGATCAAATGCGTCCTGTCTGGGTCCATCGAGGAAGTTGTTGCAGACATAACGAGTGATGGAGTTGTTCAAGTCCTGCAACGCTCCAGCACGTGTTCTCTCTCCAGTGCGAGTAAAGTCGGTCTTGAGAGCGCCAGTTCCAGAATAAGACTTGCTGACAACATCGGCGTTATCTGCCCAGACATTGCGGAACAAGTGCTCAAAGGCAGCATCCTCCTGAGCATTCTCTCCAGCCTTCAAGATGCCGACATCAGTCAACATACGAGAGAGTGTGAAGCGTCCAAGCATGGATTGGACAACATTGGTGCGATCCAGACAGTCCATGCAGTTTGTACGGACGACTGCTGTTTGACGACTCAAGACTTGAACACCACCGCTTGGCTTATCAACACCACGGAAGTACTCGCCCTTCATTAAACCATCCTTGAGTTGGTCCAGAAGGAGTTGTGCGCGGTGCCATTTCAAGCCCTTGGTCTCGTTGTGGAAGTCAAAGTAGACGTAGTGCAGCTTATCAAACTCGTGTCTGCCGCCCTGAGGTTCTACAATGTGGAACTTCTCCCTCGTTGTGCGATCAGATTCTGTATCCTCTGCTGGGTTCGAAACAAGAAGCTTGACCATGTCCTCGTATGCCTCCTTGACCTTCTGCTCGCGACCTTTTTGGTTGACAAGGTTGACCAAGTAGTTCTCTCCATAAAGCTTGATTTGTTCGTCAAAGTGGAGTTTTGCTGCATGGACGGCAGATTGGACACCTCTGATCTGCAATTTGGGAGTGTACTTCAGGGTGTTGACTTCAGCCCAGTAAACAGGAACACTGCCTCTTGTTTGAACGTATGACAGAACTTGTGTTTCTCCACCAGGAAGTTTGTTGTTTGAGAAGCCGCCATCTCCAGCAAACGTAGTCATTCCACTCGAAGCATCGTCATTTAGAATAACAATCTGCTCGGTTTCGTTGAAGTTTGAAGCATGTCCTTGCTCGTCCAGTCCACGGGAAAAGTAGCGAGTACCAGCGCGATGTCTTGAACGGCGTGTGATGAGGATGAAAGTCATGGGAGCACTCTTGACTGAGGTGTTGGTAATTCTGAGCATACCATACATGACAGGCAGAATATACGGATCCATAGCAGGTTGAGGTCCGACATTTTGACGGCGAGATCCTTGACCTTGACGGAAGTTGATGAGATCTGTTTGGATGAATTTATTCCAGAAGAAGCGATCATCAGCTCTTTGCCAGATGGGAGAACTTTGATCAATCTCGGCCTGTCTTTGGAAGCTGTTGGTAAGATCAAAAGTGTAAGAGAAGAACAGAGGGCTAGTCTTGAGTAGAGTGTTGACTAGTCCAAGGTAGATGTCCTCATCAGGATCGCGAACCTGTCTCTCGCGGAGAGGCAGAAGTTCAGTAGCGACCACTCTATAAATTTGGTGACCCTTTATTCTGCCCATAGCCTGAGCCTTTGTGATTACAACAATGTACTTGTCTAGGGATAGATTAGCCACAATACGGCCCAAAAAATGCAAACAACGTACCAAGTCGTAGACTGATGATTCCGAGAATGCCCTGGATGCTTGTAACTCTCTGACCACCCAGAAGCTTGCCATCATGAAGACGGATATCACCAGACGGACGCTCTACAACAAGGGTGGGCGCGGAAGGCGATGAAGGGGATGAGAATGCATAGTGGGTGGAAGAAGCGTGGACATTAATGTCGCGGAAAGGCAGAAGAGCACTCATGACGCTTGAGGAGTGCAGAGAAGCGACGAAAGCAAAGAGATGGACAAATTTTGTAGATGCAAAGACAGACTCTCAATCATCAAAGTCGCAATCGTCTCCAGGCCAGGTATGACGTTGAGCTTTTTGGCCGAGTCTCCACGGGAACCCTTTGGCCCTTTGATCCTTTGTGAGACGTGATTCAGGCTTGGCGTCGCGGGAGTTGGTCAGGCCGCGCGGGCCCGGAGAGTTTGAGCAGCGAGCAAGATTGACTGATTGTGGAAGGCAGCACCGGACACAGCAGCCAAGCCAAGACGGCCAACTCAAGCAGGACCGTCGTCATCTCCAACAACTCACCGAACCCTTGCTGTGTGTTTTGAGCCTCGAATTACACGTTTCATATCGCTTGCCCAACCTCGATCTCGCCTCTTGTACAGCTATCGCACTTGCGCACGACTGCCACATCTACCACACACACACACACCTATCGATCAACATGTCCGCCCGCCAACAGCAGATGGGCCGACCAGGCGGCGCCCGCTTCGCCCAGTTCAAGCTTGTCCTTTTGGGTATGCACAGTTCCCGTCTTCCTACTACTCGACAAACCGTATACTGACTATGCGCTCGTAGGTGAATCCGCAGTCGGAAAGGTGCGCAATCAACTTGGAAGCCCACCAACCTCGAAAGACACGATCTAACCGATAACAGAGTTCGCTCGTCCTCCGTTTCGTCAAGGACCAGTTCGATGACTACCGGGAATCAACCATCGGCGCCGCGTTCTTGACCCAGACAATCGCCCTCGATGACACGACTACCGTCAAGTTTGAGATTTGGGATACCGCAGGTCAGGAGCGTTACAAGTCTCTGGCTCCCATGTACTACCGCAACGCAAACTGTGCCGTTGTAGTCTACGACATTACTCAAGCCGTATGATCAGCCCGACTCTTCTACTGGCGATACATGCACTAACACGACACACACAGGCTTCCCTCGACAAGGCAAAGGCTTGGGTCAAGGAGTTGCAACGTCAAGCCAACGAGAACATCATCATCGCCCTCGCTGGAAACAAGCTCGATCTTGTCACCGAAGAACCCGACAAGCGCGCCGTCTCTACTGCTGATGCCGAACAATACGCCCAAGAAGCTGGTCTCCTGTTCTTTGAGACCTCTGCAAAGACGGCCGAGAACGTCAAGGAACTCTTCACCGCCATTGCCAAGAAACTCCCCATCGAGCAAGCCACACAGAGAGGCATGCGTGGTGCTCCCAGAGCTGGTGTTGACCTCCGACCCGAAGCCTCCGGTACACAGGCTGGTCAAGGTTGTCAATGTTAGACAGCCTTTCCTCCCCCCTCGACTTGACCTTTTACAGCGAATATTTTTCAGTCCTTTTGGTTCCTCAGATTCTCCCAGCGAAGACGTCACGGATGCGGCGTGTGGCATACACACACACACACGAGACAACAACACAGTTCAGGGTGGATACTGCCTCTTTTCTTCGATATGAATACGAGAGGGCGTTTGGTGCATATCTGGGCTTGGGGTCTTCTTTCCATCTTTATTTTCCTCTGCATCTAGCTTGTAATACCGTTTCTTCGTCTTTTTACCCTGAATACCCTTGCATCTGCGATTCACAATTGATGTGATTGGATATAGACTTGTAAGTCTGACATTGATTGAGAATGTCTAGAGTCATCGACTAAACCATAATGGAAGGTGCGATGACTCCGCATCTACAACCAGCTCTCTTCGATGCGGCCAAGACCGCATCGAAGAACAAACATACTCACAGAATCACATTCATCACCAGCCATGATCCTCATTCAGCGTCGAGCACTTGCAAGCATTGTGCATACTTCAACAATTACCACCCGCTCTCATCGTACAATCGCCAGACCTGTCGGTATATATCGTATTCAACATGCCTCCATTACTAATTCAAAGTCAGTCTCGATCCGCTATTCCTAGTCGCCAATCAAATGCCTCTCCTAAAGCAAACGTGCCGGAAGTCCCGGAGTCCGATTTCGTGATGAAAGTCTTCCAAGGCCAGCAAGCTATCATGGATAGTCAAGCCGGGATAGCTGAGCTACAAGGCAAAAATCTCGAAATGCAACTCAACAACTATCACACCGTACTCGAGGTTACCGACAAGATGCAACACACTATCAGTCACATGCAGCAGATCCAAGAAGATGTTCAAGTCAGTGACAAGATTGCTTTTGCAGCTGGATTTGGATGTGGTCTTCTCGTATGCTTGGCCATCTGGATCTCGCCCCTGAGTGGAAAGGAAAAGGATGAAGATGCTGATAAATGAGGTAGTGATTTATCCCTACCGTTGATTGTCGCTATGAGACTCTACGCAAAGGTCTGGTGTATTCTTGTTCCAGGGTTTGCCCATGGAGGTTTCTCAACTCGATCCGCAGCCGGCCACTCCCAGTTCGTACAAAGCAGAATATAAAGTAAGCCTGCATTTCAGCAGAACTATATTACACTACCCACTGATCGGAAGGAGTGACCCGAGGTTTGTCGTCGTGATTTCACAATCGGCCACTACTCACGCCCGGACCCTTCCCTTGGATCACTTCACTCCGCCAACTTTCCCCGGTTCACTCAACAATACCATACCTTACTATTGTGCACAAACTGCTACGCACTCCCGAGTCGGAATTACTCTGGCTCAGCTCCCGCACCCACACACACTACTACTATCCATACTTCTCTCCGGAAGTCGTCTCTCACCTCGATCGCTGCCTAATTCGAGCCCTCTATCATCATCACCTCTCGCATCAACCTAACCTTTACCCTCCCACGAATCTCCTCGCTCATCGATATCTACAGCTTGACCCACTGCTACCCAAGCAGCCATGGCTGAAACCAAGCTTCCTACTCGCTGGATAGAGACATCTGACGGCTTCATTCCTGCCCCCGAGGATCAACAACCTACCAGCATCCTTCACAAAGCAGTCCTTGATGCTGTCGATAACTTCAAGATCACTTCATTCGACGCCTGGGAATTGCCAGTAACTGTGACCATCGGCAAGAAATGGATTGTCAGTACTTGGGAGTGTGCACCTGATCCCGACAGCTTCAAGTTCAAGTTCGGCCAGCGAGACTGTCAAGGCCGCACATTGGCAACTCGGATCCGCAAATACCAAATCCAAGTCAAGCTCGACGACAGATGGTTGCCATTGATCGACTATCTTGAGCAAGAGTCAAAGCAGTGTCCTGAGAATCCCAACACATTCCATCACCTGAGCCCCAGAAATAAGACAGTATCCATCCTCAAAGTCCAGAGAGGCTGGTGGGCCGCAAACAAGAAGCACTTCGCTCTTCTTCAACTGCCTGCCGAGTTGAGAAGTGAGATCTACCGCTACGCAGCTCCCCAAGACGCCATCGAGCCATATGTCGGCCATCGCGGACGTGGCCACGGCATCCCCTACATTAAAGACTGCAACGAGATGGTCTCCAACTTACTCAAGTGCAACAAGGTCATCTCTCAGGAAATGCGCGACCACATGTTCCTTCACCTACCCCTACTGATCAATCATCACAAGCTACTCAGAAAGACCCTCCACGAAAACATCGACTTCCCTCGCCATCAACTGACACGTCTTACTCTGTGCTGCCGCACTCATGAAGACTTCTTCAAAGTGTTTGGTCTCCGTGGCAGAAGCATCATCAGCGACGAAGCTATCGTCGTGGTTGGTAGTGGAGAATCCCCCTGGTCCCTCCACCGCGACAAGCTACCCTGCATCAAGAAGTTCGAAATCATCATGCCGTCTCGCGAAACACTACAGGAATGGATCGTGAACACAAACTGTCAGACCAAAACAGTGACGATGTTGCTCGAGATCATGTGGCCGTACGTCAAAGGTCAGCCCGTTGTCCTTGGCGGCATGATCAAGAAGTGGCAGAAGAAACTCTGGGAGGTAAAGGCAGCTCAGGCTCACGAAGAGTACGAGAAGCTGTATGCCGATACAGAAGATGGCGGCGTGAAGGTTACTCAAGAGGATATTGACAAATTCAAAGGCAAGGAGGACAAGAGTGACGAGGAAGAGGATCTTATCAGCTTTGAGGAAGAGGAAGAGGTATTCGAGTACCATCTTCCCTTCTTCTGTGAATGTCATCCTTCATGCCTGTTCGGCGACTGGACTGATGAGGATCACATCAAGGACAACGAGAAGACTGAGGAAGGAGAAGTTCATTGAAAAAAAGCGCGTACCGGAAAAGGAGCGCATCGTTTGAAACAGAGCGTCGTCGACGAAGAAGCGTTCTCAAGGAAGCGGCGAAGCAGGATCTGACAGCAAAAGGATGCTTTGGGAAGGAAGGAGCACCTCACGACCAGCATGACTTTGATGAAGGAACGACTTCAAATGAATACCGAGGCTCAGGAAGGAGCGCCTTGGATAATATCGACAGATACGAACATTAGCATTACATTGACGATTAATGATCCACCAACCACACTTTATATTGACAATGCTGTCACAGTACACAACGTGAATCATCAAGACGAGACGACGAATGCAAATAACAGCAACAGTCTATTCCTCTAATATCCGGGTATCATGAGTAGAAAGGAGAAACAAAATGCAGTGCTAACAAAATCAATCCATGGCATCCAAGCCCTCGCCTTCACTCTCCGAAACCATGACGCCGACCAAACATGAATTCAACATACCCTCCCAATTAACCCAAGGATGAACCTCCAAAAACAACTTTGTCCCATCCTTTCCCGCCGCCCTGAGCAACTCTCCCTTGCCACCAGGATGAAAAGGCGCATACGGCGTGATATTATACACTTTCCCATTGTAAACACTCCATGCATCATTCCCCTTTCTCCCATTCTTCTCCTTCAACAAGGAGGGAGTAACTCTTGTGAATGAAGACACATTGGCAAGGTTCTTGGAAGCGGCCAGGGAAGCCCAATCTAGAGGCGAGAAACCAGGGGCGAGTTTTACTTTGCTGGAGGAGGATTTTGGAGTGTCGATTCGGGGGGGTGGTGCGCGGGCTTGGGCGGCTGGGGAGAGGGTTGGTGGTGCTCTGCCTGGGATTGCTGGGACGCCTAGGCTTGAGCGGGTGGGTCGTGAGGGTGGTGGCATGAGGGATGAGGAGGTGGATTGGGAGGCGCGTTGTGCTGAGTTTGGAGCTGGGAAGGAGGGAGGCGGCATGAGAGATGGTGTTGATGGTTTGGTAGTCGGTTTCGGTGGAGGAGGCATTGCTCGTTGAGGAGAGTTTGGGGTTAGGAGGGAAGGTGGCGGCATTGAAGTGGTCTCTGGGTCTGTTGAGGTGTTTGACGAGTCCAGGTTGAATGAGGGAACAGCGATTGAAGGTGCGGCAGGTGTAGCTTGTGGTGTCTTTTGATCGTCGCTTTCCTCCTCTGTCGGTGCTTCAATCTTGTCTTCCTTCTCCTGCTCTATCGTCGCCTTCTCATCACCGTGTCTCTGTTCATCCTGGCTCTTCTCCGTCTTGCCATGTTCCTCCAGTCTCTCCTTTAGATGTTTCGAATCGGGCGGCGGTAGGAGCATCCATGATAGACGCCATGTGTTCGGTGGATGTCGGTGCATCAGAAACGTCAATGACAGAATCAACAATGAAATCCCCCAAACAGCCATCCTTCTCTTGTGCGAGAATAACTCGATGACCAACTTGTATATTTATTCGGAGCGGCGAAACGGATGCGGGAGTGAAACAGCGGGAAAGCAAGCGCCAAGCCCGTCCTCCGAAAACCACCCTGATGTCATGAAACTAGCTCCGAATACACCAAACACCTTCAGTCATCATATATCGATCAACATGTTGTCACGCGTCGCATTCTCTCGAGCTACTGCCATTCTCGTTCGCGTCAAGCCTACAGTCGGTGCTAGACCATTGGGCACGCTGTCACGACCTCGCTTTGCCGCCACTCCTCATCAGATCAGAAGTGCCTCGCATGTGAACAACTTCAACAGATGGCTGTCGACAAAGTCTGCTGCCGACGAGGCTATCGATGAAATCACTGAGCTATATAGTAATGCCAGAGATGAGGTATGTCACACACACATCATGAATTGACACAATCAACGACTAACAATACGTTCAGTTCGAGCTCGCCATGGAAGAGACGGAGAAACAGACCGTCTACGCCGAAGCCGATCGCCTAGCCGCAAGGGAAGAGTTGACAAAATTGCAAGAAGCATATCAGAGCATTGTCGAGAGCGCCGAAACCGAATTGGCAGAAGAAGTCAAGAGGAGAATCGGTCACAGAATCCGCGAATTGGAGAATGGTGTCAAGAACATGGAGGATCTTGCCATGAACCAAGACTAGACTTGCTCAAATGACAAAGAAAAAACGACCATATTACGAAGACGTGAATGTGTGCGTGGATGTCATTTTATGGGACCGAATTACTTGGTGTGCTGCATATTTAGAGCTCATCCTTCTTGACGCCAGCAATGCTGACCAACTCGGTCTCGAATACTGCAGCAAATTAGTGCAAGTCACCTCATCAAGCAAGAGAAGCAATGATGACAACGTACCCAGAACGCTGTTGGCAGGAATAGGTCCCATTCCTCTGCTGCCGTATGCCCACTCGGGCTGAATGGTCAATGTGCGCTTCTCGCCAGGGCACATGTCAAGGACTTGCAGCAAATGTCAGTCAAAAGAGTCTCCAAGTCATGTTTCACTCAAACACTCACGACCCTGATCCCAACCCTTGATGACCTGACCCTTGCCAACGTGGAAGCTCAAAGGCTGGCCTCTGTTGTAGGAGGCATCAAACTCCTTGCCATCAGCTTCAAGAGTACCACGGTAGTGAACCTCAATCTTGTCGCCTATTATAGCATCTTGGTAAGCATACTGTCTCCTACCAGGACATCTTCGGAAAGTTCACCCACCGGCTTGGGTCTTGCGGGTACATTCAACGGCTGTGTCGACTTGAATGTTGAGAGGCTTGTCGAGAGCGGAAGCTGCGGTGGCGAAGAGAGCCAATGCGCTGGTGAAAGTGACGAACTTCATCTTGATTGCTGGACTTGTGATATTGGACAGAGTTGCTGGGAAGTTGGTGTTTCAAAGTTGGAGACGTGGAGGCAACTAGCAAGATGATGCCTCGTGGCTGATAGATATGCGGCTCCCTTGCTGTGGCGGTGCTGCGGGGTCGGGTTCGGTCGAGTTGATCACCACACGGTACGCTCCTGCTCCTTTTGTCTCTTCCCTTTCATAACATTCTACATACAATCTTTCCACGCTAGTATTGAATCTCTTCCCTCCAAAGACTGTCAACGCTTTTGTTTCGCAGCCACTTCGTTAGTCACTGCCTTTAACTCATGTGCGGCGTCGGGTAGAGGAGCCACACCATTCGTTGAGATGATTCCCTCATAAACGTCAGGTTGCAAGTCTCCTGGAGGCGGCATTGCTTGATAATCCATATCTGACGGACTTTCGCAAGACCAGAGCTCATGCTTGAATTCGTGTCGGACACCCAAAAGTCTGGGCAACTTGATTGATTGCGTGATTCCAAATCTCTCGGCCTCCTCCTTCCAGAAGGTTGGTTTGCTGATCTTGACAAGATGATCCATGGGTAGAACGTAATAGGTATGAGTGTGAACACCAGCTTTCGCAAGGCTCGTCCTGACCTTTCTCGGGTCACCACCTATTTCGTTGTTCGGCCAGTCATAAAAGTGAAGACCGAATGGTAGTCCATAATGGTGAGGATTCCATCCTGTGTTGCTAGCGATGCCACCGAACAGATGTTGTTCCAGCGCACGACCTACCTCGGCAGCTCGACCATCGTTCATGAATGGCTCATGTACTACTTTCTTCGACGCGAAGGCGCAAACGAAAGCATGTGCAAGCTCGTGTAACATTAGCGATGCCATGTGGAAGCGAACTCGAAGGTCGGCAGAGTCTTGATCGAATTCTGGACAGACTTGTTCTACTCTGTGCATGCCTCGAAGAGCACCACGAAAACCTTCCCTCATTATGATGGAGATGGAACGCCTGTCGATTTGAATCAGTCCAAGTAAGGATGGTGCAAAGCAGAGAAATACCCACACTTGTGGTGGCGTTGAGCGATCAAACGCAGCAAGAGTCACCATTGAGTATGTACATCCGGTCACTAACGTCACACCATTATCATAACCCCAAGTTATGTTTTGTCCGAGTTCTCGCAACCGCTGTATAGTATCTGTCGCTTCATCCCAAGAAGTGATGAGGGCCGGAGAGAATCTGTATAACGGTACCTTTCCCAGTACGGCCTGTTCCTTCGCCGTGCCCTCGAAACTTTCCGCACTCATCAGGCCCTTGAAGAAGTTGAGAACTTCGACGCTATTGAGCATGTTATTAGCGAGCTCCAAGACTGGTTTCAGGAGCACCCAGTCATATTAGGTAATCGTCGGAAAGTTTCTACGTCTGAAGATGGGATGGAAATGTGCATCATGATACTGTGCATTCACATCGAAACACCTGTTTTTGAGTACCTCGACATCAACCGGCAGTTTGGGACCTGTTATCAATTTCTTTGGGTCAACGTTGATTGCACCAAAATCTTCCAAGGATCGAACAGCGAATGCCATCAGGATTGGGTCGTAACCATGCCACTCTGACATATGCTGATATGGCGGAATTCCTGGATAGAAGCATAATGATGGAAAAGGATGAAGTCCCGTGGCTGCTTGCATGTCGAGCGCAGATTGATTATTTGCAGGGTCAAAATTCACCCGTGTTTGTGACATATTTGTTATTTTCTTGTTGGAATGAGGATCAACATTCAAGGATATCTCCCATCTTCCAGGCCTTTACTCTCGCGGTAAATATTGTTTTTCTCCATTGAATGCATCTGGCGATTGTTTTCATTGTAAGCAATATTAGGTGCGACGCCGTTCTTTCATCATGACCGTCTCCCACACAATGAACTAGCACTCAATCACGCTCAGAGAAGGCGTTCCCTTTCTTTGTCACGCTACCCAGCGAGTGATAGTTCTGCCAAAATTTCCTATGCACAGGCGTATCAGAATCGCCGTCGAGGTCCTGCATTGAGAAAAGTTAGTATCAAAGACGACACAATGTTTAGTAATGAGGACCATCTGAAAAAACAGAAATGTGATACCTCGCGAATTTCAACAGGACCTCTAGAAGAGAGCTTACCCTTGGGAACTCCTTTAGGCATGGTGGGCATGCGCGGTGGTGAACGTGACCTCGATTGACGTTGCTCATTAAAGGGGAGAGACCTTCTGGATCTGCCATCTCTATCGCTTGCGGAGGCGGCAATGAGCTCCCGCCGAGATGGAAGAGTGGAAGAGGGCAGTTCGATACGACTTCGACCCTCAAGAGGGCTCGAAGCAGAGATGCCTTTAATCTTGAACTCTCCAGGTGAAGGTGATCCCGCATCAGATCCTCTCGGTAATAATCGCTTGGCACGAACACCGTAGATGTAGAAAACGTCCTCTCCCTTCTCATTGGGTCGCTTTATGGTGTGAGTTGGGAAGGTCTTGCCTATCTCTGGAATAAACAAACCTCCCTGCATCAAGGGCTCATCGCAGCCTTTGACCGAGAAAGAAGTCTTGTACAATTCAAAGAGATGTGATTGAACCATACAAGCTTGCTTATCTCCAACAAAGTTATGAAGCAACCACTTTGACGTTCTGTCAGGTTCTGGTATGTTCAGCAACCATTCAGGCTGCTGAGATATGATCGGGCGAGGTAGGTCGGTCGCCGTCTGGGCTCTGCGCTCTACGACAGATCTTCTCAAGTCCCTAGATGCCGGCGCCGGCCGAGAAGTGGGAGATACTGAAGATGGTGTTTGTTGGATAAGCGGTGGCACTGATCGGTGTGCACCTGGCGTCAATTGTGGAGGTTGATGCGCGCTAGGTCTGAGCGCTTGAGGAGGCAAAGGCCTTTTATTGAAAACAGCTTCAAGCTTGGCTGGAGTCAACACAGGAAAAAGTTCAGGTGTGACATCCTGCTGAAGCGTCTCGCGCCAATATGTGTCGTAGTCAACAGGATCATCACCGTTAGAGATGCTTCGGTTGGCGTATGGCAGAAATCTGGCAGGCTGCAAGACCACATAATCGTCCCAAAATCCTAACGGGATATTAGAAGATTTGTGCAGAATCTTGCAATACTTCTCAAAGGCCGTTCTGTTGCCTTTATAGTTGCGCTTTTCGCACATCTCATAGTAAAGATCTTCCAGCGTGGGTAGCGGCGCAGGGGCCACGGGATCCGGCGCCGCTTGGCTCCTCCCTGTCGAAGCTCTACCAAAGTTGCATCTGATCTTCTTTCCATTCAGGATCAAGCCATGCCTAGCTTCGAGTGCACTACGTGCCGTGTCCACATCGGCAAAGTTGACGAAGCCAAATTCAGTCTTTGCAGCTGCAGAGGTAGGGTTGAACTCTGAAAACAAATCATGAAGTTTTGGATCGTTGAATTCTGCAGGCAGTGATCCCACCCATAGAGCCGTTGATGGAGCGTCGAATTTGCCTCTCGTGATCCACTTACGGTTTATTAGCATTTGTTTGTCTGTGAGTACCTGTTTGGATTTTAGCGTCGATGTATTCGAGTGACCCTTAGAGAGACCTGGTCGCGATCGAAAATCCGGGCTGTCTATGGGTAACTTCTCTCCAACCTTGGTTCCAGATGACCCTGCGGGACTGTGTGTGAGTTGTAGACCGCGTTGTGTGGAGGGTAAGTCCCTTATAGCTCCCGTTAAAGCTCCTTCGCTTCTAGGTCTCTCCTCAGAAACGGTAGTGGCAGGAATGGCAGACTCGAGAACAACGGATCTGAGAGAAACAGGCTCATGCGATACAGGAGCAGCGACATTCGATTGAGCTGACGCAGGCTCGAGTGTCTCGCCAGCCAAAGCTCCGGCTTCTGTCTCACCCTCTTGCTGATCACTCTTTTGACGCCATGCTTCAATGATACTAGCCCTCTTAGCAGCACCGGACTCGACTGGATTAGCAGGTCCGAGTGGAAGTTCGTCGACATCCATAGCTTCAGCCTCTGACGCCAAGTCTGGGGCGCGTGTATCAATGTCCGGCTCTGGCTCTTTACTAACCTCTTCACGTATTTGTGACGTTGCTTGCACTCCAACAGTAACGTTTTGAACTTCATTGCTCCGAAGTTGTGCTTCATTCTTCCTCTTCTGTTCAATGAACTCACGCTTGAGACGAGCCTGCATATCTCGAGTGGTTTCTCTCGATTCCTCAAGGCCCCAGCTCTGCCGCCGCCTCTTTCGGGATTGAGGCCTCGGAGATGCTGCAACTTCAATCTCCGGCTCATCGTTCATCTCCGTGTCCTTTTGGACTCCAAGCCCGGCGTTCATGGCAGTGTCATCATGATCTTTCTTGACTGCTTCATCATCGATCTGAGCTTGGTCATCCACCATCGGTATGTCATCAACCTGAACCCGGTCTTCCATGGTTGTTGACTCATATAAAGTGATTGATGCAGGAGCCTGGGTAGGGACCTGCAGATCTGGAGGATCTTCATCTCCCGGAAGCAGAGACATCCTTGGAGCTTCTTCTGCTATGCCTCCGCCATTAGATTGACTCAGAAGATCTTCCAGACCAGACAGCATGACTCGAGTAATTTTCCCATCAGGTTGGGATTCGTCGGTAGTGGTCTTATCCTGAACGAATTCTGGTGGCTGAACAGCGTGGGGCCCAGGTTCAGGAATTGTCATAGATGGCTCATCTTGTTCCTCTTCCGGTGACGAAAGAGGGAACGAAGGCAATTGTCTCGGAGTCGGTTTCGGTGTTGCATACTCGTCAACATCAGAATGTTCGCTCGTCTCGGACAGAGAGCCCGAAGGTGGACTTGAAGGTATTTGTTCAATCGGATCATCCATCTGCATTGGTTCTCCTGCGCTACTGTCTGGCGGAAGCAAGTTCGTTGAGCGTCGAATTGCATCCATGCGATTCCTCGGCTGTCTGTGTTCCGGCGGAGATGATTCCCAGGAATACGTACTGCTCTGAGTTCCTTGTGTTACACGAGGATCACCCGCTGGGATGTTTTGCCCTGCTTCGGTTTGCTGCTGCGGTTGTAGCGGTTGTTCCCTTGCTCGAGCCTTTCCTTTCGCCTCTCGTCGCTCTGCAATCTCCTCGATCCTGTTCAGGATCTCAATTGGAATATTGGGATGAGGAAATGTAGTCCCAGGCTTGGAGGGCCACCATGACGTAGGTTTGTCCAGTAACTTTCTTTGCGGAATTGGTATCGGTCTACGTGCATATTTGATGAACAACGGTGGGGGTGCCCTATGCAGTGGTCTTGGTGCGCCTGAGGATATGTCGTCCAACAAGTGTGAACTGGATGTACCCAATGATGCTGCCAGAGCTTGCCATTGTGACGGTAGAGGTACGCGGCCTCGGGGAAGGGATGGTTGTGTGGTCTCGGGTGGTTCAAGCTCAGGCTGAGCTGAAGTCGGCGTGTTGTTCGGTAGGCTGGTGGGTTGCACGATCTGGTCCATGAATTTTGGCCCAGGCCGCGGGACCGTCGTGCCTCCCATGTCGATGTCCCTCGTGACTGGATTGCTGACTGCAGGTTCAGCCAAAGGAATTTGAGATTCGAAGTTTTGTGAAGGCGATTGGGATTCTGGTTGTAGAAACGGCTGTACCTGAGCGTTGACGGGAGTAGGCACGGGAGGTGGAGCCATTGGTGCAGACACAACTCCACCCAATCGTAGGGCTTGATCGAGGGCGGTAGAAGCTTTCACCCCGCTGGTCTTTCTCAGAGCATCCAGTAGTTGAACTCTTTGTTGGAGGCTGTTAGATGAGAGCTGTACAGGCTGCTGTAAATTGAGCCCTGTCTGGATCATGACATCATCATCCTCATTGTAGATGCGAGGTCTAACAGATCGATGTGAACCTGACCGATTAGGAGATGCTGATGGAAGAGGTCGTTTGAGCGGCGTAGCCCTCTCCGCAGTCTTCTCAGAAGTGGAAGGAGCTTCGACCACATCTACATCAGTGTTCTCTGTCACCTCAACTGCTGTCGCACTTCTTGTAGCAGGCGCAGGTTCTTCAGCTTTCTTGTGGACCTCGTGTTGTCGCTTTAAAAATTCTTGAACGACTGGAACCTGATGGAAGGGTACGATGTCCCGAATATCCGAAGGGTCCAAAGGAATATCAGAAAGACTCAAGTTAAAGACGACCAGTTGGATCCGGGAAGCTGGTGGGCCCAGGTGTGTTGCGACGATTGCAAAGGGCTGAGAGATGATTGATTTTGACTCGATAGACGCATAGCGACACGAGTACTGGTTCTCGAACTGCGTCCTTGTGGCAGTCGAGAATTTTGCCGGCAAAGACACTGTTCCGTCGGTGAGGATCAGAGTGGAACCTTGGACCTGAGTTGGTCAGCAATGATGAGAGGGTCGATTGATGATGAAGACCATGATGATGATGATGATAATGATGATAATGACGGTAATGCAAATGAGGATGCGAATGGCAGTGAAGAATGCCGAAGTAAAAGCATTCGAGAGTGAGAATCAGGGACAGGATGGACACAAACCTTGAGTACGTGTAGGGAGCCAGAAGCCATATTGACTTGAACCTTGAGATTGCTGCCATTGTCGGAAAAGTGAGAAGCGTCGAATTCGTACTTGACACCCTTGAGCCTTGCGTCTTGCCAGGCCAGGGCATTAGTGAGCTTCTCAGCAACAATACCCGCCAGCCAGCTGGACGACATTGCTGATGGATTAGAAATCTGCTGGTTGACGATAGACTTGAGGTGACAGGCTCGCACCACCAAAGCGCGAAGCACGTAAATGACGCGGGGTCAGTCGGAGGACGCGAAGGAAAGTAGAAGTTTGGGAAGGAACGATTTGAGTTTGTAACGGCAAGTTTAGCCTAGGCGTGGGGAAAGATGTGGGTGGAAGCGGCGGTGGAGGGTGGAGGCTTCCAACAGCAGTAGCCACTCTGAATCCGCGTCATGAGACAGACCGAACACATTCACCACCTACGACTAAAAGCGGGAATCATCGCTGGTGCCCGGACGTCTTTGGCATCTTGACTGGACACTCTCTCAACAAACATAATCACCCCTCATCTATCGCCTGCCTACGAACCCACAAAGAAGACGCGACCCGTAACCCCTTGAAGCAGCACACATTCAGTCGGCCGACTAGGAAGAATCACAGCGAACGATGCGCGCACATCCATCTCCTACAGGCTGAGCGCTCTGGAATGCCTATCACCGGCATAATGGATTCATTACCGACCTCGAGGCGGGCCTCGTTGTCATCCATGAACTCGCCCACTGTCGACAAGGAGGCCTTGCAGAAAGAGCTGGACCACATTCATACAACCGCCTCGCGAACAGACACCTTGACTTCATTCAGCGACTTTGAGCGTAGTCGCACGAGTAGCCCACGTATTCCGGGTCCGAAAGAGTTGGTCAGTGGCCGTATCAGCGGCTTGTACTCGCGCTTGAGGCAGAGCGTCGGCGCCTCGTCTCCTGCCTCGGACACTTCAACACGTCCTGCAAGTCGAGGGAGCTACGCCGTCACAGATGCCTCGTCTTTGAGGAGTTTCTCCAAGCAAGACTCGCCTACACTCCTTCGCTCGAATCATGCTTCACGTCCAAGCGACGCTAGTGCTGCCATCACTGAACCCGACTTTGCCCCACCTCCGTCGATACCTTCGTCTGCTGTCCATTCTCGTCCTGGCTCTCGTGATTTGACTCGCTCGGCATTGCACACGGCTGCATCGTCTCCTTCAGCAAGACGTACTTCGCCAATTCGAGATACCGAAGGTAATCAGAGTCAGCCTTCCATAGCTGAGAATAAACGATTGTCGCAAAACTTCGACGGAAGGCGTCTATCACAAAATGTCGAGGCAAAGCGATCCTCGGTCAATTTTGACAATAATCGACAATCACTGACAGCCGAAGGAAAACGTCTGTCACATTCAGATGCCCCTTTCATGGGCCCTCGGCCAGAGCGTCCTACAATATCTGTGCAGTCCGAGAGGACAGACAGTCCTTCGAGTACAGTTGTGCCTGACGATCGACGTGACAGCGATGCTTCTTCCAGATCCCAGAGCCAGTCAAAACCTGAGCGCCCTCCCCTTCGCGTGTCTGCTTCACATCTACCAAACCTACGAATCTCCCAGGCGTCCGTCGTAGATGGAGTGCTTGACACCTCTTCAATATTCAGCACAAAACTCAGTACGCCTATGCTTGACATACAACCAAACTTCAATTCTGCCATGCAAACCCGCCGAATAGCAGAAAGAGAAGGTCAACAGCTGGAAGGCTTGGACAAGAGATCTGCCACCATCCCCGCTCATCTCAAGCGACGCGTCATCAGTAAAGAATTTTGGATGAAGGACGAGAACGCTCGTGATTGCTTCTACTGCGGTGATACCTTTTCAACGTTCCGCAGGAAGCATCATTGCAGGACTTGTGGTCAGATCTTTGATGCCAAATGCACTGTGACTGTTGAAGGTAAGCCTTTCGGCCAATCTGGTACACTGAGACTTTGCAAGCCATGCGATGCTATGATATACGGAAGCGACGATGACTCCACGCTCTTCACCGACGAAGACGACCGTGTGAGATCTCCAGTCTCTGCATCTCACTCCCAAGAGCAAGACATGTTCAAGCCCAATGAGCCAGCTCTTGCAACACCTTCCATTGGTATTCCAGTCTCGAGAAGGAACAGAGAAGCTAAGAGACGCTCTGCTGTCATCGAGTTTGATATGCAACCTACGTTAGCACGGCCGAGCTCATCACGATCTTTGAAATCAATGACCGGCAGACCACACTCCAATCACAAGCGCCACCACTCTCGACATCAATCTGTGCGTCCGCTCAAGACTGCTGCAGAGGAACGAGGACCGTTCTCCCAAAACAGCATTACCCATCGACGAGGACCTTTCACGCCTTTCCACAACGACAACATCGTTGATCCAGATCTCGCTCCGTTCCTTTCCGACGACGGCTCTGACCCGGAAGACCAACCTAGCATTTACACCACTATCAGTGACGCTGCTGGCCCTTCATCGTTTGACCGCGCGAGCTTCTTAAGCTCGGCAGTAAAGAAGAGCCGCTCACGCAGGGCGGATAGGAGTGCTGGTGGACATAGCATACGTTCTTCTCGTGACCTAGAGCATCTCATGTTTACATCCAAGCATATCCCACCTAAACAACGAAAGCAACGCAATTCAAGCATTGGAAGCGTTGGCATATCGCGTCCTTCGCCTCGTAGGAGTCGAAGTCAGAACATGAAGATACTGGAAGCCGGCGCGAACGACCCATCAGTATTCGACATCTTCAATCCAGCACTTGCAGATCAAGCACAAGTCAAACGCAGCTCTGGCATGCACGGTCTGAACGCACCCGCGATTGAACTCAATAGAGCTAGTCTGCAGCATGTAGAGCGTCTTCTGACACAACTACTGAAAGAGTCCAAGATTCCTCGGCGCAGGCACTGGCAAAAAGCATTGATGCCAATCCTTCTACAATGTCCCAATGACGTAGATCCTGATGTTCAGAATGGTGATGATATGGATATCAGGAATTATATCAAGATCAAGAAAGTACCAGGAGGAAAGCCTGGTGATACATCTTATGTCTCGGGGGTTGTTTTTAGCAAAAACATCGCACTGAAAGGCATGCGTCGCAGTTTTGTCCGCCCTCGGATTGTGATCATAACTTTCGCCATTGAATATGCTCGCCATAACCATCATTTCATGAGTTTGCAGCCTGTTATGGACCAGGAGAAAGAGTACCTTGAGAACCTTGTCGGTCGCATTGTAACATTGAAGCCGCAAATTCTTCTGGTTCAGCGAAATGTATCAGGACTCGCCTTGAACATGCTGCATGAGGCTGGTATCTCTGTCGTCTACAACATCAAAGACTCGGTTCTCGCTGCTGTTGCTCGGATGACGCAGACAGTCTTGATCAAGTCGATCGACAAATTATCAATCGATCCCTCTGGACTAGGAATGTGCTCCAACTTTGATGTCAAGACTTATGTCCATGGCAGGACCAGGAAAACATTCATCTGGATTTCTGGCTGCCAGCCTGACCTTGGTTGCACAATTGTCTTGCGTGGAGCGGAGCTGGAGACCCTCCGACAGATCAAGCGAATCACAGAATTCATGTGTTATGTTGTGTATAATCTCAAGCTCGAGACTTGCCTCATGAGGGACGAATTCGTGTTGATTCCTTCCTCGATTGGCACCGCCAAGTCTACCCCTCCAAACATCAACATCGCAGTTGCTAAATTTGCGGATGTTCCTAAGGCTCCTATCACACCTGTTGCTCAAACACACGGAGAGGATGGTGAAAGTACGGAAGCAAATGTCAAACTCGAAGACGAACAGCCTGAGAATAAGCCCAACGAGCTGAACCACCTTGTTGACGCAGCACGACATGTTGTACCTGAGCCTTTTTCCACACTTCCAGACGATCAAGATGATGAGTCCATGCCATCGCAATATCGGGAACTCATTGAGACAGCGAGGACTCGATTGATATCGTCTTCGCCATTCGTCAAATTCCCCGAACCTGTCCTTCTTGCCAAAGTCCAAGACCAAGAACGTAGAGTTGAACAGACGAAACGCTTACGGGATCGATATGATTCTTTCGAGCTCAGAGAGGAGCAGAGCGAAAAAGCCAGTGAGAACAGAGAAGAAGTCATAACACAGACCGAAAAGTTTGAAATGGTCATTCCCGAAATGATTACACAAGCCGTGCCAGCAGATCAGACCAAGCCAACCCGCAAATTCCTCCGAGATATACACGAAGCGCAATACCAGATGGCTCTCCACGACTACAACATCAAAAAGCGACAATGGGAGTCCTTCTTCTCCACCAGCAACAATAACCCTTTTAACCCCTTCAGTCATCAGAATATCTTCGTCTTACATTCTCTCGTTAGCAACGCACTGTCTGCACCCTGTGCTGGTCCTGAAGTTCTCGGTCTCTCGTTTTATGCTGGCTGGGGAAATGCTGAACTCGGACTGGAAGAAGATCTCACCCTTGGTCAGTTCATCGAGGAGACTTGCGCTACCGCAGCTACTGCTTGTAAACAGTGCAGTCATAGAATGTTTGATCATCATCGTCAATATGTTCACGGCGCTGGTCAGATTAGTGTTTCGGTCAAGCGATTCCCGTCCAAGTTCCAAAATCTTCACAACACTATCCTCATGTGGTCAACATGCAAGATCTGTCAACAAGAAACTACATGGATACCGATGTCAGACAATACCTGGAAATACTCTTTCGGAAAATACTTGGAGCTTAGTTTCTGGAGCACGCCACTGAAACCTCGAGCAGGTGTGTGTCCTCATGATATTCATAAAGACTTTGTACGCTGTTTCGCATTTCAAGGTCTTGCTGTTCGCATCCAGTGGGACAATGTCGATACGTACGATGTCTTGGTGCCGACACCGACGATCAACTGGGAGGTCAATGCTGGGCTGGAGCTCAAGAATCAGCTTTATTTGCACTTCCAAGCACGTCTATCAGCTTTTGTTGCGTCCATCAGGGTCCGTTTGAACTCTATCAACCTGTCTACGGTGACACCCGAGAAACAGGCTGATGCTGCAGCTACCCTTGAGAAATTGACGCACAGAGTGGACAGCGACCATGAGGCTCTCCTACAAAAACTCCAGGACAAGTACACGGCTTCAAAGTTCTACGAGATCATTCCGCTCAATCGAGCAGTCCGTATGATGGACGAAAAGGCACTCGCTTGGGATGATGAATTCCTCGACTTCGAAACCAAGTACTTCCCTTCAGAGCATGATATCCGAAGACTTGCTACTCTGCAGCTAAAGAAGTTGTTTCTCGATCGGGGCGAGACCACTGGCACTCCCAACAACGACTTGGGTGATCCTGATGAGGGCATGGAAATGAAAGAAAGACCCACCTCAGGTATGGGTCTTACTGATGAGGACCTCCAATCAGAGAAGGCTCAGCATATGCTCACATCCGTCGTCGAAGAACACGGGCACTCGCATCCGAAAACGGACACTTCCACCACATTTCTTGGTCCGGGCAATCAGACAATTGAAGTACCAGATAATCTCATCCTATCGAAGCAACTATCTCCAAGTGAGATAGAACAAGCTGTAGAGAGAGAAGACGTCAAGCACCTCGACCTTGCGGTTCCCTCAGCATTCTCTGAGCCACCCGCGGACCAAGAAACACCCAGAGCCGAGAACTTGCCTCAGATCGATGAGATGTTAGATATGAAGTCTCCGGAGGCTTCCGTGACTGATCCTAAACCACTCAACTCCAGCATTCTTGAACGTATCGAACAAATGCGTTCTTCTGCAGCAGCAGCGATTAGTCCAGAAGCAGGTATGCCAGAATCGAAGATACCTCGTCTTGTTCGCACTCGAGGTCCTATATCCCCGCCACTTGCTCGAACACAGTCTCAACCTGATGGCATCCCCAGAAGAGCAGCTGAGCCTACTCAGGATATGCCGACCATCCACGCACTTGCGAGCGGTGAGAGTTCTGGGGCTACGACACCTACGCCCGGAAAACATCAGAACAAGGACCTGGCCAAGTCTATCGAACTACGTTTGAGTGATCGCCTGGGTGGTGGGTTCATCAAGGCCGGAAGAGGTCAACAGTCTTTGATCCCCAGATCGGTACCAAGCAAGGCTTTTGACAACAACACTCGTGTTTCAGCACTTGCCAAGCACTTCGAGCAGCTATCTCGTGAGTTCGAAAGAGAAAGAGCGCGCGAGCGTAGACAGCGAGCAGCTCGAAGGAGACAAGTTCGTGCCAATCCTCTGGCTAGCAGCAAACCTGTTGTGGAAGTCTACCGAGATGCTCGCGAAGCTGTCGGAGAGAAGACAGAGACGGAGACTATTGACCCTTCTGAAAGCAAATCAAACGAGATCGCCGACCTGCCTATGGAGGACGTTCCCGACTCGCAGTCTGGACCTGTCCAAGACTCACACGATCATGAAGACGCTACGGATAATGAGACTGCGGAATCCACAACTGGCCAGACCGATACAGACGTTGAAGGCGATACAACTGACAATGATATACACCTGCCTTACAAACCCAATCTCTCGGATGCTGGATCAATCTCAGGCAATGGATCGACCGCATCGCCCCATGACACGGATTCACATCTAGAAATGACACTGCCAAGGCATGAAAAGCACTCTCTCATGAAGATGCTCACCAGTTTCTGGTCCGAGCGTTCATCATCCGGCTGGATTGCACTTGACTATCCTCTGCACTCTACAGAACACGTCTTTGATGATAGTGACATAATCGTACGCGAAGATGAGCCTGCCTCAGTCATCGCTCTTGCCTTGTCCTCTGCAGACTACACCGCCAAGCTTCGAGAATTTCGCGGTAACCCCAAGAGTGGCTTCCACGGCCATCATGGCCACACAGACTCCCAATCTAGCTTCAATTTCGCAGCAGACATCAGTAGCAATGATGCTAGTGAGCAATCCGCCATCGAGGCAAGTTTGATCAGTGAGACCGGCACACACATGAAATACAGCTTCAGCCACAACAATGTCCGGGCGACCTGCAAAATCTTCTACGCCGAATCTTTCGATGCACTGCGACGCAAATGTGGCGTGAGCGAACGTTTCGTCGAATCACTCTCCCGCTGCGCAAAATGGGACTCCAAGGGTGGAAAGACCAAGTCTCTATTCTTGAAAACACTAGACGATCGTTTCGTTATCAAGTCGCTTCAGGAAGTCGAGCTCAAGGCTTTTACAAAGTTTGCTCCTGACTATTTCGCCTTTTGCGCACAAAGCTTATTCCACGGTGTTCCTTCTGTGATTGCGAAAATGTTTGGTCTTTTCCAAGTCGAACTTCGCAATCCTAGCAATGGTGTCGAGTTTTCCTCTTACCTTTTGGTCATGGAAAATCTCTTCTACAGTCGCAACCCAACCAGAAAATTCGACTTGAAGGGTAGTATGCGTAATCGCAAGATTGAGAGCACAGGTCTGCCTGACGAAGTCCTTCTGGATGAAAACTTGGTGGAAACGATATTCGAAAAACCGCTCTTTGTCAGAGAACATGCTAGAAAGCTGCTCAAAGCAAGTGTGTGGAATGATACAATGTGGCTGTGCAGACAAAATGTTATGGACTATTCTCTCATGGCTGGCTTTGATGACGAGAAGAAGGAATTGGTTGTTGGTATTATTGGTAAGCTTGAGCCCCTTTGTCCAGTCTTTGTCAGTGAGCCTTTATACTAACGTGGTTGCTATAGATTGTATCAGAACATATACCTGGGACAAAAAACTTGAATCCTGGATCAAGGACCGCGGAAAGAATAAGCCGACAATCACTTCGCCGAAGGATTATCGTAATCGCTTCCGTGTTAGTATGATGCAATATGTTTTGCAGGCACCCACGGTTTGGCATTCTTTCCTTGCGCCTGGATTACCGGTCACTGGTGTCACATTCAATTCTGCCGGTGGCGTGGAGGTCATGAAGGTCGGTAACACGACGGCCGCTGTCATGTCGAATGGAGAAGGAAGGAGCGTTGCGGGAAGTTGGGAGGAGAGGAGTACTGCTGACGAGGATCGCAGGCTTGCACTTACTGAAGGTCAAGTCTTGGATGATGCGACTATTCGTGAGATGAGCACAATGTCGTTTGTCTAGTAATTTCTAGCACATCAAGCATAGCCAAGGCGTTTCAAAGGCTTCAACGTCATCATAGGTTGCTTCATCAATATAGGTCTTCTACCTTGCAGTCAGTCATCAATGACTACCAATCTGGACTGCTTCCAATGGAACCATCGACTTTCAAGACCAATTCCCAATCTCAAGAACTTCAATGCTCACGGCCTCTGCCATATCTTGTCTCAAAACCAGAAGGCTCTCCGTTGATGATGATGTACATCTCCAAGGCCAGGTCTCGGAGATGGCTTGCCAAGACAGGATGTCCTTTGTTCAGCTTGTGCTTACTGATGTTCATCAACTGATCTACGACTTGAGGAGCCGACATTGCATCGGTGCGATCAAACTCTACATCATCTCCATCAATCTTCATCTTGTAGCCGTGAGCAGCGATGACTGCAAACGAATGTTCTATAGCCTTGTCAGGATCACTGAAGCAGTAGGCGTATGCGCAGTAACGGTTCAGAGTGATCAGGCCAAGACGTGGCAGACCATTGTAGAGCTCATCCGGATAGGTCTTTTCAAGCTGTCCTAGGAGATCCTCGAACATCAGGATGATCTTGCGCGGCTCGACGGTAGCGTTGAGGACCGGAAGCTTCGCGAGGAAGTCTTTGGCTTGTTGCAGTATGTACTTGCGACGACCGGTTGCGGGACAAGCTCTGTCTGCTCTGCACATCTTGCAGTCACAGCTGAAGTTCTATGGGAGTGTCAGTGAGAGTTGGTATGAGAACGGTGAAGCCAAAACATACCCAAGTTCTGAATGCAGTATCACGTGTGTCGTAGTCGGCGTTGATCTCCTTGTATAAGGTGGTGATCTCTTCGTCTTTTGCAATATCACGAGTTGCTCGAAAGATGATCATGTCGCCGACAAAGCTGTGCTCCGCGTTGAACAAACATGAATGGTTGATGGCGGATGCATGTAGCCAGAGCCCCATCGATCCATCCATATTGTCCATGCCCGGAGTTGCCAGGGAAGTATTGCCGAAACTGGTGAGCTCTGGATCATGACCATAGCCAAAAGAGTTGTATTCGATGATATTTTCGATGCGGAAGATGTCAATGACAGGTCGTCCGTCAACCATGGGGATCTCAGGATCTTTGAGCGGAGGATAGTTTGGGCCAGCATAAAGACTGAGCAGTTTAGTCCCGATACTGGGGTTAGCAAGTACCTTCTGGATGACTGCAGTCCACATGTTGCTCTGAGCTCCAAATGTACCTCTTGACGCTGCTGGCGGGATGACCAAGTGGAAGGTCTCGGGCATGGCTGGAGTTGGTACCAGAGCCAGGGCTTTCTCGCAAAGGACGATGTCGCCGCATGCGATGGCTTCTACAGCAAACAGACCACGTCCATGACTTTCAGTCTGACGTACTTCAGTCCTGCGCAAAAAGTCGGCATGGTCAACATTGGTTCCGTGTGCCTGCGGTCCGGTGGCTTTCCAAAGATTGATGCCTGTTGATTGTTCCATAATGCGATTCTCGGTTCGTCGGAGCTCACGCAAGCCATCAGTGTTGCGAGGTGAGATCTCAAGGACCGCGTTGTATGCCGAGAGAGCACGATCGAACGTTCCAAGCTCATAAGCAGCCCGACCTGCTCGATACAGGGCCTTCATGTTCTGGAACTCCAAAAAATCGTCGTGTATGTCGGGGAGGACTTGCATTCCAGCCAGCGCATCATCATAGGCTCCATCCCAGTGCTCAAGACATAGCCGAGCCTGAGCCCGATTGCGATAGACCATGCTTCCCATGATATCATTCTCTTGGCTCGCAGTCATAGCCGCGAATGACCTATTGTAACTGTTGAATCTGAGTCAGCAAAGTCGAGTGATCGGAGGAAATGATACAAACCATCTCTCGGCTTCCCAAGGATTTTGACTTCGTAGAGCCACATTGCCGGCTTGCTTCCATTGCAGAGGTGACTTCGGAATATTCTCAACTCTCCAAGCGAGAGGTATCAAGGGATCATCTGGCTCCAAGAACAGGATGTCGGACGGATGATCAATGCATAGCACACACGCCTCATCCAAGACAGTCCTGAAGAAAGGTTCCTTGACCACGAAGGAGGTTCCATTTTGTACTGCCTTGGACGGATGATTGATGACTGCAAAGTCATAGATGGTGAGAAGTTCATGGTCACCGTATTCATCCTCAACGGCAACGCAAGTCTGCATCGTCGAATGCATAGCCGAGACGCTGGTGGCACGAAGAAGAAGCATCTTTCCGTGGTGGTGGGTCTCCATGGACAGAGCACGTAGGGGAATCTTGTGTTACGTCAATATTGACACACATGGCTCACTAGAGTTGATGGATACATACCTTTGTGAGCGTTGTCATAGACAGATGAGACGGAGCATGTTCTTCGCTCAGAATCATGTTCCAGGCAATCCTGCGGTGATCCGTTTTGTTGGACGGATCAGGTCCTGGACCGGTGAGCTCGAGAGATCCTCGAAGAGCTGGCGTGACATGCTGTTGTACGGATACCGTTAGTCAGAAGGGATGTTGGCGGTGTAAAGACCTGTAACCAACCTGTGTTGTCATCCTTTCGAGTACAGCCATCCGGCTGGATATGTCTCTTCTCTGACCATGACGTTCTCTGGTCTGCTGTCGAAGACGGAGCTTGGCTATCTCGAGCTCGGCCTGCACCATTTCGAGCTTCTCAGATGGAGAGATAGAGTGTCGTGGTATTGAAGCGTTTGCATTTTCGGTGTAGGGTGGTGGTGGAGTCAGGGGTTCCATTGTTGGCGATTTCGCATAGACTGACGTATGTGGTACAATGGAAAGTCTGGTAAGTAATGGAGGTCAAGAGCAGTTTCGTTAAATATGTAGGACTGGACGGTCGATAATCGGTGCTTGATGGGTGGGTATGAAAGTTGGTTGGTGGTGTGAAGATCGAAAGATTAAGATGGAAGCCGAAGATGTGAAGCAAGAGCGAAGGCGCTGGTAGCCTTCCTGGCGTCGATGTCAAACGGCACAGGATACTCGTTTGTACTGAGAGGGAGGCTGCAGATCAGGAAGTGACCATCCGCTCAGAAGTTCAAACGTTCGTTACCAATGTGAGTGAAATAAAGCACTGCAAGATTGAGTCGTCGGCGTGTTGATTTTCCATGTGGCTTGCATTGGTATGCACGCTTTGAACTACTCGCATTGACTAAAACCACTTCATCTACAATCACACAAAGATCATCAGCAGAACTCAGTGAAGCATCATGGAAAGGTACATCGCAGGAAGGGGTATCTAGAAATGAACAGAACAATACACAAAACGACATCACCTCTTTCTTTCAACAACTCGACTTGAGACTCCAGTCCTTCTCAAAGCACTTCTAAGCCCCAGAACCTCTGCTTTGAGCCGTGCTACCTCGTCTTCCAAGCTACGAACTTTTGTGCCTAACTCTTTACAGCCTTGGCAGCTCTTCTTTTTGCAGGCACAAGGTTGAGTCTGTAATGTCGTATCTTTGGATGGTAGAGCTGGCAGACCTTTGTCGTCGCCGGTGTCGTCAAATGCTAGCAAAATCGTTGCTGCTTTCTTGGCTGCTGCTTCTCTGGTGGCTAAGTTTATGATGGTATTGGATGGCATACTCATTAGCCTCGCACGTTCAGTAGAATTCGGTATCACTCTTGTCGTCTCTTCTTCCTCCCTCAAGACCTGCACATGTCTCTTCGGCGACCTTCGAGGTGACTGCCGTTGAGAAGGAGAGGTAGAGTAGATAGAAGAACTCCGTGGAAACAGACTTTGCACGGCTCTCGAATCAGGCATAAACTCGCCGTCAATGTTCGAAATGTGTGATACGGCACTGAACATGGCCTCTTCCGACATTGAGAGTACGGCAGCTTCTTTGCCTGAGTTTTGTGGTCTTGGTGATATAGGTGTAGCTCCATGGGCCGGCTCGGGCTTCAAGATTGGGACAAACGGCGCACGTTTGGGTCTTGAAGCCTCGTGAGCAAGTGGGAGCTGTGCGTGAGGCTGCCCGGCTTGTCTTGGGCGAGCTTGAGGCTGTTGAACATGTTGTGTCAGAACCTGAGACTGTTCGGCTTGTCTTGTTCGAGCGTGGTAGTACGTATGTCTGACATAGTCTCGTCGATTGCAAATCTCATCTGACGAGCCAGCGGACAGCCAGATATCTCTGTCTGACGAGCGGCTCTCAGACACACACTCGAACTTTCTCTCCTGTGGAGTTTGGTGGCGACGACGTTCATGTCCATGCTCACTTTGTTGAGTTTGACGAGGCAACTTTGGTTCATCTTCGACTAGTTGCTGCGTCCCAGTCCTTGGAAGATTTGTAATGCCAGTACGATTCATATATGGGGCGAACAGGGCGGCACTTCCGCCTCTTTTCGACTGAGCAGAGTTACCGGTACTGAGTTTTCTCAGATCTGCGAGGACTTTGCCATTTCTTCTAATGACTGCAGAAGATCCAGGACTTCGGACTTGACTATGAGTTGCATGGATGTGGACTCTCTTACGCGCTGATCTGGGTCCGCGTTGAGCAGAAGCGGGAGGAGCAACTGCAGGAGGGGGTGTCTGTTTTGATGCGACTGATGCGTTTAGAGGCTTGATGGATATGTGTTCGGTGTATTCAGAGGACTCTGTGACGGGATCAAGCTCTCTCAACGTAGATCCTGGACTGCTCGACTTGACAAAAGTGTGACTCGAGAGTCGCGATCGGCGAAGGCGCGGAGATGATACTGGACTTTTACGCGCTCGTGGAGGTGATACCTTCTTGACCGGAGAGAAGAGGTCTAGGTAGGTGGTCTCAGCAACAGTTGAACGAACGACCGCACCGGTATTTGGCGTATGCCGTACAGTTGACACATCTTCAGTCTCGGAGATGTAGACAATGACCTCAGGTAGTACCTGAACAGGATCGAAGACGGCACCTGAAGGTAGCTTCAAAACTTTCAGCAGACTCGACTCTTTGATCGTCCCAGAACGACCGTTGTTGGGCGACAGAGCGTGATGAGCTTGCTTCTGGGCGGAAGTGGACTGAAACGAGTTCGGGATCGCATGCGGGCTAGGACCTCTCATCCAGTCCACACTGATAATCTTCTCGCCCAGGTCATTGACAATGACTTGATCTAGACGCAAGCCGACCGAGTCGAACAGTAGTACTTGACCATCAACTCTTCCTACAGCGATGATGGTCTTGGTCTCGATGGGGCCTTCTACGGCTCCGGATATTTGCCTGTGTCCTATCTTCTTCACAGGCTGCGGCTGTACCTTAGCCGCCAGAACAGACAATGAAGTGACAGGTGCTTGTGCATGCCAGGTACGTAGTATCTTGCCACCGGCTTCGAAATCAACAAGTCTACATCTTCCATCAGCGCCGACACTGACTGCACGGGTCATAAACCCAGGGAGAAAAGCTGCGCCGGTGATTGCAATACTTTTACTTCCAATCGTGGTGTTCGTTGAAGCATCTGGAGGGTCTGACATGTTCCTGACGTTCGTAATGCGATGCAGATTTTTGAAGTGCGAAATCTCGCCTGTATGGCCATTGGTGGACATACAAGACTTGTTGGGGGCACCGACCTTGTTACGTGCGATTTTAGTGGCATCATAGGCAGCAATACTGCCGTCCTTGAAAGCAAGTAAAAAAACATTCGGTCGTCCAGGGTGAAAAGATGCTGCTGCAATCGCCGCACTGCTTGCAGACGGATGCAGTTGAATAGCAGATGTTCTGAGGGTGAGATTTCGGAGGTACACAACAGTAGGATTCTCGGAAGCGGACAGTATCAGGTGTGATGTGGGTGATACTGCTAGAACGGTCGGTGCAGAAGGGTGACTAGATGGTGAGTCGAGCAACTTAGATTCGCGAATTGAGTAATGTTGAATCGCACCAGTCAAGGAGGTACTCAAAAAGAGAGACTTTGCGTCCGGCCCATACTCTAAGAGGCGCACAATGCCCTGGTTGAACCATACTATCAGTTATGTTTTCCTCTGATGGAATTCGGACGAGTATACCTCGTTGCCGCTCAGACCCCAGCTTTCTTCGCGTCCTCTTTTACAGTCATGCAACACGACTACATGCTCATCCGCTACAGCAAGCATCTGACTTCCATCTTTTGCTTCTCTCGCTGCCAGTATGCCCTTTTTACTGCTGCTGAAGAGTCGCTTGACTCCATCATGGTCCCAGGAAAAAATGCCACCAGAAGTTGTGATGATGAGATGGCTGTCTTTAGGGAATATGAAAGTCTGTTGGGTCGTCGATGATTCAGCTATTGTAGCTCTTGTGAAGGTCCGAGGCATAATTTTACTCCATTAATCGCTGATAGGTATGCTGTCTGGTTGCTGTCTTCGTTCAAAAGATTGTTGATTCAAGGTAAACAAAATGACGGATGCCAAGAGCATGTGAACATGGCCCAAACGCGGGGAAGAGACATAAAGCGCAGCTTTAAAGAAAAGCGAGAGAGGGATACCTTGATCGCAAAAGTATGGCAAATTCATTCATAATACAACGGTCTGCTCCGCGAAGAATCCGGGAAACTAGTTAAAGACTCTCTGATGTCTCTCAACGAGAGAACACTGGCCAAGAGTCGCAAGGTTATCAATGAAGGAACACAAGCAAAAGATACTCCACATCCTCTCCTCCATCCCCTCTCAGTCTGTAAAATCAGCCCTTGACCTTTGACGTCCACTATCTTCCTCTGCATGTTTGGCTTTGAGATGTCGAAATCCTGGCAGAGTGCCACGTACTAAGTCTCTCGTCTATGACTGTGCTAGTCGTGCGTGCTTAAGCGCTACGCCTATGCCTGGAAATCAAGTCTGATAGAAAAGATAGACTCCATTCTCGCTTCGAGTTTCGTAAGGACAGTTCGAAGATATGCTGTGCAGCGGTGGTTTGTCGTCCGGTACCAGGATCTGCTCTGCTTGATCGATGCAAGTCAGGCATTGGCTGGAAGGTTGAAAGGTCATTCGACAACTCCTTCAGGCAAGCATCCTTGTGCGAAGATTTCGTTGGGGCAATAATTGTGTGCGGGTCTGCCGCTCGCTTAGCATTCCTACGTGGGTACCCAGAGTCTGCGGCCACCGCGGAACTTGTTGGTGTTTGCTGAAGGACGAGTGAAAGAATTGGGGTCAATTGGTCCATTTCCGTTGGTAGTAGGGGTGAGATCCAGCTTTGTTGGAGCAGTGACTCTGCCTGGTCCTGCGGGCGTGAAGGAAGCACCGCGACCACGAGTAGAATTGCCTCTGAAGGAGGCACCACCACGGACATTTCCACGGGCCGGAGTCTGAGCTCCACGCGAGAACTGATTGGGATCCATCACCTTATTTCCAGCCTTGGGAGATTTGTGTTGAGCGAGCATGGCTGCAGGAGCCTTGGGTGGGTGCTTGAGCAAAACTTCGTCTTCATCCTCGCTGACCGCGGTAGGTCTCTCGTCAACAGGCAAGAGCTCTGGACGCATGACAGTCTCCTCCTTCGCAGGGGTGGCTGTCGCTGTTGTGGCGGTAGCACGCGTGTCGGGACGTGCGATGACAGCGTTACTTTCAATCTCCTTGCGCTGAACGACTTGTCTATTCTTGAATTCGCGTTCTTCTCTTGCAACGACGTAGCGGATATCGGCGAGGCTCTTGGTGCGGATGCCGAAGCGTTGAGCGAGTTTCGTCTTGGTAGGGTCATCAGTCAGGAAGATGAAAGATTCCAGAGCGGCGACAGGGTCGAGTTCTTGGTGAATGCGCCAGAGAATGTAGTTGAAGAGAGGGCGCAGATGCGAAGGAACACCAGAAGTCGATGCAGAATCGGGCACCAACTTTTTGGCTGCGGATTTGGATGACTGAGCGCGGCCACGAGTTTTATTTGGAGGGCACTCGGCCGCAGGCTCAGCGCTGACAGAACTACGAGCGGTGTGTACAGAAGAAGGAGTGGCTGATCGGGAAGCGTCTGTATCGGCGGAGCTCATGGAGAGGTTTGCGTCGCGAACGGCAAGTTTGGCTTCGGTTGTATGAACGAGGTCGTCGGATGGGCCTTCCAGCTCTTCATCATGAACGTCGCCTTCAGAGAACAAAGTCTTTGGCAGGGCAAACTTCTCAACTTCTGCCCATGTCTCAAACTTTTCGAAGCCGCCTTGCAGTGTGACGAGGTGGGGGTAAGTGCTGGTGGCATCGTCTAGCCAGACCAGGGCATCTTCGGCGTCGCTGCTGATGCGACCGTTTCCATCCTTCAGACGAGTGGTTTGGGCGAGGGCTGCGACAGTCAGTCGTGGTTGGCTTGAGTTTGCGTACAAAGTGACGTACTGTATAGAGGCACAAAGAGCCTGATCTGACCGTTGGCGATCCATTTCCGGATACCATCACGGGTGCTCTTCTTTGCGCCTGCGAGCAAAGCCGAGTCGTCGGCTATGCAGTTGAAGATCTTTTTGGTGGGTGGCTCGATGGTACGAGGGGTTGCGACAGAGGCGTCACCGGAACGAGGGCGTTGCGGAGTGCGGCGCATGGTGAGTGAAGCCTTGGTGGCGGTGGTACTGAGCAGGGTATAAGCGCTTGACAGTAGGTGGCGAGTTTACGACTGCAAAGGCGGAAGACACGGGCAGGAGTAATGTTGGCGACAGCAATCATATGCGTCGTCGTCGGTCGGAGGGTCTTACGTGCTGACGATAGAGTGACTGTGCGGCAGGATGTGCCGGTGGCATACAAGAATCTTGTGACTCAACAAGCTACAGGCGCATGTTCGACGAGTATACGGCTTGCTTCAGGGCTTTGTGTTGGCAAGCAGGGACTTGTGTGAGGAGGACGTGACAACCAAGGCGAGCATAATCGATCCTGTGTTATTCGACTGCCGTCATGGAAGGATGGATCCTACGAGTACGAGCGTGTGCGATTTTGCGTGTACTGTACAGGGGCGACGGCAATATTACTGTCTCGAGCATCAGACCATGTTCATTTCCGGTATAGTAGAGTATCGACTCGTCGTGCGCACATGGAAGTGTCCTGACGGCGAGCAAGACCGACTTGGGCTTGGACGGCAGCGACAAGGTTGTGTCGAGGAATGCATGCAAGCGGCCCACCGACTTGCCGAAAGCCGCATCGCGTCCGACGAGTCAAAGACACCTCCTTCCCGTTTCAGACACGACTCTGCGACATTCAGCAATCACCTCGCTTGCCATCTTACTTTCCATCAATGCCTACCATACTAATTTCCGGCGCTGCCTCTGGTCTAGGTCGCGCATTCTTGGATGCCTACTCAAGTGACAAGTCCAATACTGTCCTAGTCATTGACCGAGAGCATGTCGATCTTTCCGTATACCAAGGACACCCAGCTACGATCAAATCATACCTTGTCGATGTGACCGATGAGAAGTCGATCATTGAGTTTTCAGCTTCAATAAGGAACACTGCAATTGATCTCTTTGTCCACAGTGTGGGTATTCGTGGTTTGGTTCTTGCCGTCGAAACAGCTCAGCCCGGATCTGTAGCTGCAGCCGAGACTATGGATGTCATGGACTTGTCAACACTTGTGCACACATTTCAAGTAAATGCAGCTGGCACGTTTCTTCTCCTCCGCGCTCTTCTTCCGAATTTGAAACAAGCGAGTGCGGCCAAAGTCATCATCATGTCTTCACGCATGGGAAGTGTAGGCTACAACACCACAGGATCTGCATACGCATATCGCGCAAGCAAGGCAGCCTTGAACTCAATGATCAAGAGCTTCAGTATTGATGTGCCTGAAGTCATCTTCATACTGTGCCACCCCGGTCGGGTAGAGTCAAGGCTGGTCAAGTACAAGGAAGAGGGTGCCATCACAGCAGAAGAGAGTGTCATTGGTCTGCTTCCACTCATACAAGATTGGAACACGAAAGACAGCGGCAGGTTCTATGATCGATTTGGGCAATCTATCGAGTGATAGGCACTTGGTCCGCATGGTTGCATCACTGTATATAGTAGAACGAGTAGGAAGAGGATCAAGAATTTGATATCATAAGCCATTGCCATCATTCATCACATCATTCCTCAGTCGTCATGGGTGGCAGCAACATCTGTCGTTACCACTGGTGCGCCTTCTTCATCCTTTAGAACATCTCTCTTGACGAGACCTTCCAAAGTAGACAAGCAATCGCTGTAGCCACCGATCATAGCCTCAACACGGGCCATAATGTCTTCTTGCGGACCCTTAGGGCGATCTGACTGTAATTTGAGCTTGTGGCTTTCCATGCCCTGGATGTTCAACATGAGACCCGGTATGTCCTTTCTTGACACTTCGTCCGCCCATGACGGTGCCTGGCCGACCGTTGTCTTGAGAATCTGCCAGTGTGGACTGAGGCTTTGAGCTTCGTTTACGGTCTTCCCATCAGGTGCTATGTCAAGCAGGATCATGCGCTCGCGTTTGTTCGTTGGTCGTTTCTCCAGCGGTGCATTAGCGAGCTCTCGATCTATTCCTTCCACGATGGTGGAGGTGACAACGTCAGGATTGTCATCTGAGAAGATGTAGTGTACTGATGGATGATGGTGTTCGCCGGTGTCGGGGTCCTCGATCAGAGTAAAGAATGGGCGAAAATCGGGAGGTGGGAGAAGTTCATCGGGTGCGGCGTCAGGATAGGTGGGATCATCGAATAGCTCTGTGAGCGCGTCAGTAACCATGTAGAGCAGTTGAGTAGCTTATGTGAGACCCACCGTCGGTGTTTAGTGCCTGGTTGGCGTTGAGGCCCTGAGCGTCATTTGAATGATCTACTGAAGGGCTGCCCAAGTTTTCGGTCGTCCGCGTGAAGTTCTGAGAATATTGTTTGTCGGCGTCAGACATGATCGAATGGCGATCAACAAGAGTCGGGCCACACGGGTTGTTGTTAGTTATTGCAGACCCTGACTAAGCTGTGCTTGGCAAAATGCATGTGAAAATGCGTGTTCGTCAAAGTCGCCAGAAGTCGCCAACAGAGGTGGGGATGATTATGCGTTCAAGATTCTGGAGTCTGCTCGGGCTGGGCTTCACTCTGGTCTGCAGTCCCCTTGATGCGAAACACTAATCAAGTCAGTAAACAGTCTATCTGGTTGGCTTCAGAGCCCGGCTGGTAATTCACGTACCTTGTCTACACATTGGGCATCTGCCTTGACTTGATTCCTGCTTGATCCAAGTATCGAGGCAATGCTTGTACAGATATTAGTCTTGTTGGTTCACATTGCCTGGGACACAAGGTCGCATACCATGTGGAACGAGTGTGTACACTGTCCCATTACTATCTTTTGATGAGTGGAATGCAAAAGACTCGTCCAGGACGCAACACATACTGATAGGGCAGTCGTCTCCTGGAAACTTGCATTTGGGACAGGTACCGTCAAATTGAACACGACAGATGCCACAATCATCGTCTTCGGGCATGTCCCAGCGCCAAGCCGCAACTGCGTTATAAGATAGAATGTTGACCTTCATTGCTGTTTACTGTAGCGGCTCTCAGATGCAGGTGAATGTCGAATGGTTGGTATACTCTGCGTCAGGGTCTTGGGTCAGGAAGGTGGGTTGTTTACAAAACAATTGCCCGCGATAGTGAAGCTCGGACTCTCGACGCACGTCAGCGATAAGAGCTAAACAGGCTTATCGCTTGTCGATCACCGCGAAAACGCGACTCGGCGTGGTCACCACGTGCTGGAATACAAGCCGAGTACGGAGCTCACCTTCTGCATCTCACATCTCACATCTCACACCATACCTACACGCACGTCAAGCGATTCCGCTATTTCCTCAGTCCTGCACTGACTCGCGCGGCAGTCTGTACAAAATCCTGCACCAGCTTCTATACAGCTTATCACATATCGCCAAATCACGACATCGAGCACAGTCTCCACATCTCTCACGATCCAAGTGGGGCATCATGGCTTCCTCGTTGCTCCAGTCAGCCAGATCCTCAACCTTCCCATCCCTCCGACGTTCTTTCAACACATCTCACACTGCATCATCGCAAAGAGCAATGTCTCTCTCATCATATCTGGTCAAGCCTGCAGAGCTGAGTGCTGCCTTGAAAGGCAATGCTCCCACCCGATTGGCAACCTCGCCCAGAGTGATTCCCTTGTGCGCCAGTTGGTTCATGCCAAACGACCCCGAGAAGAGGACAGGCCACGAGGTCTTCAAAAAGGGCCACATTCCCAATGCTCGGTACTTGACCCGGCTACTCATTCATGCATTGCGGTACTGACTCGCAACAGTTTCTTTGACCTCGATGCTGTGGCCGACAAGAGCTCGCCATACCCTCACATGCTGCCCAGCGCCCAAGTCTTTAGTCAAGCCATGCGTAAGCTAGGCATCCGTCGCGACGATAACATCGTGGTCTACGACAGTGCAGAGCTCGGCATCTTCAGCGCCCCTCGTGTCGCCTGGACTCTACGCGTCTTTGGCCACCCCAGCATTCACATCCTGAACAACTACAAGCTATGGGTGGAGGAAGGTTTCCCAGTCGAAGAAGGAGAGCAGAGCGATCTCCCAGAGTCACAGTACCCGGAGTCGCCCATCGATCCCACCAAGGTCGCCGCATTCGAACAAGTCAAGGAGATTGCAAAGGACTACAACAAGGAAGGCAGAGAGGGTGTGCAGATTCTGGACGCCAGATCTCTCGGTCGCTGGAGCGGTGTCGACCCCGAACCCAGGGCTGGCCTCTCTTCTGGCCACATTCCTGGCTCCATCAGTGTTGCCCTGCCCGAGCTTCTGGACCCAGTGACCAAAACGCTGCTCTCCAGAGACGAACTGCTCGATGTCTTCAGAACCAAGGGAGTGGATCCTCTTAAGCCCATCATCAGCTCTTGCGGGACCGGTGTGACTGCCAGTGTCATCGATGCTGCTCTGACCGAGGCCGGGTTTCCCGAGACTAACAGAAAGGTCTACGATGGCAGCTGGACCGAGTGGGCGCAGAGAGTGAAAGCTACTGAGAACCTGATTCACAAGAGCCAGTAATCAGTACGAAGATTAATGATGAGCGATGAGAGTGTTGATCGTATACGATACCCAAGATGTGATAACGGCAGTAGGGAAAAAGTTCAGCGGAGCAATGATAGGCATGCAACAATATACATAATGTGCTTGTGCAGCAATTTCCATATCAGCCGAAGTGAACGTGCCGAGTCATGTCGCTGTTCGATTGTACGAGTACAGATCTCTCAGACAGAGCTCGATATGCCATGACATCAGTCATCATGTACCGTACGTCTCTGCCTCACTTCAACTCAATCGTCCATCCAGTCCTTTCCTATAGCAAAGCATCGCCGTCCAAATCAGCCTCCCATGCCGACGCCTTCGCCTTCTCCCTTGACCTCATCCAATCCCTCAACTCCATCCTGGAATCCCAGACTCCAGCGACAAAAAGTGCCCAATCTTGCCTTGAGCCCCCTGAATCATCTCCCCAGTTTTGTTATTTCACAAGATTGATCCCAGTAATCATGTCTTCTTGACGCGTCTCCCTCCAAACCTTTCTCCCCTTGGCTTTTCCTTCCCACCAAGTTACTCTTTCTTCTGCGAGGAGTTCGAGCAGAGTTTGGATGCCACGGAGGGTTGTGAGGAGTGCGTTTCTTGCTGATGTCTTTGCTGTTGTTTTGGCGGTGATGGAGATGTCGAGTTTAGATGTGGAGGTGGTGCAAGGCTTGGGAACGGTGGTAGAGGTGGAACAGCTGGTTTGATACAAGAGGAGTCTAGAGTGTGCGGTGCTGACGAGGAGATTCAGGTCTGAGATGAGTGGCACCAGAGGTTTCGGCCAGCGCTCGCCTCTCGCGATTGAGTTGAGCACGCAGAGTTGACACATTGTGATTGTTGAGGAATGTGAAGAGTGATGTTTCAGAGGCAAGCTGGTTGATGAGAGGTATCTGTGAGAGTGGTAGTCAAGAGAGGAAAGTGTGATGCAGGCGCGTAGACGATGTAGCTGCCTGATATGATCGGTGGCTTGCCTCACTTGTCTCACTTGTTCACGAAGATTAAGACGACAACACGCTGAGAGACTTCACAACTCACTCTTGAATTGGAAGAGCATGTGCAGAGATATGGCGAGACAGCGTTCCCAATAGGAAATCAAATCATGGCTTGACAGAGTCCGTGGCTTACACTCTTGGTCTTGGAATACATTCTGGCCGTTGACTAGTGCCGACACAGCAATCGTGTCGACCATCAACGCTTCACTGGAACTGTCCTTAACAATCGTTCCAGACTTGTGAGGAAGTTGCATGATCAGATGGACCACATATGTATCCATAGTCACAGGCAGATAATTGGCGTGCCAAGGAATACATTGATGGTCAGACAGAAAACTCGATAACGATAGTGACCTGCTACAGTGACAAGAACAGCAACTATGCTGTGTCTACTCCTTGAACTTGCTCAGGTTCGGTCGAGGATTTTTCAACGCCCGACTCTGTAGCGGTCTGTTCTGCTGTACTCTCAACAGGTGCGGCGTCCAAGACCGCTTCAGGCACGACCTCTGCAACCACCGGTGCTTCGACTTCTCCACTAGCTTGCTCGACCTCGGCCGACTCATCTTCGACAACGACGCTAGGTTCCACCTCAGGCAACTCGATATCAGCATTTAAGGGAGGCTCGACCTTCGACACCTCTGCTTCTGTTTCCACCTCGGCCTCGGCCTCGGAATTGTGGCCACTAGCCAACTTCTCCTTTTCTTCCTCGGCAATCTCTGCTGCCTCCCAGTCATCAACAACAGGCTCGACTGGAACGACTACCTTCTTCTCCTTCTTCTTTGCGAATGTTACTTTGTTCCCACCGGAAAGAGCCGAGAAGATGTTGTTGTTGGATGAGGCTGTCTGAGCGATGGGTCGACGTGATGCTGCACTCTTCGCGGCAACACGAGACCAACCATCACTGACACCACTCTCATTCTCACGACGAGTAATGTTGAGAGAAGAGTCTGTACGGCAAAGTTGGAGTGTGCCAAGGCTCTTCGCGGAGATAGCAGCAGCGATTGGTGCTTTGGCGTTCTTGAGGGTCTGATCGAGTGCCTGCTCATCAAGAGTACGACTGATTGCCTTGATGATGACTTCCTCATTCGGCAAGAATTCGACATCAAATTGTACCGGAAGAGCGAATGTTGCTAATTCGGTCCTGACCTCTTCAGTCATGAGACCGAAGCGTGGACGCATGATGACATAGCTGTTATACGGCTCTCCGACCTCGTTAGCACGGACTTGTGTAGCGGTTCCTTCACTACTGGCTACAGCTTTGCCGGATGCTACACGCTGAGCATTTCTGATACGCATGCTCTCCTTCAAGGTCTTCGGTGGCGAGCGCACGAATCGGGGTGTCTTGAAAATGGCGACATGGCGATGCGGTTCGGGGTCCATGCTCTCAGAGTCCAGACCAAAGTCCTCAGCGAGATGATGGATGAAGGCTCGTTGAGTGGCTGTCATAGGCTTGAACCTCAGTCTCTTCTCATCGTCTGCGGCTGCAAACACTCGGAACTCGCGCTCTTGGTTTGTGGACCAAGTAGGGTGAGCAGCATACAGATTGAGGGTCTCGGTAGAGAATGGAACGTGATCACCTCCTTCGACATGTGATTCTTGGTCAATATTGAGAGCGAGTGCCAACTTACGATTGCGCTCCAGTCTGGCGCACTCCTCGTTGCAAGGCAATGACTTTGTAAGGTTTCCCTCGCTGGTCTTTGACGCATTACATCTCATTTCCTGCTTTTGGGCCTGGCATTCGCAAGTGATAAAAATCTTATGAGGGCAAGCCTTGTCCTCCTTGCAGGCGGTGGGAGCATGACAAATGGCTTCATCTGGGTGGCCGCAAGCCTTCTTGGGCTTTCCACAAGGCTGCTGGCAAGGTCGACCGCCGGCGTCTTCGCAGTCACCTTCACGGTGACAAGGCTTGGTGCAAAAGTGGGAACCACACTTGAGCTTTCTGCCACAAATCTGACCGCAACTCACGTCTTTGAACCAACACTGCTGGTTCTTGAGACTCTTTTTGCCACACATGCAACTCTTTTCGACCAGGAAGGGGCACCTAGGGCAGTTTTCGTTGTCCATGTGACAATTGTGTTGCACTTGAGGATGGCCACAAGTCTTCGGGCGATTGCATTGGAAGCGACATGGTGGAGGCTGAGTACCACAGGGCAGAGGAGGTGTGAGTACAGTGCGACCACAGTGACAATTGATCTCATCGAAGATTGCCTCTCTGCAAGAACCACAAGGACCTTTGTGACAAAGATCATCACAGAAGTGGTTGCCGCACTTTAAAAGTCTACCACAGGGACGAGTACAGATGTGTTCTGCTTCGAAGCCGTCATCGATCGGTCGAATGTGGGCGTCCTCGAGCTTCCGACCCTTGCGCTTGATGGCCAACCTCTCAGCAGCCTTTCGCTCACCTTCGCAGCAGCGCTCATCACAAGCATGGCGACCACAGTTGAGGTTGACTCTGCAGACGCGCATGCATTGAGGAGGCTCGATCTTACCTTGATGGCAGATGGTGGTAGACGTTGTTCTACCACAACGGCAGTTGATTGATACAGCCTTGAGGCAAGGCATGCAAGCACCAGCGTGGCACAGCTGTTCACATGGATGTCCACAAGGAAGCTTCTTCATGCACGCCTTTTTGCAGTTTGCAATAGGATCCTGGCAAGAACTCCGAGCGTCCGGAGAGATCTCTGAAAGCTTGGTCTTACCGCAAGGGCAATGCGATACAACATCGGGGGAACGAGGACAATGACCAGGGTCAGTATCCTGAGAATGGCAAGGCTTCTGGCAGTGGTGAATGCCACAGTCGAAGGCGCGATCGCAAGAGTTAGCACACTCAAACACGCCAGTCCACTCCTCGATGAAGTCCTGACTGTCTTCTGTAATATGCTTCTTGTGGCTTGTGACTTCGTCACCGCGATCAGCACACAGCAAAGCTTTCTCGACCTGGCCACAATAGCAGCGAGCATCGATACGAACTTCACAAGCTCCACAAAGACCTTCGTGACAAGCCCTTGGGCACTCGTGCTCTCCGCAGGGCATGAGATCACCACAGACGTCACCACAGCTCCAGCCATCCTCATAGTTGGTGTCAGTACATCGGCGAGTCGACTCGTGCTTGCCACAGAAGCAAGTCTGAGTCGGGCCCATATGAGTACAGGGTGGGCATGGGCCGGCGTGACATGTCAACTGACAAGGGTGGGGGCATTTGCGAACTCTTTCTCTGCCACAAGTGTTTCCACAAGAATGTGGAGGCAGACCAGTGACAGCACGTGGCTCGACTTCTTTCTCACACCAACAGGTGTATGTCTTGGGCAGCGTGTCTTTCGGAAGGTTGCATCCAGGACATCTCCATTGTCTAGGCGGAGGAATTTCGCCATTCTCGCGACCCTGTTGCTGAGCAGCGGCAGAGCCTTGGTTTTGAGACCACTTCTTGACACAGGACATGTGGAAGACGGTCCAGCAAGTATGACACGACCATACTTTGGAGTTGCGAAGAACCTCGCTCGTGCAGATGGGACATTCGTAATGACCGTGGTCAATGTCGTGGTGAGTGCGAGTAGCAATGTCGGGGGCTGTTGACTTTGAAAGACGGCGTCTTTGCGATCGAGGTTGGGTCTGTAGCGAGGTGGCGCCTTGGGTGAGGATTGGCTGGCCAGGGACGAAGTTTGTGGCATCTCCTTGTAGTTCGCCATTTGATGTGAGTTGGCCACCAAAGGCTCTTCCATTGACCGTTCTGTTCTCACGCGTCCTGCCACCTCTCGCTGATCCTCCTCTTCCACCTCTTGCACCACCTCTTCCGCGCCGTGCATCTTGACTGTGGGTGTTGTTCTCCGCACCTGAGACGTCGGCACTTGACGGATCCACGGATGATGCTTGTGTAGACGGCGCGACTGTAGATGGTCTCAGAGACAGTAGAGGATCGCGCGCGCCACGGCCCCTTCCACCACCACCTCTTCGCCTGCGGCCAGGATTGGAGGCATCTGATTGAGGCTCATCTTGCTGAGATGGCGGATTGGAGTTGGGATTGGGATTGGGATTGGTGTTTCTCTCGCTGCGTGCTCGGCGATTGCGCGGGCGGTTCGAAGAACGTCCAGCTTGAGGATCAACTTGAGGGGCAGGGGCAGTCTCAGTGGTAGACATGACTGTTGTATTTTGCGAGAGTGTAGCGGTATTTGAACGAAACGATTGCGGTGGATTAGTGACGTAGAGGACGTGACGATGCAATGCAATAAGGAAAAGGGCAGGCTTAATAAAATGCGGCCTGATAGAACGAGGAAAGGACAAACACACGCTCGAAAGTGGAAGGCGCAGAAGAGTGTCGACAATGTTGATGTGAAAGCAGAAGGTGGCAAGGGCAAGGGCAAGGGCAAGCAGCGTAAATTGTTACAAGGAAACGAAGACTCTAGACGCCCCGCCAATGACATCGACCAAAGCATGAGTCACGCAGGGCTCGGCCCGCGTTCTAGCGTAAGATGGCAGTCGGCAGCCAATGTGCCGACACCGACCACTCTTTTGTCCACTCATAACCTTAGGCACCATTGACATACAGCAGCAATGTCCGACGGCCAAGCTGTCGCATCGCCTCAGGGCACAAAGCGCACAATAAATGAGGTCGAAGCCGAGGATGCGACTCGGCAAAACAACGATACGACCAACGATGATGCCGATGGTAAGAATGCGACACCTGAGCACTCCAGCAGGAAGCGAGTCTTGCAGAAGTACTTGACACTAACACGTACCAGACACGTCCTCGGACGAGGATGACATTGGCCCAGCGCTGCCCTCAGCAGCCGCACCCAAGGCCAAGAAGCGTAGAAAGCTGCCATATGAGAAGCTCTATGTAGCCGCACTACCCGCTGCAACCAGATACTCGAAATCCATGATGCATCAGGACCAGCTCTGCTTTAACACCTTCACACCTCACACCGACTTCCTCATAACAACATCCATCGACGGCGTGGTCAAATTCTGGAAAAAGGTGGCAGATGGTATTGAATTCGTCAAGGAGTTCAAGGCACACGAAGGAGAAGTCAAGAGTGTAAGCGTGAGCGCTGACGGCCGGAGTTTTGCAACTGTTGGTATCGATGGTTCTGTCAAGATCTTCGATGTAATCACTTTCGACCTGCTGGCCATGCTCACACCGGAGCCTGCACCGAGATGTGTCTGCTTCGTCCATGGGCGTGGTGCTTCAATGCCTCTGTTGGCCGTCTCGCACGACACAAGCTCGCATATCACCCTGTACGACGGCAGAGGTGAGAACACAGCACCGCTTCACAAACTGGAGAAGCTGCATAGACTGCCAGTGTCGCTCATGTCGTACAACCCGCAATACGACTGCGTTGTATCGGTCGATGAGGGCGGTATGCTCGAGTACTGGAGTCCGACTAGCAACTATGAGAAACCTGATAATGTCTTTGCCATCAAGAGCTCAACCAATCTCTTCGACTTCAAGAAGGCAAAGTCGGTCCCGTCATCAATTACAATGTCACCCACTGGCCAACAATTTGCTACCATGTCCTTCCCTGATCGCAAGGTTCGCATATTCGACTTCCCCACCGGTAAACTGTACAGGACCTACGACGAATCACTGGCTACTATCACTGAGATGCAACAAGCTGGAACAGCTATTGACAAGTTAGACGATGTCGAATTTGGCCGCAGGTTGGGTGTCGAGCGCGAGATTGAGCACCCCGCCGTCCGTGCTCGAATCAACATCATCTTCGATGAGACTGGCAACTTCATCCTCTATGGTTCGATCTTGGGAACAAAGGTCATCAACACGCTGACGAATCGTGTTGTCAAGGTCTACGGCAAAGAAGAGCCTTTTAGAGCATTGAATTTGGCCATCTACCAAGGTCAGCCTGACAAGAAGGGTGTCGTCACTGTACAGATGGCTGCCAGTGACAATCCCCTACTGCAACAAGCTGAAGCGCGTGACTCCATGCTTGTGGCTACAGGCTCCGGAAAGGTTCGCTTTTACATGTTTACCAACGACACCAACATCAACAAGTCGGATCGAGATATTCACAACGAGAAGCCTCGCACTATTGCAACAAAACAGCAAGCAGAAGCTGCAAAGACACAAACAGGCTCCTCAGCTACCATTCACACATCTATGGGCGACATTCAAATACGACTTTATCCTGAGCACGCTCCAAAGGCAGTGGAGAACTTCACTGTACACAGCAAGAATGACTACTACAACGGCATCATCTTCCATCGTATCATCCGCAAGTTCATGATCCAGACTGGAGATCCGCTAGGTGACGGCACTGGTGGTGACAGTATTTGGGGCAGCAACTTTGAGGATGAATTTACTCCAGCCTTGCGTCATGACAAGCCGTACACCGTCAGCATGGCAAATGCTGGTAAAGGTACAAATGCCAGTCAGTTTTTCATCACCACAGAGAAAACGCCTTGGCTCGATGATAAGCACACCATCTTTGGACGCGTGGTCAGAGGCATGGATGTTGTACACAGGATCGAGAATGCAAAAGTGTGGAAGGAGAAGCCCATGGAGGATATCAAGATTATCAGTATTTCAGTGACGTAGGGTAGGTAGCATTTGGTACGTGCATGCCCTCCTCTCTCTGCACAGTCGTCCGAAATCTTGTTCAGTCTGACTATCAGCTTCTGGTGCTTCTGACAACGGAGTGCGATTATTTCGGCGTTTCTGCAAAAGCACCGAGTCAGTCATCGAGATTGTTTGCCCGCTTTTTGATATCTTGCGTACCATCAATCGACAGCATAGCTCGGAAGTTCGACCATGTCTTCTGCTTATGTGGCGAATTCCAGCTTTGGAAGGTTGGTGATGTCTGAAGCAGGGTCAGCTAACGCAATCCATTTGAACGAATTTGCTCGTTCACTTACCACCTCTCTTGACAACGTAAAGCTGGATGACATTCTTGCCAGCGGTGCGATGATCAAGGGCTGCGGCGCGCAAGGTCATCAGATCCCTGATGATGGCGATTTGACCAGACTCGTGCACGCGCCAAACAATGACACAATGAGCATCATCATCTGGCGATGGATCGAGCCTAGAGATGGTCTCGGGCCAGCCTTGACGGTGGAGTCCGGCGAAGGGAATTTGGTAGGTGTAGGTGGTGTCGTCAGCAGCGCGCTTGTGGCGGGTGAGGGAGACGATCATGTCGTCGAATGTGCGGTCAAGGCTGGACATTGTTGTTTTGGCTGCTGTGGCCTCCGCGGCAGGCTCTGGTGCTTGGTTGGTCATGTTGGAAAGAGTTTGTTGACGAGAGGTAGTGTTGTCGTAGTAGGGAGAGACTGACTGGTCTGCAGGACAGATGAGAGAGTGTGTTGTTCAAAGCTGGACTTATCGCTCTTCAATCAGCTTCACTTCGATTCTCGTTCGTCAAAGTACTGACTCACTTGTGCTGGCTGCCTAACGCGACTCTCGTGGCCCATCTTCTGATGTTGCTGATCCGCGCTTACTGATCACAACACCCTGCAACGGAGACAACTTTGAAAGATTTGGTATGTCAACATGAACGATAGTTATCTGTTTTCCAGACTATGACACGCCACTTCTCCTGCCACAGCAAGGAATACTGGCCCCATCGCATCTCACACATCCAAATTTGACCCCCTCATTCCTGCACCAAAGTCTTCTGGCACGCTCGACACATCTACGCAGTATTAGTCCACCCATACGTACACGCGTCCGCAGTTCTTGAGAATGATACGTACCCAGTCCCTCGACGAATATCAACTCCACGATGTTTCTGCCCATATACAAAGCATCCAGCACAGCGGCCAAGAACGAGTGATCACTTGTCATTCGTCCCAACTGACCATTTGACTGACGCCACAGCAAATCAGACTTGGAGCGATAACCAAACAATCCAGGCATTCTCTCCAAGTGTTTAACCAGGACGGCAAAGTTGGGCGGCTTGTATCGTTCGAGACTATCCTGGCAATCGCTGAGAGGTAGGCCGCCACGATGAATCATAATGCCGTTATGATAGCATGTTATGGAGATGATCATTTGCAGGGCGGGGATCCCGGAACAAACGTTGAAAAGGGCTCTGTATCGATCCATGTTGGCTATGGCGACCGAGAGTATGTTTGAACGGCGCAATCGAGCCGTGGTAGGGGTAGTATATATATTGAGCACAGAGAACTACGCGCGTAGGTCCTTGATTCAAGCCATCTGCGCTCAGTGTATCTAGATCAGCATTTGAGCAGGCCGCAACAAAATTCAAGAAAGAAGCAAAGTCGCACACTGGAGCTACAACCGCCGATCAGTGATTGATGCGAGACTTGAGTTACACCTTCTCGTGCAGATTGAAGTTGTATCCTCGGCTCGTTTTGTGGAGCGAGGCCCAGCGTACCAAATGCTTCGAAGCTGTATACACAACTTGATGAGGCAACAAAAAGCAGAAAGTCATCTCAAAAAGTTATCCTCGAGAGTCGAACCTACCACCTTTATGCTGTAAACCAAAATTAGGTGTTGCCGACGCTACTTCTCCCGGCTTCGCACAGCAGTAAGTTGACCAAGTTTCCTCCTCGATGGGAGGGTTTGGTATCTTACGGCTGTCCAGTGGTCAGAGGGTCTCCCACTGCGCCAAACTCACTGAGTTCGGTCATACCAAGCTGGGATGTGAGAGGAACTCTTTTACCTCAGTATATAAAGTGTGATGAGCAGAAGTGAACCTTTTACGTTTCCCGAAATCCAGTGCACTACGATCAAGCTAGGATCAACATCACTGCCCACGCAGCATTTCGTATGTTCATATCCATATGCTCGATGTGAGTGAACTACAGGTGGGTTGGAAGGCAGGTACAAACAGTCGCATCTTAAAAGAACTTTAGGGAAGGCAACCGGAGTGTATTGTTCTTGCCATTGATTACTTCTGCTATGAGATCCTTCTGATCCAATCTCTGTGTTTGCGTACCCTCTATGCGTTCATCAATTATGTCCTCTCGATCATCAAGCTTTCCTGCGACCAAATCATTGAGATTCCCGATTGATGGCAGCGCATTATACCAACTCAGCTTGCTCGTTGGCGCCCATAATACATGGAGCCTCTCCGACATCGTGACGGTGGTGATGAAGTGCCACAGGATATATATACCTCGGTGGTGATGAAGTGCCACAGGATATATATACCTCGGTGGTATCAGTCCGCAAAAGCGTGAGTCGAGCTTGTCAACCGAACGATCTTTTTGGTCTCTTGCATGTGCAGATTTCTGAGCGCGAGTGATTCTCTCATACGTCTTCACTCGTAGAATCCGATGAGCTTTTGTCTTGCATTTCGAACTGTCGAGAGGCGTGTGTCTCGTCTGTCTAGCATTAGACTCGCCTCCTCGCGCAGACCGACCGAATTTATCATACCCAGTCCTTCCACGATCAAAAGCTCTACTGTAGAACTGCTCGTGAAGAGGGTATCCATCAAGGCTGCCAGAAAGGTCGCATCGTCATCGACTCTGCGGTAACGGTCGTTTGGTGTGCGCCATAGCAAAACTGTTTCGGTAATGATTCCAATCGACCTGGGCATCTCGCGTAGATGGGCAGCCAAGATGGCAAAGCTTGGGACTTTGCAATCGGCTCGCGCATCCTGAAAGCTGCTGAGAAAGCACGACTCTTGGTAGTAAGGCACTGCAACGCCATCCTGGTAACAAGCTACTGAGATAACGACCGTATGATCGGTCGACAGAGCACCATTTCGCTCCGAAGGCGGGAAGCGTGTTTGACCCGTCATGATAAACAGAGAGTAAGATGTCAAGACTTGTGAGCACTCAGGTGGATTGGAAGGCGCTGCGTTGTATATATGTGCTTCGAGGTGAGAAAAAGTGAGTGTGGTGCACTCAATGATCTTCGTCTTTTCACACGCCACCAAATCAGCTCCTGATATATATTGCCATTGTCGGAGCTTGATGGCTGTAAATCAAGCTACTAGTCAGGGTACTCTGCCCAGCCATCGCGAGAGTATTGTTTACTGACTTAGTGGAGACCACAGAATTCAGCATTTAGGGGAAGATGCTACTGCCACATCGGACGCAAGTCCGGTGCGGGCTAAAGTCGCGCGATAACGAATAGCTCTTGACACATGTAACAAAGACAATTCGTATATTAGTCATGAGCAACCATACAACTACAGCAGGTATTGGAAGTAAAGGTTCTGCTTGTCCGTCATGTCCTGCAGACCGTTCTCGCCATGGATCTCAGCACCAGCCTCGTGGAACTTTGAACTCATCGAGAAGTCCTCGAAGTTTCTGGGCAGACCGGCAGCTTCACGCTGGTTGCCCTTCTTCTTCTGAATCCACATGATGTTGGCGATTTGACCAATAACGACACACCAAAGAATGATCCAGATAACAAGAATACCCTTGAGAGCATTGACCTAGATGCCGTGTCAGATTATAACTTCGTTATGTGACAATCACAATGACTTACGTATTGAGGCGCAAACTTCGAGTTGAAGATATAGGGTGTGATGATGTTGCCAACAGAGTTTCCGGCGTTGAATGAAGTGTAGTAGATGGCCTTCTTGGTCTGACCAGCGCAGTTACCACCCATCCAAGAGATGAGTAGAGGGTTGATGGCATAGACGAAAGCGATCAAATAGTATCCTGCGAGGAGGCCGCCCTTGTTCTCCTTGGTCTTGGGAAGTGCAACCATCAAGGCGACTCCAACAATTACGATAGTCACAAGACCAAGCAGGAAAGGTGACTTGCGCTTGAAGCGGTAAGCCAGATAAGAGGCTCCAAGAATGGAAACGAATTGCAATGCACCGGATGGCATGTTGAGCAGCACAGCTTGGTCGGGGGTGAAACCAGCCAAGTTCTGGAGGATAATCGAACCGAAGACAGATGACACGGAAGCGCCAGCGTTGACTGCGATGACCATGATCATGAAGAGCCAGTACTTGAGCTCGGTGAAGGCCTCGGCGACTTGCTTCCAGTTGAACTTATGCGAAACGATACCCTGCTGGTTGGCCTTCAGACGGTCAACAGCCTTCAGGCGGTCTTCGGCAGACAGGAAGCGGGCTTCTCCAGGGCTGTCATGCGCCCACCAGTAAGTGATGAGGCCGATGGCAATAGTCAGAAGACCGAAGAAAAGATAAACGACTTGGTAGCGGTAGAGCGTGGACGAGTGGATACGTCCAAATCCGTAGACAATAGGTGCACTGATGAGTGTACTCAAACCGTAGCAGCTGTACCAGCATGCAACACGGAAAGGCTGTTCAGAACGTCTGTAGAACGCAATGGTGATCATGGAGAAGAGAGGGACTACGGCAGCCTCAAAAGCTCCGAGTAAGAAGCGAGAGGCCATCAAACCACCGTAGCTGCGCGATCCAGCAAGTCCAGCGGCCACAGAAATGCCCCAGCATGTAATGATGACAGGCAGAACCTGGCGGTATCGCAGTTTTACGAGGACCCATGCAGCTAGAGGCTGGACTGCAAGCTGTGCGTAGTAACCGATGTTACCGATGTTCGAGTAGTCGTTGCCCTTGAGATGGGCATCTTTCTTCAGGCCGTAGACAGCTGTCAGACCGATGATACTGTCGATGAAGTTAGAACTCTGCTTTCGCGTGTTGTGCAAGAATCTCGTACCCTTTATCTGCTGATTGAAGAAAGTAGACCATGCACAGCAGCGAGAGCATGTAAATGTCGGTCTTTCGAAGGATGCGTTTGCTGTCTTCCTCGCTGCAGATATGAGCCTCACTTAGGCCGGCGTCCTTGCCCTCCTCATACGCGACTGCAATGCCTTTCGCATTGCTGTGATCTCCAGATGTGTCGGAGGCGTGCTCCAGGTGTTGGGCGTTGCCCTTCTCGACCGTCGAATCCATAGTATAGAGGTGTGGAGATACGATAGGTGGGTCTGGGGTTGAGACTGGGGTAGTGGGGAGAGTCTGGGGGACGTTGTTTATACTTATGAGCATCTTCTCCTACGGAAATTCAACTCTCCGGCGGCTATATGTGGGTAAAGTACAATGAGAAGGAATGCTCACGATACGTGCGGAGTGCTGTCGGTATCTGAGGCAATCGCGAGCGGCGATCGAACGTTGATTGGTCCAATCTCTTGGAGCGCTGTTGTATCGTTACCATCCCGCTTTGGTGGCGTAAAAGTGGCTACTCTGGGCACGAGCCAAATTTGTCAAGGTATGCCCAGTGAATCACGGCGGTGCTTGTCACGTAGGGCAGCTAGCGGTCGTGATCTCGCACCTCTTACTGGCGAGGTAGACACTCATGTTTCTTCGTAAAATTCCGGTATGATTAGAGCAGTGAAGCGCTGCGTAGGACGGCCGGACTTCATGGCAATACGCAGTCGGCGAGTCAGCAAGTTCCTCCAATCATCTGGTGACCATTGCTCCCGATGATCCGATAGGAGGAAATCGGCCTCTGAGTCAAACGCCTATGAACATGCCGAACGGCGTGACACGGCAAGGAGGCACTCGCCGCGTGCAGGGAATCGATCCGAAGCTGCCCACATGGAAAAGATCGTCGTGGAGCCGTGACGGAAGGGGTGGAGAAGCTCGAGGAGATATTGGGTCCTGTGGAGAGCACACCCACAATATAGACGGCAGTTCCTTGAGAGTGACAGACCGTATGCTTAGAGAGACCCGAAAAATAAGTCACGACAATTCAGAGCAGGCTCGGATCATCAGATTTGTCGCGCTTCAAAGCTACATTGCAAGGCCTTGGCGTACATCGAATGGTCCGAAGCAGGTCCACTGCATGATCTCAGGTATCAGTTGATCGGTCTAGACACGGAATCTGTTCAAATCTCTCCATAAGATGCGGAAACATAATCAGTGCTTAGATATCCTCGAAAGACAATACTCGAGTACCGCCTTCGTCCGTGTTGTAGGCGGTGAAATTCTGCCCACTTCTCCTTGCCGGCTACACGACCCTGCCGTTGTACTTGCATGCTATTCATTACTGGCAATGTCGCTCAATGCTGGGTAACAGCACTTGCAGCAGAACGACAATCTTTTTGGGGCCTCTCCGTGTATTGTCTAGAAACGATATATGATCGTGGGCAACTTTATTCGTCGATATAAGACAAAGAAATGATCTGTGGGTCTTCCAACCTCGACAGCAAGAGGGTTGTACGCAACGTTTGGAGATTTGCGGTACAATGACAATACTTCTAAATTGGCATGTACACTATTCTACACATAGAGCATAACCATTTAGAGCTTACTTGGCTTGTCTGCCGGCTTCGATCTTGGTTGCAGGTTTCTCTGAGCTGACATGACCATGCAGACATGATGGCTCAGCGCGACAATATCTCCGCCATCGTCCATGATGATGACTTCCAGATCATATCTGCCATTCTTGATTTGCTTTGCGCGTACTCTCAGGAACAGAAACTCAACACCTTCTTCTGGAAGCAGTTTCTTGATGTCGAGGTTCAACAAGAGGGTCGGATACCAAGCGGAAGAGAAGCCCTTTTGCTGAGCAGCCAGCTCATTTATCTCCTTGGCGTCACGCAAAGGCTCAACGGCATAGGGGTCACTGCCTGTCCGATAGCTCTCGAGGATCTGGGGGAACATGTCGGAAACGTAGCCCAAGCTGGCATTGGTAAACCGCTCGCCATTGCTGAAGCACATCCATTGGTCTGCCAGACTGCGCATACGTTGACCTTGCTTGGGGAAGTAGAAGTTGACGTGTTGACTGGCACGACGGAAGATGGCGAAGGGCATGGACTTTTGCTCTTTCCACGTATCGTCAGTACCAGCTTTGAGGGCGCGCACGTCGGCACTAGGTGGCGCCGGCTCCAGCTTCCAGCCTGTAGGGAAGGATGTGCCTTCCTCTGTGATGAGATTACTGTTGGTGATGTAGGCGGCCACTTCTTCGCGGTCACCTCCCTCCTGGAAGAGCGTTACATGGATGACTGAGGTGCCTCTGCCTATTTTCACATCTCTGACGTTGAACAGTGCGGGTCCGATGCTGGTACGTCGAAGGAACTCCAGATGCATTGACATGGTATGCGGCTGATTCTGCTTCTTCAGGGTCGTGGCGAAGTGCAGCTCGGCCACGCGCATGAAGCAGGAAGTGATGTATCCGCCATGAGGGACTACAAGATGATGGCATAAGGAACACTGGATGGAAGTGGCCGATTATCTAGATTGGGTTCATACCTGAGCCAATGCAGTAATCCTTGATGAAGTTTGCGGTGTACGTGTGAGTCCCAGTTGAGGTGACGGTAGTGGCATCGGAAAAGGGATACATGATGCCCAGAGCTGTCTGGTTGGTCGTGTATCACGAGAAAGGAGGCCGCAAGATGCACACTGGAAGGTGTTACGCCAGGTCATAGATCCCCCGCCATTTCTTGGCCGAGGAACCTCGGCTTGGGATCAAGAAGATGATCTACAGTCATGCCTGGTCTTCTAGTAGTGCGTCGACAACAACTGCTGAAATGGCTTTATGGTTTGTGCAAGCATAGCTACTAAGAGAAGGCAGGCCGTCGAAAGAGTGTGTGAGGGAGTGTGAGAGTGCACACGAGCGAGTCAAGTACGAAGCTACACGAAATGCAGACAGCGTCATGATGCACGGGCGGCAAGGGCTGAAACACAAGTTGGTTCGAAGCGGGCCGGACAGCAAGCAAGCGATAGGAGACAGATGATACAGAAGGGCATCATTGGATGGATGATATTGCTTGCATGTTTGAGGCGTGAGCACGAAGGGCAGAGACATTTTCCAAGATGTTCAAAGCGCAAATGATGGGACTAACGCACGACCACAGTAGCAACACTGCCTCGATGGCGCATGCTTGCGACTTGCAAGACGATCATTTGGGTGGACTGCTCAGGCGCGTTGGTCGTTGCAACGTGTTGGACGAGAGAAGACAAACGAGGTGATGCCACGTTGGCGAAGGAGTCAGGAGAAGGTAGGTAAGGTAGTGGACAGTCTATAGATGGCATCGAATGGCAAGAATAGAGTTTCGCAACGGTCGTTCAGGAGTTCGCATCAGAAGTGGACACTTTCGGTGTCATGACGATTCAGACATGCCGTGCTTTGGGTGTGGAGTATGTCAAGGTACGAGCAGCTTTAGCCAACAGAAGATTGCGGCTCAGTCAACAGTGGCAGCAATCTCGCAGCCTCTTGTCCTTTCCGCCATAACGTTAATTACTGCCTCTGTCTTGAAGAGGCGTGTTTTGCAGCGTCTCGCGTCTAATTCTTCAGCAATCATATCGTCGTCATATCTCTCAGCCGCATCGCCAGCGCAGTTACATAGCGTCCAAGCCAGCGCATTCACATCGTCAGCCCCGTCGCACTCGTCGCATACCGCTACTCCAGCCGACACGATTCTCGACCTTAACGCTCTCTGCTCCGGCGCTGGGAGCGCGTCTGGCCTGCTCCCAGGATGGGCAACGTAGGAAGCCGAACAGACGATGGCGCTCCTGTCTACTTCAAGGACCAGACGAGATGTGCGTACAACTCGGATAGCCTTTGTCGTGCTGTTGCTCTCTCTGACACTTATACCATCCACAGTCTCGATCGCACATGTCAACATAACGAGCTCCCGAGGGCGCACCCTCGTCTCGCTCGCGCCCAACTCGTTCCCAGCCTCGCGCTACCACGCAAAGCGTGACTCGGGCGACAGCACCCCTGTCGAATATGTCCAGGTATTCCGATCTGCTTCCACCATCCCACACATACAGCAAGCGCTAATCCATCAAAGGACCCCGAACCTCTCTCGTCCACCTCTCCTGCCTTCCTCTTGCGCCTGGCCAACGATGAAGAGCTTACCTTCAACTTCACATGCGTCTTGCGCCAAACGACTTCGGCTCCCTCGAGCATCATTGGCGATCACCATGTCGCTCCTACTGGGATGCCCGCTTCCGACACACAGCTATGCGGCCTGACCTACGTTCAAGGCTCGAATCCACGAGAGATCGACCAGCTCGTCACGCGCGAGTTCCATGCCGACCCCAATTTGCACAGGAACGCAAACGTCGAGCTTGTGGGCGACTATAACACAGGTGGTGTACCGTCGGTTCAGTTTCAGTGGTCCTGGAAGTGGAAGCCTCCAAAGCAGTCCGAGGACCACGGAGGAGGCTGGCGCAATACCTGCAGCGTAAAAATCCTCCCGCTACCGCTCTACTAACATAGAACGTCGTGCTGACCATCCCGACAGTTTGTTGAATACAATTCACGCGCTCACCGTCTCGAGACACTGGCCAGCTTCTCTTTCTGGGTCACCAGTACGTTCTCCAACACGCTAGCTTCTGCGCAACCTGTCCAAGCTGACATTACACAAGACACACAGCGTTGGTTGAATTCACCTACGTTATCTCCCCCTCGGCTTAGGGTGCCATCTGCTCAGTCCATCGAGTCTAGGGTTAGCGCTGTCAGTGACTCGGACGGCGGCGATCCCAGAGACTTCCGAGACTACCGCGATTTTCGTGAACCCTCTTCGCCCATGATCGACGCAATCCCAGAGTACGGCCTTGGACTAGTCCCTTCCATGACCAATGGAGGGCCATCACCATCCCACAAGGTCGACATCAGCTGTGTTGGACGACCTGCCGAGGATGCTAGCACTAGCGATGATGGCCCTGTCTTCAGAGCAACTATGCGAGCCTTGGAGCAAAAAACTGGCACGATGAGATCTCGTATGAAGAGAGTCTTGAGAGCCGCCGAAGCAGCCCAAGCCGCCCAGACTGCCTGCAACGACGCCCATTCTGCCTTTATGGACGCGCTTAGGGAGGCTTCCAACTCGAACGCGAATGCCGTCCGTCCAGCTCTTGAGCACTATTTCGACTCTATCGCAAGAGAGATTTTGCTTTACGAGCGCCAAAATAATGCAAACCTGCAGAAACTCATTATTGAGCCCATCAACAAGCTTTACAGCCTCGACATTAAACAAGCAGAGTCCAAGAGACGTGATTTCGATGAAGAAAGCAAAGACTACTATGCCTACGTCAGCAAATACTTGGGCCAACGCTCCGAATCACTTAAAGAAAAGAAACGTGTGGAGAGCGACGCTAAATATCAAGCAAAGCGACGAACCTTTGAGCTGAAGCGTTTCGATTACTCATCTTTCATGCATGACTTGAACGGAGGCCGGAAAGAGCAAGAAGTCTTGTCTCAGCTTACAAAATACGCATCCGCGCAAGCTCGAGGATATCTTACTACGGCAAAAAAGGTTGAGGAGATGCTACCACAGCTAGAGGCTCTGAACCGTGAAGTATCAAACGCCGATGTGGAGTTCCAGATGCAGCGCACGGAGCGCGAGGAGAAGAGACGAGCGTTGGAGACCAACAGTGCCAAATCACCCGAGATCGAAAACCCACCGTCGCTGTTCAACACATCAGGTGTCACACAACTTGACCGTGCAAGTAGCATCATATCAGTGCCGCGCAACTCCATCATGTCCACCTCACCCTCAGCACTCAATGGGTTCCCGTCTAGTGTCACTTCTCCGAACAGCTCGAGCACCAGCGGCCCGCTGCCTGTGAGGAACACTAGCAACAAGTTCAAGGGTATCCGAGACCTAGAAGAGAAAGATCTTTCCGCCACCTCTGCTGCAAGTACTGGCCAGTTCAAAAAAGAAGGCCTGTTGTGGTCTTTGAGCCGACCCGGCAGCCATGTCGATCCTATCATGAACAAAGCCAATTGGCATAAGTAAGTCGTCTGTTCTTCAACATGTTAGACATCTGCTAACGAAAGTAGGTTCTGGATAGTGCTCGATCAAGGGAAGCTGTCCGAATATGCCAATTGGAAAGACAAGCTGGACCTCCATATGGATCCTATTGACTTGCGAGTCGCGTCAGTGAGAGAAGCTCGCAACGCTGACAGAAGATTCTGTTTCGAAGTCATCACACCACAGTTCACCCGTGTATACCAGGCTCCCTCCGAAGAGGACATGAGGTCATGGATTGCATCTATCAATAATGCTCTACAGAGTGCTTTCGAAACCAGACCATCCACCAGTGCACCAAGCACCGAAAAAGTCAGCTCCGCACGAAATACGATCGCCGCGGTGTTGACTGGAAAGACCACACCCTTCTCTTCCCAAAGAGCATCGACCAACGCGACCTCGTCGTACATAAGCTCTTCGAGCAAGATCGTCTCGCGCCATGCCACTACAGGTGATAAGCCAACCTACATGAAGCCCGACAATGAGACGCCATCAGCCCTTCTGAACCAGATTCGAGAATCCGATGCTGGCAACAAGTACTGCGCCGATTGTAATTCCGAGCACAAGGTTGAGTGGGTCTCGATCAATCTCGGCATAATTCTGTGTATCGAGTGCAGTGGCATTCACAGGTCGTTGGGAACGCATATTTCCAAAGTGCGATCGTTAACACTCGACACGTCCGCCTTCACACCCGACATCATCGAACTACTCATGTTGGTTGGCAACCGTGTTAGCAACATGGTCTGGGAAGCAAAGCTTGATGCTTTCCTCAAACCGGGTCCTAATGTGACCCGGGAGCAACGTCTGCACTTCATCACAGGCAAGTATAGCGATCGATTGTACGTTCAAGGCTCGACAGATGCCATGGCACATTTCAAGAGCCCAGACGACACCTTGCTTGTCAGTATCAAACAAAACAACATCCAAAAAGTGTTGTATGCTCTCGCACTGCGAGCGAATCCCAACGCCGCAGACCGTTCTCGTGGGACACATGCTGTGTTCCTTGCTCTCGCGGCTGCAGACCCTGCCTCCCCTTCCAGCTCCTTTGTGCAACAGCGCAGTGGATCGTCAACTCTTTCATCACCAGGCTTGAGCCCGATGGGTCAGCCATCACGCCCGACAACCCCCACCCCTACCAGAAAGCCTTTCCCTGTTGCGGAGCTCTTGCTACAGAATGGAGCGGAAATTCCAACACAACCTGCGCCCATACCCTTGTCACGAGCCGCACAACAGTACATTGAGTTCAAGATAGACCAGAAGACTGGTCGACATTTGGGAGTCGGTGCAAAAGACTCAGCCGGTGATGTACTTTCAGCACTACCAAGCGACAAGCACAGCCCAAACGATCGTGATAGCAGATTGATCAAGAGGCAGAGTACTGGGTCTAGGAGTGCGGTGTCGAGCAGAGACGGAAGTATAGGGAGAAGGTGATCACAAAACATCTCCTTTTTTCCTTCCTCCTTCTTCACTCAATCCGTCAGGTTCCTTTCTTTCTCTTGTGTCGCATATGCACCGGACCACTTCACTTTTTCACGAGTACAAAGATTCGCTTGCAGCGATTGGAAACGCGTTTTTCTTGGTCTTGTTTTCCTAATTCACGAGTCAAGTCCCCACGTGGTTCTCACTTTCCACTTCTTTTCTTACTTCCATGTTGAGAGACTTGAAGAACAATGCTATAATGCCAATGGCTATCTCACCTTTTACACCTTTAATTTTGCTTACCTTCGGGTGTTTTGTTTACAGGGAACGCGTTCAATCCGCACCTGTTCTGCTTTGTCCAATTCCTTCGTCGATGTCGAACGTCGAGAACGCAGTGAACGATGACCTAAATCTCGCGACTGCCTCGAAGATCACGACAGAGGAAAACATCGTCCCAGATGTTGATAATTCTTTCGATGTAACGAGACGCGATTTTTGGCACGAAGTCCCCGGACGCATCAAAATGCACGACAAGCGGGCTTCCACCGAAGAACAAGAACGTCGCAGACTGTTTGAACGACGTGGAAGACTGCACCGAGTTGTCTCAAAGTTCTTAGCCAAAGCCTCGAACACAAATGCGCCCGCAGTACTTCGCCGTCGCAGGCACTCTACTTCTACACTTGTTGTGGAAAGAGCAAATGCTCTGGTGCAGGATGACAGGCACGGTGAAGGGCAAGATGCCGAACAGGCTCAAGTTGCCAAGCCCAGTCGGAGAAAGTCTTTGCTTAGCCGTGCTCGATCGCTCAGAGGTGTGAAGAGCTTGTCAGACTTGAGAGTTGCTGCTCGCAAGGGTGACAAGGGAAAAGGTCAGTCTGGATATCCACAGACTCGAAGAAATGGACAAGTTGAAGGGGTGTTTGAGTGTGCAGTAGTCAGGATGAAGAGTGTACACAGTGCTACTAGTGCACCTTTGTACTTCTTCCGAGGAGCCGAGTGATGACTGGGCCTCTGTCTTCAGATAATAGTGTCATGGGTCAGTGACAGGTAATAACGGTATTCATCCAAAATGGACAATTGATCCTAAACAAACCACTGTTTTGTAACCACAACTCCAAGACGACCCCACACCAACAAGCAGAACCTTTTCAACTCCTCGTTTCCATGCTATGCTCGTGTATTCAAGGAAAGTTCGGCGTCAGGATCAGCGGATCATGGCTGCCAGCTCATCAGAAGTCCTGACGATCTCGATGATAGGAGCCGAGGCATGAGGAACAGCTTGAGGCTTTTCCAATCTCAGACGAACACTGGTCTCGTGCGATTGCAGAGGTGTGTAGTTCATCTTCAGAACCTTGAGAACGTAGATGGCTAGCGACTCCAAGGTCTCAAATTCTGTAGGTTCAATGGCCTGTATCAACACATTAGCACTGGGAGTTGTATGTTAGATGGATGACGACTCGTGCTCACCTGAGTGATGATTCTTTCGAGCTCAGGATACGACTGCGAGTCGTCTGCCTGTATTCTGTCTATCCACACACTGACAAAAAGCTTTTGCTTGGCGGTCCTCTCGTTGTCATTGACACCGATTAAAGTAGGTATGAAGATGCGAGACAGATGCAACACTCTGCCAATGTGTTCCTCGCCTTCAACGAAGTAGACATAGTTGGCACAATCACCCAACAGACTGGCTTTGGGCAGCTTGATCTCAATTTGACACGACTGAATCAAGGACGCGCCGGGAGGGGTGTCCAGAATGGCTTGATGTATGCGATGGGCCAATTCATCAAGAGTTTCCCAACTTTGAACGGGTTTCAAGGAACGAAGGTTTTTTGACAAGATGCCATAGTGCATTGTGCTTTCATCCAGGGCATCTTGGCTCGCGGCAGAGTCGAAACCGCGGTGGAAGGACAGAGAGACTGATAGGAGGACGGGCTGTTGCTTCTCGCGTCCCCACGCGTCGACACCGCTTTTGGGAGCGTACTGAAGTGAGAGATCCTCGACTCTGATGCCGTCGCGGCACCATGGTTGGCCGTACATTTTTTGTTATCGGAATCGGATGTGATAGCGTAGTACGAGGGTACAGATGGGAAGAAGTCGGGTGGAGTTGCCGTTCGCAAAGCGTGGGTTGCGTAGATGATGAAGGGCCGCGGCTCTGCTCTGCTCTTTGCCAAGCAAAACATGGAGCTCGAAATGTTTCTAGACGCTTCTGGGGAGAGAAGGAGAGAGAGTTGAAGCTGAGGATATATTCACCTGCCTGTGACAAGCTGTTTCCCACCATACACGTATTTTCACATCTCATCGATTGATTGTTTCGTTTTTTTGATACCCACTGCTTTAATCTACCACTCACACTATAATCATGGCCGACGCACTCAAGGCAGAAGGCAACAAGCTGTTTGCTGCAAAGGACTTTGAAGGCGCTGCGTAAGTTGCAAACGAGCACTCGATGGTGCCTTCCTCATGCTGACAGAGCAACAGTCAGAAGTTCGGAGAGGCCATTGAAGCCGATCCCAGTAACCACGTCCTCTACTCCAACCGTTCCGGCGCATACGCTTCATTGAAAGACTGGCAGAAGGCCCTGGACGATGCCACAAAGACGACCGAGATCAAGCCTGACTGGGCCAAGGGTTGGGGCAGAAAGGGTGCTGCCCTGCACGGCTTGGGCAACCTTGGTGAGTTAACTCCACTGCTGCTTCAACAAACCAAGGGCCAAAGACTGACAGTGCTACAGTCGACGCCACGGACGCTTTCGAAAAGGCGATAGAGCTCGACCCCAACAACGCACAAGCAAAGTCCGGTCTCGAGGCCGTCAGACGTGCCATCCAGGCTGAGGCCGATGAAGACGGCGCCGACGCTACCGGCGGACTCGGCAACATGTTCAACGACCCTCAGATGATTCAGAAGCTCGCCGCCAACCCCAAGACTGCCTCGCTGCTCGGCGATGCCGCTTTCATGCAGAAGCTGAACCAGATGAAGTCCAACCCCAGCATGATGGGTGAGGCCATGCAAGACCCTCGCTTCCTGCAGGTCATGAGCGTTCTGCTTGGTATCGACATGTCTTTCGCCGACCCTTCGTCACAGCAACAGCAGGGTGGCCAGCAGAGAGGTGAGGCCGAGGAGGACGTCCCTATGCCTGACGCCAGACCCAGCCAACCCGAACCCGCAAAGGCCCCCGAGCCCGAATCCGAGCCCGAAGACGAGGAGGCTGCTGCACAAAAGAAGGCAAAGGAGGAGGCCGACAAGGAGAAGGCCCTGGGTACCGAGAACTACAAGAAGAGACAATTCGATGCTGCTATTGAGCACTACACCAAGGCTTGGGACCTGTACAAGGACATCACCTACCTCACCAACCTTGGTGCTGCCAAGTTCGAGAAGGGTGACTACGAGGGTGCCATCGAGGCTTGCAAGAAGGCCGTCGAGCACGGTCGTGAGGTCTTTGCCGACTTCAAACTTATCGCAAAGGCCTTCGGTCGCATCGGTACCTCATACGAAAAGATGGGTGACCTGCCCAACGCCATCGACAACTACCAGAGATCACTCACTGAGCACCGCACTCCCGATGTCCTCACCAAGCTGCGCGCTGCCGAGAAGGCCAAGATCAAGGCCGAGAGAGATGCTTACCTGGACCCCGCAAAGGCCGAGGAGGCTCGTGAGCTCGGAAACCAGAAGTTCAAGGAGGCCGACTGGCCCGCTGCCGTCGAAGCCTACACAGAGATGGTCAAGCGCGCACCCGAAGACCCCCGTGGTTACTCAAACCGTGCCGCCTGCTTGATCAAGCTGCTCACCTTCCCCGCCGCTGTCGACGACTGCAACACCGCCATCGCAAAGGACGAAAACTTCATCCGTGCCTACCTCCGCAAGGCCCAAGCTCTCTTTGCCATGCGCGAGCACAGCAAGGTCATTGATGTCTGCAACGAGGCCATGGCCCACGACAAGGACGGTAAGAACCAACGCGAGATTGAGCAGCAGATGCAAAAGGCCATCCAGGCACAATACAGCGCTCGCGATGGAGAGACCGAGGAGGAGACCATGGAGCGCATCCAGCGTGATCCCGAAATTCTGTCTATCCTCCAAGACCCCGTCATGCAGTCTATTCTGCAACAAGCCAAGGGCGACCCTGCTGCTCTCCAGGAGCACATGAAGAACCCTGGCATCAAGGCCAAGGTCCAGAAGCTCATGGCTGCTGGCGTCATCCGTGTCGGTGGCCGATAGATTTAATGACTTTCTCCTTATGTTTGTCGTTTCAGCGTCTTCTACAAATTCATAGCAACACATATATTCGATGACCGTTTCATGACAATCTTTGTCCGGTTTGCAATTTAGACAATCCTTTGAAACACCCGACTGTCCGCATCTCCGCCTGGGAGTATGGTCTTCACGGACAGAACAGAAGACGTTCGTCTCTTCTTAGGGATGTCCTGCGAAAGTGGCGTTGTCACCGAGAGATAAACAGCAGCTTGATGCCGAATCAAGCACATACGGCCACAGTCAGCTGAAAACTGGGCATCCCGTCCGCTCTGCCATACATAAGCAGTTGAACGGCAGATTAGTACTACGGTGGGTGACCACGTGGGAATCCCTGCTGCTGTATGTTTTGTCTTTTGCACGAAATTCGTAAGCTTATTTTGTGAACTTGAGAAACGGATGACAATCAGGGAAATGATAATTTTGTTAAAAAGTATAGCGTTTTGACCATTGTGACTACTGCTATTGTCCAGATTACGAACTCACTAACTATCAATCGTCATGTTTCTTCATCAGCCTCGAGCTACTTTACTTGGTGATGCCAGCCTGGGTACTCTTCTGGTATCCTGGGAACATCTGGAGTTGAGCATCGTCAACGTGCTGCAACTGCGGGCAGCCCAATACACTCAAGACGCTTCCCAGAGCCTGGTTCAATAAGTTGAAGACGCTAAGCGCGACATCTGGCTTGGCCTGAGCAGCAAACTGGTAGGCGAAGCAAGCGGCATTGTTGCCCTTGAGCAAGTCTCCAGCGTTGTAAACGCCTCCAGTAAGGTTGGTGACATCAACGCCAGTGAAAGTGTTGGTCTTGCCGAGGTTTCCGCCAACGTTGAGGAACTTGGGCTATATGGCACTCGTTAGCAATTGCTCGGAAGGATAAATATCAGGAAGTTGCTCTGCCATGTCATATACGTACGTGAAGAAGTGCAGCGTTGAGGAGATCCGATGCGAAGTAAGGGATCGAGTAAGGGTATGCGAGTGCGCGTTTGTACTGAGAATCATTGTTAGCTATCATTCCAGCGTCATTCTCTTGTGGTTTGACTCACCCAGTTGTCGGGAATCTTCTCTTGGCCTTGGTGTGCCACATATGAGCCCTGATTGCCGGTAATGCCGAACCACGATTTGATTGTGTCGTAGCTCAAGTAGCCGTAGGGGGCTTCAGCTGAATGGTTGGCCATGAAACGGTAGATGAATGTGTATCTGATGAATGAATTTAGCATATGTCGATGCTTGGAGACGACTTTACTTACGCTGCGGGCTGCACTGCCACACCGGTGAACGGTCCGTTGAAGAAGTAAGGGTTGTTGGCTGTACTTGTTAGCATGTTTCGCGTACTTTGGAGTTGTTATGTTCTATTGTACTCACCGATCTGGGTGTCGAATCTCTGTGAGCGGAAGGCAGTGAGACTCTCGAGCGTCACCTGACCACCGGGCGACGCGCTGATGAGTTGCTCGAACTGCTTAGCAACAGTCTTGTAGTCATTACCAGCCTCGTACAAATCGGGACGAGTCGGCGAGGCATCACTCTCATACCTGATAGCATGATTAGACTTTGCCACAGCGCTTAAATGATGCGATGCGTTACTCACTTGTTGTGCGAGCCAGAAAGGCCATTACCTAGACCAGAGAGGGGACCACCAATACCTGGGCCTGGTGTGCCACCGATCGACCACGACAAGCCATCGCCATCAACAGCGGCACCCAAAACCGCGAGGAAGGCAGCGAGATCAGTTCCCATGCCTACAACCTCCTCGGTGGTATCGATGAATTGTTGGATGGTAGCATAGCCACTGTGCGGCAGGAAGCCATGGTTTGCGAATGCGTTCAAGCTGTACACGATGTTAATAAACGGTGAGAATGAGCATCCAAAAGTGAGCCTTACCCGGGGCAGGGACCGCGCAGATCGTTCGGTCCTGGTGCAACATATTCGTGTCCACTACCTGCACTGACGTTGACGTACTGCTCTGCAGCATTGAAGATAGGCACGGGCTCAAATATAGCCTGAGCAGCAGCGGCACCAGCCTGTCTCTCTTGGAGGATATTGTCGGCACGAGCCTGAAGTTCCGGATGGAACTTGACAGCTTCTAGGACACTGGCAGGGAAGGCTGCCGCAAGAGGCGCGAGGCCGAACAGGACTTTGAGAGTGTTGGACATGATCGACTGATGGTAGAGTAGGTCGAAATGATCTTTGAAGGAAGGAGATGGTTTCTATCAAGCGATCTGCTCCTACCTTTATATATCTTCATGTCTGGTCTTGCTGATCATAAGGCACTTCCAGCGCAGACTCGCACGCATGACGATTCGTTGATGGATCTGCACTCCTCATGGTATGAAATGAAAATGATTTGCAACGTCGACAAAAAAGCTTGAGACATCGCGAGCAGTCGCGCATAACATCGCACCTCGGCGTGGTCTGCATTGGCGCTGCGTTGAAACGTTATGGGCCAGCGGTGATGATCAGCCTGAAGATCTCGCCCGCTTGGGTAAGGCGGCTTCCGCAAGGGTGGTCATGCTCCAATGAGCATTACTCTTATTGTACCTAGGCATTTCTGAAGACCCCGCACCCCGGATTTCGATACCCCAGACGACCCGAGCCACGGACATTTTGAGGTTAGGATAGGTTTGATTGGAAGGTGTCTCGATGTGGCGGATGGTTCAACTGTCCAAAAGCAATTGCCTTGGAAGCAAGCGTGGTCATCGAAGCTTGATGCGTCGATGACACGCGGTTCCTGCCGTCTCTCAATTCGGGGGGATTTCCGCGCTTGAAAACGTTCGATTCACGGGCGCATCATAAACCACTCGCCAATGAAGGCTCTCGAAATGACCATGTCGACATTCACGCAGCGATATCCAGTGCAGGGATCGACCGATTGAAGTTAACCACGTTGGTTGGAGCTTATACTTGCACGATTGGGCCGAGGTCGATTGAGCGATCTGCGCCTGTCTTCATACACAACACACTCAAGCAGGATAGGCCAAGACAGTGATATGAATGATCCTCGTGGGTGAAGCCTTCCGTGTAGTGAAGTTCTGTTGGGTTGTGATGCCATTGACGACCACGCTGCAACCTACATCGCCACACATCAATACTCAATTGAGTTGAGTCGGAGACAGTGCATAAGTAATCAGCGGGGAAATATAGCTGCATCGATCTTGATCAAATGAGAAGTAGGGCTAGCCTCCTGGGTCGTACTAGTCAGTGGTTGATACAATGAACTGTTGGCATATGTTGGCCACACGACGGACAAGAACACCGCCCTGCAAAATCTTGCCCGCAGGCTGAAGGATCGCTCGAACGGACGATTTCAGTGCAATACCCATTGATAGTAAAAGAGGAAGCATCACGCACACGCATGTCCTGGCAGATGGAAAGCCCGCTGCCATCACAGTTTTCGCAGCGCTGTTCATGCCTAAGACTCCTGTGGAAGTGTCGCATGCCATGCCGGAAGCCACCCAGGACGCAACTATGGAGGGTTTACGCCAGAACTTTCAAACATTATGGATGACCTATTGCGCTGTTCAAGCTTGTGCTTGTCGAAGTTGCCACAGACTTTGTGTTCGACTTGAGTGTCACCGAGGAAGTTGTAGCCCCAGACCTTGTCATGCTAACGATGATCATTTCAGCGCCGGACAACGTAATGGCAATTGGTCGTCGTAGAGGGTGTGGCGGCGTCAGAAGTGAAGTTTTTCCAACGTTCTTGCTGTATGCTGTCTGGTCGTTGTATAATTTGGACTCGTTGCCACTTGCCGATGCTGACCTCGATCGCAATGCCAGCGTCGACGTCAAGCTTGACGCCTAGGTAGTACTGGTCATGCCCGTTGAGCTTGGAGTAGCCGACCGAATGTCTGATCTTGTACTCCAGAAGTTTCTATCAGCAGTGATCCATCGGGTTGTGGCTGACATGCAAGCAGAGGTTACAGAGATGTATGTGCAGACATTCTTCCTCGGGTTGTACTTGGTGTGTTTACCTGCGCTGATGAGTTGAAACACTTCAAGAGTGATGCGGTGCTTCACTCAAACTCTTCGCCTGTCAGGAGATCGTGATGATTTCTAATATGTAAGCCGATGATCGCCAGATTAGTACTGTGGTCGGGACGATCAACGAAGATATCATGCTGCTGTGTGCCTTATTGTTCTTCTTTAGTGACACTTGAGCTTTGACATGAGCTGGCCCAGAATTCGGCTGTTTGTGAGAATGATACGGTTCTACAGGTGTTTCTCGGACAGATCTCTCTGAAGGGTCGCCTTATCTCAAAGCTTGAATGCGGGCTTGGCGTTTATCTTCGGGTCCAATTCAGCCGATATATTGCCGTGTTTCTAGAGGTTTTTCTTTTGCTCTATTGTATCGCCTTTCATGCTAAGATGATGACCGAATTCTCACAGGATGCCCAGAAGTCGTGTTGCTAACAATGGTATCGATTCCAGCGACGACGCAATAATGAGGTAGCAAGAATAAATCCCCTGTTGTTCTGTATAAGGCTGAGATATAATTACTGTTCAGAACCGACAAAAAACTCCGCAATCGTGTTGCTCAACAAGCTTTTCGAGAAAGACACGCCACGTATGTTCGGGATCTTGAGCGTCGTCTCGAGCAGGCAAGTCAAAGTGAGGATGAGCGAGTGGCAAAATTGATAGCTGAAAATGTTATGCTGCGATCGTTGTTGACGCGAGCCCGTGACAACATCAACCATACCATGGCTGCTCAGAATCGCACGCTAGATGCAGTCTCGGCGGCTTTGACTGAGACCGACAAGTCGGGAAGTCACGAAGGAATGGTCACAGATAGGAGCTCTCCGCAAGACGAAGGAGCAGCTTCCGCGTCAGTAGGTATCGGGCGCGGTATAGCTTTATCAAGTGAACCCGCGGAGCAAAACTCTTCTGCTCTCGTGAGTACTTCGCAAGACGAGGCGCCCGAAGTGTACTTTCAGGACGACCTTGCGATGCTCTCGGAAGAAGCAATCGTGGCAGAGAACATCAGCATGCTAGTGCCCAATCTCACCTCAGAAGGAATCGACTGCATCCCGGCACCTGTAATGTCAAGCACTGTTACGAGCCAAGATCCAATTGCTGTGCAATTAAATTGGCCAGAGGATACTTTGGCGACCAACTTTGTCTCATCATCTTTGAATGCCCGTCCGACGCATGATCACCAATCCTGGACCCAAGAGTTCGGACAGGACGACCTGATGGCCGATCTTGAGAGGCAACGTATTTCTCCATACAACCAGTTGTCAAATATCTGGTCGCACGAATATCAGATGGGCCCACCAGTGTATCGCGAGGTGCTTGCCCGTGTTCCACAATTTGGTCATGAACTTATCATCACAAATTCTAATTTCTCTGACCATTTGGATGCCATCAAAAACTGTTTCGGTCGTCTGAGATATATGAACCAGCTTACGGTCCTAGACTATACGCGGTATGTAGAGTTTGAGCTGCTGGAGATTCAGTCAACTGATATGTACAGATTTTTCAAGTCTGTTTCAGTGACCTTGTCCTTGTTCAACAGCCTAGCAAGACCTGAAGTCCTTGGTTGGTATGCGCCGACAAAGTATTATCAACATATTGCTGGAGTTGCCATGTGGCAAATCAGACCTTGCCGAGAGACATATATCAAACTTGCTACACGATACCGGCCAACAGCTCTGCAAATGATGGAAACTTATCCAGCTGTCATCGATTGGTGCCCATTTGCCTCCGTCCGGGATCGGCTTATCACTCTCCATGCCGCCAATCCTCGTATTGACAGCATCGTTTGCGACATGGCTACATCATACGTTGTCGAAGCCGACTTGAGCGACCTCGTGCAAAGCGGCAGCCAATCAAGACGATGTTTCTTACGAGTTTGGGATATCATCCAAAGCATGGGCCGCGAGGCAGGGGATGAGAGGCGATTTCCTCATGCACAAGAATATCGGCTCCCAGCGCCCACTGCGGCTTCGCTTTTCACCAAAGAATATGCAGGACAGGTGTTTCAGAAGCTTCACATGGATGAGGGCATCGCGCTTTATAAGCTCGATCCTGCATTCTTCTTACAATACCCTGAGCTCCTTGGTGACGATCATGATATTATCGGCCAAGGCATCGCAATCCTGCCTGATGTCCAGACCACACTTCCTGGACCAAGCAGACTTGATGAGACAATGCTGACCACGTACAAACACTTTACGTCATGGTCAATCGATGTACTTTCTCAAGACTAAACTTGACAGCTAGACACATTATTGTTACAATGTTGTTTCTGAGACCGAATTCACTTACACTGCTGCGCAGCTTGGCAGAATGGACTTCGCTGTCTAATCTGAGGACCAAATGCTATGAAGAAAAACGGAACAGGAATCAGCGCCACGGCTGCGAAAGCGAGGATGCTCGTAGCCCAGCCAATACCCAGGTTGGCGTACATAACATCTTGAGCTAGAGGTAGTACTGCTCCTAAGATACTCCTTGCGCAGCTAGCTGCGGCTAGAGCACTAGCCGAGTATATACCGTACGAGTCCGTCAAATAGTTGAAGAGGGCTATGAGGACTAGGTTGAAAGCAATGCCGAAGGGTAAACCAGACATCATTGGTACGATCCAGTGAAATGACGACTTCGAAGTCCAGCCGAGCCAAAAGAGTGATGCTACAAGCAGCGCTCCACCCACGCAAGCTAGTGGGAGTCTGCGATATTCCTCCTTGGTGGCCCATCTCTTTCCCTTTTGCATCTGCTTCTCTCGAAATCGATCGTACGCCATGCATAACGGCATTGTTACGATTGTGCCTACGCCAATGGGTATGAAGGCTAAGCCTGACGTCTTGTGGTCCATGCCATAAACCGTACGGAATATGTAAGGGTATGCTGCAAAGAAAACAAAAAGAATGGCGAAAACAAGTGCGCAGTATAAGGACGAGAAAAACACAATCGCCTCTGTGGCAAACAACTCGACTGGTCTCTTGGTCGAGGTCAAAAGAATGATGCTGAGACTTCTCTCGTCCAGATCTTTATTCGATACAAGAACTCGGCACGACGTACTACATCGCGCTCTATGGGCTTGGATTTGTTCGAGGACTGGCACATAGGTTTCGGGTACGAACAACATCCCCACGAAGGCAATTGCGGCAAGGGCCGCGACCAGGACGAAAGATATACGCCAGTTGTCGTACGCCACATACCCAAATATGGTCGGACCTAAGACGGTGCCCATTGTGGTACCCTACGGTGGAAGTCAGCACGGATACTCGCTGATGCGCTCGGACTGACCATAGTATAAGCAGCTGTGGCCGTCCCTCGGGAGCCAGGGTCCGGATATATGTCTGCGTAGACACCGCCAATGACGGAAATTGGTGCAGAGCCGCCCATGCCCGCGAAGAACCTGAAGACCAGGAGAGCCGTGTAGCTTGGACTAAAGATGCAGGCCAAAGACATCACGAAGAAGAGTCCGCTTGTCGACAACAATAACTGCTTGCGTCCGAAGTGTTCACTCATTGGCGCGAATATCAAGGGTCCGATGATATAACCCGCAAGGTAGGTTGTTGAAATCAAGATTTGCTGCAGTGGCTCGGTGATTTCGAAGTGTGCCGCGATGTAGAATGACGAGCCACCTGGCAGACTAGAGGAGAGAGTGCTGTTGAACATGAGCAGCCCAACGGTCAGGGCGACATAGAGCTTTCTGGTCTGCCGTTGAGTCAGTCAGACGCATGTTTCAAGGAGCGACTTCGTCTCATTGCAGACCTTCGAGAACCGATGAGGATGTAGACGGTCTTTGTCCAGGAGAACGATTTTTCTGGCTTCACAAGAGTGAGCGGAATTGTCATGTGCTTCGAGCTCCATGACAATGGTATCTGGACTGTCCAATATTGATTCGTTCGTGGCTCCAGTCGAGTGGCAGACCTAATTCCTCAAGAAAAAGGGGTGGAACATGTTCAAAGTAATCAACTCCGCGACATCGGCATATGATCCCTTAAGATCCCAAGAACCACTCTGTTACGTGAGTGTGTACGGCACTAAGCGTTCCGAGTCCGGCCTTACGCTTTTAGACCGAGACAACTTACCAATATCTTGTTACCTAAACACGGAAAGCCATTATTCTGGCTAGATCGGACGAAAGCTCCATGCATTTTGGAAAGTCTACCCTTAACTCTGTTACTCAGTTTAACCTAGTGAAACAGGAACGACACAGAAACTGTGGACCAAACTACCAATAAACACGCAAACTCTGATCTCGCGATTTCCAGGCTCCATGTAAGCTACACAGGCGGCACCAAGACTGACCCTCTCAATGTCTGCGTAGCAGTACCACCAAGCCGCACTTCCTCGACGGCTCTTTTCCCTCTCTCGTTAATCGTGACGACTACATAAACGCTGATTTCGCTCTGTCGTCCAAATTCAACACCTTGTGTAATGCTGACGTGTAGTTCCATCTCTTTGTATTCGTGAAGAGCAAAGTATGAACCCAACGCCGCAGCTGCAGCGCCCGTGGCTGGATCCTCGAAGTTGTTTTCCATCATGCGTGTTCGCAATGCAACGTGCCTTCTTCGGTCAGGCGTGACTGAAGAAGAAAGAACAACGTAGTAGTAACGTGCCATATACGTGTTTTTCCAACCAGCATCGAGTAATTCATTGGTAACGCTAAAGGCTGAGGCTCCTGGATAGACAAGAGAGAGTTGTTCGAGAGTCTCAAGCCTTATCAGTCCAAAATTCATACCACTCACGATGCTGAAAATAGGTGCCGCAAGTTCTGCTTGCCGAACAGCAGGATCGGAATGAAGTTGAACAGTTTGAAGCTCGCTCGGGACATGGGCCGTAGTTTTGTGATGTAGATGGGTATTGTGTGGTATGCTTACGCCGACTCGGCCGGGACCATCAGTGTGAATGGCGATGGGTCCAGCTTTTGTTATGAGGGTATCCACACCAAGAGCTTGTAAATAGACGGCGGTACCGACAGCTACGTTGTATCAGTCGTGCGCGATCGGCTCGAGGCTTGGGTGACTGACTTGGGTGCCCTGCGAAGGGTAATTCGAGCGTAGGCATGAAGATATCAATCTTACGGTGACTCACATTCTGGTCACCATACAGATTTTTGTCCAGATCTTGAACAAAGACGGTTTCTGACAAGTTGAGTTCCCGCGCAATTGTTTGCTTTTGCGCTTGCGTCAGAGCAGCGTGGGTGGTCGAGGGCGGCGGCAGATGCACAATGGCAAGCGGATTGCCCTTGAATGGTGTCTCAGTGAAAACGTCCAGATAGACGAACTCAAGACACTCTGCCATGATGTGCGCGTGTGAATGTGTTGAGGTTCGAAGACGAATTGTAATCTGACTGTGTCTTTCGGGAAGCTTGCCGAAAGTGGCATTCCAGGATGTGTGACAAATCGAAGTTTAGTAAGATATTTCAAGGAGCGTCGAACTCTTTCAAGGCATCAGGTTTCCGGAGGGTATGAAATATCGACTTCTGTTCAAATTGTTCTGGGATGTGGTATTGCTATCTAAGCCTGCACGGCGGTACACTCCATCTCGACGTCGGTCCCCCAGGGCAATGTCTTGACAGCTACGCAGCTTCCACGGGGATCAGCTTCTTTTCAATGGACAGTAAACACGATTCGACTCACGTGCGGCAAGGCTTTTTGTTTGGGAAATACTCAACGTATACCTCATTCATAGCTGCAAAATCGTCCATGTTCGAAAGATAGACATTGAGCTTCACCACATTGTCCAATGAGGTTTTGGCAGCTTCGAGCACTGCCGAAAGATTTTTGAGGACTTGATGCTAGAAATGGATTAGATGAGTGCCGTGACAACGTTTAGGACTACAAATCAGCGTACTGTACGATCTTTGATGTCGCCTTGTATGATTTCGCCGTCTTTGGGATCGATGGCAATGGTGCCGGAGCAGAAGACTAGGCCGTTGACCACGATAGCCTGGCTGTATATTGCGGGAAGTGACGGTGCCCTATCGGTCACAATGACTTGTTTGCTCGACATCTCGAAGGGGTGATCGAGCATGCGACGTGACCAGAGATGGGGAAAGGATTGGTAATACACACACACATCTAGACTGCAAGATCTGTACTTATATGGAGCAGAAGCTTCCTCACTGTTGCTGACAAACGCATAGAGCAGCCAAAGAAACGTGTTCGTCGCATACATTCGTCTACATGCTCGAAATCGGGTTCTTACGTGATCGGAGGTTTGTCACGAGCCTGAAAAAATCGTTTCGATCTTCCCCACGTTCTATAACACAGGAGATCAAGCAAGCGTCCTTGGGAAACGCCCTAATTCATAAGCAGATAAACATATCGAGAGCTGTACTTTGGCAGTCACATCATTGGTGACGGTGCGAGTCAGAGATCTGGTCGCTGCACTCGCGCGCCCAGTCGATCTTACGAAGCGTGAATGTGATACGAGTAAATTAGAGCAGCATATGTTGTCTCTCAAGCCCGACCATCCGTGGTTTGTATACCTCTCGGCCCCTGTCTGAAGTCATCTCATTCTGCGTCGGGATCGTCGTAGTATGTCAATCTTGCCCTGACAGCCTCTGGAATTTCAGGATCGATGAGGCCATCCGGTATCGGTTGATCGTTCTGAACAAAGTTGTTGATCAGATCTTCTCTTTGAATATATGTTCGTAGCGCTGGCTGTATCCTTTTGCCCTGGAACATTCCCAGACGTGGGCCAATGCCCCTGCTCGTGTCTCTCTTGCTTTTCAGCTCCTGCATCATCAAGAACTCTAGGTGGCTCATGTTTCTGATCTGCACCAGCAAGGCCAAAGGGCTTTGCTGTCCTTCAGGATCATCGTCCTCCTCGGGGAAGTCAACATCTAGCTCACGCAGCACGAGCCAACGTAGACTCCCTTGTTGATCTCTCAGAAAGTGCAACAGGAACTCCATGTCCACACAGCATTTGGAAAGCGAGACTTCCCGAAGGCCAGTAGTGTAGAAACATGCATCGAGAATTGAACCACAGTCATGTAAAAAGTCATTGTCGAACCTGGCTTTGCGTTGTGAATCAATGTCTTCGGATGCATCTGCGCCCAAAGTACTAAACACAAAGCGCGGACCATGGGTATTTAGAAGCACACTCGATGCTGTGCCTGCTGATGGTATATGACTGACGAATGTCAATGACTTTCCCGGTATGATCAGTCTTTCCGGCATGAGCGAAAATCCCTGGGAGGGCGCAGCAATGCTGAGGAAGTCATCAATAGCGCCATCAAGCCTATGTGTTGAGTCTTGTTCAATTCCCCACAATGGAAATGAAACTTGGTCGCATAGATTCATCTGCATTCGAGATATTGAGTATTCTGCTTGATGGGCTGCCTGACAGATCGAGCGAAATGTTCGTCCAGCATCTGGGCGCAGAAAGCTGAAGTCACGCAGATCGCCAAAACAGATGTCGAATCCATAGCCTTTCTGCAATAGTACATCCATGCTTTCCATAGTGTCCTTCCTCTCCAACTTAGCAAGGTCGTCATGTATGCCAAGTCTGACGCTAATGCTGTGGCTATTGAGGCGCCTCAAAGCTTCGGAAAGCATAGCTACATGTTCGTTCCGATCGATGAATTGTGCCTGTGCCTTAGCACGAGCCTGTAGCTTCTCGGACAACTTGTCATGATATGGAAGATAATGTGTTCCAAAGGTTATGCTCTCGATATGTTGGCCGAGCACCGGATGATCTACCAAGTCAAGTATGCTTCGAAGGCTGTACTCGCAGAGGACGAGGGAGAGGTTACTAAGATATGCTTCAGCAAACCGCTTATTGAAGATAGTACAGAGATCTCGGCAAGTCGTGCGGAGAGCTTTCAAATCGTTGTCGTCCACGAATTCGCGGATGACATCCATCACTTCTGGTGGTATAGCCAAAAGTCGTGCCATGGTGTTCGATATCGTCAACTTCAGAATTGACCAGAATTGTGACGAATAGAATGCAAGGGGCACAACGTGAGCTCGGTCCGCCTGATTGACTCCACCCTGACGCGCCGCCGACCACCCGCCTGCCGTTCCTTGCTTCTCTCGACACAAACCTTCGTCCAGCCACTTTCTGTTCTGTCGGACGTCATGAGTCTTCTACTGGCTTTGCCTGCGGAGATATTAGATCTGGTATTGGACCACTTGGACTGTGAGAGTCTTACCTATCTGCGACTCGTTTCTAGGAAAGCATACATCTCCGCAACTGCCGTTTTTGGTCGTAAACACATAGGAACGCTCCGTCCGATCTTTACCTCAGACTGTTTGGAGGCTTTAGTCGCGATCTCAGAAAGCCCATTCTTGCGTCACTATGTGAAGGGCATCTCTTTTGCATCTTATGCCCTCAAACAGGACAGTAGTGCACTGCAAGTCGTCATTTCCCAACATTGTCATGAAGACAGAAAATGGATGATTCGCAGACACGAAGACTGCTCTCAAAGGCGAAGCAAGCTGATTGGATCTGGCCAACATATCGAGCTGATTGCACAGGCTCTGACCAACTTCATGACTGCGCGAGCTCCGCTTACTTTGGGAATATTCGACATTGAGCTCAACAACAGTGACAGAATACCTATCGATAAAGGATGGGGAGCAGACATGTTCTACGGTGACCTTTTCGAACTCGATGTTTGGCACACCGATGGCGGTAACGCTTTGAATGCGGTCGTCTTGGCCGCCAACCTCAGCAACTATCCCATGGAGTCCATCGAAATAGACGCTTGCGCGTGTATGACAGTCCCAATGGGCATGGGAGGGTCATGGACAGCCGAGACCCCTCGAGTCGATCGTATACTGACAAACATTCTTGCCGACGCCAATTATGGCAACTTGAATTCGAGTATCCATGTGAAAACCACGCCTGTTGAAGATGAACACATGACTTCACGCCTCTCCATAGAATGGCAGACCCGTCGACTCTCCTTTGAGGCCTTACAGCGCTACGGAGAGACCGAGTTCCCACGCTTCAAGGGGATCGCCGACCTGGGCTCGCTATCAACCGTACTCGGGAAAAACACGTTCCGTGAAATTGACCTGTCTCACTGTGTGGTGGAGGCATACTTTCTGTTCATCTTCCTCCAGGCTCATGCTGGAACTCTTGATCGTTTGAGATTGTTCCAAGTTGAATTCCGTCGACCCCGCCTACGTGGCCGGCTTCGCGCAGGCATGTCTCCACAGAGCTTCTTTGATTTCATGAGGAATAGGCTCATACGCTTGAACCATGTCGAGCTGGATGGTCTCGAAGCTCGTGCCGAAGGTTGGCCGACGCACATGTTTACAGAGGGACAAGTTCTGGTCGGCAGAGAGCAGATCGAGACGTTGCTCAAGCTCTAGAGATACTAGCAAGAGAAGTAACGCGGATCAGACAATGCCATGCATAGTTTGCATCTTTCACATTGGCCGATCATCCACTATCCATCGGTTTACATATACGTCAGCGATTTTCAGTCTTTTGCGTGGCTCCTGCCTGTGTGAAAGAACTAGACGCACTGATCCTACCCTCTAGGCTGGCATTTTCCTTTCTTCTGGAGAACATCACACACTCGAAATCCGATCACTCCAGGTCTCTGCCCTTTTGAGGTTTCTCCTTTCAATAGACCAGTTACTTGCACATCTCTTCTGTTCTCCACGTTTGATCTTTGTGGGAAGATGCGACGGCACAGAATCTCGCGTCATCGACAGTTTTCCCAAGGTCATTGTGATCTTGCCGAATCAAGATTGTTTCTTCCGAAGATTGCTGGGCGCTATCCCACCTGCTCATGATTACAAGCATACACATGGAATGCGTGTTGCTGATCGAGGAGTAGTGAGGTGAAGAAGGGGCAAAAGAACATGGAAAGGCAGGTCCACATCTAGCTGATACATATAGTGAGAAATCGCGGTATCAACTTGAAAGTCATGGTGTGTAGCTGCTCATCATAAGCATGAGTCCCATCCTGCATACTTCCACGCATCCGCAATACTTAGCGTAACATCTCCATCTTCCATCACACGGACTTGTGATTGACGAAGCGGCTAAGGCGATGGACTTTGCGTTCTCAAAGTCTTCCTTCCTCTTGGTTGAATCATTTCTCCTCCGAACGCTAACATGATCTTTCATCAATTGAACACGCAAATTGCAGTACCTTTAGTCTGGAGAATCTCCTTGCTAATGCTTTTGCAACCTCTACTACTCTACCAGTCATCAGTGTAGTTTATCTCCCCATGTATCATTGTTTTTGCTCACACCAAGTTTGTATATAAGATTTCGTCTTTTTGCAGGTCCCGAGTTTTCTCTCTGTCCTAAGATCATCATTCCGTAGATGTCGTCAAAGATGTCTAGTTTCGATGCGAGTAGAGCCGAGAATCAGACAGGCCTCTTTCAGAGCAAGCTATGAGGAAGGACGACCATCTTCTGCAGCATCGTCCAAAGGAAGAGCAATGTACTCCCAATTGCGCCTTCCTTGATAATACAAAAAACGGTGTGATAGCATGAGCGCGATGATCTTCGACCACGTCACATGCGAAATGCAGGTAAGAAACATATGCTACTTATGTTGAATTATGTTTGAAAAGAAGTACTCTTCACCCTTGTTCCCTTTCACGTCTCGAAGAATCCTACGAAAAGACCCCAGTCTATCATTGTGATCATCATGCACCGTTCTGCTTGATCTTCTGAGGCTCAACGTTCCAGATCATCTCAGCGTATTCCTCGATACAGCGATCAGCAGTGAAGAAACCCATGCGAGCAACTGCAAGGATGGTCTTGTGGAGCCAAGCTTCCTGGTCCTTGAAGGCCTCGTCAATGGTATCCTGAGTCTTGCAGTATGCCTCAAAGTCAGCAGAAGTCAACCAGTGGTCGTGGTTGACAACAGTGTTGGTCAGCGCCGAGAACTCATCAGAGTGACCGAACATGCCGCTGTGAATGGCATCGAAGACCTTCTGGAGACCTTCATCGATCAAGACGCCTTCGTAGGTGTGTTGATGGCGAATGTCTTCAACATCTTCGGCCAAGTTACCGAACAAGAAAATGTTGTCCTCGCCAATCTCTCTGGTGATCTCAATGTTTGCACCATCACAAGTTCCGATGATGAGACCTCCGTTGAGGACGAACTTCATGTTGGAGGTACCAGAAGCCTCGGTACCAGCAGTGGAAATGTGCTCACTAATGTCGGAAGCTGGGGCGATGATCTCACACTTCGAGACATTGTAGTCCTCAATGAAGATGACCTTCAAAGCATCACCAATCTCAGGATCGTTGTTGACCACTCTGCCAACTTCGTTGACAAGATGAATGATGCACTTGGCCATCCAGTATCCAGGAGCAGCCTTGCCACCAAAGATGGAGACTCTGGGCTGCATCTTCTTTCTCTCTTCGGGAGACATGGCCTTAAGAGCCAAATAGCGGTGAATGACACCGAAGATGTTGAGTTGCTGACGCTTGTACTCGTGGATACGCTTGACCTGAATATCGAAAAGAGCTGCTGGGTTGACAGACACTCCGGTTGTCTCCTTGATATACTTGGCAAGGCGTGTCTTGTTGGCGTACTTGATGTCTTGGAATGCCTTGCGGAACTGCTTGTCATCGGCATATGCCTCAATCTTGTGCAAGAGGGTGAGATCCTTCAAGAAGTCATAGCCACCAAGCTTGGAAGCGATGAGCTCAGACAACTTGGGGTTGGCTTGATGCAGCCAGCGGCGAGGGGTGATACCGTTGGTGACGTTAGTGAACTTGTCTTGGCCGTAGATCTTGACAAAGTCCTTGAAGATAGTGGTCTTGATCAAATCGGAGTGCAACTCTGCCACACCGTTGACCTTGTGAGAGCCAACAATGGCAAGGAAAGCCATACGGATCATCTTGGGGTTCGATTCCTCAACGATGGAGACCCGAGAAAGCATGTCGCGGTCCTTAGGGAAGGTACGCTCGACGTATTGCAGGAAGTGCAAGTTGATCTCGTAGATGATCTCCAGGTGACGGGGAAGCAAATGCTGAATCAACGGGACAGACCACTTTTCCAGAGCCTCGGCCATGACGGTGTGGTTGGTGTAGCCAAAGGTGTTGACAACAATGCTCCATGCAGTATCCCAGTCAAGACCTTCTTCATCAACCAAGATGCGCTGGAGCTCAGGGATGGCAAGTGTCGGGTGAGTATCGTTAAGCTGAATGGCAATCTGGTTGGGGAACTCCTTCCAAGCCTTCTTCGACTTCTTGAAACGGCGGACAATGTCGTGGAGCGAGGCAGCGCACCAAAAGTACTGTTGCTTGAGACGAAGCTCCTTGCCACGATCAAGGCTGGAAACGTGTCAGTACATAGGACATCGTTGAGCAGAATCAACTTACTTGTCGTTGGGGTAAAGCACAGCAGAAATGGTCTCGGCTCTCATCTGATCATGAACAGACTGCTCATACTCGCCAGAGTTGAACTTCTGGAAGTCGAACTCGCCACTGGCAGCTTTGCTAGACCACAGGCGCAGATTGTTTGTGGTAGGAGTGTTGTATCCGGGAATAGGTACGTCGTAGGCGTTGGCAGTTACTATCTCGCCATTCTCCCAGACTGATACCTGTCTTCCGTTCTCATCATTGTACTTGCGGACATGTCCGTAGAATTGGATGTCAACTGTGACATCGTGTCTGGGGAATTCCCAGGGGTTGAAGTCAAGCCAGTAGTCAGGAACTTCGACTTGGTAGCCATTGATGATCTCCTGCTTGAAGATACCATATCTGTATCTCAGACCATAGCCCCAGGCGGGGTAGTCGAGCGAGGCAAGACTGTCCAGGAAGCAAGCTGCTAGACGGCCAAGACCACCGTTACCGAGAGCTGCATCACGCTCGATGCCAATGACATCTTCCATGCGGAAACCGAGATCGGCGAGACCCTCTGCGTGGATGTGTCAACATAACATCTACGATCGACAAGTGTAAAGGACATACCTCTTGCAACATCCTTCAGACCGACGTTGAGCATGGCGTTGTCCAATGCTCTTCCCATCAGAAACTCGAGAGAGAGATCTACGTTTGTAAGTAGATGCGTGAGCGGAAGTTAAAGCGAGCTTACAGTAGACACGCTTCTGATCAGCAAAAGTATGGCTTTGCTGCGTCTTGTTCCAGTCAATGATCAGGCGGTCGCGGAACGCCAGAGCGGTTCCGCCATAGGCAGCACTGCAGACCGAATCAGCTTTATCCATCAAGGTGACGGTACTACTGACCCTTCATCGCAGTTGTATAGGGAACGAGCAAGGGTAGTCTCGATGTGACGAATTGCGGCAGCCTGACAATGCAATCAGATGTGTGTTCGACAGGTGTTTCTGGAAGCCTTTTGTACCTCAAAATCCTCCTTGTTACTGAATCCTGCAGCACTCTGTTTGGGTCAGTGGCGGCTCGGGCGATACGAGGACGATTGGGCGGGATCATACATGTTTCTTCCAGCTAAAGATTGAAGGTCAGTCGAGGGTACTGTAGGTAGATTGCTCTGTCAACGCACGCGGTCTTTTGCTCATCTGGGATCTCAGCCTCGACGCTCTTGATATCCGAAGCACCAAAGCCGGTAATTGTACGCTTGTGCTTGGGTCTTGTGATGCCAGCAGGCCCAATGGGACCCGAGAGCTCAGCAACTGGTGCCGAAGTCGACGGTCTACGCGAGCGGGAAGCGGTCGCCGTGGTAGCCATGATCGTAATGCTTTGGCGTGTGTAAAGGAGGGGCTGGTTTGAGGAAGATGAGGGGTAGCTTCCTGCAAGTCGAAGTGCTGGCTGAGAGGAGACGGTTGACAGGGGAAAGAAGGAGGAGAAGGTGGGAAGGAAGTGAAGACGTTCACGACTCTCAACGACTCCGGAGCTTTGGATCTGCTGCCGTAGGTGGCTGCTGCTGCTCTCGCTGAAGGGCGGGTAGGAAGAGCTGCAGCACTGTTGGGTTCCCCCGAGAATGGTTGCTGATGCGGGGTAGCTAGGGAACTCGCGCGTCTGGCGTGATCTAGAGCCGCTCGGAAGCTGAAGCCGAAACCTTCCCGAATCACCTCTGTTTGTTGACAGCCGTTCCACATGCACCAGTCACCTTGAGCACCCATGTGTAGTGCTTGAATGGCTCATGTTGAGCTTGGAATTACTCGAGCTAGCTTCTCGTCTGTCTCCCATAGTCTGTTGTCATGCCGAATTGTCAGTGGGTATCATTATCAAATGCCAGAAACCACGGCCTTTTTCCCGTCCGTATCCGCCATGCGCCGTAACCCTCATTTTGTCTCCATCCTCAGCCCCCGAACACCTGATCCCACATGCAATGTGTCGTGTTTGTATCCACTTCGGCCTCCAGGGCCGATGAGACAGCCTGACGAAGCCCGCTTCATCATGTGAAGTCATTTGCACAGTCTTGCTTACATTGGACTCGCAGGCAGATAGATATGCATCAAGTCACCGCCCTCCTGGATACATTTGGGCGAAGGCTCTGGCGTGACCAGACCGTGCTGCGAGATAGTTCGAAGGCCGAGAATTAATCTGAGAGATTCTTCCTCATCGACCACACACGGCGACTGAGACGACGTCTTCGTGTGCTCGACTGCTTGTAAGCCCGAAAGAGTCGTGAGTGCTGCCTCAATTGCCGCCGGTGCTGCAAGGGGATGGATTGACCACTCTAGCTTGGCAAGAACGATACGATTCATCGAGCTGATTTGCTCAGTGCTAAAGATGCCCTCGGCGATTTGTCTTGACCAGTGGAATATGCTCCTTGTGCTGTCCTCTGTGAAGGATACTGCGATACTCAGTGACGACAAGATCACCAGTGCTCGCTGACAAGAGGCGTCCGATTCTGGGCCATGGATTTGCAAAATCTTCGATTGCGACTGGGCGGAAGCAAATGTATCCGGGTTGCTGTGCCAGCAGTGGATACCAGCAACGGCTGGTCGAGACAGAATGTTGTAGGCCAACGCGACCGTCTCCATTGGTACTCGAGAGTTGTTCAAGAACCTTGAGACCATGGACCGCAGTGGTTTTATGGAGCTACAGCTGTCACATGTGGTGATGTTGCACAGCACGTCTGCTGCTACGGTGACTGTGATTTTGATCAGCTGACGTGAAGCACATTGAAGCTCATCAAACGACTCACAAGAGCATGAGATGTCGGGTCTCTGCGAATCACATCTCTCGTGTAGATTCTCCTCTCTCCACCAAGCTTCCCTCATGGCAGGCGAGGGTAATTGGGATAGAGGTGAAAGACTGTCCAGGTAGGCATCAAGATCTGGAGATGAAAGTGTGTCGCAGAAGCTGAGCGCTGGAGAAGATAGAGCCGACATTTTGAAGGGTTAAAATGCGTTGAGCAGTTCAAACGAGCATGCTCTTCAGGGTGGGTCGAAGCGATGTATATATGTCTAGAGCCGAGACCAAAGCAGAGACGGTTGTCTGAGTTGGGAATGAGGTAACGTGAGGAAACTGAAAGTCGAGAAACGGCCAGGTATCATCTACCAGAGAAGGCACGTGGAATCTTTCTTTTTCCTCCAAGTGGAGTGCCGGACTAGAGATTCAAAGACTAATAGAGGAAAGGTGCGAGACACGCAGGCCTTTGTGTGGGGATAGTGGCGTGTATTAGGATGAGAACACTTCTCAACGGCAATTGCAAAACCGTTTCAAATATGCTCAATGATGCCAAAGGGGAATAGGGACGTCTTTTTGGGCCAGAAAAAGGGAAAAGAAAAAAGTTGATGCCGCCTTCACCGACTTTCGACGTCGTGCATCATTCAATGCGTTCGTGAAGGCTCGGCCCAACTAGAGATTGCGTAGATCAGGAGGGCGCAGTGCGGGACGAGACTATGCCGGGAGAGTCATGCGTCTCTTGGCGAATTGGCATGGCATTCAGGGATAGACTGATACGAGCGAGGGATCTTTTTCTAGAAGTGATGGCATACAAGGATTGTGAAAGAGTCGCACAGGCCCTTTCGTGTCGCAATTTGTTGGTGGTCGTATCCAGTACGCTTCTCGCCAAGGCATACGCGTCTGAATAGAGTCAGGGTTCAAGCGCAACAAGGCCCGAGGCGGCCGAAAGTTTGATCTTTCCCGTGGCTGGGAACTATCGAACAGCTTCAAGAATTCTTGTCCATGGACGTTGTCCTTATCGAATGGCTGATCAGGGCAGAAGAGCCGTCCACTGCCGTCAGAGGCTTCTACGACACCGAGTTCCAGACCTGATACTGTTTTACTGGGCTGAGAATGTGGAACGTGGTAGATGAACCAAACAATTTATGAGCAAGACATGAACGAACTTGGTGCTCGGGTGGTGTTGCTCGATCGGCATTGTTGTGTCATGCGGGGAAAGCTCTTTGTCTGATCTGCAGTCAAGTAGGTAGTCCAAGAGTACTTTCTAGATGTACTTCCTCTTCGCAAAAGCATTTATGATGGAAGCTCTTTCCCTGCCCGCAGAAGTCGTGAAGCAGGATCGAAAGGCAGGCAGCATGGGAGCTTTCATCGACGAATCGTCGAGTTCCGACGAACCACGACCGCCGCTTTCCGTAGTAAACAGCCTCCGTCCGTCTCGCAGTCGCTTCCAAAACAAGTCCACATCTTCCTATCTGCACAAGATCATCTCTCATTACAGTTCTTCTTACGTGCATCTGCAACAATCACTCCACATCACATACAGCTTCTCAGTCGAACGTGGCGTCGATCGAAGCAGCATCAACACACCCTCCTGACCAACCCATCATCCTTACCACCGGTAACCACTCAAACATGTCGGCTCCCACTCAAGATCTCATCAACGAGCGTCCCAGCACCTCAGCTGGCGGCAGTAGCCCTGTCTCCGCTGCCTCGCCCGCCTCTCCCGGTGCTGCTCCCGAGTACCACTCACCTGCCTTCCATCCTCCTCACTCGCACGCCGACATCGAGCAGGAAGCCCACGAGGTCAACCCCCATCACCACGTCCGCATCACCAACAACTACGAACAGGCCTTGAGGGATCGTGCCGCTGCTACCGGTAAGCAGGAGCACAAGGACGCCATCGCTCAAGCCTACAGCAGCGGATGCGGTGCCGATGCTCCTCCTGCCACCCACCCAGGAAGACAGCAGAGCTTCAAGATGAGCGACCAGAAGAGAGCCGCCATGGAGCACATCTTCAGCGGTCACCCCAAGTCTTCTGGCTACACCACTTCCGCCAAGAAGTAGCTCCAAACTCGTACAACTGCACCTGCGACCTCTTCTTGTCTGCACACCTGGGCAGATGCCTCGTCGACGCTACAACTCGGAAAATCGGTGCTCCAGCTAAGCCAAGTGGTATCGAAGGTGGCTCTAAAGATGCATGGTCGCCGTGTCAAACGAACAAGTTCAATGGAGGAAGCTCTCCTCGATGGCCAGGATGATGATGATGATGACAACGGTTCGTCTGGCTGAGCATGACGTTTATGCTTTATGTCTTAATGCTTTATGGTTCATGCTTTGTGTTTCAATGGGAGCGCTGCTGACGACGACCTGACGACCTGGGCTGTTAACGGCGTTTTCTTCTTCGGGGACCAAAACGGGCGTTAACCCTCTAATCTGTACCAAACCTGCGTTACTTTACCACAAACCTTAATTCAAGTCGTCTCTGCCCCTGTTGATCATGCCGATCGTTCGCAACGTCTCTCGACTGCCAGGTGCCTGCCTTGTTATAGCTATAATTGTCAATTTATATGTCCTAGTCGTCATGCCTGCTTCGTAAGTCGAACTCGTCTGCAGCGTGTGAGTAAACCTAACGCAACAAGCACAACAAACGGATACTCGGCACGAAGAAGAAGCAGCATAGGTCAGAGTGCGTCTTCTTTGAATCAACAAATATCTAGGTAACTCTGACCCTCAACTCTCTATCCCTTCATCAAAAAGCTCGGGGTTCTAGGAGGAAGCAAGAAAACGACCATAGGGGATTTTGTAAGCTCGATCCCTTGTCTCCATCTTCCAAAGGCAAAAGGGAAACTGCTGCCTTGAGGACCAAGCTCCTCTTGCGCCGTTTGTGTCGTTCTGGAGCCAAGACCTTCGGATAGCTTCTTTTTCCGGCTTCCGTGTTGTTGATGTCGGTGTTGACTACGCGTCCTTTCTCGAGCAAGATTATTTGGTCGCCAATTGCTGTGCTAGAGTGGTTGTAAAAACAAGCCAGGGCAAGCAGTGTTTCCTCGCATCGATGACGGTCGTTCGAGTCGGCAAGAAGCGGCAATTGTTCGTCCAAAAAGCTGTTTGAAGACCTTGATGGTTGTCGTGGATGATGTGATGAGTATCGATATCATTCATGTCCTGCGATTGCCCAGCGGGGGGCCTTACATCAGTCTTCTGTGTTTGTTATGGTTATGCATCACTGCCGCCGAGTGTTCAAAGCCAGTAAACTCTTCATCTCGCGTTGGTTCAAGAGTTGCCAAGAGCATCAGGAGCCTTCTGCTTTGAAGGCTTCTTTTTCCTCTTGCTGATGACAACATAAGATTCCAAGCTCAACTCGGTTTCTGGCTTATCTTTCTTCGGACAGGTGGATGTGTGGGTTTTTGTGGAGGAGGAGGAAGAGGGTTTGCCATACCAGTCGACGTCACTGAGTTGCAGCTTTCTGCTTCTGGTGACGTTGCGTGAGCTTCCCGATTTATCGAGACGGGGCTGATTGTATGGGGACTGTGCATCTAGAGCTGCTGTGGAGGTAAGAGAGGAAGAGTCAGCAATCGTGGCAGACAGAGCAGCTCTAGGCTTTGCAATTTCGTTGTTGCGGGTGCAGGCGTAAGAGGATGTGATTGCAGAAGAGGGTGGGGGTGTACGAAGACTTATGCCATTGGCAATGTTGGTATTGCCATGGCTGCTTGATTTGACTGTGTTCGAAGTGTTCGCCGCCGCAGGATTGTTGGAATCCCGAGATTGCATTGAGTGGTTCAGGCCGCCTTTGCCCACAAGAACCGTGCGATTTGAGTTGGGTTGCAGAATGTAGTGGAAGGATGATTCACCATCGTTGGGCTCGTCGTCGCCGCGAAGGTCGTAGTTGAGGACCAGACTCTTGATGCGTTGTTGCTCAGCACGAGCTTGCTCTTGCTGGCTGCGCATAGCGACTGCGAAGTTTGAGTCTGAGGGCAAGTCGATAGATCGAGTCTGTGTGTGTCAGCATATGCGCCATGGGCGTGTACAAGGGACCGAACTGAAACCCTTACCTGGGGCTTGTTGCCCTTTCTGCTGAGAAGTGCAAACTTCATCGTGTTCGACGGAGGCTCGATGGGCTGGCTCGGTTCACTGTTAGGAGTAGAAGTGGCGGTAGCTGTCTTACGCATGGGCAAGGGAACGTCGAAGACGGGCTTTCGGTCAAACTTGCGAGACTCGACGCTGTCTGCCATCATCTTGGCCAGTTCTCGGTCGAACTCGGCATCTGCCTCGGGATCGCGTTGATCCTCAGGTCGGGTCACAACAATGTGCTCTTCTTCGTCTTCAGAACCTTCTTCAGGAGTCTCGCCTGCACCTTCGTCGTCGGTAGGTTCTGCAGCTTCGTCTCCCGAAGACTTGTCGTCTTCACCGTCATCGTTGTTGACATCGTCGATGCCACGAACATCTTCCTCTTCCTCTTCTTCTTGCTCCTCTTGGTGCTTGTTGGATCCGGCGTTCTGGTAGTTGTGCTTCACAGCGTCGCTAAAAACTTGTTGTGCTTCCTCAAAGGTAGTGGCGACCTTCCACTGCGGTCGCAACAAAGCGAACATGTCTTGAACCACGAACTCAACATCCATAGGCATTGGTTCCTTGGTCTGAATATAGTACTGGAAGAAGGACAAGAAAAAGTCGAGCTTCTTCTTGACAGCACCCTTGTCGAAGTACATGCCGCAAGTCTCGAGGAGACTAGCCACGAGTCTGATGCGGAAGTAGTCATCAGGCAAGTCAAGGATGTTGTAGGAGCCAGGACGAGCAAAGCCGCCAGGATGGCCGTGGTTGACGATGTGGTAGAGTGTGTCAAAGACGAGTGCTGAATCTACCATACGGTAGACGTAAAGCTCACCTAGATATTTGACTTCGGCGATGCGCTTCTGATTCTGTTTGAAATCGTTGGACTCGAGTCCAGCTGTCATCTGCTCGAGTATGTCGTCGAGCACAGAAACTGTGAAGCTTTGGTGATAACGATGCAACGCTCCCAGAATCACAGCTAACAGATGAATGTTGCTGTACTTGATTTTTCCAGGCTTGGTAAAGATCTTGCGGAGGAGCTCCGGAACCTCGGGCTCCTCCCAGTGCAACTTGCGGATCTGCTTGATCACCTTTTCGAGGGAGCGCTTCGAAAGGTCTAGGTAGATGAGCTTGCGGACGTACAATTCAAGCGGAGTACGCTCCTTCTGCTGGATGGCTGCTCGTTCTGGTGGGTTGACGTAGTACATGGCATTCTCGATCAGCATGCGCTCTTGCTGTCCAAGATGCTGGGCGCCCTTCTTACGCTGCAGGGTCTCCAGGAAAGAGGCCATTCTGGGCGACGTGTCTGGATTGCGAAGCAGATAACGACCGCAGTTCTCGAGAAGATTCGAGATGATCTCAATGTTCATGCGGGAAAAGTCATCCAGACTGACCTTCAGGCAATGGAAGATGACATGCTCGGGGACAACGCCAAACTTAGTAAGCTCAGCGATGTACCGGATGTTGATCATACGTACTTGTCCAAGGAAGTCTTTTGATTTGCGACGTTGCAGGCTTCTGAACTCTTCGTCAAGGTAGGCGATCAATGCTTGGGGAACATCGATCAAATGCTTTCCAAGGGTAGCTACCAACCGTGAATACAGAGGCAAAAGATCGGTTCTGCCTTTTGGAATGTCCTGAATGGCTCTTACCAAGCGGTTTCGAGAAGCTTTAGAATTCAAGAAGCAAAAGTCAATGGCAAATTGATCAACTTGATCTTTGTTGGTCAGATCGACAAGTTGCGCAAGCAATGCATCGACTTGTGCGCCAACGGTCTTGTTGGCAATGGCGGTCGACTGGTCTTCGCCTTCTGCTGTCTTGGGTTCTGCAGCTTCAGGCTTGTCCTTCGCTTCAGCTGCTTCGTCGACTCTCTTGCCGACCTGATCGTCACCGTCAGACTTCTTCTTCTTGCCATCTTCAAGCAAGATGCCTGGAACTCTGTCCTTGAGATCAACCAGGTTCTCGTAAAAGCGCCGCTCTTCTTCGTCCTCCCATATGCCGGCGCCTTCTCCTTGGCCACGCAGGTACTCGCCTGTCTTGACCAAGCCGATACCACCGTCTCCGCCAGCGTTGTTTGACTCTTTCTCAGACAAATCCGGCATGTCATCACCAAGCGCATCCGCCAGGACCTGGGCATTAGAGACAAGTTTCTCGTGAGATTTTGTCTGCTTCTCAAAGTTTGTTTGGCGGTCTTCAAAGACTTCTCCAGACTTGACGTATGCTTCTGCATTGCGGCGTCCTTGGGCAGTCAGATGCTTCTGGTCGCGAACGATGTGTGCCTTGACGTCTTGGAAGTAGCGGCTGAGGATGTTTCTGAAGCGCTGTTGCATGTCGGGAGCGCACATTGGGGGATCGGTACCGTTCGCATCGGCGTCAGCGTCCTCTGCAGCGTTGGCAGTAGCAGTTGATCCGTCCTCGGCAACAGTCTTGCGACCATCTTGTGCAGGCTTGGAAGCCAGAATGTCCCAGGCAAAGCTCTTGACGAAGATGACGACCAGCGGCAGATTGACGTGCTCGCGGTCGTGGCCCAACATGTCTTTGAGCACTTCTAGGGGGAAAGGTTCCGGGTCCGCAGAGTCAGGTCGTGTAGTTTTGGCCTTGGGCACAGTGTCCACGGGCTTGCCCGACTCTTTCAGCTTGTTCGCCTCCTCGGGTCGAGCAATGTCTTCCAAACTACGCAAGACACCGATGAGCCATAGCTCAGTGGCCACACGAAGGAGTATGCGCTGTCTCGAGATTCGGTCCTTCTCTTCCCTTTCACGCACGTCTTGGGGCAGAGCCTTCAGCTGGGCTCTATCAGGTGTAGCCAGGCCACGGCCAATGAACCAGCCGAGCATCTTGGTGAACTCATCGGGACCGAAGCGTTGATGGAGGGCGGAGACGATCTCGACGCCAGCAGCGATTTCTCCAGGGGTCTTGAGTTTGGTGAGGCCCTCGAAGCAGGCGGAGATGATCTCGGATAGGTATTTGTGCAGCGATAGGGTGCAGATGTCTTGTAGGAAGACGCTCTGGCCGGCAGCGTTGATGGCGGTCCGGAGACGTTTGATGAAGGCCGTGTTCTTCTTCATGGACGAGTCGAGTGAGCCCTGGACGAGAAAGACGTTTGCTTCACCAGCCCATGCTCGCTGGTTGAGGTCGCGCAGGTCGCCTGTAAATGTGCATCAGCGTGTATACTTCCCTGTCGTGCTCCACGATCAGCCTACGCTTCCTCTGTCTGTCCATCGCGTCACTGTTCTTCAGCGATGGGGCGCAATAACAATCGGAACTGGTAGAGTGATATAACGAAAGTCCAGCATCTGGCTATCACTCGTCGTGTTGGCTGCGTGTGTCAAATCGCGAATTGCTCCTGCGATGATGCGCCATACTTCCTGGGCGCGGGGCCGCCGTGAACGTTCCCATCGCGTCCAACTTTATGCCTCGCCAGATAAGATTAGATCTCACCATCCACCACATGTCAACCACCTGCTTGTTCATTACAAGACTCTTACTCAGCATTCGTATCAAAGATATTCGCCTTGCCGGGCATTTGAATGACAATCGGCGCGCCACATATTTGGTACCTGGCCGCCTCCTCTCCCGTCAAATGACCACACTCTGTAGAGCCCTCGAAGCGACGCTGTCCTCCAAAGCTACCGATCTGGTCCACATCAGGGCTGTCGATAGGCACAGTGTTCTCTTTGGATCGGTACTAGTAGATACAGAGGTGGATAGCATATCTACGGATTGGAAGCCTCATGATATCGAATGTCGTGTCGCAAGGATAATAAAAAGCCACACCCATCCAGAACGCCATGCTAGAGTTTCTACCTGGGGCACCATGTTTTTGCCTGAAAACGCCCGCTTCCCATATGTCATGCCATGCTTCGTTCAAGCCAGGTAACCTAGCTCGTCGCCTTCCAAACGCTCGAGGTACTCCTTCTCCAGGAGAATGTCGATGCACTTCTTGATGTCCGGCACCTTAGGCACGAATCTGTTCTTGATTTGCGAGATGACCTCGGCAACCAGCTGAGTGTGCTTCATTGTCTTGCGAGACTTCATGATGCGAACAATGGCAGACTGCACGCTCGTTAGCATAGTACATATACAGAAGACGGGTTGCAGTTCAGAACAAAACTTACCTGCATGAGCATCTTTCTGTCCTCCTCGATCGTCTTGTGCGTCTCCTCGACTTCTTGCTTCTGCTCCGACTTGATGGCAATGTTGAGGTTCACCTTCAGCTTCTTGTTCTTGAAGCCATGGTTCAACGTGTAGGTAGTACCACTTGCTTGACCGGCACCATCGGGCTTGGCTGTGAGCACTCTTGCCTTGAGCATGATGGCAATCGAGGGATCGAGCGTGTCCTTGCTCAGCTTGGTAGCTTCAGAGATCTCGTCATAGCTGACTGTCTCGCTGTCGTTGAAGAGGAGCAAGATTGCCATCTGATAAGTTGACACTTGGAAAGTGTAGGGGACCTTGTTCATCTTGACGTAGTTTGCTCTGATCTCACCCTTGCAGAGATGCCACAGCCATGTCAGCTTGCGGCCACCGTGCTTCTTGAGGTAGTAGTTTTGGAAACGCTCGTACGTGCGCGCAATGTCCTGTGGCGGCGTGAAGGGCGTGTTTGATGGCTGCAGCGGCCAGAAACCCGTACCAAGAATATTGTAGTAAGAGTCGATGATGGTCTTACGGTCAGCCTCCTCGAGGTTCTCTTTGCACCAGTCCTCGTATGATGCATTGAGATCCTTGGATGTCTGCATGTCCTGGAACATTCGCTGCAGCTTGTTGGTGTACTCGAAACCACTTGCGTCTTTCAGCTTGGAAATCATGCTCGTCTCAGCGTCGCCGGAGGCAGATGTTCCTTGGACTAGACGCTTGGCCAGTGTCTTGGAGTAGAACTTGTTGAACACGTCCTTGTCCTCAATGTACTTGAAGACAGTCATGACTTGGTTAAGCTGTTGCTCCATGTCATCTTCCTCAGTGCTCTTGGTTGACTTCTTCAGCAAAGTATCGGCGTGCTTGGATAGAAGCTCAGGAGAACGTGTTGAGCCGTTCTTGCAGATGGCGTTGCGGTTGACGTAGTTGCGGCAAGCATTGTCGAGACTGCGAACAAACTCAGACTCGCCATTGAATGCGGTCTGGACAAGGTCCGAGTATTTGGTGTGAACCTCCAGCAGGGCGTCAACGTAAGTCTTGGGGTCAACCGAGTTCTCGGCAGCAGAGGCAACCTTGTCGACAGCAGCGTTACCAGCTCGGAGAACATGGGCCTCGAACTTGCTGCGCAGAGGGTCCAGGCCGTCCTGAATACGAGCAAGTAGCTTGTACATGCGCGTCATGTCTTCGACTCTATCGTTGTCAAGAAGAACCTGGAACTCGTCGCGCAGGATGGCACAATGATCAGTGATCAGAGCCTTCTCGCAAGTCTTCATCAAGGGAGCCATGATCTCGTTGAGAAGATAGAGAGGAACACGTTCCCTCTCTTCTTCGAGACGCTGCTCGGCCTTCTTCATGTATTCGACAACGGTGTTTTCTGCGAGGAACTGGCGGGACTCTTGGGCGTAGTACTTTTCGGTGGCCTCGAGGTAGGGCTTCTCAAAGTAGACGCGGTAGACATCGAGGGTAGACTTTGTGCTGTCCTGCTCGTCGATGCCCAATGATACGAACGAGTCGACGACACTCTTGATCTGACTTTGCTCGATCGTCTCTCCGTTGCGTTGCTTCTCGACAAGGTGCAAAACGGCATCCATAACGGCATTTTGGGTGGTACCGAACATGTCCTCCTTCCATCTGACCAGGTGCAATGTGTAAATATCATATATGTCCTTCTTGCCCTCGTCAATCTCACGCTTGACCCAATGTCTGTTGAGGTAGCGGAACAAGTGGTTGTTGTAGGTGCCGGCGGTGGTGTAACGGTTCCACTCCTTGATGTAGAAGGTCAAGAGAGCCTCGTCAGAATGCTTGATCATCTCAGCGTGGACGCTGGCGAGGTGTGATTTGAGGTAATCATTTAGGCGCTTGTAGAGATCTTCTCCGAGAAGATGTGCTGTAGACAAAAGATTAGCATGCTGCAGCGTGTGGTTGCAGGACTGAATAGAGGACTAACCTCCACGATGTGTGGCGTTGAGGTTTGTTGATTGACCGACGGCCTTCTGAGCGGTGCAGAAGTTGTGGATGGCTGTGTACAGGCTCATGTATGTCTTGAGATCGATGCCGTCGCGCAGGTGGTTCATAATCTTCTCGACGCCTATGGCGAGGAAATCCCATGTGCCTTGGATATCATCCTTGCCTGGTAGCTGTGGCATAGCAGTCACGTTCTTAGCCATGTTTGAGAACAAGCACGCGGGCGGTTGTCGAATAAGCCTGTTGTGCTAGGAGGAAGGCGGCGAAGGATAGAAGAGATTATGAAGCCAGTACGCGAATGAGAGGTCGACAATACCAGACGTGTTGTTGATTGTGATATATGATGGAGGGGTTGACGTGAATGCGGAATTGCAAGAGCTCACTTGACTGCTCTTGCCTATGTCATTTACCATGAGCGCGCTGAGGCAACTGCCCTCCGGCAACTTCCGTTTTGTGGGGGAAGCGCTAGTAGCGGCTGCCTGACGTGTCTGACCGTGTTTCACTTCCAGGCAGTTTCACTCCCATCAAAATATTGAGCTGTCAAAAATCACTGTCATTTTCGAAACAATGGAGCCGACCGTGGGAGTCGCTGATTCTCGCGCTCTCTCCCAAGAGTGCTCCTATCTAAAAATTACTGTGCATTGCTGCAGCTGACATTGTCCCCATCGTTGTAGGTGGAGAGCCGCGGTTTTTACGCCCTTACTTTGCGTTCATATTCCTCCCCAGACGGCCACTGGTCGTAATATCGCGCTATAGAAAGGCACAGTTATTTCCCAATAATTCAGCTGACGTTGAGAGTCGCCAATTCCCGCGCTCTCTTCTAAGTGGTCCTCGGTGTCAGAAAACACTATGCATCACCACAGCTGGCATCGTTCTCTGCTCTGTAAGTGGAGAGCTGCGATCTCATGCTTTCAGTTGTCAACTCCACATACGCCGCTCTCTACCTATGAGGTTCAAGCTGTAGAAAGGCACAGTATTGTTTAGATTACCGGCCTAACCGCTGAGAGTGTTCGATCGGCCTTGCTCCTCTGACGGCTACTTTGGTCAAGAAAGCACTCTGCATTACTACAGCTCGGATTGCCCTCTACATTGTCGCTGGGAGAGAGGTGTAGAAAGACAGTAATTCTGCAGCTCCCGACACAAGAGGCCTGGAGAGACATCAACTCATGCACTCTCCCCGAGAGGTGGTTCGGCCGAAAATTACTGTGCTTTACTGCAGCTGAAATTGGCATCTGCTCTGCGACTAGAAGGATGTAATTTCGATCCGCCGTCTCACTTGTCTTTCATACTCCTCTCCTGGTGGTCATCATGCGACGTATTGAGCTGTGAAAAGGCACAGGCTTTTTCGAGATTCGACTTATGTTTCAGAGAGCCGTCAGTCTTTGCGCTCTCCACAGAGGTGTGGTCCACTCTGGAGAGTACTGTGCATTAGTGCGGCCAATGTTTTTGCTCACCCCGTGGGCGAACGGGGAGTCGCTATGTTTGACGTTATTACACCTTCCCTACCGGCCTCTGATCATCGGGACGAAGTGTTCTTACCTGGAATGTACTGTGTATCGCTACAACAGAGTTCGTCCTTCGCACTGCTAGCGATGAAAGCGTAGGAGTCTCATTCACCTCGAAGCTCTCATCAGTTCCGCAACCGAGCTGAAGCAAGACACGGTATTCTATCGGAGCCCCACTCGGAGAACGAAGAGCCATCGGTTCATGGCTCCCTCTGAGAGGTAGCTTGGCCTTGGAAAGTACTGTGCATCGCTATAGCTGACATTGTTCTCTGCTTTGCAATTGGAGGGTCACATTATTCACACTCTTGCCTGATCGACCTCCGCTGTTCCACCGACATTCGTTTTGGAGGTATTGAGCTGTAGAACGACGGCACGGTATGTTGAGAACACTGTTATGATCTACCAATAGTAACAGCGCTATCAGCGAAAACAGTCTCTACGACAAAGACCTCAAGAAAACCACGAAGCAACAAGACCGCAGCATCCTCTTACCCCAACCTACACATCCACAGCAGGTCCACCCACCCCATACACCGGATCCACCCCAAACCACCCCAGCCCCCCGATCCCCTTGACCTTCCCCTCCTCTCCCCTTTTCCCATAACACATGTCCCAACTCTTTCCCTTCGGATAACTCCCCACCATCTCAAAGCCTCCCTCCAAATCCTCCAGTAGTCTATGTGCAACTCCCGCAGGTACGATGATGACATCCCCTTGTTTTACAGTTTCTTTGACGCAAGAGGGATTGTCTTCGTGCCCAAAACAGAGGGATGCTGAGCCAGAGGATATGCACAGGACTTCGTGAGATGTGGTGTGGAAGTGGGATGTCGAGTACATCTAACTTATTGTTAGCATCTCCATCTCTATCTCTACCTCATAGCAAAAGGCTTCTTACAGTATACCGCCAAGCGGGCTCCACAACCCCTAACCCCCTCAAGTGCTCTTCAATCTGACCAGCACTTGTATTCGCTATAAACACATTTCTGTATAGAAGCAAAGGCTTCTTTTGTATTGATGTATTTGGCGTCAAGCCATGGGCTGGGATTTGATGTTTGGAGATTTTGACCTCTTTGAGTGGAGTAAGGATGTTTGATGTTGCCATGATTGTTCGTATCAGTCTTTGAATTGTCGGTTTCATTGACAGTGGCTTTGTTCCAAGTAGGTGAGTGTTTGCATGCTTCTCATCTGGTCAGAATAGTCGTCGACGGCATTTGGTATGATGGCTCTGACGTCACTATTCGCTATCTTATCGTTCGTGTGGGGAAGCGCATGAGGCTCAAGCTGTCATGCAAATGTCACAAGACATCGTTGGCACTGTCAAAGTCAGGTAGGTGAGGAAGACAAGAATTCAGTCGAGATTGCGTATGAATATAAAAAGGAATTCCACCTGTCCCCATTTCTCCACTTGTGTAAAGCACTGGGTTCCTGCCCAAAAATCCCATCACACTTTCGTTTGTCCTGCCAGCCTGCCCTTTTTTTTGAAAAGGGGGGAATATACAAACATCCAAATGAGAAAGAAAACGCCAATCCACCTGAGCAAATCAATATCGCTAGGAACTCCATGAAGGGGAAATAATGTCAATGAAGGAAATAGATCGTGATTGGTCTGGTTTGGCTAATCGTCATTGTGGTTTCGAGACTCGCTTGCTCGCACGTCTCCAACAGCGGCTTCGTAAGAAGGAATTGGCGGGTCATGCGGTAACAAGTGTGAGCGTTCCGAATGCATGCTCGCCCGCGGTGTAGAGAATTGATTGTCCTCGTCAGGGCTCTCATATTCGGGTGGTGGAGCATCTGCGTGTGGTGGCATGGTCAGGTCTTCGTCTTCTGAAACGTGACCAGCTGCATTATAGCTTGTGCCTTCTCCTATATCTTCCCGTGACTCGGTGAGACTGAGTTGTGCAAGTGAAATCTCAGTGGGCGATCGTCGGGGTCCTGGGCTGGTCGCTGGCCTTCCGAGGCGGACAGTAGCACTGTGTGTGCGGCCGTGGATATATGCTTGGCCTTCGCGAACACCTTCTCTGCCGCCTTCCAGGAGGATGCTGCCTTGTTCGCTGCCATATGGAGGTGGTGGAGCAAGACTGCCAGTCATAGGAGCAAGGCCCCATTTCTTGACATTTGCTTCGATAAAGACAAAGCCCATTTGGCCGAAGTTGACTTGGATGTTGCAAGGTCCGTTTGCTCCGACAGTGGGGAAGAGGTTTTGCGACTTGAGACCATGGGCAACATCTTCTAGCTTCTTGCCGTTGCGAGTGAAGAAGACGGTTCCTGTGCGAGGTCTGTAGCCGACTCCGACAACATCTCCTTGTTCGTACGACGGTGCGTAGTTTGTGCCGGAGAAGGGCTGGTTGTACCTCCGTTGGCCGGAAGAGGTATAGGCGATCGAGTATTTGTGCATGCCTGTACGAGTTAGCTGTTTGCTTTGACATGGAGAGCTTGTCGCAACATACCAGGGAGACGGAACAGAGGGTAGGGTTTTGTGGTCATGCCAATGCTGATCATGGTGCTGTCGGGTTTGTCGAAGATCTTTGCTTCCCAGTAATAGACCTCGTTTTGTTTGGGCACGGGAAGGTTGCTCTGGACGCTGCACTCGGCATCAAAGAACTCAATCTCGGTACGGCCCTCGACAAAGCAGTTTGCAATTTCGAGCTCTGGCTCAAACTCCCATGCTTGTACACCCTTCTCTTGTATTGCGAGGAACTGCGAAAGTGAAATGTCCGTCTGGATCGACTCGGGAGGGTTGGCTGTGACGAAAGCTGGGGCATGGCGTGTCAGCAAGGATTGTATGGGAAGAAGCACACGTCTTGGTAGAATTACCCTTTGCGCGGAGGTACTCGGCACGCTGCAGGTCGTCCATGTCGGCCAGAGCATCCTCCTCTTCTCGTAAGAAGGCTTGCTCATCATCATATTCTCCAGGTCTGCCAATGCTGTCCAGGAAGATGCGACCACGATTGGTGTAGCGGAAGAAGTAGATGCAGGCCAGGATGATGGCGACGAAAGCGGCCGAGCCAAAGGCGGACAGCATGCCGATGAGGATGCCCTTGCCCGTCGAGCTCAAGCCCATGGTTGTTGTGTGTACGCTCTCGGAGTTCCAGGAGATGGTGCCATAGTGGGAGCCGACGGTCCATGGTTTGCCGTTGACAATGATGGTGGGTGTGGACACGGGTTGGACATAGGAAGTTGACATTGTTCGCGGCAGAGGCGGACTGTTGGCCATGTTGTGGAGAGACTATCGCCGCACTCGCACCGTGGCGATGGGCCTTGGTTGATGTTTGTCGAGTTGCTCCTTGCGAGGGAGTTGCGGCCTTTGTGATACGGCTGCTGTCGAGACGCGGGAGGCGGCGGCGGGGAAACGGGTCGACGTTAGAGCCTCAGGTGATGGCCGAGGGGGGGGGAAAGAGCAATATCTCGCTGTAAACAATCTCGCTATTGTAAGATCCGGTGTCGCATGCACGTTAGCAGCAAGTGCTGTGTTGAGAAATCAAGAAGTTTGTCCGTTTCCACCCTAGGCACGCGGATGATGTCGAGCATTCGTCGCTGCTGCACTTGGCACTCCTCGATCCTCCAGCTTTCTTGCCGCGCGCCGCTGATCTAGAACTTTGTATGAGCTTTACACGCACAATCGAAACCTTCTCTCCTTTCCACTCCCTTGTCTGTCAATCAGCTGCCGTACTTTGTCTTGCGACGCCGTCAAAGGGGCCTCTTTGTCTTGTTCGCCAAAGTGACCGGCCTCCCTAAGGCCGTCTTCCATAACCACATTTCCAACCCAAGGCCGCCCGCTTCCGGCGTTGGTCCATCCTTCTGAGTCAAGCTTGGAGCTTCGCCTCGATGGCCAAATTCGCTACAACTCTTCGAAAATAGCCCTCATCGCAACTCGAATCTCTAGCTTCTAGGAGCGCGCCTTATATGGAAATAAAGATGAATGTCCCAATGTTGTTTGTGACGTTGGTCAGATACCTGTTGCATTGCTTACTATCATTGTCAGCTGTTATCCTATCGATAGGATTGCAACGGTTCAGCTTCTGTGACATGTGCTTTGCTCGGTGAGCATTTCCAATAACAACCCAAGTGATCACTTTTGAGAGCCTGGAAGCCTTGTAGTAAATGCCTACAATGACCATGAAATATCAAGCTGTACAGGTCTCACACCGACTTGCATAAAAGCAGAAACCCGGCCTGACAAGTGTTTACGATTGAGGAAGCCGAGAGTGGGTGTAAAGTTGTCTGATCAAAAAGGCCGACCTATATAACTATCTAAAAAGTTGAAGAAAAAAAGGCTCGTTGCTCAAAGCATCACCATCCATCCCTCATGAGTCCATTGCCTCCAATTGGCTTGACCACGAGAGAGTTACAGAAACGACATCAGCCATCCAGGCTATGTTGAGTATGTAGCGGAAGTGGCAAGAAGAAGAAGCAAAACGAGGGATAGAAGGGGGCTGCCGGCTAACCCGTGCAGATGCTACGCTTCGCTAAGTACGCTCAAAATCATAAGGAAAAAGTACCACTTTTGTGTGCTTTCGTGTCATACTGCCGTCATCCATGCGTTGCTATAGTATATATAAGACATCGTTTCCGGTATTTGGTATGGCCGTCGAGTGGGTGAGGGGAAAGGAAAAAGACGTCGGCCATGCCATGTGTGTATGACTGCCGGATATGTCATGGTCATTTACAGGCTGTAGTTTTGTCTGAGCTCGTACTGTTGCTCTTGAGGAAGGTGGCTGATAAAACCATCAAAGTCGGGGATCATGTTCTTGTATGCCATGAGAGCCTGAGTGAGCTTGTTAGTGGCATGATCTAAAAATCAACAAAAGAAAATCACTTACCTTGTGGAATCCTTCGAACGGTCTCTCGGTCTGAGATACAGGGACCTTGCGCGAGTCGGCTGGCACACTTGCAATAGCCGAGAAGAAAGCAAGCAGACATTGCTCGAGTGCCTGAGGGTTGTCCAGCACAATCTGAACGAAGCCTCTAAATGCGTCCAGCTTCTCATCAGTCCACTCGACAGACTGCATGACAGTCAGGAAGGTAGGTGCGAATTGCGCAAGATGAGGAGCAATCCTCTGGTCGTTACCCAGACCCATGCGGCCTAGTGCAATTGCTGCGTTCTGGTTCAACGACTCAGGCACCTGCTGACTGAACAAGATCATGCCAAGTTTCTGCAAAAGATCCTCAACGTAGGGGTCCATGCCGGCTTGGTGACGCATCGAGATCTCTCCAACGGACCAGCAGGCATTGTTTATCACTCTGAATGCAGTCTCCTTGAGCATTGGATCAGTGTCGCGGAGTGCCTCACTCAGGTCAAGCTGCATGGTGAGGATACGCATGATGGAATCAAGGTAAGGCTGCATTTGAGCAAAGACGTAGATGGCACAGTCACCAAGCAGGGCGTACGCGGATTGCTTGACATCGTTGTTGCTGTCTCTCATGCAGTATGCCAGTAACTCAAAGAAGTTGGGGTTGGCAGTCGCGATAAGCTCACTAGCTCTATCTCCATCAAGTGCCTGGATGATGGCACTGAGAAGATCCAAGCTGGTGACAAGGAAGTCCTTGTCAGGCGTGTCCATGTAAACTTGGGACGCTGCAAGGTTACCCTCCTCGAGGTTGTCCTGTATGATCTTGATGCATCGTGAGAAGAAGGGCTTTGCGTAAGGAGCGAAGGCTTCGCCCAGGGCGGTGGCGATGTAAGCCAGGCACTCCAACAACGGGAACATCTCCCGAGACTTGTCTGAAACTGTGGTCCAGCGCTGGATGAGAGCGGGCATGAGTAGATCGACAATGGCAGGCTGCGCCATGTCGGGGCCAACGTGCTCTGCCAAAGTTTGAACACAATCATACAAGATGTACATGTTCTTGTCCTTGTACTTAGCGAAACATCTGACAAACTGCTGCGCAATGATGACGCAGTAGGGTGTGATCTCCCGGGTTGCTTGATCTTCAAGATTGGCGAAAGCGGAAGCCGCTGCCTCCTGGACTCGCTTGTTGTTGTCCAACATGCGGAACAGAATACCCTCCATCATGGGCTCGAAGAACTGTTGCTTGCCAGCCGCGTCCAAGTGAGAGGCCCAGGACGAGTAGCGGCCAAGTGCCCAACAGGTGATTTGTCTCACAACGGGTTGCGTGTCTGTAAGTAAAGAGATCAAGAAGGGAACGAGGTCAGGAAGACTTGGTTGAACGGTTTCCATGCAGCCAACAGAGATGGCACCCAATGCGAGGACAGCAGCTTCTCTGTTGGGCCATTCTGCGTGGTTCAAGTTGTTCTTGAGGTATGGCAAAGTGAATTCGAAGACACGCTCGTGGAAACGAGTAGCAAAGGTGTCCAGGGCAGCGGCTGAACACTTTCGGAGATTCCACATTTCCTCGGGGTCCTCGCCATAGTCGTCGTCTTCTTCAAGTTCGCCGTCGCTGAGTTCGTCGTCATAAGCGTAGCCGTTTCCATTGGCGAAGTCTTCAGGCTTCACGGCAATGCCCTTCTCCTTGGCACTGGCAAACTGTGGCTTGATGTCTTCCTCCTTGTCTTCCTTTTCGGCGTCTTCTTCTGCCTCTGCTTCCAATTTTGCCTGATCGTCTTGGCTGTAGATCATACTCTCCAGCAGGACCGGAACGATCTTATCGAGATGCTGAGCAAACTCATCTTGTAGCTCCTCAACCTCACAGTTCTCAAAGAAGAACTCGGCAGCATCCAGAGCTAGGTCAGACTCTGGATCGCCCTTTTGTTGTACCAGAACGTAATCGATAATACCGCTTACGTGCGGCAACACCAGTGCCGGAACGTTGCTGGCCAGTTTCGTAAAGGAGCGGCAGATGAACCTTCTCACTTCCTCATCTTGATCGTTCTGAGCCAGGGCAAAGAGTTGGGCAAGGAACTTCTCGACGTTGTCTTGCATAGCTTGCGGCATGGGGTCATCGATAAAGAAGTTCAGTGTGCCGAGTGCTTTTGAGCGGACTTCTGATGTCGGGCTAGTGGTGAACTCGATGAGTTTCGGGATCAAGAAGTCCAGAGGGCGTTGACCGTCGTATACTTTGTTGAGAGCCTTCTTGTGGTCTTCGCAGATCTTGAGCAATGCGCTCATGGCTCCGTCCTGAATGTGTGATGCGATGTTGCCGTTGCGATTCTCGATCAAGGAGATGAGTTCAGCCAGCACCTGAGGCCAGCCCAGGATACCACCTTGACGCACGATTTCGGTGACGACGTTGCCCGCATAGCTTCGGATACGCTTGTCCTGATCTTGCAGACCTTGGAGGATGGTTGAGCGGAGGTAGTCCTTGTTTGGTTCGGCCATGGTCTTGTACGACGTTTTGACATTGTTTTTGAGCATGACAGCAGCGGCACTTCTGGCGATGAAGTAGTCATCGTTTGACAAGGCGACAGGGACTTCGGGACTGATACACAAGTAGGCGAGATAGTTGTTGATGTCGGGGTTGGCGCCAGCATTCTTGAGTGCCTGAACAGAGTTGGTCAGTGGTGCAACATGGCATTGACGACGAGTCGAAGCTAACCAGCTCGGCATTCTTCTGCGCAGTCTTGTCACGAGGATTCAGCGACTCCTTGAGGAACTGCGCCAGCTGGCCCAGAGGCTCAGGCTGTGGACTCCAGGACATGATGTCGGATGTGGAGATTGGCGACACTACCAAGACAGATCAAATCGCTTCAGAATTACCAGGTCAGCAAGCGCGTCAGAATGAGGACTTGTCAAGGCCTCGAGCATACCTGGGAAATGGAAGGAGGGAAAAAAGTCGTGTAACTAACAAAGTTCCCGTGTGGAGAGAGGATGCAGAAGCAAGAAGGCAAGCCGCAAGCGACGGCGGATCAACGCAGCAGCTTCGGCACAACGAGAGCTATTCGCGTAGCTAGCTATTCAAGTAATTGCGACAATACCAACGACTGGTGATTGCAGTTTATTGTCAAGTTCACAGGTGAAGCTTGAGCGCCGACAAGATCTGTTCTGTCCTTAGCCCTCTGAAAATCAGTTCGCATGCACAGGCCGCGCCCCGCCATTGGAACTTTGTCTGTAGACATGGAGGCTATGCGATCCCATACCACCACGTCCACCAAGCAGTCATCTTGTATGCTCTGCAATATGCTTCTTTGTATACAAATTCTAGGGCATGCGATCGCTGGACAAGAGTTTGAGCGGCAAAATGAACATGTGAGAATGGTCTATCAACTTGTTGATACAATCCGTCATCGATAGGACGACCGATTGTCTTTCACTCATTGTCATGATCGAATCCAGTCCGAATTTGTCCACCACATATGCCTGATCCTACGTTTTCCGACATCACCGCTCTTGCGCACATTTCCATCCTCAAAAGTGAGCAATAACCACATCTGTCCCAAAGAAGCAGATTTCGACGTTCGATTTAGCAGCTTTAAGCTCTCACTTTGGCGATCAACCGACGACCAGGGCATTGCGCATGCGTGTTGCTCAAATGCATCGTCAAGACCGTTTTTTTGCTTCATCTGGAATTGCTGCTCTGCTATCCGGTTACGCTCTTCCTTCGCTCGACTGTGAAGAGGACCTCAGCATCGGTCGAAACAGTGATCTGATCTTCGACAACGTGGTTACTGGTACTGACTTGACCACCCATCTGCGTATACCAGTCCTTCACGTCCCATTCCAGGCCGTGCGTCGAGATATGTGCGGGGCCAAATATAGGTAGGATACCAATGTTTGGCGTTATGACTTTCTCGGCCAGCGGAGTGTGGATCGTTGTCGTTCCAGCAGGAAGAGTGAACGAGATGCTTGATTCGGAAAACAGCCAGAAGCGAAGGTTAGGACACTCTTTGGAGTGTTGCTCTCGGTAGATCTCTGACAAGAGACCAATTCCCTGGTCAAGTCGGCCTGCGATGGTCCCAAGCACGAGGAAGTTTCTCTGCCAGGGTTGCTCCCTCAGCACCTGTTTTATTGCCTTTCCAAAATCTGTGCTGTACTGGTCTGGATCCTCTGTGACCTCTACACCGCGTCCTTGATAGTGGGCTTTCACATCATCTCTAAGAGAGTCGAGATCACCATGAACAATATCTGGTAACTGAATGCGTTCACCACACATCAGACAGTGTTGGAAAACGAAACAAGTTGTCTTACATATTGATCGAGCCGTGATGGATCATTCTGGACGAAGAGATCGTGAAGTTGGTTGGCACCGCCATCAGCGCACAACCGATAGCTTGTATGGTTCCACAAGCGGTCTAGCACTCTTGTATCTGCTATCGGTTGGTTCAATATGATCAGTGCGGGTTTGGATTGATCTTTGCTCAGGTGTGTAAACTCGTTGCCGTCCTTGATGAAGTCGGCAGGATACACATCCGGGTGTTTGTCGTTCATGTTGTTCTTTGGATAAGGTAGTGAAGGTCGCACGACACGGGATTGGTTGTGCAATGTGTAAACTCACTCTCTCGCGCTCTGTGGCTAGAGGAGAACACTAGCCACAAAGTTGCGCACGACCGTCGGCGACAGCGGCTGCCGGCTTCGATCTTTATGGTTGGTAATGCTTCCATCATCTTCGCTACGATAGCCATTTCGTCTCCGCCGCTCGAATTCCCTTTGTCTTGGATCTTTCCTGGTTCTATACAGTCGCAATGTTTCGCCCGATAGCTAGACGCGCCGTCGCGCAGGCCTCACGCAGCAGCGCTCCATCGCGGAGATTTCTAAGCACCGCACCTCCACATGAGAAGTCACGAAGCTGGAAGAACTCGGCTGTGAGATGGACATTGGCTGGTGCTCTGGTCTACTACTACAACACTAGCAATGTCTTCGCCGAGGAGCAATCCTGTAAGCGCTTCTTGTGCCAAGTTGAGCGGCGCGAGCACTGGCACTAATCCCACCCAGATGTCAGACACGCGCCTCCGGAGACACAGATCGAGTCCGAGACTCTCCCTACCCTCGATGCAGTAACAGCGAAACGTCAAGCCCTTCAGGCACAGCTCAAGGCCGGTGTAGAGGCCGATGCGAAGAAGGCTGCCGCCGCCGCAACCGATGCTGCACACAAGGCTCGTCAAGCCACTACAAACGCTCCTGTACCAGAGCCAGAGGATGGCGCAGCCGCTGGATCGCCACAGGATCTGGAAGAGGAGGCAGGTCAACAGGGTGCATTCAACGAGGAGACTGGCGAGATCAACTGGGATTGCCCGTGCCTTGGTGGTATGGCCCACGGCCCTTGCGGAGAGCAGTTCAGAGAAGCCTTCAGCTGCTTTGTCTTCTCCAAGGAAGAGCCCAAGGGCATGGACTGCATTGACAAGTTCAAGTACGTTTGGCCGCAGCAAAAACGAATATCATATTGGTGGCTAATTACTGTATAGGGACATGCAAAACTGCTTCCGCGAGCACCCCGATATCTACGGCGCAGAGCTCGACGACGATGTTGAGGACGAGGCAAGGGCACAAGATGCTGCTGATCAACCTGGCCAGTCTAGCCAGCCCAGCCAGCCCGAAGCCAACCCTGACGCCGAGAAGGTCGCGCACAAGGAAGCCGACCACCCAGATGCCATTCAGGCCAAGAGAGAGCGCTCCAGTGCCGCATCTGAGCAGGTCAAGCGTGATCACAGTCCTACGAGCGAATCCGACAGTCTGGTCCCCAAAGCCGCACACGACGCTACGGGTCAGTAAAGCAAGGGAAAGGAATAGACCTGTTCTGCCCATATATACACTGTACATTACGCATTGGGGCCTGCAACTCTACCAAACCTAGGCATTTGACAGCCTGAAAAAGCGAATGTATCACCACTTCTTTAGACATGTAATGAACAGCTGAAATTCTTTGACATACAACAATTGTTGGCTGAGCAATGAGTGGGACCTTCCTGTATGCGGAGCACTGTCGTAATAGCTGATTCGAGACACGAACCTCTTTGAACATGGTGGCGATGGCATCGAGATACGTCTTAGTCGACTCCCAGGCTCGAGTTTTGTTGACATGAGACATGAGAGTGCCCTTGCTAATTACCGTTCTGACGCTCTTCTCTGACTCTAGGAGGACGATTGAATGACGTAATCTGCCCAGAGCCGGAGCCGTTCCAGGAAAATCCGGGAGCAGAACAGCCATACCGTAATTATCACATGTCACTCTATTAGGTGGGACTAGCGAAACCAATCACGATGAGTCTCGAGTTCCTACAGCGACCGAACAGTGACGCAGCTTCTGCTCCTATTGCATCTGCGCCTGAATCCCAAGTCAACACCTCTACCGCTCCCACCCCCGTCCCAGAACCCATTCCCGCTACCGCTATTGAAGAGCCAGTAACCGTCCAAGAATCCACTCCTTCTCAAGAAACCACCATCGCTTCCGAAGAGCCCGCACCCACAGCTCCCGCTACCATGTCTTACGCATCCGTCGCCGCCAGTGGACCCCAGCAGTCCGAGGAGGAGGTACGTAGTCGCTATCTAATAAATTCAACCTGAGCGTCTGCTAACTCGTCCACAGAAGTAAGTCTTGCGCAACCTTGCGCCGACAGCAGGTCGATACTAACACGTGCCCAGGCGCGCACACGCCGTCCCCGAGATCCAACACACCGACGACGAGGTCCACGAGCTCATCGACGTCGACAGCCCTCACATCTCCTCTGTCCCCTCCGACTTCCAGTCGCAAGAAATTCAGACCGAGACCCAGGCCGAGCGCGAACGTCTTGAGTCCGAGGCTCGTGAGAAGGCTCAGCAGACCGAGCAGGTCAAGGAGGAGGTCAAGGAGAAGACCAAGCAGAAGGCAGAGAAGGCCGCAGAAAAGGTCAAGGCCAACAGCGACAACCCTGTCATTCTCGGCAACACCATCGCCGTTGTCGCTCTTGGTAGTCTCCTCGGCTTTGGCGCCTACAGAAAGTACAGTGCCGGTCAGCTCACCTGGAAGGTCGCAGGTGCCTGGGCAGGTGTCGTTGGTGTCTTCGGTCTCGGCGACTACTACGCCAGCAAGTAAGTGCAAGAAAAACATCCTTTATCTAGAAGGCTACACTACGCCAGCATGAGGAGAGTGGAGGCTCAAGAGGTCGTCCTGCGCCATGCTGGTTTCGCAGATACAAGCCCCCAAACGCAACACAAACGCTGACTTGTGCTTCTTAGATACCTCTTCAAGAAGTACCCTCCCAAGAACTAAACAGGTCATGACATTCCGTTCTTGTACTTCAAGCGTCCTCTCTCTGCTCTAGTTTCACCCATCTCTCTGCTTTGGATATTCTTGCGCGTTGTGCTGGTCAAATGAATGCTCAGGCGCTGGAGGCTTCAATGTCTGTATCATAAACGAATTTCTCATTCTCTTCTCCAATTGCTCCTCTACCTCTTCATGGCATATCTGTGCGGTGCCTCACTGGTATTCTCTATGGATGTCGGTGGTGCGAGGGCTCGTCCAACTAATATGGTGGTCGCCGGCTACCGCGAAGAGTCCTCCTTTGACAGGCGGCAGGAAGCACGCCGGGACAGCAGACGAGTTATAAAGTGCCCAGATGTCCTCAGAGGCTAGCCAAGTGGGCTAATCGGCCACGTGCGCGAACATGATGGGACGGAAGTGGCTTAGATTAAGGGTAATCGAGGCGATGATATTTGAGCTTACCAATAACGCGCACAAAACTTGAATCTATCGACATATAGTCTGCAAGGAATTGCGATCTCGCGGTCAGCTGCTCGCTGTCAAGGTAAAATCATCACCACGAATGAAAGGTCTGACACGACAAAGGAACAAGGAGGATCCCCACATGATTCTCCGCAAAGAACAAGGTGTCGGGAAGCTGGAGGTCCGGCGGCCTCGGGAATGCCAGGACGCGCGCGCCATCACTTTCACATGCAAAGGCAATAAGACGTTTAGACCTCATGACATGGCAATCGTCAAAGATTCCTAACAGTTCTGAAGCACTAGGCAAGAGCATGACGGCTCTTGCTATGCCACTCGTCCTTTCACATGCCATTCTGGCTGCATCTATACCGTATTACCTTCCCGGCGTAAACTCCCCTCCCTTGCCATTGTCATGAAGACTTGATTTTGACCTTGTGCTTCTTCCTTTGTTTTGAAACGACAGCCTCCTTCCTTTTTCTGTTCACTTTAAACTTTTGCTTCGAGTGAGCTTTTGTTCGGAGGCCTTTCTGCATTTTCACTTCTTCTTCGCATGTCTTTGGAACATTCCGCATCATGATAGGTAAGGTTATCGGTTTCAATCCGCATACAGTCGCTAAGTGAAGTGTGTATAGACCACGTCCTCGGTAGGCCGTCGGTCAGATTTCGCAAGTATCAGGTTTTTGCTGTAGTCTCTTTCTGGTCCTACTATCTCTACAAGTACGTTCCTTTCCCTGATCTATTGCGAAGTCTTACTGACCATGTTGATCGCAGGGGCAACCCACATGGCCCGCCGTACCTTCGTCGCATCTCCAAACTCTTGTCTACACGCTTGACGGCCTGGCACACTGTTGTCCTGACTCTCATATACCTGTACATCACACGCAACTTCAGCAAACTCGTAGGTCTCGAGTGCCCTGAGCCATTGGCCAATCTCTACACAAGATCATACTTCCGAGCAACATGGATCACGACAGCCTTGGACGCAGGATTCTGGACGGGCATGAACCTTCGCCCTGTATGGTTGAAAGATATTGCGAGTCTTGTCTTCTCCATCTACTATCTCATCTGTGCCGAGCAAGCAGATGAGAAAGTCCGCAAAATAAGAGCTGGCTTGACATTGGAGCATCTGAGGGTCAGCTGGAACAAGCCAAACACACCATACATCAACTTCTTTGGCAAGCTGATGCGTCCTAAACTGATGCGCTATCCACCACGAGCCATCCGCATACCCAGACCTAGACAGAGCAGCTACGATGAACCCATCCAAGCCTGGCTGTACTTCGACGGTCCAATTAGCGATCTCAAGAATCACGACAAGATCGTGCTCGACATTCCTGGGGGTGGCTTTGTTGCCATGGATCCGAGAGCACATGACGACAAGCTGCTGGCCTGGGGAGCGAGGACTGGCTTGCCTGTCTTGGCCTTGGACTACAAGAAGGCTCCAGAACATCCCTACCCCTACGCTCTGAACGAGTGCTATGACACATATCACACTCTGATTGCGACCAAAGGACAATGCATAGGCCTTTCTGGGGAGAACGTGCCCAAGATCGTCGTCAGTGGGGATAGCGCAGGCGGCAACCTCGCTGTTGGCCTGATCCTTATGATCCTACAATCAGGAAGCACCGCAACTCGTCGCTGGCAAGGTGAAACGTCGCTTCCCGTCCCCGAGGGTGCCGTACTCATATATCCGGCTCTTGATATGAACATTGGCAACTGGATGACAGACGAACAAATGTCCCTGATCAAGGATCGCAAGATGCGAAAGACCAATAGAGGCGTGCTAAGCCGGAAGAGTGACGACTACAGGAAGTTGACACCAAACACTCCTCATGGATCCGAGGATGAAGACGACGATGTCAGTCCGCCGAAGACGGAGCGTACAAACACCGCCGTGCAACAACTGACCGACAAACCAATTGTTGCTTCGCCTACTGAGCCTCACACTAGTGCTGCTCACACCGTCGATACCGCTCCTGCTACATCTGCACCTCAGATGCTGCGTACACGTCTAGCCATGTCTTCCATGATCTCATACTTCAACGACCGTGTCTTGACCCCCGAGATGATGCGTGCCATGATCATTTTATACATTGGTCCACATTCTCGACCAGACTTCTCGACAGATTATCTGCTATCGCCACTTCTCGCACCTGAAGCACTTCTCACCCGCTTCCCTAAAACGTACATGATGACCGGCGAGCGTGATCCACTCGTTGATGACACCGTCATTTTCGCTGGCCGTCTGAAGCAAGCAAAGTTGGCGCATTGGAACAGCCGCAAAGAGCTCGGGTTGATTCGTGAGCGTGACGTGTTTGTCGACACCGACCACGTCAATGTGGTCCTGATCCCCGGTATCTCTCACGGCTTCTTGCAGTTCGCCGGCATATTTCCAGCAGGCTGGAAGTACATCTCCCGATGCTCACGATGGATGGCAGATCTCTTCCGTGAAGCCGATTTGCGTGCTGAGCTGGATGATGAAGAGACCGACTACTTTGGCAACGAAGCTGGAATGGGCATGAAGAAGAGCAATGGCATCAGACATCACCGCCGCATGCCTACTGAGTCATCGGGTGATGAAGATAGGCCGCTCGAGATGAGCACACTTACTGGTGGTGCTCGAACCAGTCCGAAGAAAAAGGGTAGCCAAAGAGGTGGCGTCAGAGCTGTCAGGGGAGCCCGAAACGAGCGAGACCGGAACCAAAGGACGAAAAGTCTGGTCAGTTTGGCTAGCGAAGATGATCTCCTAGGCAGGAGAATGAAGGGCTTGACTGGTCACCTGATGGGTGATGGCGGTATGCCACAGACTCCGTAAATGACATGAATGTATCAAAACCCCTATTCACTGACAGATGTCCGTGGCTTCGAAGCTTCGAGGTTCTTGTTTCACAACCCGGTGAGATGCATGACACTTCTAGCTGATACTTCTGTCAAAAGTTTCCCCGTTGTATCATGTCTCGAGACGATCTCAGAAGCAGGCATATATTCATCTTCTTCGAGTTCACATTAACCAGCACGCTCACGATAAGATTCACCCCCCCATCGTGTTCGTTGGCCACTTCTCTATGATGCCTTGGACGGCTAAGTTCATACGCAATGTCACCTTCTTGCATTACGTGAAGTCTTTGTGCGAAACTGTGGACTCGCATGTGTTCTTCTCCCAATGCTTTTCTATAGATGACAATATAGTATGGTATCGTTTCCAACTGAGATGTAGATACAATGTCCATGTTTGGAGAAGTTTGGACAAAAAGGCAGGATACAATCTCGAGAATATATCAGAGAGAGAGATTCGATAGTATCGTTTAAGCTGGTGACCTGTTGAAATTCTGAGTTATTGTCATAATTTGCAGGGTTTCGGAATGCAATGGGAGTTGGAGATTTCGATGAGATAGATACACGAGTACGTGACAATGATAGGGATTACGGCGCTGAGGTCGTTTTTTTGATAGACATGAGCCATGTTTTTCTGTAGAGAGACGGACACCGGTGCAGGATGATCTTGGATGAAGGCTCCATGGAACGAGCAAAATCAGCTTGGCAAACTATTGTCACGATGCCACATCAAGGCGGTTTGGAAGGCACGATCAATCTTGAATGGCAGCAGGCGTGGCCACACTTCATAGATGGAGAGCGTGATCTTATTGAGCGTTGTTTTCTTCTTCCGCATCTGGCTGCTCAGTAGACTCTTCACCATTCCTTCCCGCGAGAAAGTGAGCCACCAACTCATCCTCTTCTTCTTCCTCATTTTCCGAATGATGTACAGAAATCCACTCGCCCTCATCCTCAGAACTCCAACTAGAGTCCACCGAATGCTCGTCGTCTTCTTCCCTCTTGATGTATATCTGCAAACCCTCCTGAATTTCTTCTCTCCCGACCCACGTATCGTCATGTCCACCTATCAATCTCGACCGCTCATAAAGACTACAACACCTCATCATCCTCAAATACTCGAGCTGCAAATCATTTCTCAAAGCCAGGAACAGATCAAGACCGGTCTGATTAGCCTCATCTGCCACTGCATCACCATGCTCAGCGACCTCCAGATGGACATGTTCGAGATACAGTATCCGCAATGTATCTGATTGAGCGCGCAGGAAAGTGGTCAGAAAGTTTACAGTCGTGCTACAATAGGCAAGACGGATTTCTCGGAGGCAGTCGTGCATGCGTGTAGAGGTTATCATCAAAGCACCATCTAGTGTTGTTTGACCGCGTTGAGGCACTGTTCCAAACTTGACGCTCATTTGTCGGAGCATGGGATCGTGTTTGGGAGGTATTGTGAAGAACTCATATGTCTGGCGTTTGGTGTCGATGGAGGATTGAAACCTCAGGGTTGGTGCCGTCTCCCAGAGCTTCCAGCCAGAGGTTATGACGAAACGTCCAAAGTTTGGGTCGAGATGCCCGGGCTGAGGACATAGATGTTGATCTTTGAGGATCTGGAATTCGTCTGTGATGTTGACTGCATGTCGCAGTTGATCGTCTAGATGAGCTTGGAATCCTCTGATGGGGAGATTGGCTTGTTGTGCAGCTTTCAAGACGTATTGTACGGCGTGAACATTGGATGCTTGCGGGTTGACTCCCTGCTCAATCTTGCCATAAAACTTTTCGTAGCCATATCCCTTTCTCTGGGGGACAGTATCTTTGTCGCTGTTGTTGTCGCTGTTGTTGTCGCTGTTGTTATGGTCGCTGTCTTCGTCGTCGTGGTCCAGAGGTATCCATGGCACCAATATATCGTATACTCCCAAGGTAGGCTGCGCACCCTGCCGCTTGAGATTCTCCAGTGCTTGCACCACCACCTTCAGTCGTTCATCCCACTGTTCGAACATGGTCTTGTGTTCGAGCTGTTGTAATTTTTCCGGGTCATCTGTGAATTGCTCGGCATACACAAAGTGAGTCGCAAAAGTCAAGCGCCTGATATATCGACCCAGTGGATGGGCACTCAAGTCGAGCAAGCCTTGCAAACTGTAGGGCGACCATGTGAAAGATAGATCCGGTAGGCATTTGAGTCCGAATTGGTGATTCGAGAGAGCACTTATACGCCGGCCAACCAGACGTAGATTTGTAACGTCACGCCCATGAAGACCATCAAGTACAGCATTGAATATTTCGGGCGGAAGCGATGATAGTGAAGCCATTCCTGAAAGGATCTTGTGGCTTGATGAAGCTTTAGTCTACAGTAATGAGTTCTGTGGCGAGTTCGTGCAGCGGTGCAAGCGACGGAGAAAGTGTGCTGTTGTTCGGGCTTCAAGTGCCACCCTGACAATCCTTGGCATGATGTATATCATGGGCATATTTTTTTGATGGACTAAGTAATTGCAAAGAAGAGAAGATAAACAAGAAGTACGGTATCAATGCAAATGGGTATCTCGTGGCCAACATGCCGATAAACAAGGCAAATAACAACATCTCGCTTCACCAGACCTTCATCATCTCTACCTCCTTCGCTTGCTGGCCCTAGGCTTTGCAGGAGGTGCTTTCCTCTTGCCCTTTGCTTTTGAAGCTTTGGGTGCAGGTGTACCGCTAGCCATGCTCTCTTGCTCGCTTTGTTCATCCTCGTCGCTCCCTTCTTCCTCTTCCTCTTCACCATCGTCATCTGGGTCCACGCTGTCGGCCACACGACTCGATCTTCTAGGATTTGGCGGTGCTTGTTTCCCCTTCGACTTTGCTGATGCCGCTGGCTTTGACTTTGACGCTCGTGTGGAGGGAGTCTGCTGAGCCTCGGAGAGCGGAATCTCAAAGCTCGGTGTAAAGCGCACAGGTGGACTGTCAGGTCTAGAAAGCAATTCCTCATGTGATGGTGGTGAACTCTCGCGATCTTCCTCATCCTCTGAGTCTGGGAATCTTGCGCGCCAGATCAGACCGCCAAAGTCTTCGTCTGGTAGTTCGAAGTCCGTGTCGTGCATACGTTCTGGTTCGTCGTCGTCATCGCCCAATTCATCCTTTTCGTCTTCCTCCTCGTCTTCGTCGTCGGAAACAGACCACGGCGCTGCATTTGAATCTTCGCGCTCGTCTAGTGCTTCTAGATCGTAGAGACCGTGTAGTTTCGCCCAGATGCCAGGGATGCGTGTATGTGGCGCTTTCGGGTGGATGTAGCCATTGGATAGCAAGTGTTGGTGTAGACACAGGAGATGAAAGTGCTTGTGCATGCCAGTAGGTTTCCACTTGATGAGACCTTTGAACAGGCCAATCTCCTCGTCGTCGGTCCAGGGGTCTGCTACTAGCGCAGCATTGGCAGCTTCCTCTTCATCTTCCTCCTCTTCTTCCTCGGCCTCTGTCGTTTGTTGTGCGGGTTTCGTATTGGGTGTCTCGTCTGTAGGTTTCGGTCGTCGTCGCTGTTCTATCTCGACAGCGACTGTTGTATTTGAGCGTGAAGGTGTTGGCGCGGGGCTGGACGTTTGAGAGACGCGTGCCTTTCTTTTGGGTGCCATCTGGGATATGCGATTGCGTAGAAAATGGCAGGTACAGTTGCGAGAAGAGACAGACGAAGCACCCTGATTGCTTTACCGACACGAGTCGGCGCTGGCCAGACCACGACGCCATCGCAACTTTTGGCGGCCCGCTTCTGCCAAGGAGCTTGGGCCACATGATGGGGAAATCTATATCAGCCTCTTTGCCATTTGACATTCGACATTTGAACATGACCGTTTTTCTGGTTTTGCGTTATGCTAGATAGATCTTGTTTGACACTGATACAAGAATGGAACCGAGCATCGTCGATCAAAAAGTTTGACCGTCAGACAATCATGTCAGCTCATGCCAGAAGCAGAAACACCTGCTTGTCTCTGCTATACCACGGAAAGCTACACCTCAGAACGACTTCTCAGGAAACACAGCATCAGTGATAACATCAGCCTTCGGTCACATCTCCGACTGGCTCAGCAGGACCGAATCTTCTAACGAGTGCATGAACAATCAAGACACAACTTCACACTCAGAAGTATCACTTCTATCCTTATTTGAGTTTGCTAGTTACATATGCAGCTTTCTACTTCTCCTCAACCATTTCCCTTGTTCTGTCAAAGTCACCGCCGATCTGGTTTTTTTTACTGTTTGTCAATATTCCGGTTTGTGGGCACCATATGGTCAGGTTTGTATGCAAGGTCTAAGTGCATTCTGCACGGCAGATGGGTTAGCTTCAAAGGTAGTTTTGCTCGGTAAACATCTGGATTGATGGTACTAGATGCGAATCGGTTGCTTCGTATTAGCCGGTCAAATCATGTGAGCTTGGAAAAAGAAAGATGCTGGTGTGATATCTTTGGTCATTAAGCGTTCATGCCTTGCGGCAATTCTCTGTAGTAGGATCTGATACTGTCATGTCGTGGCCGTATGAGTCTGCAGAGACAAAAGAGAAGAGTGAAAAGGAGAAAGAAGAAGAGCACAAGTAGAGATACGGAAAGAAAAATGTTCAGACAAAAATACGCCGAGCTCCTGTTGCCCTGAGTAGTCCTTGCGGAAAACTTGTAAACTCCTTTTCCCTTGTTCCCATTCCCAGTCTCTAGTATAGCCGTGGAACATTCGTGTTGAACCCATCTTTCCCAAAACATCGCGGCAATTGCTTGCCTGATAACTCCATCGATTCTTTTTTGGTGGACTGGTGAAATAGAAACTCCTCGCTCGACGCCAGATAAATCAGATGCTTGGTCAGAAAATGTTCCAGGATAAAATGAAGAAAGTGTACAGAAAGAGATCGATGACAAGATGTTAGAGTGCAGTGTTGCAAGCGAAGTTGTAGTGTTGGTCCGTCGGCGGTTAGAAATTATGGAGAGCTAGCGATGCGAAGCTGATATGTGAAGCAATAAACGATTGGTCAAGCGCGTCATACGCTATTGCAGTAGTATGTTGTCGGTTGATCGCGCGAAAGTCATTACGACCCGAGTGCTCGGGAGAGGAAGATTGTAGCCAAGCGAATTAGATGAGTTGGACATGGTGGGGAAGTATGCATGTCGGTGGATGCAGGCAAGTGATCTGCGTCAAGGGGGACACTGGTACTCAAGTAGAACTATTCCAATTCAAGTCAGTCCACTGACGAGTAATAGGGTACGACATGGGTGAGATCGAGAGATCTGGCATGTGAGATGAAAGGGTTGGGTGGCCTTGCACGTACCTTGGTCGGTGTAAGATGTCGTGGTGGTGCATATCCTCTTTATGCTTTGCGTGTGCAGGGCTCGCATCTCTTGACCTTGCATTTGGTGCATTCATAGATGAACCAATGCGGACCTGAATGGCATAGGCTGCAGTTCCAGATGATGAGAGTCGTGTCGGACTTGATGACTCTAAAGCGGTGTTCGCAAGATCCAGAGATGGCCATTGTGCTTCAAGTCTCTTGTCAGTTCAATTGATCAATGATGGCATGGCGGGGTAGCTTACTAGGTTATGGTCTGAAGGAGGCAACTGGCTATGTGAGACTGTGGGTGTAGACGAGCAACGACGCCAATTGGTGGGTTGCTGAGAAGGTGAAGCGATTGAGATGTGGTTGATTGGCAACGACGGTAATAGAGAGGAGTTATTGAGGGGGAGCGGAATGAGGAAGGCAATGGATTAGAATGTCTTCTGGAAAGGTCGAGGCAAAAGATATATATAATAATCAAACCAAAACAATGCAGGCCAGATCTACTACCGATGCAACATACCCGGCAGCAGCAAGAGACAGAAGTAGAAGAGCAGAAGATCTCCGTTCTGAGGAGGCGTCGGTGGATAAGCCAGAAAAAAACGTTCGCGCCGCAAGCAAAGCTGAGACCTTCATCCACATCTCACAAGAAATGATGGCGTCTGGAGATGGGAATGAACGGGTCAGAGTGGAGGGGTGAAAGGGTAGAGAAAGAGGCTCTTGCGCCATGCGCACTTGCTCGAACAGGCAGCCAGCCCAGGACCGAATGGGCGGCGGCGTGTGCAAATCTAGCGATGAGGGCAGCAAGCCCATGTCGTACTGTTGCATGCGCCGCCATCCCGGTCTTGGGAGCTGGGTCTTGTTTCCTTACTCATGTCATGATCCATCTAGAACAGGGGTGGTAAGAAATCGAGTATGATCGAGATGCGGCAAGGAGACCCTTGACCTCATGTGCTATTCAGCACTTGATCATTCTCCCTCCCTGTCTGCCGCGCTTTGCATACTGACCTTCCAGACACACGATTTTTCGACCGGGTCATCCACAGCCATGGTTGCGGATGTGGAGATCAAACTGGACTTCATCAATTGGAGAAGCATCGCACGGGTTGAGTGGACCGGTACCGTATGCAGAGAAGGGCCGGCATATTCTACTGCAGAACGACGTCTTGCTTTGGCGCGTTCACTTCCCCCTGCTAACGTACCCTACTCTCTCATCTACCTGTGGGGCTGCAATGGGCGTAGCGGAAACGTCGAGCCGGACATGCATGAGATCCAGCAGGGAACGCTCGCGACGTGCATCAGTCTGCTTGTGTCGACCGGGGATTTCTCCTTGCACGACAATGTGGATTTTCCTCTTTCTGCATGCAATTGGGTTCCAACAGAACACAGAGATCTACAAGCGGCGGGAAGATCTGTGAGACAAGATCTGTTGGTATGGAACTAGTGCAGAGATGTTCAATGTGCTTTGGTCTTTGTTCGACCTCTACTTACCTACACTTCCCCATGCTATGTTCCCTGGAGAAGTATACTCAAGTAAATTGAGGCTGGCTGATGCTGTCATCTCCCCGAAGTGGCCAAGTCGAACGATGGCCTGTAGCTGCATATCTAGCACGTCGGCATAAAGCCTGAATAGATGATGTCGTGCCACTCGAAACTTCATGTGCGTGGTTCAAAGAAGCCTCGTGCGTCAAGCCACGGCGCGCCAGTCGTCAAGGACCCGGCAACAATAGACCAGCAAGCTGACTCTCTAGCCTGGAGGAGGTGGAGAGATAACGCGCTGCTCAAGGGTTCGAAAGTTAAAATCGTAGACCTGTCACTTTTCAGCCATACATTCCTGACAATTCTTGACCATTCTTTGGAGTTAGGAAGGAGATGACACAACCCCCTGCAAGCCCTGATCTCGCCAGAGACATGCTGAACTACTACCCAAGGTCACTCTACCGAACTGTTCGTGACCTCGCGCCAGGTACTACCTGGTTGGTATAGCATGCGACCTTCCTCTGTGACATCTAATCCCAGTCGCCGAGCAGCAAAGCTGTAACACAACAATCGTATCTCTCCCTCTTCCACGAACCCGGTTATCAAGGTGACTCTGTCATGCAGCCACACCTTATCGATCTGTGTCACCGGAACATTTATCCTGCTGCTGCCCATTCGACACTGCTTGCTCACTTGAACCTGGTCGGTGGAATGCAGTATGCAGAATATCACAATCTCGAATGGACGGACCCTCTCCTTGCTACACTGTCGACGACTTGCATACGCATGCCTGGCCTCTCGCATAACCATCATTCCGCATCATGCTGCACTGCGTTTCACGGGATGAGTGGGAGTTCCCACAAATGACGATATAGTTGCATGCGCTTGAGTGGCTAGGGAGACGGGTACCTGGTAGTTAGCTTGCCATTCCACAGACCTCAGACTACTAGTTGATCCTGTGTTGCCATCATCACCACACGACATTTTGAAAGAACCGGAAAGAGTCTTTGCACACTGCGTGCACATAAGAATCAGCACTCCACGAGATGTGAACCCTATCGTAGTCTTGCACAACGCGATTGGACAATTGTGAAACTCGAGATTTGGTCAATGGCATATTCCAAACTCGGCCGAGTCTGAGGGCTGGAACTTCCATTTCTTCTCGAACGACGATGGATCACAGGTACACACGGCGTGCGGTTCTGTCAAGCCATTTTACTGCCGCCTCAGACCCAAAACCAGATTAGACTACTGCAGGAACAGCCTTGGGGTAGGTGCCAGATTGTGCAACCAGGTAATGTTACACTGGATGCGTCATGTGTTTGAGGCGTATTGGTGACCCTTCTTCAAGCGAACTACTTTGCAGCTCGAGAAATGAGGCGTTAGTATTGCAGATCCAGATGATCACTACTATGGGTCAAACCGAGAAGGGAAAGTGGAGACGACGTGAAGAGTGTTAGGAATGAAAAATCAGGTATCGCTGTCTGCACTAATCATGAACAAGAGTCAGTCTTCTCATCCTCCACTACCTCCAGGCAGCTTGCTGACACAGCCGCCACTTCACCTCCCCTTCTATCAACTTTTGGTCATCATCAAGAGCGTCGTTATGTGCATCGCCTCTTCGATTGTGGTTCTTTGTCATGGTCTTTGGCGTGCTGAGGTGTACTCTCGGGCCGCCATTTCATCAACATTGCTTATGGCCGGAGCCAGGCGACAAGATTGATTTACTGGGTCTTCTTGGGGACACCCTGCTGCTGAGCGCCAGCGTAGCGGTTAATGTCGGTGAGGTCAGCAGCCTGCTTGATGCCACCCTTGACACCGTCCCAGACCTGTCTGACGGCAGGAGGCAAGTCCTGGCGGTTGGCAATGGCGTCACCGCGAGCAGTCAGCTGGTTAACGGCCTGCTGGACGAAGGTGCTCTGGTGGAAGCGAGCTCTGAGGAAGATGGTGTAGACGGCAATCAGGACCCAGGAACCCTTTTGGAAAAGGAGAGCGGAGAATCCCAGACGGAACCAGAGAGCAATCTCGAGGATAGCAACAAGAGTCATAGACGAATCGTAGTAGTTCTTAACGAAGTTGCCAATGGTGTCGGCGAGGCCAGAAGACTTGGGCTTCTCGCCAGCAGCGACAGCAGGTTGGGGCTGGATGGTGGGCAGAAGGTTGGATCTGGTGTAAGTTGCGACATGGAAGATGGAGTAGACGGCGAAGGGCAGAACGGCAAGGGGGATCTGACGGGACCAGAGCCAGATCAAAGCCATGGCTAATGAAATCAGCATTGGGCACGGGGCATGTGAGTAGCGTGGGTGACTTACCCAGGTATTGGACATTCTCATCACCGATGATCTGGAAAGCACCGCCCTGGGGCTTGCCGGCACGAGCACGAGCGCGGAAGCTCTTAAAGACGACAATACCGTACGTGGCAGCGGCAGCGACAAAAGCGGTGCGGTAGGAGAAGATGGCCCACTTTGAGTTTGCGTGGAAGGTCAGGTACGAGAGAGCGTAGCGGACCGAAGACAGCAGGAGGGTGACATGGCCGGCGAACCAAGCAAACTGCAGTGTCTGCACGAGCTGGAGCAAGCGCTCCTGGAGAGGAAGGTTTGCAGGAGGAGGAGGAGCCATTGTTGAAGGGTAGCTTGAACGAAACGAGTCAATGCGAAAGACTTTGTGAGGAGTGTAGGGAAGAAGTGAGAGTGAGGAAAGCAGCAGCAGGACGACAATGACAGGTGTTGGCCGGCCGAGCCAGTGGGGTCGTCATGGTCAGCGCGCCGTGGCTGGCGCGCACAAACTCACGCGAGCTAGCAAGCTGGGGAAAATGGACGTCACTCACTCTGATGTGTCTGTGGATGCTATCCTGTAATGAGCCTCGAGGGTGCTAGGAAATGGTGGGACTTGTGATGGACAGGTGTTTGCAAGAAGAATTGATTACAGCGTGCTCGAGAAAGAGTAGGTAGGTAGCCATCTGGGCAAGTACGACCTGGTGAATCAAGGAAGCTGCACCTTGACCATGACGTCGACGTCTGTCCGCGCAAGCAAAGCCACCTCACATGCGTCTCGACAATTGACAGCCCAACCACCTACAGAGCCACGTCCGCTAGTTAACGCTGGAAGACTCTATGCCCATGGGTCCAAGCTATCGAGAAGTGATTGACATATTGCAACCTTTGTCTGTTTCTCATCCTTCTCACACACAATAGTAGACAAACCAGATGTGGCATATAATAGTACGATGTACAACCACAGATGTATAAACCACATTGGCATTCCCAACAGATGATCTCGTGCCCTTGGCTACCTATATGTCTTGTCCACGCTGAGCATTCATAAAAGTGCCTCACGTAATGTCGGGGGACTGACAACTGTCAATTGCAAGAATAATCATGCTGTTTGTCCTTTTCTCGCTTTTTGTTGACTAACGGTACATACTGGAAGCAATTAAGTAAATTGACATGGATGAAAACGCAACGGAAACAAAACAAAAGCGCTGAGGTATCACAACTTTGAACCCAACTTGGGCAAAGGCAGTCCTGCCCACCTTTGCCGTGCTGCTCAGCGACAGCGCAACGATGATGATATAGGTTGACCACGATAGTAGTCTCGACTTCTTACGCATCCTCGACTGTAGAAGGCATCAAACTTAGCCGCGGATCGAGAAGCCCTTTCTCTTGCCCTTCTCTTCGACTGGTCGGCCTGTCTCGATGCGTCCCTTCTTCTCCTCGAGCTCGTTCTTCTGCTTGTCCAGCTGTTCTCTCATCTCACGATGACGGGCGTACAGCTCCTCCTCGCTCTGCTTGAGTTTCTGCTCCTTTTCTTGTACCTTTTGCTGGAAGACCATCTTCATCTCGCGCTCCATCTTCTCCAGTTTCTGCTCGTGCAGCGAGCGCTCTTCCTCCTGCTTGGCTGCAGGGTTGATTTCCTTGAACACCGAGGGATCTTGCTGCATGCCCATTGACTCGAGCTTGTCGGAACGGTAGTTCTCGTAGAGCGTGTTGTTGGTATGTTCCTTGAGCTCCTCCATGTGTGTTCGGATGAGCATTTGGCGAAGCTTGGCAAAGTCGCAGTGGTCCTCGTTGTCCACTTCAATGATGCCCCAGGGGTACTTGCGTCCGCGCACTTTGCGGCCTTCGGGCGTGCTGACCTCAGCGTTGGCTCCAACCACGGCGAAGGGAACCTTTGACATGATCTCCTGGTTCTCGGCAATTGTCTCTTCGTCGTCCAGCTCGTAGCGAGGGCCCTCGAAAATCTGAATGCCCTGGTGCTTGATGTCTGAGAGAATCTAGTCTTTATGTTAGAACATGACTCGCGAGAGATGAAGATATCATGATACTTACTCTTGCCTTGAAGGAGAGGACCTCCTCGTCTGTGAGAGTGTCGGCCTTTGCGATAACAGGAATGAGGTTGACCTTGGTGTGCAGTCTACGCATGACCTCAATGTCAAGAGGCTTGAGCGAGTGACCGGTGGGCTGAATGAAGTAGACACAGGCGTGGATGCGGTTGTCGACAATATTCATACGGTTGACTTTGTTCTCGGCGTCGAGGTATGCATCGAAGCGCTGCTCGATGTTCTCGACAATAGGACGCCACGACTCGTTGTTGTTGACAAAGTCACCGAAGCCGGGGGTATCGATGACATTCAGTCTCAGACGGACGCCGTTCTCCTCAATGTCTGCGCTGATGGACTGGATGGCGACGGTGGTAGGGGCGAAGTCCAGGCTGGGTTGTTTCTGCTCCTTGGGAGGGTAGAGAGAGGTGTTGAAAAGAGTGTTGACTAAAGTCGACTTTCCAAGACCGGATTCACCTGTGTTTGGGTCAGAAGGCGCGCATGTATGTATTGAGATTGAGGATGGGACATACCGACAACCATGACGTTGAAGCTGAAGCCCTTTCTGACACTCTTGCGGTGCCATTGGTTTGGCAGGTTGGCAAAACCAACAAAACCAGTCAACTTCCTGCGCACGATATTCTTCATGTCGCTTGCAGCAGCGGCGGCAGCCTTGGGGTCTCTGTGAGAGACAGTCTGAATAGCGGGCGATGGAGGTCCCATCAGTGGGGAGGTGGGAGTGGTATCAGAAGGGATCTGGGGCGGAGCTGGCGATGCGCGGACCGGAGGGGGAGTAGGAGAGACGCCGTTGGAAGCTGTTTCGGCGAGCTTTGCATCAGCATCATTCATGGACGACTTGTTGACATTGACAGATGAGTCGGCATTCGCAGCCTCTGCGTGAGCAGGCGATGCGGCTTCATCGGTGACACTCATGGCGGAGAAACGGGAAACGATGCTGTTCGCGATGCAAGAGGCAATGGGGGATGGTGGTTGGGGAGAGCTGGCTTACCCATGGCGGGTGGAGTTCGAGGTACTACGGAGATGGACGTTCCTTCTGCTGTTAAAAGAGCACGTGTCAGCAACATGCACTCGAAAACCTTCGTTGGTGCTGAGCAAGTTTGCGGCGGCAAGAGCGTCCATGATGGTGCTTGCCCGACACGAGTCGCCAGCCCGCCTGCTGGTCGCACTCGCGTCCATATGTCCCATTTCAACAATTCTACGTACCGTTCGATTGTTGTTGATGATATGCCAGAAGCGATCCGAGAAGCGATAGACAAGGGTGAGAGTCACGGAGGTATCAACGCTACAAGATGAAGGTCGAATTGTGGAGAGATGCGGTTTGCGTGGAAAGGGACAGCCAACCTACACGCAGCCAAACCGCCGCGGAAAGGGGTCTGTGGGACGTGCGGTCCTAAGGATCATGGAGAAGCAACCGCAGATCCGACGCCCTCTCCTCACTACCTACAAGTCAAGTCTCTTCGAATGCAGCATCCTTTGCTCTTTTACTGATCTTGATATGTTGAAAGGCAGCTATAGAACAAAGAGGCGACCTCGCACTTTTTCAATAATAGGCACGGCAGCAGTCTAAACCACCAAGTCCATCTAGTACCCCGATCCGGCAAGGCGTCATGCCGGCGTGGGCAGCCAGGACGACCATGCCGGACGCATCTCGAGCTTATCTTACATCTAAGCAAATCGCGCTCTCTTCGCAATTGTGCATCCCTGCTTGTACCTGTGTCTTGCTCACCTGGGTACCAAAAACGCTCCCGACGCCACGCTAAACTCATATCCCCAATTAATAACACCTCTTACCCCAGGTTCGTGAGCACTGCATTGAGCTGCGTTTTGTCATACTTGACATACTTGCCCCTACCCTTGTCAATCTCATGGTATCTGTCCCAATGACGACTGTAGAGTGGCTCAATAAACCTTTGCACATCTCTCGCAAGCGAGGTCTTGACCTCTTTCTCCATCTTGTAAGTCTTGTGTTTGGCCACCATTTCATCAAACGATGCATTGAAGCTGCGGAATTTCTCCTTCATTGTATCCTTCTCTTTTGAAGAGAGTGCTTTGACAAAAGCTGCCGAGTCGACAGCCGTTCCTGTACTTGGAGGACGTGGGCCACGGTTGGTGTATTGCACGTCAAGCAGATAAGCAGATACCTCATTCCACGTTGTCATGTAATGCTTAGTCGCCTTGACACGCCAGGCTTCTATCTTCGGTTGTGCGGGCTCCAGTAGCGGACCCAACTCTGAGCTGCGGATCATACGCTCAATGATGGCAACGTTGTTTGCCAAGAAGACGCCTTGAACGCCTTTGCCTCTTTGCAGAGCTTGAGAGCGGGCCTCCAGATTAGACAGGAGAGTGTGTATGGTGTCTGAGGCGTAATCTGCAAAGAGTTTGCGACCATCCGCACCAACGTCGAATGACTTGAGGGTAGGTATAGAGGTGCTCGAAGATGCAGGTCCTGGGGCAGACCATCCGCCTTTTCCAAGGGAGGTCAGTATTGATGACAACGGTATTAGGAAACCGGTCATTGTCTGCAGACGGGTCATCATCTCGGACGTCAACGGTATCGCCGCGCCATCGGCTGGCAGCTGCGTCATCTGCTGCACCCGATTCCTCACATCCGTCAGAAGGGCGGAGAGAGATGACTTTGCAGTTTCTCTTATAGGCTTCAAAGCATCAGCTACCTCGACCTTCATTTCTCCTGTCTTGCTCTCAATCTCCATCGCCGTGTTAGACACAACTTCGATGATCTCGTAGGCTAGGAAACAATCACTTGTAATATTGTCCTTGATGTGGCGATCGAGGTCCCGCAGGGTAACGGCGAATGCCTTGAGAGCACCTTGACAAGTCATGGACAAAACCTGACCCCATTCTTCACGATCGAACACGGGGCATATATTGTCGTACTCAGCGATGAACATGCCCTTGATACCTGCAGCATACATGCCAATGGCGTTGTCACCTCGCTTGTAGACTGTAGCAGTACTTGGGTTCTGCTTTCGAGCAGTCGCCAGACAAGCAGCGGCCATGTTCTGCAGACTAGATGTAATATATTGGCCTCGTACTTCGGCATATATTTTAGCCGTTGATGTGCCTCTCGGATCGCTTTGAGCAGCTTCTGAGGGTGTTGAGGACGCATGTGCGTTTATAGTTCGTAGGTGAGTGGTCTTGTTGGAGGAGATACGAGGGAAGTCGATGTTCTTGGTGATGAAGTGGAGAGGTTCAACTGGTGCTACTCCGTCGCGTAGAGTGTTTTGGAACACGTCTTCGAGCTGTCGACTGCCCACGCCTAGTAGGCCGTTGAGTTCAGAGATGGCTTGCTGGTTCGAGCGGAGGTTCGATTGCTTCAGATCACCGAGAGCCTGGCGGGTGCGATCGATGGATGCAATGTACTCGTTCAATCCAATCGTCTGCGGATTCGAGCGTAGAACCTGTTCCTCTCGATTGCGCATGTCTAGGGGCTCGCGAATTCTGTCGATTGCCATAATTACGCGGTCGATGTTCGCATTGGTTGTCTGAAGTCGTTGCGTGTTTCCATATATGGGCCCGATAGCCTCTTCCACCGTCTTTCCACTGGTCTCCAGCCTACTCATAGAGGATTGTATCTTCTTGGTCAAGCTCTTCATCTTGCTCAGGTTGGCATAAAGCACCTCGACCTCAGCGCTCTCTTCTGCGAATGCAGCAGCTCGCTTGGGCCCTGCCATGTTGGAGTCGCGAATTCACTAAAGCCTGGTATTGGATAGGGTCGATGTCAATACATTCTGGAGTACCACGGACCGGCGTGGACGCGATGTTTGTCCAAGGCGTAACAGCTATGAAGATCCTCCCTGTCTGTGGAGCTGTTGGCAACAACACGACATGGAACGCGTAGCTATGGCCAAGACATGGAGTCTGTTCTGAGTCGCGATCGTGGAGAGAGCGCACGTGGCACTTCACCAAGCCAGCGGCCGTGCGCTGCGGGACGAATCGCGTGATGCAGATGCGTGTTCCTGTTCCTGAAAATGCATATCGTAGCCATGACGAGCCATCTCTGAGATTCCAAGATTCTGATAATTAAGCCTCATTGTGGCAGTGCTGTCTCATCTTGTCCATTCTCTACCATCTTTCTTTCTGTGTATCTACATGCCTTTCTGGAACTCCATCGTTAATCACATCCACAATGCAAATTCGCCTATCTCACCAATGCTCAGATCAAACGCTTTCCGTCTCAACGTGAAGTCCCGTGGGGCCTGGTGAGTTTTCTAAGTCACGGAGCCACTTCATCAAGAAGTCATGCTAAACCACAGCCCAGTCGCCGGCAACTTCACCAAGCCTCGCCAAGCTCCGTAAGTCTACGAAGGATCACAACTCGAGGAGTTGCTGGTGCTGTAGTCTTTGCGGGCACTGTCTATCTCAATTATCCTCCTCAATTTCTCCAAGCCGACAGTTCAAAAGGATCGGATGATTCTGAGGGTTGGTTCTCATGGCCCGTGATTGTCCAACAACCAAGTAGCCAGCCTCAGAACGAAGAGTCTCAGGGGATAACCACCGGAAACGATGTCAACCAATCTCGACCGGGTCAACAGGCACCTCCATCTCAGACTAAAGGTCACACAGCATCCGACATCAATGAAACACTAGAAGCCTCTGATGTATCAGCATGGCATACCATGGTTGGAAGCTTCGAAACTGCCAAAGACAGTATCGTCAACTTTGAAATCTCCAAGATCGGAGAGAAAATCGCTGGCACGATTGTGCCGAAATGGGTCAAAGTCTTACCCGGTTATATCTCAAAACTGCAGAGTGAACTGTCCATGGCCCCCGGCTCCCTAGCAGAAGAAATTTGGCACGAAGCAAACGACCCTGAGATTAATCCAGAGATTATTTGGGATGCTCGAGTTCGAGTATCGGACGAGATCTGCAAAGAAGAGCGCGATTTTCTCAAAAAGAGAAAACGCCACACGACTGCTGCGCTAGCCAGATATCTTGATATACCGGAGGCAGATATACACCCAGCCGATGTACCGACTATTGCAATGTGTGGGTCTGGTGGTGGTCTTCGCGCCCTCGTCGCCGGCACTTCCTCGTATCTCTCGGCACAAGAAGCTGGACTGTTTGATTGCGTCACATACACAGCAGGAGTCAGTGGTTCCTGCTGGCTGCAAACCTTGTTCTACTCATCTGTTGGTCAGCAGAGCCACGGTCGCATGATCAATCATCTGAAAAGCCGCCTCGACGTTCATATCGCCTATCCTCCAGCAGCTCTCTCGTTGCTCAGTAGTGCACCTACCAGCAAGTATCTTCTCAGTGGAATAGTGGAGAAGATGAAAGGTGTACCCGATGCTGATTTTGGTCTCGTGGATGTGTACGGACTGCTTCTAGGAGCACGTTTACTAGTTCCTAAGGGCGAATTGGGTATTTCGGATCACGACTTCAAGATTTCTAACCAACGACAACACACGGATACTGGCGCATATCCTCTACCCATCTATACCGCAGTCCGCCATGAGATACCCGAGGTAGCACAAACACAGGACCGTGCCATGAATCTTCAGGACGAAACCTCAAAGGCGATCGCGCGCGCAGAGTCATGGTTCCAGTGGTTTGAGTGGACACCTTACGAATTCTTCTGTGAGGAGTTTGGAGCCGGAATCCCGACTTGGGCGATTGGTCGCAAATTCGATGGTGGCTACAGTGTCTATAGAGATAATGGTCTCGCTCTGCCTGAGCTTCGTGTTCCTTTGCTGATGGGCATCTGGGGAAGTGCATTCTGTGCCACGCTGTCCCATTACTACAAGGAGGTACGCCCTATCGTTCGCAGTCTTGCTGGATTCAGTGGTATCGATCAATTGATCGCCGAGAAAGATGACGATCTTACCAAAGTCCATCCTTTCGAACCTGCCTCCATTCCGAACTTTGCTGCAAACATGGAGAATCTACTACCCCAATCATGTCCACAGAGCGTTCATGGTGTGACGACTCTGCAGCTCATGGACGCCGGCATGAGCAACAACCTTCCTATATACCCTCTTCTACGTCCGGGTAGAGATATCGATGTACTGATAGCTTTCGATGCCTCTGCCGATGTCAGACAAGATAACTGGATCAAAGTGACGGATGGGTACGTCAAACAACGTGGTATTAAAGGATGGCCTCTTGGAGCTGGCTGGCCTACTGAGGAACTCACCGAGGAGCAGACACTGAAAGAACTTGAGCAAGCTCAGGCCACTACTGAAAAGGAAGCCACGGACAGGATTGAACATGCACAACACGTCAACGACTCCGACGCAGTCATGAAGGGTGAAAAGGTTCCCGCCAAACCGAGTGACTTGGGCTACTGTACTGTCTGGGTAGGCACGACCGAAGAGCGTGAAAGTGACACCGAACCGCCTATGTCGAAAAAGGTCGAGGAAGATTGGGAAGTCATGAGGCCAGATGCTGGTATTGCTGTCATCTACTTCCCCTTCCTGAAAAACGACAAAGTGCCAGGTGTCGATCCGCAGACATCCGACTTCATGAGTACATGGAACTTTGTCTACACAACCGAGGAGATTGACAAAGTCGTATCGCTGGCTCGTGCGAACTTTGAAGAGGGGAAGGACCAAACCAGGCGCACGATCCGTGCAGTTTGGGAGAGAAAGAGAAATCATCGTCTGGCGCGTGAGGAAGAAGCAAAAGATATTCGTCGTCAGACAAGGATGAGGAAGGTCAACAATAACAGATGCAAGCAGTATGGTGACCACGGCGACCAATTCAGCTAAAGGTTGAAAAGTGGTGTGGAGTACATGGAGTCAATCAGGATCCTATAAGTGACTATTATAATACCCAGCGTGGCATCGCGCATAGTAAGAAGTAATTAAAGACCCGTTCAAGGATAACCAATTGGTCCCATGTATTTTGATCGCATTGGTGCATGCAAATAACACTTTTGAATTTGAGTCCATGCCAGACCTTTCACGTGTACTCACCAAGCTGGCTTGTCGTTGGTAAAACCCTGCGCTTTCGGTGTCCAATCAGTTATGACCACATTATCATATGCCACATCTGATCGTTTCTATTACAATATATCAGCACCCAAATCTTCACGCTGAGAGCGCTCTGGTGTCTGTACTTAACCTGGTTGAGGGACGGTCGAAAGGGTTTGGACATGAGAGATTCGATATCTGAGGTTCTTTCGATAGAGCAACTGCTGCGCTCTCCGTTCCGACCGAACATGCCATAGTTTTACTTGGTTAATATCTCAGACACGAATACATGAGGAGACCAGGCTTACACAAGTCTAATTCAAGTTCTGGAACACGTCAGTATTGATCTGGTGTTGATATACCATGACCGGCGCAATGCACAAGTCGTGATGCTCAGATTGTGCATGGACACAAAAGACACGTGATACACACGAACCTCACGCGCCATCTCAGCGCAACAACAACTCAGCGACCACAAATCCGCCCGCGCATTTCATCTCCCCTCGTCCCTCTCGATGCCAGATTGGAGTACGCCTAGCTCGACTCTATCCCTGGGAAGCTACTCTTCTCTTTTCGCTGTCTCCGGCTCTATCCCAACATAGATTGCGTGACTGAGCCTTTGGCAGCGCGAATTGCAGACTGCGACCTTGTGTGACTGTGTCTTTCTGGATACACCTCCACCGTGGCTCATACATACACTTGTCAACATAGAGTCAAGGCTGCTCTGCAGTTGTCAGAAACGCCAAAGCCTGGGTGGGTGGGAACTGCGCTGCTTGTAAGCACAGGGCTACGGTAGGCTGTACTGACCGAGTAGAACCCGCCGACATGTCTTGCGCGGATGGCACACTAAAGCTCGATAGCGATACTGGCGATGTTACGCTTGCACCAAACACGAGATTTGAATGGATCATTGGTGGTCATCAGGTTGGCGCTACATGGAACGAGGTGGCGGAGGAGAAAGAGTCTTTGAACACACGCCATCTCGGAGGCCCCTCACGTGTACACGGCAACGATATCTCGCTACGATTTTGGCTTGCTGTTAACCACGACAACAACGAGATGGTGGCTGTCTTGACAATGTCTGTCAAGTCGCGATCAAAGTCCAAGGCTCGCCCGCGCAGCTTCTTCCTTCTCATGCCTGCAGAAGACTTGCGCCTATCTAGTGCAATGCAAGATTTTCATCCCATATCGCTCGATTCTATACCTGAAGCTCTCTTCGAGCGACCCGCCGATGACGTCTCAGCCAAGTCGACACGTATCTTGCACGTATCATTCTCGCTAGGACACAAGCGCAGATCCGGCGCTGTCATGTCCACACGCCCCTACTCTGGTCCGATGCGCGGCACTCCGCTGGCGTTGCTTGATGGCCTCAAGTCTTTATCAGAGGCCAAGCAGTTCGACCTGTATCTAAACTTTAGCTCGTACACTCAAGTCGGCCTCCAACGTATATACGATCAAGTCATGATTCGAAACGTAGCATATTTTACACCCAATCTTGATCTCAAGAGCATGTATAGAGGCGGATGGGATGGTGGCTTCGCCTTGTGGGAGATCCAAGGTTGGCGCGCTGGCGCTGGACATCAAGATGCGCAACCACGGAAGAGAAAAGCATGCTCCCCACCAACGGACGAACATCGCGCTCCACCAGCGTACGATGGATATAGCACACCAGCACCTCCAGCATATGCGCACCCAACGACACTGCCACAACCACAGGCAGAGGAACGACCGGAACGTATTCTTGAACCCTCATGTCACGTATCCACACCCAGCAGTGTTGTCTGCGATAGCGTTGTTCCAGGCATACCAGAAACACCGCGATCAGTACACCCTCTGCTCTTCTCTGACACAATGCCGGAAAAGTCATTTGCTACATCACCAAAAGAAAAGCCATCACCTGTTCTGTTTCCTGCAGTGGATGCGTCAAGTCTGCTACCACTTTACGACCATGAGATGGGAACGTGGCTCTTGACAGCATGGAATCTTGTCCCAAACATCCACTTCACACTAATACACGAGCTACTCGCCATAGCTTCCACAGTCAACAATCAAGACGAATCCGGCTATAGAACTGCACGCATAACGTGTGCAAAAAGACTAGCCATTCGCGTGGCTGATCGCATGCAACATGAGGCTGATGAGAGTGACAACTCCGACGAAACACGACTCAAAAAATTGCGTCTAGAGATCCTGGCTTCTGAGCCTGATAGTATGATCAACTGGCTATTCATGCTGCGATCTGAAGGCGATATACGGTTTATGGAATTACTCGGGAAAATGGAAGTCAGGAAGAGAGTCGCTCTTTCCGTGGTTGATGACCATGACGGGTTCAAAGAGCATGTGGGCTCTTTTATGGTTATGAGAGCTGCGATTGTGTTACAAGCGTTGTGCATGCAGCATCATTCGCGAATTGTAGCAAGACGTATGGCGAGAGCTTGAAACGTCTACCAAAAGAAGCTGCCTGCCTGGATGTGACTTCCTTGACAAGGACGCGCTAATGCGTAGAGTCCCGGCACACAAGTGTGAGTGTTCAGGCACATTGACAGGAAGTCACGACTACTTAAAAAGGTGGATGCGTTATCAGTGTGAACTGCATATCGGCTTCTTTCGATCAACGCTTACAGTCAAGTCGTGTCTTAGGATTATGATTGCCTGCTTGGGTGCGGTGTCACGTACTTCATTAAGTGGCGATAGCCTATCCTCCACCACGCCATTCAAACGATAGATGCCTCGGGACAGAACACTGACCGGTGCCGGTTCGGATCGCCGCGGAACAGCCATTGCAGTCCGCCCTATATCCGGGACTATGCGACTAAATCTTTCCGGACCATGCAAACTCGCAATTACAGCGAGATGAAGCTTACTCAGATGGCTAGGGCTACCAGGAGTCTCAAGGTTCTGCCGAGACAATTAGCCACGTCCCGTCCCAATCCTCAGATTTGTGACAATTGATAGATAAACAAGTACCCCTGGCAAGAAAGCTCTCGGTGTCACTTTCGAGCAGACTTCTGACCATAATGATCAAATTTTTCGTCCTGCTTGTAGTCTATGCATCTTCCGTCGCAGCTTTTGCCTTCAATTCTTACGATGTCGGGTTCCAGGGACTGTACCCTCGTCGGCGCTTCCACACAGTCGACTTTGAGGCTCCCGCCCCGAAGATAACACGATGGGACTCTCGTTGCGACTATAGCAGTTTGTTTATTACACCGAGAGGTCCCTGGGTCTCCGGCGCAGCTCGAGGCCCGGCAATCCTTGACGCGAAAGGGGGACTGATCTGGATGGACAACACGGAATTTACCCAATCGATGAACCTCAACGTACAGAAGTACAAGGGGAAGGACTATTTGACATTCTGGTCGAAGCGCGTCAAGTCGAAGAGTGTAGTTAGGAAGGCCAAGCAGAGCGAAGGTTTTGCCAAGGTCAAGGAGCCGCGGATCTCTTATGTCATGGTGAAATTCCGACCTTATTCCCAGTCGCGCAACGGCCCATATACTGACGCTCCGTTCTCAGCTTGATTCGTCCTACAATGTCGCTTATCGCATTTATCCTCATGGCCAAGGTCTCAAAGGAGACTCGCACGAGCTCCGTATCACTCCGCAAGGCACTGCGATTATACCTATCTATCACAAACGGCAGGTCGACTGCACCGAACTCGGTCTTGGCAAAAGCTGCTGGATACATGATGGCCTTTTCCAGGAAATAGACATCGAAACGGGGAAGCTCATCTTTGAATGGCGCGCCACCGACCACATCAATATGAAAGATGTATTCAGCAGCCCAAACGCCAAAGATGGATATGGCACATCCAAAAAAGATGCTTTCGATTTCTTTCACATCAATGCCGTGGACAAGATCGATTCTGGCGACTACATCATTTCGGCGCGCTACATGCATGCCATTGTGTGTGTCAGCGGCGAGACAGGTGAGGTACTCTGGCAGCTCGGCGGTAAGAAGAACAGCTTCACGGATCTCGACAAAGCTCTCGACTTCTCATGGCAGCACCACGTCACATGGCAGGGCAACAACACGATCTCTTTATACGACAACCATGCCAACAGTGTATTGCATAGCCCATCGATGTACAGCAAGGGCATGATTGTACATCTCAACCTCCAGAACATGAGCGCAAGTCTCGAGCAGAAGTACGTGCACCCAGACAAGATCCTTAGTGTGTCGCAAGGCTCAGTGCAAGTGATTCCGGCAAGTGGGAATGTCCTAGTCGGTTTTGGCAACTCGCCTGCCTTCGTTGAGTACACACGCGCTGGTCAGGTACTTTGCACGGCGCAGTTTGCGCCACAAGTCGCGTTTGAGCTGGTGGATTTCGGTCTCGTCAAGTCCTACCGTGTGTTCAAGCATGCGTGGGTAGGAAAACCTGCCACAATTCCGAGCATCAAAGTCAAAAAAGACAAGGTGTACGTGAGTTGGAATGGTGCAACAGAGGTCAGAGGTTGGCGTCTAGAGACAGCCAAGAAGCGTGAAGGCAGAGCCGACGAATTTGTGACTGTTCAGGAGTTGCGACGAGAAGGCTTCGAGACCTCCTTCACCCTGGATCAAGCCACTGGATATGTCAGGATTGCTGCTTTGGACACAGCACACAACGTGATGGCGCATTCGGACGCTGTTCGTGTCAACGGAAGATCGATGGTAAGCTTGCAGGACACCATCGCCCTATCTTTATGCTAACTCATGAAAGACTCTCATTCGGTTGCTGCTGTTTGCTACGCTGGTTATCTTGTGTCTTTGGGCTCTTCGACGCCAGAGATGGAGGCTGTCTCGTGCGATCGCGAAGCGCTGTCGTTTGACACTTGGGAAAGCTTCTACGTACGGCGCATCTGGACTCAGGCTCATCAGAGGGCGAAGGAAGATATGGACACCTGATGAAGGTCGAACGCTTGAAGCAGAGCCTCTGCTGTACATGGAATAATCTTGAATGTTTTGAATGACACGCTCCGCCGGCAAGCCACAAGATAAGTGGCTCACATCATGTTTCGTTTGAGCTCGACCGATCAGGGCAAGTGACGACCTGGTCAGTCAAAGTTTTAGACCCGCGACAAGTGTCGTTGTCGATGGTCTGTCGTTCGTACCACTGTCATTGTGCATATCAGCGATGCTACCTTGAGCGTTTCAACTTGTATCGGCAACAGATGATTCTTGCCATTACATGCATCCGCGTCGCAATCTTGCCGTCTATCTTCCGGACTGAGGGATTCTTCAACTCCTTGGCAACTGGGTTCGTAGATGTGCTTGGACATGTTGCACCGACGAAGCTATGGAGACGTGCTGCCTTTGCGATAGCTTCCAGATTTTTGGTCTGGGTTCCTTTCGGCTCTACGCTGGTAATACATCTGCAAGCCTCTAACAATGCATCCGAATTGATGTTAGCGACAGGCGAGCTCGTTCATCATGTCAGCGTTGTTCAGCTGAGCTTTTGCTGCAGCCGTTATACCATAGATATAACCAAGATAGAGATATCTTTGGTATGAGATGCTTAGATCAAAGTAGCAAAAGGCACTGCAGAGCAGCAAGCTGAATGGCGGATAGTCCGGGACTCAAACGGGTGCCGAAGGATTCAATTAGTATGTTCAAAACCCATCAGTCTCCATCCTCGAGGCTTAATAACAGACTGCCTAGCGATAGAGAAATTACGCAAAGGCGTCGTGGTGTAGGCGATCAGACAGACAGATGGACGTCGGAACGATTGACATTGTGGTCGCTATACGCAGTTGTCTCGAGTGCATGTTGGGATTCAGGTTGGTATTGTTGTGATTCGAGATATTCATTCAGAGATCTAGCCGAGATTCGACGCGTTCCAGCTTCTTGCCGTTTCACGACCAATGTCGAAGGATCAACCATTCTTTCGGCAAGAGACATCAATAAATGCAATCTCCTTCCAATCAATCGGCTTTGCATTTAAAAAGCCGACTAAAGCTCAGTTAGCACAGCAAATGCGATATTCTGACAACACCCCCATTTTCCGACCTCGGACACACCGAAGTCGAGAAAGGCAGGAGGTACCTCGCGGCTGACTTGGAGCAGAGGTCACCCCTTGGTAAGGAGCTGTCATTGACGAGCACTCGCTCATACAGTACTTGTTTCGACAACGGATGAGAAACACTTCAGGAGCCCGAGATGTGCACAGTAAGAGTTGTATGTATACAGTATGTTGGTGCTCTCATTATGCATCATGACCTGCAGACAGCGTTGAGCTTTTGGTATCGAACCTCTCAAGCAAGGTCGTCGGCAAGCAAAGATTAAGTGATGCCTCGGACAAGACCGGGGGTGATTGAGAGTTGACTTCGTCGTTCCCATCTTCCCGCGGCAAGAACCCCGCACACCATCGTCACTGCCATCATCTCTACCACCAATGTGCTCAGCAGTCGTTTTCAACACTGCTCTCAATACGCCTGTCAATTGTTGAAGACGACTTTGATTTCATCTTCCTCGTAACCACTACAAATCACACACAAGAAATCATGGCATCCCAATACACCGACCAAAATGCCGACAAGGTCAAAGAAGCACACTCTACCCTCTACGATGCAGGTCTAGAAATGCGCAACAAAGTAGCCGGAAAAGAATACGTCGACCGCGCACTTGCAAACGCAACTTCCGATTTTGCTCGTCCTATGCAAGAGGTGATATCCCACCATACCATTACCCACTCTTGTCATACCAAAAGCTCACAAGAATACACAGCTAGCAACAGAAGCAGCATGGGGAAGCATCTGGACACGACCAGGTCTAGACCTCAAGACCAGAAGTCTGTTAAACATAGCAATGTTGTGTGCTTTGAACCGTGGTCCTGAATTGGCTGTTCACACCAGAGGAGCATTGAATAATGGAGCTTCAGAGGTTGAGATCAGAGAAGTGATTCTACAAGCAGCTGTTTATGCTGGTATGCCTGCTGGTATGGAAGGTACGAAAGTTGCTGAAAAGGCTATCAATGAGTGGAAGGAGAAACAGTCGAATTAGATGTGTGGAAAGCTTTGGGTGTGTAATTACTGTGTATAGAAGCAATTGAGCTATCGATGTTTTTTTTTCTTAATAAAGAGTAGAGATCTTGGTACCGCCATCAGGGAGCTTAGCCCTCAACACAGCTCCAGGATGTATTCTGCCATCGACGCCAAAGTTCCAATCAGGCTGGTAAGGCAGCTGGTTGATGTTAATGTAGATGTAACCATCTGCGCCAACAGTAGCACCGTCAGGCCACAAGATCCTAGGATCTCTGAGCAAACCATGTGTTTGACCATCGTTAGGATCGTAATAGTAAACAGCATTTTGCTCGGGAATGAGTTGGAAGATCTTTCCAGTGCTGTCACCTTCGAAGCCATTGGCGTCTCCACCACGCTGGCCGTGTGAGGAAACATTACTGTGAGCCCAAATCTCTGCTAAAGGATTGCTGTCTCTTTCACGGAGATTGGCAGATGGAATGGAGTAGAGGCTCTTGGAGGTGAGGGGAGAATAGTAAGCTGTCTTTCCATCTGGCGAGAGCTGGAGACCATCGAGACCTTCTTGTTGCCAACTAATGGGCTGTCCGAGTTGGCGGAAGTAGAATGGCTTGCCGAAGTAGGTGGGTACATCGTTGGGAACGCGCAAGACACTGTGGTCCTGGTTGAGTCTGCGCCATGAATCGCCGGTTGCGAGGTCCACCATGATAAATCCCGTGCGCCCTTCGTTACTGCTGTCGACGAGGTAGGCAATGCCTTCTCCAGAGGTACCGGATACGTTGGCTCTCAAGTCGAAGCGAAGATCGTTGAGGTATGAATCAGGGTAGTGGACCGTACTAGGGAAGGTGTACGTCTTGTAAATCGTATCGTTGGCAAGTGAGATGGCCATGAGCTTTGGTCCGCCAGGTTGGGCGTAGGGCATACTGGGATCTCCAGCCGCATTGTGCACAGTAGGTCTTCCGGTATCCAGGATCCAGAGTGTCTCTGGTCGTGTAGAGGTCTCGGGTGTGATGTAGAGAGCTTGGACAGATACGAATGCAGAACTGTTTCCACTGCCAAATGCGATGCCATTCCATGTCATGTTCAGGCTGTCAAGAGGCAGCTGAAGATCTTGAGATGGGTAGGGCTTCTCAGCCGTCTTGTTAACCACCTCCCCTACAGTATACTCGTAGTCTCCACGGGTGTAGGATACGAAGAAACGTCCAGTCGATGAGATGGCAAGACCAATCGGCCATTGATCGTAGTAGTAATGGTACTCTTCAATTTCAGGACCATAGGTTCCATTATCAACCCGAAGGATGGTAGAGGACGAGTTTTGGAAAGTAACCTGCTGGGCAACGGCACCAGCTACCAGCAACGAAAGGGTGCTGAGATACTTCATTACGGCGGATGGGAGTTGAGATCAAAGAGTGGGAGGCAGAGCATTCGCAATATATAGAAGGACGGCAGCATGCCCTACATACATCATGCAGCAACGGTAAAACATAGCGTCATGCCACTCTCAATTGGAAAAGCATTATTGTCGGTTGATTCAATGTTTTATTTTCCCCTCATCACTCAGGCACGCATGACGTCTTTGAAATGTATCTGCCGTGGAGATGATCAGCAAGTCCGGGGAGCAGCCTGTCAAAAACCCAAGTCGAGCTTCGCGCGAAACGGCAGAAGCGGCTCTTCCGTGCTCTTCCTTGCAGATCAAGCGCTGCGTCTCTTGTCGATCGTGAAACGTGCTGCAATACGTTTATTGCTTGATCTAGAGCTTTTGATGCTGTGGCATTAGTCGACAAAGCGAGATGCTCTTTGAAGCTTGGTGTGGAGTGACAAGAAACTCTTGGAGCACGAAGATGGTAGAGGCAATGCGGCACGAAAGGAACTCGGATGCTCGTATCTCGTAATTATGGGCTGTGGTTATCGATGACAGAATAAGAGGATGTCACTCTCGCAGCCCCATACAGTATAACGGTGGGTCATAACAATCCTTAGCAAGAGTGATCAAAGCCATCTCCTACTGTACTTCTTCAACCATCTTGACTGGTGCTTTCCAGCCGTTGCTTAGCATTTGTCCTGCTGGCTGACCTTCTTCCAGCCATTCTGAGGGCACGCCGACACGGCTTCCATCCTTGTTGTTGACGTATCGCACAAAGAGCGGGTTCGCGGGATTGTAGTATTCTTCGCCATCCTCGGTGTACATTGGTGTCCCTTCTGCAGCATTTTGAGCAGCAATGATTTCGGCGCGAGTTCGACGCTTAGTGGCGGGTTTCTTGAGTAGCTTGTTGATAGTGTCCATCTGCAAGATGGTGTCAGTGGGAGGCAGGTAACCATGTTGGCGGAGCAGAGACGAACCTTTTCTTCCTCATTGCGCTTCTCAGACAAGTTCTTCCTTCGTCTTGCCATCTCGGCTCTTCGCATGGCGTGCTCCTCTGCCGTCAGATGCTTTTTCTTCTGGGCCTCATTAGAGAGAGCCATGAGACTTTCGTCCTGCTCTTCATCGTAGACTGCACGTTGACGGCGAGTCATCTTTGTCAAATCCAGTGTTGCGTCGCCGTCCTCGCCTTCGAGCTCGCTATCAAGGTCTTCCTCGTCGTCTTCGGCACCCGGTTGATCCTCATCGCCGGATTGCAGATCAGACAGTTCATCGTCGTCATCGTCGTCTTCATCGTCCAATTCCTTGTCTTCGACACTCTTGAGATTTCCTTTGCGCGGTGGTGCCGAAACAGCAAGATTGACTTTGGGCTTTGAGTTCGTGGAGGAAGTGGCTGGGAGGACGCGAATAGTTGGGGTTGGCGGATGAGGAGAGTCCATGTCCATATCATCGGCGTCAGCGTCAGCATCTTCGTCGCTGCCCTCAGCGTCCATCATGTCGGTGTTGTCCATGCCATCTTCTTCTCCATCGGCATCCTCTTCATCGTCTTCTTCGTCATCGTCGTCGTCCTGGTCTTCGTCGGACTCATTGTCGAGCACAGTACGAGGGTTGCGGGTGGAGCGAGCAGTCCTCACAGGGGGTTCAGGGGAGTCGTCGGCATCAGGGTAATCGGACTCGGGATCGTCGCCAGAGATAGCCTGGCGCAACTTGCTGGGAGGAGCCTTGACAGTGATGCGCAGGTGATGGGAGTCGTTTGTTTGTCTGTTTATGCTGGCTGAAGTGCTGTTGGGCGCAGTCAGTCGAGAAGTCCCAGCTCTGGTTGATCTAGTCGAGCGGGTGGGAGGCATTTTGGGCAGAGCAGATAAAGTTGAAGAACGACAAGGACTGGGGGTTTTGATTTGGGCTTTGTTTGTCAGACGCGCTTGCGCGATAGTCGCTGAGTGGCTGTTGAATAAGTGCGACTTGCCGCTCCTGCTCACTCTGCTTCTTGCACTCAACGCGACGTGAAGCTTGACCTCAGACGCAAGCTTGGAAGCCGTTTGCTCGTACAAAGCATCAACAAGACTAACCTGTTGTTTGATGGATTACTCCTCGGTGGAGCAGCCATGGTTCTGTTTCCATATGCTCCTCCAACTGGGCTTCCGTCAGCACCCTTTTGTCTCTTGTTTGTCGGCGTAGACATGTCTAAGCGTCCCCAATGTTGTATACGCGAAAGAATGTCGGCGCCGTATAATTGGTTGGACCGGTATACGAAGACCAAAAGCTTCCTCTCGATCCCGTCACCAGCATGTGGCTGAAGTCCGGCCGCTGCCCCACAATTCAGTCATGCCGAGGCATCGTCGAGGCTATCGCTCAATGGCACATGATAGTCCGATATTGAAACACTTAGCACCACATTCCTTCATCAACGACCAACATGTCAGAGAAGAAGGGCCTACCAGCATGGCAACGTCGCGCCGCCGACCCATCCATCCAAGCACCGAGTTCAGAACATGACGCTACCCCGTCCGCCATTGATCGAGTCCGCAAGTTCCTCCAGGACCCGGCGGTCAAGGACGCCTCGCCCGATAAGAAGAGGGCCTTCTTGCTGTCCAAGGACATCTCGGAAGACGCCATAGACCGGCTCATGACTTCGGCAGACTCTGAGCGCAAGGACACAGACGCCGACAAGGACACTGCGATACAAGACGCAACCGGATCAACTACCGACGCCTCGACCGAAGCTGCCCAGCAAGAGTTCGACGCAAGCAAGACGACGCCACAGCCACAGGCATATGTCAGAACCACAGACGGCTCGCAAGATGCTGCAAAGCAAGAGTTCGATGCCTCCAAGGCCGTCTCCTTCTCGCCCACAGAGTTCAGAGCCGCAAACCCGTCTACCACCCCTGCACCACCACCACAGCAGCCACGACGAGACATACCTCCTATCGTCACCTATCCTGAGTTTCTCGTCCAACCTCAAAAACCACCGCCACTCGTGACTGTGAGCCGCCTTATTAACGCGACATATATAGCAGGTGCCTTGACCGCATCCGCTTATGCTTTGTCAAAATACATCATTGCTCCCATGGCTGACAACCTCAATGATGCCCGGCATGATCTATTTGAGCACACGAGTGATTATGTGGACGACTTCAACGACAGACTGTCCGAAATCGTATCCACAATTCCCTCACAGGCAAAGTCCTTCCTGCCTAACACTGCCGAATCCGCAGACTTTGACATGGAAAGTGTCACCTCGGATCCTACTGAGCTATTTCACCGTGATGTCGGCACCCAGACTTCACCATCCCTTTCTCGTCGTACGAGTCTGTCCTCTGACACTGATGTGGTCAAGGTCAAACCGGATACTGTTCCTGTCAAGCAAGCCACACGCCTTGAAATAATCAAATCTCATTTAGCAGAGCTCCTCGAAGGCACCGAGAGCAACGGAGCCAGCAATCAGACATTACAGGAAAGCGTCGGCGAAACAAGACAGTATCTTGACGGCCTCTATTACACACCTCCATCATATTCATGGAATGCCGATAACACACTCAACACAAATGGTGCCAAAGACAAACAGCCTGACGCAGCTGTGGCATTGAAAGCCGAGATTAGGGGTGTCAAGGGCGTCTTGCTCAGCGCGAAACGTTTTCCCTCGGTAGGAAGAGTTGGCGCTTGAGTCCTACTACCCAACAGGCGATGACCATAAAGTCTTGTCGACCTTGGACTGCACTGTTTCGCCACTCTCACATCACGGGAGCTCGCTCACGACAGCACGCTTCTCAACCTCAAATTCAGCCCTTGAAATCCTGTTTCTAATTAGAATTTTGGTATCCAAAGATGCTTGCAGTGGGAAGGCTCCTTGATGACTGGATGTCAAGGATGCGCAAACCTTGGACTGAATATACAGGCGCCACGTCAGTTGCATTCGGGATACAAGCTAGTGGGTGAGACGGCATTGGCACAAGTTTACCAAAAGCCCTAAGACGCCTCGAATCCTTGGTGACACAACTCTTGAGTACCTCTGCTGGGCCTCATTATCCCACCAAAGCTTGGAACTCTTGAGCACATACGCGTTTCCCAGCTGAGATGAATAATGAAGGACGACCAATCGAATAACCTCTTATGTGTTTCTTCCGTGTTTTGTCCTGTGCCCGACTGATCCGAGGACCACCGCAGATTCCAAAGCCGTATCACAACTTGTCAATTGACTCCAATGTGATTTTGTTTCCGAAGACCCGCATCCTCGTACGTAGAACACGTATTACGCGCGGCTCTGCCATATATTGTTCCCCTCTTCCAACTATTGGTGCAAGAAATCAGGGTTTTTGTTCCTTGGAAGATCCACTATTGTACGCAGATAAGCATTTACCAAGCTTTTGGCGAATGCTTGTCTTCCAGTCGTGGAGGGGTTCTGGCAGCTTTTTCCAAGGCTTTTCTGTCGTCATTCTTCCGTGCGAACCGGCTCCCCGTGTGTTAGGTCGCTTCCACTCCTTCCTTAGCAGGACAGAGTGAAAGTGAGCTGTGGGAAGGCATTTGGGACTGTGATCAGAATATGTTTGCGTAGAGAGTTTTCGAGTCAGAGGCTCTCATGAACGTCGCTCAATGTCGAGGAAATGTTGTGCCTCGGTGCAGCCAAACGCGTCATGGCAAGATACAGCGAAGTCCCTCAGGCGCGGCTGTCACTTTTGACGCCAACAGTGAGGCCGCGTCAGCGAAGTAATACGGTTGCAGGAACGTTTGTGGCTTCGAGTCTAGCTTATAGGACATGCCATGGCAGCCACACGAGAAAAGTGTCTCTTACCATGCATTCAGCTTCCACACTCCCACAGACAACTCCGTACAATGTCTCTATCAGAAAAGGTTGAAGGTCTCTGTCGTAATCCTCACAGTGTCTCGCAGGCGCTAGCCGAGGATCCCACCCTATCGCCGGGTGAAGCTGCGAAAAGGCTCTATCACCCCGACAATATCTCGATCAGCGAAGGTCATGTACCTTCGAAGAGAGCTCCAGCGACTGATGAGGAGCTCGAGCGCGCTATGCAATGCGGAAAGTTCACCACTCAACCTAGTGAATTGTTCCTCAGAGTCTTCCATGACAGCTTGATGCCATTGGAGCATGATCCTCTGATGGGCTGCTGCAGTCCGTCGCTGGTCGGCTCATCGGGCACATGCCCATTGACCATCATCTCGGGTCTGCCAGATATCTGCAGACACATGTCCAATCTGATTGCACGGGCGGAGAAGGAGGTGCTTCTTGCAACAAACTACTGGATGGACTCGGATGCCTCGCGACTCATCACTGATGGTCTCAAAGAGCTATCAAGACGTGCTGGTGAGAGAGGTGAACGTGCCGTCGTCAAGATTATGTATGACCGAGGCAACGTCAAGCAGGTATGAGATCTACTTGATTTTCTTGATCAACGGACGCTAAGTACAGGTTCAGGTTATGGACAACCACCAAACTGTGCTCGAACCGGAGTATACCGGCAAAAACATCCGTCTACCTTCGACCAAAGAGGCGCCTAATCTTGACATGCAAGTCTTGAACTACCACCGACCAATGCTTGGAACCTTCCACTCCAAGTTCATGGTCGTGGATCGTAGAGTGGGTGTTGTAAGCTCGAACAACATTCAAGACAACTCGAACATGGAAATGGTAAGTTGGGGTGAAATTCTGATATGAGAGACTAATAGCTGACACGCCATCCAGATGTGCCATGTGGAAGGACCTATCGTTGACTCTCTCTACGACACTTTCTTGATCTCGTGGCACAATCCCCTGGAGCCAATCTTGCCGTCTCGTAACACACCAGCCGTTCAAGGAGGATTACCAGCATTCGACCAGGCCTCATTCCGCGGCATGTTCGATGCCAACGGCGAACTCAATGTCCCAGAACGCGGTAACAGTCGTTCGTTGTCTGAAATTGCAGAAGCCGGCAAACGTGAGGTTCTGCCGCTACATGCTCCTGGCGATCCACACTATGATGTAGACATCGCAGCTGAAGTTACTCGCATGCAGTCTGTCATGTCACCTCGGGACGGCGAGACAGGTCCACAAGTGGCAGCCCGCCATCTCAATCGCGGCAGACATCTGGATCTCAAGACAACCATCGAGGGTGAGTACGAGGTCGGCGAGGAGATGACACCGTACATCCCACACAGAGTCCACAAGCTTGTACCCATGGCCTTGGTGAACCGCAAGCCATACGGTGCAACCAACCACAATGGTGTATACATGCCCCAGAACGAGGCCTGGCTATCCGCCGTCCGCAACGCACGTCGTTCCGTCTTCATCCAAACACCCGACCTCAACGCCGCGCCTCTAATCCCCGAACTCCTCGCCGCAGTGCGTCGTGGCGTGGAAGTAACATACTACGTATGTCTCGGCTACAACGATGCAGGCGAACTCCTCCCCTTCCAAGGTGGCCACAACGAAGGCGTAGCAAACAAACTCTACACTTCCCTCACCGCAGATGAGACCGCTGCCCGTAATCTGCTTCACATCCACTACTACACCGCCAAAGACCAAATTGGTCCCATCCACGACAGTTTCAAGCAGCGCTCCTGCCACGTCAAACTCATGATCGTGGACGAACAACTCGGTATCATGGGCAATGGCAACCAAGACACGCAATCCTGGTACCACAGTCAAGAAGTAAACATCATGATCGACAGTGCCGAAATCGTGATGAAATGGCGTCAAGGTATTGAGAGAAACCAGAATACTGGTAAGCTTGGCAGGGCGAGCAATGTCGATGGCATTTGGCGTGATGCGCAGGGTCAACAGGCCAAAGGAGCTATTGGCGTCGACGCGGGAAAAATGAGTTGGGCCAAGGGTATTGTGGGTGCTGTGCAGAGGGTCAGAGGCGCTGGCGGTTTCTAAGCCAAAGCCGAGGAAGTATGGAGGAAAGATCGGTGAGAATGGTAATGATGGTATGGCTGGACGTGGCATGATACTCGAAGTTTTTCCTAGTTTTTGCTTTCCTAAGATAGCTATGGTTTATCCTGATAATGACGAGAAAAAGGAAGATATTGCTTACTAAGTCCTTCTCTTGTGGCCTAACGTGGAATTCGATGATGGCCCTTTCTCCTCCGTACGCTCTTTTGTCCTGCAAGCATACATCGCGCTTTCTCTGACGATTGAGCTGTTCCTTTTCCAGTAGATTGAGTCATCTTATTTTCAATCAGTCATTGATGGGATGGTTGCATTCCTTGAGAAGTTGCATTGAGAGTCGCTCCTCTTCATCTCGGCGATTATATCGCAGGAGTCGCTCTTGCCTTTTTGTGCAATTGGCTTCTCCTGCGTGATGGAAGCGGGTTTGCTCCTTCTCCGTTATAGACCGATGGTATCTCTATTGGCAGGCCATCGCAAAGATTAGTCGCTCTTTTCTTACATATGCATACATATGCACGATGAGGTTGAAAGGGAAGTTCTGGAAAGGAAAAAATGAACGTTCTCATAAAACAATACTAAAAATCGACAAAATGCCAACTAATAATCACTACCTCTACCACCTCCCCCACCCTTCCAACCTCTACAAACTCTCGCAGAGACTAGATTCTACGCAGGAGTAGCCTTACTCATAGCAACCAACCTCTTGACTCCCACCATCCAATGAGCACCCTCTGCTTCCAGCTTAACCTTCATCATCTCGGTGAGAACGGCAGTGGCACGGTCAAAGTCTCTAGCTTGCAGTGCTTGTGCTATCTCGACTAGCATGGCGATAGTGTCGGACTTGACCAGGGTTTCGTTGTTGAGGTGGTCGAAGAGGATGTTGAGACGCTTTTCTGCATCGTTGACGGGGGCGATGAAGGAGGCCGGGGCGCGGGACTTCACACGTGCCATGTCTGCGGACAGAATCTCGTAGACTGGCATGGCGTTGCTGGGGATGTGGCTGCGGTCACCAGGGGCTAAAATTTGTGATTAGCACATGGGTTCAGTGACAAAGAACGAATAGTTCAGAACTTACGATACTTGGCGGCTGCAGGTGCGGATCTCTGAGACTGTGCGGTGCTGGGCCGAGAAGGCATCTGTTGCGGAGCAGCTACTGCCGGAGGCGGGGTGGCCTGTGGCGGTGCAGCTTGAGGTGGTGCGGCTCTGGGTGGGCCTTGAGGAGGACCACGAGGCGGCCCCTGTGGCGGCGGTGGAATAGCCTGGGGCGCGAGAGGCTGCGACGGCGTGGGCACTTGACCATATGGCGTTGCCGGTGCTCTCGGCGCGTATGCAGAAGCTGCGGGCGCGTATGGTGAGGGTGCCGCAGCGCCGTATGGGTTGGGTGGTGGGGCAACATTACGTGGTAGCGGCATGCCACCGACTGCAGGTGTGGGCTGAGACCCAGGTGCCGGTGCGTATCGGTTGCTAGCAGGACCGCTTGCTGTTGTCGTTGGAGGAGGGTTATAAGGAGAAGGACCACGGCCAAGGGGAGGAGCTTGCTGTGGCGGAGGCAGCATCGAGGCGGAAGGCTGTTGTACTGAAGCTGGGGTGTATGCGTTTGACGCAGCCGAGATGGGACGCTGGATCTGTGGAGGACCTGAAGGCGGTGACATGATGCGAGGAGGCATCTGTCCTGCCTTAGGTGGCGGAGGCAAAACTGCAGCAGGCTGCTGGCCGTATGCGCTGCCGGGAGGTGGAGGTGACATCACAGGAGCGTTAGGGAAAGGAGACGACATAGCAGCCACGCCGGGGGTACCTCTTCTCGAAGGCTGAACCGGCTTGGAGAATCCTTCTGGCAAGTCGTTCCACTGCTGCGTCTCACCCTTCTTTGGCGGAGGAGGCACGGCGCTGGGTGTTATACCACGAGGAGGTGCGATGGGGGCGGCGGGTGCTCCATAAGGTCCGGGCTGACCATAAGCCGAGGTCTGCTGAGGCTGGTATCCCATAGGAGCGTAAGCTTGTGCAGGAGGTGCGTATGGGTTTGATACAGCAGCAGGTTGGGCGGCGCCCGGAGGAGCGTAAGCGTTTGGCACACCAACAGGACCAGGAGTCGACATGATGCCGCCACTGGGAGCGTACGGGTTTGCAGCAGCGAGTGGCGCTGGTGTAGGAGCGCCAGAGTAAGGAGCCACAGGCGCGGCAACACGAGCGGCAGCTGCAGGCTGTCTCTGGACCTGAGGCACGACAGGCTTTGTTCTGTTGGCAAGCTTGACTCTTTGTTGAGCCACCTCTGCGGCAGGGTATTTGGAAGGCAGGAGATCCAGATACTTCTCGGCAACCTGCAATTGACCGTGACTGGCCAGAATATCGGCGTATTCAGTGTACTTTGTGTATAAAGGAGCAAGCTTGAAGTTCTCGGTTGACTGACGGTCGGCGTCTTGGAAGTTTACAACTTGACGGAAGACAGTGACCTTCTCGATGAAATCTTGCAGAGTTCTGGCGTGAACTGAGAAGCCAGTCTCGCCGTCGGCTGCTTCCAGACCTGCACTCTCTTTCTCCTGCAGCTCCTGGGCCCAGATGGTAACAACCTTCTCAAGCTTAGATCCAGCAAGGAAACAGAACGAAGCATCTCTTCTCAAAGTTCCCTTGTCGGCAGATTCTGAAAGCGACTCCTCAAGACGATCACCCAGAGCTTCGCACAAGTCAGAGAATTCGGTCTCGTCAGCGAAAGTGCACAGCGTAGCCATGACCTCCTTCCAGTTGGATAGATCAGCGTTGTGAACAACGTCCCACAAGTTCTTGCCCACAATCGAGGCCAGAAGGCGGAGGTAGTTGGGTCCCTTGGCCTTTTGTTTCAGATAAGCGGTCTGTACTTTGTCCATACACTTCTGACCACCACAGATGGCGATCATGAAAGCATCCGACATGCGACCATCCTTCAGGCAAACGTCGAGAGCAGATTCAAAATTACCGAGCATGAGAGCACGTGTGATGTTCTTGTCTGCGTCTGATTCTTGACCGCTGACGATGTGGAAAGGCTGGTTTGTCTTGGCGCCCTTGGTCGCTGCAAGATCGGCCAGGAAGTTATCGCCATCTTCTCCATCAGCGGTGTCGTTGCCGAAGAAGCTGTTCTCATCATCGTCTTTGGGCTTCTCAACATCACCGTTGACACTGATGTCGGCGGTCTTCTGCGCAACATCGGTCTCATCGGCAAAGCCAAGGTATTCTCTCAACTTCTTTCTCGACTTTCCAGCGTTCAGTGTTTCGATGACCTGCCAGTCTGCCTTCTCTTCCTCATTGGTCGCAGCAGAGATCTTCGATTCGCAGATACTGGCCAGATCACCTCCCTTCAAGGACTCTTCAAACTTTTGAGAAGCCTCAGTAAAGGCAGAGTCGACAGCGAAAGTGTCAATGGTGACAGTCGATTTTTTTGAGGTGGCGTCGGTTGCGAGCCTGACGAGCTTTCCTCCGAAACCGAACGACACGCCGGCAGGGCGTTGCATCCACTTGGGGGCCTTGGGCAAAGAGAAAGTAACGTGCTGAGGTTGGCTCTGAACCTGGTTGAAGAAGTCGTCGCTTTCCAAATCCTGCTGAGCAGCCGTCTTCTCATCACTCTCAGCATTTGTGTTTTGGATGGTTTGGACGGCAATCTTGCCATCGAAGGAAGCAGTGGCGAGAAGACCAGGGTTGTGAGGGTTCCAACGAGTCTGGAAGGTCGAGTTCTTGACAACAGGGAAGTCGCCGTACGACTCACCAGTCTGGGGGTTCCAAGCAACTGTGCGATTGTCCTTTCCGCATGACAACAGCAGGCTTGAATCTTGCAAACACCATGACAGAGAAAGGACACCGAGTTCGTGACCACGGAGAATGCGCTCAGGGGCGCTGGAATTGCGCAAGTCCCACATGAGGATCAAAGGATCCTGATCATTGGGGATGGCAGTCATGAGCTTTGTTGCAACATCAGGATCCCAGGCAACAGCGCTGACAGGCTTGCGACCAAAGTTGTTGAGTGTCAAATTCTCCTTCTTTTGTCTAACGTCCCAAATGGTGACGAAGCCTCCGCTTGAACCAGTGGCCAGAATATGAGGAACCTTTGCGCCCTTGTTCCAGTCCAAACATTCGTAATCGTCTGCTCTCGCGGCACCTCCACCCAGTCTGAAGGGATTTGCAATGTTGTTCAAGTCGTAAATGAATAGTTCGCCCTTGGCACCAGCTGTCGCAAGCAGATCGTGTTTCGAGTGATTGAATTGGACAGCCTTGACGGCTCCTGAGTGCTTTGTGGTCCGAGACATGAACGAGTCGGATGGGCTGGATCGGAGTTTCTCGGCGTCCCAGAGATCGAGAGAGCCATTTTCGAGAGCACCAGCAATGATACCACGAGAGCGATCGGCAGTAGGTTGGCTCCATGCAATGTCGTAGAATCTATAGGCGCATTAGAGCTATAACGTGTCTTGTTGTGGGGTACGCACTTGGAGTCGGTTGAAATGCTTCCAACAGGGGACAAATCAGTAGTGGCATCGATCTGGTCTAGTTGCAGGTCCCAGAGCTCGAGGTTTGTCTCGGTCGAGAAGTCATCGTCTACAGCGCCAGCGCGGGTTCCGGTAGCGATTAATGGCGGAGCTGAGCCGGGCGACCATGCGAAGGCCGCAGTGCGAGGAATCTCGCGCAATCGAACCATTGTCGAGTCTTTATGAGCAGCACACCTTAGGTCCGTCCAAGCATGCAACAAACAAAGGGAAAGCGCGGTGGGATGGTGGAAAGGGGCTGGCTATGGGATAATTCTTGACCAGCGTTACAAGGGAGCTCCGGCTTGCCCTTCGTCACACCTGGCCTCCCGCCTCCCGCCTCAATCTGGGGCTGCATCGCTGCCCTCGCCTTGGCATCAGAGATCCGCTCCGCTCTTTTGTTGCATGTCGTCAAAAACTATCAACGCCAACCATATCGATCGATACATCAACACAACTTCAAACCATGTCTGACGCACCGAGACCGAAGGCCACTGTCTTTGTCGGAGGCTTGACCTCTGCCGTCGACAGCCACACTCTACACAACGCCTTCATCCCATTTGGTCCAATCGTCAATATTTCACTACCCAAGCCAGAATTACCATCAAATCCTGAACCGCATCGTGGTTTTGGTTATGTCGAATTCGAGAGTCCTCAGGATGCCCAGGAGTCAATCGACAACATGGACCAAAGCGAACTTTTCGGTCGTGTCATCAAGGTCAACCTAGCCAAGGAACAAAAAGCCGAAGGAGAAGGCCTTGGAAGCAAGACTGCAATTTGGGAGCAGGTCCGTATTCCCATCATTTCCATCGACCCGACAAACATGCTGACTCTGACATAGGAGGGATATCTTGCAAAGCACGCAGTCAGTGATGAGGATCGAATGGCAGCACAAGGTGATGATGACGGCCAAAATGGGCCCATGGACCCAATGCAGGGGCTTGAAGGTCTCGACGTTGCTGGTCCTCAGCAGGCTTGAAGATCTTTTGATTTGTGTTAATCATAGCGAGGCGTTTGGCGTATGCGAAAATTATTCGCAGCATCACAGGAAAGGGAAAAGGTCACGGCATGCTTGATGCAGTTGTTCATTTTTGGAGAACCATGCTATCCTCGTTTCACCAATGTCTTTATCAGGCTTGACCTATAATCAACTTTGCAGATAACGATCTATATTTGGAGCTGAGAGTTCCTCGCTACTGATGAGTGATTGTCTGTAGTGCTCTGGCCTGTTCATGCCTAGTGTCGCGAGTTCCAAGCTGTTTATCGAGACCATGTCTTGTGACGTCTGGAAGTAATAGAGCTAGCTGGCTCAAGCAGATATGAGTATGGTCGTGCGGTATCAGATTCAGATCGAACGATTGCAGGTCTTTACATTTGTCATGCCAGATTATCTTTCGCATGGAACAACAAAGATAAGGCCACGATCAAAACACAGTCAAGAAACGGGCTATTGAGATGCCGCGGAGTGCAGAGAACAGGGTATAGCGCATGGCATATATCAATGCTCCAAGATGCAAAAAAGAATACAGTCTGACCATGAGACATTTTTGACGTATGCTACAACGAGACTCTGATACAAGAACCGGCGCACTGGCACACTTCGTGATATGATGTTTTACAAGTATGCATTGCTTCTCGTCAATCTAGTGGGAGGGCTTGGTGTCCGAGGGAGACGAAGCCTGGTTGTGGCCTCTGGATCTGTACAGGCGGAGGGTACCGTCGGTGAAGAGCTTGCGGATAAGGGAGTAGGCGGCAAAGCTGATGGCGACGCTATTGGGATGTTAGGTGACTGAGTTGGATGGTTTTGAGAGTTGTTGGGCTTACGCAAGGACGACACCTGGATCACAATTGTTAGTCGCAGACAGTGAGATAAGATCAAAGCACACATACCAATGGGAATCAACTCTGGGGGAATCTTCTTGAGAGTACGAAGACGCTGGGAGATGGTGTGTGCTATGGTTTGGCGTTAGGTCGCAATGCTCGGTAGAGAGGCATATTCTAGTGAAGGCATACCGCTGTGCTCCTCCTTCTGCAATTGAGCATTAGTAACAGATTAATTCGAGCCGGAGGCTTGCGCATATGGACGTACGGGGACGGGCGCTCTCAGCTTAGGGGTGTTCTTGAGGCCGCGGGTCTGCTGGAAGATGCGGGCGGCAGGACGAGCCTTGACAGCCTGCAGGGCAGGAGCCTGGGCGCGCAAGGCGGAGGCAAACACACGACTCGAGATCATGTTGAATTGGGCTATACACAAGGGTAGAAGGAACAGATTATAGCACCGCGTGAGGTCAGCAGAGCTTCAATCTGGCGGAAGCAAACTGAACCTGGGGCCGAGCAGCCAATCAGCAGCCGCGTCGCACCCGAGTTGAGGAAACCACGCCAAGACAATCAAGTGCGACCGAGCGATCGAAGACGACTCTTGCTTGCTCGCGCAACAGCTCTCGCATCCCACTACCCATCTCCCCTCAATTACCCTTCAAAACTAATCACAATACCGCAAAAATGGCCGACGATGAGGACAGAGTTACCATGCCCTTCAAGTTCGTGACTGGTACGCAAACGCCCCTTCTTCCATGACTAGTGCTTCCAATGCTGACTGACGTGATTGTAGCGGGTACGTCTTTCCCTATACCATGCGCCGCCACCACCACACGTTCTACTCGTCTACCATGCTCCCTCACCGCTCCCTTCTTCCGCCGATCATACGCACCTCTCAGACCCAGATGATTGACACGCCACTCAGGCTTCGATGCGCGCTTCCCCAACCAGAACCAGACCAAGCACTGCTGGCAGAACTACGTCGACTACCACAAGTGCATCCTCGCCAAGGGTGAGGACTTCAAGCCCTGCCGTCAGGTACGCTCGTTCCACATTCGAACACCAATTGTCAAACAACACATGTCTGACGCGCACATAGTTCTTCCTCGCCTACAGATCCCTCTGCCCCAGCTCGTGGGCCACAAGATGGGACGACCAGCGTGGTAAGTTCTTGCCACATACATCATCTGGACTCTGCAAGGGCACACGACTCATGACATACCACAGAGAACGGCACTTTCCCCGCCAAATTGGACGAGTAAACGCCTGTTCATGCGTGACGAAACAATTCTGCTTTGGCAATTTGGGCTTCAAGTCTCCTCTACTGTCGATAGCATCCATTATTGAGGACATAATCCAATTGCTTACTTCTTTTGCTGACCGCTGTTCGTCTTGACATGGTAGCTTCAAGATTGCATGCACTGTAGTTCAGCCAGTCGATCCAAGCACTGGACATTGGTTTGTTCGCCATCTCTTCTCTCATGCCTCTCATCATAGCACCCTCCACGCACACTCTCCACACATACACATATACACACAAGGGCAGCTATCAGGACGGCGCACAAGTTAATTCACTATAACTCAAATGCGTATCAATTCTCTGCCCGAGAAAAAACCGGTCGATCTGTTGGCACTTCCGACGGGGCGACATGGATGTAGCTCTCTTTATCCGTTATATACCTCTTTTACTCGGGACTCGTCTGCTATGCAGGGGTTCTATCTCCATGGGAAAGAGGTCTGAGATGTTGAGGCTGACATTTCTGTTCTATCTTTTGTGCACTTTTTTTTCTCTCAAACCTACAATCTAAAGTTCTTTCGACGTACCTCTCTTGTTTTCAAATATGTTTCTGCCTTTTTACGTGGGGATGTGTTTGTTATTGCCTTGCTGGAGAGAGGTATTGGCTGTTGCGGTGGAGGTGCCATGTTGTTGTGTTGTGCCCTTCTTCGAGCTTTCACCGATGATCATCGATGATCATCTAGATCTTGAATTGGTTTCTGCATTCCGACAGCTCTTGTTTTGACCAGCACCTTCTGCTGAGATATGGTACATCTCTTTGACCCGGTGTCTCGCCACTGCCTCTCCCCAGACGTTGTCCAGACTTGTGAAAATGTTCATGCCTTTTTACAGCCCCTTTTCCGCGGTCACTCTGCACGATGAGCTACTACTACATCCTCCGCCAAGACTCCACAGTATCCCGGGCTTCCGACCATCGACTCCCCAATCATTGCGTGTAGTCAGCGTTTTACACGATATCGGGGACACGATTAACGAGCGATGGACTACTTGAGAATCTTGTCATCGGCCTGGTGATGGCGCGTATACACCGTGGGCGATGAGACGGAGACAGCACAGAAGCACTGAATGGCACAGCATCTCGGTGGGCACCCGGTAAGGGCGTATGGCGACTGAGGTATGAGAAGAAGGGTTACATTGGCACAGCAGGGAAACCTTATATATCCTTCTCCAAGACAGCAACCCAGCATGTAAAAGGAAAGCAATGGTGGAAAAACTGGACGTGAAAATGGGATTCGTAAGAGAAAGACCAAACGCTATAGAGAAAGAGAAGACTAAGCCTTGTACAAACAATCCAAGAAACCGGCAGCCAAATCCTCAACGATACTCTTATCTGGTAATGCTCCAGCAACACCGTAGAGAGCGGCTGCGTCGCCCTTTTTGAGTGGTTTGCCTTTGCCTTCTACAATGGCTTGTCTTTGCTTTTCTCTTTCCTCTTCTACGCAAGCTTCGAGATCGTTGAGAAGCTCGTCGACTACAGGAACAATGGGGAGGGTGACGGCGACATGGATGGCAGCAGGAGATTGCAGAGCATTCAAGTGCCAGCCCTTGCTACTCATGCCATCGGCAATGTTGTAGATATCCAGGGTGTCAGAAGAGAAAGCCACCACTGAGACCAGGGGTTTACCGAGGATATAGAGGTCGTTGCGGAGAGTGTCCCTGCTGCGAAGACCTTCTGCCATCTTCTTTGCCGCACCGACGATTTGGTGGCAAGACGTGATGTAGCCAGCCTCACCTACGCTCATCATACTCGCCCAACAGCCTGCAATCAGAGCGCCAGGACGAGAACCAGCCATAGAGGGAGAAGCATAAACACCACCACTCCAATCAGGGGAGATGAAGTATTGGTACTTGCGAAGGGCTGCAGAGCGGTAGAGTAATGTACTGTTGCCCTTTGGAGCAAAGCCGTATTTGTGTGTGTCACAAGAGATGGAGGTGACGCCCTTGACGCGGAAGTCGAACAACTCGGTATCGTAGCCTGCGCGCTCAAGGAAGGGAACGAGGAAAGAGCCCAGACAGCAGTCCACGTGTAGAGGAATGTTTCTGCGCAGAGCGAGGCGGGAGAGACCGGGGATATCGTCGATGATGCCGTGGGGGAAGTTGGGAGCGCTGCCGACGAGGAGGATGGTGTTGCTATTCAAGAGGCGAGAGACGTGGGAGAGAGAAGCCTTGTAACTGGGTGCTGGGCAGGGTACGTAGTGGACGGTGATGTTGAAGTAGGAGGCAGCCTTGCGGAAGGCAGTGTGTGCTGTTTCGGGCAAGATGAGCTCAGGCTTGGTGACGCCGCGTTCGATGCGAGCCTTTTCTCTGGCACTGAGGACAGCCATTATGATGGACTCTGTGCCTCCGCTGGTTGTGACACCAGCACCGTCGGCAGGTGCGTTGAACATGCCCAAGACCATTGCCACCACCTCGGCCTCCATCTTCCTGACACCAGGAAAGACATCGGGATGGATTGGGTTGGCAACACCAAACTTGCCAAAGGCTTCCATCTGCAAGTCCTGAAGTTCCTTGCCGCCGTGGTAGACAGCGCCAGACACTCTGCCATCTTCCCAGCGAGTGTGCTTCATCTCGTGCAGCTTTTCCAGTTCGGCGCGCACTTGCTCAGGACCCCATCCTGAGGCAGGCAGTGATGTGTATCTTGTGATACCCGGGCCAGAAGGCACAAGTTTCTTCTCCAATTCGTCCAGTGACTGCTTGATCTCGGCTTGGACCTTGCCTCGTACTCCAGGTAGCCTCAAGAATATGCGGTAGAGTGACTTGCGGAGAGCGGCATAGCCCATCTTCGCGCTTGCGACGGGTCCATAGCCGTAGAGATGTGTTAGTGCGACTCGGGAGTAGCGCAGGAGGAACAGCACGAAGAGCAGATTGCGCAGTCTTGAGAATGGCTTGTTAGTGTTTGGTAGGGGAGTCCAGGCTTCAGGATAGACTTACAGATCGACCGACGTCTTTGCGAGCTGCCGTCTGGCAGCAGGCGTGCGGACGTTGAGCACTTGAGTAATACTGGGAGCCATGATTATCGCTTCCTTTGAGTCGGATAGTCAAGAGGTCATGTTCAAGGGGACAAGGCTGGGATAATTAATACTTGCATCTTGGTCACCATCGAAACAACCTTTGTCTTGGACCCCGCCTGAGAAGCTTCCGTCATCGCCTCGTGCCTCACAGGGTCCGCCTCCCACGAGCAAACCATTCCAAATTAGGTCATGCTTGCGAAAGCCAATCTGTTCGGCCCCAAAACACGCGACTCTGCTCATACAGCAAGTGGGAATAATCTCCGAGTTTGCTAACATATCAATTCATAATCGTGTCATTATATACATGTAAAGATCAAAAAGATCAACATCTCAGGTCGCTTCCGTCTTCCGCTCCTCTTGCCTGCTTGGAGGATCGTTTATTGAGCCATGCCGCCGCCCAGTATCAAATGGATTCGCGACAGTAGTGGCAAACTTCCGAGCTGGAATCTTACGCTCAAACAGATCATCCAGTTCTGCATATGTGCGTCCCTTAGGTTCAGGTAGTCGATAGTATGCCCACACTGTCGTCAAGAAACAGCTGCCCGCCCAAAACAGTCCTGTCTTGGGTCCCCAGTCCCACGCTGTCGGATTCAGCATGTGCGGTGTTAGCACATTGCTGATGATGTTTGCTACTAGGTATGCATTGCGTGCCAACACCATCGTCTTCTGTCGTAATCTGGTTGACGAGATCTCCGAGACGAACGAGTAGGTTAGTGGTCCAATCGTGATGTCGTAGACGAACACGTAGAGAAGAAGCAGCGCGCCGACCGCCCATGATGACGGCTGATTCTTCGGTGCAACACCGATGAATCCGATGATGAGCAGGAGAACCATCATGATAACCTGTCCAAAGAGGAAGAGCGTTCGGCGACCAACCCAAGGTAGCAAAGCCCAAGCAATGAAGACTCCTATAGCACCCAGACCGTATTGTGCCATTGTAAGGTCGAAAGAATAAGCTGTGTTGAGTCCAGCGCGTTCGAAGAAGTATGACGAGAATGCCATGATGCCTCCGCCGCAGAGAATCTGTATCATCCAAACCATGCAGCATATCTCTGTACGGCGAAGCTCGATGCCTTTGAAGCAGTCCAGATATGATGTGCCCAGCGTGACTTGTTTTTCCATCTCGTTGGTGTGTATCATAGCCGCGACGGACTTTTGACTGTCGAAAGCCTCTTGGCCCTGTTTGCTCATCAAGCGATTTACCGATCTCTCGGCTTCCTGGATGCGACCTTGTCGGACTAGCCACCAAGGACTTTCGGGCGCCAAAAACATGGCTACGGCGAGCGGTATCGGCCAGATCCATTGCAATGCGTAAGGGATCCTGTATCCCCACTGGTCAGTTCTGTCGACTAGTGCTCGAAGCACTCCAGATCCAATGATTTGGCCCATGACCTAGCCAAATGTCAGTCTGATGTCTTGTCTTCACGATTTGAGCCAACTTACCCAGCAGAGATTCACGTAACATGTGAGGTACGGTCTGAGCTCTGTTGGAACCACCTCGGCGGCGTAAGAGGGAGTGATGGTCTGGAACACGCCCCAGGGTATGCCGCAAAGAATCTGGCCTACGAGTAGTACCCTAATATTGGGAGAGAAGAATGTGATGAAGATGAAGCATGACTGGCTTGGTGTCAGTAATGGCAGCATCACCCGAGCAAAGCGTACTCACCACCAAAGCTAAGGCACCAATGATTGTCCAGCGTTGACCGTACTTGTCTGCGAAGATGCCGGTCAAGGCTAAGCCGATCATCTCACCAATGCAAGTACCATTGGTCAATCCTGTTTGCCAGGCTGCCGTGACTTGATAACTTCCGTCCTCAGTAAGATGTCCATACTTCTTTGAGAAAGCCGGAAAGGCGAAGAAGCTGAAGATGACCTACGGATTGTCAGATTTGGTCTCATAGCTTTGTTTCTGATACTGACCACCAAGTCATAGCCTTCCATAACAATACACGTCGAGGCCAGGACAGACCATCCTATGGCTTTTGGATACGTCTTGACAGCCGTCCATAAATTCATCGAGTGCTCTTCTTCAAGAGCAGCTCGAGCTCTGTCCAGGACGAGGTCTGGATCTGCCTCGGATCCCGTTGAGCCCGACCCTCTACGCTCACGTAGAGAAGCCAACATTCGGCTGTATAAGTTTAGCAATGGTACCTATAGTGCAATTACAAGACGATAATCGTACCGCTCCATCTTGTCTGTAGGTTTGCTTCCAACTTGGACATCGTTGGGATTTTGCATGATATGTTCTGTTCTTGAAGAGGTTCAGCTGCGATTCTTGGAGGTCTCGTTGGCCGCGGAATCCTACTTGTTAAGCGGCTCAGCCATGACCGTCACGTCATCAACGAATGTCGCGTGAACTAAGCATGGGGTATGAGATCCGGAGAGGAACGACAGGGTGATGATATGAATTGATTAATGATGACAGAGTCGATAGCAGAGAAGGAAAAACGCGACCAGGGACACAACCTGAAGGGATCGCATGACACAAGTATTCCGCGCGATGAACGGCGTGGCGTGGAACACCCCCAAGTTTAGGGCAGTACTAGCGTATGCGCAGGCCCTGAAAGCTTGTTCTCATACCCTAGCAAATTGCACTTGGCTGCACATCGACTGGTGATCTCTGCAGGTCCTTTCCCCCAACACATACCTGTACTGCTGTAGCTTAAGGGACGATGCGGCATGAAGAGACTGGGCGTCTGTCTTGTGGTGTCCAAGACTGTTCCAGACTGATATCAGGCGATTCGTTCATTCTCGAACAAGATGGGATGGAGCGGGGAGCACGCGGAGACGGGGAAACGAAAAAGACGCTAGTGGAGGCTGGATCTTGGCAAGGCAGTTGACGTTAGCGTTTCTGCCTCCGCACTTTCCTCACAAAATCAAACTGTTCAAGATAGCATTAAACAAGCTTCATATCAAATGTGACAAATGCTGGAGTGTTGAGGTATGAAACAGCGATGCAGCCTGTCAAACGTAAAGACGTGCCCACCCGGAAAGATGACAGAGTAATCTTGCACTTTGACTGTAGGTACATCACCTGCACCGAAGGTCAATAGAACATGCAGCTTGCTGACACTGCATATAAAGATGACTGCTTTTATGCTTCCGTTTTTGAAGCCGAGAATTCAGCTCTCAAAGAAAAGCCTCTGGCTGTACAACAGAAACAAATTATAGTCACCTGCAACTACGAAGCTCGGCGCAGGGGCTTGCGCAAGTTACAACTCATCAAGGATGCCAGACATATATGTCCGGATGTTGTGATTGTACTGGGTGAAGACATTAGTCGATTTCGAGATGCAAGCAAGACGCTGTACAATTTCCTTCGCAGCTTCTCCTGGAACGACAGAGCGGAGAGGCTGGGTTTCGACGAGGTAGGTCCTTTCCCGATGCTTAGGCGGTCAACTTGCCCAATAGACCTGACACTCGAGCAGGTGTGGCTGGATGTCACTGACATGATTGACTACAACATCTCATTGCTGAATTCTCACGATTTGGCTCATTCATTCTTTGTTCTGGAGAAGGATGACCCTACACAAGGATTTGCTTTTGACGCTACTTGTTATGAAGGTCCGACAACACCAAATGATTCAACTACCAATGATGAAGTGTTGACCCTGAGACTCAAATTGGGCTCCCATTTAGCGAGTCATCTTCGTAATGAACTTGAGAGAAAGACAGGATACACTTCTACTGTTGGTGTGTCCACTTCGAAAGTATTGTCGAAGTTGGTCGGCAACATGCACAAACCGAAAGATCAGACCACCCTCGTACCTCCATACACTCACCAGGATGGGCAAGTAAGTAACGTTGAAGCCTTTATCGATGACTACGAGATCGGTAAGATCCCAGGGATTGGCTCGAAACTTGCAAGAAAACTTCGCCATCACGTCCTTCAGCATGAGCCAGACTTTGAGAAAGGTCTGATCTATGGGGAGACTAAAGAGAAGGTCACTGTGAAAGACCTTCGTCTCGCACAGAACATGAGCGCCGACCTCTTGGAAAAGCTTCTGACTGGTCCCGGCTCTCCTCGTGGCATTGGTGCAAAGATATGGTCGCTACTTCACGGCATCGACGATACGGAGGTGAACTTCGCGAAAGCCGTGCCCAGCCAGATCAGTATTGAGGACAGTTACATCCGTCTTGACACTTTGCCCGAAGTGTTGAAGGAGCTTAAGATGTTAAGCTGTAGCCTCATAGAGCGAATGCGCATAGATTTGGTCGCTGGAGAGGACGACGCAGATCTTGTTATATTGGAGCGGTACGACGAGCTCGAGTCTGAGCAAGTGTTCGAGGAGGCCAATGATGAAGATGAACACAAATCTACATTGGTAAGCACGAAGTCGATCACAAACGTGGAAAGGGCGAAAGCCAGACCACATGGTAAATGGCTCGCTCAGCCAAAGACGATTCGATTGTCCACTAGACCACGATTGCCACTCAATCCAGATGGTACTCGCACTAGGAGCTTCAAGCGGATATCTCACTCTTCGGCCTTGCCCAGCTATGTCCTCTCTTTGACCGACACTGTGGACGCCCTTGCCGAGAAGCTTGTTCACGAAACATTGATAGGCATGTTCAGAAGACTCCATCCTGAGAAAGCTGGTTGGAACTTGAGTCTGGTCAACCTTGCCGTGACGAACATGGCTGAGGCAGGTGGCGAAACCAGGACCGCAAACGGTCGCGATATTGGCAGCATGTTCAAACGTCAAGAAACCGTACACAAAGAGTTCACGACCTACGCTGACGAAGACGCAATGCCACCAACAAAGTCATCTTTTCAGACCGAAGAGCGTACTTCACTTGGTCACATCGACCAATTGGACGCCGAGATGTCTGTCGATGTGGAAGACAGTGGCTGGGTGGAAGAAGAGAACGAAGATGCCGAGAGATGTGGTATTTGTGGCATGTCGGTCCCCTTGTTTGCTTTGCCTGCTCACACACGGTATCACGAAGTCACGGATGATTGATACAAGACCACACTCAAAATATACACATGCTTTCAGGCTTGATTCAGCGCTCGAGGGTAGTCGACTTGAGCTTATCGAGCACAGTTGTCTGCATTCCTTCGAGCTCGACCAAGAGCAGAACTTCAGGCCTGACAACAAGGAAATGGACGAGCGCGATAAAATCAGGCATCTGACTCAACAAACATAGGCGATCAGGCTCAAGACATCGAGCCGGTGAACGGCAGAAGCTCGAACTTAGTGAACAGCAGAGAAAGTCGAGCTCGTTCGACACATGAGGTTGAGTTCGATAGTAAAAATCGCGAACTCGACGATAAGAAACGGACGAGCTCGACGGAACAAGCAGTTGCCCGACGAATGGCAGAAACATGTAATCGACGATTAGCAAACAGTCGAGCTCAACGAAACGAGTGGTTGCTCGACCAAACGAGGGGCTTGAACTCGACCAGATAAGGGGCTCGAACTCGACAAAACGAGTGGTTCGAACTCGACAAAACGAGTGGTTCGAACTCGACAAAACGAGTGGTTCGAACTCGACAAAACGAGTGGTTCGAACTCGACAAAACGAGGGGCTTACATGTCAATGGATGAGGGTAGTTGCTGGTGCTAGTCCAGTCACAACACCCTCACAAGTGTTGTGGCACTGTCATATACAACATACTCTTGTGACGACTTATTCAACTCGGATCCGGACTCGACCGGTCTATGCTCCTGCCTGCCCAGAGTGACACCTTGGTAGTGAAATGTCTAAAGGACCCCGAATCCTTTCTACGAGCCGCGGAAACCGCCGACGGACCCTGGAATAAGCTGGTTGATGTTTTTGGCGTTCACTGGGGAGTTGCAATAGCTCTCGCATATAGTTCGAATTGAGACTTTATCGACTTCCAAACTTTGCAACCAACTTTCCTCGCCTACCAAACACATCCTACCTACGAAAGGCTGTCAACAACATGCCTTGCAGAAGTGAGACACACGAACATCATTGGCCTAAGGAAGGCACTCTTATGATCTGCAGATGCGAGATCTTCTGCGGCTTTTGTGAGGGAGAAGACGCTAAGCTTGTACACGCTCGTCCGTGGGACTTGCGCGAACATGTTAGAGTTGTACATGCTTGTGCCCAATGCTTATCAATCAGAGTCAGCCCTCGTATTGCACCGTGAGTATCAATCTCAGAACTTGTCTCTCTTGCCAACAATACTGATGTCTTCCAGCAATGTGAGCGCCAAGTCCAAGAAGCGTAGTCATGGAGAGGTCGAAAAGAGTGGCTCGAGTGATGACGACGACAGTGATGAAGATAAGAACGATAACGAAGACAACGACAACGACAAGGAAGAAGATGAGAGCAATGAAGAGGAGCTCAGTGCAAACTCTGAAGTCATCGCCAGGTCACCATCAGATCCATTCTTTGTCAATGACACAGGAGAGACCAAGGCTGCAGCTACTCCTCTTCGTCTTCGTGCAGACAAACCTGCTGCCAAAGCCAAACAAGTCTCCCCGAGAGCTCATGCAGCTTCCTTCAAACCCATTGGAACCAAATCAGGTCCACCATCACCCAAGCGTGCCAAACAGGAAGCAGTCACTGCACGTCCACCTCAAGCCGCTACTAACCAGTTTCGTATGCCTCCTCTCGCAATCAATCAACAGTAAGTACACTTCGGCGTGAACAACGACAATGCATGACTCTAACCTTTCCAGTGTCAACAAACAGTACATGCATGGACACGCTAGAGTACCCGGCCCAAACTTCCAGGCACCCGGTGGTTATCCGCAGCAGTACCCTACCATCATGCCGCCTGTACCCGGTGCTTTCGTGCCTCCGATGAACGCACGACCTCTCAACATCAATGATCAAGCTCATGGCCATGCTCAGCCACCTCCTGGTGTAACAGCAAACCCTCCTCACTTACCAGCTCGTCATGTACCCGCCCAATCAACCATCAGAAACTTCTACCAAATTCACCCCGGCGCCATCGCCAACCCAGGAAACAATCCCGAGCAACAGCGACTACGTCAAATGACCGCCCACTGTCTCACCAACACCAACATCACCGAGCAAAACCTGATCCTTACATACACGCAGGAAGCAGAGTATGTTCGCCAGCTGTACACTAATCGTCGTTTGACCATGTTCAGAGAAGAGATCAGACAGGGACAGCAGCAAGATGCTAGGGTTCAGTTCGGACAGATGTTACCGCACTTTCACGAGTGGGCTAGAATGATGGCTTCTGCTGGTCAGCAACCCGGTCCTCCTCCCGGTCAGCAGTCCGGGTCGCAGCAACAGCAGCAACCGGGCACCCAACCTGCTGGTGTACCTCAACAACAGCAGCAGCAACCAGGTCCTCAGGAGCCGGGTCAGGGTCAGCAGCCAGGAGCTCAGGGTGATGGTCAGGAGCGCCAGTAAGGGGTACAAAGAGATTATGTAAAGATCGACCTGAAAAGCCAGTATTTCCTTATTCGCCACTTGAGTCTCTCCAATATTATTGTGCCTTTTGATAGACGTGACACAGCCTGCTATTTGATCTCGGAGCATCATAAAACGAGAACTTCCCTGACCAGAGCCCCCTGGTTTGGAAACAGCCCAGGCACGTAACCAAATACAGCGATCTCATGAATACCTTACACCCATTGAGATCAAGCTGTAAAAAGGCAGAGTGATATTGAGAAACCATACCGTGTCCGCAGAGAGCATGTAGAGTACTCCATCTCTTGATCCAAGACATCGAATCAAAGGTAATCTTGCCACTCGACAGGCATGAAACCACCCTGCTATGATGCAGGAGAGTCACTGCAGAAACATGATGAAAAAGACGGCAGGTGGAAAAAGATCATTCGCTTTCATGATAAAACTAAATAAAGACGACGTCGGAACATTTACAGCTGCTCGTTGACAAACAGACCAGCCATACCCATACCGGTACCAATACACATACTTGTGAGCAGAATCTTCTTCTTTTGCCTCCTGCACTCACTCAGACCAGTAACGATTTGTCTCGCACCAGTGGCACCAAGAGGGTGACCAAGAGCAATAGCACCACCACGGATGTTCATCTTGCTCCAGTCAATCTTGAGTGTGTCGCGGCAGTATACAGCCATGGAAGCAAAGGCCTCGTTGAGCTCAATGACATCAATGTCATCGAGGGAGAGTTGGTACTTTGAGAGAAGCTTGGGGATGGCGACTGAGGGACCGATACCCATGATTCTGGGAGCGAGACCAGCAACGGTGGCGCCAACGAACTTGGCAAGGATGGGTTGGTTGAGCTCCATGGCCTTGGAACGCTTCATCAGGAGGACGGCAGCGGCACCATCGGTGACTTGACTGCTGTTTCCACCAGTGCTGCGGTTACCGAAGTCGGGGAAAGCGGGACGAATCTTGCCGAGAGACTCGGCGGTAGTACCGTAGCGGGGACCCTCGTCTCTGGTCAACTTGACTTCCTTGAGCTCGCCAGTCTTGGGATCCTTGACGTTGACGGTGATGGGAACAATCTCGTCGTCGAACCAACCAGACTTCTGAGCATGCTCAGCACGGCAGTATGACTCGGCGGCGTATTTGTCCTGCTCTTGACGCGAAATGTCAAAGTCCTTGCCAACGTTCTCTGACGTCTGACCCATGGGCTGCAGGCAGTCTGCGGCATCTTGGTTGGCGTTGACAATCTCGTCGACGAAGGGGCGGGTGAGACGGTCACCACCGTCAGACATGGACTCGGCACCGATGGCGACACCAATCTCGATGGCACCGGCCATGATCTGATTGGCGATGTCTTGTGTGGCCTTGAGACCGGAACTGCAGAAGCGGTTGGTCGAGTATGCGGAGGTGGTGTTGGGGAAGCCGGCGGCAAGACAGGCGGCGCGAACGTAGTATGCGGCTTTGGCGTCCGAGACGTTGCCCAGGCAGATATCCTCTACCATCTGAGGGTCAAGTCTTGATCTCTGTCTTGGTGTCAGTACGTGGCGTGGCGTGGCTTGACCGAGGGGGAGTTTGGCTTACTTTGACGACCTGCTCGAGCAGCTTGAAGACGAGGCCATCGAGATGGGTGTCCTTGAAGCCTCCCTTGCCGGCCTTGGTCAACGGTGTGCGGATAGCCAAGGTGATGACAATGTCATCGGGGTTCTTTTGAGTGCTGCGGCCTGTCAGTCTTCTCCACGGCGCAGCATTCGTATGGCGGGGAAGCCTTCACTTACATTGTGTCGAGGGGGCTCTTGCCGGGAGTCATGTGACGGAGCACTGAACCTAGTCTTTCGGCGGCCATCTTTGTCTATGTGAGTCTTTGTTTGTGTGAAAGAGCTGGTATACTGAGTTTGGTGATGTTTTCTGGGGCAGGTGGGACTTGGGCACATGTAAATACTCAATGGCCAGCACCTCGGCAATCCGAATCTGTGGGGAGGGCCTCGGTGCTCGGCTTGACCTGCCAAGCAAGCTCTTTACCGTTTCCCGGAGGCTCACCACCTAGCCGCTTTTGTCGCACATTTGATCTTTGATTGCTATTGGCTATAGAAATGTCATATGCACTTTGTGTACACATATGTTGAGTCATCACACGTTGGAGGACCTTCTATAGGCACAACGTAATCAACACAGTATGATTGATGGTCTTCTATATTGTAGTGTGGGTATCAAAGGATGCTTGTCGAATTCGTGACCTTTGAGAGTACACTTGATGTGCTGGACATAAATTGCCAATGGCTTCGAGAAGGCTATCACATCGAAGCGGGGCAGAAGCGAACCCATAGAAGCCGTCCTCCAGCATCTCCTACTCAGTGCGTGATGCGTAATTGTAGACATGCACGGTGATTTTCCATTTTAGACCACAGCCCGAGGAGAGGCGATCGGCGCCGCATCTCAGTAATGAAATCGCCCATCACGTATACATTGTGCATTTTCACAGCTTTGGTGTCTTATGGATGTAGTGTAGTTGGGCTCCGCTCTAGGTCGGCATGTCTCGAAGTAATGTGTGCTTCCCAAGCTTTGGTGTAAGTCCTTGTAGTGTCGGACACTTGTGAGACCATGTGTGTGACAACGAACCTCGATGGTCCGAGAGCTGAATCCAGTATATGGTTCCGTGCGTGTCGTACTTGTTCTTGCTCGACAGATCTCCGCTGGGCGGGTCGGTGTAGATGCCGGAGTGCTGGCTCGGGTCACCCTTGTCGTGCTTTCTGACGACAGGAAGGGACTGGTATGCTTCTCACGATACCAACTTGTCTTTTGAGCGATCAGATCACGGAAGCCTTTGCATTTATGGTGTGTAGGGGTCGAGATCCTCCCCGGAAGACGAACCCTCGGTATAGAACCACTTGCGGTATAGCTCATAGACGGCCACAGTCATGCGCCGATCGACATCTTTCAAAGCCATATATTCGTCATATGTCGTTGATGCGGTTCAATCACAGAGATAGTGACGAACTGTCCGTTGGCTCCCTCATGTCTTCTCTCTTATGGTGCATTCAACGCTGCCGGTGTCCAATCTGATGGCTGTTTCTTTCAAGAGGTCGCAGACGTGCAGTGTGCAATTTGGGGAAAGTTCCGCGTGGTCGTATGTCGTGGCATCTGTGAGCATGACTTGAGCGCTCATGTGCCTACATGCGACGGCTGGTAAATTCGTACTTGATGCAAAGATGCGCGGGTGCCGTTCACTGTGAGCGGTAGCAAGGCTGTCCCATGTAGTCGTGCGGTCTTCAGGATCTGCTTGGAAGACCATTCGGTCGGGGCCGCACATCGAGTTTCGGCGCTGCGAGATGCGCATCGTGCACTTCCCTGTGATCCATGTTTGGCCGGATCGTACTGAACACTGCCTAAGGAAGAGATGGTTTGAAGAATTCAACACAAAGTTGCGTCAAGTAGTCCTTCTGATGACGATGATGGCACGCTGGGGATTGTGCAGATGCATAATCATGCACAGCACAAATTGACGTCAGAGGTCAAGAGGGCAGCACTGTTTGTATTCAAGAAATCGATCAAGGCAGCGAGCAAACATGCGACGAACAACACTTCAATTTCTTCGCAAAACACCGAGAGTATCATTCAGACTCAGATCACCCGTCATACAGCCTCCTTGTCGAAGAGATATATCACAAGCTACTCGCTTCAATATGTCATCTGATCAAGAATACGCCAACTTTTTGGAAAAGGCCAACCAGGACACAGGCAGCTCCAGCAACGAAGTCAAAAGCAGCGGTTTCGCCCAAACAAAAGCTGTTGACTCTGCTGTTCCTGCACCACTGAAGAATGTGGATGCTTTCTACCAAAGCGACACTGATGAGCCGTTCGAGCCTGTTGCTTTGAAGTATGGGAAGCAGGACTCCATCAGTCAAGGTAAGCACGCATGGAGTCAGGGAAGCTGAGATACATGCTGACGTGTTCGTAGACAAGTTCTCAGATCTGATCAACCACTCTGGTGAAGTGGAAGAAGTCAGTGTCAAGGACTGGAACACCAAGAACCACTACGCTGAAGTCGTTGAGGCAGTCAAGAAGGCCGGCAGCGGTAAAGCTGATGTTCAAGTCTTCCGTGTCGCTCACGGTAGCACTCGCTGCGAATACTACATCGTCACTCTCAACGACGAGGGTGTCGTCGTCGGTGTCAAGGCCAAGGCTGTCGAGAGCTAGAGTCTTCTTCTCAAATCCGCTTTAGTGTCTACATTGTTTTATGCTCAGACTAGGACAGATAATCCTTACGATACCCATCTCAAATTGTATCCTTTTCACAGAATTTAGCGACCAATCTGGATTATGTTTACTGATTTACGAGCCGCACGCATAGTACACTTGCTGCTGCTGCACTCCCGCCCAGTCCAACCATCTTCAGCCCCTCGCATGTCCTTCTGCTCCAACTCCTCTCTCCCAATAGTGCAGTCTTCCCTAAGCCGAATCCGAATAGTGTGAACATCATCACTATCACAGAACAGATCAAGGCGACTGTTCCATCAGCAAAGAAGATATATGGTAAAAGAGGTATTAAGCCACCGAAGAAGTATCCAAACGCGATGCATAGTGCGCTCGTATACAGCCGCGGCGATACATCAGCAGATTCAAATCGATGTTGATGTTCCAGCAAGAAAGCAATGGTCTTGTCGTGATTCGCAGTAATGTCGTCTGCCACAGCATCTAGCAGAGTTTCCGAGATATAGCCTTCTAGTGTCGATGCTACTGCGGCCCTCGCTTCAGCAGGCGAAGTGTGCACCATTGCGATTGTGTTCGCTTTCGTCGTTGCTGCAGATTGGCTGTTCTCACAATTAGACAGAATCCAAGACCACAGAGCAATTTTGAACTCACGCTTCACCACTAGCTCCCAAGTAACCTCCAATACCCATACTCAAACTTCCAGCCATAAGCTCTGCCAGTCCAGCGAATACCACAATCTTCGTGTCACCCAGAGCCGCTAGGCCGGCAGTCAAGGCGAATGGTACTGTCAAGCCATCACTCAACCCTAGTGTCGCGTCTGAAATCGTGCGAGGGTCAATTTGCCATCTTGATGATGTTGAATACGCCGAGGAGAATTGCGATGATTCTGACGGTGATGAGGGCTCCTTCTCTGAGTGTCGGTAGTTGAAAGTTGGTAAAGGTGCATAGACTCCGGACTTGTCATTTCTGAAGAGTGATGTGATATAGCCGAAAACCATGATTCCAGTTGAGACAAGGTGAGCGGAGATTGGATGTATTTTGTTGTCAAGTTTTCGAAGATTGGACTTGAAACAGAGGGGAAAGAAAGTGGCGGGCAAAGACATCTATATATCCTTGAATTCACCCACGTGGTTGAGCGCCACGATCTTCCTATGCCCCGTCCCCGCAAGTTTAAAACAGGCAGATATGTGACGCGGCACGTCTTGTGCTACGAGAGGGTTTATGGCAGGAAGTTCCTGCGGACGCAGAAAGCTTCGAGGTCAAAGAAACACGGCATCACTTGAAAATAGCTCTGCAGGAGAATCGATATAACAAAAGTATAATCTTGGAAATAACAACGCGGCAAGTGTAGCTTTTAGGTCTATCTAGCCATGATTCTAGTGTCGAGATATATGTCTTCTATTTTACCAACCCTTGGGAGGGTACATACCATCAGGAATCTGGACAGTGTTCTGGTAGTAAGTCTGGTTCTGCAGCGAAGCGTCGCCCCAAGTACGAGCGATACTGCCAAGTACCTTGCGTCCGTTTCTGACAAGCTTGGCGTTGGGAGGAGGAAGAGTGGTGACAACATCTTTCGAGCTGAAAAGACCAGCGAATGAGGAGTTGAAGAAGTGGGTAGGGTTAGTACCAGTTGCAGCATCCCACACTGCATTCTTGTCGCCTGTCTTTTGAGCAACAAAATCGAAGATGTTGGCACCGACGTCCCAACGACCAAGAGTGTGCAAGTCCCAGTTTGCCTCGACGGTGCTGATCTCAGAGTAGTGGTTGTAGAAGCCCGAGTCAACAGTGTTGATCAGTTTCTTGGGAACTGCATCACCGAGAAGGATACTAAAGACACGGTTTTGGAGAGTGTAGGTGTGAGACTCATCGAAAGTGACCAGAACCAGGGTGTCCTTCATGAAGCGCTTGTCATCGAGCAGAGGCTCCAAGAAGTTACGTGTCCAGGTGCCAGCCGTGGTAACACTAGTATCGTGTCCATCTGATGTCATGTTTGGCGTAATGAACTTGGAAGAAGTCAGTGGCAATCCAATGATTGATATTTGGGAAGTGACTACCATCCACTGAGGCAATTTCTTGGCCTCAAGGTCGCTGTAAAACTGTGTTAAGTTCTTGTTCTTGGCCAGTCGCTCTGGCGTTGTGTTTGAGTTATAAATAACGGCCGGGTTATGCTTGCGCACATAATCGTTCGCCTTTGTCTTTTGATTGACCCAAGCCATGCCCTCGAAACCAGAGTAAGGCATATCTTCTTGATACTGGTTGTGTAAGTTTTAAAAAAAATTCAAACCCACCAGAAACAAACTTACCTGGCCCCATGATACACCTTTATCTTCTAGAAGATCGATGAGAGACGAAACATTGCCAGGGATCTGGTTGAAGTTGTCGTTGTCCATGCCAAAGTTGTCACCACCGATAGCGGCTACATAATTGGGCTCGCTAGGATGAGTGACACCAAAGTAGTTGCTCAATGTGATACCCTTCTTCGCCAGCCAGGCAAGGTTAGGATCACCGGCGGCCTTGTCGTAGTCGGTGTTCTCCAACCAGATGACAACGAAACGATCAAATACCTTGCCCTTGACATGACTGGTCGGGCTGAGTGTCAGAGCACCGGCTTGGGCAGCGGCGACGTCTGCAGGGCTAGTTGAGGTAAAGTTGAGAGCAACAGCCCGGCTGGAGAAGGCCAGAGCCGTGATAACGAGCGAAGGATAATGCATTGCCAAGGAACGACTGGTAATACTCAAAAAAAAAAAGAAATGTGTGGGAGACTTGACCTTTATCTTCTAAAAGGACTCATCCATACGACCCCTGCCTTCGCCACAGTATTTACGCATACCGCCATCCGAATACATTTCGACTTACCTAGAGCGGTTCAGACGGCTGATTGAGAAGCGTCTACCTCCTTGAACCCTACACACGTGGAACATGTGGCATGTAATAGCAGTCCGTTCATTGGCAGATGAAATTTATGGTTAGATTTCCTGCCTTAGCAACGGAATAAACATGACGGCTCGAGGCTCAAACTCCACTCGAAAATGTGTGGAAGGTCGTTGAGCAAAACTGTGAGGATGCGTGAGAGTCAATTGAGGGGAGCACATGTCATGCACGCGCATCCGTGATTGGCCCGTTCCGACGCGTTTGATTTCTCCGTCGACCTTCCCTTCACGACCACATTCTACGGATAATCGGCGCATGCGAGCTTTTAGGCCATGATCAAGCACTGCCATGGTCTCCTCGGCATTTCTTGATATGAATTGGCTCTTGCTCTGATGCCATGCGTCAGCACGCAGAGCGACAGAGATCGAGGCATTGAACGTCGCGACTTTAGTCCCGCCACCCGATGATCCCAGGCAGCTTGGGCGAGTAAAAGCTCTCGGGCCATAGCAAGTTTACCCCTGCACATTGGGACAACTCTTTGCCCTCCTTCCTTCTCTTGTTTCTCAAGAAAAAGAGCAGTCAGTGTATACGGGCACACTATGACTGTTCCGGATGAAGAAATCGCTCTGAGCGATACTTCTGAGCAATGGTCCGACGATCAGAGGAGGACTCTACTTGACGAGGAGAAAGTTCGCACACACGTCGAAGTGCGGTCATGGTCAATCAAGTGGTGGCAGTTCATGTTGCTGTTCTTGATGTCTGTTACGCTGCTTATACCATTTGCTATCAACCTCGCGCCAAAAAGCTCGTCATGGGAGGAAGCTGCGACTGGAGATCCGTCTCAGCCAGACTCAATTAGCCAAGAGCCACAATCTGGAAACCTGGACCAAACAGACCACTTGCACAATATCCCACCGAGAGATGATTATCTGCTAGATCCTGCCTGGGACTTCGAAGCTGCTCCTGTCACAAGAACGTACAACTGGACCTTGAGAGAGACCGTTTGGGCGCCTGATGGAGTCGTCAGGCCCATGCTGCTTATCAATGAACGATTCCCAGGTCCTCTGATAGAGGTGAATGAGTTCGACACAATCCGAGTGGTGGTTAATAACCAGATGAGTAATGCAACGTCTATACACTGGCACGGAATCTACCAAAATGATACCAACTCTATGGATGGCACCGTTGGTATCACGCAGTGTCCCATCGCATCTATGAGCAGTTTCACCTACGAGTTCACCGTGCGAGGACAGAGTGGTACCTATTGGTACCATGCACACCAAGGCGTTCAAGCCTCGGACGGTCTAGTGGGACCCTTAATCATACATTCCAAAGATGAAAGACAGCTACAGCAAATTCAATACGCTAGTGATCGCATCATCATGCTTTCTGATCACTACCATGATCTTTCTGGTGCGCTAGCCAGGAAATACTTGGCTCCAGATATGGAAAATACAGAACCAGTCCCTGACGGAGCCTTGATCAACGGCAGAGGTTCCGTTCGCAATTGCGATGAATTGCCCCACAGACAGTGTGATAATTCTTCAAGCAACGTCGGAATACCCACTTTCGATCTTGAACCGAATCGTCATCACAGGCTTCGAGTCATCAATGTTGGTGCCTTCGCCGAGTTTCAATTCCAGATCGACGAACACGAGCTGGCGGTGACAGAAGTGGACGGCACTGACGTCCAGCCGAAGAATTTCCATCGCCTCAACATCAATCCCGCTCAGCGCTACAGCGTGGTTGTCCACACGAGCAAGAAAGAGGGGACGGCCTTCAGAATGAGGGCTCGAATGATCTCCCATTGTTTCGCCGAGGCGAACCCAAGTATGGTTGAAACTGCAACTGGTGTTGTACGCTACAGCACCCTTGCAGAGAACAGGATGGCAATTGAAATACCTGACACCATCGATTGGGACGAGGCTATCGGTCTTGAGTGTAAGGACTTAAACACGACAGACCTGGTGCCTGTTCAAGTCGTTGCAGCTCCTGCAAAGCCGGATTCGTTGATTTTCTTACGCAGCGCCTTCGAGATCGGCGCCTACAGATTGTCGAGGGGCAAGTTCAACACGAGCAGTTGGCGCGCTGATGTGACAAGTCCCACATTATTTCGATCGATCGACGGGTTGCAGGCGAGAAACTCATCCTTCGATGGGGAGAAAGGCAGTGGGGACGTATTTGTCAATGACAAGGCTTTCCATCAGCCTACCGAGCTTGTCGTCCAATCTTCAGGCATCAAGACTATAGACATATTGATATCCAACTTCGACGATGGGTATGCTACATCCTTACGAACAATTCTAAATCGTGCTAACCTTATTTCCAAGAAATCATCCCTATCATCTTCACGGATACAAGTTCTGGGTGCTTGCTCAAGGTCATGGCTATCCTCCAAGAAAGTCACTCGACGGCCCTATGGATACAGATAATCTCTCACCTCTTTATGATTCGCTTGATCTCTCGAATCCTCTGAGACGCGATACTGCTAGCGTTGAAGCTTTCGGCTGGGCCTTGATTCGATTCGTGGCCGACAATCCTGGTGCCTGGGCGTTCCACTGCCATATCTCGTGGCATGCTGAGGCAGGCTTGCTCATGCAATTCCTCACACGGACCGATCTCCTGGTTGATGCCGAGATATCAGAGGCACATCGAGACCTCTGTAGGGCCAGCGGCCTTGAGAAAGGTACGGGGCCAAAGGATGAGCTTTATTACGATGAGGCGTGATCGTTACGTGATTGATAAGGGCAATCGATCTACTTCGTCGCTCTAGATTGGCATTTGTGCTTTGTTTGGGCTGGACTCCGTCATCGCTATCCTTATTGCAACCAGGTCTGCCAGGAGCTCGAGAGACGGCTTCGAGTCTGCGACAGCACCCCGAACATCCAATGTCTCAGGGTCCATGTCTATCAGATTGGCCAAGTCCACGCCAATGGCACATGATCTGCGAGGACGGAATTGCGCCGTCTGTCAAGCCTTTTCCGTCTTGAGGCACACCTGCCGAACCTCTTCTTGTGTAAAGTCCTGTCAGGCCTACGGATACTCTTTTCTGAGGCTTCGGCACCGTTTGTATCATCTGAATCCTTGCAAGACATCGAACGTCTCGAAGACAATCGCCTCTACGCTCATTGGCGCATCTGGACGTCTATCATTGCGGCTATGCACATTCGCCTCGCTTCTGCAGCTATTAACAGTCAAGTCGGCATGGCGAACAGACGATCATTCCGACACGAAATCATTTCCGCTGTCGCCAAGCTACCTTGGCATACCAATCGATGTTGTTCGCCAAGTAGAACTTGGCAATCCTTACATTGCTTTGTCCTTTCGACCTTCTTATTTGGGACGCATATCCTACCTCAGTATGTAACGAGATGGTGGGTCAAAGGTCTTGGGTCGCGTGTCCTACTCACCTCTGGCTGGTCAGGCCCAGATACATGTGTACAGCCGCCACCATCGAATATTCGCTATCTCTTGGCATTTGGCACCATCGTCAACCGCTTCTGATAACAGGCCAATTGGTGTGTAACTGTCATGGTGATTGACCCGCGGCTTGATAATATAAACTTTGACAAAGGAGGAATGCTGCACTTGATAGGTATAAAAGCGTGTTCGTCGTATTGTTGAAGGCCCTTGCCTGTTACTGCTCACCCCCTTCGTTTTTCTACAGGGTGCATTCTTCCTCGAGAACATCTTCGACAATGAGCAACAACACTATTGACAATAGTGACTTGGCCAAGGCTCATGTGCCTGAGGCAGCCATTCAGGGTACCGCCTACGAGACTCATGCCGGTCGTGGATCATTGGATGTCGGCAAGAGTGAGCCTCTCTACGAAGTGAGAACACCAGACACCGAAGAAGACCACGACGACACTCCTACGGACGAAGAACTCACGACATTGAGGAGAATTAGTGGCCCAATAAAATGGGCCGCCTACACGGTTGCTTTTGTTGAGTTGGCCGAACGATTCTCATACTACGGGAGTTCCATTCTTTACACCAACTTTATTCAATGGCCTCTGCCTGAGGGCTCCAGAACCGGTGCCGCTGGTCTCAATGGCCAACCTGGTGCTCTTGGCATGGGTCAGAGCGCTGCTCAGGGTCTCAGTCTGTTTAACCAATTTTTCGCGTAAGTCTGATGGTCCAGATGTTTCATACGTGCTCGAGTCTGTCACTCGCATCGACAATTTGCTGTGCGATGCCTTTTTGAGACTTCATACGGTTCAATAACTCTGTACGAGACGTTGTCGAAGTGACAGGCTTCAGCATGTAAAGACCATGAAAGACATTCTGCTAACGAATCTGAAATTCAGATATGTTATGCCTCTTGTTGGTGGTTACATTGCCGATGCTCATCTTGGCCGTTACAAGACTATCCACATTGCTATTGTTGTCGGAATCGTCGCTCATATCATCCTCGTCGCTGCTTCTGCACCCGATGTTATCGTCAACAAGACTGGTTCGACTGCTGCCTTTATTATTGGACTCTTGACACTCTGCGTCGGCACGGGTCTCTTCAAAGCCAACATCTCCCCTTTGCTCGCTGAACAAAATCCAGTCAAGAAAATGTATGTCCAGACGCTGGCGACGGGTGAAAGGGTGATCGTGGATCCCGCCATCACCAATTCTAGAATCTTCCTGGTGCGTAACCCATGATCTACACCTCATACGGACACGACTGACCTCTAACTAGTACTTTTACCTGTGTATCAACATTGGTTCCTTGACAGGACAGATCTCCATGGTTTATGTAGAAAAGTTTGTGGGTTTCTGGTAAGTAATCAAGATTCTCCCCAGTTTTCTCTTTCTAAACTTCGAACACATCACTAACCTTTTCACCTTCCAGGTTGGCATTCTTGCTCCCAACTATACTCTTCGTGGCCGCTCCTACTATTCTGTTCTTCAATCGCAAGAACTACATCCTTACTCCACCTACTGGCTCTATCTTGTCAAAGTTCTTCCACATGCTCGGCTTCACCTGGAAGAACAGACAAGGAAAATTCAACTGGAATGTCGCAAAGCCCTCCAATGTGCCAGTCGAATCACGTCCTGCGTGGATGACCTACGACGATGCCTGGGTAGAAGAGGTCAAACGTGGAATCAAGGCATGCAAGGTATTCTTGTTCTTGCCCCTCTTTTTCTGTAAGTCCTACATATATAGCTACCGCCAGACCTCCAAGATACACCTTTCATACGTGTAGACGGTCTGCTACTGTCGCCTAGTCGTGCTTGGCTGTCGTCGGTGGCATACACATAGGTTCAATATGAAAAAAGCTAACAATTTTGCAGTGGCATACAACCAGATGACAGGCAACCTTACGTCCCAGGCTGCCGTCCTACAACTCAACGGCGTCCCAAATGACCTTTTGCAAAATCTAAACCCTATAAGCATCGTCGTCTTAATCGTGGTGCTGGATCACGCAGTTTATCCATTTTTGAGATCCAGGGGGATTTCTTTCACACCAATCAAGCGCATGACACTTGGCTTCTTCTTCGCCGCTGCCTCCATGGTCGCTGCTGCCGTCATGCAATACTTCATATATAAAAAATCACCATGTGGAAAAATGGCCGCGGACCCGGACTGTATCGAGGCCAATGGAAAAGCTGACATCAACGTATGGTCCCAAATCGTACCCTATGTTCTTATTGGTATCGCGGAGATCTTTACCAACGTCACCTCTCTGGAGTACGCCTACGCAAAAGCACCCGCCAATATGAAGTCCTTGGTCATGTCAATCAACCTGTTTATGTCGGCCTTCGCCAGTGCTATCGGACAAGCTTTCACACCCCTATCTCAGGACCCTCTTCTCGTCTGGAACTACACCATCATCACGATTCTAGCCTTCCTTGGTGGAGTAGGGTTCTGGTTCTGCTTCCGTGATCTGGACGCCAATGAGGACAGATTGAACATGCTGGAGATCAGTACCATGAGAAACAACAATACTGCTGTGGAGCCTAGTGACACCGAAGCACAGGTCCAACATGTTCACGATGAGAAGAAGTGATTCTCTTGACATTAGCTTGACATTTCCTCTCATTGAACAGCGTCTAGTCTAAGCTACCCCAGTGCTCAGTTCACTAATCGTTGGTCACTGTTCATAGTCTTACATATTGATACATTGAGGACGCTCGTTCATACGGTCAAGCTGTCTATCTTTCATGGATTCTTTGTTGTCGTCGTCTGTGAATCGGCCTCAGATCTCGCCCTCGTCGTCATCGTACTCGAATCCCGTCTCGTCAGCTGCATCAGTACACGGTACTTTTCAGACAAGTCAGGCTGCCCCTTGAGATACGAGTTTTGATCGACCTCCAGCGGGTCATGCATCAACATAAAAAATCACCATGCTTTACAGCAGCTCCTTTCTACTCTGCTCTCGCCTTAGAGGTGAGCTTCTATGCATAGCTGATTTAAGTCGCAGTATTTTTCGAAAACACAACGAAGTCTACGGAGATGCGGCACTTTGAAATATGATTTCCAGCTCTCATTTCAGGCTCTGCCCATCTGGAAAATGACTGTGCTTTTCTGCAGGTTCGACTCCGCTTGTCAAGTCCAGTGGAGGAGAGCTATCATGCTGATGGAGCAATAGCAGGTGCTCCAAGTCATTCCCCGGAAATTCTTGCGGTCTACAGGCGAATGGAATGCTTCTTCACCTGGCATATGGATGATAAGTTGACGGATGAGGAGACTCGGCGTCCAAATGGTGATGTAATGTTCGGTATCACTACAGGTGATGTAATCGCCGCAACTACTCCTTATCAATAAAGCCGCGGTAGTTTAGTGGTTAAGGCGCTGCATTGTTACCAAAAAATAATCCACTGATGGACTTCGGTCTTCAGTCTCCCAAAAACTACTGGTGAGCTTCGGCTTCCAGTCCCAAAAACAACTGATGAGCTTCGGCTTTCAGTCTCCAGTAACTTACACTGCAGAGATCGTGAGTTCGAGTTTCACTCGCGGCATACCTTTTTGGCCAATGTCTAGAACTGTTCCGTTCTAGCTGTGAAGACACACGATACTGTCTCGGCAGTGGTAGAGCTCGAGTGAATGTATCTGCTGGGTGGGTGACTTTGTGTCGTGTAGTCGTAAATTCACGCATTTGAGCGTCCAGTCTTTCGCGCAGACACGCTCACTGACCGGTGAAGCAGACACTAGTGATACTTTCACTCGCTCGGTTTCTCACACACCCACGATCGCACTCCACTACCTCACATGCGCATAAGACCTCCTCCGCCTCCTCCGCCTCCTCAGCAACCACAACATCGGAAGAATGCCTTCTCCGTATTCGGACGACAAGAAGAAGCTTTACGGTCATCAAAGACACCGCGACGAATGCTTATCGTGCAAACAGGGTGACGGCTTCCGCGAGCTGAGATGAGTAAATCGTGATGCGGTGGGTGATCTACGTCAGTAGACTGACAACTGTAGGCAGTTTCCGGAGAGCTCGTGTGTAAAGCAGCAGTTGACGCGTTCGGTCAGAGAACCTCGAATGCAAAGAATCTCAAAGAGTGTATCGAATTAGGAGAAAATAAGAAGCAGAAGAAGCAGCAAGTCGAGGAGTGGAATGAGCTTATCCAGTCCTTCAAAGACGCCATCAGCTCGCTGAAGAAGGAGATCGAAGTCATCTGCGCTGGCAAGTGAAGTAGTTTGCCTTGGATTCGTTATACTAATTGAGTTACAGGAAACAAGCCCAGCCAGCTTTCACAAGCATTTGAACAAGATGCAGCTGGACGCCAGGTGACTCGCAATACGATCTGGCACGAGGAGGCTGCTAGAAGTATGGAAAAGACGGAGATCCCCAAACTCAACAATCCGGATTCCAGCTGCCCAAGGTCGTTCAAGGGCCTAGATCGACCCAAGATCGAGACAATCCCCTCTTATCTTCTCCGGGAGTTCTCTGGTCTGCTGGTCTGGCTCAGATTGCGCTCACGCGTACAGAATGACCATCCGATGGACGCCATTGACAAGGCTTGCGGTCCAGCAAACATGAACCTTGACAGCGTCATCGGCAGCTTTGGCCCACCCTCAGAGCCTGACGACGATTGGCCCTCTGACACAACGGCACCTGCTTCGCCCAAAGCTGAGCTGCATCTTAAGAAGGCATCTGAGACAAAGCAATGGGAACTCTTGGGAAGTTCCGAATTTCTCGAATATGCCGATTTACTGGTCCCTCAATATGCCAAGCTCGTGACTGATAAGGTAGCAGAAGACAAGAAGAAGGAGGAGAAGCAGTTCGGACAGCCATCAAACGACGATCTGGAAATTGGACGAGGCAGCAAACGGGAGCGGCTGGCCAGCGGTACGAGACCTTACCTGGCTCTCGTTCATCAATTGGATTCAGGGTTGCAAGGAAGTCGACCAGGAATTCTTCGAGACCACACTCCCAAAGTGGGGACGTGAGAAACGTGAGCGCCACGATTTGATCACAGCGGCTCTTCCAAAGCCATCGCGGCAGTATTCGACTCGGATAACGCTGATTTTAAGCCTCCCACCACATACTACCACAAAGCTAGGTCGATCAGAGATCTTGATGCAGAAGAGTACGGCCTCTCATCGGAGAGTGACCTTGATACAGCTCCCATTGACCCTCGCTAAACAACAAGCATCATGTTAAGCTCGCGTCTCCTCCTTTCTCCTCGATCACCTACTGGTAAGCTCCGGCCCTATTTTGCCTCCTCGTGTCCAAAACGTCTTTTGGTGAGCTCCGGCTTCCCATTTTCAGTCATGGCTGTACCGCAATCCGGGTACGCAGTCATAATGTCAAGCTCCGGCTTACAGCGCTACTGAACACCGATTCGTGGTCCTCAAAAATCAATCCTCTCATCCCGATCTGCTTTGCCAGTTGTTGTTACCAGCGTGACATGTCTAAAATCTGCTGTGTGCCTAGACTATCCACCGCTCCGAGGGTAAGCTACGATTTCCCTTAGTAATAGCACTTTGCAAACACCGTGAGTTGGAATCTCGCTCGCCGCTCCAGTTTGCCTTTTCGTTCGGTCAATATGCAGGAATGTCCCACCTCAGGTGCTGGTATATCATACTCTCCATATTCTCACACTTGACATGACCCCTTCTTCTTCTTCTTCTTCTTCTTCTTCTTCTTCTTCTTCTTCTTCTTCTTCTTCTTCTTCTTCTTCTTCTTCTTCTTCTTCTTCTTCTTCTTCT